CGGGAAGAGGTCCTTCCTATGAGGCAGGTAGGTGCTAACCGTGCCGAGACAGAGGTTGTAGTGGATAGTCAGTAAGGTAGTTGCAGCGCCGTCTATGCACAGTATCGGGTCTTGGTGTAGCGTCCAGAACTTCGGTGTCAGAGTCGCGACATCCTTCAACGTGAGTCCTACATTTTGTCAGATACGCAGTGCGATTGACAAACGTGGTCTTTACCATAAGCCTTGGAGATGGATTCAGCACGAAGGTAAGACACCTCTCCGAGTCCAAGCTCCGAGGCCGAGGCCTGAGGGGTTTGCCAAAGCTCGGTGTTCAAGAGTGCTTCGGTAGGCCACATTTCGATGCGAGGCGTGCTGACCCTGTGTGGCTGGTCAAATTGTCTTATATACTCGTAGGGTAGAGCTCCAACACAGCCTCCGTGCACAGTCGAGCTCCGATACGATGAAGGCGGACATACCAACGAAGCGGTGTCTCGTGTCCCTGTCATTCCGTTCAAATCGGCACGGATTGTGAGTTGTATCGCATATTCCAATATGGATACCCTCACCGTTGCGGGCGTCATGTAGGCACTAGGTGGTCGGAGCCGGTCCGCATTTCAGGAACGTGCGGAAGTGAAGCTCTAATGTCGATATATCGATTTTGACGCGATAACGGAAGGCTGAACGAAAACATGAGTCCTGTGAGGCATGCGGTTGGTGCACACCAGCCGCAGATGACGTTGGATTCTTCAGCGTCCCGGTACTTCATGCCGGAGCCCATCTATCGGACACGGTTTAGCCAACCATATTGCGATCGCAGTATCCTGACAATGGCATACTTTGGTCACTACAATCGTACTCCTGTAATGGAGTACGTGTCTTTGTGTGAAGAAAGAGCAGCGCAATCATGAACAATGGTCTGAACTTCCTGGCATGATCACGCACTGATTCTGTACAGCTCGGAGCGGCTGCCATTTCATGTCATCATCCCGGGGTCCCGTATCCGTCTTCCAGTCCGACAGGCCGTCACTGAAACTCCGCTGACAGAAAGCAGCCGCGTCTTCCCGTGGTGTTGGTACAACTTTCGGAGTGACTGGCAGAGAAGCATGCTATGAAACAAATCCACGGTGCGCGCAAGGGTAAGCGAGGAAACCTCATATCACAGAGACACCAGCAGCCGGGACAGAAATATGTTTGCTTGCCTGTCAAATCACTTCGAATTGTCATTCGGTAAGTCTCGGCCCTGTCACCGCGGCGCAATGCAGTATGAGGATAAGCAGCTGTCCGACCTATAATACTAAACACCAAGCCATTGCTGCTTCGTCAAAAGAAGTTTCAAGTTTGTGAGCGTCAATACCAGCATGACGAAGAGAATAGGTCCACCTAGCAAATGATAATTGAGTCACCGGTCGAGGCAGCGGAGGGATTAACTTCGTGGCCGTGCGTTGACAGCGAGGGGCTCTTGTCATCAATTGGGGTGCCTCTGGATATTCTGACGGAAGCGAGCGGACGGTAGGACGACAGCGCTCATAGATCGGAAACACTGGTGTTCTCGCTCCGACCAGCTCTTGTGTGTACTTGCCAAACCAGCGCTTGATTAGCGCTTACACCAAAGTGTTAAGACGCCCAGTGTAGCTCCCTTTTCCGCGGATCCGACGTCATTGTCAACCAGACAGACAAGCCACAACAACCGAAACTAACCGTGTTCGGAATTTCAGAGACCGCCAATACAACCACATTGTTCATTGGGTTTGCAGAATTTTCGTTCCCGAGTCCTAGTAGATGGGGCGCTGTACGAAAGTAGCGGTGACCTGTCGCGCGCTGTAGCTCTCACACATCTTCAATTGCAACGCCTTCCATGACCAAGGAACGTCTCGATCAATGCGCCTCTACTCGGAAGAGATAAGTAGGAGTGAATGCCGCACATGTCGTAGCGTGGAAGGTCCAGTGGGCGCCGAGAGCCGCGACCACCATGTGATAAGCGTTCCACGTTACCTGTTCAGTCCCGTAATGCAGACAGAGAGCTAGATTGCAAAGCAGATGCAGTGCAGCCTGTACTTTCCGAGTTGCACAATTTTGATATCCCATGTTGAGTGTCTGACTCCAGGACCCGAGCGTTCATCTGGGTGAGAGTGCCCAAGGCTCGTGTTGCTCTAGTACGTATAATAGGACCTATGATGAGGATATAGTCATCGTCCAGCCTCAAGATAGTGGCTTCGGCTTCTGTAAACGTACCTACAAAGAACTATTGGACCTAGTCAAAGGCCCATCAATATCATGCATTTGTGTCCTGCCAACACGAGATACCTGATAAATTGGTGGTACAAGTCGCCGGAGACGGGTCGTACTTCGTTCCGCGTTGTCGAAAGGAGGTACTGTATCGTAGAGCGCTGATGCCGTCGCACTCTTATCACGACAGGGTCCACCTAAGACGAGCGTGCTCGCTAAGTGGAGCCACGGGCCCAGCGCCGACTTCGGATTGTGTCTATGGTCGATTGTGAGGGAAGAGAAAGACGCGAAGGAGGAACAGTCAAACTCAAAAAATAACACGCGGCGCCGGTAACAGTGTCCCTCAAACAATGGAGGGCGGCCATCTAATAATATCGTCTGACTTACGGAGTTGACTCAGACCGACGCGTCGTAGCACAATCCAGGACTACCTGTAGTATTCGCTCCACCTGCATTTGCTGGGGTGTCAAGTCAGCCTGCACCATGATACGGGCCGTCAGTTATAACTCACCGGAGTAGATAGACGTGCAGCCCATTTCGCCATGCATTCCAGTTGAGTAGTTAGGACATCCCCTTGTAATTTGAAGGAGCCAACGAAGGCGCCGCTGCAGTTCCGGCCCTCATCGGTGTTGATAGCCAATGATATTTGAGTGAGTCGTTACTAAGGAGGGTATGTCAGCCATATACAACCATCTCCGCATACGCCATGTCCCATTGCTTCGGCAAGGCACCTGGCTTTCAAGAAGGGGTATAGGGCAGTGAAGGAAAGATCTGATGGACAATTGTTTAGAGAGGAGCGTCCAGTTTTTAACAGACCACGTACATCAACGAGACTCCATGGCGTCACCACCATCGGGTCGCCCGTTCCCTCGGGAGCAAATCCGCGCGATACCTGCGTTTGAGACCGACACGACAGCGCTGCACGCCAGTGACGCGTTAAGTGCTTAGAAACAAGGATAGTCTCTAGCACCTCTGGTACTTGTGGATGTGCTAAACAAGCCGCTCAGGGCCCTGGGACCAAACGACGCCCTTCGCGACACTATACCTGTGCTTCTCGACTATGAGAGCATGTCGAGGAACTCGCGGATGAGTCTGCGCTTCCCACGCAGTCGCTCGTAGGGCGAGAAGAGGACGATGTTCTTCTAGCCGGTGTGTTTGCCGCGGTACACGAATTTGGTACCTCGATCGTAATAGAGCGTCACTGTGCCGCGCGCCTCATGACTTTGCTGCCGCGACGCAACTAGTTGTGATTCACTAGTCTAGCCAAATACAATGAGGGAACTTCATTCACGATGACTTAAGATAGTTCAAATACGAGGATAGAGGAAGACATACCATACTTGTGACCCAGTCGGCAGTTCAACGTATGACTCATCACGGCATACTTCACTGTCGGTGAACAGGTATCGTTGCATTTCACGGTTTCTCCTATTTTTGTGGCTGGCATCCGGTCTGTACATGTCCGAGATGTGCACGAGGTGTATAGGAGGAGGTCGCGAGGTCGAGGAAGGGATGAACGTACTCAAGCGCTCAAGACTGGCTCAAGAAACCAGACGCCAATTATCGGCCCGGAACGGCCCGTCAGCGCTTCAGCTATAATGAAGCTGGTCCACTCCTCCGCCCCATTTTCGCCGTTCTTGTATGAAGGGCTTTATCGGACAAAAATCGAGCGCCCTAGTAGCCTAGGTACACGTTCGGCCCAGATCCGGCAGGATCGGAAAGGATATTGAGTGGACTGGAAGGATCACTCGACATCCATGCGATTCCTGGCAGATTCCGATCTGCGGCAACCGATCCTATCGTTACGTGCCGCTTCCTCTAATATCCTGTATGATCCTCTCAGTTCCCGAATTAGCCTGAGCGATCACGTCTTGTCGGATAACGCCTGTGACCGTGAGTTCCTCTCATATCCTGACTTATTCCTCACTATCCTGTTGTAACCCTGATGTCGTGTCTGCTCTTGTCTGTTCCTCTTCCGTCCTGTCCTCTCCTTTTGGCCCATATACTGTTGTGTTGGTGGGCAGATCGTGCATAGTGGCCATCGGAATTCTGTCCAATAAATGTTTCTGTCCACCGGATACCCTTGCTCCCCTTGCTCACCCTGCTGACGTTGCCAGGTACGATCCATGCATGATCGGTTGCCAGCACCAGCCAGACGGTCCGCTTGAACACTGGCTGCGGTGCTCGACTGTCGGCGTTTTGATGGTGAGCGACCTCTCTCTCTCTCTCCACTACTTTCGTTCCGCACTGCTTCATTGTGCCGATAATATTCCCAACTGCTAGTCAAACCTATGGACTCGGACACGTTCATTGGGACGATAAACACCCCATTGTAAGTCCCACATCGTCGTCATAACACTGCCCATTAACAATTGCGAGTGATAGTCTCACCCATGCCGCATCCGAGCTGCTGCAAGAGACGCGTGAACAGCGGACACTGGCAGGTGCAGGGACTGGGCCTTCTAATCCAGCAATGGCGGAGGCTCTGTCAAGGTGAGTGACTCGGACATCCTTTTCCGAACGCTCAGTTGAGGTTTGACTCAGTAGTTCATCCCCCGATGCTGCACTGACCCACGGTCTGCAAACAGCTGCTCAGGCGCCTCTGTTAGGGTCTCAGTCAGGGTACGTGCTTTCCTTCAGTTCTTGAACAGGGCTCTTAGTCCTGTTTCTCTGCGTCACGTCGTGCTGCAGGTCCCGGCCCGTGACCCCTGCCATCATCCCAATCAATCTTCCTTTGCTTCGCCTCCGTCCTCGACCTCAGCCCCAGGCCACTTCAGGTCGCAGTACGTTCGGAGGTGGTCCCCGCACTCCGCCCATTGTAACCTTCGGGCTGCAATCTCAACCACATTCAACTGATGTGCAGCGCACTCAGAGCGCCCAGTTACTTCCCTTGAATGCCTCGCAACGCGGTCAGGTACGTCCAACTGCGAAGCTCTGCATCACGACAATAACTTACCTGGTGTTTCATATATCAGGCGCTCACTGCGCGCTCACAGCGTTCACAGTTCATGCCTGGTGAGACCATTGCCATCGTATTACTCCCTTGTTCGGTGAGCTCTAGCGTACAATGTAAGATTACTATGGCGTTGACAAGTTGCGTCAGCTTGAAGAGGGTAGGCAGATCTTCAACCGCACCTTCACAATCGCCAATGCGCAGAAGACCGCTTTCTTTGCGGCATTGAAGGACCATGGCTTTGTCTGTACTGTCACAGTAGACGAGCACACACTGATCAAGCCCATCCTCGACGAACATATCCGTCGTCTCTGTGAGCAGCACCGAATCGCGCTACCAGGCTCGCAGGGAAATTGGACACTGCCAGCCATACGTATGATACGTACTCAGTCGGATGGTGACAAGCTTCAGTTCTACAAAGCCAGTGCACAGACTGCGTTGAACGCGTCATCGACGTTGACTTCAATCAAATCAAGGCTTACCAAACTGCGCGGTGTTTTAACGCCCAACCAAGTCGTAGTTCCTATAGGTAAGTCTTGTCGTCCCACGGTCACATAGTTCTCCTTGTCTCTTTGTGCTTGTACTGAAGATACTATGTGCCATAGTTCCTGTCCATGCGGCAATCTCTTCCCCTATCACCGTGTTCGTCACGGACGCATACCCTCAACATGAGCTTCTCCATCGATGCTACCCGGCGCGGTTCTTTGCGCGGCTTGCACACCCCTCCTCACCTAGCCACACGGAGGATCCTGCTGCGCTATGCGAGACCCACAGCTGTCTCTCCAATCCACCGTCTGTCCCCGCTGACTGGATCTCATTACCACCACCACCACCGCCAGCTCCTCTTGCTCTGTCGAATGTTGGCGGCGATCCTAGTCCTGGCCCTGAGTATAGCTCACTTCCCTTTGTCCCTGGGCCATCTGTACGCATGTCAACCACTTCACCCATGTCCGCTGTCCCTCCCTTTGTGGCGCCTCTGAACCTGAACGAGGCTACTTCACGCACTCAGCGCATTATTACGCCTGCTCCTGTCCCTGTGAGTCACATGTCTGTCTACCTCTCACAATGATGTTTCCGCTGACATGAATAGTCACAGGAACGTCGTACAACGTCCACGGAGTCTATAGATCCTTCATTGCTAACTCTCACTGCGTCTAACTCGTTCAACGTGCCCATTGCTCCTGTTCCTCTTCCCATCCCTGCTATACCCAGCGCACTTGAAGCTGAATCCCGACTTCAGCCAGCTCCGGTTCACATTCCCATTCCTAGTCTTGCTCCGTTCCCCCATATTGATGCACTCTATTTTCCAAATGACAACTCACGTGCCCGAGCCACTATGGGTGCTGCAAATGCAATTCCGGCTACTGTCCTTGGGGTCTCTCGTTCGCGCTCATTGAGTATGGAGGAATTTGTGAGTACAAGACCGTTCAATCGCGTATTATGCATGTAGTAAGATTCTTATTCCTTCCTTCCTTCGCGCCAGTCGGCAGCGGCAGCACCACCCTCTCACCGCCAACGACTTCATGACGGTGTCTTATCCCAGAACACTGATCTGACAATGGTACGTGCCAGTGATTGCCTGAGCAGCTATGCATCTTGACATCTCTTTAGCCAGGTAGTTCCGCCACACGTCCCATAGATATAGACTTGCCGATTGGGAACAACATATCAAATTCTGGACGTACCGGCACATATGCGGAAGTTCAAGTTGGGTTACTGCCCACGCCTGCAACCACAATGGTACGTCATTGATTTGGTATTTGGTGCACGTTTGTATCCGGTATCCATGTCTGCAGGACTGACAGACATCATAGAGCTGGAAGGACGAGCTACTTTCGTCGGTCACTACAGATCTATCTATGACCCTCAAGTTTCAGAAAGGTTTCCTACGTGCATCTACTGAAACTTGGCGGAACGACGGTCAGGCCCAACTGCATATCGAGGCCACAAGTCGCCAGTCAAGTGCCCGTGCAGTTCTCACTCACATTGCCTACATGATCCGCCGCAGGGATGGGCAAGTCACGACTCTCGAAGGCTACAGGGAACCGCGTGGAGCCACTGTGCAGACGCCTGAGACCGCTCGTCTCTCATCCTACCTCCACCCATATAGCCGTGGCATCTCTATGTACGTGCTCAGTCTGAGTATGGGATGAAATAAGAGTGAATGCTAATGCAGGGTGTGTATCACCAACAGTCGCCCTTCTATCGGACGTGGGCCTGAGCTGGCTACGTACTTTGAGATCCTGAGATCTCTCAACGACAAGCCCGAGGGCTTGAACACTCCGTTCGAGTATCCTCCGCATGTCACGCAGCCAATGGGTGTCCCACCGTATCTCTGGGAGGAGCGCAATGGGTTTCTTGTGCCCGCATTGGAAGACATCGCATTGGAGGATCATCGTGCGGGCATCTTCATCAGGAAAAAAGAGAATTGCCACATGATACAATGTAGCCTACATAGTGTCCATAGCCCCCTTTGCATACCCCCCTTTATATTGTGCATGATAGCTCTGGCATCTGGCCTCGTAGCACCTCATAACACCCTGTAGCACCACACCTGGGCTCCATAGTACACCATAATTGGGCTGTAGACCATCATAGATACACTGTATTGACAGTATACAGAGATTCCGAATCCACCACTAGATTCAATAATAGGCATCACAGAATTGTGCACATGAAATGTTATTGTTCAATGTTCTGATACACATCACGTCGTACTATGCAATACACTAGGGAAAAGACAACATCGTCGGCACGCGCAACAGCGGGAACAGGTAATACCCCTATCAGCTGGCCTCGACCTCGGAGCTTGCTGTGCAGACATGAGAGCACACCGTAGATGTTTGGTGTGTTCATGCATCGCAGATGAGTGAAGACACAGGGGCCCCACCACTCAACAATACAGAGACAATGAGTACGACACGCGAATGATAGCATGACCACCATGGCGTCCTCGAACACCTGCGCAATCCTCCGCAAGCTGTCATCCACTGTCGGCACACGCGAATGGGCAGCCTGTCAGTGCTTACGAGAGGTCGACGCGGGACACACTACCGCAGGGCAAATTCGAGCTTGTACACGGACCACATCTGCAGGCAAGATAACCAGCATCGAATATTGAGCCATCGACGTCACGGTCCTCGACCAAGCGCGCACGGACTACGCGGGTCAAATCACATCTGGCACCCATCATCAGCAACAACGGTCACACACAAGACACGACTACATACCGTCACCCGTGTCACTTCCGAACACGAGTATCTCCGAAAGAAGAACTGTGTATCAGTAATGCCAGGCGTACGAAAATGAACAGCGCTGAAGACCGTGACGTACCGCAGTCCACGTATTCGCGGACATCGGACACGCGTTGCAATCACAACAGTCCGCGGACGAGGCACATCAGCACCTGGTTAGCATACACAGTCAGGCGGAGGGTGTGATGTACGTACCGGACCACGGGAAGGGCGTGATGACTCGAGATCCAGACGTGGAATAGGGCGTGCGTCAGCGAGTGTAGGCGTCCATGGACGCAGGCACGTACGCACCTTACTGACAGAAGCATACTCAGCGAGGACGGACACGCAGAGATGCGCGTCGTGACCAGCGCCCCGTACACCGATGCGCACCGAGCAACTTGTGAGGCGTCCCTCTCCTCCCGTCTCCTTCCCACTCTGCGGCCGGTACGTGTCTTCTCACACACGCGCCCCCCCAGTCTGAGCACGGTCGTAGCAGATAGCTGTCGCGTTTGCGACGGCTCTCGTGTGCAAGTACTGCCATCAGTAGTACGAGCCAACTGTCGCTCCCATCAACGCGCCGCCCCGCAACCGCGAATGACGCAGCCGTCGACTGGCCTGCGCGTCCCGTGTACGTGCTGCGTGCTTGTCGTCCACTCTTGCTGATGGCTGCTCCTAGCAAACAGATGCCGCACTCACCGCCGTCCGTCCCCATGGTGAGCTGTCTGTTCCCGATGCCGTTCTTCACCTACTCACACCGCGTGCGGCCGTCTACAGGATCCCGCTAGCCCGGTCGCGATCTCATGTGATCCAGCAAGGAATGGAGCCGTCGGGTTTGGGGCGATGTGGAGGCTGAGAGAAGGGGAAGGTGACTCGTCAGAGGACGACGCCGTCGCAAGACTCATCGCGCGAGCTGGCGCTAAAATCCCAAGCGCCGGTTCCGGAGTTTCCCGCGCATACGCGGCTCGGGCTAGCGCCGGACGCGCTGCTCGCAATCGCGACTCTGCTAAGTCGAACTTAGTACGCTTGCTCGACCGCGCCTCATACACGTCTTCGCCAACTTCCGCGTCCGCAAGCATCTTCTGAAGTGTCCCGAGGGACAGCGAACACTCTGGGAGCTCTGCCTCTGCCTTCCCTTGACGTCGCATACCCTCGGTGACTTGCAACTCGGCCAAGCGATTTTGGACTCACCAGTCACGACGCACGCGCAAGTCCAGTCGATACATTTACAGGGTGATCAAACCACCATGATCACGACGAGCGCGGGATGAGGAGGAGAGCGCGAAGCGAAGGACACGGATGGCAAGGTGCAGGACGAGGTGGGGGGACGCCATGGCAAGGGCAAGCCGGGCGGAAGGTACGCCCTTGTCTATTGCTCATTTAATTGCCACTGCCCCCGCAAGCAGGTACCTCGTAGAACGGTCAGGAATCTGTCATAGTACCCACTTGGCCACACCCGCTCGCCTGGTCATCCGCTCTCCCTTGACCGCCTGGCCGCTCGGCCAGTATCTGGTCACTCGTTCGCTGGTGTCTGCTCGCTCGCTCGGCGCATGTACCATCTGCCTACTAGTAGCTCGTCTATCCCTTTTCCCACCCATCCGGACGTCCGCTTTCCTGCCGCATCGTTTCCCCGCCCGCCCGTCTCTTAGTTCGCTCATCCAGTACTGAATTGTCTCCCGCTTCAAGTTGCTCGCTCGCTTGTCCACTCGCGCGCCCATTTGCCCGTTCACTAGCTCTCCCGTTCACTCGCTCGCTCACTTGGTCACGCGTCCTCTCGCCCGCGCGTCCATCCGCTCGTTCGTCCAGTTACTTGCGCGCCCACTTATTCGCGCGTCCACCGACTTGCCTGCTCACCTGACAAGATGGACGAAGAAGTGCCGACGTCGTGGCAGACTCGCAAACACACCAGCAAGCATAAGATACGCCACAGTGTGCGTTGCCAGTGCTGCAATGAGGGCTACGAGGACATATCATCATCAGGGTTTGCTGATGTCGATGGCCCGCTCGACGACGCCCCGCACACTTCCCCTGATTCCAACCTGGATGGCGACGTGGATGTCGAGGGAGAAGTGGGCGGATGGTGATGCGGGACAGGAGCAAAACCAGGGCACCTATCTGTATGCGATTTGAGAGTGCCGTGGTCTATATAGTTCATGTTAATGCATTGAGAAGCCTCGTTAACCAGGACTTGTGTTGGTGTGCTGCCGTGTGAATCGTGATACAACATTAGCCTACAGTCTTCGTATGTTTGTAGCGAGATTGGTGTCAATAGACTGAATTGTTATATATGTTCATTGCGATCATAGCAAGCATTGTACGAGTTGTGTGACATCACTGACATGGCTACAAACCAGTCAATTGTATTGCTATACTGTTACCTAATCAGTCCATACAGAGCTATGGGCGACTACCAGCCGTGGCAATCTGGCTACAGCGTGCTATGTCGGCTATGTTGGCTACATAGCCTTTGGTGAGTGCAATGGGCTGAAAACTTTTTTCCTGATGTTGGCCGCACAGGGTATGGTTGCTGCCTTAGTGATGGGTCATTTTCTCCTTGCGCCGAGGCCCATTCATCCAATTCTGATCCTCTGGGCAATCTTGGGCGACAGTGCCTTGACGATGTCGTTTGAACTCCTTTCACAGCTTGACCCGATCGCTGCCAAGGAACTACGTCCGTGGTACGCGCTTGATTCAGACGAACCCCTTCCCTCGCACGAGGGCCACACTTCTCATCCGGTATGGGCACTTCTCATGGCACACTTTGGTGTTCAGGTGCGCACACTTCAGATGTTCGGTCTTGTCTTGCTGCTGACAAATGTGTTTTTACTAGCCTCTTCGTATTGGCTTCACTCCTGATGCTCCCAGTCGTCTCCAATACACACAGCAGCTTATCTGTGCTGCTGTACTGGGCAAGACGACGACCAATGTGCCAGCATTGCAGGCCTTTCGTCAAGGTTTCAACGTGCAGTTTAGTATCGAACATGACGACGATTCCCGGATGGCGGCCTTCGAGCGCTTCTCCGACGTGCGTTTCTCTCACAGCTATATTCATGCCATGCTCTGACTCTGTACTCTCATCCTCAGCTATTCTCCAAGCCGGTGCCGACCTTTGGCGCTCGCATGGTCACATTGAACCCGATCGTGGTCATTCGCACTCTGTATGACCGTACAGTGAGAAGCCCTCAAGATGTTGTTCGCCTTATCAAGTACGAACTGCCTGAGGATTCCATCACGGCCGCCGAGGATCCTGTGGTGCGCGAGATGCAGCGTCTGTACGAGGTGATGTTTCGGGTCCGCCTGTATCGCTGGCTGCGAGGAGTAGGACCTCCTGACCACCATATACTCCGTACTGCGGTACAGCTCGAAGGAACAAATCATGGGGATCCCACGACGCTGCGAGCCCGTCTACTGTTGAAGGCGGTTCGCGAGAGTGAGGACCTCCCTATTGACCCTGAATGGCGACTCAAAGTACGTCAGTTAGCTGTGACGAACTTGGCTTTGACTAACATTTATTGCCAGATCCAGTTGCACCATGCCCATGATAGCAGAGATGACGCTGTTCTGGATCTCCACACGTGCGTTGGGTTCTGTGTTGTGAAGTTCACCTGGTGGCTTTGCAATATGCTACTTGAGGACTTGGATTTTGACAATCCGTCTTCTGTCACCCTCTTTGACTGCTGGATTTACGAGCAGGTTCTCTACAATCAAAATGTCCATACGACGGCCTAGTCTGGCGATTTACCAAGTCCGATTTCGCAGTACTGTACATTGTCATACATGGTTGGCTTTGAATATATATAAAATTAATCGATCTGCGGTGTGTGTGTGTGAGTCAAAGAGCAACACGCCTGCTATGCAACCAGAACATTAACATATCTACACCGTTCCGAGTAAGATGCGATGCAGTGCGGTGTGCGGTGCGATCAGACGAGACGGGCACAGTGAGCGCATAAGCGCCCGTTCGTAAACACTGCTTCTGCTTCAGCTCGTCCGAATAAGGGCTCGGACAGGTTGAAATATGTTCTTTGCATCGAATTTATGGAGAATAAAGAATGAAACTGCGTTTTGAATCGTCGCTGCACCGAGGTTTTGCTTCCGAAGGGGTTGCAACGGAGCGCCACAGGACCCGCGCTTGTTCGATCGACCGTTCGGGAACGGCGTGAACTCAGCCCACTTCAACGTTACTGTGACTCATCTCACTCTTACTCTCATCTCACTCCGTTCTTGGCCTCTTCGTTCACTCCACTGTGCTGGCCGCCTCAGGGGACAACTCAGCCACCACAATCTGAGGTGCGTTCGGCCAACAGCGTTGGATGATTCTTGACTGATGTCTCGACCTCGACCTCGACCTGCAGTACATCGCTGTCGGACTCGACTACCGTCCCGGGCCCCATGACGCATGACCGGGCGATGTGAAATGTACGTACAACATTGAATACACCGTCCTGTACTCTGCTCATCACCGGCAGCGCCGTCTCGCCGGACCTACCTCCCGCCGTGCAACGTCCCGTACTCCCCACTCATCTCACGGAGCACCGCGCGCAGAGATTGGCAACCGGCTCGTGGATGACCACACGTTGGCCGTTGGACGTGTCTCACTCTACAGTGACTCACTTATCTCCATCGCTCCGCTCTCTGCATTGCCCGTCCATGCCGTCCTGCTAATGTGACGAACGTTCGCGCCTCCGAGCCAACATGTTCCCTATGGTCAGCACTGCCACCGCACCCCCTGTCTCGAGAGAAAGTACTCACCTACCTCTTCATTGCGCACTGGACGAACCTGTTGTCTGCAAGTGATGTGCCGGTTAGTACCTCGCTATCTCACAGCTAGGCAGAACTGCAAGGCACTGATGCTCACCCCAGCCCAAATACAGGCGTGCCGAACGAGGCACCGCAAGCAACACGTTGGTCAGTACTTCTCCGTCTCACAGTCACGCAGCAAACGACTCGCCACTCACTGATGCTCTGAAGAGCCCAGAGATATGCATTATACCTCGCTCACGGGGCTCGTGGGCGCGAATGACCGCGGCTACGTCGCAATCTGACGCCCGGCTCGTGCGTCGAGGACAGAGGCGAGCCACATCCATCGCGGCCCCGTTGCCGGGACTAGGTCACGATGGGATCGTCCCTGCACACCCAGCTCGAATACTCGTCTGACGAGGTCGTTTCCCACCATTTCTCACCGTGATGCACTAGCGGCGCGCTGACGCAGCCGACGAACGCACGGAGGTGACAGGAGCAGGTGGCGGTCAAGGGTGAGCGGAGGCGAGCAAGGGTTAGCGGAGGCGGGGACGTGCGAGCGCGGTTGCCCACAGGTGAGTGTAAACCCGCGCGATAGCGAGGTCACTAACTGCAGGCCCAGGACGCGGCGACGTGCACCACCACAACGCCACTACGACCGCGAGCACGCAGGGCCAATGCCCTGCGCGCAGACGCTGCCGAACGAGCGATGCAGGGATGACGAAGAAGAGGTGCGAGTGGGCCGGCGGGCGTGAGCGGGCAGGCGATGAGCAAGCAGATGCACGGGGAACTGACGAGAACCCGGGCGGGGAGCGGGCAGGCGAGCGAAGGAACTGGGAGGAGGAAAGCGGGTGCGCGCTCGGGCGAGCGAGCGAGCGGGCGGGCGGGCGAGAGCGCGAACAGAGGGCCCAGAGCACAGTCGAGTCCCACACCCGCAGGGACAACGGCGGGCGAGCGAGCAGGCGGGGCACCACGAGGGCATAGGGCCAGTGTGGTGCAAATGAAGGCCGTGAGTATGAGAGGACGTGCCGATCGCGGGGATGGCCAAGTGCCAAGTGCGAGCGAGCGAGGAGGACGGGTAGGATAGTCATATATTGAATGTCTCACTTGAGAGTGAGACCCGTATGTCGTTTGAGAATGGAAAAGTTACACACCGCAGAACCCTTGGAGGGGCCTCACGTAGCACGTCAGTATCCGTCAGTATCTGAGAGCGCGTTTGTGTGACTGAGGCTATACATGGAGCGTATTCCACTGAGCGTCATTGCCAGCCGGAGACGGTGCGCGGACCAGCGATTCGGTGTGTAGGCGCCCATTCGTACGCAGAGCTGCCACTTCAGCTCGTCCGAATAAGACATCGGACCTGGATATATGTGTTCAGCACACTGAATACGCAGTGAATCAGACGAAAATCTGCGTTTTGAATCGTCAACGCAGCCAGGGTTTGGTTCCGAACTGGCTGCAGTGAGCACTGAGCGCGGTGCCACATCAGCCACATGTTCGGCGCTTGTGCGATCAACGGGTCGGCGGTTGACCACCTCCTCAAAATCTGCCACACTCTTACTGGGCTCACTCTTACTCGCAGAATCCCGCTACAACTCGTATCGCATGTACCAGGCCTTGGTTCTTCTGAGCGTGGCGGGAGGCGGGACGGACGCGGCTGTTTTGGGACAGGACACTGGGTGAGCCTGTACGATTGAAGACGGCCGGGCTGATGGAAACTGTGTCGCAGTCATCGCCAAGTGCCTTCGCCGGTGCCGCACGATTCCGTGGCGGAGGACGAGCCATTCATGCCACCAGATGTGGAGGTAGTGACAGGCCCAGCCCTTGGTTCAAACTGGAGGAACTGCGAGATCCAGGACATAGAGTAAGTCACCGGCTCCTCTTGAGCGGATTCCACTTGACTGGATATTCAGCCTCCTCGATTTCAGACAACAATTTTGGATTCAGCACCCTCGGAGGGTGTGCAGCCCTGCCTTGTTACATGGTCGGCGACAACCCAACCACCACAACCTGAGGTGTGTCCCCTTGGATGTTCCTTGTCTTATGTCTCGGCACCCACACCTGCAGTACATCGCTGTCGACTCGACGATCCTCTCTCTTAGCGCATGGCGGACACGCACGATAGGTCGGGCGATCTGAAGTGATCCGGATGTATGTACTGTCCTATACTCTACTCATACTCTACTCATGACCGGCGGACAGCTGCACGCTGTGCATGCACTTGTACGCTACCTCGCAACGTCCGTACTCCGTTCGCGAGGGCGCCCAAGGCATCTCAAGCGCATCTCAAGGTGCACCGCGTGGAGCGTGTAAGGATTGGCAACCAACTCGTGCATGATCACACGTCGGCCGTTGGACGTCTCTCCATCACTCCGCTCTCTACCCTCACCTCTGCATGCCCGTCCCCAGCGAATGTGCCGAACGCTCGCGCCCCAAGCCAACAGGGCAGTGGACAACGGAAGATTTGCGAGGCCTACGGAGAGCACTTGCCACCGCCCACCCGGTCTCGAGAGATCAGATCCCTACGTCTTCATATCTTCATCGCGCGCCGGACCGGACGCACGGCGTGCCTGTCGTCCGCAAGTGACGTGGTGTGCCGGTTAGTACCTCGCAATCTCAGAACTGCAAATCACTGATGCTCGCCCAGCCCAATTACAGGCGTGCTGAATGAGGAATTTGAACTGCAAGGAACTCGTTGGTCAGTACTGAGTTCTCCATCTCAGTCAGGCAGCAAATGACTCACCACTCACCGATGCTCGTGAACGACCCAGAAGTACGCATTATACCTTGCGGACGTGCGCATGGGGGCGAATGACCACGACGATGTCGCAATCTTACGCCCCCCTCATGGCTCATGGGTCGAGCGCAGAGGCGCCACTGGGTCGCGATGGGATCGTCCCTGCATACCTAGCTCGAAGGCGTGCCTGGCGAGGTCGATTCTCACTGTTGGTCACTGTTTCTCACCGTGACGCAGTGTCCTCAGGCTCTTTTACAACGCCCACCACAAGCATGGACTGCGACCACGACTGCGATTCGCAGCAGTGACACGCCACACCAGCCACAGGTCCACCGCTGGCGCGATCAACCGGTCGCGGTTAGCCACTGCCTCCTCTCACTCACACCATTTCTACCTCACTGTTCAGTACTCTTCTCACTCATACTCGCAGAATCCCGCACGACATGCCCTGCGACGGCGATCTGCAGTATCCTTCCTCTACGGCGTGCAAGTCGGCGATGCCCTTGATGCGTCTACCTCGTCGGCGTCGTCCTCGTTCTACACAACCCAATTCCATGTTACCGTTCTTCTCGGCGGGACGGATGCACGGGGGCGCGACGAGGCGAGGACTTTTGGACAGGACACTGGGTGAGCTTGGGCATTGAAGTGACACGGCCGCGTCGGGCTGATGGAAACCGTCACAGCTATTGCCAAGTGCCTTCGCCGGGGCCGCGTGCTTTCGTGTCGGAGGACGAGCCATTCACGCCAAGAGATGTGGAGTTGGTGACTCGCCCGCCCCTTGGTTCAGAATCGAAGAAGACCGAGATGCATGAGGTCGTAAGTCGCCAAGTTCTCCTGAGTGGATTTGACTGGACTGGACATCCAGTGTCCTCGCCTTCACAAGAGGATCCGGCACGCCCTACTCCTACGATCACCCGCCTTCGGCCGGACGCAACACCTCAGTCACGCCACCAGTCACGCCTGCACTCCCGCCATGCATCCATCCGTCACGCTGGTACACCGCACCCGTATCCGTATCTCCGCCTCAGCGCACACCTCCGCTTCGCGCATATTCCCGCCGCCCGCGCCCTAGTTCGCCACGCAGGGCACGCCGTACGCCCTACATCCCGCGGCTCCGGTTCTTTGTGAGCGCGCGCGAGGTCGCGGCCGCACGCCCCAAAGCTCCAGCCATTCCACGCAGCCGGGTGGGAGCATGGCCGCGTCGAACACCTCGTCGGGCCGGATGTGTCTTTCCGTTAGCATGGCGCCGTCACTGGGATCAGAAGTGAGTAGGTTTCGCGAGGGCTCGCAGGGGAATGGAATCTGACTCTGGGTGTCATCGTGTACGATCAGCTGCGCTGCGCGTCGCTGACAGCGACATCCTGCTGCTCACCCTCCCCTCCTCAGGATCCTCCATCCTCCTCCTCTCCTTTCTCGTCAGCATCAGTGGGACTACCCTCAACTCACGCCCCATCCTCGCAGTGTACGCCCTCCATGTCTGGCCCGCCGGGCCGCCTTCTCGCTCGACCGCAAGCTCAAGCATGCGGGTGGTTCGTCGTGGTCCAGCACGATAGACTGTCAGCGCGCTGGGTGATTGCCCAGCACGCACACAATGCCGACGAACGCCCGCCCAAGCTCGCGGGAAGGCCGACGGGTAGACGGGCGGTCGCACGAGTGGATGGGCAAGACGAGGAGTCAGTGGACAGGCGGACGGGAAAGCAGGGAGACGGATGAGCTCGCGGATGGGTGGGCAGGAAAGCGGACACACGAGCGGGAGAGTGGGTGCGCAAACGGCGACGACACGCACAGCAAGCTGGAGCGCCCAGCGCGCTGATATGGCTGAAGAACGGGCCGTCCGCTGGGAGGAGCAAAGGCGGCGGTGGCTGGATGGCCTTACGTGCAGACGCCGTCACGCAGCCGACGAACGAGCTGCAGGTGCAGGGACGGGAGAGATGCGGGCGAGCGAACGGGCTGGGGTGGTGTACGGGCGGACGAACGCGAAAGCAGGCGGAAGGGCGAGCGGGTGAGCAGGCCGGCCGAACAGCTGACCAAGCGAGCGGTCTAATGGGCTGGCAAGCGGACGAGCAGCGGGTGGGCTGTCGGGCACAGCCGACAAACGGCGAGTTCAGGATCAGGATCAGGACGCGAGACGGCAATGACAGTGGGCGCAACACACACGCCGACTACTAGCACCCAGGGCCAGGAGCGGTGTTGGACAAGTGCGAAGACGACGGGGTGTGCTTGAGTCAGGCTTAAGTCAGGCGTACTGCGTACAGTGTACGATAGATATATATCTATATATATCAGGCTAACACTTGAGAGTCATACATTATCTGAGAGAGCAAACGAGTGACTCAGGCAATACATGCCACATTTTCTACTGAGTGTCGCGGACCAGCAATTCCGTGTGTAGGCGCCCGTGCGTAAAGAGAGCCACGATTTCAGCTCGTCCGAATAAGACATCGGACCTGGATAGATCTGTTCAGTATACTCAATACGCAGAGACTCAGATGAAAAAGTGCGTTTTGAACCGTCCATGCAGCAAAGGTTTGCTTCCGAACTGACTGCAGTGAGCGCGCCACATCAGCCACACGTCCGGCGCTTGGGCGATCAACGGGTCGACTGTTGCCCACTGAATCCTCTCAATCAGACCATTTGTACGACACTCTTCCTCGTCTCTTGCTCGCACAATCCTGCGCGACATGGACTACAATGGCGATCTGCAGTCTCCTGCTTCTACGGCGCATGCCATTCGGCGATGCGCTTGATGCGTCCACCTCGTCCTCGTTCTACAACCCGACTCGCAGGCTTCTCAGCGCGGAGGGAGGAGATGCTCCGGTGCGTGGGACCGCGGCAAACGAGGCTGCTGTGGGCCATGATCGTGGTAGCCATGGTCGTGTTAGCGTATGCATACTGTCACTCGCTAAGTCCCACTGAGCGGAATCTACTTGACTGTATATTCACTGACCTTGCTCTCAGACAGCCACTGTTCGATTGCGCACCGCTCGGGGCGTGCAGCCCTTCCTTCGTTCTTACGACGCCCTCGATCTCCTGCAGAGTAGTGCCGAGACTGGAGAACTAGGTCCTCTCTGACGATGTTCGCGTTGGCTTCGGGCCGGGTGGTCGCATCCAGAGGGGACCGAACACTCCGTCTCGCTCATCCGTCTTCGCCAACCGCACACGCGCCTCTACTGGTACTCTCTTCCAGTCCAGCAAGCTAGGTGGTGGACATATCGAAGAGGCGTCGAGGCGGTGCCCGGACGCCGGCGGCCATGTGAGGATGTGGCAGCTGCGAATCGCGTTCGGCCCCCAGCTTCAACAAGAACGGTCTCTCGGCGGGACGACTTACCGGTGCGACCCATTGGCGGTCACGGCAGTACACATACTTCGCAGCCGCACCGATACCTGTTCACCATCTCTCACCCGACGTGCTGCGCCTCATGGATGTCGGGGTCTAGGCCCCTGTACATTGTGGAGGCGGTCTACCTCCTCGCGAGCCTCGAGAGCAGCACGAGCTTCCGCCTCTCCAAGCACAAAAGAGGTTCCAGCTATTCCTCGGAGTCGTGTGGGAGTCGCAGTGTACGCCCTCCTTCTCTGGCCCGCGTCGTATCCATCGTAGGCGGCACGCGATCTCGCTCGAGCTCAGGCTCAACCTCGCATGGAACCATTGGTACACGCCGCTCAGGCGGCTCATCTTCCAGGACTGCCTGCACCCTTGTGGGTATTACGACATGCTGCACGAAGCGACTGCGAGCAACCACTTTTAATCCTGAATACCGCTGGCAGGCTGCAAGGGGCATGCTTCTACGAGGCGTATCCTGTCTCCCACACTTGGTCCGCCACGATGATGCTACGATCCTCGCTGTAGCTCGAAGAGCACCCATGATTCGGGCTGAGCTTCGCAATCGGCTCGCGTACGGACACGGACACGACTCACAACCTTCCGCCCTGGACGACTCTGGCTTGATTGACTCACCCGCCCCCGACGCGCAGAGGCGGATGACGCAGCCGGTGGAGGAGGCTGATCTGCGCATCTCCCATGATCAGTGCCGCGCCCATGGGAGTCAAGCTGCACAATGTTCTCTGCTGCCCTACCAGGAGCGCGCGATTATTATCCATTGACTTACGCTCCCGCTCCGGCGGCCATCACGCAGGACAGCTGCACCTCCCTCCTATCGCGACGGTCTACGCGCATGCCCGCCCGCACCGCCCAACTCTTCATACCTCCTTCACCCGTTGCTATCTTAGGTTAAGGCTGGCGCGTCGTGCGTCGAGGACAGAGGCGCACACGCGACGTCCATGACAGCCCGTTGGCGCCACTGGGTCCTGTGTTCAGTCGCGGACAGCAGGACAGTGAGCACGTGGCTGCTTGCCCGGCCGAATCGCTGAAGTCGATTGGGGCTTGTGGACTCAGGCTTACACCCTGATGTTGCTGGTCTGTTCGGTGAGTCCACTTGTCCCGCGAGGGTGCGCAGTCCAAGAAGTGCATGTTCAGCAGCTGGTGAAGAATGACCCCTGCTACTTCCTGAGCTCGTCAAAGAACAGGCCGCCTACCGCGCCGGGCACGAGCGGCCATACGAGGCTCCTCCGCCAATCCATTTGATGGCACCCGCAAAGAGCCCCGATCTGAGCTGAACCTCTCACCGACTCGTGTTTGTCCGCTCGCCCTGCCCCGTCCCACGGCGACCGCCCCGAGATACAGCCCGAGTGCGCTCAGGGGCCAATCATTCTTCTCGCCGGCCCTGCCTGCTAGGTGTCCTCCCTTGTATTTCGTGTCCTCCCTCGTCTCTCGCAGCACCGCACCCCACGGACGAAGGCCCGCCCTCGCACATGCATGCTCACAATGGTCCGCGACGGTGGGCAGGCTCATGAAACCCGATTAAGTAGATGAGATGTATCGTCTTCGGAATGGACAGACAGGTGCAAATTATATGAGACCGAGATGTTCGGCGCACGGACTGGCTGGATAAGCGCGCGTCCGTTAACTCGACCACGACTTCAGCTCATCCGAATAAAGGCTCGGACAGGCAGAAATATGTTCTTTGCCTCTATTCCATGGATAACCAAAGAAGAAACTGCGTTTTGAATCATTGACACTGCGAGGATTTGCTCCCGAACCCTCTGTAGCGAGCGCTCTCCGGCGCTTGTTGGACCGACGCGTCGCGTCGCGTCGGGTTCATCTGGCGTGTCGCGCTTTAGTCGTGTTGGCTTTCCACTCTCGTGTGTCTCTGTCTGTCTGTCTGTCTGTCTGTCATACGAACACTCCGACTCATCTATCTTCGCCGCGTCCATCATGCCCGAGATTCAAGAGTGTTATTGCAGCGGGCTCCAATTGCAAACACTCTTCGCAAAGCACTCCGAGTGCAGATGGCGCCTGCAGGCCCTCCACTGCGACGCGACCGTACACGATGAAAAGCCACAGGGCTCGCGACAAGAAGCTGGACTGGTGTTTCAGCTCACGCCCAGCTCGTGTGATGTGCGGGGCAACACCAGTCATCAAACGCCCTTGTGGCCGCCCTTCCTCGCTGCGGGCACACCTTCTGCAGGCTTCTGCCTACAGGACCTTGTGCTCACTGCAGTAAAATATACTAGCAGGAGTGTAGTCCTCAACCTCGGTCGTTGTTGGTTTCAGGTAAGCGTCTGATCTCACGACGTTCTGTGTCATTGACTTGCCTTGCACAGCTCCAATATTTGACGCATACCTCCATCCAAATGTACGACCGTGAGCAGTGGGCCGTGCTCAAGGAGACATCGTACATCGGGAAGGGAACATTGAAGGTACGTCTCACTGCCTAATCTCACACCTCTTCACCTTCTGACGCCTCGTAAACACAGATGCGGTCCTTTCGCATCGGGCTCGCTCTTGAGTTCGACACTTTTGTCATAGCATTTGTGTCGCATGACCAAGTCTTTCAGGTGAGTAATGCCCGGGAATACATTAACCTCAAGCCCAACTGATGCGGTTGACCCCCAGGTGACCTGGGCATTAATGGAGGCCAGTCTCGCGCACCACGATCTACAAGTCCTTGACGAGTGGGACGCTGTTCTGGCAGGCATAGCAACATGGTCCAAGCGTTATTACGAAGGCAAGAGAAAGGGCAAGCGGCTTGCGAGGGACGTGTTACGCTTTACGCCAGACGTGTGGTTTGGCATAGGAGTCTATACTGCATGCGAGATCCTCTTCGTTGCTGGTGAGTGGTCATCCACACTTATGTGCTTAACAGTCTGAAGTGAACTCCATTCCAGGTATACCCCCATTCCTTCGAGAGCAAGAAGTCTTTGGCAACCCGTCCCGCCTCGCGCGGGTCGCACTCGCTTATCATGCCTTTGTGCATAAGGCTGTACACAAGACATGGCGAGTAATTCCACCCATATTTTACTCAGTCTCATCATGATCCACAATCTCATGTCAGGCCAAATCGGGTCAAACCTTGCGTGCGCAACAATATCGTGGCGCCAACTACTGAAGAACGACTGCAGATGGGCCGGAGTATGTACATCTGGGCCAAGGACACAGTGGGCGTCTCACAGCGCCTTTTGGACCGAATTCAGAACTATAACTACGAGGTGAGCTTCTCTTTCCTCTCCTCACGATGGTTAGCAGATGCCTGAGCCCTTGCATGCCGCAGGGTTCCATATCATGTTCTGACGATCCATTTGAACCCACGCTGATCCGAGTGGCGCTCGAGCGTTCCCCTCATCTTGGGCGGGTAGTCTTTGGAGAGACTTGGGGTGAGATCGCCCCTGATGATCTCAGAAGTCCATCAACGAAACCGGACCCCTTGACGGAGTACGTCACTAAGAAGAGTACGCGACCATGCTTTTGGATTGCGGTGTTCTCTCATGGGTATGTTTTTGCAGAGCTACTCGATTGTCATGATACGCGCATCCATATAGCCAACACAAGTCCATTATTCTTACCTACCAATGACTTATCACGTCGCCGTGCACCCACACACTACTACTCGGTGACGGGTAAGGCTGTGTGGTCTATTGTCCCAGCACCGGATGAAGTGTACGCCATTTCGCTCAGTCTCTCGTATGCCTATTGACCACCCAAATGAGTAGGCAATTCCAGTTGAAGGAGGACGAGAAGGCCACCAAGACCTTGCGCTACATCGTAACAAACACCGCCCAAGTCGGGGTTGGGCCACTGGAGTACTGCGCCAATGCGCAAGTTGTCCGCAAGTCATTGAAGGGACGGGCTCGCAAATTTGGGTCGCGCTTCTAGTGAGTGTATATTCCGTCATGGCCTCCTCTTTCTACTATAACCTGCGCAGTGTCCTCCCTTCACTTGGCGCGATTCCAAGCAATGTGCCCCTCTCGATCGGGCGCCGCCACCTTGCGAGCTTCGATCACAAGAAGAGCCTCACGCTGGAAGCCAGGGAGAAACGCAACGAGGCGGCTCGAGCGGCCGCAAAGAAGGCATTGGCCAAGAAAAAGCGCAAGAGCAATGCCATGAAGATGCTGTCGGGTAACGCCCCTCTGACTACGCAGCAACGCAATGCTAGGGCGGCCCAAAGGAACATCTTCGACTCGCAATCACATATTGTGGGCCGCGGCGGAGACCACGATTTACAGAAAGGTCTGTGGAGCATGCATCAATCAATTTCTACGAGCATCTTACTGAATTTGAATCAATGAATGCTCGCGCCCATTTTAGAAGACAGTGGTGTTGCCTCTGATGTAGAAGAAGCCAATCCAACTGCAAGTAAGCACACGACGCCTGCTACACCACCGCCCGACACTCGCAAGCGTCGAGTCCGCGCAGATCACGAGGTGGTGGCCAACCAGAACGTGGTCCAAGAGTTGCCGAGGGCTCGTCGCACGCGGGGGGTTGAGCTTAACATGTCAGAGCATCCGAACGACGCAGCGATAGGGATACACAAGCGAAAACGTCGCTGCCACAGTTCGGTATCAGTACCTACCAGTAGCTAGAGTAACCCTAATGGACGAGATATCCCTCACACAGCCTATGTTTTGTCGACATCTCTTACCTCGCGGCCACTAGTACTATCCACCTTCAACATGATCAGGAGTGCGGGGCGCGGCTAGGAGCTGGTTGGATGGTGACCAGAAATGCGAACTGGAAGTTCATTTTGACAATGTATATACCAGGAGTAGGGATTGGCTCGTACCCACCCTGGCGTACGTCTTTGAGTCAATCTGCTGTGTGTAAGGCCATGGAGTGCCAGCGTTGGATTTTTGGCGCAGGTCCAAGGTCGGCGGTAACCCTATTCTTGGGTTCATCATGCCAGTGGCAGGCGACCGCGCGCCGTCCTCTTCCTCCTATTACTACCCCACAACATGCTACGAACCCTGGCAGTCTAGCGACTTCCTGCAGTAATGCATGCCTTGGCCTATGGCCAGGTGACCGCATTCACAGGGGGTCAACGGACACTCTGCCACGAACCGTCTACCCAGCCTGAGCCTCTGCGCGGCTCCTCCCACAACACTCGTTATTCGTGCCCCGCAGCTCTCCGAACCCATCCGGCTTGAACATCATTCCCCAATCACTTCCCCTCCACACCTTGGGACAACCAGGTGCGGTGGAACCTTCTATGATCTCGCCGATAAGTTATAACTACTAGCAGATCCCGGCGACTTCTCTTTCTCTGACTGCGACCTCTCACTTCTTGGCGGGAACCGACACAGGCACCCGCATGGATTGAGGGCCCCGAGCTGCAGCGGCTCATCGATGTCGGGGTACCGCTGATTGTCCAGGTGCCGAACGTCCCGCAGGACCGAAGCCCCTGCACGTCGCTGCAGCCTCTTCCTCGCAACCCTCGAGAGCAGTGGCGCGTTCCCACCGCACGTACTCTCTGACTAGCCCACGAGCCTCTGCCACGCGAGTAGGTCGCCAAGTCGGGCTTCCACTTCCACGCAGTGCGGTTCCGCCTCGGCAGGGCCCATGAGAGCTTCAAGTGCAAGGATTGAGGATCGAGGAGGGGCATAGAGCTGCATATATGTGAGTGCCGGATGTTTTGCAGCGTTGCACGATGCTGACACCCGCTAGTGAATGGGCATAGCCAACCTTATGGGCCCGCTGAGCCGGGCTCGCTGCAGAGTAGTGCCGAGACCGGAGAACTAGGTCCTTTGTGGACACAAATTGGCTCCAGGCTAACTGGCTATGCAGGTCGCCGAGTTCTCGTCTGCTCATTTCCCATCAGCACTCGATGTCCCCACTATCGGCTTCATCCCCAGCAGAGTAGTACAGGGATAGGAGAAGTAGGTCCTCTCTGTCGATGTTCGCGTTGGCCTCGGGCCGGGTGGTCGCATCCAGAGGGGACCGAACGCTCTATGTCGCAATTCTTGACCTCTCCAACTTGCTCATACCTCCTCGCCAACCGCGCACGCGCCTCTACTACTACCGCCTTCCAGTCCAGCAAGCCAGATGACCGGATGTAGCAGGTCGTGTCGGGCTCGTACTTCATCTGCGGAGCGCCGTTCGAGATCGTCACCGCAGCGACGTTCCTGTACCAGCTCCTCGGCCTGTCCGTGTTCACGGCCTCCGTCGTGCTCATTGTCGGCTGGCCACTGAACAGCCTCGTGAGCAAGCGCGCGGTGCGCATCCCCAAGGGCGCGTCGAGCGCGCGCGACAAGCGCGTGGGCGTGCTCAACGAGCTCATCGGCGCGATGAAGTTCACCAAATTCTTCGCGGGGGAGGAGCTGTGCATCAAGCACACAATGGATGCCCGCGAGGTCGAAATGAAGTAGATGGTCAAGGCGCGCCTCAACTCGGTCATGTTCTCGCTTATATGGATATGTGCGCCAATCTTGGTGTGGGTCACACCCTTCTTGGTCTATGTCGTGCAGGGGCACGAGTTGACTGTCGACACTGCGTTCACGGTGAGCGCTCCGTCTCAGTGCGGGATCTCGGGGAGCTGACGGGATGCTAGGCTATTGCACTCTTCAACATGGTTCGGTAAGAGTTATGTGTTTCGCTTTAGCTCTGTACAGCTGACCCTCGCAGTTCCAGCGTTCCGCTGAACGTCATCCCGGCGTGGATAGTTCAGATTCTTCAAGCTGGTGTAGCCATGGACCGCATCGCGACCTACCTCGACGAGGAGGAAGTCGACGAGCAAGTCTCGACTCTCAAGAAGGGCCGCTGGCAGCCGCCCGCAGCGGAGGAAGACGAGGGCCTCGGCCTCCTGTACGCCTCCTTCAAGTGGAACGAGGTCGAGGAGAAGAAGAAGGACGACCGAGGACAGCGAATATCATGACGTTCTCCATCGTGTGCAGATGATCACCGACAGCCAACTAGCGTCACAGTGGACAGAGGCTCAGCCTGCGGCTGCTCATGCACCTCAGGGAACGGGACTTCCCTGCGCATCGAGTTTGACGTGCCCAGCGGAGACGTCGTCGGCGAGTCGAACGAGTGCGCCTCGTGCACCCCTCTCGCGTCCAGGAATGCAGCGCACCCCGGGCTCATGTCTTGCCACTCAACGCTCGACTGCGCAGAGTGGAACGACTCACCTCCGATAGACTCGTCCCTCCCCTGTGAAATTGCAGACGCGCTCGCAGAGTGGGGAACACTGAGAGGTGTGGTCGCGGCCGACGGACCCGGGCAGACCGGCGCAGACACCATCGTCCGCGGCCGCTGCTGTCTGTCTACCTCCTTCCGTCACTGCGCGCATCGTGATGCGCTTCGCACGCTCCCAGTCGCGCTCGCCCGGATGCAGGTTGACAGCGAGCACGTCACGGTAGCACACGAGCTTCTTGATCTCGAGCCGTGCCTGCCTGACCCGCTTCGCCACGCCTGGCACCGCGACCTGCACGGGTTCCCTCGTCGCGCGCTGAAATGGTGTCAGCAACACCACGTTACGCACGAGCCACATCTCTGTCTCGAGCTGTGTCTGCGCGGTCAAGATCCGCCGCTCGAGGTCGTGCAGCTTTCTTCGGATGACGTCCGAACAAGACATCTGGTGAGAGTGTCCGCCAGAGTGAGAGTTTGCACAGCGTGAGCCTGAGCCCAGTGGGATAGGGGAAGATCGTGGTGTGGATAACTCGAGGCTGAGCGTGCGCGCACGTCCGATCGACTTGCACTTGTCATTTGCGTTCTCGGCGGACCAGCGAGAGGAAGCCGCGAGCTCCGTCTTCACCTGATCGAACGTCGCCTTGAACAGTTTCGCCGAGCTCTCGTTCACGGCAACAGATGAAGACTCGGTAGAGACAGATGACTTCGTCACTGTCGGTAGGGACACGGCCGGAGACGACGCTGGCGCAGAGGACCGCAAGTCGATGTCCAGACCGCCGTACCATGCGTGCACACGGGGAGTTCGCACCACATACCTTGGAATAGGACTTATCGAAGACAGCGACACAATCCTTCGCGGAGACGTATGGTCCGGCGGATGCTGGGTCACTGGGTATCTTCGGAGAAAAGCAGTGGTGAAGTGCTTCTACGACATGCGCGGGCTCGACTCGCTCCTCGAGGCGTACGAGGGCCTTGAGAAGAGCGACATCGTCGGCGTAATGTCCTCAACATGGGCGAGTCTGGCATGGGTGTGCCATGGAGCAGGAGATGGCACGGTATGTTCTTGGGATACTGTCTTCTCTTCGTCTCAACAAGTTCTCACAGTGCCAGTGGTTGCGTTGCGAGTGCCAGTTTCGGCGAATCATGTACTCCGATAATACTCTGTATGCTCCCAATCTAATGTTGTTGTATATCTATCTCCCATGGGCCATTGCCCCTCATGCTGATACATGACCAGCCTTGTGTTCGACTGTCTGCACCCTCCGCCTTCTGCTTTACACCGCGCTAGGTCGCCACTGGCGCAACATATTCTAAGTGATGTGTCAGTCAAGATATGGTACTCATGTCACGCTACACTGTCACTCACGTCCGGTATCCTTGTGGAAGAATCGCAAGCCCTCAGTACAAGCAATCTGTGTCATCTTCAGCCAAGGAAGCTGGGCATCGACATCGAGGTCGTCCTCGTCCAATCCGCTGAAGAAGTCGCCATCGATGATAGCCCCCGCTTGTCTAATGCTACGCTTCTGAGCATCAGGGAGGGCTGAGAACGTGTCCGGATGAGTAGAGGGGTTGTTCGCTCGATACGCAGCTTCCAAGTGAATGTAAATCGGGCGGATATTCACCGCAGTGTTCCACTCGACACCAGCCCAATCAAAGATATCCTTGTAGGTGACACGAGTCGTTCTGCCATGCACTCTTGATTGTATGATGTGTGGTGGTGCGTGTGGATCACGAGTCTCGAGCGTGCCCTGTGGACTGTTCAGTAGGATGCCGAAATGTGTCAGGATAGACTTGAGAGTTCGGAATCGGAACAACCACAGATTCAGTGGCAACCGACGATTCCGGACACCGTGGGCCCTGCCTCCATCACCCTGGAGCTGCTCCTGGCGGCTCTGTATCGCGGCAATAATTTGTGCTGCAGATGGGAAGTGTTGCTCGATGTACTCGCGGAGGAGCTGCGGGTCACTCCGGGTTGGCACACTGGGAGGAGACAGCCCTGTCAAGACTGGCATAGTGGGCATGACGGGCGCGGTGACGTGCAGGACAGGTGGAGTGGCAACGGGAGCGATCAGAGGTAGACCAGTGAGCTAGTTCAGAGTTTGAATTTGTGTTGCGTTCCTCCGAGGTAAGACAGATGACTCACCAAATCTCCGTACACATATATAGCAAATACATGGATGGTCTCCTGTCTCTCGAGGCTGGAGCTCATGGTGCAGGCGCACTCAATGATACCCTGGCTACTTGGGAATCCTACACCGGACCCACAGCTGTCAATTAAGGTTTGGCCACGGGAGGAGTCAAGGATGGAGGCGAGCGTGCCGTGCTCAATGAAACCTCGTTGATAACTGAAGTACTCCTCTGGGGTGTGCTCACGCACATCAAGAGGGTGACGTGACGTGCCAATGAACGTGGTTTCCTGTGCCTCAGCCACAAATTGTTCTAGGAGGCGCCCGGTGCGCAAACCGGAACGAATGATGGTGGTGAGGAGGCGTGCAAGTGTGAATGGGGGTTCCATGTGCGGCATTTCGAGCATGCTGGTGGCGATACTGACACAGGTTTCATGGAAACCGGTGAAGACGACAATTTGAGCGCGAGTGTCATTGTCTTGCTGCTGCTGGCTTGGTGAGAGTCTACCCATAGAGACAACAGCTGCAGGATCCATGGGATCAGCGGAATCAGCGGGATGCGCTATGGCCAGGTCTTGGTGGTTGTCGGAGTGTGCGTGAGGAAATGGTGCGGGATTTGGACTCGGAGTGTTAATGATCTCGGAATCAAGCCTTGCACTGGCATGCCCGAGAGCTGGCCCGGGAGCACTGCCCTGTCCTTCAGCTAGGTAGTGTTTACTGGATCAGATGCCATTTTCATTCAGCAGCAATTCAGAACATGTACGTACAGGATGGATCGTTCACATTCAAGTTACTGATCTCGATGTAATCTTCTGGCGGTTCAAAACGACGCCCAGAGAGCGCCATGAGCCGTTCCAATGTTGCATGTACAGAGGCCGCATGATATTCATCGTCCTGATCTATAGGAATATAAGTGTGTTGAGTGTCTTGTCTCACTTTATGGCTGTAGGCAATACAATATGCACCGCTGCGGCGCTGCATAACACAAGAAATGGACGCACCACCATCATTACCACTATCACTCATTGTTGGATAGCAAGTGAGATAGGTGAGTGAGCACAGATGGAGTGGAGAGAGAGAGTATTATGTTGTGAGGCGAAGAAGGCGATGACAGTAGGAGTCGCAATGAGCAGAATTAAGAGGCGCACGACTGCGCTGTGAGCGTATTAAGCGCCCGTCTCTAAACGCAGCCGCGGGTTCAGCTCAAGCGAATAAGACCTGAAAATGGTGCAGATGTGTTTAGAACACTGTATACTGAAGGCCCAGGCAAAGAAACTGTGTTTTGAACATGTGTTTTGTCCAGGCTCAGCATGAATATCATCTTACAGTTAAGCACCTACAACCACTGTTCGTGTCCTGTCGAGTTCACCTCGAGGTACAAAAAAATGTATATGACAATCCTCCAGACTATCCACAAGACATAGTACCATTGTCATGAAGTCATGTAGGATTATCGGCATACAATCGTTGGCATATCCTAAGCGCTTCCACCCAGAGCAAACGGCGTACACTCATCTCGCGGGACGTGCTATCGACACGTAGCGCCAGTTCAGCGTCCAAGGAGGCTATCTCGACTTCAGAGAAGGGGCAGTTCGGTGCATCACAATCCACAACCGACAACTCACTAGGGCGATGGGAACCTGCAGAGAATGGATTGCTCGACTCCCACTCGTCAGGGTTGTTGTCCAAGTGGTGCGCCATGAGCATCGGATCTTCGAGAGCTTCCCAATCAACTCCATAGGACTGAAGATCATCCGAGTTGATCGCTGCATCCTCGGCCGGCATACGCTGAATGTGAACATCCCCAGAGGCCGTCCCGATGCCTCGTGCCCCATTCTCAACCATCCCAAAGATGAATCGATCACGAGGGCTGCGAGCACGGTCGGAAACATGGCGCTCATGGAGTGGATGGCTGTTCCAAGAAGCGGCCCAGTCCTGAACGTCAAGATTGATCTGAAGGAGAAAGATATGGTGAAGCAACCATATGTGCGCGGATCGAGATGGCTGAAGACCCGCACTGTGCTCGAGCTCCAGGAAGAAGTTCTTCCACTTCTGCCCAACACCACGAGTGAAGTCGTACCAAAGCCGTTCCACGCGTGTGTTGTGAACGCTCCTGAGCAAATATGAGTGTGGAGTAGCATGAGCACTTGCAACGTAGGCCCTCTCACCTTCCCCAAATGTATGAGCCACGGCTGACTCCCCGATGCTCGTCCTGCCATCGAGCGACCTGGATGTTCTCTCCACCATGATCTCCGCGTACTCGGCTAGGATCTCCGCAGGTTTCCCGCCCTCGGTGGAACAGCAGTAACACAGTGTCCGCACGGTTGTTGTTATGGACAGCAATGGCCACAATGTACCGAGACCAGCCGTCAATGAAGCAGTGGGTCACTAGCTTCCAGCGAATGAGACCTAAGCCGTCATTGTTGAGATCAGTACTGATCAACTCGAGGGCGAGCAATCAAAACTTTTGAACGTACCATGCTGGCCGTCATGATGCCACAACGCGTTCGGACCTGCCACCTTGTATACACGACGGTGGATGCGTCGGTCTGAGAAGACATTGCTTGTGACGCCATGTACACGGACATATGAGGCAGCCAGACGAGCACGTGGGACGCGATGGCCTTGGGACCGTAGACATCCTGCAAGCATCCGCCGGCCAAAGTTGGGGAAGACAGCAAGAATGGAGCCAACAACAATGTCAAGCTCATCATCGGTGAGTGCGGATACCGGAGGAGTTGTCGAAGTGTGCGTGTGCGTGACATTGCCTGCAGCATCGGTTACCTCCTGCATAACAGGTTCCCCAGGGGCAACAAGATTGTGCTCGAGGGCGCGCCGGCGAACAGTGCGACTGGAGCAACTGAAGATTGGTGCTAAGCCGACTGGGCCTCGCATCTGCAGACCAGTCTCGAGGAACATGGGATCAATCTCGACGCGGGGGCGACCCCGACGCCCAGTTCGAACACGCTGTGCGACTACGAGAGGTGGCCCACTGGGAGGATCTGATGAACGGTGAATCGCCTCGTCAAGGGCCTCGACCATGTTGGAGACTCCTGATCGCAACTGTGCGAATTCGGCTGGGGAAAAGAGTGCAACGTGCTGGATAGTATAGTATCATAAAGATGCATCAGACGTCAATAGGCTCGAACGCACCGGCTCTGCCTCCGCCATCAAGCGCAACACCTCTTCCCTCTGCTGCCCTAGCCTCCCGGCATCACCTAGTTGTGTGTTCACAGCGCTTGTAACCCGGTCGCAGAGTACGTAGTACGCGGATCGAATGTTGTGGACAAGAGAGGTTGTACGAGCGGATTCTTCAGCGGTGCGGTCGATGCTCTCAACAAGACTTGTAATGGATGAGCGAAGGCTCGACAGCTCGTCTGAGGGTATAATGGTGTGGTTCTACATGCCGAAAAACAGTGAAATGTTAGCCGAGCATAAAACACAGAACGTGAGTATCCATACCGCTTCAGCATCCACATATAACCGGAGAGCAGCCTCGCGTAGGTCGGGCAGCATCTCGGAGTAATCTGCCATGCTGGCAGAAAGCATCCATATAGTGTGCTCACACAGAGCATGATAGCGATACCGTATTCCATGCAGACGGTTGCCAATATGTGTTGTATTGAGATACTGGACGACCGCATCGTCGAGGGCGCGCAGCATGATCATAATACTGCGTTGGAGCGCCAGAAGTTCGTCTTCAGGAAGTGACTCGTGTTCCTACCAGCAGCATATCGCAAACAAATCAGTGGATGAACAACAGGATAACGCGCAGACGTACCTGGTCCGCATGCATTTCAAAATCAACGACTTCTTGTCGCCGCTGAGTGAGTACATTGACATCGGTGTCAGGTGTCTCGACGGCGGTGCGGATGGCTACGCTGAGCGAGTGAAATCTGGTGCGAATGTCATTGAGAATATCAGCCATGACAGGAGCTGACTGCGTGTTCTCAGTCAAGAGTTGGACAGCGATCGAGCTGCACTCCGAGTCGCCTCACTCTCGGACATGTTCCGAAGGCCGCAATCATGTGTTCTATCGAACATGATGGTACAGGACGGTACAGGACAGTACAGGACGGGCGTACAGGACGGGATGGGACAGGTCAGGACGGAACAATACGAGACAGGATCGGATGGTACAGGACCGGACAGGATGCACCGGAAAGCATAGGAGCCGGGGATATCCTTCAAAATCCTGTAAGATCTGGTCCGTGCCTGTGTAACGTCAAACCATTTTTGTCCACTACTCACATTCGTGATCTTTCCATAAATGAACAGACAGGATGGGAATGACCATGAGGTGACGTGAGAGGACAGTACAGGACAGGACATGCCAGGTCGGGAACGTACCGGACAGTACAGGATTCGAAGGGTTCCGATGGGATTGTACCAGATCAGGCAAGTTCCTGCCAATTCCTACCTTATCTTATCATTTTGCGCCATTTCCGGAGCGACCGTCTGGTGTCCGGAGCGGGCTCGAGAGATCTGGTATTATCTGGTAAGATCTGCCGTGTTCCGAGACGATCACACACGATATGCCACTGATGCCCCTCATACTGGGATTTTTGTCCCATACGGGCCTTGATATTCTTGTGGGCTTCCTCTCCTAGCGACTGAACTGAGACTGGAGCCCTGGACCTGGAGAAACCTGACCAACTACTTTGGAAGTTTGTGTCCAAAGGTGAGGAATGTAGAAGACGCTGACGCTCTCTGTCACGGTCTGAGCACGTTACGGGGGCCCGGAACGTAGCAATAGGGACGTTCAAAGTTGCTGGAGCTCTGGAGCTCCAGCTGGAGGACGCTGGAGCTTGGAGCTTGGAGGCGGCGGTTCTCGGGGTTTGCCGCTAGGCTTTTCCGAGGCGTGCGCGCTGGTCACTGTCACACGCCGGTAGCATGTGTGACTTCCCTAATGCAGTATAAGTACCATACACGCTCGATGCTCACCACGCCTTGCATCTAGTCTCTTCAGAAACACTGAGGCAGCTCGTGAGCTCTTTTGGGCTGTCGTAGATAAAATAGGTGCACCACTGTGCGACACGAGAATTAGGTGGCCGCAGTATGCTGACTAAGCTGTCAGCCACCCACAAGTTAGTCCGATGTAATGGGCAAGGTCGGCTCGGGCGGTCGTAGTGGCTACGATCGCACGGGACGGCGGAATGAGCGAGAACGGTCACAGTACCAACCCAAATACTAGTGTTGGAAAGGCGAGAAACTACGGTACAGGCTGGCACGATATATCTACGTGCTGACATAAGCATGTGGCGCGCCCGTTACATCCGAACAGCGCGAACGAGTCTCTGTGTTTCCTAAATTACAGCCACGTACTGTAGTTTTAATATTGCTGTAATGATCAGATTGTATGCTGTGGGCGAGTGATGCTCCGATCCCCGCTGGTGTAGGCTGGTGTAGTCGGTGTTGGACGAGCTGTACTGCCTAATTGGGCAAGTGCATCGTCGAATCCCTAAACCGACATGCTCAGAGTGTCGTGCAGTGGCGGCAGAAAGGTGAAAGTGCCAGACCGTGAAAACACCTCCATTCAAGACTACTGCGAAGAATCCAAGCCTGAATACCCAGCCTAAATGTCCAATAGGCCTCGTAGTATTCGCGCCACACACTGTGACATGACATAAGCACACTGTGGCTGGAATTTCCGGCGAGACCACACCGGTCGCGCGGCTGACGGCATCCCCCGAGGGCGAGCTCCAGCCTCCAGCCTCCAGAGCTCCAGAGCTCCAGCAACTTTGAACGTCCCTAATACTTTTAGGTCTTACTAAGAGCCGCTCAGAATTGACGAATAGGTATCAGTTCCGAGGTGCTTGTCTGTATCGTACGAGCATGGAAGGAGCTGTGTGACGTGTTTGATGCGGAGAAGCAGAGGAGCACATTCAAAGGTTTAAAGTAATCACCTGTAACATCAGCCTCATGATGGTGTACAGTGTAATCGACAATGCAGTGGAATTTGCATAAAACGGAGGACATTTGGCGAGAGGACCATGGATCGTCACCGACTTCTGTTGCCGATCGTAAGTAGACTGCCAGTGCGTCACGGTTTAAGGGCATCTAACTCAATATACTTGCTCTAGACATCGGCATGAGCGTCATTCTTCGTGCCGATTGAGCGTTCACATGCGCACATGGCAGTGTCGTTCAAACATAAAGTACTCATGGCTTTCTCTGGGGTACGTCTGACCATCATCTCTTAAGTATCTACCCTCGAATGATCTGACTCGCACTCAGCTTCCTGAACTCATACGGTTCTTCCCATAGGCGCGCGCCCATGTGCCAGTGCGTATGCTTGGATGTTCGCAAACATGCTGTTCGCAGCAGTATGTTCGGTTCGTCAAGTACTCTGATTGATTTACTGACGTAACTGATAATGAAGTTCAGACGGCTTCTCTACATACTGCTTTATCAACCGACCCGTTTCCCTCAACATGCAGGTATGTGGCGCGTGCGCCGTACATTCGAAGGGAGCAATGCTCATTGAGACGTACATATGGCGATGCTCAGAATTTTCGAACTGCTCCAACTGACTTCTGTGGCGGACATGTGGAATCAGTTTCTCAAAGGAAGTGCCGGCCGTTCTGAATGTTGAGTGTCTCCCTGTAGGGTCCGTTTCAAACGAGTGAGCCTATTTTGGTCTTTTCTCAACTCGACGCCGTTCGTGCTTGTCATTGGTGAATGCTAACTAACGTACTGGTCCGACGCCAGCAGTCCACGGATGCATGGAAGACGAGTTCATGCGTGTCATTGTAAGCATGAGGGATCCTTCAATTCAATGTTCGACGACCCCTTCCCCGCTTGATATCGGCGACCGACCGAAAACAGCCAGAGTAAACCTCGACATGCCTGTCATGCAACGGAATACTGAGCAGACATGAACAGTAATTTCGCGATACTTGCTCCGCGGACATTCCTTTGCGTATGGAACAGCTGAAGCCCCGCGAGAAGCTCTCTGAAGGAAAGGGTGACACTACTTGTCTGCATGTAATTTGACATCCGTGCGTCCTATATCGCCGCAGTGATGTCACCTAGGATGGCCACACGAGTATCAGACACTGATAGTTCTGTGCAGATATGTAGCTTCATCCGTCGGCTGGTATACATCACTGTTCATGTTCTAGGCGGAAGGCATGCAAGTAAGCTACCTCAAACGAGGTAAGCCATGACGAGCTCACTATGCAGATCCATGATCAGTGTAGTACGGACGCAAGCCGCATACGACTGTCCGATGATTCTTCTCAGTAGCAATGCATGTGCATGTGCATTTTACAGAGTATCCGTTACGTTGTAGCGACCTTCAAGTTCGCTAACAAGTTCTCTCTCCGTGCCGTTCCTCGCGTGGAGCTTGGAGAGTCGTCCTGCGGCAGCAGCGAGGAAGGACCCCGGATCCGACAACTCGAACAAGCTCCTTGTTAATAGCCTTGCCCTTGTGTGGAGCATGAACGAGGCAGTCTCTCCCGAGGAGAAGGTTGCTATGCATGTCTTGCTGTCGACTTCCTCCCTCGACACAGAGGACATTATGCCCGCTTTGGAACAGGCTCGACAACCGCTGCGTGCCAAGGCGGACCTGGGTCCCCTCATTCAAGAGCTGAATAAGTCCGGCGACGCCTTACGGGTGTATGCCATGTCCACCATATAGATCCCCGATTACGACTTCGGTAGTACGACGCATGCCTTTCGAATGAATGATCTTCGATGGTTTCTTCCCGTCAGGGTTCATTGGAGGACGCAAACCAGACCAAGGTGTATACGGATACCTGGTCGCGAAGATAGGCATTGATCACTATTCTTCGTCCACAGCAAACCGGAAAACGTCTCGCCGCACATTCCTTGGGAATATACGGAGTTGTCTTCGACTCTCGGTCAAAGTCGAGCTCGAGGCGACATCGCGTGGACTGTTCTCTGGTACGCTGCACAGGGCGTGTCGCGTCATCGGACGAGCACCGGCAGGTTCGATTCCAGAACGGAGAATAGTTACGTCTGCAGGGGGTATTTCACTCTATTAATGATGTTGGAGGCGACGAGTGAGTGTCGAGTTCGCCCATGTCAGCCACAGTAATTTGATGGTGACCGAATTACCCCCTTCAAAGGGAATTTCTTCCAAGAAAAATAGCGTATATGGACTGGCGGCGATGTGCCTCCCTGGCGCACCTAACGCGAGCACACCGCAGGACGGCCGGCTGGAGATTGTAAGTACGCACGCTAGAGGATTATATTGCCTTCGAGTAACGTTGTAAACTTGCTTAGGTAATACTGAGATACGGGATCTTGCCCCCTTCCCGATAGCAATGCATTGCCAATACGATCACTACAGCGTATACCTGTACAGACCGTCAGCATCGGTATGCATTTGGCACGGCAGAAGGAGATTTACTTGTAAAGAGGTGAACTGTCACCCATTTCGCGGAACTCCGCCATGCGTTCGCTCGTGATGCCCTCTTTGTCCCGTAGGAGTTGCTTCTGTCTGTTCAAACGATGAAGTTCGAGCATGCCGATAGCACTGAGTACAGCTCTAGCATCCCATAAAACGTCCGAGTCAACATCGAGTCCCTCACTTGTGGAAATCTATGCACTCACGCGACTGCGAGACAACTGATGTTGGTAGCATGCCCAGGGTGATAGCGCGGACTGTCCTGCGCGCGGTAGATGAACGAGGACGCAAATCTGAGGGACGAGTCAGCCTCCCATCCGACATCCACGAATGAACACACACCCTCCGAGGTTGCCGAGACCAATAGTCATGGCGATGACCACTCCCCGCTTGATATCGCCACCAACATTACCGCCGGTCCACGCCAGCACGCATGCCGCTGCGGGGAAAAGCCCGCAGGATGCAATGATGGTGCCAATGTAACCCACCACAGCTTTGCTTGTCGCGAAGAGGATCACGTAGCCAACAAGACCGGTCACGGCGCTGACCAGCACGAAAGGGCCACGCATCCCCCATCGATCGGACAACACGCCGTACGCGACCGTCAGTATACAACCGGCAACGTAGGGAGGGATCGTAAGTAACTGAGCGTGAGCGGCAGAGTACCCGAGGCCGGTGATGATCGTCGGCAGGAACAGTGCAAAACTGTATGCCGGCATCGCGGTACTGAGCACATGTGTAAGTCAGTGGCAGCGCATTGTCGCCCAATTGCGGAGGACGCACAAGAGATATAGAAGCATGTAGAGGTACGTGTGGCGGTCTCTGAGGGCCTGAGCGATGAACTTCCATTGGAACGTTTTGGCAAGGCCAGCTGTATCCTCTTTGATGGTGTTGATGAGCCATTCACGCTCTTCCGGAGTCAAGAATGTGGCTGTCTCTGGATCCTAGTAGTACCACCAATGAGTCACAGTATGCAGATACAAAATGAACAAGTCACGCACGTCATGCATGAAGAAGAATGAGAGACCCGAAACGACAACAGTGACTATCAATTCACTACGTGAGCACAATCATCTCTAATTATGAAACGCAACGTACGCAGTCCTTCCAGCAAGAACTACACAGCTCATGAGAACGATATTGTGTAGCCTAGCTGATGATGCACCTACAATCCATGACCAGCCCGCCAGTCCACCGATCCTGAGTGAATGATAACTCAATACGAGCCAACAATCCATCCGAAACTCCGCCTACCCTTTCATCCTCTCTATACCGAAAGCGAGAATACCACCGAACGCGCCTGGCAGAGCGTAAACGCTTATACAAGTCACCTGTTGACAGCTGCTTACCAGCTACAGTTGCCGCAGACAGGAAGATAGACACCCGTTGTGCTTGTGCCGCTCGAGGATACCACATGCATAGGTAGAAGGTTACACCTGGGAACAGGCCGGACTGTTGTGGCGTCAGTAAGATCGCTGGGAGGTACGATAGACATAGATACCTCTGTGAACCCTAAGAAGATGCGCGCCCTAGAACGTCTCAGGCGTACTGTTATACGGTCAGGATATTTAAACACCTACGCGATGAGTCCGGAGAAGCTCTTCACGAAGGCCATAGACAACATGACGATACCCCAGCAGACCATGATACAAGGTACTAAAGGAGGGTCAGCGCACATCATCGCTATGGGGTAGGAAATAGGCCCACTCCAGCGCGAAGGCCTGAGTAGTTTCATTGCCATGTTCCTATTGACACGGTGATCAGACAATCGTAGCAATAGTACTCAAAGAGGGACGACTCACGACGGCACCTCGAAGAATGTGTATGGCAACTAGTAGCACGATCATGTCAAAGTTGGCTATTGAACTTGTGACATATACTTACGAAGAAGATCGCCGAGCATAGATTATATTGCAAGCCCGTGAGGTGCAGATCTGTCGTAAGCCCTGCGACCTTAGCATTGCCTGTCTCATCCTCAATGTCAGAACAGCACTGTCAAGACAATACATGCACAGACCGATGTTGGTCCGATCGCTGGTACCCCAAGAATCTCAGTGCCAACGTTCGCATGGTCAGAGAAGCGGGACTCACAGGAAGGATAGGAGATAGAGTACCGACACGAATGGGAGAAGATGTCGGTCCAACTTGCGAAGCACGCGCCGTCGGTCCACTACCGATGAAGCGTACGAGAGCTGCGGCGACGCAAGTTCTGCAAATTTCTTCTCCTCGATGGGAGACTCAGGCATGATCACAGCAGGTGGGACAGCGCGCCAGATAGAAGTTGATTGAGCATTTGCTTTAAAACCTGCGCTTGACTCGCGGATTGTTCCCACCCATCTATCACGCAAACGTGCGCAGAATTGGCCCCACGTCAACTCGCCGCCACGGCACTAGCGACGCTTTATACAGTACACCGTGATGTTGACATCTGGTGTGGACTTCTGGGTGTCATGCGCCTGCGCCGCCGATAGCGACGTTGATTATCTGCTCGTGATGATGGACCGTCCAACAGAATTGACTGTTGTATGATGACTAGTACGTGGCGTTCCTGCTAGACGCGACAAGCACAATGATCCGACCTGAACTATGGGGGGAATGGACCATGGCGGGGCCTATTAATGTGGTCAGCGCTAGGCAGGAAAGACGCCCAGCAGTATCGGCGAACAGAAAACACTTGAGGCTGATACATACAAGGAATGTCGAGACAAGTCACCGTATCGCGAAGACTGCCTACTAACGAGATCCGTTGACGCTTAGGTCTCGCGCTATTCAGCAAAGCCATAGCAGAGCGAACGCCCAAGTGCAATCAGCTTTTACGAAGGCATTCTGGGCACAACACAGACACGACACCTTATACATATTCCATATTCCCATGAGGCTGTACGTTCCAGACTTCATTGCTATGTGCCAGAGTATCGGTCAATTGAGTGCCCTGGATCGACGATGAGCTGTAGCTGGAGTGGCTCCGACTGCAAGAGATTCGCCCGGCAGGTCTATCGGAGGAAGCGTCGAAATCAGGTCTATCCGAAGAGCCGCCGTTGAAGTTCGACTTGAGGTGGTATCTCCAGAACTCTGAGGAGGATTTTGACAAGTTGTGCAACGATTCTCCCCGATTCGGATGTACTGAAGCGGAGAGATAGGACCCGGGACACTGCCAGCTCACCGGCGCCCGCAAGGCGCCGAGTCTGCCATCAACCGATTCAACGAATCGAGATCCCAGAGCATCGCAAAAGCTGACGCGCTTGGCGCCAACACTGCGTCCTCTGCCATCATCTTCAACTTTTCTTGATTGTTTGCGGTCATCAGAAAGCGTTTGGAAGTGCGCGGCATGGCATCTCAATTGTATGGTGCTCTAGTCGTGCGGACGTGTCTTCCTCAAGCTGACCTATCCGCACTTCGATTCGGAATATTCATTAACCACTAGGTGTCTACCCGCCGAGCCACCGCGAAGCCAGTGGGGATAACTGCATCGTACAAAACATGAGTGTATCCGCCCGCATTGGGAAATCGGCACCCCTGGCGAATGCCCACAGCTGGCCCACACTGGAGTAATGCTGTACGTAGGACATGGTCGTCAAACACCTTGCTGTGAACTTGGTCCAACTTACTGTCGCCACCGCAGGTCGGATCCCAGTACAAAGTACTCGCCGTACGCTTCCGTTGACCTTCCAGGTCGCGAATGGCCGTTCAAACGCATAACGCATCATCCCGTATGGCTGTCCACCGACTTGCGGGACGGCAACCAGGCCCTCTCTCGCCCTATGACTGCAGACCAGAAGCTGCGCTTCTTCCGCCACCTGGTGCAGTGTCGTTTCAAGGAGATCGAGATCGGATACCCGGCCTCAAGCGACACGGAATTTAACTTTGTTCGCCGACTAATCGACGACGGCGAGATTCCAGACGACGTCTGGATTCAGGTCAGTGGCGTTCTTGTCGGAGCGAGTTCTGTGATGCCGCTGGGTCTGATGCGCGCTTGCAATCTTCAGGTGATGACCGCCGCCCGTGCAGAGTTGATCGGTCGTACCTTTGAGGCCACTGCCGGGGCTCGTCGAGTTATCATCAGCCTCTTCAATTCGACGGCACCATGCTTCCGCGAGGTCGTGTTTCGCAAGAGCAAAGAAGAGATCATCGATTTGGCAGTGCGACATACGATCATTGTGCGCCAGCTCGCCGACGAATACCGCGATCGCTATGGCACTCGGTTTAGACTCGTGTATGGCATCGAAGCGTTCTCCCAGACAGAGCCAGAGTACGTCATCGAGATCTGCAGCGCTGTAAAGCGTGCGTGGGGATTAGCCGGGCCAGGCGGTGACCGCATCATGTACAATCTGCCGTCTACGGTCGAAATGGGTCCTCCCAACCATTATGCCGACCAGGTGAGTAAACTACTGCCCTTCGAGCTCCTCTTCACCTTGTTGCGCAATAGATAGAATACTTCTGCAAGCACATCCCTGACAGAAACGAAGTCATGGTCAGTCTCCACTGTCACAACGACAGGGGTACCGCGGTGGCTGCGACCGAGCTCGGACTGCTCGCCGGTGCCGACCGAGTCGAGGGCTGCCTTCTAGGGAACGGAGAACGGTCAGGCAACGTAGACCTCGTCACCGTCGCACTCAACATGTACACGCAAGGCGTGCCCTGCGGACTGGACTTCAGCAATATACAATCCACGATAGACCTCGTGACCGAGCTCACCTCCATCCCTGTCCATCCCCGGCACCCCTACGCCGGGGAGCTCATCTTCACCGCATTCTCCGGACAGCACCAGGACGGGATCAAGAAGGGGCTCGAGGCCCAGGTGGCACGGCACGCAGTCGCGAAAACCACCGGCCAGCCGCTGCTCTGGGACGTTCCGTACCTCCCGCTGGACCCCGCGGACATCGGGCGGACGTACGAGGCTGTCATCCGAGTCAACTCCCAGTCGGGCAAGGGCGGGATCGCGTACGTCGTCAAGGAGCGCCTGAAGATAGACCTCCCGCGGGCCGTACAGCAAGACTTCTACCGCGTCGTCCAGGAGCAGACGGAGCGACGCGGGTGCGAGATGTCTCCCGAGGATATCGTGGCGGTCTTCCGTGAGACGTACCACTTCCCAGGTAGTCACTCGCATGCGGGGATGTCGCTCGCGGACTGTGTCGTCTCCGAGAGGATGCAAGACGGCACACACATCGTCGTCTTCGAGGGTGCGGTGGTCATCGGTGATACGACCTATGTGTTGCATGGAGAGGGTGCGAGCCTCGCTTCTGCGGTGGTCGAGGCACTCCATACTCGCCTCGGTGTGAGCCGCTACTTGGTCGAGGCACACACTTCTGCCGCAGACGGGGGAGGCGTCTCTGCATTCACGTCCTTCGTGTTGCTCAGCGAGCGCGAAGAGGAACGGTCACCAGTGCTCTGCACATGGGGAGTGGGCATGGACCCGAGCGCCCCTCGTTCTACGGTGCTCGCAGTCGTGAGCGCGGTTAGCAGGACCATCGGCAGTAGCCCCACTGGCAGCCTCGTCCCCGCAACCACGATCATGTCCTGGAAAGACGTGATGCGCGTCTTACAGACCGACTACAGGTTGCATCTCCCGGACGGGATGCACGACACGCTTTCCAATTTCTGCGTGGACGGCAGTGCGCGCTGCATGTCGGCGGCCCAGCTCGCGGCGCGCTTCATCGCGCATTATTGCTACGGGTCGTCGAAGGAGCCCTCGCCGTGCAGAGGCATGCAACTCTGCTCGTTCTCGATCACGAGCCAGACAGGGCCTGTCCGTGCCTTGCAGCTGGACGCGACGATCGAGCTGCACGGGGCGCAGAAGTCGCTGTCCTGCACGGGCGCGGATGTGGTATCCTGCTTCCTGTCGGCGGTGAGCGACGATCTGGGGGCGCTGCAGGTACGCGAGGTGGTGGTCTCTCCGCCGACGGGCCGCCCAGACGGAAGCGGTGCGGGGTACGCCAGCTTCGTACGACTGGCCTCTCTGACGGATGGCTCGCACGAGGCGTGGGGAATCGGTGTTGATACTGATATCACCACGTCCATGCTGAAAGCGACTCTCGTGTCTGCCGTCAACGCGTCAACTGTGGCTCAGGCACCCTCGTCTGAATCTCCCTTAGGCGTCGTCATATAACCGTATGAAGTGGTTCGAGCTATGCATCGTACGTACGACGTTCGCGTGTATCCCTCCATGTACATTAGGTAGAGTTCCAACGTTCAAGGCTGGTGAGCGCCAGTCTCTCTAAGAAACATCACGCATGTACAGTTTGGGAAGCCTAACGTACGTCCACGGCTATCGGACATCTGGCCGTCAAAGGTGCTGACTAGCAGTGACAGCTTTGATTACCGCGCCAGTTGTGGGAGCGTGAGGACTTTCCACATGGTTCTAGAGGCACTGCAATGAATGGCGTGGTCATGGGGTCCTCGTCAATTAGGGAGGACACCCTCTATTGCACCTGGTCAGGATCTCCACTGATATATATGCTTGCTGCGCCCATGGCACTCGCCTGTCCGAGTAAGCACAGCGGGTAGCTCTCCTGGCCTAATACAGCGTGCGCTTGCACCGCATAGTGAGTAGATGCCGTCGAGCCTTGATGGTACTGCGCCTTATGAGGGTGCCTACGACTTGGGGAAGAAGCACCGCTCAACAGTCGAATCGGAGTGTTTGCTCATCGGAAGGCCACTAGTCGACTTCGACACTGGTACCCCACCGCCATACCGCAACGGGACGCAGTGCGTGAGACAAGTAGCTGCCATCCGCGGTAAACTTAGAGTTCAGCGCGGGCCGCATCCCATCATCCGACTGTACTGCGACGAAGATCGGAGGAAGCGGTAGTTGTACGCCTCCGTTCCGTTGGCTCATCACATGGCGGCTGAGGTCAAAGAGGGTACCGAATCCAGCGCAGCGCATTAATAAGGCGGTCAGCATACCATACAGCGTCGTACATCCAACTCCAAGGGGACAACATCGTACAAGCGAGTACATGCAAAACAACAGAGGCGGGCGAGCGTTCGTGTCATGAGTACAAAGCACCGAACCGGGACGGACGAGTCTCATGCAGCGCCGTCCTGGAGGTCATACATCTTGACATCCTTGTCAGCCGGGTAGCGCCCGCTGTCGCTGTCGCTCTGCCATCGACACGCGTGAGCCCTTCCAGCCAGATAGGACATCCAAGGAACACGTACGGTAGCCCCGCCCTGTGTGGCAGTAGAGTCGGTGATGGTGTCGGTCATGACGTGCACGACAGGGGGGTTGACGCCCGAAACCTTGTCGGGCCCATCCGCACCGTTAGTAGCCGTGCGTGTGAGGTACCGGCGGGGAGCGGGACGCACCTTGACGGACTCGCGGGTGGTGTACTGCAGGGTGCTCTCCATCGGGGCGATCCGCAGGGAGGAGAGCGGGTGGCCATACGTCGTCTCGTCGATCCCGCGCCCGCGGTGCGCCTTCCGGTAGTTCAGTCTGTTCCATGTCGACCCGTCAGATCAGAGCGCGTGGCTGATTGGGGATGAACTCACGTCGCGAGGAGGGAGTTCGCATATACTGGGGAGGTGGACGGTCAGAGTACGATCCGGGGATGGGACTTCCGGGGACGTACGTTTGCTGAGGAGCAGATGGAAGGCGAGGTAGATCATGTTGTAGGGCATGGACAGCAGCTGTACCGCGCGAGGTTCAGCGCGCGCGTTCGTGCGGGGCAGCCCTCAGGACGTGCACGTACGGTTACAATCACACACACGCCGACGATGCTGCACGAAGGATCGTCAGAAAGCTCGAAGGCGGGTCTGCGCACGCAACAGGAATACCGACCTCGTGAAGAGCCCGTTGTTGACCGTCCAATACGTCAATTTGTCGAGCAGCTGTCCGCGGGGAAGGCGTCAGCGGTGACGCGCCTACACACGGATCTGCAGACGTACGTTGTTCGTGCTGATGTAGTGATGCATCATGGTTCGCAGGAGGGAGCAGGGTCAGCAATCCGCTGTCTGTCGTCTGCCAGTCCAAGGACAGAGTCGACTCACTCCTTCAGGACATTCCTGTTCCGGCGCAGGAAGAAGACCAGCGACGCCGTGATGATCCAGTCCGCAAGGCTGCCCGCGCCCATGCCAATCCCAACGAGAGCCTAGACAGAAGGTACAATGCAAGTGGACACGTGCTGGATTTAACGGTTTGAGAAGGTGCATACCCCAATCCTGTGCGGCAGCTCCGCGAGCACTTTGATTTCCAACCTGCGAAGGCACGCCACCGTGAGTCTATATGCGTTCTGACGTGAGACATGGACGACGACGTACATGCGCCCCGTCACGACTCAAAGCAGGAATCGTTTAGCCTGATAGTACAACGCGGAGAGCGCGAACACCTACTGCACCCGAAGACTGCGACGTAAATGAGCAACAGATCGGGAGCCAGTTTGACCGGGCGACTTACCTAGCCGGATGCTTGACAGGACGGCCTAAAACAGGTAGTTGATGATTAATGAAGGCAGGGATTGCGAAGGGCCACGCGGCCGACGTACAATGACGACGGGTAAGACCCAATTTCGGTTCCCCACTGTGAAGAACGTCAATGACGCTTCAGCGACCTTGAAGGGCCGGGAGGGGCTTACATATGTACACGCGGCGGGCGTAGAACCTGCAACCAGTTAGATCGACCTTGTGAATTTGCGAGTGCGAGTTACTGACCCGTGTGCTATACAGGTGATGACCGCCTGAAACGAATTGTGAGCAGATCGCGAGGGAGCAGAGTGCATAACACCCACCGTCACTGCCACGGTGACCTTCCAGCGAACTAGTCAGCATCCGGGACAGGCGCAGATTAGAGATGCCTCACATCGAAACTCCTGCAAAGCTGTAAGACGAATGAATAAACATGGCCGCGAGGGCTACCCACCAGACTGAGAGCTGAAGAGCGGGAGCATTGTCGTAGTTGAGGATGAGGTAGTAGTAAATGACATGCATGCTCAGAGTGATGTGGAATATGTCAAGTATGCTTGGGCGGGGAAGTCAGCACGATTACAACCGAGAATCGATCATCCGGGCCACTGACAAGAGCGACCAGACCTAATAATGAACATCGTCAATACCCACGATCGCAGTGAAGCCGGCGAGTGCGGATACTCACCACCAGACGGATCAACCTTGGGTCGTTGGGATAGTTGCGGTACCAAAGGTATGTTTGCATCGTGGTAATGCCGAACCCTCTGCCAGTGAGAACGCATGAGAGATCCGCACGGAGACGAGCGCACGCGCAGACGTACACCGAGGTCAGCAGCGTGCCTATGAGCAGCGCGCCGATGGTCTTGTTGAGGTCCTCGCCCATGGCTGCGATCGTCGTTCGAGGCCTGGCGTTCTGGAGAGGCTGCGAGTCGCAAAGACAGCGAACGGATCCCGCAGAGCGCCTGGTTCAGAAGCGGCTTAATACCTCGCATCCACGGCACGACATCAAGAATGTGGGAAGCAACTGGCCTGCAGGTGCTCACTTACAGTATACGATGTTGCGTTCAGTGTCCTGGCCAGCCGCGGCCACTGGCAGTACATGGGCTCAGAATTCGAAGGCGTTGTCATTGCACCAGGACGTGCTTCTTATATCAGTGATGTGTCGTATGCCAGTCGGAGCTGCACGCTAAGACCTTTGACGGCCGATGAGAGTTTTTGCATTGCCAGTGACAGACACGGGGCGGCAAAGGACCGGGGTTGGACAGCTCCTCCAAGTCGAAGTCGAGCCTATTCAGCAGGGACGCCGATAAGTAGGAGACCTTGCGGGTCCCAGGCCCCAGGGGACGAGAGCTCCGAGGCGAATCGGTACCGTGGTGTTGACTGTCGTAACAGTTGACTGGATTTGGGACGTAGAATAAGTTACTGAACTGATCACACCGCTCCGCTCCGCGATCGGAGGAGGATGGTCCGCAGGATGCGCTGTCCGGGGGCCGTGCGATCTGCCGTACAACATACCGGCGAGCGCTTAGGCGACGTACCAGAACGTAGGGCCCCGGTAACTTAAATCCGGTATATGCCGACCAGTGTTCTCTCATCACCCGTGCACATTCCTGAAAACTGTCTGAATGGGAGTTGCTATCATGTGGCCATCAAGGACGCGTCAATCCTGCAAGGTTTGGGCTGACGTGCAGGTGTTCCGGGCAATCTTGAGGCTGCGCCACGAAGGGAGCAGTTTCCAAAAACAACACGTACGTATGGCACCGTGACTCCGATCATGGTGTCGCACCCCAATAGAGTCAGGGCGCGAAGCCGCACACGAATTTGGATGTTCAAGTGCGGCCGCTGAGGCTCCTGGCAGCAGAGTATGGGCGTCGCGCATCTGATGGAAGCATGCACTTCGCAGACAGAGTATGTGCACAATCTTCCAACTGTCACGTAGCAAAACGCAACAGGCCTCTGACTTGAAGCTCACAGCACCGTTGTCGACAGGACCGAAGTTCTTCCACATCTGCTGATTGGCAATCGCGATACTGGCATTCGGCCTCTGCGGTCAGCGCTCGGCAGCGAACCTTGCAACTAGGTCCACATTCTTGAGCCCCCGCACAAAAAGCGTGTATAGAAGCGGAGGTCGACGGACGTTGGCATGCAGTGACCCGGGTATTGTTCCGCTCAACCTGCGCCGCCATAGCCAAGGTCGCGGCTGCCTGGTTCAGCCTGGGCGTCGAAGTCCGCTGCGTCCGGCGCGATCCCATATCAGACCCGCTGGACTCCGCCCATGTGTGTTTGAAGGACGCGGGGCCCAACGATATGGACCTAACTTAGCTGGAAGTTGAACTGCGCCCGTGGCCCCGTGCTGGCCGACACGATTGCCGCTCAGGCTCTATCAGAATTCACCAAAGAGGGATGCTCCTGAGTGGTAAGTGTCCTTCTCGTGCATATCCTGACGACGTTGCGCTGTTCTTATCATTCGCAGAAGGCATCTAGTCCCCCCCAGTTGATAGATGAGAAGGAGGGACCCGCGCAGGAAGACATCGTATTCCCGCTCCTGCTCCAAGCATCCGCGCGGGCGATAGATTGTACGGCCCGACTGGAGGCGTGGGTAAGTCGGCGTCCTCCTCAGCGCTTGTGTGCATGCGCAGGACCAGACCGCTGAGATCAGGAGAATTGTGGCCGCGATCAAGGCTGCACGGTCAGCTCGGACTTCGGGAGCACGGAGAGCAGCGGGCCATATGCATAACTTTAGGCATGATGCATGAACCGCGCCGCACCGCGACCCGTGCCCGGCACTTCCCTCGCCCCTTCCACCCGTCACCTCGACACCATCTAAAACCATGAACGGCGAAACCATCCCCACCACAAACGGCGGTGCCAGCGCAGCCCCACCCTCGCAGCCCGACCAAAAGGTGTGGTTCGTCACAGGCACGTCCTCGGGGTTCGGCAAGCGCCTCGTCCGCGCGATCCTCGCGCGCGGCGACTGCGTCGTCGCGACTGTGCGCGCGCGGGCCGACTTCCCCCTGGAGGTGGACGACGCGCAGCGGGCGCGGCTGCATATCCTGGAGCTTGACGTGACGGAGCCCGAGGAGAGCATCCGGCGCAAGGCCGCGGAGGCGGTCGCCGTGTGGGGGAGGGTAGACGTGCTCGTGAACAACGCGGGGAACGCGCCGAAGAGCCTGCTGGAGGAGGGAGGGTGCGTGCCTCGTTCTCTGAGTCGTGGTCTCCTCGGCCCCCCTTCCCAGTGCTAGCTGTGCTGACTATGTGCGGGATACTCTGAAGGTCGACGAAGGCTCTGGAGCAGTTCAACGTCAACTTCTTCGGCCAGCTGAACGTCACGCACGCGATCCTGCCCTACATGCGCGACCGCATGTCCGGGACTGTCGTGTTCTTTGGGAGCAGGTCGGTCTGGAAGCCAGATGCTGTGGTACGTGCTCCTTCCCGACTCATAGGGTCGGTGCCGTCTTGAGTGTCTCCGGGCTTGGCCTGTTGGCGTTCATCCTGTCGTGTGTGGCGTTGACATGTCGACCGAGTCGTGTTCACCAGACGCCCGCCCTAGTAAATCGACGGCAGTTCGGAACGGGTGGAGGCGAACTACAACGCGCGCACTTATTTCATCACGCTCTACTATCAGCAGGTTCGCTTGCTGCGGCGTTTGCGATTGTCGCGCGTATCGCGAATGCCGTGACTGGCTGGCTGCTCGGGCGCGTGCGCGGGGACGTGCTCAGCGCAGTGGGGTTGATGGGAACAATGGTGCGCTCGGCCGCCCACCCCGCCTCGCTCCTCTAAATCGTCGTCGGCCCCTCTCCCGAGTGCTCGCCGGGCTGACGACACGCAGTGGAGGATGCCCTGGGACTGTCGTCTTCTTTGGGAGCCGGTCCGTCTGGAAGCCGGATGCGGATGTGTATGCCTCTGCCCGACCCATGTAGTAGTCGCGCGCAGGCGGCTGACCAGTCGCACAGATGACAGGATACTACATCGCATCCAAAGCGGCCATCCACGGTGCGTCCCCCTCAGCCCTCCTCACGGCAGCGGCTAACGGCGCCGGGTCCCTCAGCATACAGTGAGACGCTCGCCGCGGAGGTCGCGCGGTTCAACGTGAAGGTGCTGCTCGTTGCCCCAGGGCACTTCCGCACGGAGAAGCTGCACACCGCGCCGTACGTGATGGCGCACCACATCCCCGCGTACGACGCGATGCGCGAGGAGGAGATGGCGCGCTTCAACAAGCTCTGGCACAAGGCGCGCGGCGATACGGACCGCGCGGTCGAGGTCGTCGTCGACGTCGTGCGCGGCGAGGGGTGCGCGGCGGGCAGGCCGATGCCGTTCTGGCTCCTCCTCGGGAACGCGACGTATGTGAACGCGCGGGCGCATGCGGACCGCCTCGCGCAGGATATGGATGCGTGGCAGGACGTCGCGAAGGACCTGGATATCCAGGAGGAGCAGGAGGCGTGAGCGCGCGGGAAGGCGGATATGGTTTGGATGTAACGTTACCTCTATGTATTTTCCTCATGACAGGAGGCATCGAATGCGAAGTCGGTCTGTGTACCGATCGGGAGCGTCCCTTAGTAGACCGGCCCTCGACACCATCTTCGAGGAGTGGTAGACGAGCGGAGGCATATAATGCCAGATGGGCGTACACATGTACCCATATGTTACTCGCGGCGATATCGCAGCCCAGAGTCCGGTTGCGCCAACGCAAACCTTTTAGCCTGCCTTTAGCCTGAGCTTGGCTGATCTGCAGATATTAGCACTTAGAACGCCGGACTCCGACGCCGCGGCCGGATGGCGCATCATTTGATCATACTAGTACGCGACATGGATTGCTATATGTAGACAAGTTGGTACTTCACGCTGGATGCCACCTGTACTCTACTACTCGGAACATTATCCTGGATCTACGGTACTTGCGCGTATCATGCCTCCGCGCTACTTGACGTGGCGCGGAGAGATTACATTGGAACTGTAGTTTTGCAGTGTCCCTTCTCTGACCACGGTAGAGAAGCGGGCGTAGCGTCAATCTTGGCAGTCACCGGTGAGTCGGTCACTCTCATTTTATCTGGCAGGTCATCCTGAATGATAGTGTCTGCTTCCACTACCGGTTCTGATCCGACTCGCAAGCTAGCGAGGTTTCTTCACGCCCCCCTTTTGCGAAAGACGTTGGGTGCACCCGCACGGCCTTGCGGTGGGACGTCTGCAGGGCTTGAACAAGTACCTCGTTGGCAGGCAGGCGGTTGCGCGCTCTGACCTTTATCGGTGTCCGTATCTGCAGATAGTTGAGAAGCAATGTTCCGCCGCAGTAAATATGCCCAGTCGGCTAGATGGGGTTTCCCGCATGCAAGCTGCCTTCTATGGGCTCCACACGCAAGCGGAACATCGTTGATGTGTCGTTGATTCATTTAAGATGCATGCCAACGGCGGACACATGCCTGAGGCACCGTCTCATGGCGAGATGTCCTCTGCAGATGTTCGCGCGTATGATGTACACCTACATCGCAGCATGTCATGCTCGAAGTCATTCAGTTGTCGTACATCGCCTACATACCGTTCGCAATAGCCACTGCAGCCATCCTATTTTTTCGGTCTTCTGGTGCTGGAAGCCCTTCCTGCCCAGCTTCACGGCATTCAGAACAGCGGCTTCGATGACAGACCATCTAAGTAATTTGAAGAGCTTCATGCCATGCGAAGTCGGGCGCAGGCTCAGGCTGTAGTAGACTATCCGTGAACCGTCTCTATACTTAGTCCGTCATGGCCTATCCTATATCTCGAATGTTACTTCAAGTCGCATGCAATGCAGCCGGCGACAACTCGCCTCAGATGGTTTGGGATCCTACTGTTCTCGGGTGGAAGTTACAATATTAAAGCTTCATGGTCTCAGGCTCAGTGTATACTCATCGGACGGGTCACGGGCAGGAGAGCAAAGTGGCAGGGGTCCTAGTCTACTGCCGTGGTACGCGTAGATCTCGGAAATAACCGGGATGGCAGCGTGGTGCTCCCTGGCCAGTAGCTTGCTACGTCGTGTACTTTTCTGTGTCCATCCCAGGTGGTGGTTGAATGCACTTCAGCGAATGCGCTTCCTCCGACAAGTACGCGTGAACTACATAATCTCCCTGGGTTCACGGACATATCACGCGCAGGAGCGTACACCACCTTCTCAGCTCCGTCGGCATGTGTCGCACACAGGCTATTGTGTCCTCCGGAGTGCAGTGCGGTCTGGGGTGGTGTGTTGCTGAAACTGCGGTCTCATCTGCGCAGGTGAGTACTGCGCGGCTGGCTCGAAGCATTGTCTGACCATATTTCGCAGCATACCAAGTCGGCAGCTATGCTTGACTTGAGGTATCAACTCGCGCGCATGAACAGTGGGTAGCTCTCTGACAGTGACAGGCTGGGAATGATTGTCAGCTCTAGGTGATAGCGTCACTCGCACTCTCTACCAATCCATATGGTCGATCTTCTTCTCCGGTCTGACTATCAGATCGCCCCACCGTGATCAAATCCGTCAAGCCATGGCCATAACTCCGTCCTCCGCTCCTCAAAGCTCGCGATCGCGTCTTCTCTCTGCAGAGTTAAGGTGATGTCGTCCAATCCATTCAACAAGCGGTGCCTTCGGAGCGGGTCGACGGCGAAGGTGATAGGAGGTCTGCCCTCACCTCGCCTGATCTCTTGCTTGTCCAGATCGACTTCGAGCACGGAGCCTTCCTCGGCATCCGCAGCGAGCGCCTGGCAGTCGGGAGTCGGGAGGACGATGGGCAACATCCCGTTCTGCATGCAGTTGCTCTGGAAGATCTCGCCGAAGCTGGGGGCGATCACACAGAGGATGCCGAAGTCCTTCCTGCAGTCCGATAACCGTCAGATGCTATGACGACCTTTAGCCAGGCCAACAGGAAACTTACAACGCCCACGCGGCGTGCTCGCGTGAACTACCACATCCGAAGTTGGGCATATCGCAAACGAGTATCTTCGCCGTCCTGTAGGGGTCTCTGTGAGCACGAAGTCGGTTTCGTGCCGGTGCGGGTGTCGTTACGGAGAGAGAAGAAGAGGAAGTCCGCGAGCCCAGTGCGCTTCAGCGTCTTGACGAACATGGCGGGGATGAGTACGTCCGTGTCGACATTCGGGATATACAGAGGAGCGGCGATGCCTTTCAGTGTCTTGAAGGCAATGGATAACGGCCCGGTACCTGCAGTATCTTTGGGTCTGCGTGCGGCCTTGCCACGACGACGGGAGGCAGGCTGTATGCGGTCATGGTCATGCTCCTCAGAGGCAGTCTTCGAGTATGCATCTGCACTGGCCGCCAGATGCAACGCAGGCCCAGTATTTGTGGCATGATCAAGAAACCGTCGCACATCTATCAACTTCCCAGCGAGAGCGGCAGCAGCAGCCATCGCGGGGCTGAGGAGGTGCGTGCGGCTGCGCGGGCCCTGACGACCTTCGAAGTTGCGATTCGTCGTGCTCGCACAGCGCTCTTCCGGTCCGAGCGTATCGGCCAGGCCACAGCACAAGGAACAACCAGGCTCGCGCCAGTCGAAGCCAGCCCTCTGGAAGACAACGTCCAGCCCCTCCGCCTCGGCGAGTACTTTGACCGGCCCCGACCCAGGGACCACCATCGCATGCACGCCTTCGCGCACCCGCGCAGTTGGACCCGCAGCGAGCACGACCATGGCTGCAGAGCGCAGGTCCTCAATGCGCCCGTTCGTGCACGACCCGATGAAGACCTTGTTGACGGTGATATCTTGCATCGGCGTGCTCGGGGCGAGGCCCATGTACTGCAAGGCGCGTTCGACATACTTTCGTTTGTTGGCGTCCGTGAACTGCGCGGGGTCCGGTGTGCGCCCTAGGATGGACACAACGTCCTGCGGCGATGTCCCCCATGTGACCGTCGGCGTGACGGCCTCCGCGCGGATGTCCACGTCGAGGTCGAACTCCGCGCCGTCGTCACTTCGCAACGTCTTCCAGTACGCCACGGCGCGCTCCCAGTCCCGCCCCTGCGGCGCGAACGGCCGGCCGCGCAAGTACGCGAAGGTCACGTCGTCCGGGGCGATCATGCCTGCGCGCGCACCCGCTTCGATGCTCATGTTGCAGATGCTCATGCGCGCTTCCATGCTGAAGCTCCGGATCGCGCTCCCCGTGTACTCGATGACGGTGCCCGACGCTCCAGCCGCGCCGATCTCGCCGATGATGTGTAGGATCACGTCTTTGGAGGTGACACCCTCGGCTAGTGCGCCGTCGATGTTGATGCGCATGTTCTTGCTCTTCGTCTGCAGGAGGCACTGGGTGGCCAAGACGTGCTCGACCTCGGATGTGCCGATTCCGAACGCGAGGCAGCCGAACGCCCCATGTGCTAGCGGGAAACATCATGTTGATATCAGGGTGCTAGGCTTCAGTATGCCTAGCGACGTACTCGTCGTGTGTGAGTCACCGCAGACGCAGGTCGTACCGGGTAGCTAAGAAACAATGAGCAGGGTTATGCGTTACATTGGAAGGTGCCGCGCACCGTGAAACCTTGTTCTGGTCCTATGACATGGACAATTCCTGGGACCAAGTGGCATTAGCGACAATTGCTGATTCAATGGGGACGAGGCGACGTACCCTGCCTTTTGTCTTGCATGTTGAAGTATGTCAACCCGAACTCTGCGACATTCTGGTCCAATGCTTGACATTGAGCCAGAGCCTCTGGGTCCGTGACGTAGGAACTCAGCGAACGGAATGACTTTCGCGATACAGTTCTGATGAATCGATGCCCGAAGTCAGAATAGATGAGCCTACCAGAAGTTGTGCGACTTACGGAGTGTTATGGTCGACGGTCGCCAGAGTGCAATCCGGTCGACGGACACGACGACCAGCGAGGCGTCTGATCGTGGTGGACAGGCTTGTATCACATAGCCCGCAAGTATGAAATGCCAGAGAACTCACAACCCTTCGAACGCCTGCGGACTTGTTACTTCGTGAACAAGGTGACTGCATTCAACGCTTCCAGTCAGGCCACCAACAAGCGGACTATGGAGCAGTATAAAGACGTACCGATCAATATACAAGAGCGACGTCCCGTCTTCAAGCGTTTCTCTGTGAGACAACACGTGTCAAACAACTTGAAGGCGAACGTGTACAAGTGAATCAAAGGCGCACACGATATGTGAGTCCCAGATTTTGTCATAAAGGGTGCGTTTCTCAGAGACGGACATGGCTATCGATATGTGCGATCAACTTGAAGTATCCGCCAACACGCAATCACCCGGCCTCGAGCGTAACGTCTGGATTTATAGCGAGTGGGCTATAGATCGCAGGATTGTCATGCGTTCTCACCATGTCAATACAGCTGCCCAACCTGCGCGTGAGAGAAGTACGAGGTAACATACCATCGGAATACGTGCATACTCCAGAAGCCACTCCCGAACGCCGGTGAGAAGGCCGCCGTTCAAAATCCGATCACTATCGGTGTTCTGCTGGGCCATTGAACATCGGAGCAAAGCATCAGCCCCATTCAGCCTGAGCTCGAGGCGAGCTTAGATGATACGAGTCTAAGCAGAGCGAGGCACGAGCGTCACGTACATAGAAGTGAGTCTACGTACGCAGGAGGAGATTAGGCGCGCATCACTCCCTCGGAAGAGGGCGGCGCACGCCGCACGCTCAGTGCCTCGTTTGGCTCGATCCTCCTGCAGACTGATCTAGGTAAGTACCAACTTTCGAAGCGCTCTGGTCTCCCCTACCCTCCATTCCATTTTCATACAGCACGCGCCGCACAACAAGTCCTCTTCATCTTCTTCATTGGCTCAACCATCGATATAATCAGTGGACGAAGGGAAGGCCCGGGCTGGACTTTCGAAGTGGAGGAGGTTTGCGACGAAGTCATGACAGCCATGTCAATATGTACAAGACCGGTGCAGGATACGTTTCGTCTCCATTATAAGAGTTACCGAAGTTTGCACTGTATTCTGATCGGTTACATAGGAGGCTTCAACCGATTAACATAATCGATAGACTTGTTCAACAACGCGCACAACATGAGTCTCGACAGCTGATGTTGATGCAGAGGGTATTTGCGTTCCTACTAGAGGAGCGTGCTGGCCTGCGCAGATTACGCTTGCGAAAGACAACGGTGACTGATCTACAAGATCATATATTACGGACAAAGTCGTTCTTTCATCTCATCACGAGTATCGAGTGGAAGTCAGCCAGGAAAACTACTGATGTACTCTCTCCAATAGGACATGGAAATAAATAGAGAGCCCGGAGTATTACAGAAGAGACGCATGCACAAGAGAAGGCTTGCGCGCACAGATAATGTAGAATTTGATCTCTGCTCCCGGGGTCTCGTCCATCTCCCTCTCCACCTCGTCGAGGAGGGCGTCGAATTCCGTCTCAGAAGCAACAAAGCCATATCCTCCGCCATTGAGAATGGGAGTCTTCATGCCCCTGAACACACCAAGGAAGTTGTTCCGCGCGTCGATCCCCGGCTGCCCTGCCCAGCGGCCCATCGGCATCGTCCGCTCCTCGACAAAAACGTCGGTGAAACCAACCTCGCGGAGCACATCAGGGATGTGTGTGGCGCAGTCGAGCACGAGGTCCTTGTCGCGGAAGAGCGCCAGCAGCAGCGCGGTATGTCTCTCCGTCGCCGGGCCCGCCTTCCAGGGCCCGACCTCGCCGAGCTGCACCCATCCGCCAGGCTGCAGCACCCGGAAGATCTCTCTGAGCGCCTGAACCCACTCCGGCGAGCGCAGCGCCGCGACGAGCAGCCTCTGGTGGACGAGCTTAAAACGGGCGGTCCAGTCCTCCGGGAGGGAGGTGATGCTTCCGACGTGGAAATCGACGTTCCCTCGTGCGACGACGCGGGGGTCGTTCACGGGCCAAAGGCGAGACTCGATATCGACGGCGTGTACGGCGGTGGGCGCAGGTATCGACTCGATCGCGTCGAGCAACCAAGTACCTGCGTATATCGTTAGGTGTGAACACACAACGCTCTTGTTGACCGCCTTACCTGAGCCGGTCCCACTGTCCAGCACAGAGTCTTCTGGCGATATAATGACAGGTGGGAGGATCACTCGGTCCTCGAACACGCTTTTCAGCAATCGGTGCTGAAGGGAGAGCCTTGTGCATGTCGTCAGCGTGGTTTCGCCAGAGAATTCGCGGACACGGACCTCTCTCTCTCGGGTGCGTCGGAAGGCAGGACATAGTTCGAGCCTGGGTAGGACTGATAGGTCCTGCCCTGGTGCGCGATAGGTTGCGACTGGTTCTGACCGGGGGACCCTGTATCGACCATGGATTCGATCGTATGGGTGTGGTTGTAACACAATTGTTGCAGAGCTAGAGCTCGATGTGGGATGGGGACCACGGACCGTTCCTGCTTAAATCTCCCCGTAAGCCACTCCAGAGACCACTACAAGTATGTGACTAAACACGCGCCGCTTTCAAGTCGCCGGTACCGGTGAGACCGAACGTATTTGATCGGACGGTCTCATTCAGGTGTTTGAAGCGCGCAGGCGATGTACAGGCGAGTAGGCTGTTGACGTAGTGTTGCATGCGGGCCGTTGCATATACTGGAGCTCGGAACAGAAGCGTTGAAGTGCGAAGTGTCCCGTCCCTCAGGCCATTCGGACACTGACTGGTGGCCGACGCCTTGTAAAATACCAGCATGGCAACGCCTTGTCGTGCTTAGGATGCATTTGACGTTATCGAACATCCAGCCGATGGGCGCATCGAGTTTCGCCGGTCTGAAGTGATGATCAAGAAACATTGATACACCGTCACATCGCAAATCCCATCGATTCGGGATTCTATGTTTTTGCACGAGGAAGAAGTAACCGCTTCCTGAGCCCGGTCATCGACTTGAGCTGTACTCGGTACTCACGCGCACAGGCCAAGTCCCTCCCAAGGGTTCGACATTGCGCGTGCTCGCGGCGAGTGGGAAAGATCGTTCATCTAGTCACGAGTTTGAGCGAACTGCCTTCGTTGAGTATAAGTGGTTGGAACTACACGCCGGCACTGCGTCGCCTCCCCTATTCGCATTGCGTGTGGCAGTCTAGCAGAACGGTGGTCATCGCTCAGGTTGTCCGCTCATCTGCTATTGGATAGGCTGATGAATGGGCAACCTGAGCGATGGCCACTTCGGTAGCACCAGTTCCAGCGATGCGAGATAAGCCCACTATCTCGCCCATGCAAGGCTTGGAATGCCCTAGATGAAGGCTACAGTGGTATGTGGGTCAGCCCGTCCAAAGCGGATCGATTGATTCACAATTGGTATGCCTGACCTCCATGCGTCCATCGCCACGCTCGAGTGCCCGAGAGTCCCCACAGCACCGGTGTACTGTGCGTCGTACGCCGGGTGATGCGCCATGTTGGAGCGGGACGCAACTCACTAGACACCCGCACTCTAATTTCAAGAGGAGTAAATCAAGAATCGTCGCGGGGTTTTCTCCGTGTTGCGAGGTCATCTGTGCAGACAAGACCGAAAACGTCGTTAGCAGTGCTCCGCACGGTCATCTTACAAACGAGGCAAGCCACAGGTGCGGAACGAACCTCCTCGCAGAGCTTTCGGTATGAAGGAAATCCCCGTTTTTGCTTAGCTTGCCGGCTCAGGTCATCATACGCGACTATTGGTCGCAATGAAAAATGAGAGTAAACATCACTGTCATGATGATGTCTGAGGTGGGGCGGGTTCGAAGTCACTCACAACGGATATATCGAACAGCGGTGTTCAGCGAGTCTGCATTACGCGATTATGTTAGTACTGGAGTCTGACGTATAAGAGTGTGAGTTAAGCACTTTTCAGCTGAGTCGGTCACCTCAGCGCGTCTGAGTCAAGCATTCGGACGTGTTCGCCGACCCGGAGCCCATGTACCGAACCGCTCTTCAGCGAGACTCAGAGGATCTGCTTGCGAGAGACTAGCCGCAGTCAGCCAGCATCACACCGTGCAGAGCGTAGACAGCACAGGGATAAGCGGGAAGAGAGGGTCGGAACGCACGTTGGAAAGAGCGACACGTCCTTGGCTCAGGCTCGTCAGCGCTTGATCGGCTTTCGAATGGATGCTGCACGATCTGTCGTGCCATGGCCGATCCCTGCAATAGGTTCAAGACATTCAGCAGCGGGTGCATCTTCGATAGCTCTAAGCATACGTTGCAATACTACGTGGTAGTGGTGTTCCGCCTTGCAAGCTAAGTATGAACCTTTGTACTAGGTCATCGTGTGCGTTACTACAGAGTGTGTCATCGACACTCACCTCACAGGCTGGCATATTAGCATGGTCGGTTCACGCCGTTCGATGCGTCGTTGTAGTTGCAGACCTAGCAATGCGGTGTTTGACAGGCTCGCGGTGATTCCGGGTGAAGTGTGTCGTTTCGCTGAAGCAGTCAAGTGCGAAAGTAATCGCCTCCTAGACATTGAACTGTCTCTGCCAGTATTTCACTTAGCAGTTGAGCGAGGTCGAGTTGGATGACCAGGATCGTAGATCAATTCAGTATGTACGGTTTGGGCGTTTGTGCCTGTTTGCGCTACGCGGCAAAAGCCGCCACGCGCCTCGGTCACGTTCCGTCCCGTCATCGGAAAATTTGGGTGCTGTTTCGTGAGCGGCCATAGGCGGTTATAAACGGCGCAACTGCGAAAATCTTGGCGGGGTAGTAAGAAGCAGTTATAAAAGCGGCACGGTTGCGATGAGCGATTACAATCACGCGCGGCGCGCGTTATAATCACTCGCGCACCAGAAAACAATCACGATATAACCGCATACTTTCGCATCCAGTTCAGTTACAGTCGATTACGGTACAGTACCCCTGCGTACTACGACAAAACATTTCTCTCGCCTGGCCACCGTCTTTCTCCTCCTTTCTCTTTTCCTTTATTTCATTCCCGCTGCGGCTCCTACTCTTACTCTTACTCTTGCCGGTTCCTTACTCGACTCACTGAACACTGAAAGGGCACTCGGACCGCTTAAACTCAGACCGGGATTCGAACGCGCGCGCACGAAATATATTCGGAGTGCTAAAATACAAACGCTACAGACAACTACACTAAAGGGTCCTTGATAGAGAAGATATGTCACGCACTATATGATGTCAATCCCGCCCACGCGTGCTCACCGCCTATCGCGCATACATCGACTCGCACTCGCGCTGAGCGCACTCTGCGCGTACATCGACTCCGACGGACTCGCAGCCTCTGATCTTGACACTCTCTTGGGCCGTCTTGGGACTCGGCAGCTTCCTGATCCAACCGGGACCTCTGGGGACTGAAACCTCTGTACTAGAATGACCTCGCGCAAGAAGCCGACCAAGGCGACGAAGCTACCCAAGGCAACAGCAGCGAAGACGAATGGCAAGGGGAAAAAGAAACAGGATGCCGGCAATTCTCAGCCCACTGGCAACTCACAAGAGCCTCAGGCTGCGCAAATGGAACCACTGCAGGCTCGTGCTTCTTCTCGCCGTGGCCACTCTCGTTCGTTCTCGCCTCGCAGGCCTGGTACTAGCTCTGGGCGACTGGCTACGACACGACGATCGTCGACGCTGCGTCTCAACGAATCGCCTCCCAGGGAGGCCTCTGCATCAACACGCGAGCGCGTCGACGCCAACCGCCGTGCGCGAAACGTTTCCCGGCACGAGAGCGGACCTCCACGGCAAGACAGCGATGTTCGTCGGCGGGAGAGTGAACCTCGGCGTCGGGAAAGTGCTGGCGCTTTTCGTCGACGGGAGAGTGCGGCTCGACAGCGGGGGGTGCGACAGCGGGAGAGTGAAGCTCGAGGGCGGGAGGTGCAACGGCGGGAGAGTCACGATGCTCGACAGCGGGAGGTGCAACGGCGGGAGAGTGGGGCTCGAGGGCGGGTGGTGCAACGACGGGAGAGCGAAGACCAGCGACAAGCAGTAAGCTACAACTATCGTGATTGACCAATACTAACTCTTGTGGTAGGAACATCGACAGCTCCGTGAGCAGTTGATGGCGCAGCAACAAGAGCTGCTCCGCGTCCGGCGCAGAAATGCCGAGATTCAAGCACGGCTTGCAGAGCATCAACAAGCTCGGAAACGTGTTCGAGAAGACAACGACAGCGCGAATGGTAACGACGAAGACGGTACTGTACAAGCAAAGAAGCCAAGACTCTCATCCACGGAGCCCGACAACGATGAGTCCACTGTCCTGGCTGCGCTGGTCCGAAGATGCGGAAAGCGATTCGCAACGATCATCAAGCCGTGGATCGCACCCGACGTGTGGATGCACGTGCGCAAGAGAGCAAAGAAGGCAGCCGCGCATATGAAGACCCGTGCAGGGGAAGCCCAGGACAAGGACGAGGATGAAGACGAAAGTAGCGAGGAGAGTGGTCTGGATGGAGACGACGACATCGGAGACGAAGAGCGTGCACAACGGCAAGAGACCCTTGCCGAGCGAAAGGCCGATGCTCGCAAGATATGGCGCAGCACGCCAGCAGAGCTACGCGTTCATATGCGCGAGCAGTGGTTTGCGACTCAGGTATGTGATAAGTCAGTTGTTGGTGGTGTAACTCATATCGTTCCAGTGGAAGCTCGGGATGCGCCAGGCTCGGTCGCTAGCTGTCCTGAACGTAGCCGACAATGCGCGCGGCGTGTTTGACATCATGGACAAGGACTTCGAAGACAAGGGTACCCGCGTCAACCTGCCAGAGGTTCAAGCCCTCTACAAAGAGAAACAGTTCCTGTACAGCGGGGCACCAGGCAAGGCCGACGGACACCTGTGGCATCCGTGCATCGTCAATGTGAGTGTTCTGTGCAATGCCATCATTTGTACTTATCCTTCGGAAGGCCTGCGTACAAATTCTAAATGGGAAGAAGGCGCTGCACGCCGCAAAGAAGAACACAAAGACACGCAGTACGAATGCTCAGTTGTGGGGTATGGATGGCTTGAATCATGCTGCGATTGCATTCGGAGCAACCTGTGTACGATTTAACCTATATCTGCGACTTAAGCTGATATGTTCTTCTAGGTATACTTCGTTCTCTCGGGCGAAGGCGAATTTGTGGAGACTACACCCGGAGGACTTGACTTCGGCAAGTTCTGGCGCGCTCGGGTCGAGTTTCTTGAGGGACTGGCTACGAAGTTTCCGCGTAAGTATACCAAACTCATGGCACATTTCAACGATGCTGTGTTCCCTGAACACAACAGTAATGTTGTGGAGGAGAATGACCAGGACGAGGTTGCCCTGCAGAAGGACCTTGCTATGTTGGTAGATGATGACGACTCGGAGTAGTGCCCCGGATGTAAAACTGTGTAGTAAAATGGAGATGATTTTCTTGCTCAGCGACGAGTATGGAGTAGACGTAAGTACATGTCACCATCTAGCAGATCTTGAACAGTGAACCGAAGATTCAGTGAGGTAGGAGGAAGGATGTGTACAGCACGTATGAAGCTCTTGATTGAGATGATCTCATACCCAGTAAATTCTTTCAGTTCAAGGTAGTCAGTAAGTGAGTTGCGACCAAGTCCAACATAAATCCCAACAAAGGCAAGGTGAAGGAGCTCAGTGCCCACTTTGAGAGTAAAGAGAGATATGACCTTTGCAAACCAATGTGACTGAGCTTGCCTCCCCTGTATCACAACACAGTCATGGCGTGGACCCTTGTGTCGCCAGTTTGGAGCAACATGAATGATGTCGTCTTTCTCCTGTGCTGTCACTTCACATATGTAGGGAATCCGTGCAGCATGGTGTGGAACAACCTGTCCAATGCAGATTTTATAAAATGAAAATACAACAAATATAAGGAAGGGCTTACACGGCATGCATCAAGGTTGATATCCTCAAGTGAAAGCTGGGCCACATGGCCAAGGTAGTGCTGAAGTTGCTGATTGAAACGATCAGGGGGTATGATGTTGTGCAGGTTGTGTCTGAAGGCATGGATCTGAATTGAGCGCTGGGGTGACCCAAGACGTATATCCCTGATGGGGGAATGCTCATCCTTTGGGATGTCAGTTTCATCATCATGCTGGTCTACTCGGTGTCGGATATGCATGATAACATCACGCTCCTGGGCTTTGCGGAACATCTGAAATATTTATGAGTATGAGACAGATATATGTAAATGCACATACCTGATCCTCTGCAGTGTCAGGCTGGTGATTGGTACCACGCCAATCTGACTTCACGACTGGATGCAAGGCCTCGCCCATGTCTGTGAAACCATTGCTGGCAGCTCCTTTGCGCTTGAGCAACTCCACAGCATGCTTGAAAGAATGTTGTTTTGGCCAACCAAAGGCAATGCCTAGGCCAGCCTCCTCAAGTGCCTGTGGCAAATCTGTTATTACTGTAATCATCACTAGAAATAGTACATACCTTGCATGCCTCACCATATTTGTCAATCTGGGCTTCCAATAGCTCCAGTGTAGCCTCTGTCTGAACCTCCAGGCGGATGAGAAGGAGTACACAAGCCAGAGAACGAAGAACTGGCATAACCAAGGCCTCATGCACAGGGGAAATCCCAGCCATACGAGGCGCCAAATACTAGAGCATTGTCCAGTAAATGAATAAATTGGCACATAACAAATTGCACTCACCCTCAGTATAGCATTATGTTCACGTGCAGTGATGTACTTCAGGGAGGTAATACCACCATGAAAATGGGGTATGTTGGGGAAGGGAGGAATGGACTTGAAACTGAGGAAACACCAATTGTCAGCAATATGAATAAGACATGGCATAGACTTACTTCTGATCAAGGTCTTGTTGTGCATATGCATTGAGAACTGTATCAAGCAGCCAGGGCCATATGTGCTGGCCATAGGCACCTTGCTCAATCTGATGCAAAGGGTCCACAGAGAATGCAGAGAATATGCAGAGAAACCATCCAAAGATGAGCAGGAAAAGATTCTGACAGTACAATTTAGGTTATGCTATATTAAGAGTGAGGATACATACTTGGATATTGCGCAGCGATTGTTCTCCAAGCTTTTTCTTTTGCCTAGTCTTGTTTGGCATACTGGCTGCCTCTAAGAGGAGCTGCTCAGTTCCCTTCTTAGTGCGCTTTGGCCATGAGACCCTGCTGCAGAGGTCACCAAGAGAGCCACGAGGCACTAGGCATACTGGGCAAGCATGTTCACTCTGTGAGCCCAAGATGCCAGCAGCTCGAGCACTGAGCTATATCAATACTCATAATGAGGAGTAAATATGGAAAGCCTCACGCTTCTTCATAATCCATTGCTGCAACAGCCAGGCAATAGACTCCAGTCTTTGGGTCAGGATCAGCCTCAAAGGGAGTTCCATACTGAGCAGCAAGCTTGCAGTTCTCAAAGATCCGTGCTATCGCGGCTTGATACACTTCAACCCGGTGCTCCGCCAGGCGGCTTGAATTGTCTGCTCTCTCGCCAGGAACCTGGTTACCATTAGTAAACTGGATTCATCAATCAACCAATCATACCTTTGGAAGAAACCCGACGAGGATTGCACGACCTTTCTTGTTGCTAAGGCGCATGCTGCGGGGGTTATTACCGATCCACACGTAGGCATTCCACGCCTTGGCAGTCCCGAAAGAATTCAGGGCTGTTGCGTCCGAGTAGAATATCAGGTATATGACCACTCGGTCTGGTCCTACGGAGTTCTAAAACAGTGTGAGTTCAATAGCTCTTTTCTATACATCGAAACGTACCTGAAGATCCCACCAGTCGTCCGCAGTATGTGCCTCTGACCAGACTCGCATGTTGTTTGCAGTTCCTGGACGGCGTACATAATGCTGTTCGGGGTACCAAACCTTACTCGAACGTGTACCCTTGTCCTCCAGTGATTGCAGCAAGACTTCGTTGGCATCACGCCATCGGAAATCGTAGCTACGATCATCTTCCCCTTCAAAGGGTAGAGTTAGAGTCCCCTTGGAGAACTGTAGTATAGATCAGCACACACTTCGCAGACAACGTGACAGTAGTACATACAGAGTCAAGATTGACAGTCAGGAGACCAATGTCCAATATCGTATGTATCTCAGCAGCATTCTTCAATGTGATCTGTGTACTCGCAGAGCTCTGATGGATGAGCCGGAGCTGCTGATTGATGTAGGAGTCCGTGCAATGGTAGCGGACAAACAGCTCGGCCTGCTCAAAGTCTGCACGCGTATGGAACGGCGCCCATGGAAGCGCCTCCGCATCCTCAGGACGGGCTGCATCGAGGGCGGAACCATACACTGCGCCTGGATCCGGAAGCCTAGAGCCCAGCACAGCAGGCCTCACATGGCCGTCCCGCGAGACGATGCTAGCTGGACGACGGGCGTGCGGGTGATAGACAATCAGTGTCTCGCCATGTCCAAGGGGGACCGACACAGGATCGAGTGCATCCGGTGTCTGAGCTGACGACACCGAGGGTTGGTTGGGCCGGTCAAGCGACATGTTGTCCATGGCACGAACCACATCGGGGATCGAAGGGTTCCCTACCGGAGACGCAAGACGGAAAGGCCCATCTTGTTGTGGGATTAGTGAGTAGCTGTCAAGATCGTAGAGCTCGCACGTACCATGCTCAGAGCGATGGTCTTGTCGGATGTCATCCGTGCCTCGCCGAGACAACCCTTCGTCGACAGCAGGGCGAGGGCTACTCATGGGATGATCTTCGAGATCGTGCTCCTCCTGTTATAATGATAATGTAAGCAAGTGCAAGGAGAACTCGGATGCACCTACAACATCTTGCGTAAGTGAGCTTTGAGCCGCAAGCTTACGCCGCAGGCGATCGACGTCGCGTTTCTTCTTGGCGTTCTTCTCGCATGCCGTCCAGTGCTTCTCCGAGCCGCCGTGATGACGCGCAAACCATTTTCTGCAGAGAGGGCATTGCCAGTCAAGTGTTGCCACCGTCGTGCCGGCCTGTACCCGGCGCCGTCGAGCATCATTATGTTCGCGTTGTTTCTCATGACGTGTTCGAGCCATGACACTCTGCCAACGAGTGGTCAGCTACCCAGGGCATCCTTTTACCCAAATAATAACATACCTATTCCCTTCCCAGCAGCTCGAGACCTGGACGTTTCCGTCACGGCAGTACCAATGCTCAACAGCGTACTCTGCTCTGCCAGCGGCGATTGCTTTGCGCGACTGAGATCTGTGCAGAGTAAGCATTTATCACCCTCTCGCAACCATACGAAGACCGTGGTACTCACCGACACCCGCAATCGAGCCACTGAGACAACAGCCGTGAAGCTATCGTCAACAACGAGGAAGGCAAGGAAGGTCGGCGCTAGTAATCGGGGTCGCGGTGATTATTGACGCTCGTAGCCGCCGCGCCAATGATTATCGACGATTGTGGCTCAATTATGACCGGACCGCATTGATTTGAACGCGTAAGTACTACTCATAACCTCTGCCCTCTGTAGTTATAATTCGCGCAACTGCGGCGAACGATTATGATGTCGAACCAAATTTCCCGATGGTGTCTGTCTCCTCCTTTCAGTTTCACCGCTGGCCAGCTACCCGCCGTACGAACCAGAAAGGCTTATTTTCGGACTCTGCGCCTCATAGTCAGCACCATGCAGGTGTCAACGAGGTTATACTGACGACTGAACTCGCGAACAAAACTCACCGGCGCCGGAAGCGGCAAGCGCCCGCGGTTGCTGCGCTAGTAGTACGAAGGAGGGGGGATTCCATCCATTTACGCATTCCTTGCCATGCGTGACAGTACTCAATATTAATGAGGCCTCGAGGTCTCTGAAGGCGTATGTATGGTGCGTCTGCGTCTGCACCACTAGTTTGTCTGCCGAGATGCTTGCTCGCTCGCCCTCTTCCTAGCTCACGGGACCACCTGCTCTCCATTGCTTTCTCGTTAGCTCATTTTCTCTTGCTTGCTCGCCCGCCTGCCTGCTTGCTTGCTCGCCCACTCGTCCGATGGGTCTTCCGCCCAGTCTCGCATTATCTCAGGGATCTCGTCGCAAAGGACAAGAACGGCCTCAGTGACCTGTCGGTGTGCAACTTCCTCTCCGCAGCGTGGCCGCACGCGACTCGTGGACCCCGTGTGTCCGTCTCGCTTGCTCGGTGTATCGTGCTGACTCACTTCTGTTCGCGCTATCCAGGTTCGTCGTGCCACTGGATGCGTCGAAACGGCTCGCATCACACATGCGCACGTTGATTGCAAGGTATGAATCGCTCGGGATGGCGGTGCCGCGCACGTCTGACGCGTGCATGAAGAACCACCGTCGCTCTCCCTGGGCTTTCCGCTCCCCCCGGGCACCTGGCCGCCGCAGTTCGACGCGTCCATCCCCGAGAAATGCCATGCACCGTTCTCCACGCAGTGGATCACGTCGTACTTTGACCACGGGAACCTCTCGACGCGCGACACGGACGTCCTTCACATCGTCTCCTCCGTGTCACACCGTCCGTCGATCTACACCATGTCCGATGAACGCAGCGGAGGTTTCGTGCAGTGCAAGATGATTCCGGGCATGAGTAACCTCGTGCGTGGGCGTAGACGAGTCCCTGTTCTACCTACTGACTGACGAACTGAAGATGCACACGTCGGACATCAACCCGCGCACAAAGCACCGCAGAGACCCTGAGAAGGCCGCTCAGGCATATTTTGAAGCACTGGCGTAGGGCATGGTCATATGGTGAACGCCGTCCAAGTAGTATGAATGATATTTGCCAATCGAGATCGCTCGTTATCTGCCGTCGCCTCTACCACCTAGACTCCATTCCATCGCGTATATATCATTGACGTGTCGTCAGCTCGGATGGGACATATACGAGGCCCAAGGCAACTATATTCCTATGGCACTGAGGGAGGATGGGATCGTCGGACAGGGTGGCCTTCGGTGAACCCTTCCAACGTCTCTGGGCGCGGTCGTATGTAGATAGCATCGCCGCGCCGGGCTAGGAGAATTGTCAGAAGCGGGGACTGGCAGGAAGGGGTCTCAGCGACATCGACACTTGCATTTGGACCCTCGGAAAGAGCTCGGTCGGCATTGGCGAGGAGCAATACACCGAGCTTACGTGCAAGACGCTCGTCGCTGATGCCGCTGCCGTCCGTGCTCTGCGGGGGGGCGGCGTCTTCAGCGGGCGCGACGACGATAAGCCGCTCCGCCTTGTCTCCTTCAAGATGGCGGACCCGAGTCCGAATCTGTCAGATATGGGCGCGAGTCAAGGTGAGCCAAATGCGTGCTCTGAGTGTTGAACGTTGAACGTTAAGCGCTGACGAACCACTGACCTCAGGCCTCAGGCTGAGGTACGAAGGGCCAAGCGGAGAACGCGCTAACCGAGTTTGGCCGGTCTGAACCGAACTTAGAGGTGCACATCATCCGGCAGGGATACTTCTTTCCTTCAAAACACTAGTACCCTGCCGGTCTTCAACATCATGTAACCATCAACGTCGGCTGGTATCGAGGCTCAAGCGCTCATGGACTACGCCAGGGTCAGTGTAGCGTGCAAGTCTTAACACGGTTGTAGTAACTGTTATGATGGCATCATGTGGTGTTCCACGGACTGGGTCACTACAGATGGGTTCGACGTGCAATTTGGCACAAACGTGGTCAGTAGGTACGATAACACTGAAGCCTTATGTTCGCTCAATTCATCGTGACCGACAGGCTACTAACGAGAGCTTCCTTGCTCGTGTCCTTCTCTAGTTACTCGATCGCCGCTGACGGCTTGTCTTTGTTACGAGATGCCATGTACACCTGGGCATTACGCTGGAGTAGAGCTTGGATCCGACGTTCATACACTCAGGTATTCGAAACAAGGCTGGTGCAACTTACTGTGACCGTGTGCCAGCGCCTACCGACACATCCGCATTCCCCGTGCTTATTTCGTAAAACCAGGGCCGTCGAATCTACTCACCAGTGACTATCACGGTTTGGCCAGACTTGTCTAGGATGTCATTTACGGGTTTTTGGGGTTTCCGGGAAATAAACGCCTCGCAACGGCAAAGAGATGTCTGATTTCCGCCAGCATACTGCCCATGGTGTCGACCAGTCGGAGAGTTTAATCACAGGAGTGACGAGACGGCCCGAGCGGCGTCTGGAAGACGCAGTGCGAGCGAGGGCGGCAAGTTTCAGAAATATATGGTCCGAGTATTGCACTGGCATACAGTAACATAGCTGCTTCGTGGGGAATGGGTGTGCCGCGACTCGCAGGAGAAGCCTCTGACACTGACAGCCTAAGGCGTCGAACCAGATCTCCGATTCTTGAGCGCCTGGGCACCCGGACCCAATCGGTGATCGGGATCTGAAAGCTTTCGATGCTGGTGGGCGCTACCAGCTTACCACGTCCACGGCCTCCTCTGACACACACTTATGCTGTTACGGTCATGTCGCAACCACTCGTCGGACATGCGTTTGGTGTGCGGGATGTCCTCCGGAAGAGACGACCGCTCTCTAAATGCTGTCCGTAAGACAGCCTTCCGACTTCTACCGCCTACTTGAACCTTCTAGCTAAGTTCTTTTCAGTCCCGAGCTATGTTGGCTTTTGACGTCCTGATGTCCCGGTCATCCTCAGGCCTCAGTCGTCACGCGTCACAGCTGCTTGCATAACGATAGACATCCCCGGGGTGTTGTGCATGCAGAAGGACTCTCAAAACGACGCCTTGCTTGAGAGCAAGCGCCACCCTCCGTCGCGGCCATTGGCCGCGCAACATCGTTAACAATTGCGGCGGATGGAGCATCAACCATATGTATAACAGATGATGGGTGTCTAACGTTACTCAAATGACTGCAAAGCTCTGGAATTTGACGAGTGAGTGGCTCGGCTAGGTATACTCTCTCAACAACGTTGAGGTGAGCGTTCGCTGCTCATACAGACCGAAGTTCCGCGCCGGACACTGGTGCGGTCCATATCCGGAAGGAAACCAATGTCCGTCACTCGATGCCTCCTCGCCCAAGGAGCGGTCTGGAACGAATACGTCCGGCTTCGCCCAATCTCTTGGATTTCGCCAGATTGCGCACATGTTCAAGACGACTGGGGTATCTGGAGGCAGGACGTATGAGCCGACGCTGAGCGGGACGTCCGCTACTCGCGGAATGGTGACATTCGCAGGAACGCTCAGGCTGTCAGGAGCGACATACGGGTGAAGCAGACCACTGCCAGCTCTTCCCCTGAACGGATAATGGTTAGGACCTCTTCGTGCACGCGCTGTTGAGTCTCGGGATAGATGCCATGATAGGAAAATGCTGGTAGATAGTACCCCGTTATCGAATTCTGCACGGTATGTCAAAGTCGCCGTCTCGTTTCAAGACGACACTCGCATGTTCGTCTATGAACAGCACGACAATGTTGTCCTTGAGGTAGTTCTCAGTCATAGCCGGCTCTGCATACATGTACGTGATATTCCTTGGGTCACTCTTCTTCCTCGCCACTGATACGTAGACCATCTCATAGCCCATCTTGATGTTCACCATGTCCCGCAGTTGAATTCTGGACGAACCATGATATCATAGTCTGCTTCGGAGATTTAATATCGAACTTGCATGGGCGGCCTCTCGAACGAAACACCCAGAAAGCCATCGGAGCGATGGTGGCTCCATTTTGACTTTGTCAGAACTTAGAAAATACTTTCAGGATGCGCCACCCACCATTGAAGTACACACTCGACGCCCATGGCGGCTATGACCCAGACTTGCTCGGAATCGCCGTACTGCTGCTCAACAGGGGCGAGCTGCCCGTCAATTTCGAACTCGGTATGCCGTCACCCTGCCACCTATGACAGAGAGTTGATCCAACAATCACACGTTTCGCGCTAGCTTATATAGCAAATGGTATACAGCGCTTTGAGCACCTACTAGCTCCGGTGAAGTCGATTGAGTGGGTCGCGCCAGGAGGAGAGGTCTTCTTGCCGCAGGCTCATGTTATGCACTGGCATATGGTTTGGCATGTCACTAGAATCCGCCAACCAGCGTTGTGAGACTTCCATCATGATTATTTTGCACTGCAACACGATGTACTACTTATTATCCGCTCAGGTCGGTGGCGCTTAGGACTCCGCAATGGGTATGGAATGGCAGGAATGGGGGATCGTGCGGTTGTGTTGCTTGCGGCCGTGGGTTTCTCGCGCTTCAGTTGCATTCATTACTCTCTGATGACGATGTGATAGCTAATTCCATATTGCTAGACTCGTACCCCTCGCCAAAGAGTGTGTACAGGCGGGGTTCGTCGGCTTTGGTACTCCCTTCATCAACAAACTGCCATACTAACAAGCAGTGTGTAGGGCGGACTACACCGATAATTGAAGCTGACTTCGACTGGAAGAGCGTGCGGCCCGACACCCTCCGCCTGTACACATTTTCTCGGGAGGAGGTCTAGCGATATGGAATTAGCTGGAACATAAAGTTTCAGACGAACAATACTGCATGGGGCACAATGATCGATCCCGGCCCGCGATGTCTTGCTTGCCACCCAATGGTCTTGACACAAGTGGCCAGAACACTCATTGATGTACTTCAGTATTCTATGAAGGGAAGCTAGTAGGATGCCGCGTCGTCAGTCCGATATATTGTCACACGAGAATGGCTGATCTGACGAACGATTGTGTGTGACAGAAGATACCCATTACAAGCTCAGTGGCTACGGAACTTCACAACTCAGGGTGCAGTATGTGCTTTTGAAATGGCTTACTCATGTCTGTACGCCCTAGGACCCAGATCCGACGGTTCGGACAAGCTCATATTTCGTATAGCCTTGCTCACCTGTGGAAGTCTACAATGGAATGAACATTACGCTGTGAGTGCTCCACCTGCGCCTTGAGTGCCCACGTCAAGCCTATATAAGGCCGTCGTCGTACCAATATCGCAATACTACCAGCATCCACTTGCACCATGTCTCCGCTGCCTCTGTTCACCGTCTTGATCCTTGACCTCGGAGACGTTCTCCTCCACTGGTCTCCAGACACCAAGACCAGAGTTCCACGCCTCCTCCTCCGAGATATGCTATCCTCTGGGACTTGGATGGATTATGAACGAGGTCGTCTCTCCCAAGGTGATTGCTACGCGCGTCTTGCTGTCGACTTCTCACTTGATGTGGGGGACATTGCGTTGGCCTTCGAACAGGCCCGACACTCGCTGCATGTCAATGCGGACCTGGGGTCCCTGATTCAAGAGCTGAAATCGTCCGACGACACCTTACGGGTGTATGTCATGTCCAACATATCCATCCCCGATTACGACTTCGTCCGCCGCATGCCTTTCGAATGGTCGATCTTCGATGGTTTCTTCCCGTCCGGGCTCGTCGGAGAACGCAAACCAGACAAAGGGATATACGAATACCTCGTCGAGAAGACAGGTATTGATCCCAGTTCTGCCGTTTTCGTCGATGACAAAACGGACAACGTCTCGACCGCGCGTTCCTTGGGAATGTACGGGGTTGTGTTCGACTCTGCGGCCAAGGTCGAGGCGACGCTGCGTGAATTGTTCTCAGGTCCTCTGCAGAGAGCGTCCCGTTTCATGCGGGCGAACGCAGGAAAACTGGACTCCGTGACGGACAATGGTCACGTCTGCAAGGAGAATTTCGCTCAATTGATGATATTGGAAGTGCTGGATGACGAGTAAGTGTTGATTACACCGATACAAGCCATTGACATATCAGCGACAGGAGTTTGACAGTTTTGACCGAATCACCCTCAGGTTCCACGTGGAACTTCTTCCAGGGTGAGGATGTATCTCGGACATGTCTAGCATTTCACTCACATCTTTCGCACGACAGGAAAACCCCTGTTCACAGATGTGTTTCCCGATGACATGGATACAACCTCTCTGGCGTATACTGTCCTGAAGCACGACCATCACTTGATCATGAGAGTGATGGACGAGATGTTGCAATGGACAGACGATAGAGGGATTCTCTTAGTAAGCCTCTTATTCGACGGCGCTCACCCAGTGCTAATGCACTCTGCAGACATACTTCGACAACACTCGGCGTCGTACCGACCCATTCGTGAACGTGAACGTTCTTACGCTCTTCTTCAGACACGGTCGGGGAAACCAACTGGCCCGTTCCCTCGACTGGGTTATCGACGTTCTTGTTCATCGCTCCTACATGGATGGGTCGAGGTACTACACATCGCCAGATGCGTACCTGTACTTCATGAGCCGACTGCTCGCTTCTCCTTTCGATCCAGCCCTCCATGGACGAGCGATGCCCATATTCGTGGAGCGCGTGCAAGAGCGGATTGACGCTCCCGGAGATCCGACGGAGCTCGCCATGCGAGTGATAGTCTGTTGCAGGCTCGGGATTGATAACGCGGTGGACCTCCAGAAATTGCTCGCGATGCAGCTTCGGGACGGAGGATGGGGCGTAGGATGGCTGTATAAATATGGCTCTTCTGGCATCAAGCTTGGAAACCGGGGCTTGACGACAGCATTGGCCATCACCGCCATCGAACTAGCATCTATGCAAAAAACAACCCGGTTGTAGGCCTGGTCAGTGGATTCTATTCTTATCAGTCGACGCTGATATACTTACGCAGCCCTTGAACCCATGTATGCAGCTACGCGAAATCATCTTTCACCTGGCGCCCTCTACCTCATTGCTTCTTAACGAACTCTCTACTCTCGATACTCTACCATTCCGATACTACCGCTCTCGACTCTACCGGCGCGGTGACGACGAACTGGAAGGCCGCGATGCGGACCGGCCGTAGGGCAAGGCGAGCGCCGTCGAGTTCGAGTGCCGCACCTATCAGCCGCTGGCACCCGGACAGGTATCCATCTTGTTCCATTCACACTATGTACCCTTCTTTTCGAAGTCTTTATGCCTTCCTTCTGTGTCATACGATCGCTCGTCCTTGAAGCTTGAAGCCAGTGATCAGTCGACTAGCTTCACTCGCTACATTTCGGGTTCGAACTTTGTTCTCTTCTCCAGTACCCCTTGCAGCTTATTGCTCTCGCTCGTATCTGTCTGTATGTGTATATAGAGGGCTGCGCCGCCCATCTCAATTCCGAAGCTGCATACCTCCCACCAGCTCACCCTTCTCTCTTCTTGCGAAGCAGGCTGCTGTTTGGTCCGGCCCGTCCGTCTTCGAGCGCCTCGTTTGCTACACCGACATTGTACAAACTCACGCGGCTGTCATGGCTTCATCGCAAACCTCCTCCATCGCGTCTAGCCTTCCCGTCGTGACTCGTGCATGTATCGCATGATGGTTGAACCTGTCGAAACAGCTGTCGGACTCTCTCAGTAACCCGTCAGCCAGCGCCAAGATACATAGATGAGCCTTAATGCATCATTGACATGAATCCGTGTGTCGTGTTTGTTTGCACTCAGCGCGATCAGTGGGCAAGCACCCACTGCTTATACTATAGGTCAGTGCACTCAGGCTGTCTACCCTGCTTTGATGCAGATCAAGTGTCATGAAGCCAGTCTTCGTTGTTGTTGAGCTGGCATATTGGCATGGTCGGTTCACGCCGTCCGATGCGTTCAATGCATTGCGTTGTTTGAGTTGCAGACCTAGCAATGCGGTGTTTGACAGACATTGAATTGTCACTGCCACCAGTATATCACTTAGCAGTTGGGCGAGGTCGAGTTGGGTGACCAGGATCGTAGATCAACTCAGTATGTACGGTTTGGGCGTTTGTCACTTTGTGCCTGTTTGCGCTATGCGACAAAAGCCGCCACGCGCCTCGGTCCCGTGTCTGGCTCCTCCTACCACCGCTGGCCAGCTACTCGCCGTACGGACTAGTAAGGCCTTTTATCGGACTCTGCACCTCACAACCATCACCATGCAGGTGCCAAGGAGGCCATACTGACGACTGAACGCTCGAGCAAAACTCACCGGCACCGGAAGTGGCAAGTGCCCGCGGTTGCCGCGCTACGGAGGAGGAGGAGGAGGAGGAGGAGGAGGGGGAAGGAGGGGGATTCCATTTATCCACCACACTTGAGCGCTGCATTCCTTGCCACGCTTGACAATGACCAATATTAATGAGGCCTCGAGGTCTCTGAAGGCGTACTGTATGTATGGTGAGTCTGCGTCTGCACAACTAGTTTACCTGCCGAGATGCTCGCTCGCTCGCCCGACGTTCACTTGGGTCGCCTGCTCTCGCCCTCTTCCTAAGATCACGGGACCGCCTGCTCACCTGCTCTCCATCGCTCTCTCGTTCGCTCACTTTCTCATGCTAGCTTGCCCGCCTGCCTGCTCGCTCGCCCACTCGTCCGATGACCTGCCCGCCCAGTCTCGCATTCTTGCCCTCTCACCTATGGCCCCTCGAATGTGCCCCCCTCTCGCTAGTGCTCCCGTCTACTCGTTTGGTCACCTGCTCGCCCACTCGCCCATGCGGTCACCCACGCACCTACTTGCCCGTGGACCTACTTGCCCGTGGACTCGCTCGCCCGGGCTCACGCTCTCCCACTTGCCCGTGGACCCCCGGACTCGCCTTCGCTCCTGCGGAACCCGTACCTGCGGTTGCGGGTCTGTACCCGGGCGGGCAAGGATACAAGTCGAGCTCGGGATACCCATGGGTATTCCTGTGCTCGGCCCTACGGCATCTGATGTATGGGCAGGTGCCTCGGAGAAAGATCACGGAGACCTCTCAACGCGCGGCACGGACGTCCTCCCCCACATCATCTCCTCCGTGTCCCGCCGTCCGTCGATCTACACCATGTCCCGCGAGGACCGGCGGGAGTTCATCGAGGAAGTCTCGGAGTGTTCAGTCTTGCGAGGGCAAGTACTGTGCCCCATGCTCTCGCCACGTACCGCAGAGCGTGCTTCGACTGCGCCGCGCGTGCGCGGCTCGCGGACCTGAAGGTGTGGTTCTTGACGGGCGATGTTACCTGCCCTTTCCCGATCACGGCGTTCTGGGCGGTTCAGGATGATGATAGAGAACGCGGTGGAGGTTTCGTGGACTACAAGATGTTACTGGGCATTAACCACTTCGTGCGTGGGCGTCGACGAGTTCCGGTTCTACTGACTGTCCATCTGTAGATGCACTGGGACGACCCTGAGAAGGCCGTTCAGGTCTATCTCGAGGCACTGGCGTAAGGCATGGGTCGACAGACGGCGAGCCTCGTGCCGATTGTACAATATGCAAGGGTGTTCATTTGTTATGTGGGCTGTTGTGGGCTTGACTCCCAGTCATACTGAAGATGGCAGAGATTCAATTGTTCCGTCTCCCGTACCGCGACTTGAAATTGCAACGGCATTGCATCGACTAAGTACGTCGGTGATCCTCATAACGCTAATCAATGCTACCACACCTCGTACACGCCGGGGGCTCACGAAAGGAAGAAGTAAGTAGGATCGATACAAACGTCTTGTATCGCGTCTACATACACAGACAACGCGACGAGCAAGTCGTCTGAAACAGGTATATGGCTGCTTGTACTCAGCGTTGCGATGTTCCCGACGAACACAGTCCTGGTCAAGGATGGCTTCAGCCGAGATAATACAGGCTTCCCATTGAGCACACCGAAGCAGGTCATGGCGTACCAAATGATGCTCGATCTGGAGTGAGCAACTTGATCAGAGATGCGTCCTCTGGCCTATAACTGATCAGAGAAGAGTCAAGGAAGAGGAGGGAGTCCGTTGGGGTTGGTGCCCGATGGCCCTTGGCGCACATCCTCGTAAGTTCGTCCAAGTCTGCGTCGTCGCAGCGTCAAGCATTTCCGGCATTTCACGCTACGCATAACGAGAATACGAAAGTAATCAATGTACTAGATTTGAGCACCGGGATTGCTCTGCCTGCGGACCCTCCACTACTCGCTCAACAACTCCGTGAACACGAAGCTCAAACCCTCCGCATATGCATCCTCGGCCGCCACAGCTGGCGCCGCCGGATTGGTGGGCGACATGAGCGCATGGATAGCGTCCGGAACGAGCACCAATTTCGTCTTCACACCCAATTCCTTCAGACGACCATACGTCGTCTTCGATTCAGCGGGATCCACAAGACCGTCTTGCTCCCCGTGCACGAGGCATGTCGGGGGGAACTCGGCGTCCAGGTGGGCTTGTAGGATGGCCAGACGCAAATGGGCAGGTACAGCGGGGAGGCGTTGAGCGGGCGGCAAGGAGCGCAGAGTGGCGGAGACGGGTTCCCCCACGACATAGTCCAGAAGCTCGCCCGTTCGCCACCAGTGCATGAACAGGCCCATGCGACCCTCGTCGTCGCGAAGGGTCTGGTCGGGCTGGATCTTCACTGGTGCGTCTGAGATAGGAGGTGGAGGATGCTCCAGAAGGTGACTGAGAGACGCTTCTGTTACGCTCTCGGATCCAGGGAACGGCATGAACCCGCTCTTGGGCGCAACCCAGCTATCTCCCAGCATGTCTCCGCCCATGCCAAACAGCAAGAGAAGAGCCTTCGGCTTCGGTTGAGCGTAGAGGCCCGCGGCCATCGCAGGATACGCTCCTCCAGAAGCCCCTACAAGGGCAATGCGAGATGCATCCAACGATATCCCGCTCGGCAAATGGTCTTCCGAGAAGTTTGGGTTTGATAGGAATGAGAAGAGGGCCTTCATGTCGTCGATGACGTCGAAGCCTGTGGAGGGATACAATAGACGATAGTCGGCACCCATGAATATGGCACCGTTTTTCAAGACTGATTCTGGTTGAACCACATATAGTGAGTTCGGACACAATTCACAGATGCGAGGGCGCTCTCACCTTTCATAGAGTCAGGGAAGAATGCATCCTTGCGAGAACCTGTGATGATGCCTCCACCGTGAAGGTAAATGACCACACCCAAAGAGCCACTGGTGACATGAGAGGGTAAATCGTAATCCAGCTGGATTTCGAGCGAGTCGACATGCGAGTAGGTGATGGTAGGCATTGCGGAGTCAACCTTCGAACAAAGTGAGAAGTCCGTTAGCTATGTCAAAGCCCTACAGTGGACGCATCACACTGACCGGTCGAAGATAGCAGAGGGTGTTTGCTGCCTCGGTACGAAAGAAGTATCCTTGAAGTAGTGAAGAGTATTGCGGGAGAAGGCCACCCGGTACCCGTCCCATCAGGATAGTACTCGCGCGCCCACAACAGGCTGTACACCGTGTGAACGACAGTGCTTTATCGACTCATCACATGAATGAGAATCAAACGAGACATGGAAGGGTCCAGAAACACCGTTCAAGGAGAGTTGTCAGTCAAACACCCCGTCACCGATGAGGCCGCGGGGTATCAGATCTCTCAGCGCGGCAGAAACCACAACAAACCGACATTTGACATCCCCACGATCCGCGATCTTGCTCCAGGTGTGTATGCCAGTTGAGACCATCGTTGACGACGACTGAGAATGGTCATACTGTAGGCATTCTCTTCGCTGGACGAAGCAACTTCCGACATGTGACATGTCACAGTGGTAATTAATATTCTGAGCCGCGAGCCGTATGGTATTTCGCTACACATTATCTCTGCACACTGCAGGTCGGCGTGAAGAGAGCACTGTACCGGAAAAGGCTTTCACTGTAGGTCCGCTCATATGCTCTCCGAAGTATGGAGACGACGATGTGAGGTCAGTCCGCGGTAGCTGAACCTGGTCGCCAGGTGCAAATGCTATGCTGTAAGTATGTCTCGTCTGTGTTGAGTAGTGGTCATCGTTCCGGGTTAAACCGATCTTGGCCGCTAGGATAATCAACGTCGGGATGATTCCCTGTGTCAGAATACGTGAGCACGAGCAATGGCGATGCCAGTGTAAGCCTACCATGAATTGGGGCATCACATCGAGCAAAATCCAACAAGATTGGTCACGAGAAGTCGCAGAGTCGAGAGAAATGCAATATAAGGAAATTTCGATGATCTTCGCTATGGCGAGGAAGCTGCCCGACTCGATGATGAGCAGAATGAGGCGCGAATATGGATGGTCCTTGGCTATCGCCATGCGATTCTGATAGTTCATATACCTAGACGCTACAGTGAGTTCCACTCAGGTGTTGAAATGATTACGACGAACCATATTCGTCCTGCAATCAGCGCGGTTGCATAGATGTTCATTACGAGGGATGTGACATACATGCCGTATCCCCATCGAATCACCGACTGTGCCTCGGGGTGGGGTAGAGCTAGATGTGAGCCCGCACCGAGTGACGAGACTGCGCAATAGTATGGATCAGTACGGACTCGAATACATATAACCAACTCAGAGGCTTACTCGCAGTCCCGATCCACAAGCAGATGGGCAATGCAACAGCCCAGTACTGTTGTCCCCAGACGATCCATAGGCGCCAGATAACCACAGAATCAGAAACGAGTTTCTACACAGACTTGTCAGTTCGTTTCGTGTGATAGTACTGCAACACATACACCGGATATGTACAGGAACTGCGCAGAGACATACAGCCCGCTGCCCACGTTCTCATAATATGCGTCTGGGCCAATTGTGTCGCGATAGACTATGAAAGCGTTGATAAGATTCCGTAGCACAATAGCCATATGAGCAGTAGCAATCATGTAGCTAACGAAGTCTGAGCAATGCCACCTTCATATTCCCCGAGGTGCGGGTAGGACTCACAGTAGTAGTACTGCTGCCGTGAACACATTGAACACGTGCTTGACACCAGAATGCCGAAGGATAGCATACGCTGTGATGCTGAACAGGAGAGTGTGCGAACCTATCATTGGGTGAGCGAGCTATGCGGCCGAAGGAGACCACAGACATACCCCACCAAAATGATGCAAACCAGGCAGCAATGAGGTACGCTTCGTCGACACCGAACTCAATGCTAGCCGTACTTGAGGATAGCTGAGGGTGTAAGACGCTATCAATGACTTGCCGAGATTCCTGCAAAGCGCGGGAGTGTACTTCTCTCGACGCCCAAAGCAAGTGGTTGTTTATGTGTGCGCGGCCTGCGTGCTATCACAACTGCACCCTTTCCATAGTGCAGATGGTGGCCATGAAACCGCCGGTCGCACCGTATGTCTCACACATTAGTCGGAAACAAGATCGATAGATCATAAACACGTCAACAGCAGTGTCAGCTGGATGGATCTTCCGTTGCACAAATGGCAATACGAGACTAGGTTTGCGCGCTTGGGCGGGACGGAATGGGTTAGGCACATCAAGGATGCTATGTATACTATAGCTGCGGGGGAAGACATGGTGTAACGATAAGTGGAGACGACATACGAGGAGATTATATGGCTTCTGATTGATGATTACTGACACCGACTGGCGGCACGCGCAAGAAGATGGACGCCGATGGAAGGCTGGATGTCAAGACTTGAAGTCGTACAGATGCATCTTGATGAAAACAATACTCTGTCCCCAATGTGGTCAAAAGAACAGCAAGAGCTCACGATGTGCTGTGAATCTAGTGCACTTACGGTCCACTGACGTACCACGTGTAGGGCCAAACAGAGATGGAGGGGGACTGCGAATCATGGCTCTACGGCAGAATAATGGCATATAGACAGAAAACCCGCTAGGGACGTGTCGATGCAACTCAGCATCGACACTATGTACCTGTTGATCGGGCCGTCAGTACAAACGTAGATGATAGATTGCACACGCAAGTACTTACCTGTGCTCACCGCCATGGATATTATTGCCCTGCCTGCGTACTGCTGTGCGATCTGACGAGCTATGACAGCTAAGCGCTGAGTAGAGGGTTTCGGCAACTCACCAATTCACTGGAAGGTTCAAATCCAGCAAGTACGGTTCGTTTCCGAAGACGCGGCAGTGATGATGCAGGGGTGGTGGTCAGAAGCGCTCCGTACACCGGCGAACAGTCCAGGTGTGAGAAGCTCAGGGAGCGGAAGTAGCCTGTCAGTCTTGGTAGGTTCAGCGAGCACACAGCTTCAACGTTATCCGATTACGGTTGTGCTAGACTGCACGTAAGACCCATCTGCGCTATCCCATTCCGTGAATACTGCATGACGCCACTAACATGACGTGGCACTCAGCGGCCTTCATATGCCAAGCAGAAACTATGCACCTCGCATCCTTGTTGCCATGCAGTGCATGGCAATGAAGCAGGCTCAACTCGAGACGACTACTCAGAATTTGGAGGCGCGAAGTACCGACCGCCGTGGTTCTGCAGAGTCTAAGTTAATAGTCTGACATTTGGAATGGAGTAGCATACCACTGGCATCGCTCAGCTCTTATGATCATCCGCTCACCCGTGGGCACCACCTGGCAGAGTCCGTCGTGCCACGACAGAACTCAAGTCTGAAAAGACGAAAACTCGGCCATGGCGACCTTAAATGCAGAGGACATACGGAGAGCGACGACAAGCCGCAGCCTGTAATATGACAGTCGCACGCCGTGCTAGAGATTGTGCAAGCAAGTCGTTCTGACGGGTCAAGCTGTCGTAATTGATGTCGTGTCTTCGCAGGCCTGAGGATAGTTGAGTTCGTTGGGAGGTCGGTGACAGCCGACACTACTGCCAGGCGCCGGCGGGACGTCCGAGCACTTCCATAACGGGACAGTGTGGCGCGCGACTGCTGCCTCTGCGCTCTCAGCGAGTCGCTCAAACTTGAAGATGTACATGACTGACTTACTGCACATATTCGCTTCCACGGGTTTTTTCTATGTGCAAACAATGTAAGACTCACCTCAGATACCAGTGGTATTGTTCACAACACAATCTCTAGTGGCGCTCCAGAGGCACGTCTACGACTCGGACAGTGAGCCTGAGAAGTTTCGCCGGTGCCTTCGCACGAACCAATAATTCATGAAAATCTTCAGTGGAGGCTACACCATCTGAGAGAGCAAGCCGCTCAGTATAAAATAGCTACACCGTGATCATACGTCTGCAGGCGTCTTTAGAATAAACAAAGCCAAGAGACAGACCGAGGCGCGCGCTATGTAATGACGTGATACAGCTTGTACAATGCGACAACACAGAATAGAGCTCATGAAAAAAGGTAACCCAGGCGGCGTGTCCTGTGCCTTAGATCGATCCGGGCATCAAGCTTCCACCCAAGTGACTCTCGACGCGCTTCGTCTCGAGGTCGTCCTCCTGTTCCACCACGCTAGTGATATTGACAGCTAGCGGACGCATATGATAGGAGACGTTCGAGGACTCTTCCGACCGGTTATTCGTCCGACCCGAACCGCCACGAGAGTCGTACCTGATGCGCGATCCCGTTTGGGCCCAGCCCAATCCTACTCGAACGTTGATCAACATGAACGATATGCCCGACATCTCAGCCCATGTATCGACGGCGGTGAACTGAAGATTTGAATGGGTCTGATAAGAGATGAAAAAGAATGTCGTCCAGGACCTGCGGATCTATGTCAATCACGCGATGAAGCAGCAAATATCACAGATGAAAACCGACGTGTATAAAGCAGCACTTTCCACAAATGTTGCTAGCATGCTCTGAGAAATGGTAAGATACCTAAACCGTGACTATGTATGGCATCGAGAAACATACCAGAACGTTTGCACCGGTATAAGCCTTGACGTGCCTTTGAGAGTTCCAAACTCGATAGGCAATCAATGCTGTATACAGACGCTGAAGCTTAGATGGCACTGATACAGCGCATGAGCACTCACTAGTACTGTATACATTGGTGCTGCGGGTGTGCAGGTAAGATAGTTAGACATTTACAGTCATCATATGGGGAACGAGTGTGGTATGCTCACCACAGGGTAAAAGCGCAGTCACTAGTGATCCAACGACCAGCTTGAGATACAAATACGTTCTCTCCAGGGTAATACTGAGTAAATTGATAGGTTATACCGACGCCACATGCTGAGTCATGTAGATGCGCTGTCAATGACTTCTGTCCGCAAATAGTAGAGGGTACTAACCTGTAAGACCCGCGAGCGTGCACAACGGAAAAATCACAATAGACAGACGACGATTCCAGATAATCCATAGTCTATAAATCTAAGTTGACAATGCATCAATTTGTCGAAGCACGGTAAACATATAGAATTGATCCATACAACCATAGCGTCTCCTATGACCAAGGAAGTCATCAAAAAGCCTGTTTTCACGACCTCGGTCATTTGTTTGAGGTCCCCGTAGAATGCCAGTGGGTCGGTTCCGTCTTCGAAGTGTACAAACGCTTGGAAGGCGCGAATGCAGGTGAGAATCCAGTGCTGTACATGAGATGAACCATAAGCGGAGACAATGTCATGGCGCGACCAAACTCACCGCAGTGATAGTTATAGACAGGGCAATCGCCCCAAGGAACATCGGTGTCTTGCAAAGTGCTGAAAATACGGGAGCCGCGGCATGTATTGGGTGAGTCGTCTGCAACATCCGCTTTTGCCGGTAGGTCAAGAGATAGATCGACGATATGGATAGGACGAAGAATATGCCGTAGAAAAAGCTTTCCATGAAGATAGTCGCAACATTTGCAGAAACAAGTGGAACCTGTGGCATTTTGGCCGAGCGGAGAAGGAGGACAAGAAGTCTGGGTATGAAAGCGCGAAATCACGAACGGGTGAACGGGCTAGAATGAACGCCTTGCTTAAAAGGACCTCGCGGGGCATCGGGGATCACGGTTGACGGCGAAAGAAGAGGTTTTCACGTAGAACGTACCAGATTGCGGATATGTCGTGGAAACATGAAAAGCAAGGGTATTATCGGCGAACAGATGATGTGGAGCAATGGATTACCGTGACGGACGTGACGGGTGGCACCATGCCAATGATAACCCTCCGATGGAGAGTTCCTGGGTCCATATACTTACTGACAACCACGTCTAAGTCGTGTCAGCCCTGGAACGGTGACCGAACAACCATGCCAGATGTATTCATTATTGAGCATATGACAAGGGCAGACGAAAAGCCTTTCACATCCAGACCGGCCTCAGGGTCGGATATACAAACTTATTAGTTTGACACATGCCAGCTGGTCGAAATACCGTGACGGAGTGGGGTATCGTAGATCGATCCCAGATGCGCGAGCGCATCAACCAGGAATACTAGAAAAATGACACAAATGTAATGAGGAATTGCATGCTTCCACGGTTCAGACGTTCAATCAAAGAAGCTGCTGCTTACGATACGGTGGCAGGCTAGCTGGCCCCGAGTTCACTACGGTTGCGTGTATCATAGATGCTTTTAACGAGATGGTCTAGAGTTCGGAGATAATGGAAGTCTGGGATCAGAATAGCATTGTTATGTATGACGCCTGATAAGGGATGAACGTAGCAGGTTGTTGGCAAGCTGCAGCGCGCAACAGCGCCGATTGTTGTTGAGGAGCAACAGTCGGGTCCAACAGTCGGGTCCATTCAGCCACGCCACCGCACGGGCGCGCGATTATGCTGTGTGTAACTGTGTTACCATAACAGGAATGTCCAACACAGCTAAGTACATACAGTGTCAGACATACACGGTGACGAAGGATCCCGGCTTCGTGGCGTTGTCGGACCATCGAATTATGATCTTGTGGACAGTACCCTGAACAAGGGACATGCGCATACTTGTCCCCGAAAACGCCGAACATATCAGTATCATTACTATCATATCGTTCGGCGACAGCGCGCGAGCGCGTTCTTCAAGTTCGAGTCCTTCGAGTTTCCACGAGTCCGGCTTCGCACATTATCACGTTCTTGCTCTGCAACCTGCCTGTCGTGAAAAGCATCAGCCATGATTATCAGAAACGATGCTGGCGGTGATTCGTGATGGCAACTGGCCATTCCTTTCGTCATAATGGAACTGCCCCCAGATGGCAGGGAGAGTCGTGGAAGTCGTAAGTTCATACTTTAAGTCACTCCTCTGTGGTACTACACTGCACTGCGCTCTCATCGCGACAGCTTGGTACGCTCTACGAGATCACCATCCTACATGGAGCCCCGTCGCTTTCTCCCTCGGGCGCCGCAAACGCAAGCCCGGTCGAGTACAACATTCCGGCCTCCGCCGTTGGATGGGTCCCTCACACTGCCTGAGATGTTCGACTGGCACCTGAAGCATACTCCAAACCACCGTCTCTTTGTATTTGCAAAAGGCGATGGAACCCTCCGAACTATCTACTGGCCCGAGGCAGTCAGAGCCGTTTACACGGGTGTTGGAATCATTCAAGCACGTCTAGCCAACACTGTTGCGGGAGACGAGGCTCCGATTGTAGCTATCTTGGCTCCGTCTGGTTCGTTTCGTTACCTCAGCATGTCGCTGCATCGTTGCTGAGACCCCCCGTTAGACGCGATCCCGTATTTCACCATGATGATGAGTATCATGCGGGCGAACTACGTCGCCTTCCCCATTTCTCCCCGTAACTCTCCATTGGCCGTCGCACACCTAATTAACAAAGCTGGGGTCAGTCACGTCCTTGTCGGACAAGAGCCGGCTATGCAGGACCTCGCCAGCGAAGCGCTGGGCATTCTCACCACACGGTACGGTGCTCAGACACTGCCAATTCTCTCATCCATGCCGCTCTTCGATGAGCTTTTTCCCTCGCCTGAAGACGGCGGTGCTGAGGGTCTCGTTGCACCTCCGGCATATGCTTACAAAGGACCAGATGCCCTTGCGATGATTCTCCATTCATCCGGTACGGTCTTCGTTCCCTAGTGATATTGCTTTTCTCAATGAACCTTGACAGGTTCCACCGCATTTCCGAAGCCAATATATTGGACGAACCATCGCTTCTGCCAACTGTGTCTCATCCCGTGGTTCGGTGAACGCGATCTAACTGGCCAAGTGTTCTCTCTGCATACGATGCCCATGTTCCACGGAATGGGTGTCTTGCAGCTCTGTTGGACGGTATGCTGAATTGACGTATCCCTCATGAGGGTACATAGACTGAGATTTCTGCTAGGCGTCCTCCGGATTAGTGGTCAGCTCCTTCGAACCGAAGTCGCCAGCGCCTGTCCCGACACCCGATACCCTCTTCGTCGCGGCCAAAGCGACAAAAAGCGACGTCGTCTTCTGCGTGCCATCTTTCATTGAGGTGAGCGATTAACTGCTTAGCTCAGAGTCGAACCGTCTGAATAACGCATATTCCGTGTAGGCCTGGTCCCGGAACCCAGAGTATGTACGCTGGCTCGCGACTCGTGGTGGCGTGGTGCGTTGCAATCCATGTCGACTGCAGACAATCTCTCAAATGATTCGCAGCTCTTCGGCGGCGGCCCGTTGAACAAGGAAGCGGGCGATTACATGACGTCACAGGGCGTGTCGATCTTCATCTTGTACGGCTCGTCAGTACCTATTTCATTCATCCTTGTACCATCTCTGACGGAACCGTGCTTGTATCGTTAGGACTGAGGGCGGTATCATGAGTCCAATCCTTCCAGGTGAGGCTCGGACTGCACGCAATCATGGAAGAGACACTCACATTTGCAAAGCCGACGTCAGTTACGACTGGGATTACTTCAAGTTCCCTGGCCTTGTTACAGCTCACATGGTTCCGTATGGAAACAACACATTCGAATTTGTCATGAAGGTATGTTATGTATGTGTACTCGTAGGCGTCCTGTCCATCGCTCACGCGTGTTTGTAGGAAAACGAGTATTGCCGTCCAAGTGTGATCAATACAAAAATGGACGGCGTGGATGCATATGCGACCTCCGATCTAATGATACCCCACCCTACGAAACGTGGGTTTTGGAAAGTGCACGGCAGGACAGATGACCAGATCATGCACAACACTGGTGAGAAGGTCGGTGCAAGCTTTCATTGAACATGTCGATTTGGGCTTCTAATTGTGTCTATTTCAGACGAACCCGGGACCATTGGGTAGGTAAAGGGACTGTCTGACGAGTGTGGTGATTGACGCAGAATCCCCTCGCAGAGAACATGCTCAATCAAGATTCGCATGTTCTGGCATCTGTGATGTTCGGCCGTGGTCGGTTCCAGGCCGGAGTTCTCGTCGACCCCAAACCTCAGTATAGATTTGATCCGGCGAACGAGACAAAACTCGCAGAATTCAGGAACATGATTTGGTCAGTGTCTATCTAACTGTCGAGGTACAATTCTGAATATCCGATCGTTAGGCCGACCGTAGGGCGGATGAACGCGTTTGCCCCCCAGCATTCCAGACTCTTCAAAGAGGTAAGTATGAGAGCCAGCGTGAATGTATGATATGCTGAGATGAATTCCTCTTCAGATGATCATCGTGGCGAAACCGTCCAAACCGTTCACGTACACAGCAAAGAGCACCGCACGCCGCCAGGCTGTCATCGACGACTATGCCGACGAGATAAATGTAGTGTACAACAAGGTCGAGGAAAGCACCCAGTCCAGTATCCCGCCTCCATCTCAGTGGGATATCCTCACCACGCTCGACTTCGTCCGTGCAGTGATCAACAAGGTTCTGGTGCACAGAGTGGAAGATGACGACGATGTTTTTCAGCACGGCTGCGATAGGTATTTGCCCACCCGCTGCTTGTGCAAAGTCCTTTTTTAATCTCACGAGTCCAACTCGAATAGTCTTCAGGCCACTCATATCAGAAATGCCTTGCTGCGTGCTTTGCGGGACTCCGCGCAGCTGGACACGCGCAAGAGCGTTGGTAACTTCGTCTATGACTATCCTACCATCAGACGCCTTGCCTCTTTCCTCCTTGGACTAGCGACCGGCTCGAAACTCGAAGCACACAACTTGCTGGAAGGACGGGCCGACAACATGGTCGCGATGGCCACAAAGTACTATCAGGACATCCCAATTCGTCGACCCACCGCGTCCAATTCCAGTCATGAGAGCGTCGTCTTGATAACAGGGACCACTGGCAGCCTTGGTAGCTTCCTCCTCTCTCACCTCGTCGATGATCCGTCTGTTGTACGCATCTACGCTTTGAACCGTTCCTCCCAAGACGGCATTGCGTTGCGATTGCGGCAAGAGGCTTCTCTGTCGTCTCGTGGGCTCAGTACATCCATACTCGATAGCAACAAGGTTGTGCTCTTAGAGGCGGATGTCTCCGTGGCCGGTTTCAAACTCCTCGACAAGGTTTACTCAGAGGTACGTGCATTTCTGACTCAGCTTTATGATCTCTGCTTATCCGCACCGCCGCAGATGCAAGCTTCTGTAACACACGTCATTCACAACGGTGCGTACCCACTCATGTGCTAGTCGTCCGCACCCTCATTGAGTCTCGCTGCAGCTTGGCGGGTGGACTTCAATCTATCTCTGGAATCCTTCGAGTCGAATGTCAAGGGTGCGCGCAATCTCGTCGACTTCGCACTGTTGTCTCCGCGGCCTGTCCCGCCACGCATGCAATTCGCCAGCTCCATTGGAGTATTCCAGAGTAAGGTTATCAGTTGTGGATAGAGGACTCGGCTAACTTCTGTGCAGACATCGAGGGCATCCAACTCACAGAAGACTTCGTGAAGCCTGACGTCGCTGTAGGATCGGGCTATTCAGAATCGAAGTGGGTGGCTGAACGAATCTTGATGGAAGCGGCAGGGAAGACGGGCCTCGAGGTCCTCGTCGTCCGCGTTGGCCAGATATGCGGAGGGCCTGACGGAGTGTGGAATGTCCATGAATGGTTTCCTGCCATAGTGCAGAGTGCTGCGAAGTTGGGTTGTTTCCCGGATGATTCGAAGGTACGTGTCGCTTGTCGCTTGCGGTGCGTATCGCTCATCGTCCGCAGGTGGTATCGTGGGTTCCCTTGGCCACCGCAGCCAGCGCGATGGTAGGGCTCATACATGCACCGTACAAAGACGACGTCGTCCACTTGGTTCACCCTCATCCTGTCGCCTGGCACTCACTCGCCACCGTCATCGCTAACGAGCTTGGTGTTCCTCTCGTCCCCTTCGCTCAATGGCTCTCCAAGCTCGAAGCACTGCACTCCCCGCATGCTACCGACCGAGGTCGGGTGGACGCGCGAGCTGAAGTCGAGTTGTTACGGAGTGTCCGTGCTCTGCGCTTGTTTCCTTGGTTCAAGGGGCTTTCGACCTCGCGAGGCAATGCAGAGGCGTTGGGATTCCCTGCTCTTTCTGCATCCCACGCCACACAGCTGTCCCCCGCCTTGGCGGAGGCCTCCCCGCTTGATGGCGAGGACGCGAAGAAGTGGCTAGCATTCTGGCGCACAGCAGGGTTGCTCTGACAATACCAGAACACAGGGTCGCAATCGCCGGTCCAAGTACGTCCGCTTCGTCTCGCGTATGATCACTACATGTAGAATATGGCGTCGGGAATCGCTTTGTAGACCCGCTACTATGCAACGAACCTTAGCATATCTTCCTGTACGTCTTCATTCCGTGGACAACTGTATGTTGACTGTATGTCATGTTCTTTCGGGATCTCACGACACTCACGATGCCATATACCACTGTCCCGTGGACCCGCGCTGCTTCCATTTCTCTAATTAGATCAGTTTTGCGGATGGAAGTGACAACAGAGCACCAAGGGGTTGATCACGTCAAGGGAGCGAGCGTGGTATTGCTGCATCATCCATCATACCACTGAGGATAAATTAGAACAGCAGTAACCGGTGTCTACGGTGTACATGGCAGGAATAACTTATCAAGACTTCCAATGCACTAGTAGCAATCTACAGGTCGAGGCGAGAGGCTGTCGAGGGGATAGCTGATGATCACTTGCGCGGCCGAACCAGTAGGATAGACCCTGCAACAGCCGCGCCCGCCAGTCCAGTCACCTACGGCCGTGCAAACTCGTCAATACCGACACGAACGCCCGGGTTCGGAAAGACGCCGACTGACCGCTGCGAAGACGATCCCCTTCCACCAAACGTAGCCATGACCGATCAGCGCGCCTCCGATGGGCGTCCCGATCAGCCCAGCGATGCCGACTGGGAACAGGGCGATGCCCATACGTTTCCTGCGAAGGAGGGCAGTCGTGACTAGGAGTGCGAATGGGACACACGGACGCACCCTATGCTGACGTCCTCGGCGCTGATAGATGCTACAGCAGGGAGGTACAGCGATACGGCTGTGGAGAATGGTCCCGGTCAGCCGGCGGGCGCGCGAGCGGAGCTGCGAGGGCACGTCACCTGCGCCTGAGAAAAAGCCGTAGCTACGGAGCCAGCGGTGAGCCTTTTAACATCGCCTGCGATCCGGGGCAAGGTGCGCTTACAAGATCGTGAAGAGCACCAGCCCGTATGACGTCGAGCATCCGAGGAGGGCAAATTGCAAGCCGGCTAGCCCAATGGAGCACTGGTTAACGTCGCACGGACAGCGCGCCAACACACTGTGACGCACAGTTGAGCACGAGGCACGGGACGTACACCTCCAGGGCACCCCACCGGTCGCCGAGCCAGTTCGGGAGGATGCGGCCGAGCGCGTTCGCCACGTTCAAGATGGCGATGCTGTAGAAGGACAGCTGCTGGTCCACACCCTTCTGCTCCGCGAAGAGCTGCACATAGGAAGAGGGGAACCAGAGCCCGAGGCCTGTCAAGAAGCCCTGGACGAGGATGCACACGTACTTGCTGTCCAAGAGGGGGGGAGAAGTATCCTTGTCGTGCTCGGCGGGCTCAGCGCTTGCGTCCAGGTCCTTCTCGTTTGCACCCTCACTCGAGGCGCCGTTGGTATAGGCCGGCTTCGCTTGCACATCTTGAGCGGTCGGGTCATCCCTGGCGGAGTGCGGGTCGAAGAGCAGGAGATTGCCGACCAATAGCAGACTGAGGCATACAAATGCAGTCACGCGAATGGACCAGCCAAATCCCAGAGACCCGTTGAATAGGTAGTTCAGAGCGACTGCGAATATGAATCTCATTCAGTTGGATGCTACAAAACGGGTGGACGCTTACTGGAGAAGACAACTGCGCCCAGAGAGCCGCCGGCTGGTACAATGCCCTGAGATCTAATGCGTCAATTATATACCCACTCTAGTAGATGACAGTGCGCACCATTGCGAGTGCTTTCCTGCGCTTGAAATGCTGGGAAATGAGGACAGATGTGGGTAGAAAAATGGAGCCTATTCCTAAGCCCATCCCAATTCCCTGGGACAAGAGAACCTGATAATACTTCTCTGGCTTTGCGAGCGAGAGCATGAAATGGCTGTGAAAGTAGCAGCGGGATCAACAACAGTCATAACTTGTAGAACGTGGGTGACGATCGCCAGAGGAACAACGGTAAAGGTATGGATGTACGTACCAGATCACGAATAACGTCGACCCGCCAATCACGACATGCCTCAGGTATCCGCGATCCAGGCTGGATAGCGTCAGAAAACAAGACACAAAGCACGAGCATTCGACATGGGCACGCACAATGGTCCGAGGAATGCACCGAGAGTCAGATCAAGAAGTGTCTGAATACTCCCGATCCAGCTAATAGCGGATACGGAGGAATGCGAAAGGAAGGTCTGGACATAATACACTTGCATGACACCGAAAGCAGACATCTGGAGGTTTGATGAGCAACAGCTCGCCATGTCACAGGATACCTACAAAGCCGACGACGCTGAACTGCATGAGGAACGCGCCAACGACTGCAGTGAGTGAGTGGATGCACGTAACATGCTGTCTTTGATGGACTTACCGGTTAGCCAAGCTCGCCATCTCCCACGAGCATACCCGTCCGTTGCGAACGAAGTCATCGCGAGACTGGGGATCTGTATGACGCGCGAGTGTTCAGACACCGGTGTAGGACACCGAGAATAAGGATACGCGCGGCTCACAAAGGGTTCCCGTTGCTAGCTGTCGCTGCGGAACCTGACTAGGGTACTATGTTGCGAATGGCGGCTTGAGTTCGCTGGCAGTCCTGAGTGAGCCCGAGAGGTCCGTGATCGCACCTACGAGAACAGCGCCGACAGGATGTGGAAGAGGGGCAATCATGGCGAGGCCGGGAAGCCTCCAGCCTGGTAGAACTCGTGCGGAGACTTACGCGGTTGACCCACAATTCGCGTGCGTCAAATGATAAGCGAAGCGAAATGGAAACGAAGGTGGCAGGAAGACTCACAGAACACCGCCCTAGTGACACTGACAACATCATCTCCCTTGGCCGCCGGACCTTCTACACCAGCGTCGAAATGTTGACGTGCAGCCTTGTGGCGTACTCCATATCCAGAAGTGACTCCCGGCGGATTCGTCTGTTGCTATGTAGGAACTTGACCGTCACTGCCGCCACGTCCAGGAAGAGCTATCAGCTGTCGACCACACCGCCGAGTACCGCTTTGAGTAAGAAGTCATTGAAACAGTCCGCATGCAAAGGTGCAGTGAGTGGTAATGATGGGTATTATGTGCAGCACGAATGTCACGGAACGTACTCTCGACGAGCGCCACCCACACTTCCGGTCACAGACGTATTCCAAGCTCCATTCTCACCTGCAACTGTCGTCCCGTACTGCAGATATTGGGGGGTGAGAGAAGCCCGGTAGATCGGAGCTTCTATCATGGATGTCCGTAGTAACTGTTTTCGCATGCCTTTTGTCTGTATCCTGTGCCCGCGCGCGGATGACGACGTCGACCCAGCGTCCTCGAGCGGCCATCGTGGCGCCATGTACAATCCTGACTTCCACACCGCCTCAGTACTACCAATTGCATCAGCGTTGAGAGATATGATGACTGCGGTACTACATACTCACTTGATGCGATCGCACGTTCTCTCAGGCTCTGCCTCAACATGCGCCACGAGCAATCAGCGCTGTTTACAGCTACTCGCCTGCCGTAATTGAGGACCAGCGTATGAGGTTTCGCCGGTTCCGAATCACGTTGGCAGCTACTCGTGCGGTGGTATCCGTTCGGCCAGGAAGAGCAAGGTGATTTGATCTGGAGGTCTGCCACAAACGTGACGTATGTCATTTTGAGAACCATTGTGTCATGGTGTTTACATGTGCAAACTGTAAGTTGCGGCGTCAGTGCCAGGTCAGACACTTCGAATTTTCATCGATATCTGGGTACCGTACTTACTATCATGAAAGTACTTGCGGATGGAAGAGCCAGACGCAGTCGATCCGTGGTACATAATCACAGGCTCACAGGCTACAGCGCCCTTCGCCGGCTCAGCTCAACCGGCAGCGGTCTGCAATCCGAGTCCCCAAGTATATTGCCGTCATTTGAATTCCTCGTGGGATGGAGCGATGGAGGTTCACAGCCTTCTCAAGCGAGAGGAGAATGTTCCACGTCGTAAGGCTGTTCAAGCTGGTAAATTAGTAATAGTACGAAGCCCTTGGAAGTTTAGCGCCCCGAAAAGTATCGGGTCGGGATCTTAGCCGGCCTCCTCCGAGTCGGTACTATATCGGGTCACGATCTCGGACAGCCTAGGTAGTCGGTCACTCGAGCCTCATTCAACAACCACCTCTTCTATAGCTGTAAAATAAATTGTAGCATGTCTCTATACATTCTTTTCATGCCTGTAAAAAATTTGAAGCCAATACACTGAGATCTGTGTGCAGGAGAAATCGCTCTTTACGATGATACCAATCTTTGGTAAGCAGTGTGGGCTCACCCTACTCTCGACCAGAATTTTAGCTACTGAGCTCGACTCAATGATCGTATATTTTTTTTCATATTTTTCTCATATTCCTGAGCTCTCTTAACATACCTTCTTATAGGAATCCAGGTCATTATGGCCCACACAGAATGAGGAGAGCTTGTCGAATGCTAAGGTGGCCGAGATCGTGACCCGATATAGTACCAGAATGGACCCAAGACCTCCTAAGAGACCTCCGCCACGTCCTCGACCGCTGAGCACTGTTGTACGTAACTGTGGCCGGGCCCCGCGATTGGGTCTTTCAATTGGAAGAACACAAGGATGCCATGAGGTTAGCAGCCAGGCCTGGAACTCAAGCCCAAGTTCGGAGAATCGGCACCCTCCTCAGTGTCAATGACTGAGTACCTCAATTCATTGACCGTGCGTAGATGGCCCTACGGAACTTGGACCACCGGCCAAATGGAGCTCGCTTATTCTACAGGTTAGTCACGATGACCACTTATGTTCAGCCTCACTGATCAGTTCTTTGACAGGCATCCCACGGCAAATGCGATGCAATTCAGTGCTCTGACGTGGGTCACCGGCGGCCGACCGATAACTGTAGATCGTGCTGCGCGCTGTGGCACATTTTGGGCCGACATTTTATGTCCGAACGCGCGAGACATGTCATTTGCTTTGCCCTAGAAATGCATGTTGCCGAATACGTGAAACGTCAGATGCAGCTGAACGGGCCATCGGACGTCGAAAGTTGATGCATGATGTGAGCCATCTAACGGGGAATGCCTGTATGTCTCTACTGAACTGCTTTAGTTGGTGCGCCCGAACTCACCGTTTTGTGATGTTTGGGAATAGATGATCACTCACGCGAGGAACACAACGACTAATGCAACCTCGACTTCAGGTGCTCGCGTCCGATAGAATAGACCCCGTTAGAATACACGGGACGGTTGTCATAGGATGCACAGAACTCATCATTGATGTCCGGAGGTGTGTCCAAGTTATCCCCATGTGATCAGTCGTTCATCAACTTGGTTGGCGATTACTGACGCACAAACTACGCCGCCAGGAGTCGGGATGAGCGGCGATGCGACTGGTGCCACGCATTTTTACAGCGTGAGCCATCAGAGGTTTGCCAATGTCCAGAGTCGTCTGTTCTTGTCAAACGTCGTCTCATCCATCTGTGATGAAGAACTTCAGCCCGCGTTGCATTCCTTCCGTCCTCGGAGGCCTTCTCCGGTGATCATGGAACACCGACGAGATCGATGCTGGGGTTATCGCCAGAAGTCGGCCCCTTAAGTATCCTGGTACTGCATCGAGTGCGCGTACACGACAGTCTTGCAGATAGCCTGAGCATGTCAGACACAGATCGCGTAGAGTTGAACGAACCCATTGCCATTGTATGTGCTCTCCTATTCGTCGTGTGTTCTCTCCTCACTGTTGCCGTAGGTTGGCATCGCAGCGGAGTTGCCCAGCGGGCCATCTGACACAAATCTGGATTACCGACGGTTCAACAAGTTCTTGCTGGACGGCGCCAAGTCGTACGTTCGCATCCCAAAGGACAGGCTCAACATCGACTCGTGCGTTTCCTGTCCATGAACAGTTCCGCTCGCTACTTATACATGGCTCGGTCCAATCTAGGTGGCAAGGCCATGGGCTTGGCAGGATCGCAACATCTCATGGCTCGTTCCTGAAGAACGTCGAGTCATTTGACCATGTAGAGTTTGGTATATCGACAAAGGACGCTCGGGCCATGTCTCTGAGCACCCGGAAGCTCATCGAGCTCTCCTTCTTGGCCTTGCTCGATTCGGGGATCGACTATAGAGGGAAAGACGTCGGATGCTACACTTCGGCGACGAACCACGATATTCTGAGTGTAGCCGAACCGGTGAGCACTACACAGGCCTCTCTTAGGACAGGATTCATCGTGAAATCCTCCAGGATGTGTACGAAGCACGTGGTTCTTTCGGCGGCATACCATGCATGGTGGCGAATAAAATATCATACCACCTTGATCTTCGCGGACCAAGCATCCCCGTCGACACAGCGTGCAGCTCGAGCCTCACAGCAAGCCATTTGGCAGTTCAAGCGTTGCGGGCGGGCGAATGCGAGTCTGCTGTTGTGGCGGCTTGTCAATTGAATCTTAGGTGAACCTCCCGCGACCGTCTCATGAATCACTGTATATGCTTATACAGTTCTCTAGGCTCGCCGATTTCGTTCAGTACAGCCAAGCATCCGTGCTATCGAAAGATGGGAAATGTAAGCCGTTTGACGCTGACGCAGACGGGTAAGCAGTGATCGGTAGCGTCTACGATGACTATATTGATGCGATTTCTGCTCAGATTCTCGCGGGGTGAGGGCGCAGTCGCCATTGTACTCAAACCGTTGAGCGCGGCGCTCAGAGACGGAGATCATATCTATGCGAACGTATGATGCATCGTCATACCACTCGGGCTATACTTCTTGCTAATCTTCAATGAGCAGATGCTTGGAACTGGATTGAGCGCTTCGGGATCCTTGGCCCCAGTGCACGCGCCAGCGGCGACTGCCCAGCTGGAAGCGATGAAGCGAGCTTATCGCGGTACCGGCCGTGATCCTCGGGAGGTCGACTACGTCGAGCTTCATGCTACTGGTGAGCACTGCGAGTCAGCTCTGGCGCGTGGACTGTTATTAAGCCCCGGATAGGAACCGCAGCTGGCGATCCGACAGAAAGCAACTGGGTGGGCGAGCACTTCGCGCGAGACGCGGAGTTGCTCGTCGGCAGCGTGAAAGGCAATATCGGGTCGGTATATTCGTCTTCGATGTTTGACTGTCAGGATGCTGATGCGCACGGCACCTGCAGGCATCTTGAAGTAACCGCATTCTTGGCGTCTCTGTGCAAGGTGTGCGGGATGTTCGAGACGGGGATAGTACCCCCAAACGTGAACCTCCGGACACGGAATCCCGCCATACGCTGGGATACGTACAAGCTGAACGTCCCGCTGGAGCCGACGGAGATACGGCCTCGCGGCCCTTCGCAAAAGCTGCTAGTCTCCATGTGCAGCTCGGGAATCGGCGGCGCGAATGGTCACGCTGTTCTCGAGAGCATGGCTCCCTCAAGGCCCGAGGCTCCCGCAAGCCATTCGACCCCTCAAGATTATCCTAGGCTACTCATGGCTGGCGGACTCTCGCCTACGTCTGCAGCAAGCGTCGCGGACAGTTTACGAACACTGGCGACGGGAAACCCGGACTCGCTGACGACGATCTCGGCCATGTCCGGCCGTCGCATACGGCAGATGAATTGGCGCAGTTTCGCAGTGATACAACCCGCGCAAGGTTTAGCTAAGATAAACTTCCCCGCACCGGCGTTAGCTCAAGACGGCCGTTCACCTCTGGTGTTCTTGTTCTCGGGTCAAGGCCCTCAACACTTCGCAAGTGAGTTATTGGCTTCTGCTTCTATTCATTATCATTTCTAATGGTCGCAGTGGGAAGGCAACTTATCGCGCGGTTTGAAGTCTTTCGCAAGACAATCGAGGAGCTTGACGGGTATCACATGGACTCTACGGGGACGTCTCTCATACGGGACACGGGCCTGTTTGGCGAAATCCTATCCTCAAACACTCTTCCGCCCGTGTGGCCGATCTCGGTCATCCTGCCTTCGCTCGCGATGCTTCAGATCGCCCTCTTCGACCTTCTCATCAGTCTGGGACTCCGGCCGGATGTCGTCATGGGTCATTCTGCGGGTGAGACACCCCTTCTGTACGCATCTGCAGCTGCATCGAAGCGTTTGGCTATGGAGGTCGCTATCGTACGAGGAAAAGCGATGTCTCTCGTCGAGGAGGCTGATGGAGGCATGGCCGCGCTTTCGTGCGCTCCGTATCAAGCCGATGAAATCATCAAGTGCGCAAAGGAGCCATCCGAAGACGGCGTCTTGGAGATCGCCTGCTTCAATGGGCCACAGGCTGTTGCAATTGCCGGTCATCGGAGGTTGATAGCCCGAGCAGTCGACATCGCGACGTCTCGTGGAATATTGGCTCGCACGATACAGACGAACGTCGCGGTTCATTCGTCCATGATGGACATATGCCGAGACTCGTATTGCTCTGGGATAGCAGATGCGTTCGCTCGTTTCGGACCATGTGGCTCTCCCAACGTCACTACCTTCTCAACGGCGACGGGTGATCTGCTCGAAGGTTTCTCATCAGACTACTTCTGGCAAAACAGCCGTGGGCCGGTCCGGTTTGCGCAAACAGTACGGTCGGTGCTACGTGCTTACCCTGCGGCTCAGTTCGTCGAGATCAGTCCGCATGCCGTGCTCTCCGTGTACCTGCAAGACCTTGGTGTCCCTCCATCCTCAGTAGTATGCCCGATGCGACGATCAAAGACATATGCGGTCCATCAGGAGCACACCGTACTCTTGACCACAATCGGACAACTGGCGGCTTCGGGATACAACGGCATTAACTTCCGTGCGCTGAACAGCATCGACGTGCTAGACCACGATGCAATACAACTACCTCCTTATCCGTTCTTGCGCAAGCCTGTGCCGTACTTGCCCCGATATTCGAGGTTGTTGCAGAAACAACTGGGCCACCTCGTGCGGCCGCTGTCTGGGGATGGTCTGAGGGTCAATCGTGCAACCCATCCTGAGCTTGCTCAGCACGTCATCAATCACGAACCAATCATGCCTGCGGCGGGATTTCTCGAGATGGTTTGTCCGCTTCATCTCTTCCGTTATGTCTTGTACTCATGCAATCAATGTAGGCGCTGGAGGCTGGGGCATCTATTGTGTGGAATGTGCACTTTCGCTCATTCTTCTCGCTGGCTCCGGATGTTCCGACAGCTCTCAAGGTCGACATCAACGGTATGCATTGGCAAGTGCTTTCTAGCACTGATGGAGGGGTCGTTGCTGAGAACGTACGTGACATTCCGTGATCGGACACTGTCCTCGCTGGACATGACACACTGCCTTAGAACGATCAGCATGAGCCTCGAATGCATGCAGAGGGCTTCATGACGCGTGATCCACATGGTCTTGTCATCTGCGAGGGGTTCGTACTCTCTGAAGTCTTGCAACGTGCCAAGCTACAAGATGCAGACAGTATGATCCACTGCCGTCGTAGTTGGTTAGCGTCTGACGTCTGGTGCCCCAGACTTCTACTCTGGCTTCCACCACTTCGCACAATACGGTCCCTTGTTCAGTCGAATCAGAAGATACTACTTTGGATCCAGTTATGCGCTGGTCGAGTTAGAAGGGCTTGACGAAGCTTCGCTGTCGTAAGTAAAGCACTGTGCGATCCATCTCAATCTTCGCTCATTACATCACAGGAACTACATTATACACCCTGGTCTTCTCGATGCCTGCATACATGTCCTCGTTCATCCTCGTTTCACAGCAAACTGGGATAGTAATGTGTACTATCTACCATCCGCTCTAGGCTCCCTTGCTATCCGTCGAGAAAGCTCATTGACGCAGCTGCTACGGGGCACACTGTACGCATACGTGGTTCTCACAGAATGGTCACCAGGTCAGTGATTCGCGCCATGTCCCTCTCGCGACCTGACAGTAGTGGAACATAGACGAGATCGCAGCAGACGTACATGTCGTTTCTGCAGAAGGACAAGGAATCTGTACGCTCCGTGATCTCAAAGTTACACGCCACTATGTCACTTCTCCGACGCCTGTCAGTAAACGCTTTCAAGTAATCAGCCAACCACTCTCCATGGTCCCGATTCCTTTTGACACCGAGGCCAATGTGGATACGCCAGTGATCGGATCGCGTACCGCTAGTGTCGCCCCCGGTACACCGAGCCACTATAGCCGCGGAGAAGCTACGCACATGTGCCCAGTGAGTATTGAGTGTACGCGAGCGAAACTCACCTGACATCATGTTGTAGATTCATCATGTATCCAGTGCGTCTCTAGCATGCGACATTGACCCACTACTTCAACATGCCGCTTTCTACGCTTCTCGGATGGCTTCCGCTGGAAAGAAGATACTCACAGTGCTAGGAGTCGATTCAGGTACGCTAACGTCTGGGAGATGAAGCCGCTACGCCGCTCACGTGTAGCCTACTTTGCAGACTCGGAATCGACCCTTCATAATGGTGCTCAGCTCCTGTTACGCGAATTACTCGGGCCCACCGTGACTGTTGTATACCAGGCCGGAGTCATGGACAAGAATGAGCCGCTGTCACGCAAGATGGTCCGCATCCAGGCTGGCGCGTCTCGGACACATCGTTCGATGTTCGACATTGTCCTGTGTCGCTTTTCTGCACCATGGAGCAACGAAGAGGCGACCATCGCAATACAGTCTTGTGTCTCGTCCCTCATCCCTGGCGGCTTCTTGTTCGTTCAAAGCAGCTGCAACATGCCTGATCCTCAATCATCTTGTCACGACAGCTCCGACCTGTGCTTTCCTCCTGCCGATCTTGCTGTTCTACAACTTGAGCTGAACAATATGGGATTCAGGACGCGCGTTCGGGGTCTGCCAACCATCCTGATCGAGGCACAGAGTCCGTCACTGTCTCTTGCCTCGCCGAAATCTCCCCGCCCAGAGAGCCAGACTCAAGTCCTCCGATATCGCATCGGAAAGGAGATTGACATTCAATCGACCTTGGCGAAGCTCGACGTCAATGGCCCTGCTTGTATCTGGGTCATAGCGCCAGAGGGATGCGATGGTGACGGCGCAACCGGGTTCACGAGGTCACTCAGACGGGAGTTGCCTGTATGGGATATCGGGCTTTTGGTTACATCCCCTACTTTCAGCGAACGAGAATCGGAGGACCTCGCGCATCATCTTTCATCGATACCTTGGATAGAACGAGAGCTGTATATCGGCAAAGACCACCAACTACACGTTCGCCGAATCCGTGAAGTACCACCCTTTCGTCCCGGCCGGACTATTTCCTACCATGGCGACATTCCCCCTCGACACATCCGCCTCGATCGAACGCTCAGCTATAGCATCGACTCTCGCTACCATTGCTTGGCCGGAAGGGTGGCTGCAGCCCCCGATGACGCTACCGGGATGCTCGTCGGTACGAGGGTGGTCACCATCACTACGGAACCCCCTGAAGAGGATACGACCGTGCACCAAGACGCTGTGACCCCGCTACCCGACCACTGGGAGGAGGAAGCAGCACCAGTGTTGGCACTGAGCTGTCTTGTGATGAACCTCGCGCTCAAAGGCGAGTCCACACGTGATTACCCGGCGCGGAACGATTCACGTCGTATCGTTGTGGTGGGCGCAGACACACCACTGGGACATACACTTGTGCATATCTTGCAGCAGCTAGGCATCTGCTCGGTCAGGTTGCAGCTCGATGTGTCTCCTCTGGATATTGCGTCACTCCGCCTAGGCCCCGTTGACACCGTCGTGGCGTTGAGTAGCCACGCCTCCACCATTCTCGCTACCTTCGCGGACAGCGGATTTCAACTTGTCCGCATGTGCGATATATCTCGGCTCATGGGCGAAGTGACTCGCAGCCCGCGCCTCTTGACGACCATGCTACAGAACACCATCCAATCGACGCCGTCAGTCGTTTCTTCCAGCGGACAACTACCCCGGGCGACTCCAGATCGGCCTAGTAGACCTTTGCTCAGGTTCAAACCTCACGAAGTCTATGTACTGATAGGAGGGATCGGGAGCCTGGGAATGCACATCGCGCTCTGGATGTATGAGGTAAGATTCTGGATTGGTATAGACGGGGTCTCTGCTCACCAATAATTTCAGAGAGGAGCTAGAACCATCGTGCTCACATCTCGCTCTGGAAGGAGATCACTGGAACGAGCCGGAGACGTCCTCGCCATTCACATACTCGGTTATCTGGAAAGCCGTACAGACCTTGCCCTGCGACTGGAGGCGTGTGATGCCGCCTCTCTGAACGAGATGCGAGTACTACTCTCGGGCCTGAAGAAACGCATCGCTGGTTGCATGCTGCTCTCCGGCGTTCTCGTAGACCGCACATTTTTCTCTCAAGATGCATCGACCTTCGAAGCGACGTTCAGACCGAAATATCAAGCGATGAGAGCACTGGAAGGTGCATTGCCTGTCAACGATCTCGACTTTCTCATTGTTTTCTCGTCCATTTCGTCGTTCGGGAATGCAGGCCAGACGAACTATTCTAGGCGAGGATTTTTATTCTTGTACGATCGCAGTCTGCTAATGGTGTTCGTCCAGTGCGAACACTACCATTGAGGGGCAGGTTATGCGATACAGTAACGCGTTTGCTCTAGTTACTCCTGCTATCGTGGATTCGACGGCTATCGGTAACGCACTGAGTCATCAAGAGCAAGGAGCACAGTTAGCGCATCTCTTACCATGGGCTCTTTCTGCCAGAGGTACGTGAGGCAGGGCCATGACACAGATCAATACTCAATATACTACGCCACAGAACTCTGTGATTGTATCGAAGACGGCATCCTCATGCTTCAGCACGGTCCCGTGGGTGTGTACGTGCCTAACCTCAATTGGGATCTCGTTCGCCAGCACATGGGCCCCTCTCACCTATACGACCACCTATCAGACTTCAGCCCACGTGCAGGACCCACGACGTCACTGCAGCAGAGCCGCGAGGACCTCCTGTCCGTCGTGTTGCAACACTTGGACGTACCTGCCGATGCTTTCTCTCCTGACGCTCTGCTGTCGCAATATGGGATGGACTCGCTATCCGCTGGTCGGCTATCCTTTGCGCTCAAGACCGTCGTGTCTGTCTCGTCCATGCAATTGCTCGGAGGACTGAGCTTCGCCGAGCTTCACCGCCGGGCTACCACCACACACGCTACTCTATCCGGGGTCTCGAACACGCACGGGGATAACGCGTTTGACTGGGCAGAGCTGAGTCGGCCCGGTCAGCCCCTGGTGAAGCTTGTGGATCGCCAGGGTGATACGCCCCTCATCCTAGTTCATGGGGCAAACGGCAGCGTCATAACATTCTTACCTTTTCAACAGACGTTCACTTCGTCTCTATGGGTCTTGCAGTCGACATCAGACACGCCGATGCATTCACTGGACGCCATCGCAGAGTACTACTACAACGCTATCAAAGACGCTCAGCCGAACGGTCCATATCGCATCGGGGCATACTCTGGGACATCCATCATCGCGTTTCTTATTGCAGAAAGAGTCATCAGTGATGGCGAGACGGTAGTGCAGTTCTGTCTACTCGATCACTTCCCTCTTCTGTTCGCCTCTCCATACCTCGAGCCGGATGCTGCTACCGTTCAACAACGGTCGCCCAGCCATGCATTCATGATTCGTGTACTGGACTCGATGCTGTCCATGTACAAGGCCGAGCAATCTCTTGCCCGTCAGCAATTGGCACAAGAGTTTGAAGATGCTGCACGCGGCGTATCGATGCCACCGGCAGCAGCCTTGCGGTGGCTTACTTACTCCAGCGTGGTCCGTGGCTCGTACGAGTTCATGTTCGAGCTGCTACCTCATGGGGTGCCATACACTCTGGATCTCCTACGTCATTCGCTTGCTGCACGTCTGAGGGCAGTGCAAGTGCCACTGACTCTTTTCGTCGCTACCAGAGGTATTTTGACGGGAATGAGTCGCGAGGCAGGAAATGCGCAGGAGTGGAATGAGCTGGGAGTGCGCGAAGCATACCCAGATGCTTCCGTAGTCTTTGTGGAGGGTACGCATTTCACGATGCGAGATTCGACTGTACTTGTGGACAAACTGCAGAGTTGGTAAAGAACGTATGTATGTCTTTGCGAACTGTAAGTACCTGTGCTCAGTACAATCTGCCAAGCACTCCGAGTTGAATACGTCCCGCATGTTGTATCTCCGTCGACGATCTGAAGAGCTTTCCTTATACTTATCAAACGAAAGATCGCGGCTTCGTTCAATGCGTTTTCCGCATTTCCATGTTTTCCATTATACCATGTCCTCCGACTGACTCGTCAGTTTCTCTTAGACGTCTTATGCGCTTGGGATCGAGAGACAGCCAAGGTTCAACATCAATCTCGTAGGGTGAACACACCTGACACGTTCATTCGTATTGTTGTTGAAATGGCTAATATTATATATTTTGACTAACGAACTGTAGAGGATTGTGCGGTGTGGACACAATGTGGACAGTGGAGGAGATAACCGTCACACGTCGGGCTCGGCGCCTGTTCGCGTCATCACCGTTACATACGCTTTCCTTTTCCTTTCTCGCACGCCTATCCATCTCGCTGAACGTGTTTTTAGACAAAGTCTCCTACCATACAAACCTTAACCATAACATCGGTACCCTCGCGGCGAAGTGGAAGGCGGAGACGCAGACGAACTGTAGCACGAGACGAGCATCTGCATTGTCCAACACCAAAATATCGTTGCCAAACGCCTTGAGCATGACCATAGGTCCTACACATCCTTCAGCATTGGTCACCTGATAAAGCGGTACCACGAGTGACTCGCCATATTTCTGGCACAACGAGTGGAAATACACCCACGACTTCTCCACCGGCACGCGCCACGCATTTCCCAACAGCGGGATGCGCGTAGGTCCCGGTGGCAAGTTTTTCTCGCGGTGCTGAACGAGGCCGAGGAAGCGGTCTGGGCGAGGAGAGACGGGTGGCGAGTCGACTCGGACGACTCGGATATCGACGACGGAGTCGGAGCGGCGGCTGTCCTGGTCATGCCGGAAGGCGAACCCAAAGTTCTGCGATGCCACCTCGGCCGATCGACGAAGCACACTGTTTACGAAGGCGAAATAGTCTGGTTCAACCTGGGTGTCACGCTGCTACATCCAGGACTTTCGTGTGCAAAAACGTCAACTGCGGCAGATAACCTCGCCTGCCTCTGGCACGCGTCGAAAAACCGAAAGCCGCACCCTGCTAGTACATGACATAGACAGGACCCTCAGGCCTCAGAGCTATCGAACTACTCGGCTCGGAGCGACGTCATCCAAACATTGGCCTTACCCTCAGATGGGTCCCAGGACACAAAGGCATAGAGGGAAACGAGCTGCCACTAGCACTGGTGGCGGACGTGGAGGCGACGAAAACGGTACGAGGAGATAGCAGCCCGGCTGGTCAAGGACCTCCCGGGCTGGCTGAAGGAGAACCTCCCTGCGAGCCTATCCAGAATGAGGCAGACTGCAGAACGAGAGAATCACGCGAATGGCGAAGGAGGAGGAGGAGTCGCCGCTCGCGGCGCGGATGGACCAGTTAGACCCGGAGATGCCATCGCGGCCAGGACGCGACGTACGGGAAAAGCAGACGAGCATTCCAATTCTACTCCGTACCGAACACCTTCAACGGACAACGAGATCAACTCGCGCGTGATGCAGGACCAGCAGCACGCTCGATCTAAGGCTGGCAAAGACCTCTTCAAGTTCGCAGGTACCATTCTTCCCTTGCACTCCGTGAAATCTCCTCGTTAAAGCACTGGCGAACCTTGGACAGGCTCGTTTGTAGTTTCTCCTTCAGCCAAGTCGGGAGAAGCTCGTCCGGGCTGCTGTCCCCTCGCACCGCCTCCTTCGCCTCCACATCTGCCATCTCGTTCCCGTCTATCCCCTTGTGTCTCGGAACCCAGCCTCACCCAATCATAAACACACCGTATCCGGGCAGTGGGGTCGCCCTCAGAACTGAAGGAGGTCTGGGGTGTACATGGCGGCCAGCATCCCACCAGCGACGATATACCCCAAGTCACCATTGGACTGGATAACGAAGACGCTCGTCAGAATCCACAGCATATCACAAATCCAGAACGAAGAACCCACGTTGTACTTCCGCTCGCAGTCTTGCGGGATGCCAACGTCGAGCGTCCCCAGCTGCCAGATCATGTGCAGAGCGCAGCCGCCGACGCCAATGACGAAGTACGGTAGAGGCATGCTAGTCTCCGTACCGGCGTACGCAAGGGTACCGACGAACGCCGCGCCGAAGAGACTGAGGATCGGCTTGACGTACGCGCCGAAGAGGAGCGCGGTCGACTTGACACCGGCTTCAACGTCGTCTTTCCGGTCCTGCAATCGTCGGATAGTCAGCAGGTTGTCGGCAAAGCGTATTCGTGATGGATATACGGACCTGGCAAGCGTAGATGGTATCGTAGAAGATAGTCCAGCTGCATAGACACGCGTGAGACCGATGCTGAGTTCAGGCGACGTAACGGGCTGTAACGCACCAGAATGTACCAAAACTCAACGTCCACATGGGGACAGACCTAGTATCTTCCGGTCTGGTCATCAGCCATGCCGTCGGCAAGCCCCAGTTCATTGCCAGCCCTGTCGTCCAATCAGTAATTGCTTGAACATCCGATGGCGATTGACACATACCCAGCCAGGCCTGGGGCCAGTTCGTGACACCTTCAGGAGCGGGTATAAAGCGTGCAACGGGAACACCGAACATCCCACACAAAAAACTACCCAACGCATAGGTCAGTGAGGAGTGTCGCTCAGGCTAGCGCAGACGTGGCCCTTACGCCGTACGGTTCACTAGGGTCAACACCCACACGAAGACCCCGACCTGGACCAGCAGGAAGACCGTCGCCTGGAAGACCGTGACCGTACCTGAGGCAATAGGCCTGTTCTTGGTCCGCTCTATACCAGAGCATCAGCCGGAGTAGCTAGGAGAAAGACACATGGTACTTGCCGACTGGACGATCGAAATCACGGTCACAGATGTCGTTGATAGTGCAGGCCGCGCTGTGAAGGAGCGTACTCCCAAGCAGGAACGCGGTCGTGTACTGCACGAACGTCGTTAGATCCGGGGGATGCGCGCGCATACCCAGGAGGTATCCCCATACTGCATGATCAAGATAAGTATGGAATCCGTAGGCAAAGAATACCAAATGTGGGCGTACCGCATGGCCAGAATACCAGTGTGGAACCCGAGGGGAACTTATGCATGCGCGCCAACTCCCAGTAGAGTCTCCATTGTGGCTTAGGGACGGTTCTGCTTGTTGAGCAGGGGCGAGCGAGCTGCTGCAGACATGTTTTGCACAACTTAAATGCATGATATTCGTCATCGTCTGCTTATAAGTGAGCTGGATCGTGCGCTTGATACTGGCCAAAATCCTTGCAACCGCCGTCGTCCCGCAAGGTTTGGGGCAGCCGAAAATCCGCGCTCCTCCGGATTGTAGCGGAACTTCGAATCGGAACCCATGAACTCGACTGTGGCGCTTGCTCAATTGATGCTTTGCAAATGAGTAGTCCCGCTGGCGTCCCTCCGTTCTGGCCAGGGCGATTGCACGTATTTGGCAAGACACTGTTTGAATTTGTTTCCTGCCTTTCGCGAAGCCGCTCCTCAAGCCTCCGAACTTTAGCCTCCGCACTTCCGCGTAGCGAGCAACAGTGCTCAGTGGCAAAGCCCGGCGGCTGTCGGCCGCACGGACGTGATCAGATTCGACCCGCCTGTGGCATTGAAGACGAACATTCGTACCAGATATCCTAGGAAAGAAGGGCTGCCACAAAGAAACTCTGTGAACGTACCGTGTCCTGAGCTGCTGTATATGCAATCGAATGACGATCTCCCGAAATGTTGACGATCAGTGAAGACAATCCTAATTGAGCACCCGCGAGAGCGTCAATAGCATGAACTAGCAATATACGAAGCTAGTCAAGGTGATACGGAAGAGCACAGGAATACATGTCAGGACGCGGAGACTGCGTGGCATCTACGTTAGCGTCGTTTGCCTGCGCTCATTCGCTGCGAGAGATACACTCCTCAAGCAGCTCCTGCGCGCGCATCGATCTCGGCTTAATGTCACACACAATGTGCTTCGGGAACCTGCCGGCCGGTAACGTCAACGGGAACGACAGAGAGAGAGAGAGAGAGTATTGACAACTTACACTATTATACCGTTCGTGTACTGCATCTCAGGAATGATCGGCTTTCCTCGTTCGTCCATCTTCGGCACAACATTGCTTGTCGCGAGAATGGTCGCCACAATCGCGAAGATGGAGCCCTCCGCGAACTGCGACCCAGGGCATGCACGCCGACCAAACCCGAAGACGAGATCGATCACCTTCCGCATCTCGCCATCGTCATTGCCAAACCGCTCCGGCTTGAACATGTCAGGCTCCGGGTACACCTTGGGGTCACGGAGCATGCGCCTGAGCACCACGTTAGCATTGCTACCCAAGCGGCGACCCATGCAGGGACACGCTGCACTGACCAAACATTCGGGATGATGATCGACGACTTGGGCAACAGACAGTCCTTGTACACGTCGTCTTGTCGCAGCGCGTGAGGCAGGCCTTAAGACGGTCCGTCAGCGACGTCGACCTGGGACACGAGATGCACGCACCTAGCGGGGTAGGCGGGTACCAGCGGAACACTTCCGTTATCACGCTCCTCACATACGGCAGCGACGGCCTGTCCGTGATCGACGGCAGTCGCTCACTGCCCACCACCTGGTCGATCTCAGCCTGAGCTTTCGCCTGGACGTCCGGGTGCCGCACCATGGCGAGCAGGAACGTAAACGTGGTGGACATGTTCTGAGGCAGGCGGCGCTTCAGTTTCCGCGCAGCGGGACGCGGCTGCAGCGCTACGCACCGTGTCCAGCCCGCCACCGAGCCCGGAGGATGCGGCCCAGACGAGGGCGCCCTCATCTTCATTGTTCATCTTGCCTTCGAACTCCTTCAGTGTGGACGCAACCAGACACGTGTCTGTAAACCCTTCTTGCTGCAGATAGACCCTGTCGTCAGCACCGAGCGAAATACGGGACGCAGGTGCGCACGAGTCTCTGCTTGCACCACAGGTACGGGTTCCACGAGGCCTTGTGCTCGAGCTCCTTGAAGCGCTCCGCGGTGCGCAAGAACGACGCCCCAGGCGTCCAGCGCGGCAGATACTGTACTGCGCATACCTGCGCGTCAGACGCGTATCCCCACTCGCCAACTCGCCCGAGCACTCACACTGCGGAATAAAGTCCACGATCCATGCACCCGGCTCCGTCGCGGCGCCGAAATTGACCATGGCATCGAACGGGACGGTGATCATCGGGTCGTCCTCACCCTTGACAGCGTAGCCGTACGTCACGCGCATGATGATCGCCGCGATCCGTCTGTCGTCGCTGTCAGTACAAACCAGGTACGCGCGATGTCGTACACTCACGTCTTTGTCTGGCTGACAAGCGTCTCGGGGCGCTGGAGAATTCCCTGCGCGAGGCGGCGGGCCTCATGCTCCTGGATCGGGTAGTAGCGCGGAACCAAGCCCGGATTGAATGACTGGGCGACGATCTTGCGCTGCCTCCGCCACTGGTCGTTGTAGGACAGCATCGGCATTTCAACGCCGAAGCCTGAGCTGCGCGCGGCACGTAGCGGGCGAGTCAGTTACGCGGCGAATGGGGCACACCAAGCATAGGATCTAGCTTACAGCTCTGCCATGACCTACACGTCCGTCAGTTTCTGGAGAGTGTAAGATGTGACAGAGGTCACGTACCGACTCTGGGCGGTCAGAGTATATGGTAGACCGGCCGTCGAGGAGGTCCTTGGCCGCCTGAACGGTGTTGAGGATCACGAGGTGGTCGTTGAGGGCTTCAAGATGGACGACGTCGCCTTTCAGCATCGCGGGCCGTCGACGGACGAAGTGAGCATGACTCGGGAACCGAGATTAGCAGCGTGAGGATGCACATACCGTAGGTGTCTGCCCAGGCAGAATAGACGAGCCATGGGTTGTCCTGGGGAATCTGGAGCAGATTGCGTATGATAGGCCACCCAGGCGGGCCGGGAGGGTGTGGCCTCTTGGTGCGTAGAGCGGGGATGGCCTGAGTTGCGAGATACGCGACAAGACAGATAAGAGTAACCACAAGAACACCGCTCTGGTTGACGTAACAGACAACAACGCCGAGGGCGCAAGCAACTCCCGCTGCCAGTATGTTGACCATTTCTGCAGTGCGTAGTGTGGCAACCACAGTACGAGGCAAGGAATAGCACAGCGCCGCACGCAAAATTCCCTTCGAACCTACACTCGGACTGGACGGCGACTGGATTGCTTCTCGAACTCCCAGATCTTAGCGGGTGGCTTGGGCGATGTGCAGAAGTAGCGACGTCAACGCCTCGACGGTACCTTTTGTATTGCAGTACCTGCCAAATTCTTGCTGTCATTCCGTGCGAATACGAAGCCTGACTCTGAGACTGAGTTGTCGGGTTCTATCAGGAGAGAACATCTGTGACCGAACGGCATCAGCGCTGGCAGATGCCGTCCACACCAGTGTTGCACGTTTGGAAGCTTGTATACAGCATCTCGACGGGCACAGTATCACGATCACGATGTACCGAACTCACTCAACGCTGCAAAAATATCAGCATTTCTTCGTGCAGAAGAGGAAAAGGATTCCTCACCCAAGTACACACAGTGAGCGCTGTCACGCGTGGCGAACTACGTCGCTCGAGCGTTGTCCAATGAAGTGAGGAGGTGTGGCGGAGCAACGCGACCGCACAAGTAGACTCGGAGGTGGTTGGGACAAAATCGGAATGAGCCCGAGAAGACCTTCATTCCGCGATGTTTGGACCCTCTTTCGATGTGCGCTGTAGGCATATTCGGCGGACCTGTATTCTGCGCAAGTACGACGTGTGAGTTACCATAGGAACAGGGGGTCACACATACAAGGGGAGCAGGAACACGCTGCACGTAAAGATTGGGTATCATCACAGCATGGCCTGATGCGATCTGTACGAGATGCGTTGCATATACGTCAGCCTCATGAATCGTATGTACGGGACGAGGTAGTACAGCATCGTCGCACGCGATAGACGAAGGGCAGGAATAGGACTGGCGACGACCGCCCATGCGACACTTCGTCTTCACTATAGCTAAATAGTACTCACTCATCATCGCGGACACTGATCACCGCACACGTTCTACCCCCCATCCTTCGCGCAGAGATGGTGCTGGAACCAAGGAGAACCGCAGAGCATCGTATGCCTCTCCTCGCTGAACAGGCTATAGTTGGGCATGATGTCGAGGATTCACGGAAGATACGGAGCGAAGAGCGCGCTCGACGGCGACACGGCTGAAAAGTGGGCTTGGTCTGCATATATGCGGCCTTATGAGCGCAGTAGGCTCTGTGATCTGCAGGGGAGGCGTCGCGCACGGCGTAGCATGGCCCTAAATGGCCAGCATCTCTTTGAAGATGAGCGGCCAGTGTAGGTGACCGGACGGATGGATATGAAGAAGTTTATGTTGGGGTCCGGGGACGTGTGATGCGTAAGTGTCGACCAGAAGCATGGAGCATTCCGTGAAGCATCACAGTACGCAAGCGCACTGCGCGAGGATGGGCGGACAGCAGGCCGAACAAGGACTACTGTGAGCCTATACCGACTCCGAGCAAGCGGACGTACCGTCAACCCTCCGTCCCGCGAAACAGGCAGCTGAGCTCTTAAGGGGTGTAGCGCGCCGATGGTGGTGTACGCGCCAGTGGTAGGCTATAAACCATGTCGAGACGGGCGTGGTATGCGCATTGAGAAGCATTGAGAGGTGCGGAGAAGGTGAGGAGGAATGAGAGGCCACCGCTGTGCCACAGTCGCCAGTGGCTGATCTCGAAACGGAAGGATCTGACCAGGATCTGACCCGAGCCCGGTTCCTTGATGGGATCTAACACAAGATCCCCACTTCAAGCCGTGTCCGAGGCGACTTGCCCAGCGGCCCTCCTCTGTCCCTGACAAGTCCGTGGATGTCCATGGCGCGGGGCTTCAATCCAACGATCTGTTCACACTACGGTCTGATGTTGTCCACTATAAGACGACCCTCCGCCTGCTCTGCAAGCAACTTAGCCAGGGCGAAGACATGGCACAAGGGACACTACACTCCTTCCTCGTCCTCGTAGCACTCATTCTCGTCCCGCTCTTTTCTCTGAAACCATGGAACGGTCGGCACTCTCGCAGACGCCTCCCGCCTGGGCCGACTGGCTTGCCTATTATCGGCAACGCCCTCCAGATACCGGTCGAGCGAGCATGGGTCACGTTCGTGGAGATGGCGAAGACATACGGTGCGTGGAACACATCCACCCCAGCATGTGTATGCTCACATAGCCGTAGGCGACGTCATGCACTTCTCCGCGTTTGGTCGTTCCATCGTCATCTTGAACTCGCGGAAGGCCGTGTTCGACCTGCTCGAGAAACGGAGTGCTATATACTCTGACCGGCCGCGCAGTGTCCTCGCCGGTGAGATGTGAGCTATCCGTCCTGTCCTCTCGCTCTTTGTTTAGCCTGTTATGTTGATCCCTGTGCGTAGGATAGGTTATGCAGAATTCACAGTAATGTGTCGGTACGGCAGTCGCCTGAAGGACAGCAGGAAGATCATCTCGTCGCTCATCTCGCCTCGAACTCTCCCGGAGATAAACGCCATCCAGGAAGGCCAGGCCCAGCTGCTCCTCCCCAGGCTCCTGAACGCACCCGACGAGTTCCTCACGCACATCCGGTGGTACGTCCCCGCGCCGCGCGCCATCCCAGCGCCGCTCACGCTCTCCGCCCGCAGGCTCGCGATGAGCGTCGTCTGGAAGATCACGCACGGCTACGACATGGCCGACCTCGCCGACCCGCTCGCGCAGGTCGTCGAGCAGGTCAACGCCGAGTTCGCGGAGGTGACGGCGCCGGGCAGCGCGTTCCTCGTCGATCTCCTGCCGTTCCGTAAGTGCACCTCCGTATCCGAGCACGAAGGTGCTCTGACGCGCCCGTCCTGCAGTGCGATACGTCCCCGACTGGGTCCCTGGCACCGGCTTCAAGAGCCTCGCGAGACGTGCGCGCGCGAACCTCTTGCGGAGTCGCGACGAGCCGTACGACATGGTCAAGGATCAGGTGGTACGTGTATTTTCGAAGTCTCTGTGATGCTCACGACGGTGTGGCTAATGGGCTCGCGTGCAGGACCGTGGCGTCGCCCCTCCATCGTTCACCACGACGGTGATTACACGGAACCCCAACCCTACCCCGGGGGAGGAAGACGTGCAGCGAATGACGACGAGTCATCTACAGGCTGGTGAGTAGCAGTGGGCTCTGCGCTCTCCCGTACTGACCGTCTCTTACTACACTAACGCCTAGCTGGCGCCGAAACGGTGTGTCTCCGAGCTGCCGAGTCAAGTTTACAGCCATTCTGACGCGCCTGCTGGTCACACAGTCGATCGCGACGATCGAGTCCTTCTTCTTCCTCGCGGCGCTCTTCCCGGACTTACAGCGGCGCGCGCAGGCCGAGCTAGATACGGTCCTCGGGTCCGGCCGCCTCCCGCGGTGCAGCGACCGCCAGGACCTGCCGTACACGGAGGCGCTGGTGAAGGAAATCTACCGCTGGAACCCCGTCGGGCCGCTCGGTACGTCCCAGTCCCCCTCCCCCCCGTCCGACCGGTGCTCATGTGCACGTGTGTATGCTAGGTGTGCCGCACAGCGTGATGGAGGACGACGAGTACGACGGGTACACGATACCGAAGGGCGCGACGGTTATCGCGAATACATGGTGAGTGGGTTTCGTAGGCTCATACTTGCGACGCAGCGCTGACTGATGCCAGGGCGATACTACACGACCCAGCCCTCTACCCGGATCCCCACCTTCCCGCACCGGAGCGATACCTCAACCCCGCAGGGGAGAAGCTTCAGAACGGCGACGCCGAGATCGAAACGGAAGCGCTGAACCCCGACCCCCGCATGTTCGCATTCGGGTACGGACGCAGGTGCGCCTCACCATTCAGATACGCACACTCCTCCCACGCGCGAGTGCTGACGCGCACCGCGTGCGGACAGGGCGTGCCCCGGGAAGATCCTCGCGGACGACACGCTCTTCATCCTCGTCGCGACCGTCCTCGCGGCCTTCGACATCTCCGCCGCCGTCACCGCGGACGGCGCCCCGGCGACGGCGCGCACGGAGTACGTGGGCAGCCTCATGAGGTGCGTCGCCCGGCGGTTCTCAGACGGGTGGGCTGACTGGGACTCGGATGACGCACAGTCGACCGCCGGAGTTCCGCTGCAAGATCACACCCAGGTCAGAGGCGATGGAGCAGCCGATCGCTACGGTCGGTTTGCAGGAGGGGTGAGACTGGCTGGTGCTTGATTTGGTGATGACGTGGAGTGAAGGGGTTAGCTCGAAACATGTGCGCCGTCGCGCGACTTGGATTGTTGAAGTGTGCTGATCACTATCTACTTGCACCCGGTGCACTCATTACAACAAACTCTAGGTCGTCCTCAAGCTTTCACCGAGCCACTTTCGTGGCGTCCTCAGTTCATACTGTGACGCATCAACCACCATTGGCACATGTACATTTAATACATATTGTCAGCCTAGGCTATTTTGTAGGACTAGGAAGTGTTGTGGACACATCAGAATATGAACCAATAGAAGTTGGACGTCCATATACGTACAGTAGCATGCCATCTTCGCACACCCCGCCGATTTGGGCGGAGCGCTGCCCGAAGGAATATCTTCTCCACCGCAATGGTGCCACGGGCTGCCACGGGTCGGTACTTATCAACCCATCGCTTCGCAGCGTGGCGGCCATTATTAGTCCTCCGACACCCTTGGCCGTGGTACGCGCCCAAGTCTGTCTTTTCGCTGTTCAGTAGAGGCGCACAGGCTCCACAATGGCCGGTACCTTGCAATTCACACCGGTTGAGGATATACCAAGGGTACGTAGAGTTGTCGATTATAGAGCTGTCGTTGTTAGCTGGCATTTTACGTCCACCAATAGATCCGAAATGAGCTGGGAGTCGCCTTCAATTCAGGGAGAACGAGATCTATCGCATATCGCAAACAGCAGCTCCTGCAATTATGTTACCTCGTTGAAGACAACCAGGAGTGTATCCGGCAGGTGATCTCCTCGGACCTTGGACGGCCGCATGATGAAACAGACGTGTAAGACCAAATATGACCTGAGAACGATATCTAGACTAATACAGCGAAGCCTTGAGTGGAGCGGGACTCTACTCGAGATCAAGGACGCCTATGACAGTGTTGAAAAATGGTCCGCGCCGCAAAAGTCTCCGTTCTCTCTCCTATGGTTCTCGTTGTCTCCGGTGACAAGGAAGGAGCCCAAGGGCGTCGTCCTCATAATAAGCCCATTCAATTATCCTTTCTTCCTCACTTTGACCCCGTTGGTGCGTTATCCTAATCACAGCGCTGAACGGACGCTTCGACCCTCATATCGCTCCTCTTAGGCGGCTGCGATCGCAGCGGGCAATACGGTGATGCTGAAGCCTTCGGAATTAACTCCTGCGTCAGCCACCTTTCTCGCTGAGGTCATCCCAAAGTATCTGGACCATGACTTGGTCCGGGTCGTCAATGGCGGTGTGCCTGAAACCACAAAGGTGATCCTCGTGCACTCCGAAACGACGGTCATACTCTGACTACCATGGAATCTGCAGATCCTCGAGCTCCGTTTCAACCACAGTTGAGCGTATTCGTAACAGATCTATGAATGGCTGACTGAATGTGCTTGCGGCTCGGCAGTTCTTTATACAGGTAGGAAAGTGCTGTTGCTGGGATCTGTGTCTGTCTGAACGTCTTGTAGGCAATAACCGCGTCGCGAAGATCGTATGTATGGCCGCAGCTAAACATCTCACGCCTGTGACTCTAGAGGTACGTGTCATAGCTCGAATCAACAGGGTGACCCCTGACAAAGGGTCTTGATAGCTTGGAGGTCCGTGACCGTCCGTCAAGCGACTCCTCCGCCCGACGCTCTGACGACGACTTTGGCTCTAGGAAAGAGCCCTTGTGTTATAGATCCGAAATGCAACGCCAAAGTCGCAGCAAAGCGCATCATGTGGGGAAAACTTGTTAACTGTGGCCAGGTATGTATTCTCTCGTCGATGAATACTACGTAGCGCTGACGGAAGCACGAAGGTGTGCTTGTGTCCTGACTACGTTTTGGTGCCGGAGTCGTTCCAGGATGAATTCGTAGAGGCTCTAAAGAACGCGTGCGTCTCCCACTTCTGTCGCACAACAGTGCTTCACGAGCTCCTTATAGGTACAACGAGCTTCACCCCACCGATCCGAAGCAGTCAGGCATGCTAGGCCGCATCGTCAACGAGCGCCACGTCGAACGTCTGAAGAACCTGCTCGACAACACCAAGGGCACTATCGTCTTCGGTGGGGAAACCGACAAGGACGCCAGATACGTCGCGCCGACTCTCATCAGAGATGTGAAGCGTGACGATTCGCTCATGAGCGAGTGAGTCTGCTTCGCTGATACTCTGCATGCAGATGTTTCTCTGAAGTAACGACGTCGTTCTTGTAGGGAGATATTCGGCCCGTTGCTACCAGTCGTGCCTGTTAAGGACGTCGACGAGGCGATCGCCTTCGTGAATAGCATGTGAGCTATCGGGACACTCGTCTGACGCATCCGGGACTCATAGTACACTAGGGATGAAGCACTGAATGTCTACATCTTCTCGAATGACAAGAAGTTCAAGAGCAAAGGTACGTATGAACTATTGTTGTACGGAGCTGTTACTGACTATGAGCTGTTACTGACTATGAGTAAGTTATGGACAACACCCGGAGTGGCACAGCATCTGTGAATGAGACGATCCTACACGTCATGGGTTCGTCTTGCACGCACTCGACCTGCGTCAGGTTCTGAAACTTACATTCCTCATAGCTAACGACGCACCCTTCGGAGGATTCGGTGCCAGCGGTTGTAAGTATGACTGGTTGCATAGATTGAATGACTAGACTGAATCCTCCTTGAGACGGCTACTCGACTGGGAAAGCGGCCTTCGACGAATTCACTCACTTCAGGTGTACGGTGGACAATCCAAACTGGTGCGACCTGGTCTGCGTGTTATCATCGTCGCTTCTGAAACTAATGTATCCTCTAGGGTCGAGTACACTCCCATGTCGGCACGGTATACGCCCTACAACGTAAGCCCATCCCTCACCTATGGACCACGAATTGCTAACGACTGACCATCTGCGGACGGATAGCCGACTTCGCTGCAACGCTTGGTCAAGTTCTTGCATCCCAGCCTTCCGCCGCGGAACGGAGGGAGCTCCGCTATGACAAAGCTCTGGTATGTGGTCGGTTTGGCCGTCGCCGGAGCTGTATGCGCATCACTGGCTGTCATTTTCTTGTAGGCGGAGCGAGTGAGGATCGAGGACTCAGCGCTGTTCGGTATGTATCTCGTGGTCTTACTTATCGAGTCGGGCTAGTGTGCGTTCGCGCTATCGTTTTATTGTGCAGGGATGCTGTGCGCCCATATTTTACAGTCGTTAAGCAGTTTTTGTATGGCAAGGGAAGCGTTCACATCCACCATCTCTGTTGAATAGGAAACGGCCCGCACCAACTGGTCCGGTGTTCGCGATCTATGTGGCACAAGCGGCACTCTTTCACAGCACGAGTGGCCGAAGATGCCGGGAGCTTCGGCTACTATTGCTAGAGCTGCACAAACATATATCATTAGCTAAAGCTAAGACTCGCGTGCCGGCGACTCGCTTTTGCTTTAGTGAAGACGGTACTGTGCAACGCCGGCACACCGAGACTTTCGCCCGCTTATGAGTACGACGCAACGGGCGAATCGAGCAGGATACGATTGGGGGACGAGCGACAGCGCGAACGGTGTCGAAGAAAGCCGGTGGAGGACAGTGTTCATAGATGGAAGAAGGAAGAATTGTGAAGCGCCAAGACCAGGACCGTGGAGGAGGTAAATCAGTCTCACGCACAAAGCTCCTGTCGACACATAGATGTCTCGAAACATCACAACGAAGGCGACGTATTTACCGAGGAGCCTGGTATATGTATCTGCAAAAGGATGACTCAGACCACGTCAGATAGAATCTTCGCATATAAACTTACGGCTGCTCCAGGTATTGAATCTCCTCGGCGGACAGCACCTTCTTCGCCGGAATACATTGCGCAACGCGCTGGCCCTAGAAGCCCACATTAAGAATGACAATGCATAAGACTATGAGATCCGTCACATACGTTGTTCGCCCCCACGATGGGACTAGACACTTTCGTCAGCGACCATGCAAGCGCAACTTGGCTCATCGTCCAGGTGTGTTTCTTCGCTAGCTCCTCCACACGATTGATGATCTCGAGATCGCATGCACGGCGGGGCTTCTCATATGGGGTGCCGTTGATGGACTTGGTCCTGTTCGTCTCGGTGCCAACTGGGCGTGCCAGGTGGCCGTCCATGAGCGGAGAGAAGCCCAGGATCCCGATGCCTTTGTAATTGCAGTACGCAAACATCTCAAGCTCCTGCACTGGTGACGTTAATCGCTGAGGACGGCTGCTGCTGCTATGAGTCAACTTACCTCTGGCCTGTACAAGAGCGAATGTTCCACTTGAATACTCGCGAAGGTTGTCCAACCATTCTTCTCCGCGACCTCATTCATGGCAGCGAATTGCCATAGCTTAAGCCGGCATGCACCGATGTACCTCACCTTGCCTGCCTGGACAAGATCATGCAGCGCGCGCATCGTCTCCTCGAACGGTGTCACCGGATCGAAGTCGTGGATCTGCAACAGATCGATGTACGTCGTGTTCAGCCGCTCCAATGAAGCATCCACCTGGCTGAGGATCGCTGTGCGCGACAGACCGCCAAGGTTGACGAACTCGCGCGTATCACCAAGATTCGGCATCGCGAACGTGAATGTGGACGGTTCGCGTCCGACGAGGAAGTTGATCTTGGTCATGACGACCATGTTCTCTCTTCTGACATTGTTCTTGATTCGCCTCCGAGTCAGTGCTAGCCCCGTTCAATACTGTGGTCATGCACTTACCTGACTCATGAACTTAGCGATCAACCTCTCGGATTCACCGTTAGAGTACACATTGGCCGTGTCAACGGTGTTCACGCCATTGTCCCAGGCAGCTTTGAGAAGTGCGAGCGACTGTGAATGACGGCTAGCGTCAGTGACACCGAGAATTGAAGTCTTCCAGTTCCCTCCATACCTCGCTCTCTGAGAGCACCCACGGCTGAAAGAAAATATCATGAGCAACGACTTGCACACTGCTGTACATGCAAATGCGGGACATAGGACTCACTAGCCACTCAGAGCTTCCTATCGTCATGCCACCGAGCTGCATATGTGGATGTTTAGCGAGTAAACACAATGTCGAGGAGACGGCATGAAAGACTTACGATGGGGACAGAGACACGGAGACCTGTCTTTCCAAGCTGACGGTATTCAGCCTGCACAGACATAACCTTTTTGAGAGAGGAGGCGCGCTTTGAGTAATGAGAACACGGAAGGATGAAGCGTAGTAGTGTATCCCAGAGGTGTGCAAGCTCGCGACGGGATCCTACAAGTAACCTGTGCAATAAGAACTTCGGTACGGACACCGGAGGCGGATGAGGAGCTTCTTATATGCCGAGCACTCACTGCATTTCAGCTGTATATGGGTGGACAAATACAGTTCATGGGGGGAAGAGTCGTTCTCACGCAGTCGTCCATCTTAGATGTCAAATGATGGCCTCCAAAGATGTGAGGCCGACTATGAACGTTGAACAGCTGCCGACGTAGCTTCGCCACCGCAAGGCCGCATCCCAAAATCCCGTCCATGAAGCATATGTGTACACAGAGCATGGCTGTGAAGGGATCGAGAGCGGTGCGATCTACTTATGCCACGCCGAACGCTCGAATGACCAGGATCAGTAACACGCTGAAATCACTCCCCCGAAACCGCACAGGCAGCGCGTGGACTCATCGAGAACTGGCACACTCACTGTCGCGAGACTGGATCACGGCGACCTAATGCCACAGAAGCCAGCCGTCATGATGTTAGGTTAACTTACTGCAGAAAAGGAACTTGAGACACGTATCTGGACGTGGTCGCCGCTAAGCAGATGATTCACACAATCTTCCGGATCCATCGGCCTCCTCCTCAGCCTCCGCCTCATCCTCAGCCAACCCACATTGACACCATGCCTAGCAAAGTACTTACTCGAGCCAACTTGAACGTGATGACGACTGTGCTGAGTACACCGGCACCATCTCGCGAGACTGCATCTGCCAGGGAATGGCAAGTCACAGACATCTTTGTGGGCACTATCACTCGGCCAGCCCGGGCAAAAGGACGCTCAGTCTGATCATCGCAACTGAGATGTACGTAACGTACAAGACGTGACGGATCGGCGGCGTGCTGAGACCTATTAGGGTCAAATATGCGACACTGATAAGGTATGGGCTGCCGTTGATGTTCTGGCAAATCGAACGTTGATTAGAAAACTCAGCTCGAAGTCAACGACAGCAGATCTACACCATACCTCTCCTCCAGTCTGGTTGCTGTCATGAAATGTATGGCGACGAAATAGGCTGAACTCAGAACGACGACTCAGACACAAGCCGACGCCCTCTGTGTTTCTAGTGACATGCAACAGAGTCTATTAGTCTGAGATCATAATCGCTTGCCTGAGAATAGTGTAGCTCACCCGTCGCTCCGCTCCTACTCGACGATTACTCGTTCGCTGTACCGTGGGCTGAGGGGCCTAGCGGATGCCATCCCCAGGCAACCGCGTGAAGTCGTGAGGCGCGCAGTCGATGGGCGTTGGTGTTAGGAGGCAGCACGCAAGCGTCTGTCTCGGTATGAGCGACTCGTTGCTCCTCCGTCACGATAGAGCGAGAAAGCACTCGATGCTACTCAGTACATGCACAGAGGACCAAGGACACGACCTACGACGTCCGCGCCGCCTGCGCTCAGGATGTGCCGTGCGTCGATTGAAGGCCATGGAACGAGAGGAGAAAACTCGGGCTCGTGGAAGGAAAGAACGCGTTCACGTCGCCACGACCCATCTCCGAAGACATATGTCCATCGCATCGTCCATGAGCTGGACGGGGTCCTCGCTCGTAGAGTCAAAGACTCTCTAGCCGTACGCCAGCAAGAGGCAAAGCCAGCGAAGTTCTGTGTCGCCGTAGTTGATAGTGTGAAGTGGGCGAACACGGAGCGTGAGACGACGCGTCGCTGTGGGTGAGGCACTGAGTCGCGCAGACGGCTAATTGTTGTTCAGGTGGATGATCGCCTCTTCGTGGAGTTCGTGGCCGTGGTGCCAGTGATTTGTGCCCGTCTGGTGTCAGAAGAAGTCGCCCGTCGCCCAGCCCGAGCGGTCGCAGACAAGGATCTAGGCGAAGTCGTCGTCCAGGCGGGGAGAAGCCTCTGTGAAGGGCACCATTCACGTCGAGTATGTGTGGCGTCGATCCTGTTCGCCGCGATGCAGCCAAGTAGTGTGACGTTGGCGGTCGACTTCCGCGATGGCTTCGCGTGTTGGACCTTGCAGATATGATTGGGTGCGTGGGTGTGCGAGAGATGTCGTTTAAGGGCCTATCTGTTTTGCTGCAAAGAACGTGCGGTTTCTTCCGGGCAGCCACAGATGATGTTTGCCGGACGTGGCTTAAGATCCACTAGCGAAGTTGTCCAAAGTCCGTCGATGCGAGAGCAGTGTCAAGCATCGCATCGAGTGCGAAGCCTCGCTCGATGGATGGGGGCAGCGCGGCGATAGTAGTAGGTGGAACCAGATGCCCTCGGCTTTAGGAGTCACCCCCAATAACTTAGCTACGAAAGAAAGTCGGTCAAAGGTGGGAGACGAAGGGCATCAAACATACATTTGCACGTCTTTGATCTCCTCTGAGCTTCCTCCTTTCACCTGCTGGTGTGCTCCGCTTGATACCAGGGCCAGTGATGCGACAAAGACTTACGGATTGCCGTTCTGCTGAATCGGACGTCTGTGAAGAAATTCAGTCCGAAGTCAGGGACAGCAGACCTTCGCCATACCTCTCGTCTAGCCCAGTTGTCGTCGGGATCATGACCGACGACACTGACTACGGTGCTCTGCTTCTGGTGAAGCGATAGAGTTCAGCCTACTACGGAAGCATAAGCATCCGGCGACTTACTGTGTATCCCGCACATCCTCTACTCCATAACCACTCGTCCGTTCGTACGCGAGCTTCAGATGGTAGCGCCACGCGACTGTGACGTAGATACATGTTTGACGATGGCGTTTGGACAGAAGGGCATGGCGAGGACGGCTGTTCACAACGCAGCATTGAGATTAGAAGGCATGCGAGTCCGGTTGGAATGACGAGCATCGAAAGGTGTGAAGCAACCAGTGAGATTGTCGTGACCGCTGGGATTTTCTAAGTTGCCAATGACGGGCCGAGGGAAAATAGTCCAAGCCTACATTCTCCATAACGAATAACGGGAGACTGACAGGAAAGTAGTGATCAGTGCATGTTTGTAGCGGGCAGGTAAATGATCACGGTTAAGAAGGAGGAGGAAGGGAGGCCTCTATCGGTAATTTTGCCCGATAGTAGTCCCGACGCGCTCGCGCCACATCGTGTCGTGCGCTTGCCACTCCATATCCTCACCAGCTCACACAACACTTGTTTTATGCGCTTGTAACATTACTGTATCTCTGGACTCACGCGTCAAACTTGAATAGATGGAGGAGGTAGCAAGGCAGGAATGCGCGAAGAAGCTTGCCAGCGCCAGGGAAGGGTTGTGCGCCCGCTTGTACTGCAGCACTTGGACGGAAGACGATGATATGCCATCCCAACACCTCGACGACCTATGAGGGGAGGCTACGGCCCATTAGGAGATCACTGAAGGAAGTAGAGGAAACTAACATGCGGTGAGTTGTGTCTACGTCTGGGCTGCACAACCAGGAAGAGCCGATGAGCAGTCACAGTGAACAGAACTCTTATCTACTTATGCTAGAGGCCTTCGTGCGTGTCATGTACATGTTGACCCAGCGGCTTCCCGACGCTTGTCAAGGACGACCGGTCCCCCGTCCGGGACGACAACTTCGCCTGGATCCCTGTCTGCGACCGCTCACGCTGGGCGACGTACGTCTTATGACACCAGACGGACACAGTTCACTGGCGCCACGGTCACGTCCTCCACGAAGAGGCGTTCGTCCGCCTAAACAGCAACCCGCTCGCGACTGAGTATGTAGCTCACACAGCGCGATGAGTCGTCTCCCGCCCCGTATCCGCGCTCCACACCATTAACTACGGCGCCACAGAACTTCGCTGTCTTCTCTCTGGCTGGCGTACGGTTAGAGGGTTTTTAACTCCAGTAGCGAGGAGCTCTCGCAGACGCATCGTGGTGACGCTGAACGCGTTCTTTCCTTGCATGAGTCTTCCCCTCTTGTTCCATGACTGTGCTGGGGTGGCTGATAGCTGCGACGGCAGGTGGGATAACTGCCACAGCTTCGTTCCGTGTCACTTCGCGGATGACGGGGAGGAAGCGCATCGAGCCAAAAATCTGGACGTAGGGGAGGAAATGACAAACAAGAATACGGAGGATGTAGGCAGTACATGACATGATGCTCGTGATCAGAGACGGGGTATGTTCGATTCGATTCCTTATACTTCTCTGGGCTTGGGCTATGTTTTCGTATATTGCTGACGCACTGGCGCACCAAGCTGCACCACGGATGTATGTTCAGGTATCAGCAGCGGAAGTACAATGAAAGCGCTCCTTGACTGGACGTCATCCGTCTGCAGTGGTACTTAGCACATCAAACGAAGTCGGCGCAGTCCCAGGAATGCGAACAAAGTACCTGACGGTCCTCTGATAAGTTCGATTCACAGCGACCCCGCCGAGCGCCAGAATGCTAGCCACCGTTTCACATCTGCGCCAGTCAGTGGAGCTGCAGCTGCCAGGATAGGGGACATTTCCGTAGCACGGGATGCAGAGGGAGCCGGGCAACCCGATGCCTCCGATTTGTCTCGCGAAGTCGAAAGTACCTTGAACCAGGGGAGCAAGCGCAAGGCACGCACACTCCGCAGTGACTCGGCCTCGGCTCGCGCCTGACCTGGGCGAGGAGCATGGGATGAGTGTAGTGCTTCGAGCTTGGAGAGCCATTGGTCGAAGGGGACGAGGGAAACATCCAACTCGTTCGCGATGATGGTCGCGAGTGACATCCAAGAGACAGGACGGGGATGAACCAAATGTACGATGTCTTCCTTGTACGGGGCTAAAATGAGCCCTGCCATCGCAGTGGCTGCGGTATCCAACGGCACCCACGACACTGTCTGTGCACTATGAGCAACACGTACGGACGACAGTAGTAGACATTACGCACCATGAGGTCATCCGGGAAGCAGCCCAGTTTCGTGGCACTCTGCACCATGGCAGGAAACCATTCGTGGGCATTCCACGCCCCGTCAGGCCCTCCTCCGCATATCTGACCAACGCGCACGACGAGAACTTCAAGAGTCGTCTTCCGTGCCGCTTCCAAGAGGATTCGTTCAGCTACCCATTTTGATTCCGAATAGCCCGACCCAACAGCGACGTCGGGCTTTACGACGTGTTCTGCGAGTTGGCCGGTTTCGATATCTGCGTCGTTGTGAGCTTGGTTGTCAACCCGCGGTAGAACAATTTACTCTGGAAGATACCCATGGAACTGGTGAATAGCATGCGCGGCGGAGTAGGACGTGGGGATGATAATGCGAAGTCAACTAGGTTGCGCACACTCTTGACATTCGGCTCAAACGACTCAAGAGACAGATTGAAGTCTACCCGCCAAGCTGCGACCAGACATGCTGAGAATGCGAACGACCGACGTTTGAGTGAATGCTTACCGTTGTGAATCACATGTGTTACAGAAATTTGCATCTGTAGCATAGCGCATAAGCGGATGCAACAAGACTTCGACTGTGGGCGTACCTCTGAATATACCTGTTCCGGGAGCGCGAAACCGACCACTGAGACATCGGCCTCCAAAAGTAAAACCTTTGTACTCTCGAGTATGGCGATTACAAGCCCGCGAGACGACAGAGCGGCCTTCTGTCGCGATAGCAGCTCTTCTCCGTCTCTGGAAGGACGGTTCAACGCGTAGATACGTACAACAGACGGATCGTCGACGAGGCGAGAGAGCAGGAAGCTCCCAAGGCTGCCAGTGGTACCTGTCACTAGGATGACGTTCTCGAGGCGTGTTGCTGACGCTGTGGGTCCATGACCTGGGATCCCCTGGCAATACTTTGTAGCCATCGCGACCATTTTGTCAACTCGTTCATCTAGCGATCTGGGCGTGCCCGTGGAGCCGGTCGCCAGTCCAAGGAGGAACGAGGCGAGACGTGAAATAGTGGGATGGTCGTATACGAGGTTGCCAATGCTCGTGCGCGTGTCAGGCAGCTCAGAGTCACGCAAGGCGCGCAACAACACATTCCTGATATGTGTGGCTTGGAGACTAGTACTCGGCTCATGAGATCAAGACGGCATTCAAAAAATTATGTGCGGGCACACCTGTCGCAGCCGTATTGAAATATATCGTCGTTATCTTCGACATTGTGCACCAGAACCTCATTGACGACTGCACGGACGAATTCGAGCGTGGTGAGTACATCCCAGTGTGACGGAGGCGGGATACCAGATTGGGTCGTTTTCTCGAGGTTGTCGTAGAGGGTATCGATGTCATCGGCATAGTCATCGATGATGGCCCGACGGCGTGCAGTGCTCTTCGCTGTATACGTGAAAGGTTTTCCCGGCTTTGCGACAATGATCATCTGAACAGTGTCTTAGCATATCACAGACTGAATCAACGCTTAATCGTGTCATACTGGCCTCTTTGAATAGCCTGGAATGCTGAGGCGCACATGCATTCATCCGTGCCACGGCCGGCCTATGAATTTGCGATCCGTCATTGGTTCTCGACATCGAAGACAAAGTCAGAGCGACTGACCAGATCATATTTCTGAACTCTGCAAGCCTGGTTTCGTTAGCCGGATCGAACCTGTACTCAGGTCTGGGGTCGACAAGAACCCCGGCCTGGAACCGACCACGTCCGAACATCACAGACGCCAGAACATGTGGATTTTGATTGAGCATGTTCTCTGGAGAAAGCCGCTGAGTTCAAGTTAGTCGTCTCACTCGTCGGGTCCCATCACGTACCCAGTGGTACCGGGTTTGTCTGAATTATATTCAGAAGGGCGATCACTATCATAGTGAGCTTGCACCAACCTTCTCCCCGGTACTGTGTATGATCTGATCGTCGGTCCTGCCGTACACCTTCCAATACCCATGCTTCGTTGGGTGCGGGACCAACAGATCAGATGTCGCATATGCATCCGCGCCATTCACTTTTGTGTTGATCACACTTGGACGACAATATTCGTTCTCCTGTAAACACGTTGATCAATGAATGAACGCAACCAAATAACAAGCATATTACCATCATAACAAGCTCATATGCTTTGTTTCCGTACGGAATCATGTGCGGCGTAACACGTCCAGAGAACTTGAAGTAATCCCAGTCGTAGCCGACCTCAGCTTTCCGAAAGTGCATTAGTGGGTATGTCTTCGTATGTACACTCTCTCGTACCTGGCAACATTTGACTGGCAGTACCACTCTCCGTCCTGACGATTCACAATCGAAACCGTCAATGATGAACCAAGGGATGAAGATAACACGCACTCACGAGCCGTACAAATTGAAAATCGAGATACCCTGCGACGTCATGTAGTCGCCCGCCTCCTTATTCAAGGGACCACCGCCGAAGAGCTGCGTTGGACCTGAGAGATAGTTTGCGGTGAATAGGATTCGCACGCACCACACCACCACGAGTCGCGAGCCAGCGTACATATTCTGGGTTCCGAGACCAGGCCTAGTATGTGCGTTACTGATACGGCTCGACACTGAGCCAAGCAGTCAATTACTCACCTCGACAAAGGATGGCACGCAAAATAGAATGTCGGTTTCCGTCGCTTTGGCAGCGACGAACAGGGCATCGGGTGTTGGGATAGGTGCCAGCAACTGCGGCTCGAACGAGCTGACCACCATTCCTGAGGATGCCTAGCAGCAAGTTCAGTCTGCGGGGCCTTGCGAAAGAGACTCTGGTCAAGCACACCGTCGTACAGAGCTGCTGGACACCCATTGCGTGGTACATTGGCATCGTATGCAGAGAAAACACCTGACCAGTCAGATCGCGTTCCCCGAACCAAGGAATGAGACATAGTTGACACAGGCAATGGTTGGTTCGATATATCGGTTTCGGAAATGAGATAGAGCCTGTCAGAGCGTGTGAGGCATTTCATACCATCAAAACGAAGAGTATACCTGAAGAATGTAGAACCATGACAACAGTATCTGGACCTTTGTAGACGTACAGCGGAGGCACAGGGAGGCTCTCGGAGCAGCCGGCTTCCGTGGAGAGAAATAGCTCCTCGAAGAGCGGCATCGGTGAGAACGTCGGTAGCTTCTCTGCTCCGTACCGTGTTATAAGGATACCCAACGCTTCGTTGGCGAGGTCCTGCATAGCTGGCTCTCGTCCGACGAGGACATGACAGACCCCAACCTTATCGATTAGGTGTGCAACGGCCATTGGCGAATTGCGGGGAGAGATTGGGAATACGGCGTAGTTCGCCCGCATGATGCTCATCATCATGGTAAAATGCGGGATCGCGTCTAATGGGAGCTCTCAGCGATAGCACCAGGGTATACTGAGGCCGCAGAACGAACCAGATAGAGCCAATATGGCTACAACAATTGGTGCCCCGTCGGCCACAGCAGTGTCGGCTATACGTGCTTGGATGATGCTGGCACCCGTGTACACGGCTTTGACTGCCTCAGGCCAGTAGATCGCTCTGATGGTGCCATCGTTCAGTGGAAATACAAAGAGACGGTGGTTTTGGTTATGGTCTAAGTGCCAGTCGAACATCTCAGCGAGGGTCAACGATCCATCCAAAGGCGGAGGTCGGAATGTGGTGCTGGACAGGGCCTGCGTGCACGGAGGCGGAGGGATGAATCGGCGAGACACCATAGATAACGGTGAGCAGAACACTCTCAGCTAGTGGACTTCAGAGTGTATCCAGAGTACATCGTGTCGGCTCTTTGGTACCCGAAAACCTGCAGTCATCCCCGCTGTGTTTTGGTCACAGTTATGAACCTTAGAGTTGCCTTAGAGTTAGACAGCGGTAAGAAGAGACGATCGGGCTATCCCGATATAGTAAGTAATGAAATTAGCGAGAATCAGTTGTCTGTAAGTATAACCTCCTCCTCCGAGTGAGGCCTGGGGAACTCTATTGTTGTTCATCGTCAAGAAGCTGGCGGGAAGTACCATATCCACATGACTGGATGGGCCTACCTCCCTCCTCCGAGCTACGTTGTAACTTCATGTCAAGAAGTCGCTGGGCGCTACCGTGTCCTCGGCGCGTGACTAAATGGAACTCCTCCCAACCTTCTCCTCCTATTGACAGAAGTTTGCTTCTTATAGTCACGTCTTGCAGTGACATCCGCATGGCGCACGCAAACATCTGAACGCCACGAATTGACTGTAGGTTCAAGGCCCCCAGATCGCCGATGCCATCTATCACCGCCCGCTTGCTTGAACTTTTGAAGGTGGCGTCACGGTACGCCGTAAGAACATAACCTTATACTTACGCTGATCGCGGCAGGTGAGTAGTTGAAAATAGCGCTGACCGCTCGCATCTGGCTCATCTCCTGCTCCTTGACACGTTGCAGCATAGACTCGAGCGCCTGAGCGTTGGAATACGTCCGCTTACGTCCGGTGTGCCGGGGAAGGACTCAGGACTCACCGGATTTGGTGCTATCAACAACGCAGACGTAGAGGGCGGACCGTGGACATCAGGCTCGTCGAGAGTACGTTGCCCGCCTCTTTGCACTACCATTTCGACGAGTCTCTAGAATTCGGCTGACGGTTCATTTGCGTGACTGCATACATATGCCTCGGTCTGCTGTTAGCTAATCATCTTTTCTCCGATTTTTATCGAGTTAGGGAGGACGCAACTACCCAATATGTTCAAGAGTAGCCGACCGACCGCGTCGGCGCCGTGAGCGAGGAAGCGAATGAAAGGGAGCTTGCCGCACATGCTGAGCCCGCAGAGCCAGACCAGGCCGACAATCCCCCTGTTTGGACCGCAATTACACGTGTATCCTCGTTCAGGGCTTCCTGACTAACCTCGGGCTCTGATTCCCCATGTCCTACGCCCAGCTTTCGAGGAGCGCAAGAACGTGGACCAGCAGCTCTCGTTCTACAGCCTCGCCATCTTGTATGTTTCGAACGCACTCTGGATTGCACCTCGCGCTTCTCGGATGCTCGACGTCATATGGACTGGTACTCTTAACAATGTTGTGCGTGTGTCCCACCGGATGATGAATGTTGAAACGTTGACACCTGGGCATTGTAACTACGGCTTGTTTTTTGGGAACCGGTGATACGCTCACCGTTTCTCTAGTGGGTACGTCAACTGACCATCCGCACCAGCCGTATCCCTCTTCCCCCGTCTGTGACATTGATCAGCGCCGAAGGTAAGACCGTTCGTCCCGCTCGCATCTTATTATCGGGGCATCTAGCGGAGGAACTTTGATCGGGCATGACTAGTGACTACGTGTGGTGGAAGAGAATAGTCTTTGCAGCGGTCAGTCTCCGCCTCCCCCGCTCTGACAGCGCCATGTACATGCTGACGAGCTCATGTAATAGGTGACTGGGCTGGCAGGCTCTGCTATCATAGGGTCCATTCTACTGACTCGGCCGCGCAAGCCATGCGAACCCGAAGTTGTCCCCGACATCAAGCGTGTTGCTCCGTGCCGTGGTTCTGACCGGCCCATCCAATTGGAAGTGAGAACCCTCGCTCTCGCCGACTCAATTGTCGATTGTCCACGACGCGAACGACTTCCCACTGAAGGACCGTCGCGTGAAGTATATCCTCAATCATCCGCTACGATGTGGGCCGATCTTGTGAGCCGACCCAGACAATGCACGGTTTATTAAGGAATCAGGATCATGTGCGAAAGACGGAGCGTTAGGAGTGCGTAAGATGGAGGTCGATGGAAGGAACCTTTGAGTCGTCGAGAGCACCTGAGCGGGGTGCAACACGAGACGTGCGCGAGCGATCATGTCAAGTGCGAGTATCAGACTTGATGCCTCGAGAGAGGGTAGACGTGTTTTACTTACTACTGACGTTGATTCTGCGAAAGCTGAGGGTATGCCCCGCCGAGTCGCAGGTTAGATATGCGTAGATACTAATATGAGTCGTTAGTATTGGGAATCTGAGAGGTCACAGATGGATAACTACGAGTCAAGAAGTGACTACTAAGCTTCCGGCATGTAGTAGTAAATGGTCTTCTCGATGTTCAACCTGTACCGTACACTGTGTACCAGCGAATATCTGTGCACAGCATAAATTCAACGGGACAGAATCAATGGTTACGTTTCATAAGCAATCTTCGTAAGCTTGACAGAGCACGTGCAAGTGGAGACTTGGGGCGGCGATGACACTGAGCCATGACATTACACAGAGTCCGCCTTGAGAAACACTGGCAGTAGATTGCACTCACCATCACTGGTTACTGTACAAATTCCCTGAGTAGCATTCACCACTGCAAGCCAATCTTATGTGCCAAACAACAACACAGATACAAAACAACATCAATTTGACTGCACAACCTCAGGATATCATACATCTGCACACTGTCAAGACCACTCATGCTGAGTAACATTGTAACACACACAGACCATGACTACTAGCAACAAGCTCAATTGCGGATGATCAGATCACACCCTTGATGATATCTGCAGCTGTTTTCATGATGTAAAGATATTGGCATCACCAGTATAAAACTGAAATCATACCTTGTTCTCCAATGGCATAGGCTAGGGCTAAGAAACAAAAATAATGAGACAAGTCACTATAGAGAGTACAAAATGTACCCTGTGTGTGACTCCCAACATTGAGGGGTGCAATGGACAGATCAACAACACGTATGTTGGTAGTGTTGTGTACCTAGGAATTGATAAGTATGCAGCATTGAGATAGATGCTGGATTTCAGTATAGTAAGGCTCACTTTCAGCTTTGCATCAACAACACCACCATCCTCCAATGGCAACATGCTGCAAGACCCTGTTGTATCTGTTGGACATTAGTCTCAGTTGTCATTAGCAGGAAAATGTACTAGTATACTCACGATAGGTGGTATTCACAACATTCCTGAGCCAATCTGCAGCAACATATCAGTCTTTGTTGGAGTTATATCACTTGTTGACATACTGGCAATCTGCTCATCACTTTGCACAGTTGGCCCAGGCATGACTTCCTCTGTAAGTGTGATTAAGATTGGCTTGGCAATATATTCATATCATGGTTGTATGCTTACCAGCCAGTGTCTCCTTGAATGGAGGAGTTTGTGCCAATCGTCTGTTGAACTTGACAAGCTCAACCATGGACTGGATGTCTGTACTCACTTGTCAGTCACTGAAAAAAAGATGTTGTCATATATTTCACCATATGCCTCATCATACAGGTTGGGATCAATGAGAGGATGCTTCAATGGGTCATTGGAGCCAATATGCTGTATAACTTGGTAAGTACAAAACATGTTGATTGGAGTAAAATTCTCACTATTGTTCCCCTGGAGAATGGACTGTTCAGAGCCAAACCCAGTGTGATATGCTTCTGGTTGACATCTGGCTTCTCTGTAAGCAGTGATGAGAATGAAACAATATCACAAATTTAAGTCGGATATCATACCAGGACGAACGATTGGGCGTGGCAGAAGCATGATTTCGAGACTCGGGACATGATCACGGATATGTTTCAGCTGCAACTCGTACTGCTTGCGAAGGCCGCTGTTGTATGCGTTTCTCTTGATACCGTCGAGGATAGTGTCAGACAGCGTGCGCTGGAGTTTGTCCGCATCTACGCAGACGCTATTGAGCGGTAGGAAAGTGAGACTTGTCGTCCAGACGTTCAGTGCCCCCTTCCCGCTTGCGCTACCAACATATGTGATTATTCAGACTGCCTATGCCGCATGAATGCGAATGTGAACGTACTGGAGCGCAACGTGCTTCGGAGCTTCCGCGGGATTCATCAAGGGATCCATGGTTGTTACAGGGCGACCATCCACCACGAAATCCTTGACACCTGTATGCACGTGCATAAGACGAGCTTCAGCCACAGACGACGTGAAAATGCTTACGGTATATCACCCCCGACCACAAGTGCTCCTGAACGTTGGTGCCGACTCCTGGAAGCTCGCACTTGACTTCGACGCCTGCCTGGTTGAGTACGTGACGATCGCCGATACCGGAGAGCTCGAGAATCTGAACACGAGATATGGTGAGAACGGGCTCGAGCATCAGCGTATTGCCCATCGTCATACCTGCGGAGACATGATCGCGCTGTGTTGGACATACATCCCGTCAGCGCCGTGTCGACACATGAGCAGGAAACGTACCCGGCCGACAGGCACACCTCCTTCGAAGCATGGACTACATGGTTGCTGCCGCCGTGAATGAAGTTGACACCGGTCGCCGTCAAAGTCCCATCCGCGTTGCGCCGAGTCACAATACTAGCCACATGAGCGGAGACCAAGACGGTCAGGTTGTGCCTAGCTGCATTGGGCACATAGTAAGACTATTGTATGCGTGTATAAGTTAGTCGGTGCGTGCGACGAGAGTGAAACTCACAGTAGCGGCGTAACTACGCAAGTGTGTCTTCGGATCCAGTGTGGAAGCCGTCACCGAGGTCCCGTTTGTCTGGCGACGTGGTCCTTAGGTCAATCATACATACCCTCATGCCAAACACACTTACAGAGCCTGACGACTGCGATGGTGATATGTCCCATGAGTTATATTCGTAGACACAACTTGGAAGGAAATCTCACTGCTTCTTGGATGCGTTCGATGCCGAACGTCTGCATGGCCTAGTTGACAATACGGTTCAGTCAACTGGAACGTTAGACGCGTTTTGACGGGGCATAACATTACCTCGATGAAACGCCGCTCGAGTTGGGAGATTGTAGTCGGGAACGACACAGGCAACGGACCTATACCGTGTAAGTCTGGCGATAACGAAGCCTGTCTATAGGACGGGACATGCCTGACGTTCCACGGTGTTTGAGGTCATACGTCAAGTAGTCGCGGTCATGGTCCGGGGCCGTAAATCTAGTACAACGTAAGCGACGGCCGCTAGAGGTATTCAAGATACTTACTGCTCTGCCCGCTTGGAATATTTGTCGAAACTCTCCCAGTTCCACCCTTCGTTTCCCAACTCCTCGAACGCTGGCAAACGGGCGTATACTTTCAGGATATATGGAACGAAGGTGAGCCGCCATACCGTCAAGGAACTCTCTAGCAGGCTTGTTCCATAGCAGAAAGTTGATCGCTGAGCTCCCACCGAGCCCCATCCCACTGGCGAGGTTTCGGTGTGAGAAATCAAATTATTATCAATAACTTACCGTGGCCATGCATACTCCCTCCCGTTAGAATGTTCTTGTTTGACCTGAGAACGGTCGTCAGCGAGGCGTATACGACACTAAACATATCATTACCGTCTTAAAGCCCCAGTCGTACTTCGGATTGTTGATGTGCACCATTCCCTGGCCAGGAAGTACTAGAAATTGTGTGAGCCTTGAAGCGATGGATACAGTGCATCTAACTCACAAATCGCTCTGTCGTCGAGGTTGGCCTCACCCGCCTCCAGTACTAAGACCGACACAGAAGCATCCTCGGACAGACGAGAGGCAACCACCAAACCCGCTGTCTGGAATGTACAGTTACTATCTCGTACATGAAGCGTGTCATGCACGACACATCATCAGTACGTACTCCTCCTCCTGGTAGAGCGTTAGTCGTACTATCTCTTCCCAAAATGAACCTACTCTCACCGATCACTATGTAGTCGAACGTCTTGTGTTCTACCTGCGTTATGTTGGCCAGCATGCTGCACAGACCGGTTCTCAACGAGATACAGGACGCGTTACAGAATTGCTGGGGTACTTAAGAGACCGAGGACGAGACGACCGAGAGAACGCAGTAGGCGCACCACGCCACAAATAAGGATAATGGAAGCGTGTTCGGCCAACTGAGAGCAACCCCCGAAGAAGCCACGCTTCTGTCAGCGACATATTACAACTCTCGGTGGCCGGCTCGCCAAAAATATCACAGCGAATCGACGTGGAGTAAGCGTCAAGATTTCTCGCAGAATGCTGGCTTCGTTCCCTGTGGGGACATATCGCTGAGCATCCAATCGCCGTGCGGAACGCGATCTGCCGCCTCGAGCGCTTCCCTAAGGGTCGTGCAGGCTGTCTATCGTGGTAAGGTGGGGAATCTAGTCCGCAAGCCAATCGAAGTCGTCAACGCACCGTGAGCATAGCAGAACTCTGTCTTTAGCACGCCCAAGACGCGCCACGAAGGGCGAGAACCGCGGGACTGACATACGCCCTGTCCGACAGAGTTCGCCCAAGGCTGTGGTTCACTGATCGGAATCTGTCATAGAACCATATGATCAACTCAGTATCTATAAACCGTGTCATGGAACCAATCCAGATTGAAATATTGACAACTCACTGCTTCCGCACACCTGAGTGCCATACCGTATATGACATATCTTATAATACGCCACGCGGGAGAGGATCGTTGTTGCCAGGCGGCCAGTGCATTCGCCCTGCGCACTCCATCTGAGTCATATCAGTAGAGAACTCGGCAACGTACCACTGCCCCCCTCGCTCGCGTCGTTTTTGTTGAGCTACCTCCCTGCAATCTGTGCGGTACGCTATTCCCACAGGAGGACCCAGTGAAGGCTTCGTTGAGGCTTCGTGACCAGAACGACTCGACTTCTCACGGTAGAACCCCGGGTATGTATCACTGATAGTTGAACGTTGAGCCTCTGCTGCACCCTGGACGCGACTGACATTGACAACGCACGTACGTACCATGCGCAGCTTTGAGTCAGTGCCAGTGGTGTACGACGATCGATCTAGGATCAAGTCCTGGATCGGTGTGAGCCTCGCCCGGGTACACGTAGACTCACGCACGTAAGTTACGAAAAGGGAGAGGTAGGTCCGTCTAGTTATGCCTTTAGCTACGCGTGAGCCCTGTGAACAACCACACGACGCCGTCAGAGGAGTAGGAGGCGCTCGCTGAGTCTCATTATGAGGAGGAGAGCCGCGGCCGAGGACATGGCAGCGCCCTGGCAGCGAGTTCCACCACTAACTACGTACAGGACTACTAGCTACGAACAATAAGTAATTCCGCAACAATAATCCGACCTAGCTGCAGTATCTAAGACAAAACCATAAACCATTCGAATAGCTGGCGCTCTGCTCATAGGTGTTTGACTAGTAAGTACTGTAGTGTTGACGTATCGTTGACGGGTGAATGTTTGAACCACTGGCTCCGTCAAGGTTTGTTGTCTGTTTCTCCGAGCTCCACATCATGATTGTGATCCGGGAGTGAGCGCTAGCGCTTGAGCGATAGTTCGCAAACGACAGAAGCCTTGCCGCAGGTTGCGCGAACACAGGTGAATTCAGTTCTCTGCGCTCTTCTGAACGGAGAGATGTGACGTGAGTGATAGAAAAATGATATCTACAACGATTTACGCCGCATTCTCAGATTATTGATTGTTGTGTTTTCATCAAGGCAGATGCGAGGAACAGGAAAGAACTGCGCTCAAGTGCACAGGTGCGACGTCGCCGCTGTGATTGGACTGCTCGCTATGAAGCAGGGGTAAAGACGCCTCACTAGGAACCGAGCGGGCGCACAATCACGTACGTGTGAATTTAGTGGCTTGTCATCTCCTTGTCAGTATAAAGTCTGGTGAGTCCGTGGTCCGGTATGTCTGGAGCGGTCGCGAACTCATAAGCTCTGTCGAACATGTCGGACTGTGTCGATCCTCAAACCATCATTGAACTGTTCGTGCCAGTCATCTTTACCGCCTCACTGACGTTAATTTCATCGGTTTCTAGGACGGGGCCAGCGGTAAGTAAAGGATGACCGTGGCCGCTTGCCAGTGGTGGTGCCCTTACTCCACAAACAGATATTGGCTTTCCAATTCAACTGGGGCCTGCTGGGAATGCTCATTGTTCAAGTCTGTGCGTGACAACCGTGGTAGCGAGAATCCGAGCCTATTCACACATAGCGCATGAAGATAATTATTATCAGGCCTCCTTCCGAGACAACTTCGCTATCAAGGGTCTTGTGTACGGACTGCTCCTTCTGGAGCTTGCACAGACGGCGTTAGCTACGCACGATGCCTATTCCCAATTTGCTCTCAGTTTCGGGAACTACGAAGGCTTCATCTCAACGGACTTCTTGTGGCTCGATGTCCCAACGTTCATTGGTATCAGTACGTCGGAGTGCGCTAATGTCCATGCTCGCCATCTGATGTTGAGCAGGCAGTGGCGCCATACAATGCTTCTACGCCTGGCGTATTTACGTTTTAGGGCGCTCAAAGGTTCTATCAATCGGGATCGCCATGGTACGTCTTCGTATGAATGTATTTCAATGATTAACCACTGTTAATCCGCAGGTGGCTCTCATGCAATTCAGCGCAGCCGTCGCGGAAGGGATTCTGTCTGCCATTCTGCGTAACCAAGCCGCGGAGCAAGTCAAGACACCTACCACGGCCACAGTATGTCCTAATGAAGGGTCCTATTGCATAACTAACTCCTTTCTGTTAATCTTCTGCTAGATCTGGCTGGCTGGAACGGCCTCATGCGACGTCATCATAGCGTGCTCTATGGTCTACTTTGTATGCTTATTGGGCCGTGGTCTACACCCTGTCGAACTGACAGTATACTTCGCAGCTCTCGCGCAACCGTACAGGCTACAAGAGCACCAATAGGATGATCAATCGACTCATCCGTCTCGTCATAGAGACTGGCATGGCAACAGGTAGGCATAGATAAACTGTCTTTATTGTACGACATGACAAGCTTCGCGGACCTATAGCTATCGTTGCGACGTTGGACCTCATATTCTTCTTACATTACAAGCACAATTACTACCATTTTGTCTGCGCACTGCTGCTATCCAAGCTCTACAGCAACTCGCTCCTCGTCCTCTTGAACAACCGTGTCACTCTACGCCAACAGGCGCAGCTCTCAGAATCCATGCCTGTCGGCAGCATGCGGTTCGCGGACCTCGGGACCGCGGAGCATGTGGCGGGTGTGAACGTCAACATCGACAGCCACACCTATGTTGACCACGTCGCGATGGTCAACTTGACTCAGACTAAAGACACGAAATCGGTGAGGCCCCAGATTGTCTACGCATACGGCTCTCTACTAATTACGATGTTTTAGGACCAGCTCGATGACACGATCGAGTCCTCATCTCAGGACATCAAAGTGTAGGCTGAGGACATTGGTCGCCCCGGATGGTTATGGTCACCACGAGTCTACCGAATTGTTCGTTCTAGAATGATGAGTTCGCAATTCGTCTGTATCGAACGCAACTTGCTGTACCCAGGTCTAACACTATTGAAGTCACTCCTTACTTTGTATTTGCTGTAAAATGATTCATGACGAGATACTATGATACGTCTGGCACACGGCTGCTCGGGCTCCGCCTGAACACAACAGAGAACGTGGATAATGGAACCGATGTATCTACATACTTGTTAACTCAGAGATTGACACAGATGACTCAACCGCGGTGGCTCCAAGTGTCCCCTTCATGAATGCGTGTACGAGCTCTCGGCATCTCGCATCCCATCGAACCGCCTGCTCATACTTGGTATAGGATAGAGCCAGATGTGAGGTCGCACCAAGTGACGAGACTGCGCGATATTATGGATCAGTACGAACGTCAAATACATATGTCAGAGGCTTACTCACAGTCCCGGACGCAGAAGCAGATGGGGAATGCAACAGCCCGGTAATGTTGTCCCCAGATGATCCATTATTGTCAGGCAGTGAGTACTATGAGTACTCACCGATGATGGACAAGGCTCCGGCTGTCTCCGACGGTCAACTTCACGAGCTGTACGCAAAGCGAACGCTACGGTTCCATTGCATAACGGTACACCGGGTACGGGTGCAGGCTTCTCGAGCGCAAAGGCTGCAGCACCTGTTAACTTAGATGCATTCACTGAGCGCTGAGCTCGTGTGAAGAGAATGCAAGAATGGCTCTCGCACCTATGCCCGGGGTATGATCACTTGCTCGAACCCCTCAGGGTGTCCACTGGCTGCGGCATTAGGACTCGGACTGCAGGGGGTCTAAGCCCTAGCACGAAGGTCAACGGCTCGCGGTACGTCTCCGGGTTGATGGTTGCCGTGCGGATGCAGGATAATTGCGAGCTTGATCTGGTCGGCGACGGCGACGGGAGAGGGCGCGTACAAAAGATGGGGATAACGCGGATGGGCGAGCCCTTGAGGATGTCGAATGGAGACCTGTCATGCCGGCGCACGTCGTTTGTAGACACCGGATAACTTCCCACTTGGAATAGATGAACCACGTTGGGCGCGCTCGCCATACAGTAAGGTTCAGACAGGAAGCGATGCATGAACGTTTGAGCTCCGGTAGTACCGTTACGACAAGCCTGCGCTTCGTCACCTACGTTCGGACTGTGTCGCACATGCATTGAATACACGACAAAGGAGGGACGCCACAGGGAGACATCGCTGTACTTAGAACTCCGTAGCCTGCTGGACGGTGCGCCCTTGTGTTTATGGAAGCGAATCTGCGTGGAGGGCCACGCGACTCTGCAGGCATTTGTAGGAATGTGACTCTACTACAGTATAAGCAGCAACCACTGACTGTCCGCGGCAGGCAAGCCCGCAGCATCTCTGTAGATTATGACAGAGCTGCAGCGTTGGGACACTTGAGCAGGCGTAGTCCGGCCGTGTGCCACCGATGGGAAGATGATCGAGAACAGTACGGTCGCGGAACGAGAGGGAGGACTCAGGATGAGATGGGAAACGGTGTCCGAGTCGACAATGAACGTGGTTGGTCGTCGTGACTTGTCTCCAGCCGAAGGAGCTATCGCGTCGCGCACAGGCCCGACGAGCTCCTCGGCACCGGAGTCGAAGGACCAGGTAGTCGTACCGTACGCCAGCAAGTAGTAAAGCTATGAAGCGCGAGAACGGGAGCGTGGAGCGTGCATATGGATAGGGCGGGAAATGGCGTGTGACAGGCCCAGTCGCAAGGACGGCGGGGTGTTCTTCAGGTGAGCGACCATCTCTTTCTAGTGGGCTTGGACGTAGGTTCCCATGAAGATTTCTGTCTTTACGCCTGCCATGACCAAAGAATTGCCATTTCGGCTCGTCCGCGTCTTCGCAAAAAAGGTATGCAGGTGAAATCGTCGTCGCGGCGACCGGTCGCCCATGAGTGCATGAGACTCAAGCAACCGATGTGCAGTTGAGGGTATCCAGTGCGTCGATCTCGGAGCAGCTCGATGCGATGGCGGTGCTGGAGCCGATAGCACTGGTACGGCATCGTAAGCTCGAGTTTGTGCGCACAGGCCTGAACGGCCTCCGCGCTCGGTTCGCATAGCATGTCTTGTACGATGGTTGGGTGCACGAGCGCGCGCGAGGGCCTGGCTGTTTATCCCAGTAGAAACACGCAGAATAGCCACGGACGATGCATATCAGGTATGTATTCACCTTGGGGTGGGTAGATCTGGGCGACAGAGCTGATAACGTTGTCTTGATGACAAACAGCACGTATTGATCGTGGATGTTGTGTCATATGGAGCACTGTGACACCATGTCGGTCAAAATTGTGAAACGATAGAGGCAGACGTACTTTGTACGCCTCCGATTTCCGTTGGACTCCTCTCCAGTGTTGCCGGTCACAGATGGTGTGCGCCGATTTTGAGGGGTACTAGTGCTCACAACGCAACACTGACTGCAAACGAACTTCTGGCGCAACGAACGTCTACGACGGGATTTGGTGAGAATTTGAAAACATTGGGCGAGAATACACCATACCTCTCCTTTATGTAGCCTCGTTCTGGACGCAACCACGCTGAAGATGGACCATGCTTGATGACCAGAACAACCGTCCTTCGTGTTCCTGGTGACATGGAGCACAATCCAGTCTGCGATCACAGGTACATGGAGACATAATAGCTTACCGCGAAGTCCGCCCAGCTCCAGAAACTGTTTCGTTTGCCAGTACGCCGTAGGCTCCGACAGGCAACGCGACGTTACCGTCACTGCGACGTCACCATTACACAGGAAGAAATCTATAGCGGACGAGCAAATTGGGGATGATCTGGCGAGCATGAGCGGATCAAACAGACGACGCACTGCGGCCGTGCGAGACGAGCGAAACGAGCGAGAACGGCCATGACTGTACAGTACTTTAAGACTCAGAGGCTCAAGCTCAAGCTCAAGCGCTCAAGGCTGGCGCGAGGGATTTAGGCGTGATTACATAAGTAAGTAAGCATGTGGCGGGCGCGCCCACTTGGCGCCCACAGCGCAGCCCCTGCTCATCACCTCCAACCATGTGTATCGCCTCATCAGCCCGGTTCTCTACCTACAAACCTCAAATATAATTCCCATTAGCTTTCTTGCCCTTACTAGACTGGTTCTTGGCTGCAAGCAGTCCTTGCGAGACAGGACTTCGCCATCACTATAGTTTCCTCCCACAACCTCGACCGGCTTCGAAGCTGGGAACTTCCGCGTCGAGCGCACCGAAGTAGATTAACAGTCAGGGACCTCTGTCGCTGACACAGAGTCGTCCAGTCTCAGTATATCGACGCAGGGCTCCGCACACTCTGCTACGAGATGGCCCACAACACGTCGACATGCGTACGCGGGCGACCGCTGGACAGGTCTGAAGAGTGAGGTAGGCGTACCCAGAATCCATCATCCAGAGGTCAGTGCTCATTTTTGCCGCTGATTTCTCCGCAATTGACTGTGTTGCTAAGCTCAGTATAGATGGACAACCTTTCTTTTACATCCGTTGTCGTAGCGAAGACCACAGGAGCCTGTCTATCTTGAGGGCGTACATGTACGTACATTATGAGTTTGTAACCACCTTCTCACAAATCTCGAGTCCCAGCTTGAAACCCGCTCCCGGCGACACGTCCTAAACACGTCCAAACGCAACCTCATCTTCGTGAAAGACACCCAAACGGACGAAGGACTGCATTCAACGTTCGACAACATGTCCTTGTTCGAGGCGTGCGATCAGTACTTCTGTATCACATACGCGCCCCTGATGCTCGACGTGCAGAGTTGCGACCAGCTACTCATCCTGGAGGGTCTCTGCGGAAGCCGCGAGCTATGACGCTGTTCGCAGGTCTGTCCTTCGCTCTATCGAGTTTGAGTTGACGCATGAGGTCTTGAATGCACGACGTAGTCGATCCGTGGATGGCGATAGAGGCGTTGATTGGCCTCGGGCTTCCAGTGCATCATCTATGAGTCTTTGCAATGCGGGTCGCGTAGGCGATGTCGAACGCGAGATAGACCTTTGATTCTGAAGAGACTAGTGACGGTGGTCTGGGGTTCGTGCAGGAGTACGTCTCTCGACAGACCTGCCCCTGGCTAAGTACGGTCCGTCGGCTGGTGTTATGACGTGGTTCGTAAACCACAACACGGCGTACATGACCATCACCATTGCCGAACGACTGAGCCCCGTCGTACTTACAATCATTGACTTCCCTCGAAATTGGGCAGTAATAGGTCTCGTTGACAACATCTTTTGCATTGCGCCACGCGACGCGCACTTGGAGAGAGGCCAATGAGCCCGTGGCCGAGCACTACTTAGTGAGTACGGCCTCGTTTTGTCGCTCCACCCAGCTTACGCTGGCCTCTATCGCAGCTAACCCCTTCGGCACTGTCATTGGCTGCCCACCGTCGTGACCGTGCTGGCTCTGGTTCCATTTTGACTGCAAGTTCTACCATACCGACATGGCTACTATCTCTGACCTCTCGGCCGCATGCCACTTGTCATTCACAGAGACCAACGAAGCCAACGAACTCACGTCCACCCCAGGCCCGTCTAGCACTACCAGCGCACCGAAGTCGTTGTGAGTGAGCCTTCTGACGTAGCGTCCAGTTCGACAAACTCATATCCTCGGCCTGACTTGTAGTGCGGGTATGTTGAGGTAGCTCGGTACTGCATCAGGTTCGTGACGCTTTAGTCTGCGTGCCCAGTTCTCACATCTATGCCAGTACACGAAAGTCGTTGTTGCTACCTCTGCTTGTATACGTTATGTATGTGTTGGGTAGAACTTGACTACATTAGTGGCGTATGCAGCCTTTCGACCTTCATCAATAGCCCAACGCATTGCTCTCTACCGTCAGATTACTGGGTTGCTATCAACTCCACCGCTGTACTTTCTTCCGAGATCACGAGCTCATACTCTGACTCTAGCGACTCTTCCCCGGACTCTCGCCTTCTGGACTTCAGCTAACCTGCGGCAGATCGATTGTACGGGCGGCTCGCGCTATATGACCGCGCAGTACAGGAAGTACACCGCGCATAACGTTGGCCATACCGCATGCTCACCGCTGGCAAGTCATCCCTCGACTAAGAACCACCTCTCCTGGGATTGATATGATGGTAGACCCTTATAGTGCGTATATCAAATCGAGTCATGCGTACGGCAATCGTCTGATGTAGAGTCGCAGGTGCGGATGGACTAGAAGCGAGAGTGACTGAGGCTAAGGATGGGCTGACCAGTCCGCCAGTACGCAGGTCAGGCTGAGAACACTGAGCAAGGTTTCGGCTGTAATCCGAGAGGAGGCTTCGAGCGATAGTAGACGTCAGAATGTCAGCGTGTGTTGTGCGTTTGACATGTGCATGGGGTTTACGAAGGACACCTTAAATGCCCGTGACAGGATGGCGTCTATATTCGAAGTAGTAACGCGACGGTCTCGTCCCCTGTCGTTGAGACGCCCTTCGGGGAGGGCTGGGTGAGTCTTCTACGCGTATCATACTGAGTTCGACCAATGTTGTTGACATGTATCGCACCCTTCAGGATATCTCACAATCTTCCAGCGGCTCGTCGGCATCATAGAAGCCTGATCGGAAGGCAACCTTTCTCTTCATCATTCACTATCCCCGGACCGCTCATGCTTAGCCAGACTTCGGCGACAGTCAAATTCTACGCTCCTAAATGGTCAACTCTTATAGCTTCATCCCCGTTCCACATCATACTGTGCGTCTTTCAATCTCTGGTGGAAACCATGGCTACGTTCCTACAGGACGCTCTACCCGCTTCGCCTGTCGCGTTCGGTCGCGCAGCTAGATCACTTTTTCAGCTGGATCCTGAATATACTAATTTGAACCATGGTAAGTGCCTGTTATGACCGCCGTATTCGCGCTACCGTTCAAGAATCGATCGCTGAAGCGCTTGCCCACCAGGTACAGCTGGCGCTGTACCCCGATATGTCGAGGACGCAAGCCGAGAGCTCGACGCGGAAATGTCACTCAACCCGGATCGTTTTATATGGTTCGAATACCGTCCTCGCTTGGAAAAAGTCCGGGCACAGATGGCTACGCTCATTGGTGCACAACAGCACGAATGCGTCTTCGTGCCGAACGTCTCTCATGGAATCAACACTGTCCTGCGCAACTTCGAGTGGGGCGAATCAGACACGTTGCTTATCAGTGCGTTTTATGCTGGACGAGTCGGATCGTTTTGATGCGACTTCTCTTCACCAGCCGACTGTCACTTCAAGACTGTAACGTCGGCTGCCCAATTTGTTCGCGACAATACTCATAACCTAATGCTCTCAGAGTTCAAGCTCAGCTTCCCGGAGAGACGCTCTGTGATATTGGGACGGTTCAAGGCTCATATTCGTGCCATAAAACGAGCGCAGGCGCTACACTCAGGCGTAACACCGAGGTCGACCCCCAAGATCGTTGCGGTTTTCGACAGTATATCGGCCGCTCCAGCGGTCCTGATGCCATGGAAGGAGATGGTACAGATTTGCAAGGACGAATGTGTGTGGAGCGTTGTTGATGCAGCTCATTCCTTGGGCCAAGAGGTCGACCTTGACTTGGGAAGGGTCTCACCGGATTTCTGGGTTTCGGTGAGCGACCGTTCTTATAAGCGAGTCTCGGTGATGAAATGGTGTTCACACATACAGAGCTGCTCGAAGTGGCTTTATACGAAACTCGGCTGCGCAGTTCTTTACGTCCCCGAGCGGTCTGTGATACTTTACCTGTCGTGAGATGTACTGAATAATATCGTCTTCGCAGTAATCACCGCATCATCAAATCGGCATTTCCAACAAGTCTCACCTATCACGGCCTGGGGCAATCTCCGGTCGAGCACGATTTGCAGTTCAAATTTCACTGTATGTGCAGACATCCAACATTCCGTCCTTGTTCTAAAGCGACTTCAGGGACTGGTACCTTAGACTTTACTCCGGTTTTGAGCATAAAGTCCGGTATGACATTGGGACATCTGTGCTTTTCACCATTAATCCAACGACTGCCAGCTCTCGAAATCCGATCGCTGCTGGGTGGGGAAGCGAAGATCAATCAATACTGCCATGACTTAGCCATGGCCGGTGGAAGGCGTCTCGCGGAAATCATGAAGACGCACATGCTATACCCCGCAGACGATGAGGAAGCAGAGGCATTCACTGCCAACATGGTGTGTTCGTACCAACTAGTCCTTGGCTATAACCTGAAGCGACGCTAGGTCAATGTTGCGATACCGCTTCCTGGATCGCTGCGGCCATCCGAGCAGATCACGCTCATGTTTCAGGACAAGCTACTCAACAAGCACAATGTTTACGCGATGCAGTTCTATCATAATGGTCAGTGGTGGACAAGAGTAAGCGCACAGATATATAACGAGGTGTGTCCATCAATGCTTCGCGAACCAGAACTAACGTCGTGTAGCTCAAGGACTTTGACATACTTGGGCACGCTCTCTTAGCCGTGTGCGCGGAAATGGCCAAGAGCCTCTCGCCGACTTAACGACGGTGTTCCAATGTTTGGGTGGATCTGTGACATCAGGACTACGTCGCAGCGTCTTGTTTCATGTCCATGTCGCATCCTCCGAGTCTTGTGGAGAGTATTCTTTGCTTCGGAAAGGCTGCCATGTACCATTACTATCCACTGTCAAGGCACGACATTTCCTTCGATCTCTGGGTGGCTACCTCATAGCTAGCCACAGATAGGTCAGCAGTGTCTTCATTCATCTCGCAAGCACTATACACTATCTACAACATGACTTCTGTTACATACATCATTCTGAGCCCGATACCTATCATAGGGAAACTAGTGGTACCATGACAGAGGCACTGCTCATCATTGTTGATGCATATGCAGCATCAATTTCTCCCTGATATTGATGCAAAATGAGAGGATGGTTTGGTAACCCTTTGATATTGTATGAGAATGGCTTGCTGTGAGAGGCCATAATCACAAGCTGGTGTTAATCAAGCTCAGTATTGCCCTGAACATTATGTTGTGCTCTGAGTTACATACCTTTGTATCAAGCTGAGCATATTCAGGGCTCTGTGCATTGATAATGCTGATTGATTCTCTGTGGATTTGATACTAAGGCAACAAATCCCAGCATATGGTGTATGTTACTTACTCAATGGCTTGTTGACATGTGTCAACATTGGCTTGAGAATCAACTTCAAGGAGTATCCCAGGCTTGGATCTTCCACGGCCAAACATGACAGCTCCACAGATGAGTTGATGTTGGTAGAACTGGCTCTCTGCATGGATAATGTTAGTCATGTACAGTTACACATTATATGACTTGCCTATAGGGACTGGATTAATCTAGTTTTGCATGAAAGTATCATTGGTACTGTATGATATACAAGAAAAGGATCCACATACTGTGTCCCCAGTTGCTAGCATGATCTGATCATCTTCTCTGCCAAGTATCTTCCAATAGTCCTTCACCTCTGGATGGGGCATGAGTAGATCACCAGGAGCATAAGCCCTTCCACCATCAATCACAGTGTTTGTGAAGGGCAGATGCATGTATGGCTCAGCCTGCAAATAACAATCATCAGCAACAGCATTATAATGGAGCCTTGTGAGATTGTACTACTCTGATCACAGGTTTGAATGTGCCATCATCAAAGGGTCTGAGTTCAACTGCACAATGTGAATTCATTGTGAAGTATTCCCATTCATTGTCCTGGTTAGCTGAGTAATCTATGTCATGATCATCAATGCTTGAGGGTTCAACATTGCAACTCACCTCTGCATATGGAACTGATATTTCCTGCTTCTGTACTAGACTGAAAATTGAGATACACATCCTGGTAGTGGTAAAAGTATGCAAACACTCACGCCCCATACATAGTGAAGAGCTTGATCTTATTTGCAACCAAACTGTCTCCTATAGATTTGTTCAAGAAACGACCACTGTATAGCTGAAGTAATTGTTCAACAAAAGGATGTGTATATATGCATTTGAAACAGTCCAAAGGACATACCAATGCCTTCAGTCTTTGCAGATATGGGTACTCCTCTAGCTTCCCATGCCATGCCTATCACAAGTCAGTCTTGGAGATATGAGTAACTAAACACACACACACATTTATCAGCAGTGCTGGTACATATGCATATTCTGCATTAAGTGCTATGAGGCACTTGTAAGCCATGATATGAGTAGGGGCTGTTGCAGGTCTTGTGGGTTTCATCAACCCCATTATATATCCACATGTTGGCTACATGCAAAGTATACCCATGGAATTGATATTTTTCCAGAACAAATGTGAATAGACTTACCAGCCAAGAGAAAATAAAGAATCCAGCAGCATGGAAGAGTTCAAGAGCAGGCACAGCAAAGACTCTTCCAGTGACAAGAGGACCATCTTGATGACATATGTCAATGGAATTTTTCCAAGAGCCAGCAGGCACATACCTGAGATAACAGCAAACTGAAACAATACCTGATGTGTGTAGGTTATCGGCTTGGGAAAAGAGGTTGAACCTTATTGAGTGGTCAAGCAATGGTATCTCATTATTGGAATACCTCACACACTCACCAGAGGAATGCAGGATCACTGCAGGTGCTGTCCAAACATGACAAACTGACAAAGGGCAATAGGGTATGGATGAAGTGTAGAGCTGCTCATAAGAGGGCATAGCACTGATACCAGGTAGGCTGGCATCACCCATAAGATCCTTTAGTGATAAGACAGCCAGCTCTGCCAGTTGCTGTATCTGAGGTTCAGTGCTTGTAAAGATATGTAATGCATCAACACTCTTCAGAAGCTTTGAGACCACAGATGGAGAGAATCTGGGTGTTATGAGGCAAACAGGAATGCCTGCAAGCAATAGGCCTATGAGGCATGTTGCATAGGTGATACTGTCTAATACAAAACAAGAACAGTGTTAGCCTTTTATACACAACCGAGAGTTGGTAGATACCTGATGCCGCCAGCACAACCACAGGCCTAGTCCCTTGGTATGAGGTACCAATACCAATATTCGCACAGTCCGCGATGTAGTGAGCGCCACGGGTTGCGGCCGCAATGACATCGGAGTACGTGTGCACAGTGACGGCACCATCGGTCTCGGGGAAGACGAAGACGGGATATTCGGGATTGAATTCGGCGTGCCAAGCATAGATCTCTGGTATCGTCAATGAGCCGTCCAGAGGAGGTGGTTTGAAGCGATCACGAGCAGTAGAGAGCGATGCTGTAGACATGTTCGGACTTCGGAACAGTACCAGACGGCAGAGGTAGTACGGACTCACCTCTAGCGGTCTATCGGGCTTATATACGCGATGTAATGATTCTGTTTCGAGCGGTGACACCGTAGAATAGGAAGGATAGAGGCCCAAATCACTTAGCTTCGGTACGGGCACAACGCACGGTAAGAACTCTTTCGATGATGTGTAACTTCCGCGTTCACCGGTATTATTCCCGTTGCACGCGGCGCACCAGCGATTGTGCCCGAGTTCGGGTGCTAGTATTCTACGAAACGCGTTAACATGGGCAGCTGGAAGGACGTAGCATATCCATGTCATGCATACCTGAGACACGATAGTTGGCCGCGTCACGATTGGCGTTCCAAGACGTCTGACCCCGGCTTCTCCAAGAACGATGCATAGTGCAGCTTATCGCGCGCAGGCTTGACTGACGGAATTCGGGATCTTGCAACGAAGTAGCCCACAGGCCGACGCTAGGATCTATTGTAGAGTTTCTATCAGATGTTCTCTGTTCACCGTATCCTCGGACAAGATCCGAGACCGCCGCGGGCGCGCCGCAGGGAGCATCAGTTGTCAAGAACATCGCGTTCGACCGTACTTCTATAAGATAGTCCTCTGGCACGTCGGCACATGACGTTACACGCACCTGCTACTGGTGAACTATTCCCCGTGGTTCATGATGAGTGCTGCGCACGTATCGGTAGAAGTCAGGGGCGTGGCACTCCAAGTGAAATAGGTGGACACCAATCGCATGCCGTCGACCATCCATTGAAGTTGAGCGATGTGGAATTGGACATACTACTGTTAAACATAGAGCCAAGTGTCTTTGACGGCTAGGGGCTGGAGCCCGCCGAGAACCAGACTCAGTGCGGCCTTGAGTAGACTTGAAGCCGACAGACGGTGCCGGTGTTATGGTTGCCTTGTGCGCCTCGAGAAGCCGCTCAAGTTTGAGCCTTCTGCCAGCGGTTCATCCGGTCATCGTCAAGACGCCGATGGCGCCCGTGCGTGTTGTCGGTCGGTGGCTAAATGGTGCAGCAGAAATTCGAACAGTTGAGACTTGAAGTTGGAGACGTCCACTGGCAGAACATGACGATTGACGCATGAGTTTTTTTTTTGCGAAGTGCGTTGTTCGGCTTCCTTCCCAACTCTTCCGACTTCTAGGGTCCAGGTGATTTGTCTTGCGTATGCTCAGCAGCCCGCGCTTCTCGGCCGAGTACAAACTTGACGTACGTCCGCGGCGGCGCCAGTATCCAAATGCCAGAGCCAGAGCTTGAATGTCTCGAGGCTACGGAGTCTGTACAGCCTACATAATACAGTCGCGTCAGGCCTTGACGTGGTAATTAGGATCGTACAAGGATATTCACCGCGGTAGAGAAAGTTCAGATTCCACGCGCCGAGTGCTGCATATATATCGTTGTAATTGTTCTTTCGTCCCCACCGCACACTGCATTCAGCCCGGGTGAGTTTTTACATCGCGTGACCATGTTACCTTAGTCCTGAAGTCCTCGACCATGTCTTTGACATGTTCGAGAGCTTCAAGCTAAGTGAACTTAGGTTTGAGCTTGAATGTTATACATTCGAGTCGGTCGTTCGTCATAGTACACGTTGTGATAAGGATCATCGAATGAGCAAGATCATGTTGAACGATACTCGTCTCGGGCCTGTCCGTGCGTCAGGGCAGACGCGGTCAAGCCAGACGCGAAAGCCCCAGTGCCACGTACCTCCGGGAAAATGACACCACGGCCATGGTACGGTCACTACCGCTCAGGAGGAAAGCTGAGTCTGCGGTATGTGCGCTGAGCGAAGAACGCTTGAACCTCACGGTCGCCCGCCACATGCTTACATCAGCACTCGTAGCTCCTCCGCGCCTGTATCATTATGTACCATGGAACTTTCCAACACCAGTCTACATACCCCGTGCCCTTTCTCGCTCATTCCGCCTGTTCCGCGCGACCGCACCCACTATGACCGCCCGAGCTATCTCGTTACAGGTCGAGCTTCCATTCCAATAAGAGCCGGAGCTCGATCTGTCTCATCCAAACCTAAACTTCATTTTAGGTATCTCGAACCATACTGGTATCTTTCGGCCCATCACACACGTTCTTGGTGCTATGCACGAGAAGCAGTAACGTACGGCATGTTCTGACAGGAGCATCAACGTTATGGACGCTGCTGCTAACCGAGTGAAGGTGCCAGCGGAGCAGAGCGACCACCAAAGAGGGTCACGGACGCGATAGACCAGTTTGGGTGCTGTGCCAGGGACCGTTGTGTCATCTGCGGTGTGTGCGGTATGTCGATCACCGGCGCTGTCTCCTGCAGATGTGACTGAATGGAGATTCTCCTCGTCGTCTTCAGAGGGCTTCGCGTTTGTGGCGCCCCCGGACTCAGACTCAACTCGAACACGCCGGCCCACCCTGCGACTCAGATGCGTCTATCGAAGACATGTTTTGAACTCTGCTAAGTATGTAACTTAATCTTAATTCGCCGAACCATGTCCGCTCTAGATCCCGTTCCGTGAAGTGACGACGATACCACACACAGCGGGTCCTGGCATGTTCTCGGCTGCGCTTTGACACGGAGTTCACGGGACGGAACTTCCCTTCTACTATTCATTTTGGCGTACTCGGCTTCGGCGTGGCACGAGGCCACTGGGAGCTGCTGGGAGATGCTCACTTGGGCACGGACAAACCATTCTCAAACTACACCGTCCTCGTCTGCGGTCTTCAACTTATCCCATGGCCACCAACCCGCCATCCGCGGTCAAGACGGTAGAGGAAGGCGTGATGAAAACAGACCAAGAGTCGGATGTCGGTGTAGGCACTGAGGTTCCTTCATCGGAGAAACCTGCATCTAGCGCGCCTCCCGAGCCCGTCGACGCTCCCCCCGATGGCGGACTCGACGCGTGGTTGTCCGTCGCCTGCGCATGGCTCATCAGCTTCATGACTTTCGGAATTGTCAACATTTGGGGCGTTCTCCTCAACGCCTACGTCAACGCTCCCTCGTCCAGATTCAGGGATCAGAGTCTTGCCAGAATTGGCTACGTCGGCGGGTGCGGAGTGGGCTTCACGTTTGCTGTCGGCCCGCTGTCCAACTTGCTCGTGACTCGGTTTGGCATGCGTGCTACAATATCAGTAGGCGTCATCGTCGTCGCGGTGGCCTTCGAGCTGGCGTCCATATCAACCAGTTACTGGGAGCTCCTTCTGTCGGAAGGCATACTATTCGGGTGAGTAACCGTTCAATCAATTTTGTGGACATGTCGGGCTGATCGAACGCGTTCCTGAAGTATCGGATCGTCCTTGGCATACATCCCGGCCATTGGCCTGCCCTCGCAGTGGTTCGCAAAGCGTCGCAGCCTTGCAACGTCCATCGCTAGCGTAAGATATAGCCTGTAGTCCTTGCTGAACTGACATCGAATATGTCTATTTGATCTAGTCTGGAAGCGGCATCGGCGCAGTGATCCTGTCCCCCGTAATCCAAGCCCTCATCAACCATGTGTCTATCGAGTGGGCTTTGCGATTCATCGGCTTCCTCTGCTTTGTCTTCGGACTTGGTGGCGTCGCATCCGTCAGGTACCGCACGGCCGGGCGGGGAATACAGTACAGGGCGTACGACTGGAGCATCTTCAAGGTCCCCGGTTACAACCTGTACCTCATGTTCACATTCACGCAATTCTTTGGCTTCGGGACCCCTCTGTTCTTCATCCCCAGTGAGACACTTAGTCGTATCTCGTTGTCTGAACATCGACTGATTTTTAATAGGTTTCTGCACCGCGATCGGTATATCGGCGACAAACTCTTCTGGCGTTATATCAGTCTCCACCGCCGCGCAGGTCATCGGACGAGTTGCAGCTGGGTATCTGGCCGACCGCGCGGGGCCCATCAATATCCTCGGGCTGTTCAACTTCTGCATGGGTCTGACGTGTATCATCATCTGGTACTTCGCGACGAACCTTGGCGTGATGATGGTGTTCGGCATCTTCTACGGATTTTTCTCTGGAGGTGAGTGACGGACGTCACCTCACCAATCAAGGGACACTGATATCGTCCAGTCTTTTGGGCTCTGTCAGTCCCGGTTACCGCGAAGATAGTCGGTACGTCTCTGCCCCTGCACGGCGGCACTGTATTGTCACTGAGCTTGTCTGGCTCCAGGACTCGAAAAGCTAGGTACAGCGGTCGCCGTGCAATTCTTGGCTGTCGTGATCCCTCCTATATTCACGGTACCCATCGGTTCGCGGATCATCGGGGCCACTGCGGCACACTTGGATGTTAGCCAAGAGTCGCGCGAAGCATACAAGTATCTGATTGTGTATTCCTTCCTGATATCTACCGTGTCCTCGCTTTTTTTGCTCCCCGTCCGTTTGCGCTTTAGCAAGAGATTGATAGCCAAGGTGTAGACAGCGGCGTACAGCGCATTAATGATAGATGCGGGAGTTTCGTAACACGGACATTCTTCCTACTGTACACCTTCTCTGCTGCATCACCCAGACCTACGCATAGCCTTCGGGTGCAGCGTACCATACCTAATCAGCATCCGCACCCTGGATACGTACCTCAAATAGCTCATGTCGATTTGAGCCCTCTGTCAGTGGACAGCGCCACTAGCTGCTACGGCGTGCGAAGCTGGTGACACGCCGCGCGCTGTGGTCCTAGCGAAGTGATCAAGAAGCACTGCGACGCGCTCGAGCGTGGTGACTACTAACTACATGGATGTAATTCCCTCCTCTCCCGCACATGGACAGGCCAGCGTCACATTATGAGGATTTGAATCGGGTGCGATCCGGAGAGGGTAAGGAGCTGTGAAACCCTAAAATTCGTGACCTCGGATCTGCTCCGGAGAATCGTGGCGTGATGAACCTTCCTCTGGAAATGATGTGTGTGCGGCTGCCTGTGTCCTTCAAAGCCCGTGCGTCCGATCGGTCCACTCGCGGTGGGCTGAGAGCGTGCCAATACGGCACCTCTCGACACGACACGGCAGCCTCGGACGCTGAGCGGCGTGCGACACCCGTTAGCTGAACATGTTTCAAGGTACCGTACTCACACCGGGCACCGTACGCGGGATGACACGACGTGCTTGCTACGAGAACTCGCTACACTCTGACAGCCTGTTCCTGGGTACCTCGCTCGAGCTGGGCGTTATAAGGTTAACGTTTACGGTACGCATCGAAGTCCTCCCCATTCGTGACCGAGCGGCGCCATGCGATCCCAACTCGTTGCGCATGCCTTGCTGGCCATCACCTACGCTTCCATTGTTCGCTGTGCGCTCTATGACAACCCAGCGCTTCTTCCGTCGAGAAAGTACGATTTTATTATCGTAGGAGGTTCGTAGCCACGTGCACCTGCCTCTAACGGCTTGCTGACGGACCACTGCCCTTGCTCCAGCCGGGACTGCAGGAAACGTTCTGGCAAGCAGACTTAGCGAGGTGCCGTCGTTCAACGTGCTCGTTATTGAAGCGGGTTTGAGGTGATCCCAGCGCATATATGGACATGGAATAGTTCTGACGCTTCGCGGGCAGCAATCGCGCGGTCATAGATGACGAAATTCCGCTCCTGGACTCAACACTTTCGCCCGATACTTCGATAACGTGGAACTATACGACGACAGAACAAGTCGGTCTCTACAACAGGACTGTGGTCTATCCCAGGGGACGGGTCCTTGGTGGCTCGAGCACCATCAGTGAGTCGTTTTGCACAGCGACATACATCATGTCCTTGGAATGCTGATGCGATCTCCCTCTCAGACTTTTGTGTGTGGACGAGAGGCTCTGTCGATGATTGGGATCGCTATGCCAATGTGACAGAAGATATCGGTTGGTCATGGAACGAAATGCTGCCGTACATGAAGAAGGTTACGTTGTCTTCCGAGGCTTGTTTAGTCTGCAGCTGACCGAGACTGCGCATCGTAGAGCGAAAGTCTAGTCCCTCCAAGCGATCACCATGACACTGCGGGGCAAGTGAATCCTGTCGTTCACGGCTTGAGCGGCCCGATACACATCAGTCTACCCGGGGTGTCTACTCCCCTCGATCCTTTGGTCTTCGAAACGACGCATCAGCGCCCCCACCGCTTCCCGTACAACATCGATTACAACTCTGGCTATCCTCTGGGGATAGGTATGCTGCCGCCCTCATCGACGCTCTAAACAATGACTTACTCTGCGTTTCGGTAAGGATGGTCTCAGGGCTCCGTCTCGACCTCCGGCAGGAGGAGCAGTTCAGCGACGGGCTACCTCGAACCTGTCATTGACCGCCCGAATCTTGATGTGCTCATCGAGACGCAAGTCACTCGGCTTATATCATACGATGAAGGCACCGGTCTTCTATCGTTCACAGGGGTGGAACTGGCGCAGAACAGGACAGGTACGTATAACAGTAAAAGCGGACGAAAAGTATTAACTGGGACCGTAGCACCGCGGTACACTCTTCGGGCGCAGAAGGAGGTGATATTGAGCGCTGGGTCCATGGGCACTCCGCAGCTGCTGCAACTTAGTGGTATCGGCGATCCTACGCTGCTCCAGGCGGTGAACATCACGCCCCTGGTTAATCTCACTGATGTGGGCCAAAACTTGTCGGACCATCCCCTGCTGGGAAACCCGTGGGTTGTCAATTCCACTGCTACGTGGGACGATATCTTCCGTAACGCCTCTCTCGCGAACGAGCTGTTCTTACAGTGGAACTCGACTGGAACAGGGCCGTACGTCGACGACGGTACAAACCAAATTGCTTGGATAAGGCTGCTGAACGAGACCGAGGTCTTCGCGAACTTCACCGATCCTTCTGCGGGACCTGCCTCTCCCCACATCGAAATTCTGCCGCACGTACGTTGCCCCAACTCACATTGCTGTCGACACTCGCTCACGCTCCCCTGACTCGCGCGACAGAACAACTACGTGTCTTTCACTCAGCCTGAGCCTGCCACCGGATACTACATGTCCATGACTACTGCAATTGTCTCGCCCGCTTCTCGTGAGTCGTTTCGAGGACGCCTGACGCGCTTTGACACGTTCTTTCAGGAGGGACCGTCGTACTTGCCTCTAACGATCCATTCGATTACCCCGTGATCGACCCCGGTATTCTGGCGGATCCATTCGACGTGTACACCATGGTCGAGGCTGTGAAGGCCGCTCGAGAGTTGGTGAAAGCACCCGTTTGGCGCAACTACGCGATCGCGGAGTACTCGGCGTTCGCCCTCGCGCAGACCGACGCCGAGCTCGAGGTGTACGTGAGGAACTACACCACCACCATCTGGCACCCCGTCGGGACCGCCCGGATGTCGTCGAACGCGAGTGAGGATGGCGTGGTGACGTCGTCGCTGCTTGTGAAGGGCACGATTGGCTTGCGTGTCGTTGACGCGTCTGTTCTGGTTCGTGACTCAGTCGTTCGCTTCGGTGCATCCATTGACATACTTGCGAAGCCGTACATCCCTGCTGCACACCCGCAAGCATCCGTGTATGCAGTGGCTGAGAGGGCAGCCGATTTGATCAAGCTCGCGTGGCCTCATTAGTCACAGTCTAGTGTGTTCGTTGCCTGCTTTTTTTCGTTCATGATGTGCTGTAGGAACCATCGAGTACAGCCCTCTTACAGACTTTAATCATCTGACGTTCATTCAAGTTCGGGGCCTTTCAGCATACACCTTGGGTCGCTAAGAGAGTACCTGCTGGCTATCACCAAAGCGAAGTTCTGTGACGCCGTAGTTGAAGGCGTGGAGTGCGGATATGGATCCGGGAGACAGTGAGGTGTGTTTCCGTGCTCGATTGATTGCAAATACTGGCTGACGAATCCGTCGTGATCTTGCGCCGGGTGTGTTCGAAACCCGTATTGCTGATATCACTGTGCATGACGGTGGCAGAGTAGGCTGTGTGGGTTTCAAATGAGGTCTTCCTGGCGTTGACATTTACTGCCATACATTAACTGCATCGCGAGATCATACTTGGGGAGGAAGTTATGTCCTATCCTTAACGTACTGATTGATCATATAGTCTCCGACTCACGCATCTCCTCCCCTCGCTGCTGCTTCTCGTCGACTGAAAGCCTGGCAGCCAGTATCAATACGGACTTGCATGGCCCGGGTAGCTCAAAGGCACCGTCATAGCAATGTCGACAACCAACATCGTTGTCTTCGGTGCTACCGGTACGCCTGCGGCATGTTATCTTCAGTGCTCACACGCTGATGCTACTGGTACGGCAGGTTTCACCTGTCGCTTAATGCCCGACTACCTCGCGCACCATCCCAAACGCACGTCTTTCACTTTTGGTGTTGCGGGACGTTCTCAACTTGCCAAGCTCGAGGCACTGAAGAAGGGTCTGGGTCTGAACGACACTGAAAATTATGTCCTAACTGGATGTGACCAACGAAGCGCAGGTGGAGGAGGCGGTCAAGAGTGCGCAGGTGGAGGAGGCGGTCAAGAGTGCGCAGGTGGTCGTAAACGCGGTGGGGCCGTCCATTTACTGGGATGAGCCCGTCTTGAGGTGAGCGTGATCATTGATAATAGCCGTGCGGTGGATACGGGCAGGCGAGAAAAGGGCCGGGCGCTTGAGGATAGATCGCTGACGCGTCCTACAGGGTGTGCTTGAAGCATCGAAGACAATACGTTGAACTATGTGAAGAGACGCCGTGAATTCGTCTGATGATCCTCAAGTAAGTGTTCCCCATGAATAGAGTACATTTGCTGGGACCTCGGTTGGAGAGATGGTAATGCGGAGATGCTTCGCTGAAGCGACGGTCATGTCCACATTTAGCTGCACGAGAAAACCTCTGGATAAATTTGGGCATCTCGAAGTGCGGACGCGCAGGTCGTCACTGTTCAAAGTGTCTATTGCCATGACCGGATCCGGGCTGGGGGCTCCAACGTCGTGAAGACATCCCAAACCGGGGTCCTAGCGAAAGCATGTCTCAGTGGCTTGAGCTCACGACCTTCGCGCAGGTACGGCTATGTGGATACCAAAGCCAGCGTGCTCCTCGTCCCTTCCTGTGGGTTCGACTCAGTGCCCGCGGAGCTCGTCGTCTACGTTGCCAACAAAACCCTCAAAGCCACCTTATGTCCACGCACATCTCTCGGACCGTCGCTTACGGTCTACCGCGCGAACGGTGGATTCTCCGGTGGTACCCTAGCTTCCATGATGGCGATCGCAGAGAACGTGCCGATCGAGAAGCTGCAAGAGGTGCAGGCCGATTATGCTCTCGGACCCGGTGCGCCTGCTTTTCCTCCCGTGCCGCAATGAACGAGCTGACACCGGGCTGGTGCCGGGCGCAGCGATCGGCAAGTCGGGCGTGAAGGACATGTTGTGGTACGAGGTGCCGTTCGCAGTGCCCAACCGCGTTGCGATGTACTTCTTCATGGCTCCAAGCAACCGTGTGATCGTGCAGCGTTCCTAGGGACTGAATGTCACCGCTGCCGCGGCGAAGGCGTCGAAGATCTGGAGCAGTGGCCCGCGCGGGGTGTGCTGGGCTGGTTGAGCGTCACAAACGCGAGCTGAGCATCCGCAATACTAATGGTGTTGGTAGTGTTGGCTCCTCCGGTAGGGTGTCACCAGCTTGGATTAGTAATACCTCGCAGCTGGCTCACAGCCTTCTTCTGCAGGTAATATGGTTCTTGAAGCATTTGGCGACCCCGCCGGGCCCATCAGAAGAGTGCGTCGTTCATTGCACATATCGACTGAAGCCGCATGTCCGCAGGAAGATGAAGATAGGCTTCTTCCAGATTAAAAACCACTCCCGGTCGGTGCATGCACCAGGAATCCCAGAGGTGCCCATCAGGACCGTTATGCGTGGGCAGGGTGACCCTGGCTACCTCCTTTCCGCCCGTATGTCGCACATTTCTGTCAGGCCACGGGTCCGCACACTGCCGGAACGCAAAGGATGATCCCGGAGTCTGCGCTCGCGATTGTTCTGGAGAAGGACAAGCTGCCGCGGATGGCACAGGAGGGCGGGATCCTGACCCCTGCGACGGCCTTCGGCGATGTGTTAGGTAGAGGAGGGCGGCGGTCGTATATGGAGAGTGTGGGCATCATCATTGACCTCTACTAGTAACTGCGATACATCTCGTTTAATTACATGTTGTATGGATGTCCCTCCCTATAAAACATGAGTGACCTAGCGGCGTCGCTCTTTTCACTCAATCCCTGCCGCGTGTAAGTTACTCGCGACAAAAAAGGCATGTCACGTGATCACGACCAGCAAGACTCGTTCCTCAGTGTTGAAAGCAACGTCTTTCTGCATCGTGAGCTTTGCCAGAACATACTTCTATGTCTCGCCGGTGGAAGAATTCGCATGCGGAGTGTCTTTCATGCCGTGAATCACTGCGCGACGCCCAAACCATCAGATCAAGATTCCGAATCCACTTATACATCTATATGAGTCTACTCCCCGGGCCGCCGACCGGCGCCCGCTGCCCAAAATCAACATGTTTACTCCGCAACGATGTACAATGCCTGCCGGGTTATTTCCTCTACGAATGCCTGTACGGTACTGTGGTCCCAGTTGTCCGGCGTCTTGGATCGCTAATAAGGGCTTGCAAGGACGAAAAGAAGAAGAGGCTCACTGCTGTCTGGATAAATAACTTGGAGTGGAATGACCACGTGTGCGTAAGCCTGGACACTGATCAGGTAATGCTGGTGAGACATGAGAGAGTGCTTACGGCATCATGTTCGTCAGTCTGTGTCCAACAGACATAGACATAATCTCGAATAGCGCGGCACGTGGTGGTACAGTGTTATCCGGAAACCAGTTCGAGGTTATGAGTCGGTCGACGACGCCAAGGTTAGTTATCACGCTCGTGTACGGATTCGACGAAACCGCAATGTCGTGCGGTGGAACGAGTGTTACGACGGCGGCGGTCGCGTGTGGAAGGTGAGGGTTTGCGAGGTAGCCGTCGAATTGCTCTTTCACTTGCCGAAGAGCAATGAGCAGGCGTTCTCGAGGATCTTCGCATGCAAGGACTTCGTTGACACGAAGAGTAACAGGCGCGTATGACATTGCCGACGTGAACGAATTTTTCGAGTTGTATGGAGGCAATTGAAACCTCTGCAAGCCAAATCTGAGGTTTGACACATCAGCATCTATTCGCCTTCATGATATGATCATAAGTACGAGACTTACATGCACATGTAGTTGGTGACATGGGCGTTATCGAGTACTGTAGAGCCAACACGATTATGTGACAAGACAGCTAGGAAGTGTGCCGCCTCGAACAGATGGGACACACTGTAGCCCGCGACTTTGACCGCTTGAAGAACTCGAGCAGTACGCTCTTCATCGATGACGACTTGTGATCGGATCAACGCCCCTCGGTTCTGAATCTCGGTACGCTCGGGCTGGACAACAAGTGTAGGCTGCATCGAACATCATGTGACGAAGTAGGTTACCCAGAGGACAACGGGACGCACCACAGGGTTCGTATGCATAGAGAATATTTGATTGACGAGGGCCATGCCTTTAGTCTTCCACTCAGGTCTTGGTCCTCCGGTAGCCGTTACTGGGCCTGGTGGCAGGTTTTGCCACTCACGGCCCCACTGTAAGGAATCAACCGGCTCCCGTTCAGGGTTTGCCATCCATTCAAATATGCTCGAGAATGCGGCGATGGTGGGTATCCCATCCAGTATGGTGTGCGGGCCGTGTACGAACAAAGAGAATATGCCTGGTTCCCCGGCATTCGGGAATAGGTAGTAATGAAGAAGAATTATGCTGCCGTCAAAATGCGTGTAAGGCACCTGGTTCTTGACAGTAGTCTTGATGAAATCCTCAGAGGTTGTGGGCCCAACGACAACTACAACCTTCCGGGACCACTCGAGTACCTCCACAGCAGATTTCGCCGGCGCATAGACCCAGGATCTAAAGATATGATCATGTATCCCAGTCTCTAGATTGGCTGCAACGAGAGGGCTTGCAAATCTTCCATGTTACGACGTCCGTAAGACATGACGACTAGTACCCGTGCAGAGTACTGAGACAAACCTGAGATGTGCAACCGCATTGAGCAAACGTTCTTCTATCTCCTCTAGGGATAAGCGAGAATGGAATGTGAAGCCATGGCAAGGATCACCGGTCCTATCCAATGGCATGCATGAGCGGCAGAAGAATATTGTCATCACAGGCCTACGTACCCGTCTGCAGCCACGCTGAAGCGGTCAGTAGCTAGCTCAGACCCTAGGACAGGCCTGGGATCTGGTTACATGACATGCTTCAAGTGCGATTCACGGCAAGACACACCGACCTAGTATAGAAAATGTCTATTCCACGGGTGATCGTGGTCCAAGTTGGCTCGCCTTCCAGGGGGTTCATGACGAATGCGGAGTGAGATTGTTCCTCGTGGGTGGAGGCGGCTGCGAACTCTTATATATTCCAAGCTTACCAGGAGGACTGCACAGTCTGCGATGGTGAGCGCTACTACACGCACTTATCAGAAACAAGGAACTTGTGGACCTGACAATAGCACGTTGGCATGCGTGCAATATTCAGCCGCTAGAGCAAACCCGCTGGCATTGTGGTCTCTATTTCTAACGATGCGATCTCGACGGCGAACACGTGAAGGTTCGACTTGAACCTAAAGAAGCGTATCGCGACTATGCCCCAACGGGGACAAAATCTCATCAGTTGCAGTCAGTTTAGGTTCAGTACGGCCGCCGCACCTTTCATACTTTCTCATTGACCGGTGCAGGCGCGGTACAAGCTCGTCTGCAAATGGCAGTCTTTGCCGGCTTCGGCTTTCCAGTAAGAAAGTTAATGTGAAGCGATGCCTCAAGATATGTGCGGCATGATCTTCAAATCTATGATTCAATGAGATGCTATGTCGTATGATCGTGTAAACGCACTGTGTATCAATCGCTCACCGGGCTACCATCCACCTAGCCCGAATCTTATATCCTGGTTGTATCACCCCCCGGCACAAGCCTACTCTGGGATCGAGGCGAGCAGCGCATGGTCATGCTGTTCTCGTATCGCCAGCAGATTTCTTCTTATTCGTGCATCATTACGCGCTGCATCCGGGCAATAGTACTAATCATGATACTTTACACTGCTAGCAGCGCCGAGAAGAGCTGACTGGCAGAGAATCGAGGAGACTGTGGGTACTGCCCTGCAGGTGGTGTCCCGCATTGCCTTTAGGGTGAGCGCGTTCCTCAGCCCTCGACCAGCAATACATTTCCACACGTTTTAGGGAGGCAAGTAGTAGTACATTGGTCAGATAGAACATGGGTCCATTCCAGCCCGGACTGTACATGCATGCGCACAAACTATCTACTTCGCGTGCCCATACAATTGAGCATGCGCTTGTCCACTTTACCGTTACTGAAGGATACAGGTGAGCGTGCCCCCATCGCTATATGGACTCGCACGCACCTGGTCAACGGCATGCTTGCGAGCGGACAAAAATACTGCGGAATGGCGTAGCATGGATGGATGCTAGCAGTCACCTCTTGGACATCCTCTTGACGGACTGTCTCAGGTGTGTAGAACCCGTAGATCTCTTGACCGATGAGCAATGCACATGCCGACGATACGCCTGGACACGAGCGCATCGCTGCCGACACACCATCCAACTCCACCCGGAAGCCCTATTACGGTGCGCCGTCTGGCGGTTAGCACGCACTGAGAATATGTACTCCCTGATAGGAACGTAGACGGACCTTGACCTTAACTTGATCATCTACACGTCCGATATGCTCCAGATCCCCGTCTTCTTGTAGTCGGCCAAGATCCCCTGTGTTGTACATACTTGCGCTGCGTGCCGGAGAAGCATTAGATTGATATGTCGGGACACGCAAAAATACGACTCACCTTTCTTTACGGAACGGGTCGGGCCTAAACTTTGCTGCGTTCAGTGCGGGTCGATTGAGGTATCCTCGGCACACTCCAAGCCCACCCGCCCACATGATTCCCGTGTCACCGCGCCGAACGGGCTGTAGCTGTTCATCCAGAACGTATACCGCGTTGTTGGGCGTCGGCCGTCCTATTGTCAGCGGCGCGCCACGCGCGTGGCGGTGCATAGTGTTCACAATAGTGACCTAGACGACCGCGCACTCAGTCTCAACGTCCCGAAGATAAGCAAGATGTTGCGGGTATCTACCTCGGTGGGGCCGCAGCAGTTGTAGTAGACCGCCGTCTTCGACCACTCGTCGGCCAACTGTTGGGTACTCGGTTCCCCTGCGGTTGCCACGACTCGAATGTTCGGATAGTCCTCTGCCCTGTGCTCGCTGAGAATTGAAGGTGTGCTGATCAGAACTTCGACGCTACGCATGACTTTGATCCAGTCTGAACGGTGAGGGCCACGCAAGTACAGTGTCCCACCGTTGGCGAGGCATCCGAGCACTTCCCAGGCACACATGTCGAACGCAACATTTAAAAGCTGCCCGACGCGCGTTCCAGCTGATATGCCTAGATTGCCGGGGTGCGAGCACAGCACTGCCCATGCAGTGAGACACATTGCGACGCGGTCTCAATGACGCAAGAATAGAACGTACAATTGACGACGTTCCTGTGAGTCACCATAACACCCTTCGGCACCCCAGTCGTTCCTTGAATATGTATGAGATACAGTGGCGATCGCGAGGCGAAAACTAGTCGTACCAGATGTGTATATAACATAGGCGAGGTCACTTGACTGGGCATCGTCCCGAGGAGCTGCCCCTGGCGTTGGACTTGTCTGGCGACACTCGGTCACAGCTGTCTCCAAGCAAGTCCCGTGGGGCAACCGGGAGGTGCGCTCTTTGAAGCATTCGGAGAAGAGTATATGGGATGGCTGTGCGTCAGCCACCACTGCGTCGAGTGCGTGGTCAGTGATTGTGGCGCCGTCTAGAGGAACGTAGGCGGCGCCCGCCCGAAGAACAGCTACGATCGCCACAACTTGTACGATAGAACGTTCGACTAGAAGGCAGACGAGGCTCCCCCTCCCTATGCCTTGTGCTTGCAGAGACGTCGCCAGTGTGCGCGAGAGTAGGTCGAGTTCGCCATAGGAAATTTCCTGACCAGTGTAGTCGACAACAGCGCTGCATCCTGGGTGGCGTCGAGCATGAGTGAGAATGGCATGATGGATGCATTCGTAAGCGAGAGGAAGTCGAGGTGTGGTGAGGACACTGTATTCGGTGGACAAGCGTCGGGAGTATAGACAACTCGACACCAGTGTGTGGAAGACGTTGGTGGCTGTATCCTTCCAGGAGCTCTTGGCCTTCATCGCATATGCCATAGTAGTGACTCGGACTAGGATGGCAGATATGGCAGATATTACGCCCAAAATGACCGGTCCGCCGAAAGCGTGGACAGCGAATATTGCATGTTCCGAGGAGCGAGAGTGCATACGTATGTATGGTCACTGGGAAGCCTGATCTCGGAAGGGCGTCAGGTATGTCATGGCCGCCATTGTCGCGAGGTACGGCGGAAACAAGTTACTTATCTTCGGTGAGCGCACATAGCACCGGAGGACTGTGCCCATCTGGCCAGGGCCCACCCGGATCTGGACAAGTAAGTTTGACGGTGAGCCTGACTAGAACACAGTGAGTCCACACATCCTCAGATCAGGCGCAGATACGGCTGGGAAACTCGGAAGCGGCGTAGTTTCCAGTTACTCTAGTGGTAATGTCGGAGGTGCAACGTTAGGGCAACGTCAACCGTGACATGTGAACCTAAAAGTCAAGAGGAGTCAAGAGGTCGAGCCGAGAATCGCGATGTTTTGTCAGCGTCGGATTGCACGTCCTCAGTCCATACTTGGCTCTTGAATGCGACACGACGCCGTCAAGCACCCTGTTGTTCCGTGAAGGAGCGCGTGCTAGTGCCGAGGCTGTAAGAGTAGTATCATTGCTGTCATATGGAAGCATAGGCTCACTGCGAGGCAAGTGACTGCTTTGATCAATGTTCGTGGAAGTAAGTAGTCAATGATGATCGATTTCCAGAGGAGAGTGCTCACCGACATTTGAATATCTGTTCACGGCCCTTGAATATATAGGTTATTGTGCCGCCGCGCGCCCGGAGGCCCTGGGTTTCCTGCTGATAGCCCTGTCGGCAGAGGCCGAGGTGGATATCGGTGCACTTCATCGATGCCAGGATCGTCGGGTCCATCGCAACGGCAATGCCAGTACACAAGACGATCGCAGGTGGTAGAAAGGTCCTCAATATTCTAGAGGTACGACAAGTCCCGATGTAATGTTCATGCGTATTCCGAAGAGGACAATGCTCACGTCAGACATGATCTTGGGATGGAGTGATACGGTTTCGGGGTCGTTCCCGCTCGCGTTCATTCGCAATGTAATGGAGATGTCGTCACCGCCGCAAATGAGCCTGCCCAGTGGGAGTGTAACGATTGTGTCAGTAATGCGCGCTTTGGGATAAATTCAACTATGGGGGATGGATGTTCTCCGTGTGATCGACGGTATTGCATCTATCAGACTGTCAAGAAAAGCCGCAGGTGCACTCTGCATGATACCAAACGGAAACATGTCAGCGTGCTGGGAAAAAAAGCTCCTTCCATTGCGGTGTCATTGGATATCAGCGTGTAGACGCATACCTCGCGCATTTGTCGTGGCTGTAAGATCTTACTTCAGTCTCCGGTAAGCCCGCGGGAACAAGAAACAATGTTACGCTAAGTATCATTGAGTGGCGTCGGCCACATCGGTTCGCCAAATCGCACGTTCAACACGTCGATTCTCACGGCGGGAACGAAAGCGCACGTTGGATCCCTCGCCATTTCTGCACCCGAGTTATCGAGAACAACAGGTGGAGTGAACGTCGCCGGACTATTCAAGTGGGCGCTGTGCAGCATGGATTTGCACCATAGCTATATGTAGGACGAGGAGGTCCTCAGCGCTTCAGCACTATCTCAGCACTGACATGAGCTCTGCGTGCTTACTTCTGTGAGGTTGTACCCGTGATCGTAATTGTAGTCGGTCAGTTACCTGAAACGACTGCGATGTTCATCCTAAATATTCTGCGGCATCGCGTCTTACTCGTTCTTGTCTGCCACTAAGTTAACCGTGAAGCTAGTCAGTGCGTCAGCCACAGATGACGATTGAGTTAGATGCCGAGGGAGGACCTACTGCATTAGCATTCCACTCTGTTGATGGTACAGATAGCTGACGCTTTGATAACTGTCGACCTGTCAGACTCGTGTAGATACTGTGCTTTTCTCGCGTTTGATTAGAACACTACTCTCTATAACAATTATGTGAATCTCACGACGTATCAGTGGCTTGTAACAAGACTCATTCAGTAGCGGCAGGCTCTCGCATCCACTCCGCTATCTGCTTGAACACATTCGTCCTCTCGGGTTCTTGCCATGCAGCTATCACGCAATCATGCGCCGCGTCCGGCTCCTCGATATACCGCACCTTCTCCTCCCCCATGTCTGTTTTCAGCCTATCCCTCAGAGTGCGCATCGCGTCGACTGTCTGCTCCGCACCGCCAGCGACAATGCACATCCGCGGCAAACCAGCGAACGTGCCCAGAGAGTGCTTGAACCCAAGCGAGCCAGGCGAAATGTAGATGCCCGCCGTGACGGTCTCCTCCGGCAGGTTTCCGGCGAGTGCCCGAACCGTGTACCCATTCGCGAAGATGGGATACACGTAGTCAGACCGCCGATGTTTGTTTATGGACGAGCCAGGGCCCATTGAATGTGCAATGGTCCAGTCTACCGATGGTGACACGAGCAACACGCCGCCTGCGTTGCTTAGCCTGGCTTGTTTCGCGGTTGTATCCGACGGTGTAGCTCTGGAGAGCACGAGTTGGTCTTGGTATGTGTGGAGGTAGTACGCAAGTCCGAAAGCCAAACTACCTCCCGCGGAGTCGCCACTGATAAGGATGTTGTCCGGCGTGAACCCCACGTCCTCGACTAAGTAGCGGAAACCGGCGATAACGTCGATCAAACAGGCCGGGTATGGGATGACGGGAAATGGTGGTGCGGAAACGAGGCGATACTCGGGCGCGAAAATGCGGATGTCGCTTTGACAGTAGGTGTGGAAGCCTTCAAAGCAGACCATGAGATGCGTGTTCGTCGGCCCCCCACTGCCTGTCTGTAAGGTCCCAGTCAGCCGAAAGAAAACAGTCACCAGAAGGGACTGATACGTACGACATAGCCTCCGCCTGTCCGGATCAATCGAGCAATGAGCGCATGTCCAGAACTCGGGGTATGAGTGAACAGAGACTTACCGTGCAAATGATAGATGACCTTTTCGCCTTTGGCTGCTTTCTGCCCGACCTCGCCGTTAGTTCCACGAGGACCGTGCCAGAACCCGCCCGTCCGGACAGCTTCCACATGATTCTTCTCAGCCATTTGTAGGATATCACCAATGATGAGGTCCGGCGTAGCCTCCACCCATACAAAGCCCGTCGCTTCAGCTGTTTCGGAGGATTCCTGCAGGGACGGGCCTCGAATGATTTCGGTGGCGTACATGAAGTCAAGGTAGACTTCTACGAGCTTGACGATGATGACCCGTCCGAGTGTCCATGATGTACGTGGACGCCAAGAGGGAATGAAGTTCGTCGCAGCCCAGAAAGGAAGGCGGACGAGCAGGGACGCGACGGTTTTGGTCAGGTAGAGGGCTTTGAAGGGCTGACGGCGGAACGCGAACAGCGGCATGGTAACGTTTATGAAGGCCCTGGCCAGACAAGACAGTTTCGGCGACAACGACGACAAGGAGGATGAGGAGGGGTTCATTCAGCCACCGACCGAGAACATGCACGGGCACTAATATCTTGACGATGACCGCGCAAGTTAACGACAACGCCACAACCCATAGCAATGGTATAGTCGCACGCAGGGACAGCTCTAATAGGCGCTTTCTATCAAGAGTTGATGGAAGAGGAGGAAAGGGGGTCCATTTAATATAGTCATCGACCGCCGGGAGCCGCTGCGCGGTTCTTGACGATGACAGCACTCAATAACTTGAATGGAGCTGCTCTCCAGAGGAGATTAGCACCAGCAGGGCATAGTCTCCGTTGCTAACAAGAGATACTGTATTTGCATACCTGCAGCTTCTTGTGCTCGTCAGTCCCTCAGGATGTGAACCGTCCCAGTGGGACCGTCGTGGGTGGCGCTGAGCGCTCAACGTCGGAGCAGGGCGACACAGTCAGAGTTGATACGCTGCCCTTCGCTGCACATAGTACATAGACTAATTGATGGTAGACTAGCTAGGAACATGACGCGTCAGCCAAATCCTCGCAGCCACTACAAGCACGGTACATACCTCTCCTCGTCCAAGCGCACGTAGATCGCCATCTAGTCAGCACGGCGGACACAGGGGAGACTAGACCGCAACATCCACCCGCGTATGGCGACGAATACTCTTGAGACAGTTTATTCTCGATTCCACCCTCCATGGTGTTAGCGCGCGAAGTTTGTGTCGGGTCGCCAGCAGGATCGCCGACAGAGGTGGAGAGAAAAGGAACGTGTTCGAGCAACTTGAAATATACGAGGGAAGATTAGGAATGCGATAGCTCAGACTGGAAAGGCCATACACAGAGCAGCAGATCGTAAGTATGGTTGTAGCTAGCTTATAGCGCTCGCCATTACGATTCAACGACTCACAAAGTGTCAGACATCCTTCGACCCAGCGTACTTTTGGAAGCCTGAATCCTGCAACATACCGTCGAACACCTCGCCGGAGAGTCCTGCGAGATCCCAAGAGCTACAGCGGGAGGATGTGGATGGTAGACGAGGGTAGTCTGGGTAGACGATGTGGTCGGATGACAGACTACGGCGCTAATGGCTGGCCGTAGCGCTAGAAGTGGTCCTCGACGACCTGCAACCTCTTCCTCCTCTCCCTCTTGACCAAGTACTCGCACGCTACACTGATCGCCACCTAAATACCCGTACTGGGGTCTACTCTCCCTTGGTCAGTCATTGTCAAAGGTATCCACATGGAGACCGGCTGCTTCACAATTTGTTCGCGCTCTCCTGGCCAGTTGAACGCTGTATATCTTCTGCAACCGGACAGCCGTCTTCAGTCATGCTCATCTGTTCTAGTTGCTTCGTCAAACGCGTACCCACGTTGCAGTAGCGCAATGCTGCCACCCGGAGCCTAAGAACGGTAGAGCGGATCAGCGATTGTTGAGTAGAGGCTGAGCGGGATGCGCGGGTAAGTGGTTGGCACATGTCTATGCCTCTGTAGTCTGACACTGAACTTCGGTCCGTGTGACAAGAAGCAATAAGTATCGCTGGACATGATCTCAATGACCACTAGGCCAGGTCAAAGGTATCCCGAAGCTCTGCTGTCCCTGGCGTCGGACTGAACTCCTTCATAGACGTCTGATTCCGCAGAACGACAGCCTACCACGGTCATTGTTGCATCATTTGCCCTGCTACTCAGATGTCACGCCGTATGTCGCTAGCAGGGACGGAGAAGCAGTCCATGGAGTTGGGAGGCGTGAAGTTGTACGTTTTGCGCGCACATCGTCTCACATCTTCGACCGACTCTCTCATAATTGTTCGCGCGACACAGCAAATGATCTACTTGTGCTGCTCTCTCAAGGCAATGTCAGCGCCGCCGTGCGAATGGACTCACTCTAATGCATCACCCCGCGTCGACAGTGGTTGACGACACCATTGTCCGAACTAATCTGGTCAGCATGTCCAACGCTCGGATGCGCATGTTTCCGCAGTGAATGTGATGGTCGTACCACGCAGCACCGCGCAGTCTCTTCCAGGTAGCCGGAAAGGTTGCATGTCACGCATAACATCACCCTGGGACCCACTGGCGAATCAGTCCGAAGTTCCTGTCGACGCGAGAGCAGTGTCAAGTATCGCATTGAATGCGAACGCTTGATCGGTGGATGGGGGAAGCGAGGCGCTAGGCATAGGAGCAACACGATGTCCTCGGTATTCGGAGTCACCCCCAGTACCCATCAAGGGCGCCCGCTCGATTGGTGTATGGTACAGCACGTTTGGCAGGGCCGTGCACAGTTTCTGAACACATAACGACAGGCCCTCGAATGGCGCGCCTCGCGCACCCAAACATATTTACAAGGTGCACCATGCGATGCCATCGCGAAATTTGACCGCCGACGTCACGCCCTTGACTGCATCACGACAACCGGGATCGACGTCGCGTATACTCGATGGGAATGGTGCCCTTCACAGCGGCTTCCCGACGCTCGTCTTGAACGACCGGTCGCCGCCTAGGACGACGACTCCGCTTGGATCCCTGTATGCGACTGCTTTGGGCTCGTCTTCTGCCACGGTCACGTCCTCGAATACCTGGAGAACAGGCCGCCGTCTACACCACTACGCTGATCACACGCAGCGATGCGTCGTCTCCCGCTCCGTATTTTTGCACTCCGCACCACTCATTACGACGCCACATAAATTCACTGGCTTTGTCTCTTGCTGGCGTACAGCTTATGTATGATTGACTCCATTGGCGAGGTGGTCTCGCAGACGCATCATGGTCATGCTGAACGCGTTATTTCCTTCCATGAGCGTGAGTCTTCCCCTCTCGTTCCATGGCCGTGCTGGTATCGACCGTGAACGTCATATGCGTAGCGTCTGCATTGGTTCCCGGCGCTGAAAGGATACTGGACGCGCATATACTTATTACATTCCTGCAAAGGGTGTAAACCGTCAACGTTGTCACTGCCTCCGCCACCGATGCCCGTCGACTGTGCGTGCCAGCCGTAGCGGTATGTACTGCAGGGGGTCGACGCGGGCTCATGCGTCGATATACGTCTGGCTCTTCGGGCGAGCGTTGCCGTCATGGCTCGCATTTCTGCATCTCTGATGGAGCGGTGTCCGGTTGGACGGTTGCTGTTTGTACACAGACTGGCATGTATCAGACACCCGAGGGTTTGATCGTCCGTGACATCCTCAGCATTTGTACGTGCTATCTCCCGCAGGCGTTTTAGCCAAAAGACACAGGTTCACCCGTCTCGAATGTACTTAGGTCGACGACAAAAACCGGCCGATCTTTTCGCGGCGCCACATTGCTTCGCGCGACCTTCGCTAGGTTCGACACAACCCCCCTCCACGCTAGCGCCGTGTGGAGGGTCTTGTATGAGACTACGACCTTCACTACCTCTCAGTCTCTCCGGTTCACCTTTTGCTCATTGTATGAACGCAACAGCTTTGTTTTCCAAGTGATGTGGAGTTTCCAGCGAGTCTGAAATGACACTTGAACGGCACCTAGAACGCGCGACGAAGCTCGATGACCTCAGGAAGCGGTACGCACCCGACAGCGAGGGCCATTCAGTACCACTGTGCAAGGTCCTATCGGTACGCCTAAGGTCCTCTCCAAACATGTAGATTGTTGTGTTATTGTCATGTATGGCACGACAGTCATACTAATCTTGCCGGATCCACATGAGACCATGAGTCGGGATTCGAGGCTCTCTGACTTGTGAGTCTCACAACACACCCATGACATCCCGTAGTGCTGTCGACTGCTTAGAACTGGGCAAGTTCGTACCCGAGCCGGATGGTCGACGCGCCGACGCATCGCGTCAGGGCGCGATCCTTTTATTGCTAGCGGCCTGCTAATTTGTATGGAAAACTTGTATACTCTTCGCCCGTTTGATCCACCCCGAGGACGAAACAGTGACTCGCCCACGAACGTTTTTGATTCTCGCTGCCCGTTCGGCCATCGGCGACTTTCGTTCAACAGTGCTTTTCTTCGAGTTCGCTCTACATTCACATAAGAAAGTGAGCATATCTCGTCGGCTTCATAGAATGACACAGACCGTAGTCTCGCTCGGTAAGGGGGAATCGGTGACAGTGGTCGTCATTACATGTACCACGGGCCGTACAACATTCATGCCCTTGATTGTCCATAGTTTTCAGTACCATGAGCAGCTGCGGTTTGGCTACACCTACCTTGGCTGAATCGTGGCTGTTGTATGGCGGGGAGGTGTTAGGTCTCAATTGAGAGAGCGGATGCATCGGCATAGTGTCATCGATGCCCCGACCTCGTGCCACCTTTCTGTAGTTCAACCTATAGTCTTGATCATGACTCTGAACCAACAACGCGTATGAGGGGACCATACGTTGCTAAAAGGGAGTTTGCGTAGACTAATCACGGCGATGTCAAGCAGAATTCGAAGAAGTGGTTTACTGATGTACGCACGCTTGCTCAGTAGCAGATGAATGGCGAAGTAAATCATGTTGTCGGGCATCGCGACGAGCTGCAGCGTTGGAATCAGCGAGGATGTGTAGAAATATACTCTAAACTAGGGGGCGCACCGTCACAATGACACATACGCCGAGTATACTGCACCGATGCTTGTAAGTGTGCACGTTGTAGCCGGAGGGAGCCTTGAAGGACAGACCTTGTGAGCAGGCCGTTGTTAACAGTCCAGTACGTGAGTTTGTCGAGCAACTACAAGCCATCAGCTATCGTAGTATGTTTTAGTCAGGTTCATAGTACATACATGGTCGGTACTGGATGATCATCGTAATGCACGATTGTAATCAGTACTTGGTCACTCTACTACCAGCCCTCGTCGAGAGAGGTGTGTTTCAGATAGTTATGTCGGTTGCGTACTCACTCTCTTACCCCAGACCTACGACGACGGAGCAGAATCACCAGCGCAGCTGTGATGATCCAGTCGGCTAGACTAGCAGAGCCCATGCTTATGCCGACTATCATCTATGTAGAGGTGCAGGAAATGAGTGCAGCTCCGATGTCGCGAGACGCAGCCACAAGAATTACCCCGATTTTGTGTGGCAGCTCCGCGACAACTTTGATTACTAGCCTGCAATTTGTTGTTTCAGTAGTCGCCTGACCGTTGGACAAAGTCCATGTTTGTACATACAGCCGTTTCACGATGACTTGCGCAGGAAGTGTGAATATATGAGCGTGCCACTGAAGCAGGATGAGAACTCACTGCAACCGAAAACTACGCGCAATGATGGTTTTCACAGTGCACTTTGGCAGAAGAAACCGGGATGACTACCCACCTAGTCTAATACCTGACAGGATGGCCTTCCAACGTATTTGTGAGACACGGTTCCACCAAAGAAGGATATCAGCATACAATCACCGTGGGTAGAAACCAATTTCTATTTGCCACTGGAAAGTTGACGGTGCATAAGAGCTCAATGTGGTGCACCCAAAGCATGAGCTCTTACAGATGTAGACGCGGCGGGCATAAAATCTATGGAAGACCAATCAGCTTCACAATAGTACGGTCTTTCGGCGCTCATACCCATGTGCGATGCAAGTGATCACTGCCTGACCCCCGTTTCAGCTGTTACGCGGTTGATTTCGAGCATGAATCGCATTTTACTCACCGTCAGAGCTATTGTACTCTTCCGGAAAATCGTTAGTCGCGTGCGGTCACCAAGGTTCTACGCCTACATCGAAGCTCCTGATATGATATGATCAGAGATTGTAGGTTGAAGAAAATATGTATACCGACCACACAGACAGCTTAAGTGCCGCTGGATTGTCGAAGTTGAGGATGAGGTAGTAATAGATGACATGCATACTGAGTGCAATGTGCAATGTGTCGAGGATGCTTATGCAGCAAAGTTAGTGCTGGAAAGATCAATTATGTCGTATGCTTACAAGAGGGACCAGACCTGATAGCGAAAACAATTCATATTACGGAATATGGCACCAGGGGCTACGTACCACCGCACGAATCAACATGGATTCTTTGGGATAGTTGCGGTACCACATGTAGGTCTGCATAGTGGTGATACCATATGCGCTGAGAGAAGATTAGCCATTTATCATGTAGCGGAGACATACGGGCGTACGTAGAGGCGAGCAATGTCCCTATAAGGAGTATGCCTTCTGTCTTGTTGAGATTCTCACCCATGGTACGGATCGGCTCTCGCTCTCTGTTGAATATTGAATGTTAGTCTCGGAGTAGACAAGCACGGAGAGTCGAGCTACACGGCATTGACCAATGTACGAGCAACTAAATACTTCATGAGAGTTTGAAATGCCCTAAGCAAGCAGGATATCAGCTTCGTTGATGCATGATTGCCAGTGTACAGCGCGGCGTAAATGATCGAGCGCTTTATGGTCAGATGGCCCGAGGCAACACATCAGCCTAGATATGAGCGATGTTAGTACCGATGATAGACGTGCTTCCCGTAAAGCCTACATGTAACTCACGAGAAACCTTGCGCCTAACCAGTGGGGAAGAATGCCTCCTACGTAGAGCTTATGATGATTCTGGATGACTTGCTGACCACGGCCCCTTGATGCGACCACACATCTGCCAATCTGACTACTCCAACTCAACTACTTAGCATGGCCAAATGTATCTAGCCATCCACATGAATGACTGAAGGATAGATGCTCATGGTACTCACGGTTGTCTGGTTGTATGACATCTCGTCAGTGAGTTATGGTCGCCGCTGCCAGCGAACCCAGATCACTGGTGTAATGGGCAAGGTCGGCTCGGACGGTCGTAGTGGCTGCGGTCGCGCGGAACAGGCGGAGCGAGCGAGAACGCGCTCGGGATGGACCCAAAAAGTGGTGTTGGAAAGGCGGAAAACTACGGTACAGGCTCGCGCGATGTATCTACATGCTGACATAAGCATGTGGCGGGCGCGCCCGTTACAACTGGCACGACGACACACATCTGACTAAGAAGATGGATCGCACTGTGCCGAGTCTCTTCCCGGCTACGTGGACATATGCCGTGTCCTTGGCAAACTTTTGACGAAGAATGAAGACCTTCTCAATGCAAGTGGTGTTCCCAGACCACACATCCAACAGTCGCATCGAGGCCGCCGAGCGGACTTTGAAAAACACATATCCTCAGCTCCTCCTCGACCGAACCTTGACAAAACAGCTGAGATACATAGCACGTCAACAAAATCTAGAAGCTCATTCTACAGGTCTACCGATGTACAGATGTATGTGTCTTCAGCTGTGTTTGATTCCAAATCTGAGCGCTGAGCCCAAGCTGAGCCGAGTGACTTACTGTCCCGCGGCCCCTAATCCTGGAGTGTCCCGGGTCCCCCCTCGTCCTCTATTACCGTGCACGTGGCCCAATGGCGACCGGCGACCACGCATCGAGTGGGCCGTTAGCCACGGTGCTATGACCAGTCGTTCCGTACTCATAGGCTCACCTCAAGCGACCTCTACCGCGCGATGAAGGTGCGGATATCCGCCTCTGGTGGAACCCCGGTGAGAGCTCACGTTTTATCGAGTTTGAATATGGCGCTACAAACCGACGCCCGACGGACATTAGCTGCGCATGACTGGATGTGAGAAGTCGTACCGCACCCCGGTCTCATGTCTCAGGTAGCATGCTTCTCGGGCCCAGCTGCAAGGTGTCATCCATATCCGAGCTGACTGCCAGTGCATGCCAGCGAGCGCGGTTCTGTCTTCCGGAGCCGCCATTGCAAAGACTCCGTGATACGTATTCGAGCGTTGTGCGGATAGCTGTTTGTAGAGGAAGCCTTTGCCCGTCCTCATCGAAGCCTATCTTGTGACAGTTGCGTGCGTCTTATCCTCACTAGCGCTGTGCACAGGCCTTCAATCTCCTTCCCAGCAGATTGGTCCATTGTACCTGCTTCGTAGGGTTTGGCTGCCACCAAGCGAGTAACGTTGTTCGCCGGTCAATTGTTGTTGTCGCCGTCGGCGATGCGGATGAATAAACCTTATTACGGCCGGCCGCAGGTTGACCTATGGCCGACACAAGACAAATCTACACGACAGATTGGTGGGAATCCCCTGCGACCGCAAGCGAACACTTTAAAGCAATTACCTTCATGCTGGGTGCCGTCTCACCCGCCGACTAGCCATGTCTGAAGATAAGATCGCAGAACTAGCGTCGCCGCAGCTCTCGTACGCCTCATCGGTGGTAGACCGGCGGCGCGTGCTGCGTAAGCTGGACCGGCATCTCCTCCCGTTCGTGTCGGTGCTTTATCTACTGTCTTTCCTGTGAGTATGGGTTCACCGACCTCGCAAAAGATGATACTGAATCGGGTAACAGCGACCGAGCTAACATTGGTTTGTGCACCTGTCATCCTGAGGTCGTCGTTCTGAAAACCGAGGTTGAAATAGGCAATGCGAAGGTTGCAGGGCTTACAACAGATCTACGCCTTACAGGCCTGCAGTATAACCTATGCTCGGCGATTTTCTTCGTGAGTTGGTTTCCACTCTCCATCTTCTAGCTTTCTTATGTTTGTCCTGCCAGTTGCCCTATACATTCTTCGAGGTACCGTCGTGAGTTTGAGCACCGTCGCTACGTTTCACAACTGTACCTAATCTCCTCGCCATTAGTAACATGGTAATGAAGCTGCTCAGGCCATCGCGTTGGAGTGAGCTTATTTTCTACACAAGACTGGTGAATGTTGACGCTTTCCTAGTACCTTGCATCATGGTTTGCTGGGGCATCGTCATGCTGTCTATGGCCTTTGTGAAGACGTTCTCCGGACTCATCGCGTAGGTTTACAGCATCCTAATCATGTAACAATATGCCTGACACGAACCAGAGCACGCGTCTTTCTAGGGCTCACAGAGGTCACTCGTGTCTTTCTTGCTCACCAGCGGTATTATTGAGGCTTCAGCAGTCTGGGCTGTTCCCCGGTGTAACTTTCTACCTATGTTTGTGGTACCCCGAGCAGCACAAGCGCAGCGGGTGTCTATTTTCCTGTCTGCGGCGACGGTATCTGGTGAGTAAACACCGATAGGTGATTTGCATAAGTGTTCACCAATTATTAGGTGCATTTGGTGGCATTCTCGCCTTCGGTATCGAGAGGATGGACGGGTAAGCGACGTTTGATATGGATCGTTGGCTCATGTAATTCGTCGTCTACTCAGCATCGGTGGACTCGCCGGCTGGTCATGGATTGTGGGTGCAAACCAGTCAGATTACACCGTACAGTTGCTCATAGCTGTCTAGTTCTTACTGGAGGGAATGAGTACGTTGCGCCAAATCAGAGGCAATTGCGCTCACACATTAAATGTATAGTCACGGTCGGGGTTGCGGGTCTCTCGTTCTTCTTCATGTACGATGTACGTGCATTGTTTCTTTCGCATCTACGTGTTCTGGCCCATTGACGATACACTCAGGATCCGGAGACCGCACCATTTTTGTCACCGGAGGAACGCGAATGGCTCATCGACACTATCAAGGAAGATATGGCCGGTCTTTCCAAGTCATTCGAATGGAAGTTCCTTGCTCAGGCTCTCAAAGACCGCCACACGTATATGTACATGCTTCTCTATCTCTTGTGCGTCCTCCAAAATATGATATGCTATCGCTGACATGTACAGTTCTTAGTACCGCGCTACCGGCATACACTTTCGCACTATTCCTGCCGACGATCATCACCGGCCTAGGGTACTCTGCTGCTCACGCGCAGCTGCTCACGATCCCTCCGTACGTCGCTGGATGTGTGGTCACGGTCGCATACGGGATGCTGTCCGATCGATGGGTGATGCGTGGCCCTTTCATTCTGATTGGCTCCCTCACTGGTGTTGTTGGCTATGTGATCCTCTTTGCGACCGACAAGGCTGTGGTGGGGTATGTGGGCACCATCATTGCTGCGTGTGGGCTGTTCCCTGCAGCGGCCTGCGTCCTCGCTTGGACAGGCGGTAATGTGGGCGGCGATGTCAAGCGTGGAGTGGTTATCGCCATGACCATTGGTCTCGGTAACCTCGGAGGGTGCGTGCTTGTCCATGGGTAATGAGATGCACGCTGATCTGTCCCTCAGATTTGCGTCATCGTTCATATATCGTGCGCAAGACAGTCCGCGCTATCATCCAGGGCATGCTACCAACATCGGTTGTCTATCAGTCGCGTAAGTGAACGGACGTGGTACAGATCGGGGACTCATTGAATGCTGACTGAATTGACACCACATGAACACCAGAGCTGTTCTCAGTGCGATTGGCATGCTCGAGCTCCACCGCTTGAACGGACAGAAGCGACTCATACGAGACAAAGAAGGCATCACGATCGAACGCATGGCTGAATTCCGGGAAATGGGTGACAATTCACCTCTATACAAGTATGTCCGATGCCGCTGTATGTACATAAGTTGGTACTGAAGGTCTGTACAGGTATACACTGTAGTGACCGTGTTAGTTGCTGCTCCCTCAAGTGTAGCCTTTGAGTCTCGTGGCGGGGGTTCCATACTTCTGTACTACCTGTTTACACTACTTGAAAGTTATATAGTAGCTGTTGCATGCGGGCTTTCTCTAGCCAATGTTTCTATGACGCACGCTCACCAAGGGCGTCGTCCATCACCCTCACAAAATGTGAGCTCATTCCAAGTCGCATCTGACTGATCCCAAGAGGACTTTTGTGTTATTTTCACATTCTGCAGCGTGACACTAGCAGTAGTACTTGCGGGAGCAACGCAATTGTGCATGCGTGTTGGATTGCTTCGTGATCGACCTCTGGTATGGCTGAATGTAACAAGAGCCAACACGAGCCGCCAAGAAGTCCGCCGTCACCGGCGTCGACCAGACGAACAGAGATAACCCACAAGCCGGACGGACGCTAACTACCTACGGCTCGCAAAAATCTGAGTATATGCGCCCAGAGATGCTTCCTCCGGACGAGATGTCTCTGTATATGTTTCTACAAGCTTTTGTGCAGTCGACCGCAAGTGAAGATCGCACGGACTACCGCTGCTTGCGCCTCGTATCTTGCAGTTGAAACAAGGGCCGCTTGCCAGTGCATCTGAGCGCCGTTCATAGTCATCCCATAGGTGCATCGACTCCAACCTGACTGTGTATTCTCGTGTAAATGCCAATTCTACAGCTACATTGTGACACGGAGTCTCTCGCATAAGATGTGCGCGCGTCAGAGAACACCTACGTCTCTCGGTCAGGCCGGAACTACACCACCATTCAGTACAGCTGGAGCCGTTGAGAATACTGAGACGTACTAGGTGGGTAGTCCATCTCATCGTCGTTGAGGTACCAAGCTCCTGAGAAAGCGGGATAAGAAAAGCTACCTGACCAGTAAGACATTAACACGTACTATCACCTGACATCGTCTTCTCATTGTGGGTCTGACCATCTCCGAACCAATGTAAGCGATTTTCAGTGTCATCCAAAGGTTCGTAATTGAAATCTTCCCAGCGAGGGTATTGCAGAGCACGCAAATTGTGAAGCGACGAGCCTAGAAATCGAATTTACATTGTTAATGTCATAGGCGGGCGCAAAATGTAACACGTACCAGGCCACAAAGCAACAACACGACCCCGCTCTTTGCCTCCCTTATACCAGGACCTACACGTCTGACTGAAAACAGTCTGCCATACTATGGCTCAGAAGATGCTAAAGCAGACGCGAACTGGTAGTACCTTGGGAAAATAGTGCTGCAGCAATGCACAGCTAGTGAGCACATGCTATCTTCGGAGGAGTATGTCGCTAGCTCACTTCAACATACTCGTCGAAGTCCCGTACGACTTCCGGCTTCACGTCAATGCTCTTCAAGCGCCCTCGCTGAAGCTTTTTCGTCGCTTCGATCATGTAGTCGACCTGATGCTCTATGACGGCCAGCTGCGAGCCGGAGCTCACACCCGAGTTCGGGCCGAGAGCCATAAACCAGTTCGGGAAGCCATCCGTGCACAGAGACATGTACGTGCTTGGATACTGCGCCCACCTTTCCTGGATTGTGATGCCTGACCTTCCCACTACAGGGAAGGGAAGCTGGAAGGAATAGTCGTAGCCTACAGAACATTGATGGTAAGGACGAGTACCACAACAACAGCAACGATGTGATAGCTCTACCTGTGGCGCACAATAAAATGTCGAGGTCTTGGCGGATACCGTCTTCTGTCTCGACACCGGTTCTGGTGATTTTCTTGATAGGAGACGCCACGAAGTCAACCTTACACTCAGGGTGAGCAATTTGCTGGGACATATAACGAGCTACTACACACGTTGTCCTCGCAGAGCGCCTCCAAGTATCCTGGTCCAGAAGTTAAGCGTCGGCATGCTACACCGAAATCGGGAGTCACTATTCGCCGACACTATCAGTCAGACAGCGGTACATATAGTCAGACATCACCGACAATGATCTGCGATCCATGGCTTTTTCGCCAGCCTCGTCCTCATGCCCGCCTCAATGAACTCGCGGCCTTGCTTTTGAGTAGCCCCGTCCGCATAAGTGATTGGGTTCAAAGACTGGACAACACTAGATGAGGTACGTGTCACAACTACTGGCAAAAAGGTGGGCCTACGTTTATGTCTGTCTCTAGTTCGTAGCGGAATAGCTTGCAGAAAGCCTCGTCTCGGAATTTCTCCTTGTCGACTTCGGTGAACTTGACTATTGTAATGTCAGCCTCTGGCAATGGGAGGGAGATGTCGCGGCAATTGCTCACTTACAGTTGTCGCAGTCAGGCTCTCGCTGCAACAATTCCAAAATCTTAGACCTTGAGAATGGAGGGCATATCCACGTCTTTCCCCGCACATAATTGATGAGATGCGCGACGTGTGGCTGAAGGGCGGGTACAATTTGAATTGCGCTGGAACCCTGACATGGAACGATGAGCTTCACGCAGTGTAGCCTGTTTATGGCTACATACCACACCGACCACGCCGATTCGTTTATCTCCCCATGTCTTGACGACGTCTTGCCAAGGCTGATGTTCCTTGCCAAAGTCGGCGCTGTGAATGAGTTCGCCGCCGAACTCCTTCAAACCTTCGATATCAGGCCACGTCCATTTACTGAAGATACCAACGGCGGTGATGAATACGTCCGCAGTATCTGTAATCTCTTCATATGCAGGCAAGCCTCCGTCCGCCGTGTCCACCTGCCTCCGAATACGGAGAAGCCACTTCCCTGAGGACTGGTCATACTGCGCATGTACAACTTCGTGCTGTAGCTTGATATAGCGCATTAGCTGATACTTGTCCACCACTGACTGGAGGTATGCCTGGATCTCTGCTCCGGGAGCATAAAAGCTCGACCAATCAGCCTTGCAAAGTGAGTAATATGTATACGTATCAGATAAACACAATTGGAAACGGGCGGATATCGAGCTTACCTTTGCTTCAAATGTGTACTGATACTATGCAGCACCAATTAGGTATGTTGAACTACCTTGCGAAGGCAGGCTTACACAGTGGGACGGAATATCGCAAGCCAAGCCTCTGTGGAGTGAAGGCGGTCTCAGTACCGAGAAGTCGTAAGCTTTCGCGCTGTGCGGGTTGTGAACGTACGGGAAACGATTCGTGAACCATGTTCCACCTACTCCTGCGCATCGTTCGTATATTGAGAACTCGGCGTCAGGAATCTTTTGAGGGAACCTGTGCGGAAGTCAGAGGAAGTCAGTATGTAAGAACGTGAAGTTCAGCCACTTGCCTAATTGCAGCAACGATACCGCTAAACCCTGCACCCACACAAACGATTTTGATCGGTCTATGCTCGTCGATTGCAAACTCGCCAAGCTTGTATGAGCGGGAACCCGCACAACCCATGCTATCTTCTAGATCAGAGTGGCTAGGATCGCATTGCGGGGGCGGCCCATTCATGCTTGGAGTCATGCTGGACGATCAACAGGGGTATGATATTGTCCGGCGCGGGCGAGTGAGATATATACTGAGCTCTTCTCTCTCATGAGATACCGGTGAGAATAATAAATTCACAAACCCTGCTCGATAGTCCGCGTGTACGCATGAAGCTTCTGCGGTCACGGCTTTTGGGTCTGTGTGACAACTAATGCCCCACGCCGTTCTGTCCAATTGAAACAGCTCAGTGCTCCACGGAGTCATTAGAGAACACGGAATGTCAACTTACTTTGCTTCCGGATCAAGATGGAGAGCTTGAGCGGCTTGTCGGACACGTTCAAAAACAGAACATGCCAGTATGGTGATTGTCGCCGGCAGCGAGTCATGCGCGAGCCTTGACTTTGACGAGGCACTGGCAGGCCCGGCAAGTCAGGTAGCGAGTAACGATGACAAATTGCCGCATTGGCAAATATCTGTAACTGTCAGCGCAATCACAGAGAACACAAAAGAGCAGGACCACACACACAACCTCGGATCCGCTGCTAGCACTGGGAGTCCATGAGTTGACACATCTGGCCGACTATGCACGGCCTTCAATTGCGTCCGTCTTGGGGTGGAGCGTAGCTACTGCGCGGCTCAGGGCATTTTGAAACCCGACGGCACAGAAACATTTTGATCAGCATCGCGCGAAGCTTCAGGCCTTGAGGGGTGAGATGTACAAGTCGTGGTCATTGCAGGTGTCCAGAATCCAGATCTGTAGCGCTGGCAGCAGGCGCTAATAATACTGCATTAACTTGGCCGCACATTCCGCGTTCGTCAAGTCTAATTTGAGCGCGCGCGCATCGGTGTGCAAATTGCGACACGTCTCCGTGATAAATGAATCCCATCCTCCTCCTCCGAGTGCGAAATGCACCGCATAGCCACGCTAATCGGTCCTGAAAGACTCAAATTGCACGTTCTGCTTCAAGTTGTTTTCTCTGATTAAGCCGTCAATGAAGTGAGGAGTCGAAAGGCATATTTAACAGCATTTCACACGTACAGTCTGAAAAATGCTACACAAGGCTCGCACGCCGTCTACTTACAATGATTGGACTCTGCGCTATCTATCAGTATCTCTGCCCTACTCGCTAAGCGGCTTCTGAGCGGAGAACACATAGAACCGGATCTCTGCTCCCACTGTTTCATTCCATTCCATCTCGACACCGTCAAGAAGCGAGTCAAACTCGGCTTCCGAATCAACAACTCCTAGGCCCCCAGCGTTGAGGATGGGCGTTTTCATACCCCTGAACACTCCGATGAAGTTGTTCCGAGCGCCGACGCCGACATCGCCCGCCCAGCTTCCCAGAGGTATAGTTCTCTCCTCCACACTGACGTGCACGAAGCCTAGGTCGCGCAGCATATCGGGGATGTAGCGCGCGCAGTCGAGCACAAGGCCCTTGGCTTTGAATAGCGTCTGGACCAACGCTATATGCTTCTCCGTCGTGGGTCCCGCCTTCCAGGACCCAACTTCACCGAGCTGCACCCAACCGCCCGGTACAAGCGTGCGCATCATCTCGTTGATGGCCATTTTCCATTCTTCGGCGCGCAACGCTGCGACGAGAAGACGCTGATGGATGAGGGTGAAAATGCCAGACCACTCGGCTGGGAGCTTGGTAATCGTCGTGGTCAGGAACTCGACGTTTCCACGCGAGACGATGCGGCTGTCGTCCACTGGGAATAGACGCGATTCGATGTCAATGGCGTGAACGACCGCAGCGGCCGGGATGATGCTGAGAACATCCAGGAGCCAAGTACCTGAGTACGAGTGAGAATTGTCCGCTGTCTAGCGATGTGCATAATCGTTCTCACCGGATCCAGTACCGCTGTCTAGAATGTGGTCTTCCGATGTGATTGTAACAGGACAAGCAATGATGCGGTCCTCGAATGAGCCCTTGAGCAGTCTGTGCTGGAGAGCCAATCTAGTAGCGCCGTTGTCAGCTCACTCACTATAGCCATTCAGAAAGAAATCACGTACCGCTCTCTTTCTGTTGTATCTGAGGGTAGCACATAGTTAGCTCCGGGGAAGGACTGGTAGACCCTCTGAGCATGGTCTATGCGCTTGGAAGTGTCAAGTCCATGCATGGGAGACAGGTACTCGGTCATGGCTGAGCCTAGTTGTTACGGGGGAAGTTGCCTATTGACCAGCCCCCTCTTATAGGCCTGCCCATGTCTACGCCAATGGTGAGGGCGCGTCGACATCGACCTATGTCTTGGTTGCCGTTGTTTGCTGTTGCGACTCATTTCTTGCTTCTTGAACTCCGTATATCGGTTACGCACGGGGCGATTGGCTGCGCTTCCTACTTACTTTCTACATCATGATTGCATCGTATCTTGAGACAGACCTGATGGTATTAGCCCAAGGCTCTGTCCGGACGAACAAGACCGTTACGGGGTATAGGGTTGCGCGAGTCTACTGATTGGCGAATGCCTAGGAGGACCTTCTGCTTCTGGATTGAAACTATTGAGGTCTCCCGACATCCATTGCCTGATCATCAATAGTGAACAAGAGGAGAGATGCGGTACAATTGATGGAAAACTCGTATGGAGCCCATTCACTCTGTCAAAGTTTGGGTCGATGTCATGTGCTTGCCAATAGGTGCTGACAGACTGGTTCCGCGTTTGGAAGGACGACCGGGATGCCATCCGGTGACGATTGACCCGTCTTCAGTGCGATGACAGCGGTGTTCGCAATTGTCATGACTCGTGAAGCTTTGAAGCTTGAAGGTTTGAAAACATTGACATCTCGGCAGAACTTAGTAACAGAGCTCATCACCCATACAATTCCATTCGACGTCACGGTGGAACAACCTGAGAATCTACGTTCTTTTCTCACCGATGAATCATGGAACTTGGATCATAGCCATTGGCAGGCAGCGGTCCGAATCGGCAGACATGCCTTTCGGAGTTTACTATGAGAGGCAGTGACGCGCTTTAGTAGCAATAATCAGGACTGTTCAATACATTGTCTGGCTCCGAATATATAAAGTTGAATAGTTCCAGCACCGTTGCGGCACCGTTGCGGCTTGGTTGCGACACCGTGTTCAGCGTCCGTTTTGGTTCCGTCAAACTTCACTCAGCCCGAACCTCAAACTCAAGAATCAGTATTTCAACATCGAATGTAAACGCTTGACAGAACCTTGAACTTGAATCCCCCCGGGTGTACACGCACGTCGATCACATACAACACGTGGTTTGTGGTCCCCGATCAATTGAGCATCGATCAAGTTCAAATTAATGAAATGCGGACGGAAGGGCCGCTTTGCGGCCACGGTCTGTCCGTATCAAGTACTGTCCAGTCCTTTTGGGAGTATTGCGCAGTTACTTCGAGTACGTTCAGAACTTCCGAAGATGAACCTACATAACTGATAAGTTCACAGACATGACAAATGGGCCGCGCGAAGCGGCCAGTGTTACGTTAGTATGATATCTAATCTTGTTCTATCGTCGTAAGTGTCCCTGGCTGGAACAGTGTTCCGTCCACACCGTAGACTACTTATAGTGACCTACTAGCGCTGAGTCCTGACAAGCAGCGCTGGTACCTGCCGTGGCAACATGTCTACCGTGTCTGCTCTTCGAGTTACAGCCAAAACCGCATTTTCCAGCGACGGTACACCCATTTATGCAGAGGCTATTGGAGATTCCCACAAGCCCGCCGTAGTGATGGCTCATGGAATGGCTTTATCCGCCGCCATATTCGACAAGCTCTTCTATGACAAGCGCATGCTAGACTGTGTTTATATGGTATATACCTCTCAGTCAGTATGTTACAGTTGCTCATTGAGAAATCTCTCCCTGTCAGATCCGATACGACCTGCGTGGTCATGGTAGAAGTGGGAAGCCTACCGCGCCGGAAGCATATGTATCGTCCTTGTGGGCAAATGACTATGTGGCGGTCATGCAGGCGTTTGGTGTCACGAAGCATGTATTCCTTGGATGGTAAGCACAGTCTTGTTCGCTGCGATAGCCATGACATGACATGACACATTGGTGTACAGGAGCTACGGAGGTCAGTCACACGTTGGTAGAGATACCGTTCAAATTGTATTGACAAGCCTACAGCAACGGTTGCTTGTGATGTTTGTGCAAACATCAATCCAAATCCCCTTTCCGGGATTATATTCGTTTCACCCCTTCCATATGTTGGCCCAATCATGGGCGTTATCGGGACCTCCACTATCCTCGGGTTCCTTGATGGACTTTCTAGTACGACCGACGTTAACCTGCACCTCCAAACCAAGATTGACTTTGTCAATTCCCTCGTCAACAAACCAGAGGAACTCCCTTTCGACATCAAGTCATCTTTGCTTGGACAAGCACTCTTGCACCCTCCAGGTGTGGACGCACTCATTGTCTCTCGTCCGCAAGATCCCGCCAAACTTTTCACGGCTGGAGAGCAGGGACTTCCAATGCTGTTGATCCATGGTACGGCTGATACGCAAGTCATGGGCCAGGTCGTGGAAAGGGAACTCAGCCCATACTTCGTAAAACTTGAAGCGCGGGCGATACAGGGTGGTTGTCACGCCTTGTCTCTTGAATTCTTGGATGAGGTTGTTGAACCAATTCTCAAATTCATGCACAAAGTCGCGGTACGTGATACATCTACTTGATCGGCGTGGCAATCGCACTGAGTCCGAATCCCTTGTGCGCAGCGGATGGCCTGAAGTCATGACGTCGCAGAACACAAATTACCTATGCAGAGCTGGACCCATTTAACTTCGTATACTTGTTTCGATTATTTGACCAGAATGTCCGATGGGATGCGATTAGGCCTAAACCACTGTGGCGAGACTCGGAATCGAACGTGTGAATATTATGATCACTCCTACCCATTGACTGAGGGAGTCGGACTGCTTCTACCGCAACTTTATAAGACCCGGGACCAGGACGGGATCTCACGGTTCTTTGAAATTTTGAGCGACGCTGTTAGAAAGCATGTCGCACATGAACAACTCCATCGGTATCTGGCTCGACGAGTATCGGTGATAACGATAGCCACGGTCCATGCACATGTCCGGTGTCATGGAGCTCAGAGCGCAAAGATGATGAGCGCATCGCCATACTAGGGATCAGTACCGCAGTACGACGGTGCATGGTATCCGAACGCTGGCGTCGTGGAACTCATACGTGGTCGCACTCAGGCTCTGACACAAACCCAAACTTCGCGATGGCGTTGACAGATCCAACACTTAAGTTCGCTGGCGCCGGCGCCACTCAGCCGCGCCAGAGACTCTGAGTCTAATTGAAGTAGCTCCGAGTCGGTGGAAGACCTTACGGAAGACGCGTTAGCAGTACGTAAAGAAGCCACAACAGCGGTGTGCTTAAATCAGAGAGTTCATGTGCTTGACAGACGTACCTATTTACTCGACTGCTTCAGACTAGGACATTTCCATGTATTCTCCATCTGCCGCAAAATCAGTCATGAACACGGAAGGCCATCGGTGAGCGCTGATATATGGTATAGATGATTGCATCCCTGTCTGTATGATGCTCCTGAGAGTTCGCCATGTCCGACCGGTATTGCTTTTTGCGAGAGGCGACCGTCTACGGCGGCCTTCAATTTCAAACCTCACTACGTGGTTCAGACAGTGCCTTCGTCCTATGGGAGTGCATGTATTGTAGGGCATTGAACAGTGCCAGCGGTACAGCGACTATTAGAAGCGCGCTAACCAAGGGACCTGGCGGACAGTCACTAGTACCGATGGTGCCGCACAAGCTAGTACGGCTGACGGAACTATATGACACCGCCACTCTTAAGTTCGCCCTCGATGTCCCTGTCTGACCAACTCCCGTCTTTCATCATCGCTTGTCGTGGTATATCTATCATTTCATGTGTTTCGACGTTGACCATAATCTAAAATATGCACAGCAAAGATGAATTGTCACGCGAAGATATTGAATAGAGCTAAGATTACCTGTGCAGGACGAGAAGTTGTGTTATCTCCGGCGTTGCCTTGAGAAGATTTACTCGGAGTGTCCGAACTCTGTCGCCATGGGGTGTTACCATCAAATGACACATGTCCTGTATGGAATGTGACGACCTACCCGACCAACATGGAGCCTCAGCGCACCGTCGCCCTGATACTGCGCAGTACTCGACGCGGGAGCGAGCATAGAACGTGCGTTCAGAGTTGACATAACAGTATTTCCATAACTGTAGGAAACGGACAACGTTTATATTCATCTGCAAATTATAGGGGAGTGGACGCACAGTTTGCACAGAGGAAAATTGAAGACTGTTGGTACTTGATTACAAAAAACCGTCATGTGCAAGGAAACCAACTCACTGAGATGATAACTATTCGTCTGCATGATGTAATGAGCATAGCACAATATTTGTATGTAGTCCAAGTGGTCAGATCGTACCGTAGCGAGATACGCAACAACATCAGCAGCAGCGAAGGCCGCCGTCAGCAAACCATTAGAGACAATCACTGTGAACAGACAAATGAGTAGTATCGAGATGAACCACACAGTGATGGCTCGTACGTTGCAGCATACGCGATATCAGCCCCTTCGTACGTGTGTACGCAGTGCGGTTTTTGCGCTACGTGCACTCAGAAGAAGATTTGATTTGATGGGCCTAGCCACGTACCAAGTACCATGTCAGTACGGTCGTGATGATCATATCGCACACGACGGCTCCCATGAGCCAGAGAATAACGACGACCTTGAGTAAAGGTCAACTGTAAGCCATCGTATGCTAGAATAAAGGAGATGTACCTTCAATCGCTGAAGCCCAGAGAATTGCGGTAATATTCCGACACCTATGGCTGTGCCTACGCCGGACACTACATATGACGCGAGTGAGAGAGACATGAGATTTCATCGGCGAATGCACATACGACCTCCAATGACAGAAGGAACCGCTACCGTCGCCACAAGCCACAATTGACCGGTGAGCTTGTAGATACGCCAGGCGTAGAACAGCTGGACTTGCATCGCGATGATTCCCTGGGAGAGAAGAATGTAGTATCGGAGTCCAAGCCTCGGAGTATGCGTGGCAGACGTACCGTTAAAGCTTGCTCTAAAACGTAGAAAGAAGTATATGGACATGATCTCGTCGGTTACTACCAAGATCACTCACCGGTCTCAAATACTATATCGTTGAGTTTATTCGAAGTCAGCTACCGTATAAATCCAGCGGACAAGAGTAGCACTCACGCCAATTTCCGATACCAAGCGCACTTGCATTACCTGAAGAACACGATCACAATGTTGTGAAACTGTGGTCGTCATGTTCCTTACCGAAATTGTTTATGAGGACACCGTAGATCCATGCCATGTTGAATACGGAATTCAACGTGTCCGCCACAAAGAGAACTGCTACCTGCGACGGATATGACAAAACGGTCGTATAATATAGTGATCCTACTGACGTAGATCTTCATCCAACGCGGATCCCTGGATTGAGCAGAATTAGTTACGGCAGCGGAGACATGATATGAATTCATTCTCGTACATGCTGTAGGTGGTGTAGTAATAGGCCGTCTGTGTGATCATTACACCATAAAGCCTTCATTTACGATCAGAATAGCCTGTGGAATGTGAGCTCAAGACATGGGGCACGCACATGATGTTGATAAAAATACCAATCAACGCAGGTCCCTCTCTAAAGTATTGTGCCCTCATGAGCACGCATATACGAATAGGACTGACGCACGTACGTGGGTTCTGCAATGGCTTCAGCTGCTGTCGGCATCGTTGCAGTTCTTCCAATGGATATGAACGTTAACGTGTACGTCCCCGAAGCGAGCGTTCGTATCGAGTTATAGCTGTATGTGTATCAGCCTATCCTAAACTTGTCAGGCGCGCAAGGCTGTGAATGCGTAGTCTAGACGATCCGGAAAAGTGGAGGGGGTATCATGGTTGCCTGAGACATACACAACAACGATCCACTCTCCTCGGCAGATGCGCGGCACAGCTCGTGTCATGCGTCTTCTGAGTAACAGGGAGTGTTGCAGAAGCAAGGGAGCAATCCTGTCAATAAATTGATGAGCAAATGATGTACGCTCCAAGATACACTGTTGCGGGGCGGCCGGAGGGATCATTGGCCAGTAAAAGTAAGGGATAACAAGGGCGTTATCATGAGCTCAGAAGTCAGATGCTCACGTATGACCGTGACACTGGCAGGAGCTGTAAACGCAGCCGTGAGCGATCGCGCTAGAGACAGTACCTCATACTCAGGCTCTCACCGTTGCTACTTGGGGCGTGTCACAAATGACAGTCAGCTTCCGCACATGTCAGAGCTAGGATGGCAAGTAGAAGATGGGGCATTGGGATCGTACACATCTGAAGGCTTCGCGAAGGACATTGGATGCTTCCACCTCGCTGGGCTCTCCGTCAGCTCGATGGTGTGTGAAGTCGCCGAACATAGATTGATCTATGCTGCCTCGAGGAGATGGAAGAAAATACCCTCCATGTAGCAATATCCTTTCCGATCCATCGGCGCGGGCCGGGCGGCTCAACGAAAACGGTGTCTACCATGCGATTGTGGCATCGTAACTGTTAGATGTCAAATGCATAGACATTCTCTATCAGACACTGGCTATGATAAGATTCATGCAGAGGAAGACCTTAAGATCATTCGCCGTACCACAGAAGGCCCGTCGCTGTGCGTTCCGGCGCGGTGGAGAACCCGTGGTGTGATCATTTTGACCGCAGAGAACGGCTGGAAACCTCGTAGATCATTGCACGATAACATTAACGGCGCGTCCTTCGGCATTTGATCTCAGACGTACAAAGTGCAAACTTTCTGTCAGTGTCCGCTGTCCAGAGCAAGTCCAGATTACAGGCCTCCTTGGTTCGAAAGTCGAACCATTAGCGCTGGACCTGTATGTACATATTTGTACTCGGAGCAAATTCGGACAGAAGCCCAAAAAGGTGCCTGCGTCAGTACTACTGTATCGTGACTGTACGGCCGCCGTCTAGCTCTCTATCTTCTCTGCTGAGGACGAGATCCATCCACCCAACATGATTGTCGGCAGAATTGCGACGAGCAGACAGGGTCTCTCCCACACACGCCATGCGGTTGATTCGCTGGTCCACTTCATGGACCCTGTACTCAGGCTGTCCATCGTACGCGTATAATGGAAGCCACCTCTGCTGCGCTAGTTCACGAGATCTGTCAGTTTCAGGGCTACAGTGTTACTGTAATCTTCGCAGAACTTAACTTTGTGTAAGCGCTATGCTTGTCAATGGTAAGTCAGACTCCGTGCTGTCCGGCATCAGGCAACAGTTATGCAGGCTCTCGAAGGTACCCCGGTAGACAAGGCGGGGCTCTCGTCAGGCTCGTACTGCTGTAGCTGCCAGTCGAAGCACACAATTGAGCTTCTCCGTCATTGCCGGCCACCTCCGATGGATCGAAAATAGCTGTCGACATCTTCATTTCACCAAGTCCTGGTCGCGCGCAGGAATGTGGTCATTGATACGGGTACAAACAAAGCCCAGAGCACTCAGATAAGAAGCGACGTTCACAGCACATATGGACAGCAGTCCCTACAGCTAACTCGCTACCACTGGTTGATTCAGTCTCAGACAAACAAGCATTTAGGATGATTGCTCAGATTCTCAATGTCGCCAACAAGTCCTTTGACTACGTGATTATTGGAGGAGGGGTGCGTATTTACTTGTGCTCTACTTATTGATGATCTCGACATAATTACGCAACAGACGGCCGGATTGACGGTCGCTTCGCGCCTCCTTGAACACTCAAACAAGCGGTCTGTGTTAGTGCTCGAGGCGGGAGAGCCCAACCTCGATGATCCGAAGGTTTTGCTAGGAGGTACTTTCGGCAGTACATTTGGTGATCCAAAGGTATCCATCCCTGCCTACGTCCTGTCTTTACCTTAACATAATTTTCAGTACGATTGGGGGTTTTCGACGACACCCCAGATATACTCAAACAACCGCACCATGGGTTGGAACCGCGGAAAGGGTCTCGGTGAGCTGTCGTGGCCTGCTTCACTGTCAAGTACCTCGAATAACATAGCGCTATGAAATCAGGTGGTAGCTCGTGCATGAACTTCTATGTGTGGTGCAAGCCGTCCGCCACGGACATCAATGCGATCGACGAGCTCGGTAACCCCGGTTGGAACTGGAAATCGTTTCAAGAGTGCACGACACGTATCGAACAGTAAAAGCCTCGTTCTCCGTTTGGTAGCTTCTCGTTGATGAGTTCCATCAGTTTCACAGAGGCATCCACGGATCAACTCGCAGAACTCGCGCATACCCACATCAATGCGTATCGCGGGAAGAGCGGCCCGATCAAGACTACCGTTCCCGGGACCGCCGCACCTCTCAACAAAGCGTTTCTGGACACACTTCAGAACATGGGCGTGCCGCTGCTCAAGGATCCATACGGTGGAAACGTATATATATTCGCTCCGCTTGCTCCCTGTGTGTTTTCTCAACCAACCCATCTCAGGTGACAGGATGCTGGCAGGCCTCTGCGAGCTTGGACCGCGATGCGCAGTGGACTCGTTCATATGCCGCAACTGCGCACTATCTTCCCAACAAGGACAGCCCCAATCTCGTGGTATACATCTCAGCAATGTTTCTAGCTGCTTGTGAGCTAACTTGACCCGTATCTCACCTCAGGTTCTCACCGAAGCCACTGTGGCCCGAATTCTCTTCGAGAATAAAGCAGGCTCCGACGGCAACCTAGTCGCTAACGGCGTCGAGTTCATCTACGGAGGTCAGGAATATCGGGTTGGCGTCAACAGAGAAGTTGTCTGCTCTGCTGGGTTGGTCACATCGTCGCGTCGTCACTGCAGATTCTAATCCCAACTAACCGAACTATCCAGGACGATTAAGTCTCCGCAAGTCCTGGAGCTCTCCGGCATAGGTCGACGAGAAGTGCTGGAGAAGATCGGCGTCCCCGTCAAGGTGGAGCTCTCAGGTGTCGGGGAAAACCTCACCGACCATACGTTCTGCGGTATGTCTCCTAGCCTTGGTTGCCCCCTTCCCGCTAGCAGGCTGATTGATATATGGATGTAGGTATCTCGTACGAGTTGGACCCATCGACTCCTCACAAGACGTTCGACATATTCCGCGACGTGAACTTGGCGAAAGAACAGGCTAGACTTCAGTATGGCTCACTTTTGCTCGCTTTGTGCCGTCATTGTTGATGACCGTAATCGCAGGGCTCTCGGGGAAGACAACATGCACCGCTACGGCATCAGCGCCTTCTCTTACCTTCCGATACAGACCATCAACCCGGCAGCATCTCAGGATATTGTCGCCGGTGCTGAACAGCTGATCGCGGAGCAGATCAAGAGCGGCAAACTTCCTCCAGGCCTCGCTGAACAGTACAAGATCCAGCTTCGTGTCCTCAAGGATCCAACTGAGCCCGACCTGGAGTTGATCGGTGTGAACGGCTACATGAGTCATCGCTGTATGCAGACATCCGTGCTTCGCGGTCACACTGTTACTGAATCATCATACAGCCATGCCCGGCGAGGGAAAGGCTCATGTACGATTCCCCGACGCACGACCATTGACGGGTTTTGACATAATCGTTCCAGATTACCATTCTAGCGGTGCTGCAACACCCCTTCTCACGGTGCGTTCCCTAGCACAGTGTAACAGCTTGACCTAACAAGCAGTTGTAGTGGAACCATTGTGCGTAGCGACCATAATTGACTCAGGATGAGCACGTCAATGACGGGTTCCGTAGCATTGCAAGACAGATAGCCCGACGGACCAACCTGACATTGACGCGCATATCTTTGAGAACCCGTACGGTGAGCAATATACACGATACATGGTCAGGTTCATCCACCTATGCCTAATTATCAAGATCTTGAGCTATTCAAGGAGAACGTGAAGTACGTCAGGCGCATGGCTCAGACGGAACCTCTCAAGTCGCTCCTTGTGCGCGAAGTGGACCCAGGTCCGGAGAACCAGACAGATGAGCAGATCAAGGGTGAAGGTCATACACAAATTGACTTATTCACGCTTACCAAATTGGCTTTCCTTCAGAGTACATCAAGAACTACAGTTACACCTGTTTCCACGCCTTGGGCAGCTGTAGCATGCTTCCGCGGGACAAAAACGGTGTCGTCGACTCGACTCTGAAGGTTAGCTTCCTGCCGCTCACTAAGAATTATCCACGCTCATGCACCATGCAAATCAGGTCTACGGAACGAAGAATGTTCGAGTCGCCGACTTGTCCGTCATCCCCATGGAGATTTCTGCCCATACGCAATCCGCCGCGTACTATGTCGGAGAAAAGAGTCGGTTCAGCCACCTCTTCATTATTCACGTACTGACAATGTTTTTGGGGTCTGCGCTAGTGGCCGAAATCTTGTTGAGCGCATACTAGCAACCATCCGTGCAGACGTGAGCTCTGACGAGTTCCGGCGCGGTTTTTTGGATACCGCATTCGATGGGGACAGAGTGGTTGGTCCATGTTGGCATGTGTGTTTGCTGGTCATCCGTGATGCTTAGCTTACTCTCCTCTTGCGGTCGAGCCTTGCAGTGCTGTCGTACACGTGTATATAACAATCAAGTTGACGTTGAATGCTCTTTACTCAAACGTGGGACAAAATGTTCTCGGGCTGCCGAGCCTTTTCTTCACGGCTCAGATCTCAGATCTCAGAGCTTAGACGCTACGCTCGGTTCATGCGTTTAGACCGGATCGGTACGATACGGGTACCTATTACTATCCACCGTCACGAGTCGACGACACCCCCTTTGATCACATTCAAAATTTGAGACGAGTGCTTTACACCTTCGACCTTGCGCTACTCGCCATTGCAATGGGACCCGCATATGTATTTTTGCTTTTATAACAACCGTGTTCACGCCCATCTGTTCAAGCGCCGTTGTCAAACGCGTATGCACGTCACGGTACCATGAGCCGGTGCCTAAGTACGGCAGAGCGGATGAGTATTGACGTTGAGTAACCAATGAGCAGAGGCAGGGCGGGATACGTCGGTAAGTTGCCACATGCCTATGGTTCGGTTGTTTCAGGCTGAACTCTATCGCGTGTACAAAGTAGGAGAGGACCGTGACTATCATGACCCCAACGACAACCCGGCTGAATAGTGTCTATCTGCATTGTTTCAAGGAACAGGCGCAATTTCTGCTGAGTACTCACAGACGACGCACGGCACGTCATGATCCTGAGGTCCAGCTGTCCAAGCGTAGTGTGATGCTGCAGGTACTATGTGCACGGTGGGGCTGACAACAGACGGAATAGCGGACAGATACTGGTCGTCGATGTTGTGTCGTATTAAGGATCACAGTGTAAGATTGTCAGTCAAAGACAATTTGAAAATAGAAGCAAGCGTACTAAGCACGTCCCCAATGTTCGTTGAGCCCCTCTCCGTTATTTCAGAAAGTATACGGGGATGCTGAGGAGCATAATGACTTATAATGCGATCTTGACAGTGGGTAGCGAGTGCGGAGAGGGTGTCGTTGGCGCATCGCGAGACGGTTGTTCAAGAAGGACAGACGCCCGCCCGCAACATAACGCAGCCAAGAGAGCGGGCATGCATCAAGGACGAGTGGCAAGTACTGTGTGTTGGGACACAGTAGAGGAGGACGCGAGAGATGGGTCCCAGACAGCGACAGGAAGGCGTGAGAGCGGAAAGTGGAGAAGCGTTCGACGTCGGGACTCGGCACGGACGAGCCGCGGCACGGAGGCGCCCACAAAGTCGCAGACGGGCTGTGGCTTCAAGTTGTAGACCACTCTGCGCACGTCCGTCGTCGACTGCAACACACGATTGCCACACAATATTGCAAACTGGCAATGAATTCGTCCGGGTCGGTGACTATGACTTGCGGTCACCGATACCGTCAGACCCTGATAGTGGCTTACTTCCAGGGCGAACACTGGCAGGCAGACCTGTCACAGTCGTCGTCAGTCTCGACTCCCGGCTTGCCAGTCTGGTTTGTACAGTACTGCCACCAAGTAGCCTCCGACCCACGCATCTTCCCTCGCTGCTGCTTCTCGTCGACTGAAAGCCTGGCGGCCAGTGTCGATACGGGCTTGCACAGACCGGGTAGTTCATAGACACTATTATAGCAATGTCGACAACCGACATCATTGTCCTCGGTGCTACCGGTGCGCCTGCGGCATATTATCCTCAGTGCTCACACGCTAATACTGCTGGTACGGCAGGTTTCACCGGTCGCTTGATCACCGACTACCTCGCGCACCATCCCCAACGCGCGTCTTTCACTTTCGGTGTTGCGGGACGTTCTCAAGCCAAGCTTGAGGCACTGAAGAAGAGTCTGGATTTGAACGACACTATAAAGGTTGTCCAACTGGATGTAACCAACGGAGCGCAGGTGGAGGAGGCGGTCAAGAGTGCGCAGGTGGTCATAAACGCGGTGGGGCCGTCCATTTACTGGGGTGAGCCCGTCTTGAGGTGAGCGTGATCATTGATAATCGCCGTGTGGTGGATACTGGCAGGCGAGAAAAGGGCCGGGCGCTTGAGGATAGATCGCTGACGCGACTGGTGGTTCTACAGGGCGTGCTTAAAGCATCGAAGACAATACGTTGACCTATGTGGAGAGACGCCGTGGATTCGTGAGATGATCCTCAAGTAAGTGTTCCCCCTGAACGGAGTACATTTGCTGGGACCTCGGTCGGAGAGATGGTAACGCGGAGATGCTCCGCTGAAGCGACGGTCTTGTTCACATTGAACTGCACGAGAAAGCCTCTAGATAAATATGGGCGTCTCAAAATGCGGACGCGCAGGGCGTCACTGTTCAAACGTTCAAAGTGCCCGTTGACATGACCGGATCCGGGCTGGGGGCTCCAACGTCGTGAAGACATCCCAAATTGGGGTCCCAGCGAAAGTATGTCTCAGTGGCTTGAGCTCATCCACGACCCTCGCGCAGGTACGACTATGTCGCCACCAAAGCCGGCGTGCTCCTCGTCCCTTCCTGTGGGTTCGACTCAGTGCCCGCGGACCTCGTCGTCCACCTCGCCAGCAAAACCCTCAAGGCCGCCTTAGGTCCACGCGCATCCCTTGGACCGTCGCTTACGGTCTACCGCGCGAACGGCGGATTCTCCGGTGGTACCCTAGCTTCCTTGATGGCGATCGCAGAGAACGTGCCGATCGAGAAGCTGCAAGAGGTGCAGGCCGACTATGCTCTCGGACCCGGTGCGCCTGCTTTTCCTCCCGTGCCGCAATGAACGAGCTGACACCGGGCTGGTGCCGGGCGCAGCGGTCGGGAAGTCGGGCGTGAAGGACAGGTTGTGGTACGAGGTGCCGTTCGCAGTGCCCAACCGCTTTGCGATGTACTTCTTCATGGCTCCGAGCAACCGTGCGATCGTGCAGCGTTCCTGGGGACTGAATGTCACCGCTGCCGCGGCGAAGGCGTCGAAGGTCTCGTCAGCCGCAGAAGAGGACGAGCTCGCGCGGTCCCTATACGGCGAGGAGTTCACGTACGACGAGTGTCTGGAGCAGTGGCCTGCGCGGGGTGTGCTGGGCTGGTTGAGCGTCACAAGCGCGAGCTTAGCATCCGCAATACTATTGGTGCTGGTAGTGTTGGCTCCTCCGGTAGGGTGTCACCAGCTTGGATCAGTAATACCTCGCAGCCGGCTCACAGTCCTCTGCAGGCAAGGTGGTTCTTCAAGCGTTTGGCGACCCCGCCGGGGCAGGGCCCATCAGAATAGTGCGTCGTTCTTTGCGCATATTGATTGTCATTGCTGAAGCCGCATGTCCGCAGGAAAATGAAGATAGGCTTCTTCGAGATTACAAACCACTCCCGGTCGGTGCGTGCACCAGGAGTCCCAGAGGTGTGCATCAGGACCGTTATGCATGGGCAGGGTGACCCTGGCTACCGCCTTTCCGCCCGTCAGTCGCACATGTCTGTCAGGCCATGGGCCCGCACGCTAACCGGTACGCAAGGGATGATCTCGGAGTCTGCGCTTGCGATCGTTCTGGAGAAGGACAAGCTGCCGCGGATGGCACAGGAGGGCGGGATCCTTACCCCTGCGACGGCGTTCGGCGATGTGCTGATCAGGAGACTGGAGGCGTGCGGGTCGTTCTCGTTCGAGAGCCATGTGATCACGCCTGAGGAATCTTGCACGCTTGGGGAGGAAGAGAGGAAGCAACACTGAGGCTGGCAGAGTAGTAAACGAGTCTCCTGTAGTGAGGCCCTACACACGACCTCGTTGAGTGGAGGAGGGCAGTCGTGTATGGAGAGTACGGTGGGCATCATCCTTGGCCTCTAGGAATTGCGATTAAACTTGTGAAACACATGTGGTACTTTGTCACCGTATGGATGTCCCTCCCTATAAGTGACCTAGCGTCGTCGCTGTTTTCACTCAATCCCTGCCGCGTCTAAGTTATTCGCGGCAAGAAGGATCGCGACCAGCAAGAGCTGTTCAAAGCAACGTCTTTCTGCATCATGAGCCTTACTAGAACATACTACCATTTCTCGCCGGTGGAAGAGTTCGCATGTGGGATGTCTTTCATGCAATGGACCACGGCCCGACGCCCAATATTCATGACAACCAGGTTTCGAATCCAATTTTGAATGCTATGAGTTTACCGGTGCCTGTTGCCAAAGAGCAACACGTTTACTTCGCAACGATGTACAATGTCTGTCGGGTTATCTCCTCTACGAATGCCTGCACGGTAGTTTTGTCCCAGTTGTCCGGCGTTTTGGCTCGCTTATAAGGGCCTTGAAAGGGCAACAAGAAGAGGCTCACTGCTGTCTGGCCGCAGTGGATAAATAAATTGGAGTGGAATGACGGCGTGTGTGTAAACCTGATGTATCGCGCGCGCGTACGGATTCGAAGAAACCGCAATGTCGTGCGGTGGAACAAGTGTTACGACGGCGGCGGTCGCGTGTGGAAGGTGAGCGTTCGCGAGGTAGTCGTCGAATTGGTCTTTCACTTGCCGAAGAGCAACGAGCAGGCGTTCTCGAGGATCTTCACATGCAAGGACTTCTTTGACACGAAGAGTAACAGGCACTTATGACAATGCCGACGTGAACGAGTTCTTCGAGTTGTATGGAGGCAGTTGAAACCTCTGCAAGCCAATGGCACAGCGCCGAGAAGAGCTGACAGAGCATCGAATACAACGTGGGTACCGCCCTGGCCCAATCGTTCTGGGCGGAAGTCGCGAAAGTTACCAGTGTGCTGGGCACTGTAGGTTCGATCTCTTTTGGAAGAGCGAAGGTGGTGTCCCGCATTGCCTACAGGGTAAGCGCGTTCCTCAGTCGATCAACGATACATTTCAACACGTTCCACTGGCAGGGGGGCAAGTAGTACATTGGTCAAATAGAATATGGGACCATTCCAGCTCGCCGGACGGTACATGCATACGCACAAACTATCTGCTTTGCGTGACCATACAATTGAGCATGCGCTTGTCAACTTTGCCGTTACTGAAGGACACAGGTGAGCGTGCCCCCATCGCGGTATGGCAAGGGACTCAGACTCACCTGGTCAACGGCATGCTTGCGAGCGGAAAAAAATGCTGCGGAATGGCGTAGCATGGTTGGATGCTAGCAGTCGCCTCTCGGACATCCTCTTTGAGGATTGTCTCAGGTGTGTAGAACCCGTAGATCTCTTGTCGGATGAGCAATGCACACGCCGACAATACGCCTGGACACGAGCGCATCGCTGCCGAAACACCGTCCAACTCCACCCGGAATCCCTGTTACGGTGCGCCGTCTGGCGGTTAGCACGCACTGAGAATATGTACCCCCTGATAGGAACGTGGACGGACCTTGACCTTCACTTGATCATCTACACGTCCGAGATGCTCCAAACTCCCGTCTTCTTGCAGTCGGCCAAGATCTCCTGTGTTGTACATACTTGCGCTGCGTGCCGGCGAAGCATTAGATTGATATGTCGGGCACATGCAAGAATACGACTCACCTTTCTTTACGGAACGGATCGGACCTAAATTTTGCTGCGTTCAGTGCGGGTCGATTGAGGTATCCTCGGCACACTCCAAGCCCACCCGCCCACATGATTCCCGTGTCACCGCGCCGCACGGGCTGTAGTTGTTCGTCCAGAACGTACACCGCGTTGTTGGGCGTCGGCCGTCCTATTGTCAGCGGTGCGCCATGCACGTGGCGGTGCATAGTATTCACAATCGTGACCTAGCAATGTTGACCACGCACTCAGTCTCAATGTCCCGAAGATAAGCAAGATGTTGCGGGTATCTACCTCGGTGGGGCCGCAGCAGTTGTAGTAGACCGCCGTCTTCGACCACTCGTCGGCCAACTGTTGGGTACTCGGTTCCCCTGCGGTTGCCACGACTCGAATGTTCGGATAGTCCTCTGCCCTGTGCTCGCTGAGAATTGAAGGTGTGCTGATCAGAACTTCGACGCTACGCATGACTTTGATCCAGTCTGGACGGTGAGGGCCACGCAAGTACAATGTTCCGCCGTTGACAAGACATCCGAGCACCTCCCAGGCACACATGTCGAACGCAACATTTAAAAGCTGCCCGACGCGCGTTCCAGCTGATATGCCTAGATTGCCGGGGTGCGAGCACAGCACTGCCGTCGCAGTGAGACACATTTCGGCGCGGTCTCAATAACGCAAGAATAGAACGTACAATTGACGACGTTCCTGTGAGTCACCATAACACCCTTCGGCACCCCAGTCGTTCCTTGAACGTGTATGAGATACAGTGGCGATCGCGAGGCGAAGAATAAACGTACCAGATGTGTATATAACATAGGCGAGGTCACTTGACTGGGCATCGTCCCGAGGAGCTGCCCCTGGCGTTGGACTTGTCTGGCGACACTCGGTCACAGCTGTTTCCAAGCAAGTCGCATGTGGCAGCCGGGAGATGCGCTCTTTGAAGCATTCGGAGAAGAGTATATGGGATGGCTGTGCGTCAGCCACCACTGCGTCGAGTGCGTGGTCAGTGATTGTGGCGCCGTCTAGAGGAACGTAGGCGGCGCCCGCCCGAAGAACAGCTACGATCGCCACAACTTGTACGATAGAACGTTCGACTAGAAGGCAGACGAGGCTCCCCTTGCCTATGCCTTGTGCTTGCAGAGTCGTCGCTAGTGTACACGAGAGTAGATCGAGCTCGCCATAGGACATTTCCTGCCCAGCGTAGTCGACAACAGCGCTGCATTCCGGGTGGCGTCGAGCATGAGTGAGAATGGCATGATGGAGGCATTCGTGAGCGAGAGGAAATTGAGGTGTGGTGAGGACACTGTATTCGGTGAATGGGCGTCGGGAGTATAGACAAGTCGACACTGTGTGCAAGATGTTGGTAGTTGTATCCTTCCAGGAGATCTTGGCCTTCATCGCATATGAAATCATGACCAGGACAGCCCATATGGCGGATAATACGCCCAAACCGACCCGTTCTCCGAGAGCGTGGACGGCGAACATTGCGTATTACGAGAAGGGAGAGTGCATACGTATGTATGGTCACTGTGAAGCCTGATCTCGGAGGGGCGTCAGGTAGGTTATGGCCGCCATTGTCGCGAGGTGCGGCGGAAGCAAGTTACTTATCTTCAGTGAGCACACATAGCACCGGAGGACTGTGCCCATCTGGCCGGGGCCCGCTCGGATCTGGACAAGTAGGTTTGACGGGCCACGGTGAGCCTAAGTGGAACACATTGAGCCTACACATCCTCAGATCAGACACGGCTGGGACTCGGAAGCGGCGTATTTTCAAGTTGCATCTGGTGGTGCATGTGATGGAACTCAAAAGTCAAGAAGAGTCAAGAGGTCGAACCGAGGATCACGATGCTTTGTCAGCGTCGGATTTAATTGCACGTCCTCAGTCCATACTTGGCTCTAAAAAGCGACATGACGCCGTCGAGCACACGGTTGTTCCATGAAGCAGCGCGTGCTAGTGCCGACTCGGCTGTAAGAGTAGTATCATTGCTGTCATATGGAAGCATAGGCTCACTGCGAGGCAAGTGACTGCTGTGATCAATGTTCGTGGAAGTAAGTAGTGAATATCATGATGATCGATTTCCAGATTTCGAGGAGAGTGACCACCGTTGAGGTACTGAGGCCTGAAGCTTGAAGGCCTGACATCCCAGCTCATCCTAGTCCTCAACGCGCCAAAATCAAGCCTACAGTGTGAACCTGCCGATGACTATATACCGGTATGGCGTGCCATCCTGAGTCAGGCACCATCTATCATAGGGTGTTGTGTACGTTGATCTATTGCGATCTCACTGTCAGCGCTGTATGTAGGATCCGAGTACACACCGACCAGGATTGTGACTGCGTAGACAGATTCTCAGGCTGAGCATGCGCAGTTCTGGCGCTGTAGATGCGAATCATGTCCATGCATAAGTAGTTCGGTCTGTTGCGGTATGCAATGCCAGAGCTCGTTGGCCCTCGACCTCCTGCGACGTCGCATCGCTTATTCAAATGCGTCCGAAACGTCCCGTATGACCGTACTGCGGTATTATTATCGACTTGCGACGGAGCAATTCCTGCTTCGGTATGTTTAGAGACTTAATTCGGACAATAATGTAGCAACCGCACGTCGATCTCAAAGCTCTCATGCTACGGAACATTGGTGCCTTTGCGAGAGAAGCTAATAACATTGATCGATGCCAGTAATATTAAACATCTGCGAAGAGATAAACTGCATGGTTTCAGGAGGAGAGCGATGCCATTCAACATCATCCAGAGTTTCAGAAGTCGGAAAGCTCAATATCTGCATCTGATATGGCCTCCGAGTTGACTGCGCTATTCCCTCGAAATTGGATGGATGCTGTGTCATGGGTGGGTAGACCGACAGCCATATTCGTAGACTGATCACCAGCGTACGTTCCTAGTAGGACTCGGTTCGAAGGGTCAACGGCATCGTGCATGTTGAGCTACGCACAATATGAGCCCGATGTACTATTAATCAAGCACACGGAGTTTGGGGATAGACTCACAAGCAATCTTGAACCCAATACGGAGAAAGCCATCATCGCCAATCTGAAAGTCCGTGAGAGTGAGGCCACTGGCATCATGGGAGGTGTTCTACGTTCGACTCACGGGAAGAAAGCTGCGAAAAGTCCGGCCTGTAAGAAAAGGCGTTAGAGTAGGTAGATGACTCGAGTGGCTGATAAACATACACCGCCCACATTCCAGCCAACCACGTTTGCAACAATGGTCAACACAACGCCACCGAAGTATACCACCGAGTCTCGCAACAGGACATATATAATCTTAGGACGCCTGTCCTCGATCACCAGCTGAGCCGATCTGAAGAGCGAAAGGCATAATAGTAGAGTTTCGAATGTCAGCATCGGCAACCAGAAGGTCCATGCCCAAGGTTTGATGCCCGATGGGAGGCAGCCCGTGAGGTCTTGTAAGGGACCTGGTAAAGATACGACTACAACAGGTATTCAGAACAGTTTCGTCATGGCATATGAGCGAATACTCTGACTTACATACAGCGTCACGGGCGACCATACTTATGATGGTAGTTTCGCTGGTGAGAACCCCTACGTAGTACACACATAGAAAAATGAGGATTCTCCGATTGCATCCGTACAAAGCGTACAGGCGCATGATGTAGACCGCTGAACATCGTTCATTAGTGTGTTCTCGGTTCACATCGACTTCACGCACTGCATATGGCTACCTCGAATGGCATTGAACCATAGACCAAGAAGTTCAACCAACGGTTGCAGCTGGTGTGCGTTCAGCCATGTACATTACAACAGTCCAATGGCATTGGGCGACCTACAACTATTCTGTGTGTCATGCGTATATTCATATGCGTGCATCAATGAGTTTCGTACCTTTGTGTCTGAGTTGTGTGCGACAGCAAGGACTAGCGAATGGTCAGTCTACGTTTTCCTCTCCAGATACGAACGCACCGATGTTATCGAATCTGCGAAGATATGAGTACGGTGTCTGGATGGACGATTGAAGGGAATGGACACACGTGAGGTTGAATATACTATGCGGGCGCAACGATCGGTTTTCAGGGCAGCACAGCAAGAGCGATCATGCACTTACCACCAATATCGGTTCTAATAAATGGGAGTGTCTCAGTGACAATCAGAGATGTGCGACGTTGCATACACTAGACTCACCCAATAAAACAGAATCTTCGTCCAGGCGAATTTCCCTTGCCAGATGTATCTGACCTGCTCGTATACGGTCATGAGGTAAGCTTATGAATCCTACGACTCGCTTCCATACCTCATCTGCAAATGTCAACACTGAAACAGACACAAATCAACACCACGACGGCATAAGACAAGCATGCACCACACACTCCAGTCATACAGTAGAATCGTAAGCGAGAGCGCTGCGGACTGCCTCAGCAATTGAAAACGTCCCTGATTCGACAAAGAAATGCTCACACCACATCAAACGCGTGAACCGATAGTCTTCCATGAAGCTCTTCAACAAGGCTTCTTCGGCATTCAAGAAAGTAATCAACGGCGAATCAGTCGCGTTGGACGAACTGGCCATGGTCAGAGGATTCAGGCAGCGGTGAGGGACGAGCGCATACTACGGCCAGGTTTTTAGGTCAAGGCACTCCGTGAATCATGATGATCAAGGTAGGCTACAGGTGACAACAGGTGTACACCAGGTTAGCTCTGCGCCTCCTGTAAATTTCGAAGGAGAAGCTATACAGCTTCGTGGCCTATCCAGCCGATAGGGACAGCGAGCCCCATGTCGAAATTTGGGGCCACGTCATGCCAGTCGCCGAACTGCCAGTGCGAGGCGATCCAGCTGAACAGTTCATGAGCTGGCGAAGCTGTCAAATAAGTACACAAGACTTACCTCGAACGGCAACCACGCGCACAGTTCCGTCCGGGTTGGCTTCGAAGGGTAGACTACGACACAGATCTGGTGTATGATGATGCCATTGTTCCGGCAAACTTGGGGGAGATATGATGCAGCAGTCGAGTGAATAGTCCGCTGACATGATGATTTGAGTTCATTCGATTTGAGTTCACGTTGAATGCATATCTTGCAAATTGGCACTGCCCCTCGGATAGCAGCTGACGAGGAGCGCTGTTGAGAACTTTAAAGGAACACCGGTGTTCATTACTTTATCGTGAACCATCATCGAACCGGTCTGCACAGGTAGCAGGGCTTTCAGAGGCTATGTACGCATCATGCTTTAGTAACATCCAGCCCACATCGTTGGGCCCCACTAAAAAGAGCGTTTGGGAGGGAAAGGAGGAGGAAGAGGAAGAGGAGGATGGGGCCACCGCAACCGAGGCTCAGCGCTCAGCGCTCAGCCTCAGCCTAGTCAATAGTGCCCGTCCGAGCCCGCCGCGCCCGGAGGAGGCCTGCGCGGCGCGAAGCCCAACAATACAGACTTGCTTACCTGGAAAGCTTCTTGGACCACATGTACGTATATCATCCCAATGAAATGATGACACGATTATCTTGACTCCAGGATAAGGTCGTGGTGATCCACGAGGCACGAGGAAGCCGTACACGCCTGAGCGGTCTAATTGGAAGAGTTCCTGATTGATATCCTTGTTTGAGCACGGAACTCTGAACCTCACCAATACAGACCGAATACGGACACGACAAAACCACAATTCGCCGCCGAAGCATCGCATGTACATCACACATAACACGGAGCTCTTCCATCCCAGCACCAGCCAGCATTCCGTTATCGTACCATACGCCATCTCCTCCGATCTGTTCTGGGTATGAGACGTGCTTCGAAAGCCTGGAGGACGTCTATTGCCGCTTACCATTCTACCCTGTCTTCGGTCGCCGAGCTTCGAATAGAGCTACGACCCCCACGAGCTTCACCTCAACATCTTCGAACCGACCCTCCAGAGCATTCTTGAGGTCATCGAGGGCGTCGTCGGCATTCCCGAATATGCCTTTCTTGTTGTAAAGACCCATCAAACGCCTGCCCAGCCAGTTGTGCGCCACCCCTGGGCCTCGTCCCAGTATGGTCGCGCCATACAACACTCCATCAGGCCGGAGTGCCACTCCCAAAGTAGCGAAAACCTTCGGCCCTTTGTCGACCATGCTTCCCGGAAGGCAGTGAAGCAGGTAGAACAAGGAAACGGAGTCGAACTTTCCGTGAAGATGGTCGGGAAGGGGATGGAAGACGTTGTGGTGGATTTCATCGATGGTCCCCCTGTATCCCGCCTGACGCAGACGAGAGGACGCCGTGCTCAACGTCGCCTCATTGAGGTCGAGTAACGTGACGTTCTCTGTCTTGGCCAAGTTGTGCGCGGACTTCGCAGTATAATACCCCGTACCGACACCGACGTCTAGATGGGCCCTCTCGCCCAAGTCCTTGTGGAAAAACGGGACGAGAGTCGAGCTCGTAGGGCATCGCCATGCCCATTTGTTGGAGATAACAAGGACCACAAGGTCGTACAGTCGCAGATTGAAGCGGGAATAGACACGTGCTGAGGGATCCATGGGTCGAAGGCGCGGGAGATGGTGAAGACTGGAGTAAGAGCTGCGAGTGCTCTGGACGCACGATACCGGACAGTAGGTTCCGTGGGAGGGTTTCTTATGGGCCTGCGAGTAGCAGGCGGAGAATGCGCGGTTGTCATGATTCTCGGGGGGAAGGACATGGGTTCGAAGAAGCTTTCAAGTCTCCGCATCCGGTGTGCGATGATCTGTCAAGCAGCGGTGGCAAATGATAAGATTCGGGTATCGTGGGCACTCGCTGCATGTACTTAGCAAATGAGTGGACAGACCTCGTATCACCCCAAATCCACAATTACTCGGTTGCCGACGATGCAATCCTTGCGCTTGAGGCCTTGAGGCCTGCCAAAGGCCTGACTCATCCCAGTCGTCGATGCGCCAAAATCAAGCCTGCAGTGCGAACCTGCCACCGCACCGGTATGGCGTGTCATCCTGAGTCAGGCACCATCTATCATAGGGTGTTGTGTACGTTGATCTATAGCGAGTTCACTGTCAGCGTTGTATGTAGGATCCGAGTACATACCGACCAGGACTGTGACTGCGTAGACAGACTCTGAGCGCTGAGTGTTACTGTCGCTGAGCGCGGTCACACACAGTGACATTGACGTAGTGTGACGCGTTTGCGGCAGTCGCCGGCAACGCGTGCGTCTCCTAATACACAACCACCACCACCACCACCACCACCTCCTCCTCCTCCTCCTTCCTCTAGTGCACTACCTCTGCCTCTCGTACATTGCAGATTGCCATGTCGTCAACGTGTCAAAATACCGGAGTCGAGAATGTCGGAACTTAGTGGGATGCGAGAGCCAGGCCTCAGTGTAAGTAAACTGCTCTAGTATCGTGTTAACAATTCTGCAGCATACAAAAGACTGACCCTCAAGTGATAGTATATGCATTGTACAACAAACGAAAACGACCCGCACCTCAGGCGTCAGCCTCGATGCTTGACGTGAAATGCCATCCCGGTAACATGCGACGCGTATGACTTGTCGTAGCTCTCAATGGGACTCCTCTACCCTTCATTTCGAAGTCTGCGCTGTACCATCGTGGCTACCTTGTCTAATTACCTTTAAACAACCGTCGATATCCATCATCTACTGGTCAGCGACGATCGCGAAGCTAATCAGCCCAAGGTTACCGCGAGCGCCGCCCAGCAGTAGCATCGGGCATCAATGGCTTTGTGAGTACCACTCGGGTGTAGTCTAATCTGACTGACCCATACTCCTCAGCCTGATTCGTATTACGAACGTGTAAAGGCTGCTGCACTTTGAACCAGGTTCGTGACGCATCAATCTGCATACTCGAACCTTGCATCGTCGTCGTCATCATCATCTACGCCAGGGTCGTCGCTAATTTTCGCGCTCTTTGTCGTCTATGCACTGGTGCATAGAATGCGACAGGCTAAACATATTGCATTCGTTACTCTCTCTTTTCAACCAAAACCCACGACCCAGTTTCTTGCCAGTCCTCATTGGGCTCCGCGATGCTCTTCATCTCTACGACATACACTCGAAGAGGTAGAGTAGCGGGTCTGGCGCACCAGCGCACATCCCTAGGTGCATGCGCACCCGAGGCGCGAACACGCCACGACGGCACTGAAGTAGTATGAGGTCGTTGAGGTGCTCATCGCATCGACCTCCGGGAAATCGCTGGACCGTCGTTTGGGCCACGTCATGACACCAGCACTGCAAGGCGACGCGTTTTTACACGTGATCGTGCTTCATACGTGTTTACCGAATACACCTCGTTCCTCGTTCACCGGCACCAGTTCAACACGAGCAGTTCACTCTCGTAGCCTCGAGCCTATGCCAAAATTTGTCGCCTCATTCAACCGCGTGTACTTCCATAGATCGTCAAAGACCGGGAATTTGTCGGGTGCCAGCTGGCTGGTTGTACTACGCGGTGGTACATACGGTGCTTTGAACGACGTGCGCTGGCATGAGAAGTCTTCATCGGACATCCTCAAGCGCTCGACCATCCGCGTTATCCCCAGCACTTGGTACGCGCCGAAGACGGATCAAGCTAGTAGTTGTCCTGCATTCGCACGGCAACCCCGCAGAGGTACCGCGAGCCGTTGGCCTTCGTGCTAGGGCTCAGGCCCTCTCCAATCCGAGGCACAATGCCGCAGCTAGTGGACACCCGGAGGGGTTCGACCGCGTGATTATACCCAGAGCATAGGTGCGGAGCAGTTCGTGCGTTCTTTTGCACGAGCTCAACGCTCAGTGAATGCATCTTTCAGTTGCTGCAGCCTTTGCTCTCGAGAAAACTTCATCTATACCCGGTGTACTGTCATGTAATGGAACGTCGCGTTCGCTTTGCGTACAGCTCGTGAAGTTGGCCGTCGCAGCCGGAGTGTCCATCATCGGCGAGTACTCGCCTGGCGTCTATGGTTCGTCTAGGGAGAACAATACCGGGCTGTTGCACCTGCTTCTGCATCGGGACTGCGAGTAAGCCTCTGGTATATGTATTCGAGTCCGTACTGATCCATACTAATGCGCAGTCTCGTCACTTGGTGCGACTTCACATCTGGCTCCACCCCACACCGAGTATGAGCAGGCGGTTCGATGGGCATACACCAAGTATATCACACCCCTCGTAAAGAACATCTATACAACCGCGCTTGTTGCAGGGCGGGTATGGTTCGTCCTAATCGTTCCAGCACCCGAATTGAACTCGCCGTTGTGTCTAGGTTGTGTCTAGGTATGTGCACTGTCAGCGTCGCATGGCGATTGCCAAATATCGTCCATATTCGCGTCTGATTCTGTTCCTTCCTCGCCATCGCGAGGATCTACGAACTCTCCTTATGGTGCATTCTTCTCAACGCTGTAACTTCTAGTGACAAATCATGCTGGATCCTGTTCAACGCGATGCCCCAATTGATGGTAGGCCCACAAGTACTGTCATCGCCATTGCTCGCACTCACGTATTCCGACATAGGGGATTATCCCCACCCTAGTGGCCAAGATTGGTTTCACCCGGAAAGATGACCACTGCTCAACGCAAACGAGACATACTTACAGCATAGCATTTACACTCAGCTACCTTGGAGAGGATCTGGCCAGACCCACTGTGATTGCCTGTTCCGTTACAGCACTCTATTCACCCCCATCTGCAGCTTGAAGAGATGATGTTCAGCGAAGAGAGCACGCACGTACCGATGAAATAGTGCATAATGCCAAGCCCCCCTGACATACTAGTCGGTACGAACTTCTGTCATGGTGTTTGCAATAATTTGGAAAACCGTAGCGATTCTTTCCCTCTACACCAAGACAGCGCGTACCCCCAAAAGATTATCTGACAGAAGCTCCTAAATTGAGTCCCTACTCTTTGTTGTCGGGCTTTTGAGCGGAGAAGATGTAGAACCTAATCTCTGCTCCCACCGTCTCATTCCACTCGTTCTCAACGCTGTCGAGAAGCTCATCAAACTCAGCTTCCGACCCAACAACACCCAGTCCTCCTGCATTCAGAATAGGCGTCTTCATGCCCCTGAACACTCCCATGAAATTGTCCCGCGCGGCGACGCCAACATCGCCAGCCCAGCTTCCCAGAGGTATGGTTCTTTCCTCGACACAAATATTGACGAAGCCCAAATCGCGCAGCATGTCGGGAATGTAGCGCGCGCAATCTAGCACGAGGCTCTTGGCTTTGAACAAATCCTGGACCAGGAGTATATGCTTCTCGGTCGTGGGCCCCGCCTTCCAGGACCCCACTTCGTCGAGCTGCACCCAGCCGCCCGGAGCAAGCGTGCGCATCATCTCCTTGATAGCGATCGTCCACTCTTCAGCGCGGAGTGCTGCGACGAGGAGACGCTGGTGGATGAGTTTGAACATATCTGACCATTCGGGGGGGAGCTTCGTGATTGTAGCGACCATAAACTCGACGTTCCCGCGCGAGACGACCTCCTTGACCTCAGTAGGGAAAAGGCGGGCTTCGATGTCGATTGCATGAACGACCGTAGACGTTGGAACGATGCTGAGAATGTCCACAAGCCATGTACCTGGGAACCATTCTGAGTGAGAACCATCCGCTTGGTTAACGTGCTTCGCCGAACTCACCGGAACCGGTACCACTATCCAGGATGCAGTCTTCCGCACATATCGCGACAGGGCAGATAATTAGGCGGTCTTCGAAAGCCCCCTTGAGCAGTTTGTGTTGCAGTGCGAGCCTGACACCGGTGTGAGCTTCCTACACGATAGAATACCTAGCACGTACCGGTCTCTCTCGGTTGGATCCGATGGCAGGACATAGTTAGCCCCAGGGAAGGACTGGTGGGCCCTCTGAGCATGCTCTATGGGCTTAGCATTGGCAATAAATGTGTTGCCGTCTGTACCAGTGGGGGACTCCTTTTCGGCCACGGTCGACATGGCGGGGCGGGTGAGTGTTGCTGCTCGTCGCTCATTGCTCAATCATGCTTTATACCCCTGCTAAAACATGTCTCCGTATACTATCAACCAACAAGTACTGGGACATGCGAACCGACCTCCCCGGCCGATGACTAAATGGACCCACCCTCCTCCTTCTCCTCCCGACTAGTCCTTGGGGTCCCTATCAGAAGGGTGAAACGAATACAGTGCCTCATCCTACCTCCCCACTCAAAAAGGTCTTCTTTTTCGTCTGCCTAGGGGACTAGATGTCGCTCCCATTTGCGCGTTACGTTCACGGACGATCTTTCGCTTAGCCGCTTCGCGTATGGGCTCAGGTATCCCAATGACTTCTGCCTCCAAGAAGGAATTCACATCTCGCAAGAAGCCAGAGAAAACCATCTCTGTACTAAGTACGACGTACATGAGACTGATGAGCGGACCACCGTAATTAATTGCAACAGAGTGCCGTCAAGCAGTACTTGGAACAAAACAGGCAGCAGCAGCAGCAGCATGAACTTAGCTTGGCCGCCGCATAAGGTGCGCCCTTGTTGCCCATCCTAGAATCCAAATTGACAGGACAGTCCGTCTTTCACGGTGTGCATGAACCTTCGTGTTTCGAGCCGCTCGGGTGCTACAATGACAAACAGAGTCTACAAATGGCTGTGCCGCTGGCAAGTCCGGTATAAATCATGATCATGCCACCACAACCGTTGTAGCTCGGAAGTCGAAGAGCAAGCCTTGCACTAGTAGTATAAGTAGTAGCACGGCAGCAGACGTCCTTAGTACTGTAGACCTATGCTTGTCATCCTCGATGTAAGCTGGCCGCTTACCCCAGACCCAGATTACTCCCAAAACTCTATGTTCAGAGGAGCCAGACACGGCTAGCGGCCATTCTTAGTAAGTGATGAGCACGTCATTGCGGCCAGGCTCACTGCCACTTGGCTCGGATGACTTCACAGGAGCGTGCTACTGCTGCATAATTCATTGAGCTACTGAGGATACATTCGAAAAACGGTGACCGACGTCCATCAGGTACATAACATCTATAGTTTATCAACAAGTTTAATGGGCCAGTAGCAATATTTGGGTGGGGACGAGAGGCTGTCGAGGAGATAGCTGATCATGACTTGCGCCGCCGAACCAGTAGAATGGACGCTGTGACAGTAGCGCCAGCCAGCCCAGTCACCTATGGTAGTGCAAACGCGTCAACATCCGCACGAACGCGAGCAGGTTCGGACAGACTTCGACTAACCGCTGCAAAGACGACGCCCTTCCACCAAACGTAGTCATGTCCGATTAGAGCGCCTCCGATGGGCGTGCCGATCAGACTTGCAATGCCGGCGGGGAACAAGGCGATGCCCATGCGTTTTCTGTGAAAGAGGGCGGTCATGACCGCGGAAGCGTGAATGGGACGAGCGGACCCACCCTACGTTGGCACCTTCGGTGCTGATGGATGCCACGACAGGGAGATACAGCGACACCACTGTGGCGAATGGTCAGACGGCAGGCGCACGAATGGAAGCCGCAAGAGCGCGTCACCTGCTCCCGAAAAAAAGCCATAGCTACGATGCCTGCAATGAACGTCGGAAGAAGTCCAGAAGATAGGTGCGCTTACAAGATCGTGAACAGCACGAGCCCATATGGCGTCGAGCACCCGAGGAGTGCGAACTGCAGACCAGCTAACCCGTCGCATCGCTTGTCAGCAACACATGTGTAGCACACTGGCATAGCGTGACGCACAGTTGATTAGAAGGCATGGGACGTACACCTCCAAGGCACCCCATCGGTCGCCGAGCCAGTTTGGGACAATGCGGCCGAGCGCGTTTGCCACGTTCAGGATTGCGATGGTGTAGAACGATAGCTGCTGGTCCACGCCCTTCTGTTCCGCGAAGAGCTGCACATAGGACGAGGGAAACCAGAACCCGAGGCCCATCAAGAAGCCCTGGACGAGGATGCACACATACTCGCGGTCCAGGAAGGGTGGAGGGGCGGCGTCGTCGTGCTCGGCGTGCGCGTCGAGTTCCTTCTCGTCTGCTCCCTCGCTGACAGCGCCGATGGCGTCGGGTGGCTTCTCTTGCATATCTTGAGCGGGCATGTCATCCTTGGCGGGTTTCGGGTCGAAGAGCAGGAGATTGCCGACCAACAGCAGACTGAGACATATGAATGCAGTCACGCGAATGGACCAGCCAAATCCCAGAGACCCGTTGAGTAGGTAGTTCAGGGCGACTGTGAATACGAAACTCGTTCAGTGGGAAGTCATAACATGGATGAACGCCTACTGGAGAAGGCAACTGCGCCCAGGGAGCCGCCGGCTGGTACAATACCCTAGGATATAATGCGTTCACTATACTATACTCACTCTAGTAAATGAAGTGCGCACCATTGCGAGTGCTTTCCTGCGTTTGAAATGTTGAGAAATGAGGACGGACGTGGGTAGAAAGATAGAGCCTATTCCTAAGCCCATCCCGATTCCCTGAGACAAGATAACTTGATAATACTTCTCGGGTTTTGCAAGTGAGAGCATGAAATGGCTGGGAAAGTAGCAGCGGGATCAACAAGGTTCATAACTTGTAGGGTATGGATGTACGCACCAAATCACGAATATGGTCGACCCGCCGATCACGACATGTCTCAGGTATCCGCGATCCAGGCTGGATAGCGTCAGAAACAAGGCGCAACGCGCGAGCATTCGACACGGGCACGCACAATGGTCCGAGGAATGCACCGAGAGTCAAATCGAGAAGTGTCTGAATACTCCCGATCCAGCTGATGGCGGATACGGAGGAATGCGAGAGGAAGGTCTGGACATAATACGCTTGCATGACACCAAAGGCGGACATCTGGAGGTACCATAAGCGAAAGCTGGCGATAATGCAGGATACTCACAAAACCGACGACGCTGAACTGCATAAGGAACGCTCCAACGACTGTAATGCGTGAGCAGATGCACGTAACATATCATTTTGGACAGGCGTACCAGTGAGCCAGGCTCGCCATGGCCCGCGAGCATAGCCGTCGGTTGTAGAAGTCATATTGCAATACTGGGGACCTGGGTGGCGTGACGTACAAGCCTTCGTTACTGCTGTAGACCACCGAGGTGATGCACGAGTCGGCAATGGTTTCCGGCCGTAGATGCTGCTGACGAGAGCGTCGAAGGGTTTCTACGTTTTGACGGTTAGCTGGCAGTCCTAGGTGAGCCCCAGGAGTAAGAGCAGCTACGAGAACGACGCTCGCGACTGCAAACGGTTTATCGTGCTGGGCAAGGACGCCAGTCGCGACAGGCTTCGTGCGGAAACTCACGCGGTGGACCCACATTTCGAACGACAAATGACAGGAAGCGAAATGCAAGTCAAGTCCGAACAAAGATGGTAGGGAGATTCGTGGGCTCAGTGGCAGAGCCCAGAGCGGTCCCTTCCTGCGAAGCAGCCTCCCTGACAGAACACCGGTACCGCCGGCGGCGGCACTGTCGGCATGCATCGATATCCACCTTGGTCACTTGTCCATGGTCGCCGGACTTTCCACAGGTCGCACCGTTTACGGCAGCCTTGTGGCGCCCTCCATATCGAGAAGCGACTTGTGGAGGAGCTGTCAGCTGTCAAACCATACGTCCAGTCTGAGGAGAATATCAAACTCTGAATCAGCCTCCGCAGTGCAGCGCTGCAGCGTGTCCTATGCTGACACTGCATTCCGCTGTCTGGCAGGGGACCGATCTCCGAACGAGGCCCACCCCGCATCCGCACTGCCCGGATGCCGGAGATGGTCTGAGCTTACCGTGACAGACGTAGTCCATGCTCCATTCTCGCCTACCTGTCGTCCTGTATCGCAGTGAGAGACCCGGGCAGGAGAGAACTCCCGGTGGATCTGAGCTTCTTTTGTGGATGTCCGTGAGTACGAGAGCATGACCGGAGCATGGTACATTTCGTGGTGGCGCAGAGAAAGCGCTCGGGAGCGAACGGATGGTGGCGTTCGGAGCCTGAAATCTCGGCGTCTTCCGCTGAATACCGTGAGGGTAGAACTGCCATTAATGCAGCCATGTACGCGTATTGGTACTTACTGCCATCCTCGCATACCGAGGTATCTCTCAACTACCAGACTCATACGATACACTGGCTATCAGCCCTCCGACTGAGGTGCCGCGATCAAAACAGGACCTCCAGATATAAGTCTCGGTAACGCAACTCTTGATCACGATAGACGCCGCAGTGGTACATAGGCTTGTCACCGCCCGTCTTCGGATGACTTGAACGACATCTAAATCATTTGTTCTCGCAGGACTCCCGGACGTACCCCATGTGCGGCTGTAAACATCGATCAGTACTCAGTGCTGAGCGCTGAGCGCTGAAGCTTGAAGCTTGAAGCATCGAATCAATTGGTTCACTGGCGTGCGTGACTAGTCCGACTTGCGCTTTGTGCGGAAATTGCGGATTCACACTCCCAAAGAGATGCGCCGGCGTTTACTCAGAACTAGGGGAGTTCTCAGTCTGCACATGTCTTTTGACGCTTTCTGTGCTGTCGTCGAACATACGCACATTTGTAGACCAGTTGGTGGTCAACCGGTCATGGGTGAACCTTATTACTGAGGCTGCTACAAACGGTGCGACTTCTACTCGACGTATGTGAAATAAGCCACAGATATCGCTGGTAGCACCATCTAACGAGAAGTCACTTCGACATATCAGATGGACAGTTGTGATCAAACGAAACGTGAGAAGGTCCCGGGAACTCAAGTACTCACTGACATGCACATGACCGAGGAAGATTACGAATTCTGATCCTTGCGGATGCCAAATGTACCAGGAGGCCTCGACTCACGGGTGCCTTACAAGCTTCCTACGAATTCTGACGAGCTTCAACATGTCCTAACCAGAGAAAGTGTCACAAGGGACATAGCCCGACGATAGCCATGGTGCAACATCGGTCAGGGTCAGCACGCTCTGTTCGCACGTACTGAGAAACACAGTACTGATTACAAGTATAGATACAGGTGAGGTCATGGCGGAGATACTACCAGGAACACAAGAACGAATACATTGGGGGACTCGCGCCCTTAACGATTATTTCGTTAGACTCGTCTGTGAGCAACTTGATTCTCAATTTTCGCGCCGACACGTGTCACCGTTGACGTTGTACACTGACTAAGTTAACATGCGAATGTCAACTCAGTTTAAAGCGAGCTCGGTGGGGTAGTAGATTCGGACTGCATCTCTTCAGTTCATCTAACGCCCCATGGACTCGTGGCACCCATCGTTTGATCTGCGAACAGAGCTGCTCACTCTGGAGGAGCAGACGTTGCTGTCGTACACCAGAGCACAAGTCATTCTTCAAGAGATCAGTAAATATTCATGCATATCGACCAGAGCCAAAAGCGTGCTCACACCTCCACAGAACTGACTCTCGACGATGTTGACCTCTGCACGAGCGCATTCATCCGCATGCACAGGCACCCGATCATGGCGCTTGACGTCGGCTGCGCCAATATACTTGCCTGCCATGTCAATCTCTTCTTGGGCACCATCGCCCCGCTCATTCCAAGGCGACCAGATTTGAAACCGCTCGTCGAACGTGCTCTGAAGGGCGAGGTCATGGGCAATTTCCTGCTGACCGAAGTCGGCCATGGTCTTGATATCTTGGGACTGGAGACCGTCGCCGAGAAAGTCGAGGATGGTTTCATTTTGCATACTCCGAATAGCAGCGCCTGCAAGTGAGTCCGAGCATGAAAACACAGCTGATGTGACGTCGATGTAACTCACCAATTTCTCTAGATTCATGCCTCCCACGATGCCGCACCCAGTCATTCCGAAGGTTGCAATTGTTTTTGCGAGGTTGATGGTCGGAAAAGACGATCGTGGAATCCATCCGTTCCTTCTCCCGACGTCTTATCCTGGCCGTATGCACTCCAGAGTATCTGCTGTTTTGTTACCTCCTCGGAACGGTACATGTGCATTGGATTACGCACTGACCTCCTTCGACCAGGTCAAGCTGCCGCCCAGTGCATTCCTTGGTGCAGACTATCTGTCGGTCACGGACCATCATGCGTTACTGAAACAGTATATCCGAAGAATAACGTTGGGCCAAATCTGCATACCGATGGTCGCCGTGACGGGAATCAAGCTGACAGCCTGCATTGGCGTCGACTACTCGTATCGAAGACACGTACAGGGAACGAGAGGGGATAAGTTTCCCATCATGTCATTCCGAACTCAGCAATTACCGGTTCTCTACTCTGTGGCCGTTGCGCACGTGCTCGACGCCTGGTCGAACAATGTTGCACAAGCGCTCGAATCGCGGGTCGTCGAGGGTGACGTGCTGCAAGGGATGGCGACAATATTCAAGACCACAGTATGTCGGTTCACTGTTCAATCGTACCGGGAAGTCGCGGAGCGCCTTGGGGCCCAGGGAACGTTTGGTCACAACTTTGTGAGCCGGATTGAGGTACGTTCTGCCATTAACAAGATTGATATATCATACTTACCGGTGTCCCACCTTAGATGGACATGCGTGGATTGGTCATAGCGGAGGGCGACGTGACGACCATCGCGATTCGCCTCTTCTCGGAGCTCTTGCAGAGAAAGTACACATTGCCGCAGTGTACGCACGAAGGCACCCTCCTAGAGAAACACGCGAGGGGTGTGTACAATCGATGCGCACAGCTTCTAGGCGGCTTACCTGACGGCCATCGCGACCCACTATTCAACGCCCTCGTCCTTCCGCAGTGCGAACGTGGCGTTCTGGCGTTGGGCTGCAGCTATGCATACTCATGTGCCTTAGACGCAGGCGTACCTCGCGTTCTGTTGGATCTCTTCGAGTGCGCCGCCATTCGCATGGATCCTGCATGGTACACGGAGGTCGAAGGCATCGGAGAGATGGAACGTATAATGCGAGAGCACAGAGCGGTCACTGCCATGCTACCACATGTTCAGGAGCTTGCAGACGGCTTGAAGATTAGGCATGTAATCCCTGTGCCGATTCTTAGTGATGCCGCATGGGATGCATGGGTCGAGTCGCTGGTCCACAAGAAAGTGAGTCAGTTGCTCACAAACCCCGAACCAAGGCCCCGCACCACCTGTACAGGCGCTAACGAATCTGCGTTCATTCAAACAGGAGGCCTTGTCCCATTTTTTTGGACCTTCACCCGCTAGATTGTAGTAAAGCTGTCACGTCTTGGAGCCTTGATCATAACAGGCTCGTCACTTCCGAATTATATATTGGACGCCGAACGTTCCCACCGCATGCACAGCCGGAGGAGAAAAGAGGAGGAAGGGTTGCTGAAGAGATTAGGTTCGACGCAACCGACGCCGAAGGAATAAGGTTTTCGATCATAATGTTACTATAATTGGTACAAAAGGCCATCTGCGACGAACATCATGGAGATTTTGTGGAGATTGCTTCTTTTTCATTTTCGGACTCTGAATATGCCAAAAAGGTGATCTCCGCCGAAGCCTTAGGATGTTCGGAGTCCGAATCAAGGAATGCTAGCTTGGGAAACCGCCGAACAGACTTCGAAAACCCCGTTTTCCTGACAGAAGAATACATTTCAGTTCATATGTACGTAATATGTATCGAACCTTGCGCTGCTAAGCGCGGTCTTACTAAGCGCTGAGCTCCTCCTCCTCCTCCTCCGCATTGGTTGGGATCATAACAAGCTTGCGGTTCTGCAGCTAGTGAGTGCTTCGCTTCGGTATCTTCGACTTCAACTCGAAGTTGCGCCCTGTCCATGGCCTCAACGACGCGAGCCGCCACGGCGTGCGACCATTGGCGTAAGTCCTAATTGGCATCCGTGTATCTGTCAAGATCATCCATGCTCATCAATCCGTTGAGATGCATTCCACTGCTGGCAGATGGGCCTTCGTTGCATCAATGGGCCGCTCACTCAGCATGCGATAAGTTTATGTATCGATGCTGTGGACCCGTGTTGATGGTATGCGTTTGGATGAACTTAGATGGCATCTTAGGTGTGTTACAACCCTGATTTCTTCGTGTCTTTGTTGCGGTCAAGTGTTTGCTTGATCGGATGCGGCTAGGCTTCGTCAGACCATGTGAAAGTGTCAACTGAAGGTTTCTGGACCCCGTTCTTACAGCACATATTCTGGTAGACCCAAGACTGTCGCAACAGGCGCTTACAATTACGTCGACGCGAGTACCCAGTTGCTCTTAAACTGTTGCTGATCTGGCTGCCGAGGCATCAACCTCCCTCCGGCGTCTCTCGAATCACATCTCTCTTCCATCCTTTAGCCACTATGGATGCGCAGACACGGCCTGTAACGGATACTCTGGTCATTGGTATGGGAGCCATCGGTGCATTCTGTACGTTTCCATATATACTTCTGAGTAATCCTGTTTGACGAGCGTACTGGACAGATGCATATATTCTTGAGAAGAGTGGCCGAACGAGGGTGACTGCTATTGCTCGCGGAAACTACGAAGCATTAAAAGGTAGTCAACGACCGTCTGTATGTTTGATGAGCTCAAGTCGTTGATGAGCGAGTCACAGAATCGGGTTTCACAATGATAAACACCGACACTGGAGACGTGGCAAACTGGAGACCCCACCGCTGTGCGTCGTAGTCGCCTCCTTTGTGAGGCACCTTGCCTCATCGTTTTCCAGTGATGTCCTCGCTGGACCAAGCACTTGACCGCACATATGCGTTTGTCGTGCTTGCAACGAAGGCTATTCCGGAGGTCACCACGACCAGAGATGTAGTTGCACCGCTGCTAGGTCTTACGTATGACGGTGCACACCCGCAACCGGCGTTTGTCTTCATGCAAAACGGCATCGATGTCGAAGAAGACATTTACGTGACTTTGAGCCAGAAGGTACCGTCGCAAAACCCGAGGCTTATCTCAACTGCTCTTTGGGTGCATATGCATATGCGGGACAGCGTCACTGTCGAGTACAACAACTTCGTAAGTACTAGCTCCTGAGTATCAGGCGTCGTCTTCTGACCGGTAACAAGGGCCACATTGATATCGGAGACTATCTCCCTCCCACAGTGGATCGCCAAGTTGGCGTCGTGGTGTCTCCAGTCGCCACCGAATTTTCAGAAACCCTCAAAGCTGGCGGAACAAAGGTCGTCCTAACCGCCGACATTGGACGTCTGAAGTACATGAAGAACGCCTGGAACCTATGCTTCAACATGGTTCCCGCACTGACACGACTATCTTGCGATGCAATTTTCGGCTCACCTGACACGCACATCCCCCCCGCCGGTCTTTCCGCCAAAGATAGTCCCCAGGATGTTCCTCTTACCTCCGGATCCCCTGGCTCGCCAGAGGGCGTCGTCGCGTCTCTGCCACGAGCATCGCCGCTCATTGGCGATTACACGATCCCAATGATGTTGAACCTCTTGTTTGAGGTCTACGACCTCGGTTCTTTGCTCTATCCCCCTACAAGTGGCGGACCCAATCTCGATCATGCAGCAGCATTGTCGATTTTGACGGTAACCGCCAAGGCGTATGCCAGCGGCGCAATGAAGCATGTACCGAGCACGCTGGCAGACGTAAGAGCTGGACGTCCGATTGAACTGGAAGTCATCCTGGGCTCAGTGGTTAGGCTTGGACGGCAGCGGGGTATGGCTCAGCCCGTAAGTGCCATGCTTGATATGGTATCATGTGGGTAACCGATTGAATACCGTTTATTACAGCGTCTTGAGGTTCTCTACGGGTCCCTTCTGCCTGTTCAGCATCAACTGCTTCGTGACGCGAATGCGCTGACTCCACACAGCAAGTACTGATGAACAGCGGGCTGGATGGCATTCCTGTCACCTGTGCTCTGACTGCGGTGATTGTCTGATAATGTGTGTACAAGTAGTCTCTATGCTTTGGTGTATTTCTTGATTCGCGTGTAATGTATCGCATGAGCTCCACAATCACGATCCGCACATACATGGTACGCCAATAGTCGCCTGCCGCGACGCACGCGGCTCACGCCGTTAAAGCCATGGACAGGGCTCAATGCAATCTACCAAGTTGGATTCGAAGATACCGAAGCGACGCGCTCGCTAGCCGCAGAATCCCAAGCTTATTATGATCCCAACCACTGCATCGGAGCAGAAGCCCGGAACTCAGTACCCAGCGCTTAGTGAGACCGCGCGAAGCAGCGCAAGGTTCGGTACATGTTACGCATGAACTCAATTGTGTTCTTCTGTCATGCTGCTCGTCAGATTGGGAAAACGGGGTTTTCGAAGTCTGTTCGGCAGTTTCCACAAGCTAGCATTCCTTGATTCGGACTCCGAACATCCTACGGCTTCCGCGGAGATACTTACTTACTTTTCCTTAACTTAGAATGTTCAGAGTCCGAAAATGAGAAAGAAGCAATATGTCACGCGTGCCGATGACTACTTATTACGGCGCTCGAGCGTGGTGATTAAATGGAAACCCTCCTCCTCCTCCTCCTTCTTGATGTTCGTCGAAGATGGCTGTTAATACCAATTATGGTAACATCATAATCGAAACCCGTATTCCTTCGGCGGCAGTGTCGAACCTAATCTCTTCGTCAGTCCTTCCTCATCCGAATGTACATGCGGCGAGACTCACGCGCACGTTCGGCATCCAAATCGGAAGTGACATGTATTTGAAGATCACTGGTGTTTCCTTTGGCTATCGAGACGCTGCAGCGTCGCTCTGTACAGATCATGACGGCTGTCAGTGTATCAAGGGTCGGAAGATGCAAACAGTCGTGTTCCCGGAATCTTTCGTGGGTAGACTTCCGTGGATGTTTGTTGGTTAATTCTGGTAGATAATCAAAATGCCAGGACATGACAGAACTTCCATTTAGGGTCAGGATCCTGACACTCCGTCCTCAGAGGTAATGCATTACACAGTAAATGAATGGTCAAACCGGTGAGTTGATGAGCGGAGCTCGGACGCCACTGTCATGACTAAAATATATAGATGGGAGGCATGCATCACCCTTCCGTCTACGAAGCAAGCGGGCACTGCTGCTGCTCGAGGGCGACAACGCGCGTACCCAGATAGGCTGCTAGACTTTGTGTTGGGCCAGGTTGGACGACGGGTAACTAGTATGGCAAATACTGCGCGAACCTCACTGGCAGGCTAACCAACTGCTAGTTCTCGAGATCTCATCACTCAGGCTACGATTATGCATCAAATCCATCCATCTTTGATGCTCCTTCAAACCATGATTCGTTGCTGCGAGCAATCTAGTACCGCATTCAATCTACGGCCGGATACTCAATCGATCACCGGCGAACTCGGAGAGTATCATATTTCACCAACTCTATCCAAGATTGACCAACAGACCTTGTACACATGTAATCAGGCGCACGATGTGTGAGGTGACGGGTCGCAAACCATGACACAATTTCGTGAGCGATAGTTGATAGTCATGATGCACTGCAAAGAGTTGTATATAGAGCTACTACCAGCTGTCAGCTTGCTCAAGGTCTCTTAGACTTTTACGCGACAGCCAGTTGCTCATCTCATAGCTCAACCACCATGACGGTGGCGAGTCCAAGCTCGCACCTGTCGGTGAACCTTGCCCCTACAATAGGAAGCATGTTCATTGGGCCTGGCATCTTTTCGTCAATGTGAGTTCCATTTCGACACGCTATCCGAACCCTGTGTCAAGCGTTGTAGGTTGTATGGATTCGCATGTGCTCAATTGATGTACTATCTACGCAACTACACGACGAAAGACCGGCTGCCGGTGAAAGGCCTGGTGCGTATTATTTGACGTATCGGTCCATAGAACTGCCATTGACCGGATGCCCAGGTCCTCTTTGTATGGTCAGTCGACTTAGAAGCTGGACGGTCCTGACGCTGATTCCGTTGACAAGGCTGCTTGACACGACTATCACCGTCTCTGATATACGTGTACGTGTTTCTCTTTGTGAAAGTGAAAGTGATCGAATGGCGTACTGCAGATGATCTTTTACTACCTTATTCAAAGTCATGGCCGTTTTGCCATGATCCTCTTGATCCCGAAGTGCGTGGACTTGAATCCGCTTTTCTTACGTGCCTTTATAATTGACAAATGACCGTATCAAGGGTATTCGCGGTAAGCACTGGGATCACACCCATAATTGAAGATACAAACTATTCTAACCTAAGCTCTGACACATCATCGTAGCTCGAGTACGCAACCACGGTATGCTATGCTCGAATTAGTCCCGCAATCATCATTACCAAGTAGCTGACGTCCATGAACCAGGTAGTGACCATCTGTGTTGTGCAGTTGTAAGTATTGCAATGACATCTCTGGCAAATATTGAGTGACAATCAATATAGGTTCTATGTCCATGAGATATGGCAATGTAGGCCCGTCACAATTTCCCTGGCATGGCATAGCACCTAACAATTAGCTCTTGGCAGTGCTTCAGACACTGCCGCGCCAGTCGAGGGTGCTGATCAGCCTCATCCCAGTAAGTACAGTAGAGTCAGATTGACCGCCATATGTTGTTGAACCCGTTGACAACAGGCAGTAATTTCCATTATCGCTCTTGGTATGTCCGCTCGTCCAACTTGAACGATAGCAACAACAAGGAGCAGACTAACTGTTGCATCCTAGCTCTCAGCCTCGGTACGAAGCAATGCTCATATTGTGATTGGAAACTACGCTGATTGCATTCTGATCTACCAGTGGGGGTGTGGGCTTCCAGGTAAGATATCTCTGACCATGATATTCCAATATACTGAGACGATGCCAGCTCACATGACTGGGTCATATCAAAATCACTCCCACCGGAAATAGTACGTGTCGCCATAAAGCAGAGGTTGGATAACTAACAATGCAATTGTCAGCCGTGGACGGTTTCCAGAGTTTGGACGGCAGCAATAGCAGATGTGTACATCTGTGTCTGTCTTTCATGGGCGTTACACACAAGAAAGACCGGCTTTAGGGCGTAAGACTGTCCTCCCTTCGCTTAGATGCGTTGAAGTGATGTAGCGTCCAGCACAGACACTATGATCGGTACACTCACTACGTACATCGTCAATCGTGGGATTCTATCAGCGTGAGTCCGATGACCTCCATTTCATTCTCAAGGCTCAAACTCGGCTGCAGCGTTATTCAGATCGCATTATGCGCAACGGTTTGTCAATCATCTAACAGGTCTGGCGATGTGACTCATTGATAACATCGGTGGCAGTACTTGGTATCTATCAAGCAGAACGGTATGGTATGGCTGATTTTCCACTGCGCGGGAGTGAAAAGTAAGCTTACCCTCCGTCACATTATTGTGCTCATCAATTTATGCATGCAGTCTATACAAACTCGTTGTTGGGCGTGTAGGTCGCAGCGACTGGTCCTCACATGTCCCTGCTCACTCAGGATTTACATAGATTGAATGCTCGCCGACACGTCAGAGGTGGAAGCTCACATATCGAAATGTCCGATTTCACGCCCGGACCGGCGGATGGGAACGCAACGCGTTGTGATATCGATTTTGAAGCGGACTCGGCTATTAGCAACAGTGTATCTTATATGACGTGACGTTGCTATTGGATGCGACGGGCGAAGGCAGGCTCTCTCGTACTTCAAATGTAGAACCAAATGATCACATATTATTATCCGCCGATCAGGATTCAGGACTTACGTCCACAGAAACTCAGTTGCTACTACACGGCGCAACCTGCAGCTGAGAGGGAGGCAAGATTCGAGACCTGTGGGTCGTAACCAATATTTCCATTTACGTCGGAGGTGGTTGGATCCTTGCCGAATGCAGAAAGGGGCAATCCGACGGAGGTCGAAAGACTGAATAGCAACATCATGGGAGCTGAGCACGGCCCCGGCAAGGAGAGCCTCTGCACATGCGGTTACTTAGCGCTCGCCAGATCAGATCGGTACTCAAGTGTTCAAGTTCTTACACTGCTCGACTACACTAATATTCGAGCTGTGGCGCTTAAGATCGGCCGGAAAGCCACGTTCAACAAAAGCGGACGCAGCTCGGCCTCCGAGCCATGGCGCCGGCCTCCTCGAGTCGTGAGTCGTGTCGCTCCAAGTACTATTCTATGTACACAATACTTCTGTGGACAGTTAGCGCTGACGGGATATTACCAAATCTGGCAAGTTTCTTCACGACCGTCTCTCATCCGCTCGGGTGCGGGACCTACTATCTAACAGATCTAGCTACTCTTTCCATCGTGCCATCGTGACGTGCGACTATGTTGCTGCAAGATGACTGCATCCGAGTCGGATTCTCGATGCCCTCACCCTTATAATGGCGGAACTCGCTAGTTACCCACCCATCTCTACAGCCCTGTGTTCCGTTGACCGGTAACGGCACACTCGGGCAAGCCGATGTCATACACCGCCGCAGCGACATGGTCCACTTTCGCGAAGCTATCGTATGCAAGCAGGAGGCCGCCGGTAACAGCAACGTTTGCTGTCGATAGGCTCGAACAAGCGGCGCGCAAGAAGCTCGAGCACTCGTCAGGTCTGCTGTTACTCTTGAGTGCGCATACCATAGCGATCTGACCCCTATAATGCAGATGCATACATGTACATCTTCGGCAGCGCAGGAACAGGCTCCACCGCAGAATCCAACAGAGCAGCGTTCAAGAGGTGGAAAATTATACCTCGTCTGTTGAGGGACGTTTCCAAGCGGAACATCGAGGTGACAATGTCATTTGACAGTGTACGTAGCGTCCCGAGTTCGCTTAGCAATGATCGTTCGACAGGTGACATTGTTCGGCAACACCTACCCATCGCCGCTTCTGCTAGCTCCTATTGGAGCCCAGGGCATTGTCCATGCAGAGGGCGAGCGGGCCACAGCTGCAGCTGCGGGTGGGCTCGGAATACCCTTCATTATGAGCACGGGGTCGACGCGCTCTATTGAGGCCATCGCGAAGGCTAACGGTCCTGGGCCGCGATGGCTGCAGCTCTACTGGTATATACTCACTATCCTCTGAGTTTACATTGTATGGCGTTAATGGCATTTGCGCAGGGGCAAGAATGACGGCACCGTGATGTCTCTGCTCTCTCGCGCGAAGGCCGCCGGCTTCACTGCTCTCGTAGTGACCGTAGATACCCCCACAATTGGCTGGCGGCCGTGTGACCTCGATACGGCCTATCTTCCTTTTGCGCACGGCGTTGGGGCGCAGGTCGGCCTCACGGATCCTTTTTTCATGGCAGCTGCCGGATTGGAACCGTTTCCGGAGGACGAACATCCAGACTTTCCATACATCGCCGCCCGTCAGGACGAGCTCATTCGGAACGGCGATAAGAAGGCAACATTGCAGTCCGAGGTCGGTCAGAAGATGGTCGGAGAACTTCTGGACCCGACCAAGGTTTGGGGTGACCTTTCACGGCTGAAAGAGCAGTGGGGTGGCCCGCTGATACTGAAGGGCATTCTGTCTCCGAAGGTTCTTATTCCTCTGATGACAGCGAGGGAATCTACATCGCTCACGAGCACTACAGGACGCCGAGTTGGCGATAGAGAACGGTGTAGACGGGATTATAGTTTCAAACCACGGTTCGTAACCGCTGTATCTCGGAGATACATGCCTTAACTTAATCGTAGGCGGTCGACAGATTGACGGCTCCATCTCTTCCCTGGACGCGCTGCATAGAATCATGGGGAGCTGTGCTGTCAAGGAAGCTCAGGCTCGTGGGACATTCACTATTCTGTTGGACTCCGGCATCCGTACGGGGAGCGATATCTTCAAAGCGCTAGCACTGGGTGCACAAGGTGTCTGTTGTGAGTGCCTCGGAGTCGTAAATGCGGCGCTAGGTTATCTGACTACCTTCCAACAGACGGCCGCCCCTATATGTATGCTCTCGCGTTAGCTGGTCGAGAAGGGGTCGACAGCCAGTTGAGAGCAGTCTTGGCCGACTTTGAGATCACGCTCGGTTTGGCCGGGGTCAGAAGCATTGAGGAATTGCGCATTAACGCTCACGACCTATTGGTCAGGGATTGGCATATCGTTCATTCTTCCGAGCAAGGTGAACACCCAAATTAGTCAGTGAGCAAGTCATCGTTCTGGAAGATTGTCTTATCATCGTGTCTGGAATACCATAACATCCTACGAAATCCGATGGCATAATGTCTGCATGATCCGCACTATCTCCAATTCCTCAGGGTCATCACAGTCGGATTGTTGGCCGTCATCTACTATTTGTGTCCCTTTCCGAAGGTCGACTCATCGCCTTATCGCTCCATTCCAGTGGTCTCAGACCTCTATACGACCTTCTCAATTCAGTTATTGGTAGCGCACATCATTCCGTAGGATTACCTGACTAGTGTCGTGGTTCATGACGATTATTCTTACTCAGTAAGGGTGTTTGTCGAGAGTTTTTCATCAAGAAAATGAGGGCGAATCTGCTTAGCGTGGCGAGGCAGCCTGACAGAGCGTGTGGACAGTAGAGAAGATGAGTAAACTCGGTCCCGATTAAGCCTTACCGAGCGTGAACTTTGTATGCGTAGCACATGCATCGATTCTCAAAGATGGATGGGTGCGCAACATAATCATGACCTGGCCTTCTCCAAGAGACACTACAAAGAAATCATCGTTTGCTCCACATGCGAAGGCTGTGGCGGAGTGAAAGCTCTTTCACAATGCCTACTGGGCAGGGAAAGTGGACCGTAGGGCACCATTATCGGCATAGAAAAGGCTTGAAGGGCTGTTGTCCGCCGGGAAAGGCGTCTTTCGACGTCTTTCCGAGATACGTCTATGTCGTGGGAAAACCGTGAGTAATTCTTTTCACTTTTGAAGCCTTTTCTGCCCGGGGAAATCATGATATCTTTGCAGTGAGATGCTGCGCGTGCGCCTCCAATCGGTTTCCCGGTTATACGCAGGTCTAGCACGTCAAGATGTGTCGCAAACATGGTATTTTCCCAAACAGCGCCATACATACACAGGGGAATGATGCATACTCGGAGCCCTCTAATCTCCTTTCTCCAGTGACGTTCACTCTTCGGGTACCCAAACGATCACTTCAGGTACCTTTTTAAAGACTGTAAGCGTTCGGCCGCGGACCGCAATGTATTGAGGTCTTTCGCATACGAGAAGCGAATGTAGTTCTCGTTGATGCTGGCATGCGCGTCGCAGTAGAACTGCAAAACAGACATCATTAGTATAAGACGTTAGGCGTAGAGAGGCGAATTCACATCTGTGAGCGGTAATGGCGCCACGCCCACTTCCATGGCCATGAACCACGCGGCACTGCAACATAAGAGTATGGAGGTGAAAAGCACCCAGAGGAACCAAGTAAGCCGCAGACATACTGGAAGTCACGGCGCCGATCTCGTATGTTCTGCGGGAAAGGGTAATCAGCGGGCCATTGCAGATTGCTAACATCCTAGTTTTTCATGGTATTCAGCCAAACGACGCTTCTGTCATACGCCCGACCACCACTTACAACTGTGATGAAGTATGCCCCCTCAGGCTGCGTATAGTTCAGACAGAGCCTCTCAAAGGCATCAGTCAATATCGCCTTGCGCTCCTTATATTCATTTGTCTGCGTCTCGAAGAACCCGCGCTCCCCAGCCTGCTCGAGGCCGACAGCGACGGCTCCCTGCATCGGTGTGTTGGCACAGTACACGAGGCGGAGCGACGCCGCATACGCGGGCGCTATTAGCGCGGGCGGGCCGATGAGCCAGCCCACACGCCATCCGGTGGCCGCGAAGAGTTCTACAACAGTGAACGGGACATTTATCAGCAAACCTGACAGGCCGACGAGAAGGAAGGAAACAAAACAGACTGCCTGCTGAGCCCACAGTGATGGTCCGCTTCCACATGCCGGGCAGCGTTGCGAAGCGTACGTGTTCCCTGTCGTAAACGAGGTGCTCGTACTGCACACCCACGGGCGCCGCATTAGCGCGATAAGTATAAGGCACTATATGGCAAGAGGAACGCACAACTTCATCGGATATTACGAGCAGATTGTGCTTATCCGCGAGCTCAGCTATAGCCTCAAGTTCTTCGCGCGTGAATACCTTGCCTATAGGATTGTGTGGGGTGTTCAGCACGATCATCTTCGTGCGCGGGGTGATGGCGCGACTAGAGGACAGCTAAGCTCAGGCTTGGTACGGCGTGCTATAAATCAATACCTTAATGTATCCATGTCTAGAGTCCATGTGGGCTTGCAACGCTTTCCGGGATCGCCTGCGTTAGGGTGGAGGGGCACGAACACCGGTACGCCGCCGTTGAAGACGACGCACTGGAGGTACTGGTCAAAGAACGGCTCCATGATGATAACTTCGTCTCCGGGATCCACAAACGCAGTGAAGGCCGCGTACTGCCCTGCGAATCCAATGGAAACACGTCATTCTCAACGCTTCGCCGCTGTGGACACCTAGCGTCCATACCTTCGGTCGCGCCGTTCGTGACCATCATCTCCGTTTCCATGTCGAGTTCTCTCTCGTGGAACTGAGTCCCGTAGAAATTCTGCATTGCCTTCCGTAGTCTAGGAATCCCCTTGGGATGCGCATATTGATTTCCCATCGTGGAACATAGTGCTTCCTGAGCACCCTCGCGAGCCCAATCCGGAGGCGGAAAGTTCATGTAACCCTGGCCAAGGTTGATGCAATCTGAAGGGAGGTTCACGGCACTGTAAGAGTTATGAGGCGAGAAGAGTTATTGCCTGAGGGAGCGGGTGTGGAGATAGTAACACTCACTTGAAAACGGACCAAACGTCCTGACGCAGCGCGCGCCCTTCCGTCAAGCGAGTGGCATGCTTGATAGGGGATAGCAGATCGCGAGCAGTGTGGAACGCGCCACTCGCAGTACTCGTATCCTCGGCTGTCTTGACTGCCTTACTGTCGGCAGGAACGTTCGCGGCGGTAGCAAGGTGTCGGCCGTGATGAAGGGCGACAGCGACCGGCGGTCTTCCACAGGACGACAGGACAGCAAGACAGATATAGCCACGGATAGACATGCAGGGCAGATTGGACGAGGACAGACATGGCTGGGCCGACTTAGATATGGTACGATACAGCCTTGGCAGGTGGCAGCAAGCAGCAATGTCTGCCCTCTCCCACGCCAAACATAGAGGGTTACGGACAGAGCGCTGGGTCTGCTGTGTTCTGTCGTATCAGACCTTCGCCCTGGGACCACATCAGTCATCAGTACGGCGGCGTCTTGTCGTCGGTGGCAGACTGACCAGAAACGTAACACGTCAGCCATATCCTCACGATGATCTGTTATGCTCATGATACTTACTTTTGTCGTCCAAGCGCATGAAATCACCTCACTCGGCACTAAAGACATGGGGAGGACTCAACCGCAACGTCCACCTGCGTGTTCACAGTATGTGGTTCAACGGAGAATGGCTATGCGGTATTGGTAGCGCGGGAGGTTTGTGTCGAGCTGAGACAATGCGCTTCCCAGGATGCTTGAATCAGATCACGAGCAGAACCGCCGGCGGAGGTCAAGGGGAAGACGAAAACAATTGAGTGAGCATACGAGGGAGGGAGGCACTCTTGACATTCGAAAGGCGATGCATCGATGAGCGGATCCGAGGACGGTGAGGGAGGAGGAGGAGGGACGTACAGTCCTCCGTGCGCGTGACCCAGGAGCAGGGTTCATAAGGTTAGCGCTCGCCAGATCAGATCGGTTCATCTCCTCGAAGCTCTGAATTGGCTCTAAATGACTGGAATGCATGATTACGATGCCCAAGGATGCAACTACGGTTCCTGATCAGTCGCACATTCAAGGCCATCGCCGGGGCTCGTCGAGTCATCGTCAACCTCTTCAATGCAACATCACCGTGTTTCCGGGAAGTCGTGTTTCGCAAGAGCAAGGAAGAGATCATCGATTTGGCGGTGCGGCATACGATCATCGTGCGCCAGCTCGTGGACGAGTATGGCGACCGCTATGGCACCCGATTTCGGTTTGCCTACGGCGTCGAAGCCTTCACCCAGACAGAGCCAGAGTACATCATCGAAATCTGCAGCGCTGCAAAGCGTACGTGGGGATTAGCTGGACCAGGTGACGACCGCATCATACTCAACCTACCGTCTACTGTCGAAGCGGGCCCTCCCAACCACTTCGCGGACCAGGTGAATATATATTCTTGTTCTTCGTGCCTCTCCTGAGTACTTCTGCAAGCACATCCCGGACAGAGACGAGGTCATAGTCGGCCTCCACTGTCACAACGACAGAGGCACGGCCGTCGCTGCGACAGAACTCGGTCTGCTCGCTGGCGCCGAGCGAGTCGACGGTTGTCTGCTTGGGAACGGCGAGCGATCAGGCAACGTAGACCTCGTCACCGTCGCGCTCAACATGTACACGCAAGGCGTACCCTGCGGACTGAATTTCACCGATATACAATCCACGATCGACCTCGTGACCGAGCTCACATCCATCCCTGTCCATCCCCGGCACCCCTACGCCGGGGAGCTCATCTTCACCGCTTTCTCTGGGCAGCACCAGGACGCGATCAAGAAAGGGCTCGAGGCCCAGGCGGCGCGGCACGCACTTGCGAAAGGCACCGGCCAGCCGCTGCTCTGGGACGTTCCCTACCTCCCGCTGGACCCTGCGGACATCGGGCGAACGTACGAGGCTGTCATCCGAATTAACTCCCAGTCTGGCAAGGGCGGGGTCGCGTACGTCATCAAGGAGCACCTGAAGATCGACCTCCCGCGGTCCGTACAGCAAGACTTTTATCGCGTCGTCCAGGAGCAGACGGAGCGTCGCGGGTGTGAGCTGTCCCCCGACGATATCGTGGCGGCCTTCCGTGAGACGTACCACTTCTCAGGTGGCCACTCGCAGGTGTGGATTTCGCTCGTGGACTGCGTCGTTTATGAGAGCACGCCGCAAGACGGCGTACAGACGGTCGTCTTCAAGGGTGCGGTGGCAGTCGACGGAACGACATACGCGTTGCAGGGCGAGGATGCGAATCTCGCTTCCGCAGTGGTCGAGGCACTTCATACTAGCCTCAATGTGAACTGCTGCTTAGTCGAGGTCCAGACAAGTGGCGGAGGCATCCCTGCATACGCGTCCTTCGTGTTACTCGCGGAGCGCGGAGAGGAACGATCACCTCCGCTTAGTGCATGGGAAGTGGGGATGGACCCTCAAAAGCCGGTAAGGAAGACCTATCCGGAAGTGCCGAGTGTCAGTCTGGTTCCCGACTTCTACCATAATGTCGACGAGGACTTACAAAGACACCGCGAACGTGCTATGATTCTGAGAGGTCGCTTCATTTGACGCTTGAGAGTAGATGCCGTACGTCCATTGCGGAAATCTGAGCTGTATCGAGGAGCGGGGGCGACAGAAACAGCTCCATCGTTCAGCGTCTTCGGTATTTAGCTGAGTCGTCCTCGGCGCCCTCGAAGGAAATCCTAGCAACTGAGCTCACCCCCCTAGGCGTGATGTTGTCGAACAATACAAAGCCTAAGTATGAGGTGAGCAGCTGCAGTCGATATAAGAGCGACCATATCATTAACGCACCACGGGATTTAAGTTTCAACGTAGGCTATCTTCCTTCACTACGACGGTAGCCCAGTCCGGGCGAGGCCCGGCAGTCACTGAGACAGGACAGACGAGAACGTTCCCCAACTCTGTACTTCATCCAGAACACTTGCTCAACGATTAGGGGGGAGCGGCCGAGTGCCGGCTATGCATCCATGGTCACATGAGGCATGGAGGAACGAGTGAGACTGATCGGCGCGACAGCTGTGCGGCAGAAAGCGACGAAGACTTGATTGGATAGCATCACGCAGTCCGTGGGGGATGCGAGTCGGCTCTCTTTGCGAGGTGAACTTGACAGCATCGGCGGCTCGGGAAGATTATATCCGACCTGGTCGACTCTTCCAGCGACTATCCGTGGAGAGTCCAGACGCGCTGACGACGGGCGTGGCCTCTACACCGTTCACGTAGTGTTCCGAGTCGACCGCGCGAATCGCCAGTCCTAACCGTGTATCTGTAGTCAATTGTAAGGTCACAAAGATGGTCGTACGTCAGCAAGCGGCCACAACCACGGTAAGGAACGGCGTACTGGATGCTAAGCCCTCTGAACATTGTGCCATAGGGAGTATTTCCAGCCCAGCTCTTCGTCAGTCTGATGGGAGACCAACGAGAAAGTGGGTGAGTGCGAGACACGGACATCGCCAAGAGGCTACTGACGCACGATATTTGGATCGACGTTGATCGTTCACTTCCATCCTTCGCTCATGGAACGGACTGAATACAAGAGGTAAGAGAGTCCGTCTTCGCGAACCGCAGGATGAAGTCTTGGATCGAGGTGGAGGGCGTGACATGAGGAGAGGAAGGCCTTGCTGACGAGGAATGTTGGACATCGGGCGAATCACGATCTTGTTGCCTGGCGTGGCGAGCCTAGAGCTGCACGACGTAGTCGAGGTTGGTGCGCTGCCCTTCGGCACATATAGCAAACTGACCAGGAGCGCAACGCGTCAATCACGTCCGCATCCTCGGTGATTTGAGAGTACTGTACGCACCTCTCGTCGTCCGAGCGGAAGATCACAACCTCACTAATGGATCCCCCTCCTCCTCCTCCTCACTCGGTTTCACGAACATGGCGGAGCATAAACCGCAATGTTCACCTGCGTGTTTCGACCGGATGTTCCAGACACAGATGTGGCTGGAGCTGGTTTAGTCTCGATGCAAGACCCTCTAGCGGCCCTAGCGCGAGGAAGTTATGATGTCGAACGGAGCAGGCAGTTCTCTTCACGGGATGCTCTTGAACCAGATCGCCGGGAGAGAAAAGCATCATGCGTGAGTATGTATGCGAGGGGACGATAGGGAGGAGGAGGAAAGGCAAATATATACTAAGCGTGGACTGAGCGCCGCGCTCGGCGGTTCATGCGGTTAGCGCCCGCCAGATCAGATCGGTACAGTCGTGACGATGTGGCGAGGCGCTCTGGCTTCTTCGCCCGCACGCCCGCTCGTCTGCTCGCGCGTCCGTGCCACCTACTCGGGTTCGCGCTCTCAAGTCAACGACGCGTCGCCTTCTCGCTCTTAGAGAAACAGATGAGCACTGAGTCATCGAGATTTATAGTAAGTCGTGCGGAGTGCTGTCACGCGTGGCGAGCCCTACGGCGCCCAAGCATGGTGACTAAATGGAATCCTCTCCTCCTCCTTCTCCCCCACGCGTTTGTCTAACACAGATTCTAGCATTTAGCGCTATCATCCGACCACATCATCTACAACAAAACTCGAGCTCAAAACTCACCGCGTCTGCGTTGCTCAACATGCTAGATTGTTGGGCCCAACCTCTGACCCAAGGCCAAACCTCTTCTCGCCTACTCATACCGGGTCCCAAGTCGATTGGTGCAATGAAGAGATTTCACCGTACCGTTCGCGGTATGCAGCGCACAGCGTGCTTTCGCCTCCTTAGCAGCGGCATATCTTGAGCGGGCACGTCGGGGTCAAGAGGCGCCGGTGACAGGGCTTATGATCTTAGCAATCAATAGGGGAGCTCAGACTGAACGGGCAAGGGTACGGGTACGGGCAAGGGTAGGTCACGGGGACGGTCCGGCCGCGCGGCAACCGTAGGGTTAGCAGTAGGGGCTGCCACGTAACGTTAGGGTTTGTGCAGCAGCAATTGTAAGTTACAATAGTTTGGTCCCGACAAGGTATATAGAGCACGTACATCCGTTTCGGTAGCATGATAGGAGGCAGCTGGATCGCCATCGCAAATGCGACGCCGCCATCCTCTAATACTTTGAAAACATATACCTAAGTACGTAGTTCTGCTTTCGGAAATGTTATGTTACCCGATTAGTATATTCCGCTTTCGGCAGGCGCTGGCACTTTCCCGCACTCGAGTTCAGCTGTAGTAGGCTATAGTAGGTGCATCGTGCGTACAATATTTACGAGCCATGTTGATTGTCATCAAATTGATTTTTCTCTTTGGTGCGCGTTAGCCTTGAGAGCCATACTGATTATACTATCCAAATACTGTCTGTAACAAAGAGCAGTGGCGTAGAAGCTGGAAGAACTAGGCTAGGGTTAACGGTGGCAGCATCTACGCTAATTGTGGCTAACCCTACAGTCGCCGTGCGGCCGGACCGTCCCGTGACGTGCCCTTGCCCGTACCCGTACCCTTGCCCGTTCAGTCTGAGCTCCCCTAATGTCGCGGCGCCATCCTGGTGACACAATACGCAGATAAGCCGGCTGTTAACATGTCCGCGAATAACATATGGGTGCATATGTACGACCCTCTGACATACTCCTCCGACTGACGCTGATTAGCTGAATCTCGACGCCCACACCAAACCACTGCTGCCAACGCGATGGATGCTGACCGGAAAGTTCAGCGTTCAACGTTCAACAACACCGTGTACAGTACAGAGAATGAATCAAAGGAAACACATAGACATGTCGATCTAAGGTCCTCCTTTTCGTGCGAGCGCCCGCGCCTCCTGCCCCTGATCTTCATCGAAATCCAGGTTCTTCCCGGCGTCCTGCCACGCATCCATATCCTGCGCGAGCCGCTCTGAGTGCGCCCTCGCATTCACATCCGTCGCATTCCGGAGCAGCAGCCGGAACAGAAGCGTCCTCCCCACGGCACGTCCTTCGCCCGGCACCACGTCGACGATGAACTGGACCGCCCGGTCCCAGTCCCAGATCTGCGTTCGCGCATATAGGGCAGAATCGCGTGCGTGACGTCCCTGAGCTAGCCGAAGTACACGTTGAACTGATCCAGGGCCATCATCGTGGATCTTTGGACATCCCGCGCATAGTCAGCCCGATGAGCACCCGGGAGAGGGGCCAGCGACGAGGCACGCACCCTCTCTCTTCGAGCAGGCTCTTCGGCGCGTTCCCCTGCGTTGTTCACGAGGACGTCCAACCTGCCTCGCACTGCGACCACCTCCGCCGCCTTGCGTTTGATAGTCTCCTCCGGCTCCGTCACGTCGAGTTCGGGCGCAACTTCTGGTCGTTGCGTGCCTGCGAGGGGAAGTCAGCACGCGCGCGCACGGGGTTGCCGCGCTCAAGCTCGCGCGAACGAGGCGCTTGCCGAACCCGGAGGAGGAGGAGGAGGAGGAGGAGGAGGAGGAGGAGGTACGTGCCTGTGGGTGGAAAGGACTGTCAACTCACTAGCTGTGCTCCGGTCAGCGAGCGGCGCCAGGGGCACGAGGTTGACAGAAGTACGGTGGATTTCATTCCAGAGTTCCCTCCGCGGACACGGTGCACTTGCTCTCTGAATGGCCAGGTGGCGGCCGCTGTTGTGGTTATTGGGACGGAGGGGTGACGGGCGTACCGCCTCGAAAACGGCAGCGGTGCTGCGAGCATGTGTAAGATGATGCCCGTGGCCTCTGTTCTCCATGCTAAGCAACGCCTACCCGGGTTCCGCGACAACGTCCGCGGGAGTGTTTCCGTTAACAGTGAGAATAGGGAAGTCTTTACCTTCTCCCGCAATCAGATGAACACTTCCGTTGTGATCTACATATCAATGGGCGTGGATGATGTGTTCCAACTTCTACGATGGGACGAAAATAACAAAAACAGTGGAGAAAGAACCGGCACACACCGTTCAACGGAGATTACACGAACCCCTGCAACCATACGCACCGTGGCCACTGTCGCTCGCCAACAATGATCCTTCTTATCCCGTAAGTCAGCAGTTGAACTCGTCATTGTGTGATTAACTTCGACCGAATTCTCTACCTCAGAAGCCGTGGACGCGCACTCTTCGCAAGCTGCTTACGGAACACAATCCCAGCCACTGTCCTAGTGACACGTCAAACTCCGGGCCTGTCCGCATAAGAGATGGACGGACACATCTGTGAGCTACCGAAGCAGATCGCAAGCGAACAGTTGAGGATATCCTCAAGAAGATCGCGGAGCTTGCGTTGCAACAGCTCAGGCTCGCACGCCTCATCAGCTTGTACCACGGCTGTCCGAAGTGAGGACTTCGATATACACCCGGAGGACCATTCACGGATATAGCCACTCACCTATTGGTACGCGTGCCAGTGCATTCACACATCAATCACGGTAGAATGTTATCTCGTGTGACCATCTGCATGACGTTGATCTGAGGACCATGGTGAGTATCGGAATACCGCCAATCGCTTGTATACACAGTCAGTTTGCTAATTGCATCCTCTGACTCTGTGCTGTACAGATGCGATCATGATCAGTAGCGCCACACCCAGAAACACTCCTCAACTATTCCCATGTCTAGGATGAAGTCGTATTTAGCTACCCACTAGACATTCGCAGCTTCCGAGGGTGGAACACTCTGTCCAACCACTGCAGTACCAGCTAGTGGACCAACCTCGACAAGGATCAAGCGTCGCTTACGACTCGGGCCATGAGTGAGGATCTCGGCAGGACTGTAGGTGTCCTCCTCGTAGGGGTTCTGCTTACCGCTACGTAAGTACGCATTCCTTAGCTATGTGGTGCCATGTGGCTTACTGTGTTTCAGTTTATACGGTATTACTACCTTGCAGACGTACATGTGGTACCGCAACTATCCAAAGGATCCACTGTATATTCAAGCTGTGGTATGCTTTCGCAATAGGCTACTAGTATTAGAGTCGATATGAACGCTGAAACCTTTCACAGGTCTGGTCACTTCTGTAAGCATGCAATACATTTCACTCTGACTCGTCTAGAACTGGCTTCGACATTGCGACGCCGAAGCTTTCTTGATACGGTGCATGTCGCACTCAGCATGCATGTCATCTACTACTATGTAATCCTCAACTTCAACAATCCGACCGCACTCAAAATGTCTGTTTGGTGGGTATCCTCATTCTTTGGTATGGGCAAACAAATTCCTAACACGGGAAATCCAGGAGCTTCGATGTAAGCACGGAGATTACAATCCCACACGATTGACTGTTGATTTGTTATTTATTGCAGGGTACCATAGTTTTGACGGTGAGGCCTCACGATCCCTGCTTCGGGCTCACAAAAGACTCGACATAGTCATGACTCACGACTTGATTCTCAGGCGGTGATCACCTGCATTGCACACGGGTTTGATCTCTCTGCTACGACTGACAAGTCCTTTGTGGATCTAATCAGGTTATGTGTAGATTTTACGCTCGCCGCGTCTACATCTGTAAGATCGCTCCGGCTCAGTGTGCACCGAGTACTGACATACCTCCAAGTGGCAGACCGGAACTGGATGTTGCCATTAGTCATCGTAAGCCGCAGCCCTTCTGAAGCTGTGCGACGAAGCTTATGACCATCTTGTAGGGAATTCTGTCATGCACTCGGCTGCGTATGTCGCGATGGTCCTCGTATGCTTATATCATTTGCTTACTATTGATCTCGCATTCCTTACAGTTTGCGCCTTCAGTACGTGATTATCCATGCTCGTGTTGCGTCGTCTCACATAGTACATGAAAGTCACCGTTCAGAGACTGTACGTTCCATCTAATAGGTAAGTTATAGATCGGTGGGATGCGTGTCTGACATGTTTTGCAGGCTTGTGATCAAGGTCATCGCAGATTTGTCACAAAAGATCGGGGTAATATTTCCACCTTGGACTCGAACAGTTCTTATCATAATTGATTTGCCCACGTCATTAAGGCATTAGTCGGGATCGGCCTGGGTGCCGGTTGTCTCGCTGATTGGATCATATTGGTCGCCTTGGTCTTTCTACTTCGCCGTCGTAGATCAGGGATGAAAGAGTGAGTCAGTTATTAGTCGAACGTTAATGGTCCGCTTGCGTTGGTAAGTGGATATCAGTCAAGTATTTGCTAATCAAATTCTTGCATTCATGTGCCTCTCCAGCACCGACTCCGTGAGTCGTTCAACATCATCACAGACTCGAAACCCATAGCTGAAAGTATGCGGTGCGAAGTTGATCGACAAACTCATCTACTGGACAGTTAACAATGGCTTGTTCACGAGGTATGTGTACGCATTGAAAGAGACTAAAGCTCGGACATTGATGGAACTCGATGCAGTATACTCAACGTGTGCGTCATTGTCACGGTATGTATAGTCTCCCTCTGTTTGAGTGGAGTGCTCTGAGCTCGATGGCGCAGCTACTGGGAATGCCCGACAACATGATCTATTTCGCTTTGGATCTGCTCCTAAGCAAACGTGCGTATACCCATCGTCCACCCTTCAAGCGCCATTCACTGTTTCTCTCTTTAGTCTATGCCAACTCTCTCCTAGCAACGTACATTATTGTCTGGCAACAGTAGTTGTTCTGCACTAATGAATACCGTTATAGGCTAAACTACAGAAGTGTCGCCCATGGGCGGGGTACCGATGACACGGAACCAGCGTATCCGCTTTCTCCACTGAGAGCTCAACAGACCGGCGACACTCTCCGTTTCAACCCCACCACTACGGTATGTCTTCGCGAGAGATCGCAATGCATAGCAATTGAAAGGGGGTGTTCAAGGTTGCAGGTGTCAAGCCCGTGGTACACGTGATGACAACCACCATCACTGATGCTCCGTTTTCAAGCCAGGCTATGGTATGTGTCTTATTGGGGCCGACAAGGACAGGCTCACACACGAACGTTATGGAATGTAGGAGGTCGACGGCGGGGACCAACACTCAGCGCGCGATGGTGACAGTAAGGTGTACCCTCTCGGCAACGTGACGTGAAGCGGGATCTCGCCGCTGCTATGGTGCAGTCCAATGTACACTTAGTGCATCATGACATATTATCAATAACTTACCTGCTCCGTCGACTCGTGATACAATGTTCTTCATCATTCTCTACGAAAACGGTCTTGCAAATATTCTGTATTCTGTAAAACAAGCATCGGGTCTGCACGCGGAATGCTACGAAGTCCTTTGCTAGTGGAGCGCACTGGGGGCCGCGGCGGGTTCGATCACAGCACCTTCGATTCTCGCATTCGGAAGCTTCGCAAAGTTTGTGATTCAGCGCGCATAGGTCTGCACACTCATTCACAGGATTGATTTGAGCGGTGCGACTAAATAAAGATCAATTGGTGTCCGGTGCAAGGCCAGTGCAGTGGATCTTGACTACCATACCAGTATGCCATATGGGCAACTTCTCAGACCTGAAGGCGAAAAGTCCGAGTCGTGATAGGACTGTGGTTACTCGTGAGAGACCTATCGCTTGGGCGCTGTGATAACTTGGAGTACGAAGCGGATGATATTTCAGGCCCTACTACTAGTAGTACCTACAGTCGAAGAGTTGAACCTCCGTCTCTTGAATGGTATGTGCTAGATACCTCTGATGTCCACTCAAGTCCAAAGCTTGTCGCATTCAGAGACGGGTGACAAAAGATGAATAGCCGTCACGGCGACGCCGGCTAACGTACCTACTGAACATCCTTCCATTCTGAATCAGAATACGGAGCCCACCTCCTAGTGACCATATCGAGAAGCTGTCGGCTCTCAATGAGCTCTCCGAGGTGCGCTGGCTTAGTAGTAATCCGAAGCTTGAAAGCAGAAAGCGTATACTAGGCCATGATAGCGTGTTCCAGTTCCTAAATGTGTCTCCCTCGCACTGACATTTGAGATCGGCGTAGACATGGGCTCCGTCAAGGAAGCAATCCTTTATGCTGCGAGCGCGTCCGAGAGTCGGAACTGCAGCGACTGGCGCCAGATTCATCATGCTACTCGTCTGGCCACTGTTCCGAAGAAATCAACCAGTCAAGGAACATCGGGCACCTTGACTTCGAGTCGGAAAACATACCGAATCATGTGGGACCTTCTTTGGCTGTGAACTTGAGAAGGAAGCTTGAGTGCGGAGACAACCGTGAAGCCCATTGTTTGAGAACGATCACAGGGCGTGCCGATAGCCTGAGTAAGCCCTCGTTAGATGAGGCTCTCCTACATATAAACCATCACATCCCAGAGAAAGCTACGGCACCTAGTATATAACAATTCGGCCACTCTTGTCCTCAGGCTGTGCACTGTCATGGCATCGACCTTTCCAATGGTGCAGCAAGACGTCACGGTGTCAAGCCCTCAGAATATCGTGGGGGCCGGAACGGCTTCCATACTGCACAGAGAGAGGAGATACCAGTCATACCAAGGAAGCAACTACATCCTGCCGACAGATGCTGTCGAGAGGGAAAGGTTGGCTTCATTGCCACGGACTTGGCACTGCGAACTAATGTCCATAAAGACTTGCTCTACAGCATAGGGTGCTCCTGCAGGTTCTGAAGAACCGCCTCATCGTGCCTAATGTCACAGTGAACATGGAAGACCATATTTTGGATAGCGGAACGGGATCAGGTGCGTATCAATGTTTGGAAATGACAAGTCTGGTAGCTCACTTTGTCTAGGCACATGGTTGCTGGACGTTACGAACGTTGTTCCTCGCACGACTGTCATACACGGTCTCGACATCGAGCCAGGTCTGTTCCCGCGAGAGGACGACGCGGTTGTCTCGCGCGGCAACGTACAATTCCATGTCGGGAGCATCACCGCGTTACCAGCCGACTGGACCAACGAGTTCAAGCTCGTCAGTCAGCGTCTTCTGATAGTTGCGCTGCGTAGAGAGGAATGGGAATTAGCCCTCACGGAGATGTTGCGGGTCCTCGTACCTGGCGGCTGGGTGCAGTTGGGGGAGATCGGAGCTTGGAAGGCTGGTCCAGAGACGGAGAAGTTCACTGCGCTAGTGAACGCCATCACCAAATCGAAGGGTCTGCTCCTCGACTGCGCCGTCCTCATTCCTACACTGCTTCGTACAGCTGGGTTCACACAAGTCAGCGTTGAGCAGGCGCAGATACCTTTGGGTAAGAATGGGGGCCAGCTTGCCGTCGACGCTCGCAACAATTGGATAGGGGCCTTCCGAGGACTGAAGACGCCTGTACTCAAGGCCGGTGGGCTGGGCTATGTCAGCTCGGAAGCTGATTTCGATTTCATGCTGGACGCGATGGAGAAGGAGATGCAGGAGTCTGCGGATGCGGAGATGGAATACAACGTTATTTGTGCGCAGAAACCTTTCTGATGTAGTGCAGTATAGTATATACACATTCGCCAACGTCAGTCTTGTGGAGGATGACTTGGTGCGGACCGTGTTCGAGCAGTACACGATGCGGATCGATGCGGCGAACACAGGCCCGATCAGCGCGGGCGGGCCGATCAGCCAGCCGACCCGCCAGCCCGTGGCCGCGAACAGCTCTGCGGGCGGGGGTACTCAGTGCTCTGCGGGCGGACGGAGGAGACGCGAAGGGACGCACTGCCCGCTGAGCCCACCGTGATCGTCCGGTCCCACATCCTGGGCAGCGTCGCGAAGCGGACGTGCTCCCTGTCGTAGACGAGGCGCTCGTACTGGGCACGGTGCGTCAGTGCGGAGGAGCGCGGCGCGGGAGCACGAGCGGCGGACGCACGACTTCGTCGGACATCACGAGCAGGTCGTGCGCGTCTGCGAGCTGCGCGACGGCCTCCAGCTCCGCCCGCGTGAACACCTTGCCGACCGGGTTGTGCGGCGTGTTGAGCACGAGCATCTTGGTGCGCGGGGTGATGGCACGTCTGGCGGTGCTATCTCAGCGGGGCTCCGATGCGATTCAGGGAGAGATTAACAGTAGTACCTGAGTTCATCCACGTCCAGAGTCCAAGTCGGCTTGCAGAGCGTCCCAGGCTCGCCTTGATGCGGATGGAGGGGGACGAACACCGGCACGCCGCCATTGAAGACGACGCTCTGGAAGTACTGGTCAAAGAACGGCTCGATGATGATCACCTCATCGCCAGGTTCTACGAACGCGGTGAAGGCCGCATACTGCCCTGCCAAACACATCACTGCCCTGTCCTTGACATATTTGACGATGAGACATACCTTCGTTCGCGCCACTTGTGACGACCATCTCCGTCTCCGTGTCGAGCTCCCTCCCGTGAAACTGCGTACCATAGAACTTCTGGATTGCTTCCCGCAGTCGGGGGATGCCTTTCGGGTGCGCGTAGTGGTTCCCCATCGTGGAACGCAACGCCTCCTCGGCGCCCTCGCGCGCCCACTCCGGAGGCGGGAAGTTCATGTATCCCTGGCCGAGGTTGATACAATCCGAGGGAGGTTGACAGCGCTGTGACGATCGCGTTACCGTTCGCACCCTAGCCTCATCGCGACTCGGAAGGGTCAGATCCACATGAATGAGCACTCACTTGAAGACGGACCATACATCCTGGCGCAGCGCGCGCCCTTCCGTCAGGCGGGTAGCGTGCTTGATACGGGACACGACGCTCCGACGAGCGTGCGACGCGTTGCCTGTTGTGTCCTGAGCTGTCTTGACGTCGGCGGGCGCGTTATTGGCGAGAGCTCGGCGCTGAGCTGCGACCTTCACCGACGGTGTTCTGCACCGGGCCAGCGCAGCGATGGTAGCGGAGCCTCGGGGAGGCATGGTAGATAGGCTGGATGAAGACGGCGAGTGGCATGGCTCTGCCGACTTAGATATGGCATTGGCAGGGGCATGAACTTACCACTGCTCGCTCCCACGGTGAACATGGTGTGAGCATCGCGCTCAAAGCGCCGGGCCTCCCTGGGCCTCCCGCGCTCCGTCGTAGATCACGTCAACTGTCTGCCTGCGAGCACAGCAATCGAATGTTGGGCTGACGACCAGAGGCTGCCGTGGTAGAAGTTCGTTCTGTCGACATCGTCATACGACGTGCGCCTTCATGTGTCTAGACTCTAGAGTGGTGTGCAGGCGATGATATGCACGAATAACGCAGTATCAGGCGTAGAAGCGACACAGGACATGCAGCTCTGCAGTGGAGGAGCGGTCGACTGTTCTACGGAGGAACGTAGATGTAAGTTGCTGGAGGTGGTGAGTCGTCGGTCGTCACAAGTGCGTTAGATCCGTTCATAGCGGTAACGACGCAGCGTAGTGACGTACAAGAAAAACGACTCGTCTTATGTAAGCTACGAGGTCGAGCTATCTGCTTGGAACCTAACCTCGACATCCTTACAGTAGACTTTGGGTAGACTCCGAGTGGTCGCCATTTGACTGCCAGTGCGTTGCATGAAAGGTAGCCCACAGATCTGAATGACGATGCCAATCTTGTTCCACGGTGCTGCTGTCTTCAGTGCTTATCCTGGTTCGCGCGGATACAGGAGCAGATTGGCCAGGACGATTCTCCGAGTCAATGAAACGTTGAAGATACGGTGGCCAGAAATAGGCGCCGTCGGGGTGAGCAATCAATGTCGCGTTTGATGCCGTGCTTGCTTGCAGTCAGCTTACACAATCACCGCAATCTGCAGCGCTGGTCGCGGGATCAGACTCAGAGCTGTATTTTCATCTCCGCGCAGACATATGGGTACTGTGTACATCCCTCCGAGTCGCACCTGGATCAATCTCGATTCCTACCCGCCGTACTGGGCGACTACTGCTGTCAAATTCGAGTCGTAGACGCGAGTTTAGCAACGCCGTCTATAGATCAGCGAACGAAGGAAACTTTGGAATGGAGGACGACGGTTCATGCGAGCGCTCACGCCTCCTGCTCTTCCTGGATATCCAGGTCCTTCGCGACGTCCCGCCACGCGTCCATATCATGCGCGAGCCGCTCCGAGTGCGCCCTCGCATTTACATACGTCGCGTTCCCGAGCAGGAGCCAGAACGGCATCGGCCTGCCGCCGCGCACCCCTCGCCGCGCACGACGTCGACGATGACCTCGACCGCGCGGTCCGTGTCGCCGCGCGCCTTGTGCCACAGCTGGTTGAACCGCGCCATCTCCTCCTCGCGCATCGCGTCGTATGCGGGGATGTGGTGCGCCATCACGTACGGCGCCGTGTGCAGCTTCTCCGTGCGGAAGTGCCCCGGCGCGACGAGCAGCACCTTCACGTTGAACCGCGCGACCTCCGCGGCGAGCGTCTCGCTGTATGCTGAGGGGAAGCCCGACTCAGTGGGTCAGCCCTTGCTGCGAGCACAGACTCACCGTGGATGGCCGCTTTCGACGCGATGTAGTATCCTGTCATCTGTGCGACCGGTCAGCCGCCGACAGACTGTATGCGTCGGGAAGGACCACGTACGACCGCATCCGGCTTCCAGACCGACCTGCTCCCCAAGAAGACGACGGTCCCGGACCTGCGGTCGCGCATATACGGCAGGATCGCGTGCGTGACGTTCAGCTGGCCGAAGAAGTTCACGTTGAACTGCTCCAGGGCCGTCGTGGACCTTCAGACAGCCCGCGTAGTCAGCGCGGCGGGCACCCGGGCGAGGGCCGACGACGAGGCACGCACCCTCCCTCCTCGAGCAGGCTCTTCGGCGCGTTCCCTGCGTTGTTCACGAGGACGTCCACCCTGCCCCACACGGCGACGGCCTCCGCCGCCTTGCGTTTGATGGTGTCCTCCGGCTCTGTCACGTCGAGCTCGAGGATGTGCAGGCCTGCAGGGGGAAGTCGGCGCGCGCGCGTACGGTCGCGACGACGGAGTCGCCGCGCTCGAGGATTGCGCGAACGAGGCGCTTGCCGAACCCTGAGGACGTGCCTGTGCGGGTAAAGGAATGTCAACCCACTGCTAGTAGTAGCTGCACGCCGGCCGTGAGGCGCGTGAGGCCTTGAGTGCGAGGGCGCGACAGGGTGGGTGAGCGCGAATGCTCGAGGGCCCGCGTTCGCCGGAATGGCGTGTATGTACCTGTGACGAACCACACCTTTTGTTTGGATTGTGAGGCTGGAGCCGCGTCGGAGACGGCAGACATCGTGTACTTGGTGGGACGGGCGAGGCGGAGGAGGGGAGATGGGTATCGGCAGTGGCAGCGGCATTCCGATCATGTGTAGGCTGATCCTAGTACCCCCCTAGCTAAGCCGCTCCCTTGTTACTACAACATACGCGGAATGCTTGTATTGAGACTGGGACTGGGCGCGCGAAAGTTTACCTTCCCCCGCGTGGCATCGCAACTCAAAACCACAATTCTATTCTTGTAGCATGATATGTGAATGATGCGTTCTGCGGTAGATGAAAGGCTAATACGACAGTGATCCAGGACCGACACCCAACACCCCACTTACATGATCACCGGCGACCATATGCACCGGAGCCAACCATGATATATGATACAACACCCTCCATTTCATACTTGTGATGTGATCAATCAGACCAGACCCGGGACCACAGAAGCCGTCGTCCGTCCTTCGCCGCCGCTCTCCCCGACCCCGAGACACTCCTCCACCGTAAGAACCTGCACTTGTTCCGCAGGCTGCAACGTCTTCTCGCTCGCCATAGGGGACTGATAAAGCTTGCTCTTCTCCGCTTCTGTCTCCGACGACGGGGCACGTCCGATCACGCCTATCCCGCGCATGCCCAGGACGCACAGCAGGAAGCTCGCCGCCGTGAGGCCGAAGGACATCCAGCCCGCGACGCGGAAGCCCGCCTCGAGCACGGCGGGGTCGGACGGGGAGAGCTCGGGGTGCCGTGCGTTGTACGACTCCGAGACCGCGTTGGCGACGCTCGAGGTCAGCGCCAGACTGATCGACGTGCCGAGCTGCAGTGCCATGCGCGGGAGAGTCAGGCTGCTACGGAGCGGTTACGGGGGAACGCGGCTCACCCGCGTCGCGACGTTGAAGATGCCCCCCGCGAGTCCGCCTTGAAGGATATGCTCAGCTGCAGGTTCCCGACCGTGTACGCGACGTCCGTCCAGCTGATGAAGATCATGACCAGGAAGCCCGTTCTCCAGTAGCTCGCGTGGATGTCCATCAGCGTGAATACAAGGGGCGCGATCTGTCGGGCACTGGTCAGCCAGCGAGGCGGCGTGAGCGGCCGAGCGCACCATTGTCCCCAGCAGCCCCACTGCGATGAGCACGTCCCCGCGCACCCGCCCGAGCAGCCAGCCCGTCACGACATTCGCGATAAGCGCGACGATCGCAAACGGCAACGTCTGCAGGGACGTCTCCGCCGGCCGCAGCAAGCGGACCTCCTGATAGTAGAGTGTGACGAAATAACTGAGCGCGTTGTAGCTCGCCCTAGAGCCCCGTGTCAGCGCACTGAAGGGAAGGCGCACCGCCGCCGGGCTTACCACGCCAGAAACACGACACCGACGACAGGGCCCATCTTCGCGCCGGGGATGGACCAGATGCTGACCGGCATGATGACCGACTTACCGTGCCTCTCCCGGTACGCCTCCCAGAGTACGAAAAGCACGAGGATCGCCAGCGAGACCACCAAGAGGACAGGGACCCACGGCGTCCTCCACCCGTTCCGAACTGCCGTCGATTCACTAACGCGGGCTCCCGGTCAATACGATTTGGCTGACATGTCAACGCCACATACGACAGGATGAACGTCAACAGGCCAAGCCCGGAGACACTTAAGAAGGCACCGACCCAGTCGATGCCTAGCTTGTATCTTGTGTGCGCTTGGTCGGCCGGTATCGTGACGACGCCCAAAACGAAGAAGACTGCCGCCATGCCGCCCTGGATGTAGAAGATGACTCGCCAGAGGGACGTCGTCTGGCACAGGAACCCGCCTACAGTGATGTCTTCAGTACGAGAATGGCTGCTGTACAATCGCGGCGTGCATCTGACCTCCAATGAGCCCGACAATGTATCCAATCGCCTGACCGGCGCCGAGCGCGGTTATAGCTCTGTTTTTGACCTTCCCGGATCGAAAGTGTCCGGCGAATATGCCGATACCTGGGACAGATTACATCGCGCATCTAATACACAGCACACCATAAAACACACCTGTGGGTGTATTCGCTGCGGCGCCGACGCCGGTAAGGGCGATAAACACGATCAAGGCGTATTTATTGGGCGAGACGGCCGTGGCGAAGCTCCTCCATAACAGCGCGCATCGACTGAGCGGGTGCCCTTGAGCAGAGGACGACGTGCTCACCAGATTGTGAACCAACCTGTCCCGAAGAGGAACATTCGCTTGTTGCCGATCACGTCGGCTATCCGACCGGAGAGCAGGAGCAGGCTTCCATAAGACAACCTGCACGGTGGAATCCTCGTAAGTGCGACGTCATCCACGTGCTGTCTGCAACATACGCATAGACATTGAGCGGCCACTGCATCTCGGACTCGGTGAAGTGCAGCGCTTTACCCATTGTGGGCAGCGCTATGATGAGAGCACCATTGACGAAAATCTAGTCAGAGGGAAGCATCGATTAGGTTCGAGAGGCAAGTACTGGCGAATAGGCAGAGTAGATAACGCACATTGAGTATAGTGACGCCGGATACGGACAGTATGAAGAGCCAAAGCCTGAGAGGGGACATCGTGGCCATGTTCCCGTGGTGGGGTCCAAGCAGTCTCCTGTGTCTGAAGAGAGCGGGCGAGTGGGCGGGTCGCTGCTCGAGCAGCCGTGATCAAAAGCAGACTGTCGCACAACACGGCCAATGATCTGGGGGTGGACATCATATCACAGTGATTATACAGGAGGACTGAGGTGCAGGCGACTCATTCCGGAAGATGCATCACATCCCTGTATTCCTCCCGAGTCGTATTGTGGATAGACCATCGCAACAGCAAGGCACTGAGAATGGCAGCGTGAGCCATGCGCCCATTGGAGAATGGAGACGCTTGTTCCGATGAGGACGATTACCACGATTGAGACTGCGAAATGGAAGGTGCGACGAACCCGGGCACGCTTGCATCAGCAGATATGGACGCACCTAGCTATAGGAACCTCAGGCCGTCGACGAAGGTGGGCTATGATAGAAAACTCCGCACATACTCTGGCCCTTCTGCACCGCAAATGTGGATGGCTATTGTGTAACAGAAGACACACTCCCCAGCCCTACATAGCTGGCGTTAGGGTGCACCGCAGTTCGAGTCGCATTGACCCGGATCCGTACAGCATTTGTGGCCGCCGCGTTATCAACCGCCCTGCGACTCGCGAGGCGGTGAGACAGCGAACCTTCGTGGCGCAGCCTGACAGCCTGTGATCGTGATACGTCAGCTCAGAATTGCAGAATTGACGCATCGTCAGTTACCCCATGGTATGCCGCTGTCAATCCTACCTTTCAAGCTTTTTGTGGAAGATGGAAAAACGCTGTCAAGCATCATGACCAGCGCTGAGCGCTTCACGTGTACGGCCCCCAGACAGCGCTGACCGTGGGAGTCCGCCTCTAGATCTGATTCCGCCGTCGCGGAGTGAATGTTAGAATCGCGACGCCGTTTGCCCGTAACGTATGAAGGCCCTGGCCGGACAGAACCTATTACGGTTTGAGGATAGCGGATTTCGTTTTCAGCCTCAAGTTCAAGTTCGTTTGACGGTTTCAACTTCGGCTAACGGTTTCGGCTAACGCCGAACGGTGGCGCCGGGTAGTATCTGGGCGTCTATCTAATGACTGGGCTGCTTTAACTGTACTATTACGACTAACTACTACGAGAAGATAGACGGACCAGTGGGCACAGGCAACACAGTAGGTGAGCGAGGAAGCAGGGAAAGAGTGCAAGCACATGTGCAAGAGGACGGGGCGCGAGTGGCGGCGGGTGAGCATGAACGAGAGGACGGGGAGGCAAGAGAGAGAGCAGTGAATCGAGTCAAGAGGGTCGAGAACGCTCACAGATCCCTCGCCTTCTTTCAATGCTCCTGTTCGCCCCGAGTCCTTTCGCGCATATCGTTTGATGGGCCGTCATTTGACTGTATTGCATCATATGAACGGTTGAACCATGGTGTGGTGCGCGCCGTCCATTGCATACGAGTCGTACATCGAGCGCTGTTCCACTTGCATTTGCTCAATCTCGTCTCACTGCTGCCTAGCCCGTTCTATCTCTCTTTATATCTGGTCCGCTGCCATCCTCTCGCCTGTCCACTCGTCCTTTCCCCGCTCGCTTGTCTTCTCGAGTCTTCCGAGTCCCCTCCCTCGCAGTCTACCCTGCTCACTCTCTTGTCTGACCGCTTTTGTACTCTCGCGCCGCTATGCTCTTGTCTGGTCACGCAGGCTCTCTGGCTCCCTCAAAGCGTGCACTCGATCGCTTGATCACCCGCTCGCTCAACTGCTTGTGATTCCCATGAGCATCCGCGTGGATTGTCGCAGAAGTAGCGGTGAGTACGTAAGTACCTTGTTATACGTGCATTTTCTGACGTAGGATTTTGGCATCCTGCCAGTGTGGATCAGTTACGCATATAAAATGGATTGCGCGCGCCATTGTGCGTAGGATTGTCGCACGCCATGGGGTGGATGGACGGCCGTGCTGTAAGCGAAGTTGAAACCTCGGATTGAAGTTGAAGTTCACTGTACGAAACTCTGATATTTTTGTCCGGCGGCTCGCTTCATATATAACTCCTTACTGACATGATCTCCAGAGTTTTGTTACGCAACAGGCCCGATCCTACCGGGACAACATGTGTGATTCTAGTCTTCGAAGTCGCAGACCATAAAAGCCGACAAGCGTCTATGATGGTGTGATTCGGAGGAACTTAAATACTGAATTGAGAACATGTTCAGAGTTCGAAACCTTGACTCAGTCAGTGAGAGGAGGAGGAGGAGATCCATTTAGCCATCGACCGACAGCCACAGGCGCCGTCGGCGTCTTGACGATGACAGCGCTCACTAACTACAACTGTTCTATGTCTTCGGCAGGGCATGCATGCAACCGAGATTCCCTTGGAGACTCCGTTAACTGAGAGTCTCCTCCATGTAATGGTACTGATGTATCGAGTGACCATCGTCGCCTTGGCCTTGAGGCGGCCTATGGACCGTAATTTATATAGATGCCCAGGAATAGTCCTCGACAATAGGTTTTGTTCGAGGAGGACCTTATGTAATTCGCCTTATATAGTAAAGGAGAGTGGTCCCGCTTTGGGAAATGTTACGACGGATTGGGCAAGTGTCGTTTCGTTAGGCGCTGGCGCTGGACCCTCGACAGCCATCGACACGGGCACACACGGGCAGCACGGGCGACTCGCCTTCGGTTTCATGGAGATACATTACACCTGCGCGGCCGCACGGGAAGCCTTCTAGCATAAGTGAAAGTAGAGCTTAAGTATTACAAGCGCTGAGGAAGTCGTTTGGCGCCCACAGGCTGGCATGCAACCAGCAGCTGCCCGCAAACTGAGCGACACCTATGTATGTTCGTGTCCGACTCGTTATCATGAAGTTCGACCGAACAATGGGCACGGCGAGAAGATGAGGACTCAGACCGCAGCGCGCCCGCTAGCCTTTCGAGACTTCTGGCAAGCCTCCGTCAATACCTCCAACAGTCCAACTTCTCTACCAGGCTCTCGGTCTACTGAGATATTGTTGACGCCGTATCTCAACTGGATGGAATTCTGTCTGTGTGCATTGTCGTGCTTTCCCCGAAAGCCGTCTACCTCCATCGAGAGCAGCCGTATCATATAAGACGAATGTGTCTGCCACCTGCATTGGCTCACCAGCACCCCCGGGCGACTGTCTACTGTTGACTTGCTTTGGAGAATGCTGTACGTGGAACGCTTCTCCTAACAGTTTTTGTGAAGTTATGCGACTTATCCTCGCCACCACAGACTAGATCCCAGTACGAAGTACTCGCCGTACACTGCCGTTGACCTTCATGGTCGCGAATGGCCTCTCAAGCGCATAACGCACCATCCAGTATGGGTGTCCACCGACTTGCGGGACGGCAACCAGGCTCTCGTTCGCCCTATGACTCCAGACCAGAAGCTGCGCTTCTTCCGCCACCTGGTCCAGTGTGGTTTCAAGGAGATCGAGGTCGGGTACCCGGCCTCGAGCGAACCAGAGTTCGACTTTGTCCGAAGTTTGTTTCATGACGGCGAGATACCAGACGACGTCTGGATCCAGGTCAGCGGATTCGCTACCAGAGCACATTTTAATCTGACGTACTGTATGCTTGCAATTGACAGGTGATGACCCCCGCCCGTGCAGAGTTGATCAGTCGCACATTCGAGGCTATCGCCGGGGCTCGTCGAGTCATCGTCAACCTCTTCAATGCAACATCACCATGTTTCCGGGAAGTCGTGTTTCGCAAGAGCAAGGAAGAGATCATCGATTTGGCGGTGCGACATACGATCATCGTGCGCCAGCTTGTGGACGAGTATGGCGACCGCTTTGGCACCCGATTTCGGTTTGCCTACGGCGTCGAAGCCTTCACCCAGACAGAGCCAGAGTACATCGTTGAGATCTGCAGCGCTGTGAAGCGTACGTGGGGATTAGCTGGACCAGGTGACGACCGCATCATACTCAACCTACCGTCTACTGTCGAAGCGGGCCCTCCCAACCACTTCGCGGACCAGGTGAATATATATTCTTGTTCTTCGTGCCTCTCCTGATCTTGTTGCGCACCTGCACAGGTCGAGTACTTCTGCAAGCACATCCCAGACAGAGACGAGGTCATAGTCGGTCTCCACTGTCACAACGACAGAGGCACGGCCGTCGCTGCGACAGAACTCGGTCTGCTCGCCGGCGCCGAGCGAGTCGACGGTTGTCTGCTTGGGAACGGAGAGCGGTCGGGCAACGTAGACCTCGTCACCGTCGCGCTCAACATGTACACGCAAGGCGTACCCTGCGGACTGAATTTCACCGATATACAATCCACGATCGACCTCGTGACCGAGCTCACATCCATCCCTGTCCATCCCCGGCACCCCTACGCCGGGGAGCTCATCTTCACCGCTTTCTCTGGGCAGCACCAGGACGCGATCAAGAAAGGGCTCGAGGCCCAGGCGGCGCGGCACGCACTTGCGAAAGGCACCGGCCAGCCGCTGCTCTGGGACGTTCCGTACCTCCCGCTGGATCCCGCGGACATCGGGCGGACGTACGAGGCTGTCATCCGAATTAACTCCCAGTCTGGCAAGGGCGGGATCGCGTACGTCATCAAGGAGCACCTGAAGGTAGACCTCCCGCGGTCCGTACAGCAAGACTTTTATCGCGTCGTCCAGGAGCAGACGGAGCGTCGCGGGTGTGAGCTGTCCCCCGACGATATCGTGGCGGCCTTCCATGAGACGTACCACTTTTCAAGTGTCCACTCGCGGGCGTGGATTTCGCTTGTGGACTGCGTCGTTTCCGAGAGCACGCCGCAAGACGGCGGACATACGGTCGTCTTCAAGGGTGCAGTGGCGGTCAACAAAACGACACACACCTTACACGGCGAGGATGCGAATCTCGCTTCCGCAGTGGTCGAGGCACTTCATACTAGCCTCAGTGTTAACTGCTGCTTAGTCAGGCCCACACAAGCGGCGGAGGCATCTCTGCGTACGCGTCCTTCGTGTTACTCGCCGAGCGCGGGGATGAACGGTCATCTCCGCTGAGTACATGGGGGGTGGGGATGGACCCGGACGCCTCTCGCTCTACCGTGCTCGCCGTGCTGAGCGCAGTCAACAGGTTTTTCGGCGGTGTTCCAGGCTCCGCCACCATTGTCGGAATGCCTGGTCGGTCGGACGGACAAGCCGGTTCGCAAGGATAGAGACGGGTCCTGGTGATGTTTTAGATGTTCATCAGTATGTTGTACTTTTAGTTAGACTCGTGTAAGACGTACCGCTCGCGCTCGTGCTTATGTGAGACATACATCCCTCGTGACTTGGACGGTGGCCCCAAACTTGAAGCCACCATGTGCAAACCATGTGTGTTGTAAGTTGTCTGTCTGACAGCCGGGCCGGGAAGAAGCAGAGTGTCAAACTGCGTCATTTTGGTCATGAGGAGGAGATGGGGGGTCCCTTTAGCCATCGGCCGGGGACGCGGCGTCTTGACGATGACAGCGCTCACTAAGTTTTTTTTAATCTCCGAGCTTCACGCGCACGCGTGAGTTACAAGACATACTTCGCCACAAAAAAAGGAAGAGCGCACCTGCCACCTGCTCTACGTACATGCACCCTCAATAATTGATAGCTATGTCCCTGCAATAGAGGGTCGGCATCAACTAGTATGTACGTAAGTTGATTCCACCGCCTCCATAACACTGCCCATTACCTTCATAGTGGCCCACCAGGATCAGCTCCACCTGCGTCGTCGTCGGGTTCGGCTGCGTAGGGTATCTGGATTTTGAGGCCATCAATGGAAGCAAAGCGTCCGCCGCGAAGTGTGGTGCATTCATTCAGCGTTCTGTCAACATTTCCACCCTCAATCATACTGCATACTTCTGAACAAGATCGGAGGAAATGAGATTATGTTAGGGTTGCTTACGCTTTGGCAGCACTTCAAGTTGATACAAAGCACCGGACCCGGAAAGAACCTCATGGGACGTCGAGTGCTTGAGCAGTTGCGCGCTAGCTTGCAGGTCATACACCTTGACATCCTTATCCGAGGGGTGTTTCCCACTGTCGCTGTCGCCCTGTCATCCACATGCATGAGTATTACCATAGGCTCGTAGGCCAGACATACGCACAAGAACGGCCTCGCCCTGAGTGGCAGTAGCGTCCGAGTCGGTGACGGTGTCAGTCATAACGTGAACGACGGGCGCTGCGCCCGAAACCTTGTCGGGTGGCATCAGCTATACTACGCGGATTGGTCGCGGTTCATTTGCGCATTTGCGCTTTGCGACTTGCATGAGCGTACGTTGAAATATTGGCAGCCTGAGCGGCATATCCTGTGGTAACTGACGACGCGTCGACGCTGCAATTCTGACCTGACGTTTAGCACGATATAGCAGCCTGTCAGGTTGCGCCACGACTGAGGTTCGCTGTCTCACCGCCTCCGAGTCGCAGCCTTTGAACAGCTTTCGTACGTTGTAGACAGCACGTGGATAGCGTCGTATTGCTGCTCACGAAGGTTCCACCGTGCAGGTTGTCTTATGGCAGGGAAGCTTGCTCCTGCTCTCCGGTCGGGATGACCGACGTGACCGGCAACAAGCGCATATTCATCTTCGAGACGGGTTGGTTCACAATCCGGTGAGCACGTCCGACTCGTCGTCTGCTCAAGGGCACCTGCTGAATGCATGCTGTTGTGCAGGAGCTTCGCCACGGCCGCGTCGCCCAATAAATACGCTATGACCGTGTTCGTCGCCCTTACCGGCGTCGGCGCCGCGGCGAATACACCCACAGGTATGTTTTTATGGTATGATTTGTATTGGACGCGCGACTCAATGTGTCCCAGGTATCGGCATGTCAAAAAGAGAGCTATCAGCGTCGCGCTCGGCGCTGGTTAGGCGATGTGATACTTACACTGTTGGGCTCATTGGAGGTCAGATAGTACACGCCGTTGGCCTTTCATCTATCGCAGAACGCACCATTCACGTCTCGTAATAGAAAAATAGAATTGTGCTCTTAGACTTGCGATGCCGCATGGGACAAGGTACGAACTGGCGCGCCGAGTTCCAGTTTCAGTCCCACCTAAAAATGCATCTGTTCTGCGGACTTTGTGGCGAGGGAGTCACTTAGAGACCACAGGATCAACTTACGCATGATCGGAACGCCGCCGTTAGTGCCGAGAAGCCCGTTAGAACCCCTCAGGCTCCTCCGCCTTAATAGTGGCGAGAGCGGTCGACGCTACCTCGCCCGTCCCACCAAGTAACTTACACGATATCCGACCAAAAGGTCTAGTTCGTCCGACAGATACAGTACGTACACGGCCACTTCCTGAGCCAATGCACGGAAGCCCTAGAGTACATAGTCATGCTCACCCGCCCTGTACTCGCAGATGGCGCTGCTAAAGCCGCGCCTACTAAGTGCTCCTATTGAACAGCAGTAGTCGCCTACAGCGGGTAGGCATCGAGATTGTTGATCGGCGGGAGGAGCCTACTAAGGGGTGTACACATGTACCCATATGTCATGCGCGGAGATAAATCTATGACAGCTCTGAGTCTGCTCCTGTCTGATCCCGCGACCCTCAGCGCAGATCTGCGGACGATTGTATCAGCTGACTGTAAGCAAAGCAAAGCACGGCATTAAACGCGACATTGATGGTGCACCCGACGGCGCCTATCTCTTTTGCCTCCGCGCTCCATTGACTCAGAGCATCGTCTTGCGCCCCTATCCACGATGCCAGCAATACCGAACTGGAAAGACAGCAGCGCCGTGATACAGGACTGGCCACGTCATCTATTCTGATCCACGGGCTACCTTCGATCCAACGGCCACTCCGAGTCTCCTCCCGGCGGAACGCTTCCTGTCACCTGCAGACTTGACCAGCAGCCAGGCCTGCAGCACCGCCATGCCACTCGCCGTCCTCATCCGTCCTACCCAACATGCCTCCCAGTACTTACTTGGCTCCGCTAGCATCGCTGCGCTGGCCCGGTGTAGAAAACCGTTGGTGATGGTTGTTCCGCGCCGAGCTCCCGCCAACAGCCCGCCCGCCGACGTCAAGACAGCTCAGGATTCGAGTGCCGCAAGCAACGCGTCGCACGCTCGTCGGAGCCTCGGGTCTCGGTTGGTGGAAGGGCGTGCGCTGGGCCAGGATGTGTGATCCGTCTTCAAGTGAGTGTTGCCTCGCGTGGATCTGCTCCTTCGCGCTGAGCCTACTAGTAGGGTGCGGATGGTACTGCGATCGTCACAGCGCCGTCAACCTCCCTTCGGATCGTATCAACCTCGGCCATACATGAACTTCCCGCTTCCGGAGTGGGCACGCAAGGGCGCGGACTCGGAGGAGGCATTGCGTTCCACGATGGGAAACCACTACGCCCACCCGAAACGCACCCCCTGAGTGCGGAAAGCAATCCAGATGTGCTATAGTACGCAGTCTCACGGGAGGATGCCTGAAACCGAGACGGAGATGGTCGCCACGAGTGGCATCGATGTGGGCGCGGCAGCTGCAAGGCTCGAGCGCGCGGAGGACCGCGGGTTCTTCGAGCAGCAGACACGGGAGTACGATGAACGGAAATCATGGTGGCGAGGCACGACAAGAGGCTTGGTGGATTGACGGATGTTGGTATTGACTCTCTAACAGGTACCGTCTATCGGTCCCTTCCCTGAATGTGTGGCCACTGCTCATTACGGAGCCTCAGGTCATTCTTCGAGTCAACGGCTGCCAGTCCAGGCTAGGTCATTCGCATCCCCACCCGCAGCTGGATAGCTCGCTTACTAGACCGGCATTTAGGCGTGTACGAATCTATACTTAGACATCGCAACTGAAGAATCGAACTCACAAGTGGGCGTCATAGGCTCTCTGAGTGACAATCGTGGCCGTGCGTCGCTCTCCTGCCGGCAACATCCGATCACGGCTCATCCCAAGATCCCCAGCCTCCGTCGGACACCCGCTTTCTGTCGTCAAAACCCACACACAGGTGCGTGTCTGTGTCGACCTGCGATGATTACTGTAACTCGCCTCGTATGCTCGCTTCGGACACTCGGCTGACCTCGCCGTCAGGCATAATATTCTCCGGTTCTACAAACGCCCGCTAGATGCGTTCTCCACCATCATTCGCGAAGACGGTCTGAGGGGCTTGTTCCGTGGCGTCCATGCTGCAGTCCTACGCAGCGCTATTACTATAGGTGGCTCGGTGCGTTCCGTCGCCCTTCTTGGCCTGTCGCACTGGCACTAGCAGCTCACGCGAACGCTCGCGCCATCCCCATCGACCCGGAACACGCAGGTCCAAATACCGAGCCACGTGTGAACCAAGACACAGCTTGCGCGCCACAACCTCGGCAGTGCGGACAGCAACGAGACGTGGACCGTCCCGCGCGCAGCGTCGTCTCTGGCGCAGTGTTGGTGCATGTCGGATCCGTCTCGTGTTCCTTTTAGCCAGGCTCTCGCTTACCTGGCGCCAGTGCCTCGTTGTGCTACCAGCACATACGACGCTCACCCACATGTACGATCAGCCGACGGTGCGTGGGCCAGGTGGCCGCCTCATCGGCGCGCTGTACAGGGATCCCCTCGATTGCTTGTGGAGGACGCTGAAAGCGGAGGGCATATATGGTTGGTACAACTGTACGTTACTGCCCGCCCTCTCACGGTGAAGCATGTGGTTCACAGCCTTGGTTTCCGCTTACCCCCTCGCGATGGGCTCAGGTTCCACCGCACTTTCTCTGAGGATTGCACCTCACACGTGAGTGTCAGCCTCCTGCGTCTTTACTGCGACACCGTTCCAGGTCAGCGAGAGCTAACTTGAGCACCTTGACACGTAGGGTCGTCGCGTCGACCGTGAACGATATATATTCCGTTCTGCCTGCTAGCGCGAGAGGAACTATTTGAGTCAGTGGGGTGGCTGAGGGATCATACAGGATCGACAGAGACAAAATTTCAGTATATGCGAGGATTACGAAGTCGCGTTTTACGCTGCCTTAGCAGCGAAACGTCCCACAACCGCAAGTAGCGCTAGTGCCTGTGAGCTGTGCGCCTTATCGATCATCCCTACGTCGTGCTTGTATTTTGTGGTACACGCTCAACTTTCGGACGATGTCGACCAACTCGGAGCCTTGGACGATGGAATTTGAAAACTCGACGGACGAAAGCGTTCAGCAGCGAACATTCTTACATTTTGTTACACGTATAGTGCTACTTAAATATACGGTTACGTACCGTCCAAGGAAAGCAGGAGAACTTCGTATTGCTAATCAACGTCTTTGGCCTCAGCCTCAAGACCTGTGCTACCATGCTGGAAGGCTATTGAGTGGAACTTAGCCTGTTTCATTCCCGTGACCTTGAGATTCCAGTCACGACGCAACACGGGTGCTACATGGGACCCGATTTGTACACCGAATCTACGTGTCCGTTGTACATGTCACAATCTACATTAAAGACACAGCTGCGAGCACTGAGAGACGCCAGTGCTTGAATAGACTACAACCCAGCACCCAGGCCATAGTCCGTCTTATCTTGGGATCGCTCTACGTCATCCAGGGAGGAGGGATGAACCGCAGGCGGAACTTCCACTGTTACTGGACGCATAGCAAAGGACATTTCTGTGTGCGTAGTACCACCGCGGCCGAAATAATCGTTGGCAGCAGGCATTGAGTCGGTATTGGCTCGTTGTGCCCAGCCTAAGCCCACGCGGACATTGATGAGCATGAACGCTATGCCGGCCATAGGACAGAGCGTATCGATGGTGAAGAATTGCAGGTTGCTTTTGGCCTCATATGTGCCGAGGAAAAAGATGGTATACGACCTGAAAGAAGGCAAATATCACCCCACATTCTATATGCATAAGGTAGGGATCACCTACGTGTAAATGGCGGCACTCTCCACCATGGTAACAAGCACGTCCTTGCGACAGAAATTGTCAACAATGGCACGAATCCGGCAACTTCACGCATCATACTCACCATTAGGTTTAGACCACTGAAGGGATTCATCCGTTGGCGTGCCGCCCAGACACGATAGGCAATCCCACCTGAGCAACGTAGTATTAGTCGATAAGTCGAGATGCCGGTCCAGGATACTCACACGAGCTGTAGACATTGGTCCTATCGAGGGAGTCAGTCTCGGGATCAATATTATGATGGTTAATACGTACACGAAAGTACACGCATAGCATGCGGTGACCCAATGGGTCAAGGCAGTGGCGAAGATGCTACCTCGTACCTGTGTCTGCAGGTAGATAGCTACAATCCCTGCAACTGATAGAATGATCCAATCAGGACATATACGAAGGACCACAGTTTGATAGCCGTACCGCAGAGTACCAATTCAGCGCACATCGGTAAGATAACCACCCAGTAGTTGTGATTCCAGACAATCCATAGCCGGTAGATCTGGAATGTGGGGTTAGCTTGCATTCACCGTGAATGTCGATGATGCGCACCAGCATAGAATCGCACGATACCAGTGTGGCGATGAGGAAAGATGTCTGGGCAGCTTCACTTGACAACCAAACGGCGGAATAGTACTCAAGTGGTGAATTGCCGCCATTGTAGTTGACAAATGCATCGAATAGCCGTACAACCGTTGTGATCCAATGCTAGCAACGCCTTTCCATGAGCTCACTGTGAATTCATGTTGCATGAGGCTCTACCACATACGCCAGTCACCGTGATCGTAGTGAGAATTGAGCCTAGAAATATCGGCCCCCACAGAGCAGCGAACCGACGTGGTCGAGTTCGTGGAGAAGACGCAGCACGGGATATGTGAAAAAATATGGACGCCGATGAAAGGACGAGGAACATCCCGTAAAAGACACTTTCCAGTGTTACAGTTGCCAGGTTAGCGCTAACAAGAGGTATTTGGGACATGTCTGTGGTGCGCCCACAAGGGATTTAGTATGGCGGCAAATCCACTCCTCGTGGTAATATATAGGAACTGTGGACATACGTTAAGCGCGCAAAGACGCTAGTCTCCGACGCGCCTGGCAGTGCAACCGTACACACCTATACATAGCTGCTTATCAAGGACTCGGATGTGATGCACTGCAGCTGGGTGCTTCGCGATGGCTTCCCATGCTTGCCTCAGGCTTAAAGAGGGAAAAGGAACGTCTTTTCGATGAGATGATGATAACGGCGCGTCCAAATATCGTTCATATCAACGACAACGACTTGTGCTACGTCAGACGCAGTTGAGGCAATCAGCGCTCAGCGTTATTGCAACGTTAATAGCGCAGTACAGAAGAGATCTTGCCACTTGGAGGAGGAGGGTCCATTTGGCCACCGACCGACGGAATATCGGAGGACCTAAAGTTTTGATGCGTGTACACTTCGAAGTTCAGGCCTTCAGGCCTGTGAGGAGGAAAATGAGGAGGAAGGGATTCCATTGAGTCATCACGCTCGAGCGCCGCAGGGCGGGTCGCTGGCACGCGTGACACGTGTCAAGCGACTCCGACGAGGAGGAGCCCACCGCGGGCTTCTTGAAAGCAATTGACGATGACAGGGCTCCCGTCCCTTCCGTCACTAATTGTCAGCCCCTCCAGAACACCCCGATGGTATCAGTCGCCGCTAACTTATACGCTCAAGTGAAGTGTTGCATGATTGGCAAATGAAAGCTTTGAAAGAGATCGCAGTCTCGTACTTAGAGGATTCGCACGGTATGTACTACAGCCACACTGGCCCGCTGCCATGAACAGCCTCACTAGACCATAACGCACTTCACCAGAGGAACGGTGATAGCATACGAAAACGGTCTCCCATCCTTGGCTGTATCAGTCACTGACGACTGAGGAACACCCTTGGTCAGTAAACGAATTTGCAGGCGGCAGACATACACTTCGGAGCGTGCCAGTGGTGAGCCAATGGTGATTGGAACCGGTGGCCGGACTTGAGCTCGAGGCCTTGAAGGACTGACCGGGGAGCCCGAGACAGCTTGTAGTGAATGATACTTTCGAACTCCACGATGTTGAGTCAGATGGCCTGGAGTATCGGAGTCAGCCGAAGTGTATCAGTGTATCACACTTCGAAGTTCGTCCACGTAGTACCCCGAGCATGTTGAGACCCGAGCACCTGGCACCCTTCCCGGTACGTGTTGATAAGCCAAATTAAGTTCAAGAGAGAAGGCGCTTTGAGTGCGAGTCCTGGAGGCACCGGCGTACTATAGCTTAGGTAGCAATGACGGTTCCGTCGTGATGTTTGCAGACGTAGCAGAATTCGCAACTACGTGATCGCGCGTCGACCACATTCAAGTTGGCAACAGTCGATTAGCCCATTGTGATGAAGGAGGAGTCTACGCCAAGTATCGTCAGCCCACCGCGTGGTATTATTGTACGTACGTGCCGTATCATGATATACCGCAACATGACTTGCCTGATTGGATCACTCGGACTTTGTGGCACAGAAGAAGATTGGGTTCGAGGGTCGGGGCTGAATTCGAAGCGCTGAGCCGAGCAGAGTCGAGGACCGTAGCATTCCGCATAGAAGAATGACAGCTTGACTTTCATATCCGCGGACCAGTCACCCCCGAGATGGTGCCAGTGCACGCAGTCAGAGTATGTACCAATAGTAACCAACCTCTGGACGGTAGCTGGCTTATCACCGCGATATCCGCTAGCACTTGAGCCCACGCGGCGCGTCATTTCGAACTATTAGCAAGAAAAGTCCGATGGTACGTACAGTCGCGGCGCCGGTTCAACGCTATGCAAGGAAGCACACGAGGTTGATAATGTGATATGCAAGGTTATGGGAAGAGTGGACGTTTGAGTACATCATCCATCCATCAGGCCTCAGGAGGGGATCTCGGAATGCCTGCAGGCGTACGCGTCACCCAGGCCCGCCTTACTCCGTGGCACAAGCCCCTGCGAGCCCGGAGTCCTGAGCACTGAACAGTCCTACTTCCCCTCAGCTACTCATCAATTCGACATATGGCCTTTCGGTTCTTGAAACTCCAAATGGCGGCCTCAGGATCCGGTCCTATCAGGTGATGATCAAGCAGACGCCGCCCATCACAGTGCCCAACTCAAATATCATCGTGCGCCCAAGTACACAGGATATAGATCATTCAAGTATATCAGAGAAAAAAAGATACTGTCGATAACGAAACAAGCAAATTCGGACTATGCGGACCACTGTACGACATAGTCCTAGACTCGAACCGGGGTCCAAAACGGGACCTGCCACACTCACGCACGATTATAGCCAGGCACAAATGTGGACTTGCGACGCAGGATCGGTCCATACCTAGCCAGATAAAAAGTGAAGCCGACTTATTGCGTCAAGAGTTGAACTCATACCTTTGCAGAACCAGCGGAATTGGAACCATCAACACGGAGAAGCATCCGATGACGGTCGACGCCCACTGCGGTTTCAGTCCCTGATACATCTGCGAGGCGAAGAGCTGCGAACAATGATATTCAAGCACGCACTTCGAAAGATTGGTTCTGGCTAGTTGCGCGACACTCACAGGAAAGCCTGCACCGGCAATGCTGCGGATAACGGTGTTCACAGCCAGCGCCGAAGCGGCCACCGAGAGATACACATCTGTCCCAGAAGTCTTCAGCCTCTGGCCGGAAACATATTCCTGGCATTCTTACCAACAATGTAGTTGAACAAGGCGAGCTGTACCAGTCGATACCGGAGCTATGTTAGACGCAGCGATCACATGGAAACATGGCACTCACGAATATCCATATGGTTGAGAACCCCATGACGGGCCCGGCCATTAGCGGCGCCCAATACGAGATACTTGGATCTGACGTCCACCTACAAGCCCGACGGTGAGAAGTCACAACGTACTCCATACTCAGCTAGCGATCCCGGAACGCACCCAAACCAGAAGAACGAGAGCGCGAAAAGGGGAGCACCCCATATCGCTGACTCCAAGCGGAGTTCCGGGCTCATGGCGACTGTACCCCGGCCGCTCAGAGCATTTGCATATCGTTTCTCGAAGATGAAGATGTGCTAGTCATGCGGAATGTGAGCCAATGGGTCAAATACAACGATCTGACTCGAGACGAACCGCGAGGATGGAGACAACAATACCAATCACCACTGGGATCCATACGAGGCCCGCAGCACCTAGATTACACCTTTTAGCACACCTCCATAGATAGCATGGCAGACTTACCAGTTCCAAAGTGATGCCCCTCGATGTATACGACGGGAAATGCTTCGAACATCAAGTACATGCAACCGTTGAGGAACTGTCAAGCACCGACCATTTCAGCTCCAGCTCATAACGGAGCCAATGTTTCGCACTTACGCTCATGTATACCGTCGTCGCAATCAATGTTGGCGCCCTCGCGAGCATTTTGAACGGCATGCTGACCGTGTAACTAGCCCGAGCCGAGATCGACATGGCGGGCGAGAGTTCCAGCGGCGCCACGTAGCGGTCGTCACCAGTCGTCGCACGCAGCGCACGAGCCTTTCTGACCAGCAGGACAGGCCTAGTACGGGGTCTAAGAACGCTAGGTCACCGTAGGTAGCAGAACAGGCCATACGCACCCATATGTTTCAGGTAGCGTGAATACAATCAGGAGCAGAGACACGCCGGCCTGCAGCATGAACGTCAGTCTCTCTGCGCAAACCCGGGAGGAGGAGGATGACTTGCTATGATAGCCATGATCCAGAAGAGCCATCTCCACGAGAGCATCGACTGTGCGAGGTAACCGGATAAAATTGTCCCGCTGGTAGACCATCACTATGCCAAGTCGATAGGGGATCATCGATCAGGGATTTCTCACCAGGCTGGAGCCATGAAGGGGGCAATGATGAACAGAGAGAGAGCCTTTCCTCGCGTCTGTGCGTCCCATCTACATGAAGTCGGTTAGTTACTTTGCGAATGGCGACATGATACACGTACATATCAGAGATGAGTGCTCTAGCAGACTCAAAATGGTGAGGGTCAGCATCTAGCTACGGAAGTAGATGACCCACCCGCTGTTTGACATTGGGGCTGCGGCAAACATGCCGCTTAGAAGCCTGAATAGCATGATGGAAACCGTGTTTCTGCTCAGCGCGCATCCAACCGTGAAGCACTACGCAGGAGTGTGGGTTAGCATACTGCCACTGATCGCGGTCTCACCCACAATGTAAACCGGGAATGAGACCAAAAATATGGGCCGAAGCCCGTACTGCACCAATGTGCGTCAGAAATCTTCCCATCAATAAATATCATTCTAACCTGTTCGGATAGCGGCCCCCAGAATAGGGGTCCAACACAATAACCAAATATGAAGAGAGCGATCGTCAATGTCGCGAGTTCCTGCGAGAACTGAAAGTACTGAATTAGTCTGTCTGCCATACCGGACGGCGCTGAGGAAGCGAGCGAGCTACAGTGAACCTTGTCAGGACGAACAAGAGTCGTGAGAGCCCATTCAACGTACGCGTTGAAGGCTAAGAAAGCAGCGACAATGGTCATGTACCAACGCCTTCCTCTGCTCCAGTTCTACTAGCGAGATCAGACCATCTTTGCACATAAGGTGAGAGATATCACCTTTGGGTTGCTAGCGTCATCCGGGTCGAACTGGACTGCGATGCGCGTATTGTCTTGTTCCAATGAGTTCTTCCTCTCGCTCGTCGACGACAACTTTGGTGATGAACCCGGGAGAAGCTGAGCAAGAAGACAAGATGCGCTGATCGAATTCGTGCAAGTGTGTTTGTTTGAAGCATTACTCACTGAAGGAACATCGGAATTGCTATCCTTTCCTTGCAGACAGCCGTTGGACATTGTAGGCGCCTCCATGGTGTAACGTGCGCGTCGGTATGAAGGTCGACGTATGTGAATGCAAGTAGCCCACTGGAATCAACTATCAGTCGTGAGGCCGTGAGGCCTTGAGGTCCGACAAGATGCCCGGGAACTGATCTTGGAACGACGGCCACGCTAGAGAGCGGACAGTGTTTGACCTATGGCAAAAATAGAGAACTTGAAGCCAATGAGGTCTAGATCATTCGGCAAACTTTAACTATGCGGGCCCATCTACGATGCGCGGCGCCACAAAGGTTGACAGAACCCATATGGGACAGGCGAGCGTATTGGGTGGGTCTGGTAAGACGAATACTGCTCCGGGGTAGCTGCAGAACGAGATTGCGGCCTCCGAACACCTTATTAGAATGACAGGGTACATAAAGCCTGTCACATCTGTCGAGGTCCGAGGTGGAGGCGGACGAATGTCAGACGCCTGCCGGCCTATGGGCTATGTACTTAGCAGGACGTTGACCGTCAGACGTCAAAGCAGCTGTAGGACGAACGGAACTCTGAGCGTGAGACTCAGTGAGAGCCCCAGCCTGGGAAGTGTGGGTTCGGCAATCTCCGCCACCCAGCTGTGAACAGGTGTCGTTGGAGATCGATCCTCCTCCTTCCTCCTCCTCCAGCCTCACCTCAGTATAGGCTTTTCTATCTCCGTTGACGTCCGCATATGACATCTCCCGATCGAACGTCTGGATGGAGAAGATTAGGACATTTGCAGAGGAGGAGCGAGATCCAATTCGCCCATAGCGGTGGAGCTGAATTTGATGGAAGTCAGGAACTCAATTGAGGTGGTGGTGCAGGCTTGCGGCGATTCCTTCTTGTACAATATCTAATTGAGGACGCCCGTCTGCGTTTCATTATGGAACGGAGACTGCTCTTTCTCAGTCTTGGCCGTGGCGCCGACGTGTATGAGTTATGGACTGGGTCTTGGTGCGTATCTGTCGTCTTAAATTGTCCCACTCGTACTTGCGGGAGGCGTGACGCGTGACACACCGGCCGCATATCCTACAGGAACTATGGACGGAATGCATGTTTCCCGGCCGTGCTTCTAATCTGTCTCAAAAGTCTGATGTTCAAACGGTCAATAGTCTCCGTTCATCATACTGTTGCACGAGCGGCGGGTTCTTCGATGATACTATATGTTATTATTCGTTTGCCCGTCAAGCGGAATCTCGGTCATACACATGGACTACGGATGAAGGGAAATGATGAGTGATCTATGTGGTCTATAAGAAGCGATACACAATTGACCTTCCCTTCTCGCTTGAATTGCAGACCGGCGTGATTATATCATGCAGCGTGGTGATTATCGCGACGTACATGGCGCGACTCGGATACGATGTCGCCGGATTCCTCTACTTACACTCTTAATCTTCCAGAGTCCGAGTCCCTGGGCATCTTCAACACGTTCCATTCCTCGTTGCTTCGATCCTATCGCCGGGACGATGGCAGGCTGTTCCCGAGCTGTGAGCTTCTCCGCCCTGTCAGTGGTCCAGTGGTAATGGAAGATGGTCAGCAGGAACGGCGGAACGAGTGATTACTCGGCCATCGCCGTTGCGGGCGCGGGTACCAGTATGTTGTTCGATGGCCGGGCTATGTCCCCGAGAGTGACAGTTGGTTCACCGGTTCCCTCGTCTCTGAATGTGTTGCTCTTGACGACTACCTGGCAGCTGGCTTCGAATGAACTCATAGAATGGGGGACTACTACTGTACATCGACGACCATGGTCTTCTTCAGATCGGGGAGGAGTGTAACACCGCTCCCGGTGTTGCGAGCTCCTTCCTACCCGGGCCCTTTTGCCTCCGTTCTCGGATTCGCTTCGTTTGCTTCCGCGGCACACTAGGCGCCGGATACCTTCCACGCACTGCTTTCCCATTCTGGTACCTGTTCATGCTCATGTGCCTCACATTGCCTACTATCTCAGGCCACGCAGGTGCGTACACTTCCACTTCATGCATGCCTTTTAGTTTCAGTTCCAGGAAACGCGGTTCGTGACAATTCTGTCACAGTTCAAGTTGGACGAGTGAGTGCGGTACTTCGCCCGCGCTACAGTCAACGACGCCGCCTGCGACATGCCATTGCCAGATGCACAGTGCACATGGATGATACAATCAAATGTGCGTCCTCATCCAGAAAGGCTTAATATTCAGATATCAGTCATTGATATTGCCAATTGGCCCTTGTGATCAGCCGCAGACCGTATCGCGAAACTATTATGTGTGTTCTGTTTACTGCAATCGTCATTCATATGCAAGGCCGATTTCTGGATGACGGACAAGTAGACGTGTGCACCGTCGCTACTGTGTGAGTCGTGACGAAGAAACACCGTTTCCATCGAACTGACAGGCGTACTATTGTTACAAGCGTCGGACATCAGGGAATACTATACAGGTCATTTGCAGATCGCGTTCATATCAATGGTTTCTGGGCACAGATCACGTTGTTCTGTAACTCCGCGTCCGATGAGTTCTGCCACTCATTCTCCACCTTGTCCATCATCGAATCGAAGTCGGCTTCCGAGCTTACATGACCGAAGCCCCCGGCCTTGAGTATAGGAGTTTTCAGACCACGGAAGACTGCCATCCAGTTCTTGCGACCGTCAGCAGCAAGCTCCCCTCCAGTGTATCCCAGCGGGATCAGTGTTGGCTCAACACTGATTCGTGAGAACCCGGTCTCGCGAAGCAAGTCGGGGATTTGAACGGCACAGTCGAGGACCAGGCCTTTCGCCTTGGCCACGGTTGTCGCCATCGCGTTGAATCTCTCCGTCTCCGGGCCTGCCTTCCAGTATCCAACCTCGCCCAACTGCACCCAGCCGCCGGGTTCTAGAACCCGGAAGATCTCTTGGATAGACCCTTCCCACTCCTCTTTGCGCAGCGCCGCGATCATATGACGCTGATTCACGAGCTTGAACTTGCCGTTCCAGTCGGACGGCATTGCAGCGCAGCTACCGACGTGGAAATGTACGTTTCCGCGCGAGACGACGGCGTGATCTTCCCGCGGGAAGAGTCCAGGCTCGATGTCGAGACCATGTAGGACAGTGGTCTCAGGGACGATCTTCATCGCGTCCAGCAACCATATGCCTATCAAAGGGCGTTAGCTACAGAACACAGACAAATCGGACAAGGCACACCAGTTCCCGTCCCGCTGTCCAGAATATGGTCGGCCGGACCTATCGTGACATCGGGCATGATAATACGATTGTTTAGGACGTGCAGGAGCAGCCGATGTTGCAGGGCGAGCCTGCAGAGACATGCATTAGCTTATGGCGGTGAGTGTCATACTGTGAAAGCCGCGCCTTACCTTTCTTTCTCCGCAGCGTCTGACGGTAGGACATAGTTGCTGCCAGGATACGACTGATACTTTCTCTCCGTGTGTGGTATGGGAGCGACAACCGTTCCCATATCACTCTGAGGGGTTGACATGTCCTGCGGAGCCATGTAAGAAGGCGACGGTGTTGAAGATGGGGAGAACGTACCTAGCGGTTGTCATGCAGTTATATAACTAGCGTGGGGAGGAAGTCTAGGCTAGGTGACTAGCGTCAAATTCAGTAGTTACTTTCCGGAAAATAAACCATTATTCTAGACGTCGGTGGTTCCTGCAAAGACATGTACTGCTGGAAGATGAATCGTCTTCGATCTGCCATTGACATCTCAGAGACAAGGTTCAGACCCTGTTTTCCTGATAGATGGCGCGATCGCAGAACCGGCGGTTTGGAGAACAAGCCGTCCGCTGGGGTGGACTGTCCACGGTGGACTCCCGTGGACTCCACGAAGCACGTGACGAGTCCAAACAAAGGCGATAAGATTACAGTCGTTTGCATAATGGTTGTCGCTTCGCGTTGACCAGCATAGGTGGAGCCGGGGCTCCACGCCCCACGGCACACATCGGCGGAACGACCACAGCATCTGGGCCCCTCGTCCGAAATGTTCGGGATACCTGGTATCTTGCTAAATACCCTCCATATTCTGTGGCGAGGATGCAGGCTAGGTGTCCTGGGTTTCGTGGCCGGCGTTGAGAACAGACTATCATTAACTACCCCGCACACTCTGTGCAAACAACGGGATTGACCAGCTCCGGTGGTGCGTCGGGGCCAGCCAAAGAAGGCCAAACAAATTTCTCGTCGCGCGCATGCGACAACCATTATGCAAACGACTGTACAGCCTTTTACGGCGCAAGGTAGCCTCAAGACCCGGGACCGCGCCGTACACAAATGCAACGAGCTCTAACAACGTGCCAGGGGCATCGGTGGAGGCTCGCAAAGAATGGTCGTGCAGGGAGGGAAGGTGGTTGTAGTCAGCAGGGTCAACAAACCAGGTGAGTTCCCTGCTTGTCACCTCGACCCGGTAGCTGACCCTGACAAGCGATTAATGCCCACCAAGGACGACCGGACGGAGACGAACGCGACGGAGACGGCCCCAGCGCCGCTCGCGCGCATGCCCAATGCGCATGAGCGCGGTGAAGACGACTCCGATGCGCGCGTGCGCAAGCGACACAAGCCCGCCAGCGCAAACTCACCAGGTATGCGCCTCACGACTCAACGAGCCTCAACATGCCGCGCGCGGACCCGCTAGCAAGAGCCGGTTGCTTGTGGATGGGATATATCACGCACAGACGCATTCGGGTACGGCGAGGGCCAGCTCGCCGCATACCGACACGGCATGCCCAAGACCCAACTCAGCGAACAGGACCGCGATGAACGTCTGCCAGGCACGCTGGTACGTGCACTCGCGCAGCACATACATAAGGGCTTACCGAGCAATCGCAGCCATCTACATCGACCCCGCTCACTCGTATGCTCGGGCACTTGGGCACCCACCTGCTTTCGCTCACCCGCTCACCCGCCCACTCATCCACTCGGCCACTTGCCAGCCCACGCGACCACCTGCCAGCCCACGCGACCGTGACAAACCGGCGAGGTCAATGAACCCCTCGCGTCATGCGTGCGCTGGCGGATGTCCATCCGCCTCCGCCATACAGGCGCTCGCCATGTGCCCGCCGTGCGCAAACACGCCCACAAGCCTGGTCTGTCGCGCCAACAACCGCTCTCGACGCGTACGAGGACACGAGCGCATCACCGGCAGCCTGCCACATGGTCGTTTGTGGTGCCCACACACGACGAGCAGCATCCGCTGCTGCCCATCATGGCCCATTACTGCCCTGCCTGTCTGCGTGCTCGCCCATGCACTTGCCGGTCTGCACACGCTCGCCCATCCGCTCGCTCATGCACCTGCCCGCTCGCACAGCACCTGCACCCCTGTCCGGCACACCCGCCCCCTCGCCTGCTCGCCCGCCGTGAGCCTACCGCCTGCCCTCACTGTTAGCAATTTCGCGGATCATCCGAGTCATACTCACGCCATAGCATGCTGATTTGGGACCAACATCACTAAAATACATTAGGCTACTTCATTACGGTATCTACTTGTACCCGTCGACGCGAAAATGTGTACACGGCTTAATGCGCTTCGCTGCATATCACGAAACAGTTGGTCAGACTACTAGTAAGAAACATTGTGATCAGTGACAATAGGGCAGTAATAACGGTTTACAATCAGTCAGTAGACTATATAATGCGAATCTAATCAGCTCGTTATCGGCGTCATTGTTTGGTCAGTCCAGCTCCGCGGAGTCCACGTGGACAAGTCCACCCCAGCGGGTCCATTACTTTGGCGGTTTGGCACCGGTCAGTACTAACCGTACTTCCGAATCAGTACGGGAGGCTGCTTGAACCCAGATACATAGTATGCCACCTCGCCAAAGCTACTCTGGTACTACGTATAAACTAGTACTACTAGTTCATCGACGACCGTATGAGACACTGTGCGATCTGGATATCGAGATTGAATCTCTTTGACAGTCGAGTAGTTTTCATGCGACCGCCGACCATACGCTCAAACACTCTCGGCACTCTCGGCGGACATCCACCTTGAAAGCTTGATGCATCTATGTATAGCAGGTGTCACTACAAATGACGCGGGCGTTGTCGACGTTCAGGTCAGCACTCAAGTACTCAAATCGGACCGTAACATCTCGCCGCTACCCACGCATCACTTACATCGTACACAAAATGATCAACTCTAAGAGAATTCCAAGTTTTGTCAACAATACCGAAGCCGGTGTTCGCATCCAACGTGCTGATCAGTCCATTTTGATTGATACTTAGATCAGTCTTCCCGCGTCCGTCATGTTTTCGGCATTGGCGGTAAGACTTCAAGTTGAGATGTTCAAAGCGCTTGGACTGTGTGGTGGGAAATGGGGTTGCTTCGTGGGTTCCCCGACATCGGATGGCCAGGGAGTGGAAGTACGCATTAATACTTACCTACTTGCAGGACCTGGATAAGCTTACCTGACATCGGTCGACTTAGTAGGATAAGTAGTCAACAGTGGCATGTGGCACTCGGAGCAGAGAGGGAGCCAAGATCTAGGCCCGATACAGCAATCACCTTTTGAACTCCGAATGCACGACACTTGGTGGCGTCACCGGGGCGTCACGTACTCACTGTAAGTAACTCACGCCTCTGACCTCGTCACGATCACCTCGACCTCCTGCCAGTGCAGTTGGGTCGGACCAATTGTCCCTAGGTAGCGTTTGACAACGCTTGGAACCATAACTGATTACCCTAATCGCTGGATGCTACTTCGACATGATACCAAATGGCGCCGAAGGCATTTTGAGGCGAGCCCCTCATTGTTGCGCCAGAAGGTTAGATGTTCTGCTGGTTACTTCGGCACGGAGCCACACCTTACGAACATCCGAGTCATAGCCAGAAATGGCTCGTCGTTTGGTCAGGGCGAATCTTCTGGCACCGCTTCTACTGGTTCTAGCAAGCATCACGGCGTGCACATGGACATCAAGTGAAGGTGTCAAAACAGTATTTCATCAGTACGTTTCTGTCATGGAATGCGAATTGACGGGATCGCAGGTAGCTCACAATTTGATGGAAGCACCTTTCCTACTAGATAGCTGAGTGCTGGAATCCAACTCCGTTGTACACGGGTGGTGCCGTTGCTTCTCATGTCAATGTAGTCGCGTTGAGGGGAACCCAAGTACGACACTCAGATGCAAACATCGAAGCCAATCTGTACTCACCTACGACGTATAAAGGTGATTGTCGAACGGATTGTACCCCATCTCAACTATAAGTCAGGTTTGTTCGCCGGCCTCTACGGTTCAGCGGAAGCGGCCGCTAGCGTTGCCATGTCTCACTCAGGGAAAGGCTTTCCAGTCGCTATAGTCAGTGATTCGACAGGCAATCTATTGGTGCGTTTACTCGAGCTGAACGATTCCGACGTGCACAGGTTGGTATCTCCGCCGAACTCCCAAGCGGCGGTTGTAGCGACTCAAACCTTGACTACAAGTCATTCTATGATTTCCTCATACAAGGCGGAGAGGCGTACGAGAAAATACCGACAAAGCGCTTCAATGTGCACACGTACGACCTTAGGATCCTAATGTTGGCGTTCAATGCTGATGGAGGAGCTCCAGGCTCAAAGGGACAGCTCCCGGTCAAGTGGTGACGGATACAGGCGCATTCCTCAAGAATATCGACCTTTTCGATCCGACTGAATTTGGTATCGCCGGCAAGGATGCCAGACTAATGACATTGGGAACGCGCAAATTGTTGGAGACTACGTTTCTGGCATTGGTTGACTCAGGGATTGACTACAGAGGGCAGAATGTGGGTTGCTATATGTCAGCGGTGTCTCACGATATATTCTCTGTATCTGGGCACGTAAGTCTTTACGTCATATATATTCTACGCATCTCGTTGACTTCGTCACTGCAGGATGACATGGAAGTTCGCGGAGCACCTTCCTGGGCGCCATCTATGGTAGCAAATCGTGTCTCCTACCATCTCGATCTCCGTGGACCGACCATACCGCTCGATACAGCATGCAGCTCGACGCTGTATGCTACACACCTAGCTGTTCAAGCGTTACGGAACGGCGACTGCGAAGCAGCCGTTGTTGGCGGCTGCCAGCTGAACCACAGGTGCGCATGCAAGCGCCTATCACCGCGTATCAGAATGGAGCATTGACAATTACTCTATCATTCGAAAGGTTTTCAGAATGGCTTCTGTACACCAGGCAGGTATCCTGTCTCCCGACGGGAAAAGCCAGCCTTTCGATGCTTCTGCTAATGGGTAATACTTCTCTTCTACGTCATCGTGTGACGTTTCTTGACTGATGAATGCTCGCAGATTCGGCCGCGGCGAGGCGGTCGTCTCGATTGTGCTGAAGCCTCTCCATGCGGCGCTCCGCGACTGTGATAGAATCTATGCTGCTGTGCGTCGAGTTGCTCCGAAACCTTTAACTTCGCGCCTTGTTTAAAACAGTGGTTATAGATTCTTGGGACTGGTGTAAATTCTTCTGGTTCGCTAGCACCAATTAGTGCGCCAGTTGCTTCCGCACAGCAGGATGCTATGCTCCGTGCGTTCGCGCAGGCCGGACGGTCTCCAAGAGAGGTAGACTTTATTGAGCTGCATGCGACCGGTATATACTTCCCCTCCTTTGATATCCTGCATACAACTCATGCAATGGAACAGGCACGGCATCTGGCGATCCAACCGAAGCAAACTGGGTAGGCGCCCAGTTCAGGAGAGATGCTGAGCTTCTGGTCGGGAGCGTGAAGGGAAACATTGGGTATGTCTGTTAGTCTTGACTCATGTCGACTATATTCAAGTAGTCTGCAGCCACACTGAAATCGCGGCGTTTCTGTCGTCTCTCTGCAAAGTTTGCCATATCATCGAGCACGGCGTCATTCCGCCGACCGTCAATTTCTCCGTCCCGAACCCGGCAATTCGATGGGCGGAATACAACATGCGCGTGCCTGTCACCTCAGAGAAGCTGGCCATCTGCTCACCCTCCGGCCATGCGCTTATTGCGATGTCGAGCTCAGGCATTGGCGGTGCGAATGGGCACTGCGTCATAGAGTCCCATACATCCAATACGGGTGACGTGCCGCGTATATGGTCGTGCGGGAGGTCGATGATGCCGTTGCTCCTGATTGCAGGGGGTCTATCACCGCGGTCTGCCTCGGCTGTCGGCGAATCACTGAAGAGCGTCCTTGTCGATTGCGATCGCATGCAAGTTGGACGTGTGCTCGGTCGACGGGCACGGTCGATGCTGTGGAAAGCATATTCTGTGACCCCTGAGGGGCAGATCCCCCGCTTCTCAGAGCCAGTGATTACGCCAAAAATCACACCGGAGGTCGTGTTTGTCTTCTCCGGACAGGGCCCGCAGCACTGGAACAGTCAGTATGCTTCTTGGTGAATGGGTCACGTTCAGAGTGACTAACTCCAACTTCGCAGTGGGCCGCGAGCTGTTCAAGACGTGTGTGCCGTTCCACGACACTGTTGTAGAGCTCGACCATGTGTATGCTGGAGTGACCGGCAAGTCCCTAATCACCCATATCGGTCTCTTCGACGACTCCAACATACCCGATAACCTGGGAGATGTCTGGCCGGCCTCCATCACCCTTCCTGCGCTAACTATCCTGCAAATCGCACTTGTTGAGACCCTCGCTGCCATCGGCGTGAAGCCGGATGTAGTGGTTGGCCATTCTGCAGGCGAGACAGCAGTCCTCTATGCGTCGGGCGCGGCCTCAAAGGGGATGGCGGTCGAGCTTGCGATAGCAAGGGGCCAGGTGATGGAAGCATTGGAAGGACATGGCGGCACTATGGCAGCGTTGGCTTGCTCCTCCGAGCTGGCGAAAGAGATCATTGCTGAGGTCATCGCAGAGCTCGGACCCGCTGTCTTGGAGATCGGATGTTTCAATGCCCCAAACGCCGTCACGTTATCTGGCTCTGCGCAACATGTTTCGTCGGCCGTGCAGCGAGCGAAGGCAACCGGAATCTTGGCAACTAGTCTGCGCACGCGCGTAGCTGTGCACTCCTCGATGATGACATTCTGCCAAGCCGAGTACGAAGAGCTGGTCGGGAAGGTGTTCGAGACGCACAGCATCGGATCCACTAAGGTGGAAACGTTCTCTACCCTCTCTGGCGATATTCAGAGCGCGCCCTTCGACGCCCCCTACTTCTGGAATAACACACTTGGGCCGGTTATGTTCGATCTCGCTGTGACGTCCATTCAAGCTCGGCACCCACGGGCAATCTTCGTTGAACTTGGTCCTCACCCTGTACTTTCTGGGTACATCGCCGCCAATGTGGGGAGGGCGCGACGGTGCTGAGTCCGTTGAAGCGGTCCAAGTCCGTAGAGGTCGGTGAACTGACACCGATTATTGACTTTGTCGGGCAGTTGGCATGTGCAGGCTACTCGGGCGTGGACATGGATGTTCTGTATGGCACGGCGGAGAGTCAGGGAGCAGCTCTCCCGCAGTACCCGTTCATGCGGAAGGAAGTTCCGTATGTGGCTCCGACCTTCGAGATCACCCGACAGAGACAGGCTCGGAATGGCCCTCTCAACTATCCTCAACTTCGGATAAATACGCAGACGCATCCCGGTTTAGCGGATCATATCATCAAAAATGAGCCCATCATGCCTGCGTCAGGCTTCTTGGAAATGGTGCGTACAGCGTACATGTCATCCATGATGAGTAGCTAATCAGTATGTCTCAGGCACTCGAATTCGGGGCATGGAGGCTGTGGGATGTACAATTCCACTCAATGCTATCGCTCTCTGGGGAACTTCCGACACCAATCGACGTTAAATTGGAGGGATCCAAATGGAGAGTTTGTAGCGCCGCTGGGGCTGATTTCACAAAAATGTGGCCTCCGACTGTAAGTGCATGTTTTCGCATCACATAGAGAGGAATTGACATCGCTGCCAGTATCACCGCGTTCACGCGACCGGTTATCTCTCTAAGGAACGCGAAGATGACGCAACGTCCTCTATAGTACCTCTGGACGACATACGTGCTCGACTGACAAAGCGGGAAACGAAGAGCTTCTATGACAGCCTTGGTTCATTTGCCAACTACGGCCCTTCGTACAAGAGAGTGCTATCCTGGTATCATGGTGTTGACTCGTCAGGGCTAGAGGAGCTCTTGATAGAATTGCGTGGAGCAGGAGATGACTTGGACAAGTAAGTGGTGGCTGTCTGGTGTGTTCGTTATAGTCTGACCACTGGTCTTCAGCCTTTCAGACTACCGACTACATCCTGCAATCTTGGATGCTGCCCTTCATGTTGCTGTGCACCCGTGGATCACCGGCGCCGTCGCACACGGCTTGTATTACCTCCCATCGAAAGTCGGCGCGTTGATTCTCCATGACTCACTCGCGCAAGGGATTCCTGAGAGGATCTACGCCTATGGTGTCTTCGTCAGATGGACACCTGGTGAGCACTTCAATATGTACCCTGTGTCTAGACTGTATATGCTCATGACATGCCAGAGTCCCTCACATATGACTTCCAGCTTACAAATGAACACGGTGAGACGCTCTGCACTGTGCAGGCGCTTGAAGTGGCCGCCCATGGGCGAGCGCCACCTCTTGTGCGCAACCGGTACGAGATGGCGCATCACCAGCTTGGCATCCATCTCCACAAGTCGTCGCAGCCCGGTATTGGTGTGCTCAGCGCGAAGACGTCAGAGAACACCGACAGCGTATGTACAGTGTGCCCTCGCATTCTTGGACCATGCTAAATGATGGACACGGCAGTCACTAGAGGATGAGATTTGCGATCTTCGCGTCTTTCAGTACCATCGAGGGAACGAGATAACGAAGCTCCAGCAAGCCATCTGCTCATTGAACACATCGGACAGAGAGTCACTGTGCTTCATTACTCGCGAAGGCACGGACGGCGACGCGATCCTTGGCTTCACGAGGTCTCTCCGAAAAGAGTACCCGTCGTGGCGTGTGTTCTGTATCGTCTTCCCCTCATCTTGGCCTCTTGGAGAGCATGACGAGGCAGCACGGTCGCTCTGTGCACATCCACTTGCCGAACATGAAATGCTCCTGAACGAGGATGGCTCAGTTCGCGCTCCTAGGCTAATAGCGTCCTCCGCGCCAAGGCGGACCACTGCCTTTGACTCTGAGGCGCCGTGGGTATACCAACATTCTACCCTCTCGCAGGTGTCAAAACCGGCGGTTCCACCTGGGCACGTTCTTATCAAGGTTACAGGAGTAACATCAACCATCTCTTCGTGCTGGATATTCGTCGGACATGTGGCTGGCTCCTCCGTCAACTATCTTGGTATCACATTCAAGCCGCTGACCAATCACATCGTCGCCCATCGCGGGAGCCTGCTCGAATTGGGGACTGGCGAGGATCTCCAGCGCGGTCCTCCTGCGCTTGCTGCAATCATCGCAACACTAGCCGTTGGACCTGCCATCTGTAGCGACCCACAGCGATTGCAGGACTCATACATTCTTGTGACGCATTCAGATGCAGTGATTGGACAAGACATACGTCAATTCTACGAGGACCGTGGATTGCATGTTCTGCGTCTGCCGTCGCAGGCTAGCTCCTCAGAGACTAGGGCCGTGCTTGCTCATCAGCCAAAATTCGTTGTTTCCGGCAGACTGCGGATGACTGGCAGCGACGTCGACAAGACTGTGACCGAGCTACAATCAGGAAAGGTATTTCAGTGGGACGACCCGAGCAGCGGGGTGGCGCGTGTCCTTGCCGAGGACCCATGGGTTGTAGGCGACGCATTGAAGGTAGCGCTCTCGGATCGTGGCAGCTCTAACGAGGTGTTCGTCCCTCCTATTCAAATGGTCGGTGTGGCACCTCCGGTGGAAGTCCCATTGCAGACCTCCATCTTTGACTCCGAAAAGACGTATATCTTGGTGGGGGGAATTGGAGGCCTTGGGATGCACGTTGCACACTGGATGTATCAGGTATGGACTTATGTCCGATGTTCTCCACACGTGCGTGTTAATGTGTGAGCTTTTCAGAACGGGGCACGCGAAATCGTCCTCACTTCCCGTTCGGGGACTGCCAATCTCGTGCCGAAGGATGAATTCATCGCTTTGCGTCTCTTGGCGTATCTACGCTCTCGGGACGACTTAGTGCTCCGTACCGAAGCCGTCGATGCGTCATCATTTGAGCAGACCAAGGGATTGGTGGCCTCAATCAAGAAACCGATCGGCGGATGCATGATCATGACTGCCATTCTCATTGATCGTACCTTCCCTCTTCAGACACATGAGACCTTCGAGGGACCTTTCGTCGCCAAAGTCGGTGCGTTTCAAGCTTTGGAGAAAGCCATCAACATAGATTCGTTGGACTTCATGCTTCTTTTTTCGTCCGTCGCGGGAATGACAGGCAATGCTGGTCAAACGAACTACTCTAGGTACGAAGCCGTGCCGATTCTCCGCTGCCATACTCATGTCCACCCAGTGCAAATACTGCTTTGACAGGTTTCACAAGACGCTACCCGAATGCCGCTACTATCGTTCCACCGATGATGAGCGATACTGGCGTGGTCCTCACGGTGGCTGCTACTGACAGCATACGATGGTCGCGCTACAGGCATCTGAGCTCCTGGGCAATGACGTGCCAAGGTGGGCGTATACAGATGGAAAATGCGACATATCAATTCTGACGAAATTTAACAGAGCTCTGCGAGTGCATCCATGAGACGCTCCTGAAGCTGCGTGAAGGCCCTCTGTGGCAGTACATCCCGGACTTTGACTGGAGCCTTGTCCAAAGCAATCTTGGACATTCCCCTCTCTACGACCACCTCGTGCCCAAGGCAACTCTTTCCGACACTTCTCAAGTGTCATCAGATGTCTTGGAACGCAACCTAAGCGACGTCATTTGCGAAGTGCTCGACATCGACAGCGAAGACCTTTCCCCGGAGGCGCCTCTCACTTCCTATGGTCTGGACTCTTTGTCAGCCACGAGGTTGTCGCGCGTCTTGGAACCGTACCTGATCATCTCACAGCTTCAACTTCTCGCCGACATCACACTAGCTGATCTCCAGAGGTTCCGTGAAAAGGCATCTGACGCGTCAATCACCAATCCTTCTGGCATTCCGAGTCAACCTGTCACCCGTTTGGACGCACGTACAATAAGGGAGAAGGCGCACGAAACGACGTGCATGCTCGAGAAGTACTCATCCGACTTGCCTTCACGGAACGTAATCACAAGAGTCGATATGGACAAGACTGTGCTGTTGACGGGAGCGACAGGGAGAATTGGGTCGCACGTACTCGCCCATCTCCTATCGGACTCTTCGTATGACAAAGTTATCGTCATCGTTCGCCGCCAGTCGTCGGGGAGGTCAGCGCCAGATCGCTTGTTAGATGCGTTCGCTGCCCAGGACCTGGACACGTCTGTTCTCAACTCGCATGCGCTGACTATATGGGAAGGCGACGTAACGAAGACCAAGTTTGGCCTATCTTTTGAAGCATATGACGAGGTAAGGACCATCGTGTTACAGTCACGTAAACGCTACTCACTTCGGCCGCATATGCAGCTTCTCCGCTCCGTGACTCATATCGTCCATCTTGGTACGGACGTGTTCACTGAGTGATAATCACACATACATGTCTGACGATCATTTTTAGCCTGGTCAGTCGATCTGTTCGAGTCGCTGTCGGAGCCGGAGCCTCATATTCGCGGCGTGCGCAATATGATTGACTTCGCCTCCACATCCGCCGCACACGTCAAACTTCTCTTTTCCAGTACGGCAGGCGTGATTAGAAGTGCGTCTCCTATTCTCAACTATTCATGTCTCTGACAGAAAAACCCTGTACAGAACTACCTGATCATAAGCCCGTCCTCGAGGCATTGGTTGAGGATCCCTCGATCATTGTCGGCGAGAGCTACTTCGAGTCGAAATGGGTCGCCGAGCACCTAATCACTCTCGCTGGGGAGAACAGCCTTTGGTCGCCTACCGTCGTGCGCGTTGGCCAAATCAGTGGGAGCAAAATCGGCGCCTGGAGGACGTCGGAATTGGTACCCTCGATGGTGTCCGCTAGCATTGCGTTAGGGCGTCTCCCGGACGCGTCTGGAGTAAGTGGTTAAACCCTCACGGAATGCACTTGACTCCGCATACTAAACTCATTGCAGGAAGTCGCTTGGATTCCAGTCGGTGCGGCTGCAGCTGCGTTGATCGAGTTCATGGACAGCCCGGAAACGATTCTCCACCTACGTCACCCGCACCCGGTGACGTGGTCGGAGGTATTCAAACACTTCGCACTGGTCCTAGACCTCCCACTCGTGTCGTACTCAGACTGGTTCACGCGACTCGAACGCGGTCTTATGCTGCACGACGATGCAGATATGGTGCGTTGTCTGGAGCGGGGTCAACGTTTCCTCGAGCAATACCGCTGTCCTATGAATCCATATGACTCCCGGCCAAATGTGATGAAGAGGCTCAATCCTCGTATGGATATCACTCATGGACTAGAGGCTTCTGCGACGCTACGCGATGGAGTCATACCAACGATTGGCATAGAGGAGGTTTCCCGTTGGGTCAATTACTGGCGTCAAGAGGGCATCATTCCGCCTAACCCTGTGGCTGTGTAAGCGGAAAGAGTGGCTGCGGAAGGTTTACCAGGTCGTCTCGGATAAAGAAGACCAGTGTTTATCATGTTTGCTTGTGCTCACAGATGTACTAGTAGTGATGACTGATTGTCAGATCGATATGACTCAGGTGATGGAGGACTCAGCTCGTCGTTGACGAAAGAGAGAGGATGCTACAGCTTGCCACGGCTACGCCACCCTTCGCGAGACAGTATCGTACAAGTATCGCACAGAGTTCATCATAATGACACGAGAAGTTACCGGATCCAACTACTACGTGGAGTCTCGTGGTCGCCGGAGTTGCGTCAGTCATGCCGCATGGAGCGGCCGGGAGTCTATCGCAAAGACTGACGCGTGAGAGGGCAAATTGAGAGCAACACGTCGTTGCCAATGATGGACCGCAGAGCGCGGCCGGTCCATGAGAGCGTACCCCGAAAGGCCTGAGGCCTTGAGGCCTGGTGAGTCGACTTCCCGTTCGTATAGCGTGGGAGTTGTCCTAGTCAGTTGACACCCCAGAATCATCTTGAAGCCTGATGCAATGACGTGCATGACAGAAGTTAGTCTCTGTTACTGAACAAGAAAAGAAATACCCTCGTTGAAAGAAGTAGCAGTGGGCAAACTTCGAGACTGAGCGCCTTCGCACTTACTGTACCGCAGCAGTCTGTACGTGCCATGATCATCTCCGTGTCGACATAACAGGTGGCACGGCTCTGATGAAGATGCAATTGCTCAATGGCATGCTTGGATCGGTCAGTATCTTGGGCGGTGAACCGGTGACAGGTTGCCGGTACGCTGAGAAATGGAAGCATCACTGCAATACGCACTCGCGGATGCTGTCACATCATGGACACCACCTGCGATACGAGGAGCTCGGACCATTACATACTTAAAGTTACAGACGCGGAACGACTCGGAACGAGATGTGTTCGGTAAACTACGGCGCTGGTTAGTAGCTAGTTACACGTAAACTAGCAATGTGACCGTCACGCGATTGGAACCCGGTGCGTGACGGTGGGCCACACAACCGCTCAACGTTCAAATTTAGTGTCAACGCTTCCAGTCATTTGCATAGAGATGTCCTCCGCACGCAAGTGTGTCGTACCATCAACGTACCATACACATAGTCGGAATTCCTCGTCGAGCTCCAATGCCGGAGGCTCCAGGTGCGTCCGCGTCATCTTGTGTACAACATCCCTGGGGCCTGATGCTTCACAAATGACTGTCAGCCTGAGATTCATCGAACTTACGGTCACTTCAAATATCATTCGCAAAAACAGCCGCTAGTCCGCACTGTCTTTGATCTGGGCACTGAATGTGTTCATATCCCGCTTGACTCCGACCACTGGCACCTTGGAACGGCACCCCTGCATAGTTCTACCACTCCCGCGAGCCATGTTTAGGGAGAACGCGCTCGCGCTCGGCGTTGCTTGCTCATTGTCTGCATTTCTGTTGAAAGTTGTACAGGCTGATCTCGTGCTAACCGGCATTCTATGCATTTGTGCATTCCTCACCACTTCCGTTGTTGCTAAGGCAGACCGATTATACCCTCCTGGCCCGACTGGCTGGCCAGTCATACGCAACCTGCTGCAGATACCTCAAGAGCACCCATGGCTCGCGTACACAGCTTGGGCAGACAAATTTGGTGCGTCCGACGTCCCGACTATTCCTCCCTTACACTGATAATGTCGTCGGATCTTCTGCCAGGTGACATCATTCATTTGGAAGCTCTCGGGGACCATCTAGTCGTCCTGAACTCGGCAAAAGCTGCGAAAGATCTCCTCGAGAGTCGCTCTGCTATATACTCAGATCGTCCGTCCTTGGTATGTCTACTGTATCTGGCAGGGCAATGGCATGCTGATGTCTTCCCAGACAATGGCAGAGCTGTGCGAACCGTTATTCTCGCTGTATCTGCAGCGCATCTCACTCTCACGTCTTGATTACGTAGCTCTGGGCTGTGCGTGAAGATCCCAATGTCGCCCTATAACGACAAATGGCGCGCACAGCGCAAAATCGTTGCACTATCATTCAATCCGGGTGCGGTCTCGCACTATCAGCCAGTCCAAGAGCTTGAAGCACGCAAACTCGTCAGAGGCATCATCCGATCGCCCGAGACATTGGTTAGCCAAACGAAGACGTGAGTATGTGCACTTTTCTGGCGTCTTGCGTGACAACTGATCGGCGTGGTCACTGCGCTGTGCCGCTAGACGCATTGCCGCGATCATCATGCGTGTCACGTATGGGTACACCGTCAAACACGATAACGATCCGATGATCACCATAGGGTTTGAAGCAATGGAAAACTTCGGCTCTGCAACTGAACCGGGGAGGTGGATGGTGAACTTCATCCCGCAGCGTACGTACGAGGACGGCTTTACGCACCGAACAGTGCTTGACTTCAGGATTCTCAGTTCGTTGGATGCCACGCTGGATGCCTGGGACGTCATTTCTGCGATTAGCAGAGAACTGGAGAGCGGTGGATGACAAAGCCTCCTGGTTGCCTTACAAGTGGTGCAAAGGTCGGATTGTGCGTATTTAGACCGGTACAAAGTGCCGCCCTGCAGCACTGAGGCGTCGGTCATTCGTAGGACAAAGGATTCATGGAAGGGCCATGCCTGGTCGCGAGCGTGCTCGAGCAGCTCAAGGGTAAGATGACTGGCGAAGATGAAGCTTCACTTGTCTGGGCAGCAGCCTCTTGTTTCGGGGGTGGCCTCGACACTGTGGGTAATTTTTGGCGATGATTCTAACCGTCACTGACAGGACAATTTCTAGAATATGTCTACCATATTCACCTTCTTCTTGGCCATGCTGCACCACCCGGAGGTTCAGGCCAAAGCCCAAGCGGAAATCGAGGCCGTGGTAGGTTCAGAGTGTCTGCCATCCATAGCGGATCGGCCGTCGCTCCCATTTGTCCGGAGCATCGTAGCGGAAGTGTATCGATGGTTTCCCGCTGCCCCCCTAGGTTTGTATCCCAGCAGGCGGATTGGCTTGCATTGATATGTCGTATTCTGCAGGCCTCCCCCACGCGCTCAGCCAGGATGATGTATACGAAAGCTATCTGCTCCCGAAGGCATCAATCGTCGTGCCCAACATATGGTCAGCAGTTTATCAGCGTGCCATGACCCACTCGACCCACCACTGACCCGTGTTTTAGGTATATACTCCACGACCCAACGGAGTTCCCGCAGCCGAACGAGTTCAAGCCCGAGCGGTTCGGCGGTGACGACGTCAAGATGCGCAATGTCACCGACATTGCGTTTGGTTTCGGTCGTCGTACCTGCCCAGGCTTTCACTTTGCGGAGGGTACAATCTTTGCGATCGTCGTGACGGTCTTAGCGACATGCGAAGTTGTGCCTAAGCTCGGCCAGGGTGGTATTCCCATCATACCCGCGATGGACTACACAAACGACATTATAGTGTAAGTAAGCTCAGCTTATACGCGAATCAGTGTCAATGACGATGTCACTCCCGCAGATTTCCCAAACATATTGTGTGCGATATCAAGCCAAGGTCAGCCCGATCGCAGGAGCTCTTAGAGGCCTGGGCATCCCAGAACGACTAACCAGGCCCTTGCATCCCGTCCGAATGTGTATGATCTATGCCCACGAGTCGCTCTGTCTTCCATCATGCCGACAGAAACATCTACGAGCTGTTCTCGTGCAGTGAGGCAGGTGTCCCGTAGAGACGACGCAGAAGCGGCGTACGTGTACATACGACCGTGAGTTACCTATGTGTAGGCGGCGGTTATTGGACACTGTTTGACAAGTCAAATCCCTACTTCGTAGAATATAATGTAATGATGGCGGAGCACCAGGACTATATGACAGCAACTGAAACATACATTGTCCCAGTCAATAATATCTAAGCATGGCACTGTCGCCGTCACGCTGAGCAGCGAACTGGGTACGTGCTATCTTTCTGCGAGTGCACAGACTGTCGGTCATGAGGTCTTGAGGAGCGGAGCAACGAAGGAGCTTCTCGACAGTCATGACTTCTCGACTTGAACACGGCTTCTGCTCGAACGTCGTACATAGGAATGCTATCGACTAGCATTGATACTGCACTACTTACATGCATCTGCTGATTCATAAGTACCCTCACCGTGTCCCGTGTTCCATCCTTCAGCCGGAGTGACACTGATACAGTATATGCACTCTCACTATGTTACTGCCACCGTCATCACTCAACTAATGGGCCACGTACCCGATCGCGAACAACCAATACATATGGCCCGTCGGTCATGATAGTCTTCATATTCGGCTTAGGCCCCGGTCCACGCTGCCTAGCGCTCGGCAAGCGAGTCGTCATTATACAGTTGGTGGTGGCAAGCAGGCTGAGGGTAAGGAACACGGTTGCACGCACTCCCCAGGCGAAGCCAGCACCGCGGTTTACAAGCTTGTTGAGCATGACAGGGTGGATTAGATTGTCGATTACGGCGCCTGTGGAAGGGGATTAGACTGCGCCACTAGTATCCTAACGCAAGAGAGCAAGATGTCAGGGGATAGGTACAGGGGAAGCGGACTGTCTCACCTGTCATGACGATTCCCATTGCGAGCGAGCACCGCATCCACCAGTACTGTTGAGTCTGCACGAACATGACGGGAACAAGCATCAGATCGCTCCCGATACCCATACCAATGCTCTGCGAGAGGACGAGTTGGTAGTACTTCTGTGGAATCGCGAGCGAAAGCATGAACGTATCTCAGAACATGAACACAATATCACCGCTTTTGGTGATATTGTGTTCATGTGATGAGATACCGGAGACGCAGAGAGCACTGCCACAGGTGATAACTTGACGAAAGTACCCTTGATCGAAAAGCTTGCCAGCAGGCAGGCCCACCGCAAACATGAAAAACAGTCAATGCATGGATTAGTAGACAGTAGACAGGGTGAACACGTGCACTCCTGTAACGACCCAATGGCACCCAATCCAGCCGATGTTCGACACGGACAATGCGCCTGCGAGAACGTAGTAGTCCTGGTAAACCCCGAATGAACTTTGAGCAGCCAAAAGTGGTTGTGCAGATTATGAATCTGGCGGCAGGAATGAGCTACAGAAGACGTACTGCACGAAAAAAGAAGTACCTTCCAAGGACGAAGAGACCGCCGTGGCGATCGCGGGTTGTGGGGGAACATCCTCAATGACGACTGACTCGAGCGATGCATAAGCATATTAAAGTGCTTGTTGGGCCTCCGAGTGTGGATCCATGCCCGTGTAAGACATGAGTCTGAGTTACATAGATGGGCACGATGGTAGTAGTTAGGACCGAACGGTGTATACACATGAGTTAAACGATACCAAATGCGATGAGGCTCGAGCAGAAGAGGATGACCTTTTCCCAGGGGTTTTTCCCGTTGAATTTGCAGTAGCGGACGGCGATAGCTCCGTAAGTAAACCAGTGAGACACCGAGAAGGCCGCTCGAACCCCAGAATTGAGGTTTGAGAATGCACAACTACTTGAAGTCGCACACAGCCGGTCACTGATCAGTACTTCCATCAGTGCTGAGCGCTGAGCGCTGAGGCCTGAGGTGCGAAGCTCGCGGTCGTGTTCTGTGTCTCTGCGTCTGTGATCGAAGCGAAGGCTGGAATGGAAGTCGCGGTCCACATGCAGAACACAATACTTACAGTGGGATCCGAGGCCTCGGATCGCTGAGTCACTGACGAACGTTATTTCAGCGCCCACGGCTTGATCTGGGTATGCTGTTCGCGTACCAATTTGTTGTCTAATCTTCTGGCTGCCTCTTTAAGTGTGTCAGACGTTGAACGTTGAGTAAGTATCACAGTTCCGAACACCCACGAGGACGTATTGCGCGCATCATATCGTGCTCTGACATGCGGTCGAACCATTCCACTGCAGATTTGTACTTGCTTGTGTTACATACGATCTTGAATATGGAGGAGGCGGGCGAATCGCTGCTATGGCCAACCGGAAGATGGTCGATGACGAGTTTGAACGAGAGCTCAGAGCCACACCTGCCGGAGAGCGGCCCGAGTCTGAGTCAGGTCGCGTGACTGCGTGTACACACTGAAGCGCTCAGTTCGGCGTCACCAGCTGCCAGCAGCTCATCGTGGATATGATCCTGGATATCTGCAGTTCCACTGTGTACCAAACGCAACGGAGACTGGTCGTTATCTGTTGCCACTCCTTCTATCAGATACGTAGAGTTTGCAAACACGCCCCAACCATTCCATCATGTCACTACTGCAAGATGATTACCTCGCGCAAATTCTTGGATCCCCTATAACGGTGAAACGCACTAGCTATCATCCCTGCGACCCGTTGACTGATGCGGTACTAGGAAAACCGATGCCATCTACTCCCGCAGCGACATGGTCTACTTTCGCGAAGGTATCGTATGCAAGCAGGAGGCCGCCGGTGACAGGAACGTTCGCTGTCGAGAGGCTCGAGGTAGCAGCCCGTAAGAAGCTCGAGCAATCGCCAGGTCTGTCCTCCTGGACGCATGCGCATACCGTGGGGCTCTGACCATAGTGTGTCTATGAGGCAGATGCGTACATGTACATCTTCGGCAGCGCAGGAACAGGGTCTACCACGGAATCCAACAGGGAAGCATTCAAGAGGTGGAAGATCATGCCGCGTTTGCTACGGGATGTATCCAGGCGGAACATTGAGGTGATAGTGCCGCTCGATACGCTGTACGTAGCGTCCAGAACTTGCTGAGAATTGGTCTTTCGACAGGTGTCATTGTTCGGCAACACATATCCGTCGCCGCTTCTACTAGCTCCAATTGGAGCCCAGGGCATCGTTCATCCAGATGGGGAACTGGCCACAGCTGCGGCTGCGGGTGCTCTCGGAATACCCTACATCATGAGCACGGGGTCGACGCGTTCTATTGAAGCCATCGCGAAGGCTAACGGTACTGGGCCACGATGGCTCCAGCTCTACTGGTATGCACTCCTTGTTCTCTCAGTCCGCATTGTATGGATTTGACATCTGCGCAGGGGCAAGAATGACGACACAGTAATGTCTCTGCTCTCTCGCGCAAAAGCTTCCGGCTTCACTACCCTAGTAGTAACTGTGGATACCCCCGCAGTGGGATGGCGACCGTTTGACCTCGATACTGCCTATTTTCCCTTCGCGCACGGCGTCGGAACTCAAGTCGGCCTTACAGACCCTTTCTTCATGGCAGCTGCCGGATTGGAGTCGTTTCCGGAGGGCGAACACCCAGACTTTCCATACATCGCTGCCCGTCAGGACGAGCTCATCCGGAACGGCGACAAGAAGGCGACACTGCGGTCAGAGGTCGGTCAAAGGTTCGTCAGCGAGATGCTGGACCCGACAAAAGTCTGGAGCGACCTTGCAAGACTCAAAGCGCAATGGGACGGCCCGTTGATATTGAAAGGCATTCTGTCTCCGAAGGTAGCCATCCCTGCCCCCGACGGCAGTGGTATCCGCTCGCTCACGAGTACTATAGGATGCCGAGTTGGCGGTAGAGCACGGCGTGGACGGGATCATAGTATCAAACCATGGTTTGTGAATGCTATATCTCGGGGGTGTATGCCTTAACTTCAACACAGGCGGTCGACAAATCGACGGTTCTGTCTCCTCCTTGGATGCGTTGCATAGGATCATGGGGAGCAGCGCCGTCAAGGAAGCTCAAGCCCGTGGGACGTTCACAGTCTTATTGGACTCTGGTATCCGGACAGGAAGCGATGTTTTCAAAGCGCTTGCATTGGGCGCACAAGGCGTCTGTTGTGAGTGCCTCGTCGCAACTCTGGTGTTAGTCCGTCTGAAGACTCTGTCCCACAGACGGCCGTCCCTACATGTATGCGCTCGCGTTAGCCGGCAGAGAGGGAGTCGACAGCCAGCTGAGAGCGATCTTGGCTGACTTTGAGATCACGCTCGGGTTGGCGGGGATCAGGAGCATTGAAGAATTGCGTATGAATGCTCATGACCTGTTAGTTAGGGACTGACATAATACTTACCGTTGTTCTTCGCGTCCATCCTCCACTTACTCAACAATCGCTCATCCATTCTACCTTGAGCGCTAGCTGGTGGTGCCACGCGTCTGCCAACTGTGACAAAAATTTGGATAGATTTGACGAGCATGACGGAACACCGCTACTCAACCTGAGACAGAAGACAAATAGATCTCGTTCGACCCGCTGGTAGCGCTAGGTACGACATCCTCGACGCACCCATGGCTGTTGAGGCGTTACGATGAGTCGGTATGATCCACCAAAGCGCATACGATATCTTCGCAGTTGCAACTACGGATTAGATAGTAGCAAGCGACTTCTAGGAGGAGGGGAGGAGCCACGCTCAGGCTGGCGCCGGGACGCGCCCCAGACGCGACCCGTCACGGTCACGTTGCCATCTCAGGAGCGCTTGTCACGTCTGTGATGGGAAAGCAGGCAGGTCGACTCGGATTGTCGTCCACGTCCACTGGTGACTTCAGTCGATCTGAGTATACGGAAAGGCGGCATGCGCAGCGCCATCTAGCTCCCCCTCTTTTCAAGTCACTGCTATACTTGCTATCGGTACAAACGCGTACAGCACTCGCGAATTCCTGTGTCAGTGCTGTCTCAGCGCCAGCGAGTCTCTTCGGTAGCAGCCCAGGACACTAGCTAGGTCTCATTCCGTCTGTCTGTAGTTGTGAATCACGATCCCCCGCACGCTCATCTGATGCTCGTCTCACTTTTGCACTCTCAATTAGCTGTTCTAGATGCCGCGCGCTGACAATGTTATGCCAGTGTCTGGCTGCCAGTCGCCGAGGAATCAGGATCGCAGACACAGTGCAAATATGTATAGGATGGCCGCGCCTTAATGGAATGGACAGCTTAAATGGTACGTACGTGAACAACTGTGATGTTATGCATCTAGTACCCACGAGTTGCTGTTATTTAGAATACACCGGGACTACATGTACACTCGTAGTACCGGGCGCTTAACCGTAGTCCAGCACGGCTAACGACTTCAACCCGGTAGTTCTTACTCCTCGGCAACCATATTATGTGCCTGTGTCGGACGCCAAACGCCCGCTCGAAGATAGTCAGCTTGAAGACATGCATCGCCAAGAAACTCAGGCGGTTCTTGGCGCTATTGTGGTCAGTGAGACACGCGCTGATGAACTCCGAACAGGCGAGGCCAAGAACCCAGTACTACTCCTTGTTTGCAATCGAAGAGACATTGTTAGTGTTTATTCATCGAAGACGGTGGCCCTTTCCTGTATCATGGCCTGACGCCTCTTATGCCTCTTAGGATAACCCAGAGTGCGTAGACGCCGCCTCGTACAAGCCCGAGAGGTTATGTTTGAACCTAGCTTCGCCTCACGTTTTCAAGAAGCTCGCGGGGTTTGGGGCAGCTGATTCGAAAGTTTACGCGGAAGCGGGTAGGAGCAGCAAACCAGTACGTGAGCGAGCTGTTCTTCCCAAAGGCTACTGATGAGATCGATGAGAGGCTTTCCCTGAAGCATCGCAGACCTGTGATGGCTACTGGAACCCAAAATTTTGTGCGCAGTCGTTCCCCAGTCTCGATAAATGGTGTATGCTAGGACACTGACCATTGTCAAATGGAACGGAAGTTTGGTTGCGATCTCTCCACCTGATCAATCCGCAGGAGCGTCGGCGTCCGATTGAGAATACTTGGTGCGTCGTCAAGTTCTGAAAGGATGATTTGACGCTTACTCATGGAACAATGTCCTGCAAACCTCTGGTCGCGCGCGATTGCACGCTACAAGTACTTTCTAGCATTCTTTGCAGAGCAAACATGGCTAGTCTACCATCTTCAATGAGCTCAATTTCTGTTCTCAGCTTGTCAGCCGCTAGGCTGCCAAAGACGCCCCGCAGCTTTTCAGTGTCCGCGGGCCGCCTACCTCCCTCGGCGACGAGTCGGCGTGGCGGGGATACCGGGCTACAAGTTCTAGACGACTTAATGCATCCTAGACGAAGCTCGTACGCCAACAAAGCGTTAGTATACATACAATATATAAGTGCATCATGCTGTACGGCCAATACACCGACTTGAGTCGCGACTGCCTCATGTTGTTCTTGGGTATCGTTGGACGTGGGCTGCATCGCGCTGCGTACACGCTATGCACACTATTCCTCTTCACGAAGTCGGACATCAAGACGACTGTCATATCTGTCGTACGTCTTTCCTCGCTTCGATTTACCTGTCCTGATATACATGTCGTGCACATAGACGTTCTTCGCGATTTCTGCTGCTCCAGCACTCGAATCTCGACTCATCCACACTCGGTCTTCTGGATTTGGATACATCTCCTCCAGTTTGACGTGTCCAATCAGACGCTCAAGCCGGAAGAGGACCTCCTGAACAAGAGCGATCGACCTCTCCCATCTGGACGCATGACGCTGGAAGCCGCCTTAGTACTGCGTTGGGCCCTCGTGCCCCTCTGTCTGGCCGTTTCATGGCTATACAGTACGGAGGTCTTGTGGGCCAGCGTCGCCCTTGTCGCGTTGACAATCATATACAACGAGCTATCGGCCCATGGCAAGGGCTGGATCATCAGGAACCTAGTCAATGCAGCTGGCTTCGCGTCCTTCGAAGTCGGAGCTACATTAGTGGCCAGTACGTGGATGTTTAGATGTGTCATGGATCAGTTCTCATCGTCTCGTAGCTCACGGCCACAAGGACTTTGACTGGATCGCACGCTCGGCGGTTTATGCGAGTGCAGGGATCTTCGCCTCTACCATCCACACCCAAGATTTCAAGGACGTTCTGGGGGACTCCTCTGTGGGCAGGAGGGCGATACCTATCGTGTTTCCTAGGATCGCTCGGATCACTCCACTGATCGGTCTTCTCTTCTGGACAATCTCCTTGACTGTTGTGTGGGTGGTCGACTGGGGCACATCCGCCGTGCTCTTCACTATCGCGCTGAACGTCGGGTATCGATTTCTACGGCTGCGCACAATGCACGAGGATCAAGTGTCCTTCTACTGGTACAACGTACGTTTAGTCGCTCCGCTGTTGACATTATCCTGACATACATCGCTATAGGTGTGGCTCTCGTTCGCCCATGCGCTTCCCGGTTATTGTAGAATGTTCTACGGAGCATAGGTGTGCTCAGGCAGCATCGCAGTAGCCTCTACCTTGCGTACAGATGGACTACAGTCGTGTGCATACATGCTTAGAGGATAGAGTGCTGTCGGTCGAATCTTCGTCCATCTCGGAGAGATTGTGAGTACCTATGTCTCTGCCGGTGTGCCAGCGATGCAAAGCCGGCGCCAGTCTTTGGGATCACGCACAAGCGCTCGCCGTGATCATCGCTGTGTTTTGGGTATGCGTATGGTCACTATGGCCTTGAGCGGTGAGGAGAAAGTCGTGAAAGTTGTGAGTTCCCGAATCCGAAATGACTGTTCTGAGTCGTCTCAGCCACACTTGAGACGGTTCAGACATGGATGAGCGAGTTTGCGAAGCGTGGGTTTAGCTGATTGCTGACTACGTATCTGTTGGAAACCATTATGGCATATCTCGATCTTAAATCCCAGGCTACTAGCTTATAATACCTGCATTTCCACTTCCTCCCAGACTTGAACAGTCGATACGAGCGGAATTCTCGCGGCCGACACTCCAGGAGGCTGCTTCTGTGGCGAGTTCCACAGGTACACATTGCCGCTCTCAGATTGGAGACTTTTCACCCACATGAAGAGGCGACGAGCTAGGGCGGCCTCAAGTGCCCAAGAGATCCTAGTTCAGCGTTGTCAAGGGAACAGTGGCTACGCGGGAAGACGCGGGGAGCATGCGGGACTCACATAGGTGCGATGAAAACATCCTCTGCCTAATGCGGCCAGTGTCAGAGCTGAGGAAACTAAGAAGATATATGACCTACACCGGTGAATATGCTGGGCAGTAGCCTGGCCACACGCAGCGCTGGCCGATGTACGCCTTTAGAACATTGCCAGGGTTGTATATAGTCGTCAGTCGGGCTCACCGAAGAATCCCTGATAAGAGCTTAGCATACATTCACGTGCTCCCGAGTCAGTCTTACGCACCAGAAACATAATGAATCCATCCCTGTAAAGCATCGTAGCAAGTTGAGAGTTTTGCCTACGCGGTCTACTGAGGACGTTGACGAATACAAGGATGAGGACGTATAAATCGTAGAGGACCTAGACATATCGCTTCACGGTTTGCTCGTCTTACGCTTCAGTCAGAAACACGTACCATCGGCGCCCATATACCTGTTGTGTACCATGACTTATCTTCATATGAGCATATATTCGCGCTCGCCACATATCGCATACCCGCTTTGAACTACGGTCAGCGAGAAGAAATTAGATCAGAAATGAAATATGTACCCAAGACCTGCACACCGGCAAGGACAGTGAAGACAACAGTGGCACCGAAGCACGCGATGAACCCCGCTATTAGTGCACACGAAACCTTCTTGCGGTCATCCCACAACCTGTATACTCGGAAGAAGACGACAGCTAAAAACAATGTGTCAACGTCGCAGACGCACAAAGTGTGTACGAGGCACTTACTATGGGCAGAAATCGTGCACCAAATCCCGTAGGAAATCGCGAACATGGAGAAAACTGTGCATCTATAGATGGCTCATCATTCAAGGATCATGTATACGCATTACCTGTGCCTACGTCTGTGTAGCCGCATGAGTGCTGCACCAATCGGGGAGTTCGGTTTACTCACGTGCCTAGACATATGAACGAAGCCTCCGCTGACTACGACCGAATGTGAGCTATCAATGCTTGGGGGGAAAATATTGGATGCACGACACCTGTGGCGATGAAGATCATTCCAACTTCTCTTACATACAAGTCGAATAGCACAAAAGCCGATAGCACGGACCATCGCCCGAGCCAGATGAGGTCAAGCTCTTCGCCTAGGTTCAATCCATGGTCGTACATTGTAAGTGTCACCGACGCTCCTGGAGAGTGAATGTCAGTTTTTACTGGCACTCGGAACCTTAGACATCACGGACCTATAATATACCGCGTTGTAAGAAGCGAGCCCAGTTGGCTAGGAGACAGATCCATTGAGTGTCATGAATGCGCTGGCTTCTTTTAACACTCGTCTCGTCAGTACTTATGAAATGCCCCGTCATGCACCGGGATGGCCCGCTGCTGGAGTAACAGCGATGCTCTCCATTCTCGGGCTAGCGAGAACTGTATTGAATCATGATGTAACGTGAGTATTAGTGTCAGCAGGGAGTATTGCTAGTGATTGTGTTCACAAACGACATCTTTTGATGCACAAAGGCGGATGAAAAACCTCACTGCATAGCATAGCAGTGAAATTGACGATTGGTCGAGCGTATGATTTGAATTTGACAACCACACCATGCGGTTGATATTGATCAATTTGCTACGGCGCCCTAAGTAAAGTATCAAGGGCAGCGCCATCGTGCTAAGTTATGGCGCACTCACCGACCTTCTGAAGTCGCTTTGGCGCAAGGTAGTCGTAGGTTTCTGGTCTAGGGTGCGATGCAACGCGGGGATGACCGGTCTTCCGAGTTTCGAGTCCTCCTAATGCTCCAACCACTGCCTCGTTTCCAATCGGCCGATAAGTCTCATGCGATGGTCGCTCATGTAGCTAAGTGCATCGCTGGCAGATTCGCTGCTGTTCTCGTCCCCGGCGCTCAAAGCGATGACAACCGAATGTGAAGATTGGATTACGGGCGTGAGTATGAATCTCCTGAATGAGATTACTTCAGCGCCGAGAAGACCGGAAATGAGCGCTCACTGTGATGTCAAATCGATGTGTGTAGACGTTAAGTTCCGTCCAAGGGCCAAGGAGTCTTCGCGCTCTCGAGCCCCGTCGTCTTGATTGCAGACGCGCAGATACGGTCGATGGTGGCATAGCATCTCTTCAGACGTCCTCCAACAGCAACTCTTGTTCGATCAAACTCAGTTGCGACCCGGTTGTAGATTGTCCCAGCTGGTGATGGACCGGATCGTATTCGTGAAGCTCGACAGGAGACATCGAGGAGGAAGAGTGGCAATCGTACACGGGGCGCACTGCGCAGACGAAGTTCGCGACACCATCAGAAATGCCGATCTGCTCCTCCAAGCCTCTGCGTCGGATGTGCATGTGATGTTCGGAGTCAGTACACATTACACTCAACATATTTCATCATACGCCCTTGAGACGTCATCGCACCCAGACCTGGCAAGTAGTAAGGAAGGAGGGTACATCGCAAATTCAGAGCGCGCACCTGGAGCGGAGATGCCATATCGCCGCCGCTAGCACTCAAAGTCACGGTAGTCGAGTTTCCGGGGTCCTGCTGCGGGGTCGAGGCGGTGAAGGGACGTTGTGAACTTGAGTGTTGCTCCTCCTGGACACCTGCATCTGCCAGTGCCGATTTGATCCAGAGCGACAGACACCGGGGACAGCATGCGTGAGTCGGAAGCTGAACAAACGTTATCAGTATATGTTCAACTCCGAACGTACAGCGAAAGGTGATCATCGAAGCCCTTTCCTGACGGAGCGGAGCAGTGATGCGCTGGGATTATTGTTGTACGTATTCCAGTCACGCCACCCTGATCACTCTTGCCCATTCGGGAAGGGCTCTGCTTGATCAAGAACGCCGACTTACGCACGATCCGAATCCCAGCCTGAGGTTCCCCGCACGTCTTAAGGATCATGGCCGGCTGCTGGGCTCGCGCTCCGAACCCGTGTGTCAGGCATCGCACGACTACCTATCTCCCCTCGTGTGCGGCTCTCAGGTTCCTTCACCATCCTGTCCACCATGTCCAGCCCCCCGTCGTCTCGCTTTGAATACGCACAGGCATCAAAGAGTTTATCGCAGCCTGAGCTCGCCCTTAGCGACCTCAGTCCACCATCTGTCCCCTCACCATTGCTGTCACCTGCTGTCAGACGGGTCGACGGAGGATACCAGGCCTGGGCATCCCTCATCGGAGGGTGAGTTCAATATAGCGTGGCGCCACAGGCTCATGCTGACCTGACAGTGACAATCCAGCTTGTTCGCAACCACTGCGACCTTCGGCTACACCAATGCTTTTGGCGTCTACCAAGATATCTATACCCGTGAAGGCACGGCATCCGCCTCCAGCATCAGTTGGATCGGCTCTACTCAGCTCTTCTTTCTCCTCGCCATGGGCCTCCCCTCGGGTGTGCTCCTCGATAAAGGCTATTTCAAAGTCACTCTTGCCTCAGGTTCTCTCCTATTTGCTTTTTCGTGAGTCCTCCTTTCATCGCGTTCACCAGTTGCTACTGGTCTTGCTGTCCAACCTCCTGCGTCTCCGACCTCATGTGCATCATCTTCGCCGGGAACCAGGCAGTTCAACAAACCATGAGACTGCTCATCATGAAAAACGTGCTACCCCTCGTGTTCATCTGAGCGTCTGCACCCACAGGACGCGCGTACATTGAGAACGTAGACTATGAGCTGCAGACATCTGAGACATAGTGCGGAACTTTGACCAGTCTTGCGCATTGCGGTGGCGAGCGTCATTCATTCTCGGTAATAGCGGTCCATTCCGGATGCGACGAGGGTGTTTCCCTCTGACGTCTTAGGATGCAAGTTGATTGGCACATCTAATTACTCTGTTCGCTGCAGACTGTTCATGCTCTCTATTGCCGATCACAGCAAGTTCTACCAACTCTACCTCTCCCAGGGCCTTGGCATGGGCATCGGCGCTGGTCTGATCTACGTCCCCTCCGTGGCCGTTCAAGGGCACCATTGGCGCACTCGCCGTTCTCTAGCCATGGGTATCGTTGTCTGCGGTATGCCTCCGCGCTTCCGACGTCACTCGTGATCACTTACGTGTGCGCAAAGGCTCATCCGTAGGGGGCATAATATTCCCGATCATGCTCAACAAGCTCTTGAACGGGCACACGGGCTTTGCATGGGGCGTGCGCGCGAGCGCGTTCCTGGTCCTTGCCCTCCTCGTCGCCAGCAACGTACTCATGACAGCTCACCCACCAGCGCGCACCGCTGACGCACGGAAAGTAGACATGAAGGCAATTCTTACTGACGTGCCGTACCTCCTAGCCAACATCTCGTATGTCGTCCCATTGCATAGCGTTCTCACTGACTTACTCGCCGCAGGACACTCATCCTTGACTGGGCCCTGTTCTTTCCATGTGTGTCTTTCGCGCGCTACCTCCTCGCCAAACATTCATTTACCTGATTTCAGATTTCTACCTCCAGCTCTACGCAATACTTCATGGGGTTGACGCGAACGTCGCCTTCTACACCGTGCGCCCCTCCTTCTCCCGACTGCTCGTGCCACCGCTGACATCCATTTACTCAACCGCAGATCGCGATTATGAACGCAGCAGCGATCCCGGGGCGCATCTTGCCCAACTACTTTGCGGACAGGGTCGGGCCGTTCAATGTAATCGTGCCCGTCACCCTCGGCTGTGCTGTGTTGTTGTTCGCGCTCTTCGGCGTCAAGGACATTGGAGGCACAGTGGTCTTCGCGATCCTATTTGGCTTCTTCTCCGGTGCATGTGAGTCGCTATCGCGTCTCCGCGACTTCTGTTCGTCCTCAATGTAGCTGCGTGTAGATCTCTCGTTGTGCGCACCATGTGTAGCAAGTCTTGCGCGTGATACGAGCGAAATCGGGTACGTACGCCCAGCTTTTGGCCCCCTTCCCGCGTGTTGTGCATAGACTGACATCGCGGTGCGCGAATTGACACGAGCAGGGCGCGATTCGGACCGGCATATCTCATCACCTCCTTTGGCGCGCTCACGGGGAACCCGATTGCCGGTGCGCTCCTTGGCTCCGGCTTTCCCTGGTGGAAGCCCATCCTCTTTTGCGGTGTACGTCCGTCTCTCATCTTGTTCGTGAACATTGCCTCTACGGTTCGCTGTGGAGGCGTGAAGTCTCAATGTATCGATCAGTTTTCGATACTGATTAACACCACAGCTCGCCTCCATGGCGTCCCTTATTGTGCTCGTCATCGCCCGGAACATGATCGCGGCGCGCAAGGGAACACAATTGGTATGAGTTCGTGTGGAGGCTATCAAGATGCCATCTCGCATGTTTCCATCGTCGTAACTTATTTCCGCATAACTCTGGCATTCGGCTCGTATTGGGACATGGACTCGTAATGAGAACTGGGTCGTTTCCAGCCCGCTGGCTGGCGTGCATATATCGGAAATTGTTTCAGATTGCCAGTGTGTGTAGAAGCTCGAGGAGCTTCATGAAACGCTGGCTATTCTACACGAGTTGGTTCAATTAGCTCACTCATAAGATCTATCCGACAAGTATCATGTACATACGTAGTCAATTAATGTAAATAGTATCAGGCAGGCTTTCATGAAGAGGTTCCTGAGCGGCGAACCAAATCAAATAACCGCGGCTACACCGTGATGCATGATACAGTTGCTGACCGGGTGTTGTAACCTGCGTGCACCAGGGGATCTGGGAGCGATGGCACTACTGCAATGTACGAGCCTGGTACAAGCATGTATCCACGCGTCTTGTGTACAGTACGTGCCAATTCAAGTCGGCTCGAAGATGGCGCCGGGGACGACCGCATGGCTACTTGCTGTCACGAATCACAAGAGTGTTCGCCGGCACCGTTGACTACATACTAGTAGAGCGCTCGAGAGATAGGCCGTGCCAAGAGGGAGAAAAGATTGCACGATCCGACGAATCACACCACATCTCACTACTTCGGGGGTTCTTATACTCTATTAGAGGAGCTCACAGCCTGAGCGGACGGTGTACATACACTCGACAGATCTTTATGGTTGTCCAGATCTCTGACCGCGATATGTCATCAAAAGGGTAACATGCAAGCGACATATTTAGGGCTCCGAAAGCCTTGCGTGCGAATTTCTTCCTTCTGCTGTGGTTCTCGCCGTCAAGCACGAGGAATCACGTCTGAGGAGGTGATCCGACTCGGAGCGGATTCAAACAAGGTTTGCATTTTTATCAGACTCCTATCAATCTCATCCTCCTCCCAGTCCTCAAGGCGTCGACGCCTCATGCACATGGATCAGAACTGATCTTCGACTAATTCACACGATGCCATATGAACATAGGAAGCTCTCCATTTTACGGATTGACTTCGTTTTACTAATGCAGGCGTTCATAGACGTGTGGACGCCGTGGAGATTGGACACGTCACTAGTACTGAGTACTGAGTATACCGGTCAATCGAGTCAATATGTATTTACTCAAACTCTACACATGTTGTCGCGCGCAGTCTGACTCAGCTGAAGAGGGGAGATAACAGGCAGACGTTGAACCACTGCTCTCGGGTTACGGTCCAAGACGGGAAAGCTCAAGGTGCCATTTAAGTACTTAAACGGGACTTCGGCGGCTGCTGCCTGCGTAACTGACACGTTTCACTGCACAGCGCCATCCCGCATTCTTTCTGTACTAGGTGGTCTTTGTCGCCGACTCACTTGCAAGTGGCTAGTATTTGAGAGCTTGGTCCATCGACAATGCCATTGTCTCATGAAACGTTGCGGCCTCTGGAGGTCTCTACCGTCGAATTCGACTATTGTCATGACCGACCCCTTCGCACAATTGCCACCCGCGTCGTACCCCGCGACCACACTGCGATTGACGTCCCAGGCCGGACCACCTGTTGCTTGCTCCTAGGTGCCGGAATATCTCTTCGTTCGTCTCCGCTGCATTCACTATCTCTCCCTGTAACTGATCTACCGACGTATTTGCCAGAGCAAGAGGCTTGGTTGCCCGTCATCAAGCGCCTCTACCATCTGACTGCTCAGCCTTTCAGTCGCGTCACCATTCACTCTGTTTGGGTCATTGAACGGCCTAACCATGGCGATGCCGGGCTGTTGAATGAAGCTATGCTCAAGGAGCACTACCACACCACGTGTACGTGCCCGAGCTGTCTATCGTCCATCTAAATTCAACGCCTTAGTACACTAGTCCTCAGTTTACAATATGCCACGGCGATCCGTGCCTTTCTCGCCTCCGACTTCCTCTCTATTCATGAACGGACTAACCTCATTGCTATTGGACACTCGGGTGCCGGAGCTTCAATGTAAGTCGCTCTACGTCCAAGCCCACCGCAGTTGATACTCATGTCGCACGTTGATGTGCGTCCAGGATCAAGGCCATACATCCAGCGACGCACAACCTCCCCATTTCCCGGCTAATGCTTATTGAGCCACCGTACGTCGGCCAAAGTGCCTTTGCATACATGGAGGCGCTTTACAAGATAGTCGAGGCCTCCAATGCACGCCGCCGGACCAGCTGGGTTTCCGTGGACGAGGCGATGAGCTACTTCAAAAAGCGTATGCCATGCAAGATCTACCATCCTGAGGTGTGGCAGATCATGTCTGTGCGTCCGCTCAACCAGACTACCGCGAAGTTGTGATAGAGTTGAGAATGATGCATTACCAGGAAACGTACTTCCGTGAAGATCCTCAGGATCCTGAGCGGGTGATGACGAAGACGACGATCGAGCAGGAGACCGCGAGCTTTCAAGACGACGGCACTGACCTTAAGGCACTGGACTATGTCCGTTCGGTCTACCACATCCTCCCAACGCACCTCATACTCGGCACAAGAGAAGACATATGGTATGCTTCTCTTACTTCATGTCCTGTGCGATTGGCATGTTGCGGAGGCTGATGCTCCACTGTTCAGGCCTCCCGAGGTATGCAAGCTGAAACACGAAAATATTGAACGAGATCGCGAGGCTCTGGCCTCCGTCAGCTTTATTCAAGATGCAGGACACTATGTGCGTCGATCACCGTCCGATCACATCGTGTGCATTGTTTTGTTTATTTGTAATGTCTAGATTCCTGTGCAAATGCCAGTAGAACTCGCGGCCGAGATAGCTCGTCTGCTGAACGAGTTCGTTGGTGGTGCCTTGGAAGCACGGTTGTAGTGTTATGTAGTCTCAGGAGAGAAGTCTTGGCTGTAAATGTTTACCTTGTAAAACTAGGAACATGAAGCTCGCCGTCACGGCGAGGAACCTCATGTTCCCATTCACTAGTTCTGCGTTCAAACGTTCGACGCTACTGCTGCTAAGCATTTTTGATGTGATTCACATGCCAGTATTCGAAAATATAAGTATATCAGACGGTACCGTTACACTTCGAAGTCGACGTCCTAAAACAATACCGGAAGGTAGTGTCGGGTCTCTGAATCGCCCGCAGCGTCAGCGGCGAGGAAGCTGTAAGTCGGCTTGATGCATCCATTCATTCCGTGTAGCGCTGTTACTACAGACGAAGGAGAGAGATTGGGTAGCAGTGGAACACCGTAATCGCTTGATCAGCGAACTCGTGTTACACCGCCATATGACTTCGCAGTATGTCCTGGCACTGGTCGGCACGAAAAAGGTTTGATATGCAGTCCGACTGTGATGCTTAGCATACGTATGACTGAGGAGCCATTCGGCGGTCACGGTGCACCGTGCGGCTTTCACTGTCATCGCGCACCCACTACTGACATCCAACCACAGTGACCGCACCTCGGTTCGCAGTGACAGTATCTCCTCCGACTATTACTGACAAAAAGGAAGTTCGAGCTCGCTTCGATCTGATCGGTTGGCATTAAGTATCTAAGACGTCTTCTGGCACCCCTATTACTGCACCCAGGCAGTGCCAGCGCAGAAGTCGACTTCACGGGCGACTCGGACCTTGAGCTTGAATGCTCCGCATCACGATGCTTCGAGCTGCCAACAATATTGGCGATTGAGTGCGTCTTCAAGCGGCTTGAGACAAACTGCGGTCGCGATGAACGATCTTGTCGCAGTGTCTTTGGCCAGGCTTCGAGGTTTGATAGTGAGCTGTCATCTTGGCGAGAGCTATTTTCATATTAGGAGTAAGTATGTACTCTCCAGGGACTCGGACTCCTGACAGCAGGCCTTTCATCAACGTCGATATTCCAGTATCATACTCGTACTTACTTAGAGCGGTGGAATTTGACTTGAGAAGCATGATATCACAGTACAAGCTTCAACTTGAAGTTGACGTCCTGTCTCCGTGAACTGAAATAGTGTCTTGACACATGGTAGTCGTGCTACGCTGCTCGGGCTCCCGGAATAGTAACATCAGCATCTGTTCGGAACTTTCAATCAAATAGAATGAGCTTTCAGCCTAATCAACATTCATCGCGGCCTTGGACATGGCGAGGAGGAGAGCTACTGTTACTACATCGATGCCTGTGATAGCCCCCGTTGTTGACATGCCGGCGCGTCCAAATCCTAGTCTCCCCTAGGCAGACCCTAAATGCGACCTCATTGAGTGGGGGTAGGGCGGTCGTATCCAAATAGGCTATGACAATACAAGTCACTGCCCTATTTCGAAGCATGTTTTCAATTGACGAGCGCGTTGGCAGCGGCCTCGCACCAGTGCTTACATAAAGTTACAGGTTTGGAACAACACATTATTACTGTAAGTAACTTATCCAAAACCTATCGCAAGAAGCTGCCTGGCGTTAATTTGAATACATAACTTGAAGCGCCTTTACTTATCGGCGCGTCCAGTGTTCACGCGTTCACGCTCTGTCAGATCTCTCCATCGTCAGGTAAGTATGCGCAGTATGTTTTTGGGATTCAATCATCGCGAATGAAATTCCCTCATCGCTTCAGCCTTCGGGGTTGCAGATACGGTACGCATCTGTCATTGAAGACGGCTGCGAAGCTTACGTTCCGTTACTCAGTACTCATCCTTAGGTCCATTAGTTAACGGTGTGTGGACGAGTGAAATGGAGGCAGATCTTACATGCCAGCAACACATGCATTGTTTGACACGAACATGATTTCACAACAAAGTCATGCTGATGATTGTATATAGCCTGCTCTCAAGATGACCTGGTCTACTACGACGTGGCGAACAGTACTCATCCCAAGGCTCAACGACCATGACGACTCCGGCTGGGCAGCCTAACCTTGGTCCTAGCATTGGAAGCCTGCTTATTGCAGCGATATGCTCGGCGATGTGAGTCATACTACCGAATGATTCTTTGAACTATCCATGAAACGTTGCAGGCTCTATGGATCCTCGTGCGCTCAATTCGCGTATTATCTGCGTCACTACCTGGATCGAGACAGATTACCCATGAGGTGCCTTGTGCGTACGAAGTAACTGGATGTGCGGCAGAGAATTGCGACTGATCTTTGAACCGAACAGGTTCTCTTCGTATGGTCAGGACATCCAGATGGCTGCACTGGTACGAGGTGTAAGCCAAGGCTAACGATATCTACCTCAAGGTTGCTTGATACGATTGTTACCATTTCTGATATCTGCGTACGTCTCCTTTTTATGACACTTAAGTATACCGATTCAAGCTCCCATACAACAGATTATCTGGTTCTTTGTTGTCACAAATCACGGCAACCTATCAAGCCTTCTCGTCACCCCGAGGTACTTGAGTCCAGCTTCCCTCCGTGCGGACTGACAAATGCGTCTGTCTTCGTCTAGGGTTTTCGAGGTAAGCATTGAACGTTCCCACCTTTGGGGTACACAACATCTTGCTCAGGCGTGACCCGTCCTCCAATGCCATAATAGTTGGAGTACACAACCATAGTGCGTTGTACTCAGTTTACCTGCACAATGTTCCAAGGCTGAGCCCGACAACCAGGTTGTGACGACTTGCGTAGTGCAGCTGTACGTATGCAAACACTGATTCAAGAAGTATTGATTGAGAAACATTTGCTCTAGGTTTTACGTCTCTCAAATATGGCAATGTGGGTCTATCATGATCCGATGCACACGCACTACCGCTGAACTCTCTCTAGTGCTCCGTGAATCCTCCTCGCGACTGAAGCTAGTTATTACTGTGGCACCAGTGAGCACCACTCAGACAGTTGTCTCAGAACCACAATTTTGAGGATGGGAACAGGTAGTGCTTTCGCTCGTGTCTCTCGGTACGTTTCCTCGCCCAGTCACAGCCTGAACTTCTGAGCTGTAGCACTCAAAGTCATGCGTTAGCGTTCACCGTCGGTAAAGCACGATCCTCATGTTGGCATGGAACACTACACTCATTCAGTGTTTGTTCTCCAGAGGATGTATATACGATTGCGTAAGCGAATCAAGACAAACAGTACACCAGCTTCCTGACGAGATGACAGTACGAAGACCGACTGGCTCATCTCAAAATCCATTACACTCTCCACCGTAGGTCTTGCAGACTTGGAACATGAATGCACATCACCCAATGCCTACTAGCCTTGGACAACGAGCCGCGTCTGGAGTGACGCAGTGGCAGATGTCTGCATTTGTATCGCTCTTTCGTGGTTGTTGAGAAAGAAAAAGACGGGTATCAGAGAGTAGGTTGATCACCTAGGCTTGAATGCAGCGAATGAATGCGGCTTTCATACAGAACTGATAATATGATCGGTAAACTCGTCACATCCATCATCAACCGCGGAATTCTCTCGATGTAAGTCCATTGTATCACCGTCCCATAAACTCGGTCGCTCATGATACAACGGACCGACACTATAGGATTGTACAGATTGTGCTATGTGGAACGGTTAGTCGTCACTTACATGCCACAAAGCCATGCGAGCGATGCTCCGTTCTCATTGTAGCGGACATAGTATGTAAGCTCCATAAAGCAAAATGCTCTTGTATGGATGGTACCCCACTGCGCAGGATGCAAAAGTAAGCATTGCCCAGCTCCGTTCGACTTTCTGCATCCTCCTAATTCGCTGATCTGACTTCGCAGTCTACGTGAACTCGATGTTGGCTGTGTAAGCAGAATTATTTCATGCTCTCTTGCAAATGCTTATATGAAGCTGTATTCATAGTCTGAATGCCCGTCAACACGTCAAGAAAGGGCGTGCCAGTGTTGATATCAATATGATCAATCTCACGGGAAGCAACAAGGTATCCGAGACGAACTGCTCGCTCGACGTGCATCCATGCACGGCCCGATCCACCTCAGGCTCCACACCAAGGACGAGGGGCTGCGTGGGGGAGGCCAAAACGACCTGAGTGTGTGTCACACGGACTCCATGTTTCGGGGTCCTGCATCAAGGCATGCACGCCCCCTCTAATAAGTAGGTTGGTGCCTCGTAGTAGTAGATGCTCTGCACGGCCACGATCACATCGCCCCTGTCGTTCAAGATAATTCCTTCCATACCTGCAGAACGCATGGTGTGCGCGTTCTCTATTATTGTCAACGAGCAGCGCTCAAGCGGAATGATAGCAGATGCATTGCTGCGCCGGTAGATATTGACGTCTAGTTGTTTCAGTGTGTCGAAGTCGTCATATGTAGTGATCGGATGAAAACTTCATCAACATCAACATCAACATCATGCACTTGGGCCCGGTGATCGGTGTGCGCGAACCCATTGGTACGTATTACAGGACACAGTTCCTGCGGTTGAGAGCTATTTGAAATTGTTGGAGTAGTTGGACGGACATCATCTCGGTCTTAAAACGATCATCTCGGTCTTAAAACGATGTCGCTTCAGGCTCTGGCGATACCTGCCTCTTGCTGCCCGCGTTCTGTAAGCACGTTCACATTTTTACTATGCACTGGCATCGGGCACGCCCACTTAACTCTGGTCTTCGTTCGTAGTGACCGGTGATTACTGCTGCAGCTGCGACATGACAAATAATCGTTCACCTGCGACCAGTGAGGCGATGTGGCTGTTCACCATAGCCTTCGCTGTCATCTGCATCGTACTCTACCGCATGACACAACCTCCTCCTGCCCTGCGGAACGTACCGCGCGTACCCGTATCAGAGCTTCTTTACAGCTATGTCACGGGGGAAGGCGAAGATCAACGAGCGAAGCGCGTACTGCTTCCATTTGCCGTGAAGATGCAGGTGGATGTCGTGCTGGTGTGGTGCTTCGGTCACTGGATGATCCATGTCGTAGATTCTAAGGTGGGTTCTGTACCGCTGGTTGAACCTGTAGTACTTACGCTATCTTAGGCAGGCAAGGGCTTCATGGAGAATCGAAGTTTCAAGAAGCAATCGCCTCGAGAGGAGACGTTGCTCTGGCACTTCACCGGACGACAGAACATATTTTTCTCGGAGGGTGAACAGTGGAAGAAGCACTCAAAGATATTCCGCGCCGCACTCCAAAGGACAACGCCTGTGGGCCACTTTGTCGCGTTATCCCGCAAGCTTGTGTCCATCATCGGCGACGGCGGGAGAGTGCGATGGAATGATTACACTCACCGGTTTACACTTGATGCGGTCGGGAAGACCACCCTCGGCTTTGATTTTGAGGCACTGGACGACCCCGAAAGCCCATTTGTTCGCCTCTATCACGATGTCATGGCGTCCGTATCCCAACCAGCCTTCATCTTTGTTCCCTCGCTGGAGCGCTGGATATCACGTAACGGTGTTCGCCGTAAGGTGGATGCTCTACTGGAGCGCTTCGAGGAGCTGCTCACAAGGAAGAAGCGCGAGCCGGGAAACGATGTGATCACATACTTCTACGATGATGCGGACATGACGAGGAAAGAGATAAGGGACAACGTTGTCGTCCTGTTCATGGCAGGGCATGTAAGTGGAATTTCTTGGCAGTATTATCAACGCTCACATAGCAGCTACCAGGAAACTACAGCGGGTGCGCTGTCTACATTGTTTTACTACATGGGTTGTTGTACCGACGTGCAACAACGCGCCAGGGCGGAAGTACTCTCTGTGGTGCAAGCCAGCGAGGACTTGACACTGGAACATCTGGGTCGCATGCCATTCCTTTCTTCTGTCATCCGCGAAGCCATGCGGCTAAACAACCCATCTAATATCACCGTCCCTCGTATTGCAGCCGTCCCAGTGCAGATTGGCTCAATACTGGTTCCACCTGGCACACCTGTCACGCTCAATATGTATGCCGTGCTGCACAACGAGAGGTTGTGGTCCGATCCCTGCTCATTTGAGCCACGCCGTTTCCTCTCCCAGAACGCGGAGCTTGACAACGATCAACATTGGATGCCGTTTGGCCATGGTCCACACCAATGCCCAGCTCGAAATTTTGCCATGATGGAGCAACGGACGCTCGCGGCGGTAATGTTGATGGAGTTCGAGTGGGAAATACCGTCCGACTCCATTCACCTACACGGTGTTCGGAACGCTTTCTCTTCCTTTGCATTAAACCTTCCGTTCGACATGGACATTTTATTCAGACGGCGGCGCGAAGGCATCGTTCGGGCTAATTGAGATTATTTGCTCACGTGGAACCACCATTACACAGTACTACCGACTGCTTGTCAATATGATTGTACGTAGGTGTGGTAGAGTTGAATGCGCCGAATACATATAAGTATTGCGAGTCAACGTTATTTAGTGATTATGTACTAGCATGCCCGTGGCTCAGCGGTTGAAGTCAGACTAGCCGATGCCCGTGCTCCGCTACAGGTATGCGCTTTCGATTGCATATCTCTCAGTCAGATACATTATCTACGGCTTTGAGCGCATAGCAGGGCGACCACTCAAAAATCGTGACTGTTCTATTCTATGTTACTTGCAAACATAGGTGACTTCTGTAAGAGACTGATAGTTGAAATGCCACTTAGCCGTCTCCCTTCGGGAGTCGGCTTCGTGGCCCTGTGCCGGGCCGTGAAATATGCATCTACAGCGGTATATTGGAGGAATGCTTACTTACCGACTGCGATGAAACTGGATGTCACATCCTCACCTGTTTGCTGGCTCAGGTTACTTTCGGGTGGTACTACTTGAATGTATCTGCCTTCGACCCCTGTCTCTCCGCACCGCAGTAAGGGAGAGATGCCATTGATCAACAGCGGAACTTGGAAGATATTCAGATGTGCAGCGCACCTATGCCCATGGCTCCCGAGTGGCCACTCTCCGACTCCGACTCGTGGGTGTTATGCTTGCATCCTCGGCGTTGCCGCACGCCGTACCTGACATTCGCTCGTCCTTACTCGTCCTCGCGCCTCTCATCACCTCATCCTCACCCATCTCTGCCAGCCATTCGCCCTTCCCTGCCTACTCGTTCCCGTCCGCGCCCGCTGTCTGCTGACCCTCCCTGTTCATAGCTGAGCCCGCGCCCGTGGTCCGCTTGTCGGCTGCACTTCACGCGGGGGCTTTGCCCTGCATGCTCGCTGAAGCTGAAATTTCGCCCTCGCCCTCGCTGTGCGTGTCGTGGCTCAATTGTGTACCCGCTCGGGGCCTGCCTACGTGCGCGATCGGAGGCCGTGTCTGCGTGCAGTGAATGTTCGCTCAGTGCGCTCGCGGTCGACGTATACGCTGTCACCTACTCGCTCGCTCGCCCTCCTGCTCTCCATGTACTCGCTTGCTTACCCGTCCGATTGCCCCTCCACGCCTGCTCACCTGTCCGCCGGCTCGCCCACCTGCCCGCTTGCTCTGCACGCGTTCGTCGGCCATGTCTGTGTGCCGGGCATTCGCCTGGCGCGCTCGCGGTCGGCGTGCGCGTCGCGCTTCATGTCGCCACGGCGACTGCGCCCTGCGCCTGCCCATTCTGTCTCTACGACTCCTTCGGCCACTGTGCACCCGCCATCCGTTCGTCGGCCGTGTCTACGTGCTGGGCATTTGCTCAGCCGCCTCACGGTCGGCGTGTGCCTCTCGCTGGCCTGCTCGTCCGCCCGCCGCCCATTCATCAGCCATGCCTGCATGCTTGTGATCGTGATGCGTCGGGCTGCACGTCGCCGCGTCCTGTGCCTGCAGTTAGCCCGCTCGCTCGCGTGTGTCTGCACTCACTGTGACGGTGGTCGTCTCCATCGCTCCGCTCGGTGCACTCCTGTCACTCGTTGTCTGCACCTTACCGCTGCCCTGCTGATCCGCGCCCTCCGATGCCAGAGTGAGAAATGAGCATGAGGGTCGCGCGCGAGTCTAAGGAATAATGAGGACGACTCGGAGGAGGGATGAAGTACAGTCACGGTAGCTCGGAGCGCTTGAGAGGCTCGGGCAGCGCTCGGGCGTCCGTCTCTCAGCCAATGAGAATGTCTCTAGCGTTTGTCCCGTCTTCTTGTCTTGCTTCTTGTCTCTGGTGTTTGTCTTAGCGTTTGTCTCGCGTTCCCACGTTCACGCCTCTTGTAGAGTAGATGCTCTCGAGGTTTTGACTGCATAAACCTCGAACCTCGGGCAAGCTGGCCGGACCCATCCTGAGTTCCTCGCGCTGTGTAGCCTACAACACAAACAACTTACGATGGCACTCTGTAAGGAGTATAGCTCAGCCTTTGGCTGATTGATCTGTTCCGAGTCGTGTACCGTGACAGCTGCTAACTCAAGCGACACGCGGCTCTCACCCAAATGATCTGTGAGTGGCATTGCTGAATGCGGTCTTCCGACTTGGCCATTGAAATATTGACACCCCACGCGTGCGTCCGCCATATCAATCCTATAGAGTGATTTCATCACACCCTTCTGATTGTGTACACCTAGATCTGAATATGCGCCACGGGTATACCACATCCTGGACCATAATGACCGAGTCAGTGTTTGGCAGTGCTCGATTTATTTACCGTCATTTAGCCGCGGTTTTCCCTATATCAGTAGGCAACATAGTGTTTTGACTGCAAGTTGTCCAAATGTCTCTGGCGAGCGACGTCTGCCACAATCATGGAGATCGGCTCGGCGCTACTGTTTCTGTAGCCTGTACCGTCGTTCCGCAGCTACTTGGGGACATGTTACTACTATGCAACGAGGTCAAGAAGTCGGATTTTATAGCTCGACGGCACAAGCCATTTGACTGGATCGCACGGTCAGCGACCTATGCGAGTGCATGTACCTTCGCCTTTGACGTTTACTTTCAAGGGTTTCATCAAGATTTTCACCCAACGTATCGTGCCCCCAAGATCGCTCGAGCCACTTCATTGATCGGTTTCCTCTTCTAGTCACTGCGCTACACATACATACACGTACATCAAGTGAATTTCCTGGTGCTTTGTTGTCTAGACCGATACAAGATAATACCACCGTCACTTCACGATGTTTCCACGTGCACGACCTCCGGATAAGTAGACGGAATGAGGCCCTCCCTTTGCCAGTAATTGACCCAACTGCGAACGTCATCTAAGCCAATCTCGGAAATCCTTCCATCGCGCAGCGTCGGGGATGCCTCTAATCCATGCATGATATCCGCGCTGTGGTTCAGCTTCTCCATCACATCTGGCCGAGGTTCATTCGCATCCGCAGCAAACCGGAATATGTCGAGCAAACGTAGGCCATGCTCCAGGTAACGCATCGCGCTCGCATCTTCGCTCAGCACAAGCCCACGTTCGAGTCGCGTAATCCAGTCCGAGTACGGAACGAGCGGAAGGTCGAGGATCAATGAGAAGTAGTTGAAGACCTGCGTCCACGTCACCGGCCGTGGGTGGCACAGGTGGAGAACCTTCTTCGAGCTGTCCATGAATTCGACTAAGATCGCTGCCGCAGTATCGACAGGAAGCCATGCGACAGTCTACAGTGGGTATTATGGTTGAGTGATTTCATTCGGTTGTCCGAGCTTAATCACTTACCCCAGACGCGTCCGGAAGACAGCCCAACGCAAAACTGGCTGACACCATCGAGGGTACCCACTCTGAAATCCTCCATGCACCGCTCGCACTCCCACTGAGCTGGCCGATGCGCACGATGGTAGGCGACCAAAGGTTCTTCTCCCCGGCGAAGGTGATAAGACGCTCGGCAACCCATTTCGACTCGAAGTAGCCCAGGCCGACGGCAACTGAGGGATCCTCGACTAGCGCTTCTACTACAGGCTTATGATCGGGTAGTTCTGCACGAAATTAGATCTTCGGGAACTAAGAACGCGCGAATCGAGAACGGTACCCACGTCTGAACATGCCTGTTGTACTGGCGAAGAGAATCTTGACATGTGCTTCGGACGATGCCGCAAAGTCGATCAGATTCCGCACACCGCGGATATGAGGTTCCAGTGCAGACAACGGCGTGAGGAAGTCAATCGGCCAAGCTAAAACGTGGCTATGAGACATACGCGAGCAATGGTAGATCAATAGATACGCTCATACCAAGGTGAACGATATGAGTCACGGAGCAACGCAGCTGTATATGCAGGGGCCGAAGTGAACATCACTTGCGTAATGGAGAAATAACGGTCCTCACCTCCTCATACGCGACAGAAGATAGATCAAAGGTTGGCTGTGACATGTCACCTTCCCATAACGCCAACTTCTGCGAGTGGAGAGTAGACGTGTCCAAGCCCCGGGTGTCGAATGTCCCTAGTAAACGATCCATTGCCGACTTCCCTGATGGGTCACGACGGACAATGGTGAATACCTTGGCCCACGACGCGTCGGATAGTAGGTACGCGAGTACGTGTGACCCAATGCTCCCTGTTGCGCCCGTCAGTAGCACAGTCTTACCCGCGTTGATTCTCGTCGTGATGCCCCGCGACGGCAGATCAGATGAGTACTTCTCCAGCAAATACATCATTTCATGCACCTTCGCCTTTGCGGGCTCGTCCAAGTCGATGGCCACAGCAGATTGGTCCTCGACGCTAATATGGTGTGGGATTGTCGAACCTGAGTTCTCTTCACGGAGTTGCTCAAGATCAGCTAGTGTGATGTCGGCAAGAAGCTGAAGCTGAGAGACGGTCAGGTACGGTGTGAGAGCGTGTGACAGTGCCGTGGCTGACAGAGAGTCCAGGCCATAAGCTGTGAGAGGAACGTCCGGTGAAAGGTCTTCGTGATCGATATCAAGCACTGCGCAGATGATGTCGCCCGTGCTGCGTTCCGAAGCGTCCACGGACACTTCGTCTGTGTTACTGGACGTTGTCTCCGCTACAAGGTGGTCGTAGAGCGAGGAGGATCCAGCATGCTTCTGTACAACACTCCAATCGAAGGCTGGGATGTACTGCCACAGAGGATCTTCACGAAGCTTCAGCAGCGCCTCGCCGATGCACTCACAGAGCTCTGTTGTTTTGGTATCAGCGGGTACAAAGGGACTTGCTGCATATACTACTGACCTTCACATGTCATAGCCCAAGAGCTCAGATGCCTGTAGCGCGACCATTTTGTGCTGTCAGTAGCCGCCATGGTGAGTGACAAGCCAGTATCGATAATCATCGGTGGGACAATAGTTGCGGCATTCCTGTAGCGTCTTGTCAATCCTGTCAAGACAGTATTTGCACTAGGTGCGATGAGCAAAGTTGCAGAGCCTTAACGCAGCTTCATACCTAGAGTAGTTTGTTTGCCCTGCATTCCCTGTCATACCCGCAACGGAGGAAAAGGCAAGCAGGAAGTCCAGTGAGCCTATGTCGAGGACCTTCTCCAGAGCAGTAAATGCACTCATTTTAGCCGTGAAAGGTGCCTCAAATGTCTCCGGCGTCTGCATGACGAAGGTACGATCGATCAGAACGGCAGTCATGATCATACATCCGCCAACCGGCTTCTCGATCGAGGTCACCAGTTCCTTCGTATGTTCGAGAGACGACGCGTCGATGGCCTCCGTACGGAGCACCAAGTCGTCCCTTGTTTGCAGATACGCCAAGAGCCGCAAAGCGATGAATTCGTCCTTTAGCACAAGATTGGCCGTACCTGAGCGGGAGGTAAGGATGAGTTCGCGTGCGCCATTCTATGCGACATTAGTCATGTCACATAGCAGACATCGGGGCTAAACCCGCACCTTGTACATCCAATATGCGATGTGCAACCCAAGCCCCCCGATCCCCCCTATCAAGACGTACGCTTTTTCTGGATCGAAGATTCTCATATGTGATGGCACTTCCGCCGGCGGTGCTACACCGAGCAACTCAATCGGAGGAGAAAACACTTCGGTGAAGTCGGCAGGATGAGACAGCGCTAGCCTCAACGCGTCGCCTATAACCCATGGATCCTCGGTAAGAATGCGGTCCAGCCCGGTACTCGGGTCGTCCCACTGGAAAACCTTTTCTGATCGCAGACGAGTCAAGGTCTTGTTGACATCATTGTCGGTCGCCCGCAGCCTCCCGGAAACAATATATCTCGGTCGCCGAGCGAGTATCTGCCTGGTTTCTGAGGTGCTGGCCTGTGACGGAAGGCGCACAACATGCAACCCACGGCTCTCGTAGAATCGACAGACATCGTGTCCAATTGAGGTATCCGAGTGTGTCACTAGGATGCACGTGTCCTCCAATCGCTGCGGGTCGCTGAAATTGGCAGGTCCAATGGCTAGCACGGCAATGATTGCAGCGAGCGCGTGGGGACCTCGGCGAAGATCTTGAACACTTGTCAGCTCCAACAGGCTCCCACGATGGGCGACGACGTAGTTGGTAAGTGGTCCTGGTGTGATACCAATGTAGGTGCTGGTTGAGCCATCCACATGTCCGGTGAACGCCCAGTACGAAGTGGTGTCCGATGACACGGCCGTGACGTGGACAAGGGCATAATTAGTGGGCACAGTTGGTGTAGACACTTGAGAGAAAGAGAAATCCCGATATATCCATGGCCGCCCAGGGTCAAAGGTTGTGATCCGTCTAGGCGCAGACAGCGGAACCACCTTGGGAGCGTGGACTGACCCGTCCTCGTCTACAAGCATTTCCTCCTCTGCAATTGGATGTGCACAAAGGGACCGTGCGGTCTCTTCATACTTTTCCGGAAGCCAAGACGAGGAGAAGACGACGCAGAACACTCGCCACGATCGATATTCCTTGCGGAGAGACCTCGTAAAGCCGAGCATTGCATCGCCATCTACCCCTTCCGGTGCGATGAAGCAAAGCGACACTCTGGCGGGCGGATCCAGCGAGCGGATTGTTTGTTGGAGGGTCATCTCGTCTCCTCGGTGGTGTCGGAAGATTAGAAACTGGTCCGGTTGATCTTTAGGTGACTGCGATAATTCATGAGCGTGCTGCATGGCGCTCACACCTTCCACATACCTCGTCTTTAGTCGCAGTTGTCTGAATGCCTGCCGCGTCATCGCACATCTCCGAAGGATTGGAGAGGCGGATGTTCAGTTGGCGATACACCATCTCGTAGCGGTTCTGGACTACTAGTGGCACTCGCCCGTGAGCAGCCACCTCAAGTGCCTTAATCGTACATAGTGGCAGGCCGTGCTCATTCGTGAGGGTGAAGTCGTATGTGAGTGAATCTGAGGCTTCATGAGTATGCAATGAACAGGATTGACAAAAAAGCCTCTGACCTGGCGCCCATTTGACGAACACACCGTGAGCATAGACCATCCTAGGAATCCCTTCAGCGAGGGCTTCATGAGTAACCAGCGTGCCGATTTTCGAAGGCAAGTAATAGTGTCCTTGAGCAATGGCTCCAGTAATCAACGGGTGCACCGCCGCGTGGAGAGCGGCGTCCAAGATCGCGGGGTGCAGTCGGTACTCCGAAAGGCTGTAGAGTAGATGTTAAACTATGTTGTATGCGCCGGGGGTGTACCACCTACTTTTCCAAGTCATCTTCTGCCCCGCGAATCTGAACCAGAAGCTCCTCCAGCCCAGAGGCGTCGATCCCGTGGTAACAAGAGAGCACTCGCCTATACGTGGGACCGTAGTTAGCGAATGAACCGAGGTTGCTGTAGAAGCTCTTCATCTCTAGCTTCTTCAACCGAGCGCGTATGTCGTCCAGGGGCACCACAGGGGCATCCGCATCGAGTTCGCTTTCCACAGAGAGATAGCCAGTTGCATGTACACGGTTGTACTGCCGCAATTGTCAATGCCTTGCGACACACCAGGAAGTCATGCACTCACAGTCGGCGGCCATGTGTTAGTAAAGTTTGTCGCCGCAGCGCTACGAACGCTCCACTGTGAGCCTTCTAGCTTCACGTCGACAGGCGTCGGACGTTCCGCAGAAAGAGACAACATCGAGTAGAACTGTACATCCCACAGCCTTTTCGCGCCAAATTCGAGTGCCTGCGAAGTTCTGGTCAACCTGCATTCGGGTACGATATGAAACTGATGTACCATTTCTAAGAATCCCGCTGCAGGCATGATCGGTTCGTTCTTGATGACGTGGTCTGCCAGGCCGGGATGCGTCTGTGTGTTGATCCGTAGTTGAGGATAGTTCAGAGGGCCGTGGCGCGCCTGTCTTTGTCTACTAATCTCAAACGTTTGGGCGACGTATGGGACCTCCTTCCGCGCAAATGGATACGGCGGAATGGCCGCGCCTGCACTCTCCGCCGTACCGTACAGCACATCCATGTCCACTCCAGGATAGCCTGCACACACCAGCCGTCCAACGAAGTCCATGAACGGCGTCAGTTCGCCAATCTCAGAAGACTTGGATCGTTTCAGCGGACTCAGCGCCGTTGATCCCTGCCCCGCGATCGCAGTGATATAGCCCGAGAGAACCGGATGAGGTCCGAGTTCAACGAAAATCGCCTGCGGGTGTCGATTGCGTATAGATTTCACGGCAGGATCGAACATGACTGGTCCGACAGTGTTGTCCCAGAAGTAGCGAGCATCGTAAGACGTAGTGAGCATGTCGCCAGACAGAGCCGAGTATGCCTCGACTTTCGTGGGTTCGACGGCGTACTTCTTGAACACCTCCTCGACCCGTCCTTCATACTCTGCTTGGCAGAGCGTCATCATCGACGAATGAACGGGGATCCGCGTCCGCAGACGAGTCGCCAGGATACCGGCCGCTTTCGCCCGAGCTACCGCCGACACGACGTGCTTCGTAGAGCCAGACAGCGTAACAGCGTTCGGAGCGTTGAAACACGCAACCTCCAGGGCAGCGGGGCCGAGCTCTGCGACGACCTCGTCGATGATCTCCTTCGCCCGCACAGCGGAACAGGCCACAGCCGCCATGGTCCCATCATGTGCTTCCAGTGCCGCCATCGCTTCACCTCTAGCTATGGAAAGCTCGACTGCCATCGCCTTTGAAGCCGCGCCGGACGCGTACACGACCGCCGTCTCGCCTGCCGAGTGTCCAACCACTACATCTGGCTTGATGCCGATCGCAGCCAGGGTATCGACGAGGGCGATTTGGAGGATCGTCAGCGCAGGAAGAGTGATGGAGATCGGCCAGACGTCCCCTAGGGTATCAGGGACGCCGGACTCGTCGAAGAGGCCGATGTCCTTGATCAGAGACTTGCCCGTCACGGCGGCGTAGACTTGGTCGAGCTCCACCACGGTGTCATGGAACGGCACACATGTCCCAAACAACTCGCGGCCCACTACGGAGGCAAGTCAGCAAATCAGATCCACTGTGTTCACACAGAGCGCACTCACTGTTCCAGTGCTGAGGGCCCTGCCCAGAGAAGACGAAGACAACTTCCGGCGCGACCTTCGGCGTGAGCACGGGCTCCGAGAAGCGAGGGATCTGACCCTCGGGAGTAACAGAGTACGCTTTCCACAGCATGGAGCGCACACGACGACCGAGTGCGCGACCCACGCGCGTGCGATCACGATCGGCCGAGATGCTCTTGAGCGATTCGCCTACAGCCGAAGTAGAGCGCGGCGACAGGCCGCCGGCAATGAGGAGCGAGGGGATAATCGACCTCTCGCACGACCACATACGTGGCACGCCATCCGTGTTGGAAGCATGCGCCTCGATGACACAGTGGCCGTTGGCCCCACCAATCCCCGAGCTCGGCATCGCAATGAGTGCGCGGCCGGAGGGAGAGCGGATGCTAAGCTTCTCGGGAGCAACTGGCACGCGCATGTTGTGCTCCTTCCATCGGATGGCCGGGTTAGGCACGGAGAAGTTGACGGTAGGCGGGATTACGCCGTGCTCGATGATGTGGCAAACTTTGCAGAGCGACGAGAGGAACGCAGTGATCTCGGTATGGCTACCGGAGACGTGAACATGGTAGACATGGGCTAAATACACGAGACATACCCAATGTTCCCTTTGACGCTCCCGACCAGAAGCTCCGTATCTCTTCTGAACTGGATGCCTGCCCAGTTTGCCTCGGTTGGGTCCCCAGAGGCCGTACCTGCACGGTAATATTGATGATTTCGTTCAGATGTAGTCTACTAAACTCCAAACATACCAGTTGCGTGTAACTCGATGAAGTCTACTTCCTTCGGAGACCGCTGTGCCTGTGCGAATGCACGCAACATAGCATCCTGCTGTGCGGACGCAACAGGCGCATTCACAGGTGCTAGCGAGCCTGAGGAGTTGGTACCGGTTCCGAGAATCTAAATCTGCCATGTTATAGGGAGCGCAAGGCAGAAGAAGGCCCGAAGAGTATCAACGCACACTGGCATATATTCTGTCACGGTCGCGGAGCGCAGCATCGAGAGGCTTAAGCACGATTGTCACGACTGCTTCGCCACGTCCAAATCTATATGATATGTTCAGTAGCATCATACATGGAAAGGGAGGAAGCACATTACCCGTTGGCAGAAACATCGAATGGCTTGCACTTCCCGTCGGGAGACAGAATGCCTCCTTGTGTGTACATCAGCCACTCTGTGAACCTATGGAGTAGATAATCATGCTCCATCCGGGTACACTAAACCGCTTGTATGCGCACCTGTGATTGAGCTGGCAGCCTCCAACAACAGCTGCTTCGCATTCGCCATTCCGCAAAGCTTGCACAGCGAGGTGAGTAGCATAAAGCGTGGAGCTGCATGCCGTGTCGATTGGTACAGTCGGACCGCGGAGATCGAGATGATAGGAAACACGGTTCGCTACCATAGAAGGACCGCTGGAGAATGCTCCTCGAGCTTCTGTGTCATCCTATCACGAGAAGTTAAGAAAATGATAGACAACGCGATTCGAGGTACCCACATGTCCAGAAATCGAAAACATGTCGTGAGCTACCGCTGACATGTAGCACCCCACGTTCCGCCCTCTGTAGTCGATGCCCGAGTCGAGCAACGCCAAAAACGTGGTCTCCAGCAGCTTTCTGGTACCCATATTCATAAGTCTCGCGTCCTTGCTCGTGATACCGAATTCAGTTGGATCGAAGAGGTCGATGTGTTTAAGGAATGCGCCTGCATCGGTCACTATCTGACCAGATGCCGTACCACGAAGCCTGGGGTTACATCAGCGTTGATCATGCGAGACAGCATGAAGGACATCACATGTGTATGTTGAAGCGTTCTTTGGGTATCTTTTCATATGCCTCTCTACCTTGCAAGAGGAAGTCATAGAACGAGTCAAAATCAAGGTTTTTCTCGTTTTCAGTACCGCTTGGAAGCTCCGCAGAGATGCCAACCTGTGCTTCAGGTTGTTAGTTTATTCTAGCCAGATGCCGTCTCGAGAACACTGACTATGGCGACAGCATGGTGGTTGCTGAGGGACATCACAGAGTCCACGACGACCATCTCGCCTGCGTCAACGGAACGAGGAAGAGGCTAACACACAGCAGTGAATGAGTGTGCCGAAGTCAGAGGTCCATCTGACGCACCGTTTTAAATAGCATACCCAGCCAGTGATTGACAGTAGTCGGAACAGACTCTTATGCATGCTGAAATTACAGTTCTCGCACCGGAAATGTTCCCATAACAATGATCGCATGCGCTTTACTGCCAAGAACAAACATGATTCTTCTCATGTGTACGCATTCGGTCGGTCATTATGACACCGTTCCGTGCCCTCAATTGCACATGAAAAGTGACCTACCGCTGGAAGTGAAGAACCTCCGATGATGTTTGGATGGTCCAATGGATAACGAGCGGCGCCGAGACTCGGACTGATTAATAAACAGAACAATCAACGTTCTGACGCAGAAGTGACGAAGCCTGAATTCTACCGCTCGCTGTTAGATGTCTTGCATAGGCTCGTGTTCGGAGTGCAGCATTGCCAGGCCCCATCCCTTGAACGATTAGACCAGGGTCAGGCAAACTCTAAGACTGGTAAGATTGACAAGTATTATGTCATGATGAGGAAGAGCTGGTACGCACCCACTACTTACATGCCAGTCAAGGAGGAGAGCTCCCCGTACTGTACTTACTACTTACCGTTGATCTTGAATACAGCCGGAAGCCACGTGGCAAACGTTCGGTTCAGAACAAGCGGCGGACCGGGAGAGGAAGAGGAGGAGATCCATCCACTTAGTCATCGGCCGGGAGCGCGGTAGCGCCCAGCAGCGGCGATTTCTGTCAATTGAAATCTTCCTTATATAGCAGTGCCTCCTCCTTTTCACACATGCGATCGGCCCAAATCTCGTCTTACAAAATCTACGAATGCATTTGGTCCGCATTTAGGCCAGCCTCACGCATGTCTCCGAGGAGGAGGAGGAGGAGGAGGAGGGGCTTCCATTTAGTCCTCACGTTTGCGCGCCATAAGGCTCGCCGGTGACCGAAGATATGAATCCGTCGAATGACTGGATTAGGTATGTACTCTACTCGGTTCACCCCCTCGCCCGTTGATTCTAGCAAGCTTCGTTCCGGACCCCGTCAAGTTGCAGGTGCCCCACAAATCACACATTCAAGGCACACTTACACCAATAATAGCAGTAACGTTGTATGTCTGAGTCCGTTCGATCAATGACTACCCAGTACGTTTGACGCGGTCCTCAAGTGGTGCGTTCATCATCAAGTTGGAGTTCTAGGGTGCCTCTTCAACTCGAAGCGCTAGTGATACGAATGATAAGTACATTCACGGTGGCCGACTAGCCTGGCGCTCGGAAATTCGCAAACCCAAATCATGGTCATCATGATAATTCGAGCAGTCAACTTGCTCAAGTTTAAGGTTTCAATCATTCACTGTTTCAACGCCACTCAAATTGCATAATTGATGCGCGAACGACGGTGAGCTTCATGGTCCATGGATGGCTACCGTTCCCCAGCCGGTGAATGACAGGAATTCGAGGCACTTGATATGGTATTGTACTCTGACAGCAGTTGTCAATGACTAAATTCAAGTTGTCGGCGTCTATAAGGTTCCTCTGAGGATCAGCTGGAAGATTCAGATGTTTCCCGCAATCGATACTGTCATACAATCACTGCGAAGGACTTTAATTCGAGTCTTGCTAAAAGTGTTAAGCTCAGGTTATCGCTGTTGGGACGGGACGGGTTTCAGTCCATGCGATCGCGAGCGGTCGAAGCATACACATGTGATCTCGGATCCGTAGTACATGGCGTATGAGTATGTACTACACGGCGCCGCGCTACTACTACTAGCGACATCTGTCGAGCCACAGTGACTGCACGGCGTCGCCGCAAGGCTTGACATAAATAGAACTCGGCCTCTAATAGTTCTTATCTTCATGGGCGGTATGCATCACTACAAATCAAGTCCGAGTCATCGGATGAATGTCTCTCTGTCAAGAAGTAAGTACATCTATCGAAGAACCGATGGCATCGCGAACCATCTGTTAGTGGCAATGCGGATAAGTGCCGGCATGTATTGTCCTTGCTGCTAGGCTGTGTACTGTGTGCGCGCGTATGGTCCGTCGCACCGCCAAGAGTGCAGTGATGATTACGATTGTTGGGTATGCTTGCCCAGGGCGATGCAGCCTATATAGACTGTATACCAGTCTTAAGTAGCTAGCTGGCGGCTACAGGGTAAAGCCCGTAGGTGTACCACCAACATGAGCCACATTCCTCTCGTCAGCACTAATCTGGCAACGGTAGCTCTGGAAAGCGTGTTCTATGGAATTTTCCTTGTTCTCGCTACCACTTCTATCTTTTTCCACATTTCTCGTTTTGCCTCTGCCCGACAATCTCCGAGACGTGACTGCGGGACTTTACTAGGGCCTGTCTTTGTGGGTTCAATCCTCGTTTCTCTTACAGTGACTGGGGTGTGTAGAGCTTTATCCGATGCCACGGCATGAACTCATATCATCGATTCGCCAGCACTGGATTATAACCGTCATACGTCTCTTCGATGCATTTGTCAACTATAGTGGCGGCAATGCCCCACTTGCATACTACAGCTTTGTATGGCTATCGACAGACATTGCCCTGAATTCCTTCCTCGTCGCAACACTCATCGTGTGCGACTCTATGCTGGTATGTAGTATGGACATTATGCGTGGCTCGGATATGAGCTAACCTCCTGTTGCAGTGCTACCGTCTATGGGTTGTATGGAATCACAATTATGTGGTGATTATTCTGCCAATATGCGCTATTATTGGCCTGTGCGGTGCGGTAGTGCGGTATAGGACCTCACAATCATTCATGCTAACCTGTTCTTGCAGTTGCAGGGCCTGTTGCTATCTACCAGCAGACACTCGTCCGGGGTAGTATCTTCGCGGCTACCTTGACACATTGGGTCAATGCATGCTATGCCTTCACTTTTGCGTACGTTATCATTTCCGAAACGCTCGATTGGAAACTAATACTCTCGGTAGAACCAACATCTATAGCTCCTGTGAGTGACTGAAGTGCAGCTTCGACTCGCTAACTGATGTTGCGATATCAAGGTGGCATTGCCTATCGTGTCTGGTTAGCACGCCAGCGAATACATTCCTTTGGTGGCCCGAACCTCACTGTTTGTGCCATGTTATTGAACCCGAAGACCATCTGACAATTCTCTTCAGGACGTCCTTGTCACAATGGTGGAGAGCGCCGCTTTATACGCGTAGGTGGTCGTTGTCGCGTCGTATCCAGATTCCGAAAGTCATACACATCTTCCTAGGTCATACAGCATTTTCTTCCTCGGCACATATGAGGCGAAAAGCAACCTACAATTTTTCACCATTGGAACACTATGCCCTGTAGCTGGCATAGCGTTCATGCTCATCAATGTCCGTGTGGGTTTAGGCTGGGCGCAGCGCGGAACTCCGCATCATTCGTCCTCGGGACTGAGCTCCGCTCGGAGCGGTATTACGCATGGTAGTTCTAACACAGGAGCCTCCTTCGCCATGCGTCCATTAACCGTGGATGTTACGACCGTAGTTCATCAGGATGGAAACGACTTGGAGCAGTCCCGGATGAAGACAGACTATGACGCTAGTGGATTGTGACCTTGTCAATTAGCACATTCCTGGCAGCAACCACTAATTTGTCGGCTTCGATGATTATATATACAAATTCGGACAACGGGGGTGTTGATTCGGAGCGGGATAATGTTTGAGATGTGTTATAACTCCCAGCACACTGGCAGGGAGACTGTACTCTAATATTGAGCGCAAAAACAGTCCTCACTATCGTCGGTCGGTGGCCAAACCGATGTGTGCTCCTTCTCATCGTCCCCTTCCTACCATACCGGTTGCGGCTTCTAGTCTAATTGTACGAGAAGTGGCGCAAACATACTATTGGGTGCTCAGTTCATGTGAAACCTGGAACCGTGGATTCGGGGATAGTCAATGGGATTTAGTCTCATTCGGTTGCAGATTTGTCACAGGATGGATGCAGATGGGCCCGGGCAACTTGCTCGGACGCGCCGAAGCGTAACACATCATGCCTCGGACTCACCGGCACAGCTCAACTGAAGTCACACATCTTCTTCGAACCGTCGGACCATTAGATGTAAACTTAAATGTATCAGAGCAGGTTCTACGATTGCTTCTATCATCAGACAACCAGGGGTCAGAACCTTGTATTGACAGATCGCAGTTGCGCGCGCCGTTAGCAACACTGGTCGCCGGTGTTCGTAAAGTACACCGATTATCCTGATGGCGGTTCGCTTTTGCTCAGTATAGCACCATCAGTTTCTCCCATAGACCTTATAACTTCGTTTTACCTGCGACCTAATTGCCCCCTAGCTTCAGCAGTATTGACAAGGGCCCCCGCAAACCCTCACACGACATGTCGACTCCGAAGACTGACACGGACTCCGTTGCGGCTCCAATACCGCATAAGGAGAGAAGATATCAGTCGTATCCCGGTAGCGAGTACGTCCTACCGTCAGACGACGCGGAAAAAGAAAGGTCAATGACCACCTCTTGACTGTGTCACAATCTCATGAGCTAATTGTTCTACAGACTTGCTCTGCAACATCGGTTGCTCATGCACGTCCTAGATAATCGTATCATCATGCCCGATGTCACGATAGGTCCGGCCGACCATATTCTGGACAGCGGGACAGGAACTGGTATGCATGTTCCGATCTGTCTGTATTCTGTAGCTAACGCCGTGCGGCAGGCATATGGTTGCTGGACGCGATGAAAGTCGTCCCTGACAGTACTGTCCTACATGGTCTCGACATCGAGCCTGGACTCTTCCCGCGAGATGATCACGCCGTCGTCTCGCGTGGAAACGTACACTTCCATGTCGGGAGCTGCACTGCATTGCCGTCCGACTGGAACAGCAAGTTCAAGCTCGTGAACCAGCGTCACATGATTGCGGCGCTGCGTAAAGAAGAGTGGGGAAGATCTATCCAAGAGATCTTTCGGGTCCTCGAACCAGGTGGCTGGGTGCAGTTTGGAGAGGTCGAATATTGGAGGGCCGGTCCGGAGACAGAGAAATTCAAAGCCCTGACGACTACTGTGGCGAAAGCGAAAGGCCTGGTCCTCGACTGCGCCGTTCGCGTCCCGGAGTTGCTCCGCGAGACCGGATTCTCACAGATCAGCGTTCAGTCAACAGTCATCCCTTTGGGGAAGAATGGAGGGCAGCTTGCTGCTGACGCTCGCAGAAACTGGATGGCAGTCTTCCGAGGACTGAAGACCCCTGTGCTCAAGGCCGGGGGATTCGGTCACGTCAGCTCAGAAGCTGACTTCGATTTGATGACGGATAGAATGGAAGACGAATGGCAGAACTCACAGGATGCAGAGATACAGAACAACGTTATCTGTGCCCAAAAGCCACTGCTATAGTTACGATTACAGCTGTCCATTAGATGCTCGCTGCAATGGGTGATATTTTGTAACACTTACAGTATCTATACAAGTCTCGATCCAAGGCCCTCTCACGTTGCTGTATGAGACGTACTGATGTCGAACTGTATGCCGATGAGTCGAGCGGTTCTGCTGCAACATACACATATGCACTGCGACGCGAATACAGCACGGGTTTATGCATAAAGATGTCGTCGGAAGCGTCGATATTCGTTTGCCCGATCCAGTTGCCGCACTAGTATGTAAGGTGCCTGCCTTAAGGCTGTGTAGCTTCGATTTGTCGAGAATCCACGCTGGTTCAGCGGATAGTAGTACGCTTTGTGCGATGCCGCTTGCATATCACTGCAGGATGATATTGAATATATTTCATGCGGAAGAGCTGGAAGTCGCAGTACATAGCTTCAGTCTCAGAACATGATCATAGACTGGCAAAACAGGAGCAGCAGCGGCGGCGCGTCCACAACAACTCGGACGCTGACCGATGCGGATTCCGGAATGGTGGGAGGCGCCAAGAACAAACTGGCGGTGACGATCGCATTATTTAATGTGTTGCCTCCTCATCGAAATTACATACCCTATCCTGACCCTATCTATGTAGCTGCATATCCAGCGCGTGCGCACGGCGCGGCACGCGCCACCAGTTGGTGACCGCGCCCGCCAAAGTCGTTGTGACAGCCGAGCGCGGCAAGGCCGTGACACACTGACCGCCCGCGGTGGCGCATGCCGGATTTGGTGACCCCGAGCGGTGACCGAGGCTTAGCGCCCGCGGCGGTCACGACGAATCCGCCTGAGAACGACGCCACGCTCGTCTTCCAAGGTCCTCGCGCCATGCGCCTCTTGTCGTATACCATAACGCTCTCTCGTTATTGGCTACTATGGGCTCGACATGGATAACTGTTAATACACACTGAGCAGGCCTCGCTTCCGCTGTCAGCGATTGTTTTGCAACCTGAGAATCCCACACACTGGCATGCACCTGATGTAGTGCCGTGCAACGGCGCCACGGAGAGCGATAGCGAGCCTCGCAGGCATCGGAGATCTGCAGGGGCAGCTGGAACGGGCTTGAGAAGGCTCTTTGCACCATCGTAACAAAGCAAGGCGTGCACTCGGTACTCGTCTCAACTCCACCGTTATTCTGACAACGACTTCGATTCTCAACCATACAGTACGTTGCCCGTGTCGTCCGAGGGCGCATCGAGCCGCGGGCTGAATATGTGAGTGATTGGCCTCTTCAGTGTCCACCCCCTGTCAACATTCACTAGACCACTAGACACGAACGAACGAGGAAGCAAGGGTAACGGGGCGAAGTGTAAATGGAAAGGACGGTGTGAGCATAAAGACTAAAAATACAAAGGTAAGTCCGTCCTGTTGTTCGCCCACTCTACAGCTCGTGTTCTACTGGCTCGCGAACCGGCTTTTTATGCACGCACTTACGCACTCGCCCTCGCTCGCTAGCCCGCGCATCCTCACGTATGCGCTTGTCTGTTACTCGCTCGCACACGATGGCGTGAAAGCTCTTCCACAGACTGGGGAGTAACTGTACAGCTCATCTAGGTATTGTGCGATCTGAGTCCGCCACAAGGCCTCAAGCTTCAAGCTCAAGGCCTCTTATGCTGACGTTGACACGTCGACACGCCACACCTGTGCGCGATGTGGATGCATCACCTTCTCTTAAAGCCTTAGGTGTCCTTTTCTTCCTATTCCGAGTTGTCAAGCGCCTCTCGAAGGGCACCTGAACCTTCTCACACCTCCGACGGCACCAAGGATCACGGATCATCAGCGGTCAGCCAACTTCAGATCATGTGGAGCTGCATTACCCTGAGCGCGAACTACAGCTAGACCTTTTGTGGAAGCTTCCCAAGTTCCATTGTCAGGCGACGTACATCAAGGGTATGGGAAGCCACAACGATTGGGTTCAATATGCAGCAGCCTCTGGAACATGGGAGCAAAGAAGACTGAGCCGAGCCATGAATACGACTCCAGTGCGCGAGTTCTGGATGGTGCGCTAACGTGTTTGGGCCTGATGCTCGGCACGAGTCAAAGTTTGGACGGATACGATGGTGAGGATTCTTTCTGAGTTAGAATACAGAGATGCAGGATAACTCCTCTTTGCCAGCGTGGAGTCATCAAATCGGGTCGCGACCCCGCGCAGTGGCGCACAGAATACCGCCCCGTTCATGTTGGCACAACCTACGAACAGTGTCGCTGGAATACATGATGCAATACATGGTCAGTATACTGCATATCTGCTCGAGGGCAATTATGCAACAGGTTATATTAGACCTCTCTCGCCAATGGTACGTAGTGGCCAGCGGCCATCTGCAATGAAATGGAACACCATCGGCGGTCAAATGTTCAACGTTCAACGTTACAACGGTCAGCTGTCCGAATTGTTCGGGGGCACTCGCCTTCCACGGCATGTTCTGATCGGACATTCATAGGTACCTGGGCGCAATCATGTAAAGGTAATGGACCTCCTTTCTAGGCCGCGTAACTGGCTCTATTGAGACACGTTGTGCTCCACGTCGAAGTCAAATTGGACATCCGTTGTCTGTTCCTCTGTCACACCGGTCACTCAGTTTGACGGACGCTCGGGAAGTAGTATATGATGTCCACTTACAACATCTGCACCAGCGTTCAAGGCGATTCTTCTCTACCTCAATTCCTTCGGCAATGGATGATTTGTCGCGCAAACTCATGAAAGCTCTTGTCATATGCGAGGTGACTCACCATGACTGACACTGTCTCATTACACTGACGCCTTCGACAGGGGAAAACCACTGCGGTTCAGGATCATCCCATCCCTTCCGTAGACAGTGACGATGTCCTTGTGAAGGTCGTCGCTGTAGCGCAGAACCCTTCGGATTGGAAATGTACGATTATAGGTCTTGTCTGTCCATTATTATTGTTCAACAGACCATGCGATGGTAGTCGTCGACACAGTCCAGAACATTGGTACTGTCGTTGGCTGCGATTGGTCGGGACACATTGTACAGAGGGGCAAGAACGTGAGGACGCCTGAACTTGGCGCACACGTCTCTGGCTTTGTGATGGGCGGGACCTTCGTTGACAGCGGCGCCTTCGCGGAATACGTGAAGACGCCCGCTGAACTGGCGTGGTTCGTACCAGAGGGAACTATTAGCCACGAGCAGGCTGCGACTATGAGCGGAGGGTGAGTCGTATACATTGCGCTCTCTTAGATGATGTATGAATGCGTGAACCAGAGTTTCCACCGCAGTTCAATGTTTATATCATCCTCACCGTTTAGGGCTTGTCGAGCCCCCCGACAGAGTGGATGGTGTAGAGTGGATACTGGTTTACGGAGGAAGCTGTAAGTAAAGATACGAATCACGTGCTAGTCGTGCTGCCTGACTGTTTCCCGTCCATCAGCTTCTGTTGGCCAATACGCCATACAGCTCGCTCACCTCTCCGGATACAAGGTGGTCACCACGGCGTCTCCACAGAACTTCGAACTCGTTCGATCGCTGGGCGCGGACGCTGTCTTTGACTACAAGGACCCGGGGGTCATCGCGGCCATCAAGGAGGTGACTGAAGACAGCGTACGTTCTGCGATTGATACCCAGAGCACGAAAGAAACACAGGAGCTTTGCGTACGCGCAATGGGAGTCGGAGGCGGGAAGCTGATCTTGATGTTTCCTCCAACTTTCAAAGCGAAGAAGCTTCGGAAAGACGTCGAGCTCATTCGTACGTGGTTTAATATTTATACGGGTGTACCACTCCGGCTCATATTCGTTGAATTTGACATGCGACTCGGATAGCTACGCTGATATACACTGCACTTGGCCGTCCATTCGCGATCGGTCCTCAAGCACAGTATGCTGCGCAGCCAAAAGACAGGGCACAAATTGCTGGTTTCTTCAAGAAGATGCCGGATCTTGTACGCAATGGACTGCTAGTACCGAACCGTGTCAAGCTCTGGGAAGGTGGCATGCGAGCAATACCGGAGGGTCTGCAGTACATGCGGGATGGGAGGGTCAGTGGGGAAAAGATTGTGTATCATTTCTGATGGATGTAAACAATGTGTGGGCTATTGTGATACCAGTGTTTGTCTACATTCTTGATCTCACTCTTGCTTTTTTTTTTTGATTCCCTTTATTGTCCGCGAGGGCCGCGCCCTATGTAGACAATGCTCTGGTGCTACGAGTAAGTACGTGTAGGGGGTCTGTCGGAGTCAGTCTGAACATGCACTCACTCTTGCTTTACATTGGGATACTGACAGGGTTTGGAAGACCACCTAACTAGTACTACTGTCAGATACATTCATAGCAGGGCACACAGCTGTGATATAGTGCAGTGATGAACTAGATGCTGTTGTGTTGTAGTGACTCAATGTGTTCATAGAAAAAAGCCACTTGCAAACAGAAGTCTATATTAGGATGTATTGGAGGCATCATTGTGCACGTTTCTGTCTGTCTATATTTCCCCAATTGACAATGGGCAATAGCATCACAATGCATGAGAAACATGAATGGCTTATGTGAAGTTTCTAACATTCCTTTGAACCACTGGCATCAACAGCAACTATGTACATTAGATGCAAGTCAAATATTCAATTGTTTCACAATGGATTGACATTGCCATCTACTGTTAGTTGGTCTATCAAAAGGTGCATCTGAGTTTGACATGGTGTAATATGATACTGATATAGTGTTGTATGACATCAGTGAAGACATGAGGAGTCATTTACTCATCATATGTCAGGATTATATGGCAGACTACATGCAGACATAATTGCATGAGGCTGATCAGCCTCAGTACAGTGTTACTCATGATCTTTGTGATGAATGCACACTAGATAGAGGTCATCTATATTCCAATCAAATAGGGTCAAGAGAAAGCAAACTGTATATATGATGCTGTGACCATTTAACAGCCTATTGTCATGTTCAAAACCAACTGATACTGGGTTTGTGATGGATCATCATGGAACACATAGAAAAACAACTGTCAACCAATGATATTAAATACATGCTGTGATGGACACTCCATCACAGCATGCATTTGATATCATGCAGAATAACTCTAGCATTAACCATGATAGAAATATGCAGGGATTGAACCCAGGTCTGATAACAATAGCTTACAGATGTTACCACTGCACTACTGCATCCCTTCACCATATGGACTTTCAAGCTATCTTGTATCCTGACAAACTATAACACTAGAGTGGTTGGTCCCTCCAGACATTGATCTTGCAAACTGGATGCCTTTCTGCAGAGGTTTATTAGTGCCAGTACCCAAGGGCTCACACTTTAAATCTCTCCAGTGACCCATTGGATGTTTTGTCCTGTCAAACTCCATCACCCTCCTTCTAGGTTGAAAAGCATAAACATACCATCTACTCTACAAGAGGTGTGGATTCTTCGCACACTCCCATTGGTGGAGAGACAAGGACAATTCAGGCTTTCGATTGGCCAGAGACAAACATTACCTCTGATTGGCCCAAGGCCAATGTGGACGCGCGGAGACTGCCGAGTGCTGCCCGAGCTGCAAGTGCTCTCCTGTGCTCTCTCCTGCTCTCTCGTACTGGCATGCACTGAGTCCACTGACCGGCATGGAGATCAAAATCTTGAAAGAATCACCCACTCGGACTGTCCTGCTCTAGCTCCTCTGAACCTCATGAGTATGCTTTCAATATAACTGAAGAGGTGACAAGGTAAGAGAAGGCATGCTGTGATTTCATGGGATGTAGGAGAGGCGGAGAGGAGGTGGTGAACAAGGAGGGCACATCAATCATTGTGCAGGCAGTTGAGCGAGAACGAGAGCCTGTTTGCCTGGCCCAGTCGTCTATGCACTGGATTCCCAGCGGGTCAACGGCTTATATGTTCTCCAGAGCTGCTCGGATGATCGAATACAATACATTGGGTGTCAGGTTGCACACTGGTCTACGGAGATTTCGCGGTTGTCACGGTCGTCGGCGGGCTCGGGAGGCAGTATGGAGTCCAGAGAGCCTCTTCGTCCAGGCTAAGAAGATTCACACATGACTGTGATTCCAAAATACGGGCTTGGACATCGGACTCACTGTCGCTGACAGCGGGCAGTGCGACGCAGACGCAGTAGTATTAGATGTTCACTGGCAGGGGACGTCTGAGGCAAGCCTTACATCGTAAGTGCTCGCAAGTAGTGATAAGCTAAAAAGTTAATATTGGCGATGTCTGTGGGATTATTGATGTCACTATTGATGATGTAATACCGCTCAAATCGATTGAGGAGCGCGGCTTTTGCGATTATGCTAGCACCCTTCATGCCGCTGCTCCTCCTCTAATTGCTACTGGCATTCTCAGGATACCTCTTCCTGGACCTCAGGCCGGTAAGGACTTGATACTGGGAATACCCAGGCCAACGTAACTCGGATGTCCCGATAGATGAGCTTCTGGTGTGGCGCATTCATGCTGCAGCACTGATTCAGATGCACAGACAACTATAGGATTGCCACACTGATGATCGCCAGATCCTCGTGTGCTTGCATGCTGTGACTGTCATGTGGGCGGCTGTGTCTAGGCTGTGCATACTACCTATCAGATTCCCTTGTTGGCGAAGAGTTCAGGCATTCGCGCCGTTTTACACCAGCACGGTCTATGCTACGAAGTCATGATGTCCTTCATACTCTGTGTGAGGTAAGCACAAGTATTGAGCATCTAAATAGCTTACTATCGGTTCCGATGCAGATGTGATGCTGCTGCAACAGTGACAACCACAGAAGCTTGTTCACAAGTGACATCGCGGATCGTGTAAACGAGGCGTTGTGTACTTGGTATTGTTGTTTTCTCGGACGAATCACCGGCAGGGAGCGCGGTCAATATTCCTGTGCTTGTATATATGCGTCGTTGCTGGCGGCAGCTGGTATTGTAACTCTCGGTCTCGCTTGTGGACGTGTCCCTCTTTCACATGGCCTCGGTCCCTCTCCTCAGTGCTACCTTGGCAAGTGAAGCCCTGGAAAGCTTGTTCTTTGGGATTTTTCTTGTCCTTGCCTTCACTTCTGTTTACTTTCATGTTGCTCGGACTGACTCAGGGACTGAATACAAGGTTCGCCGGTGCTTGGCTTTATGGAGACCAATATTTGTGGGTTCAATCTTCATAACCGTCACCGTGACTGCTGTGCATAGGATTGTGTGCCATATCATAGTCCCGTCAGCTGATGCTCAAGGCATCAGCACTGGGTTACAATCGTGGTGCGACTGTTCGACGCATTTGTCAACTTCGAAAGTGGCACGGCACCATCGCAATACTACTCCAACCTGGCGACGTCAACTGAGGCCATCAAGACGTCGTTCCTCATCGTCACACTTATCGAATGTGATATCATGCTAGTACGCCGCTTTCTTGTATTATGCCTCCCACTTTGATGCTTGAATGCTTGAATGCTTGAAGATTTACCGACTATGGATTGTCTGGAACTACAGTTACATGGTCATCTTTATACCGACATGTGCCGTATTAGGGTTATGTGGTGTGACTGCCCTTGTTGTCAGTTCTTGAACCAAGCACTAACGCTCATCCAGTGACGGGACCCGGGGCCATATACCAACAAACATGTCTTAAGGCAGCGGGTGCGGATACTGTATTCCTCAGTGTCCTCAGTCGCTGGATTACCTCTAGCTACGCTTTCACCTTTGTGTAAGTCTGGGATCATTATGGAGACGGGCCTCGACCTTGACCGTCCTGCAGAACAAATGTTTACAGTACTTGTAAGCATCAATAAGCACTCGATGAAGAGTTTGACAAACATCAGAACTCTCCAGGCGGGATTGTGTATCGTGTGTGGTCAGCGGTTGTCGCTTCACCAGGGTTGGGGGCCCAAACCTCATGGTCGGTGCCGCTGTGATTGCTGTGCGTCGACGTTAGCTGATTGTAACTCCTCTTCAGAACGTTGTTGTCACCATGGTGGAAAGTGCTGCCCTGTACACGTACGTGCCCACTGCTTCATTCATGAATAATAAGTGGAACCTTACTCTACAGGTCGTACACCATTTTCTTTTTCGTGTCATACGAGGCCAGGAGCAACATACAGTACTTTTGCATAGACACGCTCTGTCCGATCGCCGGAATAGTGTTCATGCTGATCAACGTCCGTGTCGGTCTAGGCTGGGCGCAGCAAGCCACTTTGTCTCCTTCGGCGTCTTTTGGCCTGACTTTCCGGCATGGCACCACTAGGAACACGGGAGACACTCTCGCCATGCGTCCCGTAACAGTAGATATATCGACCATAGCGCCTCAAGATGCCGGAGGCCATTCGGACCAGTCGCAAACGAAGACGGAGTATAGACTGCCTGTATGATTTGACGTATACTACTACGTTGGTGACATGGCAGATCATCGAATGTACCGTCGTCATAACGTACAATTTTAGTCGTCAAGTAATTGTTGGTGAATTGTGATCCTCGACTCCATCATGATGTTGCTCGTGACTGATTGGAACTACTAGTTCAGGGAAGGGTCGGTACCGTCCCACCCTTCAACGCCGAGAATGATAGAATCAGGCTATCTACTGATGCTTCTGTGGACGAATGTGTGCGTATGCCTGATTGTTCTGTCAAGAGACTTCTTCTGTCATGGCGTTATCAGATGGAGCTCACCCGCGAAACTCCACCGCTCACCGCTCAGGCTACTTGGCCTCATGATCCTGCGGAAAAGATCTTACTCTCAGTGCATCTTACGGCGTGTACGTATGAAGCTTGAAACGCGCCGCACGCATTCTGAATGTTCTCGTGATTTCTTAGGCTGATGTTCGCTCTTCTTACATAGCAGCACAGCGTGAGGTCGGAACCCTCCGGTCAATAGACACCGGTCGCACCCACTTCTCTCGCGGATACACAGCACCAGTTGATGCCCAATAAGACCGAAAGCCCGGAATGTGCAAGAAGATTTGGTTGCTTCCCTTCGATGGGGCGGTAATTTTTCGCACTTGCAACGACCTTATATTTGTGACAGGTCATGACGCGTCACGACGCAAACGGTGAGGGGCTCTAAATGGTACTAACTTGCACTGCGTAGTTATAATTGCGCCGCAGAATGTGTCGTGGCGGCATGGCATGTTCCGCAATGCAGTGATATTGAACAGAATGCGGAATAAACGCCATATGAGCGAGCATCGCGATACCCAGGCAGCGTGTAGCCGATCACTCGGGCCGAGAGCGATAGTCCTCAAACAGCTTCTAGAGGCTGAGTCTTCGGAGATCTCGGCTTGACAGAAGTCGCACAAAATGTGCTTCGTGAGCCTAGCAGCAATCCTCGTCAATGGAATCGGCCGTTCGAACGACTGGAGAACCGCGTGACTCACATACGAAGCTACTTGTATATCCATCTCAGGAATAAGTAAGCTTCTCCGTTCGTCGGCCTTGGGTAACACAATACACGTGGCGAGCATGGGCAAAGACCGAGCTCTCCGTGCACTGAGACCACGAAGAGAATGCGTGAATATTAGTAGATGGCTTAGGCTGACCAGATATCGGGGATAATCATGAGGATGCCTTGGGCAACAGATAATCCTTGTACACGTCATCCCGGTGCAGTCCGTGGGGCAAGCCTTGTATAACCCACGAGTACCGCTTCTACGAGTCTCCGATATGCGCACCGTCTGCTTGACCAGCGGGTGAAGAACGACAGACCCCCGTTATCACGCTGTTCAGATACGAGGCGATGGTATGTACATGCCTCATTAATATCAACGGGAGCCGCTCAGTGCCCGTCCCTTGTCAATCTCAGCTCGAGTTTGATCATGTACTCCCGGATGGCGCAGCATGAGGAGCAATAACGAGAATACGCTGGTCATGTTGAGGTACAATTTCAGTTGATCGCACCATATCGCAACCATAGTGTTCAATGCAGTGTCCAGCCCGCCCCCGAGTGCGGAGGTTTCACCCAAGATGAGCGAGGTAGCGTCTCCATCGCCATCACTCCTTTTTCCTTCGGACGGTTCGAGTGCCGACATCGCAAGCCATGGTCCTTGCGCTTCCTGCTTGCTGTGATGGTCCTGTCATCAATGCCGTCGCTCCAGGACTGGCATGATATTATGCACGCACAGATCTCCTCTTCGCACCACGGGTACGGCTGTAGACAGCATCTAGCTCCTGAAGCCCTTGTGCAATACGCAAGAATGATGCTCCCGGCAACCAGCGCGGCAGGCGTTTAGAAACGAGCTCCGATCGTGATACCCGTGGCAGGTTTGTTCGAGCATTCACGCGGCGGAATAAAACTCACTATCCATGTGACGAGCCTCAGAAGTGTGATATTGCAGCTATCCAACAGCTATCTGTTGCCTCGGTGAGCACTACAGTAACATACCGCTCGCGACACCCATGATGAGTCTCACAAGTTGGCACTCACGTCTTCGTTTTACATACTGACCACTGTCTCAGGGTCATATTGGGACTGCATCTGTGATGCAGTATGAATCACACCCCTGCGGTCAGTGTGGCAAGTGCGAGGCAGCATAATTGTGTCACGGTGCAGTCTGGACTCGGTAGTAAGGCTCGGGAATTGCCGTTGATGTGTGGGCGTGTGTGGGCGCGCTTCCCTCAATTGTCTAAGCAATATTACCGACTCTTCAGACCGCGCATGCACCCATAATGATCCTCATAGGCGTACCTATGTTATGCACAGCGAGTTGTATCCCGCACTCGTTGACTAGTACTTGGTAGCGCTAAGCCAGCTACACTCAGGGTGACTCCGTACTAACTTCGTCTACTCGTAGGTTGGGCCCGGGTACGTCGCAGGGGCCTGTGACAGCAGTTGAGACGTTTGCGCCCTGTCATAACTTGAATCGCATTCGCGCAAGCTACTTGAACATGGACTGGGAATAATCAGTGCGTACAAGTCGAACCCTTGTGTCTACAACGGGTCGCTAGCTCGCGAGGATTACGCGTAGGGATGCCGTGCCTCGAAAGCAACGAGCGTATCTGTTTTAGACGTCCCGTTATCGTATATGCCTCTCGCACCATGATCATACTCCATCGAGCGAGTATCGCAATCGGATCAGGAACAGTACCACGAGAAATCATGGAGAGTACCTATCTAAAGTGCAATATGCGATCCCTCAAACTAGAGGTTTCTGGGCATAGACTACGGTGTATTTCATCTCCGCGTCTGCCGAATCCTGCATTTCCTTCTCCATCCTGTCAACCATAGCATCGAAGTCAGCTTCCGAACTGACATAACCGAACCCTCCAGCCTTCAGTATAGGAGTCTTCATCCCTCGGAAGGAAGCTATCCAGTTGTTGCGGGCATCGACAGCAAGCTGTCCTCCACGGCTTCCCATCGGAATCTGTTTCTCCTCAACGCTGACTTGTGAGAACCCGGCTTGGCGGAGCATATCCGGAAGGCGAGCGGCGCAGTCGGCGAGCAGGTCCTTCGCTACGCCAACAGCCTTTGCCAGTGCACTGAACCTCGCCGTGTCGGGCCCGGCCTTGTAACCCACGATCTCTCCGAACTGCACCCAACCGCCGGGTACGACGACCCGGAACATTTCCGAGAGAGCTCTCTCCCATTCCGCCTTGCGCAACGCGCCAATGAGGAGTCGCTGGTTGATGAGCTTGAACTTGTTGTTCCAGTCGCCCGGTAACGCTGTGATGCTCCCGACGTGGAACTGTACGTTCCCGCGCGAGACGACGGCGTTGTCCTCTTGTGGAAACAAGCCTGGCTCGATGTCGAGGCCGTGCAAGACAGTCGTACCAGGAACGACATTCATGACGTCCAGCAACCATGTGCCTATCCGAAGTCGGTGGCGAAACTTGTACGTCTCGGAAACGAACGCACCAGATCCCGTTCCGCTGTCCAGAATATGGTCCTCCGGGCTTATCGTGACATCAGGCAAGATGAGCCGGCTCTCCAGAACCTGCGTGAGCAGCTTATGCTGGAGGGCAAGTCTGCGGGATCGTCTGCATCAGCCCGCGGTTCGAAGCCCACAACAGGGAGCCCTACCTGTGTCTCTCCGCATCATCTGACGGCAGGACGTAGTTACTTCCTGGATAAGACTGGTATCTCCTCTCTTTGTGTTGTATGGGAGCTGCAGCGGTTCCCGTGGTATTCTGGAGGGTCAACGCGTCTTGCTGTGCCATTCGGGAAGCTGATTGCCTGACAGTGGAGTTTGATGGTGCGCACACAATGACGGTCCACCTGTTATATAGACCGTCGTAGGGATTCTCGGCGGTGTGATGTTCATGGCACGAGGGACCCGCAGATCAATGCTGCGAAAATCCGAACACGGAAGGACTTAGAACCGTCTCATATTTCCAGTTTCTAACATAGATGACTTACATAACATACAAAGGTTCGAGCCCCAAATGACGTTGACTCAGCATTCCGCTGGGAACTGGCTCGATGTCCCAGAGTATCCCATCCGGGTTACGCGCGCTGTACAGCCGCAGTCAGCTTGATGAACGGATACTATCAGACTAAGTTGCGTTCATCACCAAGAACCACTCACATATGCAATTCAGAGGGAGCACCGCCTTCACCCCGGCAACTGGTTACTGGATGCATGATGGCCACGTACTCCTAAAAGCGCTTGTGACGTTCCGCGTGGTCAACCAACACCGTACACGATGATCATCCTCAGCAGCGTGCAGCCCAGTGGTGGTACTTCGCATACAAGTGGACCAGTCACCATATCAGCCCGACGCCACACTCGCGGATTCGGTACCAGCCGCCCGAGAACCACTTCACATGCAATGATGCATACGCGTAACATATGTGTGGTATCCTCGGATGTGCGCGCCAGCACGAGTTGGCTGCTGAAAAGACAAGGACATCCTAAGGATTGGCCTGTATATATACGCACCGCCTCAAGCGGCCTTGAAGACCATGGAGTGCGAAGATGGGAGCAAGCGATATTCAATCCGACAAGCTACAGGTGACGTAGAATCGCTGCAGTAAACTCAGTCTATATGCTGCGTATCTCCGTGTACAGCACTTGCAGCAGAGGCTCGGGCGGCTGATGCGGCAAGCAACGAAAGGCGTGCATATGCGTGCAAGGGCAGTATATGCATTCGTACGACTAGTGGAAGATACTCCAGAGGTCGTACAGATTGACCTTGAAAAACGCAGTGGCGATCATGCCAGCTGCGCATCCGGGACGCTCAAATCGCAGCACTGACGCGCCCGCAGAGGTAGGTGAGAACGAGAGCATCGATAAGATGATTGAAGAGATGCTGACAAGAATACGAAGGGCGTGACGCTGTTCGGCGTCCCCTTGTACTCGTATGCGCTTGTGGCGCCCCACCGACGACGCGCATGATGCGGGCGTTCGCGTAGATGAAACCTAGCGGCATAGATACTGCGCAGGCGACCCCTGACTCGTCTGTCCTCAGTGGGAAGTTTGAAGCGTTGAAGGACTAAGCAGCATCTGAGACCTCGAGTGTCCGGCGCCGAAATCCACGGCTAGTATTGGCAGAGAGTCTTGTAGTTACACCAAAGGCGCGGCCGAGCTCGTGGCTGCGGAAGGCCAACATTCCCGTACGCCTTGGATATGTGGCCTTGACGGTGTAGGTCGTGATGGTAGAGATGACGAGCATGTCGTCGCCCGACAAAAGTCCACAGGAAAGGACGGGATCGTGACCGAAGGCGGGAGAATGCGGCGTGTAAAGCCTGTCGCGTTCTATGCACCAGTGCATAGACGACGAAGAGCGCGAGAGTTAGCGACGACCCTGGCGTAGATGATGATGACGATGATGCAAGGTTCGAGGATGCAGGTTGATGCGTCACGAACCTGGCCGAGAGCATATTAGCCTCTATACACTCGTGATACGAGTCAGGCTGAGGAGTATGGGTCAGTCAGATCAGACTACACGAGAGTGATACTCACAAAGCCATCAATGCCCGATGCTACTGCTAGGCGGCGCTCGCGGTGATCTTGGGCTGATTATAGCTTCGTGACCGTCGCTGTCCGGTGGATGATAGATGTCGATGGCCGGTTCAAGGGCCAGACAAGGTAGCCACGATGATACGGCGCAGACTTCGAAGTCGAGGGATACTTAAGTCGTCGCATTGAGGGCTACGGCAAGTCATACGCGTCGTATGTTACCGGGATGGCGATTCACGCCAAGCGTCGAGGCTGAGGCCTGAGGCCTGAGGGGCGAGTCGTTTTAGTTTGTTGTATGATGCGTATACTATGTATCACTTGACGGTCAGTCTTTTAGAATTGTTGACACGATGGAGCGCATACGTTTACTTACGTTAAGGCTTAGCTGAGCTCCGGCATTCTCGACTCCGGTCCTTTGACACATTGACGGCATGGCGGTCTGCGATGGATGAGAGTAATGCACTGAGGAAGGCCCGGGGAGGAGGAGGAGGAGGAGGATCAGGAAACACACGCGTTGCCGGCGACTGCTGCGATCGCGTGACACTGTGTCACTGTGTGTGACCGCGTTCAACCACAGTCTGCCAGTGACCGTCTCCTAGTGCAGTCTCAGCCGGTATGTACTGAGTACTCGCCGCGGCTGCCTTCTGTCTGTAACAAGGTCAGTCTACGGCATGCAATCTTTGACGTAGAGCATTGAACTGATTTTACGCTGATTAATGTCCAGTCGCATCGCGAAGCTGATATGTACTTGGATCGGCAGCATTTGTACTACTAGTACCCTTTGGCCGGGTGCCCTTTGATGCAGTGCGCTTCGATGCAGTGCGCTTCGATGCAGTGCGTGCGAGTATGCCTGATGGCCGCAAGTAGGATGTCATCGACGACAGTGCGGGTTCTTCCCATGTCAGCGTACCGTAAGTACTGAGTAGTTGGCAGTGACTGGCTTCGGGAATCGGTACGCCATGGCAGGTTTCATGTTGCCGCCTGTCTCTGCTTAAACGATTCTCTCGTCTTTGACAGAACAACATCAGTCGCCACCATCCACAATACAGCGATGGTTCGGCCCCTATGCACGGCCTCCTCAAGCAAGTGGAATTGTAGTAGAACATATCGAACATATCAGTTCCAAATAAGATAAAATAAAATGAAGAGTGCGTACCTTCTCAAGTCACTGGTTTCCGACTCCACAAGCTCGATCTCCTCGACCATCCCTTCAGCGAAGCTGTCTCGAAGCCAGTGCCGGACATTAAGCCTGTCGCGCAGTCGCCCCCGGGATGATTAGCCAGTCAAACGTGAAAGTGGAGATGAGATATCAGATCGAAAGAACACTTACGCTGCAAGAAGAGAATTTGTGTATACTGAAACCACATGTCCCTGTTGGTGGATCGTATGCAGACCGGATTCCAAGCAAACACGCACTTTCGCCGTTGAAGAAGTGGAAGAGGCCAGAGATGAGATTGGTAGGATCGGATCGCAAGGTACCGACGTACTGCCGGCCGCCGTCGGGCAAACGTCGCATATACGAGTGAGGACGCTGGCAAAAGGCCACTGACAGAAGACGTACGGTGGTCCACTCCAAGAGCTGCAACAAGCTGCCGAACGGCGATACCGATAACTACCATCAGCTCAACACAGTTGAGCTTGCACAGGCGAGCACCTACGCGATGATGATTCCTCGGTGTAACGTGACTGCGACAAGTTTGAAGATGAACGAGTTTGTCCTGTTTCGATGAGTACATAGCATAGATCCGGTTCCCTAGCGGCCATGACACATGTCATGATACAGTTGAGAGCGGACGTACTTGGAGAAACCTGTCCGCTTTCTGCGCAATACAATCGTCAGAGTTACGGCGATGTATGCGTCCAGGATAGATGCTGCGACAATTTGGATAGACGCGGGCACTTCAATACGAGCGAAGCTCGCCGCCTGGCTGTGACCTTGGGTACTATCATAGGAGATCAAATTGTTAGTGAGACTTTGTGTTACGGAGAGATGTGTCAGACTGACGAGTAGTAGAACTCGGCTCAACGCAGAACTTGTCAAACGGAGCCATCTGGGGGTCGTGAATAGAGCTTACACCTCCAGTCGGCTGGCACATGGAGTCCACGTGAGTGCGGCCCGCGAAATACATGGACCTGCCACCTGAGACGCGCTGACGACACATGGTGGCCACGAAAAGGAGGAAATGGCCCCACCGTGTCGACAGTCGTACGTGGCAGACAGGTGGTGTGCCAGCTGCCTACGAGGTGGGGTGCGCGTGCTTTTGACATGCGTGAACATAGTACCTCGGTGTAAACCATATTGATGTCAGCAGCACGCAGGCGTTGTGCGTGAGGCTTTTGCATCGCAGACAGCATTCAAGCAGCATTCAAGCAGCCATCCACGATCACGATGACAGTATTCAATTGCATTTGCATAATGGTTCACGTCTACGCAGCCCACACTACATAGAACAGTCCGAATGATTCTCTGTGAATACGGCGAGATGAAATCTACAATCGAGCCCTGGATACACGCGTAACAAAGAGCACTAGGACTACTACGCAGAAGATCTGCTGGGGCTTGGCTGCGCATGATCTCCCTCGGTTGACGCAATAAAGGCCTCGTTGACCTGTTGCTGCGGTTCATCTACTACTTCATCTTCGGGAACAGCGTTGATCGCGGCGGGATTATTGCGACGTGTTGCCCTATCATTGTCGAGGATAGATCTCAAGACTCTATGACACGGTATCAGTACATAATGAATTGGAGCCCGGAAGGAAGACGTACCGTGCATTTTCTTGTCGTCATTATCAGCCGACTTGCGAAGAGTTGTGAGATGGACGTCGAGTATGAGTTCGTCGACGGAGCCACGCTCGGCGTGGACACGGGTCTCGAGCGAGAGCGACGTCATGTTTGAGCTGAGGCTCAACGACGCCGACGCAGTCAAACCGCCCGTGAACCGGCTGAAGAAGCCGGAGCGTCGGGACTCCCGACGCTCCGGCTTTCGGAGACGGTGCTTGCGGGCGTTGACGGCGTAATCGTGTTGTTAGTCGCGACTCTGAGCGTGGACGACGCCGCGGAGGATGCAACGGATGGCGCATTGCTCCGCGGGGGAGACGCAGCGGGAGCCTCGCGTCGAAAGGGGGGAAATGAGAGACTCCGAGTCGGATATCATGTTTTTAAGATACACGCCAGTGACCGATGACAGATGGCAAAGCAAGCAGACAGCGGCTGCACGCGAGAGGAGCCTAGTGTCTCGGAATGGCTGCACTGTAGCCTCGTGCGGAGGCCCAATGTCGGGGGCGCGCGGGGGCGGCACGCTGGACGTGGTCACTTGATACGTGGATCTCACTGAGACACCGCTCTGGCTGGCCACAATACGGATGTCATCCGAGCCTAGGCCGATCCCGGATCCGTCTACCTCGCTAACTTGAAGGACAGGGAGAACGCGCTACTAGAACGTAACGCTTTTGAGAAAGCTAGATCAGTGGGAAGGCAGTGTTGTAATGATCAGACATCTCACCCTGCGCTCCCAGCACCGGTGCAGTGCTCGACGGCATCGCGTATTCAGTGCGCCGAGTACTCATTGCTGGTGCCCGTAAAATTGTATCGAGTTTATCATCAGAGTACGAGACAGTACTACCACGCAAGGACGTACCGGTACACACAGAGCTGAAATACGAGTGAAACTTCGAAGGAGGAGGGGCTCCGTATCGAGCCACCGGCCGATACCGCATGCGCGCTCGACTCATCTTGACAGTGGGTGGAGGCAAGGTGGAGGACCGCGGCGACAGAACCTGTCTCCTGCTGACAAAGCCGTGACAGCACGTTCCACACAGGTTTTCCCGTCAGCTGTCCGACGCCTGGCTTGCATGTGCTCCCCACGTATCGTACACCGTGTCCCGCAGCTGCTATCGCCACGTTAGACGCACGATTCACCCGTTTCGAGGTGTACCCAGGCCTCCGGCTGAGTGTGAAACTATACAGTGATACTGATTGACCGGAGAATGAATGATGACCGTACAAAAGCATAGTAAGGCCAGCGCCACCTTGTTAAAGGAAGTCAGCGATGCTCATACGTTTGTAGTGCACACGGTCCACTTGCCATTGTTACAGTCAAGATATTACGATGCCTTTGTTGATCCATAACTACGCCACGGGTTACATATGCATGAATCCTTGAGAAATTAAGGACGACGTACAGCGCCAACAGGAGTAGACGTAGAATCTCGACGGTTCTCGTGATTGACCATCAACGGTATGAATCTGGACATGTACTCACAGTTGGACGACCACAATAATCCAGGTCTGTATTGGACGAATCTGAGCCTCCCATATACGAAAGAAGACACTAAAGGTAAAGTACCCACTGCAAGGAAGTGTTCCGCCTTAAATCGTGCGCATCAACGACGGTCATAGTTCAGTGTAGACAGTGATGAATTCCTCACAATCGCCGTGCTGTGAGAATGGGCATGATTAGTCGCGGATATTGTTCAAAGGCTTTGAGCCATCTTACGTCGTGAATTGAGCTGTACCAGATACATTCGAATGACTTGTGACGAGACACACCCAGAGGTACTAGCAAAAAGCACGATGTGGTACATCGTAAGCCGGGAAAACCGAACACACATTGTAAGACGCTTACATGCAAACCACAGCAAGTCCTCGCCGTATCGAGTGACCTGAGCCAGGTCAGCTGGCGTCCATTGTCAGCCCCACATCTCTGGCAACACCTTACCACAGAAATACCACCTGGAATGATGCAGTGGGTAAGAATGATGGTCATCTCGCGATAACGGACCCGTAGCCTCACCAGTGCTTGGATGCACAGAGGGTCTTTAGGATAGTTATGGAAGTAGTACACCGTCTGCGCCAAGACAAAGCCGTAGAAACTATATAGATGAGCGTAGCACTGCGATTTCAGCGATATTCAGACGTGCCAAAAGGTATGCTCACTTACATCAGCCCAAGTAACAACCCAATAAATGTATACCCCACGCTGTGGTTGAGAAGATCCTCGAGGCCCGAGTTTGCCATGAAGATAACAAACGCGTCGAGAGTACTAGAATCCTGACAGCCTTATATAACAGTAGCACATCAGATCAAGTGGATGTGGACCATATGTCCATTGGTGCAGTGCATCTTCGTCATGTTATACTTCGCAATCGAACGGAACCACCTGTTTCAGGATGGAGGCCGTGCATAACAGTGGGTGACGGTGGAAATTGTGGTCGTGCCGTCAAAGGTGGGCGAGCTATTTTGGCAATAGGTTGCAACACGATGTCCGCAACCAACCTGGGTCCAACGGCAGCTCGAAGACACTCACACGGGAAGGCCATCGTCGACGTCTCAGGATGATCATCAGCCTCGCGGCTGGAGATATGATTGCCACAATGAGGAATGAACACAATCCGTGAAACATCAGCTTCGCCTTGGCTTCGACTGCCAATGAATCAGCGTGGGATAAGTACCAGGACTTCGTGTCGTAGGGAGTTACATACAGTGTGGCTTTGAGACGGAAAGGCCGCGGGACTCTGAGTCCGTTTCCACGCGACAGGTGGACTTCTTTTGTAGCAAATGTCATGCAGTATAGCCACACGCCAAATCCGCACAGCCTAAATCGTATATCGGCAAGGGCGGCCTCTGCGTAGAGGGCGTGGGCTCGAGCAGTGGATTAGTGGACAATGCATGGGTGCGGAAATCCTGATCCGAAGTATGGCGCCAACCTACTCAACATATCAGACAGGGCCCGATCGTGTTCTACTAGTCCTTGGACAGCGCGAGAGCGTGCGAGCTTACGGAATCAGCATGTGCCCCATTGTAGCAGATAAGTGCCACCGCTCAGCTTCGCACGAGAAGGGCTCGGGGAGGGAGGTGGGCCTCCATCTCGAGTCTGCCACGCTTCTTCCTCGGACGCAAGTACGAGGTCAAGATGGCGCGAGTCCAATAAACGCGTCTCGCCCGTATGTGCATGAGCTTCGTTCGTTGCGGCGACCAAGGGCATCCACGAGATCACCTGCACGCGATGAGCGACACGGACCGAAGGCGACAGCCGTTACTCACTTCGGCATCATCCGAGGAACATCCCAGTTTCGTGGCACTGTGCATCATGACAGGGAACCATCTGGGGCGGGAGCAGAGAATCCCCAAGGGTGTCGAGATGAGCGCATGAAGCAGCGTCCTGAACTGCAGGAGACAGAGGCGACCTACTCAGTCGAGGATACCCAGTCTGAGACAAGGACTCAAGACACGGAGAACATTATATCAGCCACTGGAAGGAGATGGTCGACACACGCGACCCATCATGTCGTGCAAGGATTCGTCGTATGACAGCAAGTTGCTCGGGTCCTTTGCTACGCCCGATAGGATCGATTACGAATGACGCATGGCGTCGCGTGTACTGAGTTACTCGCCCCGCGAAACGTACTCCTCGAGCATCTCCCTCACTTTCCCAGATCTCGGCCTGAAGTCGCACACGATCCGCTTCGGGAACCTACCCGCCACGTCACCGCCGTCAACCTCCCCGCCAACCACCCAAATCAGCAACCCGCGACTCACGTTACCGTAACGAACCCGCTCGTATACTCCATGTCGGGAATGATCGGGTCCCCCCGTTCGTCGACCTTGGGCACGACGTCGCACGTCGCGAGCACGGTCGCGGCGATCGCAAAGACGGAGCCTTCCGCGAACTGTGACCCCGGGCACGCCCGGCGGCCGAAGCCGAAGAGGCTGAGGTCGGTCACCTTGCGCATCTCGGTGTCGCTGTTCGCGAAGCGCTCGGGTCTGAACTCGTCCGGCTGCTGGAACACGTCGGGGTCGTGCAGCATGCGCCTGATGACCGCGTCAGCGCCGTGCCAGTGAACGGACGGTTCGCGCTCACCAGACATTGGGGATCAGGATGGATGTCTTGGGCAACAGATAGTCTTTGTACACATCATCCTGACGCAGGGAATGGGGCAGGCCTTGGGCCCTCCGTCAGCACTATTCCCGCAAGCCTTCGATGTACACACCTTGTGGGGCGACGGGCCCGTAGCAGCGATACACTTCCGTTATCACGCTCCTCAGATACGGAAGCGACGGCCTGTCCTTCATCGACGGAAGTCGCTCAGTGCCCACCACCTGGTCGATCTCAGCCTGAGCTTTAGCTTAGACATCCGGATGAAGTATCATGAGGAGCAGAAAGGAGAATATGGCGGACATGTTCTGAGGCGATATTTCAGTTATTCGCACCATATCGCGCATACAGTGCCCCGTACCGTGTCTATCCACCCCCGCGAGCGGAGGTTGCACCCAGGCTCATCTTCATCACTCATTCGACCTTCGCATTGTTCCAGTGCTGACACAACGAGGCATGGTTCTGCGGTGCCCGCTTGCTGCGATGGTCCTGTCAGCACTGTCGCTCCAGGGCTTGTATCAAATGCAGATGCGTACGATCTGCTCTTTGCACCACAGGTACGGCATTCGAGCTGCGTCGGTTCTAGCTCCTTGAAGGCTTGCGCAGTGCGCAAGAACGACGCCCCCGGCATCCAGCGCGGCAAGTATTGCACTGGAAGCGAACGTCTCAGATCTCGATGCCACTCGCAGATCTGCCTGAGCACTCACACTGTGGAATGAAGTCTACTATCCATACACCCGGCTCGCTCGCGTAGGTGAAGTTGTCCATGGCCTCGAACTGCATCGTGATCATCCGGTCGTCTTCGCCTTCGACGGTGTAGCCATATATGACGCGCATGATGATTGCAGCGATTCGTCTGTCGCCGCAATCGGTACGTATAATACCCCGCTTGGATGTCAAGAGCACTCACGTCTTTGTCTGGCTAACCACTGTGTCAGGGTTCCGAAGGAGGCCTTGCACCAGCCTGCGGGCTTCGTCTTCTTGAATCGAGTAGTAGCGCGACAACATGGCCGAACTGAGCGCGTGGGCCACAACCCTGCGTTGTTTCCGCCATTCGTCGCCATACGATGCCATACTCAGCTCGATGCTGTAACCACATCTGCGCACGTCACGCGATGGACGGGTCAACAACGCCAAAAGTGGACACGGTCTATACGTCACCCGTTCTGTGAGCAAACCGCGTCACGTCAAGTATAGATCGCTCACCGAGGCTGGGCGGTCGGAGTATATAGCCGACCGGCCGTCAAGGAGCTCTTTAGCTGCCTGGGCGCTGTTTAGGATTACGAGGTGATAGTTGAAGGCTTCAAGGTGAATGACATCGCCTGGTGGCGTCAAGTAGTAACGGGGTAGGTCAGTACAAGGACATCGAGCGCAGTAGCATGCACAGACCGTATGTGTGCGCCCAGGCGGCGTATACGAGCCATGGCTTGTCCTGCGGGATCTGCAACAAGTTGCGTATGACAGGCCGGCCGCGCGGTCCAGGAGGGTATGGTTTGGTGCGCGTCGCAAGAACGACCTGCATTGCCAGGTACGCGGCAACGCACAGAAGGCTGGTCACAAGAGGCCCGCTCTGGAGGAAGTGGAACGCCATTCCGGCGGCTTGACTATTGACCATGGCCACTAGCTGGACAGCAACGAAGGTACTGGGATGGGTTCGATGTGCTGCAACCTAAGATTTGCAGGCTGCGCAATCGTGACTGGACTCTGGACTGTCCGCGGATGTGTCGTCCGTATAGAAGTAGGAGCGTCGGTACATGTTGGGAGTCCTGTAGCTGTGCTGCATCATGGCGAATGTGGGGCATGTTAAACTTGGAGTCTTCATCCTGTTTCAATTCGCAGTAGGACAAGCCGCCTCCTCACGTGCTAAAGACGTCGGTGATTGCCGTGGCACTCCCGGGCCGGCCTCCTCCTCCTCCCTCCTCCTCCTCAGGCCGCCAAGTAACAAGCAGTGGTGCCTCTGGTGAGGGTGCATGTGGGCGCGCTTCCCTAAACTGCCTGACGTCGGTCATCTCTGGTCATCTCCGCTCGCCAAATCCGTCCTAAAATACTCAACACTCTTCGAGGATCTCGCGCAGTATGTACTCACCATCGGGTGCCATGCATAGAACTCTCGTTCCTGTCCAGTACCGCTTCCAACGACGTGCAAGATGCACAACCAGTCCGTCAACTCAGCACTCGTGATGGTCTGCACGGTACGCGCGGTCGCCGTGCAGGAGACACACAAATGGTCCGTTGTTATTAACTTGTTAAAAACGCGTCTTGTACTCCTAGATGGGACCATCTTACACACCTGTGCCCAACAGATCCTCGCCAGTCACCTCTCCTTGTACCAAGGGGCCGTCGACCTCCGCGTGATGTACATAGTACGCGCGCCCCTTCGCCAGACTGAAAGCTACAGTGCGCGAGAGCCTGGTCCAGACGCTTGCACCGGCTCCGAGTGGGCCTGACCTGGAGAAGCTGCGAGTCATCGTAGGGCAGGCGAAGGGTTCCTGTGGAGAGACGTCTTGACTCGACACGAAAGACCGCTTCCTCGCGCTGTGCAGGCCCCTCATTGCTGGTGTGCATACATTTCTCCAACATCCTTTTGGTAGCGTTGAAACGTTGAGGGTTGACTACGCTGACGGACATGCGGCACGCGTTCGATGCAGGGCGGTTCCACATTGATCTCGCCACGTTGCTTCTTGACACTGGGTTGAGAAACGCGAGGGTGTAGTACGTCGGGGACGGGAGTGCAGATGAGCTGTTAGACCGTCGGACACGTACTTAAGTTGTATCGCTGATCATCGATCAGGCAGACTTGGGATGCACATCGATGTGGACCTGGAGAGCACAGATGATGTGATGCCAGCGGGATATACCAAGGAATAGCTAGCGCGGAGGTGAACGAGGTCCTCGTGAGTGTCCTGGAACAAGACATTTTCTCTCAGTGACGGTAGCAGGCTAAGTATAGTCCCTCTGTGATAGCGACACGAAGCATCCGCATCCGCAGATTTTGTCTCGGAGGAGTGAAGTTGGAAGCGAGCTTGATCACCGGCCATGGCTGTGCCAACCTCCACAAATATGGGACAAAAAAATCAAAATCCAACCAGCCGCGCATGGCGAGCGTACTAACTGAGTAGTCTCCGTCGCATATACTTAGAAGCCTATGTATTGACCTTGGATGATCAAGTTCAGGCAGATTTAGGAAGCGCACCCACATGCGCCCTCACCGTAGGACACCGGTGCCGGCGAGCGGGTACCCCACGGCAACTCCCGACGTACCAAGTTCAAGCTCCTCCGCCCGAGTTGAGACTTGAGACATCGCTGTCCCGCATCCACCGTGATGAAGCATAGCTATAGTACTAGTCCAAATATGCCACCGACAATCCCGAGACAATCCTCCTTATATACCAACGACACATCTGCGGACAGTCCAAAGTCCAGTCACGATTGCGCGCAGCCTGCAAATTTTAGGCTGCAGCATATTGAACCCACCCCAGTACCTTCGTTGCCGTCAAGCTAGTGGTCATGGTCAATGCTCAAGCAGCCGGAATGGCTTGCGCCCTCGGTGTAATCGCGTTCCACTTCTTGCAGAGCGGGCCTTTGGTGACCAGCCTTCTGTGCATCGCCGCGTACCTGGCAATGCAGGCCGTCCTTGCGACGCGCACCAAACCATACCCTCCAGGCCCGCGCGGATGGCCTGTCATACGCAACCTGTTGCAAATCCCGCAGAACAAGCCATGGCTCGTGTACGCCGCTTGGGCGGACACTTACGGTATGTGCATGCTACTGCGCTCATTGTCCTTGTACTGACCTACCCCATTACTGGACGCCCCCAGGCGACGTCATTCATCTTGAAGCGTTCAACTACCACCTCGTAATTCTAAACAGCGCGCAGGCAGCCAAAGAGCTTCTTGACGGCCGGTCGGCTATATACTCCGACCGCCCAGCCTCGGTGAGCGATCTGCGCTTGTCGCGGCGCTGTTTGTTAACAAGACGGATGACGTATAGACCATGGCAGAACTGTGCGCTTCTTCTCTCTAACGTGTCCGTTTGTGGTGTCGCTCAGTCCATCGCGTGGCGTGCGCAGATGTGGTTACGACGTCGGACTCGGTATGCTATCATACAACGACGAATGGCGGAAACAACGCAAATTTGTGGCCCAGGCGTTCGCCTCGGGCATGTTGTCGCGCTACTACTCGATCCAAGAAGACGAAGCCCGGAGGCTCGTGCAAGGCCTCCTCCGGGACCCTGGCACAGTGGTCAGCCAGACCAAGAGGTGAGTGCGCTATCATCACCACGAACGGTGCGTACTGACTGGGGCGACAGACGAATCGCTGCAATCATCATGCGCGTTACATATGGCTATACCGTCAAAGTGGAAGACGACCGGATGATCACCATGCAATTCGAGGCGATGGACAACTTCACCTACGCGAGCGAGCCGGGAGTATGGATAGTGGATTTCATTCCTCAGTGTGAGTGCTCGGGCAGATCTGCGGGGTGGGATCGGGATCTGAGACGTTAGCTTCTAGTGCAATATCTGCCGCGCTGGATGCCGGGGGCGTCGTTCTTGCGCACTGCGCAAGCCTTCAAGGAGCTAGAACACGACGCAACTCGAATGCCGTACCTGTGGTGCAAAGAGCAGATCGTACGCATCTGCATCTGATGAAAACCCTGGAGCGACAGTGCTGACAGTACCATCGCAGCAAGCAGGAAAAGCAGAACCGTGCCTCGTTGCGTCAGCACTGGAACAATGCGACGGTAAGATGAGTGATGAAGATGAGGTTGCGCTCATCCTGGGTACAAACTCCGCTCTTGGCGGCGGACTGGACACGGTACGGAGCACTGTTATAGGCGCGATATGGTGCGAGCAACTGAACTATCGCCCCAGAACATGTCCTCCATATTCTCGTTTCTACTCCTCATGACGCGCCATCCGGATATTCAAGCTAAAGCTCAGGCTGAAATCGACGAGGTGGTGGGCACCGAGCGACTTCCGTCAATTAAGGACAGGCCGTCGCTTCCGTATCTGAGGAGCGTGATAACGGAAGTCTATCGCTGCTATCCCGCTGGCCCACAAGGTGCGTATACGTATACCGAAGACTTGCGGGAATAGTGCTGACGAAGCGTCCAAGGTCTGCCCCATTCCCTGCGTCAGGATGACGTGTACAAAGACTATCTGTTGCCCAAGGCATCCATCATTATCCCCAATATCTGGTGAGCTCGAACCATCCGTTCATACTGTCCCCTCCGCGGCCTGGCGCTGACGCGGTCCTCAGGCGCATGCTGCATGACCCCGACGTGTTTCCGCAGCCGGACGAGTTCAAGCCTGAGCGATTCGCGAACAGCGATACCGAGATGCGGAAGGTGACGGACCTCCTCTTTGGCTTTGGCCGCCGGGCCTGCCCGGGATCACAGTTCGCGGAAGGCTCCGTCTTTGCAATCGCTGCGACCATACTCGCGACTTGTAACGTTGTGCCCAAGATCGACGAGCGGGGAAACCCGATCATCCCCGACATGGAGTATACGAGCAGTTTTATAACGTGGGTCATGGTTTTGCTGCCGTAGATTGATTGACGGCGGCGGCTAACGACGTTGGCTACTAGGTTCCCGAAGCACATCGTGTGCGACTTCAAGCCAAGATCTGAGAAAGCTCAGGAGCTACTCGAAGAGTACGTTTCGCGGGGCGATTAACTCAGTACACACAACGTCATGCGTGATTCGCAATCAATCTGAACGGACGTAGCAAAGAATACGCACAACCTACTGTTACACGCTTACGTGCAAAGTATGCCGCGCACGCCATATCCAAACCCTTCTGGTTGTAATCTAAGCTGGGCGCCCTCGCTGCGAGGTCAGGCGCAAGACTATGATTCATGATCGGCGGACCAAGCTCAACGAGCTGCGCATACGTGATCCTCCCTGCCGAGTGAAATCCAGATTCAGCCGAACTCGTTGCGTCGCGTCTGGCGGCACCCACACACCGACATGCTATAGGTAGGTCCTGGCCTTCTCCATTGCGACCGTCGACGACGTGCCTTGACAGAGAGTTTCCCCCATTGGTATTACCCCCGGTGTATTTGCTGCGATCGCGTTCGTCGTCGGGTTGATCTCAATGTCCACCATACGGTGCACGGAGCCATTGCAGCGCCGTGCGCAGGCGGTCCCAGCGGAGACGCTCCGTGGGCACATGAAACACAGCAACGAAGGGAAATACGGAATTGATTTTGACTGGCTTCGTCAACGGTGTCGCAACAGCAGCAACACAGATACGATGGATGGTGTAGGCTGTGTTCCTAGTACCGGCACATATACACATGGTACCTCAATGTGTCAAAATGGCTGGTCAGTGACGAAATGTACCGTTGATGCATGTCATGCACGGATCTGGTGCTGGCAGAGAGAATAGGGGCGTGTAGTGGTCGCAGACAGATATGCAGACTGTTTGACCATAACATCGACCGCTGATTAGTTTTGGGAATTTCCCATGTATCAGTCGAACTTGAGACTGAGGCGGGTCTTCATGACACGCGCATGTCTGAACCATCATAAAAAGGTTTCCAGTTTGAGGCATTCTCCAGCTGGCAACGGCCTGCTGCTGCGGTTTATGCCTACCAGCCGATGTGGTTCATGGCTACTGGGGGCCGAGTAACGATCAACCTGATTGGTGCTGTCCGCACGATATGTATGTAATAGCAGCTATGTAGTATACAATTCTAAAGGTCGTTACTGCGGCACTGTAGCAAAGATTAGCAATCGGAGCTGAGACGTCAAAAGAGATACTTACCAGGAGGATAGTCCACAACGCCGTCCGTAAGATACCACGCTCCTGAAAATACAAATAATTCATGAAATGGGAACACAGCGAGCTTGAGGAGACGCACTGTCACCGGTCATGGTCTTCTCGTTGTACGTCTGCCCGTTGCCAAACCAATAGAGACAGTTGTCGACATCATCTGCGCGCTCGTAGTTGAAGTCTTCCCATCGAGGATACTGCAGCGCACGGATGGTGTGAAGCGTCGAGCCTGCATCGAACACGTCAATCGTAAAGGTTGCATGTAGAAGCGATAGGGCAGGATGCACCCACCCGGCCAGAGAGCAACAATGCGACCTTCCTCTTGACCGCGCTTATACCAAGACCTACAACCCTGAGTGAACACAGTCTGCACAATTGTTAGTTCCTTGATTCATCAATCAGTAGGCTTCAAGCCTGACCTTCGGGAAGTAGTTCTAAATGAAAGAACCCTTAGATCGCTGCAACCACTCTGTACAAAGACACTATACCTCGATATAGTCGTCGAACGCCTTGACAGCCTCTCGCTTCACCTCAATGCTCTTCAGGCGCTCACGTTGCATCTTCATGGTCACCTCGACCATGTAATCGATTTGACGTTCGATCAGAGTAAGCTGCGAGCCAGAGCTGACGCAGGAATTGGGGCCCATGGTCATGAACCAGTTGGGGAAGCCGTCAACGCAGACAGCCATGTAGGTCGTCGGGTAGGGCTGCCATTTCTCCTGGATCGACACACCTGAGCGGCCGATGATGGGGAAATTCAGCTGGAAGGCGTAGTCATAGCCTGCAAGCAGAGATATACGTGTTGGGCCATGGCAACACGAGCGGGAGCGGTGAGCGTACCAGTTGCACAGATGAGAATATCGAGGTCTTGCTTCTTTCCATCCGAAGTCTCGATGCCATCCTTCGTCACTCGCTTGATAGGCGACGACACGAAGTCCACCTGCGCAGTACCACGACGCAAGTCAGTGATCAGCCATTTTCGAACGACACATGACAGACATTGTCCTGGCACAACGCCTCCAAGTATCCTGGGCCAGGCGTCAGACGCCGACAAGCTACGCCGTAGTCAGGTATGACTGCGTGGTGGAGGTAAGCTTCCCTGATTCTCGGAGACGAGACGAGAGCCGCACTTACGCTGATCTGCTATCCACGGTTTCTTCGCCAGCTTCTGCCGCATATGCGCTTCCACCTCCGCCCTGCGCTGCTCCTGCCACTCGGTTCCAGCAAGAATGGCTTTGTCAAGAGACTACACAGGGTTAGAAGGCCCGGACGAGGAGCGATGCCGTGTATGGAATGCTCACATTCACGTCTGCTTGGAGGTCGCGCCGGAAAGACTTGTAGAAGGTAGGATCCCGTAGTTTCTCCTTGTCGTCGTCGGTGAAGGTGTCTAAGGAAAACGACTTCGATTTTGCGCGAAGAACCTAGCATGCAGATATGGCTCACAGTTCTCCGCGTCGGGGTTGCGTTGCACAAGTTCCGCGAGCCTCGAGCTGGCGAATGGGGGACAGATCCATGCCTTTCCTCGCACGTAATTCACGACCTCCTTGACGTGGGGCTGCAGCGCCGGCACAATCTGTATCGCAGTGGAACCCTGGTGACGAAGTAAGTCCATCTTTATACGTCAAGCAGACGCGCTATCTCCACTCACGACCCCAATGACACCAACTCTCTTATCCTTCCAATCCTTGACAACATCTCGCCAGTGTTGGTTCTCTTCCCCGAATTCAGCGCTATGCATCAGCTTCCCGCCAAAGTCCTTCAGGCCCTCGATGTCCGGCCAAGACCACTTGCTAAATATCCCGAGCGCAGAGATGAAGACGTCCGCCGTGTCCGTGAACTCCTCGTATGTCGGCTCGCCTTGCGTTCCTGCACCCGTGCGCCGGCGGATGCGTAGGTGCCACTTCCCAGAGGGCTCGTCGAAGCGGGCGTGTAGGATTTCGTGCTGCAACTTTATGTAGGGCATGAGCTTGTACTTGTCAACCACCGATTGGATGTATGCGAGAATCTCGGGACCCGGTGCGTAGAAGCTCGACCAGTCTGTCTGGATATACGTGAATTGGGGGGTAACGCTAAGTGTATGAACGGCGTACCTTGGACTCGAATGTCAGCTGGTACTGTGGGTCTGTCAGTCAGTTATGCGATGCATGTACAGGACTGGTACCGTACGCAATGGGACAGAATATCGCATGCCAATCCCCTGTGTTCGTTCCCTGAGCGGGCAATTGACAAATTGGTTGATATTTAGACGTACGGGAACCGATTCGTGAACCATGTTCCGCCTATGCCATTGTTTCGTTCATAAATCGTGAGGTCGACGTTCGGGATCTTCTGAGGAAACCTGATGAAAGCAGTCATTTTCCAATATTAGCGCCTACGAATCGAAAGCGGATACTTGCCTGATCGCAGCCAAAATCCCGCTGAAGCCCGCACCAACGCAAACGACCTTGATTGGCCTATACTCGTCGATAGCGAAGTCGCCCAGCTCGAAGCGGGTGGAGCGCGTCTGATTCCCTGTAACTCACTCAGAAGCAAGCTCGCACAAATTAGTCTTGACTGAGGTCACGGACCGTCACTCATACTGCGTCTGCTGGAGGGTAAGATGAATTGTTCACCATACGACTCTTGCCCACTATTTATAGGGTCCGCTGATAGTCATTATAAAAACCCTGTGGCGCTACGTAAGCCCGAAAGCAGCACCCGTGTTCTCGTGGTATTCAGGGCGCCGGAACAAGGCCCCGTGAGCGGGTTTAGAAGTGTGTATAACGGCACAATTCAGGGAAGACGTGTGGGTGCTGAGATAGTTATGGTTCTGCGTTCTTGAGCCCACACTTAGTCCGAGTCGACCTTGACATCCCCGTTGACCGAAATAATCGCCCATTCTTGTCGAGTCTGTTCCTGGGATGCAAAGACGACGAAGTGATAGGTTACGGCTTTCCGATGATTTGACTAAACTCACTGTTATCACGCAGCGGCTCAGGGACCGCATGACGAGACTGTCGGGGGCTCCCGGGGCCTCCACACCTTGTGTTACACTTGGGATCCTCCGCGACTCGGAACTACGTCTGACAAGACGATGTGGAGAATCATCGGTAGATCACGAGCTTTATTGTGCATAGCCGTGTATAGGTAACAGGTTGCTTCCATTGGTGTGGCGCGATGCGACCCGGGTGGCGTATGGCCCTTCAAACTCCTGGAACACAGCCGACAAATCACTTGTGAGATATCGATGGGGAACGGCTTTGCCGTAGGGAGCAAACTGTTATGAGCAATGAGGTTAACGCTCGAGGAGATGCCGATTTTGAGCCGGTGAATGCTGCACATCGTGATAGCAGGTAGAATCTGTTGTAGACACGAAGCCGGGTTAAAGGCGAATAACATAAACAACGTCAATAATACTCACGACAATGAGAAACTTGAAAGCGTTCAGCACTGATGCCAACCCCTTGCAGACTCAACATTGGAGGCTTTTTGAGCGCAAGTATATTGAAGTAAGTACTCACATCTCACGAGTTGAACATCAGAGGAGGTCGTTTGACCCCCACTCTAGCCATCACCCTGGTGTCCCGAGGGAAGCATTGTAAGTATGGCTTGAAGACATTCAAGGGGACCTTTCGTTAGCATATCAAGCACCCGGCAATAAAACTAGGATATAGCAGCCTCAGAGTCAATTGACGTCGACCAGGAGGAGGAGGGAGACAAAGAGGCGACGACGTGACGTGTGCAAAGCGCTTGCTTTCCGGCATCTCCCGAATGAGGCGCGTCCACAATGACCTCTAACTTACGGTGGGGTTCTTGATCTCAGACACCTTCAACATCGCGGCGGCGTAACTTCTCTATGCTTAACTGAGTGAATAATTCGAAGCTTCTGCTAGCCTAGTAATCATGACACAAAACTTGAAGTCACGCTGTGGTAGCCTCAGCACTACTCGACTCGGCCCGAGGCAGACAGCCTGAGACAGGTCATGAATTCACAGTGAGCAAGGATCCGCGAAAGAATGCGTCATATAAATCGACTCCTTATACCGCTCGTCTAAGGCATGTGCCCCGTACTCTACGCAGGTGCAAAGGGAGGATAGGCAGAAGTTCCCAACCCATGTTTCTTCCGGAGAGAATCGAGTCCTCGTCCCCGCAATTCGGCGGCTGACTTCTATCGGAACCACGACGAAGCCACGACGTGATGATTTGACCACTGTCACTACTTGACGGGAAGATATGATGGTCAGTGTTGTGCGCACGACATACGCAGGTATGCCGAACGCCTCATTGATGTATGCATAACTTGCAGTTGATTGAGTACCCAACATCGGTGCCATAGGCCTCAAAGTACGGTGAGCCGTAGTGGCTGTCACCTATACATCACAACCTAATGATGACGATGAAACCATCCCAGATATGCTCCTTCCACGAGCCGTGCTCCTTTTGATAGGACACATGGCTATCGCCGCCAGCTCTGCGTCTTCATGAAATTGCTGGGTACATAGGTGTGATTGGCGAACGCGAGATCGTCGTTGCCACTGAGAAGATAGAACATTGACGCAAACATAGTGGTCTCTCCTTGCATCTTCAGGGTGATCGACTTGAAGTATGGTCCATGAACAGCGCGAATGACCATGCACACACACCAGAACACTCGGCATTAGGCTCTCTCACTCTCTCCAGATCCGTACGCTCATGCACCCGAACATTGGCGTCACAATATAGGATTGCCTGCTGCATTTCCAAGTCAACAACGGTGCTTCGTCAAAAAGGAATGTTTCCGGAGGGAGTCGAGCCCTCGTCTCCACGGTTCTGTGCTCTAGACGTGTAAGTATTCGAGCGCACCACAACGTGATGATCTGACCACTAATCGACGGAAACGGTACAGGAACTTGTTTCGTCCCCAACATATGCAGGTATGCCGAGCGCCCATAATGATGCAGTCACAGCTTCGGTAACACTGACGCCCAACGAGTGTAAGCATCACACATAACGCTCGGGCCAGTACGATCTTTGACTTTCTTCAGTCGAGAAAAACAGTGGAGGCGATTCACGCGTAGTGGAGGTTGACCATACTATTTAAGCGCCAATGTCGTCTCGGCGGACGGCGCTTAGTTTGTGTACAAGGGCGGGGAAAATACAGCTCGAGACACGGGCAGTTGAGCAGGTGATGCGTCGTGGCTGTCGAAAGAGACAGAGGTGAGTCTCTTGCACAATGCGATGTTGATGCACATTGATCTCAGGACATTGCGTTCGCGATAGGACTGATGCACCTTGACGTGGTGGGACTTTGACCAGCAAATACATCGGTGAGTTACAAGCTCTGATATCTAAACACGCTTACACGCCTGGTGAACACATAAGGGAGCGACAGCTCGGGGCTCCCATGAATCGATGAATCGATACTGCTATTACTATTACTACAGGGGATAAATCATGGGCTTGGAAGGATGGAAGAAGAGATTTCTGGTATCCGTGAATTCCGCCACGGAGAATCGGCCATAGCCCGATGGGCCACTATATTGAAAGGTCAGCACCGCAGGCTACATCAAGTGACAACAGACTGACCCAAGCCCACCCAATCGACTGTCGGAGCTTACGCTCTGTCCGTTGATGTTGATGGTGCCTACATCGATGGTCAGTTTCCGCTGCACAAAGGTCTCTTGGGTGAACACTCACCTGCTCTGATGCGCGAGGCGACGTTGAAGGCGGTATGAACGTTCTCGGTCCACAGGGCAGCCATCAACGTGTACTCGGTGTCGTTCGCTTTCTCGACCGCCTCGTCGACGCTGTCTACCTCGACGAACACGACAACTGATGATCGGTCAGCAAACACCTTCGTGACTTCTCCCTTTGAAATGATGATACTCACCAGGACCAAACGTCTCGTTATGCCACAGCTTCATGTCCTGCGTCACCTTCGCGACGATATGCGGCTGAACCACTGCACCATCCCGCTTACCGTCTCCGAGGAGTACCTCAGCACCCGCATTCTGGGCATCGCGTATGAGGCCGACGACGTGCTCCGCGGACGCCTCCGAGAACAGAGGACCAAGCGAGCACCCCGGACCTCCTGCCCTCAACTCGGAGAATTGCTTCTTAACGGCTGTCAAGAGTTGGGCGGCGACGCTCCGCTGGACGATGACGCGCTCGGTCGATATGCAGATCTGCCCTGAGTTCAACAGCGCTCCGAAGACGATGGCCTTCGCGGCGGTTTCAAGGTCGGCGTCCTCCAGGACCTAGTTCGGCCGTGCTCGTGAGTGACGGTGAGTGCGTGTGTAGGTTGACACTCACCACTACCGCAGCCTTTCCACCGAGCTCGAGGACGCACGGTTTCAGGTGCCGTGCAGCCTCGACTGCGATCGCTTGTCCGACTCTGGGGCCGCCTGTGAACTGGGATATATTTGATCAGCGTCGGACAAACAAGCGTGTATCAAAGGCACAGTGTATCGCGCACGTTGATCTTCCGGACAGCTGGGTGTGCAATAATCTCGGCCACTCTTGCAGGCGCTTCTGACTTGGCTGTGCTGATGAGGTTGAGCACTCCGTTTGGTAAGCCAGCCTGTGTTTAGTCTGAGTGACGCTTGTACTACTAGTTAGATGCAGCTCGAAAGGCATGCCTTTTTGAGGACCTCCACGGCCAACGCTTGGGTCCGCGGAGTTACCTCGGAGCTTTTCAGAACCACAGTGTTACCGCAGAGGATAGGGACGATGCAGGCACGGATACTGAGCGCGAGTGGCGCGTTCCACGGAGAAATCGCAAAGCTGGAACCAAGGCTATCAGCAACACGCGCATGGCTTCGATGGTTGTCGAGATGCGTACATCACTCCCATAGCTCGGCGCTGGACTACGGCGTATCCTCCGGCAAGCAGCGACGGTGCATTGTCGCCCTTCAGCTCAGCGATGATTGCAGCGGTCTCGCGGATAGACATGATGGATCCCATGAAGTCCCCTCCAATAATGGCATCCGCAGCGGCGAGCTCGTCCTTCACAGCTACTGTGTGCTTCTCCCTGTATTCCGCCGTTTCGAGGATGTCAGCGGCTTTGAGGAAGATGCTAGCCCGCATGACCGGTGGTGTCTGCTCCCAGGCTGCGAATGCTCGAGACGCAGCGGCGACAGCATCACGGCAATCATCACTAGATGCCGCCGCAGCACGGCCGACTACCTCATTAGAGTAGGGATTCCGCACCTCGAACGACGCGCCGGTGCTAGAGGGTCGCTCCTGGCCGTCGATGAACAGAGGCGTAACAGGTATGGGCATTTTGTTTGCGAAGCGTCGCAAAGCAGGGCGGAGTGAGCTTGGTACGAGTATCCCCCGGTGTCTGAGTTATAAGAGCAGTGCGAGCGCCTCGAACGCGTCGAGCGGTGTACGTCAATGTACTAGTCGCCGGCGTGAGACCGTCACTCTGTGATAGTCTCGCAAACCGGTCTCACGGCTGCCTCGATGCGCCCGACGCATTGAGGTTACTCCAGCGCTGCCTTCCCAGAACGTGCGTGGTTTGGTCGTGTGCGTTCTTTGCTCCGGTGGCATCGGGTATTAATGCATATTTTCTGCGTTCAGTAAAACGGCGATGATATCGGAGCATAGTAGTGCACAGATACTCAACACGAATTACCTGATTGAATAGCTAATTCTGGAATCAATATGAGACGTACGTATAATGACTTTCCACTGGTGTACCGTTTGTATCTGTTGGTGGTTCATTCCTGGAGGAAAAAGTTAAGAGTTCGAAACCTATTTTTACCAATACTCACTGCCGCTGAGAATTCCTGTCAATTATACGGCAGATCACCCTGCGTGTTGCTCCTATCTGCAACCTTTCCCGAATACTATCGACTTCTGTTATGACCCCTCGCAATCATCGACTGGTAGAATCATCTGTACGATGTCCATATGTAGTGCGAGTGCATATTCTCACCATCGACATTCAGCCATGTGCTTGATCTCGGCTGACACTGCTGATTACTGGGATATATCTATTGACATTCTGAGTACATATATGCTGATTGGATATTAGCCTGTACGGCCAGCCTGGCTGCATGGCCGACTCGTAGTCATCTGGTCCAGGATTCTGTCACGAAGTGCTACTACCTCGACCCAGTGTCATAATTCTTCTAGCATTTCCTGCATACATAGATGTTCTAACGTGTCCAGATACTCACCAGCGTCGAAGTAAACATGGACCGAAGGCCGCATCGACTCTAGGTGCCGAGATCCGCCGCGTCAGTACGTACTATGCATGTAATAAATTACCTGAAAGGATCCATTGATTACTGAGCATCATAATACGGACTGATATATGTATAGGGCGCAGAGCAAATGACTTTTACATTGAAGTGGCCTCCTGGTTTCTCCTAACCCGAGCTGATAGGCCCTAACCCTGACGCCACGCTCACGTGAGTATGTTTATGTCAGCAACTACCAGGGAGTGCCACGCATATTTCCATATTTGGTTCACTCTTCTACTCAATCAGGCTGTTGGCAGTTGCATCGTGCGCCGTGCGGACCCCTGCGCTCGCTCTTCGACATCAGTGGAACAGCATGCTACGCTTGATTCAGTGGCATCTGGTCACCCATCGTACGCTGTGGTGCATTACTAGCCTGGACTGAGCCGAGTCCCGACCTTCGACTCCGCCGAAACCACCGGATTAGAGCAAGAACACAAGTATGACATTCCAACGTATTAAGTGCCGTGATACTAAGTAGTGAGCGATGCCGTGAATTATAGTAATGCTGGCGCGTAACTAACAGCATGAAATGATTAGATGGAATACCTTCCTCCTCCTCAACTGCCCAAGCCATCTACCACAACATACTCGCAGTCGATCAGTTCCTTCAGCCTGTACCTCGGGCTGCACAAGTGAAATGTGAGCCAACCCTTTGCGAACGACTCCCATGCGTCTCGAACAGGCCCATCGCCCAGGATTCCCCGGATACGAGTCACTAGCACGACAGTCTCATCGACAATCTCTTGCAGAGTTTCCTCCCGAGACCTTCCGCACGCCTTCGACCGGTCGCTCACGTAGTTCCCCGTCTCTCCGGCGAGCTCCTCTTTGTAGAATGACAGGATGTCGCTGAAGAAAACCAGGTCAGTTCTGATCTGAGTTCGTTATATCTGAACCGACGTACTTAGCGTGGTTCTGGAAACAGGATATGTCTCTGCTCCGAGTCTGTAAGCGTCACTACTACAAAGCCATCTGAACGCGACACTCACGGAATTGCCTGCACATACAGTGCCACGTCCCGACAGTCTGCCTTCGTCCAAATGAAGTACGCAAACGCGTCGGCGAGACCCGACATGCTGCGGCGGTACGCGAGGAATGGGAGCGCGTCCAGTTGGTGCGCGGCGACGCCGTCGATCTGCACACCCTCCAGGATGCAGCCGTTCACGAAACCCAGCACCGACGAGATGATCGCGCTGGTGGAGAACTCGGGGTACACCTGGTCCACTCTGGACAGGACATCCATGAGCATCCCGAGGACGCCGCGGCTGCCTCCGATCTGGTGGAAGTCGCCGTTGCACAGCCGCCTGTGGAGGTCACGGCTCCCGGATGCGTCGAAGACCTTCGGATCATCCAGCGCGATGACGAGCGCGCTGAAGAGCACGATGAGCACCTTCGTTTCCTGGTCGGAGATGTGTCGGTAGCAGGCTGTGGTCAGGGTGATCGCCGGAGGTAGATACGGCCGCAGGAGCACGGACATCTCTGTACCCCATGACCGGATGATGTCGACGGCCTGGTGCTCAAGGGCGATGTCGCGGACATACGGAGGGACGTCGATCTGGAGTCGCTGGAGGAGACTGACGACCGCCGATTTGGAAACGGTAGCGATGGACGTCGACGAGACGTCGGGCGAACATGTCGTCTTCGAACCAACGGAGGGCCGTATCTGAGGATATGTAGACGAAATTGCCATGATGCGTTCTACACGGAGAGGTTAGTGATTGTCTCTATGCGTTCTGCTGCAAGTGAATGACGGAGATGCTTGCTCACCAGACTCAAGTCAACTCGACGACGACGTATACAACAGCGGGAGTGTTGGTGCGATGAAGCTCGACTGGCCGTGCTCCTTATATATTGGCCCGCAGCGAGTCATTTGGAATAACGAGCCTCGCACTGAGCTCGGCCCTCATCCGCTTCAGGGTCATCCCCAGTTCACCGAGAGCCGCTCCGCGCCACGATGACCCAAGTCCGCTTCGACATCACGGCGTGGCACGACAACAGTCTCAGTCAGGTCCAAGCCCCCGCAGCACGCTGCCATTTTTTGCAAACAATCGGCCCTGAGGAGCGTCCGCGATCCAAGAAGCACTCTCGGAGGACGCCACGCGTGAGCGGGGAAACCCGCCCCCGTCGGGATACCCTATCGCCAAGATGCCGGTGGGCGCCACCACGTCTACGGCCGATGACGAAATGGACCTCCTCCGCGTTCGTGCGAAGCCGACTTGCAGGGAGGGAGAGAAGCACACGTAGAAACAGCCACTACTCCTAGGAGTCCGATCCGGTCGTGCGACGGCTGCGTTGCGCAGTGCTTCTACAGGCAGCGCCGTGCGGAGCGGCGATGCAAGTGTGAGCTCACCCTTATAGAATCGATTTCACGTCACACAAACTGAGGGTACGCCGCCGATTCTGACGGGTCATGTTGACAATTGTACAGTTTCATTGATGCGCGAGCCCGCCGATCTGCGAGACGGTAGTCGCCGCGAACGGACAACGCCGCTAGCAGCACACGCGCATGTGCGCGCGCCGAGTCAGGGCCTGGCAGCTATTTGCGTCACGATAGACGCAGCGTAGGGCGGCCTACATGCACACGGTCGTCTTCCCTCGTTGAGCTGCGATGCCCGACTCGTTCCAGGTGTTGCGTAGACAATGTCCGAAACCAGGCCGCAGCGCTGGCTCCGTACCCTATCCTAGAAGCTTCGGTGCGTGCTCTCACCTTTGCCAAATAATCAATGTCGCAATTAAAGAGGTTGTAACGTGATGAAGCCCTTCCAGCTGATCGTATGAACATAGGCACTCCAGTGGTGTTGTACGCAGATGAAGTTCCAAGATGATGCTTCGCGTGAGGTCGAGACGGAGCTGGATGAGACACAATCGATACAAAGTCACATTGCTACTGACAGACAGGATCGGTGTAGTACAGCGGTTACACGTGTTTTACATGGAATCTACAGGTTATACAACAGAAGAGAATATGATATCAGTTATGCGTCACTGCTCAGCGCCAGGCACGGCAGCGGGAATGAAAGCCTCTTTCCGCCAGTAATCAACCCAACGGCGAACATCCTCCACACCAATCTTAGCCACCTTGCCTTCGCGCAGCGTCGCAGAAGCCTCCAATCCATGTGTGATGTCGATGTGAGGGACGAGCTTGCCCATGACGTCAGGGCGAGGTTCATCTGGATCCGATGCGAGCCTGAAGATGTCGAGCAGGCGGAGACCGTGCTGCAGATAACGCGTTGCGTCTGTCTCGTCAGTGGACACAAGGCCGCGCTCGAGTCGGGTGATCCAGTCGGAGTACGGGGCGAGCGGGAGGTTGAGAACCGAAGCGAATTGGTTGAAGACCTCCGGCCACGTCACAGGCTGAGGGTGGCGTAGATGGAGGACTTTCTCTGAACTGTCCGTGAAATCGACTACCGCAGCCGCAGCTGCATCGACAGGCAACCACGAAACGTCCTGCAATGCGTTCAGATCACAAAGTCAAGGAGACATCACAAACCAAAGTTACTACTCACTCCAGACGCGTCCGGCAGACATCCAAGCGCAATGCTGGCCGATACCATTGAAGGTACCCACTCCGACGTTCTCCAAGCACCATTCGCGCTCCCACTCAATTGACCAATACGTACGATGGTGGGCGATAGGATGTTCTTCGCTGCTGCGAATGTAACGAGACGCTCAGCAACCCACTTCGATTCAGGATAGCCGGAGCCGACAGCAATTGTGGGGTCCTCGACCAATACCTCTGCGACAGGCTTGTGATCGGATAGTCCTGCAGCACGATAAGTGAGACGGCGACGACATAGCCTCAGACATGAGGCACCCACTTCTGAACATGCCCGCTGTGCTAGAGAAGAGGAGCTTTACATGGGCGTCTGAAACGGCAGCGAAATCGATCATGTAACGTATACCGCGGATGTGAGGCTCGAATGCCGACAAGGGTGTGACGAAATCGATCGGCCAGGCTATAACGACGACGTCAATGATACACGAGAGCAGATTTAACAATGAATGGTGAACATACCCAAGTGTACGATATGAGTCACTGAACTGAGGAGCTGTAACGTGCGGCGTCAGGTCAACGTCAAGTCTGAAGAGCTGAAGGCACGTGTTCCTACCTCATCATATTCCGTCGTCGACAGACCGAATCTGGGCTCCGATAGGTCGCCCTCCAGCACAGCGAGCTTGTCTGAAGTCAGGGTAGCTGCGTCCAGTTCGCGAGCGTTGAAGACATTCAGCAAGCGATCCTTGGCCGAGGTTCCCGATACGTCGCGGCGGACAATGGCAAAGACCTTCTCACTGGAAGCGTCAGACAGAAGGCGAGCAAGTACGTGTGATCCTATGCTGCCTGTTGCGCCCGTCAATAGCAGAACCTTGCCCGTGGCAGTGTCGTGTGATATCCCGCGATGGCAGATCGGACGAATACTTCTGCAACAAGGACGTCATTTCCTGTACCTTCACGTTGGTAGCTCGTCCAAGCCAATGTGAGGAGCAGCAGTTTCGTCCTTGCTGCTAGCAGAGTCCGGAGTCGTCGCGCCCGAAGATTCCTCGCGCACTCTTCGAGATCACCCAGCGTGACGTCCGCCAGAAGCTGAAGTTGCGAGATCGCCACATATGGCTCCAGTGCGTGAGACAGAGCCGCTGCCGAAAGAGAGTCGAGACCGTAGGACGTGAGAGGTACGTCGGCAGAGAGGTCCTCAGGGTCGATATCGAGCACATCGCAGATGATGTCACTCAGGCTACGGCCCAAGTCATCCGAAGACGTCTGGTCCGTGTCTGAGGACGACGCCTTGATGACGAGGTGGTCGTAGAGCGGGGAAGACCCGAGATTACTCTGGACGAGGCTCCAGTCGAAGTCTGGAATGTATTGCCACGCGGACCTTCACGGAGCTTCAGCAGAGTTTCAGCGATGCCTTCGCAGAGCTCTGTCATCCTTTCGTTAGATGGACATGGTACATATTATAATAATATACGCCACCTTCGCACGTCATAGCCCAGGAGCTCAGGTGCCGGTAGCGCGACCACCGTGTGCTGTCTGTAGCGGCCATCGTCAGGAATACTCCCGTGTCGTTGATCAATGGTGGCACGATGGTCACCGCATTCCTGTAGCGTCTCGTGAGCCCTGTCAAAGCAGTATTTGCGCTTCGGCGAAATCAGCATGAGGTTGAATCTCAATGGAAAGTGAATACCTAGAGTAGTTCGTTTGCCCGGCGTTTCCTGACAGCCCCGCGATAGATGAGTAAGCAAGCACAAAGTCCAGCGAATCGATGTCGACGGCTTTCTCCAAAGCGTTGAAAGCACCCAACTTGGCTGTGAAAGGTGCCTCAAACGTCTCTGCGGTCTGCATAGGGAAGGTACGGTCGATCAGAACGGCAGTCAAGATCATGCATCCCCCGACCGGCTTCTGGATGGAAGCAACCAACTCCTTGGTCTGCTCAACCGAAGACGCGTCAACAGCCTCCGTACGCAATACCAAGTCTTCCCGTGACCGCAGATACTCCAGGAGCCGCAAAGCAATGAACTCGTCCTTTGGTACGAGATTAGCGGTCCCTGAGCGGGAGGTAAGGATGATTTCACGCGCTCCGTTCTAGAGCATACATCAGTCATTTCACATGGCAGAGATAAGAAAGCCAGCACCTTGTACATCCAGCTCGCGATGTGCAATCCAAGTCCTCCGATACCGCCAACCAAGATATACGACTTGTCTTGGTCGAAAATGGAGAGTAGCGACGGCACTTCTACCGGTGGCGCTATGCCAAGCAGCTCGATCGGAGGAGCAAACACCTCGCTGAAGTCGGCAGGATCCGACAACGCCAGCTTCAATGCGTCACCTACGGCCCATGGGTCCTCGTCCAGAGTTTGAGCAACTCCGGTGCTTGGGTCGTTCCACTGATATATCGTTCCTGCTTGCAGCCGGGTCACGGTCTCGTCGATGTCGTTAGCAGCAATGCGTTGTCTCCCAGAGACAATGACTTCGGTCGCAGAGCAAGTATAGCCCGGGTCTCAGCGATACTGGCCTGCGAGGGCAGGCGGGCTACGTGGAATCCGCGGCTCTCGTAGAGTTGACAGACGCCATGTCCAATCTCTGTGTCGGAATGCGTCACGAGGATGCATGAAGCTTCCAATCGCGATGGGTCGCTGAATCTGGCATGTCCAATGGCCAGGACAGCGATGACTGCTGCGAGTGCGTGAGGACCGCGGTCGGTATCCTGGACATTGGTCAACTCCAAGAGGCTCCCGCGATGGGCCACGACGTAGTTAGACAGGGGTCCGAATGTGATGCCGATATAGGTAGTGGATGAGGCGTCCGTGCGCCCGATGAACGCCCGACACGAGGAGCTGTCTGAAGATGTGCCCACAACGCGGAGGAAAATGTGGCCCGACGGAATCGCCGGTTTGGGGACCTGCGAAAGGGCGTGTTTCTGATACAACCACGGTGCTTCAGGGTCGAAAGACACGGTTTGCTTGGGCGCAGACGAGGGAACGACCCTAGCGACACACACAGATCTGTCACCCTGTACCAACATTTCGTCTTCTGCGAGCGGATGTGCGCAAAGAGAGCGTGCTGTCTCTTCAAGCTCAGCAAAAGGCCATGACGAAGGGAACACAACACAGAATACCCGCCACGATCGGTACTCTTTGCGAAGAGACCTCGTGAAGCCGAGGATTGCGTCGCCGTCCAGGCCTTCAGCCGTGATGAAGCAAAGCAACTCTCTGTCAGAGGGATTCAGAGAGCCAACGGCTTGCTGAAGGCTCATCTCGCCTCCTCTGTGGTACCGGAAGATTCGAAGCTTGGCGTTCAGATCCTTCGGTGACTGTGAGGCCATCATATTCAGGCGCTGACCATAAAGCAAGCTGAATCTGACTTACCCCGTCGACGATCACAGTCGACTCCACGTCGGCGGCATCATGCCGACCTCTGTGGAATCGAGAAGGCGAATGTCAAGTTGGTGATAAGCCATTTCGTATCGGTTCCGGACGGTCAGTGGTACTCGGCCATGGGCGGCAACCTCGAGCGCGTCGAGTGTGCAGAGTGTCTGGCCACGTTCGTTCATGAGCTTGAAGTCGTACGTGAGCGATTCTAATGTTGCATGAGCGTGCAGTCGAAAGGTCAATAGATGTTGTCTGACCTGGTGTCCATTTGACAAACACGCCATGAGCGTAGACTCTCTCGGGATCCCTTCGGCAAGGGCTTCATGTGTGACCAACGTGCCGACTTTCGCTGGCAGGTAATAACGTCCTTGCGCGATGGCCCCAGTTATCAGCGGGTGCACCGCAACGTGCAGTGCAGCGTCTAAAATCGCGGGGTGCAGTCGGTACTCCGACAGGCTGTAGAGTGGATGTTAGACTATGTTGCGTACAATAATCGGGTATCACCTACTTTTCCAAATCGTCTCCTGCCCCGCGAATCTCTATAAGAAGCTCCTCCAAACCAGAGGCGTCAATCCCGTGGTAACAAGATAACACTCTTCTATACGTAGGCCCGTAGTTAGCGAACGAGTCGAGGTGTTCATAGAAGCCTTTCATCTCCATCTTCTTCAGCCGTGCACGTATGTCGTCCAGAGATACTGCAGGGCCATCCGCATCGAGTTCGCTTTCCGTAGAGAGATAGCCAGTTGCATGTAGACGATTATACTACCGCCTGTCAAAGCCTTGCGATACACCAAGAAGTCATGCACTCACAGTCGGAGGCCATGTGTTCGCATAGTCTGTCGCAGCCACGCTACGGACGCTCCACCGTGAGCCTTCTAGCTTCACGTCGACAGGAGTCGGACGTTCCGCAGAAAGAGACAACATCGAATGGAATTGTACATCCCACAGCCTTTTCGCGCCAAATTCGAGTGCCTGCGAAGTTCTGGTCAACCTGCATTCGGGTACGATATGAAACTGATGTACCATTTCTAAGAATCCCGCTGCAGGCATGATCGGCTCGTTCTTGATGACGTGGTCCGCTAGGCCAGGATGCGTCTGTGTGTTGATCCGCAGTTGACGGTAGTTCAGAGGGCCGTGACGCGCCTGTCGTTGTCTAGTGATCTCGAGTGTTTGGGCGACGTATGGGACCTCCTTCCGCGCAAATGGATACGGCGGAATGGCCGCGCCTGCGCTCTCCGCCGTACCGTACAGCACATCCATGTCCACCCCAGTATAGCCTGCACACACCAGCCGTCCAATGAAGTCCATGAAAGGCGTCAGTCACCGACCTCTGAGGACTTAGATCGCTTCAGCGGACTCAGCACCGTTGATCCCTGCCCCGCGATCGCAGTGATATAGCCCGAGAGAACCGGATGAGGTCCGAGTTCAACGAAAATCGCCTGCGGGTGTCGATTGCGTATAGATTTCACGGCAGGATCGAACATGACTGGTCCGACAGTGTTGTCCCAGAAGTAGCGAGCATCGTAAGACGTAGTGAGCATGTCGCCAGACAGAGCCGAGTATGCCTCGACTTTCGTGGGTTCGACGGCGTACTTCTTGAACACCTCCTCGACCCGTCCTTCATACTCTGCTTGGCAGAGCGTCATCATCGACGAATGAACGGGGATCCGTGTCCGCAGACGAGTCGCCAGGATACCGGCCGCTTTCGCCCGAGCTACCGCCGACACGACGTGCTTCGTAGAGCCAGACAGCGTAACAGCGTTCGGAGCGTTGAAACACGCAACCTCTAGGGCAGCGGGGCCGAGCTCTGCGACGACCTCGTCGATGATCTCCTTCGCCCGCACAGCGGAACAGGCCACAGCCGCCATCGTCCCATCATGTGCTTCCAGTGTCGCCATCGCTTCACCTCTGGCTATGGAAAGCTCGACTGCCATCGCCTTTGAAGCCGCGCCGGACGCGTACACGACCGCCGTCTCGCCTGCCGAGTGTCCAACCACTACATCTGGCTTGATGCCGATCGCAGCCAGGGTATCGACGAGGGCAATTTGGAGGATCGTCAGCGCAGGAAGAGTGATAGAGATCGGCCAGACGTCTCCTAGGGTATCAGGGATGCCGGACTCGTCGAAGAGGCCGATGTCCTTGATCAGAGACTTGCCCGTCACGGCGGCGTAGACTTGGTCGAGCTCCACCACGGTGTCATGGAACGGCACACACGTCCCGAACAACTCGCGGCCCACTACGGAGGCAAGTCAGCAAATCAGATCCGCTGTGTTCACACAGAGCGCACTCACTGTTCCAGTGCTGAGGGCCCTGCCCAGAAAAGACGAAGACAACTTCCGGCGCGACCTTCGGCGTGAGCACGGGCTCCGAGAAGCGAGGGATCTGACCCTCGGGAGTAACAGAATACGCTTTCCACAGCATGGAGCGCACACGACGACCGAGTGCGCGACCCACGCGCGTGCGATCACGATCGGCTGAGATGCTCTTGAGCGATTCGCCTACAGCCGAAGTAGACCGCGGCGACAGGCCGCCGGCAATGAGAAGCGAGGGGATAATCGACCTCTCGCACGACCACATACGCGGCACGCCATCCGTGTTGGAAGCATGCGCCTCGATGACACAGTGGCCGTTGGCACCACCAATCCCCGAGCTCGACATCGCAATGAGTGCGCGGCCGGAGGGAGAGCGGATACTGAGGTTCTCGGGAGCAACAGGCACGCGCATGTTGTGCTCCTTCCATCGGATGGCCGGGTTAGGCACAGAGAAGTTGACGGTAGGCGGGATGACGCCGTGCTCGATGATGTGGCAAACTTTGCAGAGGGACGAGAGGAACGCAGTGATTTCGGTGTGCCTGCAGACAATGTCAATACCATGTACTTCAACACAACGTGAGACATACCCAACGTTGCCCTTGACGCTCCCGACCAGAAGTTCTGCGTCTCTTCTGAATTGGACACCTGCCCAATTTGCCTCCGTCGGGTCACCCGATGCAGTGCCTAAGGCGAAACCGTCAATCAGACGAGTCTGGTACAGCCAAGTGGAAAACGATGCCGACCAGTCGCGTGCAGTTCGATGAAGTCTACATCTCTAGGCGACCGCTGTGCCTGAGCAAACGCGCGGAACATAGCGTCCTGCTGCGCAGATGCAACCGGCGCATTGACCGGCGCTAGCGATCCCGAGGAGTTGATCCCGGTCCCGAGAATCTGCAAGCGTTGCTGCATCAGCAGCAGCACAAAGCCTAACGTCCGAAGGCGCCATCCACGCACCGTAGCATAGATTCTATCGCGGTCACGGAGGGCGGCGTCGAGTGGCTTCAGCACGATTGAAACGGCTGCCTCACCACGTCCAAATCTGCAGGAATGCTATTGTCAAGCAGCGGTAAAGAGGGATGGATGAGACATTGTACCCGTTGGCAGAAACATCGAAGGGCTTGCACTTCCCATCAGGGGAAAGAATCCCGCCTTGACTATACAGAAGCCACTCCGTAAATCTTCCGATCGCCATTAATGATCCTGCTTCTCCCGATGATACAGTTAGGTGCGCGCTCACCTGTGATTGAGTTGGCAACCTCCGACCACTGCGGCTTCGCACTCTCCATTCCGAAGCGCCTGAACACCCAAATGAGTGGCATACAGCGTCGAGCTGCATGCAGTGTCGAGTGGTAGGCTCGGGCCGCGAAGATCGAGGTGATACGAGACGCGGTTTGCGACCATGGCTGGGCCGTATGAGAACGCTCCACGAGCCTCCGTGTCATCCTGATGTCCTGAAGATCAGCGAACGGAAAATCCTCCCACACTGGTCACCTACATGTCCGGACACCGAAAACATGTCGTGGGCTACGGCCGACATGTAGCACCCGACGTTTCGTCCTCTATAGTCGAGGCCCGAGTCGAGCAACGCCAGGAAGGTGGTCTCTATCAGCTTGCGCGTACCCAGGTTCATCAACCTGGCGTCCTTGCTCGTAATCCCGAACTCGACGGGATCGAAAAGGTCTATGTTCTTGAGAAATGCGCCCGAATCGGTGACCACTTGGCCAGACGCTCTACCTCTAAGTCTAACATGCGGTGTCGTCAAACCAGCGAGAATTCGAAGACAGGACTGTGAGGCTTACGTTTGTACATTAAAGCGTTCTAAGGGAATTCTCTCGTACGCCTCTCCGCCTTGCAGAAGAAACTCGTAGAACGAGATGTAGTCGAAGTTCGATTCACTCCATTTGCCGCTAGGAAGTTCGGCCGCGATGCCAACCTAGCAATGGGTGAGTTTGTGCAATGACCCGACTGGCGAAAGTCAAACACGTACAATGGCTACAGGAAAGGGGTTTCCGGCGGGCATGATGGCTGTGATACCAAGGTGTACGATTCCAGGAACTTCACATCGTCATACTCTTCTCGCACCGTGCATTTAACTGACATCGCTCTCGGGGCAATCGCTTCCGAAAGATACCAGTGTGTCTCGTCGAGATCGCTTGGAATGCTGATGCGAACTTTGGTCGCAGAATTAGCGTGGAGAACAGGGGGCATACGACATTGAGGATCACCGTGATGGAACGTGGAGTATTGATCATGCCTAGAACAAACAGAAAATCTGCGACTAGACGGGCTATAGCTTAGCGCGGACGTCGCACACAAACGGGGGTACGTACAGAGAGCGAAACTGCATGCAGATGGTGCATCGACTTCGACCGGCTCAATCTGCATGCGCTACAAGGTAATGTGCATCAGGCTCGCCGGGGCCACTCATTGCAGACCCATTCTGCGTTGTCAGCTAGGCCGTCGAGGCCACACCGATCTTGGAGCTCGACCTGCTTGCTATCAAAGTTCGAGGCAATTGACTCAGAGTTCCCGACTCTCGGGCTCGGAAGTCAAGAAGTACGGTCAGTATGAATTGTCTATAGCATACGTCGTCTTAGGAACGCCGAACCCGATGATCCTGCCATGATCAACGTGCCTGTCAAACCACTTAGCGAAAGGTCAGTATACAAGCTTACGAAAAACGGACTCGAACGGATACGTACACATTCGTCCGCTACGGCACGTACAGTTCGGCGATCAAAAGAACTTATGAGGTGCTGATTCCTGGTGTCCGCTATCTTAGCGTAGACCATGCAAACCGGAACGAACGGCTTGGCGAGTAATTGAACCGGCCACAGCGAGCCACGGCGGCGGCTCACCGTTCCTCATGCAATGGGAGACGCGTTGCGGAGTATGATTCCTGGTAGGCGAAGGGAGTGCACAAGGAGGGCATGGAGGAAGCGCTCTCGGGGGAGGCGCTTTGAGCGCCTGAGTGGCCGACCTCGTGATCGCGAATCGAATTGAAGTCCGCGCCACAACTGTGGCAGCGCCTGCGGTCTATTATGTACCACGATCATTCATAGGTCCTCCTTTCTCCGTTTCTACATTTGTTCACAGCCGCGAGCGTCGACTCCGTAGACGTGTTCTTACACAGGATGCAGGTAATCTGGTTCAAAGTGGCAGACGGACCTCGGTACCGGCGGTAACGCTTGTTGCACCACTGCACTGCTGGTCTGATAGGTCTGATGGTACGCATGCTGGTTCGAAGCTGTAATCATTGGGGAGAAGAATGACACAGAAAGATGCTAGCCCCTATCGTCAGAAGATCACTTCATGAAGTCAAATTCCGGGCCGTGCCAGGATGTGCTGCAGTGGCCTTCTTGGGGCCAACACCTCTTCGGTTACAAACCTCCCTCAGCTGCTAGTATCGTAGCCGTTACTACCTAGTTCTGTCGCACTTCAGCTGTTGCGGGGCGTTTTCGCTATAGAACAAACGGCTGTAAGTGCACGGAGTTACCAAGGCGACCAAAGGTATATATGTACTTCGGAGAATTGCACGGCTGACAATGACAAACATGACGTTGGGACGGATAATCATGTCCGCATGGTGGTAATTGCTTTTAATGTTTAGTCAAATAGAGAAGCGGCAAGAACTCCACCTAAGCGACCAGCGTGTAATTGCAGGCTACGCGCATGATGCCGTAAGATTTGTGAGACTAGAGGCTCCCACTCGGGCTAGCATGGTGAGCGTCATTACTGCAACACAGACAATCCATGTGATTGACTTCATCAAAGGTGTTTCGGGCGTAAGTTGCTAAGTACTTTGGGCCTATCCTGGGCCCATCACTCTGTGTGCCGCACCTCACGCGCACGTCCAGCGTCATGGTCGCAGACAATGTGCTACCAACTACGATGAAGGCTGTTGTCGTCCAGGAGGCAAGTGCTCTTTACATATGCCTCGAACCGCAGCTAAGGCAAGCGACACCAACAGGGAAAGAAGGTTGCAGTGAAGGATCACCCCGTTCCATCTATCGGCGATGACGATATCCTTGTGAAGGTCGTAGCCGTAGCGCAGAACCCTGCCGATTGGAGATGTATGTTTTCGTCCTCGATTTGCGTATCTCGCCCTGAGCCTCTTCGCGTCGCCAGTCGTCGATGCGGTTCAGAATGTCGGCACAGTCATAGGCTGCGACTGGTCCGGGCACGTTGTGCAGAGGGGCAAGAACGTGACGACCCCAGACCTGGGTGCCCACGTCTCGGGCTTCGTGATGGGCGGGACCTTCGTCGACAGCGGCGCGTACGCAGAGTACGTCAAGACTCCCGCCGAACTCGCCTGGACCGTCCCAGAGGGGACTCTCAGCCACGAACAGGCGGCAACGGTCAGTGCAGGGTAAGTCATATGCGGATCGCGCGCCTTCATGCATACGATGATCATGCAAGTTCAGGCTCTTCACCGCGGCCCAATGCTTGTATCATCCTCAGCGTCTAGCCCTTGTCGAGCCTCCGGAGAAGGTCGAAGGCGTGGACTGGATATTGATCTACGGCGGGAGCTGTGAGTCGTGCCGCTATGTTCTCCTGGTACAACATTGACGATCCGCGGTTCAGCTTCGGTTGGTCAATACGCAATACAGCTTGCCCACCTTTCCGGATACAAAGTTATCACCACGGCGTCTCCCCGCAACTTTGACCTCGTCAAGTCTCTAGGAGCAGATACCGCGTTTGACTACAAGGACCCCGGCGTCGTCGAGGCCATCAAGAGTGCGACCGGAGATAGCTTACGACATGCAATCGACACGCAGAGCATCAAGGAGACGCAGGAGATATGTGCACGCGCCATGGGACCGCAGGGCGGAAAGCTCGTTCTGATGTTTCCACCAACGTTCAAGGCCAAGAAGCTCCGGAAAGACGTTGAGTTCATATGTACGTGTCATGATCGTTCGCGTGGCGCCTTCAGTTCTTCTCACATCCGGTTGCTCGTTCATCAACTAGCGACGATGATATACACCGCGCTGGGCCGTCCGTTCTCGCTAGGCCCGCAAGCGAAGTTCGCCGCTCAGCCAAAAGATCGAGCACAGATTGCCAATTTTATGTTGAAGACGCCCCAGCTCGTACGCGATGGCCTCATTGTGCCGAATCGCGTAAAACTGTGGGAGGGAGGCCTACAGGCGATACCGGAAGGGTTACAGTATATGCGGGAGGGGAAGGTCAGCGGAGAGAAAGTCGTGTACCGTGTATGATGGGAAAGATAAGGCAACAGAGTCATGACCGTGTACGTGTACTATGTTCTCGGACGTGCGACATCCATTTTTTTGTCCGCCACTGTCATTGGGATTCGGCACTACGCACTTAGTGGGATCGGATTACGACATGCAACGGTTTGCCGTAAATCGTCAACATAATTCAGTCATAGTTTACCGATGACCCATGATACTTCCTGCAGGTGTTGTGGTGTCGCAGTGGGTATGATCCGAATTTGCCTGGTTGATACTACTATGATCTGGCTACGTCTTGCAAGGCTATGGACAGGTACGCGGTCATTTACGATTCTGTCTGTTCAATTGGATGAAGCTGTTCGGGGCTCATGTCCGACGCATGTCCTGGACCTATACATGGGCAAATCGATCCAAGCCTTGCAAGCAGGGATATCGATGTGACGAGATGCCCTAGTATGATTGGAGGTGATTGAAGGCGACGAGGCAAAGCAAGCACTGACGCTCCCCGTTGGCTTTACAGGTAAAGTTCACAACATACCGTAGTTGGACACATGTTATCTCAGCACGAATGCATACTTTGTAGCACCTGTTGCACCGGCCAACGGAGTCCTGTTTTCACCGATGACTCCGGTATCGATTGCAGTAGCATTCGATGAATCGAATACACCCGTTTACCCGACAGCAGGTCCACGTATACTTGCCGCAATGTTCAAATTCGCGCAATCAGCTATCCACTGGATCCAGCGACATTGCGACAGGTTTACCGGTGATGGATCATGACTAGATGGACTGAGATAAAACACTGCTGTACCAGCCGCGTTCGCCAGTTAGCACGATTCAGCAGTTATAAGATCCGAGTGCACCCCAGACTCACCCATCGACTTCCAGCGACCCGGCCTTCGGAATTCGCATACAGGATAATGTATTGCTGCCACCGCGATATCAGTTGGAAGGGCAAACAGTAGAATCACCATTCTGACGTAGATGACTTCGCTGAGGATGGCTGCAATGCGGACCGGGTCACGGTATGCGCGGATTTTTCCATATCTGAAGTAGCGTCAGGAAGCCTGAAATGAGGATGTTCGAAAAAATTGCGGAGAACACAGTTAGAACTGGGTGGCCGAAGGAGCCCACTGTGGACGTGTATTGCATCCCTCGACTGGGGTCCCTTTAGCTTGAATGAAAATGAAGATGCGCTTATGATTCAGGGCCCGACAAGACGCACGGTGCTTGCTACGTACCCAGTATTCGGCCTCCGTGGATAGTCACTGAAGACGTATTCATGGCCGGCCGTATCAAGCGCGACGGGTGTCTCGGGGATCGGCTGCTATCCTTTGAATCTGCATCGTGTACGCGGAGCGTATCATTACGCACCACGTCTATACCACACAGGGTGCCAACAGAATTCGAGACAACGAGTTCGGAGGGCAGGCACCCGGGGCGTACACCCATTTGGCTTAGCAAACGGGCGCACGAAGCTGTCAACAAGCCACGCCACTAGGCATGTATCAGCACGTAAGTCCATTAGTACCGCTGATAAGATCATCTGTGTCTGTGTGTGGTCAGCGCCCCGCCGTTCGATTGAATGGTACTACGTATCAGAGCAAACCCCGAGGTCAGACGCCGCCTGCGGGAAGAGGTGACCAGCTGTAGTATAGTGTGCTGTCTGGAAGATTGCGTTCAACTTGAGAAGGGATGCACCTAGAATGCACTCTCAAGCGTCCGAGCGTCTCGAGCACCAAAAGGACCATCTGACTGTCACTCTGTTCAGGACATGTCCCCGACACCTCTATCCAACGATGGCTTTCGCGCCTCAGCAGACGATACAGGGGACCTGAAAATTGCCTCTTCCGAGGAACTAAGAGTGAGTAGAACATGCTAAGACATACGGGCCCTGACATGTGATGAAAGCTTACGCTTGAGGTACCGTTGAGGTATTGAGTCAGACAGCCCAATGTCTCGGAAGGGTCAGCGGTGCGATACAAAAGCAGAACTGACCCCAGTTTCTTCAACCGTCCGTCTGAGTTTCAAGTCTGACCATCAAGCTTGACGGTACCTGCGTCGGCGGTCAGTCTCAGATGTACAGCAACTAATGCGTGGACGTATGATGCACTCACCCGTCCTGATGCGCGGGGCGACCGGTAACGCGGCGTGGACGTTCTGGGTCCACAGCGAGGACATGATGTGTACTCGCTATCGTTCACCATCCCAGGTCAGACAATATTAATGTCCCATACTACCCGATAGCGCATGGACTCACCAGACCCAACGTCTCCTCATGCCAGAGCTGAGAGACGCATGCCCCTCGTCACCTTCCCCACGGCGTGCGACTGCACAACCGCACCCCCGTGCATCGTACCATCGCTAATTGGATGGCTAGTAGAATGAATACGTGCGAGTCGTGCAACGTATCGTGCCCGTCTCGCGTGCTGTTCAACTCGATCCTTCGGCCAACGCGATACACTGTTGGTCGATGATTGTCTAAGATGGACTGTACATGCGCGGCCCATTCATGCTCAAGTCTATAATAGTTCTCGTCAGTAGTGCAAGATGCAGTACTGGGTCCACGTACCGTGATGGATTTGGGGTCAAGCCATCGTGGCTATCGGTATCTGTGCTGCGAACTAGATCACAAGGCCTATGTGGTTCCCGCCCAGTAGTATGTATCCCGTAGTAGCTTGCGCACGTACATCAATCGACATTCGGGAGGATGCAATTTCAAAGAGACAGTGTTACATTGATTGTGCGTCGGAGGGGGAAGGACTTCAAGGAGCGTGGAGGAGGATGATGGAGGACTGGAGGCCAGGGCCGTGGCTGCATACAATTTCCATACTTGGTAACTTGTCGTCGGGCCGTCGGGTCGGGGAGGTGTGGCGCGCTGAATCTGACGACGGCAAGACGCGTCCGAGCGGGCCGTCGAGTCGCCCATGGCTGTCGGTCGGTGGCTAAATGGATCCCTCCTCCTCCTCCTCCTCCTCCTCTCTACTTGTGGGTCTGCCGGCTGGTCTGTCTGCTTGATTATATTCTGGATTGTACGCACCACGTCACTGCGTAACTGTCAGCACATTGTTTCGCCGTTTCCCATGCTTGGTGACCTCCGCATACCTCCGCATCCACCGTCGAGCGCAAGAATCGGTCCTAGGCTCGCAGAGCCCGTTCAACGATGCAGCTTCCGAGAGCCTTGACGTTCATACACAGTACGCTTTTCCCGGGAGACGTCGCGAGGAGTAGTTCTGAGGACGAGGCTGGTGGGTAGCGTTCGGATGCGACTGGTATCTCTCAACAAGCTGACAGATAATGTCATTCTTGACAGCGGGCGTCCTCATTGGCCCACCTGTGCGCACACTGTCTTCAACGTGAACTGCCTTCGAGTCCTCGTCGCACACGCAGGACACTCAGCTTGCATCTCGCTTTCTCCCTAATACCCTAGGCCTCCATGTCGACTGATACGAGCCGGCTTCGACTGATGGTCCGATGACTCCGATCCCACCGTACTACTAGTAGTTGGACGGAGGTTCAGCTGCAACTTCAGCTTCACATATCGTGCGTACTCGTGTTGCACCCTGTTTTTCTCCGACCACTCTAGGAGGAGGAGGAGGAGGAGGGGATTCCATTTAGTCACAATCGCGCGCCGTAGGGCTCGCCACGCGTGACAGCGCTCTCCTAGGGACCTCTGATGAGCTCGATCATCGAATTTGCATCGAACGAACGTATGTAAATCATTCTGCCTGCCTGCCGTTTTCCATTTCGACTCATCGAATCGATACGATGCCCACGGCCTCTCCGCAGCCACAGAAGACTATGTAGACCCTAGCCTCCCAGAGTGCCTTGGGTCAAACATCGAGTGTCTTCATACATACGAGGAGAACGTGATGCAGAGACTTGTAACAGAGCTCAGGGTATGATTTACGGTGATCGAAGTGGATAGGGAGGTCAATCCGTGTACGTTCTCCGCTACTTGCCTGGCTGGCGCACGCTCACTGCGCGATCCAGGGTGTCGTCTCCAACCAGTAGGACTCCCACAGGCCTCGTGTCACGGCCGTAGCCGACGACCTTGGGCATAGAATTCACTGCGAGTCATGCAGGCGCCGGAACGTCCCAAGTCAATCCCACCACGCGTATGTACTCAAAAGTGTCCTACTCCGGGCGGCGCGGTGAGTCTCAGTCCTCACTCGAACACCGTCTATCCGCTTTTTCTATTGTGTTGTATCGGAATATGCGCGTTGTCCAGCGAAGTGTGACGTCCTCTGCCTCCTGCGTCCAGGTCGACCCGTCCTTCGGCAATCTATCTAGGTTCAGTATCGCTTCTCTCTAACCCGAATGTATAAACACTAAACTCATATGTTTGTCTGACATTGATGCTATGCCGATTGTCACAAAATACACACGACAGATCGACTTCAAGACAGTGCGTGTCCAAGGTTTTCCTGCCCCTGCCTCGCAGGTACGACATCCACGACGCGTCGGCTACTGCCATGCCACACCTACTATGGGATCTTTTTCAGGCAAGGTCGTCACCGGCTCTGCAAGGTAGGTCGAGTTTCGGGCGATCGAAGTAGCAGTTGTATACTAACGACTCGCCCTATAGGTTCGATATTGGTGCCAGATAGTTGTCCGAGCTGCAGGGTCGAAGGATGTGAAGAGCCGGGCACCATGGTGTTGTCGCGCGTAGTACGTCTTGTTCCGCATACTCTGGTGTCCGCGCCTGGCTGGCAATGGTTTTGCCTTGGTCTACAAACGGCACCACAGGCTCGTTGACATGAGACGACCGCCTTGCTGGCACCTGGCATTTCCGGACTCACGCTCTCTCCAGAAACCCAATATCGCCGCCGCACGGCAGCCGTCGCTCATCGCAAGCATAGCCAATGGCAGCGCCCGAACAAAAGCAAGCCCGAACGTCGGCGGCGCGGACAACGTACACACAACGCTGGCAAAACTGAATGTTCCCGGAGGGAGTCGAGCCCTCGTCTCCACGGTTTTGCGTCCTCCCGCTCGAGGACACCACAACGTGATGATCTGACCACTAATCGACGGGAACCGTTGCAGAAACCCGTCTTGTCCCCGGGATATGGGGGTGTGCCGAGCGCCCTTGGTGATGCGGGCACAGGTTGCGGCCGGTCGGCATCTATTCCCCTTCCGGGGACGTTGATTGCTCTCGACAGTCGCGGTGCGGTGCGTTGTTGGAGGTGTCTTAAATGGTTGGGACGCGCCGTGGCTGACTGTTCGAGAAATGCAGGCGACAGAGGCGCGGCTTGGAGATGTGTTGTTTCGGAGGCGCCCACCATCTCACGTGTGTTCAACTCCAAGTCTGTATCCGTTAACTGACATAGGACAATGCCTTATTGATGCATGAAAGAAAGCCACACATTTCAGTTCCGAGCAGCAACTGAGCCTCTGGACAATAAGAAATGTACGATGATCAAGTGCGATGGAAGTCTCGTCCCATTACAGCTCCAAGTCTCACAGGCAATGTTCCAGCATACAAGTCTAAGGATGACACTTACCTTGATGCACGGTACGTACAATCATAGTCTCGAACCCGTTGTAGTCTACCTGGGCTTACATCTGCTCATCAGACCCTTGTGTAGAGGGAGTCAACTCCGTCGCAGCACCCAGACTCCTCCGCCGTCTCGACAACCGTATCGTAAAAAAATACGTGTTTCCGGAGGGAGTCGAGCCCTCGTCTCCACGGTCTTGTCCTTCCTACTGACGGAACCACAACGTGATGATCTGACCACTAATCGACGGAAACATTGCCAGAACTCGTTTCAACCCCAACATATGAAGGTGCGCCGAGCGCCCTTCCTGATCGGCGCCCACAGCTTCCTGTTGATGCCCGGCCGGGAGGCTCTACTAGTATCAAGCTGCCGTATGGTCTCCGACACGGAGCATGAGGGAAGGCGGTAGCAATTTTTTGGACTTCCCTCTAGAGACTGAAACGATTCGCAGCGGGAGCCTCACCGGGAATCGGTATAAGCGCCAGCCGAGGCATCCTCTCAGTTCACAGTGAGTTTTTCTGTAGCTGCATGAGTATTTGCTGTGCCAATCAGCCATGCAAATGATTTGACGAACGCAGGGATCAAATTTGATAGATGAAGTCGGACTTGGGCTTGGAAGGACGGTGCTCAGAGAAAATGTCTGGCATGCGTACAGACGGCTCGACCTATCAAGCGATGCTCGAGAAGCATACAAAAACAAAACATAAGAGGTATGTGAAGCTCTCGGCATGCGACTCTGTGGATGGGCTTGACCGTCATAGCGGGGCCATGGGAGGTTGGTTCAGTGGGTTCCTTCATGAATAAATCGGCCGTAGCCTGACAGACTGCTATCCTGAATGTTCGTCGATAATTTAGGCCACATCGAGCCACCTTGACGGTGACTGAAGTTCATACCCTTGTTCGCACCGAGCTGTTCGGATACTTATGGAGGGGAATCCTGGAAGGCGGCATGGACGTCTCGCATCTCCAGGGACTCGCTCGTTCGAATGTGTTCATTTTCTCGACTTCCTTAATCTGGCTCCCTATTGCCAGACTATTTCCGCACCTGCGACGCCTAGACATCGCCGTGATGTGCGCCGCCAATGCCTCCGAGACCCGTGAGCGTAGCGGTTGCCCGGCGCAGGAGCTTCAGCTCGTAGAACTGCGACCTAACTATTTTTCATAGTTGACGGCGACGCTACGCTGTACTTGCACCGTCGATTGGGAGATCTGTTCATGCCCCGGTCACAAATTTTCGGCGCTCTCTCGATGCCTGCGTTTGCCAGAGCTATAGCCTGGCTATAGGAACCTCAACGATCCCACCGTCCTACTCCCGACTCGTGCGCGTCACGCTCGCCAGCATCTCCAGATCTAATGGTTCCTACCCGTCATATTTCCTAGTCTAAATACTCGGCAGTAAGTTATATGCGTCCTAACTGACAACAGAGCAGGCGGCCGTCTTCCTGTCTATCACTTAAGCCTTTTCATTGGATTTTCTTCAGTGTCTGCGAGGGCGTAGCCCTGAGTAGGTAAAGTACGGGAGCGAGAATATGTACAGTGGAGTGGGTAAACAGCGTAGTCTAGTATGTGTAGGGTCAACAGTGGTCTACTATGGAGGTCTTTCCCATGCGGTCCCAGTGCGTTGCTATCTATGTCATAGACTCCCCCCCCCATGAGACAGCGCACTTCTGATTCGACGTCAGGTCTGAACGTTGAACGAGTGATTTTTGGCTCGGAGCGACGTGTGGGTGCTGCGCGCGGGACTGTTTATTCTGGCAATCTTCCGGCCGTCCTGCCAGTGTGCCTCCGGCTCCTGCCCAAACATGATCTTGACAGCGACCAGGCACGGCTGCACGGAATCAAATCGGCGTTTCTCCTAGGTTTACCCGTTGGATGCGGCTTTGCAAGCGGCTTGTGGGCGAGACATAACGCCGACGCCAACGCACGGTGACGATGCGGCCAAGACGGACTACAGTACTACCCTGCGTGAGCCTAGGCCCATCTGCGACGGTGAATCTGCCTGAGTACTGCAGGCTATATCGTCTATTGCTACTGTACGATGCATGTATTAATAATAACAGCTGATACTCAATACTCAGTACTGTGCCCCTTGCGCGGTGTGGCTCGCGTTCAAACTGCCAGCCTGAGTGATATGGACAATCTGAACAGCGTGGACAGAGCGTAGAAGAGGTTTCAGCATGCGATCGGTAATAAGCGCGAATCAAGGGTTCGCGGGTGTATGGATCACGTGGCAATTGGAAGCCGCGGGATAATGGTCCTGGATCCTGGTCTTGGCCGTGCATGAACCGCGGTAGACTGCAGCCAGAATCTCTGTGAGTGTGATACATAGTTCATATGCAGGACTGCGTTGATGCGTCTTATGCATGGTCTGGCACCTCCTAACGCAAGTTTTGCAGAGGGGCTCCAGAGACCAACGTTGCCGGTGCGTTACGTTCAACTCAACGGTGCCACGGCCTCCATTTAGTCACACAGGCTTCGCCAGATCCTTCTGAACGGGAATCTGGTGGGAGTCAAATGCCGGTCACATCGCGGTGTCTTTACGTTGAGCGGAAAGTGACCGGGCAACAAGGTGTCGATAATATATCGTGTAGAAGTGAAGTAGGCGGGCATTCGCGCTGTTCAATATTCAATGCCTGCCAATGATCATGAAGCTGACCCTCGGAGGGCGAAGTAAGTATAATGACGGAGCCACCGATTCAATTCCCGTCATAACTCAGAAGCATACTGAATCAGGGTCATCGTCTTCCGACAATTTAATCTTCTAAGTTTAGAGCGCTCCGTCCGAATCTCAATATCATTCAATCAACTCCGTGGGCCGACACACTTCTTCTACATACGCGACACGCTTCTCGGACCCGATAGCCTTGCGAGCCCTTCTTACACGGTCGACGTCGAGTGGACCTCTTAAACCAACAGAGAGATGCCCCAACCCCTGGAGCGGGTAACTCATCTGTCGTTGCTGGACACCCATGGCAGGCCTTGATCTCCACCTGGACCCCAGCGTAGGATGCTTTTTCATCGGCATACTTTTCTCGGTAATGTTAAGTCGTCTGTTCTCGTTAGGATGGTGTCGTGTTCTGACTGAATCTGTTGACCACAGCTTCTACGGCGTAACATGTGCGCAAGTACTATTCTACCTCTGGGAATATTCGATGGATAGATGGTGGATGAAGAGTGTGGTACGTGCGCTATCTCAGGCTGTCGTTTCGTAACGTATAAATAATCTTTTGGCCAGGTCGCTCTCCTGTTGTTCGTACTCCATGAGCTTTGACGCTAGCATCAGCGCTGAACGTACTGTGTAGTGTCCTGGATACGGCGGCGACTGTGGCCGACTTGGATGTGCGTTCTCTCCTCTACCGTACCAAGGCACAATTTCTCAATGATCACAGATACTCTGGGGATACATCGTAATCAATCACGGCAACCCTCTGGGCCTAACTGTCCTGACAAAGTATGTCGTGTGGTCTATATGACAAGAGGATCGTTCTGACTCTCTATCACCAATAGCTCGTTTCTTGTATGTGTCGTTCAACTCCTGTCCGTTAATATCACTGACACATGCACATTTTGAAGGTAGAATATGCTGTTTCTGTGAGAGTATCTTACTTTCTACCGCAAAACGGAGCGCTCATGCTTTGTGAAGGCTGCCACTGTCCTTTTCGTACAATGGTTCTTCTTTCGTCTTGAGTGTCACAGCAGTCTCACTGAACAGATTAACCCAGCTACTACATGCGCAACGTCTGGCAATGTGAGTGTATTGTACCTGCGACTACATCACATAATAACAATCACGCTGGTTGTAGTCCTCCACGAACGTTGGTACCGGGTACCGCTCACCATCATTGCTGTACGTACTATGTATCGATATGCACTTCTCAAGACGACTGAATGCCTTGGCTAGTTGATTCTAGCTCTCATTTCATGTGGTGAGTCCGTAGGTACTCACTTCGTTGACGTTGTTGACCTTACCGCTCGGATAGCATGTAGCCTTGGTGCGATTTGATCCCCAAGTTCCGGATGCTGATTCATCTGCTAACACTCAATTGATTAGCTAGCGTTTATTTAGGGTGCGGAGGTCCATTCATTAACGTGTGTTGTCGACTGACGTAGGTCGTATAGAACATTGATCGGGAAGTCCCAGGCATCTTTGATAAGACCAAGGTAAAAGGGGCATTGGATATCTTAGTCTATACGTTCTCTCATCGTCAGTCTCCTGGTTATAGATCCCTGCGTCGCTTCAGACCGTAGCTGCCTCTGTCGCGGATATCTACATCACGACGTCGCTGACGTTCATCCTTCGCGGAGAGCGAACCGGATTCAAGCAGTACGTACACTGTGCCCTATGGTCAGACGACGCACTGAAGGGAATGTAGCACGGAAACTCTGATACGCAAGCTGACTACGTACGCCATCAATCGCGGTGCTCTGACGACGTGAGCCGAATCTAGTTGTCTATCGACATGCGTTGTCCTGACTAGCTTGATGTAGTGCGCTCCAGATTGGCCAGTTCTTTACGGTGAGAACTGTCCTCACTGCAAAATGCACCGCAGTAGTGACGCAACTGTTCTCAGTATGTGCTCCTCCCTGAGACATCATTCGTCTGGGCCATTTTCCACTTCGTCGGTTGTAAGGGTGCGTCGCACGAGGCCGCACATATGCAGCCACCTATCTCTGATCATCTGTGTCTCGCTCACAGCCTATGTCAACTCGCTCCTAGCAATGTTGGTGTCACTGTTCTTAATTGTAAATGCATTTACTGAACTCATGCAGCCTCAATGCCCGCCACTACTTGCGTACGCAGGGCTCATCCCGAGGTAACGCCAGCGCCGTCTCTGCGCAAGACATCAACCTCGAAAGTCTATCTCGGCAGACTGGGCAGGACACGAAGAATGCATGGCAGAGGTCAGCTCGTTGCTATCAGAGATCAAAGAACTTTGATACAACGGTGAATCCAACAGGACGCATCATCTAGGCCAGAAGAGCGTACCGACACCGGCTGTGATAAAGTTAACCACAACTACAGAAATCATTGGTGACGATGGCAAAGCCTTGCTGGAGGAAAGTCGAACCAACAGCAGTCAGGCGTAGACGTGGACTCCGTGTGGTAGACCCCACGCGGTCCTATGTTCTGATGGTGTCTTGGTCCATTCGATGCAGAGAATATATTGGGTTAGTATGCGAGTCGTAGAGCTGTTCAATCGTGATAATGAGTTTTTCGCCGAATGGAAATCCCGAGCGGGTGCTGTCATTATACGATGGGAGTACACCCGATAGGCTCTCGTTTACCGACATCTTCAACAACAAACTGAGTTATGCGACCATGTGCATCCGCTCCAGTAAGGATAGTTGGTGCAACTGCCCTCCGAGCCTCGCTATATATACCCTTGTACTGAAGGTACTGAAGCCCTGTGCCATGTTGTCGACGTTCCGCCACTTCAACTTGTACATGTTGCTCAAGTGTCGGTAAGGTACGTACGGCATAGCCGCCGGCTTGCGCTCAGTCGAACGTACGATACCCATGTCGGAAGCACACATCAAGTCCCGACACAGAATGACGACGCAGCTGTCTGAAGAATAAGCACACGACTGATGCCTCGTAGTACTGCGGCAAGAGTCATGCCTAAATGCATTTCCAAGCTCTTGTGAGTCTGCTATGGCAGGAAGCTCATCAGGTATACGCAGGGACGCGAACGCGATTGTGAAGAGATGCGCTAATCTCCTCCATTGCGCTGTATTTTAGTCGGTGTACCAGTTGTGTCTCAGACCTGACGGTGAATACCGATGGTAGACCGCGATTCCACCCCAAGCAGCGTAGCGCAGTAGATTTGGCCGCGGCCGGGAGGTCCCCTATTCGAACAGAGACCAGATCAGCTGTACCGTTGGAACAGACAGTCTCGCATTTGACAGCTTATAAAGCGGCCTCCGTGACAAAGTATGTAAATGATTGGTGCCGAACGTGAGGTGCGTCGCCTGAAGAGCTCACAATATGTCGATGTCGTCACCAGGAAACGTCGTAGGGGCCCAGAAAGATCGGACAGCGCTGCGAAACAAGACTACATAGCTGGACAGGTACGTGCGTGTGCTGTCAATATGGTCCGATTGCCCTTGTAGTTCCGGTGGGTAGCAGTTCTTCAGGCTCACCTAGTTCAAGGGCGGTAGAGACAATTGGCTTGTGGATGGAAAAGCAGCGCATGCTCTTTCGCGCCGAAGGGATCATGTTCATAGCAGACGGTCTTGTCAAGCGCATAAACCGAGATAGGCTGTACGGCGACGCATCCTCAGAGCAGCAGATTGAGGGACTGAGAAATGCAAAGCATGTACGGCTTACCTCACAGTGTGCCACATGCTCAACTCATTATGTCGCCCGCCTCCCCGCTTGGCCGGCAGAGCACCGCCTTCTGGCACTTACGATTAAACGACGCTTTGAGCCCATATTTTCCTGCGGAAAGCTGAGAAAACGGGCGCACGACACGGGATCCCACTCATGTCACTGGTAAATTCACCTAACCTGGCAACTTGCTACTCCAAGCACCTCATTCTCCCATGCGGCAGCGTAAGTACTAGGTGATTCGTTCCTTCTATAAGACTCCCCTGCGGACAGAGTGCGTTGAGGCTAATCCATAGGACATTCTGAGTATAAAGCTTAGGAGACCGCGCAGCCTGCGTGTTCAACTTCAAGTTGCAACGTTGAGGCCGAAGCCTTGAGGCGGGGCTGCTGGCGACACGGTCACGTGGCTCTGTGACGGACGCGTTACGGACGCGCTTTCGGTACACCGGTGGCAACTCAGTCAGGTACCATGAGGAATGTGACTGAGGTGTCCTAGGGCTGTCAAATTAGCGACCCAGCGAGGGATTACACATAAAAATTCCCAAGAACACGCAAGTCGCGGTTCGAGTCGCAGAGGAAGTCAAGAGCAAGCCGTCGGACGGCTGAGTCCGATAGATATGAATTGTATCGGACACCGTGAAGCAGCCACTTTTATGGTTGAATACATATGCCATCGGATGCTCAAAAGCCTGATTCAATCCATTGTCGCCGACCTTAGGACTTCCAATATTACTCAAACAATGCATATCGACCTTCATCAATTACGTCGTATCCCAGTCGTCTATATGTACCAACGTTAACTCCCTACCAATCAAACGTCTACTAGCCAACAGCAGCATATTCATGAACCTTCGTCTCCTGCGTGGTCAGACCAAGGTCAGACACTGGGTCATGGTACGGGGGCGTCCACATGAATGTGCAGCGTGCGGAATCAAACAAACGAGTGGATCTATTCGCGCACGGGTGAATCACTACACGACCATACCCGCCTTGATGTCGTCTGACGTATGCTCTTGTCCTTGCATATCGGACATCTCGTGCGTCTCCACATTGACCCTGATCTGTCGGGTTTGTCAGTCGGATCCTCGTGGCGTACAGGACATCGCCGCGCGAGCGCCTTACCTGCGTCTGGTTGCCACGCGTCTTGTCCACGGAAGTCGCAAGAATTCCAGTGATGTCCGGCTGGGAGCACGTTAGTAAGCATGGGCGTACGTCACGAGCTGGAAAGGTAACTGACTCTTCCGCCCTGGTTGAACCTGATCGGAGGATCACTCTGGTACGCCGTGGCCGGGCCATCTGAGATGGTCATGAAGATGGCCCTCGCGTTCAGAGTCGACATCACGGAGTTGCCGTACCTGGCGACATGATGTTAGCAACGATTATGTCGCCCGTTCCATATAACAGATGCGACAAACTTACAACTTGCATAGTGGGAAATTGAAGACTGCAGAGGCGTCAGCATATCAGAGGATAGAACGACATCAATACTGACTCAGGTGGTAGGCCTCGTCCTAATCAAAGAGGAGTCAGACGCGGTGCACCGAAGTAGTAAGGACGATGACGTACAGTAGCGAAGTAGCAGATCAAATCACCAATGGCGAAGGTAGCCGTCAGCAAGCCGTTGGACACGATGACTACAGATACGATCATGACAAGAACTACCGATGGCGAACAAAATTTCTTACGGTGCATAACTTTCGTGACAATACCGTCTGTCTTGGAGTACCCGCCAAGATGCTTATGCTGAAGGTTCCAAGCGTGAGCCATATACTTCGTCACACAGTGATGATGTGTACTTGCCAGGTACCAGGTGAGACAGACAGTAATGATGATGTCGCTGATGCCTTCCCCCAGAAGCCAACAGATGATGATCGACTACACAGAGCGTCAGTATAAGGAGGCCAGGCGGGAGTGACTGTAGACATTCCTTGAGATGAATAAACCCAAGGAACTCCGGACGCATACCAATAGCTATTGCGGTGCCGATACCGGAAACTGCGAACGAAGCCATGATTGTCAATGCGCGGCTTGGAGCGGAAGGCAACGTTCGAGTCCGAAAAAGAAGACTTACGGCCGCCGACAGTCGCCGTGACGGCGACGATGGCAACAAGCCATCGGTTCCCGATCAGTTTCCAGATACGCCAGGCGTAGAACATCTGGACTTGAAAGGATACGATGCCCTGCGGAACCTTCAGCGTCAGCCTTAATGGTAATCACGAGGTCTGGTCGACGTACGGTGAAGGCTTGCTCTATGTTGGTCATTCGGCTCGTCATTATCGCCCATTCCGTTGACAGGGTTCATCTTACCTGTCTCAAACACTAGAGATAAGAGCGAAGGCATTAGAATCAACTTCAGGGCTGGTACATTATGACCCAGCACTTACACCAGTCGCCTATACCAAGAACCGCGTCATTGCCTACATTTCGGAACACTAAGGTCAGCACTTTCGACACCGGAACTATGCGAAGCCATACCGAAGTTGTTGATCAAAACTCGGTAGATCCACGCGCAAATGAAGACCGCGTTGAGGGTGTCCGCTGTGACGAGAAAAGCGACCTGTCCAGGTTCATTCAGCACAATGGAAGATAACTGGTGCGTATACCACCCACGTAGGCCTTGATCCACTTCGGGTCTCTATCGGTGCCCGCATCAGTGATCAGTGTATCTGACTACATCAGCTCGAAAGCGCCTACTTCTGGTAGTTCGTGAAGTAAAAGACCGACTGCGAGATCATTACTCCGTACAGACTGAGAGAGCGTCAACGATGCTCTACATGCATAGTAAAATCCCGCACGTAAGATTCAAGAAAACCCCTATGAGGGCGGGGCCCTCCCTACATCGCGGAGACGCAAGTCAGATTATCGAGTATACGACAGATGAACGAATGACTTACGTAGACTCTGCGAGTTTCTCTTCTGCAGTCGCCATGCCGGATGGTGGAAAAAGGAGCGAATAGACCGAGGGTATATCCCATCAGCCGGGATGCTTTAAGAGAGCTGTCTCAGACGTAAAAGGAGATGCCCGTCTTCAATAGGATTGAGTTCGTGCGTCGATTCGTTCACAGCCTTACCAGATGACGGCTTCTGCGCGAAGCCAGCGCGACGAGGGAGCTACTTACGATTGGTAGGTAGTTAATTCGGCTGCTTATTGCGGCGTTGCTAGCCATACCTGAACGCTCAGCGCTCAGGGCTGGGATCCAATTCTGATCGCGGCCGCGTCGGATGATGCGCTAAGTCACATCGTGTCTTCTCAACTCACTGGCAAAGGAAGGGGTCTCGCGACCAATCGTCGATCCCCGCAGTGGCCCGTTTTCCGTCAAACACGGCGATGAGAGATTCGCTTGGTCCCTTCAGGGAGCTTGAAGAATGGGGAATGTGGATGGAACGCAGCCGAAAACTCCGAGTCGCCTGTCGGCTGGGCTCCGGCGTATGCCGTACGGTCACGGAAGTCATTTCTCGTAAGTCTGATCGGTGTCCTGGACACCACTTCCACCTTATGGTTTCAGGCGAACCTAATTGACATGCGATCAGTGCATTTTGGCCACGACCATGAGGAAAGGCCGTGCACGCCCCTCTCCATAACATGACTGGCGCTGCTGTGGGCTCGAAGACTGGCCACCGGCCAGCACGTCGAGGGCCGGTTGTGGTATTCCTGCATAGGCCTCCCGCGAGGAGGCAGGAAAAAAGGTCAATGGGACGGTGACCCGATGCTGTGCTACAGATGCGGCACGTACTAGTACCTCTCGAGAACAACAGCGTCAAATTGATATTGCAATTATCGCGGCATTTGGGGCGGCCGGCAGTCAGGCTGCCAGTAGGCTGCCGTCACGTACGCATGGGCCTTTGCACTGTGCAGTCTGATGGACGGAGTCCGAGTCCGGTCACAGCGGGCCTGGGTCGGCTCCTCGTGTTCCAGTCATGGTATGCGGAGGGTTTCTAGGAGGTCACCGCACGTGCGGAGGATCCCCAGATTCAGCGGAAGCAACACGGGTGATGGCTTTAGGCGAGAGCGGAAAGAGCCGGGTGGGGCACCCCTTGATGCGGGGTAATGGGCGCTTGCTGCCTTCTTGCGGAGGCATAGCGAGGTCGCGATCGCTGCGCAGTCGCTATGCGCGAGCGTGCCACGGCAGCCCGTGGTCAGGCCGTATACGTATCTGACACGCAGGCAGCCGCAGCCTGAGGATACCTGCCCCCATCTGATCACGTCCTCGGCGAATGGTACGAACCTCTCGTCGAAGCGACGCTTTTGTCCTGGTCCATGCCGAACAATGCAGGTCACGCTCACTGACCGGGACATCCCATTCTGGGATCGCCAATACTACAGGCTCTACCTACTCAGGCCCTAGATTCCGAGCCTGAGACTCAACGGGGCCCATCGAATTACGACCGCTATACGATGTAAATGGCATCAATCGGAATCAGGGGTACGTGAAAATTTCAAAGTCTTCATCGTTACAGCTGTTCCCAAATCGATAGGCCTCCGCACCCAGAGTCACACAGCCTGAGAATCGAAGTATTCCGGCACGGTGTGTTCCATCAAATTCAGCAGTGTCAAGGGCCAGCCGTCCCCAGTCATCCCGTGTGGCTCATATAGGACGGCAGAGGCAAGGCAGAGGGTCACCTGAAGTCAAGAACGTCTGTGTAGAGTTCTCCGGGCGAGAGCCTATCGTTTCGCAAACAGCTGTTACAGTAAGCGCATCCCATCTATCGGCGGCACTTTACCCAGAAGCAGAAGAAACCCCCGTATTATTCAATGGATGGTTGATACGCGCCGACATGTGCTCACCTTCCTATAGAAGTACAGATGCGGCCGTGGCTTCTCGCTAGACAAATCGGATACCGCTGAAGATCTTCTGGACCTACAGCAGGACCTGAATATAGCCATCTTCTCAGGCTAACACAAATTTTGCCGGGGGAAGGCACATTCACCTGGACTTGTAAACGATTCCGATTGTACGACAGACGACGTGATAAGAATGATGTTGTCCATACTTATAGACGGCTGCATTCTCGTGCCATCGATCCAAGCTCCTTCTCGTGGGCCATCGTACTCTGAACTTACCCATCGAAATGGTCTCCGAGGTTAGCAGCGTCGCTGGCAAGGCATACGACTACGTCGTTATTGGTGGTGGGGTGAGTGACGTACTGAGGCACTTTGAAACACCCCACTGACTCTATTGGTCGAAGACGGCAGGGTTGACCGCAGCCTCTCGACTCGTCGAAGGCTTCCCAGACCGCTCTGTTCTTGTCTTGGAGGCTGGCCTACCGAACCTCGACGACCCGAGAATTCTGCTCGGAGGCCAGTTCGGCGGCACCTTTGGAGATCCCAAAGTTCGTGCATGTCGGCTGAAAATGCGCGCTCAGCTAACGCGTCTTCACAGTATGACTGGATCTTCACGACAAAGCCGCAAAAGCATTCCCTTGACAAGGTCATGACATGGAATCGCGGGAAGGGTCTCGGTGAGTGGCTGGCGCGTGAAGCCTCCGAGAAACTTGCCTGAGACGGAAACGTATGCTAGGTGGTAGCTCCGCCATGAACTTCTACGTGTGGACGAAGCCGCCCAGGGAAGCTATGGACGCCATCGAGGAGCTTGGAAACCCTGGATGGAACTGGAAAGCGTACCAGGAGTTGACGATGCGCACCGAAGAGTGCGTGCTGCCCTCCATGAGTTTCGTACACCTCTGATGTCGTACGCGCAGCTTCTCGGAGGCGACCGCAGACCAGCTCAAAGAGCTCGTCCACACTCACAACGCCGAGTACCGCGGCAAAGGAGGCCCACTCAAAACGACGGTCCCCGCAACCGCCGTCTCGCTCACGAAGGGCTTCCTGGACACGCTTCAGAACATGGGCGTGCCGCTTCTAGATGATCCCTACGGCGGCAATGTAGGTGTCAGTGCGCCTCGCCGTTGACAGGCTCATCATTCCTTCTTCTCCCACGTGCAGATCACTGGATGCTGGCAGGCGTCAGTAAGTCTGGACCGCACGACGGAGTGGACGCGCTCGTACGCCGCGACGGCGCACTATCTTCCGAACAAGGACAAGCCCAACTTCACGGTACGGACTCGCCTGTGCGCGCCCGAACGTCGAACCCCGTTAAACTCGCTTCATCCAGGTCTTGACTGAGGCCCACGTTGCGCGATTCTGTTCGATGGCAAGGCATCTAGCGATGGTGTCACTGCGACTGGCGTGGAGTTCATCCACGACGGCAAGACGTACAGCGTCAAGGTTAACAAGGAGGTCGTTGTCTCCGCGGGGTGTGTTGCAATCTCGGAGGTTGTTGTTTGTGCTCAATCGTCTTGCCTTGTAGCACAATCAAGTCCTCGCATATCCTTGAGCTCTCGGGCATCGGCCGTCGGGACGTACTCGAGAAGGCTGGCATCCCTGTCAAGGTGGAGCTGCCAGGCGTCGGCGAGAATGTCCAAGACCACACGCTCTGCGGTGAGACTCATACGGCGACGTACGTACGAACAGAACACTGAGCGATCTTCCTCTTCAGGCATCTCCTACGACTCGACCCTAAAGGTGGACACAAACGTTTGACGTCTGCGCGACGCCAAGATTGCGGCAGAGCAGGCGAAGCTCCAGTGCGTCCTCTGTACCTCCACGTCGATTCGACCTAACCAGACCCTAGGAAGCAGGCGTTGACAACCTGCACCGTACGGCATCTCGCGTACTGCTTCCTCCCCATCCAGAAATGAACCCGAACGGCGCGCCCGAATCGTCGCGGGCGCGACCAAGCTGATCGAGGAGCAGATCAAGAGCGGCAAGCTCCCTCCGGGGCTCGCGAGCAGTACAAGATCCAGCTGCGCATCCTCCAGGACGCCCATGCACCGGATTTGGAGGTCATCGACATGAACTGCTACCTGAGCCACGGAGTGAGTAAGATGATGTCACGGAAGATGTTGTGCTGATGTATACTCTCGTTACGTACAGCCGCGCCTGAGGATGGCAAGCCCTATGTACGGCGGCTGTGCTTTAGGATGTCGAGAGTAGTCTGCTGATGGGGCTTTTGCAGCTCACCGTCCTCGCCGTCCTTCAGAATCCATTCTCGAGGTTAGTCCCGCTTGCATGTCCAAGGAACAATCGACTGACCCTCATTGAATAGGGGAAGCATTGTACGTATCATGACCTCACCACAGCTGTCAAGTCACTCATTCCCGTACCTCCACAGCACACGAAGTCGAGCGACCCCCTCGAGCAGCCTGAGATTGATGCCGCTCTGTTCGAGAACCCATACGGTGCGGAGCATTATAGCCGCCTTTCCGACGCCTGCTCACAACAACTGTCCCGCAGATCTCGAGATGCTGAAGGAGAGCGTCAAATACACGAAGCGCATGTCCGAGACCGAGCCGTTCAAGTCGCTCGTCGTCCGCGAGGTCGACCCAGGCAAAGAGAACTCCACCGACGAGGAGATCAAAGGTCTGTCCTAATGGGTCTGTTCTGTGTGACTTTGACTGAGCGACATGACTCGTCCTCCTCCCACAGAGTACCTCAAACGCTACGCGCACACGTGCTGGCACGCCATCGGCAGCAACAGTATGCTGCCGCGTGACAAGAACGGCGTCGTCGACCCGCAGTTGAAGGTCCGTCGTTCGACGACGCGTTCGCTTGATTCGGCTTGCTCACCGTCGGATAGGTGTACGGCACGACGAACGTCCGCGTCGCAGACTTGTCGATCTACCCTCTCCACTTCGCGTCCCATACGCAATCCGCAGCATACTACGTTGGCGAGAAGGGTAAGTCCCACCTTGACAAACCAGTGTCCGGCCTCTGATACCTCTTATCTAGTGGCGGACATCCTCAAGAGCGCGTAAACGCTTGGTTCCCAACGCCCCGGGTCTGCTTCTCCTGTCTCGTGCAATAGACATCCCGTATCAGGCAACGTGAAAGAGCTGCGGGCAGCCGTCACTGTATTAGTACCAGCGTCTTGAGGCCTGAGCTTTAACATGTGTAAACGTACATAGGAAGCATGCAATCTGTCGAATCAAACTGACTACTAGGATCAGTGGTATTCGTTGGTGACGGTTGGTCTATGAAGGCTGTTGTCCGTCGTCCGTCAATGGGCAGCCACTGATGCTTAGTAGGTCCAGCCGTCATTCGACACTAGTACTGCGATGTGGCTAGCCCGGCACTGCAGACGTGAACTGCCTACTAGCTGAACATTGACTGAAGCTCTTAGAAGCATGAGCGATATCAACCAGCAAGCGGCTAGCACAACCCGCTCGCATTTGAAGATCGAATGCTAACGCTAGCTTGTCACTAGCTATCTCATTCCGGGCTAGTACGGACCGAAAATGACGAGATGCCGTAGGAGGTGGATAAGTAGACGTCACAATGTGAAAAGCAGCGCGGAACCAAACTCCATGAGTGCAAATGGCGTTGGACCCTGACCTTCCGTACGATCCAGAAGAGACGCACGCTATCCGGCTTACGCACGCCCGAACCTGCGACGGGCGGAGGGCGCTCCGTGATACAAACCACAGGAGGCACATCATGCAAAGCCCAGATCAACTGTTAGCCATAGTAACCGACGGCGTATCGGCGAAGACAAACGATGGTTGCATGCATTCGTCCCTGCGTGAGCCATCATGGCGTGCGACCCTTCCTGTTGGACAGGCACTGGCATATCGTTCGAGGCCATGGACTGCCTGGTCGTAGCGCACTCGAACACACAGTTTTGTTCACCTTGCCTCCTATTTTGCAAGGACTCGGATATTCAGGCAAGATCAAGGGCGGCAGGGTACAATTAACAGAAATAAGGTGGACGTAATTGAATATAGTGGATCAAGCCTGAGGGTACTACTAGGTTCCTATCACAGCCGCAGCCGCACCATGGCCGCATCTCTTCCTAGTAAACTGTGTGCTTTGAAGGGCCTCTCCGTCGTCGCGTAGCACACTGCTTGCCGCACACAGTGGGACCGTACGTTCCGTCATTGTGTCATGCCAGTGTCTTTGGGTAACTTGAGTGACGTCAGCTTGCTTACGTTGACTTAGACTGTACTAGCTCGAGCCACTGGTCACCGGTCACCCGCTGCGGCTCGAGGCCTCGAGTATCGTCTCCTTTGACCGTAATGTTAGAGCACGCAATTCCCGCGAGCTCGGCCAGACATGTAGTGCACAACATGAGTCTTGACATATGGAAAGTTGACAGCTGATGTCAATGTATCGGGCATCGTCGCTACGAGAATCCTAAGAGCCTGAGCGTGCTCGTCTGCGCGGGATATGCTGCAAAGGGGACCTAAAGCGGTGACTGGTATACATGAGTCCATCAAATAGATCAATCGAGACGAATCATACAATGTCGAGCAAGACATTCATTTATCATTCAACTGATTATAATATCGAGTGAAGTAGGCCACGAACACTACTGATGTTCTCTCTCCAGTTAGATATTGACATACATTAAGAGCCCAGAGCACTTCAGTCACGCATGCACGTTGACAGAGGGCTTGCGTGCATATATGATGTAGAACTTGGCCTCCGCTCCTGGGGTCTCGTCAATCTCCCTCTCCACCTCGTCGAGGAGCTTCTCGAACTCCGTCTCCGAGGCAACGAAGCCATATCCTCCAGCATTGAGAATGGGGGTCTTCACGCCTCTAAACACGCTAATTAAGTCGTCCCGTGCGTCGATGCCCAGCTGCCCCGCCCAGCTGCCTATCGGCATCGTGCGCTCCTCCACGGTGACATCTGTGAACCCGACCTCGCGGAGCACGTCAGGGATGTGTGTGGCGCAGTCAAGATCGAGGTCCTTGTCGCGGAAGAGCGCCCGAAATAGCGCGAGGTGCCGCGCCGTCGTCGGGCCTGCCTTCCAGGGCCCGACCTCACCGAGCTGCACCCACCCATCAGGCTGCAGCACACGGGAGATCTCTTCGAGCGCTTTGGTCCATTCCGGCGAGCGCAGGGCCGCAACGAGCAGTCTCTGATGGACGAGCTTGAAGCGAGCGGTCCAGTCCTCCGGAAGAGAGGTGACGTTTCCGACGTGGAAGTTGACGTTCCCTCGTTCGATGATGCGGGGGTCGTCCACAGGCCAGAGGCGAGACTCGATATCAACCGCGTCAACAGTAGTAGACGCAGGGAAGGACTCGATCGCGTCGAGCAACCAAGTACCTGCGAATGTCGTCAGATGTGAACGTACAATGTTCCTATCTACCGCCTGACCTGAGCCGGTGCCACTGTCCAGTACGCAATCTTCGGATGATATGTTGACAGGCGGGAGGATCACTCGATTCTCGTACACGCTTTTCAGCAAGCGGTGCTGAAGGGAAAGCCTTGTCCATGTCATCAGCGTGGTGTCCGCTACAGATATCACGGGGACGTACCTCTCTCTCTCGGCCGCGTCGGAAGGCAGGACATAGTTCGAGCCTGGGTAGGACTGATAAGTCCTGCCCTGATGCTCGATAGGGTTCGACGGTGTGGGGACGGGGGAGGCTGTATGTGCCATGGGTTCGATAGTATGGATGTGGCTGTGAGCCTGTGTTGCGGTGGTTGCAGAGCTTGATGAGGGATGGGTATGGCGACCTGCCTCTGGCTTAATATCTCGTTGAACGGGGCAAGACCACTGATCGAAACACACCCGGACCGCTTTCTGCCCTAGTCGCCGGTGAGACGCGACGGGTGATCGGATGACCTCAGTCCCGTGATCAATCTTCAATGGACGCACCGCATGTCAGCTAAGCTGGTACAGCCAAATAGGCCATTGACGCAGCGTCCGCCGCGGAGCGTTTCAAAGGCTGAAGTACGAAGTGCACTTCCTTAACCCATTCAAGTACTTTCCAACGCCCGACGGTTTGCAAGGTCGCAGCATGTGAACGCTTGACGTGTTCCAAATTGCTAGATCCCCTCCCGAAAAACGTGCACAGGCGGATGTTGTTGGGGCTTTGTCTCACCTTCCCGTCGCGCGACCCGCATCCTCTGCCGGTCCTCCTCGGCGGCTGGCTGTAAACCACATTCAAACTCTACCCGAAGCCGTTTAGATTCAATTCAAAGTGACCAGATCCTTACCACAACGTATCCATTCCCTCCCAAGATCTCAAAAATCGCGCGTGCTGCGAATAGGAAATACCGTTCATCTAGACGTTGAGTGAGCTGCCTTCTACGGGGATAAGTGATCGGAATCACACGCCAGCACTACAGCACTCACCTCCATGAATCCATCGCTACGCTCCTGCGTCCGCGGGTTCCTGCAGCACCGGTGTAATGCATGTCGTAAGATGGGTGATGCACGCAATTTGGAGCTGCGCATAACTCACCAAGCATCCCCGCTTTAGTTTCAGCGGGAATAAATCGAGAGTTGTTGCCGGGTTCCATCGTCTTGCGTGTTGTTCTGCTCAGGATCAAAGCGGTGGGGTGATCTGGGGAGCAGACAAGACGTAAAGCGCCGTTATGAGTGTCCATACCTTGCGAGGGCATCTTGAAACGAGGTAGGCTCGAGGTACTGAACGAGCCTCACCGCGGAACCTTAGCACTGACGTAGAACTACTAGAAGAGTGAGGTGAACACTTGGGCTCTTTTGCAGAAGGCATGAGTTGAGTCGGTCACCTCCACGCGTCTTAGTCAAGCACAACGTGTTCGCTGACTCCGGAGCCCATGCACCGAATCACTTTCCAGCGACACTCAGATGATCTGCCTACGAGGGACCAACCGCAGTCAGCCAAGCATCACACCGTAGAGAGCCTTAGATGGCGCAGTAATAAGAGAGGAAACACACGTTGGAAACAGGGACGACACTCCGAGTCCCTTGGCCCAGGCCCGTCAGCGCTCAGCTTTTGTATGCATCTAGCTTATGTCACAGGACCGTATGTGTTACTACCTATCACCGGCACTCACCTCACACGCTGGCATGTCGATATGGTCAGTTCTCGCTGCTCGGGCCGCCGTTGTGATTACTGACCTAATGCAACGTTGACCAGGCTCGCGATGATTCCAGTATTGAACTCGACTGAATTTGTGGTGCATACGCCGTTTTGTCCTCGGCAATGGCTTGTTAGCTGCCCTTGTAGATGCTGCTTCATTCTGAAGTGCGTAGTGCGTCGTTTCAATCAAGCAGGAACGTACACAAGGAATTGCCTCCTGCCGCTGGGCGAGGCACGCACTTTGGGGCCAATATGACGGGAAAGCGTAGAGCCACGATCGTAATCCGACTGGCAGACGCTCAAGATCGAGTTGAGATGCTGCCGTCACGGAGACGGTCATTTCGCTCAGCCACCCGACCCAGGCTCTGCAGACTATTCCCTCGTCGACGCGTCGTGCTTGGCCAGCATGAAGTAGTACGGCAAGCCAGACACAACGCCATTATACTGTCCCATATGGTAAGTAGACCGAGTTCCTCGCCACCAGCAACGTCCGGGCCGTCGCTACACAGCTCTCATATGGCAGCATCGACCGAACTCTAGACACCGGTGTGTTATTCGGTCGCGGTATTGTTATGTTGTGTTACCACTGCCTGTACTTTCTGTGCAGGCACTCAGTACATACTGAGGCAGCACAGTCGTACTAGGACAAGAATAATCGCCTCGGACCTCGGTCGAGACTGAAGAATTGTGAAGTCGCTTGATTGATTGAGTTCCACACTGGTCGCATCACTCTAGATCTCGCCAGTATCATATGATTCATATCGTTATAGCCTTAGGCTCCCTCACGGGATAGACCCGAAGCATCCCCGTCCACGACGTCAACCTTTTACCGCGCTACGACTCGGATGAACGATGTGTCCGCCGAACTGAGATGTCGGGGTCGACGACAATCACAGGGATGTGACCTATTACAGCCTCGTTGCGGGGAGACAGATGCGCGGACCAAGTTTCTCCCTGCTCCTACTAACCTGGATGGCTCGCTGTTCCTCAGCCTCACGGCCCGACACCGTCTTCGCGGCGGTTCGGGACGTGCTCGTACTTTATCAGGATGCGCCGCTCTGCGATTTCGTTCGCGACTTGGCCCTTACCATTCTTTCAGGCTAGTCTCCAACTGTACGGCATACGATGTCTTCCGCAGAAATGCTCGCGCAGGCTGCGTACGTGAGGCGACTCCCCTGTTCTGTACGGAACCTGACGTCGTGTCCCCCCTTGCAGCGAGGGCCCCGCGTTGATAGGCATCTTCCTTAATGCCATGTACGCTTCCCGATCACGTCTGCGCTGCGAGAGGAAGAGCTTAATGTCCCGCTCGCCAGGTTGTATGGGGCTATGATCACACAGACGTTCTTTTACTTTTCGACCTATAAGACGTAAGTGCCCCGTGCTCGATGTGACGGTGGGCAGCTCAACGCACATGCATTAGAGACCCGACATGGATTAGAATCTATGTGAGTACTTACATGCCCTGCCGTTTCTCAGTCACTCACCGGATGGCTAGGTCACCGTCCTCTTTGTGGCCGACTCGCTTAACGCCGCCTTCAATCTTGCCTGGATCTACGGCGTGCTCATCAACAACTTCGGTGCGCTATGTGCCGTCGCAGGGGTTATGATAATTTCTGAGAGGCTGGTGCGTCTGATGTAGGAAATGAGGAGGCACTGGGAGTGGGGAACTGGTGTGCGTGCGTCCCGCGACTCAAGTGAATGATTACTGACTGGCGGCTGTTCTGTTCAGTGTTCCAAACAGGTGATGCGGCCTTGTATCACACTGCCTTTCTCTAGTGTGCTGAATCCGCCGACTCTGTCTCAGAGGAAGCGATGACGGTGGGTTTATTTGCACGAAACGGAGTTGCAGGTTTGACCTCGGAGACGCGGACCATAGGGCATCATCTCGATGCAAGTCCAACTCTTCTACGCGTGGCGGCTATACAAGCTCACTGGCAGCAAGCTCATCGTGGCCGCGGTCGTCATGACCTCTCTACTCGGCGGTCGTATGTCCTTCTCTATGAACACCTCTCCCTAAGAACTGATCGTTCCGCCGAGCAGTGTCGGGCATAGGCACCGCTGTCGGGGTGGGCATGGTACGGGAGTTCGCTAAATTGCAGAAACTCAAGGTGAGGATACTCGCCGCGAGTAGTATGTACTCTAACGGCGTTTAGATCATTGTCTCGCTATGGCTCATCGGGTCCGCAGTCTGCGATGTCATCATCACGATCGCACTGACTTGGCATCTGGTAAGTGGTGGGCGTGCGTTTTCCCTTCCGAGTAAAAGCCTCACCTGTCCTGCGCTCCAGCGAAGTCATCGCACCGGGTTCTCTCGCACAGATACCCTGATCACCAAGATCACACAGCGTAGGTCGACATCATGCCGAAGGTGGCCTACGCAGGCTGAATGCTCTACACAGTCATTGTGTCCAATGGCTTGCTGACAGCCATCTTCGCTGTAGCTGATATCGTCGCGTTCCTTGCCACGGTACAGTAGTATCTCAATTATAAGGCTCGGAATACCGTTGCTGACCCCGTTTCGTCACATCCTTCAGAATAAGAGCTACCATCTCAGTAGGCCACTTTCCCTGGATTTGGTTGCTGATGGCTAACGTGGTCATTGCCAGTTTTTAACTTCCCCTTGTCGAAACTGTAAGCTTTGTGTCATGTCACTCGATGACATGCGTCCTAATCTACCGGTATAAGCTATGGCAACTCGGCGATGTCCAGCCTAAACGCGCGGTCGATTCTAATGAACAGCTCTTCGAAGAGCTCCCCGTCGTATCAAGGCGACACCCCCGCAAGAGTGGCAATCGGAGGGGTAAGTGGCGACAACCCTCTGCTATAGCACTGTTGGCTGAGAGCGCTGTGAATTTACAGACCGGCGGAGTAGTAGGAAGCGTAGCGACCAAAGGCATAGGACAGGTATGTCAGACGTCCTGTTTGCTACCTAGCGTTGGGACTGATGATCTTCGAAGATCATGGTGAACGTCGAGACGCATGAGATGGCAGACGTCGTAGGGAAGCCGATCGACGACGTGGAATGGCAAAAAAGCTCTACTGGTAGCGACACCAAGGCCATGGCGCTCTAACGCGTGCCGCATTCATAGATCACGACTGTCCCTTCCTTCAAGTTTGCTGTTTTGCGTACATTACTAGTGCTGTTGTAGATCTCCATTTCCCAGGTGTCCGCAGGCTTCATAGACGCGGAAAGTCTCATGCCAGTGTCGGAAGACGATACATAAGTCTGTAAGTACGGTCGGTCTGTCCTTAGTTGGGTGGCGCTGAGAGCGCGCTCGGCACTTTCCGGCACCCGCACCTGGCTGCAGATGGTTGCCTCCGCGCAGGACGGCTCGGAAACTCTCGTTTCGCCTTTGGCGAGTACTACCTGCCCTACGTAGTCTCACTGGATAGGATATGTCCTCGATCAGAGAAAGCGGACGAGTCCCTCAGCACTGCAGCATCACGGAGCTGCCGACATCGTCGTACTCACGAGCGTCGCCGCATCGATAAAAGCCGCTCCTCCTCGATCTCTTGGAATAGACTAGTAGTAGGTACGTAGGCCCATCATGATGTATGTGTTGTCAAGGAGCCTTTCTCAATCACATTCCCAAACCGCCGAGTCTGCCCCCCGATATATGTCCTGCTTCATCAACAGCTGAGATTACAGAGCCATCGTGCAATTGCCACATATGCCTTTATATGGGCCTTCACTACTCCGCCCTCGCTTTCGCCTTCAGATCAAGCATTGTCACACAATGTCTGTCGGCAACAGTCATGGGGCAAGGTTCAAGTTGCTTGTATGTCGTCGGATTGACCGAAAGGACGTGAGCCTTTGAATCTGATGCTCCTCGGTACTAACTCTCGGGGTCGGCCAGAAAGGTTTGACTGGAACACATGCACTTGACAGTCGTCACCCAGGTCTCCAAGCCTTCACGTCACGGCGCCACGATGTTTGCGGACTGCGCGATCAGATGCATCTGGACACCCTTCTTGATGCCCGCCTTTATTAGCCCGCGCGTGATGCAATGAAGCGTGGGCTTCGCGCAAATTTGGCGCGCCGTATTGCTGAGACTGACCATCGTACGTCCAACTCATGCTGTAAACCCTGCTACGTAGGCCCGGATCTGAAATTTCGTAGACACTTTGGGTACGCTTACACATAGGCTACACACGCGCAAACTAGTATGTGGTAGCTCAGGCTTCAGGACTAAGCCCCATCTGAGCTGTTACGGCTTTGCTCCACCATTTCCCTGCGATCGAGCTTGACGAAAGGTCTATGGCCAAGGGAACGCGGGGATTTCTCGAAGTAGTTTATTTGAATATCTGAGTCAGGGTCGTCACTCACCTTCTCACAGAGCTGCTACCACTCATATTACTCTGATACATTCGAAGCAACGGAGACGACATCGATTCCAGCATGCCAGTGGTCCTGCGGATTTACTACTGCTGCTTGTAGCTGCGAGGGAATGCGCAGCACTCCTCAAGCGCTCAGTCTTTGTGTGCCGAATCGGCGCGCGCAATAGCGGGCTAATCTGAAGCCAGGCGATGGCTGTCGCAACGTTGCGACCATACTTACGAAGCAATGCTCCGCCCTTGCGAACGCGTAGGCTCACGACCTGTCGGCTGGATCCGCTACCACACGGGATTCTTGCCAGTCCGAATATTCGGATACTGATCTCGGTAAGTAGCGAGGTGTCCAATTAGAAGGGGCAGAGGCACTCCTTCCCCAGCTCCCCGCGAAGTCTCTTCAGATTGAATCGAGAATGATCGAGGGCGAGATCTTCTCGTCAGGGATTGGAGGATATAACGCTCGCAGAACGCTTGTTTCCCCGCAGGTGATCTGACCTTCTGCTGCAGCGCCCCAGACAGTCAAGATGACCACTGAAGCAGAAGCTATTGCTGAAGCCGCGTAAGTCATCACACACTCTGAGAGGGCAGCAACTGATCGCGTTTGGCAGCGAAGGGCCTGCGTTTATCGGCATCTTCATCAATGTTATGTGAGTACTTGCCATGTCTTGCGCGCATTACTCGTCACCTATGAACGCGTTCTATTCACAGGCTGTACGGGGCCATGCTCACCCAAACTTTCTTTTACTACTCGACCTATAGAAAGTAGGTACATAGTGGATCCATGGGGTTTGTCTTGTCTGACGCGTTTTTCAGCGATCCAAAATGGATAAGGGTCTATGTGAGTGGAAGCTGCGACAGTGCTTGACATGCCTCCTTACGCAAGTTTTGCAGGTAGCCGTGTTGTTCTTCGCGGACACGCTTAATACTATCTTCAATTGTGCCTGGATCTACGGGGTCCTCATCAATAACTTCGGTGCGGTGTCGTATTCAAGTAGCATGCGTAGCAAATGTCTAACACGAAAATCTCACTCTAGGGAACGAGGAAGCCTTGGGTGTCGGCAATTGGCGTCAGTATCATTGCTTTTTCGCATATTCTGTCTTTGATTAATCGATCATTTTTAGTGTTTCAGACTGGTGAGTGACTGCCATGAACATCCGTTTCCTAGCTGAGCTATTCGCCTCGTAGATCAGGCAATGACCGTCAGTTGTGGTGCTCTCGCCTTCGATAGAGTCGCTCACCTCACCAACGTATAGGGCGTCATCTCGATGCAAGTCCAGATCTTCTACGCCTGGCGGCTGCATAAGCTCAGCGGGAACCCATTTCTGGTGGCGTCAGTTCTTATTCCCTCGGTTGTTGGTGGCCGTAGGTAGTCATCTTGACAAGCGGAACATATTCTGACGTCATGCATGCCACCTTAGTATCAGGAATAGGTACAGCAATTGGCGTCGGCATTCTGCCTCAACTAGCTGGTTTGCAACGTTTAACGGTACGGTGTCAGTTCGATAACAGCAGGACACTGACCGATAATGATTCTTAGATTATCGTGTCTCTTTGGCTGGCGGGCTCCGCTCTCGCCGACGTCATCATTGCTGGTGCTCTGACTTGGCAACTAGTCAGTCCTACTCTCATATCTTCATGTTTTGGGTACACTTACATATGGTTACACGCCGACTCCATTAGCGCAAGAACCGCACGGGCTTCTCTTACACCGACACGATGGTTACCAGGATCATTACACGTACGTTCATGTCTTGGCTGCTAATTTCAAAGTGACCAACCAAGTTAAAACCCGAATAGTCATCATGTCCAACGGTGCTTTGACTGCGGTCTTTGCTGTGGCTGATCTCATCGCATATCTGGCGTCGGTATGTATCCAGCAGCGCACTCAAGTCATACACTTTACTGATAACTAGCACTTCAGACAAAGGGATATCACTTGAGTGAGCTCCGAGCCAATCTTGTACTTTCATGATCGGCGACTGACTATTCAGCACAGTATTCAACTATTCACTAGCCAAGCTGTAAGTCCAATGATCGTCAAATGGATGCCTGGTATCTGATGTCCGAGTCGTGTATCAAGTTACGGAAATTCGGCGATGTCCAGTCTGAACGCGCGAGCCATTTTGAAGAACGCTGCGACCAGCCACTCTTCTCAGGGAGAAGCTCAACGGATGACTGCGGGGAGGGTCAGTTTTCTCAGCGAGCTGTGCTTGGCGACCTGAAGGTTACTGAACTTCATTTGGGCACAGAACCCTGACATCGGAACTTTCGTCAAGAGCAACACTGGTCGGCCGGCACAGGTATGTTCACAGGCCTCATTTCTGAGTTAAGATCAAGCTAAGTCTTACTCATAGATCATGGTGAACGTGGAAACACATGAGCTAGCGGATGTCAGTGGCCAGGACGCGAAGCTTCATATGGAATGGCAAGACCACTCTACCATTAATGACGTGAAGGGCGACATTGACGTCGTCTGAGCGACGGTTGAGTGTTTCATTCTTCGGTTTGGTTCATTTGGTTCGCTTCCGATAGCTATCTCTGTAATTCGCACACGTTACATCTGAGTCCCCATAGACATGCCATGAGCATAACAACACCTCGGACACTTATTAGCATCACGCTGTCGCACGATTTAATTCAAGGGGCTTTTTACAAGAATCATGCGCACTCCTGTTGGATATGACGACTGTATGGCGTGTAGTCGTGCCCATCTTCCATGCTACAGTATGTCCTGAGTAATGAGTCAAGGTCTTGCAATTTATGTACCAAGTGCGTCGCGAAACGACTCTCTGAGCATCGTTAGTTAAGTGATTACTGTGCAAACTGCGCATAAAGGCGAGAAGCTTCGAACGACAGCTATGTATCATGTGGTACATACTCAGGTTACACACGTCTATGTCTATGTCATTACGGCCATACTGTATACTGCAAGACCGCATAAGGGGAAAACGTAGCTCTACGGGTATCGTCTTTTGGTAACGCTGCACGAAGCTCACGGGCTCTCGGCAGAATAGCCCTCGTCATCGTCGAAGTCTAGATCCCGGGAGACGTCCCCCCACGTAGCCATCGACTTTGCGAGCCGCTCGCAGTGCAGCTGTGCATGTATATATGCCGCACTTCCCAAAAGAAGGGTAGAAGGGAACTCTCTCCCAACAGCCTTCCCTTCGCCTCGGACAACGTCCACGACGAGGTCCATACCCTTTGCAGGGTCCCCCTTGGCGTTCGCGAAGTAGCCGCCCAGCTTCTTCATGACGTTCTCCTTGAGGGGCTCATATGAGGGGATGCGGCGGTCCACCGCATATGTGATCTCCTTGTTGATGTTGGTGCGGAAGCCGCCCGGGGCAACGAGGAGCACCCGGATCCCAAACTCTGCGAGCTCCGCTCTATAACAGTCGGTCACAGCTGTCGCGCCGTCAGCTTCGACGCGTTAGAACAGTGGAGTGCATTGCGACATACCATGCACCGCAGCTTTTGAAGCCATGTAGTAAGCCTCGGTCTGAAGAGCGCTTGGTCAGACCCGGCCGAGAAGCGAGACCAGAGTACGACACTTACGGGCCCGTGTCCCTGCCAGACCAGCCGGCTACCCATAACGACTAGCGTTCCAGACCTGCGCTGCCTCATGTAGGGCAACACGGCGTTGGTGACATTGATTAAACCGAAGAAGTTCGTTTGGAACTGCTCCATTGCAACTTTAGATCTGTGTGGACAGGTGAGACTTTGACAGCGGCTTCGTGAATGGACAGCAACCTACCCGCCCTCCTCGACTACTGCCTTCACACCGTAGCCCGCGTTGTTCACGAGGACGTCGATGCGTCCCCAGATGCCCACTGCAGCGTCGACCTTATCCCGGATGTTGTCTTCATTGTCCGTGACGTCGAGGGTAATGACATGTAGTCGAGACTGGTCTACATTCTTGACGGTGAAGTCGTCAAGCTTTCGAACCGTGGCAATGACACGGTCACCCCTGGAAAGCGCAGACAAGACGAGGTGTCGTCCAAAGCCCGTTGAAGTCCCTGTGCGTCAATGCAAATGGTGAGTAGGCAGGCAAGTAAGAGTTGCTTCAACCGTTGACTCACCGGTGATAAACCACACCTTCTGGTTCGTTGGCTTGATCATGGTGAAGGGTGTAACTCGTTGTAGTGAAGGAGTGTATGTAGATGTGGGAGTGCGGAACTTGGGACTGACCTCTCTGTACAACATGTCTTAAGTACGATTGAGCGCAATGCGCGCCCCGCTGAAGGATCGAGACCTACGGAGGAACGTGGTTTGACCGCGCACCTTGCTCCGTTTTGACAACGCCCGAGGTGAATTTCAGATAAGATAGAAGCCATACTTCGAAAGCTCACCAAGCATGGACCGAGACTATCAGCGCCCAGGGTGGAGAGCGCATGAAACACGGTGCAGCTGTCACCCTCTGGAGCTAGCCGCGGGCAACGCACACTTCGATAGTCATCCCGTTCGACATTACAGGCTATCAAAGCCGAACACAACTATCCTGTGGATGTAATGGCATCGACATCGCAGCACAGCAAAGGACGGTGCTTACTGAACTATGTTGCAAATCCGACGAAACGGTCATATCCCCTCTGAGATTTCACTCTAAGGCGTCTTGTTCGTGCGATGTGCTGATTTCAACTGGAAAATAGAGCACTTCGTTGACAGCTACATGCGAGAAGAATGCAATCAGAGACGATGTAGGCTTCGCGTAGGCATATTCGGGGCGCCCTTAGACTGTCCGAGATCGGCCTAGCAAGACATGCATCGACACGGCTTCAGTCGGTGTGGCTACAGCGCGCAACAATGGGAAGAGGGAAGCATGTCGTACTGATCGGGTATGTGAACCATGGAAACTGGCAGTGCGGATAGGCCAACATACATTGCCCGGTGGGCCACAGTGCGCCAATGGAAGAATCCGAAGCTTCTAACCTTCAGTATAATGTCCCAAGGCTCCCGATGCTTCGGGAGATTTACACTTAACGCCAGTGAACCTCCGAGGCAGACGCAAGATGTCATATCGAAGGCGACGAGCGGCGCGCCAGTCTCGGAGATAGCTGGCGGCCCGTGCGTATCGCCGTCGGGCGGCCGTTGCTTCTCGTGCGCGCAATCTGTAGACTGAGCGCGGATTGTGTAAGATGATGACGACGCATAAAACAGCAGCACATCGCACATACCATTAGTGACGAGGTGTGCCTTCAAAATGGGTCATCGTTGTGCCGTTTCTGATTACTTTCGTATGGGCGTGTCAAGATATCAACTTAAGAGCGCTGCAACTATTTGCAAAGTTGATGGTCAGGAATTTCTGGGCATGGCGCATATGAAGAGCGATGAACGCACTGTACAGGTACTAGACGCTGATGGCGACTCCGAACCGCGTCCGAGGAGGATACTGTCAGTTTCAGACGTTGAGATAAGTCGACATCGAAGTATCTCGATTCGCCTGACGTCTAGGTGTGCGCGCTCACTACGGTCGTCTATTCCTATGCCCAGCAGTGTCGCTACTTGTTCCGGGTCAGCCCAGGTAGACTTTAAGCATTGTTTCCGAGTCTTGAGACCGACGCAGAAAGGACAGGCAATCCGCCATAGACGCAAAACTTGCGAGCACTTCTATTTTGCTGTCATCCATTTCTGTAAATGATGTACAACGACAGCGACAACGTCACCGCGGGGGCTGGCGGTGGCTTCGTGGTGGCTGTGAGTCAAGCTGGTTTAGGGTGGCGGGACGCCCGAGAACGCGCACAATACCATACAATCCTGGATTCCCACGATCAGTACGAGTCAGTCAAGGAGTGACCGCTACCGTCATCTACGCTTTTGTTCTTCTTCCGCAACGGAGTCACGACTCATGAAGCATCAGTGCGCGTTCAGTGGATCACAATCCACTATGTCCTCTGTAGGGTTTACGATGGTATGTGACTCGAACCCCGCGCGTTCTTGTGCAGATCTGCTTGTTTACAGTATCACCATAGAAGTCAGTCGGTGTTGCCAGTGCATGCCATGATAGTGGTCCGGGAATGCAGGGCTTACAGCCTAGAAGTGCGCTCGCAATCTGATACTATTGCAGAAAAACTTCGGCGAAGTGCGCGCACAATCATCCTTATCACGTAAGTAACTCGCTGTATGAGGATGAGATGTCCGACGATTACCGTGTCTCGACTCCTTTGGTTACTTTGACGCCGCTGCTGAAAGGAGATTCGAGATGACTTCCTTAACAGTGCGATACGAGTCGCATGCTGCTTCTCACGCTTTCAGGTCCCACCACTTCTCCGGAGCCAAAAAGTACACAAGGGGAAACCAACCATTCACTACATAACACATACGAGTTTGACTTACTCCTTCAGACGTCTATGCTCCCATGACAGGGTCTTCCGAGCTGATGGCTAGACGGTCTCGACAGTCCGCCATAGCGCGCACCACGACGAGTGGAACTAGTCCTTCAACTGCGTCTGCACTGTTGACGGGAAATTGAAATTAGCATTCGGAGCTGACCACAAAAGAATGGCAGGACGCTATTGCTCCATGGGCGAGGCCTTACCGCAGACATCGGCCGATTGTCACTTCATGTCAAGCGTTAGAGCTGCAGTATTGAGGTGAGCCTCACTATATCTGTTGTGTTTCACTCCCTTTTACTCGGGTCCTGCAGCTGTGGAGCTCGACTATGGCCCGTCCGATGCTTCTGCACGACATGAATGTGCGCGACCGAAGTGATGGGTTTCTGTAACATCGAGGTGCCATGTAGAGACGGACAACATATTGTTGCTCTATCCTCTGGCTCTCTGCTTCATTTGGCGTCTGCGCGCTCCGTTCGAAAGGCGGATGACTGAGCGCAGGCCCACACATCTTCCACCATTCCACAAGTCAGCGATCTCCAGGATGTCCCACAACGCGATTTCGACATGTCCGAGGCGATGTGTCGCCATATCTGGGAGCGATGTTAACTTTGACCTCCTATAGACGCACACGTGCCGATCGTCTTGAGGGGTGGGTCAGTACGGTGATGCCGCCGATCGGTGGACGACACCGGAGGTCCGCTCATCGTGGAAACCGCTCCCTTTCATAATGAAGTACTGACAAGTGTTCGCTTCTCCTACGGATCCGCTGCTTGCGACGTTCTCTCCCTGCTCCGATCTCGTAGATCGATGCGCGGATGGACTTTGTAGGTCCCCATGCGGGTGAGGAGCCACGGTCAACACTGCTTGAAGCTTTTCCAACGGGAAGTGACATCAGCTTTCGAGGTGTGCACTACAATATGATTGTACATGTTCATGAAGTCCTTATTTAAACGTCACTTGTAAAGGCCGTGCCACCGGATTGCGGTCGTGCGGAACGACTCGTCGAGCTACTGTCCGTGCTGCCATAGCAGGCACCTGACAGAGCGGTCGTGGGTGGCGATGCGCTCGCCTTCCACGAGAAACGGTCGCTCCTCCGAGGCGTCTCCACGACAGTCCTCGATGAAGCTAAGCGTGAAGTAAGCGAAGTTTTCCATATTGTCTATGTAGCTCACTCACCTGTTTTGCTCGATACATAGCTGCAAGTCGAGCACCGGCCAGATTTATTGCAACTACAGACCGTTGCGTCGATCCGGCTACGATAGTACGGGTCGTACTATCTCTGGGCGTCAGTCTTCAGGTATGCCCAACAACTTGCTAACGCACATGATGATCTGGCATGCTCTGCATGTCCGCTGGTCTCCGTTCTTTCTTCAGCTTCGCCGGGCTCGCCCTTGTCGGCGGCTTCGGCGGCTCTCTCCGCGTGTGCGCGCGATGATGGTTGGTTATCGTGAGGAAGTTGAACTGGATACTGATCTGCAACTTGATGGGGATGAGCATCGTGTCAGGAAGCGAGGATGCAGAGCTACTAGCGTGCGCTCGCATGGAATGTCGAGCGCCCTCTGAGCGTTATACCGAGAGATCCTGTACAGGCACATCTCTGCGTCAGAAATCTCAGGCCCCTATGCCCGCCTCCTGTCTGGAACAAGGCGGGTATGTTTAGTGCGCCCAGTTGAGGCTGAGTCCCGTGCGGAGAGCCAGAGACAATAACCGCCAGCCGAAATACTTAGATTGCATTCCTCACAACGCACGCCGTGACGTTCGCGCAAAGCGGTGAATGAACCCGAGGACACAAACAGAACAAATCTGCCTTCGCAGTATCGATATCATGATGAGAGCAGGGCGACTCACAGAAGCACGCTGACCCTACCCGCAAATCGAGAGAGAGAAAGATGTTAGATTCTGCCGTTTGGAGGCAAGGGTACGTTACGTTTGGCAAAGGGCACTGGCTCATCCGGGACAACCAGACCAAGGCTGTAGCTTCGCAACTCTGAGTCAAGCGTCGTATTTACCTTCTCGCTAACTAAGCCATGGTGTCATCGAACCCTCTTCGGCGATCGCTCGCTATTGACACGCATAAACCGGGCCTGTCTAACTTACAAAGATCGATGGTATTGTGACGATAGGCAACTTACTGTGACAATTGAGATGTCAGGTGCTGCGACCAAGTGTCATTGTTACTCCAGGGACGCACCAATGAATAGAGCGGTATTGTGTTAAGTCTGGAAGGTATCGGGCCAGGCACGTTGTCTAGTACAATGCGAAGCGCGTACTGCGCGGGGTATCAGTCTGGACAACGCATGGTAGATGAATAAAGATAAGTGTCAAGAACAGCATGAAGCGCAATTGTACAGTACAATACAACAGGAGCAGGAGTAATATCGTGAGCTGGTATCGTGCACAGTCGTGGAGAAGTCCGAGGGAAAGTCCTAAGTGGCAGAGATGGAAGCACAACAGACAAAGGTAGTAGCAGAGAATTACTGGTGGGGAGCCACGCTGCTGTGACATGGGTTGAGCCCGAGGAATATGGAATAACGCGGGTAGAACATACCATGACTAGATAAAGCGGCGTCGACCTGGACGCCTGAGCAAACGTGAGACCTGATGCTGTCGGAATATGCTCTAGACGTGGGCCTGCGCAAGAGAAATAGCATGGCGCATCTTGCCTCGTGTCGCCTCCATCTGCCAGGATGGATAGCCATGGTAGCCCATGGCGCCACACATATTGACAAGCCATTCCTCCATCAGTTTGCGCGTCCACTGGACACCCTTCTGGCGCTTCCCGAGGCGTAAAATGTGTGCGATGTCGTGAGGGTCGTACTTCTCGTAACGGACAAGCTTCAACGCGACCGCCCAGCTCCAGCTAACGCCGACGAGCTCGAGACCGGGCTGGGAGAAGATGGTATTGATCTTCCTGTTCTGGGGACTCATGGCGTCTGTCCAGATGGGGTCATACAACTGACCGTGTGCACTGCACCACATCGCGCTCAGCGACAGCGCGAACAGTGAAGGAATGATGACTCACTCGATGGCCATCGGAAGTGCGACGTCGGCGCACGCGTTCATCCAGTCCGCTCCCAAGTTATACTTGGACGCCGTCGCCGCGATGCAGAACTGCAGGCGCTTGCCAGCATCAGGGACTCCCTTCCTCTGCCACTCCATTTCGAACGAACGGTGGTTGTAGTCCACGTCGCGAGTGCCCGGACGGCAGGCGAGCTTGGGGTGCATCACCATAATGACACCACCGTGGACGACGAGCCGCACTTGACGTCCGAAGTAGCGGAGCAGCCGGTTGGAGAGATCAGTGAGGAGTGTCCACAGCAGGCTACAGGTCAGCATGACCTCGTTGTGGTCCCCGCTGCTGGTGCTTGAGCGCGACGATGATCGGCTTGAAATAGAGCTATGCGACCATTGCGACATCGACATTCCGAGCGCCAGCAACACAACGACAGTCCGGTCGGGCAAGGGCGATTATAAGGAGGGTGCATGAACCAAACACAAGGAGAGCCGGACGTTTATGTACAGCTGGCAGGCGATGAGAAAGTCGATTTCCGCCGCTTTGTTGAGTAGCTGCGGCCGAGCGCTTGAGCGACCCGGTGTCCCCGCCACAGACGCGCCAAAACAACGTGGATCATGCCATCGGCCTCTCACAAGTCTCTCGGCACAATTCCCGCCGTACTATTTGCGGAGCACAGCATCGCCGCAACAGGCCTTGTTTATATTGAACATCCTGCTCATCGACGCCTATGGTAGTTGCCATCGTATCCCATCAGGTAGCAGTGGTACTAAGAATTGTGGGCGTAGCCCGACCGCACTCTTCCATCCTGCATCGAGGCTGGGTTTGGTTAGCTCATTATCAGGTCTTTTGTATGTTCCTGACAAAGTTGAACCGCACGAAGGAGACATCTGACAGGCCTGCGCCTTCTCTCATAGAGATAATCCCATGCGCGCATGTGCACGGTGCATGAACAAACACCTATCATTCCGCCACTCGTGTGGCACTGCGGAGGTCTTCGAAAAGAAGTCGTCCACTGAGGTCTGCGGAGGCTCTACAGAGGCAATACGATGCGGTTGATCATCTCGCGTATACCCAAGAGACTCACCTTTTCATCCTTGCAAACAAACATCCAGCTGATCACATCATGGAAGGTCACAGACGGACCCCGAGTCGCCTCGGAGGTGCGAAGAGCCCAAGAAAGGCCTGACCAGGGGGTGTCCACAAACGTGTCTGCACGCCCGGACAGATGGCCTCCATAATCCGAAGGCGCCGCTGGACGTTCCAAGGTCAGTAGCAACGCAGAGCGAAGATGGCTCAGGCAGAGTAAGCACAATGGAGAACCTGCATGCCGGCAGCAGTAGAGACGAATAGTGGCTTCACTGGCCTGAGTGGCATATGCTGTGTTCGGTCTCATTGAGGATTTGCCTCCCCTGCCGGAGAGCCTGAGCAAGCCCCTTTCAGTAACATAAGCGCACGCCGCGCACGTACCCCAGAGATGTGTGGCATCCGCTCTATTGTCCCGCCCGGACGTAGCACCTCGATCTGCACCCAGTACCCCACGCTAGTCAACTGCGTGTCGGTGGCGTCGAAACGCTATATGGCACCTGAGCCACACGGACACGGACGAGGAAGCTCGGCAGCCCATTCCTGACACTTGGACCTAGAACAACTGCTGCGACACTGTAGCTGTGCGCAAACAGTGCGGGGCCCGTCTCCGTGGTCTTCCGAACGTTCCGAACCGCAGAGGAATGAAATTGGGGAGCATCGGGCGCATAGCCTCGACGCCTCGACGCCGTGTGTGCCCTAGGACAGTGAGTGGTGAATGCTCGTAGCTAGTGGAAGGGCTAAGAGCAGCCTGCGCCGGACGGATGCACATCTGAAACGCCAGTCCGCGCCACCTATACACAGTCTACCCGTCTACGTTTGATGGGGGCTCGGGGAACAGTCGGCGAGATGGTTGAGCAAGTGGATCAAAACCGCTATGTAGAATATGAACTGACATATACCTGTGCCACAATTGAGCTGTCGCGGGCAATGCACAAGTATCGTGGCGAAGCATCGGGTATCGCCTCTAGGATGTAGTCGAAGCGAGGTTGTACGCCTGTTGAGACCGCTCTCCTGCAATTTTTGAGGCGAAGAAGGATGTACTTTTCCCGTAGCACTGATACAGGGGATGATCATCAACGACAAATATGACAAAGAGGTCAGCACTGCAGCGCAAATCTGACGGTCAGATCCAACAGCACCTTGCATGGGTTTGGACAAACAACATTGCGAAACCAATACGAAGGCACACACATACCTGGGACAGAAGCCGACTATATCGAGGATAACCAGGCGCCAGGACCGATACGTATTGCTCTTTGGGGCCAGGCGGAGTGGGGCAAGGAATGCAGTGCCACGCGTTCCAAGGAGTATGCAGAGTGTACAGCTTTCGTACCAATCCCCCCGTCTATGGTATGCGTAAGTCCTGGAGTGATTCGCCGTTCATGGAATAGTACAATCAATCCTCCTCTGCTGTACCTGCAGCGTCTTCAATGACCTCTGCGGGGTGACGCTTCCTCCACAAATCCAATCCGTGTTGGAACACACGCTCGCTGAGCCCACTGGGAACCAGACAGAATGTAACACCTTAAGGATCGTAAAGTCAGCTGGACACTTTTCTTAGATCTCAACATACCTAATGACTCGACCTCTTTGTTCCTGCTCTCATCATCAAAGAACAACTATGTCAAGAGAAGCAGGACACGTCAGAGATGCGATGCACCAGGAGACAAGCTAGCTACCATTTCAGAGTATGGCAAACCCGTCTTCTGGTGCAGTTTCTTGAAGTGCGCGATCTTCGATCCTAAATGTCATATCGTTGGTAGGAATGACACTGGTGCCAGGACTGCGTGTCACGGCTCTACCAAGCTAATCGACTTACCTGGATAGATCTCTTGTTGATCAAAGAACTTGATGGCGGGAGTTGGGGATGCGTGCTTGTCACCGGCTTTCGGGGGGACCAACAGCAAAGACAGAGCTTGGCGAGCGCTGCCGTGGTAAGTACGTCAGACCGACGACAAGAGACACATAATGGACGTGCACCCACAGGGGAGGCGCTCCTGTACGCGAGCAAGCCGCAATCATTACGCCGGCGGCACGCAGGCGATGCAGAATCTCGGGGACGTCGCGGTAAAATGCAATCTCATGATTATATCTGCATCCGTGTTTAGTCCGCTGTTTTGAATGGATGGATGAATGCTGCGCACCTATCGCGGACGCTGTTCACGGCATCGCCGTCACGGCGCAGTGGGGCTATCTCGAAAACAGAGATCAGTGGGCTTCACACGGTGATGTCTCGTGTACGACGCACGAGAAACATGGGTGTCTATCCACAGATCCCAGAGCGTGTAGCTGTGCTGGTGGTAAGTTGACCATGTGGGTGTTCAGTTCAACCTTGAATACGATCAGGAATTGACATTACACGTACTCGAGATCAAATGAAACGAGCTTGGGCAATCTAGAAGTCATCGTGGTTGCAGACAGAGAGGTGAGCGAGGGTCCCAGCGCCGGGTGGCGGGCCGCAAGCGCCGCTAGACTTATTTCCCACGCACCACGAGGCTCTCGACTGCCTGCGTCGGTTTTGGCGTTCGCGGTGGCACTTTGTCTGCGCTCACTCGCTCGAATTTCTGGTTGCGAGATTCCGACTTTCTAGCGACGTTGAGCTCGTTGTTAAAGCTGCTGAGATTACAACTGAACAAATGGTCTCTCTGTCTCAGCACACCACACTGCTTATCTTCGGATGTCTTCAATGAGGACAGGCGGCTCGGGTCCACCGGCAAAACGGGTGAAACTAGAGTCACCGTCTCCTTCACGGTCGCCGAGTGTGGTTGAAATATCACCACCTGGAGGAGAAAACACACCTCATCATGAGGGGGATGAGATCGTCGACGAGGAACACTGCAGTATCTGCCTACAGCCTTTCGTGGACCGCACCGTCGTACCAACTTGCTCTCATGAGTTTTGTTTTGAATGTTTGCTCATCTGGACCGGTGAGCCTTTTTTCGCATTTATTATGCCAATGCTACCAATACGCCGGCTATTAACATCGCAACCTGACTGACTGACTATCCACATGTTTAGACCAGTCGCGCAGGTGCCCGCTGTGCTCTCAATCAACCGGAGACTACCTAATCCACCACATACGCTCGAGGTATGACTACCAGAAACATTATCTCACGGCGTTGCGCACGTCGCCTCGTCCGCAGAGCGCTGCCGCTGCCGCACAACGGGATGCTCGTAGACGCGCCCGGACAAGACGTGAACGCGAGTGGGGCCGACGACAGCGCGAGGCCCAGGATGAAGCAGACGTGCTTGAGCGAGCTATTGAACAGCGCAGATGGGTATATCGACACCATCTATACGCCAAGGTATGTCGCTTTCTAATCCGGCTCACAAAGCATGGTGTATCGGCAGAAGCGACCGCCTTGATATTCCGACGTGCGCCGTAATGCCTCATCTGATCTCAGCCGCTGGATATTTCTATGGCACCCATGTACCTGATTCAGTTGTAAGCTCCACGATGCGACATAGATGGTCGCATGCACATGTAGCTTCTCAGTTACCAAGACGATGGGGTCAGTCCTGTCGAGCTTCAGGGCAGGGGATCTACAGTCCTTATTTGCCTGTGTCACCGGTGGTCCGGCAGACCTGGCGGTCAGTCATGATGGCCCACTATTCGACATCACACTGGCTTATTTACTTGCTGGAGACATGATTCGACCGTTCCTGTGTTGACAAACGTTTACAGCATGTCGCCTCAAATCCGTACACGCGCTACCGCCCGTTCCCAACACCAGCTCAATTTTCGGCGTCGCAGGACCTGATCAGTCGAGCTACTGTGTTCTTGCGACGTGAGCTTCGAGTATGGGTTGGTCTCGACGTTGAGGTCAGTGCCCTTTCATGGTAGCGTGCACTCAGACTTCTTCGTGACGGAAGACGTGGGTGCATCACTGAAGAAGAGGAGCTGACTTGTCGCTTGTCCTTTTTGGCTTTCGACTGCTTTTCGGACCATCCACGCTATTTGAAACGTTGTGCGGGTCTCTGTCACTGGCCATATCGACCTCCGTGATGCTCCACCATTGTCGTGGTATGCTTGACGCTTGCGGCTCCAATGCTCATATGATATCGGGCACGCCTATTACGCTCGCACTTGCGTCTTCTTCCGCCTCAAAAGTGTCCTCGGCTTCTTTGCTTCCTTACCACGTCTGCTCTGCGGATTGTCCCTCATCATGGCGTCTCGCAATGAACTTTAATCTTCCCGACTTCGCGTCCGACCCATTCCCCCCTCGTGTCCTCGGTGTTTTGTGTGGCAATGCGGCGGCCACGTAGTTCTTGACGACCTTTACGCTGTCGCTGATGAAGTCGCTCGACATTCGTTCGGAGCCAGCCGTGCGGCTTCTCGCCGAATTTCTTGACATGGATAGCGGAGGAGAACGCGTGAATGCCGAACATTTCGCTCATGGTGAGTCTCCTTTAGTCCCCGACTTCGATTGTACACGGTGTTTTGCTCTTCTTGCGGAATCACCTGGATTCTCATGACAAATTCGTGCCAATTGATTGATGGCTGCTCGGGCTTTGTTAGCCTGCAGTACTCCCGCCTGCATGCAGTGCATCACGTTCGCCATTATCCTATTGTTCGTTATCGCGAGAAGTCTCTGACCGCAATTTTCCAGAACTGTATAGCTACCTCCGCTCCCCGTACCGTGATCTAGCCCGATATGATGAAGTCGTGCAGGTGAATTGCCCTTTGCGTGTTTGACTGCCAGACTCGTCTCTCACACGTACATTCTCTTTCACATTGCATAGTACGATGTGCCCCCAGATGTACCGTCGCCTTCACTGCCGCAGCGTAGCCGACGGTGGAGGTCTCGGTCTCGTTCTGTCTCGACCTCTCGCTCGCCTCCATCGCCTAGTTCCTCGCCACACGGACCCTCCCGCCGTCCACGTTCTCCCTCGCCTTTATCCCCTCGCCGTAGTAGTCGGTCACATGCTGCATCTACCCCACGGCTCCCGAACGACGGACGTACACCTCACTCTCGCCGCGAGAACTCTTGGCCGTCCGAGCCGCCCACTCAGGCCGATCTGCGGGGGAACAGAGATGAAGAAGACAGCGCCAGATCGCATTACCGCAATCGCGTTGCAGAGTCGAGTATGGTAGTGCATCAAAGAGGGAGAGAATTCTCATCCGGCAGGACGTATAGTACGCCGAAGGGTAAAGGCCCTCTTGTTGATCCCGGCGATCATGCAACTACGACACGCGGAGACCACTCCAACCGTAATGCTGCAGATGGCAACAGGGAGCGTCAAAGTCAAGACCCTTCCCCTCGTTACGTCGAACTAGACGTGGGTCCTAATGGAATGGAGAGGGAGGGTCGAACTGGTTCTCCGCTTCCCCCCACCCTTCTTCACTCAGTGCTTTCCCCTCGGTCTTCGAGGCCGGGGATTCCACCCGATCACACTCATGGACAAAGCGAGATGACACGTCGCATTACCGATGATGCCGCACAGGGCAAACGACCTGACTCGCTGACCGAGACTGCACGTCCCTCGGGTCCCATTACCGGAGAGACACGGCGGAATGCCCCAGCACGCACAAGGACTCGCAATCTACTGGAGTCTGTGCAGGCGCACCTGTCTATACGCCCTAGTCCTGACCATGGATCGACTAAAGCAGGGACGTCGTCGTCGGCTGTTCCTTCTCGTGGAGTTGGCGGAGCCGCCAAACGTAACGAGCTTCTCAATCCTACCCACACAGGCCGTTCTTCTCTGCTCGAGCGGCTGTCTGATCCAGCTCTGGTCCTACCTGCTGAGGAGATCGTGCGAAGTTCTTCTGACGGGTACGCAGAGCAACCCCAACACGACGTTGCGGTACGTTCTCCACCTCTGGCATCTCCACGATTGCAAGCTTCTCCTGTCACTGAGGCGGAAATGCGGCGCTCCGTGCCTTATGAAGTCGGGTCAGCTTCTAATCACATAGGTGAGTTCTACAGCGGCGTGATGATGAGCGTGGAAACACTCTCATCTATGCTTGTGTCTTAATAGAGTTTACGCTGATCGTCTGCGCTCTGCAGACGAGCCTATACCCCCAGCATCTAGTGCTCTGCGCGCACTGTTGTTGAGCAAGCTGGAGGCTGAGAGACGAAATCACTCCCAGAGCACGGCAGCTACGCCTGACGATTTGCGCCGTGCTACTGGCCACGTTTCATCAGCCCGCAATGCATCCGACTCTATTGCGACGGAGGAGCGCGGGGTAGTCAATGGTCAGTCACACAATTCGGCAGAACGGGCCGCCGAGAGGGAGGCCATACTTCGTACCCAGGCACAGCTGCGGATGCGTCTTGCGGCTGCGAGGAAGACTGCTGTATGTGGCACTGAAGGGGGCCTCACCGCAGGTATCAATGCCACCTCGATGCATGGCGATGGGGATGGGAACGAGGCGCTCTCACAGGAGGAGCTGTTGAGAAGCAGGCTGGCAGAACGACGTGGATCTTCCGCCGTACGCATGTAATGGAGTCTCAAAGTATAGACACCTTGAGTAACATTATGTATTGTGGGGGCCTACTTGTAGCATGCGTTCGGTGAATGAATGAATTATCGTAGAATGGGCAAATATCTCGCCCACGTAAGCTTCGGAAGGGTCAGATAGTCTAGGAGCTATAGATTACCTATGCGTAAAGATCGGATTAAGCGTGACATAGTCGTAGGGTGATGGTGACACTAATTGAAACAAAGAGCGATTAGACGATAGTAGGGAGCAGATCAGTTGGAGACAAAGAGCGATTAGACGTTGGTAGGTACGCAGATGAGTTTGCGCCTTGACAATACGTGGTGGAGTTCGTAAGCGACGTTGAAAGATAGGTCGTGGTCGAGATATAACGAGGGGCCAGCTGTGTCAAGATAGGTCAACGACTGGGGTGTGTGGTTTCGTCGGGATGGCGGGAACTTGCGCCCGCTCGGGGGGTGTCCGAGCGAGAAGGGGGTTCCCTAAGACGCGGGTGATATGGTCGGCTGCGAAGCGGGAGAGGCGTCGAGGTGCGGTGGACGCCCTCGACGCCCTCAGCGCGTCTGTTAGGTAGTATGGGTGGAAGCGTCTCGCTCGAACGTGTCGTTATGGCCTCCACTGGCGGTAGTGATAGAGTCATCGAAGGTGGAAGGGCATACGAGCTAGGGGGACGTGACGATGACCCCGGACGAGAGAAGGGCGAAAATGCGGGGTCGTCCCATTGCGGTTGCGGCTCCAGCGTGAACGGCGGGGGGATGTTGAGTGGTGGCATATGTGCGAAGGGCGATTCTGCCTGCTCAAGGCCGTAGGAGGCGCGGCGCAGACCGACAGCAGAGGACGTAGATGAGGGAGGGGCAACAGGAGGCAAGGAAAGAGGATAGCGGTTGGTGGGGTTCGGGCCCAAAACATCCTGCCTTGGGTCGACCACGATCGGGGGCAGCGTAACGCGATGCGGCATCCTCGGGTCATCGCTAAAGCGACGGGATCCTCCGGCGCTAGCAAAATGCGCGCGCGACGGGTCGTCAGCACCGAACGGATTTGGCGGAGGGAAGAGCTGAACTGGGCTCGAACCGGGGAAGGCCGCCATGCCCCGCTGCGCTTCTGGAAACGGCAGCGCGCCCCGGGATTCGCTCGGCAAGGCGGGGTGCGGCGACATCGCGCTACTAGGGCCTGGGATGCCCGGTCCAGATAGCTGCGATAGATTGCCAGATCCCGGGTACTGAGGCGACATATGGGATCCCTGATGGGCGTAGAACTGCGTGCCCGAGGGTCCCGATCCGCGCATAAGAGGGATGACACCTGCGGAAGAACCGCTTCCCGAAGCAAAGCTCGGTTGGCCGTGTGAGGAGGAAGGACCGGCGCCGGCGGATGCATCACTGCTGGGGCCGGGGGGGACGTTGGTGAACGGACCAAACTGAGGGGGTCGTGTCAGAGGTGCGCTCTGCTGACCCCGAGGGCGGCGGGCCTTCTGGCGCTGGTTCTGCAAGCTCCGTCAGTATAGACATACTTCGACGGCCTTGTCAACTCGCCTGGAACCAAATCTATGACAGTTCAGTCAGAACGTATGTCTAGAGATAGTGCTTCGTCCACATACCTGAACCTTCCGAGCGCTGAGACCAATGGCACGACCCACTTCCTCTCGCATGGCAGTCGTCGGGAAGCGTGACTAGACAGACGAGGAAATCAGGTACTGCGTTTCTAGATCGACATGTGTAGCAGAGCTCACCTGGGCAAGAAGTGCGTGTAGTACAGCAGACTGGTGAGGAGTAGTGAGCGTCCTTGTCCGCTTCTTCTTGGGTGGAGAGGTGGTAGGAGCCGCTTGCGATGGCTGGCTAGGACCGGCTTCCCCCTCATTGTCGGCCATATCACCTTGAGAAGATGACGCAGAAGGACTGGAGCGCTCCCTTCGCCTGCCACTAGCCTCGCGCTCCATCTCCTCCCAAGTCGTCTGTCTCGTCGCGTCCCCAGTGGTCCACTGTTCAGACGCGGGTTCGCTGGTAGTGGGCGATGGCCTTCGAGAGGAGCCGTGTGGTGAAACCGAGCGAAGTGCACGTGTCGTGGGCTGACCTGGCCGTCCCTGGTTTTGCTGCTGCCCAGAAGGATTGTTGGTGGACGAGGATCCTGCTGTCGGAAAGCTCATAGCGGAACAAGATTATCATACGGGTTATTATTTGTCGGATTAGTGGAATGGGAATGATTAGTCGTGGAAGGAGGCAATTAGACGGCGAGAAGAGAAATAGTACACAGCAATGAGCCAGAGAGGCCCGAGGTCATTGAGCCGTCGGGCGCGAGGAAAGTGTGCCACGAATGAGGAGGGACGGTATAAATACGGCCCAGGGGCAATCGGCGACCCGATCGTGCGGACGCTCGTAATGACCTGAGACAGGCGCTTTGAGAAACAGAGTCGAAATCAATTCTCTGATCATGAATTGGTGGAAATGGTTGCGAGGCCTGACCAAACCTTCCTCCGTGGCCTCAGCGCCTAGCACTAGACTGCATTTGTATCTAAGACGCCGGCGTGGAATTACATTGGGCTTCCGAGGTCGTAGAATATTGATTGAGCATATATTTCGAGCGCAAGCGTGCGAGATAGCGATGAGCCTGAATCCATATCCAGGCATCCTCCGGCGCTGCCCGGATACTCGGAACCGTCGTGTGACTACGCGGCGCATTCTCTGGCGTCGCGTTGCAACGTGGTAACCGCGTACCCTTGGCTCATCACAGCCTCGCATTGCTACACCCGCATGAGCACGTCAAACGACAGAGATAATCGCAGGGCCTTCGTACCTCACCATTTCAATTCGTACAATGTATCGTAGGCTCGGTGGTAAACGGGAGAGGAGGATGCGGTTAGAATATCCCAACTGAATCCCAACCTTCCCACGTGTCGAAGATGCCCGAATAGTCAAGTCTGCTCATCAAGATCAGCGCTGTCGAGATTGTAGATCGTACGGTGGCCGAGTCGGACCTGGTCGTCAACCATCGTCGCCTCTTGGTCGCCTCGCTCGCCCGTCATTACGCACTTGTCGCACAGTTATTAATCGTAACGTTGACGACTGCTGCTACCATGCTGCTCCAGCTTCTGTGAGTTTTACTTGACTCGTAATATCACCGGGCGCGCGTATTGCGCCGAGTTGCATAGCAGCAGGACCGCGCCGACGGCTTTCTCCAGCTGGGGCTGGCATCCGGACATGTGGCTTCGATTTTAAACAGACTTGCAATTGGTAACCGCGCGCCGCACAAGATAGTCAAGTCAGCTACATATTCCGCGGCCTGACGAAACACAGTAGTTTGCAGCAGCATCCGTGCTTCACTGTTCGATGAATTTGCCTCCGGGGTCGGCTGGTCATTTCCGCCTGATTTCCGCAAGGCGTTGGCACAAGTGAAGCATCGTCACAGACCGATACCAGCGAATGAGATGCCGAGTAAGAAGTGCACCCGAGTCGCTGGAACGAGGCCGTGTGAGTCCCGTAGGCTATTGACACAGTGAGCTCAGCCCCAGTGGTTATCATTCGGCCACCTCAGCTATGCGTCATGCTCGTTGACCGGCCGGGGGCTCTTCGACAGAGTCAATGCATGCAGACCATCTTGTTCACCTCCGAGTACAAGCAGCCTGTTCTTACTGAACGCCGATCAAACGGTCGCCTCGCTGGGACTTTTGACGGCATGGGCCGTCCTAGATGGACCCCGCCGTGTCCAGACCGGCTGGAAGCAAGGCGGTGGAGTCAAATGTGTATACAAGAACCCAATGCATTGACGTGCCTACACAGATAAAGTAATGCGATCAAGGTTGAAGAGGCACATCGCACCGCGATCAGTCCGCACTCATAATGAGGACAACGTAAGGATAGCGTCGAAGACAAAAGACAGATCCGACGCACGGATCTCGAGAACGACGAGGAAATTCATAGAAAACGGCATTGGAAGTCGCGGAGGGAAGGGTAACCGTAGTGCAATTTGAGCGTGAGTAGCAGGGCACGAGTCGGTGGTTCAAGACAATAAACATGGTCGGCCGTGTGATCATCCAGGATTGCACCGACCCACCAGTCTGGGGAAGCATTTGGACGGAGAAGGCAGTCGTGGACCAGGGACATATCGAGGCGATGTTCGACATCTCAGCGCTAGCTGGGATTGTGTAACATCTAATCCTCATACCACACCGACCACGCCGGGTAGGTCAGCTGCTGAAGCCCTGATATTGATAGTGTTCTTCAGCGTTATGGTTATAGGGCGCAATGGGGATAGTGCGTGTCGCCAGCGCTGCGACACACTCCCTACCAGAGAAGGCTGGAAGGTATCATCTTGGGACAAGGGTCGCGCCTGGTCACGCCCCCCCGGCCCCCGTGCTGTGACGATTCGTGTATATCAGTGATCACAACGATCGGCCGCAGCGAATCTCCGTCTTGTTGCCGTACAGGTGCGACTTCATCGCGATGAATACCTTGTAGGTTCAACGACATGAGGAGAACGACACCGGCCGCGCCCACCTGCCGAATCTTGGTAAGTATCCCTCGCCAATGTACATGCGAGTCAGCCTCACAGGCTCGCCAAATACCCGGCCACATGATATCACGCCTTTCGCACCATTACAAGGTGCGAGCCTAGCAACCGGATTGAATTACTGTCTCAATTTAAGTGTGACGGGGCCCGCCCGCTGCGATCGCTGTCAAGATGCCGAGGTGTTCACTGATGTCAAGAATCAAATGCTTTCGGTCATACCGGTGAAAGGGTCCTGATCCGCCAACGATTGCACCTGTTCCTCCGAGGGCGGTGAGAGGTTGTCCGTATAGTCTACTTACTTGAGATCGGAATTGCAGCTAGCACAAGGCTAGGTGGATTGTTGCCTCCGTCCTTCGCAAATAATGACAAAATCATGGTGTAGCTTCGGGACGTGAAGTAGTGAGACCTCGATCGAATCCATTTCATTAATCCAAGCACCCACGCATGCCCGGTCCGACGCAGCACCACGCTACTAACCCCTTCGAGATGTTGTGATACAACAGGATTCAGCCAAAAGCATTGCTTAGTATGCGACTGAATGGACAGACGGGTTTGCAGATACGCCATGTACTGGCTCTGTATCAACGGAAGGCAGCGCAACAAGCAGGATGATCCGCGGCATTCATTTTTACGTATCACGATCGATTTTCTCGATCATTAACCTCCACCGATCGTGTACAATCATTGTGTTCAGCCTGAGTGGCAAGCTCTATCATCCAGAAAGGAGAACCGGTGTGCGAAGACCAGAGGCGTTGAGAAAAGCAGTAGAAAATCAAGACTGCGCGCTTCGGGCCGAAGACGGCATATTATTGAGACTGACCCCGTGAGCAGTCCTGACTCAGTCAGCCTTCAACCACGCGCGATCGTCGTGTTCAGGATCGCGGTAGCGTTCAACTCTAGACGCAACATCGTACCAGACGAAGCAGACAGTAACTACAGATTTGAGATGGTCAGTCATCTCCCACACCGAAGTCTAAGGTCTGACCATCAGTTACTCGTGTTGACAGGCGGCAGCGAACGGAGGCACCTTGCCAGCTGAGACGGTAGAATTCGCCCATCGCATATTTGATGCAGCCAGGAGCGGGGATACGGCGTTGCTATCGCAAGCCATCGACTCGGGACTCCCTGTCAACCTCACGAACGAGAAAGGTTAGGTGGTCGGCGCCGATTGACCTCCACGCTACTGACAATCACATGTACGCAGGGAACACTCTCCTTATGCTCGCGGCCTACAGCGGCCACGCGGATCTGACCGGCACTTTGCTGTCGAAAGGCGCGGACCCGAACAGAGTGAACGACAACGGCCAATCGCCTTTGGCCGGCGCCGTGTTCAAGAATGAGAATGAGGTCGTGCGGATCCTCATGGCCGGCGGCGCCAACCCAAGGCTGGGCACGCCCACTGCGATCCAGACAGCGCGAATCTTCAGAAAGGAAGACGTTTTGGAGATCATGGGAGCGACGGAGGACGATTTGAAGGAGGCACTACCGACTATGCCGGGGCCACCGCACTAGACATTACTCGCTACGGGTACGAATGTACACTGGTAGGTGCGCAGTGTCGCCGTTGCCAGCCTCCTAAGAAGCACTGCAATTAAGGGGTGATGTGTAAGCTACCGTATGTAGACCATGTGAAGCCGAATCATTTATAGGTCAGTCGTGTGCATCCGGACAACAGAAACAGTATGCCCGTCGGGGGCGATGCCAGTGAATTACTGCCGTACCCCCATCTCCTTGCCAACTTCTTTCAAGCACTCTTTGACTACGGAGCGCGCATCCAGTTCGACAGGCCTTCCGTGATCTGCGTCGCCGTCAGCTGCGCCACCTGAAACTGCGGATCCTTCTCGAGGTGAGAGTGCGCTGTTTGGTAGCGAAAGCCCGTCGCGCGGAACCCAAGCTGAAGGCGTCCTTCGCGGTATTGAGACGATCTCGCACAGAATGGGATAGAAATGGAAGAGATGGGCTTTTGATGATCGCTTCACTGCATCCGCGATGAGCTGCGTAGGTTCTAGAGATTGGTCAATCGCTGTGAAGCCAGATATCCAGTCAGCATCGTAAAGGAGGCTACATTCGTGTGAACCCATACCTGGTTGTTGGACACAATATTGTGAAGGGGCGTTGGAAAGCGCTGCCCAGAGCGTTCCCGGCCATAGCTGCAGCTTCAGTAGCTTCTGCAGTACATACAACAGTTCCTCTTCTCTCGCTCTATCCGCGTATAGATGAGAAAGGTTACAGCTGTAATTTGAGCTGTTCGTACCTTGGGAAGGGGAGGTTCCCCCGCAAAGCTTCATCAGCTACATAGTGGACCAGCGTAGCACGGCATCGTTCAAGCATTGATAGTAGACTCAATGCAGCTAGCCTTCTGCGAGCGGGTATACGATCTGCAGGACTGGTTAGTACTGCCCTAAGTCTATTGCTTGCGACTCACCCTTGGCTGTGTCGGAACAGATGAGGAAGAGAAGGTCAAGGCACCAATAAGAGAATCGCTCTCTCGGCCGGAAATGTCCGCTCTCCGTGGTTCCCAGAGCCACAACGTCCGTGCCGAACTTCTCCACTTTCTCGAACTCTTGGGAGAGCCTGCGTGTCCCGGTGTCCCAGTGGAATCTGTGATTGAAGCAGGTGAAGGTGGCATATCATCAGTATCCCGGATCTGGCTTCCTTGGTGTAGCACTCGAGATAGCTGTATGATGAGGTAGTCTGGAATGCACGCGTCTCCAAGGTAGGGGACAACGTCAATCTCAAGGGCGGCGATCAATGCCAGGTCGAAGTTTTCCTCAGTCTCCTGCATGTCTAAGGGGAAGCTGTCGGCGGCCGAACTGCGTTGCGATCAGGAAACGGCGCTGCGGAGAAGTACGTAGAATGGGTGTCACACTTACCAGTCGGCCAAAATCCCTCCACGAAATGTCTCGATGATCTGGCGCCAGATGCCTTCTTGCTGAGCGTCGGGAACATCTAGATTGAGAATCAGCAGAGTCAGCAGACAATCAGTGCGGGGGAATATCTACTCACCTTCTCCGAACTCGCGTAGCTGCGGACCACACTCTTTGACAATGCGGAGGAAATTGTTCGTAGCAGTCTTCCACAGAGGAGGATCTTTTCCAAACTTCGACGGCGCTGGGCACTCATACTTCAACTTGATTGGAATCGCATATGCCTGGTCCAAAGTCTATATGAGTGTATTCCTACGAGCTGGAACGTGGTACATACCGAATAAATCCGCTCCACTGTGCCATCTAAGTATATCGCGCTTTGGCCTTTGAAGCGTAAGAAGAGCTCTACCAGTACGGGCATAATCTTCTTCGAGAGCGCAATATATGTGACACGCCCGGCATTTGATCTCGATGGCGTTGCAGAGACAACGGAAGAGCGCGACGGCATGTCGAAAGCTGCCAAGAAAGGTAGAGTTGCGTACTCGGATAGATCTCGCAGTACCAGTGATGGTGCACCCGGAGATGACAAGTCAACGCCGTCGATCGCTTGCATCACAGTTGCCTGACAGATGTCAGAGTCGTCCTGAACAGGTCGAATTCACATCATCCTACCTGAACGGGACTGAGAGCGTCAATATCTGGTCTGTAGTCGGTTGAGTTCTGGTATGTCAAAACACCTAGAACGAGATCATTTAGACAAGGATGAGTATCATCAAGTTCACATACCTTTCAAGATGGACATGAGACGTTCGAGTCGTTCAAGGGACCATTCGTGTCTTTCGACATTACGCCCGACAGATCTGGTACTGCGAATGACGTCTACGAACGCCATCAAGCTTTCCTGTGTGAAAGGATTCGAATGAAGTCTTGTTTGTTGACCAGAGCCACCCGTCGCGATCATTGCACCCATATCGTCACAGGCATGCCACACTGTGGCCAATGCATCCTTGGTCTTCCCGACCAACTCGCCCTCGCCGGTGGCGAGCGCGTTGATCGACTTATCCAGGCAGCGAAGAGCAGTGGCGGTAACCATCCGGTTGTCATTGCGCCATGAAGACTGTATATGGCCCACGAAGACATCCCACGCCCTAGAGAAACTCTCCAAAGGCATGAGCTTGGTTAAGAGGAACTCGTGGAAGATCGAGCCGATCGATTGCAATGCGAGAATCTTCGACTCATCCCACTGTAGATCAGCAGGATCCGCGGTCGAGTCTTCTTCATCAGTATCAGCGATCGCCTGCTGAGCAGCGACAGTGATCGAATCCAAGAGAGGGAAGGTGATCTTCCATATACACTCGTCCCACGTCCCCAGGCTGAGTGTCGTGCCATAAAGCTGCAGCGTGCGGAATAAGGTTTGTATCGCACCAACTCGCACCTCTGGCCGAGCGTCTGTGCAGAGGCCGAGCACCTCGACCAAGAGGAACATCCACAGCGCGCTGAACTCGTGCTCCGTCTCCGCATCCTTGCGTTTCGCCTGGATGGAGTCTGACACGCCCCAGAGAAGGCTCTCGGCTGCTGTGAGAGCAATGTTTGTATCCGCCTGGCGCCCGAACTTCCCTAGTGTGCTGATACACAGACGGAGATGCTCGGGCGACAAGGAACCGAGAGAATCACAAACCAAGGTCAAGGACTGGAAGGCGATCTTCACTAGTGAGTTGTGCCCCTTGTCGTTCGTGTAACCAAGAGGTGCGGGTTTACGCCGCGGAGTCTCCGGGACAGCAGTAGTGGGTGTCGATAGCGAGTCCGTGGTGGCAGACGAGGGCAAGGTCGTCGGAGTGCATACGCTACTCAACATCTCGAAGATGGTCTCCCACCCAATTACGAGGGTATGTCCGGAAGCCTGCAGAATCTGGTGAAGCGTTTCGAAGCCCATGCGCCGCACCTCAACAGTGGTGCTGTTAGTGGCCATACTATCCGGTATGACCTGTCGAGCAAGAACGTCAAGGACACGTCTCTGCACTTTAGGCTGCAGGTCCCCGGTGGATGACAGATTACGCGGCACCACGACGAGGATGTCATCGAGGATGCGCGCCGCTTGGACTCTCACTGTAGAAGGCGCGAGTGCGTTTCGGATGACGATTAGCAAGTGCTCCGTGATGGGGTCCCATGCGACGTCGGGCGATCTATATATCAGCCGATGGATGTTGAGCATCGCTACGCCGCCGAGCTTGCTAATACCGAAGTCTCCAGACCGCTGTAATCACAGTATCAGCCTACATAGAACACAAGCAAGAGAAAGCTACGCACAGGGGTCTTAGGCATGTGGATCCCACTGACTCTCCTGCGGTGGTGCTCTGCCTGTAATGTGAGGCCAGGGCTAGTAACCAGCTCGTCCAGTGATTCGGACTCTAAGGCGATCTCCTGCGCCTCTGACTGCATGCCGATCATGGCAGCGCTCAGCTTGCACGACGAGCTCACGAAGTGACGGAAAGCGCCGTCGTCCAAGTTCTTGGAGGCGTCAAACAGGCGTTGGATGGCATGCTGCATGCTCTCCGGGTCGAGGTCGGCCAAAAGGGGATGTCGCGTAGTTGTCTGTGGCTGTTGGCCAGCACCCTGGTTTGCCGCGGCGCCTGCTTGAGCTGCGGAGTGAGAGCTGCTGAGGGAGGACACGCGGCTCCCAGGTGCACTGCCCGTCCCCTGTAGAGTCCCACGTTTGCTCGCCGTCGGCTTGGTGCCCCGTACCGTCAGTACGTAGTCGGCGTTCTGCAGAGCCTCGAGGATGTTGAACCAACTTTCGCCGAGACTGCCCGCCAGGAAGAGTCCGCTCGTCACCAGCACCTTCAGACAAGCCATGTTCCTCTCCGACAGGCCAGGAGGCTGCACGGAGCCGCCAATCGTGATCCCCAGGTTCTCCGAGAGCGTGGTCGCGGCACTGCGCGGTGTCATCGGCTCCGTGTAGTGTCCAGCCGAGCCATGGTACGTATCCAGGCTCGAGATCACCCGCGGCGGGATCGCGAGCCGCGCGATGCTCGTGAAAAACGCGTCGCGCGGGGTCGCGAGGCCGAGCATGCCCGCGACGGTGGTGAGCGCCTGGTAACTCGCGAGCACCTCCACGAAGAGCTCGTCCGAGAGGTTCGTCGAGATGAGGAACGACAGTGCGGCGAGGAGCGCGGGCCACCCGCTCTCGACCATCGCGTGCACCGTCCGTAGCTGGTGCGTCGTCGGCTCGTCCGTGGGCAGCGCGGACAGGTCGAGCGCGGGCGGTGCGCGCACGACGGGCTCGCCCGCTGAGCGGGGCCGCTGGATCATGAGCGAGTTGTAGAGCGGCCCCGTGAAAGACGCGAAGCCCTCGCAGAGCGCGACCAGGCATTGGAGGCCGAGCAAATACACGTAGGACTCCGGGATGACGGGCGAGTCTGCCTTGTCGAGCTGGTCGATGCTGCCATGATGCATTGGTTGATATCCTGTTCACACGTGGGCCGCACTCACCATTGAAGTTTCATTGCTGAGCTGTGCAGGCTCAGTCCCGCCTCCGAGCCAATCATACTCAACCCGGCAGAGACGGTGGCACTGGCTGCGGTCGCCACCATGCCCGCGACACCGCCCACGTCGAGGCCGTACCCAGCCAAGTCTGAGCTCGAGCCGCTACTCGTCGGGACACCGACGCCGAACATCTGCGTGCAGACGCCGAGTAGCGCCGGCTTCTCTGTGACGAGGCGCTTCAGCGCGGTGATCAGCGACGTGAACACCTTCGAGCCGCCCTCCTCCGCGTCGTACCGTTCCCATACGTTTCGGATCAGTTCTGCGTCGCTGCAGAGTCTGTAGAAGTGTGAGCACGCGCTGCGTGACAATCTGGTGGATACTCACCCGCGCATGATCTCCATGGCAAGCACCCGCATCCACAACGGACGTGACCCGTACGGATGCCCACTTTCTGCTGGGTCGGCATCTCCGTCTGAACCAACGATCTTGATGAGCAGCATCAAGAAGACCTCAGATTCGGTCTTCAACTCCCCTGAGAACTGCTTGAGTAGCAGGAAGACGACACGCGTCGCTCGCAGTGTTAGTGGGAAGCTTGGCCGGTCGGAGAGTGCCTTGAGTAACAGCGGGGAGAGGTGGTGACGTTGCAGAAGGAGTAGCTCGGGGTGCTATAGCCTAGGGGTCAGGCACTGTTCCGTGAAAGCATATCCTTACTTGCCTTGCGGAAGAGGTCGTGGTAGTTCGTGAGCACGCTCTCGATGAGTTCGAGTGCGAATGTCTTGCGGAGGACCTCCAGCTTGAGGAACCGCGGTCGTTCGGCGTTCGCCAGCAGACACAAGTCCTCGAACACTGCGTACGCGTCTCGCGCCGAGGGGCCCAGTGCCTTTGTCTCTCCGTTCGGCAGCGTGATGTCGACTAAAGTCTTGAGGTCAACTTCGTCCCGCCTGTCCTCGTCCACGACCTTGTCCACGATGAACATGACCAGCTGTCGCAGAGTCGCTGCTGCGGTCGACGATACAACCGCGATACGTGACTCCTGCAGCTTGAAGCAGAGCAGAAGGGCCTATCCGAGGTCATAAGTCAAATGACACAGGTGCCAGCAAGATGCGCCTACATCACCGAGTAGCTGACCGTGGATGGCGGGAAAGTTGGTGATGAGCGACAACAGCGTCTGCAGTATCCGCAGCTGTATATCGACACCCTGGTTCATGCAGTCGCCCATTGTGCTGATGATGACGGGAACGGCGGACTGTGGTACAGCCTTCAGAGCGATGAGGCGCTGAAGGGAGCCGAGGGATATCATGACCACTTTCGCGTTCTTGGTCGCGCAGCCCATGAAGACGGGGCGTAGGAGGTCGTCCGATTGCGGTCCATCTACAAGCCAACAGTGAAACAAACGCGACTAGTTTCAGAGTGCAGTCCCTTACCTCGAGCTAGGTTAGCTGTGGCTTGCTCCGGAGAGGAGCGCAGTATGGCCAGGGACTTCTCCGCGGCCTATGCTCTCATGTTAGTATACACGCGTGCTACGTGACATTGCGGTAGTATCAGCACCTCGCGGACATCAGGATGCTTTCTACGCGTTTCGCTGGAAAGAGACTGAGAGGAGATCAACTTCAGGACACACACAGCCTATGTATTCCGCACCTGGAGTTCCGTAACCAGAAATGCCAACGAGCTCATGTGGGATAGAAGTTGTATCACTTCCTCCTAGAATTCTTGCCAGAGCCAAGCGCACCAGGGTCAAGGATAACGCGACAAGCTGCACGAACACGAAGAGGACGAGGAGAACGAGGACTTACAGCCTGAGCTTGGCTTGAGCCGCAGTGGCAATGAGCGTCAGTGCGGATCTGGCCGGGATCTCGGCGACCCAGTAGTCGGCCAGTCAAACTCAATTGAGTCGTACACATTGCTACGGTAGAGGCCGTTTACGAGCCCAAAGCTCTTCAATGTCACTGCTATAGATACAGAACAATGATTAAGATCTAATAGTAAGAGCAAGATTGAAGAATGATGTCCAGGATGAGTGTGCTTAGGTAATAATTACCAAATCGGGGACTCATCCCTCGGATCCCCACTCCCAATGTACCCTGTAGCGGCCTACAGGTATGTATACACAAGTATGAGATGTCAAAGTACACGAAAGATATGTTTTCATGGCCATGGAAAGAGTAACAGCTGTTCAATAGCTTGCCTTTTTGAGACCCAGGTTGGCCGGGATCGTGGATTCGTGGCCCGATCCAATGCCGAGATGTTAGCCCGATTTAGAGTGCCGCCCTGATCGGTCTCCAAATTCCTGCATTTAGACGCACGTGGGCCCCGACTGCTCCTCCGCCACAACTTCACTCTGAGTGCTGAGACACCTGAGCTACAGCCTACATAGACTCCACAACATTGCACTTTATCATATACTCGCAGTGCTTTTGCGATATCCTGTCAGCGGCGCAGCCCTAACTGCGCTACGTTGTCGCTGGATTAGACTGACCTAGAAAGGCTTGCAGTGGAAGGACTGGCCTGTCTTTAGCCCCGCACAGACTCTTGGGAAGTCGCAACGCAGCTCGAACATCACTGCCCATGAGCGACATCAACGTCACAGATGGCCCTCCTCACGCCAGCGGTAGCGGACTCAAGCTCGTTCTCCCGTCTCTCAAGTCCGTGCAAGCTCTCAAGGGTCAGAAACGAAAGAAGAGCATCGGTTTCGTCCAGGATGAGCCGAAACCCAAGAACCCGAGACCCATCAAGCTCAAGCCGCTGAAAGAGGTGCTTTCGAAGCTGATTGTGCAGATAAAGAAGTCAGTACTATACATCGCACGGACGGCACAGAGACTAACGCCTGCTTCGTCAGGAAAGACGACTACGCTTTCTTCTTGCAACCTGTCGATACCACGAAGGTACTTGGCTATGCGGACCTTATCAAGCGTCCCATGGACCTCGGCACGATGACCACAAAGGTCGAGAAGGGGAGGTATCGGTCGCTGGAGGAGTTCGCCGTGCGTCCTTGCCTCATACCCGCCTGATACTCTCTGACGCCCTCTACAGGATGACCTGAGGCTAGTCACAGCGAACGCAAAGGCATTTAATCCTCCAGGCACCATCTACCACACGGAGGCCGACCGCATCGAGGCCTGGGGACTCGACCACATCTCGAAGGCCGCCGGGACTGTGATCGAGTACGAGACTGACTGGAACATTGACGTCGAACGGGACGACGAGCCTGAGGATGGAGAGAGGGACCAGGAGCGCGCAGGGGACGGGGAGAAGGGCACACCGATGGATGTGGACGACGGAGGATCGGTCGTCAGTGCGCAGACGCCGGTAAACATGCAGTCCGGCAAGCGGAGGGCGGGTGCGAACGCGAAGAAACCGCCGGGTGCGCTTTCGGAGAGCCTGGAAGCAGACGGGGGACTGCCTGGCGCGAAGGATGGGCTCGGCGCCTTCCCGCCAGGATCAGACTGGGCAGAGCTGATGCTCGCGCTGAAGCTGAAAGGTGTGTCGCCTTGGAATCGCTCGCTGTACGATGCTCATGATATACAGGCAAGCGATACCGGACGAAGAAGGAACGTCTGCGAATGGAGCGAGGTGGCCCTCCATACAGAGCAGATGGTAGCCTGGACTACACCGAACTCGAGGATCCGTTCTCCGTCCTCCAAGTTCTCGTTCCAGATCCCCCTGCGCGCCCGCTTCTCACGCCTCTCTACCCTCCTGCTCCATCCGCCGAACAGCCCACTCAACCCAATCAGCCATCCACTTCCACACTCCCGCCATTCCCCACGCCCGTCACCGTACCTACGTCCCCGGCGGCACCTGAACCCAGCATTCCTTCCTTGAACGCTTCATCGACTCCAACAAAAAAGCGGAAACGTCGTCATTGGACGATCGTGCGCAACGCACCTTCTCGACGGGCCAAGGAGCGCGAGGACGAAGACGAAGAAGAACCGCCTTGGAAGGCCCCACGGATACCCTCCGCGAGTGACTATGGCTCGTTCGCCGAGCTCCAGAACATCTTGGCCACTGAAGGCGCCGCAGCCAACGTGAACGACCTCGGCTCAGAGCGGAGGCTATTGGAGGCCATACGCACGAGCGTCGAGGGCGCGAGCGCACGGAACAAGGGCAAAGACGTAGACCGGGGGCAGTCCAGCGCAGCAGACGACGACGACAATGCGTACTGGAGAACCCACGGCGACCCGGCACACGAGTATATTCGCGACGTCGTCTACGGCGGCGTGGACGGGTACGCCTACGCGCGGAGCATCGCGCAGTTCGTCCACCTCGATGAGCCGCTCGAAGACACATCCGGGCCGCCCACATACGACGCGCTCGGCATGCCCCTCGCGCACTACGTCTCGCAGCACGTCCTCGACCCCCTCACAGGCGGGCTCCACAGCGTCCTCGCGGACGCCTTCAGCGCGCTGCACGACCCCGTCCACCAAGCGCACGCCCCCGAGCGCGTGCGCGCCCAGATCGCGCTCTCCCTCCAGACGTTCCCCTCCGCCGCCCGTGCACTTGCAGCGCTCTCCGCGCGGCTCGACATGACCCCACTCGTGCACGAGCCAGACGAACTTTATAGCGTCGAGGCGCACTGGGCGGGCAATGTGTACCGCGAGGAGAAGCGCCGTAGGGAGGAGGAGGAGCAGGCGCGGGGCGACGCTGCGGCGTTCTTGCGGTTCGCGATCGAGCAACACCAGGAGGCGCAGGCGCAGACACAGGGGCAGGGGCAAAGTGCTAGCGGGGATACGGCGAAGGCGGGCGCTGCGCAGGAGGACCCGGAGGTGTTGCAGTATGTGCTGGGGCTCGTGGCGGATACGATCGAGGGGATGATCAACGACAGGACGGGAGTGACCGCTGGAGATGGGGATAGAAGCGAGGCGGACATGAAGGACGCGACTATGCATTCTCCGCAACCCTCGGGTGACGATGCCCGGGCAGTCTCATCGGGGATCGACGTCGATGTCGACATCGACATGGAGCCCAAGGACGAGCCTTCACCATCTCCTAAAGTTGAAGCTGATCAGAGCGCGTCGCTCGCACCCGCGCAGAAGAAAGAAGAGAGATCGTCGCAGTCTGCCCCTTCATCCCCTGCACAACCCGACGCGCCATACCAAGCCACTGCGCCGCAGGCGTTCCCCATTCCAAAGGTCGAAGTCGCCGCCGCAGAGGACCCTGCAATGCGAGCTCTTCGTATGAACCTGCTCGGTCTTGCCAAGCGTGCACCCCTACAGGCCATCGCGCCCCTGCCCGCTGCTTTGGTGCCTGAGAATCTGAGGAGTGTAGTTCCCTTGCTTCCAACATGATTTTATCTCATGTCCTTTGATGAAAACATGGCGAAGAAGCAAAGGTCTGTACGCTTTATGTTGTGGCCCAGCACACCTAGCACACGTTATGATGCATTTAACAGACGATGGAAGACAGTATATACTTATGTCGCTGTAGGTGTCTAGGTCGACTCTACGAGTAGGGATGTGATATGCATCGCATCAATCATGATTCACTGTCTTCAACACCGCTGCCAATAGCCACATCGCTCACGGGGTCCTCGAAAGTCAATGTGTCGGTCCAGAGGCTCTAGTCATCCAGTGGGTGTATGGCGGCGTTGTGACGGGACGGAAGCCCTCTGTCATCAAGTTTTTAGTGGCAGTCCACCTCGCCTCGAACTGAATACCAAAATTCCTTCCGTGCCATTCAGGATCGGGTAAATTTCGCTGCAGTGGGTCAGAACAGACAACATTTGGGTGGGGGTGAGCCTCGTGCCAAACTCGGGTCATCTTGACAATGTCAATTCTTCTACACAACTAAGCGCTGTGGCGCACGCAGCATATTCGAACCCAGCGGCCGACGTTTACAGTCTACACAGCAGCCAGTGCCACGTCGACACCCAATAGTCTTGCGGAGCCTTCAGCGACTTTAGATGGAGAACATCGAGTACTACCCAACAATCGATGCCCCCGGGACAACGCGCGACGATCTGCCTTTCGCTTATCAGCTGCGACACCCCCCTAGCATGACGGAGGTATGTGACCAGATGCGCTTAAAGAAGGATTATGACATTAACGGGATTCCAAAATCTACAGGACGAACTCCTAGACGAAGTCAGGCGTAGCTTGCCATTGGACAAGCTTCCGCGAACCCTCATTCCTAACGCGCACCTACGCTGGCGGCCACCAACCATGCACTACGGATTCGACACAACGGAAGCAGTGGTGGAGGAATACGCCAAAGCACACAATCTGTCCTTTTACTATCCGAAAGAAGAGCCATCCGACTCGCTCCCTTCCGCCGCGGCGTCGGGCGACGGAGCTGAGCCCTCCTCCGATTCTACAGGAGGCGGTGTCGGAGCCTACAGCCCCAGCCGTACTTTCTACGCAGTCATGCGGGCCGTGGCCGATGAGTCGCAGATACGCGATGCGCGATTCATAGAGAATGCCCAAATTGCCTCGTGTCTGAACTCGGCGTCCGACCCCAGCGGTAGGGGAAATCGTTACGTTGCGTCTCTCTACACAAACTACGACCTCTTTTCGGATGAGATCTTCCCGTTGCCCAGAACAGAGGAGATCGAGAAGATGCGTAATATCCTGCGATCAACGCTACCGACCGGATGGTACCTCGAGGCCCGTAGCTGGCGATGGCAGTAGTCCTAGTTGAATAGCTACGTTTGTCGTTCTGATCTTCGGAACAGTGAACAGGATATGTAATGGATGGCATCTCAGAGCTAGCGTAACGTCGCTCGTTTCCAGTCATAAGTCTGCTGTGCTTGATACCTGTGTCTTGTAAGGATCACCCGGGGCACATTGGATGGAGAGCAGAGGACAAGAGAGAGGATTACGGGACTTGGTCAGTGCGGTCCGAGGAGAAAGGCGTGACACGCACCTCGTAGTAGAACCCGCCCTTCGAGTCGGGGTAGTCGAAGAACTGCGAGTAAGCCTCTCCGTGCCAAAAGTCCATGTTCGCGATTTCGAAGTTGGACCAGACTACAATCCGAACAGCACACGTAGATGTTCGGACCATCCAATTTCGGCCAGGCACAAGGATGTGGCGTGGCATGACAGGGCGGGGGCGAGAATGCCAACAATACAATGCGGGAAGAACAGCATCTGTCAGTAACTTCCCCCGGCACCGAGACATAAGAAGCACGCACAGTGGCACAGGTTATACGTCGCCCCACCATCCTCGCTCATGTAGTTCATGGCATTGTTCTCTTTCACGTACTCCGGGTGCAGCCCCACGAACTCCTTGACCGTTGCCCACAGTGTGGGGATAGTCGCCAAGTACTCGTACATCGTGATCGTGAATGCGTACACCTTGTTGTGGTCTTCCATGTACCGGAACGGATCAAAGCTGACGTCGCATCTGAAGTGCACGTCTGGCTCGACGCGCCAGTACCACTTGAATTGCTGCAGGAGAGGATGGCGATAGAAGAAGCCGGAGTTAAAATGACACATGTTCCTGTAGGACAAGTGGGACCGCATCCAGTGAGCCGTCATTTGGTGTGAAGGCGAAGAGGAAGTGAGGAAGGAGGGTGTATGATCTGACGAACTTGAAGATGAAGTGCGCATCTGTCGAACGTATAGCTGCTTGGTGCTGCTGCCATGTCTTGGCGTAACTTATACTTTGCTTTCCTCTCCATGTTTCGTTTGCTTTGCATCGTCTCGCGGCGACGGTGAGACTGATAGATACATACAAGCTTGCAAAATGTACATATCATGCATGACATCCGGTTACGACGCAGAACCGTTTCCCGTAAGTCGCTCGGTTGAACGATGGTGTTCAGCCCCAGGACGAACGAATGACAATTGATGGCGCGATGGCTTCAGGAATGTGAGCTCTGTTATGCTACATGATGCGAGTTGACGGAGTGAGTAGGTTTGAGACGGTGTTCAGACTGGCGTACTAACTGGTGTTACTCAGGCCTGACTACGAGAAGGTAGATCTCAGTCTCGTAATACCCTTCACATGGAGGTGCTTTCATTGATTCTGAAGCTAGGAAGGCGACTCACGCGTCGCGTTGAACTGTAAGTATGTCGCCCCCAGATTCTAGGCTGTGCCACGAGCGCGACGCGCGTCACGACCTCTCGCGGTGGACTTATCTGCCATGTCACGCCCATGCCATGTTGACGGCGTTGTTTTTCAGGATAATATTGGTAGGCCTTTGGCATCGGCATATAGGCCTCCCCGGAAGCAAAGTAGGAACCCGACGGTGCCCACGACACGTAATACAGTGAATTAGGACTATGAGGTTGATCTTGATTTTCTTGGCACTCGCACTTATGACGGTCGTTATCACGGAAAATTACTTACTGATAAGTCGTACAGGAAATCGTACTTTTCGTCTGTAGTCGGCGCTTAACTTCGTACACTTCGTACTTAGATGTGCCGACTGTCGTACACATTGCCCTAGCTGAGGTAGAGTATAATTCTGCACTGCTCGGTCATAATCTGATATTCGACTCCCTACAGTGAATATGTAAACTCGTCCTGTAGAGATATACATTGGTACTTCAAACATGGAGCTTTGGTCAGCCTATTCGTATGTGCGACCACATTTCCAGTGTTCGCCAATAGTGAATCCCTACTCGTGAATCTCGGTCTGTACGGATTCCCTGGACTATGCGAGGTGGGTCGCTTCTTTGGTTGGAGCTTCGGTCGACCTACCCCGAGTCGTGGCTGATTGTATTTCCGACCTTTGCCAGGAGTCGCAAATCTTTCTCCTCGGTAATCTCAGTCTTTGCGTGTTTCAGGGACTGCACGATGCTGAAGTTTCTGTTCTCCTTAGAATCCTCGCATCGATTCCAGTGATCGAAGCCGAAGACCACTGTAGGCGAGGTCGGTACGAGGTGTGTGCTTATTTGTTCGTGATGCCTCGTGGGCTTACCTGCTGCCCCTATTACTAGAGGTCGCTGTCGTCGTCAGCCAACGAGTCGACTTAGGCTGCCCGCCTTCCCCTGCAACACTCGGATCGTCACACCTGGCCTAGTGTCCCCTCAGTCGTCGAGTTCCTCTCCATCTTACTCCCCTCTGAGCTCGTCCGAGTTGACAGCTTGTCGCCTCTCAAACAACCCTATCGGTGAGCTCTGCCCTCTCACGATGGATTAGCTGTCGAGTTCCTGACACCGAAGTGCCTCCAGTCGCCCACTGTTAATACTTGCCAAACCTCGTGAGTGCCTCGAACTTGTGTATCGTTTCCATACATGCCCCTGACCTCGGACTCTCTCAAGATTCATTGCTCGCAATATTCACTGTTGCATACTATTCTCTCCATAATATCGGTGAGTGCCTTGCCAATCGTTCTGGATGCTTTGCTCATATCCTTAAAGGTCGTCTGGCCTCTTCATCGACTTGTGGGTTTTTCTCGTTCTTTGCTACCATCCGAGCTGACCCATCGCTTTACTAGAGTTCACTGTATACTTCAAGCTCCGAGTCTGGTTCTTCGTCGCTGCCCTGCAGCTATAGTTCATTTACGACACTTCAGATTCACAGTGAGTATCCATGCTCTCCCAATAGTCCTTCCTGTTGACGATACCTCTTAGCCTGCCATGGATAATCGCCCCCTTTCGCAATCCTCGCTCGACCCAGGCCTACTAGCTGGTTTCACGCCTGCCCAGCTTGCACAGCTTCGCCGGGCTCTCGACTCGACTCCGACAGCATCGTCGCCAGGCCCTCAGGGTCCCACCATGTCGTCGTCAGCTCCCAACACTGGACAGCCTGATGCATCGCCTGCTGCTGCGAGTGCTGCACCTCCGATCACGCCATATCACAGCCATCGGAGCCACCTGTCGTCGTCGTCGCTGGCCCCACCTGAACCTCCGCAACTCGCATTTTCGGCTGCCCCTGCCCCCCTGTTTCCTACTTATGGGTCTCAGCCAGCACCTTCGCTCGGCTTCCCAGGTGTTATGCAGGCTGCGATGCCACTTGCTGCCCCCTCGCCGACCCAGCCATTCGTCGGGTTCAATGCGACACAAGCACCAGGCACCTCGCAGCGAGTCAACATCGAGAGGCGAACATCAGCTGCTCGTAATGCAGCTGGTCCAAGTCGGCAGCCTCGTGGGGCGAGCTCGGCTCCCCGAGCGACCCGATCGCGACGCAGCCAGGCTCCGGTCGTCCCCCGGGCATACACAAGGAGATAGGCCCATGCCTGACTGAAGCTGGTCAATTGCGGCTCGTCGCTCATGTATACCCTCCTTCTGTAAGCCTTTCAGTTGATCAATCGTGGCTTACTTTGCTGAATCGCTTGCTGTAGCTCGCTCCAGATGCCGAATCGATGGGCTACAAGTTCCCCCTTTTCCAGTTTCGCTACTCCACCATGCGAGACTACCTCAACTCCTTCGGCCTTGCGCGCACGTATGAGCGCCCTTTCGAAACATCCATCGTCACTTTTGTTGAGGATATTATCGCCGATCTCAGGGCGTCACCTCTCGGCTACGATTTCGCCCAGGTACTCAATTTCTCGCAGCATCGCCACGAACAGCTCGAGCTTCAGCTTCTGTCGCTGCATAACAAGGGTACTCCCACCCAAGATGGACAGGCATGGCTCCATCGCTACCCTGTTGCACCAGACATGACCATCGCCACCCTCGCGTCGTCTATGTTTGTCTTGTACTTCTGTAAGCCTCGTCTCTGTATCCGGGATGGTGCACTTCATGTCTACTTCGGTATGTGTCCATTCCTTACTCATTCGCTGCAGGCACATGTTTACTCCAACTTCATTAGTCGTTGCCAATGCCCCAGTCTCGCTTCGCCTTCCCTCTGCCCTCCCCGATAGCCCGCCTCTTCCGCATACCTGCATTTCGGACGGATTCTATAATGGGCTGCCACGCGATGGGACGCCTGGATCGGGGCATGCTCGCGATAGCAATGTGCTCTGTGATTCGACGTGCCTAGCCAGAGACTCGGAGCTTACTAGTAGTAGCGACACCGATGACGAGGTTGAAGAAGCCCTTGGCCTAGTTGGCCCTACTAGTCCTGGGTTGGAGTCGCTCAGCCTCGACGATGGACCTGCTGGTCCAACTGCTCCTGCGGCAGTGTCCAATGCTCCGAGCCACCCCCGACAACGAGTATCGGCGCGGCTGCGCAGAGCTGGGCAGGCACAAGTAAGTGTCGTGCCTGTTATTCAGTCATCGCTGCTTAACACCTATGCAGCTATCATCGATCCCTGCTCTGCAGCGAACACAGACTATACCATGTTTCGTGCTGGACTTGATCCCTCCTCGACTGGGATGGTCGACTCCATATCGTCCGGCGTCTGGGTCCTACCACCCTGCTGTACGATGCGAGGCTCTAGCAGAGCTCAGGAATGCAGTTTTTGAGGCTGCATCTGATGGCCAGAGGCCTTCTTGTCGCCTCCGAATCGACGGTTCTGACGTGCCGCATATGGCAGTCATCTTCAAGGACATGCTTGGCCAGGCTGCAGTCAACGGCGACTTCACCCACATCCTTGCCATGAATCGATCGTTCCGCGCGTAAGTCTCTAGTGCCCCATGTGTTCCTCCTCGTGGTAATGCTCGTCGTTCTCAGCATACAGCACCACGAAGTTGGCGACCTGCCTCTTGTTGCGTCGTTCGGCGATGGGCTTGAACGGCAGACAATGATGGTACTGCTCGCAGAATTCTCTCGCTGCTTACCATCGTACTTCATGACGAGGCTTGGCGAGAACTCCAACGTCCTTGCTTGCCCTCCGCGAGCCTTGAGTCCTGCACAGAAGGAAGAGCTTGGGGCCCTCGGTGCCATCGTCGGCCTCTGCTTGGTGAATGGTATGGCAATCCCGAAGATCGCAGGAGAATGGTTGATCTATCTTCTCAATGGCTGCAACTTTGAGGCGATCACGCGCGAGGTCACACAGGCCTTCCATCCTCGTCTCGCAGCGGAGATCATCCAGCTCGACAGCATTGGGACGACTGGCGATCTCACACCATTTGAAGAAGACTTTGTCATTTACCTTGGGAAGCATGTAAGTCGCCGCACATGATCTGCTTTGTAGATGACGAGACGAGATTTTGCAGACTGCATTATACACGATTCGTGACGAAGAAACCCATGCTGCTTTTGCCCCAATGCTCCTGTACAAGGCTCTGCTAGGCGACGACACTGTTGCAGAGCATACCGATACTCGTGCTTTCCGCGCAGGCTTCGAGTTGCCGTGTCACAACGGGTTCACGTTGTCGAAGGTTCGTTAATGCAGCACTATCAGCCGAGGGACTACCTTTCTTACAGTCTTCTTCAGGCTGCTCAAGCATTCGCCGGTGGACCAGCTGCACTCGTGATGGCGGCCTGTTCGACGCGAATTGGCAGCTACGAAAGCCTCAAGCCTTACCTCGATATTATCGTCAAGCACACAGTCCCTCTTCCCCTGAAGACGATAGCCTTCGACGATGGGCGTGCCAGTCTAGGGATGTGGTCAGGGGCTTCCTCCAGCGCACAGGCATTCCCTGCGCTGCGTCGTTCGAGAGGAAGCGAGCTGCCGGGACGTTCACCTCTGACCTCGTTTCACTTGAAGAGATCGACTCTCCGAGCTTCCGCCCTCGCATGCTCGCCATCGCTGCCACTGGCTCCGACTCGATTGTGGGTAGCGAGAAAATCAAGGTTCGTACTCGCAGCAGGTCTGCATCGTTAGTATGCATATGGATCCTGAGTCGGTTTTCCAGATCACTTTCGTCGGCAATAGTGACGAGGCGTATGCCTGCCCTGTCGCGAGCCGCGCATTCTGCGAAAGGAAGGCATCGTCAGCTGGCAGACATGCTTCAAGGAGGGTGTCGTTCCGACTGCCTACCTCGCACAGCTCGTCCACGAGGTATACGATCCGAATTCGGTGGACAAGCCGACATCCCTCCTCAATGCAATCGACAGCTGGCTTCTTGAGGAATTGCTTTCTGCGATCGCCAGTCCCCACGGTGGTATCCTTTAATGTTCTCATTCAGTTCGCAGGTGGAGGCGGCTCGGGCCTGCTTTACGATCGTAGCGACGCCTGAGTCCTCCCGCCTTTTCCGCGCGGTCTTCGCATTATTCTACCTTGCTTACCATTTGCACTTCATTCACTCACATAATACTCGTCGTATGTTCTATCTCCTCGCCGCTCGCTCGCAGTATGCACTCGTAGTCGTACAGATTCACCCCTGGCAGTTTCGGGCTGCACCGTACCGATATGGCTTAGGAACAGAACATCTATGAAATCAATGTTGGCTCTGAACTATCGTGCTAATTCTCGCTCTGCAGTTCGCGTCCACCGTCGTTCCACCGGTCCTCGTTGCCGGTGCCGCCGCCGCCAGTGCGGAGCCTGCCTAGAGGTGGTCATGGAGGGGGCACGAAGTCGAACTTGGGCGCAGCACTCAAGGTGGCGAAGTGCATGAAGAGGCGGGCGGTAGCGGTGCAAACGGGGGTGCGCAGAGTTGCGCGCTCGCCAGAAAGGCTCGAAATCGGGCAACTCGGTCCCGGCGCGAGCGCGAGGCGCCTGCGGGGCGCGGCGCGGTTTTTCGATAAGCTGCTGGGCGCCGGGGGCGAGTGCCTTGGGCGCGGCAATGGGGAACCGGTGATTAAGGGCACCAGGAAGTTGGCCAAGCTGCCGCGGGGACAGCAGAAGCCGGCGTCCAAGGGGAGGATCTCGGCGCCGGCGAAGTCGCCGGTAGCGGGCAGGCTGAAATTCACGAGTTGCAGGAGTCTTCTGCAGGTGAGCGGGCGCGGCGCGGTGCGGTTGGAGAGCGCGTTGGGGCCAGCGGAAAAGGCGGTCCGCCCAGCCTCCCGGGACCTGAAAGTTGGGCGCCTGCGCGCGCGCAGCCAATGCCCAGCCAAGGCGGCGCATGCAACGCGCAGCGCGCAGGCGGCGGCGGCCACCAACCTGGGTGCTCCGGGGCAATGGCAAGCGGGCAGGCGCAGGCCGGTCGATTGGCGCTCGGGCGGGCGCGGCCAGGCTGCAGCCGGCGCGAACTAGAGGCGCGAGCTCGAACTCGCTCTGCTGGCCGCCGCGGGGAGGAGACCAAAGACTGCAACCGAGTCCTCCTTTGACGACCCTGCAGATGCGACCACCCGGGCCTTACCCCAACGCGAACATCGATGCAGGATCGCCGCCAGAAGAGCTGCGGCTGAGCATCAGCCAGTACCTCCAGAACCGCAAGCGCACCGCGGAGGTTGAGCCCGGGGTGCGCGCCGTTGCTGCCTGGCCGCGGCCTTCAGGAGGCGCCCTCAGTGCGCGCGTTGCGGCCCCCGGTAACCTCGCGAGCGGGGGCGCAGCCCGGCTCTGCCCGCGCGGGACCAGCCGCAGGAACTGGGCGGCGGAAGCCTGCACCATTGCGGCGTTGCAGCAGCCAGGAAGCCTCTGGATGATGGTGGCCTTCATCGCGAACCTGATCCAGTCGAGAGGGACGAACGAGATGATGCCCTGCAGGCGCGCAGGTTAGAGAATGCAGAGGGCCACAATGAGATAATCGAAGGCGCACCCAGTCCCAGGCAATACCCACCCAAGTGAGATTCCGTGGATACCAGCGAAACCCCAACTGGCGTACTCAGCGACGATCCTGGACACGAGCTGGATGACGCAGCGCGGCGGAAGAATCATTGCGAACGTGCGGTGAAGATGGGAGCCTGCGAGATGATGGCGACGTGGAGGTAGACAATCGAGTGAAGGACGCGGTCATTGTGGTTCGTCGCCTGCGTGAGCCTTGCGTGAGCCCGTTTTCCAACGTTACGCCGAATTTGTTGTAGGAGCTTTGCCTTCATGCAGGTAAATAGGGACGAGGGTGATGGTGGGCAGTGAGGTAGATACCGAAAGCGGTGGCATACGAGAAAATCTCGGCCAAGTCCCAACTGTCCGGGCTGGTCGAGAGCAGGACACGGTCGACAGAGAGGGTCATGAATATGGCGCCGTCGCTGAGCCAGAGTCTGCTAGGTGCACTGATGAGGTCGAGCATGGCGCGCGCGGCGAGTCCGCGTGAACGGTGCGTGTGAGCGGTCCATGCGTTAGCGCCCAGCGCGCTGCTCTTGCTGCATTCAGCTTGTCAAGGAATCACCCTCTACCCTCTCCCGGTCTCCCGCTCGCGCTCCTGACCCAGGTGGCCCTCCTCTCGAATCTGAGAACCTCCTCTCGACGTCCCGTGGTTCTGCGTGACAAGCAACCTAGCCACGCGAACCAGGTCTCTCGCGCAAGTCCAGCCTCGAGCGACAAGACTGTCCAGAACACGACGAGCGCAGAGCGGGGATGATGTGAGGAGGGAAGCATAGTAGGAGCACGGGCGCGGGGAGCAGGGAAAGCGAGCAGGAAGCTTGCTCCAAAATCGGCGGTACGCCTTCACCGGACGTGCCCACCCAGTCACTGCCGCCCCTCTCTTCGCCGCCGAACATCGCGCATTGGGTACGCCGAGCCTACCGCCCGACGTACGTGCTCCTGACGAACGCCCGCAAGCTACAGACGGGCCCGGGCGCCTCATCCTCCTCTCCTCCGCCTGTCTTCGTCACCGGGAGGCCCCTCGCCATCGCCCTCACCACCGGGTCCGAGTCGCCGCAGCCATTCCCCACGGCCGCGCCCCGCAGGCTGGTGCAACACACAGATCCTGCAGACAAATTTGTCGCGTTCCAGCGCAGGCATGCCGCGTATGTAGCTCCGTAGCCGGGTTTTCGCATGGAGACTGACCCGCCGCGATTGCGCTCGCAGTGTAGCAAAATGAGCTGGCCGAACGCCCGCTCCCTCAGGCTCTTCTTCCACTCCCTGACCACCGCATGCGCCCGCTCCTCGTCGGATGCACGCTCCTCCACTACTACCCCCAACAATGCTGTCAAGTAGACCTCGCCATCCGCGATGCCGGCCGGAGCTGATGGCTTTTCGCGCCGCCTCAAGATTACCGCTACCTCCTCTCCCCGTCCTTCATCCCGACACCAGGCAGGCCCATCTGCCGGCAGTCCAAGCAAACTCTACAACCCCAATGCCGCCAGCCCCCGACGAGTCATTATCACCGCCGAGCCAGAAGCCGTATCGGACGCCGCGGCGGCTGCGCCGAGCTCGTATGCTCCGCGGGGCCCCGCGCCAGATGAGCCGCGCCAGGCTGCTTACAAGTCCAGAGCGGCACCCGATTCAGATAGACAACTCTTCGATCAGCGTAAGGACGGCGTGTACGCAGCTCAGCCGGTTCTCCCCAACCACCGCCACTCCCTCCAGCTCTTCTAGTGGGGGGTTCACAGCACACGACCGCTCGCTCCTCTAACAAAACTTCATTCTTTACAATGCGTCGTTTACTCGTCGCTTCGGTTGCTGCGATCGATCTCGCGGGCGCATTCGCCCACCCCGGTGGCAACAGCAACGGCAATCAGGTCCGCCGTCGGAAGACCCTCAGCTTCGGCCCTGCGCACCCGCATGCGGTTTACCACGCGGACCCCGTCTACGCGTCCAGTGGGTTTGCAGACGCGACCAGCGACCCAATTGAGGTTGCGCAGCACTTCGCAGAAGAGCTCACGCGGGAGACGCCGCCTGCCAGCTCGTTCGTCATTCGGAAGGACTCCTATACGGACAAGAACACTGGCGTGAGCCACGTCTACGTGCGCCAGTTGTTGCACGGCATTGAGGTCTCCGACGGGGACATCAACGTGGACGTGAAGGACGGTGTCGTAATCTCCTACGGTGACGCGGTATGTAATGGCGTCATCTCGATGCACATCTTACTACCCACTCACATCGTCTGACTCTAAAGGTTTGCCGTGGCTGAGCCAGATCCTTTTGTGTCTGGTCTCGTGCGCGGCCTTCCGGATGCGCATTCGGAGCCCTGCGCCGACTTCTTCGGGGAGCTTGAGTCGCGCGCGGAACATCTCGAGCAGCTCATGGAGGCGCATGAGGCTCTGGGAATATTGATGCAGAGCGAGCAGGTCACGCCCGGCAACAGCAAGCCAGCCGCGCTCATTGAGCAGGCTCTCGGGGATCTCCCGTGGCTCAGTAGAACTGCGAGCACGCCAGCGCGCCGTTCTTCATGGCGAACCACCATGCGTTTGCGGACCAGGAGGATGCGCTGGGCGACCCGGCGTGTGCGCTGCTCCAATTCATGATCGCGGCGACGCCGAACCAGGCGCTGCCGAACCAGGCGCTCACGGAGGACCTCACGGAGAACTGTGCTGCGCACCTTGAGAAGATGCAGTCGACCTGGGAGCCGCGCTTCGTCAGTGGTCGTGGCACGATCTCCGGGCTTGTGAGCAGCGTCCCGGACGCCGCCAACCCCCTCAAGGCGAAGGCTGCGTTCATCCAAGTGCCCAACGGCGACTCGATGTCCCTTGAGCTCGTTTGGAAGCTGGGTTTCCGTACCGGATGTGGCGTGGCACGGTCCAATTCCTGGCGACCGGCCGCAGTTCGAGGTCGAGATGCAGGGCAACTGGTACGAGGCCGCCGCGAGCGCCTCCCAGCCGCATCGTCTCATTTCCGCCGTCGGCTGGGCATCAGACTCGCCGGTGTCGGTTGCTCCCATCCCGCGCAGGCGAGTTGCTGGTATTCAACTTCACGTAGGTCCCGAAGAAGACGAAGAGGGAGGATGTGCTTGATGAGGCGCAGAAGTACGCCAACGCGACAGGCACCCAGTTGTTCTACACCAGCAACCTCGTGCATGATCTGTACTACCGGTACGGCTTCGATGAGGTCTCGGGTAACTTCCAGCAGCACAACTTCGGTCGCGGTGGCGAGGAGAACGATGGCGTCATAGCCAATGCTCAAGACGGCAGCGGGTACAACAACGGTTAGTCATAAGTAGCTTAGTGGAGAACGTGCAACTCATCCTTGTTGCAGCCAACTTCATGACTCCTCCTGACGGTCAGAACGGTCGTTGCCGGATGCACCTCTGGAATACTGCGAACCCGTACCGTGCGGTGATCTTGAGGCTGGCATTGCGATCACGAGCTCTCGCGCGGTCTCAGCACGCGTCTGGCGGGTGGTCCTGCCACCTCCGGCTGCCTCGGCTGGGGTGAATCCGGCGGCATGGGTGAGGGCTGGGGAGACTTCCTCGCCACCACCATCTGGAGCAATGCGGACTGCGCACCCCACCCTCAGCGAGGCGTTCAAGGAGGCGGCGATGCCTGCGTCCTGGAAGCCGATCCACTTGGGACAAGTTAGAGGCGATGGTTTCGGTTGAGTGTCGTGTTTGTTGTGCTCTCTAATACATCGACTCTAATACATCGATAGCATGTTTGTTGTTGACCATGCGCTTGAGTGCTTTTTGCACCGCGCGCGTGCGAGGAGTGGGAGGTGCGAATGCGTGGACTCGAGGACGGGTTCGCCGAGTCTGCAGAGCCTGCCAGCAGAGGCGATCACGAAAGAAATGGACGAGTGCGCCGCGTTGGGCGTACGCGGTCGCGTTTGATGTCTTCCGCCATAATTAGCTAAGTACTCGGGTCGTCGGCGTGAACGGTGGTCGCCAATAGTGTGCATGCGAGCATACAGTGCGCCGTTCACTTCCGCGTGCAACCACGTCCACCGAGTCGCCGCGGCGCGGCGCGGCGCCCACGAGGGATGAGCGTGCCGCACCACCCTCCCCGACCATATATCCCTGCACGCGAGAGACGAGCGTGCCCGCCCGCCACGTCCATATCTGGACGTGACCATATCCGGCCATATCCAGCGCCTCCGACCCGTCGCGCGCGCGACCCACACCGCCACCACCGCATTCCCCGCTGTCCAGTCCACCGGCGGTCGTACAGGTCGCCCGTCACCCAAGCCGCCCCGCATCCGCTGTTGTCCACGGTGCTACCGTTCCGCAGCGCCGCTTGGAGGGCGCTGCGGGCCAGAGGATGAGTGTCCCCGCTGTCGATGAGTCCCCTCCGAGTCTGCGGCCACCCGTCGCCGCTGCCCCCACCCCTGCGCTTCGATAGTCACCCGTCACCCGTGTCAGTCCCTGCCACCCTCCACAGCCGACTGTTCCGCTTCGCGTTCGCTGCACGAATCCAGTGTGCACAAACGGCATCCCGTCGACTACTCACCCTAGTCTCGGGTCAATCCTCCTCTCAGTCATCTTTTTTGGGCAAGAGATCACACGAGAGGTTGGCACGCGGACTCGAGCATGACACAAGCCCCACGTAGACACACCAAAACGCTGTTAAAAAGGCGTCGCTCAGGCCTGCCACGGCTTAGTTGCGTCCGCAGCGGGCAGGCGTGGCTTGAGCAGGGTGTGGAAGCTTGGTTCGCTCACAGAACCTCTCGCGCGAGTCCCTCGAAACCTCTCAGGCGAGTCCTTCGAGTTCAGCAATGGCGAGCACAAGCTACCGGGTGTCAATTATGCCATCGGCGGTCTCGGCAACCAGACACAACCCCATCGCGAAGAGCGTCGATGGGCTCGAATGCATGGACTCCAGGACGGGTTCGCCGAGTCGCGGGACACGCCGACGCGTGCTTCAAGGGACCCCGACTAGCACAAGGACGGTACATAGCGAGGAGTAGGGCGAGGAATAGGGAGATCTGCAGAGAGGAGAGGAGAGTCTACACGACTCCGGTGAGTATTACGGACCATCACCCACCACCCCCTCACCCTGGCCTCCGAGTTACGCGCGCCCCGAACTTGACGCGCCCTGTTCTCGTTCAGCGCGCCCACCGCCTCGCCACCCATCCGCTCGCTTGGCCATCAGCATGCGCACCGGGCGCAGGAGCCGCGTTCAACGCGCCTGCGCCCCTCTAATTTCAAGTCATGCCCACTCGCCAAGTCTCCGTCCGCACCCCGATCGTCTTTGCTCGCAGTAGGCGGCCTCTCTGTCCAGTCACCACTCCAACCACCCACGCTCCCGCCGCCCTCCTCACGCCCTGGTCACGCGGAATCGCCGCGCGCTCGGTAACCTTACTAGTACCGCCCCCACTGCCTACGAGTTCGAGGTCGAGCGACCGCGCGACGTCAAACCCATCGCGCAGAGCGCGCCTGCGCACTTAGCCAAGCACCCAGAGGACGAACCGACGCTTGGGTGGATGGCCGCGAAGGGACGACTGGCGCAGACGGAGGAGAACTGGAACGACTCCCGTGAGTACCGAAGTCGCTCGCCCTCAACCTCCCTCTCCTCTGCGCCGGCGTTCCGCATATCCTTCCTCACTCGACCCGCCTCCACGTCCGCCATCTGTTCACGTCCGTACTCTGCACGTCAACCTCGAGCTACGCGCCCCCGTCCTCGTCCGACTCGCATCTGCCCGTTCAGCACGCGCCGGATGCAGGACTCTCCGCTCGGCGCGCCTGTGACCTCGCAGTGTCTCACCCAGTCGGCGACCCACCAACATGATCGCGCCGGCGCGCCCAGTAGTCCGTCCCTGTCTCCCCGAGTGCGCCGTGTTGGGCGCATGCAATTGCGTTCGATGTGGACGGGGGCGGCCACGATCAGCTACTGAGGTTCACGCAGGGACCCCAAGCTGAGTGAGCAACAACTGCACAGGTTGTACCGCTCGCCTGCCACTCCAGCCGCATCCCTGCAGAGCTCGGCAGCAAAATTCAGCCCGCAAGCATCCATTGTAACTCGGTTCGCCAGTTTCCTCTTCTCTGCGGCTCGCTCGTTCTTGATACTGTTGACAAGGCGGACCCCAGGCTCGCCGCACTCGATGCGTCCACACTGCTCCTGCGCTTCGCATGGTCGCGACTTCCCCGGCCTCGCCTTAAACCAAATGAGTTTCACATCGGACTTCAACTTCCGCGATAACCACTGGCTCCCGACTCTCGGTGCGCCTGCGAGGTCATCTCCGTCATTTCGTCATCTCCATCGCCTGCCGACGTCGTCTGCGGTGGTCGCTGCTAGCCATTCATCTTCGTCGACAATCCGCGGACATGCTCATGAGCTCACTCAGCAAATGCCTCGCAAGCGGCAAGGTCCCGACCGGTGCAGACTCGCCGCCTATGACGACTCGTCCGACAAGCAGCAGCCCAGTGAGCAGGTACCGGCGGGCAGGAACTGGCACATCGAGCGCGATGCCGTGACTAAAGCGAAGCGAAGCGGACGAGGCAGGGGATGTCGAGGCAGAGACACGCCGCGGCGAGCGAAACTCCGCGTAAGCCTCTCCGTTTGGCGCTGTGATACTCGCTCTGACCGTCCCATACGGGCTGACTAGGCGAGGGCACAGATGGCGCGAACGTGGGTGTGCGGACGTGCCGTACATGGTGGCTGACCGGTGAGTGGCCAGATGAGCAGTGAAGTCTGCATTTCCGGGCCAACGCGCCTGCCGGGCGCGTGCAGTCTCCAAACGGTCGAGTGCCGGACCGGGTGCTTTTCGGCATGCCAGTGTCGGAATGATGACGTGCGGGGACGGTTCAGCGGTACGCGACCTCTGTGCCGCGCTTGGTTTGGTCACTGACCTATGTGCAGTATGCGTCACCTCGCCCAACCGGGAGGATGTTCGCTGCGCTCGACCGGGGCCAAATACAAATGTCGGACTGATTCGGAGCTCATCAACCTTGCGCGGAGACACCGACTCACACGCAGAAGACGCGCAGAGTTGAGGGTGAGCACGAAGAGAGCCAGGAAGTCGGCAAGGGACACGATGAGCGGCCACGCAAGACTGCCCGGTAGGGAACGCATACAATGTGCGAGACGAAGGCCGAGAACAGATCGAGGAGAGAACGGGAGTGAGTGTCGACGCTGACCAGTGCATGTGGAGGCGCCGCTAACGTCGGTGGGCAGACCGGGATCGCGGCGGGCGAATACCAGCCCGTGAGCATCCCGTTTGGTGCCCTCTGACCGGGGCAAATGGGCTGGAGATTCGACCGGGCGAAGGCAGACGCGCCGTGAGCTCGTGCCGCGCAGCGATCGTCGAGGAAGGAAATGGTGATCGACAGCAAGTGCGCCCGACGCGTTGCGGTCGCGCGTGCAGCTTGACCGGGGCAGATCGTAACTTGACATATCTTCCAGGAGGCATCGTACAGGTTTATGGTTCGTACGTAGCACGGCACGCTGCGAGTCGGCGGCGCGAGTACTTGGCACTGGTTGGCCGGGACACCCGTGCTCGGCATCTGCTAACCAAGACTGCTAGCTTTTCTGCTCGGAACCGGATCGGAAACGGACAAACATACCCTATGAGATATGGCTGGGCACCCGAGTGCGTCTCGTCGTTGACTGACCGGCGTGGATATACCGCTGACGTCGGTGACCAGACCGGATACTGCGACGAATGTGTATCCGCGCATGAGCGCTGAGTCGACCGGGGGTAGGCGGATATGACGCGAGCTTCGGTAGTGCAGCGATCGTTGAGGGTGAATGACCGGTAAGTCATCCGGTAAGCGGTACGATCTGCGCGTCCAGGCCACGCGCCCTGACGGGCGCGCGAGTGTTGCGCGCGCAGGCTGTTCGGGGCAGCCCAAGTCGGAACCAAGATCGGCGTGGAGGTGGACCCCCGCGGCCGCATCGTGATCGACGACGAGTACACCACGTCCATCTCTGCCGTGAGGTGCATGGGCGACGTGACCTTCGGGCCCATGCTCGCGCACAAGGCCGAGAAGGAGAGCATCGCGGCGGCAGAGTGCATCAAGGCGGGGCACGGGCACATGAACTACCGCGTGATCCCGGGCGTCGTGTGCGTGCACCCGGAGGCGGCGTGGGTAGGGAAGACGGAGCAGGAGCTGAAGAAGGCGGCGGCGCAGTACACCGTCGGTAGGTTCCCGTTCCAGGCGAACTCGCGCGCGAACGCGGGCGTGGGCGTGGGCGGGCGGGCGAGTTCCTCGTGGAGAAGGAGGACTGACTGCATCCTGGGGCTCGTGCTCGAGTGCGGCGTGTGCGCGGAGGACGTCGCGAGGACGCGCCACGCGTACCCGACCTCAGCGAGGTGTTCAGGGAGGCAGTGATGCCTGTGTCCTCGAAGCCGAACCACTTGAGGAGCACAGGGGTCAGTGGAATGTGGAGGGCATGCTTGCTGCGAAGATCGAGAGTGCGAGGCAGGTAGTCCCTAGATACTTACCCCATCCTTGTTGTTGGCACGAGCATCTAGGGTTTTGCTGAAGCTGCAGTAATGTCTACTCTGTGTAAATTGAGAATATTGCTAGCTATGAAGACGAGTGATGAGTTACGACTAAATGCAAATTGGGCAGGGATTGACACTGCAGTTGTAACCGTCATCGAGGCAGAGGGTGCATAGTTCATCGCCACAGCTGCTCTCGACGTCATCCTCCATACTCTCCACCCATTCCTTCTCCGCAGTCGCAAAATCCTCACCCTCAACATACTTCTGCCAGGTGGAGGCAAGGCGGGTACTCGTAACAAAGGCGATGCCAGCCTGCGCGAAAGGCGGAACATCTTCCTTCCGATCCGAGCTGTAATCGAGCAGACTCGTGCCATGGTCGTGCTCAGGCATCCACGCGATCATCGTGTTGGGAGCCTGGCATACCTTGATGCCATAGACTGCCTCGTAGAAACTCCCTCCTGTCATACCCTTGCGGCGAGAAGTCGTCCACGAGAACGCCCATTTCTGGGGCTGTTTCTCTCGATGAATGGCACTACAAGATATGCATCAGGACCGATCCAAGGAAATGCTGTAAGAGCACTTACCGCGCATAGTTACAACCAGCCACACCTGCAGGCGGTGCGAGTTCGGCATCATTGAACTCGACGTACTCGTCTCCGCACTCCACCATATAGATGCCTTTCGACTCCCGCGACTTCGAATTGGCGTCCATGCGACCCATCGAATTCTCGGAAAGGTACAACTCGAACGGAGCGAGGACCTCCTCAGGAAGGTGTGACTGGATCAGGTTCCAGAAGAGAGCAAATACTGATGATACGCGGAAGTCGTGCTCCCGTATGAATTCTGCGGTGTGTTTGGAGGAGCGGAGGTTCCGAGCCCAGTCGTACAGAGGGTGGCTGCGAGAACCAGCAGTGTAGCCGAGAAGCACAAGCTTCCCCGGGTCCTCGAGCTGGTGCACAAGTGTCAATAACGAGCACAAATGAGACTCAAATATTGCCTGCTCACCCTGACTGATCTTCTCATATCAGCCGACTGCTCTGTCTCGCCATTTGCGTATGCCAGAACCTTCTTGTCCTTACAGAAGTCCCGGATTATAATCATGACGACCTTGCCTGTTTTCCTGTCCCGAAAAACTACACTCTCCTCCTCGTGCACAATGTGTGCGAGCTTCGAGGGGTCCTCCACGGCAATAGGGTGCCGTGTGTGGCGCCTGTCCGCCTGCTTGCCCTCCTCGATTCGAGGTCTCCACTGCTCGGCTGTCTCGGGCGACTCAGCAACCCACCAATGGTAGTCGGGGTATGGCTTGGTGAGTGGGTCAACAAAAACCTCTGTCGTGTTCTCGTCGAGCCAGGCTGCCTTGCCGGCCTCATCTAGCCTCCGCAGGTGCAGGCGCGCAGCGAGATCCCTGCACATCTCCTCCCGCACTTGGGTGTTCTGCTTACGCAGGACAAGGGCCTGCTCGAGTTGATTCGGAAGTTGCTGGGCCCGGGTATGAGCACACCATCCCAAGAAACCAGCAAAGAGGTCGCCTGCGGGGGAAGGAATGCCAAGGGAGGCGAGTCGAAAGTGTAGTAAAGCTGTGAGTTGTAGGCGGGGATAGGGATTGCTCGAACGAGCAAGTAACTCGAGAGCAGCCGCATCGCCACTGATGTCTTCGATGAGAGCGGAGTATGCTGCTTTCCGGGCCTCTTTCTTTTCTTTCCGCGAAGGCATCGTGAGCCCTGAATGCAGATGAATGAGCTCTGCGTGAGCGGAGCCAGTGGGCGCACCGCGCGGCCTACATCGTCACATGACCGAATTGGTGGTGCCACGCTCGCCGCTGGGCGGCTCCGAGTCGTTCTCCTCACGCGTTGTCGCAAACAGCCACGCGTACCGAGCCGCAGATCTTTTGGCGGCGGTCATGCGTCGATGTTCGCGTTGGGGTAAGGCCCAGGTGGTCGCATCCGCATGATCGTCAAAGGAAGACTCGGCTTCAGAAGATTTTGGTCGCTCTTGCCCAACTCGCAGCAAAGCAATGGGAGCTGCACGTTCAAGCGTTCAAAGGCTGAGGTATGTACTTACTCCGCAGAATTATGCTGCGCAATGCTAACAACTGAGCTATCTCACAGCCTGCTTCCATTTTCAGCAATGGTTGGGTCCTCCGCGCGCAGCGCCCGCCTGCCTCGCAGCCGCCTCGGCGACCCCGCTCTCAAATAGTGCCAAGCAGCCTACTCGCTAATCGGCCACTTGCTAGCCCGCCTCATTCAGCCCTGGAGAGCCGGGGAAGAAGCTCGAGGGCACCGTGAACGCGCAGCTGCAGGTTACCCGCTGCAGCGGCCGGAACGCGCTCGCCACCCGCGCAGCCTCGCCGCCCCTGCACGCTGGCGCGCCCGCTTTTCGCGGCGCCTGGATGCGCTAGTCTTTGGTGGGCAGGGTGCAGGGGCACCGCCGAGTTGGGTGTCGCGCAGGCAGTGAGGAGGGAGGAGGAGCGGCGGAGCAAGAAGTTCGCACTTAGTCCCGTCAAGACAAGGTGCGCGTTCCCTGCACCATCCGCACTTCGCGCATTGCTGACCTTCCTGCAGCCGCAACAAAATCCGCCTCGGTGCGTCGCTCTCGTGCCTCCGCAAGCCGCCAATCGTGCCGGCTGGTCTCGCGCCCACTCCCGCCAAGGCTGCTTTCGTCGGCGCCGCCCTGGAGGCTGGATGCCGCGCCGAGCTTGCTGGCGGTGGCCGCACCAACGCTGCCGCACCCCGGGCGAAGGTGGCTGAGATCCAGAGCAAGTCAAGAGCCGCCTCGTCGCACCGTTGTGTTTGGATGGTGCATCATGCCACCTTGCGGGGATGGAGTTTCGAAGGCTCGTGGATTGACTTGAATGCGGTCCCTCCGGGTCTGGCCGCGGCCTCCCCGCATACTCAGGCTGCCGGCGCGTCGTGATTCCGGCTTCGAGGAATGTCTCCCGCAGGACAAATCCAGCCTAGGTAGCCTTCCGAGCCTCCCGGAAGAGCCTGGCGGCGGATCCACGAAGATCGAGCTGGCGCTTTCTGGGCGCTACGCTCCCCGCTCAGCGTGCACCTAGAGCTGCTGCATTGCAAGATTCTGCATGACCCTTAATGGACACCGACGGGGATCCTCCACCACTGGACTCGCCACGACCCCCGTTGGCTTTACTTCTGCCGAGGCGGCGACTCCGATAGCTCGTTCTGCGACACTGCAATATCACCTGAAGGCGACCCTTGGTCCACATTGCTATCCTCCGCCGCATACTCGGACCTTCGGAATTCATACAAATGACCCCTTGTGTGTTACCCCTATTCCACGTCCGCCTCGTCAGCTACTCGCATCTCCCAGTGCGGATGCACCGACTGAATGTCCACCTTCGCCCTCTTCACCAACCCTTCCACTCGATCCCTTACCGGACGACTCCTCGCAACGATCGTCAGAGATCCTCTCCGCCGCCAGACGGCGACGATCTCCAGTTCCTCGACCTCCAGCTGGGCCCGGCGTCAACCAACCTCGAAGTTGACGAGTTCCTCCAGCTGCGCGCCGTCCGCCGCCGTGCGCTGCCTGCTGAACGCGCCGCCCGGAGCGCAGAAGCCAAGCTGGCTGAGCTCGTGCGTGCCGCAGCCAAGGCCCTCCTGCCCCCCTCGCGCGGCGATATGGGTATGGATATGGACACTTCAGACGATCCTTCGGCGGCGGCGCGAGCGTATGCGCAAGCACGACTTGCCCACCGCGACGGCTATGCGCGCGGCCGAGTTCAAGCATCATCCAGCGCCTGAGGCTGCCGGCGCGCAGTGCAGGTGAGCGCCAGAAGACGAAATGCGATCGGAAGCGCAGTTCCAGCGGCTCGTCGCATCATTCTGCGAGCTACCTTCGCCACACCGAGTGCAGCGTCCGCCGCCAGATCAGGGCAGGTATCCCGAGGAGGCAGGCACTGAGGAACCTCGCAGGCCGGATACGCCGAGCGGCGACAGTGAACTAGAGGAAGCAGCGCCGTCCTTGTTCGTGGATCCTATTGACACCCGCTGCGAGTGTGAATGGGGAGGGGGAGGACATGAGCATGCTGGATAGTCCAGCGATGGATGTCGATGTCGTATGTTCCATCACTTTGTTGTCTCCCTGATCCTTGGACTGACACTGGAGTGAGACAGCCATCATCTGCGGTCGGCTCTCCCGCTGCATCCTCACGGCGGTATACTCCACCTCCAACGCCAAGTGCCATTAGGACGAGCAAGCGGAAGAGGGCGCTGCGCCTAAGAGTTTGCTCTATCATTCATAACTGGTGTTACGTTCAGCGGATGATCGATACGACCCGTACCCGACTACCAACAAGCGACGTGCGGTCTCCATCCATCAGCTTCGCTCGGGACAACCAGCCATCCTCGTTCACCCCGGTACTCCTCGGCGCCGAGCAGCAATGGGATACATTCAACATCTCACAGTGCAAGGTTGTGCCAGCGTCTCGTTGCTCGTCCTCTGTCGTCGATGTAAACGCGTCGCACCCGAGCAGCTTGCTCGCGCCTTGCACCCGCTGTTTGCAGGAGAGGTGCAGCAATCTCCCCGCTTCACGCAACGGATCGCTTCGAAGCATGCTTTCACGATGCACGTCATGGAAAATACTCTTCCAGCTGACGCCGGTGCCCACACCCATTGTCAGTCTCGCGATTCTGTCCGCCGTCCTCGGCTACGCGATCAAGGGCTCCTCCACCCCTCATCACAGTCGTATCCTCGCAGCCTCAACAGGCGACGCCCACATTCGCCTTCCCGCCGGTCAGCGTGTCCATCAACCATTCAACCCCGCAACTGAGTCTGAACCCGGCGGCATCGGGACTCGTTCGGTCGTCTCTGAAGGATTTCGCCGTGGCCGTGCTCCCTGCGCCACTTGTTGCTTCCACCTCGAGCAGTCAGCCGGCGGCCACGCCATCTTCCCACCAGGCGGACCCCGTCACCTCCGTAGATGCGCCGTCCGAATGCGCCTGCGGCTGCGAATTGATCACCTGGCCAGGCAAGTCCAAGGGTACCGCGGACTTGATGCTCCGTTCGGCGCCCGCGACGTCAGCTGCACACGACAACGGCAAGTCTAGTCTGGCGATGGTCTCCTCGCATGCGCGTTACGCTGCGGACGGCGGGAAGGGCAAGGCTGCTGCGTGCGGAGGCGGCACGATGTTTGCGCTGAGCGCCTGATGCGGCGCGGGCTCGCTCGCGGAGATTCTCGGCCTCGGATACACCGCCGTGGCGCGTGCGGTCGCGCAAGACGTGCTCGTGCGCGGGCGATGGAACTGAGGCAGATGGGTGGATGGTCGTTCGAGTTGGTGCAGGAGAAGGTGAGGGCGAGGGTGAACAGGGCGAGGGAGACTGCGCGGGCGTCGAAGGACGAGATATTAACGATGCCAGATGCGTGGCCGGCCCGCGGGAGGCAGATGGTAGAATCCATGGCGGCGCGTAGGCTCGCGCAGGGCAGGTGAGTGCGGGGCGGACGAGCGCGGGGCCAGGGTGGCTATACGCACACAGGAGGGCGGTTCGGGGGCCGGGGCGCTGGACAAGAGTGCGAAACATGCGACGCTGCGTGAGGTCGGAGAGGCGGCAGTCGGCGGGTTTGGCGGTGCAGGATGCGTTAGCGAGGTGAACGAGAGGCGGGCGGGCGCCGGCGCGGCGGGTCCCGCACAAGGCCAAGTGCGCATGCTCAGAGCGAGTGAAGTAGAGCGGGTGCGGTGTGCGAGAGGGCACGCATGGAGAAGACGAGACCGGGCGGGCGTGCAGATGCAGAATTTCGGCTGTGCGCAGAGGAAAGGGAGAATGGGCAGTGGTAGACAGAATGGGCGCTGCCGGGTGCACGGCATGTTTCGGTGAGAGCGAAGGCGCGTGTCGGAGGACCAGCAAAGGTGAAGTTAGGCAGCGGGTAGAGTGCCACGAACACGGCATGATAGATCAAAGAGGAGATGCAAGTCGGGTGTGCCATGGCGCGGATGAGGGCGAGAGTGTGAAGGAGGGAGATACAGGGACAGGGTGCGTGTTTGCGCGCACCAGTCTATGTTAGCATTGTACTTGCCTTGTCTTCGTAGTGGCATGGTTTTGCCTTTCCATTGGCCTCTTAGCCTGCATTCTGTATGGTAGTTGTTTTCAATTCGTCATAACATCACCAAAGTAAGTACACATGAGGACGAGAGAAGCTGTCCATAATCCAGTCAGGGACTCGTCGTCTGCGCGGCCTTGCACTGCATACTTCAGGCCCTGCAAACCCTGAATCAGCTCCTCTGGCCAGTTCGTGTCGCCAGTCTCAACTGCGATGGTGTTAAGGCGCTCGGCAGGTGGTATGCGGCCTAGAAATGATGAGACACCTTCGTCTTCTGGGTTGTTCGCCTCGCGAGAGCCCAATAGGGCATCCTCTCCGAGACCCTCGAAGTCGACCCCATAATACTCGAGTTCTTCGTCTGTCAACAGCTGCTGATGTGGAGGAAGTTGGCCACCACGGATACCGTGGACATACATGTCCCAACCGAACATATCGGAAGGTGTACGATTTACACCAGAAATAGTGTGGTGGTTCCAGCCTGAGACGAAATACAGCAGTTCTGTGTTGATCAGGGGTAGGAAGAGATAGTGCAGGAGGTGAATGTGGTCGATGTTGTTGATGTTCAGCCCATGGCGGAGCTCGAGGTCCGTGAAGAAGTCGGCCCATTTTGATGTTACTTGCGCTGTGACATCGACCCATAGGCGCTCGATTCGAACATTGTGGATGCTCCTGTATGCAAGCGACGAGAATAAGTACAGTGTGTAGTAGAGGCACATGAATAGGCCCACCGCCCCCAGATGTACGAGCCTCTTCCAGCCCCTACATGATCGTCCATCCAGCATGCTGTCTCGATGTTCTCCGTGCCATGGTCTCCACGAAGACGAGACGGTACTCCAAAAACTCGGCAGGCGTTGAGAAAGACATCAAGAACAGTTGAGCCTCGGTTGTTGTTGCTCGCGCGCAGACCCACAATAAGCCTTGAGTAGCCATCAATGAATCCATGTATGACGATGCGCCAGCGAATAAGACCTGCACCGCGTGCGTCAGAAGGCAATCGCTGCGACCTACACCGAAACAGACATACCATGTTGGCCGTCATGGTGCCAGAGAGCGTTCGGACCAGCTACCTGGTACTTGCGGCGTTCAATGCGGATGCGATCGAACACGCGCCGCACAGGGTCGATTCGAAGCAGGGATTGCCTCACCCGCGCTTTCGAGACATGGATGCCCAGAGTCCCCCGCAAAAAGCCAACCATCATGGTAGCCCCGGCGCGGCGGTAATGTACCCGGAGCTCCCGGACAGCGGTGTCAAGGTCGTCGTCACTGATGTCGGTGAGAGGTCGGGTATAGGAGGTGACCCGGGAGCTAGTATCTGCAGCCAGATTGTCTGCCTCGGAAACCCTGAAAGAAGTCGTGATTCCTCTGTATCTCTCGGCAAAGACTTGCATACCTGGTCTCGGAGTCCTGGTTATGCTCATCCGAAGATTCGGAAGCATATCCATCATGTGTGCCATCGCCTGGGTTGTTCTCCACCTCTTCCATACTGCTCCTGCCATCGTCGTAGCTCGGTTCACCTTCGCGTCCAGCGAATGGATCAGACCGGCACTCGCTGATGCCATACTCAATGAGAGCAGCTCGTACAGTAGATCGGTGTATGTTTAAAAAACGCGCTATATCCGCGATAGACTTGTGGCCATATGCCCAGCGGAGCCACGTCGGGTCGATGACAAGCCTTGGTCGGCCACGCCCACCACCATGGACCTGGGTGAGGATGACAGGCCTGCCATGATGAGATTGATCGAGGCTGTCACTGTGGAGGAGGTGGACATCATGACGAAGGAGTCCAAGACTATCCCGCATGATCGTAAGCTCCGAAGCATCGAATACACTGGCATTCTGGAGAAAGATCAAGGTAATCGTCAGCTTGCAGTATGTTAGGTATAAGAAGGCTTACCTGTTCAACAAGCTGGCTGAATTGCATAATGTCATCGCCAAGACGAGCAATGACAGTAGGGTCGGACGAAGTCACCGTGATATCTTCAACATTCCGCACATACTGATGATACCGCAGACGAAACTCGTTCAAGAGCTGCTGGTCCCGAGAAGAATCGATTCCGCGGGTGTTGTGATCCATACTGGTCGGCAAAACGGAAGGGCAAGCCTGAAGGACTCGGAGGATGCTGGGGTTCGTTGTCTGCCAGTGAAAGCTGCGGCACCATCAGAGATCGGATTAACAGTGGGCAAGCACCTGTCGGACGCACCCTATGATGCAGCCGCTGGCAAGTCGACTGTAAGTGTACGATCAATGCGTAATTCAGCAAGGTGTAAGTGTATCAACTCGGAGTAAGTCAGTAGTGCTAAGTGTATGATCGCCGCGGCTCGAGTAAGCCAGCTACAGTAAGTGTATGATTGCTACGAATAAGTCTCACTACGAGTAAGTCAGCTACCGAGTACAGACTACGCCGGGTAAAGTGAGTTAACTGGGTATATACTGTACGAGTAAGGCGGCGTAGTGTACGAGTAAGTCAACACAGTGCATGAGTAAGTCGGTGTAATGCACGAGTAAGTCGGTATACTGCATGAGTAAGTCGGTGTAATGCACAAGTAAGTCGGTATACTGCATGAGTAAGTCGGCGTAGCGTACGAGTAAGTCGGCGTAGCGTACGAGTAAGTTGGTGTAGTGCACGAGTAAGTCGGTGTAGCGCACGAGTAAGTTGGCGCAGTGCACGAGTAAGTCGGTATGCGCACGAGTAAGTCGTCGTAGTGCATGAGTAAGTCGTCACAGTGTACGAGTACAGTGGAACACGCAAAGTGCGACCAGCAGCGACGCACATCGCGCGCGAATGTAAGTCGCATCACTATAACTAAGTACACAAGAGTACGACCTACCTAGTAAGTAATTTTTCACGAAAACGCCACTCATAATGCCCGTTACACCATGGAGGTGAAGTTTATCTTCGGTGTTCCTACTCTTCTCACTCATGAAGCTTTGGTGTCTTCTACATAGCACACGGAGATTGGTGCCCTCATTCGGCGACTCAGGCTGCGGCACTGCTAACTTGCGAAGGTAGGTGTCAGAGAAGTCGTTGCTGTCGTCAGTTGCCAGTGGCGGCGGCGGCGGTTCGACTTCAAGGACGCTTATAGTATGTACCACATGGTTGATTCTAGTGTGCGACTTCCTGCGCTACTGCTCAGGCCGGTAGATCGGACCACGCGGCCTTGTTCTTGTTTGTGTGGTGTCCATCGCCACTGGCATGCATGATAACGTTGGCATGTACAACAACACAAGAATGCTTCCCAACCAGAATGCACATATCGACATATCGTGTTTCATGTGACCGCGCTGAGTGGCGCGCGTAGCACAATAGGTAGAGATAGATACATATATATATAGGCTTGAGTCGGACTCGCCAGCAGCTCATCCCAACAGAACGAACTCGGACATCACTACTACAGCCTGAGCTACCATATTTTCACTGCCATACACCATTCTCAAGCAGCATGCCGCCTCCGAAAGCTGCTAAATCCGATCAATCTGACGCTCACACAAGAGTACAACACAGTGGTGGTCAGTCCACTCGCCGCACAATCCGCAAGGGTGGGGACAAACCCAGTCATTGGAGCAAGCAAATACTGGAATTTCAGGATGAATTCCCGCGCATCCGTGACTTGGTAATCATGATGTGCGCCCCACAAGAAAACGGGAAGGATATGCGAGAATCAATGCTTTATGGTGCATATAACTTGATCACGAGAGAATTATGCCACAGCGGCAAACAATTTGTCGCAGATTCGTGGCCTCAATTCGCTCTACAGAGCACCACTGATGTCCCTGATGCGGAGGATGAAGCCGATTTAACATGGAATGATGATGACGGAAGTGAACCATACAGTGGGGAGTCTGAGGAGGACGAACTTGTACAAAGTGTTGCACGACTGGGAATTCGGGATTCTCCAGACCAGGGAAGTGGAATAACCCAGTCGCTCGTGGCAAAAGACTCGGACAAGTCACACGTCTCAGGTCAGCTACCGTCATTCCCTATAACCAAACGGCGTAGGGTCGATTACTCATGCACCATGAGTCATAGCAGACACAGTGCATGGCGAGCTTCAGGCTGGCAGCAGTGCCCATGACATAGTCCAGTCTGGCCGGGCAAATCCACCCAAAGGCACGGTCAAAACACGCATCACAGACTTCGCGCTCGTTCTGACTCGACATGAGGCATTCGACCCCATGGCGAAATCTATAAGGGTGACTGTGGTTGGATCTCGAATTGCATGCATCGTGGAGGTCAAGAGGCGGCAACATGGTCTTCAACGTACACGCGACTCGTTTGGCAGGGCCTATAAACAAGCAAAGAAGCAAGCTCGACATGCATTCAACAGCGACACTTTCTACAACACTCCTAAAAAGGTCTGCAGCGCAATTATAGCTGTTGGATGGGATTTCACGTACGTCGAGTTCGAGCGAGATCAAATTGCGGATGAAAGCGATTCCGATGGTCCAGATGCTGCCTATAAGCCAAAGTCCACTAAGACCAGTGCGGCACTGCAGCATCATCCAATTATTGAACCATACGTGCCAGTCAGGGGAGCGGGAATTACGTTGCTAGACCCCAAGGGGAAGTGGTTTGGCGCCTTCGATGCTGTCCGGGAACGTATCTATACCCTGAATGATGAGGACATCTTCAGAGGAGAACGCCCCCCCAACCTCAGACAGCCCGAACCTAAGATGGTGAGCTGTGCATATACACTGACCACTCATTCTCTGTCACTTACATTCAATGCCCAGAATAAGACATTGTGATATGCGATCTACGACATTCCCGCCGGGCCGTTGTATATCAGTGGATCCATAGCCTGGTTTTGCACTGCCTCGAGTGGCCAATGTACAATTTGATAGTGTGACTTGACGACTGTACAATTGTGAAGCCCAACGAACATCCGTCTGAGTATCAATACCTGATGTGCTGCCACCTCGGCGACACGAGAACATCACTGCCAGGGTAACACGGATGTAACTTACATTGAGGGTGAGAGCGAGTGATGATGACGATGACAACATAAATCAATGAATAACATTTAGTGCATGCAGTTGAGCGTACGACACTTGTAATACTGGACTTCTCAGTGATCGTCGGACGGGCGGAGTCTGACCGTTGCTTGCATGTTGACTTATCATTGCGAGTCTGCGCGAGTATACCCTTGATGCTCCACTCCGTATTCATCGCTAGACGGCCGCTGTGCACTTCGTTCGGGACTCCAAGTACCGGTTATTCCATCCATTTCCCAGTATAGCGTCCATGCCGACCCAGACCTCTTGGCCGCATGCCCCTTCAAGCTCTCCAAGAACCCTCACTCGCCCCCGCATCCGCCGCGTCCTCGGCTTGGATCCACAGCCACCGGCTGTTCTCCGACCGCAAACGCGCAGCTTTCGTCCAAGGGTGCTACGAGCTACTCGCCTCGTACACCTACCCGTACGCCGGGCCCGAGCAGCTCCGGACGTGCTGCGACTTCGTGAACCTCCTGTTCGTTCTTGACGACATCAGCGATGAAGAGGACGGCGCCGGCGCGCGCCGCATCGGCGACACGTTCCTGAGCGCCCTGCGCTACCCAGCCTGGGACGACGGCTCCGCGTTGGCGAAGATGACCAGGGAGTGAGCCTTTTGTTTATCCTATGATGACTATCAACCCCACTGTCACGGTCACTGAGGCGGCGAGCAGATTCAGGTCCCGGCTGCTGCACTCCGCGGGTCCGGGCTGCGTTCGACGTTTTCTGAGAGATTGCGAGGGCTACATCGACGCAGTGGCTCAGGAGGCCGGATACCGCGAGCGCGGGGTGGTCCTGGACGCGGCATCTTACCAGGCACTACGCCGCGAGAACAGTGCGGTTCGCCCGTGCTTTGCCCTGATCGAATATTGCCTGGGCGTCGACCTCCCGGACGAGGTCTTCGACGACCCGGCGTTTATGGTGCTGTATTGGGCTACCGCGGATATGGTAAACTGGTCGAATGTGGGTCCAGTGTCGTCCTCATTCGGCAAAACAAGAGTGTAACTAACCGGATTCCCCTTAGGACATCTACTCATACAGCGTAGAGCAGGCGCAAGGCATCGGCGGAAACAACATCGTCACGGTGCTCATGCATGAGCAGGACGCGGACGTACAGGCGTCCGTCAATCTTGCGGGCGACCTTTTCGACGCCCTCATGGATCGTTTCTTGGAAGCTCGAGACCAGCTGCCGAGCTGGGGCTCTGACGTGGACGAGGCGGTCCGAATGTACGTGAAGGGGCTGGAGCACTGGACCATCGGCAACCTCGAGTGGAGCTTCGATACGCAGCGCTACTTCGGACCGCTGCACGCAGAAATCCAGAGGACCCGTGTCGTGCCCATCCGCGCCCATGAAGAGTTCGAGACGGATTAAAGTGGGGAAGTTCTTGCGCGGACGATCTCTTGTGGCGGGTGGTTGACCTGTGAATGACCCGGTTTGCTACCATTGTTCTTATAAGTATCCCGAGCAGAGTACTCTTTAGACAATACTTGTTGTGTTCTTGTACGACATCTGTCGACCTAATGCTTTATGTAACTCCTCGAATGAGCGGACGGCATAGATCAGTACCGTGATTGAATGGAAATACATACCTCAGGCTGTCCGGCCTGCGCGCCTTCGTCCACTTCAGACGCATCGAGGGTAATCGAGAGTTAAAGCCATACTTTAGTCATAGCACATGCGATTCGCGTTCTATCGTAGAGACTAAGAGCTGGCCCTGTGAGGCGCAGTTGATGCCTCCGTTCCCCTTCCTAGCAAGGGGAAGAATACCCCTAAACGCACATTCAGTTCGGCCCCAGCCCCTCATGGAGCTGCTCCTTCGCACTCCGGGTCGACTGCGGGCAATAGACTGAATGCTACGACCCGGTCTCCGTTCTTGGACCATGCCATCGTCCGGCCGCGACGCAGGGCGTGATCTTGCGCGGGTGGAGTCTAGGAATCTGTATGAAGTGAAATCTCAGCGCGTTATGCATGCAAGCAAGTGTAGTATCGTCTGATGAGCAAGACCCAAACCCTTCATAGTCTACTGGGACGCTGGTCTGTACTTCGTCCTTCGAACAGACGCTGAAGAACAAATGAAGAAGGCTCCGAGTGCGTCGCGCGAGAGGCACATGAGCGCGCGGTCGCATTCGCGGGTGTGCGCGTGTCGTCGAGAGATGAGTTCGCCACGATGCGTCGAAGCCTACCATTGCCAATTCACCAGATGCGGACGAGCACGTCATATCGAGGCCACGGCAGCGTCCTGAAGCAGGGAACCACGTTCTGTGACCAACAGATATGAGGAATCCCTTCGGTTGGACTCTGGTCTTAGTGACTCGTGAGGTGCGTCTCCCATACCGCTGTGTGAGCGCGAGGAACTGGATGTGCGGCAGAACCACGCGATGCACAAGAACGGAGAAACTCATTGCAACATGGCGAGCTTCGTCGGGGTAGCGCCAGCACGGTGGGCGTTATTCGTCGACGAGACAATGTTGTGGTATCCGAAGACATGCTCACCATTGTACCGACCAACTTCTAGACCGATGACGAGCTGGCCTGGATCGCACAGAGAAGAGAAGAACACGTTTTGCGGCAGGCGTCCTACCAGAAACAGCTGCGTTATCAGTCAGCGTCTCGTCCAAAGACTATGCCCTTGCGAGAATGGCGGTCGGCCGTAGGAGCAAACTTGGTGGCGCGGGACCATGAGCAGCATGTGAAGATGAACGTTTGTAGGCGTATGACTCTACCGCGAACACCCTGCGTATCTTGTACGTATGCGCCTTCGCCTGCATTGCACATGGGTGGGGATCGTGTGCGAGCTAATAATGCGCGTGGCATGGCCCAGGTAAAATTCCGAGTGGCGCGCTCGAGCTGGGCCACAGACCCACGGCAAGGCGAGCAAGGAGACAAGGCCCGACTCGGAGCGTCGCACAGGGGCCACCGCGCCGCCACCGCCGCGCTAGCAGCATGGCCGGGAGGAGTGGCTGGACACTGCGTTCCGGAAAAGGCAGGCGAGTAGAACGGAGACGCGACACGTGCATCGCGCGGGAGCCAATGGGGGCCGGCGCTGGCGGTCGTGCGACGAGGGACGGGCGGCGAGCGAAGGGCGGCTGGGCAGCCCGGCGCACGTTCCTCCGCACACGACCAATCGTCGGAGGCACGATCATGCCCGTCGCGCAGCTGCCCCCACGCATCCCGCTTCTCGCACCGGCGCACCATCAGCCGCCTATTAAACCCTCCACACGACATCTCCGCCTCGCTCAGCCCTGTCGTGTGCGCACTCACCCGCCCCCGCTCCCCCGTCCACGCCCCGACCCGCCATGACCGCAGCCAAGGACGCACCCCCGCCGTACACGGGCAGCTGCAACCCGCCGCGCCGCGCAAAGCGTCCGCGCACAGACACCGCTGACTCGACCCTCAGCGCAGCACACGACACGGCGTCGTCGCGGGCGCCCGTGAGACGTGCCCGGCCGGCCATCCTCCCCAAGAGCCCCATCTCCGGGGCGGGCTCGCCGCCGCGAGACGCACTCGACTCTGACTCTGCCGACGAGGACGACTACGAGCCCGACACGCGCTCCACCGCCCAGCGCCGTCGCGGCCGCAAGCCGGGGGCCATGTCGCGCTCCGCCCGCGAGTCCCTCCGCAAGCTCAACCACTCCCGCATCGAGAAGGCCCGCCGCACCAAGATCAACGAGACGCTCGCCACCCTGAGCACCCTCGTCAACGAAGCCGAGCAGGAGCGGGCCAAGGCCGCGGGGGAAGCACCTGGAGAACCAAAGGCGAAGGGCAGGGCGGCGGAGGAGAAGGAGTTCAAGCTGGACGTGCTCGTCAAGACCGTCACGTACGTGCAGGAGCTCCTCGAGAAGGTGCGCACGCTCGAGGCTGCCGCGGGGGCCTGCCCGCATTGCTCCCGTGATCGCGTTGCGGGATCCGCGGCGGGCCTGAAGAGGAAGCGGCCCGTGGAGGTGCAGGCCGAGCGGGACGTCGACATGGACGTCAGCGTCGACGACGAGCGCGACGAGGACGTCGAGTATGCGGGCGACGACGAGAAGGGCGACGGAGAGCCCGAACAGGGCCCGACCACGCTCCCGGAGCGCTCGCCCGCCCCCGCTGCCGCCCGCCCGACGCCCTCCCGCGCCTCCCGTCCATCGCCGCGTGGCTGCCGCACCCCTACGTCGACCCGAGTTGCATCGCTGCCATTTCGGACTCCCGAACCACGACGGCCTCGCAGCTCCCGTCGCCCCCGCCCTCCGGGCCCTTCCGTGCTGCCCACATCATCGCAGCACGCGACGTCCCCGCGCTCACGCTCCCCGCGCCCGCGCACCCCATCGAGCCAACCAAACGCGCCAACGCGGAGAAGAAAGAGAAGGACGACAGCCACGCGGGTGCGCACTCGCGCTCGCCGACGTGGACGCCGGAGGACGAGAACGCGGCGTCGCTCCTGCTGCAGATGAGCGGTTCGCCGGCGTCGATGCGGTCGAGCTCCGCGCCGACCAGCTCCGCGTCGAGCGCGGGCGTTCCTGCGTTCGCGCTCCCGAAGGCGATGGACGCTGCGCCGGTGCGCAGGATGTCGATGACCCGTATCAGTGAACGTGGGCACGCGACGGAGAAGGGGGAGGACGCGAGGAGGAGCGGAGGCGTCCAGGCGGAGACGCCGAGTTCGCTGTTGGGCTTGGGGCGTTGAGTCCGAGTCGCGCGATGCTTCTGAGGACTCGAGGAACGACAGACGGGCGGATTAGAGGGGACGACGACGGTGTACGATAGGTAACTTATCATTCTCTATGATTTCCTCCTCTCTTTAGAACTCGCGAGCTTCAGCGCGGGTCCCGGTTGTGTTTGGTCGATACGATACCAAGGTGGAATGCTTCCGGTTTGCGACTGCTGTACTTGTTGTACTATAGATGGGCGAAAGGAGGCCTCGATGACTTGCCATGAATCGGGTAGCATAAAATCATCGTGGTTGGGAGGACGGAGGACCTCGCGATTCGCGAAGGTCTGTACAAGCAATCTGTTGACTATATGCGCACGATTTCGACGTGCCAGGCGGTGGGTACACCATAAAGACATTTTTGAAGGCATAGTGCATGAGTGAGGATATTGGGAAGGAAGGTGAAATATTTAGTGAAGTTACCAGGAGGAAGAGAGAGAGGAGGAGGCGTTGCCCGCACTCGCTCGCTCATCGGTTCACCGGGCCGTTCCTCCCGGATCAGATCTCAGATCTCATAACGCAAGCGCCTTCGTCAGTATGTACTTAACTTACCTGCCAGTGGCCCGGGTCTGTACCGTTGGGCCGGCGTTGGCACTTGTGACTTGTCAACGTTCAAACACCAAACGACCTTCAATTCGACCTCAAGTACTACTAGATCTGGCATCCGCCGACTTACGACTGCTCAGACTGCCTCACGACCAGAGTTGAGCAGCATGCAGGCTTGTACTGCCAGCGAAACCCCGGTTCTAGTGAGTGATGATTGGACTCGTGGTTGGCTTAGCGTCTCATTCCAGTCATCCATGGACCATCATAGCATTTGAATACTGTGAAATCACTCGTCATTTATGGTCTCCTTAGGAGGTGTGATGGTGTAGACAACCCTCTTGCTTTTGACAGACAGACCTCCGAACTCCTCCAGTCCTCCATCATGAACATTACGGACGAGTCTAACCCTTATTTTCTCACTTCGCCCCCTGCCATGCACCCTCGGCCTATCCTCCCGCCGGACGGGAATCTCGAGCTCCATCTCGAACTGAGCGAGGTGATACAGCAAGAGGGCTGCCACCACGTCTACAGAGTCATTCCGCGGACGTCGCACGAGTCGTCTCAGGCGTTCACCTACCCACCCATGGTCATCAAGGTCTCTGCGGAATCCAAATTCGACGGTCAGAGCCTCGCTGAAGAGGCCGCAATGTATGACCATCTCATGTCATTGCAAGGAAGCGTCATCCCGCGCTGCTATGGGTACTTTACACGGCCCTTCATGCTTTTCGGGAACGTTGGCTTGACGCATAATGCGAGCCTCAGCATCTTGCTACTCGAGTTCGTAGGTCGTCCTGTGTCCGATTATTACGGTCTCGGCCAAGACCTGCGGTGAGTTGATGATCTCTGGCATCGCTTCTAACCTCAGTGCGACTCACTATAATTGTCCGAACCAGAGAGGACCTCTATGGCATGTACAACGAACTCTGTGAACTCGGGATCTATCACCGTGATCTGCGGCCCAAGAACGTTTTGTGGGTGGATGAACGACTCGAGGGTCTTCCTAGTCTGGCATCACCCAGAAGTGGCCGTGTCTACGGATTCCGCATCATTGATCTCGAATCAGTAGTGCAAACGAACATGAGGTACGATACGCTATACACCGAATGCGATCACATTATCGAGCATATTGTCGAGAACGCCGGGTACTAGTTTGACAAAGGATAACTCGTATGCAAGGCTTGTCATGATTACATCATCGTCTAGATCGGAGTGCCCAACAGTGGTAAAGCGATAGGTGACCGGTGAGATCTTGAGAAGTCAGTAACAACGACATCCTCAGGGGAGTCCTCAGCTCATCCAATGTCTGCGGCTGGAGGGGCAGGGAGTATTGTAAATAGCCGGCGACGGGTTTGTTGACGGGTTGTCTCGTTTTAAGCGAGGAGGAATACTGTCCTGAGCATGCCCGGGGCGAGGACATGCTGCATGTTATAATGCAAGGCATGCGAAGACAATTCACATAACATTGCAACTGTATCATTGGTGGCCAGAACGAAGAGATGTGGCGGTCAGCCTCACGTGCTCTGGGACTCGTGCATAAATATGCGCTGACCGAAATTGTGCTGCGGCACTCAAGCACGTCCCACTCAGGCTTGCGCTGGAACATCTGCCACTTAAGTACCAAGTCTATCATCAAACTATTGCAGTATGGATGCTTCACCACCAGTAAGTCGCTAGTCAGTCCTTTCGCGTGTTCTGAATCGTTAACATATCAACGATTTCAATAGGTCAGTGCGCAAAGCCAGTCCTCCTCTTGGCCAGCCCGCGCCAGCTCAAGTTCGCAGCCACTCACTTCATCGCCTAAGCCACTAGCCGACATCAATCCACCTCCGCCTCGATCGAATAAATATAAGAACAGCCCACTGCTACTCGGATTCGCCCTCACCGACACCCAGTGGAAGCAGTTGTGGACGGATTTCCATTGGTCGAGGGTACCAACCGACGAAGAATTGAAGGAAGATAACGTGGCGGCGGTTTCCTCCGATGTGCTTGATGCACTCTCGGACAAGATTAAATATCACCTCGAGAATCATGTTGGCGTCATCGATGACGACGCGCCTGACTCTGTCAAACAGGCCGCGAGAGAATGTGGAGATATAGAAGCTAACATTTTATCTATCTGCAAAGACACGGACTTCGAGGCGAGGCCTGATCAGTACCAATTCGATACCATCAAAGATCACATTGCTCGGGCTGGAATTGACCAAGAGCCGCGATGGTGGATTCGTGTGGCGATTTAGTACATCGCGCAGGTCAGTACTGCGACCGTCCGCGTTACCTTGATTGAAGCCGTATTCTGACGCTGAAACGTGTGGGTAGGCAGGACCAGGGGTAGAATGACATGGGCATACAACCTCGTCCGTCTCTCTAACAGACTCTTGTACTATGGCGATGAATTGGAATGACCAACTTGAAGCTTGAAGTCCGAGTCCCCAGTATCTGAGTCCTCCACCCAAAGACGTTCCCTATATCTGACATTCTCAATACTCAATCTCCAGCTAACTTTCCCGCAGATCACCCGTTGTGTGTTGTGTCCCTCGTACATTATTAGTACTAGTACACACAGCTGTCGTTGACTAGACTGACGCCACGCACTACGATGTGTTACGATGATTCAACTTGAAAGGCGCCGACTACACTCACTAGGAATATGAACAATTTGTACAATTGACTGGCTTACTCGCTGCCTTCACTTGTCTTGAATCAATCACTTCTTTGGTGATTGATTAAGATGGAGTCACCCTTTTCAACGTTCAGGAGTGGCCAGAGCGGGTTCGGCCGGTTTATTCCATGTGCATCGAATGACTTGGGCTGTGCATCCGGCTGGATCAATAAACGCAAAGCCTACAGATTCATTCATACGGCGGCGCTCCTTCGTTTCCGTCTATGCTCTTCAACCACCCCCTTCGACGTTCAACGTTCGATATTCAACGTAGACGTCGACGAGCTGTAATTAGCATACTCTCCCGTGATCAACTCGTAACTCGTAAATCGCGTAATAATTTGACTGTGAGTCTGCCGCAGGGTGGTGCTCTATGGCGTCTAAGGAGTAGTAATAACATCATCGAATGCCAATAGGATCCGTTTTTCAAGGCAGGGGACAGTCTCGGAGCGCAAGAAAACCTAATCGTGCATCGTACGAAGGGCATTCACAGCCCAATTCTCTACAAAAGGGGGGGGAAGAGAAATCAATAGAATCCTACATACGGCGTAGTCTCCCCTGTTTGGGGTCTAAAGATGGTCTCTTTGACGGTGGAGAGAGGTGGCTTTCAAGGCTAAGGCATGTGATATACGATCAGCCATCGCCAGCATGTACTTTCTGCAATAAGGACATCACTAACCCAATATTGAGTCATCATCCTCAGTCTGTTTACAAAAGCGGATGGGGACGACAAGGGACGCCTTGATCTCCGCGTGCAGCGGGCCGAAGTAGCGTTGAGTATCGAAGCTCCACTCGATATTCCCGACAATCCAGTACTCCAGCGCCTTCACATACTTCTGGACCATCTGGTCGACGGCGGAGCCCCAGCTCGGCAGCTGGCTCTGAGCCTGCACGAAGCGGTCCATGAGTGTCTCGAAGAGCCTTCCCACGCGATCGGCGGCGGTCTGCACATCGGCGTTCTCATCGTGCATGAGCACCGTGACGACGTTGTTACCGCTCATCCCCGCCGCCTGTTCCATATTGTATGAATAGATGTCCTGCTCGAGGTGTCAGAGTGCAACGGAAAATTCAGCAGGAGCGACTCACGTTCGACCAATTGATCATGTCCACCGCAGCCCAATACAACGACATAAATGTCGGATCGTCGAGGACTTCGTCCGGGAGCTCTATGCCCAAGCAGGACTCGGTGAGGACCAAGCACGGGCGTGTCGCGCTGTTCTCGCGCCGCAACGCTTCGTAGGAGGCCATGTCAAGGACAACCCCACGTCCTCGGAGCTCGGCCTCCTGAGCTACTGCGTCGATATAGTCCTCGCAGTGTTTGAAGAAGCGTCGGACGCAGCCCGGACCTGCGCATTGGAGCAGCCGGGCTCTAACTCTGTTCGGTGCATCAGCCGACGGCTCAACGGCCTGAGCGGGCAGAGGACTCACTCGATGGTCATCTTCGCCAACGCGGAACCGTCGTCCGAACCTGGGGTGCGCAGGGCGTTCAGGAATACGTCGCCGGTGCGGCGAGCACCGGCGCTATCCTGTTCGTCGCTGACCTCGTCGATGACGAACAGGAGGTTCACGAAGTCGCAGCACATCCTGAGGTGCTCGTGGTCGGCCATCGGGATGACGTACGAGACGAGTAGCTCATAGCACTCTTGGGTGAAGGCGGCGCGCTTTCTGTCGGGGAAAATCCTGTAGCTGTCGACCCAGGCCGACGAAGCTGCGGCTGCACTGGCGTGGTGAGGATTTATGGAAGCCTTGAACGGGCATAGAGCCAAGAGGTCAGGCAAGACGAAAGAGCGAGGAGTAGAAGACATGGCTCAAGTGTGCTGCTATACTGGTACCAGCGACCCTGCTTTTATGCGATTTTGAGTATGACGGAAGACCAGAGCTGAAGCGGACTAGTGAGCCTTCTACCAATTGTGCAAGCAAGACGCGCACTTTCCAGAGAGAAAATCGTGCCATTAGGACAGACGAGCCGGTGTTTGGGCCGGCCCAAATGGGTTGCGTAGCGGCCGTGCAGTTCTGTCGAATGTTGTGTCTTCGCGCAGTCTCGCGAGAGAGTGCTGGCCAGTGATATTTGTCTTTCCGCGAGCGTCCTTCTCCAAGCATGGAAGCGGGCTACATGGTGCTCAAGGCTTGCAGCCAATGACCTATGGCCATTCTTGAGACGTCAATTGCTATATTATTACATCTGAACTACGTACCTAGACATGCGCGCGGACGACAAGTCTCATTTGGACAGTGATAATCTGTGTGCCGCTGGCCTTTGGTAGGATACCCTCCAATTCCCGACAGCAATCGCGAGAAATGCATGCCGGCATGAATCTACCTAGAAGAGCGGCACATTGATATTCGGCCATAACTCTCCGCAGTGAACTGCCAGTGTTGTTCGCAGCTCATCAGACGTACCGCTAAGTGAGCAGTGCTGCAGCCTGCGAACAAGAGGGCATGCCGTCCAGTAGGATTAATGTCAATTTCATACATGTACACCCGCGAACATTGCAGCGAACAGACTGACGGAACACTTACAACTTCTGTTGATGATCCGACCCAGACACCACATGTGGCGTAGCACCACGCTGGGGAGGGAAGTCGCACAGTATAGCCAGAGATGCTCCGCGGCTTCTCAGTCTAATCTGGGCTCGTTGACGCGAGCCACTCATCCACCCCCTCGTATTGCTATGTACAATGCAGCACTCACCGTTCTCCGGCTCTTTCGAAGCTGCGCTTTCAATAGAAAAAAAAGTTGAGAGATGCGGCACGAACGGCTACTTATCTCACATAGCTCTGCGCGTTTGCCAGTGATGGCACATACGGCACGGCAAGGGTTCGCTTGCGGCGAACCATGACGGACTGGACGGATGACATCATGACCAGTATTCGTGAACGTTGCATGTTCTCCTGGTACCCTGAGCAGGAGAGGCAGGCGACGATAAATGCGCTGAGCATCTGAGCAAGGGGCAGTGGACGAGGATCATCATAGAGTCAAGCGCCGTCATGCTAGTCTCCCGTAGGCAGACCCTAAACACGACCTTGTTTAGTGGGGAGGGCGGAACCAAACGTGATGACTGTGACCATGAGATACCATTCAGCCATATACTTACATCTGAAGCACAGACCACGCACATCATGCTAGGGGGGAGTTGACATTGCGAAATCAGCCACAGCTGGCGAGAAATATGAAGATGAGCGTTGCGAGGCGCAGTCACTGAGTCAGCGACCTACTTTCGACGTATATCGTTACTTGCCTATTTGGGATGCCCGCCACCTCATTACGTCTTGATCCTCGTGTCAACGTCGACCTCTGCTCTCTCATCAGGGAAATGGAACAAACAAGACTACTCTCAACACGACAGCGACGCACCTACGAACAGAATCCTCTCTGTGGGCCCGCCAGACCCGCAGCGCACCGTCAGTGCACGCTGTCACACGACTCGGAAGTGAACGTGTCTTGATACTTTTGGAGGAGGTCTAGTACGTTCGCAAATGACTTGGCAATGAGCTGTTCTAAACAGACTACGTGAACTAGGATCAACTAACCGCGACTCTTCGTTATTGAGGCTAAGCGTCTTCGGATTCAATATACTACGGCCTCGCAATACGGTCTTCGTGACATTGGAAGATGGATGCTGCGGTTCAGGTGAGGCAAAATCCACTTCAAAGTCCATTCGTCATTATGGCAGGCTGAGTGCTATATGATCGGACATCCCTGTCAGACATCGCATCCCCATAAAGATGCCAGTGCGCAGACTCTTGAAATTCCAGCCTGCTTCGAGACATCGTTGCAACCGCGGTCCACAAGAGGCCCACTAGTTGACGTCAGCCCGCCTCCGCCCCGATCGTATAAGAACGGTGGTGGGCCCTTACTTCTCGGATTCGCCCTCACTGAAGCCCAGTGGGTGCAAGTGTGGGCGACATACCGACCCGCCAAGAAGACGCAGGACTTCTTGGTTGCCGGCGCCAATCTGCTCATACAGCTCTCGTCCAAGATTGGCTACCCTCTCCAGAACGAGGTCTGTCTAATCGATGACGATGCGCCTGATTCCGTCAAACAGGCCGCAAGAAACTGCGGAGAGCTAGAAACTCACGTTTTGTATTTCTGCAAAGACACGGACTTCGAGAAGAGACCTACTCAGAAACAATTCGATGTCGTCAAGAATCTGATCGCGAAAGCTGGAATCGACCAAGAGGTACGATGGTGGACTTTGGTCCGCTGCTAGTAGTAATTGGCGTGGTAGGTCGTGTATAGGTCTTGTGGTATTTTCATGTACTGATCCTTTTGACTCGAAGTCTGCGTTTAGGGTACTGTCGTGTAAACAGTACACCTCATCGAAGTGATCCCAATAGATCTCGATTGACGACATTTCCGAGTCGACGAGGCAACAGTGACATCACTAGTACCATGGCCAGCTATATCATGCCGCCGTCTTGAGGTTGACGTCTGGTCACCCGTACGTCCAGCCATTGACGCTTCATCGACAAGATACCGCAAGGCCTCTTCGATCGCCATCGGAGGCATGACACGCTAAGCTATCTGAACAATACACGAATCCTCTAAATAAAAATTGGTTTCACTGACAGCATGCAAACGCTGCACTTAGCTGTCTGATACATCCGCTTTCTAGCATATCATGTGTTATTGCTTCGATTTTCGGGATCCCAGACGTCTCGGCAGGCATGGTAGAGACCAGGGCGGCGTCACACCGTGGTTTCTGCAGGTCTCACTGTTCTGCTTATCCATTGCAGAGCAGACAGACAGAGCCGATTACGTCCCTTGCTGGCGAGGACAATGGCGGCACTGTATCGGCTAGCTGTCCATTTGTGGCGAACAATGGGTGAGCCACTCATCGATCTATACCGCTGTTGATACGAGCGATACGTTTCAAACACCGCCGCCTCGCACACGAGCAGTTGTGGACGCTAAGTCTCCGATCCGTCTCTTCGCAGCTATTCGTTGTATTCTACTCCCAAGCTGTTTACGAGCACTCATCATCTCAGCTGCTGCGCAACTCCGTCTTTCCTCCCCCCTACAAAGGACAGTATGCTACCGGTGTTGAAGACGCAGAAGCAGAAGCAGAAGTGGGCCGTCATTCGGCAGACCCAGACTCGGAGTCAAGGTCACATTGGAGTAGTCGATTGGCGCCTCACGGGCATTACGGAGGTGAGCAGTGTTTTGACAGCTACTCCGCGTCGAGGTCGTTGATCGCGTGATATCAAGGGAGGTATTCCCTGGAAGTCCGAAGAAACCTCAAACATCCTAGTTAGGGAGAACGTACCGAGCCGTCCGCAGGCTAAGAGGAAGAAACGGCCCGCGACGGATGCTGATAACGATGTTGGCAACAACGGCGCATTGGACATTGTTGCTCGCCCGATCAAGAAATCCCGAACGGTCCATCATCGCGTCAGCGCTGCCTCCGCCGATGCGATACTTAAATCGTGGCACTTCGACAACCCTGGTTCGGATCTGGCTACCACAGCTGGCCCTGCGGAAGCCTCTGGGCGCCCCGCTTGGACGGACACCACGTTGACAGTGGCCAACCTGCCAATGGAGCCGCCAGCCGGCGGGATACCGCCTTCGCGCAGGAACGCGCCATTCCTTGCTGTATCGCCCGCGATTGGCCCTACACAGCAACGCTCCTCAGTAGATGCTCGCCCTCAATCTGAAGCGGGGCCTTACGGGGACAACACGACACGCCCGCATGTCGTGCCGCCTAGCCACTCTCCAGTACCGATTGACTGCGCCTACTTCGAACGACCTTCACAAGAGATGGCTCACGTGACCGTTCCATCACCGTATGCGTTGAACGTCGCAGGATCGTGGCGGGACGATCCTGGCTTCCAGACCAATATGTGGCACCAAGCTCAATCCACGTACCGTTCGACAACAGTGGCTACATACCCCGCGAGCGAGATGTCGCTCCCACCCACGTCTGGAACCTCTGACTCGGACGCCTATGCCGATGCTCAACCTGTTCAATTCGGTGTGAATATGCTTGCCGCAGACATCCGGAAGATCCGCGCCCAAGTGTTCCTCGAGAATCTAGCCCCATCAATGGCGGCCTATCGTGGCGATGAAGCGCCAACGCTACCAAGGGAATTCTGGGACGCGGTAGCCACATTCGTGGCTAGCAATGCCGGGCCCGGGCTCACTTGACGAAGTGGACTCTGCTGTGGACGCGTGTCGCCTCCACCTTCACGGCTTTGATCACGAATAGCTCATAATCTCGTTGCTGGTACTTACGATGTATCGGACCATGTTACCTAGAAGTACATACAGTTGCTTTCTCCAGGATCTGCATTGCCGCTCAGGAGACTTAATATAATCTATAATTACGTTCGAACATAATGTGCGGTTGACATCGCAACCAAATGGTTCATACGTGAAGTCATGATTTACTAACGAGGGCTCGAGTTTTGCTCATGTTATGAGCTATCATGAAAGCTATGATCATGAATAGCTCATAACAGGTGCACAACTGGGCCTCAAGAATAGTCGGGGCAGGAAGGGATCATTCGTACGCGTACATTCAAATTCCACGCACCGCGACACCATAGCGCATCATGCCAGGCACGATGCGCATACACCTGAATAGAAAACACTTGTCGCGCAAAGATTCATACTGAGAAGGCAACATACGGACCTATGTACGCATGTTCGCTTCCAGTTGCCTCGATACAGTGTACCGGCGGTAGATATCTAGTTCGCAGTCAACTAAGGGAAGCAGCGACGCATAGACCGAGATGCGACACGAAGATTTGACTACTGACACAGCAATGACATGTCCTCGGTTGTTCAGCGCATGTCATTAGGATGGGCATAGGCGGCAACTTGTTGCATGTAGTCACGGCACACAGCGAAGCCCCCAGGTCCTATTTGACAGGCTGGCAAACCACGAGTCAGAGCGACGAGGGGCAGTAGGATCAAAGTTCCCGTTGCAGAGCTGATGCCTTGAAGTCGGATGAGTCGCTGAATAAAGGGCATCTGCCAAGTTATACCGTGACGTGGAGATTCAAGCGAGCAAGTTGACTGACCATCGACGATGATTGTGCACCATTATGAATCGTCCAGTGATGTCGAATAGGCCGGTAGACGAGCTGGTCGGTGACGAGAAAGAAGATGTGAACCTTTCGCTGCAGGGTTTCCTTTCCATTACTTATACGATGATAACCAAATCAGTGTGGCTCGACTTCCTATCGATCGATACGTAAGATAGGCCCAACGCATTCTCGACCACTATCGGCGCCTGCAGAAACGTCACGTGCGGATGCGCAAACCCCAACCCAGGAGCGGATAAGTTCAGACGCTGGGTTACTTAGGGGGCTACTAGGACACGACGACGGAGTGATGTTTGGCAGTCGCTGGTTGGGACAGAATAATACGGTTTATGTATTGTAGACACAATTAGAAGCCAAGAACAGCAACATACACAATGAGAATAGCCACCCAGAGCTCATTACTCGCGTTCGACACCAGCCTTCTCGAGCTCGTCAAGAATACTGTGCGGCAGAACACGATGGCCGTGATACTTCTTGTTCGCCCATGCTGCTTGCTTCCCCGACAATCCCCGGCGATATGCATCCATAAATCGATGAGATCGGACGAAGAACCGTCGGATCGAGACAAGAGGCACGGCGTTCAGCGCAGCCACCGTGTTTCGTTCTAGGTCCGCTTCGAGGGTCGATGGTGGGCACTTCCGGTACACACGCTTCGCAAATCCCCAACACTGTTCAATTGGGTTCAGCTCGCAGTGAAATTTCGGGAGGAATAGCACCCGAAATCCGCGCTGCTCGCAATGTCCTTCCAGAATCGACTCAACATCGCAGAAGTCGGGCTGGTTGTAGAGGATGCGGCGCATACAGCAGTCGACGGCGGGGGGCTTGCAGTGGAAGTTAGGGCATTGTGCACGTAAGCCTGTTGTTTGTATGCCACGCTCCTCGAGGATCCTCTCCATCCCCTTGAACACCCCTGGTCTCTCTGCACCCTCCTCGAAGTAGAGTGACTGCGGCCGGCCATCTGGATACCTTCCATCCCCCATGCGCACACGCTGCTTCAGCTTTTTTCCATTCGTGCCATACACTAGCCGGCCATCATCTCCGCGGACATCGATGTCGACCCCAAACAGTGGCTTGCCCGGTGCAGTCGATTTCATCGACATACGGCGCGCTGACAACGAGTCATCTGGCCGCTTGAGGTGAGTCGGCGCATTATCGAAGATCAGAACATGCTGTTCGTCAGGGTGATGGCGCTCCAGGATGTCCATTGCGAGCGTTGCATGCTCGAGGATCTCCTGGTTCGTGAAATACCCATCTCGGTCTTTACCAGCCTTGAACAGTTCGCGGGCTGATTCGGTCCCATCAGGGGATCGAAGCCAGCCATGCTCAGCCGAGACGAAGTCGGCGACCATCAGGGAAGGACCCTCTCCCTTGGCACGAGGTACAGCCTTCTCCTTCTTCTTCACCCAGCGAATTTGACGGCGGTCATTTGCATAGAAGGTCGACTCGTCGTGATACCAGAATATGACTCGTTTTGGGGGACTCGAGCCATCCGGAAGGGCTACGTTTACAACAACGCCCCGGATGGGACTATCATCCGACAGTGTGATTCGGACATCACCACTCGGACGGAATGATCCATCGGGTAAGAGGGGACCTTGAGCCTCGATGCCATTGATCCAGTCTCGCGTGTACTGAAATGCTCCATCTGGCAGGACAGGGCCATGGACGAAGGAACCATTGATGATCGTTCGCACGTACGGATCCAAGGCAGCCAGCGCAGGGAGGAAGATCCCATCTCGATAGTCAACGACGTCTTCACGCTCGTGCCCATCCACATACTGTCCAGAAGGTGTTTTCGTCCATCGATAATCAAGCACATGCATCCAGGTCTGTGCAGTCGACAACCCAATAGGCTTCTTCAGCCCGTACTTCAGGAGGACCTCCGGGTCGGACATGAACTCGACGATGTCCATAGCACGTACGAATTTCCCCACAGCCTGTAGATGCTGACTGATTGCCTCTCGGAGGTCAGGCTTCTCCAACAGTGAAGTCGTCCACTCTCCCATGGGGCTAAAAGGAAGTGCATGCCGATCCCCTAGGAAGTTGCGCGTCCAACCGCGCAGTTTCATTGCCCGGTGAGGCCCGAACTCCCATGCCACAGCAGTACGGAGGGAGGCTGCGATCCAACTGCCACGTACGTCTGAGTCTGATCGGGTATAGAACCCAAGCAGCATTTTCATCTGCTCTAGACGTGACTGCAGCTGATCGTCGCCCACGAACCGCAGGAACCCAATGCCACTCTTCCGTCGTGGCCGCAGGAGAGCGCGAAGGTCTTGCAGGGCTATTGATGCTTCTTCGATGGAAGGCGGTGGCTCAAATAATGGCCGCTTTTGCGGACGTGCCGGTGCGTCATGGACGGTACTCGGAATCGGTGCGATCGGTACTGCCTCCGACTCGGAGTCGGGCGCGCCTTCGAGCTCGTCTGATACCGAAGCCGCAGGCGGCCGCGGTCTCGCATTCTGAGCCACGGCACCTGTGGTATACGACACTTGGCTAAGATGTATAGGTACTAGTTCCTGCACATGCTACTCACCTGCAGGGAGCTCATTTGCCTTCTGCGACTCCGAGTCAAGGCTCACCGACTTTGAGGCCTCCGACTCATTGGCTGTTGTACCCGGAACTTCCCAAGTAGGTTGTATTATCTCAGCAAAGGTATGTCTCATGTGCTCGTAGATTGCTGCTGTGTTTCTAGGAAGCTCGTCGGGAGCTGTCTCGGACTCCGGCTCCTGTACTGTTGGTTGCTGTGGTCGAGGTGAGCAGATTCTCGGAGCAATGTACCAAGGACATACATTTTCTTTGACTGCATCTGTAGAAAGCCGGGCTTTTTTCTCAGCTCGTTCTCCAAGGTTCTGTAGGGCAATGCGAGCTCGTTTACTGCGAGGCGACATGGTGTTGTCGCAGCAGCGCTTCTGGTACGACCTCATAGCACTGTATGCCAATTACGGATTATTGTAATATTGCAATTGTATAGTAAGCAGTTCACATGCAATTGTCGGAAGGAACAGATGACAACACTTCAACTACGGATGCAGACGCGATAAACGAGCCATCAACCAATTCTAAGACTGATTTCTGGGTGCTTGACTGTGTCTGAATAGTTCGATCTTCGTTCTATATTTCTGTGACTTATTTTCTCGCTTCGCTCGCAGCGAAAGTAGTGTACAGGCGCCGAAAACGGTGCATGTGATGTAGTCGAAAATGCGTTGGGCCTATCTTAGGCCTCCGCGGATCCTATTTCTTGAAATTCAATATGCTCCCGATTTAGCCTCATCGATCGCGCCGGCAGTAAATATTGTTTTCGACGAACTCACCCTCGCGAATAGAGTTGGTGCGTCATCTCCAGAACGACGGCTCAGCTCGACTCAGCCGTGCACGCGTGCTGTGTTCGCCTCGAGTTACTGCATCCCCGGCTGGCTTGATGGTCTGCAACGGAGACTGTCGCGCAGGTCGTGGACTGTGGTGTTTATAGAGGTCACTCCCAGTACGCGGTTCAGGAGGCATTGACGGGGTAGGTATTGCAGGGGTAGGACACTTATACACGTGGTTCAATCCACCGTTTCTCTGCCCATCGCGCATAAAAGTACACTGGGATCGAAACAACGAATCCCAGCAACATCCCCACGTCTCCGGTCCCGGCAGCAGCAATGGGTCCCGTCCACCAATCCTGCTCCATGGAGAGCACGATGACGCCGATGGCGACGACGAACGTGAAGACCGCAGCGTATCCTCGCGGGAGGTTCGGGTGTCCCGGCTGGTCCCACGCTTCAAAGACGTCGTATGAGGACCAGCGCCCCTTGCGATAGAAGAAGTGCTCTACGAGGACGATAGCAAAGAACGGCGCGAGCCAGTAGCCTATGAAGCCTGCGAGAGCATGAGACTAGTGATATGACATGGAAAAACGTCTGGACGTACTGAGAATCGAGGCAAACGTAGCATAGAACCGAGTGGAGCCGACGATTGCCACAGGAATGAGGCTGTAGGCGAGAACGGACCAGTCAGCGTCTGAAGTTCAAGGCGACCGGGGGAAGGACGCAGCAACAAGGATGCATGCTAGCCACTCACATTACTGTAGAGAGAATCGCCACGACAAACCGCGGTAGGCGCTGGAACACCCGCCCTATAGTCATGAAGCTCGTGCACACCGTATACATCGACGGCGCGCACTGACTGGGCGCAGTCAGCGACAGGGGGACGAGGAGGAATTTGCCAAAGCCGCCCGCAGGTTCAAGAACGGCAGCAATGAGCCCTCCGATGTTGTTGCCGTTTCCTAGGCCCGCACGCCACGATGGCATGTAGACAGCAGTAGCGGCAAGCGATGCACCAATCAGCTGCGCTGGCATCTAGCGAGAGGGAATCAGTCACCGCAAATCTGTATAAGCATGATGTTTCTGCGCACACTGGAGACGACGAATCCGAGGTAGGTATAGATGAATATGCGCCAGCTAGTTCAAGTTGAACATAACGTCGTCAATACGCGACACGGATTGTCGTCTCACACTCACCTGCTGGCGGTGTGGTCGTGGTAGACGCCGTAGTCTGCCGAGATCGTAGCCCAGCTCACGACAGTGGCCGTAAGCGTCGCTCCGAAGGTCATGATAGTGGACCCATACACCGGCGTCGTTCCGGAGAGGGGCGCGTCGACGATGTGCTTCCCGCTGACAGCAAGCATCACGACAAAGGCGATGACGTTCGGTATCCACACGAACGTCTCGTACCAATGCAGGACGCGATATCCGCTGACGACCACCTACGAGTCGTTTGAGCGATCGGAGGCACGATCATGCCCGTCGCGCAGCTCGCCCCCACGGATCGCGCTTCTCGCACCGGCGCACCATCAGCCGCCTATAAACCCTCCACACGACATCTCCGCTCGCTCAGCCCTGTCGTGTGCGCACTCACCCGCCCCCGCTCCCCCATCCACGCCCCGACCCGCCATGACCGCAGCCAAGGACGCACCCCCGCCGTACACCGGCAGCTGCAACCCGCCGCGCCGCGCAAAGCGTCCGCGCACAGACACCGCCGACTCGACCCTCAGCGCAGCACACGACACGGCGTCGTCGCGGGCGCCCGTGAGACGTGCCCGGCCGGCCATCCTCCCCAAGAGCCCCATCTCCGGGGCGGGCTCGCCGCCGCGAGACGCACTCGACTCTGACTCTGCCGACGAGGACGACTACGAGCCCGACACGCGCTCCACCGCCCAGCGCCGTCGCGGCCGCAAGCCGGGAGCCATGTCGCGCTCCGCCCGCGAGTCCCTCCGCAAGCTCAACCACTCCCGCATCGAGAAGGCCCGCCGCACCAAGATCAACGAGACGCTCGCCACCCTGAGCACCCTCGTCAACGAAGCCGAGCAGGAGAGGGCTAAGGCCGCGGGGGAAGCACCTGGAGAACCAAAGGCGAAGGGCAGGGCGGCGGAGGAGAAGGAGTTCAAGCTGGACGTGCTCGTCAAGGCCGTCACGTACGTCCAGGAGCTGCTCGAGAAGGTGCGCACGCTCGAGGCTGCCGCGGGGGCCTGCCCGCATTGCTCCCGTGATCGCGTTGCGGGATCCGCGGCGAGCCTGAAGAGGAAGCGGGCCGTGGAGGTGCAGGCCGAGCGGGACGTCGACATGGACGTCAGCGTCGACGACGAGCACGACGACGACGTCGAGTATGCGGGCGACGACGAGAAGGGCGACGGAGAGCCCGAACAGGGCCCGACCACGCTCCCGGAGCGCTCGCCCGCCCCCGCTGCCGCCCGCCCGACGCCCTCCCCACGCCTCCCGTCCATCGCTGCGTGGTTGCCGCACCCCTACGTCGACCCGAGCTGCATCGCTGCCATTTCGGACTCTCGCACCACAACGGCCTCGCAGCTCCCCTCGCCCCCGCCCTCCGGGCCCTTCCGTGCCGCCCACATCATCGCAGCACGCGACGTCCCCGCGCTCACGCTTCCCGCGCCCGCGCACCCCATCGAGCCAACCAAACGCGCCAACGCGGAGAGGCAGACGGAGAAGGACGACAGCCACGCGGGTGCGCACTCGCGCTCGCCGACGTGGACGCCGGAGGACGAGAACGCGGCGTCGCTCCTGCTGCAGATGAGCGGCTCGCCGGCGTCGATGCGGTCCAGCTCCGCGTCGAGCGCGGGCGTCCCAGCGTTCGCGCTCCCGAAGGCGATGGATGCTGCGCCGGTGCGCAGGATGTCGATGACCCGTATCAGTGAACGTGGGCACGCGATGGAGAAGGGAGAGGACGCGAGGAGGAGCGGAGGCGTCCAGGCGGAGACGCCGAGTTCGCTGCTGGGCTTGGGGCGTTGAGTCCGAGTCGCGCGATGCTCTGAGGACTCGAGGAACGACAGACGCGCGGATTAGAGGGGACGACGACGGTGTACGATAGGTAACTTATCATTCTCTATGATTTCCTCCTCTCTCTAGATCTCGCGAGCTTCGGCGCGGTCGTGTACGGGTCCGGGCTGTGTTTGTTCGATACGATACCACGGTGCAATGCTTCCGGTTTGCGACCGCCGTACCTGTTGTACAATAGATGGGCGAATGGAGGCTTGAGCGACTTGCCATGAATTGAGAAGAATGGAGACGGTGGTCGGGACTCAGGAAGGATGAGAAGGGCGGAGAAGGCGAGTTATTGAGGATCGTATGCGTTACCGTATGCCAGTACTTGTGCTATACATCACCGTCATAATGGGACGGCCCTCGAGTATGCTTTGGCCTTGTGGCGCGACCTTGAGAGACGCTACAGCACAGTGGTAAGTAGAGGCATTATTGGAGGATCGAGGTTGGCTCAGAGCTGAGCGCTGGGCGCTGAGCGGCAGTATGAGCGCGTTTCGGTCGAGGTCACATGTGACCTGAGCTGTAATTTTGCTAAATCCGTCTCGTTCTCCGAGTCGTTCTCGTTCTACTTAGTGGCGTAGTCGCTCGACATCAACTCGTTTCTCGGTTTTCGGCTTTCCACTCGTTTCTTGTTTCCCGGACTCCGAGAGCTCTTCTGGCTACGACCGACAAGGAGGCTCTTGAACTCTACACCCTCTTTATGGAGTGCGCTATGCCACACGAAACATTCGCGACAGCCTGTGTCTACTACGCCGCGCAAGGTACGCTGGGGAATCATATGCACCTTCGAACCTGAACATTACTCCTCGTAAAGTCGATTCCGAACGACAGAATAGTCGGCCGTTGTTGTAATGTTGAGGGCTCGACAAGGATGAGGTGAGCCACTACGATGTCACCTACTCACAGCGTGCCGAGACCAACTGATTATTTATGACATTCGCCGTCGCATCCTGGCCTATTGATTCTTCAAGTTGAGAACTAGCGAGCCGCCAATACAGATGGAAGACAGGTCTGTTTCAACAAGCTATAGAACGTATTTGTGCCGCGGTAGATTGAATAACAGAAATCCGAATATTCGCACCGCTCAGGCAAGCTATAATGGTTGAGTCCAGTCTCATCGATGAACAAGCAAGCAAACAGACTAATGAGTGTCATGTTGGTTCTCAGTCCAGAACCAGATATAGCATAACGTCCTACGCGCGTGGACAGAAAGTATCACATCATGTACTTAGAGTCCGTTTGTGGACTAGTTGTCACGATGGATCAATCACCGATGAGTGCACTCGCTTCTATCCCTCAAAACTCTTCGGGGGAGCTGATGGGAGCGAGACGTGACTTCTGAGTCTTGCTTACAGTGGTCCGAAGGAGCAGTGGGGTCGCAAAGCGACCCCGCCAGTGCTCACGCTGGTTCTGGGTCTCTTCGAGCGACAGAGCTCGTCCTTCGTGATGGTCTCCGCGCTGCATGTGTCAAACTGTCCGTGTCGGGTGACGGATGAGAAATGCAGTATAGAAATGAGTGCCGAGCGCTGAATGTTGATCCCGAAGGTACGCAAAGACTTCAATATTACCCGCAATTGACTGCGATCACGCTAGGATCACTGAACAGGAATACTCTGAATGCATCATCATAAGGCACATTCGTCAATATATCTTCAAATTACGCCATGACAAAATATCCAGGGTCCAGCATCATACATGTCACGAATTGTGTCGTCTTCGTAAGTACCGCGACAAGGTTCCTGACCAGTCCGTGTCGATGCTTCCTCTTCTTACTACTTCTGTTCCTCTTTAAGGTCTGATTGGAAATGAGAAACAGCATCCAATGGCGCGCAATGAAAGTATCGCACCCTTGTCCTGCATGAAGACATCTCCATTTAGTTCGTATGTCCGCTTCTTAATCTCCGTGAGTGCGCTAAGCCACGAGGCTTTTGGGTCAAGCCAGCGCAAGAGGACCGGCTTGCTCGTTCCATAGTTATACATGAAAGGTGGGGTTACCACCTGGAGTGCCTTCCGCCTTGCCTTTGCGGATTCTGACTCGTAAGCTGCGTCCGACCCCTCGGAATCACTGGTCCCTATGGTTTCCATGTCAAACTCGACGTATGTCCAATGCCAACCGACACCGATAATTGCGCCCAGCATGCCCTGCGAAGCTACCGTGAAGAAGTTGTCACTAGAGTGTAGCGCGCATCGTGCTTGCTGTGTGGCCTGAACAATTGTTTGCAGGGTTTTGGAAAGCAATTTAGTCCTGATTGTCTGGGGTTTCCCCACTACAGGCCTCTTGATTTCCATGATCAATGCCAACCTTGTATCCGTGATGGTCAGTTTTGTGCTTTCATCCTTGTATACGTTATGCTTATGTGCAATCAAAGCGAAGTCGGTGATTTGAGTTCTGTTCTTTGTCTGAAGTGCGCCTGATGTGCGCAGTATAGGCACCTCGTCAGCACCACATTACTCAGTCACAACGGCACTTCAGTCGACGCACTTTGGACGGGTTTTACTTCCTTCTCTGCTTCCACATTGCTTTCGCCAACTTCATCGGAAGAGATAGCCAAGGTCTTGAAGCGAGTTTCCACGTCTGCGACATCTGATTCTGAGTCGTCATTGGAAGAGGACTCGGCGTCCGAATTTATCTCTGTGTTGGTCTCATCATGGAAGTCGTGGCTAGTAGTCATCGTCCCATCGTCATCGTCCTCCTCTTCAAGTTCTGCCAAAGCGTCTGGAGTGTCTACGTGTCGTAGGAGGGCATATTGAGGCCAAGAGAAAGATGTTACTCGTGTTGTGTTCCGAGCAAAATCCATCATGACAAGATTATACAGGCCATAGAGCATTGATTCACGAACATCGTTCTTGCTATCAACGGCACTCATGATGACAATCATATGCTTGATTTGTGGGAACTCGTTCTCCAGCTTGATTTGAGCAGCCCAGTGGGGAGGTCTACGTTTAGGCTTGGGAGCAGTATGCGTAGTGCCTTTCGGCGCTTTCAGCGCTTTTGTCGGTTTGCGGGGTGGCATGCTGGATATTCAGGTCTCTCAGAAACTTGGAAGACTCGAGTTGAGAAGGAGAGTGGGTAAATGCGTGACCTGGTGCTGTGTTGTTGGGTTCAGGACCACAGGCCGCCTTAAGTATGTAGAGCCTCGTCACTCCCATGTCACAGATGCACCGTGACCTCCTCATGTTGTTCGACGCCAGCAGGCTACACATGCCGTAATCACACAAAGCACTGAACACACGACAGCTCTAGGAAGCCTGACAACACATCCTCGTAGTTCTTGTTCAAGGATATCTCGAATACTACCTGAACAATCATTTTTGTTTCTACTGACTCCACTTGCAACAATAAGGCCCTTGTGTTTTTGTCTTCCGCTTCATGATTCGTGATCATGCGTACTGTTGCAACAACCAATATAAACAATATCATTGGTAGCCTAAGCCAATTTTGTCGTCCTGGCTGTCGAATACTATGACCGCCGGTACCGGTAATAACCGCCGAGAAGTGGTGAATACACTAAGATGATTATAATTATATGTTTCAATGCCCGTGCCGCACATAGTAGTTTCATGCTCTCAGGTCGTTTTCTGTCTCTCGCGGCGATCTGTCACTATGGTATCTCGGCCCTATTGAATGTGATGTGGGGGCCCGGGAGCCAGCAATAGCTAGGTTGACCTTTGTGTTGCCTAGTATGCACAGGTTGTTATCATCTTCATACCGTAGCGGAGTAGCGTGCCAGGCCAATCAACGATCACGATGGCTATGAAACACTCACTGGTCGAGCACTGGGCTAGTACTCCGACTTCGCAGGGATTTGAAACATGATTCTGAACAACACAAGCCTTGCCACCGGTAGCCCGCGTGCCAGAACAGATGTGGCGGCCAGCACGTGCTCTGGTGCTCATGCATAAATATGCGCTCACCAAAATCATCGTGCTGCGGTACTGAACCACATCCCACTCAAACTGACACTGTAACATCTGCAACTTAAGTACCAAGTCTGTCATTAAACTTGAACTATCGCAGTATGGATGCTTCACCACCAGTAGGTCACTAGTCAGTCATTTCGCGTGTTCGATTCGTTAACATATTGCTTTCAATACTAGGTCAGTACGCAAGGCCAATCCTCCCCTGAGCCGGCGCGCACCAGCTCATATTCGCAGCCACCAACTTCATCGTCTGAGCCACTAGTCGACATTGATCAACCTCCACGTCCGTCAGATAAACATAAGAAAGCCCGACTGCTACTCGGATTTGCCCTCACTGAAGCCCAGTGGTTGCAAGTGTGGGCGACATACCGACCCGCCAAGAAGACGCAGGACTTCTTCGCTGCCGGCGCCAATCTGCTCATACAGCTCTCATTAGAGACTGAATACCCTCTCCAGAACGAGGTCTGTCTAATCGATGACGATGCGCCTGATTCCGTCAAACAGGCCGCAAGAGACTGCGGAGAGCTAGAAACTCACATTCTGTATTTCTGCAAAGACACGGACTTCGAGATGAGACCTACTCAGAAACAATTTGATGTCGTCAAGAATCTCATTGCGCGGGCTGGAATTGACCAAGAGGCGCGATGGTGGATTCGTGCGACGTAGTACATGGAGCAGGTTAGTTATGCGGCGGTCATCTTTAATTAGAGCCGTATCATGATGCTGAAACGTGTTTAGTGGGCGGGACCAAGGATGGAATCACATGGGTTGCATACAACCTCATCCGTCTCTCTAAGAGACTCTTGTATGGCGACGAACTAGGACAGCCAACTTGAAATCCGAGTCCCCAGTATCTCCTTTATTCAAACATGTTCCCTATATCTATCATTCTCGCTAGTCAATTTCCAGCTACCTTTTCCCCAAATAACCCGTTGTGTGCTGTGTCCCTTGTACGAATTGACGCGAACAGCCGTTCAAAACGAAGCTGCGGAAATACCATCATGACTATCTTGTCTGCTTTCGTCTCATGTGCTCCTTCGTTTCCGTCCATGCTCTCCAAACTCCTCCGTTCACTGGCAATGTAGACGTCGACGAGGTTGCATGTTACCTGAGTTATAATTAGCGCAATCGTAACTCGTAACTCGCGTATGTAACTCAGTGACAATAAGTATGTGAGTCCGCCGCAGGTTAGTGCTCTATGACGTCTCAGGAGTAGCAATAACATCACTGAATGCCGATAGGGTCCATCTTGAAGGCAGGGGACAAAATCGGAGTGTACAAAAACATTCTCGTGCATCGTAACTTACGAAGAGTAGTATTCATAGTTGGCGTCTCAAGAGGGTTTCTTCGACGGAGGAGAGAGGTGGCTTTCAAGGCTAAGGCATGTGATATACGATCAGCTTTTGCCAGCATGTACTTTCTGCACCAAGGACATCCGAACTAACCCAGGGTTTAGTCATCATCGAGGGCGGATGGAGACGACAAGGGACGCCTTGATCTCCGCGTGCAGTGGTCCGAAGTAACGCTGGGTATCGAAGCTCCACTCGATATTCCCGACAATCCAGTACTCCAGCGCCTTCACATACTTCTGGACCATCTGGTCGACGGCGGAGCCCCAGCTCGGCAGCTGGCTCTGAGCCTGCACGAAGCGGTCCATGAGGGTCTTGAAGAGACTCCCCACACGATCGGCGGCGGTCTGCACATCGGCGTCCTCGTCGTGCATGAGCACCGTGACGACGTTGTTCCCGCTCATCCCCGCCGCCTGTTCCATGTTCCACGAATAAATGTCCTGCTCGAGGTGTCAGAGTCACGGTGTCTTGATTTGGAAAGATATCAGGACCGACTCACGTTCGACCAATTTATCATGTCCACCGCGGCCCAATACAACGACATAAATGTCGGATCGTCGAAGACTTGGTCAGGAAGGTCGATTCCCAAGCAGGACTCGGTAAGGACCAAGCACGGGCGTGTCGCGCTGTTCTCGCGCCGCAGCGCTTCGTAGGAGGCCATGTCAAGGACAACCCCACGTCCTCGGAGCTCGGCCTCCTGAGCTACCGCGTCGATATAGTCCTCGCAGTGTTTGAAGAAGCGTCGGACGCAGCCCGGACCTGCGCATTGGAGCAGCCGGGCTCCAAATCTGCTCTGCGCGTCAGCCGACGGCTGAACGGCCTGAGCGGGCAAAAGACTCACTCGATGGTCATCTTTGCCAACGCGGAGCCGTCGTCCGAACCTGGGGTGCGCAGAGCGTTCAGGAATACGTCGCCGGTGCGGCGAGCACCGGCGCTATCCTGTTCGTCGCTGACCTCGTCGATGACGAACAGGAGGTTCACAAAGTTGTTGATTCCCGTTATTGTCACTGAGGGCGAAGCCCTATGTAGACATTACATGCTGCTATATCTAATACTTGAGGTTAATCACCCAGCGGGTTTGCAGGGCATTTCAGACTCCGCTGTGGCGCGGCCTCCGGTACGCGCGCAAGTCGCGTCGCGCCCTCTGAGTCTGACAGTCGCCAATGCCGTACGCAGCCCACGAACATACTGCGGGCGCGAGCACAGTGAAGAGTGGACGGCTGGGAAGGGTGAGTAGCTGGCGGGGGAGGGCGAGAGCGAGTCCCCATAGGTGAGCGCAAACGCACGCGAGCGACCCCGCTACTAACGCAGGTACAGGACGCGGCAACGTGCAGCACGACTCGCACGGTTACCGCGAGAACGCAGGTCCTCTGCCCTGCGTGCAGGCACGGCCAACGGACGGCTGGACCACTGGACGAGCGGACGCGCGGGCGCGGGCGGCCAGCATACACGCTGACTGCGAGCGCGCTGGGCAAATGTCCAGCACGCAGACACAGCCACCGAACGCGCGCAACGCGAGCGGGAAGGCGGGCGGGCCGGTGAACAGGCAGGTAGTACATGGGTGATTGGTCGAGCAGGTGAGCAGACAGGCACACGGGTTGACAGGCGGGTGAGTAGGCGGGCGAGGAGGCACGCGAGGAGGCACACGAGGAGGCACACGAGCGAGTGGGCGGGCGGGTCAGCGGGCACACAAGCAGGGGACGACACACACGCCGACCACGAGCGTGCTGGACGAATGCCCAGCACGCAATCATGGCGCACGAACGGAGCGCGTGCGCGAGCTCAGGATGGGAGACGACGACGACGCTGAGCAGGGCCGGGGCGTGCGCAACACGCCGACCACGAGCACATAGGGCCAGTGCCCCGCGTGCAAACGCAGCCGACGAGAGTGTCGTGGGCCACAACTTGGAAGGTAGTACTCTGATGTGCGCGACGCGCTGGAGTCCGAGTCGCGCGGCGCGGACTCGCACGTCGGACTAATAGTACTGAAGTATTCTGTAATGACCATAGAGTGTTGATTGATCGACGTTAGTGTCGATCGTATAGCGCGAGTGTATAGAGCATTAACAAATATATTAGAATTATGTATTGACACGGCTCTAGCACTCGCCCTCGCCCTCGCCCTCGCCCTCGCCCGCCCCCGCCAGCTGCACCATTCCCAGCCGTCCACTCGTCGCTGTGCCCGCCCCCGCGGTATGTTCTAGGCTGCGTACGGCGTTGGCGACTCTAAGAGGGCGCGACGCGCGACTTGTGCGCGTACGGGAGGCCGCGCCACAGCGGAGTCTGAATGTGCCCTGCAAACCCGCTGGGTGATTACAGCGGTTTTCAGAACTATGCGGAATCGCGAGAAAAACGAAAACGCACCTCGGGCACTGGACCAGCGCCCCGAGCCACGATTAGATTAGATAGTGGCCAAATCTGGAACTGATAAGCTAGGCCATTTCGGTCAGCAGGCATACGAAATCACAGTCGTTACATGTAAATGACAACAAGATGGCAGCGAGCTACGCTGACACACCAATGCAGCAGGAAAAACGGTGGAAAAGTAGGGCTCACAATGCGCGGCGCGCAATGTATATAATATAGCATATATAGTAAGTGTGGGTAGCTGAGTATGTAAACAACATACAGTAAGTACGAACGACTCAGTTGCTCTAACGTAAGTAGTACATATACATTCAGTCCGCGAACAAGATCTTTTGACTTTCAGACATGAATGAATGAAATCCGGAGTGAAGCAGCACGTTGAGCAGGACCCATTCTGTGATGAATTGATAATTAATGTAAGTATACTATACAGTTGCATGGCAAGGGCAATGTTGTGCACATTGGGTGTTATGACCAGGGTAAATGTGGAGCACAAACAGCTTTACACACATCTTTGGCTGTCTAAATTACGGTCCAGTGCGAGGACCATTGCTAGATGAGCTCTGTTGGTTTTTCGAGTAAATTTGATCAAGTGGTTCCATCCGATGCTAAAGTGAATGGTCATTGGATGGGGAAAAGATACCAGACCTCTGCATGCCTTATTTACATACCCTTCCCATTTTTGTTCACAGTCGACTTCACCCTGAAGCTTGTTACATCGCTCGCTCGGAGAGGCGGGACGCGCAGCGTCGTATCAATCTAATGGCTTCCTAACTCGGACTGCATCTAATCTAATCGTGGCTCGGGGCGCTGGCCCAGTGCCCGAGGTGCGTTTTCGTTTTTCTCGCGATTCCGCATAGTTCTGAAAACCGCTGTAACCTCAAGTCGGGCTCGTTGAAGCGAGCCACTCATCCACCCCTTCGTATTGCTATGTACAATGCAGCACTCACCGTTCTCCGGCTCTTTCGAAGCTGCGCTTTCAATAGAAAAAAAAATTGAGAGATGCGGCACGAACGGCTACTTATCTCAATAGCTCTGCCACGCGTTTGCCACTGCCAGTGATGGTACGGCACGGCAAGGGTTCGCTTGCGGCGAACTATGACGGACTGGACGAATGACATCATGCCCAGTATTCATGAGCGTTGCATGTTCTCCTACTAGCCGATGCCCGTGCTCCGCTACAGGTATGCGGCGTTCGATTGCAACTTACTGATATCTCCGAGCCGGTTACATTACTTATAGCTTCGAGCTCATGGCGGGGCGAGAGTGCTGAATGATGTTTAATTCGCAAGTGTAGGCAACTTCGTAAGAGACTGATAATTGAAAGGCCACTCAGCCGCCTCCCTTCGGGAGTCGGCTCGTGGCCCTATGCCAGTCTGTGGGATACCAACTGCTCGGGAGCTACCTGAGGTACCTCGACTGACAGATGTCTCCCCGGGCAGCAGTAAGGGAGACAGGATGGGTGATATGCACACGTCACGTACAGCACAACTATGCCCATGGTCTCTCCGAGTTGGACCACCCTATCGATTGCTGGAAAGCTGATGAGTCGTTGTTTGCCTCCAGAAGCTCGCTCTACATACCATGTTCGCTCTTCTCTCACTCGCCCGCGCCGTTGCTCGATGGGAGGAGCGTACGGATGCCTGTGTAGTCGTAGTCGGCGTGTCGGTGTGGTGATGCGAGTGGTCGTCACGGTAGAAGCATTCAGTAAATGGGATCTGATAGCAACATACTTCTTTTCCGCTATTCGTCGTCACCTACATGAGATGCGGGATGGTGTCGAGTGTTCTCATGCACCGGCAGCACCGCGTCCGATGCAACGGGCTCAAGCAGACTCGAGCGCGCGTTGTGCTTGCATCCTTGGTGTTGCCGCATGTCGTACCTGAAATTCACTCGTTCTTGCTCAACCGGCCCATCTCATCCCCTCGTCCTCACCCGTCTCTGTCAGTCATTCGTCCTTCCCTGCCCACTCGCTCCCGTCTGCGCCCGCCATCTGCTGGCTCTCCCTGCTCGTAGCTATGGCCGCGCCCGTGGTCCGCATATCGGCTGCGTGCGCGTCCGTCAACTGTGCCTGCGTGCGTTGGGTGTTCGCCCAGCGGCGCGCTCACGGTCGAGGTGTGTCAGTGTGCTGTCGCCTGCCCACTCGCCTGTTCGCCCGCACGCTCTCCCGCCCATCCACTCGCTTGCCCGTCCACACCTGCTCATCAGCCCGCATGCTCGCCCGCCTGTCCGCTGGCTCTGCGCGCGTTCGTTGGCCGTGTCTGCGTGTTGGGCATTCGCTTGGCGCGCTCGCGGTCTGCGTGCGCGTCGCGCTTCATGTAGCCGCAGCGACTGCGTCTTGCGCCTGCCCATTCTCCCATACCTCCGACTCCTTTGCTCAGGCACGGCGGTCCATTCGTCGGCCGTGTTTTCGCGTTGGGCATTAGCCCTGCGTGCTCGCGATCGTGGTGCGTTGTGCTGCATGTCGCCGCGTTCTGTGCCTGCAATTAGCTCGCGCGCTCGTGTGTATCTGCACTCACGGCGCCCGTCTCCATCGCTGCGCTCGGTAAATTCCTGTCACTCGTAAAAGTACTGACTGACCCCTTCGTTCTCGTCGCTTTGCTTGTCCGTGTCCTCCTCGCGCTTTTCTCCAGATTATCTGTCACATGCTGCTCGTTGATTGCTGTGCCTTACCGCTGCCCTGCTGGTCCGCACCTTCCCATGCCAGAGTGAGAAGTCGACTCAAGTTAAGTGCCCCGCGCGAGTCTGAGTGATGAAGGATGCCAGGTAACCGGTAGGTATTGCGGCCAGTTGCGCAAGCTCGGAGCGCTTGAGAGGCTCGGGCAGCGCTCGGGCGTCCGTCTCTCAGCCAATGAGAATGTCTCCCATGTTTGTCTTAGCGTTTGTCTCCGGTTCCCACGTTCACGCCTCTTGTAGAGTAGACTAGTATTCTGAGCAGGAGAGGCAGGGGACGAGAAATGCGCTTAGCATCTGAGTAAGGGGCAGTGGACGAGGTTCCAGTCATCATAGAGTCAAGCGCCGTCATGCAGTGACTGGATCATGAGATGGTAGCAATGAATTGGGTAAGACCGAAGCATCCGGGCTTCAACGATTCAACGATTCAACACGAGGCTACTGAACCCCATTCTTCGAATGGTCCTGACGTCGTATGCCTCGATGTAGCTGCACATACGCAGTGGACAGTAAGTATCACTGTACTACTAGGGTGGTACTAGTGGCTTCCACGAATCAATTGAACCGTACTTTCCTAGAATCCGAGCTGCACTCAGGCTGATGGGGCTGTCGTGGCATGCCCTAGTAAACACTACTGGCACTGTCGCCGTTAGACATGCATATCCCGAACGATAGAAGTACTAGCAGTATCGATGTTCACAGGCATGTCCGTGACCGCGAGATCTTCGTCGGACTTCCTGTCTGAGTCGACTAAACGTGATGACTGTGACCATGAGACGCCATCCAGCCATATGAGAACATCCAGTGAAGCACCCATCACACACATCATGGTAGAAATAAAAAGTCGATTTGCCGGAGACAGTCGCAGCTGGCTAGAAATATGAAGATGAGCGCTGCCAGCCGCAGTCAGCGACCTAATTTCGACGAATATCATTACTTGCCTATTTTGGACGCCCGCCACTTCATTACGTCTTGATCCTCATGTCAACGTCGACCCCTGCTCTCTCATCAGGGAAATGGAACAAACAAGCCTAAGACTACTCTCGACGCGATAGCGACGCACCTACGAAGAGAATCTCCTCTGTGAACTTGCCAGACCCGCAGCGCACTGTCAGTGTACGCTGTCACACGAAGTGAACGTGCCTTGATACTTGGAGACCTAGTGCGTTCGCAAATGACTCGGTAATGAGCTGTTCTAAACGGACTATGCGAAGTAGAACCAACTTACCGCGACTCTTTGTTATTGAGGCTCAGCGTATTTGGATTCAATATACTACGATTTCGCAATACGGTCTTCCCGACATTGGAAGATGCCAGTGGATGCTGCGGTTCAGGTGAGTTACAATCCATTCGTTGCTCTTGCCTGGGTTTTGCATAGCCTGATATCTCTATCAGACATTGCATAGCTACAAAGATGCCAGCGTGCAGACTCTCGGGGTCCCAGCCTGCTTCGAGACACCATCGTTGCAGCCGCGGTCCGCAAGAGGCCCACTAGTTGACGTCAGCCCGCCTCCGCCTCGATCGCACCAGAACGGTGGTGGGCCCTTACTTCTCGGATTCGCCCTCACCGACAACCAGTGGGCACAGGTGTGGGCGGCATTCCGTGGGCCGAAGGTGCCAGTCGACGACTTGGAGTCTGATAACTTCTTCTGCGTTGTCGTCAATCTGCTTGACGACCTCTCCGACAAGATTGGCTACTACCTCGAGAACAAGATCGGCCTTATCGATGACGATGCGCCTGACTCTGTCAAACAGGCCGCAAAAGACTGTGGAGATGTGGAAGCTCACATTTTGTGTCTCTGCAAAGACACGAACTTCGAGAAGAGGCTTACTCAGAAACAATTCGATTTCATCAAGAATCTGATCGCGAAAGCTGGAATCGACCAAGAAGTACGATGGTGGACTTCAGTCTACTACTAGTAGTGTTTGGCTTGGTAGGTCGTGTTTAAGCCTTGTGGTAGTACCGTATACTGATCTTTACTCGAAGTCTGCATTTGATAGTATACAGGACTCTTTATCGAAGTGATTTTGATACTTAGATCTTGATGAACGTCATTTCTGTATTGACAAGGCAACAATGACCATATCCGGTACACCTGAATGGCCAGCTACACTGTGCTGCTGCCTTGTTGTTGACGTTTCGTCGGGGACTTAATGCAGCCATTAACATATCATCGACCAAAGACCGGAAAGCCACTGGACCACCATCAGAGATGGTGAGTTATCTGATGATAGCCGCTTGAATCCTCTGAACGAGACTTTTGTGGTACCGAAGCCACGCAGATGCTGCACTTACTGACTGTAATGCGACGTCCGTCTCCGCTGTCTCATACTTCCGACGTGGTCAAGACGCGGTACTCTTGCATAACATCATATGTCGTTGCCTCGATCTCGGAATCATGGGTGTCCTTTTATGGCGAACAATGGGTGAGCCACTCATCGATCTACATCGCCGCTGATACGTGCGATATGGTTCAAATGCCGCTGCCTCGCATACTTAAGAGCGGCTGTAGGACGCTGTGTCCTCCAATCATATGCGTCTCTTGGCTATATTCCGCTTCCAAGCTGAACACGAACACTCGCCTTAACTACTTCTATCTGAGCGTTTCCTCTCGCCTAGGAAGGACAAGATAGGACAAGATGCCTGCAATGAAGAAGCAGAAGCAAAAACAAGAGCGAGCTATCGCTCGACAGAACCAGTCTCCGGGTCAAGGTATGGGAGTGGCCGGTTGGCACTTTACGGGCATTACCGAGGTTAGCAGTACTTCGAGAACGACACCGTATCGAGGCTGACTATGATACGACCTCTACAAGGGAGGTACGCTATGGAAGGCTGAAGAGTCTCTGAGCCCTCCGAATGTGGAGAATATACCAAGCTGTCCGCCAGTCAAGGGGAAGAAACGACTCGCGATGGACGTCCATGACGAGACGGGCAACGCCGAAATGAACACTGCTGCTCACTCAAGAAAGAAACCACGCTCGGTTCACCATCGTGTCAGTGCCGCCTCTCCCAATGAGATCCTGAAGTCGTGGCACGTCGAAGACATTGGCTTGGACCCAACATCAACTCTGGGAGCTGGCCATTCAGAAGCTCCCCAAGCTTCCCTTCGATCGGACGCGACGATAGTTCCGTCGCCTCCTCCACAGCTATTGGGTGACGGGATACCACCTTGGCGCAGGAGCGCGCCGCTCTCCGCTGTGTATCCGGTGAGTGACATCGGAGAGCAATACTCCCAGTCAAACGCGCCCTCTCCGCTGGACGAGGTACCGTACGAAGACGATCTGGCCTACCAACAACCTTCATGGTCTAGCCATTTTTTCCTGCCGCCCGACTCCGCTTACATCGAGCAACAAGAGGCGGCACCTAGAAACGTTCCATCGCCTAATGCGGTCCACATCCCAGAGCAATCGTCGCAGCTTGACTGCCAGACCAACATGGGGCCGCAATTCCAACCTGGCAAGCACTGTTCCGCATCAGCAGCCTCGTATCCTGCGGGTGGAACTTCGCCTGCCGGCAACTGGCCATGGGATGCACAGCTAGGACAACGCGCAACGTTGTCTGGGATAGTCGATGGGCTCGCCGAGGTTCCATCCCTCCATTCGCAAGTTGACATGCTCGCGGAAATCCAGAAGATCCGTGCGCGAGCGTTCCTCGCAGAGCTAGCCCCGTCAGTCGCGGTGCATCGCGGTGACCAAGCTCCAATTTTGCCCAAAGGCTTCTGGGATGCGGTCGCCGAGTTTGTGACTTCAAACGACGGAGGCTCGCTCGATGAAGTAGACTCGGCTGTGCGCGCATGTCGCGTCCACCTTACCCCGGCTGGAACTTCCTTGAGTAGCTCATAAGTGATGACATATCACACCTGTATCACCCTCGCATCTAGCATCTTACCCACACCCACTCTAGAGTCTTGATACATTGTTTCATCCCGGATCCGTTGATAATGTATATCAGTTCGCGTAGAGCTTGGTACAGTTAACTACAAACAGTTAGACGGTTACGGCAGGGTATGACAGTGGTATGGGAAGTCAATCAGGCCTCAGGCACAGGGCTTGAGTTCCGCATATGGTATGAGCTGCCATGAAAGCAACTTTCTTGAGCAGCTCATAACAGGCACGGAGCCATCCTGAAGATAGTAGAAACTAAGCGATCTGCCGGGGCGATCCTGAACGATATTGTGCACAAGGGGCCTGTAAAAAGCTGATGAAACAGCCACGGTGTAACACAAAGGGTAGGGAGGAGAGAACGTAGAGACGACCGACGCGCGAGTAGTCGCTGCAAGTTGCTTTGATGCAGTGTACGTCCGCGAGTAACTTTTAGTGAGAAAGGTTTGCATTCGACTGCGATAAAGACGAAAGCAGCAACGGACGGATTGAAGGTGCGCCAAGCAAAGTATGCAGATGACTCACCTACAGACACCATGCCTCTGTCGTTGAGATGATCCCTTGAAGTCGGATGGGTCGCTGAACAAAGGGCATCTGCCAAAATTCACCGTGACATGGAGAATCAAGCGAACAATTTGACTGACCATCGACGATGATGTGCACCATTCAAGTTGTAGATCGTCCAGAGTTGGTCCAATGGTACTTATGTCGAATAGGCCGGTAGACGATTTGGTTGATGATCGATGAGGAGGAAGACGCGAGGCTTTCACTGCAAGGCTTCCTCTTATGCAAATGACGATCACTAAAATCAGTGTGGCTCGACTTCCTATCGATCGATACGTAGACTCAACTTGTTGGCCTCCGCGGATCCTATTTTCTGAGATTCTGTCAATATGCTCCCGATTTAGCCTCATCGATCGCGCCGGCAGTATACATCGTTTTCGACGAGGCACCGACCTCACCTCGAGAATAGAGTTGGTACGTCAACCCCAGAACGACAGCTCAGCTCGACTCAGCCGTGCACGCGTGCTGTGTTCGCCTCGAGTTGCTGCATCCCTGGCTGGCTTGACGATCTGCAACGGAGACTGTCGCGCAGGTCGTGGACTGTGGTGTTTATAGAGGTCACTCCCAGTACGCGGTTCAGGAGGCATTGACGGGGTAGGTATTGCAGGGGTAGGACACTTATACACGTGGTTCAATCCACCGTTTCTCTGCCCATCGCGCATAAAAGTACACTGGGATCGAAACAACGAATCCCAGCAACATCCCCACGTCTCCGGTCCCGGCAGCAGCAATGGGTCCCGTCCACCAATCCTGCTCCATGGAGAGCACGATGACGCCGATGGCGACGACGAACGTGAAGACCGCAGCGTATCCTCGCGGGAGGTTCGGGTGTCCCGGCTGGTCCCACGCTTCAAAGACGTCGTATGAGGACCAGCGCCCCTTGCGATAGAAGAAGTGCTCTACGAGGACGATAGCAAAGAACGGCGCGAGCCAGTAGCCTATGAAGCCTGCGAGAGCATGAGACTAGTGATATGACATGGAAAAACGTCTGGACGTACTGAGAATCGAGGCAAACGTAGCATAGAACCGAGTGGAGCCGACGATTGCCACAGGAATGAGGCTGTAGGCGAGAACGGACCAGTCAGCGTCTGAAGTTCAAGGCGACCGGGGGAAGGACGCAGCAACAAGGATGCATGCTAGCCACTCACATTACTGTAGAGAGAATCGCCACGACAAACCGCGGTAGGCGCTGGAACACCCGCCCTATAGTCATGAAGCTCGTGCACACCGTATACATCGACGGCGCGCACTGACTGGGCGCAGTCAGCGACAGGGGGACGAGGAGGAATTTGCCAAAGCCGCCCGCAGGTTCAAGAACGGCAGCAATGAGCCCTCCGATGTTGTTGCCGTTTCCTAGGCCCGCACGCCATGATGGCATGTAGACAGCAGTGGCAGCGAGCGATGCGCCAATCAGCTGCACTGGCATCTAGCGAGAGGAAATCAATCACCGCAAATCTGTATAAGCATGATGTTTCTGCGCACACTGGAGACGACGAATCCGAGGTAGGTATAGATGAATATGCGCCAGCTAATTCAACGATACGTCGTCAATGCGCAATACGTATTGTCCGTCTCACACTCACCTGCTTGCGGTGTGGTCGTGGTAGACGCCGTAGTCCGCCGAGATCGTAGCCCAGCTCACGACAGTGGCCGTAAGCGTCGCCCCGAAGGTCATGATGGTAGACCCATACACGGGCGTCGTTCCGGAGAGGGGCGCGTCGACGATGTGTTTCCCGCTGACAGCAACCATCACGACGAAGGCGATGACGTTCGGTATCCACACGAACGTCTCGTACCAATGCAGGACGCGATATCCGCTGACGACCACCTACGAGTCGTTTGAGCGATGAGGACGAGGCGCTGACTCGGACGGCTAGGAAAAGACAGACCGCAAGGGTGATGAGACCGATGATGACAATCCCGAGCGTCGCGTTCAGGTGCGAGGAGATGCTGCCGAGGGTCTGGCCGCCGATGATCGTGTTGAGGATAAGGTACCCTTGGCAGGATAGTATGTTGAGGATACTTGGGATGATTGCGCCGTAGTAACTAGCGAGACGTCGGTTTGTGATTTGACGACGTTGAGGTGCCCACTCACCCCCATGAAAACCGCGCATGGACCATAGAACGCGTTCCGAGTTTCGGGCCAAACACTGCGCTGCAGCGACGATGTCAGCCGCGGGTCATGAGGTCACTTCAGACACGACTCACAAGAATGCCGGAAACGAACTGAGGCTGCAGAACAATCAGCTGGCGAAGACCGTGGAAGATCACACTCGGACGCACACCACGTTCACGAACACGATGACCAGACAAGCGTCTCTGATACCGAGCCCGTAGAATACAGGCCCTACGGTGCCAGCGGCCATCCTACGACGAAAAGCATTAGCAAGGGCGCTTCACGCAGGAGACCTTCATCTCACGTCAGGATGTTCGCGTTCGCGGAGAACCACACGAAGAACAGCTGGTACAGCCGTTTATCCGTCCGCTGCTCCGGAGGGACAGGGTCGATTCTGCGAAACGCACGATCGTGAGCAGACGGACGACTCGCGCGCGAAGAGCTGGACGCACCCGTTCGTCTCTATTCCCCATTCCGCGAGCATTCGCGTGATCTTCGACAGCCAGGTCTGAGTCGGGGAAACGCCATCCTGTACAGCGCCACACGGCGACAGACGTGGCGTCTTACACCCGCCCTCGGGATCCACTATGGGGAGGACGTCGACGACCACTTCATTCTTTTCCGGATCGAGTCCAGCTTTCAGCTCTTCGAAGTCCGAGTCCGAGCCGCTCGACCGCCTGCGCTCCTCGATCTCCGCGTCAAAACGGTCCGCCATCGCCAGAGGGAGGTATCCAGAGGCCAGGTCGCAAATCACGGCGCTGGACGGCCAGTCTTATATAGACCCAGTCTGGTTGTACAAGGAGAACTGAGGCAGAAGGTTTGGCGCACGCGACTCCTCGGGCGAGGAAGTTTTGTACCTCGAGTGGGGAATGATTGGTGGGACCACGGAAGGATACTGTCACGTTGGGTCCCGGACGCCCCAGGATGGGGTGGGAAGCCTTCTGTGTCCTCAGCTAGCTCGACAGCACAGTCCGCCGCCAACGGAGATAAGAACAGAAACGCCTGGCAATGTTAGCGTCCACTACATACCACTTCGGTTTATGAAGCGAACAAGCCCGGCCAGGTGAGCATGTACGATGCATTGATACACTCGCACTGTGCTGGTACCGTGCGATGAGGACGCGAGCAAGCTTTGGTCGACGTCGGAGGCGAGTTCGACGAGAAGCATTGTTGGTTATCATCGGAGAAGCTCTGAGGCGTTTGAGAAGATAAGCCACGAATGTGAGAGGGCCCTATAGTCACGAGAAAAGCAGCTCAGCAGATGGCGCATGCAGTACAACTTTCGATCTTCTCATGTCAAGCCATCGGGCGCCACAATGGTCAACCAGCGGAGGCATTAGCTAATAATTAATCCGAGTTGACCCAGTACCAAGAATACATCGACAGAGCGAGGGCGACAGCGAAAGCGAAGGCACACGCTTACTCGCGCTGTATAAGAGCGAGCAAGCCGAGACCCCCTAACAGCGCGTATTTGAGCTGCGGGAAGTCGTTCTGGAGTAAGACGGTCTTATCAGCCGCGCCGGGTATAATGAAGCGTCAAGTAGAAGCGTACCATGGCAATGGTCACATATCCGACATACGGAAGGAAGCTGATATGGGTGCATAATTAGACCAACATAGAATGAAGGTCGACTGTACTCACGCCTGCACCTTCCCGATTATATGTCTCCGCTCCAGCCATTCCAAGCCTTGGTACAAGTCAAGATCGTCAACGGGGTTGTTGTCTCCCTTCGTCAGCAGCAGCTGAGGTTGTGCCAATGGACTTGCAGCCACGTAGCTAAGCAAAGATTTCCTTGATTCAGCGACGAGCACCAGCCGAGCAAAATACGTACTCGGCGCGCTTCGAGACCACATCGTGCGTTTCCAGTACTCGATGGACGATGGGGATGTCCGCGCCTGGGATCTTGTACACAGTAATGTCACCTGTCGCATACCGCTGATCCACTGGATTCGTCAAAAAGAGTAGGTCACCGCGGTAGAACGCAGGTTCCATAGATCCACTGCGTCGCAGGCTGCTTAGTACCATAGCACGACACACGATTATGACCGAGGAAGCATACCTGAGAACGACGACGATTGGCGACTCTGTATTCGTGACGAGCCCAAGGCCCTTCCACATCATGAAACCCGACCCAAGTACTTGGATGAAGTTGAGGACTTGTAGCAGGACCTGCGCCACCGAGTTTGTCAATGTCCGAAACCTCGAGCAAGACGAGCACAGCGCACATGGCGGAAGCCGAGCCTGCGGAGGGCCTTGAGCTCATCTGCGAACATGACGCTGCGTCGTGTGCGGTCGTCGACACAGCGGCTGGCTGGCTGAAAGTGAGAGGATGGGGACTGGGGAGGACGTGGTCGTTGAGATTCAAGATGTGAGAGCCACGTGCGCCTGTCCCCGAGGGACTCGGAGTCCCCAGGCTGCTGTTACAAGCGCTCACGGTCTAGTATCATACGTGGATTCGAGCCTTCGATGGAACTTGAACCCAGCGTCGAGCTTTCTACTTACATAGGCCCTTATTTCGTTCGAGTTGACGTCCGTTCGAACCAGGTCTATTGCTGCCCATAAGTATCTCCAAACGACTTTCTTGAGGCTTGACGATTGCGGCACATGCAGACTGATGGCAGTTGGCAGGAACAGGTCCCTGAAGTTATGAAGAGGCATTTCAAGTTGTAGCGGAGGTGAGTACATCACCAGATCAATCCTGCGTATGCTTACTCAATTTGCGGTAGCATTGCTTTGGGGTTGCATGATGGCCTACTACTCATGATCACGCTGTTCCAGCATTCAGAATCTTATGGGCACGGAGGCAAGACACACTATTAAGTACCAGGAGATGCGGCCAGAGTCCAGGAATTTCCGGATCTGGTATACACTCAGTCAATCAGTCCTGTATCAGCATCGCCGCCCGACTACGGTACGAGCTCCTTCCGGCATGGGTGCCTACGCAAGAGAGGCCGCACCCTTTACAGTATGTCCAATCTTTGTGAATAGCCGTCATTGTTAACTCTGAACATCCGAGAGCAAGAAATAGGCCATTATAGGTGCATAGGCAGCAAGGGCCCTTAGTATCGGTGGGAGCAATGGGGGCGAACTGTCGAGTCGAGGCCTCGCTATGACGACTTTGCTTCCCTCCAATCATCATGTCGGCTGTGATCTTGTTCACTTAGAGAAGCTCTTCGTAGGAAACACCAGACGCGTATGTATGTCTGTTCTTTCTAGTCAGACACTCAAACGAACCTGTGACTAGACCATTTTGAGCAGGCGATCCGGAAAGACGGCTAGCCTGTGTTTCTCCATATGAGCTTACCGCTGATTAGACAGCAAACTTCGACTACCTTGGATTGCTCGTGAATCCAGAACTACTTAGCATTCTCCCCTCAATGTTGTCAAGTGTAAATCATGCACGTCGAGCATATGTCGCGAGGGACACCACTACTCGCAGAGCGCCATAGCCACAGTGGTTCGGATGCGATGATAACTGGCGGCTGTGCGGGTCATACGCACATCACTACGGCGATAGAAGATGAACTCCGAGACACCGGACTGGGATCTGGGGAACGAACCTATATAACTGGTGTATGTGGACATGGGTGGACATCCTATGAGGACTATCTTCTTCGCCACCACGACACTCTGTCGGGTCTCGATGATTGGCCGCATACGCCGTTTGTATCGTCACAACCGCTCAGACGTCGATCTCTATGGTTTGCCTAGGACACCTCGCTCCCGTCGGGAGGAGCTTTGCGTGACACTTACCTCCATCAAGACACATTGCGATGAACTGACGAAGAAGGGCTTGTTCACAGTACGAAACCTCACATATTTTTTGTGTTATGGTCTCCTCATGGCTCTAATGTGCAGAAATCTACGAAAGCAATTCTCCATATCTGCGAAGGCCTCGCCATCAAATACTGGGACATCTTTCCGTGGAATGGGTCGTACTTGCACAACTCGCCCTTAGCGCCTACTGTTCCAGACGCAGCCAATCGGTCAGTTTCGCATTGCGCCTTCTGTTAGGTGTCGTACTGACTATTGTTTTTACACAGCTGGTATGAGCAGATCAACATTCTGTTCGAGCGTTGGTCGTCCTGGACCGTCGTCGAGGCACTCATGCGTCGAGAAGTCATTTGGGAAGGCTTCAGGGAAATGTACAGCAAGTGTCCCTACCGCGAAGCGCGGAATATGGTGAGCGCGTCGGCGTAGACGTAGATCTTGGCTCATCGCAGGGTAGGTATCCTCGTTCCCCGTGTGCTCGCTCATCGAAGATGCCACAGTCGCGGTACATCATGTCTTATCTCACAAGGTGCATGTTGAAGCCGTGCTCAGTCTGAATGGACCACAGGCAGCGGATTGGATCTATCTGCTTGATCATGTACGTGGTGGGATTCAGTGACGGATACGGACTGACGAGCAAGTAGGTCATGCACCGGCTGAGTGTCACCAACCAACTGTACACGACGGCTCTTTTCACACTGCGCAAGCTGTGCGCTAGTGCCGGAAAGTTGCCAGACTCCTATATGATATCCGCTGAAGAGCGCAACGGACTAAAGATCATGGGCAAATACCCCACCGCCTTTGGCGGATTCGCGGACATCTGGCGGGGCCAGTACAGAGCGCAAGATGTCGCTGTCAAGGCGCTGCGTGTCTCTGGGCGTGACAAATTACAGGCAGTGGAGAAGGTGCGCGTTTCTGAGTCGTTCGCGCCCCAGACTCCTGCGTCTGAACTTCCCGACCACAGATGTTCTTCAAAGAAGTCGTTCTATGGAAGAACCTTCGCCACGATAACATAACACCTTTCATCGGCGTCGACCGCAAGCTCTTTCCATGCGCAATGGTATCAGTATGGATGCCTCACGGAAACATCGTTGCTTACCTGGGCAAGTTTCCAGAAGCCGCTCGTCTGCAACTAGTAAGTAGCCCGGTCTCTCGTATCTGTCTCTGTATCACAAGAGCATCTAGCTGCTGGACGTAGCTACGGGTCTAGAGTACCTTCACTCCTTCGGGATCGTCCACGGTGACCTAAAAGGCGTAAGCCCAACGTATTACACAACGCCCGCCATCCCGCCACTGACTCCCGTCCTTCCAGGCGAATATCCTCATCGACTCTGAACACCGTGCGCGCCTGGCCGACTTCGGCCTCACAGCGATGACACACGACCTACACGCGCTCAACGCGATCACCCCGCTCTCGATCGTCGGTTCGCTACGATGGACCGCGCCTGAGGTGCTCGACCCCGAGTCTGCCGGCCTCGAGAAGGCGCGGCCGTCGAAGGCGAGCGACGTCTACTCGTTGGGATTGGTCATGTGGGAGGTGCGCCCTTTCTCTGCTTCCACTCCGACCTTTTCCGGCTCCGCAGCGTTGCTCAACAACTCATAGGTGTTCGCTGGTCATGTCCCCTTCCATCAATACCCCCTCGAGGCGAACGTGCTCTACCGCGTGCTCGCAGGCGCTCGACCTGCCCGGCCCAACGCCGCGCGACATGGGCTGTCAGACTCGGTCTGGGAGTGGATGCAGCGGTGCTGGGATGCAGAGGCGTCGCGACGCCCACGTATCGCCGACGTCGTCTCTTTCCTGCGGGATGAAAACGTCCCGCTGCATCACAAAGAGATACTGTCCCTGCTATTCGAGTAGCAGAGCACCCCGCCACGACAGCGAGGCACTCATGCGTACGCACGAACACGGCGTACAAATCGCCTTGGTCGAAGCCCTAAACTGCCTCAACAACTTGAAAGTTGTGACGAGGTTGATAGTGTGTAGATGCCGGCTACTCAGCCGGCTTAGGGAACTCGGTCAGTCGAGTCTAGGATGGAACTTCCTCATCCCTCCTCATCCATTTCTCATGGTACATATCATTAGCTTCAATCAAGCCCAATACAATAGCACCCTCTTTTCGTCACGAAAGACCCAGCTGTTGCTGTGCAATCTTGTGCAATATGCCATTGCCGCACTGGGTGGCCGCGACTAGGCTGTCCGGGCCGAGATCCCGATATGGTACTTATCTACTCGTAATACTTAGCGCTGTAAGTACATCTCCTTATTGAACTTGAGCAGGCTGCTTTCCCGAGCAAGTATATAGTATGTATCTGACACCTGCAGTATGGTACAGTCCTCATCCTCGGGTGCAAGTATAAACGTGAGCATGTATTGCCCTTACTAGTAGAGGAGACTGTTCCAGCTTGACTAGGTACTATACGCGTAGTTAGTGCGCATCAAGGCTGGCTCGCTGATGGCCCATCTACTGAAACCTAGGGACTAAGGATCCTAGTCAAGCTCAACACCGACTACAACACTCAGCAGAACATATATGGCATCGCTACTGACACCGAATCCGCATTTGGACAATGTTGTACGACACGTTCAGCATGTACCACTCAGACCACACGGTTCGGAGTACTTGAGGAGACTCGAGTCAGAGCGGATCTACAGGTCGAAGTTCAGAAGCATCAGAGCAGGAGCAGGAGCATAACACGAAGCCAATCCGTCCGGCGGCACACCCCAGCTCGAGCCTCGCGGATATGGGTATCCTTGAAGTTTGACGTGTTGAAACCAAGGTGTCGCCTCCTGTGCGGCCGTGGCGCCGAGAAGGCCAAGGTGGTGCTTCCGGAAAGGTGATCAGACAGTCGTCGCCCGGGACACCGTGAAGTTTTGCAACAGTGCAATCTTCGTGCGGGCTTCTTCCCTTCGGGATCCTTATAGTCGTGTAGCCCTCGTCAGAGAAGCTCGATGGGGCGTTGCACGGATCTTGGTATGTTGGAACCTGGCGCGGAGAGGAGCCACTGTGCCTCTGCGGAGATCAAGGCCTGCATTGCACCATATACTTACTGACATATCTCAACATACAATGCGGAAGCTTTTGAGACTGCCTGCATGTGGCGCAACGATCTTGTCATGACTGGAAAGTAGCACGCATGTATAGGATCACGCCACAGCCAGCGTGGCGACCTGCGGCGTCCGACGCAGGAAGGCCGGGTGCCATTCCGAGGTACCTGAGACGCCTAAGTTACCAGTCAGTGCAAATCTTCTCTGACAGCGAAGCACCTACGAAGCCGCGTCTAGCTACCCTTGTATTTCTGCTGCGCGCAATACAGTGGACCCCCATCAATTGCCGAGCTACTCCCATACCACATGCTGCTCGAGTGGTCGCCCCTCGAGGCTCGATGACGATTGACTCTTTCCTGGGGCTCGTTGTCTTTGGGTGGCGAATTGCGAGCGCCGGTGTATTTGGAGGCTTGAAACTGTATGGAGAAAACGCTTGGTGGGTTGCACGAGTACGGTGCCCATCTGGATCCAGCCCGAGTCGCTCAAGCTCGCATAGTAGTTCGATGCGAAGCGCATTAAATACTTTCCGTCCCACATCGAGTGCCATGATCAACTCATTGGTGAGCTGACTGGACAACCACTGGTGGTGTTCGCTGAAACGCTGATAGGACAGCAACCGGTACCTGTAGGACGCGGTCAGGTCTTCGACATCAGACTTCTTCCAAGTCGACGCACCTTCTGAACGGCTATACCACACCTGCCAAAGAGGTATCGTCAATGCATGTGGAGCCTCTAGAAGTGCACGGGCCACATACGACAGCTGTCAGTGTCAATCATTTCCCTTGAAAGTTGACACGACCTGTCAAGTACCTGTCGCTCGACTTCACCGTCCAGCAACGCCGCCTCGCCCACGCTTAGTAGCCCACGTGAAAGGACGAGAGAGGAAGTCCCTTTAGGCTTCAGAAGGGCCTAGCAGCGATGGATCTCATCCAGATCCCCGATTTAGGTCGTCCGAGACTTCTGAGAGCGGGTGTTACAGACGAAGGTCCGCGAGACGCCTACGTTGGTCCTGGAACCCTAAGATGAGACCGACTACGAAAGGCGCGTGCACCGAAACTTATAAAACAACGAGAGCTCACTCCATGAACTGTGCGTAGTATGATAGGCCTGAGGGTGGCATATGCAATGTCGCGACGACTACAACGATGCCTCCGCTGGCAGTGCTTCTGTGACGTGATCCGGGACAGGCATCCAGCTAGACTGGGTTGGAAGTACAAGGCATGTCGCGATGGCTACAACGATGTGGGTACGACCATGCGAGTGTGTGGGCGGAGGAAGGCTCGACAAGAGCTCCCGGATCGGGCAAAGCTGGAAGCGGCACGTGTGATGGGCGGACATACCCCTGCCGGTTCGAGACAAACATTCGTCCGGATTTGTGCATCCTCTTATTCCTCCCTCCACGCGGCTTCGCACTCGTCCTCATCGACATCCAGTTTATAAAGATGCCTCGCCAGCTCGTCCTCTCCATCATCAACCTGCACCTGCAGCTCCGTGCCGCACACGACCTCTCCGCCCGCTCAAAACTCGCGCCGCCTGCAATTGTCTGCCGCATAGCCCGCCGCGTGCTCCAGAGCTAGCACACCACGCCCTCGCATACCGCGTACCAGCCGCGTACTAGTGTCATCTACGTGTTTTAGCATCTTTCGCCGCGTCCAACATGTTCCAGGTCGCCTCCCGCCCCGTCCCCGAGCTCTCGCTCCCCATGTCCCACTCGTACGGGCACCCGAACGCGCCCCAGAACCTCCAGCTTCCGCGGACGCTGTCGCGCCCTGCCTTCACCGAGGTCTCCCGCAGCGCCATCGCTACACTCGAGCCAGAGCTCGCAAATGTTCCCATCGAGTTTGTTAGAAAACACCTGGCTGGCCAGGCTAATGAGTGCGTGTCCTTACCATGCCTACCCTGTCCTCTTCTGACCCTCGTACGATAGGATGCTCTCTGCGCTCTCCCTCCTGACCTACCCGACCTCTCTCCCCAAGGCGCATCTGCCACCCACACTTGACGTGCCGGTCCGCCCGACGGCCTCGTCCCCGCCGCGCGCCTTCCCGACGCACATGCTCGCCGTCTCTTCTTCGCGGGGATCCCCCTCCCAGCCGAACACGCCCACCGCTGCGTCCTTCCTCGCGTCCAACTCGCCCACCAGCACCGTCCCTCTCTTCCCCGCGCACGCGCTCGTCCTCGCCGCGTACTGTCCCCTGCTGCCGCAGCTCCCGCGGTCCACGGGCCAGCGCGGCAACGCGGCCGTGAGCCTCCCGCTCGTCCCCCTCGCGGTGCCCAGCGCGGAGACGTTCCACCTGCTCCACGCGTACCTGCACACCCGCCGGCCGGACACGCTGCTCGCCGCGCTCCTGCCCTCCCTCGCGTCGTCCCTCCCGCCCGCGCACGGCGCCTCCTCGTCCTCCTCGCACCAGCGCGCGTACGTGAGCAACTTCTCGAACGAGAGCCTCCTCCGTCTGGCTCACGCGCTCGCGAGCGGTGCTGCGGCGCACGCCGGGCCCCAGGGTGCGCTCGGCGGGCTCATGGCGCACGTGAAGGTCATCAACGGCCTGTGGAGGAACGTGTGCGCACTCGGGGTCAGCGACGCGGAGCTGTGGGGCGTCATGGACGTCGCCTGGGAGGTCGTCCTCGCTGCGCTGACCAGGGTGGCCGAGCGCGAGCGCGCGTAGACATCCAGTCGAGCGGGCCTCGTCTAAAACTCTTGTCTCCCCTAGTGTCCACTTGCATTTGGGTTCCAATTCCGTAAACCGTTCCCGCATTGTCATCACCTCACGGACTGTTTACACCTCGTCGCTAATCTTCACCGCCCCTCCAGAACTTCATATCCGTACAGCACCGTCTTCGCGCACTCGTCTCTGAGTATACCCCCGTGTATTGCCCACCCACTATTGTATCCTTACTGTCTTCCCGTCGTCTTGGCTCTGCTGTTGTCTGTCTGTTTACGTTGTCTGTCGCACAAACGCGTTCGTAATCCCCCGTAGTGGGACGTAATAGGGTACATCAATTTAATGGTGTCAATGTCATTGTCATTGCATGCGAGCGTGCGACAGACAAACCAGCCTGTGCTAGGGCTTGTGCGGGACCCTACTTACTGGTGCTACTAAGTAAGTACAGTGCTAGGTTCGCCACAAACCCCTCTCGTGCCGTGTGGAGGATCTTGGTATGAGACTGAAAGTACTAGTGCTGCCAGGGTGCTGCATGGGCAGACGCAGTTGACTCAATTGAGTTTGTTGGAGAGATTCCTGTGCAACTGCGCGGGTTCCCACATGTACGCCAGACCGGAGAAAAAGAACGCAGCAAAGAAAAGGTCCCGAACCCAAATGCATTAAGGGGGAATCGAACCCCCGGCGGGTCGATGGCAACGACCCAGGTTACCACTACCCCATTAATGCTTCATTGCAGTTTCAATACAATTATGTAATCAATGTGTTTCAGCATAAGAAGGACGCGGTCATATGACCCTGTGGCCTCGGTGACTGAACGTTCGGTCGTCGAAGTTGAACATTGTCGGTGACTGCCACTGGCACGATAAGCCCTTCCTCTCATCGGCTGTCGCGCTCGTTCAACATCACCTTATCCGACAAACAGACATCTCCCTTCTACGTGCCTTCTCTCAAGCTGTTGCACTGGTGCTTCGCCGACCATGGACGCCTCCGACTTCGGCCGTTATGGGACGTTGTACCTGCTGAAACGACACGAGCCTGACGCGATCGTGGCACCCTATCCCATTGATGAACCTGAAATCACCCTAGGGCGCGACACCTCCTGCAGCATCAGGCTGTACTACGCTGAAGTGAGCGCGGTGCACTGTAAGGTGGTCTTTAACGACGAGGGAAAGGTGCGTATCCCGTTGCACCTGAAGGTGTAATCCTGTTCTTCGTCGCGCTTTGCTTGCTTTACAACTCGCGTATGTTTTCTTCTCGTTGCCGATATTGTGCGTTGTCGGTCAATGAGTGGCAGCGTCGCGGTTGAACAGAGTGCTCTCCTTTGGGTTACCTCGACGCGTGCAGAAACATCACTTGCCTATCTTGCTTCTCTCACTCGTGTCCTCTTGGATACTGACTCAGTGTAGCTGGTCTCGTTCAAGAGCCTCTTCACAGACTGGGAGGACACTGGTCCCATCATCGTCATCAATTCCTCGATTACTCGCATACGTTCTCCTCTGGCACACATCCAGTTTTGTCCCAGCTGACATCAACCCCACAGGCCTTCGTAGTTGTTTTTGGCACCAACGGCCTCCTGATCGACGACTGTCCCGTATACCCCTCCCCCGCGGGCAACGCCCCCGCCACCGTCCCGCTCCCGAACAACTCCATCCTCGAGGTGCAAAAGAAGCGTTTCCGCTTCGCCTACCCACCCAAGCACCTCCGCACCACCCTCGCCGCTATCCCGCCGACCCCCATCACGACCCCCGGCACACGCCGCCGAGCCCTCCGCATGAGCATGATCACGAGCGCGAAGGTGTTCAGCCCCCGCCCGTTCGAGGACCCCCGGCGCAACCTCGAGATCTTACAGAGCCCGCTGAAGACGGTGTTCAAGCCCGAGCCAGAGTCTGACGACGAGGACGCTGAGCACGAAGACGACGAGGAGGGCAGGCAGAACGATGAGACCGAGGCCCCGGAGGATATCATCCTCGTCGAATCAGACCATCCGCGCGTCATGGAGTCCGAGAAGGACCTGGTCATCCTCGACCACGTCACCGTGACCGACCCGCCCCCGTCCGCTGCCCCCTCCCCGTACCGCGCGTCGTCGTACGCGTCGCCAGCGCGCCAACCCCGCGCAGTCCAGATGCCCGTGCCCCCGCAGAACTGGGCGCCTCCCCGCACGCCGGCGCGCCGCATGCCTAGGGCGTCGCTCCATCGCGCGGTCCTCATACGCTCCGCACAGCGGGCCGCGCTGAAGCACGAGATGCAGCGCGAGGAGGAATTGGACGCGGAGGAGGTGGAGAGCATCATGGGCGACGATGAAGGCGAGGGCGGCGTTCGGGGGATGGAGGACGTCGTGGAAGAGTATGAGGAGGGGGAGGTGCAGGTGAAGGAGGAGGATGAGCAACAGCGGAGAAGGACGCCGATGAGTGGGTGGAGGAAGAGCTTGGAGGCGGTGAAGGGCGGGCTTGGATGGGCTTTCAGAGCCGCGAGCGTCGAGGTGCGTTGGTTGTCCGTCTTCGTGGCGCTCTGATTGACAGAGCTCATCCAATCGATCCCAGGCGGAGACGGGACCTGCTGAAGATATCCCTCAAGAAGAACCGCAACCTGCGGGAGACGTCCGAGATGACACACACGACGAAGATATGTCCGATGAGCAGCTTGAGGACCCATACCCCAACTACGACCAGGAAAATGCCAATGACGAAGAGCAAGACTACATGACTACCGAAGATATGGAGATTTCCGAGAACATATACCCAAATATTCAAGAAGAACTCGAACAAGCCAAAGCCGGCCCCTCTACCCCCGAGCCCTCCGCCGCGCCTGTGCGGCCTCTAGGCAGGTTCATGACCCCGCAGGCGTCCTCCACATTCTCGCGCCCTGCTGCACAGGGCCGCTACTCGATCGGTGGGCCTGCCCCCAATAATCTCAGCAGTTCGGTATCTGGTACCGGCGCGGGCCCGCGCCGCGTGCGTCTCATAGAGCCATGGAAGGTCTCAGACATCGTCGTGCCGACTACTCAGGAAGAGGTCAAAAAGGAAGAGGAGAATGTGAAGGAGGAGCGAGAGCAGAGCGTGGCACCGGGTTCTGCCCTGACAGGGACGCCTAGGAGGGATCGCGTGACCGAGGAAGAGAAACGCGTACGTGTTTGCTTCATGCGACCACGTCCGAACAGAGTGAACTGACCGCGATGTGCACAGGCTATCCGGGAGCGGAGGAAGTCAGCCCTCACAACGCCCGACAACTTCTTCAACGGACAGGCACCTGGGTTCCGGCGGGCGTCCACCGCCGCCTCCGCGCCCCTCCCTGCGCTCTTCCCCACAGCGCAGAGTACCTCGCCCAAGAAGGACCCCGGCGCCACCCTCAAGACGGAAGATGGTGCGACCGCGGGGGCAGAGGAAGACGCCAGCGTGCTGCTCGCGCGCATGCGGCAGATGGTGGAGGGCGTCAGGCGCAGGCAGAGCATGGAGGTCGGCGCCGGGGAGTCGCCGCGCAGGAAGTCGCTCAGCCCGCGCAAGCGCAACGGTTTCTCGCTGCTTGCGCCTGAATTAGGAGCGCAACGTCAGGGCGAGGATGCTATTATGGAGGAACAAGAGGAGGTGGGTGAAGGCGTCGGGTATGGCGAACAGGCGGACGATGATTTCCTCCCTGTGTCGACGGCGCCGAGACAAGCGGGCACCCCGCGGATGAACGACCTTCGCCACTTGTTTGCGGCACCTGGTCCGTCTGCGACGCCGCAGCTGACGGGAGTGCGAGAGATGTTCCACCGCGAGAAGCGTGCGGCGGGTGTGCCGGACGATGCGCTAGAAGGTGTTGGAGAGATGATGACTACGCCGGTGGGATGGCGTCCCAGGACCGTGGATCAGGCTGAAGGCGATGTGCAAGAGGATGATGACATTCATGAGGAAGAATTAGCGCCGGCAGTCCCTTCGCGCACAGCGAAAGGCAAGGGTGTCGCTTCGAGACGGACACCGCGAAGCGCTGCCACTCAAAAACCGACACCGGCGAGTAACCTCGCTACAGTGGCAGAGGACGATGCAGCCACTTCTGCTGAAGCCCGACCCAATGCAGCACGTGTCGTGCGCCGGACAAGGACGCGCACTGTGGAGAGTGACCAGGTTGGTCGACTTGAGTGTGTTAGACCCCATATTCTCAGTGATACTTTCTTTTCAGGAGAGTACTGGCACTAGCATTCCTCGTGCGGCGCGCTCCGGCCACGCGCGGACAGAAGAAGAGGACGAGGTTCCTGAACTGGTACGCAGTGCCAGCTCTTGACACCTTATATGTATCCATATTTCTTTGCAGCCGACACGGACTAAGTCAGCTGCCCGAAAGAAAGCGGGGACGGCGACTGATGCTAGCGAAGATGAAGCGGGTCCTGGTAGTAGCAAGCCCGTCCGTCGTAGCACTCGCGCAGCCAGCGCAGAACCCGAAGCTGCACGAAAGACGCCGGCAAGCACGGCAGCATCTGCACGTCGGACACGTGTGACGAGGACGCCCGTCCCTGAGGAGCCAGTTGTCACTGCTCCCAAGGCCAGTACAACTCGTCGTGGTGCCCGAGGCAAGGCTGCCAAAACGGCTGTGGCTGTCAGTGACAATGACGAGGATCCTCTGGACTCCCTCACACCAGGGGAAGCGCCGCCTGCGGCCGCCAAGGTGCGCCGCACCGGGCGAAGCCGCATACCCGCTGGCGCTGTCAAGGAGGAGGACGATAGCCCGGCTGTCCTCCCTGCATCTGACGATGACTCTGCAGCACCACCGGCTCGTACCGCGCGCGGACGGAAGGTGGCCGGAACGTCGAAAGCCGCAGCGTCATCCGGCGCGAATAAGAGCGCCACACGTTCTCGCGCAGGAACATCCACGAAGAAGGCAGCCCCAGAGGTGCCTAGCTCTGGCAAGTCCACACCCACCACAGGTGAAGAAGAGGACGGTCACGCGGGCGATAAGGAGAACACCCCTGAGCCGCAGACAGAGGACGATGTGCCTGCCGTCGCGCCTGCCACGAAAACCAAGGGAAAGTCTGCACCTGCGTCAGGTTCGAAGGCGAAGGTTCCCAGGAGTGTCGCGAAGACGGGTAGAGGGACGGAGGGGCCTGCGGGTCCTATTGCGGATGGCGCTGTGAAGACGCGAGTGAGCAGGAAGAGGGTGACTACGGCCAGCAAGTCCTGAGGCCTCAGGCCTGAGCGGTAGTGCGATTCTATGAGGCTTGGACTACCTTCATTGAACGTCGTCATTTGTCGTCATTTCTGTAACCTCGAATAGCACATTATCTCATGTTGCTGCATCGGTGCAGTAATATTCTATTGTTATTAGGGAACAGGCGGATGTCCAGGTGTCAGTCCTAAGAGGGACCAAGTGAATTGCCTCGTCTTCGGCGCGACGGGTCCAAGATGTGATGCGATAAGTGATTCAACAATGTGCTTTGCTTTCGCCTCACAGCCCAGGTCTACGTGTATAGTCATACATGCCACATAGTAAGGATAAACGATAAACGCCAATACATAGAAACATCATTTACTCCGCGCCCGCAACCGCGTCCTCAGGCTCCGAAACTTCGAACTCCTCGTCAACCATATCGTCTTCGAGGTCAAACCACTGCTCAAAGTGACCATGGCCCGTCGATAATCCTGGTTGCAATATACGCACAACATTGACATCCTTGAATAGCCTCTCGATGTCGTGCGGGCCACGCAGAATCGTGAGAAGGTTGTCCAGTGCATCCTCTTCACCCTGCTGAATGACTCCAAACGTCGATTGACGCGCTCCCGCGCACCAGATGTCGTACGCAGTGAATTTGGCCGTCTGTGTGCTGCGGGTAGAGGGATGATGCCCTCGCGATCTGGCCTCCACAGATGACTTGCCCGACGCAAGCGCGAAGACCATGCGTAGGACCGGCGGCGGTTCCTTCACACCGCTTTTGAAGACGCCGCACCTGTACGGGTCCATGCAGGCAAACAGAGTAGGATCCACCTTCGCCTTAAACCGTCTGTCGTTCTTCACCTGGATCATGATGGCGGATACCTTCTCTCGCACTAGCTCAGTGCCGAACAAACACGGGATGATGATGTCGATGCCGCCCTGATTTTCCGCGCAGATGAACGCCATGCCGCGTGAGATGGCGGCTTGGAGGTACGTCTGGTTCACCATATCGAACTTGTGGGCTTTGACGAAGTGGTTGAAGTAGATGAAACAGTTATTGAACGCAGCTTCCAATCGCATCTGGGAGTATTCGGGCCTGTGGTACTCGGCTGGAGTGATGTCGTGGTAAGGTTCTGCTAGTAGAGCCCGTAGGAATTGCGTCACGGTAACGATTCGACGCTTCTGAGCCCCGTCGTATCTGCGATTCTCGTTGTCTCCTATGTTGTCCGTGCCTGGCGGCAACTCGCCGTCGGCGAGGGGGAAGGTCGTCGCACGGTCGCGGGCGGCAAGCAGCAGGATAGCGGCAACCGTTTCTCCCCGCGTGCCCAAGTCCAGGTGAGAGTGGCCGATATGATACGAAAGCGCGTCCATTGGCTCCAGAAACACTGACTTTTCTTCACGAGGATGTTCTACAGCCTCGCCGTTTGACCACCGCCTGGTAGCCAGGACCATATATGCAGCCTCTGCAAGTAACGGCTCGGATGGACAGCTGGTGATCACACCCGCAAACCCGCGGCCAGCATAAAGCAACAAACGCAGGTGCTTCGCCACTAGGATCCGTTCATTCTCGAGGTCGGCCGGGACGCAGGCCTTGAATTCTAGTGGAATTCGTATCCCGATGCATGCCAGCGACTGGGCTTCTGTCAGGAGTACGGGCTCATCTTGCGAGCACAACAACTTGATTTTGGCGAAGTTGACGATGGTTTCCTGGAATTTATCGTTACCGGCATCGTACATTGCGGCGAATCTACAACACTCGGCATGAGTGCAATATATATACATATAGCGGCTTGCCACTCACAATGGACGGCCTAAGTGCACCATGTGATGTGTGGATGCGACTTGCTGCAGGGTCCATCCCGACCCTGATATGCGTTCGGCCAAGACATCGAATGGGTTGATAATGATGGGCGGGAACAAGTCCAGTCTTTGCATGACAATTCGACCCGACGTCTCCTGCTGGCGATGTGGAGCAAATTGTTCTAGTTTGCCCACAGTCGATAGGAAAGACTGAATATTGGCTGGTCTACAATCATGCGGAGGACGCGTCGTAGCTCTGAGAATGGCGTCCATGTATAGCTCTTCTCCTCAGGTTTGGTGAGCGTGTGAGACTCGTCGAAGCATAGTATGACGAGCGGCGCATCTTTGATGGGGCCCAGGAATTGTATCAACTCCTTTGCGGCTGTCCGTACTATCTGCTTGTTCTGACCGACTGCGCTCCTTCAGCACTTTACACATGACGACAGATGGATTGCACGAACTAATTGGCCTGTCTTGTCCTGCCTGCTGACCTTCCTGTCCCATGCTCGGACTGTACCCTTTAACTTCGGACTGGCATTCTCCGGCAGAAACTGGACCCAATAGATGTAGCACGGACAACTGAGAGATGCGTACTCACATTTTTGGCCCCTTCAGCCACGGACTCATAAAATGCCACTCGGTACTCGCCATGGTGGCCAAATTGCATTCCACTGTTCATCTTCATCCTGAACGCATTGGCAAGTCGTGTTGCACGCTGCCGAGCATCCTCCACAGTAGTTGCTATACTTCAAGAGTTCTGTCAGCTATGCTGAAGAATTCCTAGTGCAGAACCTACCATCAGACCTGATCAGCGGTGGTTCTTCCTCGATGCTCCTCAAACAGCTCAAAACAGTTTCAAAAAGTGAGTAAATGACGCCTGCATCCTGTGCCCGTAGCGCTGTTGGTTTTTCGAGGACGTAAAGACCATTGACGAGCTGCAACGTCCGCCGGAGGGAAAACTATCGAAACATTCAATGAGGACATATAGCACTATGCAAATTACGTACCATCCCCGCCCACAGGGCCCAGGTTGACTGGAATGTGAGGACCTTCTTAGCGAGCTCATCATTCATTCGCGACTTCCCGGTTCCCGAGGACTGAGCGTAAGCAGCGTAGCGGGCGTAAGGCTGCGGGGTCTCTTGTCGTGTGTATTGCTGAATGGTATGTATAGAGCATCAGTTGAGCCTCGGAATCCTCGGTGCCAAGACTTGACGGCCGCTGATAGGGACGATCTGAGCGTCGAATCTCAAGACGCACCGGAGACGAGCATGCTCACCTTCCTTCGATGCCTCACTTCCAAAAGTGATACTAGTTTCCTGCTCCGAGTCCCACGTGGTTGTGGTTGCTTGACTCGGTAAGAGAGCCTCTGCATCACGGGCTGTGTTCATGGAACGGTTGCTGACGACAGACGAGGCACTCACCTGCTTTGATGACAGGCCTGAAATCACCAGTTTTACTCGCAGCAAGCATCAGTGGCGTGAGCTCGGGATAGCTTGCCACAAGCTTCTTTGCTTCGATGTTGGTCCGGTATTTCCCGTTGATTGCCCCGGGCTTCGCGGTATAGACAGTTTCGACCACCGTCGCCAAGTTCATCGCAACATGCATCGGGAGCTCCGAGATCGAGCTCCTAAGATGCTGTAGCTCCTCGTTCCACTCGTCAAGTTCAATGTCGGTGAAACGTTGAACAGTGTGCTCTACAAGTCGAGGGTCGCTGCCAGTGGTAGGCGGTGCAAACATGGATGCAGGCGCCGATGCGCCTTGACGTAGTCTCTTCTGGAACTCGTCTGGAGCACCCGAACCGGCACGTTTGAGGTTGTGAGGCTGCGACGGGGATGTTCATGGTCAATTCATAGTGGAGGATTTGGTATCGCTGACTCAGCGTCGCATGCGTTTAGACCAGGCCATTCGTGGCAGCTGTGGCGCAGGTACACGTGGCTACTGAACCTCAAACAAAGCCTAAATAAGCAAGTAAGTAACTCACCTTCATAGGTCCCTCAACTCCGTGGTATCCAGGCGTTATATTCCCGACCTTCACTGCATGAAACTATGAATGATGCGAGGCACGAAGGCCTACAGAGTACCTATTATACTTCCAAGCTTGGCCCAAGGTTTGATATCGTCGTTGGGCGAATTAAACGACCTCTACGTGGGTACCGGCGAACCTAGGACATGTTCAACGTTCAATGTTCATACCCAACGAACACGCATTATAGACGTCTCCAGTTGTGCGAGTCATTGCCGAAGTATCATCGAACGAGGAATGGAATGCGCAGCCGTCTACTCTACACGTTATGTACGCAACCACGCGGTTTTCGCGATTTTTTTCAGTCTTTTCTGCTCTCTGAACCGATCCTGTAAGTCGATGGTCAGCCTAGTAGGCGGTATTGACGGAGACGAGTCGCACCAAGTCTTTCTTCGTTGGCCGCTTCCGTTTCTTGCTCTCCTCTTCCTGCGCCTCCTCGAGCTTGCGCGCCTCGACCTCGTTCTCCCAGGCGTTGACATCAAAGTAGAACTCGCTCATGCGCTTGGCCCGCTCATACTCGGACAGGTGCGATGGGTCACGTCCGTCCGGGCGAGCGAATGCTCCCGTGCGTGAGTTGAATTTGGCCGTGTACGTGAACGCAGCGGGGTTGGACGGGCCGGCGACGAGCGACGGGTCGAGGTGGGCGAGCGCAGGGTCGATGCCCTGGGCAGCGGCGGCGGCCTGGAGGTCGTACATCGCGGCGACCGCTGGCGACGACGCCGGGCCCGGCGACACGGAGGAGCCTGCGGCGGAGGGGTCAGCGGACGCACCGGCTGGGGGCGCGGGCTGGAGCGGGTTCGTCCATGTCGTCTCTTGCGTCTGCGCGTTGTAGAAGTAGTACGCGTTGTGGGCGGGCGACCAGATCGCCTGCCAGTCGCCCGCGCTGGCGGTCACTGCGGGTGCGGGCGACGTCGACGTGGAGGCAGCAGGACTGGGAGTAACAGCAGAGGCGGATGGAGAAGCAGAGCCCTCCTCGGCCTGGGGCTCAGGGTCGGTGTCCTTCCCCTTCCCCTTTACACCAGGGCTTCCTTCTTCGTGAGGATTAATCTGTGAAGATGTTGAGACTGCCAAGCCGTCAGGCTGCTTACTGTCTGCACCCGGAGGGGGAGGAGAGGGTGAGGTGGCGGTGGGCGAGGTCGCCATCGAGGTCGAGGTCAAGGTGTATTCGAACTCCGACACCGTCATCTCTCCCTCAACCTCTTCCTGCATCCCTCCCGCCTTTCCATCGCAACTCTGTCCAGTATCTTATTGCCTTCTAATAAAGGCGAACAGACATTTCTCTTTTCTCAGCCTGTCTGTCTCAGAGAGGATTGAGACTCGTGAGCATCTGACTCGCAAGCGCTGCGGCTACTGGGTCGGCAATAGGTGTGTGACACAATCCCATTCTGAATACTATCTTCTTTCACCGCTTGGGTACGAGCGTTCATGGTCCATAAAGACGTGACTTATTGGCTGAGGAGACGCAAGCCTGAACGAGCCGAGCGAGGTCCAAACCTCCGGGCAAGCTATGTACGTGGGAGGGCCACACACCGGGTAATGCACTCCTGGTCGTACGGTGCGCACCATCCCTATGGGATTCCAGAGTGTCCAAGGATCCCCCGATTACTGGTCAGGAAGCCTTATCGGCATCTCGACCAGTTTGCGCTCTCAGAGGGGGTGTTAGGCCTGGTGACCGACCGAACATATATGGGTGCATCATGACGCGCACCCGGATGTTCGTCGGCACCATGTCTAACATGAAGTTTGAACAACGAATCGTAGTGTGTGCAGAGGTCAGCTTCATGGAGGATCGATAACTCAGACCAAAATGCACTCGATCGCTCGGATAGCCCATCCCTGCGAAACGCTACGCGTCTTGGCAGTGTTCAACGCTTCAAAGGTGCCGTGATCTGACGCGTACTATCACACAGAACGCCCCATCAGCCAGCTTAAGAACGCGTCCCACACCAGACACCGCGTCCACCAGTCCCACTTCTCGCCCAGCATGCCGTCCTCGCCCGAGCGCGACCACCCACAGTATATCCCCATCCCGCACCTCCGCTCCGCGATGAAGTACTCCTCATCGCGCCCATCCACGCCCGGCTCGCCACCCGCCCGCGCCTCGCCGCTCGTGCCTGTGAGCAGCACCGTCACGCCCTCGCCCTCCGGCTCGCCGTCCACATCCACGCTCCTCGCGTCCCCGAGCGCGACCCCGCCCTTCGCCGTGTCCCCGCTCGCCCCGCCTGGCACCCTGGTCGCCGCACAAGGGTACACGCCCAAGGTCTCGTTCGACACGCTCGAGAACCCCCAGGCGAGCATGTTCTCGTACACGCTGCACGTCCAGAGCGAGGGGTATTCGCGGAATCGCAGCACGCGCGTGTTCTTGTGCGCGAGCAGCCCGGACGAGAGCGGCGGCCAGGCGCTCGACTGGGCGCTCGAGGGCCTGGTGCAGGACGGGGATGAGCTGATCGTGTTTCGGGGGGTGGACACGGACGAGCTGGGTGCGTCGTGGTGATTGACTCCGCTGGCCGGTCGCTGAACGTCGCCTGCAGAGAAGGACCATGACCAGTACCGCGAGGACGCGCGCGACCTGATGCGGTACATCCAGGAGAAGTGTGTCGAGGACGATTCGGAGCGCAAGGTCAGTTTGTCAGCAGCCAACCTCCTCATCGGCCTCACCTCGTTGAACGATAGCTCTCGATCATCGTCGAGTACATCGCGGGCAAGGTGCCCCAGACCATCGACCGTCTCATCTCGCTCTACCGCCCCGACTCGATCGTCGTCGGCACGCGAGGTCAGCGGAGCATGATGCAGGCGTGGGGCGCCGCGTTCGGTGCGCCTGGAAAGCTCGGCAGCGTATCGAGGTGTGTCGTGTGGTCCCCTTTGCGAATGTCCGCTCAGATACGTCGCTGCAGATATTGTCTGAGCCACTCGCCCGTACCAATCATCGTCGTCCGGCCGCAGGAGAAGGTGCGCAAGACGATGGCGAAGCGTCGCGCGGATCCGAAACGCGGGTCGCACTTTGAGAAGTACGTGTTCGCGTGTGTGGTTTCCGACCGAGCTTGACACCGGTATCGCAGCCTTCACAAGACGCGGACCACGACTAATGGCGCAAACTCGGTGCCGTTGCACTCGACCATGACTCAGTAGCCCTTTCAATGGAGATCGCCGCGCGCGTAAAGATGATTTCTGGTGCTCACGTTGGATTATGCGCTCTATTACTATAGACTATGTTAAGACATTGTATCGATACATACTGTGGCTTATTATGCGAGTAAAGTGCTTTGAACGGCTGTGTTGAATGTTGCGAGCCCTACTACCTTGTACTTATCAACCCACACGTTTAATGAAGGGCCAATCAAGCCAAGTGGCCACGGTTACTTACTTGCTTATTTAGGCTTTGTCTGAAGTTGACTAAATGGAATCCCCTCCTCCTCCTCCTCCTCCTCCTCCTCCTCCTCCTCCTCCTCCTCCTCAGTGCCACGACCCGCTCCGCTTGCTCGCCATCATGAGCATCCCACATAAAACTGAACGTGTGGATTCCGGTGCTCCCGAAAAGTCTCAGAAAAACCCGCGTCAAGACCCATCGCCCGAATCGCCTTTTGCAGCGTGCAACTTTTCCCCTAGTGGCCGTTTCGCCGGCGAGGAAATTGACAAGTGGAATAGGGAGTCAGAACAATGTCGGGGCTTGATCATGGGGCAGTCCACGATTCATGCTGCCGGGGTCGTGTCGTGGGTGTCCAGACCGTCAACCGCACGAAGCCCGGGGCACTCAATGAGAATTAAAAATACCAGTTTACCTTGGACGCAGTGAAGCTCGTGGACAGCGATCCCGACTTCAAGCAACTGCTGTTTGCTGCGGGCACCAGTGGCGATTTCAGGCCTGTCATCAAAGCAGGTGAGTGTTCCGTCCATGGCCGTTAGCGGCAGCTCACGAGCACGGTATCATGATACAGAGGCGCTCTTGCCAGAGCATGCGAGAATTCACACTTTCGGGAGCCAGGCCTCGAAGGAAGGTGGGCCTACCCGTCTCCACGTCGTCTCTCAACCTTACAGCCATGTCACCCGTTAGCGGCCGTCAAGTCTTGGCAGCAGGAGTTCCGAGGCACAACAGATGCGTTATACGCCGTCATTCAATGCTACATGCGACAGGGGACGCCGCAGCCATACGCCCGCCATGCTGCCTACGCAGTCCTCCGGTACCGGGAAGTCACGAATGTGCGACGAGCTCGCCAAGAAGGTCCTCTGCATCCCGATCAACTGGGGCCTGTGGGCGGGAACGGTACGCATCATGCACGGTACTATGATGTTCTCATTGAATGCTTCCGAAAGCCTTCCCTCCATCGGACATTGAAGCTCGATACTGGCTCTCTACACGCGCGGATAATCAGCAGCATTACGAGCACAGGGTGCAAGCTTTCATTCATTCGCTCTTTGCAACTGTCCTGGACCGTTTGAAGAGCATTGACCAAGACATTGGGTCTGCGCCTGACGGTATGCTCTGCGTACTGATCGTTTAACGGAGCTGACAATACGCGTGAAGCATTGGCGACCGCTCGGAGGCCATTCGGGGGCGCGTGGCACGATTGCCACTGAGTTCAGGAGAAGGATGAACGATGGATGCAGTTTGATATATACGGCGAGTACAGAGTGGCATTCTATCAGTCCGTGATCGAAGGAGCGAAGAATGTGAGCACGCCTCTCTTTATGCCTGTGTCACAATCTCATCTGTTTCTGCCGAAGAATGTTAGGACGAGTCAGTGTTCTCCGTCTCTTGTTGCGTACAAATTGCTGAGAGAATGTAGTCAATCCGCAGGGCGAGGGTCTCCACACCAGCGTACAGCAGTTGGTCGACTTCCTATATCCCGTCAAGGCCAGTCGTGATGAGCCGCTTGTGATGCTATGCCTCGACGAGTCTCATATGCTCAGCGAGCCCCTGGCAGGCTGCTACAGCTGGACACCATTCACGGCACTGCAAAATGTCCTCCACAAGATCGTCGACCTCCCAGTGTTCACTCTTCTCGTATCTGCTGCCAGCAATATTGGACAAGCAGCGCCACTCCGTCGGCAGGAGATGTCAGCTCGGTTCATTGCTCAAGAGAAGGATCTGTTCCACCCTTCGTCCTCACCCCTTTCGACATCATGGCCGACCGCATACACGAGTCGGGCTGGACTCTGAAGCGCGTCGCATCCACACACCACATGGTGCACCTGGGCCGACCATTGTGAGTGGCACACCATCGAGGACTCGTCATACTTACGCTGTGGTGTAGATTCGGCGCGATGTACGACGCTGGTAGCGAGGCACTTCGAAAAAATGTCGTCGACTTTGCGAAGATCAAGCTATTGTACTCAGAAGCCGACCCCGAGCTCCTGACATCAGCCCAGTCGCTGGCGTGTATTGGTGTACGTATTCCAATCGACTTCAAGGCCTATGTTCCGGCCGACCTCGAGAATGAACGGATCCTGGTGGCGAGGCACCTGCGTTCGTTGCTTTACGCTGGCCGCCGGTTTGCGGGTGCGGTCATGGCCTGTCCGTCCGAGCCGTTGCTTGCGGAGGCTGCCTATATGGTCCTGGCTCGCAAGCGGTGGTCCAATGGCGAGGCGGTCATGAGTCCCGCTCAAACGACGGACGCGCCAAGGCTTCTGGAGCCAATACCCGCACTCTCGTATCATCTCAGTCACTCTCACCTGGATTTGGGTACACGGGGAGAAACGGTCGCTGCTGTCCTGCTCCTTGATGCTCGCGATCGTGCGACGACCTTCCCCCTCGCCCACGGCGATCTATCGCCCGGGACGGACGACACTGAAGACGACGAGGATCTTAGATACGATGGCGTTCGGAAGCGTCGAATTGTCACCGTGACGCAGTTCCTGAGGGCACTCCTAGCAAAGCCTTGTCACGACATCATCCCCGCCGAGTATCACAAGCCCGAAGACGCCGGCGTACCGCTGGAAACCGCCTTCAAGGACTGTTTTGTCTACTTCAACCACTTTATCAAGGCCGCCAGCTCCGACATGGTGAACCAGAGATACCTGAGACTCGCCATGTCACGCGGCGCGGCGTTCATCTGCGCGGACAGCCAGGGCGGCATCGACATCATCATCCCGTGTCTGTTCGGTACTGTACTGGTGCGAGAGAAGGTGTCCGCCATCATGATCCAGGTGAAGAACGATACACGATGTACGGCGAAGGTGGACCCTGTCTTGTTCGCCAGCATGGACCCGTACAGATGCGGCGTCTTCGACAGCGGTGTGAAGGATCCGCCACCGGTTCTACGCATCGTCTTCGCGCTTGCGTCGCGCGAGTCGTCTGTGACAGCCGCGTCGCGATGGCAGCGTGCGTCGACTAGCAGTATAAGGCCGGCTAGGTTCACTGCATATGACATCTGGTGCGCCGGATCGGGTCCATCGACATTCGGAGTCGTCCAACGGGGCGAGGCGGATGTGCTGGACAACCTCCTCAAGACTCTGCGTGGCCCGGGCGACGTCGAGCGGTTATACAACGACGACGTGTCGGTCAGTGTTGTTCGGGCAATGCGACCGATGACATCGACAGACTGCAGCCACTTTGATCGGTGGGTTGACCGCGCAAAGGATACAATCGGGAAGGAGCAAGAACTTCTGGAGCCGGAGCCTGAGGACGCGGTCGCACCAGCAGAGTTAATGATGGTGTCCTCATATACTGCGTCTGTTATGTAGCTATGCGGACATTTGCTTGGGTGGTGAGGCTACGGCATCACGACTCGGTCACTCTGAGCGAGAAACGAGGTGAATGCCACTTGATTTAGTCCCTCTGCAGCTTCAGACGCTGACCTCAATTTGCCAAGTACCCTGTGCGACCTTTTGGTATCCTTGTTGTATGGTTCGACGTTCGGACGAGGCAAACGGACCGGGCCCGACCTCAATATGACGGCGTCGTCAATATCAATGTCCTTAACATCCGCAACATCGATGTCAAGGATCATCCAGATTGCACACCGTGTGTCGAGCGCTTTAACCGCTTTCTTTCAGCGCGTGGCTGTCGTGGAACATGGATTACTGATCAATCCGGATCATCGATGCGGATGGCCGACTCAAAGTATATATAAGTAGGTAACCGGTCCCTATAGCTATCACAGTTCTCATTCCCCTCTTCGAGCTTCCCACCAGTTCGCCCACAGATTTACCACCAGCCGCGTTGACAGCTCGTGTTCTCAAGGCGATATCTGTGGCGGACCACGCTCGATTCTACGTATCAGTGTACCTCCGACGGGTTTGATATGTGCACACCTCCCGCGCGTGGCAAGGTCGCTCAAGAATATGTGAGGAGACTGGACGCTTATTCGTGATGAGTGATTACACCTGCTGCGTGAGTAATCACTCGTAACTTGCCGTGCCGCTGTCTGAAGATCAAGCACACCTCCTGAGTTACAAGCTCTCATCCGAGATACGTGGACATATCAGCTTGTGGCCAATACGCTCAGTGACACCAGGTCCTTCGCAGATATTCCCCAAGAATCTCCTTCACTGTCTCGTCTCGACAGTCCGACTCCGTATTCGGCTTGAATCATACGGCCCAGAAATGACTATTACTCGCAGCGATCCTTGGTTTTAATGATTTTCATTACCTTGACATGGCATGAACACACTTGATGCATAGTCATTCGTATTTCATGCCACTGCGAGTCTCGGTCAGCTCTGGTGTGCGATACTTCGAGTTCCTTCTCCCCCTTCATCGCCACTGACGTACCTTCCGGTTTGCAGGGACCTACAGAGGACGAAATATGGTGACGATCACCACACGCCGTCGGTTCATACGGATGACTCTCGCCCTCCGTAAGAGTCGTCGCATCTCCCGCCGCAAGCTAATGTACGGTAGCATGTCTGTCGCGCACGAGTCCGTGATGTGTGGCGCTCGCTTCTCTCCGGCGTCCAACGGCCCATGTCTCACTGCTGTCGGTCTCCCCTTCGATCCTCCTGCCTTCGGCATCCTATTTCGACTTCTCTTTCAGTGGGACCAGCGACTACCCAGTGACCAGGTACCAGGAGACGCGCACCTCAGGCCTTCTTCTTCAGTCGCTCATCTCCGTGTCGCCTGTATGAGTACACGTGAGTGACGTTACTTCTGGGATCTCCATCGCTATGTTTACTGTCAGGCGCGACTCGAGAACAGTTGTATCCGTACAAAGAATGCTCCCTTTTCATTATCCGGCAACCCCAGGGGATGAGACCCTGGTTTGTTATGAGTGATTATTCAACTTTGCGTATTCACTCATAACATGCCAGTGTCTTATCCTGGAAGGCAACACATTCACTACTGACGAAGTCAGGTCACACGCGCCATGATGTATTCGTTATGCGGCGACCAGCGATCAGACAAAAGCTGTTCTATCAGAAGCTCATTATTACCTGCACGAACAAGGAGGCTCGAGTATGATAGGTAAGATCCTGTGTCCGAGTCGCTTTTACGTTGGTCCACGCTCGTCTCGTAATGCAGTCACTGTATTCATCTACAGTTACCAAACCCAATAACATGCAGTCAAGAGATTTACTAGTATGGATGAAACTCGCTGTAATCGCAAGGTGTATCTTGGTCTGAACGTATGTCAGAGACTATTGACGTCAATAGTCAATGTCAGTTATGAGTAATTGTTCAACTTTGCCTGGCGCCTGAGGCCTCGGCTGATAGTGCGTCTCCAGCTTCTCACCCAGTCGCACATAGACAGCATCCATCCAGCGCCAGAATGTGGGATCCTTGCCCGACGGCTCGAAAGGTTCCGAGTCCCCATCGTCATCGTCGGTGTCACTAATGGCTGGATTACTGGACGCGGGTGTGCCGTATCCGGTGGACGTATATCCATCCGAGTCCGCCGATGGCATAGAAGGTGACTGATGTTCCAACGGGCTGCTCCCGGTCGCAGCGTCGCTTGGCTCGGCAGTGAATATCGGCGGGGGAAATTGAGACAGCCCCTCGCTCGAGACGGACGAGTGCCACCCTGGTAAGTCACCTGCTGTGTGTGGATTCACGTAGTCCGGGGTTGCCATCGACCACGACGGTACTGCCGATGGGACCGCACCTGGCGCGATACCCATAGTGAGTGATTCTCCTTTGTTGACAGAACCCGGTGACGGCGTGGTTTGAGGGTGCACTTGTGCGCTCGTTGTGCCAGTAGAGATCCTCGCCCAGCGAGGGAGTGGCTTAATAGCACGTGGGACTTCAGGCCGTTGCCACTCAGAGCCGGCGATGTCAATGGCAGGTAATAGCCACGGCCGCGAAGTGGGCAGCGGATCATCAGTGGGGTGAGGTTGAGGGATAGGATCCACGGAGTCCTGGAGTCCGACTCCGGGGAAGGCCAGGTTCCTGAGACTTGGCACAGGCTGAGTACACTGTTTCTCCTCAGCATGCCTATACGTGGGGACTTGCTCCGGAGCAGTTGAACTACTACCTCCTGCAGTATGGCCGCGGGGAGGCGGCGGAAGTTTGAAGCTGCGTAGTTGCCGTTGCGAATCGTCGAGATTATACTAGTTGCGTTCGACGCGAGCGTATACACTGCCGGTGGCTCTAGAGTCGTTCCAGAGACTGGTCCGCCCCACGACCTTTCGATCCGAGCAGCGCTGGCAGCGCTCTCCCGTTTGTACTTCGATCGCTTGTTACTTGTAGCTGATTGGTTCACAACGTCTTCAATGCCGCCACTGGCGACCGTTGCTCGCCGCTTGCGACTAGAGGGCGTGGTGGGCACGGGTGTCGCGCACTGCGTCAGCTGGGGCGCCTTGCCCGAACCTATCGTCTTGCTCTGAGAGACTCTCCGTGCTTCCTTCTTGTGGTCATAGATCCGCGAGCCGCCTATTACGCTCTGCGTCAGTGGCACAAAAGGGCTCAAGCTACGCAAGACATACCTCTTCGGGCACTATGACATCCCACTTCTCAACCTCTTGTTTGTGGCCTTGTGAACTTGGACCATGACGTCTTGGCTGATTGTAGAGTTTCTGAGCGCGATTGCGGCGGTTGAATGTAGGTCGATGGCAGTCACGGTGCGATGGACAGTCCACGTCAAGCTGGCGGTATGAGAGAGAAAGGCTCACCAACGCGTGGCTAATGAGGTATCGGGGCGGCGGTGCTTCGGCCATGCTTCGCACGTCTGTGATTGGTCAGTCGATCTTCCATTGTCCGCCGCATATGGTCGACCAGCCATCAACACGCTGCCCATTATCCGGCCAGCTAGCGAGAACGTGGAGCCGTGCCCACCGCACGAGTGGCTACTAGCTAGTGAGCCGGTCTCGGTGCGGTTCGAGGAGGTTCGAGGGCGGCTTCTCGTATCGCTCTTCCTCGTGGCGTGCGCACTGTACAGAGGCCAGTAAGTACTAACACGCAGCGGTACCCTACCCTGAGGTCCTCTGTGAATGCGACATCGTCAATCCATCTGCGCCTTCTTTGAGTAAGAGGACCACGAGTCACATATAATACCTAACCCTCTGCTCCAGATCCATTTACATAAAGGTGTGTGGGCTGGGCAGTACGATCAGCGTCTATGCGAGAACAACGCACGCCGTATATGGTGTACAAAAAACAGCACCGTCCACGCCGCGCAGCCACAGAGCGTACGCGGCGAGTACACATTCACCGTGAAGCAGGTCGAGGACCCTCGTACTACGAGCCCACTGGCGAGTCCGAACAAGTATTGACCGGCCTGCAAAGGTCGTGTCATGATGTCGTCTGATACAGCTTCTCTCTACATCGCAAATTTCTGCACTTACCTGGAATGCCACTCGAATCGAGGGACGTTCAATACTACGATACGAGTTGGCAGAGTGCCGTCGCCGGGTGAGAAAAGATACATCTCGAAGATTGACCCCTTCTTCAAAGCTCGAAACATCTGTGATTTCCGACAAGCCAGACGGCTTGTCTTCCCGTAATGCACATACCTCGGAAGCTGCGCGCATGCGGCAGCAAGGTGGCAACCGATTCACCCACCGGCAAGCGCCGGATGGCGACACAGCGGTTCACTTGCAAGCGTTCAGTAGCCACGTGTACGATATCAAGACAGTTATCCATATACGGACAGTGACTATGTACCGTCTACAGTACGACATCAACGTGAGTCAATTGTTGTACACATTTGCTTACACGAATGTCTTCCAGAGTCACATTCTCGACACGGTCAAACTGCATCTCACAGCGTCAGTGATCCTTCGTCGAGTGAGGTCGTTTAATCTTGGTACGTGCGAGATTTGCATATTGCCCAAGGGAACCAACAGCGATCCCGTTGCCGCCGTGGCATGTGATGTTCTGAGCGTAGAGATTTGTGGAGTTCTATATGGTTCCGTCAGGCTTCGTTTTGCGAGCTGTGGGTAAGGCTGCCTACACCCTTGATCGCAAGACAGTCATCTCCTAACGTCATCTATTCAATTTGTTAGGACCACCAGGACTACCAGTCGATGTCTGGTATTCAGAACTTACATCCCAGTTGAGCATCGTGACGTTGTCCACTCTGAACGTATCGATACCTACGCCCAGGTCAGACCCGGGGCATCGTCGCATGTCCAGAGACCGAACTCACCGTCCGTGTTCGGGACGACGCTACCGCACGCATGTAAGCTATATCAACTGCAGCACTATCCGAATGTTGCTCACTTGTACCCATAGTACTCTGGATTTGTGTTCGTCGCGTTGCAATACATCCCGTCATATACCACGTCCTTGGACTCGGCGACCGTATTGCACCAGAATGGCTGGCCCTCGATCCGGAAGTCCTTGATGACGCCTCTCAGGACGCGCCAGAGCGTGAAGGCGATAGGCCGCCCGTCGCCGCCGAGCCGGCTAGTGGTGCCGTACCAGTTCCACCAGTACTGCCCGTTGCCAATGATCCCACCGGTGTTATGCGCATCGAGAGTGAAGTCGCGCCCTGTGACAACGAACCACGATGCTTGGTCCTGCAGAGAGACTATCAGCAAGAGCTCCCTGCCTGATGCGGTATACTGGATCACCTGGATGTACACGACACGATATGTGTTTTCTGCGTTGATCCAGTACGGCAGATTTGCTGTGAACTGTGGTTCCAGGTCAGCGAGCGGCGAGCAGCGTGACGTCAATGCGCACATTCAGATAACCATGCAGGTCCACCCTGGCCTCGACCAGGTCCCACATCATCTTCCTGTACATTGGTGAGTCCGCTATGAGTCGATAGTAGCGTCGAGCACACTTACCTCGTCACATTGTAGACCCCCTCGGAGATGACTGTCGTTCCGTAATGGCCACATCGCGCAATGGCAGCCTCAATCTGTCCACGAATGTTCAAAGTAGTCACGTAATGGTTCGCACCCTTGGCGAAGTTAGACAGACCTGGTCTGTATCGTCCTGTCCCTCTCCCAACGGCTGGATGGTACATGTATTGCCCACCTCCAATTCGTCTGTCCACCGTCCAGCACTCGCATAACATGAAGGCCCACCAATAAGAATGCTAGGAGAACGCGCAGGGAAAGCATCCTTCCTAGTTCTTTGTGGTTGCAGCCACAGCCGACGACAGTGGGTTACTAGCGAGAACGGTAACTGTCGACAGCCAATACCCCTAGAAATCTCTGGGCGACGAGCCATCGCCGCGGCGGCAGAAGCCATGCGTATGGGTCGGTTTGCTAATAGAGGTACACGCCTTGGGTGGTCATTTGTGCAATGCAGCGGATCGACGTCACTCGGTGGGCATGGTCTCAGAGACTCGGACCTGGGAGTGACCACGAAATTCGTAACGGGACGAGTTCAACACGCGGATCGCCAAGCCTGTACAATGAACGCTTGATGAACGCAGCGGATGTGATCCAGGCTTAAGATAGCCGTCGCAGAACATACGGACCTATGGGAAGTACATGTCGTGTATATGCGATTTGGCATCCCGAAGCATGCGCGGATATCCGCTGATAAAGTACTGGTGAAAGTCAGATTGATAAGTCCGCGCACTTAACAAGAAAGCACTTGAGCGAAAAAAAACATTTGAGCGCACATCAGCACTGAGGACCGAGAAGGTCGAGGAATCAACATCCTTGAGAAGCATTTGAAGACAAAAAGAAAAACAATATGGACATTCAGGGGATTGAACCCTGGACCTCACGCAAGCATTACCCCAAATACCAAAGATGCGAAGCGTGCGCGCTACCACTGTGCCAAATGCCCACGGTAGCGTATGCGGCTTTGATGTCCAAGAGCAGCGTTGCTCCTGCCATGCGTCCTCGGGCTCGTTGTGGACTGGCGCGTCTGTGGCGGCTGCGACTCAGCTTGAGCTTGTGCCCCGACAGTCATCTCTTTCGACTCTCACACCATGGATATCGACATCATAGACGAAAACGAGCAGCAATACGAGTCAGTAAAGGTAGCTGGAAAGCGGCCTGCAACTCTGCCGGCGGACGATGTGCATCCATTCGACCTCGAGATAATCAGTTCAGGGTACTCGGGTGAGGGTAGTGCATTCAGTAGATGAGCAGTACACTGAAATCCCTGCTGCCCAGGGCGATCTGCTGTCGAGCGGTACATACAAGTCATCTCCCTATGTCCAGCCTTGGCCTTGCAAGCCTTCCGCGCCGCGCTTGATCTGGTGCTCCAGATGAACGACACAACCCTGTACCGCACTCTCATAACCACCTACGAGCAGACTGCAGTCACTTCCAGCGGCGAAATTCCGCCCATCTCCGATGTCCACAATCTCAACCAAGAGTGGCTGGATGAGACGACGCAGAAGAATCAGGTGCTGCGCATCAGACTGGATACCGAGCTCAAGACATACTCGAGTAACATGATCAAAGAAAGTATCCGGGTGCGTGCGTTGTCGTGCCATGGACCAACTTGGTACTTAAGGACGAGTCGTACATTTAGATGGCATACCGGGATCTAGGTGATTTCTATCGGAACTCTGGGGACCACGCCGCTGCGCTGAAGCACTACACGAAGTCGCGTGAGTACTGTACGACGAGCCAGCATGTCCTTGAAATGTGTCTCTCGGTCCTCGAGGTGAGTGGTCTTACTACGGGTTTCTCACGCTACCACTAGCAAACCTGTACGGCTGAGCACAAGAGATGAGGGCTCGACTTGTCCGAGCGGCTTACGACTGTCTCGGACCAGCTGATGCGCTCTCCGTTCAGCGTGCGGCTGGCGTTTGTTGTGTGCACTTACAGTTGCTTGCATAATGGGTGTCGCGTTGCGTTTACCAGCATAGGGTGTTCTGACTCCCTGCCCCACTTCTGCTACGGCACACATCGGCAGAACGACCACAGTACCTGGGCTCCTCGTCCGGAATGTTCGGGATACCTGGTGTCTTGCTGATTACACTTCATACGCTGTGGCGTGGATGCAGGCTAAGTGTCGTGTGTGAGTTTCGTGCCCGTGGCTGAGGAGAGATTGTCATGGGCTACTCTGCGCACAACGGGACTGACCAGCTCCGGTGGTGCGTCGGGGCCAGCCAAAGAGGGCCGACCAAGCTTGCTGTTGTGCCATTATGCAAATGACTGTATAATATCCACTGTCAGCGCTATTCCTTGACGCTAATACCACGAACAGCTCCTCATCGAGCACCGGAACTACGCACACATGTCTACATACGTATTCAAAGCCGACGCCGCACTGGACGCCACTTCAAGTGCCGCGCGCGCCCCAGGTCCCGGTCCCACCGCACCCGCTTCAGCCGCCACAGGCAAAGACAAGGGCGCAGCGGAGCGGGAGAAGGTGCAGAGCAAGCTCGACGTCAGTATCGCACTGTCCTACCTCGGCCAAGGGAACTACGAGAAGGCCGCCCAAGCCTTCCTCAAGGTTGGCTCCGTCAAGTCTCTAGGCGACTGGGCCGGCAGGGTGAGTACGCTTTCTGGAAGTAGCTGGCGGGTCGAGATGACATTATACTGACGCGGGACGGCGACAGCTCATGGCGGCGGGCGACGTCGCGATCTACACGACGCTCTGCGCGCTGTCGACGTTCACCCGGCAGCAGATCCGCACGCAGATCCTCGACAACGACAACTTCGGCGTGTACATCGAGCAGGAGCCGTACGTGCGCGAGCTGCTCGAGTCCTACATGGGCAACCGCTTCAAGCTCATGCTCGAGATCCTCGAACGCTACTCCGTGCGTGCCCCGCGTCCTCCCTAATCGATACCATGTACTGAGTGCACCTCCTAGACGCGCCACACGCTCGACGTGCACCTCACGAACCACATGGCGAACCTGACGAACCTCATCCGGAGCCGCGCGCTCGTGCAGTACTTCCAACCCTTCGCGTCGATTAAGCTAGAGCGCATGAGTACCGCGTTCGGCTGGACCGTCCAGGAGCTCGAGCGTCAGGTCGTCGCGCTCATCCAGGCGGGCGATATCCAGGCGCGTGTTGACAGGCAGAACAAGGTGCGCCCCGCCATGCCCGTCGCCGTCGCTTGAGTGCTGACGTCGCGATGCAGATACTGAAGGCGAAGGAAACGGACCAGCGCAGTGCGTTGTTTGCGCGCGCGATTAGCTCCGGCGAGACCATGCAGGTCGCGAACCGCAAGCTGCTGCTCCGCATGAGGCTGTACGTCTGCACGCCATGTATCCTCTCGGTGAAGCTCACTTTTGCGTCAGGCAACAAGCGGACTTGATCGTGAAGGCCCCGCGTGGCCAGATGACGAGCCATCCCAACGACCTTCTGCTCTCCGACATCTACGGCTAGCAAGCCGTGTTAAACATGCACCTATTGTCACTGTACCAATATCACGCGTCATTCCCAGTCTGCGGTGTTTACTTGCCTTGTATCAATGGATGAACAATATTGCTTGCACTGAACGTGAACTCCATTGCATGGCTCACAAAGGCTCGGACCATGATGAGGCATACAACAGTGATGTGTTCCGTGACTGCAAGCAATAAGCAGAGAGATACGGGTAGGGTAAATGCCGTCCGTGAAGCAAAGCACAGGTTCATTGGTCCTGGTCGAAACGCTTGTACGAATGCTTCTCGTACTCTTTGATTTTGATCCTGCGTTTCTTGGGTCTATCGGAGCCGTCAGCAAGTTGTTTCCGAGAGTTAACGAATGAAGACGCACAGGACAGGAACGCGGGGCTCTATGAGCGCACGATGTTGCATGCTCAAAAAGCGATCGCGGAACAGGTTGCCTTCAGGCTGCACAAGAGCAGTCAGCTCACATCCACCCAGGAAACCATCCATGGACCCACCTTCAGCGCTCGCAAGCTCTCGGTGAGATCCTCACCCAGCTGCACGTCAACCTCGCCCTCCGGCACCTTGTGCTTCCCTAGCCGCTGGCCTGCCAAACCGTTCCTCAGCCTCTCCTCCATCTTCTCCTGCCTCTGCACGTGCAGCCGCTCCCTCGCTACGAGGCGTTGCCCGAGTGCCTTCCGCAGTGCCTTCGCAGAGTCGACCGACGCGAGCATGCGTTTCCGTGCCGCCCGCTCAGCGAGGGCGCGCTTCTCCGCGCGCTGCCGCTCTGCCTTCCGCCGTTCCTGCTTGGTCTTCCTCTGGGGCATCTTCTTCATTGGAAGAAGCTCCTTGACATCGTCCTGCGCTGGGTCGGCTTCGAGGTCGTCGACGGGCTGAACTGACATCCCCGAGGCGACTCCCACCGCTTCTTCGAGCGGGGCTAATCCGCGTGCCGCATCGATCTTGCGTTTCGTCTCTTCGAGCTTTGCGACCTCTTTGAGACGGCGTTCTTCGATCTCGTGGGCGGTGCGGAGAAGTTCTTGGTGTGCGGTGACGAGGGGATTGTAGGAGGTACCTTCGTGGGGGGCAGGGACGGCGGGGACGGAGATAGGCAGACGAGGATTGGGAGTCTTTGGGTGCTAGGGTCCAGCCGACGGTGAATTTTGGGGGTCTTATGGCTAAGAGATAACATAGAGCGTACCTTCACCGTCGCTCCCTGCACAGAGCTGTCTACCCAGACATCATACGTCCCGCTCTTTTTCGCAGCCTCGCTGACCTCGAGCATTGCGCTCCCCGCACCCGTCTCCGTCGGGTCGATGATCGCGTTGAAGGGACCCTTCCTAGGCCGTTTACCCATCCGTAGTAAACGGCCCTTCTCTTCGTGCGTGAGTGCTTTGCGCTTAAGCGGATTGGAGGTGGTGCGCGACAAGACGGCTGGGACGGCGGATCGCTGCGAGAGAATTTTGGTAGAGGCGAGAAGGGCTTTCGAAAACTTCGGCTGTGTCCTGCGGACTACACAGAGCTATGTTCAGTTTCTGGCGTCGCTATGGGATTAGAGGACGTACTCTGCTCATCGCCTTTCACGTCTACTTGGAAGAGCTCCTCGTTCGGCTTCGTCTGGAGGATCGACCTATGAACACTGCACCGTTAGCTGACAGTCTACCCAGGTAGCCCTCAAGACACACCCTGTCACCCTCTCTTCATCCCGCAGCTCCTCCATGCCCACCTCAACCTCTTCAATATCGACATTTTTCCTCCACGCTTTCTTCCCCTTCCGACTGCTCTGGCCATGTTGTGCTGGCGCCCCTACTGAGGATCTCTTCTTTTTCGCAGTCAACGCATTGGGCGCAGGTCGAATGGTTGCCTTGACTGCCATCGCCGTCCAGATAGTGTACAGACCGTAGATGTGGTTGAGGACTGTGAGCGGCAAGACCAGTCTACCAGGGCGATCGTTCCCAGTGCAAAACTGGAGTTTCATGCGTGGCAGCGATAATATTAACTAATTGTGAGCTTCGAAAAAAGCATTAATGGGGTAGTGGTAACCTGGGTCGTTGCCACTGATGCGGGTTCGACCCGCCGGGGGTTCGATTCCCCCTTAATGCATACGTTTTGCTTCCTATGGCAGAAGTCTGGCTGCCTGGACCGGTGCCTCAATATTTTCAAGTTTCTGATTCAGTTGCCTTGAGATAGAATGTTGTAGCGGCGAACGCGACTGGTCCCTTGGGATATGTAGCGATATCATGAAATTGTACTACAGTATGACCATGGAGTCCGTGGATCAAAAGGCGAGAAGGCTTCTTGACCAGGTCGATGGTCAGGCGAATGAGAAGAGGGTCGACGACAGGATTCTACTGAAGTCAGGCCCTGCACAACACAAGCACAACAAGTGCATCATCACTGATCAGCATCCTAACGAGAATCGAAACGTCCGACTCGGTCACTCGGAGTCGAGCGAGTCGGCAGAGGGGACGGTACATAGTCACTGTCCGTATATGGATAACTGTCTTGATATCGTACACGTTAGTCTCGAACCCGCCTCTCACGGACACCCTAAAAGGGAACCCGTCCGTGAGAGTCTGGACGAGAACGAGCGCCCTAGGGGGACCTTTGCGTCTCGCGACTCGCGGCGGGCGCTTCACTCACTCGCGCGTCGCGTCTCTCGCCTTTGAGGCTCGCGCGAGCGTACAATCTCGACCTTGGCTACATATCTTCCACTAGACTGCAATAAATCATGCCGTTATCCTATCTTACTCGATCTGTGCGAAATACCGGCTATCTGACACTCGTTGACGACTCGGATGAGCCCGAAGCATTGAGCTCTATTGCACCGAGTTCGTCACCACCAGTGGAGGCGATTGAGGTCGATGACCTGCCGCCGGAGCCTTTCGGTACACTGCCGGACTTCCCAGAGGATGACGAAGGAGACCTGAGCTATGTACCAAGCCATGGTCTTCCTGCGCGGCGCCGCAGTGACGAGGAGAAGGCGTTCGCAGTACTGAAATTCATGCGGGAGAACCTCTCCCGCTTTTCACTTCGTACATTCCTCATGACGCTGTTCTCCTCGAACTCCGGAGGTATCAAGAACTATGTGAATACATGGAAGGGCAATGGTGGAATCCCGGAGCTGCTGGAAGTGCTCTGGTCGATGTCTGGACTGCGGGACGAGGACGTATGCAGCTGGGTCGCAGAGAGAGCAGCGAAGATATGTGCACGGGAGGCAGGCTGGCTCACAGACAGAGCTGCGGAAGGACCGCATACTGTGTATGCTGAACGACTTCGCTCGCCAGCGACAACCGTGTCTGTCGCACAGCTGAAGTCCTTCCGAATCGAGGACCTCACGGCAGCGTATTCCAAGACTATGCCTCGGACTCGGATGATCATGAAGGCAATCATCAACAAGGAGAACACAGCGAGGGATAGCGAAAGCCGGAATCCAGACGATGTGCGTGTGTTTCGGGCCTAGCTGTTTAGACCTGTGCTTACAGAGTATTGCATATAGGGGTGCACATTGGCGACATCGATACTGTTGAATCTGCGTAGCCAGAAGTCCAACGTACATCAGGTCATCAATAGCATGATCCTATGGGATAACCGTGCACCGAAGCGCCTCGTCCAGATGCTGAATCGCTTCGGTGTCTCTGTGTCTTATGATCACCTATGTACCTCTATCCTGGTGCTCTCGGCGAACGCACTTCGCATCGCACGCAAGATCGCCAACGACCCCCGAAATATGATCATGCTGCCATACGACAATTTCAACTGGGTCTCCGGTGTGTGGGAGACATCAGTTCTCCACGGTGCTGTACAGCATGACCAGGTATCCGCGATGGTCATCAGCCTCACCCTTCCTGAAAGTGGGACCGCACATCGCCTCGCAAGTGTTGAGCGTTTCGAAGCATGCCGTGGGACTCGTCACCGGCTGCCTGCACAGACAGCCTTGCAGGACATTGTGCCGAGTGAAGCAGACCATACTGCCTTCCGTGACGCAGCTATCAGCCATGTCATGATGATTCTGGTGGACGAGGTTGCGGGATTTGCGGGTTTCCGTGCAAGTGTTCCAGGGCTTGTTGACCCCGATGCGATTCCCGTACGCAAGACCGATCGCCATTACCTACCGACGTTCGACCAAGAGCAAGGGTCGACACGCGGCAACATGGCCGTGTTGAAACACTATTTCATCGATGTACTGCAGATCCCTAAAGCAGTCTTCGAAGATACAATGTTCTTCGTTCTTGGGGACCGGCTCACAACTGCACGCGATCGGGCAGCGCAGGACCAAAGAGGAGTCGATCGCTCCGATTTCAGGGCGGACCACCTCTCAAGCCTCGCTATGACGAGTGGGCTTATGCATGTATGCTTCAACTTCATCCAGGCATGTGCCAAAAACCTTTGGGGCGGAGAAAACAGGGACACAACGAGCCTTCAGACACTCCGTGATTTGCTCCGAAACCGGAGCGAGATCAATATCCAGAAATTCGACTTCTATGCATGGCTGCGTTTCTTGGATTGTGTCCTACGAGCACTCGTGATTTCCGCTGCAGTCTCAACCCTCGTGCTCAAGGACACGACAGAGCTCTCCTCGCAGAGACCAACAGCAGCCGAATTCCGGACCATGTGCGAGACGATCGTCGATACATATGTCATGTCTTCACCAGATTGTCTTGAGGCCGACGGAATCAAGTCGGTCAAGGGAAACACGACCTCGGGCCATGCTGCACTCACAATGTTTGATCTCATGACACTACGAGAGATGCGTCATGCTATCAAGCACGGACATCCGACTCGGATCCTACGGATCCTCAAATTCTGGACACCCATGTTCTATGCAGGGCGAAGCTACAATTATGCCCACGAATGCATGGAATTACTGCACAACCTGATACACGACTGGCCAGAGGATACCGCCAAAGTCCTCTTAGCCAGCATGCTCGTCAATACAACTGGTGAGCCTGATGGCTTTCTCGAGGCAGATCTGGACGTCGAACACCTCAATTTACGCATCAAGAACCGCGCGCATGGCACGAATGCCACACCCGAGATGCTCTGCAAAGTCACACCATCACTTGGTCACGTAAGGGACTTGACAGATCGTGTGTACAAGGAGACAGGTGTGCGCGACGTGAATGAACACCATGCCAAGGTGCAGCAACATACCGACATCCGGCTCCTTGCGAATCACCTTGTCACGTCGCACGCACTGTCATTCGCTCTCGACCAGGTGTCTGAGCATGCCATCACCGATCTCTTTCGAACTGGCCTTCATCAACTGGCCGGCCCACATGGCGGCCATGCGAAGCACCTTCTCCGACACCGTCTTCGACTCCGTTCTCGTCATGCAGATGAATCACATGGGGACACGCACCCGGAGAACTCTGTCGAAGACATCACAGAGGCGGAAAATGAACTGGCAAATGCCGAAGATACATTGGACGGAGCCGAAGTCATGTTGCACACTCACAGCGACAATGGTCCGATTAACGGCTTCGAACACGCGCAGGAGAACGAACTCGTGGATCTGATAAGAGCAGGAGAGAATGGATTGAGGTCAGGTAGTCCATACAATGATTATGAAGCGTAGGGAACGGCAGACCGTCACGGTCTGCGGGTGACTACACTAGCTCGAGCTTTCGTAGCACCGGCTGATTGTCCGTCACTCTAGTGTCCTGCGAATTTCGACTTAGTCCTGAATGTATCATCAATAAAAAGGTCATGCTCACCATTGTGTTTCGTCATGGGCCTGTCCCAGTATCACCCACTGCACGAAGAGCTGCCTGGATAGCGTCGAAGAGCGGCTCCGCCAAATCATCCCAGTGGATGATATGTGTCAACGGGTACAGGTCGTCAACTCGCCGAATAGCACCTGCATGGTCGGCGACGGCCTCGAGATCCTTGTCCGAGATGAGCGATTTTGGGCCGTACAATGGCCAGCGGGAGCGCCATCGCTCGCGCCACTCGTTGTCCCGCCAATCCTGCAGACGTGCGAGCACCGTCTGCTTCGCATTTGTGGACATTTGGCGCTCCGCGCGCCGCGACTCGTCTTCTGCGGGATTGACCATCACGAACTCGAACTCGCGCGGAGGGATGAGCTGGGGGTAGCAATTGGAGCAGCAGAGACGACGTGGTACTAGATGGGCACTATCAGATGGGCGTGGGGGTTCTCGAGGTAATGATCAAAGACGGAGTCGCAGCAGCGCTCTGTCTGGACCAACTCGATTATCCCAGGGTCCTCATGGCCAGGCTTCTGCGGACTCAATTTGCCTCCGCGCTCGAACTTCTTCTCTGCAATGAAATAGCCTACTGCAGTCATGCCGGGGCTTCTCGCACCACGCCCACGGCGCTGGTCCGCTTTTGCCATAGTGAGACCACTGCAGAGGTACTGGATGACTCGCTTTACCAACGGAAAATTCATGCCTGCGCCAAGCTTTTCGGTCGACAAGAGTATCCGCGTCCGTCCTGTTTTGAAGTCTGCTAGTGCTCGACTCTGATGGTCCGGAGATAGGCCGGCGTGCAGGATGTCGACCGCACTTCCGGGAAGGGAGAGGTCCTCGAGCTTCTGTCGGAACCAATAGAGCATTTCGGTGAGCAGTGTTGTGTCATCACAATAGACAATTGACTTGTCCAGGTCTGCGAGTGACTGTCCCCCACGCGGCAACACAAATCGGAGGTCCTTGAAGCTCTTCACATCGTGCTCCATGTGTATGACAACTGTCGAGAGCTCCGGACGGAAGTTTCCGATGTTGAAGAGGATGTAATCATCCTTCATTCCCACATGCGCAGTGAGTGACGCCCGATACAGCGCAGGCAGAGTAGCCGACATGGCGATCAATGGGGTCATACTACCCACAGTCGTTCGCAGCTGATGCATCCGGCCATACGCAGGACGCCAAGTGTCCGACTCGTGAACGCAATGCGCTTCGTCGATGAAGATCGCGACGAGCTGGCGCTTGTACCACTCGGAGTACAGGATCTGCGCAAACACGGGCGACTCCAGCATCTCGACGCAGACGTAGGTCACGCGATAAAAGCCACTCGCAACCTGTTCAAGGGTTGCTGAGTCCTTGCGGCCTGCATGTATGAACACCGACGGGATACCCAGTGTGTTCGTCCTGTGATCGCAGTGACATGAACAAACGGTTATAACATAAGCAGATGTGTGCGGACTCACTGATTCTGACCTTCCTCTCCGAGGCTCGTAAAAGGTGTGATAACGAGGACTACACCGCGATCCAGAGTAAGGAGCGGGAGAGTCCATAGGAGAGACTTGCCGAAGCCGGTCGGTGCAATCACGCAGATGTCCCCACTGCGAGCGAGAATTGCATTGGAGCACTCCATTTGAAGCTCTTTGACCTCTCCCTCGAGCGGGATAGCTTTTGCACCGCGAGCAAGCATGCTCCACTGTGTTCTCAGGAGTGGTGTGGTCGGATTGATCTTGGGCGGAAGATCGCACTCGAATGCGAAGGCCTGGCGCCGACGCCGTCCTGGAGCGTTGAGAGAGTATGGTTTGTAGGGAGGGGGTTTCTCTTTGAGAACGTAGCCATTGCGGTAGAGAGCGTGGTGATTCTTGGCCTTCGAGGCGAGTGGTGATATGCGACCCGGCGAGTCGGAAGGACTGCCCCTCGACTGCTCACGAGCAAGAGACTGGCCACTGGCCTGAACATGGCGGGTTGGCGAGTGAGGTGTAAGGAGCTGGGCATTGGTCGACGAGCCTGTCAATGGTGTACGTGGGGCATGTGTGGATTGCGAGTCCTGCTCAGCACGACGACGCTTGCGAGGTGGAGGCCATACTGCAGCTTGCATTTTACAGCTCCGAAGAGCTCTAAACGCGTAGAAAGACAGCCGCGCGGGTTTCCGGAGACAAACGAATGGATTGCAGTTAAAGAAGGGTATTATACATCGCGCCGCACACGCAGGAGAGCGCGATGGTACAGGCGACGCGACGCGCGAGTGAGTGAAGCGCCCGCCGCGAGTCGCGAGACGCAAAGGTCCCCCTAGGGCGCTCGTTCTCGTCCAGACTCTCACGGACGGGTTCCCTTTTAGGGTGTCCGTGAGAGGCGGGTTCGAGACTACGTACACGTGGCTACTGAACGTTGAACGCTTGCCAGTGAACCGCCGTGTCGCCATCCGGCGCTTGCCGGTGGGTAAATCGGTTGCCACCTTGCTGCCGCATGCGCGCAGCTTCCGAGGTATATGCATTACGGGAAGACAAGCCGTCTGGTTTGTCAGAAATCACGGATGTTTCGAGCTTTGAAGAAGGGGTCAATCTTCGAGATGTATCTTTTCTCACCCGGCGACGGCACTCTGCCAACTCGTGTCGTAGTATTGAACATCCCTCGATTCGAGTGACATTCCAGGTAAGTGCAGAAATTTGCGATGTAGAGAGAAGCTGTGTCAGACGACATCATGACACGACCTTGGCAGGCCGGTCAATACTTGTTCGGACTCGCCAGTGGGCTCGTAGTACGAGGGTCCTCGACCTGCTTCACGGTGAATGTGTACTCGCCGCGTACGCTCAGTGACCAGTGCGCGGCGTGGACGGTGCTGTTTTGTACACCATAAACGGCGTGCGTTCCCGCGTAGACGCTGATCGTACTGCCGAGCCCACACACCTTTATCTGGAGCAGAGGGTCAGGTATCATATGTGACTCATGGTCCTCTTACTCAAAGAAGGCGCAGATGGATTGACGATGTCGCATTGACAGAGGACCTCAGGGTAGGGTACCGCCGTGTGTTAGTACTTACTGGCCTCTGTACTAGTACAGTGCGCACGCCACGAGGAAGAGCGATACGAGAAGCCGCAGGACCCCGGGCAAGGCGCTTATAGGTCCGATCCGAAAACCCCGGATTTTGGGCCCTTATGTCCGCACGATTTTGACCCCTGTTATGTCCGCATCAGGATAGGACCTACCTGTAGGGGTGCTTTATGGCCGCATGACGGATCGGACCTCTCAAAAATGCGGTAAAATCGGAGAAAATGCCCGTAAAAACGCTGCATGGCCCACACATTGCGTCGGAGTAGACTACCAAGGAAAACGCCCACATTTGTCTCCCTTTATCGTCAAAACGGTTGCATGAGTAGCACATACGCATAAGCGCCGAGTACCATATCTCGAGCGCCCAACATTCGTAAGTACGAATGTACTCTAGGTGGCGCGTCACAAGAGTAGTCGCTAATTGACACGGATGGTGAGAGACAATCAAGCGGGCAAGCCAGTCGGTTGCGAGATGATAGCGAACATGGGAGGTCAGGAGTACTGATATGGTCCTTCATGACTTGGTTGGTACTCGAGGTCGACGAAGAACCTGGCGCATCTTTAGAATGAGGTCGACTGTGAGATTGTTTGTAGCTGGTCACTGCCAGTGGCCCTAAGGCTCGTGACCGATGGCTTGCTTGACCGCGGCGATGGCAGTCGCATATTTGAAGCTCGCGAACAATGGCGTGTAGCCGACCGAGACGAATGCGAATGCGAGAAAACGCTCTCGGTAGAGTACGAGAAATGCGCCCCTGCGAGTCAAACACTTGGCCAGTATGCCTGGGTAGCCAACATCCTACGGGCCAGTTGCTCTGGCTGAACCTGGCCCAAGCGGTACCACTACGACCACATCGCGTCTCAATGAGACGTGCAGCGTCGGATGCCCTTTCCCAGCTACTGAAGCACTCACCAGTGGTGTTCTGGTGTTCTGTCATGATCGCCTTGCTCACGTTCTCACGTCCGCGCATATCGCGCTGTGTTTGTTGTCTCCGCCGGCTTGTCCATTAATATGGCGTACCGTTTGATGCAAAAATGAATCCCCCCTACATGAATCGGAAACACCCCTACATATGTTCGGCACCCACTACATACACTTTCGCAATACCACTACATACACTCTCATTGCCCACACTACATATATTTCGGCGCCGACCCCACTACATGTTCTGCAACCGACTACCCCTACATGTATCGCACTGTCATTACGTAATCCATTCTCAATAAGTAAGTCCTTTCTTAGTCTTTCTATGGACTCGAATAAGGCAATGGCTTTCTTCGCCCCGTCGAGCGAATGGGCAGAACCGCTGCTCGCCTTGTACGACGCGTTGCGAGCATCAACCCGCTCGACCCGCTCGATGTTGAGCGTCGCGAGCCCGCACTGAGTCGGCGACGGTGGGCGCTCCGGGCGCTAGTGCCCAGCGCGCTACTCTCGACCGCCACCACCTTTTCGTCTCTCACCACCTCCCGGGCAGCCACCACGACCGCCCGACCTCTCATCAAGGCGCTCGCACTGTCCCAACAGACAGGCGAGCTGAAGCTGAACTACCGCCAGCTCAGTTAGGAGTGCCCGACAACCCCTCTGTGCATGGTACAAGACCGGTGCATCCTTCCTCTCCCGGGCCTCAAAAGCCACCCGGGAGACCTCCAATCGACCCTCTCACCTCTCTCGTATCTGGCGATGTCTATTCGGCTCCCCGCGGCTCTGGCGACACGCAACAAGGCCGCGCGGCCCCGGACTCGCACGACCCGTGTGTAAGCTCGGCGCCGAGCAACAACACTGCTCAGACCACCGAGAACGCCGCGAGAGAGATGCAGAAGGAGGAAGGGGAGAAAGGCAGGAAGAGATAAGAGGGGGAAGGGCGCGGGACGAGCAGAAAAGACGAGCACGAAGGCTCGTATACCGCAGGTACGCCCTCGATGCCCGTTCCCGCCTCGCCGTCCCCGCTCTCAGTGCCCACGCCGGCAGGCATATTGACGCACGAGGCGTCCGTCGTGCGTCCTGCTGGCCACGAACACGGCACGCCCGACTTTCGGGATGACCTCTGTGTCGTACCCACCACGTTGCACGGCAACACGGCGGATGCACAGAGCTGCGCGTCCGACGTGCCCGTGTCATCGACACTGCCCGCGCCAGCAGGTGTACAAACGAGCACGAAGCCCGTTGTACGCTCTGCTGGCCACGAAGATGGCATGTCCATCTTCCGGGACCGACCTCATGGTCGTACCCGACGTTCCGCAGGATAGCATGTCGGACGTACATTGCTGCACGTCTGACGTGCCCCATCCATCTACGATCTGCCGCACAATGGGTACATCGAGCCTACCACTTGATGTACACGCTGTCAGCGAGAACAACGATGTGCCCGGTGTATTCGCAAATGTACCCAGCGCGCTTGCCGACTCCTCATGCGCGAGCGGCGGCACCGGTGTACACAGTACACCCCACGATGGTGGACCCCGTACGCACATCATGGCCGCAACGCCCGCGTCGGAAGGCAGCATGACGAACAACGAGTTCGTTGTGTGCCTCCCTGACGTCAAAGATGGAGTGGTGGGCCTGTGCAGCAGCACTACAAGTGTGTCTGCTGACGACACGCCCGGAGAGGCCCCTAGTTCTGCCGGGCCGTCTCATTGTATTTCGATACCACCGCATGCGGCGGATACATCGAGCTCATCGCTGATGTATCCCCTGTCGCTTTCCCTCAGGGCATGCGTGATGTGCGTCTGCCCGTGCTCGGCGCTATCCTGCCCATTCCCATCTCGACTTCTCCGAGTCTGCTGCCCACACCGATGTGTGGTACAACGAGCACCGAGCTCGCTGCACCCGGTGTTGGCAACTCTACGGAGCCACTGACACCGTTGACCGCCTGGCTAACGAGTCCAGCGTTGTCGCGGCACACGACGCACGACTGGCACGTCTTTCTAACTGTACTTACCACTACCTGCTAATCTGCCCAACATACAATGAACAATGTGTGTGCCTCGCGTCCGACCTCAGACCTGTCACAACCTCCATCGCGACCCTTCTCACCCGTCTCAAGGCCGTACGATGTCTCTTCCGATACATCCATGAGACCCGCCGCTTCGCGGCAGTGTACGGAGACGTCGACCTACGGTGCACTCCGGATTTCAGATGATCAAGCTGCTCCAGATACTGTATAGCGAAGAGGACATTGTGAACAGTGTTACGGACACTACGGACAGGATTAAGATGGCATATATAAATCTCTTCTGTGCTACGTACAATACTTAACCGTGACCCGCATGTATTCACTGCCCGAGCCTAGATACTTACGACGCATACAGTATTTACTTATTCTGTTCCTATCTTGTACACTTAGGCGTGCGTCTCGCCGAAGGCGCGCGCTTTACCAAAATGGAAAGCAGCCTTTTACTCCCAACCATATCGTCCGCGCGCGAACTATTCACGCTGTATGACTGCGGGATTGGCCATCAACAAGAGTGCTCGTCGTGCTCTCGTCTCAAAGGTGTTAGCTCGTCACTGCACCTGGGATAGGCTCGTTGCCGACTCCCTTACAGTCCGGCTCGTTGCCGACTCCCTTACAGTCCGGCTCGTTGCCGACTGCCAGCGCGAGCTCAACAGCCGCGTGAACGACCTTAACGAGGACTCAACAGTCCTCGTACGACCTCTACGGGTTCTACGCCCCCTTAACGACCTCACAATTCATCAACTCATCTGCCCCGGTCGCCGAGCGACCACCATAGTTAGTCTCGCCGGGTAGCCCGCCCCTTGTGTCCAGGACTCGAACTGCCGAGCCCTAACAAACAGGGGGATCATGCCGGGTGATCAGTGGTGTTTCACAGTCAACGGACAGGTGTTCTATGTATATGAAGGGGATGAATACCATTCTGTTGAACGTTCAAACCGTTCTATGTGAGGATCTCAATGGAGAAGGTGAAGCAGCTGCTCGAGAGTGTGGTGCTCAGTGGACAGATTATCGGTGAAGGTGCCAGCCTTGTCATGCCCATGCGAGGTCGACTCCTTGTGCGTGCGATGACTGTCTGGTCGCATGGAAGGTTACTCGCGTTCCGGTGGAGGATGTGAGCATTCTGTTGAGGTCAGCCTTGCTGTCAAGCGCGACGAGGATGGTACACCCATCGTAGATGTATCGTGCCTCTTGTGGCATAATACCTGGTCTATGTACATGCGGGGTGAGGTAGCCACCACCTCAGAGACAGGTGAGGTGACTCTATCTGTGCCGTACTCGTACTCATACTCGCCCGCTTGCCAGCTGACGAGTAACAGGCGATGAGCCCCACTGGCAGGCACTTTGATTCCAGCTCAGCCATCGAGTACATACGATGAGGTCAGTACATCTGGCGACTCGGATGTACTGGGCCTCATTGATTGCTCGATGACCTGCTTGGTGGTCTTGGTGGTCGAGGTCATGCACGCATGCCAGGTCGGTTCTTCATACGTGCAGCGGGTACCCAACGTGTAGGGACTCGACACAAATGCGCCGAGGTTGGACTTGCGTCCGCGTGGGTTTCCGCGATCGAAGCTGACGGACTTGCTTGTCCCTGTGTCGGACGACATGCCCGGCTTCCTAGTCTTCGACAAGACTGGCAACCGTGAAGATGGCAGTACATCCAACAGAGTGGGTGTACTGTGTTTCTTCACGCCGTCGTGCTCACGGATTGTCGAAGCTGACGTGTGCAGTGTTGTCGACGAGCTCGCTATGCTCGGCGACAACGTCTTGATGGAGGATGTAGGGCGCACGTTCGAGCTCAGCTCCTCGTACGTGCAGCAGTTTTCCGGCCAAGAATATGTCGGTATATCCAAGGCGGATGTGTCATCCAACTTTTGACTCAAGCGCAGGCCGGTTTTGGCCTTGCTCGTCGGCCGAAGGTTCCTGCGCCTGCGAGCTTGACTCCTGGTGTGCACGGACTGGGGCCTGATCACGTAGTGCGGGAGGCCTGTACCGCTCGTACGAGCTTGAGTGAGACAGCTCATCTTGCGGGCGAGTCACAGTACTCGTTGATGGCGATGCTGACGGAGTCAGTACATCCTTTAAGTTGGATGTACTGTCCTTCGTCGAGCTCTCGTCCATCATGGCCGAGTTCTTGAGGCTGGACGACATGGCCAGTGTCAAATCCGGAGCCTTGCATCCCGTTGATGTAGAGGCAGTCGACGCTGGTGCAGGCCGCGATGTCGATGAGCTGATCGACAAGCTTTTGGGCGCGTTGATCACGGCGTTGTCACCGGTGTCGGTCTCGCCATATGCAGCGAGCGAAGGGCTCGCTCTGCTCGATGACAGCATCTTGATAGAGGAGGACGAGCCAGTCGTGCTCAATTGCACGCTGACTGCGTCGCTTGACGGAGCCTTGACCGGGCTGGTCTTGCCCCTTGTCGGAGTAGGTGTGATCGACAATGCGGATGAGTCGATCGACGTGCTCAGAGGTACATCGATGGCGACATCATCGAGAGTGTTGTGCTCGCCATGTGCGGTGATCGTTGAGCTTGCTGTACTCGACGAACATGTCTTGACCGTGGAAGTGGGGGTAGACGCGTCGACCGTGCTTGATCACGCGTCGACAGCATCGCTGGGCGTAGGATACAGCCCAGACATGCCAGACATCGGTATAGCGATCAACGTGCTTCTCTGAACGTCGGTCGGAACTCCTTGTATTGCAGATATTTCGGCTTGTCTTGAGTCCTTGGTCTCGGACCGAAAACCGCGGGCAATCCCTTCCCCCTCCTCCATCGTTGCAGAAGGAATTTGATCAATACAGTGTACATCGAGCGAGCTGTTGCTCGACGTACCCAGTACATGGGGTTTGAGATACGCGGCGAGCACGTTAGAGCGTGCGTTGCGCGCGTTGCTAGGCTCGTCAACAGTGAACACGTCAAGCCTCGAGCTCGGCGTGCTCTCTGTACGAAGAGCAGGTGTTGTAGTATATGAAGAAGACGCGCCGGTCGTGCTCGTTTGCACTCCGGACACGTCGTACTTCGTGACAGTGGGCTCGTTGACCAACTCATCGCGAAGATTCAGTACCCTGACTGAATCGCCAGCAGCAGGTGCAACGAACTCATTGTTCGCTGTACCATCTACTGGGATGGGTACCGAATGCGTGCGCATCAAGGCATAAGCTTGACGGATATCAGTAGGCACGAACAAGCGTGCGGACCGTGCATTCGAAGACTCATCGACAGATAATACATCAAGCCTCGAGCTCCGAGTCGACGTAATTCCTATATGATGGATGGATGTCGCATGAAAGGCGTACGACACGTCGGTCATGCTGAGCTGCACGCCGAACACGTCGAGCGTCGCGACAGCGCTGGGCTCGTTAGCCAGGCCGTCGGACGGATCCTTGATGCTGGACGACATGGCCAATGTCGACTACGGAGCCTTGCATCCCGTTGAGGTGGAAGTCGACGCTGATGTGGGCCGCAGTGTCGACAAGCTGATCGACGAGCTTTTGAGCGTGTCGATCGCGGCGTCGTCGCTGATGTTGGTATACATCGATGTGGATGCGTCGATCGACGTACTTCTGGGCGCGTCGATGGTGACGTCATCGCAGGTGGTGGGCTTGCTGTGCATGGTGAGTGATGAACTCGCCGTACTCGACGAGTATGCCTTGAAGGTAGATGTGGACGCGCCGAGCGTGCTTGATTGCACTCCGGCTGTGTCGCAGGGCATAGTATTGATGATGGACTCGCACCTTGACGAAGGAGACGTCGCTGACGTGCGTCTGGGTACGTCGACGGCGACCTGGTCATGGTTGCGAATGTCGGTCTTGTCGTGCACGCAGAGCGACGGGCTCGGCGTAGACGACAATCGTGTCTTTGCGATGAAGCCAGATGCGTCGGTCGTGCTGGGTAGCACGCCGAACACGTCGTGCGTCGTGGCGGCACCCGGGTCATTAGCCAGGCCGTTATGAGGATTCGCTACCCCAGTAAGGTCGCCAATACCGGGTGCAGCGAGCTCGGTGCTCGTAGTACCATACATCGGTGCCGGGGGCAGACTCGTGTCCATTGACACGGGAATAATAGGTCGTGGCGAGGACGCTCATGGATGGGATGCGTCGCGCGCACCCTGGAAGTCGGCTGTGTGTACGTCGAGCGGCGGGCTCGACATATGCGCAACACGACTCGGACGTGGTGTAGAGGATCAATAGGACGACCCGGTAGAACTAGCATGTTCTCCGGGTGCGTCGCTACGCCGAGTAGGGGCGTGTTGGATGGCGGCGAGCACGGGTGGCCGTACATTGCGCGTGTTCAGAGAAAGAGCAGCGGCGGATGCATCAAGCAGAGGGCTCGACGTATCCGCAGTGTGCTGTGGTAGAAGTATAGGAAGAGGCGGTGTGGTAGAGCTCGAAGGCTCTCCAGACACGCCGCCTCGCGAAGTGGGGCAGCAGACACGGTGGTCGTGCTACTGCTCAGGTCCAGTGCGCCGACTTGAACGTCAGAGAAGTGCGCGACGACCTTGTTGTCCGTCGTGCTACTTCCCGACTCGGGCACTGGAGCCGGTGACGTGCGTACCGGGTGCACCTTTGCAGAGTGTACCTCGGGGCCATCGGTCGCGCATGAGATGCCGACGAGCATGCCGGGTACATTTGCTAGTACATCGGGCGTTGCGTCATTCTCGTCGACAGCGGGTACATCGAGTGGTGTGCTCGACGTACCGTCTGTGTGGTGGTTCGTAGGAGAACGGGGCGCGTCAGACGTGCAGCGATGCGCGTCCGACGTGTTGCCCTGGGGAACGCCGGGTACGGCGCTGAGGTCGTCCCGGAAGTCGAAGACGCTGTCTTCTTGGCCAGCAGAGCGCACCACGGCTTCTTGCTCGTTGGTACGCCTGCTGGCGCGGGCAGTGTCGACGACACGGGCACGTCGGACGCGCAGCTCTGTGCGTCCCCCGTGTTGCCGTGCAACGTGGTGGGTACGACACAGAGGTCGTCCCGAAAGTCGGGCGTTCCGTGTTCGTGGCCAGTAGGACGCACGACGGATGCCTCGTGCGTCGATACGCCTACTGGCGTGGGCACTGGGAGCGGGGACGGCGAGGCGGGATCGAGGGCGTACCTGCGGTATCCGAGCCTTCGTGCTCGTCTTTTCTGCTCGTCCCGCGCCCTTCCCCCTCTTATCTCTTCCTGCCTTTCTCCCCTTCCTCCTTCTGCATCTCTCTCGCGGCGTTCTCGGTTGTCTGAGCAGCGTTGTTGCTCGGCGCTGGGCTTGCACACGGGTCGTGCACGTCCGGAGCCGCGCGGCCTTGTTGCGTGTCGCCAGAGCCGCGGGAGCTGAAGAGACGTCGCCAGATACGAGAGAGGAGGTGAGAGGGTCGAGTGGAGGTCCCCCGGGTGGCTTTTGAGGCCCGGGAGAGGAAGGATGCACCGGTCTTGTACCGCGCGCAGAGGGGTTGTCGGGTGCTCCTAACTAAGCTGGCGGCAGTTCAGGATTGTCACTGACTTCAGCTCGCCTGCCCGTTGGGACAGTGCGAGCGCCTTGATGAGAGGCTGGGTGGTCGTGGTGGCAGAGTTGCGGTCGTGGCAATGGTCGTGGCGGTCGAGAGCAGCGCGCTGTGCGCTAGCGCCCGGAGCACCGACCGTCGACTCAGCGCGGGCTCGCGACGCTCAACATCGAGCGGGCCTAGCGGGTTGATGCTCGCAATGAGCGCGTCGTACAAGCCGAGCGGTGGTTCTGCCCATTCGCTCGACGGGGGGAAGAAAGCTATGTAACCGAGTCCATAGAAAGGACTTACTGAGAATGGATGATTACGTAATGACGGTGCGATATATGTAGGGTAGTCAGTTGCAGAACATGTAGTGGGGTCCGTACCGAAATATATTGTAGTACTGTGTGGGTAGCGGGAATGTATGTAGCTGTGTTGCGAAAGTGTATGCAGTGGGTGGCGAACATATGTAGGGGGTGTTTCCGATTCATGTAGGGGGTATGGATTTTTGCGTCAAACGGTACGCCATAGTCCATGCCGCCGTAGCCAAGCATGTCAGGCACAATGATTGAGTGGCCCCCGCCTTGAAGAACGCGTACGTGTCTCCGGACGAGTGGTAGCCTTCGAAGAACGAGATGCTTTAGTCTCCTGTATCTTGGTCAGCCAAACCAGGTCGAACGCACCCTACTAGCAATCTTCATGTGTCCGTGTCGAGCCATCGGCGCGTGATCTGCGAGAGAGGCTAATGAGACGCGTTGCGCGCGTAAATCCTACACTGCGGTGCATGAATTCAGCGTGAATACAGCTATGTATAGTATTCTGTAAACAGGAGGCGAGACTCACATTGTAGTACAATACAAGCTTGGCCAGTCTACCAAGTCCCACATGACGGACGCATTCAGAGAATCTGCAATTCCGGGGTCCCAATCATAACAAGCAGCTGCATGCGATCATCGTAGCGAATCAGTAAGTTATCTTCCAGGCCCGAGCAGATACCATCACCCGCGATGCCATCCACAGAAGTTAGTAGCATTGCTTAGCTGCTGAGAGATCCACGACGTGAAGTATGCTACATACCAATCTCGCGATACTGGCTTCGCCGTCAAAGGCGACCACGAGGTCAATTTATGGCCGCATACGGATAGGACATGCGAACGTGACAGCATCTATGGCCGCATATGGATCGGACATGGCGCGAGCTCTGGCAGGTCTATGGCCGCACCAGGATCGGACATGAGCGCCCTATTTGGGCTGGTTATGGCCGCACCAGGATCGGACGTATAAGCGCCTTGCCCGGGGTCCTGAAGCCGCCCTCGAACCGCACCGAGACCGGCTCACTAGAGAAAGACGCAGACGACGGCCAGGACGACGGTCGTGCCCACCGCGTCCTCTACTAGTCGCAAGCGGCAAGAAACGGCGGACGCTAGTGACGGCACTGACGACGTCGATGAACAACCTGTTCCAAGAAAAAAGCGACCCAAGTACAAGCGAGAGAGCGCTGCCAGCGCGGCTCGAATCGAACAGTCGTGGGGTGGACCAGTCCATGAAATGACTCGATATTCCCAGGTAGCATATACATCCGCACCAGAAACAGCAGATAAAGTGCCTACGAGTTCGCGCCTGCACTCACTCTTTGAAGACCCGATATCGGAACTTGGTCATGAAGCCCAAACACTGAGCGCAATCCCTCCTGGTGAGATCCTTGTCGGCGGGCGCGCCGTGGCGAGCCAGTACACTTCGCCTGGCAGTGCGCCAGGTTTTGAGAGCCTGATACCCCGGGATGGGCTTCTGGACCCTGCGAATCGCAACTCGCAACTTCAACCCACCGATGCGCTGTCGAGTCGGCGGCGGTCGCCATCACCCGCGATGGACATGCGGTTGGACGCCTCGCTAGAGAATCAGTGGCTCCCGCGCACCATGAAGCCACTCCCTCGCCGGCGGGGGATCTCCGTAAACAAGGCAGAAATGCCACTTCAACCCGGGCCCGGGCCATCGCTGGGCTTCCAATCAGGGCAAGGGGAAGGTGCGCTTTCCGTGGACGCCGCGCCAGGTCTACTCCTGCCGACACCGTTACGGCCGCTCGATCCTCCGGACCATGTAATCCCGCACCCCGCCGACAACTCTCTACTAGGATGGCACTCGCCTGTCTCGAGCGAGGGGTCATCCCCGTCGCTGCCGATATTCTCCCCAGAGTCAAGCAGCATTGTGGACTGGAGCAACCCTTCAGATCAAGAATCACCTTCTGTGACTTCGGCGGACTCAGCGGGATACATGTCCGCCGGATACAGCACCCCCGCGTCCAGGCATCCAACTGTTAGTGATGCTGACGATGAAGACGGGAATCCTTTTAAGCCATCGGGCAAGGATCCCACATTCTGGCGCTGGATGGACGCTGTCTATGTGCGACTGGGTGAGAGGCTGGAGTCGCACTATCGGACAGCTGAGGCCTCAGGCGCTAGGCAGAATTGAACAACTACTCATAACTAACATTGACTATTGACGTCAATAGCTTCTGACATATGTTCAGACCAAGATACACCTTGTGATTACAGCGAGTTACTAGTAAATCTTTTTACTGCATGTTATCGGGTTTGGTAACTGTAGATGAACACAGTGACTGTAATACGAGAGGAGCGTGAACCAACGTAAAGCGACTCGGACACAGCATCTTACGTACCATACTCGAGCCTCCTTGTTCGTGCAGGTAATACTGAGCTTCTGATACAACAGCTTCTGTCTGATCGCTGGTCGCCGCATAACGAATACATCATGGCGTGACCTGACTTCGTCAGTACGTAGTGAATGTGTTGCCGTCTAGGATAAGACACTGGCATGTTATGAGTGAATACGCAAAATTGAATAACCACTCATAACAAACCAGGGTCTCATCCCCTGGGGTTGCCGGACAATGAAAAGGGAGCATTCTTTGTACGGATACAACTGTTCTCGAGTCGCGCCTGACAGTAAACATAGCGATGGAGATCCCAGAAGTAACGTCACTCACGTGTACTCATACAGGCGACACGGAGATGAGCGACTGAAGAAGAAGGCCTGAGGTGCGCGTCTCCTGGTACCTGGTCACTGGGTAGGCGCTGGTCCCACTGAAAGAGAAGTCGAAATAGGATGCCGAAGGCAGGAGGATCGAAGGGGAGACCGACAGCAGTGAGACATGGACGCCTGAGAGAAGCGAGCGCCACGCATCACGGACTCGTGAGCGATAGACATGCTACCGTACATTAGCTTGCGGCGGGAGATGCGACTACTCTTACGGAGGGCGAGAGTCATCCGTCTGAATCGACGGCGTGTGGTGATCCGGAAATGGTCGCCATAAGTATTTCGTCCTCTGTAGGTCCCTGCAACTTGAAAGCGGAAGGTACGTCAGTGACGACGAAGGGGGAGAAGGAACTCGAAGTATCGCACACCAGAGCTGACCGAGACTCGCAGCGGCATGCAGTACAAATGACTATGCATCAAGTGTGCTCATGCCACGTCAAGGTATGATAGAATAAAACCCCAAGGATTGCTGCGAGTAAACGTCATTTCTAGGCCGTATCATTCAAGCCGAATATAGAGTCGGACTGTCAAGACGAGGCAGTGAAGGAAATTCTTGGGATCTGCGAAGGATCTAGGGTCGCCGTGCGTATTGGCCACAGGCTGATATGTCCACGTATCTCGGATGACAGCTCGTAACTCAAAAGGTGTGCTTGATCCTCAGACAGTGGCACGGCAAGTTACAAGTGATTACGCACGCAGCAGAATGTGTAATCACTCATAACGAATGAGCGTCCAGTCTCCTCACATATTCTTGAGCGACCTTGCCACGCGCGGGAGGTGTGCACAAATCGAACCCGTCGGAGGTAGTACGCTAGTACGTAGTATCGAGCGGGTCCGCCGCAGCTATCGCCTTCAGAACACGGGCTGTCAACGCGACTGGTAGTCGATCTGTGGGAGGACTGGTGGGAAGCTCGAGGAGGGGGATGGCTATAGGGACGGGTTACCTACTTATATACGTTGAGTCGGCCAAGTCGGTCGCATCCGCATCGATGATCCGGATTGATCAGTGATCCATGTTCCACGACAGCCACGCGCTGGAAGAAAGCGGTTAAAGCGCTCGACACACGGTGTGCAATCTGGATGATCCTTGAAATCGATGTTGCGGATGTTAAGGACATTGATATTGACGACGCCGTCATATTGAAGTCGGGCCCGGTCCGTCTGCCTCGAACGTCACATCATACTTACAACAAGAATACAAAAAGGTTGCACAGGGTACTTGGCAGATTGAGGTTAGCGTCGACCACCGCCGGCCCGCTGCAATTGCACAGATGACCATCCAAAGCGTGTGCATTTAACAAAACGGCCCACACGCATGACTTACGCCGCCGCGGCGAGGGCTCGCGTCGCCCGGATATTTATTGGGGGGTTGGCCATCGACAGTGACCATTCTCGCTGACTCGGAATCGCCGGCTGTGCCAGCTGCACCCACCAGGAACTAGGAAGATGCTTTCCGTGCGCGTGCTCCTGGCAGTCTTGATTGCGGGCCTTCATATTACGCGGGTGCTAGCGTGGGCGGAAGAATTGAAGGCGGGCAATACATGTACCATCCAGCCGTTGGGAGAGGGACAGGACGATACAGACCAGGTCCGTCTAACTGCGCCGAGGTGCGAACCGCTATTCGACTACCTTGAACACTCGTGAACAGATCGAGGCTGCCGTTTCGCGATGCGGCCATTATGGAACGACAGTCATCTCCGACGGTGTCTACAACGTGACGAGGTTAGTGTGCTCGACGCGGCTATCGACTCATAACGGACTTACCAATGTACAGGAAGATGATGTGGAACCTGGTCGAGGCCAGGGTTGACCTACATGGTTATCTCAACGTGCGCATTGAAGTCACGCTGTTCACCGCCTGCTAACCCGGGACCACAGTTCACAGCGAATTTGCCTTACTGGATGAACCCAGAAAACACGTACCGTGTCGTGTACATTCAGGTGATCCATTAATCCGATCAGGAACCGAGCTCTTACTGACAGTCTCTGCAGGACCAAGCATCGTGGTTCGTTGTCACAGGGCGCGACTTCACCATTGATGCGCATAACACCGGTGGGATCATCGGCAACGGGCAGTACTGGTGGAACTGGTATGGGACCACCAGCCGACTTGACGGCGATGGGCGGCCTATCGCCTTCACACTCTGGCGCGTTCTGAGAGGCGTCGTCAAGGACTTCAGGATCGAGGGCCAGCCGTTCTGGTGCAATACGGTCGCGGAGTCCAAGGACGTGGTGTACGACGGGATGTATTGCAACGCGACGAACACGAATCCAGAGTACTATGGGTACAAGTGAGCAACATTAGGATCATGCTGCAGTTGATATCGCTTACATGCGTGCGGTAGCGTCGTCCCGAACACGGACGGTGAGTTCGGTCTCTGGACATGCGACGATGCACCGGGTCTGACCTAGGAAGTTAGGTATCGATACATTCCGAGCGGACAACGTCACGTTGCTCAACTGGGATGTAGGTTCTGAGTGCCGAACATCGACTGGTGGTCCTGATGGTCCTGACGGATTGAACAGATTACGTTAGGAGACGACTGTCTTGCGATCAAGGGGGTAGGGAGCCTTACCTACAGCCTGAGCTCGCGAACCGAAGCTTGACGCAAATATAAAGAACTCCACAAACCTCTACTTTCAGAACATCACATGCCGCGGCGGCAACGGTATCGCTTTCGGTTCTCTAGGGCAATATGCAAATCTCGTACGTACCAGATCAAACGACCTCACTCGACGAGGAATCGCTGACTGTGAGATGCAGTTTGACCGCGTCGGAAATGTGACACTGGAAGACATTCGCGTGAGTAAACGTGTACAACAACTGACTCGTGTTGATGTCTCCGTACTGTAGTTGTTGCACATCGATCCAGAGATCCAGCCGAACATGGGCAGTGCGGTACGTGCCACGGCTTGTCACAGCGAACAGCTTCTTGATTGCCGCATGTCAGGTTTATTTCAAGTCCTGGTCCGGCACAACCATCGGTCACCCTCCCGACAATGGCGGTGGGGGTGGAGGTAGGTGCAAGTTTGCCGAATCGCGAGGCAGAATGCTGACACACGGCTAATGCAGGTCTTGTCACGAATGTCACCGTCCGCAACGCAGAGTTGTATAACGTCTCTCTGCCTATCCATGTGTATCAGACCAATGGAGCGCACCCGTGTGTACCTGTTGTCAGCGCGTGAGTTGAGCGAAGTTAACATGTGTTCAGAGGCGACTCACCATCAACGCTGCAATTCGCGAACCTGAGCTTCTACAACTTCACAGGTACATCATCGGGCAGTACCAGTACGTGCTTCGCTTGGCATATGCAAGTCGACGCCCCTAACGGACTGGCAGTTGTTGATATAGCATGCAGCCCAGCCGCGCCTTGCCCTGGAATGGTGTTTGAGAACATCAATATCACCGTGAATACTGGAGCAGAGCCGGTGTATACCTGTACGAACGTCGTCAGCCAGCAGGGACTATCTAGTAAGTGATCTCCGAGTCATGCAATATGCACTGTAACTCATTGACAATGCTGCTAGGCTGCGAGACTACCTCGACATGATACTATCGTTGAGATACGACTGTAGATAGCCTTTTGTGTCCATTTGCTACAAGCGGTCGGGCTTGTGTCTCTCATACTACGTAAGGGGAGCAGTCAAGTACCGAGACATATTGAAGGGATCTTACTCACCTCGCAACTGAGACTTGTTGATTCATCCAGATTAGCCCTATATGCACTGAGCAGCAACAAAGTTCCGCTACCGCTAATAGTAAGTTACGACAGGCTCCGCAAGCAGACCCTCCATCTCCTGGCTTCGCTCCACCACTACCGTCAGACAGTCGTCGATCACTCCGTTTCTACTCATGGCCTCTAATTCGCTTGCCTACCTCGATGTGTGTATAGGCGACCAGGACGCGTGTGCTCTCGCAGAAGCCGAGTATTCAGCTACATCTGCCTTGTTGTCTAAGAATGCACACATCTACGGGCTTCCTTCAACGCCCGCCGAGTTGTCAGAAGAGCAGCGCGATATTCTGAGGGAGCTCGATGTATGTTGCCATCGTAGTTCACATAAGGCCTCTCTGACGAGGAGAGTCGACAGAGTTCGAGGCAAATGCGCTTCGAACCTCCGCCGCCGCTGCTCGTAGGCCGGCTGGTCTTCCATCTCGATTCATCTCCAGGGCTCGCGAAGACGAGAGGAAACTTCATCGCGCTATGCACAGGGGAGAAAGGGATGTGCAAAAATGCACCGAAGAAAAAGTTGCACTACCTCGATTGCCCGATCCACCGGATCGTCAAAGGCTTTGTGGCGCAAGGCGGAGATGTCACCAGAGGAGATGGTAGCGGTGGAGAGGTGAGATCGTACGCCGGCGCAGATGGGCCGAGCTAATAGTGCATTGTTCAATCTGCCACAGTCAACCTATGGTGGGAAGTTTAATGACGAGAAGGAGGGCCTCAAGAGAAAGCTCACCCGTGGATCACTTGCTATGGCCAACTCCGGGAAGAACACCAACTCGTCGCAATTCTTCGTTGTGCTCACCGAAGACGAAACAAAGCTGGTGAAGATGCATGGGAAGTATGTCGTCTTTGGCATGCTCAAGGAGGGCTTCGAGATCTTGTCTCGACTAGATGGCGTTGGAAGCGCAGACGGCAAGCCTTGTAAGAGCGTATGGATTGGAGGATGTGGATTGTGTTGAGACATGCTAGGGGGATCGTTTGTCTCTAACTGGCGCGCATGATAAAGGCCGGAGAGATAGTTGCTTACGGGCGTTTGGCACAGTGGTAGCGCGCACGCTTTGCATCTCCTATGGATAATGAATGCGTGAGGTCGAGGGTTCAAACCCCCCAACGTCCATAAACTGGGCTCGTTATTTTACTCTTGTTTTATTTTTGTTTTTGATGGCCATAAAAGGTGCCCAACGCCATGAACCACCACCGGACATTCTTCAACAATAATACCACCTGACAGAACATATTCCTGTCATATGCTTGCCAACATCTCTCGCTAACAGTGACTATGGGGTAAGATTCGCCCCGAGGATCATCCACCGCGGCATAGACGGCTGTTCCATTCCGATATTGCTTAATACCAACCGGACCGCCAGTACACGTGTTCGACGCGTTAGACACCCTTTGCCGATCCTTGTGACCGCGATTGATGTTCCCAACGACCCGTCCTCGAATATAAGATGCACACAAACCCGAGACATTCCCCGTCACGCGAACTCCAGCCTATCCTCTCGAGACGATGATTGCTAGGTTGCCTTCGCTGCTTCTGGCGAGCCTCTGTTTCGCGCGAACACTCGTGTCTGGGTTCCAGTACTTTGCGGGAAACAAAACGTGCACGCTCGAGCCGTTAGGCAGTGAACAGGATGACACGAGCCAGGTTCGCTGTGCATGGGACGCGTCACGGAACGATGTACTGATGCGGGTTCGAAGATCGAGGCTGCTATTGCGCTTTGTGGGCACTATGGGACGACGGTCTTCGCTCCAGGAGAATACAATGTTACGAGGTCAGCCTAGCTTCGCACTGTCTGCGCGAGAGGGCTCACTGTGTCATAGGAAAATGACATGGGACTTGGTGGGATCCAGAGTGGACCTTCATGGCTACCTGAACGTGAGTTGTCCGCGAACGGGGCGATATAGCATGCTGAAGCATACGCAGTTCGTTGCGGACTTGCCGTACTGGATGTATCCCGAAAACACGTACCGCGTCATCTTCATCCAGGTGCGCCGCGCCGAACGAGAACAAAGCATCAGTCTACTAACCCAAGAACTCGCGGATAGAGCCAAGCATCTTGGTTCGTGATCACAGGGAGCGACTTCGTGGTCGACGCGCACAATACCGGGGGGATCATTGGGAACGGGCAGTACTGGTGGTCATGGTACGGCAACGGGACACGCATTGACGGCGACGGCCGCCCGGTTGCTCTCACTGTGTACCGCGCGCTCCGGGGTACCATTGCGAACTTCCGGATAGAAGGCCAGCCGTTCTGGTGCAACGCCGTGGCAGAAAGCCAGAGCGTAGTGTATGACGGAATGTACTGCAATGCGACGAACTCGGATCCTCTGTATTACAACCAGAAGTAAGTGCTCGGACTGTGATACATTCGACGGGTAGGTGCTTACTTGTTCGTAGCATTGTGTGGAACACGGACGGTGAGCACGCCTGTGAGCGGTGCATCCAACGGATGTTGATGCAATGGGCCATGCAGGTATCGACACATTCCGGTCGGATAACATTACGCTGCTAACTGGGATGTAAGTGCTTGATATGACCGCCGTGCGAGCGACGCTGACGAAGATACACCGCACAGATTACGCTCGGAGATGACTGCATCGCAATCAAAGGCGTATGTGGACACCTGCCATCGCATAGCTGGACAGCTGGATACTCACCGCAATTTTGGTCCGCAGAACTCGACGAATGTATACGCCAAGAATATCACCTGCACCGGCGGCACTGGGATCGCATTCGGTTCCTTGGGGCAGTACTACAACCTGGTCAATACCTCGCACTATGGCCTGAGCAGACGTCGGGCCGAGTCTGGCTGACGTACACATCGCAGTACGACAACGTTGAGAATATCACGCTAGAGGATGTCACGGTGAGATTGCCGACAGTCCACAGGATTGTAAGGCTGAACAGGAGATCACTCAACACAGATGATTAGACCGGATCCGACGATACAGCCTTACATGGAGCACGGCGTCAGTTAACCCTTCAGTCAGTGTTCAGTTGGCCTAACCCTGGTACAGGTTTACTTCAAGTCGTGGACTGGGACGACCATTGGCTTCCCTCCTGTCGAGGGCGGTGGCGGACCAGGTAAGCAACCGGCTGCCGTGTACCGGAACGACTCTACTGAAACCTGCGCCGCGGCGTAGGGACAACGACGAGCGTTCTTGCACGCAACTTCGAACTTGACAATGTGACATACCCCATTCAGCTTTACCAGACGAACTCTGGACATGCGTGAGTGGACCTGGCAGATACCGGAGTGTCTGTCATGAACTGATGGACATGGCCACGCCCACGCAGGGGCGATGCTCCGTCAAAATATCAGTTCGGCGGCCTCACATTCGTCAACTTCACTGGTACAGCATCGACAGACCTGCGTAAGGATTCCCATCGCGTCGCCGTCCGACGTGCCGCTGACGGCTTCGTGGACAGTGGTTGACATAGAGTGCAGCCCGGCGGCCCCATGTCCGGATCTATCGTTTCAGAACATCGAATTGAGCCACCCAGTGGCACGACAGCGACGTACAACTGTTACAATGTCTTGAGCCAAACGGGCCTGAGTGGTAGGCTCACCGTGGTGCTGACCCCGCCCTGAGTTATTACTAATGCCGAGTGACTTCCCAGCGTGCAACGCGACGGCATGAGCCCAAGGCCATGCCGATGATGCGAGGGTTGGTGAAGAAGAGCGTAGTTAAATAGCGTAGCTGCGGAAGGTGAACTCGTCTGTTCGATGGGTATCAGAGATGGACGTCCTTGCGTGATTACCTGCTAAGTTATGTACAGCCACACCTGTCGGTTGTGCCTTCCGCATTAGGACTGTGTTAGGACACGAGCGCCTGGTCTGCTCGTTGCCCGCGCCGCGCTGGAGGACGTCGGGGACGATGAGCGAGGCATGCAGATAAGGCGAGCCAGAGCGGCCTGGGTCAGGAAGAATCACGGTGGTAGGTATGGAGATCGCTGCGCATGCGCAACCGGGACGGGCGGACGACCTACGGGCCAAATAGGTTGTGCCTGTCATGGCAACGTCGCCGAGAGGACATCAAAAAGCACTCTTGCCGCGTTTACGTTCTCACAGCCTAGAGCCCACCTTTATCTTCCTTGCTCCTCTTCCTCCTCCTTCGTCTTCGGATACCTTACAGTCCTTTGCTTCAGGCCGGTCCTCTCTCCTTTTTGCCCGCTGCGCAGGACGTCGACATACGCAGCGCCCGTCAAACCGTCCATGTCCAATAAGTGGAAGCGCGCCTCCAGCCTCGACTTCTCCGACGGCAAGATACCGCCCCTGTCCCAGCACCCCGACATGGCCAATCCGTTCGCCGACAACGGGCTCGAGCCCAGTCACTTGCAGCGCAATAAGACCGAGCGCAGACGTCTGCAGCCCCTCCAGAGGACGAACACCACTAGTTCGATGCCCGCAGCCCCGTACAGGCCTACGGGATGGATGGAACGATTCAACGTCTGGATGATTAACGAGGGTGGAAAGAGGCTGTTCTTCATCTTCTTCATCCTCCTCCACGTCCTCGTCATCCTCTTCGGTGCATTCTACTACGGTACGAGCGATGACTTGGTAGGCGCCCGCGCAACCTTCCATGTGACGTATCGTACGTACCGTGCATGTCCTCTATCGTATTCTCGTGTCTTATTGCTTGCTCCTTCTAGCGATTGCCCGTGGTGCCGCCCTCGTCCTCCATGTCGAGGTTGCGTTCATCCTCCTGCCCGTCTGCCGGAACTTCATCTCCCTCCTCCGTCGGACGCCTCTCAACCACTACATTCCTTTCGACAAGAACATCACGTTCCACAAGGCCGTCGGATGGGGCATCTGCTTCTTCTCCTTCGTCCACATCGCCGCGCACATGGTCAACTTCACCGAGCTAGCCTTCGTTGACCCACTCGCGGACACCCCCGGCAAGCGTTTCGTTGCCTTCCTCGAGGCCAACTTCATCACTGGCCCTGGTCTTACCGGCTGGATCATGACCGTTGCTCTTGGTATCATGGCCTGGTACGCACGGGAGAAGCCTCGCCGTGCCAACTTCGAGCGGTTCTGGTACTCGCACCACCTCTTCCTCGTCTTCTTCCTCAACTGGCAGCTCCATGGTATGTTCTGCATGATCCAGCCTGATCGTGCGCCCTTCTGCTCGTGGAACACGATCGGTGTCTTCTGGGTAGGTCCCTCGTTTGACTTACATCGATGCTGTTGCTGACAAGTGCGCAGCGTTACTGGCTCGTCGGTGGTTGCATCTTCACGTTCGAGCGTATCCTTCGTGAGGTTCGCTCGCGCCACCGCACCTACATCTCCAAGGTCATCCAGCACCCGTCCAATGTCATTGAGCTTCAGATCAAAAAGGAGAATACCCCTACGCGTGCAGGCCAGTACATCTTCCTTCACTGCCCTGAGGTCTCGTACTTCCAGTGGCACCCGTTTACGCTCACCAGGTGCGTAATGCGCACGTTCTCCAACCCGACCATGTTAACGTTAAGAGACTGCCAGCGCTCCTGAGGAGGACTACATCTCGGTGCATATTCGTGTCGTTGGTGACTTCACCCGCGCGCTCGGCGAGGCGGTCGGTGCCGACTTCAGCAAGGAGAAAGGTGGAGACAGTGGCAAGCTCATCGGCACGGCGGCCAACCCTCCTGTCAACCGTGTCTTGCCGCGCGTTATGGTCGACGGTCCGTTTGGTTCGGCTTCGGAGGATTTCCTCAATTTCGAGACGGTCCTGCTCGTCGGCGCCGGTATTGGTGTGACACCGTTCGCTTCGTACGTCCTTCTGTGATTATTGACCGCGATGGACGCTGACTGTATTTTCGTTGGATAGTATTCTGAAGTCCGTATGGTACCGCATGAACAACCTCGACAGGTCGAAGCCCACGCGTCTGTCGAAGGTCTACTTTACCTGGGTCATCCGTGACTTTGGCTCCGCCGAGTGGTTCCACTCTCTGCTGCAGGCTATCGAGGAGCAGGATACTCAGAACCGGATTGAAATCAACATTTACCTGACTGCAAAGATTAAGGAGGATGACATGAACAACATCATTGTACGTACTGCCGGTGGCCGCCGTCTTGGTGGGACGCACATGCTGACACGCGTGTCTACAACAGGTCCAGGACGTCGGTGCCGAGAAGGACGCTATCACGTCTCTCCGTGCCCCCACGCACTATGGTCGCCCCAACTGGGACAGGGTTTTCAGCTCTATCGCGGAGAAGCATCCCGAGACGGATGTCGGTGTAGTACGTAGCTTCTCATTCGCCCGCGCGCCCCGCGTCGCCGTGTCTGATCCTCGCTCTTCTGTAGTTCTTCTGCGGGCCCGGGGCGCTCTCGAAGCAGCTCCACATCTGTTCGAACAAATACTCGACGCCCGAAGGCACCAGGTTCTTCTTCGGCAAGGGTAAGTCCGGCCCCGTTGCCATCCGTACGCTAGTCGCTCATCATGATCCTTTTGTGTCTTCGTCCAACAGAGAACTTCTGAGCGCGCGGGGGAGGGCTTCCTGCGGCGCTACGTCTGGTCGGGAATGTTGGACTTGTGTATTATTATCTCGTCTTGGAGCAAGCTCCGGACGCCTGTACTTGTCGGTCGTTTGCGCATCTATAATCTTGGTAATTGCCATCGGTACTGCCACGCACTCCGGGTCTCAGGCTATTAGAGGACTATCTTAGAAGCGTCACCATTGAATGACCTTGTGTATGCGTTCGGGAAGCGAAGCTACAGCATTGCGTGTGAGTGACAACGTCTTTGGTCAGAGCGGCTTTGAAACAATCAGACTTGTAGCGCCGTGGCCCGTACTGTTCGATATTTTGTCGATGTTGCGGTCATTTGGAGTCACTATATGCGGGACAACTTCAACCGCGCAACGTGAACGAGGGGTATTTGAAGTACGTACCGCTTCCAGCATCGTGCGACGTGCATGCGGTACTGCGACAATCTGTTCAGGGTGAGGATACCGAGGCTCTCATTCCTCCCGGAGTCAGCTGAATTTGGTGGTAACGAATGCCTTGCAGCCATGGTCGTTCGTCCTGGTCAAGGTGGAAGAAGAGACGAGCACGACAGAGCACGACGCGCTTCGGACTTGACTTGTGACGCGTCAGTCACATGCTCGCGTTCGCTCAGCAGCGCACTGCGCCACCGCTCACCGACTCCTTCACCGAGAAATGGGAAGTACGTGTCGTCACTGTCAGTATGTAATATCATGGACTATAGCAGCAGAACCATAACTGCAGAAGGTGGAGTATTGACTATTGTGCAAGTTTACACGAATGACAACCGGCGGAGGGCGCACAGGGTCCTGCTCGTCAATACGGTGAAGCTTCTCAGGTTGATACCCAACGCCCCTGAATTCCGGACGTATCTATTCTCCACATTGCCGCCTTCCGGTGCAATGATATGGGCCTTGCGCAGGCTGCATGTTCTCTCACACATGTCGAATCTTGTCCAAGTTGCTGGCGCCGTCGCCATAGCTTGACGCGCAGGGTACTAAAGGCGCGCGGTCATTGACAATCACCTGCCTCGGTGGCCACTAACCAGCATGTTGGAACAATGTCAACTACACGAGGAGGCTCGCGCGCCCCGCCCGCAAGCGTTTGAGTCGCTTCGCTGGTTTGCAAGTTACAGCGACCACGGCAACACCCGCAGGACGCGCTTCACCGCGGTCCGCTACGAAGATGTGGACCTCAATCTCCTTACGGCAGATCGATCGACTCCATACCGTAAGTACTAGCGACACATGTGGGTGCCCGACGATCAAGTCTCAAATCGTGACTGATCGTCTTCCACCCGCATTGTACGAGAGATGCGTCGTTGTTTTTTGTGGATTTGTCCAGCCCCCCAGTTTACAACCTCAATGGAGGTGATGGTTTCGAAGTCGGTGGTCAGGCGCTACACTTCGTAACCATCCCGCAATCCGCGCTAACTCTGCGACAAACCAGCAGGTCACTGAACTTTCCTGCTAAGTGTGGGTGACTGAGCACCGAAGATTGGCCGGTACCCGGGGTATAGCACGTCTGTTTCGTCTGTCTGCGCCGATGGCAAGGACCCTGGGAGCCGCCGACGACTGTCTTGCATTCGGATCAGGTACATCACTTTTGTCCAACTTCTGCCCGCTCCTTCCTCAAGCAACTGAGGCCACAGCGAGCCCGAGTGCGCTGCAGTGCAGTCCCGTGGTCGCATCATCGGATCGCAGAGCGCCACCCGTCCTCCTGCCCCAAGTCTATCAGTCCCCCGCGTCCTGCGCCTGCACTCTCAATGGTGCGCGCCCCGACTTTCTTTAGGGTTGTTGAAATTGCTGTCGGCGAGCTGCTTTGATGACAGGCGTGGCCACTCGTCCTCAGGCTTAGTCTGAGGGCAGGGAGCGCGGGCGTCTCATACTATCGTCCCTCTCGTCTTGCCGCGCGAGGCGCTGGACGCCCGTTGTCCAGGGAGCGTAATTGCGTATCCCACATTGTTTTCCGAGATTGAGTCTGGCAATAGCCGCCTATGTGTCGGGCATCGCCGGTGCTTCAATGTTTCGTCCCTGTCATGGAGACGTAAACGCTGGGATTGATGCGCACATTTCCTAGACGCGCCTCTGCACCCGTACCTTGCTCAAGCCTTCGTCGACATTTGCGAAACTTCGTCAACGATTGATTAACCTTCCTCGGGCATGTCGGTGGTTGACTGCTGCTCGCAGACAGCCTGCTTGCTATCGTGAAATTGAGGATCTGACGATAGGAGCTCATTGAACTGAAATGAGCAAGACGCTCGAGAATCCGTCAAGCGCGGACAATGTGCGTGCTCCCTATATGATATCCGCTAATTCTAACAAGGTCTTCGGGTAGCAGAACGCCGGGACGCATAGCGAACCGAGTGGTGTACAGTGGACCGCCGAAGGTAGTGGCCACACGACTGTCAAGGGTTTGTCCCATTTTGCCTAGGACATGTCGGTGGCAAGCGAGGACGCTCGCGGACACCGCGTTCCGCGCTGCCTTCAGCATGCTCTTTGAATGGAAGACTGATAGGAGCTGCGCGCAACATCCGCCGGCGAGGTCGATGAACTCGCATCCGTCGAGGGTCTTTTTGAACTGCAAGTATAGCACAACTTGGTCCGCCCTATTGACTTCCATCGGGCATACGCCCTTACCGGCTGTTGACCGCATTCTTGACGCGTTCATGAGCACAACCGCCGTGGGTTTACAGTTCCCGGGGCGCCAGCTCTGAGCCGCACGCACTGGATGGATCATGCCGTGCCGCAGTGTGGTTGGATCTCGGAGTCGTGCGAATGATACGCGCGCGTACGGACGCTAGGACGTGAACGGTATGCTCTCGCCGTCCTGCTGGGGTGTCGCGGCGATCTGCTGACGGTGTCCACCTATAGCGCGTTTCGTGCCATTACAAGGGCATTGTGTGTGGCCCCTGGCGGTTCCTGCGCTATACTTGATTGTGCTCGGTGAGCCATGCGCGTCAGGTCACAAGCGACGCAGGCGGCTCGGTGCATGGATTCTAAGACGCTGGGTGAGCACGCACGTATCCTGGAGTGCCTACTTGGACTTGAACGGGCTCCGGACTCAGACGTTACATATCAGGCCATTTCGGGTTATAAATTCGAGCTCACCCATTTCCTGAAGAGAGTATGTCAGTAAAGTTTGACCACTGGCAGGATCTCTGCAGACGGCTTTGCACAGTTGGCGCTAGTGTCCTCTTGACTAATTTGTGCCTACGCCGAGCCCTAAGCAAGCCTTAAGCGGCCGAGAGTGGTTTAGCTTCGCGCTTGACACTCGGAGACTCCCCATGTCCCCATCTGTGAATTGCCGGAGATTGACTGACCGTACAGTGCCCGGAATCTCGCGGCCTGTTCTTGCAGTCGAACAGGCGTTGCGACCTTACTACGCGCGGAAGAGCTAGCGTTGTACCGGCCACAGCTAGCGGGCGACTGGTGTTTACTAGCCCGAAAAGGCGAAGGCATTACATAAGCGACGATGGCGCGGGGACGACTAATAGAAAGCGGGATGTTCCGAGGGCGGAGACTCATCAGGGGTGTCAGACGACTGCCAGTCTCAGCCAGTGCAACAGTGCGAATGCGCGCGTCGTCCCTGCACGAGCAGGCGTACTTCCCGCGCGCACGACACGGATGGCAGCGAGGCAGGCAGAGCAGGATCCGCAGAAGGGTGTCGCCGCTGCCGGTGATAGGAATCAGGCCTGATATGGACCCACAACGCGATCCAGCGGGCGGTCGCGGAGTTGGGTGGAATAGGCAGGAGAAGGCCGGAGATTGGAGGGGGAGCGGCGGCGGGAGTAGAATTTAGAAATTATATATTTGATTATCCGATTCGCCAGCAGAAGGTGGCCTGGGATGGGCTGGGATGATGCTGATGGAACGGAACCTGTTTCCTGTATCTCGCGCGCGGTGGCACACGCCAGTCCGCCTGCTGGAGACACTGCCCCGCGAAGCGAAGGCCACTCCCGCGCGCGGGGGCAGTCCTTGCTGCTTTCGGTCCGCCAGTCTCCTCCCTGCGAGATTATTCCCAATCAGCCCGCGCAGCGGACCCGCCAGTATCTCGGCGACGGGCGGCTCGACTCCTGCGGTTCTCCCCTACTTATAACTGTGCCTGCTCTGATCCTGCCTCCCATTCCATCCCCGATCACCTTCGCATCCCCTCAGAGTTACGTTACATGACGCCCATGCCTGTCTCCCGCACCAGTACTGAATCCATTTCCGACCTGACTGACCGTCCAGAGCGTTCCAGGAATGCCAAAGGTCTGTACTCTACGCCGTAGCACCAGCACCCCCGCTGAACGCTGCTCTCAGCTCAAGCGCGGCATCGAGCCAAGCGCAAGGCGTATATAGAACAGGTAAGGCCGGCATTTACCAATCAGTCCTACAGCCGACGCTCATCCCATCAATTGCAGCTCGAGACCACAGTGACGAAACTGCAAGTCGCGCTTGCGCTTTCTCCCGAGCAGGTCGCGGCCCTTCCCGCGCCTGTCATCCGCATCCGTGAGCTCGAGGAAGAGAACGAGGTCCTCCATCGCGAAGTGGACGAGCTTCGCCGGCAGATAGAGGATCGTAATTCTCGTCTACGTCCTGACCTTGGGCGACGACATGGCACAATCGCTACCAGCCCATACGATCGCGGAGACTATGAGTCTAGGCGCAGAAGGCTCACAGAATCGCAAGTCTATTTGGTATGCGTCACCAAGACAATCGCGTGTCGTATCCATGCTGACTCGAGGCCCAATATTCACAGCACCCGCAGAATGGACACACCCACAGCCCTCCTCCGCCATTGCTCATCCCTTCGTCGACCTCTCCCAAACCCAGCAGCCGTCACAACTGGGAGTATACCCCAGATTGACGTCGTCGACGCTCACGTCGTATGGGATGTATCAAATCCCTGGCACCCCTTCGAGCTCGGGCACAAGTACCGCTTCGAATTCCCCATTCTCGGCGAGTATCTGTTCCTCACGTTGGCCATGCGCCACGTAGCCATGTGCAGAGAACTCGGGATCCTAGTAACAGTCATATTTCACAGCCCTGCGACTATACCCCACCGTCGACGACAATCCATACGCATCACCGTCCGACCTCGTCCGCGACCTCGCCCTCGCTGCTTGCGTCGTATGGACAGGCGCCAGGTCAGTACGAGTATGTCAAGCTAGAAGAAGATTCCTATCATGTGCGTGCGACTATTTTTCGGAGTGGCAGTCAGTGTCTGATATCATATTCGTTCAGGGTCATGCTGTATCTCATACGAACGGCTATTCTGCCTCGTTGCCTCAGTACGCAGGTAGCCAATCGTCGTTGAACCATTGGCAAACCTACGCTCAGCGGTCATGACTACCGTGTCGAGCGAATGGTACCTGATCTTCCGTACCGTGGGCATGTCTTGCTGGCTCTCCTATCTTGAGTTCGGTCTTACTGTCGCTGTGTTTTGGTCTTGCTGTCTTGCATGCTATGGACTCTGGGATCCTGCATGCTGTTGTCTCATCACTGTATCCAACAAAAACACCCAACTGTCCTGCAGCTCACGGACGGTGGTCTTGGTGCCTGCAAGTGTAGATAATAGTGGCTTTCGAATCGGATTGCCTCGGGAACTTGTCCATATGGTCCTCGTGTTATCTAATGCGATACTTTCTCATGCATTGAATTCGGTTGATCTTCCTTGAACTAACTCTAATTGGCTTCTCGCCTCGTACACAGTAGCTTTCCTCACGTCACGCGAAAGAGTCGGACATCCGTCTGAGACTCTTGGCTGGTCGTTGACTAATCCATCGAGGGTTCAGTCTGGATGTGTCAACTGTAGGTGCTCACTGGATCATTTCGGAGGCACCTGCACCCGATCCTCTGGTCGCAGTCGCGCATAGCTGGCATCACCGCCCACGTCACACGCTCCCAATGGTATTATGCTCTTCGAGGTTATCATCATCATGCGATCTCTTCAGTATCTCCGGAGCCGACTACGCGTCGATGGGTAAGTAGGTCGCCGCTTTAGATGCATTGCACCGGTGAGCCGGACCGCCGAAATGTCTGTACTGGGAACGTCTCACTGACGAACTTTACCTGGAATGACATAGCGTTCTAAATCCTATGTAGACATTGCAGTTGTGACGGAAGCCACAACATGATTGCCTACACTGCTACGCATTGAGGCGTCAAGCGTAAAGTCATCCTGAGATTAAAGGTCCCGAGACTATCGGTGCGTCAGTATTGAGCATCATACCCAAGATCCGATGCGTTAGAGGCCCTTTTACGCGCAGGTTGTGCCTTGCCACGGATGGAGCTCCTCGACAATTGCTTGTTGCCGGGCGCCGTCGGTGTCTTAACGGTATTTTCCCTGGTACAGTATGTAGGCCCCACGAACCCAGATTCTGCACTATGCCTGAACGGGCGGCGGCTTGACGTCGGTCTGGGCGCGCGGGAGCAATCCGCGCGAAGTGAGCGGCGTTCAAGTTCCCTGGTCGTTGCCAAGTTCCTGGCCGCTTTCGCGACCACATGAGGCGCGATGGCAGCGGAGGCTTCGTCTGCGATCCTTGAGGCATCGCGGGTGACCAGGGTGAGTTGGGACCCGTGGGGTTTCCATGTCCCTGAGATAGCCGCGCCGTCTGTCAATCTTACATCCAGAACCACCGATAGTTCGCGAACGCGCGTCCAGTGGAAGGCTGAAGGCCGAAAGCGCTCCTCGTCACTGACTGCCATTCTTCCCTGTCATGTTGTTGGTGGCGGCCATGCGTCGTGACGACGCCGGGCATATTACCGCACATTGGCTGACTCATTTATCAGGGCTCAGGGTCGTCCTGATTTTGCTTCCGCGAAGCAACGACGTCTCCCGCCGGTGGATTTAACACTTCTGGTCTGATACCAGACGCCCGCTGGACACTTGGTGCGTTACTGCAATGTTGCCTGCCGCTCCAAACCCTACAGATCAGGAGACGAATCATCCTATGTGCACCCTACAGGACACCGAATATTATTCACCTTTGCGCCTACAAGTCACCCGGAACCCGCTCGTCAGTGGTGGAGGCGAATTCAATTTGCCCGTTCCGTAGCAATTCTCGACGAGGCAGAAGCTTGATGTTGGAGCTCCGAGTGTGAATTATTCGCTTATGCTTGATCTAACGAAGAAGTGGCCCCCCCTAAATCTATTCACTGGCCTGGACAGCCTTCAAATCGAATGGGCCACAAAGCCGACGAGATCAAGGGAGATGGAAGCCGGCGTGTACCGTGTAGCTTGAGTGATTTATGTTCTTCGTAGCCGCCAGTAAAATCGACGTTTCAGTCATAGGACATAGGCTGTAGAGTGGTCGGGCGCGTGCTTGCCTGATACATGCATCAGACCGCAGATACAATTCCAGACTAAATGATCAGATATGCCTGAGCGATGGGTTCCCGCTGTGGATGTGTCCGTTACAACTGCTGTGCTGTGGTAGAGACTGGAGGTCTGTTGCTTACTGATTGATATCAAGGATAAGACTGCGCACAGAACAGTGCATTTGGGAACGAAGACCTTGAGCGCCGTTGCACGCCGTAGACGAACCACCTCGGCAAGGCGAGCCTGGACACTAAAGGTATTCGGAATTCCGCCTTCGCGGTGCGAATGCGGTCGTCACCCTCGCAGCATTTCCTAGAGACCGTGATGGCTGCGATATTGCCTTCCTCACATAGAGGACGCCTACGAACTTGTACCGAGGACGATGCAGCAGGTGAGAGTCCTCCCTTGCCAATCCATGCCCTTTACCCTCGCGTACGTACCAAACTACATGCATCTCCTGAAACGCAATGTCAGCAGGTCAACCAGGCATATAGCACCGCAACCACACATGCCTTGTCATGCGCTGAAGATCCGAGCACAGGGGCATCGGCCCGAGAGACGGCCTCCAACTTGAGGACGCCCTGAATCAGCATGTTCCGGATCCGGAGTCGTCAATACGGCGGAAGTCGCAGAGCGAATATTGTTGCAACAAAGCACTGAATAGGCGTTCAGAGGCAATACCCAGGCCACCGTACTATGGCAGTGGCAATTACCTTCAGCTATGCCTTTACGCAGTACTTAGTAGTGCGGCGCGCTGGACTCAGCCACAGATGAGATCGGGCTGGCCCAAGCTACTGTGCGTAGGCCAAAGAGCATTGTCGACGGGTCCGAGCAATCTACTTTGTCCTGGCCACCTTTGTGCTCCGTTGCTATGGGCAGGCTTAGTTACCATATGACGCAGCGGAACCACAGACCAAAGCGCATCAGCTTCCAAAAATGGTAATCAAGGTGGCGGGCGCAACCTGAAGAGTTGGCCACAGGGCCACAATGCATCGGGCATAAAAGCCATGTAGTTGTTCAAGACGACGCTTGAACTTGGATCTTTTTGCCCTCCTTTGTCACCCTGTGTCACTCTCTCGCCTCCCATGCCCAGGATCAGGATCACAGACAGATACTACGAACTCCGGGCCGAGGGTTACCCACAGGCTGACGACAATGGCACACCAATCAACTCCATGCCGGAGTCGAACCTCGAGCCTGAAGGCCACAGAGCACCAGCAAGATACGAGAGGGCAGTAAGTGCAGAGCCAGAGGATCACCAAGAGGGAACGTCAGCTGTTGTCGGTCAGGGATCATTCGACGACTCGGACCCAGAGGACCTTGAACACGACCGTGCAATGGAAGAAGAGCGCCAGAGATATCGTGCTAAAAGGAGCTACTACAGGGCAGCAAGCGTGGAGCCCGAAGAGCGCAGCGATGCGACGAGCTACGAACGAGCTGCAAGTCTGGAACCTGATTACTTTCGATTCTCAGCGATGCAAGACGTGTTGGACATACCCGAGCCAGCCGTCCTGCGCCTCCCCCACCGAAGCACCGAGTGCAGAACTATATCAACGTCAAAGACAAACGGAAGATCCCTCCCTCGATCTATAATGAAGTCATGAAGGCTCGCGCGGAGAAAACGCAGGAAGGAGGATTACTCAACGTCTGGCTGAATCGGATGAAATCAACTTCGACTCAATTACGACGCTCCTACAAGGTCTGAAGCAGAGAGAAATCTCAGTAGTCGGGCGATCTACCAATATCAAAGGTGACTGATTTAACGGATGCTTCGCTGCAGAGAAACTGATTACGAACTCTGCAGAGTTTGACGAGCGTAAGCATGATGCCACAATGCTTGACGTGTCCATCTTGTACAAGACGACGAAGTCGGGCCTTGTTGACGAACAGCTTCTGCTGTCGATAGAGTATGTACTAAACGAGAAGTGAGCGGTTTGCCACACTGAATCACGGGTTGTGACTGACCTCACGGTGTTCTGAAGCCCAGATGTCAGCGATCGCACCTACCTGCGCAACACGGTCCTGGAGCGCTTCGTGAGTCTGCCCTTAGACTTCCACCTTCAAGGGTCACTAACTGGACGCTAGTTAGTGGATATGGGTGCGAACATGGTCAACCGTAGTCGGTCAGGCGTCCATTTTACATATGTAACCCCGATCTTCTCGGCAACGTCGACCTAATGGTAGAACAGGCTTTGAGGCTAGTTACGTTGTTTGCAGAGAAACACGACATCACCGCTGAACGCCTGGTGATCTCGGTGAGTCGAACCTTGAACACATCCGCTATACATCGATACAATGATGCGTCTCGTAGATTCCGGCCACTGAATGCGGCATGCGCGCTGCGAAACGCCTCCGGAACGAGCATGGTATACGCACTAATTTGACTCTTGTAGCTAGTTTGATGCACGCTGCAGCTTGTCTGGAAACCGGGACGAACATTCTCAGTATCAACCATATGAAGGTAAGTGATGCGACACCGTACATTCGACGCTGAAGTTCATCTGTTTCCAGTGGTTCCAAGGACTGAATCCTGGGCGGCCAAGACTGAATCTACCGCAAGCATGCCGACGCGTCCCGATAGCAGCTGGAGAGATGTCTGGGCTTTGGGAGCGACACCTGGAGAAATCAATGCGGTCTGTGCATTACTCAAACTGCGCAACTCGTCGACCAAGCTGCTCATTTCCAACATGCGTCAGGTGAATTATCTCCTTCTATGCAGTGACAACTTCACTGACAATTCGTCAGTTGGATGACTTAGCGTTCCTACCTGATATCCACGGCGTCATCCTGGACACCGCCGACGCCGAGAAAGCAAACGAACTGCGATTGCCCTTCCATGCCAAGTCCGACGAGGAGGCAGCTGCCAAGGCGCAAGCAGTACTATATCCTTCCTCTTACCTATTGGAAGACGGAGCCTTGCTTGCAAGCTTACCCCAGTCGGAGAAAGATCAACATGTGTCGCGATTCGTGATGAGCAACGAAGCAGAACACTTGATAGCGTATCAGCGCAAGCTGGAAGAGAAGATCGAGGAAGCACTGGCGTACCGCATCTGGATTCGGGATTTGGACCCTCAGGAGCTGGAGGCGATGTATCGCGACGACGTCTTGAAGGAAGATCGACGTCAGCAAAGGGAAGAATATTTCAGAAAGGTGGAACTGCCAGAAAAAATCGAGGAGCCCAGTCCTCGGACAAATCACGTCGGGTATCGAATGGCGAAGACGACCTGGGATTTGGCTTTCAAAGCTTAGATCTGGGGACGAAGATTCTGAGGTCGGGGAGCGTTCGGACGAATCGTAGCATGTTTCCATGTATACGGCAATTCACCAACGCACCTAGGCGAGCGGGTCGGCCAGTCATCCAAAGCGAGCCGGAAGGCTCTCTAGATCTTGGATTGTGGGAAGGAACAGGATTCTTTGCGATCATCGGCGGGGGTATTGCGTCGTAGGCTGTATATTAATGTGTGAAGTGTTGTAGTCTATCATATTTCGGTTCAATCGCTATGCAGATGACACGTCTCGTTTCGACCCTTCTCCGACAGCTTGCGAGAATTATGCGGAATATCATCGAAGACGGTCAGCTGTGCCATACGAGCGAGATAGATGTCTTCACAGGAGAGTCGTCGAGCAGCGGTCCTAACTGGGAAACCATGAGTGGACGACACCGTCGGGACGTACGGTGGGTATATGGCCGGACTGAAAAGCCGTTGCTCGTTAGCACCGAGTCGTGGAGATCTAGGCGATAAGATCGCTTGCCATGCGTATTCCGCCTGTTCGAAACCTGCACGGTTAGCGTGTTTCGGGAGTCTGGTTCCCAACAACGGCGGCGACGGTGTCCCGCGGAATCACCACTCGGATGGGCTCCTGAGATGGCATGGGATTGGTGGCGAGCGGAGCGCTGTGACTCTCGCCCCTGGACATCTGGACGGCAAACGGCGCGACTAGCGCAATATGGACGTGCTTCCAAACGAAGCAGTTAGCTCTCAAGGATCTTGGGTACGGGCCCATCACACCTGGAAAACCCTTCCTGCGCTCTAGTCTGGAATTGCACACATCTACGAGTTGGACTGAGACTGGACTGAGAACGCACAGTTGTTTCTGGAGACGCGCAATTTCACGACTGACAACACCCTGTCATTTCTGTGCAACCGGACAGCGAGAAAAATCCGTCCTTAAAGCCGACTCCGACGCCACAGAAGAGAGGCTGCATTCCGAGACGAATGTCGCGAGCCTGATAGCTGATTTTCAGTCGTCCGATTCGCTGCCTGTGCGTCTGTTGGTCTTCGTACATTGTACCCGAGTGGCTTGCTGAAATTGGACCGTGCCTGCACCCGACGAGTTTCACCCAACCATCGGCCACAAGACGTCAGGCAGTGAAGCTAGTGAAGGACTGAGTGCATACGTACTTACCGAAAGTGGATTCGAGGGGCAATGGATCGTTGACGAGCATGCGGCGACGACGTTCCGGAGCATGCGTGCCCAATTTGTGCTCGCCGTTGTGTACCAAAGAAGTATAAACGATACATAAGCCCTTCGCTGGCGGGTGCTCACTTCGAAGGCGATGCATTGAATTGAGGCGCTAGGCCTACGTGTCCTGACCGGCGGCTAGTTCTTGCCTGCGATTCTGACAACCCGCGCTGCCGACCTGACTTACGAGAAGATTTTCGACGACATCGAGGAACTGAATTTGCGCCCTGAGGCATCGTCCATCGTGCCAGTGGTCAAAGAGTGAAGTCCCCAAGCAGTCCCCACTTGTCCTACTTGGCGCTAAGATCACGTGCCAGTAGCAAAGCGCGTCGTAGCGTGTTTTATTCGATTTTGCCAGTATCGTACCCGCTTGATCCTAGCCACGATGCCACAACTACCACTTCGTCTCCGGAAAGCCCAAGTGGCGAAAGCAGGAATCCCGAAATCTTTGGACTCCCAGCCTACAGCAAATCCGGTGCCCGTTGATCACAGACCTGCGCCCTTCTTTCCCCTCGCCCGATACGCCTCGGTGACCGGTGTGCACGCCTGCCTGCTAGGTTTCACTGCGCTGTATCTGCCGCGTTCTTCGCTGTCATTCTTTACCTCCTTCAGTCTGTTTGAAACTGGTCCGGAAAGCACGGCTCCGAGTGACGAGGCACATTCGGACGCTCTCTACCTGCTGACCAGCAGTCCCGCCAGAACGGTCGCATGGTTGTGTGCGGGGGCATTGCTCCTGCAACCTTGGTGGGCCGCGTGGATCGAGTCGTGGTCGCGCGAAGCGAGCCTGCAACTCAAAGGTGACAGGGACGCGGCAGAAGTGAGCAAAGACAAGCTGGAGCGGAGTATATTCAATAGCCAGCGAGTCGCGGTCAGTGTTCCGCGTAAGCACACGGACATGTAACTGACGATGCCCCGCGCCGCGGATTGTGCAGGCTGCTACACACGCGTCGCTGACGACATTTGCTGCGTCCCTGGCGTTTTATATGGTCATCGTGCTCTTCGGGGCACCCCTCGCGAGGTAGGTACGCAGGGTCGTCTTCTCGTCCCTTCGTCTATCTGAATCCCGTGTGAAGTCATGCTCTGCACACCTACTTCCTCGCGCTGCTTCTCGCGCTACTCATAGCGTGGACGCCTGCCTACATCCTGGGTGCACCCACGCTCGGATCGAGCACCGAAGCATTAGTGATTAGGTTGACTTGGATCCGGCTCTTCGCAGAGCTCAGGTGCGTTAGTCTGTCAGCCCTGCGCTGCATTGACTGCTCGCGTATCCTTTCTCACCGTAACCTCATGATCATCTGCCACACAGACCGAGGACACCTATCGAGCGGGCCATGGTCTACCCAGCCATTGGCGCTGTATTCGGATGCTGGTCCGGGGCCATACCGATAGGTCTTGACTGGGAGCGGCCATGGCAGGTCGGTTGCTTTCAAAGACTCACTGTGTTGCTCTCACTTATGAGGTCCGGCAGGCATGGCCATTGACCCCGGCGTATGGCGCCGTCGTGGGTTACATCGTTGGCTCGTTAGGCGCGTTCCTGGTGAGCGCGGTGGTGTGGCTCGCGGAGACGGACGTCCTGGCGCCCCCATTCACCTCAGCGAAGCCACCAAAGAATCGGCGTCGATAGCCCATTCAATGCGCATCCTCTAATCAGACTACGCCAGTTGTATCGTGTGGCTACACGCTCGATTGAGAGCTCTGCTCCAACATAGAACAACCTATGAGAACCCACTCTTCCCTCACATGGGACGCTCTCTATCCGTGCCACGTTCTATACACGCATCGCGTCTATTCCGGTATGCTTCGCCCATCTATCCGCGGGTTCGACTACACCGCACGTCATGAGATCGCAGCACGCAGGTCGCCGATTGAGTTCGTCAAATAGGTCGGAATCGTCGTCGACGCGCTGGGGCCGACGACTTCCGACTCGTGCGTGATGCCTGGACACGCAAAGTCAATGCTGGGCGAACACGAGGCGTTTTGCAGCCGACGCACCTGTCAGCACGAGCAGCGTGGAGAGCCCTCCTCGGTTGCCAAACTCGATGTCCGTGTTGAGCCGATCTCCCACCATGATCGCCCGCGCGGGGTCAAACTGGTACCTGCGCCCTCATCAGCACACAGTCGATCGTCGCGGGTCAGTCGAGTTTGGCGACGCACTTCGCCTTGATACAGTCCATCATCGTCTCCGCCGGCTTCCCGATGCTCAGCGGCTCCCGCCCGAGTGCGCAGGCGAGCGGCGCGCTGATCGAGCCCGCGCCGGGGAGGAGGCCGTCCGCGCTCGGGTACGTGCTGTCGATGTTCGTCGCGAGGAAGACGCAGCCGGGGTTGCGGCGGAGGTAGGTGAACGCCTTGGAGAGCTTCGTGTAGTTGATGAGGTGTCGAGCCCGCAGAGGACGGCGCCCACGTCGGGGTCGGGCTGGAAGTCCTTCAGATGGAACTCGGCGAGCGTGTTGTCCGCGGGGTCCTGTGCGGTGTGGGTGCGAGCGAACGGGGAGCGGGAAGCGCGGGACTGACCGTGCCGCCGAGGTGCTGGATGCCCTCTTCCTCGAGCTCTTCCTCAAGGCCCTTCATCCCGACGACGTAGACCTTCTTGTGCTTCGGCATCTTCATCACCGTAGAGATGTAGACGGCGGACGCATACGCTGAGCCAAAGACCTCATCCTAGAACAGGGTGCATGTGTGAGATCGCGCTGAGAGAGGCGACGGCCGGGAGCACTCACGACGCGAGCCTCTAACCCAAGCTGGTCGAACTTCTTCTTGTAGCTCTTGCGCGACTTGGTCGCGTTGTTGGTGACGAATAGGATGCGCTTCTTATGTGTGCGCAGGAGGTTGAGCACCTCGGGGACGCCTTCGACCAGGCGATCGCCCTGCCACAGCACGCCGTCGCAGTCGAACAGCCAAGTGTCATACTTGTCGAGCAAACTCGTGTAGTCAGGAGATGAGGACAGTCTCTTCGCCATTGTGCGTGCAGTGAAGCTCAAAGGTCTTATTTAAGAGGTTGAAGCCGGCGAAGGCAAGGGTGCATGTCCGCATCGTCTCTGAATAAGTCGCTCACACGCGGAACGCCGGTCCCAATCGATTACCGCGGTCCTTAGAGTTGGGTCGCATCTCCAGACTGAGCTAAAGCGGACTATATGGTCGGGCGGCAGGGCACAGTGGTAGTCGACACTGACTGAAGGAGCAAAGTGGGTGTACCATGCATACTGACCTCATCGGTCAATGTTTTCTTGGTCATGGGTAGGCAGTATACATGTATGCATAGCGCAGGAAACGAGAAGGGCATCATCACAACACGCGCGGAGGGCGTCCCAGCCATCCGTACAAGGGCCCCGCGGCACCGCACACCAGAGCAGAGGAGGGAGAGGGCGCTCTACTTCCTGCCCGGCTTCTGTTGCGACTTGATCACCTTCTTGACGATCTTTGCCTCCTCGACGAGGAATGCCCGGAGGATGCTGGTGAAGAAGAGCTTAGCGATGGTTGCATCCGCATAGGGTGAGGGCGTACCGCTGCCTGACGCAGTCACCGCATCTCGAGCCACCGTATGCCCTGCGCACGGTCTTCTTCGTCTTCGATACTGTCGCGTACTGGCGAGGCCGGAGAGCAATAATCTATGGAACCAGCTTCGTGTTAGTCTCCAGGCAAGAACTCCCGTACACGAATCGGCGGACGTACACCCGGCAGCGCGATGCCACAGTCTCCGCACTTGGGGGCGGTCGCAAGCTTTTTAATGTGGTGGTAGACAAGCTTGCCACCTGGCGTCTTCACAACCCGTCGGCGGTTGGAGGTGGTGTTGTAAGGGTTGCGCTTGCGGAGCGTGACGCGTTGGGCCATTGTGAATGCTGCAGGAACTCAATGTTAGCGGATTGTCCTATCACTCACACGGCCCTTTCAAAGCATTCTGCAGCCCCTTCCCCTCCTGTGCCTCGTCCCGTTGCTCTCTGCCACTACACAGCCCAGCTCTTCCCCATCCCCTCGAACCGACCCCATCAACTCCGAGGAATTACTCACATTATTGACCGGAGAGAAGAGGTACGCCTGCAAACAGTGTTTCAGCACCTCAGACACCTGTACTAACATAAATTGAGCTATACTCACCTTGTTCTTGAACTTGCTGAGGCCCGCGCCGATGTCAGTACTGAATGAGGAAAGCGCTAGTGTGTGTGGCTTGCAACTGTACAGTACGCGGAGACTGCCGAGAGCCCATGGGGAGCGTGGGAACCGCCTTCTCCCGATGTCTGCACAACGCGCCTCATCGTTTTGGGTCCGTTCAACTCGCGTTCGCATTCGTCCGGTACTCTGCTTGCTCTATCCCCGGTGATTGGCATCTGGTTTCTCAAGGCCCTTTTGGAGGGGACCGTCTGGCTGGATAGATTCGCCCAGTTGCACCTGACATGTCCGTCCGACGTCCGGTGGCTCGACAGTGGTCCATTCGCAAATCAAACTGCGCAGAAGCTTCATGTCGCCGTTAGGAGCTGTGCACCGACTCGGACACCTCTGTCATACTCCCCGATCAGATGTGGCCAGGCGTGGTCAGAATCTCTACGTTCGCTACAGCAGTGCTTCGGCTTCTCAACATGGCACGGCGACTTTTGTTCTGGATTGAAACACCGATTCCTCCGTCTGGCTTCTAGGATGTCTTCCCGCGAGTCACTTCTGGTCCAGAATATCGACGGTGGGTCCGAGTGCGACCCTTTGGAATCATTGTCGTTACCCTGTGGCTCGTGGTGGTCGGTGTTCAGCGACCTGCTTCCTCTTCTTACAGCTCATGCCTGGATCACAACTGACTGCAGCTTTGTTGTCTTGCCTACTATTTGCTGTCATCGATTCCGGAGGTTCGTCCCGATACTGCTAGCCTCTCACTATCACCGCTCCGCCGCGATGTCTGGCGTATGTCTAGTCGCAGCAGGTTTTCGTCACGGCGATCTCGGACTACACTGGTTGCTTCTAGGCTTGCAGCGCTTCGAAGCTTCCTCGTCACGGTGTACTTGCGATTGGTCTGGTGCGAATATGATCGTTTGTCATCCTGTCCAACTCACCAACTCATGTGAGCTGTTGTCTTCCTGTAGATCTTTATTTTTGTACACTCGACAATACGATGTCTTGCATCTAACTTATGATGCACATGAATCTGTATCAGAGGTGCAGCTTTGGCGACATGACGGATAGCAGTGGTCTCCTTTGCTGACTGACATTGAGCCAAAGAATAAAACTACTATAAGGTGACTTCATGATCGGGCAGGCCGTGTAGTTGCCCTGAGACAAGATATTTACACTGACCCAACACTGACCAGTGCACATCGTCGTACGTGTGCCTTTGTCGAGACTTTGGCCATGGGGACCTCGGGGATGGACAGCGGTGGCGCCGGGCTGTTGTGCAGCACAATAGTGAAGACGTGCCATTTAGAGCCTGACAGTGATCTTCTGCCTGAATCCGCCTTGTCTTTGACCATTATTGTCCGTCTACTGCGGCAAGGCTGTGTGCACGCCCTCCCGCCAACGACCACCTCGACCAACCCGCCGCAGTCACACCTTGCCTCGTTCTCTCATCCTCACCGCATCCCGCCCGCATCTGTACCGCCTCCAGCGCCTCAAACTCAGCGCGTACCTACCGAGAGACATAACGTGTTTGGGCCAGTCAGCAGGTAGCTGCCCTATTTATCGCCACCCGAAGCCTGGTCCACGATGAACACACGACCACCCCCGACACAAGGTACCCCGCCTCCTCAGCGTGCTTGCAGGCAGCCGTACTGAGAGCCTCCTGTCTCCGTGACCACATCTGTATCTGTTTCGACATAGGGCCATCCATGGTTCTCCGGCGAGCGTACGCCTATAACTTGCGGCCAGTAGTGGGCGCTGGTGAGTGACGTTATCCTGAATCGAAGTGGGCGGTCATAAACGCGTTGGTGGTGGCACAGTCGCGCTCTTCTGCGCAGTATGGTCGTTACTCGAGTGAGTCGCTCTGCTTTTTGTACCGTGAGCGTTCGTTGAACACACTCCTACTCAGATGCGTAAGTCCTCTCTCCCGTACTGCATGCGCAGGTCGTCACGCAGCTCGCCATAGATTGGGGCGTTCCGCAGCGTGACAACAGACAAGCATTGTAAGTCTACTCACCTTACTACTCCACCGCGCATTCAAAGCATACTCTCTGCAGATGAGGCGAATAAAATCGCGACTTTTCTGTCGTGCTTGGAATCATATATGCTGTTGTTACCGGAATCGAAGCGTTTGGTGTCATGACTGCTATTTCGGTGAGCACGGCAAGCCGCCTGCACACCTCCCGACGCTGATATATCCGCAACCAGCAACGGCCGTGGATGGCACGGATATACGCCTTGCTGTCTGTCGGCTCTGCGCTTGCGGTCGTGGCGGCTGCTTTCATGCGGGTCATTGCACACTTCACCCTCAAGGTGAGTATATGCGGTCGTAGTCAGCTCACATTCGCTCACGGAAGTCTGCTACCAGAACGACTTGATCAACGAATGCACACAGATCGTGACAGGCGATACTCTTGTCTACGTAGGCTCATCGCGTATCTTTCTGCCGGAGCCTGCGGCTGACCTATGTACGACAGGAATATGGTTTCTGGGGCCCATCGTTCGAAACCAAGCTCGACGGTCCCGAGGCCGCAAGCTGTGAGTAGGCCTCAGGTGCACTTCACGCGCATCGCTCACATGTCTCTTAGACTGCAATAACCTCTGGCATCACGACTCCGCCGTTGAGATCATCTCGCTCATCATCGAGATGCGTACGTTCAACTCCCTTCTACACTACCCTCTCCACCACTAATACATGCGCCGCACGCAGTACTCGCTGCGTTCTTCAGCTCGCTCTCCTTCGCGTACTACCACCAGCTTCTCGACCCCACCAGCGCCGCCAACGTCACCCGTCGCCCAGGGCCCGGACCCGCGCCCGCCCCCCAGCGCGACTTCGACGACGGCCCCGGAGCGGGTGCGGACTACCCCTCGCACTACAACCCTCCGTACCTCGGGTACGACGCGCCGCCCGCCATCCCGCCGTACGACGAGACCGATGGTCCGAAGGGGGACCTGCCCTATGGCGGCGCGAAGCCGCCGATGTACAGCGAGGACGACATCGCGACGTATGGCGGATACGACGCCGGCGCGAAGACGGCGGATCCGTTCGCGGATTTTGACACGGGGAAGCCGAGGAGGGAGGCGACGGGCGAGCGGGGCGAGTTCGTCTGAGCTCTGCGCGAGGATGCGGTTCGCTGTTCGTGCCTTGCGTTCCATTCCGTTTCGCGGTCTCCCCTTCTCGATTGTGTTCTGCTCTCACGCCCGCCATGCCCTGCTTTTTGATGACTCGATCACGTCGGACAGTTTCATGCCGTAGTTTAGGTTCTGCGTTTGCTTGCTTGCTTGAGCGCTTTGTCGCCGCTGGACTTTTACAGTAGTGTACTACTATCTGAATGTGCGTACTACCTCCACACCGTTGGCGTTATGAGAGATGTGGTGATTAGTACCGTGAGTGTGTGGCTCTCGTTAGGCTCTCACCACCGTTAACACCCAGGCACAGCCTAGTAGCGTCTTCTGGGAAGTTCCTCATGATCAGTTCGGGATGTCCTTCGCCTGGATCGAAGCCTGCAGTGTGAACATCCATGGCCAAGTATAGCTCTTGTCATACTATGCCAGTGGCCAACCTACCAGTGCAGGGAAGGCGTGTGTGTCCCGTCTGTCGAACAGCGTCTGGGCAGATTAAGACGGACATGTGGGTTGGCACTGGCACTGGCACGGGAAGGACACTTCAGAGTGTTCGAGCTCGACGAGACTGCTGGTCTGTGGCTTGCATCCGCCAGTCGCGGAGGTGGACCGTCCTGGCAGTCTAGTTGCTCAGACTCCATCTCGCAGGATTGATATCTTCACATACAAGGGGTGATCACCAAAATAATGCTACTTCGGCTCGCTTGGCATCCGAGTTGCGTGCACAGCACCCTGGTATACATGCACACAGGAATAGATAGCTCTAGTCTGGAGTCGCATCCAAGGATTCAAATACTTTAGGGAAACCCTTTGGCTATCAACGTTTTGACGCTACACCGGCGGCAGGCACCCAGGCGGTATATGTTAGTCGAGCTTCCGCCACAAACGTATGTAGCTCCCAGAGTTGTCAGATCCTCCTCTTTTGGCATTTCTGCGCTCTCGAACCCAGGCTGATCATCGAGACCATCATGATCACTGAACGTGGACGAAGTGTGATCAAAGAACAAACGCGACGGCGCCAATCGCAGCCAGGCCTGCGAAGGCGTTGGCAGAGTGCGAGGTCGCACCGCTGGCAGACGTGGTAGCTGCGGGACTGGATTCGACGTCAGACATGGCGTGAGGGTTGCGACGTGCTTCGAGAATGCACTTACGCGGAGGACGAGGCAGAGTGCGTGCCGCTAGCAGTAGTAGACGTTGCACGAGTGCTGGCGGAGCCTGACGCACTGCCAGAAGCAGATGCACTGCCCGTGGCAGAGGCAGCAAGGGAGCCGGTCAGACTCAACGACACGCCCTAGTCGAGAATGATATGATCAGCTGAGCCCGAGTCTGTCTAACATCCCGTGGACGTACGGCTTGCGCGCACAGAGCCTCAGCGGCTTGTAGCGCGCTGGACAGGTCGCCAGCAGAGCAGCTACTCTGGACGCAGGACTCGACGCTGTCGACGAAGGCGGAGCTGGAGCAAAGACATTTCTCATCGCTGGAGCTGCAACCGCTGGTGTTTGCGCTTCCGATGCAAGTCTCTGCGCAGGCTGGAGAAGGGGACGGATGACTCGTCAGCGGTCTGCAGCGCAGCAACGGACAAGTTGGAAGCGGAGACGTACTGGGGAGGCTTTGGCGCTCGAGGAGGTTGGTTGCGGACGTGGTGGCGAGGGTCGTGGCAAGCACGGCGAGGGCGAAGGCGAAGCGCATCTTGAAGTTTGGACTTGAGAGCAGGATCGTGCAAGACACCGTCAGTGGTGCAGTGAGGATACCTCGTTCTCCGAGTGTGACTGGCGACGAACAGTAGAGTGGAGTATGCGAGCTGCTTAAGTAGATATCCTTCTCTGTGTGGCCAGAGCGCAGTCACGAGAGAGATGGACTCTGGGACCCTTCATCATGATAGACCGATTTGATGGGTTCCTGCAACTATCACTCTGTGGCGAACGTTCAGAGGCTAGAGCTACGTAGCGCTTTTGTGGGCGTTTGACCTAAAGTTGAGCAGCATCTCCAGCCAGCCTGGGCCGCCAGCGTCCACTAAACACGGTGATCAGTACATGTGAGTCCATTCACTACAACTGACCTACCAACCCTGCAGCACGACTCTGGTCCAATGCATGCTGGACGCCGTGAAGCAGCTCAAAGTTCCGGTGATTCCTCGCTATCATTTGCTCGCGTCTCGCGCATCATGATCATCATGTGATCCTGACCTGCGGTGGTTCGTATGCCCGACGCTTCTTCTGTGGCTCCTCACTGCCCCTCCGTTCTCGACAGATAGCTCAAGTATCATCTGTCAATTACATGCATGGCAAAAGAATCCGAATTCGAACCGCGTGTACAGCATATATACATAGTACCCACAAGAATAAGTTAACAGCGCTGGCCCGACGATTCAAATGTGTTAGGGAAATCCGTTGCTCACACAGTTAGACCGGCGACGCTGCTTGGCACCACTATACTCCAGAACCCACACTGACCACCTAAGACTAATCAGGGAACGCGGTTGAAGGGCGGTCGAAGAGCAAGCACAACGGCGCCAATCGCGGCGAGGCCTGCGAAGGTGTTGGCGGCGTGCGAGGTCGCCCCGCTGGCAGAAAATGGTGTAGATGCAGGACTGGATCGAACGTTAGATATGATACGAGGTTCCGACGTGCTTTGAGAATGCACTCACGGGTATGATAAGGTGCCGCTACCCGTCGCGGAGGGCACACTCGGGCCGCTGCTGGCGTAGGCAGACGTGCCGGCGAGCGCTGACATAGCCGTACATGCAGACGCATTGGACACATCGGAGGAGGCAGGTATACTGGCGGAGATGGATACTGTGACGCTGGAAGATGTCGACACACTGGAAGACACAGTAGCTGACGTAGATGCGCTCAACGATACACCCTAGCGGGGAACGACAACTCAGCTACTTCTGAGCCTGACCAACGTCTTACAAGCTTACTACTTTCGCACAAAAAGCCTCGAAGTACTCTTGCGCATTAGCCAAGTCGCTAGCTGAGCAACTGCTCTGGACGCAAGATTTGATGTTGTCGACGAAGGCGGAGCTGGAGCAAAGACACTCATCGTCGCTGGCGCTGCAGCCGCTGGTGTTTGCGCCTTCGATGCAAGCCTCTGCGCAAGCTGAGATGGAGCGGCCGTCAGCAATCTAAAGGTTGGTAGTTGGTGGGAAGTGAGGACGTACAGGGGAGATGTTGGCGCTTCAAGAAGAGGTTGGTGGCGACCGTGGTGGTAAGTGTCGCGGCAAACACAGCGAGCGCGAATGCGAAGCGCATTCTGATTCCTGAACACACTGCTAGAAGCGCGGTTGTGCCAGCCACCGTCAAGTATACAAGGAGAGTGTGTCGGTCTCGTGTGAGCGGTGAAGAGTAGAATACATATGCAAGGTACTGTGTGCGGCCAGAGCGCGGTTACGAATGAGATGGGATAGGACAGTCTATCATGATACTTAGACTATTTCAGGTTCGCTCACATATCGCTCGGGGAATGAACATCTAGACATAATGCTTCTGCGGACGTCGACGTCCAGTTCGCCAACGTGAAGCGCCACCGCGGCGGCCAGCCCTCAGACTGGCAAGCATCCATGAACGGAACACGGTGACCCAGCTTTCATGTGAATTGAGCTTAAGTCACTACTCACAACTGTGCAGTGCGACTATCATGTAGTCTAGTGCATGATACACGCTGCGGTAGAACTCAAACTGAGGACACGGTGATTCATCGACATCCTTACCTCGAATATGGATGATCAGATTTAAAGCCTGCGGTAGTTCGAATGCTAGAAGATGCGGGCGGCCGGTTACTGCATCTCAATACTTAACAGATGATTGAAGTACAGTACGATCTGCCACAATCCGTCGTAAGTGGATTCAGCTGTACGATGTACCATTACAAGTCGGACGCACCCATCTTCCCGATGCGAACTCTCGCATCTCGCCCCAGTGATACAGTATGTATTTGATACGTCAATGCGCATAGCCATAATATTGATGCCAAGTAATGACAAGAAGACGTGAAGAAGAGTAGCAGCAAGAGAGCAGCAAGAGGGCAGTCACTGCAGGTCGCCGAGTCCGAAGAACGGGATGACCGCGTGAACTGCACGTGATCGTGCGGTGGTCAACCGTGGCTGAGTCAGGCTGACGCGTCCTCCTCCTCGAGCGCGACAACCTGAGCCGTACATACTCCGGAATTACCTCCTCCTCCTCCTCCTCCGGTGTGTATATTTGGCCCCGACAGTCAACACAGCTAAGTGTCTATTCGTTACGCTTTAGGATCAGATGATGGTGCTGTTACTTTTGATCAGGCATTGTTACAATCCACGTCGAACGACCTGAGGCCCGAGTGCCGGCTGCATGCACGACATCGTCTGGAAACTGGGCTGAGATCGCATTCCGGTCGGGCAATTTGTCTGCACCACGTGTGCACAGTGATGCCATGAACTGCAGCGTTATACATCCATTCGTCCAGGTCAGAGCTGGCTTATTGCGACCGGTGGTACGCATTAATATTAATGCTGTGATTTACATGTTCTAGTATCTCTATAATCGCTAACCCGCACGCAGGCTTCTTGGATTAATGTTAATCAAGTCTTGCTTGCACAATGAAGGAGGGGATGGTTATGTTCATGCCCTGTAGGATAGGGTCAGCTGGGTGAGCGGTCGATGCAATTCCTGCGGCACTTACGACACTGTCGCAAGCATCCCCCGCAATCTTCGTATATTCGTCTGCGTCCTCCGCAGAACAGTTGGCACCGATACATTCGTAGAGGCTTTCCGCGAACGTTAGGTCGCTGCAGAGACATGTCGCGTCTGGGATGTGCATGCTGCAGTTGCCATAATTCGCCCCTTCCCAGCAGGTGGCTGCGCAAGCTGGTCATTGCGCTTTCAATGCATGCGCTCCAGTACTGGTAAGCAGACTCTCACTTGGTATAGTTTCCATCAAAAGGTCCCTGATCCCGCACAGTGGTGTAAACCCATGACCGTGGCGGTGGTCTTGGAACCCATTGCAGAGCAGGAACCACGCTGAGCAAGTGATAAAGACGGCGGCCGCGTGCATCATTGTAAGAAGCATGGTCTCGATGGTGTAGATGACTGTGTACGGGTAATAGGCTGGAGGCGTGAGGTTTGAGAGATGTTCGGGATTATGTGTAAGGTAGTCAATAGAGGTGAGACAGTCCGATGCCTTCCCTGGTGGAACAATTCGGCTTATGTATGCGCCCGCAGCTTGGAAGTTAACTGGGGCAAGAAGGCTGAGCAGCTCCTCGATACATGGATACGACTCGATTTCGAGAACCCTTGACACCAACGACACAGCAACAGCACAACCATCGGAGCCGTAAGTTTATCAACCCCGCGCCGGCTCTCCCGCCACTGGCCCCTGGATACAACATATGATGACGACTCGCAGTGTCGCTTCATTCGAATTTCCCCGCCCCCATGTCCTCCACTCATCATCTGTGTCATCGCCTACCAGATCCTTCTCTAAAGTGACCTTTGCAACTCATACCTCCCCGAGCGTACACACTGCAATTCCTCGAAAGGCTCTCGGCGCACTGCCGCATTCAATGTCAAAGCCACTGGTCCGAACTGTACGTGGTAGCAGGTGAGTGTCCTAGTCACTGGCAGTGACATTGATCGACAGCAGACTCATCATCTTGCACTGTCGTGACTCGGAGGTGACGGTGAGTGTGGTTCGCACAGCAGACGTGTCCGTGCCCGAGGCACAGCCGAGATGGGAGGTAGACCACATTGATTGAGTCCACGCGCGTGTGCAGACGACTTTGAAAAGCGAAGTTCCCAGGTCGGAGGTGAATATGGTGAGCGCATTCTCCCGTGGACAAGAAAACATCAATGATGGACAGTCACCTGCAGTCTGTACAATCTAAACGACGGGCGTGCTCCGTGCAGTTGGTGGTTCCGATATGACTCTCACAGCGGCGCGGGCCAATTGGGTATACGAGCAAGCCCAGTATCTCATTGGTCATTCATAGATCCAATGAAATACTGCAAGAGCGCAACAGCCAATGCAACGGACCAATGGTGGCGCTTCTGTATCGCTCCTTCCATCATCGGTCAAAATGATGAACCTTGTGCGCTTTGTTGTTGACTTACACACCATCGCTATGGCGAGCCGTCGAAGTCCACAGCACACAGTGCGCGCTGTACGACTACTGTTCGATCGATGTCTAGGATTGGCCACTCGGTGCTCCGGATGAACACCGCCGAGCCGCTTCAAGATGCATACGACTGAGCCCAGTGCAATAGGTGATGTCCATACTCATACATGCGTCGGACGTACTGCTTTTCAGATGACTATCTACAGGCCCTTGAAATCGTCGAACTTGCCGTTGCAAGTCTCGTACTCGAAGTCATACTCTGGCTGGAAGTCCCAGTACAAGACCTCGGGGTCGCTGGACGTCTTGAAGTTGTACGCAGCCTCCTCTGGCGAGATCTCGGCGACCTTTTCACCCCTCGCCTCGCCGACCATGACCTTAAGCTCGATGTCGCAGCTGCGCTCCATCAGGCCGAAGAGGTAGCAGGCCTCGTCGACCGTCTTTCCGACGGTCAGGAGACCATGGTTCATGAGGATTGCGCCCTTGGTCGTCTCGCCGAGGGCCGCCGCGATCCTGCGTCCCTCGTCGTCTGCCATGACGATGCCGCCGTAGTTGGCGTAGACGGCTTGTGCGTCATAGAGGGTGCACATGTCCTGCGTGAGCATACGCAGAGGACGTTGGAATGTGGAGAACGCGCGCGCCGCGGTGGTATGGCAGTGACAGGCGGCATGCACGTCCGGGCGAGCCTGGTGGACCGCGCGGTGGATGAAGAACCCCGCTTCGTTGATAGGTCGCTTGCGGTTACCTCCGACCACTTTTCCCGTCTCCATGTCCACAAGGACCATGTCCGAGGCCTTGAGAAGTCCGTAGTGGACACCGAGGGGTTCATCCAGATGGCGCCCGGAAGCTCGGGGTCTCGGACGGAGATGTGTCCAGCCAAGCCCTCGGTGAAGCCGGCGCGCGCCCAGTACCGGAAGGCGGCGGCCAGATGAGCGGTCAGGTAGGCACGCTCCTCATGGATCGAATTGAATGTCGGGGGTCCTAAACGAAGATTCCGAGGCGAGTCAGACAGGCCTGCGTTATACGAAGAGGTGCGGATCCACATACGAGCAAGGGCAATATCGCCATGGCAGATCGCCTCTCGAGGCGATTGCTGGTCGGGGTCTGCAGTCGTCTTAGGGACGACATTGCGGGAGACATGCTTGGGATCACCGCTTCGGGTGCCCTTGAGCTGTATAGCGATAGACTCGGGGATGGTCTGAGTCTGAGTCTCGACGGCAGAGGCAGGTGGCGACATGTCGATTGAGCGGGCGATGTGTTACTGGCACGATATCATCCAAGTACCCTGAGGAGCATATTTATACGCAGTTGGGGTTATTTGAAGACGACCTATGACCCGACGGAGCACCGCAGCTCCTCAGGTGTAGAGTCATATGCGGTGCAGGGTTCCTTGAGATAGCGAATGACTTCGTCTGCAATACAGGTTCGAAGTGTTATCTGCCACGGTGGCTTCGCAAGTCGCGCATCGAGGCATGGAAGACGGGATACAGCTCTTCCTCAACCTCGCAAGGTGGCGCTGATTGGCTCGGCTTCCACTCCGCGATACTTACCTAGGGTGAGCTCTATGACCCCGCAAACCATCCCCACGCCAATCGGTGGCATACTGCCGCATGCGTGGGTACTCTGAAGGCTAGAGCAGGATGTAGCGCTAAGATTTCCAGTCCCAGGTGTTCACTTTTCAGCCTACTGCATAACTCCAACATGATGGAGCGGGGCTTCTTCATCATGACGCGTTGCACATGGTACAAGCGAATACATCGTAAGTTATAAGTACATCCATGGAGATACTACAGCTCATGATTCATATTGAGCATCTCAGTCAAGATAACGGTTGACGTCCGTAACCAGTCAGGCTCATATGACCAACTCGAAGACCCCTTCGGACTTCTTCTGCATTCCTGTCAAGCGTTGCCGCGCGGCAAGGGCTGGATTCTCCCCGGAAGGCGAGTACGGACGACATTCTTCGTTGGAAGTGTCTCAGACTCACAGATGATGCAGAACAAATATCCTACTCACCACGGTTGCACATATCTTGTCTGCAAGCTGTTCGTAGTCTGCAGCATCGTACCCAGAACAAGTACTCTCGATGCAAGACGCTACGCTTTCCGCGAACGCGGGCTCATTACAGAGGCAGCCTGCGTCTGATTTGGGGTTACATCGCCCATATTCCGCGATGTCCCAACATGCACGAGGACAATCTGAGTACTACATTGGTGAATGCCCTCGTTCCTTTCGAGATGTGATCGCACCTGATATATTTGTGCGCAGTTCGAAGCATTCGGGTACAGGCATCGTCATGGCACTTGCAGTTCGTAAGAGCAGGCCAACTGTGAATGCGAAGCGCATTGGATGGTATGCACGGCGCTGGCGTACTATTGGAATCGCGGAATAGGCAAAGTGAGTGGCGGTCCCGGGCCTTGGAATTTTACTTCGGTTCGTTCTGCTCAGCACTATTTATTCTGCCACAACCTGACTTCAGACCCGCATGAAGGACGCTGAGAAAGTGGAACCGTGTTGATGAAGTTGTCACCGTTCTATCCTCTCTCCCACAGTGCGTACTTCACCTGTAGAGGTATCACGGTACTCGGGCACAGCAATGTGTACATTGTAACAGACCTAAGTATTTGCGATTCTATCTAGCCTCGAGATGGCAAGTGCTCCCTTACGTTACCTCGACGCTGTACATGCCGGTCAGTAGCCGCTCGACTTTTACCTAGGGACCATACTACTTTTGTGTATGCTAGGAGTTAGAGTTGCGTTGATGATACTTTCGATGTCAGGTACATCATTCACCTCGGTCCTGTGCTCGACCCCGTATTGTCCCGTTCTTGGGCTATGGTGCGCAGAGAAAGGGCTCCGGCAGTGTGATTGCCATGTATCCAGTAGTACATGTACCCACGATGAAATGACACGGTTTTGATAGCTTCTGTATAAACAGCATAATCTGAACTCAGGCTCATAACGCGCCTCGGTTTATCCGCGAAGTGATCATGGTTTTCGACTAGCCTAGTAACTGTCACTTACATGGGTTAGCCTGTCCACTGGTGCGAGGCTAAGACGTCCAGAGAGCTCCCTTGATATCTACTCAGACTAATAGGTAATGCGGGGGTATGTAGCAGGAAGTCACATACTGTAATTATTACCGCTGTGCTTCAGTAGAACGACTCGTATTCGGAACTGCGAGTAAGGGACCGTGATCACGTGAACGCGCTAGTGCCATTGCGCGAGCGGAGGATCAGGGGACGGCGACGAGGTTTGCCATGTGCTGAACTTGGCATGAACGTTTGAACACTGAGCTCATCTCACTACTAGTAGTTCTATCACGGTTGCGCTTTGCTCAGGCTCTCATCCTAGGCCGCCTTCGAATGAACTTCGCTTCCAGAATTGAGTACGTGCGTCTTCTCTCCCATGACGACTGCCATACCAATCCAGGCACGAGCAGTAGGGTCTCTAAACGTATGTATAACTTGTATGCCCTCTGTACCAGCGCATCTTCCCAGTGGGAACAATACAACGTCATATGGCATGTAATGAGAATTTTGCACCGAAGATTGTCTAAAGCTCCCTCGTTTGGAGACGGCGGGCTACTACGACGTTCTGTTCAGACAGACAAGGCAGATGATTCCATGACAGTACGTTCTTCGTCAGTACGTTCAATCGCATCTCAGCTTCAACTCACTGCTGTAGCGCAAAGCTTGTCGGCGAGGTCTTGGTACTCTGCGATGTCACCGTTACCGCAAGTGCTCTCGATGCAGTTGTATAGGCTTTCGACAAACGCTGGTTCGTTGCACAGGCAGCTTGCGTCGGACTCGATGCTGCAATTCCCGTAGTCGGCGGCGTTCCAGCAAGACTGGGGGCATTCTGCACAGGCAACCATGAGTCGTTGCCGAAAGATCCGCGAGTTGCACGTACCGGTGATGTTCTGCCTCAAATTAAAGCACGCAGGTGTGCCAGCATAGACCACGTTGAAGAGGCCGGCGATAGTAAAAAAGGTGAGTGCCGCGTGCATTTCTGTGGACTTTCGTAGAGTGACAGGAATTATACTTCAGCGCAGCTGGCGAGATGCTGTGGTCGGCCTGACATCGTTGACTTTATACATCCATAGGGATGGCCTGCAAAAGGGGTTGAGCATACCGGCCATGTCGTCTTGGGCCCTCAACCTCCATTCCGGTGCCCGGTGCAATGGCTCTGAGTCTCGTGGGTAGTCGGTCGACGTGTTGTTGAGTCTTCTCCGTTTCCTGCTGGCTGTGTACTACTCCATCGCCTCCTATCCGTGCTTCGGATGCAAAATCTGCGTCAAGAATGGACCATGTACAATGGAGCATGTCATTGTCCGTCTCATCCGTTGCAGTTCTATGACTCAACCCGGCGATATCGTTGGCTCCGGTGCTTGAGCGCAGGCGCTAGGAGACGGATGAGATGCCTGCAACCTCGAACACAAGCAGACGTGTACAGCTACTGACGATAATTTCACTTCACTTCAGCGATTTTCCTATTGTCCGCGCGCACGCCACGGTGTACATGTCGCATCCTACAGAGACAGCAGTCACATGTAGGTCAGACGGCAAGTGTGTCTCTCAAAAGTTTGCGCCGATACGTTTATTACCAGGTATATTTGGCTAATATTATATTCTCTGCAGACACCCATGAGATGCCAAAGCACCGACTGATCACAGCATAATTGCAGGGGTACTGGGTGATATCAGCCCGAACAATTGCCGCTGGCGAAGCGCATCTCGTGCTTTCTGGACCAAGGATGGTGTTGAAGAGTACCTTTGAAACAATACACGCATTGATGTCTCCTCGCCATTCTGGTCAGCATGTAATGCCCCCTTAGGTCCGCAAATACGCTTCTTGTTCGTGAAAATTCTCACGTTTTGAAATAGCTTCTACTAATATGTGCCTTGGTACCCATGTCGACCCCATTACGAGAGGCCGTTGTACGAGCTATCAGGCCCAGCCAGTCTAACAGTCAACGCCAATGTCACGAAAAGCGACAGGCATGCCGGCTTTCTCAAGTATGTCTGATCAGTCTCATGCTTGCCACTTGTCGTCCAGAACGTTAATTGATAGTCAGTATGGCTGTGCACGTTCCGTCGCTCGGCTTCCTTCGCGACGCATGATAACTCGCGACAAGTCGTGCAACCACTGCAAAGCCCATCTCTAGCTTCAAGGTACTCGGTGGGGTAGGGAATTGCGGCATGGACATCAATGTTCCGTCTGTAGTAACTGATCATAATGTACTGACACCCGCAATAGTGAACCAAAGCGAAACATCTATTACAGCTCCCGTTCCAACAATCGTCTCTCTAGGGTAACATTCTGGATTGCACCCTCGGTAAGTGTGTGCGAAGAGGTTGAGTGTCCCAACTTACTGCAGTCGCACAGAGCTGGTCCGCGAGTACCGCATACTGAGCAATCTCGCTAGGAGTGCATGTACTTTTAATGCATAAAGAGACACTCTCCACGAATACCGGCTCGTTGCATAAGCAGGTCGAGTTGGATGCCGGGGTGCAACTGCCGTAGTCAGCGACTTCCCAACATCCTTGAGGACATCCTGCAACGATGGTGAGCCCAATGGAAACGGGCGACAGAGATGTCTCGAACCTGCGATCTGGGCGCGTAATATCTCACACCCTGCTTTAACTGGAGTGAACGAGGACAGGAACGCCGCAGTGGTGGCAGCGAGGGCGAGGGCGGCCCGCATGACTGGCTGGATCTGAGCTGTGAGGGGCCTAATGGATGAACTCGGTAAGTGTTGCGCGTCACACTGGTAGTGTCTGTTTGTATCTTATATGCTGTGGGTCGCAGATGAATTACATGATGAACAGTGACGCCGGCCTTCACGATGTTATAGCTCGGTATGCTCCAGCCTTAAAAAGCCTTCAAGCCATCAACTCGAACACCTCCGTTAAACTGGGTGTCGCCGCCCACATGAACACGCCAACAGCGGATGATTGAAGGTGCCATGAATAGCGTCGTAACCAAGAGTCCCTGGAACGGATTTTGTCGATCATGCCGCCGAGCACAGCCTCTGGGCCACCGAAAATCAGAGATGCTTGCCACAGAGGCTGTGAATCATATACACGATCGTGGATGACCGCCCCTACGGCCAACACTGGATCCGGTGGGCAGCGTGGCACAAAATTGGTCGACGTATGCACACAGTGCGATCTCATCCGTGTCATACCATGTCCAGTCTTGGAGCAGCACGTAGAAGTGCCGATGATGCATCCAAGAATACAATTGACGTGGCAATAGATGGGATCAAAAATACTGGCAGTGAGTTACAAGGGCTCGTTCTATGCATAAAGACAGAGTGGACATTGACTGGACACATTCCCCGTTCCCGTTCCCAGGTTACATCAAACAGTGCTGAAACGTCTCGCCTCCATATCATTGACTACGGTGGTATGGCTCGCCGTGTCTTTGTCACGCCCTGAGAAAATCAGTCAGCCATTGCTGACACTGTTGTCTGATACAGGATACGAGATGCATGGAAGAGGCCACATACCACCTCAGCGCAGATGTCGTCAGCGATTCGCGCATAGGCAATGATGTCCCCTGTACTGCATGTATTCTCGATGCAAGACGCCACACTCTCCGCGAATATGGGTTCGTTGCACAGGCAGTTCGCATCTGGATTAGCGGAGTCGCACGCGCCATAAACCGCGACGTCCCAGCATGCTGACGCGCATACTGTTCCGCAACGTTCGCAAAACGATGAGGTCAGTTCCCGCAGCACAGGAATGGTCAGGCTGCGTTTTTCTTACCGGGTCTTTGCTGAAGCTGGTTTTTGCAACCACCCCAGACGGTTGGGAACAAAATGAAGGCAAATACGGCGGCAATTGGTAGATGCATGGCGCGAAGTATTGCTTGATCTCCGAACTGTTACTGTCTGGAGGGCGCAACGTACGTAGACTAGTCGAGCTCTTTTATCTATCTTGTTCCAATTCATTTGGCTGGCGTGACGCTCACATCCGTTCGATACCGGCGAATCGGTCTCTTGACCTGCACGTTGTCCTCGGACAGGCATACAGGTCGCGCCAGCTAGCAATCATGGATGAGCAATGCCGTACCGTTCGACGTGCGTGGGTATTGAATATTGAATGGCAGAAGTCGGACGGACACATCTTTCGATACCCAGCACCTTCTATCTACTCATCAGATCGCATACAGGATGACATTTACTAATCAAAGGCAGCCTCGCGCTGGTATGTCGTCTTAGGATGTCTATACTCCCTTCATAACACTGAATCCTCCGGAGCGTCTCCAGCACGAGAACACATGAAATCCCGCCGGTGTGACCGGGAGGAAGCTTGCGAGCCTGAACTTTAGGGCCAGGCGCACGAACCTGGCTATCTCTTGACGGTCTTGTGTCGAGAACCAACACAGTTGTCATGTGTCCCTTGTGCTACATCCAGATGATCGGCAGGGGCACAACGAGTGGTGAGTCCGACGCCGCGACGGCTTAGAGATCGCGTTCCTGCAACCAGACGCCAACGTCGACGGATGTACGTGGACCGTCGTCGTCGGCGACTCATACGCAAATGTCCAAAGTTCAACGTGCGTCCCACGTTTGTGCCCGCTTCTCTGTCTCGCACGAAGATCTATGACTGCCATGTTGCGCTTGTGCCTTACAGTGACTTTGATCAGTCTTGAAGCTTGTTGACTGGCTACGAGCTTTAATAGTTCCTGGTATTTAGTCCACATCGGCGTGTCGTGTCGATATGATCGGCGCTGACGCCACAAAGGAACACCGCTATGGGCCACAGTTGTGTAGCTCATTCGGGACGGGTGGTATGCTAACTGCATACGAGTTACAATAGGCGGCTCTCCCATCTGTCAGAAGGACCCGACGCGGGGTTATACCGAGGCCAGCGCCGCTGTATCAGACAGGACGTCCAGCAGCGATGATGAACTGTACTAAATCAATGGGCACTGGCATGATTTGCCTTGCGTTGACCTTTCACTCGAGTCGGAGTCATGGTATATCGATTTCTCTCAAGCACCGACCGTGACCGTGTCATATTGCAATTTTCGTGTCGCCGCATTTGCATCATCACCGGTGAGCAAGAGGATTCGAGCTCAAGCCTGAGAGAAGCACTGGACTTTGTCCCGACCTTCCCTTGCGATTGACGACTCACGCTCGGGTGCGGCTTTGTGCCCGTCTGCCCCGCACCAGTCCATCAAATCGTGCATACAAGCCGCGGGCAAATCTCAAACGAAGCCATGCGTTTACAAAGACAGCGACAGAATTGCACGGATGATGACTGGCTTCAAAGATTCATTGGTCAGAGTGGAGGACCAGGGGGCAGCCTGTGGAAGACTCGAAGCTTTGAACGTCGGACGTCAGACCGGAAATCTGACTTGCAGGCCCGGCCCTCGCGATCTCGGACCAGAGTGGCATTGCAAGGCCTCTACGCACGAGGCCAAACCTCTACGGCATCAACATACGAAGTCAGATCAGATACTATGTCCTGGCGCTCTCCGACTCGGAGTCTACAGCGAAGTGCTAAGCTCGCGCAACCAAGCGGCGTGTGAGCTGTACGTCCTGCCAACGCAAGCACATCATAGTGAGTGAGAAGCTACCACACAGTTCTCGAAGCACTTACCACAGTCGCGCAGATCTCGTCCGCGAGCTGCTGGTACTCCGTGACGTCGCTCGCAGAGCAGGTGTTCTCGACGCAAGTGGACACGCTCTCGACGAAGGCGGGCTCGTTGCAAAGGCAGTTAGCATCGGAGTCGGAGTTGCAGCTGCCGTAGTCGGCGGCATCCCAACAGGATTGGGGACAGGCTAGTAGCGAGACATGCATGAGCACGAATGGTATGCAGTAATGTCGCGCAGCGAAATACTTACTGGCGATGAGTGTGCGCATCTGGTGGCACGTGCCTGCGTAGGTACTGGTGGCCAGTGCCGCCGCCAACAAAGCAAGGGCGGTTACAACGCGCATTATGATATGTTCAAGTCGGTATTGCTGGGGGCCAATGCAAGGATCTCGAGGACTCAGAGGACTGCGATGCCGACAAGGTAGCCTGCACACTTTATATCGTTCAACGATGTTCAGAACGGAACTGCCGACCGACACGAGTGATCTTCTACGCATTGGAGACGATCACATTCTTTCGCAGGATCTCTGCCCTCGAGAGTGCGAGACACTGAAAGAGGATTTGAACCTCCAATGCTGAAGCGCTGACCAGCAAAGAGATGGATAGCTCAGACAGTAAGTTATCAGGCCAGGAACAGATCCCGTACGCTCGATCCGCTTCATAATTAGCCGGTCCGGGCGTGGCCAAGGAGGTGAGGATACCTCGAAACGTGGTATATTGAATAGAGATGTCAACGCACACGTTTGAACCATGTCTCTGGCGGGAGGAGAGTGCGCACCAGAAACTGGGTCGCCCTATCGGTAGCATGCAACGAGGGTACAAGGGCGCCACGAAGGTCACGTCAAATAGAGGTCAACCGTTGGACACTGGCATGTGTGGGTGCACTTGCGGCGCGACCAGCCTCGCCCTCGCCGAGCATATCTACTTGCTCGTTGTATCCCGCGGTCGATGTTCGGATCGAACGCATGCCTGTCAACGTCTGGCCCGAAAGACGTGGTACCTCGCTGCTCAGTAATGCTGTGCAGATTTATATTGCCCATGCGGCGTACCTCGAACTTCCATTCTCCGAGTATGTTTGCCACTTGCGGTGGCACAAACCTGCCGCTGTAGTGGCGGCTGTCTGACAGATTATCACCGCGAGCTGTGTCTGCATATTCAAACATTCACAGTTGTATGAGGTGTACCAGGCTACTCAGACGACCGACACCACGATCTTCCCTCCAAGTCATGATATGCTGACAAGGAATGCTGAACGTTGAACGTCAACTTGCCTTGATGACATCCGAGTCTGCGGCTTTGGATGGGGACGCTAGTTGTGGGTCATCAGTTCTTTGGGGTGCCGTTGCGACACTGCGGTGTTGCCGGCGTTTCTCGGGTTCAAGTCAAAGTCCAAGAGCACTACCATGAGTAGATCGGAAGAGAACTCCTCCTCCTCTCTGTTATTTGGCAGGCAAGCTAGCGCTAAATATTGACGATCAGTGTCACCACTTGCCTTTCTTGGATAAACTGTGCTGCATGCCCGGCCGCGCGCTGCTTATTAGGACTTCCACGACACTCATCTTCGACACTCATCCTGGTCGCCATGCGTCGTCAACTGCTGCCCATCGAATGTATCGCACTGATCCTCGAAGAACTGCGGGGTGACTGCGGAACATTGCTGGATTGCGCATTGACGCACAGCACATGGTACCCTCACGCCAAACGGGTCTTGTACAAGACGATCCACATTGGAACTAGCAAGGCATATTCTACCTTCCTACACATGATCTCAGACGTCCACCTGCGGGATCTCCTCGGGCGCATGGAAGAGCTGAGATTCAGCGGATTCGCAAACGACCCCGCAGCTGACAAATTTAGAACTCTCAGCCGAGTGCTGGTAGCACTTGCTGACTTGCCCCTCCCTAGGCTCCGTCACCTCGCCTTTCGCAGTGCTACGCCACCCTCGACGATCCCGATCCACGTTTTCCCCGACTCGTTTTTCAAGACATTCTCGTCGGTACGGTGCTTGGTCCTGGAGGCCCCGAATTTGCGATTTGTAGGGCTGCATAGATTGAGGCATCTCGTTAGCGCATTACCGCAGCTTGAAGACTTCCGCATATTGGCCGTACGGCTCCTCATCTTAAATCCTGTGAACCCTGTCCCAAGCATTGCGACGGCGCATCCGCAGCCGAGACTGCAGCAGCTGCACCTAGACTTCTACCGTGGATGGGCATCGCGGAACAGACCAGACCCCGAAACTACATTGCTTTACTGGCTGGCACTCACGCCGACTGTGCAAGAACGAGCCCTGCGTGTTCTGCGCCTTGGAACAGTGACCTCCTTACTTAATGAGCCGGAAATCTACTACGACGCATTAGCCCATATACTGGAATGTCTGGGTCCGTCGCTCACCGACCTTCAGGTGTCTATTGACCCTAAGGGTGCGTCGCCGAGTCTAGTAGCACACAGAGATGCTCATGCCTTCTCATTGCAGGGACCAGCGTGCTGTCGCACAACCCCAACCTTGAGTCGCTCACCTTGAGGTTCGATCCGGGCATGGACGTCCCACCACTTCCTGCGCTAGCAAACACCGGGTCCCCTCTCATGACAGCACTTGCCACTCTCAATGCACCGCGTCTTCGCAAGTTTCGATTGGACCTATGCGTCGTCGCGACGCCCGCCTTTGAGGGCCTCGACCCGCAGCGACAGAACGACGACATGATTCGACACATGGAGATGGACTGGAAACCTCTCGACGAGTTGGCTGCACGAAAGCAGTGGGAGGCGACAATCAATGTGGAATACTTGCTCTGCGGCAACTGGAAGCCCAAGCCAGAGAAGGTCCACGTTGAACGGTACCACCTTCAGGTTGAAGAAGAGCTGAAGAAGCTGGCGTGGCATGCCCGTGGCACGCTGAGACTCGGATACACGATAGTGGCAAAGTAGAGCCCCACTTCTCTGTCTCTATTTATACGAGGTCGGCGTAGAGTTTGGTGGAACAGCGAGATGGCGAATAATTTATGTGAGTCCCTATGTTGCCGCGACTGCGCTTTGCGTCGGTAGACTGACGACGTTGTTCGCACAGTGGTTGAGCCCCGGCCTCGCCGCTCCTTCTCCGCCCGTCCGATTATCAGACTTCACTTCGAGGGACTCGCCCTCAACGTCATTCATATTCTCGCCAGTAACCGCCTTCAAAAGTATCGGAGCACCATTCAACTTCATACAGTCGATCTGCCACGATCCACTCAGGAATCCCCCTTCCGAACCGTAGCAGGCGCCAGGGACCACTCACCGGTCGGCAGTCTGCATTCACGCCAACACAGTCTGACCTATCTAGGGTTGTGCGCAGGGTTCCTCTCGGTACGCAGTCCACTCCTAACCGGAGGCTCGGAGCGTACATGGGGACCACGCGCTGCTCTCGTCTCTCCTGCTCACCGCTTTGCCACGCTCGAAGGCACCGGACGGCCCACTCATTACTCTGGACGCTTTGGATCGCCCCCCCCTCCCGGGTTCCCGTCATGATCATGATCCTGGAACTGTACGTGGATCACGCAGCCCGACAAGCCTCTCATCGTCGGGGTATTCCCGCCCCCCAGTGGGGAATGGAATGCCACTGCATGACAGCTGCAGAGGACGCCGCGCAACCCGAGTCACTCGCATGCCAACTCCCGCCGAACAGTCTCGTCGTCTCCATAACCTGATACCAGACGACACCTGCCCGCCATACCGGTAACATCGCGACGACAGTGGCGCCGCCGCAGATGGATGGAGGGTTGATTTCTCGCGCTCGCGAGTCCGATTTGTCGAGCGAGACGCCAGGCGCTTCGTCTGAACCCGACGAAAGGGGCGGTATCCTTGCGCACTCCGGCCATGACCATTCAGTATGGCTGTCGTCCCAGTCCGATCGCCTGGCGCCGCGGACCTGCGTTGTGGCCTCGGCGGACCCGTGCACCATCCGTGTACAGCAGCGTCCGAGTCCATACGCGCGCACAAAGCGCTCGTAGCGTCGGAATCGCCGCTGGGGGATGTCGACGGCTGTTCTCCATTCGTTGTGCTTCCGGGCCGTCCCTGGAGCTGTCCTTACTATGTACACCCTTCGACACCGTCGCAGCTCACTCCTCATCTGACGACGGCCGCCCTTCGCCTCATGAGCGGTTCCCGACCCTATCGGCTTTTCCTCGAATCCTGTACTAAGTTACTTCCCGCGACCGAGTCTCCGGTTCCCCTCTCCCACCAGCACGCCCCCGGTCTCAAACTCCTCCCCGAGACCCAAGTCGACATCACGCATGGATGCGGTGTGGAGGGTCGACCACCAGTGGACCCTGAGACCAGAACGCGATGGTAGTCATTATCAGCGGTTGGATTTGAGGTGTACGACCCCTGCCTGCGCGGGCCGGCTGGGGTCTTTCTCTTCCTGTTATGTTCTCCTGATCGACTTTTCTTTTCCTGCTTCCGTATGTCAGTCATTTATATTTGGAGCTTCGCAAGGCCTTGTCTTCTCGTTGCATCCCTACCGACAATCTGTTGTACTCATACGTATGAAACCGCTCGGTCGCGAGGAAACTCGTCGTCAACGCGCCACTACTTCTGTCTTACACTTATGTACGTCTTCCCCGCTCATGTCGTCGTGACCCATGGCACGCTGAGTAGCGCAGACGATAGATACACCTATGCATCCTCACGCTAGCTGAACCGGTATAGTAATGCAGATGTCCAATTTTCTTGTTGTACGTAGGATCGCTGCCTAAGAAAAACCTACATGGTACCACTACACACCACCTCACTATGCTGCGAGACGCACTAAGGGCTGCCTGCTCCCTGCACCTGAGGAAAATCGTAAGGTGCATTTTGAACGCCCATTCCGCAACACCAATTTTGTCTGGCGAAAGCAGAGGGTATGTTCCCGTCCTCCATTTGGGGTTAAGAGATTTTAGTGTGCTCAAGATGTTTTCTCATGCAAACGCGTTTGCATTACCAGCTCAGCGTCAGTACCCCGAATTTCACCCAGACAGCGAACCAACAATACACAGATGTGTTCCAAACCCTCGAACGATATACATGCGAATAGCAAATGAGGAATAAGATACTGGTGCACAGCAAGTATGCAAAGGTCGACGCCGACACTCGCCGCGGCGCGACACGACCTGCGTCGTGCGCGTCTCGAATGTGGGGTGCCCGGCCTCGATGGAGGTATGAATGCGAAGGATATCTAGGGTCCCTGCGGACGATAACGCCGTATCGCGCGCGGTGAGGTGCACTTAGAATGCGAAAGCGACGGCGCCGACGGCGGCAAGCCCTGCGAGGGCATTCACGCCGTGGGTGCGGGCGCCGCTGCTGGCGGAGGTTGCAGAGGCTCTGCATGGGTGTGTGAGAAGAAGCGCTGAGAAGCGGTAGGGGAAGATACTCACGAGCTGGCGGCAGAGCTCGTGCTGCTGCTGGGTGAGGTGGAGGTCGCAGAGGCGCCGCTCGAGGCCAGAGTAACGCCCTGGAGGACAAGAAAGTGCGAGGTGAGACGAGAGGATCGGAGAGGGTCGAGGAGGACGTACGACGGCGAGACAGAGCTGCTGGGCGTCAGACTCCGCGGTGGTCAGGTCGTTGCCGGTGCAAGAGCTTTGGATGCAGGACGTGACGCTGTTCACGAAGGCGGAGGATTTACAGAGGCAGGTGTCGTCGGACGAGTTGCAGCCGTCGAAGTTCGCGTCTGCCAGGCAGGACTCTGCGCAGCCTGTTGTGCAGACAGATCCGGTCAGAGATCGACGATCACGTCTGTCACGGATGCGGGTACGTACTGGGGAACTGGCGGCGGAGAAGGTAGGACGCCTGGACAGTGGCGAGGGCACTGAGGAGGGTGGTGAGGGCGAGAGCGCAGCGCATGGTGTCTGGTGGTCTGGCGGAGGATAACGAACGGCGGGGAGGTCGAGGGTGCGCAACAGCGAGTGCGGGGTACAGAGACGCGAGCGTTCAGAACGTTCAGAGGCTGAGGCGAGTTGCTATGGACGCCATACGGTGCCCCCAGGTTTTATATGGGGAGAGCCAGTGGGACGGAATGCAGCGTGGGCAGGGAGACAAACAACTCGCCCAAACGATCAGTCGCGTCCGCTGCCGTTCCTGAGCGGATCGCCAACCCTCGCGTAATTCGGGTGTCCCTTGTCTCATTGTTCTGATGAGTCGTAGCTTTGTAGGTCCACAAACAACGCAGCCAAAGGCACATACGGGGAGAAAGCACGCGGACGGGAAAACAAAGGCTGGGCCGGACGAGGAGAATGAAAGGGAGGCCCATTGTCGGTCCTCCCCGTTCGCGCGCATTGTCCTCTCGCCACAACGCCTGCCAAATCGGGACGTCCCCAGACCTGTCCCACGTGCGCTCCAGCGCCTATCAGCGTCGGTCTGGCCCCAGCGAAGCATGCGCCGTTGAACTTGCTTTCAACCATTCATGTTGACAATGTTGCAACAGCGCAGTGTCCAGGATACAGCTGCAACCGGTTCAGGTTTATATGTCGGGCACCGCTATCAGTAAAAGTGCAATGGCCCAGAGAACGATATATAGGCATCTTGAGCATGTATTACAACTCCCGTGTCAGGGCTATCAGACTCGTACTGTAATGACCGGCTGAATAACCTTTACCGTCGAGTAGCATGGATCAAATTCGTTGTGTGCATATACTAAAGGAACGTAGTTTTGCAAGTTTGATTCGGAACAAGGCGGCACTGAACAATGCTCTGTAGTGCAATATCCAGCGCACTGATGGTTCAGTCAAGCACTTTGAGCTCGACGCGAGCTACCCACAAGCCAAGCAGACCAGTAGTACTCAGCGATATATGTAAATATTCACCTTCCGACGTAGAATCGCATTGTGTGCCCTCAGCGAAGCCGTCCCGAAGCCGTCAACAGGTTGTTGTACTGAGATCTCGGCCCGATGCATCCGTACTATATCGGGTCAGGATCTCGGCCACCCTAGGTAGTCGGTCACTCGAGTCTCATCCAATTACCACCTACTCTACAGCCATGAAATAAATTGTATCATGATTCTATACATTCCTTTACTGCCTGTACAAACTTTCAAGCCAATACACCAAGATTCGGGTGCAGGAAAAATCATCTTGTCCGATGATACCCATTTTTGGTAAGCAGTGGCTTGGGATCCCGAACCCCTCGCCCATGACTGGGTACCTCACTCGGATTCTGGCGCATTGCGGCCTGGAAAAAATCAGAATCATATACTTGAATATATCTTCAAGGATTACAGTCCATGCAGATGGGCCTCTTCAATGTAGTGAGCTATTTCCAAGGGTGTGGCCGACTTCCTAGTCTGTGTGGCTCACCCTACTCTCAACGAGAAATTTGTGTACTGAGCTCCACTCAATGATGCTGAATTTTTTCTATTATTTTTCTCGTATTCCTGAGGTGTTCTAGCATACCTCTGAACAAGGATCTAGGGCATTACGGCCCATACACAGTAAGGAGGGCTTGTCGAGTGCTAAGGTGGCCGAGATCCCTGCCCGATATAGTATGTGCGAGTGATCGTAAAACTGTACAGCTGGCTCAGCCACCCGAACCTTAATCTCCACGCCACCGCACACAAACACGGCCAAAGTGGCTGCACGCTGTTTGCGCCGAAGTCCACCGCCCGCTCACCGACACCGACATCCGCAAGACATGGTACGTCCTCGCCGTCCCCGATTGTGTGCTAGTCCTCATCGTCGTTGTCTGCGCAGGCCCCCTCCAAGACCTCCACGAAAAAGGTGCGTTCAGTCCCGACGAGCACTGGCGTATGCGTCTCGTCTAACCAGGTCTACGAACTCCTTCGCAGACTGGCAAGACGCGCTCGGCCCTCCAGGATGTTGTGACACGCGAGTACACCATCCACCTCCACAAGCGTGTTCACGGCCGCTCCTTCAAGAAGCGTGCCCCCTACGCCGTCAAGTCCGTCGTCGACTTCGCCCAGAAGGCGATGGGCACCACCGACGTCCGCATTGACCCCCGCCTCAACCAGCAGCTCTGGGAGCGCGGTATCAAGTCGCCACCGCACCGGATCCGCGTCAAGCTTGAGCGTGCGTACGACTTGTTGAGTGGGAATGCCAGGGTGTACTGACGGGTGGATGCGTATGCAGGCAAGCGGAATGACGAGGAGAATGCGAAGGAGAAGCTCTACACCTACGCGAGCTTCGTACCGGTAGAGTCCTTCAAGGTGCGTCGCTATGTCAATATCTATCCCCCCTCCCATCTAACTATGCTTCACTCCCAGGGTCTTGAGACAGTGGTTGTTGACGCCGAGTAAGCGCTGTATTCTATTCTCGGTGACCAGGAGAGAGGGGAGGGGGAGACTGGGTCAGTCGATTCCGGCCATTCAGGCCGTACACGCCATCATGCACTTTACGCACTACGCTGCACTCCATATTGCCCTATGCTATGTCGAGCATCAAAACGCACTTCCATTCTGTCTGCACCCGCGTGGTTTCATCCCGTCCATGCGTTCCATACCAGCAAGTCATGCAATCTATATGGAATACTGAGGGGTATGTACATTGATGCGCCGAGAGCCCAGACGGAGATACGATAACAACAGAACGATGATTACAAGGCAAGGACGTACACTAGGGGTACGGCAGGTTCATGCTCCTGTCGTGCCGAATCCTGACCGCCTCCGGGCCCATCGACTTGTTGGGCATGCGCTCCCAGATAGGGTCCACGTCAGGCCCGTCCAGATCGCCCGCGCCGTCCCAGCCCCAGCACCACACTAGCGGAAGAGCAATCAGCGTGAGCACCCTGTAATTGACGCTGGTATGCGCACCGTAATCAGGGCCAGGGACAAAGTCGAGCGGGATGTGCTCCTCGTCAGTGAAGAGCCGGTCATGGGGCCCGAACCATGCGCGGTCTTGCGGGTCCGTGCGCGGGTTGTCAGGCAGCCCGCCCAGCCGGACGTACCCTCGGATCGCAGTGAGGTTTCGGCGCGCGGGATGGATGATGTCGTATACGCGCTGCATTGACGAGTGTCAGCCACCAGAACGGAAGCAGCGCCACAAGGACACCAAGGAACAAGGGCACCCACTGAGTCGTACGCGAGCTTGACGCGCGGGACCATCAGGATCCTGCCGTAGCCCGCCTCCCAGTAGTCGTTGCAGATGAGACTGCACTCGCTCGCGGAGCACTCGCCGTCGACGATGCGCGCCATGCGAAAGCGGACGTGGGGCGGCGAGTAGAATGGCGCGGGGTCGAGCACTGCGATGCCGTTCCAGCAGGACTGCACCTGAATCGGGAGGTGCCGCTGGAAGCGGTCCTGCGACGCGCCATGGTGGAAAATCGCCTCGAAGGGCGCGTTCTCGAGCGCGGTCCCGTTGATGTCCCGCGCGACCCAGTTGTCGTAGAAGACGGGATGGCCCTACATGGGTGTCAGCCGTGGTAATGAATAAGAAGAGTAGGACTGACGAGCTCTTCGTGGTACATGTAGTCCGCCGCGCAGGTGATGCCAGCGTTGTTCCGGCGGCTCTGCCAGATGAGCTCGAGGAGGTCGTCTACGCAGGGCAGGACGTCGTTCATGAAGATGATGCTGTCGAAGTACTCGTTCTCCGCGTCACGCAGCTCGTGTAGCGGCACGAACGCGGCGTTGCGCACTTCCGCGAGGTACTCGATGCGGTGGTTGAACGCGCCGCGCGTGCGCATCGACGTGCGAATCGTCACGCGGAGGCCGACGGACCGGCAGAGCGAATCGAAGATACGCAGGAGCGCCTTCGTCTGGTCCGTCGAGCCGTTCTCGTAGATCGACACGTACACGTTGTTGTACCCGAGGATGGCCGCGACGCGGAAGAGCGTCGCAAACAGGTCCGGAATAATGTCGAAGGAGTTGTAGAGGTTGATCGCGAAGAAGTACTTGTGCGTGTCTGGCGTCAGGCCGCGGGGCGTCGGTGGGACGTAGTCGCCCTCCACGCCAGCACCGAGGCCGAGGCCGAGCGTGTCCAGCCAGGACGAACGGGTGGGTGACTCGTGCCCGATGAGCGACGCGTACCGTTCCTCCGCCTGCTCCTTGTACATAGGCTGCGCGTTCCGCGTGCATTCCCTGGTGTAGTGCGAAGAGAGCGAGGTGAGCAGCTCGAGCACCCGGAAGCGCTGCTCGAGCGTCGGAAGCGTGATCGGTTGTCGGGCGCGGGATGGGTGGTAGGCTGAGGGTGTACGGCTTCCTCGCCAGGATGCAGGTGCTGGCTATACCGTGGTCAGAGGCAGTTGTATAGGATTGATAGTTATGCCCATATCGTTAGGCCTCCACACCTTAAGTCGCGTACAGGCGGAGGATGTAAGCCTTGGTACACACCGGCCTTACATCCTTCGCGTATGTGCGGCTTCTTGAAGGTAGCCTAACGGGATAGAGACGACTCACATCTGATGTGAACAACCTTGCCACCATGAGCCCTACAAATACGCCAATAGAAAGTGACACCCAGGTGGGTAGACGTTTCAGAGGGTTGGTGCTCTTCGGCTGCATCTTCGACACCAAGTACCAGTCGATATGAGGATAGCGATGATGGGGTTGCTGCTCAAGCTATGCACAGAGCTACTGTTCGTGTGAGACGCGCTGTGAGGTGCCTTGTCTCGCCAGACAGACGTCGGCAATACCTTCAAACTTCGTACCTTAGAATATCGCTGTTTGACCCAGAGTGTTGCCAGGTATGCGCCGCGATGGTCTGTTGTCCTCGTTTCTCCACGTTCAGGACATACGCTACTTTTCGTACGAGGCCAAAGAGCGACGTGGAATTAGAGGGCAAGCGAGGAGAGGTGATGGGCGGAGGAAAGCAGGAGCCTGACAGTCACTTCCTGCAGCCACTAACGGTGGCTGATGGCCGTTCCTGTCTCCAGCGGTTCGCTGGCCCCTCCCCCTCCTTTGCTCCCGACCACCATCACCATCCTCTCTCCAAGCGGTTCGCTCTGGCAGCGTCGGCGCGCGTATATGCAGCGGCGCACAGGCAAAGGACACCCTCACATATCGCCCCCTGCACGCATGGGCTCCGACGAGAAGGCCCCTTCCCGCCTCAACCAGAAAAGCCTCGGTGTCACGAATCGAATATGGCTCATCCTCGCGCTCTTCGTCTTCCTGATTCTCTTCACTCGCTCCATTCTGCCGGGCGATAACCAGAATGCACGACACCGACTGCTGAGCGGTGACCTACGCCCGAAGAACTATCTGAATGTCTCTGACACAGGAGAGTCGCCGTTCGCGTTCTGTCCTGCATTCGGGCCTGGCGATGGGATCGCGTCGAAATACGACGTGGTTGCGCTTTCGAAGACCAGGTTCCACCTCGGAAGCGGCGCACGGATACAGCGCGTGGTCAACAAGGCACTCTCGGGTCTCCCAGTGACGATTAGTGTAGTTGGCGGGTCTGGTGAGTGTCTTTATGGAATATCATTCTTGACAGCTGTTGTAGAAGCGAAAGACTGCTTGTGCGCGGGGTGTGTGGAGCGGGGTTTTGGCTGGCGAGGCGGCCGATGGTTGGCGAAGTCACGCACTGGCCAGAGTCCACCGTTGCCGCTCAGAGATGTGTTCTCTAACTCGACTTTAACGTCAGTCTTGCTCACGGCGATCTTCGGCCCAAATCCCAGCTCCACACTTCCCCCGGTGCAGGCCGGCCTATCGTTTCTACAACGGCTGGAAACCTTCACTGCGCGAACACCACGAGTCTACGATTCACCCTGCCCTCTCGTTGCCTGTGCAAACGGGTGCTGTATGGTCACAGCTGGTGCGCCCTGACGCGTCCAATGAAGTCTTCTCCGTGGGCGTGAGTCGGTGGGACTGTTAATCATAGATGCTATATACCGCGCAATCTGAATGAGCGCGTCGAGTGCCCAGGAGTCACGGTCCTACCGCTGCTTTGCCCAGTCAAGTCACAGCACTCAAAGTTTCTTGCTATAGACACTATTCCCTGACTCTCGCTCCCCGTACCCGCTTCGTAGTATACTGATTATCTGCCCTATTCCTCAGTGTCTGCTTGCCATGGCGCCGGGAATGACCCACTGTCACCGCACTGCTACCCGTCAAGGTTCTTTAACTGGTGGAACACCGTATTCCCTCACCCTGCCTCCGAGCTCACGAACGGCGCGATGCGGCGCACCAACTCCGCCTACTTCGCTTTCTGCCATGCCCACCACATCCCCGACGTCGCGGACCTGGTCATTGTCGAGTTGGACGTAGCGGATGCAAAGTGAGCCATACGGGCCCCTTGCAAACGTGAATCGCTATTTAACGTGTTTCCAGCGATCAGGTAGCCATGAACGAATTCGAGCTGCTAATTCGCTCCATCCTTGTTCGGCCTGACCAGCCAGCTGTGCTCATCCTTGGGTACTTTAGCCCTCAGGTAGCACAGAGCAGTGGGTTCGGTAGCCCCGACCACTGGCACACGCTGGTTGCCCAGTTTTACGATGTCCCTCATGTCAGGTTGGTCTCCATCCTAGCGCTCCAGAACACCCCTAACGTTACGTCTTAGCGTGAAGCCACTGCTATACCCGAATTATATGTCAAACCCCTCGTCGGTCTACCAGTACTTTGTCGACCCGATCCTTGCGAGCCCACCCGGCCACGAGGTCATCGCCGACGTGCTCATCTCCTATTTCCAGTCGCAGATCTGCGCCGCCTGGGGCGCGCTCACAGGCACGTCGCACGAGCTGCTCCCCGCGCTCGCCACGCCCATCTTCGCGGACAACAACGCGAAACAGCCGACGGACGCGCGTGGGCTCTTCGGCGGCGTCGCGCAGCGCAAGGGTGCAGCGGGCGCGGTGCCGGAGGACGGTGAAGGCCGCGCCGCGGCGAACCCGAACCCTGTCATGAACCGCCTCGCGGAGGTCGCGGTGAAGGCGCCCTCGCTCCATGCCAACCTGCGCGTGCCGCCGATGCGCATTAACACCCGCCCCGCGGACCTCGTCGCGCACCCGTTCGTCGAGGTCGCGCCGTACTGCGTGTCCGCGAACGACCTGATCAACCCGCTCCCCCAGGCGCTCTTCGCAGGATCGGGCTGGGCGGCGTACCACCCTCGTGCCGGTTCGGCCGACCTCTCATCGCACGCGCACTATTTCTACTCGAGCCTGCCGACGAGTAAGTTGCGGGTGAGCATCCAGACAAGCGCGGGCGATGTCGGGGTGTACTACATCAAGGAGCCGACGGACACAATAGGCCTGGGCAGCGCGGTAGAGTGCTGGGTGGACGATAATTACGGCGGGGCGGTCGTGATAGAGAACGCGGCGCAGGTCGGCGAGCCGACACCAGCGTAAGTGGTCAGTCGCATGGCTTTAGTCTATCAGCTCACGCTGCTTGTAGATTGGAGATCATCGACCATTATGTCGAGAAGGGACCGCACTTCGTGGAGTGCCAGCTCATGGGCGAGGAAGACGATCGCAGCATTCCGCCATTCAGGATCATCGGTATATTCGCTACATAGTGGCTATTCGGGGGTCGTGTTGGGGCTCGTGCGTACTTATTGCTTGTGGGTCTAGGGTCTTGGATGCACTTGTACAAAAGATAGAACTATCCGTAATGATACGATGACACGCTCATTTGACCGTCTGCCAGTGCATATAGGGGGATGAATCAACAAATATCAATTGCAAAGTGAGTAAGATCTCAACATGTCTAGGTACTTGACTGCCCGCCCCACGTATTACAGACACAAGCTCGGCCGCGTGTAGCACTCAAAACCAAAAGTCGATCTGTAGTCGTATCTCAACGTATCATGTCGAGGTAGTGTTGCAGCCTAACATTATTCTCAATGACTTGAAATGCATGTTGCATGGGATCACGTACTAGACAGTCCCTGCTGGCTAACAACGTTCGTACAGGTATACATCGGCTCTGCTCCGGTATTCACGGTGATGTTGATATTGTCAAACACCATTCCAGGACACGGCGCAGCAGGGCTGCATGCTATATCAACAACTGCCAGTCCGTTAGCGACGCCGAATCGCAGGTGGGCGCCAAGGGGAGCACGTACTGGTACTGCCCGACGATGTACCCGTAAAGTTGTAGAAGCTCAGGTTCGCAAATTGCAGTGTTGATGGTGAGTCGCCTCTGAAAACACGTCAATCTCGCTCAACCCGCACGCTGACGACAGGTACATACGGGTGTGCTCCATTGGTTTGATAGACATGGATAGGCAGAGAGACGTTATACAACTCTGCGTTGCGGATGGTGACATTCGTGACAAGGCCTGCGTCAGCCGTGTGTCAGCTTTCTGCCTCACGATTCAGCAAACTTGCACCTACCTCCACCTCCACCGCCATTGTCGGGAGGGTGACCGATGGTTGTGCCGGACCAGGACTTGAAATAAACCTGACATGCGGCAATCAAGAAGCTGTTCGCTGTGACAAGCCGTGGCACGTACCGCACTGCCCATGCATCAGCAAAAGCGCCGGATAATGATCTCACAAGCGGTGAGTTATATTGCTCACCTCGTAAGATTTAGTATTCGCTCCCAAGATAACTGGAGAGAATTCGAAGACCCCAAGACGTGAGTTTGGATGTAAGCAGCTTTCCGGAATGTCATTGTAATTCGACAACTTACCAGAAGTGCGAAGACATGCGCAGAGAATTGGCCCTCTCAGCGCCGCTTTGAAGATGGGCACGGACAGCGAGAGAAGACACTTAATTCGTCTAGAGAGACTAGTATAAGGATTGTTGTGTACAGAGTCGGGCGAGGCGCGACTAGTTAACAGTGACTGAGGTCAGCATGTCAGCGCGATCTCCGAACTAAATTCAATTAGGAATTCGTTTCAGGCAGCGCGGCGTGTAACAGTCATGTACGACACCATTCCTGAGGTATCTGCCGACCTACCAAAATAGAATTTGGTCGGAAACGGGGACGTTGCAGGCACTTACGGGCCTACGCATATTGAAGGCTGTGCGAGTCCAGCCACTCAGGCGCGGCGAGACGACGCGCGCGACTCGAAGTCAAGCGCCCGCCCAAGTGAGATCATTGCTCATGCTGTAGCATGAGCACATCCTACGTGAGGGTCCTGAAAATTGACAGAGACACATTAGATACACAATATTAGACATCCGTCAGAATTCCATACCTTAGAGAATGATCCCCCATACACAATGCCCGCGCGCGTCGAGCCGTGCGGGCGGGCGCTTCGCAGCGCCGCGACGAGGCTCAGGCGCCCGCAGGCCGCGCGCAACTGTCGCAGTTGGCGAGCGAAGCCCAACCTCGGATTTCCGTGTCATCCTTTGTGTTGCGATACATCTCATCGGCTTGGTAAATATGCTCTGCATGTCAGATTGCATCGTGGGGATAATACACTTGTAAGTAGCACTGCAAATACAATCAGTACAAGTGACCTCGCGGCGGCGGTGAGACTCGGTGCTCGACTCGGACGCACCACTAGTAAGAGTACGGCGGGGAATCTTCTACACAGCCGGTCACTTCCAGGATACAAGAATGATAGCCTCTGCCACGTCGGGTAGTACGCCATGTAGGCTAGTCGCAGAACGTCATTTCAGCTTGATGTAAATACGGAGAGTGACTACTACAGCAACGTGCTCACTCACTGTTCGATCAGAGCGGCGCATAGCCTTCGCCGTCATCTTCATCATCATCCTGAGGATAGTCGTCTTCCGGCCCAAGCTCCGCTTCGTCATCTACCTCTTGCTCGTCCACTGGCTCCTCGCCTGCTGTCTCGTCATCTTCTTGATCTTCAGGATAGTCCCAGCCATACCCAAAGTCTTCTTCGTCACTTGGTACTGCATCCTCTTCCTCCGTGTCTGAATCCTCGGCGTCGCCACCAGCCATCGCGTCGTTCTTGGGTACATCCGGCGAGTCGGCACTTGGCGCATTTGTGTCTGCCCAAAGCTTGTCCACGAGCGCATCGTTCAAGGTCTCCTTTGGGTATCGAATGCTTCGGGTTTGAGAGCAGCGGTGAATGAACCTGCGAACCTTGTCTATCAGATGCTGGATGGTGATACGGTTCGATGGCAGGCCTTTGTGGCCAACTGCGCCACCGAGGTACCGCATGACCATGTCACGGTCAGCAAACCTGTCATACAGTGAGCAGACACAATGCATGAGATGATTGTAGTACTCACATTCCGACATAATGATATATGTAGTCTTCGTCGTTGTCCTCAGGTTGACGAGCTATCGAAGGTGGGAGGTACTCTGTGGTCTTGCCATGTGTGAAGCCCGGGATGAGATGGCTTGCGCGAAGCACTTGTGCAGGGTCGAGGAAACCAAAAGCGTTAGGTTCGTCAGAATCAATGAAGCCTACGCGATGGAGGCGGCGAGCCTTGAAACCCCCGGGTTCACTGAGGTCGCGACCAAACCAACGAATCCAGAGAACGTCCATGCGCTGGACATCCTTACATCGCGAAAGAAGCCCGCGGTGCTTCACGTTCACATGAAAGATCCCGATGACTCGGGCATACCAGTAGGGATGGGCGTTCGCTTGCGAGTCTCCATCGTCTTCGTGTGGTGCGAGGAGCATGACGTCCGCCTGCCTGCGTGGATTGATGGAGTCCTGGCTGCGACGCATGTCGTAGGTTGTGTAATTGATACGGAGGGCCTTGTGGAGGTAGATGCGGTCATTGACAAACTGTATGGTATCGTGCTCATCCGGGCCAAAGGTATCCTCGTCGCCATCGTACTCACGTCCTGTAAGACGAGACAGAAGATGGTCTTTGAGGTTCGGAACAAAGTTCTTTTGTGATAGGTTAGTATTAGCATGCCATGCCAGCTCGACAACTTGAAACACCGTGCACACACCCTTAAAGCTGGATCATCCCCGAGTCGAGCATTGGCCCACCTGAAGATGTTCTCGTGATGGCGTTCGGAGTCTGACATATGATAGCGATCCTTCGGAGTGGTATGGAAGGGAAGCGGGTCCTCTTCTGAGAGCCAGAGGGCTGCTCGACGACGTGCTGTATCCGCGAGTGTACCGTTCCTAGGACGGTTTACTGTCTTATTCAATGATGACTGCTTTTGTGCAGTGTCGTTGCCTTGAGGCCGAGCTTGTTGAGTTCCAGCTGTAAGTTCAGCACGTCGTTGTCTATCCTTCTCGAGTAATCGAGTCAAAAGCTGTTCACGGCGCTGGCGGCGGGCTATTTGACGTGCAGCCTTGTTCTTGTTCGTCCGAACGTAGAACCGCTTGACACGGCGGTGTTCCTGCTCCCCCTAGTACATGAGAAAATGGTGTTAGCTCAAACAGAAACCAAAGGATGGTGTACCGAGACAACTCACCTGTTGCGTGTTTCCTACATCATGGGTCCCATACCAGCCTACCATCCATGCGTAGTCACCAAGGCTGTGCCACTTTCCTGTCTTAAGGTTGAGCGTCTTGCGCTTCGGTCCAGGCGCATTCTTTGTGGCACCCTTCGATGACGACACCTTCTTTTTGCTTCTAGAGGACTTCTTTGCACGCATAGCAGCTGTTCGACGGCCTCGTGCTGCCTCCTCGGCTGGAAGCTCCTGGGTATCGTAAGCTTCGCAAGTTGTTGCGGCGAACTCACGAGTAGTCCTGCCGAGCTCCCAGGTGACGCCGTGAAAGATCGCTACTGTTTCCTCAGTATGCAAGCGGAGTTTGGCGAGTGCATGCCAGAAAGCGAGCGTGAAGAGAAGGCTCATCACGAGGTCATCGTGCGGTGGAGGGAGCAGGCCTTCGAACACAGGCATGATACACTAGTAGGAGTTGTAAGACCTCAAATCGGAAGAGTAATAGGGATATATTACCTGCAGAATATCCTCAAAATCTCGCCCGGCCATTTGCTTCAGCCCAGAGACATTGCGCGAGAATCGTCGGATTGTACTGCGTCCGAATGGTGGGATTTTGCGAAAGCTGAATATGATGGAGTAAGGAAAGAGAGTTGGGATATCACTCGAGGCATGACAGCGCTCACCGCTCATTGACAATCTGAATGCGATCCTTACCCTCTGCATATAAGATACGCAGGAGATGTATGAAGATTGCCTTCCAGACTCCGAGCTCAAACTCGTGCAGGATGTCAGGAACAAATAACGAGTAGAAATTGAAGCCTGTGTCGGCTAGGCGTTCCGAGAATGCGCTCTACATTGGAATCAGTGCATGCCAGTTTGGTCACAATGTACAAAGACACTTACACGTGTTGGAAGAATGGAAACAGGATCAATAATGCGACGAAGAAACTTGCTCGTGAGTGAGTAGCCCTGCTTGAAAACCCAGTTTCGAACGCGATTGATGAGTGAATGAAGTCCGGGTCTGTCGACGCGGATCTTATGCCGAGTTTTGTTGTCAGCACTCGAGCCCATGTCCACAACATCGTCCTTCTTGACATAGCAGCGAGGGCAGGGACAAAGTCCCAGAAAGCGGATGCATGCAAGTAAGACTCTGTGGTACATAAGCTGATTAATAAAGCGACCGGGTACGCCTATCGTGTGACTCGGGAAATCATGACTTACTTCTCGGGGTAGTCTGCTGAGTAGATGAAGAACCGAGGGAAAAGGCGTCGAAGGATGCCATCTCCACACAACACTAGCATGCCTTCATGGTACGCTTTCATGAAGTCTTCATCAAGCAGGAGCCGCCAGATCGCATGCATAAGCTCCTTCCTGCAGAAGCGAAGTGTTTCGGCGGTAGCAGATGTGCCGAATACGTTCTGGTACCAGTCCTGGAATGAATCAGGGAGCTAGAGACTGTGTATCAGAATTGAAGCGAGAGGCTTTAATGTGGCAAATAAAACGTACGGAGGGTATGTACGCCAGATGATGGGCTGCAAACTTCGTCGGACAGCCTCTGATGTACTTGGTGAGCCAGCCGAAATAGACGTAGATTGGCCAGAGATGAGCGCCACCGAAGTTCGCCAGGTGCGTAGAGTCGGACCAGAGTAGGATAGGAGCGATGGCGTACTCAACCTCAGGGCCATCTTCAGGATTCCGAGGTTGCGCGCGAAGACGCGCATCTTCCTCAATCATTGCGTCGGTGTCCGGAACATCTGAGAATATGCGAATATTCTCGTACTCAGGCACCCCATCGGAGTTGCTCCCAGAGTCGGATTCGGCTTCTGTAGACAGGGGACCTTGTTTGATGCGATGCCAGTACATGCGGAAGGGCAGCCAGTTGAAACGGAAGGCGTCCGTCGCCTCGGCCGCACACCGTACAACCTCGGTGAGTTTGCGGACAAAGACTTCACCGACCTCAAACGTTGGTGCTGCAGCTTCGGAAGCGAATCTGCTACCCTCCTTCGGAACAGGGATCTTGACGGACGTCTCATGCCAGCCATCCGATGAGGAGAAAACATGGCCTGGCTTGTCAATGCTGTCAAGCCGCTCGAGTTCCCGTGTAACACGAAAGCGTCGAAGGTCCTCGAGGTCGAAGTCGGGCGCAAGCAACACGTCGTCGACCAGGCGCTGAACCTCGACATTTGACTTGAGATTCGAGCCAGTGTTCGCCCAGGCCATGAGACGGCATACTGTTGGGTTTAGAAATGGATAGAACCACTCCTTCGCCGTCTCCAGACTGCTCCGCAGAGACCTGACAACCCTCGCACCAAACCCTTGCACCGCCTGTGTTCCGTCGAGTTCCTGAGCAGGTGGGCATAATGTTGGCGCATCACTGAGTTCCTGAAGGCTCGTAGCCTCCTGAGGCTCAGCAACCGGGCGGGTGGGGTAGCAGCGGAGGACACCGAACTCGTTAGGAGAGGTCTGGTAGTAAGTGGGACCATGATTGGCTGGTGCAGGCGGCGGGCCAGAGGAGCGTTGAGCGGAATTGTGCACAGGTGGATCATGCTCATGAGGAGCGTGGTTATCATTCGACTCGTTGTCATTGTCTACAGTGAGTGGTACTGGGATGTGAGAGGGTATTCCGATGGTAGTGGTGGGCAAGTAGTCGCGAAGGCGGCGCGGTACACGGTGCCTTCGGCCTGCGCGACTGAGGGACACTGGGGCGTCCTGAGGAGGTGGTGAGGGTAGACGCGCAGAAGAGGTCCCATAATCCTCGCTTAACGGTTGGCCTTGGAACTCGGGTGGAGGAGCAGCCTGGTCCACCGATCAGTCGAAGAAAAACCTAACATACAAATGAGCATGCGCACCTCAATCTCTGCATCCCTTATAGCCTCCCTCTCTCTAACTACAACGGCTAAATCCTCCGTGTGTAAGACCTTCGCCGGCCCAGGAGCGAGGTCATCCCGCGGACGCTTTGCAGTGACAGGCTTTGAGAGGTTGAAGGTGATGCTCTTCGCGCACCGCTTTCGATGTAACTTGAGTGCTTTGTTGGTCTCGTAGTCGCGCTTGCAGCCCAGACAGATGGTTGCGAGCGAGGACATGAAGAGAGTGGCAAGAATGAGCAGGTAAGCCCTCATGGCAGGGTGTAGCAAAACCCCAAGTCCGCGTCCTCAGCCACCGGCGCGCGACTGCACGCGATCACGTGGGCGCATACAGTCAGTCCCAGGCTTCGGATTGACTGTATGCGCTCTCCGCTTCTTCTTCTCTCATAACCACCATCCACCATGCCTCGACAAGCCTCGTACACACCGTCCCCTCCAACATCTCGTGAACCAACTCCGAGGCCGGCGACACCACCAGTGCCACCACGACCGCCAAAGTCCACGCACACCCACGAGAGGTCGAAGAGGCGCAAAGAAAAGGAGAAAGACATCGCAACTCAGTCAGCTCAGGATTCGGAAGAAGAACGTGAGGACCGCGAAGACGAGCATCGTCGCAAGCGGCCCAGGACCTCGGCACCGGTCCCCTCTCAGGCTTCGACATCGAGGACACAGGCTAGTACTGCCATCGCTCCTCGAGTCCAATCCACTCCCAGAAACCCGCAGCCCAGCACGCAAAGTGATCCAGCTCAGGAATTAGACGCTACGCCAGAAGTTAATGAACAAGCCAATCAAGCTCGCGACCGCCCAGGCCGACTAAGTCGGGACAAGACGAAGAAGGCTGTCAAGACGAAGCCATTCGACCGCAACGAGTACAAGAAGTTTATGAAGGGACTCAAGGAGGCTTTGAAGTTGGCGCATATGAGCAAGTGCGTATTTAGATACAAAGGGACATGTCTGGCACTAACACCGGCTAAGGGCCGAGCCAACCTACAAAGACCTGTGGACGGAAGTGCGGGCTATACCGCGCCTGGTAGGGCCCTTGGAGAATTCCGAGCACCTTGTGCAAGTCGGGAGCTGGCTTCATGCACACCCAGATATCGACCTCTCCGACGAAGGGCCTGATCTCGGTGAAGACGATCTTGCTGACATGTAGGTGCCAGATCCATATCCGCGGTACGAGACTCGGATGCAACTCTGTTCTGCTAACATTACAACAGGCCCAAGTCCGAGTTGCGATACATACTCGAGGCCTTCAAGCGACTTATCACTGTCTGCCCCACCATTAAGCGCATCCTCCCTGAGCTGCAGAAACGCAGGGACGAAACTGACATCAATGCTGTGGTCGACTTGGCGAGTAGTACTTTCTGTTTACTGGCTTCCGACTCTACCGGTTATCTGCATGTTGACACCGAGTGCTAATTCTAGATCGACAAAGCACAGAACAGTGGGCGAACCGACGACATCTCGCGGCTCAAATACGAGCTACTATATTATCTTCCCCGTGTCAACGGCATAGACACCCCGGACCCCAAGCTTGAAAAGGAGTCTCGAGGCTGGCGCTGTCATGCAACGGCACGCATGTTGTGTCCGCGTGATCTGCGCGACGAGTTTGATGCCGATCCAGAGAAGTTCGTCTACTCACTCTAATTGTTCATCGACTAATGTCTTGTCAGGTTTTGCCAGGAGGTCCGCAATGGCGCACGTAAACTTGAAATCAATCACGACAATTGGCCGACTCTCGCATACAGTGAGACGGAGTACGACCCAGAGAACCTTGACTTTGGCCTTCTCAAGTCCGCTTTTTTGCTCAGGGTAAGTCGAGCCGTTGCTGGTCCCTTGCAATGCCATTCACTGCCACTGATCCTCACCGTCCTAGTGCTGGCTGTGCCTCTTCAAGGGACCAAGCAGTGCACGACTCGCTGACAACCTTGGCACCAAACGAAAGGGTGGCCGCCACGTTGTCGCCCAGACATACAACATTACCCGTGTCGATGAGTATAGTCTGTGCTATACAGTTCTTCTGGTGAGTGCCAACTGAGCGTCATTCAATGTCGCTTTACATCTTGTACTAGGCTCGCTTCCTACTCAACGGGATTCACGATTGGGCCCGGGATGATGGTGTCTTCATTGGCGCCGCGTTTTGGGCGAACATGAAGTCCCTTTTCGAGGACAAGAAGTGGCGCGACGATACTCTCGCATGGTGGAACGAGTAAGTGCCGTGTATACTGTGCAATTTATACTGATGTTTGCGACAGGAACGTCTTCGGTATCAAGCGGCCAGGCGTCCAGAATTCGACTGCCGCGATCTCACGGAACGGCCCCTCGACAGTCACCAAGCTGCAAGAACAGCGCGCAGCCCGCCTTCGACTTCAACGCCAGAACTCTGCCGCTTCCGCTGCTTGAATCTCGGTGAGTGTATATAGTACCTTCTTCTGCTCATATTGAAATCTTGTAGTCGTGCTTATGCGATGTTGTTCAGCTGTCCGACGCACATTGTTGCGCGTCTCCATCGCTCAAGCCTTCTATTTGCAGTTCATTCGTTCTCTCGACTCAGTGTCCCTCGACTCGGACTCGTTCTGTCCCCTTTACTCCGTCCATCTTTCCAACCCCAATCATCTGCTCGTCTCCCTCGCACCAGTGTCGGCTCGCCACGTCTGGCGCTCGACTCGTTTCATCCCATTTCCGTTGACTCAGTTTCTCTCTCTCGGTTTTGACCTCGCGGTCTCGTCTCGTCAGCGCGTCAGTAGTAAAGCAAGTGTGTAAGTTATTCCGCGGCGGGTGAACGGTGTATTATATTTTTTGTACCTGCATACGCAGGCACGAATATCTGTCAGTGATGTACAATGTATGGTCAAGCCGAGTACATTGAAGGGTGAAGACAGTGACTGAAATAGACATTCGGTCCAATTGTTTGTATGAGACAGTACGTACTTCTTGTATTGCCTGTGCGTTATCTTTCCTTCGCTGATGCATGTCTTTTCGGCCAATAGCACCGCTGCATGATGTGGCGAGGGAGTTGAAGATGTCAAATAGAAAGAAAGCTGTGGCGACCCAGGACGAAAGTTGTACCAGAAAGAGGGCAACTTAGAAAGATGTGCAAGATAATAAAGATGAGTCATACAACGCATGATAATGTGAGATCTGCGACCTGCACTTTTGGCGATGTGTTCGGCTGGATCTCTGGATTGATATGCAGCAACTACAGTACGGAGACATCAACGCGAGTGAGTTGTTGTATACGTTTGCTTACGCGAATGTCTTTCAGGGTCACATTCTCGACACGGTCAAACTGCATCTCACAGCGTCAGTGGTCCTTCGTCGAGTGAGGTCGTTGTATCTTGGTACGTACGAGATTTGCATATTGCCCGAGGAAATCAACAGCGATCCCGTTGCCGCCGTGGCATGTGATGTTCTGAGCGTAGAGATTTGTGGAGTTCTATATGGTTCCGTCAGGCTTCGTTTTGCGAGCTGTGGTAAGGCTGCCTACACCCTTCATCGCAAGACAGTCGTCTCCTAACGTCATCTATTCAACCCGTCAGGACCATCACGACTACCAGTCAATGTCTGGCACTCAAAACTGACATCCCAGGTGAGCATCGTGACATTGTCCACTCGGAACGTGTCGATACCTAAGCCTAAGTCAGACCCGGTGCATCGTCGCATGTCCAGGGACAGAACTCACCGTCTGTGTTCGGAACGACGCTACAACACGCATGTAAGTGACATCAGCTGCAGCATTATCCGAATGTTACTCACTTGTACCCATAGTACTCTGGATTCGTGTTCGTCGCATTGCAATACATCCCGTCGTACACCACGTCCTTGGACTCCGCGACCGTATTGCACCAGAACGGCTGGCCCTCGATCCGGAAGTCCTTGATGACGCCCAACAAGACGCGCCAGAGCGTGAAAGCGATAGGCCGCCCGTCACCGCCTAGCCGGCTAGAGGTGCCATACCAGTTCCACCAGTACTGCCCGTTGCCAATGATCCCACCGGTGTTATGCGCATCGAGAGTGAAGTCGCGCCCTGTGACAATGAACCACGATGCTTGGTCCTGCAGAGAGACTGTTAGCAAGAGCTCCCGCCTGATGCGGAATAATGGAGCACCTGGATATACACGACACGATATGTGTTTTCTGGGTTCATCCAGTACGGCAGATTTGCTGTGAACTGTGGTTTCAGGTCAGCGGGCGGCGAGCAGCGTGACGTCAATGCGCACATTCAGATAACCATGTAGGTCAACCCTGGCCTCACCAGGTCCCACATCATCTTCCTGTACATTGGTGAGCCCGCTATGAGTCGTTAGCAACGTCGAGCACACTTACCTCGTCACGTTGTGGACACCCTCGGAGATGACTGTCGTTCCATAATGATCGCATCGCGCAACGGCAGCCTCGATCTGTCCATGAGTGTTCAAGGTAGTCGAATAGCGGTTCGCACCTCGGCGACCGGAGGTAGACGGACCTGGTCTGTATCGTCTTGTCCCTCTCCCAACGGGTGGATGTACATGTATTGCCCGCCTCCGAATCTTCCGCACATGCTAGCACCACGGAACATGAAGGCCCGCGACCAAGGCTACCAGGAACACGCGCACGGAAAGCATCCTTCCTTCTGTTTTGTGGTTGCGGCCACAGCCAGCGAGAACGGTCATCGTCGATAGCCAATCCCCCTATAAATATACGGGCGACGAATCATCGCCGCGGCGGCATGATTCATGCTTATGGGTCGGTTTGCTAACGGAGGTACACGCCTTGGATGGGCATCTGTGCAATGCAGTGGATCGACGTCGGTGGCGCTTATGTTATGTTCTGGGAGACTCGGACCTGGGAGTGACCACGAAATTCGTGACGAATTGACTAGTTGTAACGTTGACGCAGCGGCTGCGATGCAGGCTCAAGATAGTCGTCGCAGAACGTACGGACCTATGGTAGATACGTGTATGTGCAATTTGGCGTCCCGAAGCATACGCGGATGTCCGCTGAGATGTGCTGCCAGGCAAAATGCGCACTAATAGTCAGCGGAGTTGAGAAGAAATTTTGAGCACACATCAGGGTTAATATACGTTGATATCGCGAAGGTCAAGCATGACATCCTGGGGTAGTAGTTGGAGGCAAAAATAATAAAGGATAATGGACATTCAGGGGATTGAACCCTGGACCTCACGCAGGCAGGAATTGGTTTCAAATCAATGCGAAGCGTGCGCGCTACCACTGTGCCAAATGCCCTTGTCCATTTTGTAAATGTAGATATAGTATTCAAAGACTTTCTAATCTAACACATTTGCTTGCCAGAAGGCTCTCAACTCAAGCTCTCAGCCAGCTGCCTCCCTCACTCCTTTACCGTATTTACGCGACTGCACCGTCTAATCTCGCATTTTCACGCTGGGATCAGGGCTACTCTACGACACCAACGACGGTCTAGCGTCTCGCGCGCAAAATGTACAATGGCCCGAGTCTCTCCGGGAACAGGGCAGGGCTTCTCTTCCTCGTCGTGGTCATCCTCGCGTTCACCGAAGGCGGGCTATGGGTCGCACGGAAGAGGATGAACACGAGTTTTCCGGACAACTCACTCATTCCCAGCGCGTCCAGTCTGATGTCCTTTGGAAAGGGTCGCGCACGGCCAGAGATCACAGAGCACCCGATACCAAGGCTCATGGCTGAAGCCGAGACAAAATATCGGGACTTGCTGGCAAAGCAGAGCAAAACCCTCGCGGAGGCTGTCGCAGAGTACAAGCGACGGTACGGGAGGAACCCACCGCAGGGGTTCGACGACTGGTGGCGGTTCACGCAGGAGAACCACGTCGTTATGATTGACGAGTATGATAACATCAACGAGGACTTGACACCATTCTGGACACTCTCGGGCGAGCAGATGAGGGAGAGGGCGTTCTTGGTGTGTTTGTGCCTTCCACCCGTGCTACGGGAGATCGCCTCACGGTACCCAACCCACAGGCAGGAAACCTGCCGTCTATCGACCTGGTCAGGCTCAGGAGTGGCCAGGCTACTGCCGTAAACATCAGAGATGGTCCTGCCTCCTCAGCAGTCAGTGCACGCGCGCGAGGCTTCCTACAGATCATTGAAAAGTTTCAAGACAAAGTGAGTGCTGCCTTCATCACCCCACGGCCAGGTATGAATCTCAGTATCAGCTTCCAGACTTGGACTTTCCAATCAATGCCATGGCCGAGGGCCGCATCCTCGTTCCGTGGGAGCAGCGCGCACGTCCGAATCTTACATCGGGCTCAGGTGAGGTATCCTGCGTCACACACTTGCTAACAATGCTGACGTTCCCCAGATGTCGTCCAGGCTGAATTGAGTGGCATGTACTCGCCCGACTGGCGTGGCGAAGGCAACGTCTGGGAGGCATACCGCCGCACCTGCGACCCCGGCACGCCCGCGCGCCGTCTCTTCAGCTCCTTCCGCGCGTCGTCGACCAACCGCGCGAGCCAGCTCACCGCGAGCACGCAGGAGTTCGTCTTCGCGCCGGACGTGAGCCGGAACTACTCGTTCTGCGAGAACCCGTGGGCGCACTACGACCAGGGCCACTTCTTCTCCGACTGGCGCACCATCCCCGTGCTCTTCCCCGTGTTCTCGCCCGCACAGGCCCCGGGGTACTCAGACATCCGGATCCCGAGCCATTACTACTACGGGCAGACGAGACGGTATACGTATGGCTACGACCCTGTGAACCTGGAGCTCAAGGAAGTGGACGGGATGGAGACGCCTTGGGAAATGAAGAGCGACAATATTTTCTGGCGCGGCGCGTCCACTGGTGGCGGTAGCTCGCCACCGGGCTTCGCCGCTCAATACCAGCGTCACAGGTACGTCGATCTCAACTCAATGTATCGCGTCACTGACACGCCCCGCATCAGACTCGTGCGCATGGCGAGTGACAAGTCCGACACGACCCGAACGCTCGTCTTCGCGGATCCGCCAGGGTCGACGCACTACGTCTACGCGGAGGTGCCCACGGCGGAGCTCAACGACGAGATCATGGACGTCGCGTTCGTGAAGGTCGTCGACTGGTACAACTTCCCCGGTGGGCTCGACGCCCTGATCGCCGCCCACCGGTTTGACGACGGCGGTGTGAGCCTCGGCAACCACTGGCGGCACAAGTACCTCATCGACGTCGACGGTATGGGCTACTCGGGCAGATTTTTCGGGTTCTTGGAGTCGGACAGTGCGGTGGTCAAGTCGACCGTCTACCGCGAGTTCTACTCCGATTGGATTCAGCCTTGGTGAGTCCGACCGATTTTTCGGTGAGAACCAGAAATTGAGTTGTGTGGCAGGCTGCACTTCATCCCCCTCTCTCCGTCCTACCAGGAGATCTACAATATCCACGCGTTCTTCTCGGGTGCATCCCCGTCCGCTCTACAGGCTGTCAACTCGACCGCGCTCGGCGCCCCTCCGGCGCTGCGTCGTCCAATTGACGGCGACCGCCGACTGAGGCGCATCGCGCGGGCAGGCAAGCAGTGGAAGCGCACCGTCGGGCGGCACGTGGACATGGAAGGTGAGACCTCTGCGGTCGAGAATTAGGTTGCGTGCTAAACATCTGCGGTGTCACAGCGTATGTGTATAGATTGTGTTTGGAGTATGCAAGGTTGTTGGCGGACGATCGGGGTTCGATGGACTTTGAACTATAGGCTAGACCTGGACGTGTGCAGCACGGTAATGGGATATGGGTAGATTCTCTGGGTCTCTTGAGGGACAGCGTTGTGCCAACTGACAATATATATGCATTGTCTAGGTGGTTCACGGTGATCACAGTGGCGGCAGTACGGTCAGACAACGTCGTCAGTACTCCTGTTGCCATAGGTCGGAGCGTTACCAGTGCACTTTATTGCGATTGAAGTGGAGGACTGAACGGATTGACACAGGTGTCTTTATGTCAGCGGTTCAAAAGCTGGCAGTATCGGCGGGTATCGCGGGACAGTAGTAAGTATCATAGTAATACACGTTCAAAAGGCGCAGGCTAAAACATCAGCGCCGTGTGTTGCCTTTGCGCAAGCGCACTACACGAGCAACAGCGCGTAGAACCTTGCATATCTTGCTGCGCACAAGGCGGAGACCCCGGGCGATGCACGAGCCTGGATGATAGTCGTCAGCAGTGTTTATGGTGCCGTAAAACTGGCGAGCGTACGTTTCCACCAATTGCAACGTCCCAGACCTATGAAACGTCGTAGAGTCTGACAACGATTAACGAGAGGAGAGCTGGTCTTCTCTGCGCCCTCCGTTCCTAGGTATGTCTGAGACTCCTCTTTTTCAGCCTTTGCAACACATTCGCCAACGTCCGCGGCTGTCCCTCGTGTCAAAATTCGATATGTATGTTATCAGGTGCGAATTGCTCACCGGGACCAACTTGATCCACTTCCAGCGGTATGATGCTACGCTGGTCTCTACCCCCAGCTGGTTCCGTTTCGTCTGACATTTGCACATCCGGGTCTCCTGCGGTGGGTGTCCTCTCGCTTTTGGTCTCGTTGATCGTGCGAGCCTTCGCCTCTCGAATGATGCTAGTCACGGTGATGGTGAGAAATTATTGTTGTGCTATCAAGAGCAGCTGGCACTCACCGTCTTAGGTCGGCTTCTTCTTTGAGAAACCCGGCCGGGTCAATGACCTCGTCAATTTCGTGGAGGTTCACCGAGGCCTTGACTGTCACTGGAATATCGTCAACTTCCGGATTCTCGAACGCTTCGTCGCCGCTAAAGAATATGGCTGCCATGTCATCCGCATCAAGCGCATCATCGAAGGACGAGGCTGCGCTGCCAACACTCTCAGTATCGGTGCCATATCTGGAGTGATGTTCGTCCCCAGCCTCCTGCCCGTAGTCAGATGTGCTGTCTGCGGGGTAGCAGTCTTCTTCATATGGCTCAAGAGGGAACCCTGTGGGTGTCGTCAGTATTCGCATACAATGTCTGGAGATTGCGCACTACCTCTTTCCTTCTTCAAGGCAACGTGTTTGTCGTAGTCTTCTGTGATGCTCATCGAATGCATGACAATATCACGGCTATCCAGTTCGATGAAGTGACGACGGGGATACCGCTGATTCGGGATGCGAACAATCGCGGTTACGAATGTATACTGATAACAATCGTCGAAAGGGAACTCGGGAAATGGCTTGAGGGCTTCGCGTGCAGACGGGTGGCTGGAGGCAGGTGCGATCGGTGTACACATATCGGAGGTCACGCATCCATCGTAGTCATCTGCGCGCAACCCTTTCCCCACAAATTGGACAAGGACTTTATGGGAAGATTTGAAGGGCATGGGCAGTTCCGCGACCTAAAACCAATCAATACTCACAGAATAGCCAATAGCATTGTTCGACACATACCGTCTGAATATAGCACAAATATCGCTTGGGAGCATCTTCCTGGTCTCCTCCGCAACACTTTGAGGATCGACATTGTAGCGTCGAATCGTATCATCGACATCGAGCTGTAACACCAAGTATGCGCCCATAGGAGGTACGCAGCGTGTTTCGTTCATCGTCTCGACGTGGGCATGTTCCGTGGGGATAGATACTGACATCGTTCCTGCAGTGCAAACGGGGCGTGAACTTGTAGATGTCGGTTAATGATTGAGAGTATAGGCCTTCGGCGAGTGGGCCATATGAAGGTATTCCAGACAACGAGAACAAAAGGGATAGTCGTCATAGCATTTGCTGTGAACAAGAGAAGCATTGTTCTAGGTAGACAACACTGTTAGTACTCTCGACAATAAACAATAGCAGAACGTGGGAAGTTGGACCCTCACGTACCCACTGTAACGTAGGCTCGGACCGATGAACAACGACTTACCAGAATGCCCCATCAGAGTATTTGACAACGACGGGAATATAACACAACCCGCCGTGTTGTCTATGCACATTTGTTCGTCAGCTATCGTGTTCATGTCAACTTGAACAGCGGCAGCTACGTTGGCAGTCCTGGTACTCGGATACTACAACGATAGCCTTTAAGTTCCAGTACAAGAGCCACCACGGTACACTCTTTTAATGTTGTAATGAGGCGGTCTTCAAAGTGATTAAAAAGACCCCGAGAGGATAAGTTTCCATCCATCACACGCCCCCCTTCCGACTCAGTCTCCTGCTCACGATCCCGCTCCAAGCATTCTGACTTGCGTTCAGCACACTTCTGACCTCTACCCCACGACCATGTCTAACTGCGACCGCTGCAGACATCCCCAACACCGTTTCTTTCGCTGCTCAAAGGATGGACACTCTGTCCAGGGCGGTGACATCTACTGCACCAATACCTCCCTCGTTGCTCCCCTGGAGTTTGTCCTAGGTCTCCAGGTTCCTTTCGCCTTGCGCGATCCAAGTTCTAAGAGCATTCGCGGCAGCAGGACTTCCCTTGTCCGCTCGCGCAAATCAACGAGTACATTCGGAAGCAAGATGTACGCCGCGAATGCCCGACCCTGCCTCGTACTCAACATAGAGGGTAGCGCCAAGGTAACCGCATGCGTCATGGGGACTTTGGATGGTCGTGACATCCGATGTATGCCACGCATCTATCGGCACTTCAGCGTCCCCGTGGCTCCCAACTTTGGTGGTTGCTGCACACCAGAAGACGAGCACGTCCACACGATTCCTGAATGGGATGGCTGGGTAGGAAAGGCTCAATGGTTGATAGCCATACCTCACATCCTTCCACGACGCATGTTCAAAGCCTTGTGGGTTGGGAAGGAACGAAGGTCCCATCATCGGATTGATGTGGACATGGTGTCCAGAGTTGTGTCTATCAGCAGGCGCAAGGAGGATGAGTGGAACCGCTGGTCTGAGGCAGATCCCAACTTCCTGCAGAACGCTCGAGACGAATACAATGTGCGTTTTGTTCTTGCAGTCACTCGACCATTCTCACGAGGCATGATAGGCCCATCGCGCCAGCTACAAGAATGGCAGAATTGGGAGGCAGGTTGGGGCGACCGAAGACGGTCTCACCTCCGCAGTCGAGCTCGACACTGTTCTTGAAGAGCGCCATGACGAGGGTGTCGTCGAGGCGATCATTGGCTTTGAAGATGGCGTCGCTATCAAGACGCCGGTTGACTTCAGCGTGGCATTGAATCAGGTTTGACGTGTCACTGTTTGAAACGTTTTGGATGCCCAGCTCACTATCGGTCCGAGCAGAGACATGGTGATGCTTCTGGGACTACGCCAGATCACACATCATCCACCGCGACTTGCGCGAACTCGGAGATCGAGGATCACTCCTCGGCCAGCACGCTGGCAAGCCATAGTCACAACTCGGTATGCTCGATGTTGTGTGACCGCAGAAAATTGCTGAACACACGCACCTGGGATACAGGTTCCAGCCGAATCTCTTCAGTTGGCTCGACAATGGTCTCCCAAGCCGCTGGAGCAGCGAGACGGCTTTGAACCATGCGAGTCATCCAAGGACGAGTCTGGGGGTGCATCGTTGGCGCCGATGCGGAAGACATCTGTAGAAGAGACTTTGTTCGTGAAGGCCTCAGTGCCCGAACAGCGGAAGGTAAACTGAGACCTACATTTGTCCGTCGCCTGCGCGCTGACCCGTCGCACTGATCTTGCAGCCTTCGGACAACCCCCTGCACATTATCCCGCGCAGCGTTCTAACGGCCATGCGTCGTCGTACCAATCGCGCTGCCACAGCCGGGGTTCGCCCTCAGCATCCTCCTGCATCCGAAGTTGCGAGTGATCACACAGTATACCGAGCACAGCCTAGCCCGAAGCGCTCTTTGTCCCGCATCCTCCCCCGTATACCGCCTCTTCGCAAGCAGAGCGGAGAGAGCACTGGTTCTGGCTCGACGAGCAGGAGGTTTGTCTCTGCCATCTAAGCGCTTGCCACATACCCTTCCCCATTGCTCTCCCTCCGCCGTCCTTACTTGCCAATGTATCGAGCTGCTGTTCAAGCTGTATTTATGACAACATGGACATTGTTTGAAGCTACGAGGATACTATGTCAGACACTGATCAAGGGCTGCAAGCGAGCTATGCAAGGAATCAAGAAGTGAGCCAGAACATAACCCAGAGAAAGCTCTTACGCGAATCAGGGAAGATTGAAGTGCACCTGAGAGCTGGGCTGTAGACCGGCCGTGTGGCCATGGTGAACGGAAGCCTGATCGCGATGCGACACGACACGCCGGTTGTCACCTGCAGACTTGGATGAGAGCCGGAGATGGTAAGCTGGTGAGCCAATGGTCAGCGTTGACACATCCATCGACACAAACCATGGGAGTGTTCGCACCGTGTTCGTCGAGATGCGTTCAGCTTTGAGCCTCTGCATACGATCGTGGTAAGTGGACGATAGCCTGTACTTTAGTGCTCACCTTCCCAGTTGACTGGGTACGTTCGATACCGATAACCACCATGACGGTACGCAGCGCTACTCAGCTAGCCCGATAGCATTCGCACCCTTTGCGTCGCGCCGGGATTGGCCGCGCGGGCGGGTATGTGCAGACGCGCCTACCAGACGTCATGCGGCCTCGAAGAGCAGGACAGACGTCGATAGAGCGACGATAGGTGACGAGGCCGGCATGTACCCGATTCAGTGCCAGGCCTACAGTCTCCGGACCCAGGGTCAGTCTCAGGCTGACCGGCCGACCCGGAGGGTCGGATCAAGGTCAAGGGGTGTCCTCGACGGGCCAGTGTAATCCCCTCCCTCGAAAAGTTTGCATTGAGGGTCTGCCTCAGGGAGTGCACGCGTGTCTTGGGGGTGCCGACCCTGCGAACGACGCGTCGAATCTGTGCCGAAACGACGGGGTTGAGTTTCGGAGGCTGTCGTGATCGGCGTCAACCAGTTAGGATGACGGCGACTTACGAGGAGCATCCCGCTTGCGCGTCCCCTGGGCCCTGGCGAATCAGGGAGGACACGCGTGTTGATTGTTCTACAGGATGATCAGGAGCTAGAAGGACGCAGGGCGTCGTCATGAGTGGTGGGAAGTTCAAGTTGGAACATACACTGCCAGCCGGCGAGACACGTTGTGCGGGCCAGCGTTGCGGTGATTCACGCTGCTGCTACCGCTATCCCATGACGAGGCTCAGCGGTGGTCGGCCGGATCCTCGCTCTCTGGATGATTGCTGAGAATGAGTTCAGCTTGAACACAGTCGCGCCAGCCTCGTCGGGCGTCGGGCGTCGGGCGCACAGACAGTGACAGCGGTCCTGTAGGACTACGCGGCCAATCGAATGCAGGCTATTATCTGGCAATACCTGTAGGAAAGGGCGGTGAGCAGGAATAGCAGTGCAAGCGATGTTCGAGGACGCGATCCTACTGGACGGGAACACGCAGGCCAATCGGCCGCCGCGCATTGCTGAGCGCACACCGCGGGGGTCGCACGTGACCGCATCAGCTCAGCGCTCCACCTTTCCGCTCATTAGCTCTCATCCCGCCCGCGACGAGTCCATCCTCTTTCTCCCAGACAACCACCTCCACCACTGCCCTCCCAGCCAGCCCAGCCACGACCGACATGTCCTCCGCGCAAAGCGTCGCACCCGCCGTCCCCCTCCCTCGCCAGAACGGAGACGTAGGCAGCAAGCCACCGGTCTGGTCTCTGAACAACACCACCGGGGACGAGGTCCCACCCGCCGCAAAATGCGACAGACATGAGCGCGCACGAGACGGCGTGTGCTGCAAAGAGCTCATTGGCGACGATGACCGGACACTTGTGGACCCAGACGTGGTCCGGGACGTGTGAGTGGCCTTTCACTTGCTCTGGGACTATGCCGGATGTGCGGTGCTTGGTTCGCTCGTTCATGTTTAGAGAGACCACCGGAGGACGCTGAGATGATAGGGCTTTCTGGTAGAAAGCCAGAATGCGCTTTTGCCAGCTTTCGCGCGTCACTCTTCAACCGTCCCCCAGGGTGGCCACGTACTGTTTTGACGCGGTTATATGTGCCTTGTCGGCTATGCGTCTGGCATTACCCTTGTCGCAGCGCTATACTTGCCCGTGATGTGTCGCCCACTGCTGCAGAGGACTGCAGGGTAGCTCGCGGCCTCTTTGCGCCACTGGCGTGCTCCCGTGTACGGTGTCCGGAAAGCTGGTACCACCGCTGTCACTATGTGTTCGGGCGGTGTAGCGCATTTACACTGACCTTTTCGCGGCACGCAACGTGTTCTGTTCTGCACAAATTCTGGTCGTCTAGTTGTGGTCTGTATCCGGTGTGTTACCGCGTTACGCGCTCAGCACGAATTGCAATGCAATCACCGTCAAGACGTTGCAGTGCTTACCATTCGCTCTGGCTGTTCCGGTTGCAGCATGCCACTGGGTCGTTAGCCGTAGCATCTCCGCCTCCTGTCTCATTCAAGGTCTGGGTTGACGCATAGTCATACGAACTTATCTAGTTTCTCGTTCCCATGTCATTTGCCATAGTCACATACTCCTGAGAGTCAATTACTGACGTCGCCGCGTTTCTAGTGTCATTGGCCTTTCAGACGGTCTCACCGTTCCCTTCGCCCTGACGGCCGGCCTCTCTTCGCTGGGCGAATCCAAACTCGTCATCCTTGGTGGCATCGCAGAACTCATCGCCGGAGCCATTTCGATGGGCATCGGCGGCTTCCTTGCCTCGCAAGCAGAACGTGACCACTACCGCTACCTCCGCAAGCAGACGCGCGCGCGTGTGCTCCGGAGCTGCGAGGGCGAGATGGAGCGGGAGGTGTACGGTGTGCTCGGGCCCGTCGGCGTCGACGAAAAGACGAGCCGCGCCGTCGCACACTGCCTCATGAACGTGGAGGTCGACTCGCACGGCGAGGGCTCGACCACCGCCGCGGGCTCGTCAAGTGGGAGCGACACCGCGAGCCGCTACAGCACGAGCGACTCCGAGGCCGGCCTCCGGTGGAGCTCGAGCGTCGGCCTGTCCGCGTTCCTGCTCAAGTTCGGCGAGGGCCTCGAGGAGGTGCCCACGAAGCGGCTGTACATCTCCGCGTTCACGATTGGCATGGGCTACCTCATTGGCGGGATCATTCCGTTGCTCCCATACTTCTTCGGTGCGTTTCTAAGCTCCCTCCGGCGAACGTGCGTGAGTGCTGACGCTGGTATGCAGAGCCTGTGGCGTACCGCGCGCTGATCTGGTCAAGCATCGTGACCGGCATCGTCCTCCTCGTCTTCGGCGCGGTCAAGGCGCGCATCACCGGGGCTGGCCAGGGTGCGGGCGGCTACATCTGGGGCGCGGTCAGCACACTACTGGTCGGCGGCGCGGCGGCAGCAGCAGCGTACGCCATCGTCGCGGCCCTCGAGTCATGACCGTCGTGCGGGATCCGTCCCGTATGGTTTTGGTAGTTGTGTTCCTCCTTGGATTATGGACGAGGACGCGCTCTCTGCTCTCTTCTCGTTCTGATGTTGTAGCCATTTGCCGGTCCGGCCTGGTTTGGCACGTTGTATTATCAGGATCACAGTATAGTTTTAGGTAATGCATAGATGCACGTTAGCGAAGCCACTACTATTGTTCTTCTAGTTCAAATCGTTCTGCGTCTGTCGGTCAGTCATGTATATCGCTCATGATGCATGGACGCCGCTGTCATGGTTACGCGGAGAAGACGGATGTCCTGGAGATTGGGAAATCTAAATTCTCTTTGTTGCGGTCCAGAATGCAGCGTGGTATACATATCCAAGCATGCTTTGCGCGTTGTTGGTGTACGTCGTGTCGATGGTGCGTTCGTTCTGCCGCGAACGTGAGTGCATGACGATGTGGAAACCGGATAGACGAACCGAGATTTCGAAGCCGATCTTGCGCACCAGGGCCTTCACTTCCTCGAGGTTGAGCTCGATCGAGGGGTCGTTGGTCGAGTTGTTCTCGAAGTGCCACAGGAGCGGGCCTGCGTCAAATGATTCAGTATATTCCGCGCCATCGCGTAAGTACCCGGAGTTTAAGGCGTACCTAGGTTGATCCAGACGCCCCCAGGAGCGAGTATCGGTGGATGATGCGGAGGTAGTTCACGATGTTCTTGGCCTGTGGGGCTCGAGCTCAGTATTGTCCGGCGGGAAAAGAGGCGGGATTGCGACGTACGGTGTCGATGAAGAAACAGGTCAGGATCGCGTCCCATTTCCCACCTTGTGGCTCGTCTTGGTTGTCATCCGCCCCATATATCTCCTCGAAGTCGCCTGCGAGCCAGTCGTGAGACCGCCGAGTGAACGCTAGAGGGGGCACGCGCACCGGCAACGAGTGAGAAGCTGCTTCCTTGCGGAAGGGAGGATGGCATGACGTCGGGGATGCTGATCGGCCGGAGCATCGCGGCGCTGTTTGGTAGGTTGGAGAAGGAATGGACGTAGGGATAGATCGTGTGCTGGTCAATCGAGTCGGTGCTGGTATATTGTGGGTCGTTGGATCGGCATACAGATGGGGAAGGATGGAACGCACCGGTTGAGGATGAAGAATGAGGCAGCAGCATGTAATGAGAGAATTCGTTGCCCTGACACGCAAAGCCTACGCTTTGTGAGACGGGTATTGACCGCGTACTGCCGTACACATACCTAGATTTGCGACGTCCCAAGATAACCGTCCCAGACCAGCGCCTGGGACAAGTACCCTGAAGTTATGCCTGCGCGAACAGTCCGTGCAGAACAGACTCGTCTAACAGCACTTGAACGACGCACCTCTCCTCAGGCGGAATGTCGGAGAAGTGCTGCAACAACGCCTCCCTCATCGGGGCATAGCACACTCGCGCTCAGCGCGACCCTGAAGGCAAGCGGATGAGATGGAGACTAACACTACTGTGGCGGCAGTGGCACGGTGCTATATGACCAACCTCTTCACTCCAGTCGCGGACGAACTGTTTGAGAGTACTTCTCAGCTTGTCGATGTCAAAATCAGTCGGGCGATGTCGCTTCTGTTTTCCTGGTCCACCATGTCCCTGCGAGGCTCTGGGCTCGTCATGCGAATGCGAGTGTGAGTGCGAGTGAGATCCGTGGATATGATCATGAGATGCGAATGAGAGGATCCTACGACACCGGTGAACAATGCATCAGTAAAATAGCACAGAAGAGTACCTTTCGTACCATCTGACGTGTGGATTTCTTCAGAGTATCCTACGTCCTCCGAGTCCAAGTCATGTCCGAAAATCTCAGGATCTGCCACTATTTGATTAAGAAAGTCCGCGTTCGCCATGATGGCTCTGTCAGCCTTCGCAATATTTTCTTTGTATCCAAGGCTACTTAGTAGCTCTTGGTCCGCCCGTGGTAGGGTAAAGAAGTCCTTCCTGCGGCGGTTGTTCGCCGACAACTAGAGTCGCAACATTCTGAGCTGATACATGTATTGTACTGAGTAGACCAGCACCCACCGAGTATGCGGCATAGTGCTTGAACGTTTGTATGACATTAGCGAAGTGCGTCTGCTCTTCTGCTATTTCTGCCTGACTGAAAGGCATGGTGGCACGAGAATACCGCGTCCACAGATCGGAATCTGGACGAGTACGCTCCTGACGCGTACAACCCAAATCGGGATATGCCAGGCGACTAACCGATCGACTTCTGGTTCAAACCTCCAGGTTTGTAGAGGCTGTAAGCACCGGTGCGATCACTCAGGAAGTCCATGACAATCCATATGCATAATGACTGGCCAGAACGATAGTATGTGTACAACAGGGTGGTACAATGCACAAATTCCACTCAACAAAGCGGTAATGATTGATACAGATGCCGAGGTATACGATAGGACAGATGAAGAACGCAGAGAATGCAGCACGGCTACCGTAGATCGACGATTTCAAGCTCCATGTCCTTCATCTGAACATGGCTATTATCACAATCCTGGAGCGACTGAAACATGAGATTGGCGACATCGAAGCAAAGTGGATCGACCGACCGTGTATATAGGAACCTCAGGATGGGGGTGGAACGCTTCCTTTGTTGTACACTCTAAAATCACCTGCAGACCACCCGGGTCTGTCAGGCGGAAGATGCCAAACCTGTCAGGTAGCGGTGTTAAGTTTAGTTAGGGCAGACGCTCCGTGAAGCTTACGTCGGTGTTGAAGTTGGAGCACAAACCACTGCAAATGACTCCGGCAGCATGCGTTGGAAGCCTGAATGAGTGTGGAGATCTACTGATGACATGAAACCTGCGAGATGGACAGGTGAGCCTATGTAGACACCATCATAAGAATAAGCACCCACAAGACTGTGTTGGATGGGTATGTATCTTGAACCAAAAGTGAGTGACGAAATCACTGGCTACCAATACCCACTCACCCATCCAAGAGTGATCAGATGCCGTTCCTCCGTGAACTGCAGAACCAACTCTTCCTCATCCATCGTACACGTATCGCTCGTCGAATGCTGTCTGGGAATCAACAGAGTAGTCACGACATACTTGCTGCCCTTGTCCTTCCCGAGGAGCAACCCGCATGTTTCCCTGTTGTGAAGCGTGTTCACTCGAGCGATTGACAAGAACCGCGGGAGGCAGCTGCGAGGTAATCTCACGGTCTTGAGGTCGTGGACAGTCGAGTCCCTCGAGTTGCTCGGGACGATGCGCGAAGCGGACGAACTCTGCGGTGGCCGCGCACCGGAGGGAGAAGGTCCTCGGCGTCCAGCCTGGGGCTGGGGGTACGTGATCGAACCCTGGCGACCATGCCCATTGGGTACAGACATGTGGCTGGGAGGCGGAGGAACGACAGGATTTGAGATGGACGAAGAGTACGAATGTTGGCTCTCGGGAGGTTTGGAGTCGAAGAAGAGGAGGGAGGAATCGTTAGGGGCGGGTGGAGCTGGGGTAGACTTCGAGAACATGGATTGTAGTGACGGGACGTAGCCTTGCTTGAGCTGATGTTGGGACATGAGGGTTGGGTATCTTATGGGACCCTCTGGTGGCGCCGGTGAGGTGGTGGTCATTGGAGGTGGGTATTGGATGCTAGAGAATATTGTCAGCTACATGACACGCACGGAACTCGGGTGGAAACGTACGCAGAATGCTGTTTTGACTTGCTTGGGGTGTTGTCCATATGCCGGTGACGGCTCCACGGTTGACGATCCACGCCCTCGACGTCCGTTGAAGAGTCGTCGTCGTTCTTTGTTGGGCTTTCGAGCGGCATGATCGACAGGCCGGTAGATGGCCCATATAGTGATTGCTGCTGGGATGAACCAGGCGCATGTCCGGGTTGGGGCGCTGCCACAGGGAAGCTCCGCGAGCTGCCCCTGGTACTCGTCTCCTCGCCGGATCTATTACCGTTGGGCGAGGGCGTCAGCCGCGTAGCGACTTCCATCCTCGCAGCGAGCGCAGAGGCTTCTGCTTCTTGCTGCCTCCGCAAGATGCCTTCCCGCTCGCGCCGTCGCCTCTCCTCTGGGCCCCTCCGCCTCTCCTCATCCTCTCTCCGTGCTTCTTCCTCCCTGCGCGCCCTCTCGGCTCGCCTTTCCCGCTCCGCCATCGCCTTAGCCTCTGCTGCCCGTCGCTCAGCTGCAGCCGCTTGTTCCTCTCTGCGCCGTGACTCAAGCAAGTGTTGCCGTGCCAGTGCAGTTTCCTGGCGCGCTTGACGATCCCGCTCCTCCGCATTCCGTCGCTCCTGCTCGCCACGCTGCCAACTCTGCTCCCTTAGTGTCGCCTCTCTCGCCTCCCGCGCACGATCCGCGTCCCGTCTACGTCTCTGCTCCTCGTCTGAGGTCATGTCTGTGTACTGTGAACCAGCGGTCGATGGTCGACTGGAACCTGGAGTGGCACTCTGAGTAGCCTGCCAGTGCTCATATCTGTCCACAAGCACGGGCTTGAGCTGACTAAGGGACTCGAGGATGTCTTGCCCATTCTATCGACAAAGCGTTTCAGCACGAGAACGGCAACAAACGTGTCAATGAGAACAAAAGGACAACCGTTCGACGCGAAACCAGAGGTCCGATCGCAGCACCTGTCAACCAGCTAGGATCAACTAATCCTGGCAGGTTGACCGACTTGAAGCGCTTGGTGGCACGAACCCTAGAGCATGACAGAGAGTTCACAGGGTGAAAGATTAAGTGCCGGAGGCTCATGACGAAGAACGGTCGCTGATCCGACCTACCATGACCAGCGCCATACGGGGAAGCCAAACGAGGAAGCTGTCTTTCAGACAGAGCGAACGCCCTTGAATAGACACCCGACCAAGAATCCTGAAGAGACATTGCAAACCACAGAGCACGATCGGACACTTACCATGCCTAGGTTCTGACGCTGATCAGCATTCAACAGGGCAGTGTAGTCCTGGTGAGTAGGCAGCTTCTCCAGTACAATGGTGGCGGCCCTCGCATACTCGACGAATGCCCTTTCATAGTCTTGGTGTTCCGCGTAGTAGTCTCCATTCCTGCGAGATTTCTCTGCAGTGCGCAGCCAGTGCTTCAGACCCTTGGCAGGGTCCCACAGTTGGTCCTGAGCGCGTGCGGCGAGCTCAGAGATGGTCGCTGGCCGCTGATAGATGGGGTCTGGGGCCGTATTGGCGTAAATTGGAGAGCTCATGGTGGTCGAAAGGAAAGACCGCTGCCGCCGTGGGTGGGCAGGAGTCGAGACTGGCGGTGTACTTACCACCAGCACTGCGCCTCCCTAAACAGCTATATCACGTGACCCATCGAAGAGGGATACAGCTCAGCCTCGCACGAGCCCTCTCCGGTCCTTCGTCGGCCGCTGGGGCGCACTCAGGCCACGGCGACAGAATATGGATGGATATCTCGAAGGCGTGAAATCAATTTGAGAATCCCTTCATTACACAACATCTACGCATAAGCCGCTTCCGATTTACTCGACAGTTCACTGAAGCCGTAGTTTTCGCCCTTCACGAATGCACGGGTACAATGCGCCATGGTTACGGATCTGCAAGAGTGACGTTAGCAACGGGGCACACAAAACGGAGCGTGCAAGACACCCACGCTCGGGAGATAGGGTCCGTCTGGTAGAAGTTGCTGATCGGCTTGACGAAGGGTGCGCCCGCCACCTTCGCGTTCGCAGTACCAGAAGCAAGGGTCTTCAGGCCAGCAAGGGCAACATCGACAGAGGTAGGTTCAAGGGTGTCGTATCGGACCAGAGTCGGTGAGATCTCCCACATGCGATCCCTCAGGCTCAACACGTCGTCATATGGCAGAGGAGCGTCCACGACCTCAGAGAGCGCTCTACACGAGGCAACAATAAGCAGGAGCCCTTCAGTATCAGGAAAGGATGTAGGCGTACCGAATAATCTTCCAGTCCTCGCGCGACGCACCCGGGGGAGGAACAGCCGCGCGGCCCATCTGCGCACGACCTTCAGTGTTCACCCACGTCATGCCCTTCTCAGTGTAGGCAGCGCCGGGCAAGCAGACGTCCGCAAGCTGAGCACCCAGGTCACCGTGGTGGCCCTGGTAGACAACAAAGGCATCACGGGGAATCGACTTGGGGTCGACCTCATCGGCGTTGAGCAGGTAGATGAACTTGGGCTTGTCTGGGACGCCTTGCGTGAGGGAACGAAGCCCATCTCGTACGCTGCGGGACGAGATGCGACCTATGGAGAGCGTCATCTTCAACACGCGTAGTTGCCGCATGGTGTAATACGTACCCTCTGCAAGACTGCGAATCCATTCCACTCAGGCGTGACCAGCTGGCTCTTGTTCTGCTCCACGTACTTCGCCAGGGCGTTGAAAACCGCAGCACCATCCGGGTGTTCCGTGATCGCACTCCCGACGACGATCAGCGGCTTCTTCGCGTTCTTGAACTTCTTGGCGAACTCGCTCTTGCCCGCAACAAAGTCCGCCACCGCCTTCGCGTCCGTGCCCAGGTGCTCGTATCCGTACGCCGTGTCCACGCGTTCGCCAATCAGGCCCACTTCCAGCGTCGTGTGCAACCAGCTCTTGCGGATGCGCGAGTTGAGCACCGCCGCCTCGTGTCGAGGGTTGCTGCCCACGAGTAAGATGCAGTCCGCCTGCTCGACGCCCGGGAGCGTCGCGTTGAACAAGTAGTTCGAGCGCACATCGACGGCGTGCACCGGGGCAGCGTGCCCACCGACGCTGTCAAGCGTCACATTGTCCGAGCCGAGGCGGTTGATGAGGTCCTTGAGCGCGACCATCGACTCCGTATCCGCCAAGTGGCCCGCAACGGCCTGGATCTCGTCGCCCTGCGCGCCAGACGCCCGGAGGCCCTCAGCGACAGCAGCCAATGCATCCTCCCACGTCGCCGAGACGAAGCGGTCGCCCTGCTTGACGAGCGGCGTCGTGAGGCGCTGGAACCGGAGACCGTCGTACGCGTAGCGTGTCTTGTCGCTGATCCACTCTTCGTTCACGTCGTCGTTCGGCCGGGGCTGGACCCGCATCACCGAGAGCCCGCGAGAGTCGACCCGGATGTTCGACCCCACTGCGTCCATGACGTCTACCGACTCCGTGTGCTTGAGCTCCCAGGGGCGCGCGTGGAACGCATACGGCTTGCTCGTCAGCGCGCCGACGGGGCACAGGTCGACCACGTTCCCAGACATCTCTGAGTCCATCGTCTTCTCCACATACATACCGATCTGCATGTCATTGCCACGCCCAGTTGTACCGAGTTCCTCCACACCGGCGACTTCATTCGCGAACCGGACGCACCGCGTGCACTGGATGCAACGGTTCATCGACGTCTTCACGAGCGGACCAAGGTCCTTGTCCTCCACAGCGCGCTTGCCAGTGATTTCATGGAACCGCGTACGGTCCGCACCGTATCGCATCGACTGGTCCTGAAGATCGCACTCACCACCCTGATCACAGATAGGGCAATCAAGGGGATGGTTGGCAAGCAGGAATTCCATGACACCCTCGCGGGCTTCATGGACGAGGGGTGAATTTGTCCAGACTTTCGAGCCCGGCATGGCGGGCATCGCGCAGGATGCAACCGGTTTTGGTGACCGCTCGACCTCCACCAAACACATACTAGAAGACTTGAGCTTTTCGAGACATATGGTCAAGCAGACTACTCACCGACAGTTACCCGCGATAGCTAGCCTAACCAGAGAGTCAAAAGAGCGACTGGAGCTGAAGGAACCCGGCCATACCTGTCATGATAGCAGAACCGTGGTATTGTGGCGCCAGCAGCCTCGCAAGCTTGGATCAAAGCCGAACCTAACGCAAGGAAAGCAAGTTAGTGAAACCGTACAACATGATGTACAATACTTAGCAAGGGTGCCAAAAGGCCCGGCATGGACAATTTCGACGCAAACCCCAAACAGACGTATACTCACCTTGTGGGACGGTAACCTCCTTTCCATCCACCGTCAAGGTAATATCGCCCTGGCGCGCCGACGTAGACGCAAATGTCCTCCTTCCTGACAACCCTCCTGGTTCAGCAAGCAAAACTAGCAGCAGCACAACCGCCACGCACCTGTAAGCGTAGAGGGAGCAACTTTGGCTAGGATGCTCGCAGAAGCGGGCTTCGACGCCGAGACCAGCCGCAACATGGCTCGAGAATGTACAGCACGAGCTGGTCGGCGCGCGCGAGGGTGGTGAGAGACAGAACTGATGAGTAAGTCGAGCGAGGCGACGAGGACGACGGAAACGACGATGGCCGTACGCCGGCTTTCACCGAGTTAGGCGCCCGGCATAACCGGATAGCGGTTCGATTTACGCACAATTTGATTGGCTCCCGCAATTCGGGCGCTCCTCGAGCTCGAGCTCTGAGCGCTGAGCTGCCAGTGTGCGCATTCATTCACTGGAGGCCTATCTCATATGTTCTGAGCGCGCTCTAGACATTGGTAGACATTGGAACACCAGAGTACGATAGCACTGCTGTGGCCCATGTCGCCTCAAGTCACCAAAGGGCTGGCGCTAGCTCTCATTATGCACCACTGAGCTTGCTCGCGATCCCTGGCATGGCCTCAACGCCGAGACACACTGGCAAACAACATTCGCCAATGCAGTGACAGCAGTAATGTAACAAATTCACCCAAAATTCTCAGCAAATGTCAAGCGAATGGCGTATATTCCGCAGAAAAAGCAACGACCATGACAGTGCGTAGAGCTACAAGCTATGCGTACAACAGGTCCGTGAGTGTAAATACCAAGACACCAGAAAGCAGAAAAGTCCGAACGCAACATAGCGAACAGAGAACGCCGTCACAGGTCGTTCACGGGACGAACACCACCACCAGCACGTTCACCACTAGCTTCTCCATCTCGCCCGCCTGCACGAACGGCACGCGCTCCTTCGAGATCGGGCCCACCACGCTCATGTCGTTCAGCAGCATGATATCCGTCTCCGAGACCGGAATCGCGCCGCTCTTCTCCACACGTGTCCGCAGGTCGTCCTCCTCTTCCTCGCCAGGCTCGGACGCCCCCGAGCTAAACGGACCTCGCATGAGAGGAGGAGCACGCCCCCCGTTAACGACGGAGATAGGCATACGAACGTGCGATGCGCTCGGGCTATCCGCGACATCGCCTGAGAACTCGACCGTCTGGTCGACTGGCCAGATGTAACCCCCTGCTGTCCACCGCAGTTCGGGTGCGAGTTTGTACAGCTTGATCGCGTGGTACAGAACGGAGTCTCCGCCCTTGAGCTAGATTGAGGTCGCATGAGACACACTTCGATCTGAAGAACAATCACTTATACTCACATATGGCACAAGCGACTCTGCCAGTACCTCACCCGGGTTGACTCCATAGTCGCCGGTGAGGTAGAGCGCGATCCTGCGACCTCGAGACATGTTGAGAATCGGCGACAGCAGGTCCAAGAACCGATCGCTTGGCGTGATCAGTGGGTTAGGCTGGATCAACGCCGGCCCAAACGTCCTCAGCTGCACTGCGTAGCTGATTGACACCCTGCAGCCTTTCTGCACGAGTTCCACTTCATGATCACAGTCGCCCATGAACGCTGTCCACTCCATATCGCCGCTCTTCCCTCCTCGTCCGAAGAATTTATCCTCCACGCCGTCCGCATTGCGCACGACCAAGGCTCCTCCGCGGAAGCGCACAGGCAGGGTTACGACGATCGTCGCCACTCGCCCATCGTTTGGCCGCCGCTGCACGGGTATCGTGTTCCCTTGCAATACTATCTCGAGCTTGTCTCGTATCGCTGTCAGATAGTGACCGAGGGGAAGTGTGGGGAATAGAGTATTGCGGACGGCCTCCAGAATCGGGTGGTTGGCAATCTCGAGCGTAGCCGTAAGCGGAAGGTCAGTGGGGTAGAAGAGGGACTCGTTTTGCGGGTATGCATAGTCATCCATGCCCGGTGGACGCGCGAGCCCGACCGGAAGTGGCCGACCTGACGGATGTGGTTGACATGCTGCGATGAGAACGTCGAGGGCTGGTGGCAAGTCGTGATCGATATCAATGGGAAAGTCGACGGAGTGCGTGATACCACTCTACGCTGCGATGAGCATCCATCCGTAGACACACATCGGACAGCACTTACTCTTGATCGGAAGAACAGTGTGAGCACAGAAGGATCCACTGGTATACGCCCCGACACCGTGTACGGTCGTGCCTTGGCACTCAGCAGCGCGCCGACGCTCGTCCGGAAGGCCGTCTCGTTGTCGAACTCGTCTGAGGCCCGTCTCCGACGCGCCTTGGGCGGCGTGTGCGGCGTCTTGGGCATATGCTCAACCTCGAAGTCGGACATGCTGGGGTGTCGTGTAAAGGGCAGTCCGTCCGAATATCTACTCGAGCTGGACGGTGAAGAGCGCGCACTGACCGTCGTAAACGGCATGTTCGGTGCCAGAGACGACGATGCGCGATGAACCAAAGGGAGAGCGGTAGAAAAACGGAGACAAGGGGCGTGCAGACCGTAAGGTGGGAGATTGGCGACAAGAAGAGCTCGAGACCGCAGGGCGGGGTCTTATGACGACAAAGTGTATACAGAAGCGCTTCTCTTCGTCGGCCATGCACAACAACGTGTTCGACCAGATGGGCGATGAGAGGCCTTGAGAGGCCCAGGTCTATCATCCCGTTTCCTGCTTGATCATACGGAGCTCCAGAATCGATAGCAGGAATACGAACCATCGGCCGGTGGGACAGAGTGGATGCGTGTCTATCGTCAGATCAATCCTGGGTAGAGCGCGATACCGGAGCTGATGGAAAATAGATGGCACTTGGCAGTCAGCCTCGAGTCTCTCAAACAACAAAAATTGCTACCTCTTTGAGGAACAGCCTGAACTTCAACGACACGCGACATCCGGCCAGTGTGCGGGTAAGCTCTTCAACTACAGCGAACGGCCCCACAACCACGCTGCACTTCGCACCTAAGCTTGAGATCCGGCATAATAATAGGCAGACGGTTCTATCTGCATCGGGGTGCAATGTGCTGCTGAGCAAGTTATACAACATTAAGCACGGAGGACGTGCGCAGAGGAGAGAAGGGGAGAGGCGGTCATGAGAAGAGAGCGGTGTCGCCGTGTACGGACTCGGCGGGCACAATCTCTGCATTCTGATTGGTTGACGCGATCATGCGTTTCACCTATTACATGCCCATTTTGGTAATACTTACAAGCCGATAAGTACCGCCATCAACTCGTCGAGAACGTCGTACGTACACAGCACATACGTCTATGCATCGGCCCTTCGCGTTCTCCCCTACTGATGCTCAATTGAATCGGATAAAATAGACTTGAGCTTCTGTGTGATCCTCTCGATGGGCGCACTCTGGTCGAGAACGGGCGAGAAGTCGACGTGATTCACCGCCGGAAGTCACTGGCCCCGGTTTAGCTGAGTCGTAAGTGATATTAATCCTCTGTGAGCCTCTGAGATGTATTGATCACACGCCGCATACAACTTCGACAGCCCCCCTAGGCAGTACAATCACTTGTACTGTACGTGGCATCGTCTAGCCATCTACTCTGGCTAGCATGTCAGTAGCTTATCCGACAGCGCAGCTCGACGAGGCCCGAGTCGGGGTGGCCTGCCTTCAACTACATGTTCCTGGAGCTTTCAAGCCGCCCGATCATGCTTCGAAAGGCTGTGCGGAGGCCGTGTCCTCTACGATAGGTAGTCGGGATACTCTCCAGTCGGATTTCAATCGGCAACATCACCACCGTGTGTGTGCAGACCTTGGATCTCGCCCCACGGATGGTGAAGATTCACGCGGAGTACCAGGTAATCTACAACGAAAGGCTTTCCAATCCCCTACGTCTTCGGCGCCAGCGACGCGCGAGCGTCGTGTCGGCGTCCATGCGCTCATGATTGTGTCTGCGAGTCGTTCCAGGGTGCTGGCTATACCCTCGGTTACTCCAGTGCCCTTCTTCACAGCTGTCAACCTCAGCGAAATTGAGGAGCGAGCGATGTAAGATCCGCGGATGTTCTCTATTGAAGCACCCCTGACTTTACGGCATTCAGAGATCACTTGTCCAGACACGCGCCGCGATCGGGAGTGTCTCTTTCCTTTCCTCTCTTCACAAGCAGTCTTGCTTCTTGGCGCGCGGGCCAGAGGCTGCGTGGCGTAGGTGGTTCAACCGACAAGTTCCCAAGGGAAGGAGACATCCTCTTGATGCATTTGTCCGTGTTCACTGTTTAACTGCGCTCGACACCACCTCACCTTCACAAGTGTCTTGATAGCAAACTCCAAAGGTAGGCGCTTGGACGTTGTTTCCTTTGTGAAGAAATGATCCCTGAGTCGTTGTTTGATCTATCCTAACAGCTTAATCACTTCCAACCTTCGCAACCCGGGTAGCAGCGACACTCTATTTCAGCGATGTACCGCGGATATGGTCAAATCTTTCGCGTTCCAAATTGACGTTGAGCTCAAACTTCGGCCCACTAGGTGTTTCACAATCGTGATACCTGCTCACTTCTGCCGTTTTTCCTAATAGCTTGTTTCAAATGACGTCGGCGGCGTAGAAGCTCTGATCAGCCTACTCCCCCGCCTCACGTCATGTATTCATATATGGGACACAATTCAACGAGACCCACAACTTCCAGCGCCCGGGTCCGCTGTTCAGTGACGGCACAACTGGTCCCGCAGAAGCCCGGATACACCACATTCCTTCTCGTATTGTCGTACGTAGCATCCTTGCTTGCTGTCCCTGCCATCTAACCCTGTTAATTGCAGAAGCGAGTAGGGCCGGAGATGCCGCCAGCTTCGCGACGTCGACATGACGTCGGCCGTCAAGGTGCTCCTGTAGGAGACGTGTTGGGCCGTACCTCGAGGTTTCAACGCTGACGAGGACGCCGTGCGATTTTCCAGAAGTCTCTGTCGAGGCTCTCAACAAGTCTCTGAGAGATTTCGTACCACAACCTCGCGCCCGGAACGTTTACGCCGTTCCATGCAGTACGGACGTCCGTCTGAACCTGATCACGGTACCGTGGTCCGTGAATGTGCTTCGTCAGACGAAGTGATACGCTCTCCTCATGGTCATGGAGCTCTCCTTCATTGGATGCGATGCTGCAACGCGGAACGGGAGGCCGCGGAAGTGATCTCGAGAGGGAAGGTGGATCCTCGAAATTCAGCTTACCTCCAACGGCGTGGACAGGATGCGGGATGTGACGAGAGGCCTCAGGCTGGCACGTCCCTGTGGTTTGGCAAATAATTGTCGACTGTCAGGTACCGGCTGCAGTCGCGCGGAGTCCGTGGATGTAACCATCGCTCGACAGAAGGCGAGGGGATTACCGCCGGCAAGTGACCGTCATGTCGGTGCACAATGTACGGGCACATACTTTGCTGTTGCTGCCATCTCTAGGGTCGTCCACCTAATGCTGTCTGCTGTGGCGACACATTCCGCCAAACTAGGGAGGAGGGTAGTGGGCCACTGGCATCCTACCATCGTCAGACAGATCCGGTATGTGGATCATCTTGGCTCGAGATTTGCATCGCACTGTAGTGCTAGGATGGTCGAACCAGATGCTGACGAGCCTTTCGTCAGCCCGCTTGCGACGGCGTGCGGTCCAAGACTGGGTTCGTGTTCCTTAGTCATTTTTGATACGATGGCGTACGATTGTGGTGCCCAAAAATATATAGTTGTCTGGGAAGGAACCAACTCAAAGTGCGAGACCACGATTGTGAGTCGCCCATGCGCATTGACCTGCTGGCCACCTAGGCCTGTTTACAGAAGTGGGAGGGCCCGACAAGATCGGTCTTCCGCAAGTCTTTCGAACACGTACTTACAAGCTAGAGCAAGTGCAGGTGCTCGCTGGATACCTCGCAGTTCATCAAGGGGATTTTACCCCAGACTACCCCACATCCTTGGTCCAGGACCTTGGATGCCCTTCCTGCTCGGATGAACTGTCCGGTGCCTCGGACGTGTCCTGTCATTCTTGGCATTTCATGTCGAGTCCGAGTCGCCTGTCATCCGGCCGGTAAGAACCTGTCCGTTTTAACAGTCAATGTACAAATTCTTCAACTCACCCATCGTGTTGCTTGAACTTGCTCGGAATCTTGTTGAGACTCTGAGACTCGAGAGTAAGTAGTATAGGACGGTCATATGACTGCTTGGAACCCGGGTTGGATCACCGGCCCGGAGACCGACATCTGGCGGGGGATCGTTCAATTGGTCGGGTAGCTCGTTTGAACATCGGAGACGAGCTACAATCGTCGATGGTCCGCTCGAAGGTCTGGCACATGAGCATGAAATGTCGACGAGAACAAACGACGGGATGCGACGGGCCCACAAGCCCCTCCCGTTCGATAAAATTCTATCGCCAAATTGATTGATGCGCAAGCGCCGTGCGGGTGGCAATCTGCTAAGTATTAAGCTCGGGCTTTCCTCGATGTACGTTGTCTCGCCCTCACCGTCAAGAAGGTGGACGCTCCTTTCCGAGACTGCTCGTGCTGCCGGTGAAACGATCTGACACGACATGGACGACGGCCCACGCGGACTCAAGCTCAAGAAGGAGGACTCGAAGGGGTGAGTGTGATTCGCGCGCCCGGAAAGGAAGCGCACCCCGCCGCGGCCATCGCGATCTCTGACTCGTGGCGTTCTTCGAAAAGCATCGACTCTGTTACGGAGGACATCACGAAGACCCTTGCAGCTGGTGAAGTCTCGGAATTCGTGGTAGTTGCGGAAGGAGAAGAACGCACGACATGGTTCGTATGGATGCTTGTGTTTTGCGCCAGCATATCCGGATTGCTTTCGGTAAGAGACACTCTTGCCTCTCCACCAGCCGGTGTTCTTGAATATGAATGCACGGCGTAGGTATGACACGGGTGTCATTTCGGGTGCTCTCGTCACCATCGGGTCAGATCTCGGACCTCAAGCACTCTCGAACTTCCAGAAGGTGCGTTCACACGACGTCTATCCCCAGCATTGGTGCGTACCGACAATGTAACTATGTTAGGAACTCATCACGACAGCGACGACCCTCGGTGCCCTCATTGGCGGCCTCATCGCCGGCATGCTCTCTGACTACATCGGCCGGAAACCCGTGCTCGCTGTCGCAGACATAATCTTCATGCAGGCGCGATCGGCCAAGCCGTCTCTCACGCCGTCTGGCCCATGGTGAACAGAGTTCCCTCACCCTCACGCGCGTTTGGTTCACCATCTTCGACGTCACTCTAGATCGGCGGAGGTTCGTGATTGGCTTCGGCGTGGGCCTCGCATCGTGCATCGCGCCGCTGTACATCCAGGAACTGTCGCCTACCCGCCTGCGCGGCCGTATGGTGCGGTCAACGTCGTTGCTATCACTGGAGGCCAGGTCATCGCGTATGGCATCGACGCCGCCTTCCAGAACACGCACGGTGGCTGGCGCTGGATGGTCGGCCTCGGGACTGTCCCCGCAGGAGTGCAGTTCTTCTTACTCTTCTTCCTGCCAGAGTCACGTATGTATACCACCTTACTTGAGGCGATCCCCAGTTACTGATCGCGTTTTGATTGGAGCGCGCATCATGATCCGCCGAGGCAACCTCGACGGTGCCACAGAATTCTGTCGAGGATATACTCGATGGCACGCCCGAGCAGGTTCAACTCAAGGTTCGCGCGCCGCTCGTGTTGTTCATAATCTTCTGATTGACGTGCGCGTCAGATGAAAGTGTTGGAAGCTGCAGTGAGGGAGAGCGTCGAGATCGCCAACTCGACCACCTTCTGGCAGCGCCTCAGATCCATCATCCTTGTGCCTATACATCGCCGTGCCCTGAGTGAGTCCAGTCGTCACGTTATCACGGACACGTTCTGACTTCCTGTAGTCATCGCATGCGGTCTCCAGGCGTTCCAACAGTTGTGCGGTTCAACACGGTGAGTAGGACTGCTTATGCCTTGCCTGCTGCCTGGCTTCTGACCTGCATTCTTACAGCTCATGTACTACAGTGGTGCGGTATTGTCTACGCTATACGCATTCTACGTCTCTCACATGGCTCCGATCGATAGCCACGCTCTTCCAGGAGATTGGCTTCAACGACTCAATCGCCGTCAGCTTGATCGTTTCAGGCACCAACTTCATCTTCACCCTGTTCGCGCTCAAGTACATTGACATCATTGGCCGGCGTAAGATCATGGTTTTCTCTGCGCCCGGCATGATAGTTGGCCTCATCGTTGCCGCCATTTCTTTCCACTGTGAGTCGGCGTCATTCGGTTATGGACGACGCAGAGCTGATCTATGATATTGCAGTCATGACCGTGAACACGGGTGGTCAACTCGTCAGTGGCACTGATTACTCGAAGACATGGTCAGCCATCATCCTAGTGTCCATGATCGTCTACGTAGCCTCCTACGCCACGGGCCTTGGTAACATCCCGTGGCAGCAAGGCGAATTGTTCGCGCTCCAAGGTCCGTCCCCGCATCTCATATCCCACTCTACGTCCCGCTGATCCCATCTGCTCTTGCAGTCCGCGGAATCGGCACGTCGCTCTCCACGGCCATGAACTGGGGCGCAAACCTGCTCATCAACTCGACCTACCTGTCGCTCATGGCGGCAATCACACCCGCGGGTGCGTTCGGCTTCTACGCCGGGCTGTGTCTCCTCGGCTGGCTCTTCTGCCTATTCTGCTTCCCGGAGACGGCCGGCCTCAGCTTGGAGGAGGCGCAGATGATCTTCCAGCACGGGTTTGGCATCCGCGCGAGCGAACGGCTCCGCCGCGAGAAGCGGGCGATCAAGACAGCGGAGGCAGAGCGAGCAACGCGGGAGAAGGCGTAATGGTACCTCTCTTCAGTCCCCTCGACCTACCGCCTACGGGGAGCGTTCCGCGTGGCTGCTGCGATCTTCTACGCTATCTGGCTACACGTCCACGCGATGTGTCGTTGTACTTGTATCATTTGTCGGTTACCCTTCACGATTTTATAATCGAGGTGATGTCTGGGCAGGCGTATTTGGGCATACGCGGGATGGTGCGGTTCACTAGCAAGAAGTTAATATTTTAACTACTGCCATTGTGCGAGGGGGCACGGAGGCAGGACAGATGTAATTATCGTATCCCCCCCTCAGTGACCACAGGCATCTGCATCAGCATTGACTCAAAAGGGAGGGTTTACAGTCATCGTAACATCAGCTACCGAGCCGTTCTCTAGATGCTGACCATGCACGGGCCACACTGTGGTCTATGCATCTCTGCCATGGAGGCGCCATCGGAACACGCCGAGCATCGCAAGACTTCAGTGGTTCGTTCGTCCCGCTCTGAAGCAAAGTTTCCCAAAGTTATCGGAGCATATATACATGTCAGCCACGCTTGTATGCCAATTCGCTCGCATCGACTCCGTCGAGTCTATGTTACATGGACAAACAAGGACACTCACATCCGGCGGTGGGCGTGAACGACTTTCCGGATATGGTAAGTGAACCACCCACTGCTCCGATTCTTTTTGAGCTTTGATCGCCCGCAACATGTCTATACAACACCACTGCGCTTCAGGCTCTATTTTGACATGGCTTCGCTGGCGCGCCCGAGTGCGATAACTATTGAAATATTGACTTCCTAGCTGGGCGCACCATGGATCGCACCGTCGCAGACACTGACGTCACGCGTTGGCGTGTGGTGAGCGCGTCATGGCTTACTGTCGTGAGGCGTACCGCGACTGTCAAGCAGGCCCACATATATACTGACAGCCTGTCACTATGACGGAATACGAACTCACTCTCCCAGCATAAAGTCTCGCGGCCGCGATGCAGTCCGTACTCAACGCCCTCTCCCCTTCCTCCCACAAGCAGCCGCAGAACTCGAACTCGAACAACATGCCGCCCGTACCAAAGCGTGGCCTTGCCTTTGACTTCTCTGGTACGTCACCGAAGCCGTGCGCGCGATGGAGCGATGGTCTGACGGACGATGCGTAGGCAGGAGCATCATAGTGACGGGAGGCAATCGCGGGATCGGTCGCGCTATCACGGAGGCGTGCGCATGTGCCGGGGCGCGCGTCGCAATCATCTACAGAGCATCCAAGGATGCGGCGGACGTGGCGAAGCAGATATCCAAGGAGAACGGGGTCGAGGTCAAGGTGAGCGGAGAACCATCGTCTGGAGGCACGGCGCGCTGAAGCGGGGCGCATATAGGCGTACCAATGCGACGTCTCCGACGCAGAGCTCGTGCAGAAACTTCAAGCGATAACGAGAGATGGGTCCGGTCACCGGGCTCGTCGCGGTATGTTCTCCTGTCACGCGTAGATGCGGTCATCAACGTGTTGGCGATGCAGAATGCCGGAGTCTCGGTCGTGAAGCCCGCCTCGAGATGACGAGGGAAGACTTTGACAAGTGTATACGGTGAACGTTCTCGGCGTGTTCAACGCCGCACAAGCGGCCGCGCGCCTCTGGGTCGACAGCAAATACGACGGAGGGTCGACGGTCATCGTGTCGAGCATGAGCTCGCAGATCATCAACCAAGTCGCGCAGGGGAAGCCGTTGACACAGGTGAGCGTATTCCAATGTGCTCAGTCGGCGTGCTTACGGCTACGCTGCACCGCAGGTATTCTACAACTCTTCCAAAGCAGCTGTGTCCAGTCTCGTGAAGGGCCTCGCGGCTGAGTGGGCTCAATACAACATCCGCGTGAACGCCGTCTGTCCAGGATACGGTAAGTTTTCTCGCTCTGCTGCTTTTGGCATCGACTGACGGTCGGTTTTGTAGTTAACACCGACCAGACGTCCGGCATGGAGAAATCTGTCAGGGACCATCAGGCAGGCGGGGTGCCGCTTGGCCGGTTCGCGCAGCCGCATGAGATGGCACCGCAGACGCTGCTGCTGCTTTCTGAGCATGCAAGCTACATGACCGGACAGGAGTACTTTGTTGACGGGTGAGTCGTGCGCTTCGTGCGAGCAACCGTGTGTGTACTAAGACGAGTGTGCAGTGGTCAACTCGTTTTCTGAGATACCACTAAAACCGTTAAAACCGTGACTGGGACGGATTGGAATCCTTGTACGGCAGAATGCAACATTGATGACGGGATCTTACTGAGATGTACGTGTACTGTATGTGCACGTCACTACGATATTTGGCAGAAAAGTTGCCGGGCAGAGTCTGTCCGCCAACCTATCAGTGGCGGGCGACATGAGACGGTTACTGAACGCACTATTGGCCATCTCACGAAGTGCGTCTGTTCGCGTCTGAACGCCGCCGTCTCGTCCAAGACGCTTTCTACGGCTGCGAAGCAGTCAATAACCGCGTGACATGAATAGGAATGTGTACTAACAACTGGATCGTTCGCGCTTGCCTCTCGATCGGCATCACAGGCAGCTCTGTCGGTAACCCTGTTCTCGACCACTTGTTGGACAAGCTGGCGCAATTCCGCGTTCGTCTCATTGCATTGCTCCATCCAACGTTGCTTTTCCTCCCAGTGCTCTTTTGTGAGTTCACGCATGCGCTGGAGCTCCTCCCGCTGTTCGAACACGAGGTTGGTGATGTCGCTCAGCTGGGCGCGCGTAGCTTCATCACCATCTCTATATGCTCCCGCTCACGACGTTCACACTCCACCACCAATCGCAGCTGGCGTTCATTCTCCAGCTCCGCACGGACAGAGGCAAGCTCTTCTTCCAGGGAACGGATCCGGTCCTCCCGGTCTTCGTTGTAACGCGCGCGTTCAGCTTCCATTTGCGCCTGTTGACATTCGCGTTTGGCCTCGGTAAGCTCCCACTCCCTGATAAACTCCTCGCGCTCCTCCCGAACAGTATCCAGAATCTCTTGAGTATGACGAGAAGCGGCGTTTTGTGCCACGGAACGGATCGACTCCACCACGGATTGCTGATCAGCCAGTCGCTCTACAGGAATATCTGCAGGTACTTAACTTACCTCTGGTGCGGATAGCCTAGGTTCTGCGACTGGCTCAGGTGGTGGGGGCACTGGCAAGGGCACCTGTTGCACAATATCAGCCAAGCGATCCTGGAGCTCCCTCCACACCGCGTCTCGTCGTCGGCGGCCTCCCATTCGCGGCGAGCTTCGTGATCCTCGAAGATGCGCTGTCTCTCGTCTTCATTTTCTCGGAATGCTTGATCGCGAGGGGCTTCGGTTTCCACAAAGGTCCAGAGGGTATCCGTGATCCGTCGTTCGAGCTCCGCGAATTTTTCGTTTCGTTCGCGCTCGGCGTCTTCAAAGCCAAGGGTTCCTCGGCCAGACTCCCTGTACCGCTGCACAGCAGCAGGGGGACAAGGGCGGACTGTTGCTCTCCTAGAAGGCGCGGCGGAGGGAGGGATCGAGGGTGCGCTCATATGGTTCCTCTGGTGGTGGGGCATAATGATCGGCAGGTTCCTCTTCATACTCGTGTTCGGGCCCCAGCAACCTCTGAGACAGGGGAGGGATATATCAGAACGCCGACAAGCATGCGAAGGCATGCATCGAACTTACGATGAGTCGGTGTTCCTGTGAGTTCAATAATGTGCGTGAATACGTGGGCAATATGTGGGGCCGGACTCGCTGGTGGGTAGTCTCCAGGCTCTTCTATCTCGATGCCGGTAGGGCTCTTGAACCGGGGTGTTGTGGGCTGTCCGCTTGCCCCCGCATGCGGCATGGCTGCGGGTGGCTTCGCCCTCGTGCTGCAAGGCTGCGAGTGGCTTCATGGGTCCGTGGTTTGCGTTTATGGTCACCCCATCCTACATGTGGCGATCCTCCTGCCTGTCCATCCACCGCGGCGCCTGTCTTTGTAGCTAAAGTACCTGTGATGCCTGTGCAGTCTGTACCGTTGACGGGTCGAACACGTTCCAGTTGGCGGGTGTGAGCCGCTGGTGGTACAGGTTGTGAACAGAATTGTGAGCATGTACGTACTGTGACGTATGAACATATGAAAATTCAAGTACTCAGGTTCAGGGAGCCCATTCAAGGACCTTCGTGGACTGTTGCGAACTTTGTCCACTGCTTTCGCCGCGCTACTCAGGCTGCGCCATAATCGGCAGTCCCCATCACATACAAGGACTGTTTCAGTGCGTAAGATAGGCGCCAATTCCCTGCATAGAGCTAAAGTGAGACGATGCACTGCCACTGGCAACGGTTTCTGCGTGTTAGAAGGTAGAACATGGTAGGGTAAGTAGTGAGTTGCCGCGTTGCCAAGGAAGGGTCGAGGCCAGCCACTGCAGCTCAGATGAGTACAAAACATGCACTCGCCACTTCTGTGATGCAGGGAAGGGCCCTATACGGTATCCATAGCTAGAAAAACTTTTAGAGATGCTACAAAAGGCTCTGGATATGTTACCAATTTGGAGCTCTACCGGGCTCAGGTACTAGTGACAATATTTTGCGAGTGTCGGAACTTGGTCGGAACCATTGTTTGGTCATGTGATTCTGTGAACCACACAGCGGGGTTAGGTGCGGTTCGGACGCATCGTCAGGGAAGGAAGATGAAGGGAGGATGACCGTCCCCAATGTGAACATTGCCTCGAGGCTGGACAAACGTCGGCGAACTCATGATGCAATTCGGCCTATCACGCGCTACGAAGGGAGACGCCTCCGCCCCCCCCCCGGCCGGCGCACGGTCGAGAACACAAACTCATATGTTGGACAGGATTCACAGAAAGAGAGCGTGCTTCCGTGACGGGAACAGCTCTGCGCTGTCATCACAGAACAGTGCCAGAGAAGCGTCATGGGCTCGAAGTGGAGCGATGAGCATGATGACGTTGGAACATAGGATCAATCTGACACTGAAGTATGTTATTTATTAGACCCGTGCATTCGATCGTTCCGATGAGTCGCTCTCACGTCGCTGAGCGTGTTCGAGAAGTTGAAAGAAGCACCTACCTCATTTCACATCTTCCATGAGAATAGTCCTCTCCTTCGATTCGTTGCACGGGAGTCAACGTCCCGATCGTCCGCCCGGCCAACGTTCCCGTTTGGGCAGGACACCTTCCGGATCCGTCAGTGTGACTCGGGCTGGCGGTCTGCGTCATATTGCGCCCGAGGTCTTCTTCATTAGTTGAATACCTGTCAAAGCCCAGCGCGTGTCTATATAATAAGGACCAAGTCGTACTGGGACAGGTCACAGCGGATGAACTTCTCCCCTCGCTGACTCTGCTCTCACCCGCTCTTCAAGTCAAAGTGTTCACCAAAGTCAGGAGCCTAAAGCTTTGCTTGCATCGGTCTAGTTTGATACTTGGACCTGGCCGGCGATGGATAAACACTATAGTATGTGTTCCTGTATTTTGTTGACTCGTGAACAGCTGGGGTCCATATGCATGTTCGCCTCCAGTCACTCTGATCGCTGAAGTACTTAATTCGGGTGAGTGTGAGCCGAGTCATTCTCTGTCCCTATCTAACCGGGATGAACTAGTCTTTCTCCGCACTCCGAGTCCTGGGTACCACGGACCACCACAGCGAGTCATACGAGATGCTCCGGTAGGTCCCGCTTTCAGTTTCACCGCCTGCACGTCCCTTGCCCTAACGCTTTATCATGTCAGTGACTCGGGCTGTGAACCGTTGCCTACCGCTGCCCGCCGTCGTGTGCAGCATTGATTTGCTTTGGTGTGCTTGACGCAGCGCGGCGGGCGCTCAACCCGATTTGGCGCCGACGCTATTGTCTCTGCGTGGGAACGCGCGACGCGACAATGGTGGGCGCCTACACGCGTCCCGGACGCGCTCCTATTGTCCCGCTATTGTCTGCCAGGATGCAAAAGACAATTGACAAAAGCCATGGCTGCCCCGAGTGTCTGCCCATTCTCCCCTTCGCTCTCTTCACCTTGCGACATCTGCTCGCGCGCGCCGTCGTCAGACGAGCTTCGCATTCGATACTCTCGCCATGCCTGCTACGACCGAAACGACCCCTCACGCCTCTACTTTCGACCTCGAGCAGAAACTCGATTCCACCACAACCATCAATGTACCATCAGCGACACCAACCCACCCCTTCCTGAATGCACGCCACCCCAGCCGTCCATTCGCCTGCTCTTCTCGTTGGTCTCGAGGCGTGACTTCTACATGATCGTGCTCCCCGCCATTCTCACCTCTATGCTCGCCGGAGGCATCGCTCCTTTCATGACATACGTCGTGGGCGAGTCTTTCAACTCCTTTGCCAATTTCCCGACCACTCCCAACCCTCCCGAGTCTGCGAAATCTAGCCTGCTACACGGCGTCGGCCTCGCCGCGCTCGAGCTTGTAGGCTTGGCTGTAGGTGCCCTCGCCCTCAGTAGCATCACCTCGAGCCTCTGGATCTGGACGGGTGAGCGGAATCTGATGGCAGTCCGTAAGAAGGTGTATACCACTGTGACGCGGAAGGATATGCTTTGGTTCGACACCAAGATGGGTGCCGAAGACTCGGTTCAGGTCGCTGAGGGGGATGGACCTCTCGGCGCTGGTGGTCTCATGGCAAAGTTTGCCAGGTGAGTGATTCGTCTTCACTCTTTGTTCAGCATCTCAAGTAATTTGCAGGGAGACAGACGAAGTCCGGATGGCGTCGTCGCTGGCGTCTGGCTTCATCATCCAGTACTTGACCACTTCAGTCACCTGCCTCATCCTTGCCTTTGTGCAGTCGTGGTCGCTCACACTGATCATCCTGTCGGCCGTCCCGGTTCTCATGGTCATCCAGACCGCCTCTCAGATCTTCGCTGGCGCTCACCTCGGCGTCGAGCGTGCTACGACCGCGACGGCAGCGACGTTGGTGGACCGCGCCATTGCAGCTATCGCAACGGTCAAGGCCTTCAACGCGGAGACACACGAGCAAGAAACCATCGGTCGCGTTCTCGACGCGATGCAGACTGCTGCGAACAATTGCATCACCGTCTGGGGCATCACGTCCAGCCTCGGGCAGTTTGTCATGATGGCTATGTTCGTGCAAGGCTTCTGGTTCGGCTCCAAGCTGGTGCGCGACGGCACGATTACCCCTGGCACTGTCATGTCTGTATTCTGGGCGTGTCTCATCGCGACCAGCAACCTGCAGATGTGCATCCCCCAGCTGATCGTGCTTAGCAAGGGCAAGTTTTCCATGGCCGCGCTCCTCGCCCTCGTAGAGTCTGCCCCCGTCTCTCCGACTGTCGCGCCTTCTAAGGCTGCCAGACGTCCGAATCATATCCGGAAGATTGTCCCGGCCAAGTGCCGTGGCGAGTTCGAGCTAGACGGCGTCACGTTCGCGTACCCTAGCCGGCCGACGCTCCCGGTCCTGCAGGACGTCTCTATCTTCCTCCCCTCCAATGAGACCTCTTTCATTGTTGGTGGCTCCGGGTCGGGCAAGTCCACCATCGCGCAACTGCTCCTTCGCATGTACGCCACCGCAGAAGGCGCGATCCGCTTCGACGACCAAGACGTGAACTACTTGGACGAGGACTGGATGCGCTCGCACGTCGCTGCGATCTCTCAGGGATGCATCCTCTTCGACATGACCGTCCACGAGAACGTCGCGATGGGCTTTGCATACCCCGGTAGCCGCCGCCGCCCAGAAGACGTCACTCGCGCTGAGGTCGAGGCGGTATGTCGTGCGGCGCTGATGCATGAGTTTGTGAGGGACCTGCCGGAGGGATACGACACCCGTCTGGGGAATGGCGGCGCAAACTTGTCGGGAGGTCAGAAGCAGCGTCTCGCCATCGCCCGTGCGCTTTTGCGCAACCCCACTGTCCTTATTCTTGGTATGTTCTCTTTATATATATAGATAATCCAGTGTGTTGACCACTCTTCGCAGATGAAGCAACGTCCGCGCTGGACGCGACCTCTCGTATTCTCGTGTTCGAGGCCATCAAGCGCTGGCGCGCGAACATGACCACTATCGTGATCACCCACGACCTGTCCCAAATCGAGTCAGAGGACTTCGTCTACGTCCTCAAGTCAGGCCAAGTTGTCGAACAGGGCTTCCGGAACGAGCTCGAGTCCTTCGTGCACGGCGAGTTCCGTCAGATGACCTCTACTCAGCAGGCCTCGGGCGGCTTCCAAGAGAAGTCTCAGGCGGAGGTCGAGGCACCTCCCGTTGAAGCCATCTTGGAGCAACAAGACGTAGAGATGCAAGAGGAGCTCGCCGCGGTGAAGGATACCGCAAAGGCATTCAAGCACCGTAGTGTCGCGCCCACCATTCGGCCTCTGACTCTCGGTAACTGGATGTTCGAGGCCGTCGCTGACCTCACGAAGCCGAGCACTGCGGTTCCTCCGAAAGCTATTCTCGCGTCGCGCGAGACGCAGCGCATCAGCCGATTCATTCCTTACGAGGAGACCGCGGAGGAGACCGCGAAGCAGCGTCGCAGGAAGACGCTGCACATCGACATTCCATCGCTCGCTTCACCGCCACCCACTCTCACGTCGGCTAGCCACCGCTACAGCCTACAGTTCACCCCGACATCCCCGACCCTCTACTCTCACCGGTCCACCGCTTCGCTCCTCTCGCCCGTAGCAATGGATGACGAGGACTTCGATCTCGAGAAGGCTGCCATGCAGCGCACCGCCACCCAGGCCACGTCGAAGAGGCCAGAGATCAAACGCGCTCGCACTCGCTGGGACGAGAAGAGCTTGGCTGCCCTGACGGCTGTCAAGGTCGAATCCTCCGATACATCTGCACCCGACGAGTCTGCCTTTGAGCTGTCCTCGCAGCAGACCTTCTGGAGCCTCATTCGCGACATCTACCCGACGCTGCCCAGAAAGCCGCTCCTTTTCGTTGGGATGCTGTGTTGTTTTGCCAGCGGCGCGATGACGCCATTGTTCTCCTTCCTCCTGTCTCGCGTCTTCTTCGAGGTCTCCATAGGTGCCAAGGACGTGTCGACCATCAACATGTTCGGCGGGATCGTCCTGGCGGTTGCCGCCGCTGATGGGCTCTTCATTGGGCTTAAGTACGCGGTCATGGAGGTCGTCGCCATGTCGTGGGTGACCCGCGTGCGTAAGGTGTGCCTTGCGCGCCTGCTTGCGCAGGACAAGAAGTGGTTCGACAAGACGGACAACAGCGCCGTGCGCATTGTGCAGATCCTCATCAAGGATGGGGACGATGCACGCTCTCTCATCGCCACCGTGCTTTGCCAGGCGATCGTCGTCTCCGCTATGCTCGGGGTCGGCCTCATTTGGGCGCTCGTGCGTGGATGGCAGCTGACATTGGTCGGCTTCGCGATCGCGCCTGTATTTGCGGTCACTATGGCGGTGCAGACCAACCTCGTCGCGAAGTGCGAGCTGAGGAATAAGCGCGCCCGGGAGGAAGTCGCCAAGGGATACTACGATGTGAGTGCGCTGGTAGTGGGGTTCGTTATCCTGAAGCTGACGATGTGCTAGGCTATCTCCAACATTCGGGCATCCGTGCCATGGGTTTCGAAAGTGCCTTCCAGAGCAAGTTTGACCAGTCTGTCGATTCGGCCCTCTCTTCGGGGATGCGAGGCGCCTTCGTTGAGGGTTGCACGTATGGCGTTGCGAGCGCGCTGATCTATCTTGCGGAGGCCTTGTTGTTCTATGTCGGCGCGGTCCTCATCGCGCGGGGAACGTACTCCTATCTGCAGATGGTCCAGGTCTTAAACCTTGTGGTGTTCACCGTGTCCATTGGCTCGCAGCTCATGGGATTCAGTGAGTTGATAGTTTTGCTGCCTAGACGGCCCGGTACTGACTTGACGTCTTCTCTAGCGCAAAGGATTGCCAAGTCGGTACAGGCTACCCGCGACTTCAACGTACTCCTCAAGCTCTCGACGTACACGGACGAGTCTCGTGGTGTCCTGCGCCCCGAGATGCACGGCGCCGTGTCCTTCAGCAACGTGTCGTTCGCTTACCCTGAGCGTGCCGACGTTCCCGTGCTCAAGGACCTCTCCCTCGAGATCGCGGAGAACGAATGTGTCGCAGTCGTAGGCGCTTCGGGGTGTGGCAAGTCGACCATCGCTGCGTTGTTGCAGCGTTTGTATGAGCCCAATGCGGGGTCGGTCAGTATTGGACTGAACGAACTGCGGTCCACCGACGTCCACCATCTGCGGGAGCACGTTGCCGTCGTTAGCCAACATCCGAACCTCTTCGATACTACCATCACCGAGAACATCGCGTACGGGAACAAGGCACTTTCCTTCGAGGACGTGCAACGGGCCGCAAAGGCGGCTCATGTACACGACTTCATCGAGTCGTTGCCAAAGGGCTACGACACGCTCGTCGGCGAGAACGCTTCCCTGATCTCAGGCGGGCAGGCCCAACGCCTGCAGATCGCACGTGCACTCGCGAAGCCGGCGCGCATTCTCATTCTGGACGAGTGTACGTCTGCGCTGGACGCGGAGAACCAGGCGGCGATCATGGAGACGCTCATGCAAGCTCGAGCGGGCCGGACCACACTCGTGGTGACGCACAAGCTGCAGATGATGCAGATGTGCGATAGGATAGTCGTCGTGAACGACGGCGTCATCGCGGAGTCGGGCACGTACGAAATGCTGATGCAGAGGCGCGGCGTATTCGCACAACTGGCGAGTGGTGGGGAGTGGACTTGTGACTGAGTTGTGGTTTCTCTCTTTCTCTTTCCTTTTGTCTTTTTCTTCTCTCTGATCTCTGGTCTCGCACGTGTAGCATTGACACTTTCACGCCCCGCACACAAACCTCCCATGATTAGTTGATACCTCACAGTGAAGTATTAGTACGAATACCTTCGATCTTCGATTACTACGCATCTTACGATCCACGCACGCTCTCTACTGTAACATTATCTCGTCCTGCATCTGTATTCTGAACATTCAATAGAGCTGAAGGTGTATCACATTCGTCGCTGTCTAAGTATACGAACTTGATGCATGATGCATTGATGGCCCGAAGTGGACAAAATCCAAAGTCGTTACTATTTCAAGTCAGTGCATACGTAAGTGTGCAATAAAGAGCGTACGTGCAGGTACGTGCACGGTGCCATGTCCAGACGGGATCTCTGTACCCTTCACAGTGGGCCCTAGACTTGATAAGAAACGTGAACCCATACCATTCGAGGTCCTCAACAGCCGTACACGGCGTTAGGGGCTCACACTTTGTCTGTTACATTCTTGAGATCTCGGCGAATTAGAGCTGCAAAATGAAGTTCTGAGTATGCAGACATGTTACCAGGGTATCGTCTATATATAGACGACGAGCATCCCTGTCAACTGACATCGTATTCAGCACGAACATTCGGAGAACCTCCCGATCGATCAACGTTCAACGTTCAACTCTAGGCTCTGCTTCTATTCTGTCCTCGTAAGCAGCTGTCATGACGCTCCACATCCTAAAGCGGAGGCGTCGCACTGGCAGGTATATAAACCCTCCTTCAGCTTCTTAGAACGAGACCCCGCCCTCTCTTTGCCCATCATCAGGTTTCCGCTGCCTGCTATAGAAGACACAGGTTGACCGGGATGCTGCAGACTCCGGAGGAGGATACCCCTTCCGACTCCAGAGGGGTCCTGAACTCAGCGTGCGGAACGTGGATGTGGACATCTATGAGATAAGGTGTGTTGCAGATACTCGTATGAGAACAAAAATGGCTGAATGACAGACATAAGTAGCGGTATACTTATGTGCCAGTGAATACGTATCACTCACGACGCTTCCAATTTCGGAATGTGGGCGATCATGACGGAGTGCTAAGCGTTCGCTGACGGCGTCAGGTGACTGACGCGGTACACGGTGTTTCTCGCGCTCTGGCTTGCCCTAAAGTCAGTGTTGAACTTAGTGTTTGCTAGGTTGCCTGCTACCCTGCCTGTCGGTGGCACCCCTGCTCCTATATCACGGCTCAAGATCATCCAGACCTGCTCGATCGAGCTCGGATTATGCTCTGAAGATGTCCGAATTTTCTAGTATCACGCCCTCAACAGGGCCGCGGTCACCTCTGTTTGGCACCGCGACGTTCTCGACTCTCTCGCCAACACAAACACCCATGTCCCCATCAAGGCTTTCTTCATCCATCCGTTCTGGTAGGTCTCTATAGAATTGACCCTGTTGTTGACCTAACATCTGCGTAGCCACTCCAATCGCATCGTCGTACGACAGCGACGACGCTTCGTCAGGCCGACAGATGCGCCGAATTGTTGTATCACCCTCTCCGACATCAAGAGACTCCGACACCTATGCGTACGAGAAGAAGACTCGATGAGGGACGCGGCGGAAGTGGAGGCCGAACTTGCTCAAATCAACGACGATATCGACGACTTCCTCTCCGAAGTTTCGCGAAACTCCTCCAGAGACGCTTCCACCTATACATCCTACACTGGGCCGTCTACATACACGTCTTACACCGGCCCTTCGACGTATACTACACGCACGGACAGTGTCTCAAACGCTGGATCTGGGACGTCTGGCAACTTCCGCGCCGCAGCGGGGCCCATGCCTACGACTGAACGCGGACCGCGAGTCCTCAGCACAATCTCGGAGCACACAGAAAATACACCATCGAGACCCTCTTCGTATCCTTCCGCCGGTGATGCTAACCGGCTCTCAGCCCACATCGAAGGCATAGTGTCTCATTCTCGCTCCGCCACGGAACCGTCTCAAACGACGCAGCCTCCGCGTCCGCTTCCATCAACTCCCGGCCCCAAGGTAGTGGAGCGTATTGCATTCTTCGAGGACCGTACAGCGGCATCATCTGGCAGTCCCGGGCCATTCTTCGGACACGCTAGGACGGGCTCGGCGCCGTCTGCCATTCGGTCTCCTAGTCCTTACACGACGACACAGAGTCGCTCAATGCCGACATTGAGCAGCACAGCTTATGGGTATGGTAGTACAACAGGTTATGGGAGCGCTTCATACGGCTCTCGGCCTTCGTCGCGCACGGGCTCTGCGGTATCGTACTCGGGCCCCAACACCACGATGTCCTCGATGCTATCGCCGCCACCTCGCGCGCACAGTGCGCTCTCTTGGGACTCTTTCAATCCCACGAGCACCGAGGCGACGACGCTCACTACCCGCACGCCCGTCTCCGCTACCACTTACACTGCGTCAGGTATGGGAACCGGGACATACACCAATCCGAGTTCCAATACGTTCTCCAATACACTCTCAAGCTTGGACCCGACGACGACTACCCAGACGACGAGTACGCTTACCCCACGCCAGATGTCACCGAACGACCGCACAGCGTTGAGCCAAGTGCGCAACGTGATAAACCGGTGGAAGGAGCGCACACCTTCGATGGGGAAGTCAGAGCGTTCTACGACGTCGCCGTCGCCCACCCAGAGCGATGGTCTCTTCAGCATCCGGCGCAGGGCTAGCAGGGGCAGCGCGAGACTGAGAGATCGTGCGCTCCAGGCGGCAAACAGAAGCAGTGGCAGAAGGGCAAGCGACCCCGTCTCGATGGCGGGCCTGGATGAGAGCGGCAGCGGGGATCTTAGTACTAGCGGGCTGCTTCCGCCGCCGTTCGATATCAATGAAATGGGACAGTACGCTGGAGCTACGGAGACTCAAGAGGTAAGCACATTCGTCATATACGAACTATCATCGTGTTCTCATCGTCGGTACATAGCCGCTTCGCATTGGTCTCTTGTGGTACCTCAATGTCCACGCCGCGCCGCCCTATAGATGGCAGCGCTGCCAGGCGCTCCTTTACCCGCACATGCTACTGCTCTCCTGGATCGCCGCGGGTGGTGGCCGCGGTATCGTTACCTTGGATCTGTTGAACTGTACGGAAGTGCAGTCGGCCAAGTCGCCTACGCATCATGGCGCGCAGGAGGATGTCGGGACGATGGCCGCAATCATGCAGAGCCAGAACGCGAGTACAGGCGTGGAGACGCAGTTGGGCGAGGCGGAGCTGATGCAGACGCTCAGCCCGTTTCACTTGCACTACAGTGATGGTATCGAGAGGCTAGGAACGGACAGTCCGAGAGAGCGAGTTCGTTGGGTCAGCGCTATTTGGTACGTCCTTGCCTTCGACTCAGCAGTTCTTACTTACACCGGGATGCAGGGATGTCCTCGATCGTGCGGTATCCATTCCGGACCGCTCGGTCAGCGGCTCGCCGACTGGATCGGTTCGTACCATGCGTTCGTTCACCAGCACAGGCTCCTCGCGCTCAGGGACCGCGTCGGGATCTGCGACGACTCGCTACGTCCCTCACATCGACACAATGCCAGACATCTCGGACCTACAGTCAATCTCTGGCTCCAGCATTCGTAGTGGTTTGTCGCGCAGGCCGTCACTTGCATCCGCCCATCGCACACGTGCCACAGACGACTCGGCCGTTTCGAACCAGGCGTTCCTATACCCCGGGGATCCGCGTGTGATTGGCCCAAGCCGAAGCAGCTCCATCCGCCGCACCAGCTCCTTAACCGACCTCGACGAGGAGTTTGCGTCGGCAGTTCGCCGCGCGCGCGGTGCGCGTCCAGGATTGGGCTTCGGTCTTGGCTTAGCAGGGGGTGTGCCCGTGGGCGACGGCTCGCCCGTGACTATTTCTAGTGGACCAAGGTTGGGTCGCGACGTGTATATGTCGCCTCCGCCAAGTGTAGGGAGGGGAAGTGAGGGAGCGCGTAGTCGTGCCTCCGACAGCGCGACGTCCATCTCCGACGATGCGTTCTTCTCTGCGACTGGACGTCGCGGACTCCCACGTCTAGCTTTTATTCGTCTTCGTCGTTCACAAAGGGTCTGACCACGACAGACACCAGGACAGGCACCGGCCTCGGCACTGACGAGACTGTGCTGGACATTGTTTCTGGGTCGGGCACCAACATGTCGCATCGACTTTGTCTCTGAGAGGCACGACGTCCGCATCAATGCTTGGTGATTCACACAGCGGTTCAAGTGGCGTGCCGTCGACGTCACCTTCGCGCGGCGGCCTGACTCGGTCGAGGGCTGTTGCTCGTCGAACCCCTAGGAGCAGCTCGCGGTCGTACTCCTCGTACGATCGGAGCAGCGAAGACACTTCCGACAAGGAGAATTCGGGGAGTTACACTCCCACCGCGAGTCGATCGTACACCGAAGGCCTCAGCACGCTGGAGACCTACACCAGCTCATACACTCCAACGAGGTCTTACACCCCTACGCCGTCGTCGTCGTCTTACACGCGGTCAACAGACGATTACACTAGATCTCGGACGAGCCTAGATCTGACAGCGAAGTGGCCAGATCGAGCACGACTGCACAGAGTACGGAATATGTGACGGCGCGATCCCCGTCTGAGCTTTCCTTCGTCTCGCTGCCCACTATCCCGTCCCTCCACTCAGACTACGAAACGGCGGAGGTATGCTCAACGGAGTACGAGACAGCTCCCAAATGCCCACCGAGCCCCTTTCGGAGTACGAGACGGCGGAGGTGTGTCCTACGGAACCAGGATCAGAGTATGTTACAGCGGAGGTATGCCCGTCCGAGGTCGAGACGGATTACAAGACGGCGGAGTGCAGGTGCGCCAAACCCGAGGAGGCTGAAGATGATGTGATCAGCATCACTCCTTCTGCGATCCCCACTATCCCATCCGTCTCACCGAAAAGTCTGGCCGACGACCTGCCGCCTGAAGATATCCCCTTGCCGCCATCTGTGTACAGTCCGTCCGTGACACCGACTGAGCTCTCGGGAGACGTGCCTTCATCGGCTGAGGTCCCCGTTCTGTCTCCCTCTCCTCCTCTACCATCCGAACCCGAGTCGTCCGTGGTTTCGATCCCTGGACCGTCGCCTATCCCGACAACTGAGTCTCCTCTTGCTTCTCTGCCCTCTGTGTCGACTGTGTCGACCCCGACGGAGTCTTCCATCACACCTACGCCTACCGATCTCCTCACGCCTACTGTCCCTTCCACAATTGAGCAACCGTCAACACCGTCCAGCCCAGCCATACCCGAGTCGCAGTGGGGAGTCGAGAGCGACGAGTCTTATGAGTCGTCTCTCCTCAGAGCTTCCCCATCGGTACAGTCGCTCGCTTTGCCAGAAGGTGCGGACACGTCGTTTGAGACATCATTCCTCCGGCCCAGTGGATCGCCGTTTACGGAGGAAGAAGATGTGAACCTATTGACACCAATCACGGAATTGAGCACCGAGTCAGCGACGTCCGTACCGTCGTCGCCTTCCGAGTCAATAACACCGACGCCATCGACAATCTCTCTTCCTCCAAGTGTCCCTTCGCCTACTCCAATCTCGACTGAAGTCCCGCTTCCTACTGTAACGTTGTCCCGCACGCCATCGTCGGTTTCTACTATATCCTCTATCTCCATGAGTTCGTCTGTGTTGGGGCCCCGATCTCTTTTTGATTTCCCAATGTCGGTTGCGGAAGACGACATATCCACCGAGCCATCCCTACTATCGGTGATGCCTTCGCCCACTTTGAGACCGGTAAGTGCCTAGCTAATCAACGGTGCTCCAACTGACCCGCCATTAGATTTCTCCGCGGGCCGTTCCGTTACCTTCATCACCGGTTCCGACTGTTGTGCCCCCTACGCCAACAATGAGTGTCAGTGTCACCACGCCGCGTGGAGACATTCCGTCGATTCGGTCGGGACTGGAAACTGTACCCTCCGAGGCTCCGAGTACCATCTTGACACACGATGTCAATCGTCTGTTGCAATATTTGAACGACATCGATACGCAACGCGGGGCGGAAACCCGGGACATGGCGCACAGCATAGAAGAAATCAGGCAACTACTGGAGGAGCTTAGAGACAACCAACGCGAATTATCAGTGACCCTCCCTCAACTACCGCCGCTGCAAGCTCCCCCGACCGTACGAGAGATTGTACGAGAGATCCCGATACCAATACCCGCTCCTGCACCAGAGGCTCCTCCCCCGGTGCCGAGGAAAGACAGGTCAGTCGGAGGAAGCAGCGTTTTATCCTACACTTCCGCCGGCCCCCGAGAATCCCCACGAGACACTCCCCGGCCCATTCAGCCTCGTCTCATCCCTATCCCGTTGACACCGCCACCTATGCGCATCTCATCACCCGACACGATTTCGGAGACCATGTCCTTCTTGTCGTCTCATCATTCGGACGACTTCAGTCTGATGGAGTCTGAACCGTACCCCGCGATGCCCATGTCTCCCTCCTGGCCTTCAGAGCCGAGTTCCTCTCCCGAATCATCACCGCCGTCTGAACCACTGTCCCTGCCGTCGAGGACGCCTTCATTTTCAGCTAGCCCTACACCTCCGCCATCCTCTTCGACTCCTGCCTCGCCCACTTCCACTGTATCCAGTGGTACTGCCAGACAAATACCGCCTGTGAATCTTACTAGTCTCCGCGACGCGTTGGCACAAATCCGCGAGGAGATGACAGCCTTGCAGACAAATCAGGCTGCTGCAACTCACATTCTGGAGGAATTACGTTCCAGGCCCGTGGGCCAGGATGTATCGGATTGTTGTCGCAGACTGGAGGAGGCTATCCAGCGCATAATAGAGCAGACGCAACGGCCTCAAGCTCCTGCCCGAGACGATCGATCTGAATCGTTGTACCCTTCGGGTTCGGATACGTCATTGCTGGAACATATAGCACGGTTGCGAGATGAAGTTGGTCGTGACCTCCCCCCTATACGCATGCCTGTGCCAGTTCGTGCGGGTCCCTCCTTTGATGAACGGTTGGTGGATATGCTGGCTGAGGGGCCACCAGTGACCCAACAACCAATACAGCCGCCTCCTCCCATCATCCCTCTTACTTATCGCCCTGGTCCGCGGGTAAATAGGCCTCGCAGCGCAAGCCCCGTCTTCGAGACTGATCTCCCACCACGGCCGGGGACGTTTCCTATCACACAGCCCGTGGTCTTTGAAAGGCCAAGACGACGTATTCCTCGAACATCTCGCCGCCCATATCCCCCCGCGGAGCCTTCTGAGACAGAAGGTGGGTATCTACCTCAAGTGCCCCCCTCTGAACGCGACGTTCCGCGTGCGAGAACTCAAGACGATGATATCGATTTCTTGCGACGTGTTCGAGATCTGCGACGGGCACGTCGTCCAGAAGCTGAGGACGGCTTTTTTCAACCAGATGTGCCAGCGGTGAGTCTGTCATAGTTGACTGCGAGGGCTACTATCAAACTGCGTGTTCGCGTAGGGTCCTGATCGCAGGCGGCCTCCAACGGCACCAGCGGCTCTCGGCGATGTGCCTGCTGCACCGCAACAAGCACCAGGTGTTCAGCCTATGCCAGGTGCACCTGCTCCTCCTCCCGGCGTCTTTGCACCTGCGCCTCCGACACAGGTAAGAGCTCCACATCCCATTGCTATAACTAATCTTCACATCCTTGTCAGACTGTCTTGCAGATACCATTTGACGATATCCTAACCCTCCTCCGCGTGAGTATGTCCGTCTACTACTTGTATTGTGTCTCAAGCTAGCATAGGACAACCGCACCGCGCAATTAGCGTCCATTGATCAGATCAGGGAGGTCATGCGCTACTTGAGAGATTTCAACGAATGGCACGGGCGGGATGTAGAAGATCGACACGCCGAGATACGTGGATTGAACGCAAGAATTGATCAAATTCGAGACATGATATACGATACCATGGGTCGACGGGGTATGTAAAAGCCCTTTTCCACGAAAGAGGAAAGTACTCAGATTATGAAACAGACACTTCTCGAGCACCATCGGAACCGCCGGCTGTGCAGCCAGGAATGCCCGGTGCAGTTGTTCCCCCTATGCAAGCGCCGTACCCGCCCGGCTTCGTCCCGCAGCCAGGAATTGGCTACCCCCACCCTGCAGAGGGTCCTGTGATTCCGGATGATCGCAGGTATGAGCAAACACCGTCGCCCGGTTACCCGCCAGTCATTCCGCCGACTCCTCCCGGTATGCCTCAGCCATACATACCCTCTGGACCACCCGGGGCGTATGTGATACCGCCTCAACCGCCCATTAACGTATATCAACCGCAACAACCGTACGATGACCGTGACCGACCCGTTGTTCCATCTCCCCCATCACTGTCACCATCGGAGTCGGAGTCGGGCAGTTACCTCTCTGAGGGCCCTGAAGGCAGACTCTCATCATTCCTCCGCCAGCCGGACCAGCTCAGCCTATGCAGCCTGGGATGCAGCCTGGGATGCAACCACCCATCACCATTATTCCTGGGCAGCCGCTTCATCCTCAACAGCCGACCGAAATTCACGTTCACACAGAGGCATCGCGCTCACGTTCCCCGTCACCGACAAGAGAGGGAAGATACGCGGAGCCATCGCCGTCGAGGTCTGGCAGCCCGGGACGAGCATATTCTCCGCACCGGTTGTCGTTCAGGTTCCTGGTCCTTCTTCGCCTCGGCCGGGGTCACCCAGGCATCCCGATGCACCTCACATGGTCGTTTCTGCCCCGCCTCCTCAAGTTGCTCCGATGCCAACACAGCAGCCAATCATCATTCAGCCCCCACCTCAATACATAAATGGTCAACCGATGGCGCCTGCACAACCGCCACAAGTGATTAACGTCCAGCCAAGTGCTCAGCCTGCCTCGCCTCCACGATCAGAGTACCCGGAGTATCGATCGCCAACAGAGCCCGTCATTATCCGCACAGAGGGATCGCGACGTCGTTCTCGCTCACCGTCCAGGGAGAGTCGTCGTCTGCACCGCGTCTCCCGTACACCCCCTCCGGTAATCATTCAGCCTGCTGCTGGAGCCGCCCAGCCCGTCGTGCACGTCGGTGCACCGGGTTACGGGCAGCCTCCAAGTCAACAGCAACTAGGTGCCACACCATCTGAAATTGTCATTCGGACTGAGGCTCCTCGTCGGTCACGGTCACGTAGTCCCCGTCGGTATGATCGCTCTCCAAGTCCTCGAGGACGCGGTCGCGATCGCCCAAGGACCCACCGTGATTCAAGGTCACCCTATCGTGACGACTACGATCGCGATCGCCCACGAAGCCGCCGTGATTCAAGATCACCTTTCCGCGACGACGATCCTTACCGCCGCGCTGGGAGTCGCTCACCCGACGACCGCCGCTATGGGAGAACGAGGACTGATCAGAGTAGACGAGATGACCCCTATCACGGAAGGCCTTCTCGCCGATATGCCTCAAGGTCGCCCTCGCCTGTCATTCTCCGCGTCAGATCCGCACGTCATCCGCAGGCACGGTCGCGTTCGCGTTCGCCCACTCTTGTCAGTGAACCTTCCCATGTCCGTGTACCATCGTCACGGCATCCCCGTTCTCCGGCATACGAGCCTGAGGATCCATACCGTCGTCCTGGACCCTCTCGTCATGACAGACAAACGAGTCAGTCGCCTGAGGAACGTCCTCAAAGGATGCGTACGGGCAGCTCAAGACGTTCCCCATCTCCAACTGTTGTTCCTCATCGCCCACCGCGCTCCGATCGTCCTGCAGGTGATTATGATCGCCAACGTGAACGCAGGCGATCGCCCTCCCCCATACCCGAGGAAGGAACACCACCGCGTCAGGAGCCTGTCATCCTTAGAACTCGTAGCCAACGTGAACCACCACCACGCCCCGGGTCAAGAGGTCCTACGTACATCGAGATGGAAGAGCCTGGAGACTACCCACCAGCGAGTCCGGCCCCTCAGATTGTCCGCATACCGACTGCTGGCAGATCAGCGAGAGCTCCTTCCGCCCGAGTGCCATCAGGACGACGGCTAAGTGAAGGTATGTATTTTCTCAGAGCTTGCTTTCCTTGTGCTCACCCAATCAGTCACTGTGGCTCCTACTTATGGTGAAGGAACACCTGAAGGACGTGAGTGGTTGAGCACCCGTGTGGAGGAGCATCATGTACTCACGCACATGCCAGAACATATTGAACTCCCAGGAACACCGACTGATGGTGAGCTCGGTGCATTCCCTTGCAGGTTCGTCGGTGTTCTGACCATATCTGATAGTTGAGGAGATGCACGAAGCATACAGAGCGGCAGACAGACGTACTCCAGCAGGTACGTCCGTCGTTTCGCGGTCGAAACATGACTTATGTGTTCTACGTAGTGTCTCGTGCTCCAACGCAAAGGACCGTCAGAGAGCCACGTGTGGATGACTACGCGCCGACAGAAGAGTCCGTGCCAGTGCGGGTCCCTCCCCCTGTCTCAGAGGTTGCTGGGCCCGAACACGAGTACGAAGAAGAACCTGAGGATCATTATGCTGCACCATCAGAGGAACCATATGAGCGCATCGCCCCTTCAATTCCTCCCTCTGCCGCGCCTTCTAGGAGACCAACAGTCCGCCCTGGTTCCCCTGCTGCTGTGCAGCGGTACAGGGAGTCTGGTCCAGGAGCCCTTGGGTTTGAAGACGCCGAGCGCGAACGAAACGAACGATTCGGGGAGCTTGAACGACAGATCACGGATACCCTCGGTAACTTCGAGGAAACCGAAGCAGCTCGCGACCAAGCATTCCGAGGAAATGAAGACGAGAGACAGCGCATCTTCGAGGATCACGAAGCTCGCCGTGAACAGGAGGCTGCCGAACGACGCGATGCGGTGTGGGCGGAGCTCGAGAATCGCTTGGCTGATATTGTGCAACAGGTGCCCTTGCCAGTGCCCCCGCCACCTGAGCCAGTCACAGAACCTGAGGTCGCGGAACCTGGCGAAGAGCCACCCGCACCAGAGGTACCGGCCGATGTTCCTGTAGAACGACCGGCCGATATGCAGTCCGTGGTCGAGTCGATCCGCTCCGTGGCACAAGACGCCGCTTCGCGTCATGCTCAAGAGATTCTGGATACTGTTCGGCTGGAGCGCGAGGAGTTGATGAGGGAGCGGGAGCTTGCCCAGGCCGAACGCGATCGTGCACAGGCGGAAATGGAAGCTGAACGCGCGCGTTACAACGAAGAGCGGGAGGCCCGGATCACTGCCCTGGAAGAAGAGCTTGCCGCTGTTCGTGCGGAACTGGAGAATGAACGTCAGCTGCGAATGACGGAGGAGACTGAGCGTCGTGAGCGGGAGCGTACAGATATGCTTGAGCGCGATGAAGCTATGCGCGCCCAGCTGAGCGACATCACCAACCTCGTCTCTGAGCAGCGGGAGGAGCTGCAGCGCAAGCGTGAACTCATGGAACAGCAGTGGGAGGAAAAGCAACGTTGGATGGAGCAATGCAATGGCACGAATGAGGAATTGCGCCAGCTCGTCCAACAGGTGATCGACGACAGGGTTTCCGACAGAGCTGCCTGTGATGCCGATCGAGAGGCAAGAGCGAACGATCCTTGTTAGTGCACATCCTTATTCATGTCGTGCGGTTACTGACTGCTTCGCAGCCGTTCAAAGTGTCTTGGACGAGATGGCGGCGTTCAGACGCGAACAGGATGCGCTTCTTCGTGAGATGGCCGACAGTGCGTTCAGTGTCCGTCTCATGTCGCCCGGTACTGATGGCCGGTGAATAGGTTGGCGGACAGACTGTGCCCGGCAACACGAGGAAACCTTGGCTGCCGTCCGGTCAACTGCCAATGAACAGATCCCGTTCAATATCCAAGGAGTCAGTTTTATCTACTACCGAGTACATTGCAGTGCTGACGATACCCCGCCTCCCAGTATCTTGATGAATTCAGTCGGTCGCTTGCTGCGGAAGTGCGCATGCTTCTTGCTGAGGTCGGTAGGCTGCGAGAAGAGAGGCGCAACATTCAATAGTAAGTGTATAGCATCGTGACGCATGATCCTCGTCTTGACCCTCATGTGCTTCTCAGCGAACTTGGTTGTCTGCTTACAATGAAGTCGAAGATCGGGCCGGGAGGCGAGTTCGATCCCGAGTGGAGGCCGCCAACTGGGGCTTGTGCGCGTGATGGTCAGCCAGGTGCGCCCTCCGAAGCACCGCCGCCAGAGGTACCGCCGCCGGACGAGCCACCTCAGCCCGCTCGTCCAGCATGGCGCAGCGTCGTGCAACGAAGTATTCGTCGGTCCCGCAGGTCTCAGGTTCCGCCACCGCCCGCGCCAGAGCCCGCGCCAGAAGTCCGACCACCCGTCGAGTCTTGGGCCACTTGGCTACGTCAGTCTTCAGAACAATTTCATGGTTAGGACGCATGCTGACAATGTTGCCATCGAACAGCTAACCCGCAGTTTGTGCCTACCCCACCGCCAAACCCTCCGACGGCGCTGTTGGTGCCTGAGCAGTCCAGCCCTGGCTTGTTCGGGCCTCGCTCTCCTCGCTCTTCTGTCCATCGGTGATGCTACTGAACAAGGATGTCATGAACTCATGCCCCGGCGGCCGCTGCGACCGTATACTAATATCTGGCTGTCTTAACGCTTCACGAACTTGACGATGATGGAGGACTGACTCTGTATGCCTGGATTGGATTTAATTTACGTATGCTGTATGTAAAATAGATATGACCGCAATGTCTTGCAATGTTTTCTCTATGCCCGTTCCGTGCGTGTGGCCCATAAGAATCTCATTTCGTGCGCGAAGACGATGCCTCTGCCAAAACAAGCCTAGGAAGGTTGACCTCGAGACGTTGAGTTCCGGGCAACCAATCGAAGGCGACAGATATTCTCACATATCCTCGTGGAAGATGTGGAACGAAGTGGATGCTTTTTTCAACTTCTTCTCCAACAAGGTCAACGACGTGAGAGCGACTCATCGGAACGATCGAATGGACGCAACATACTTAGTCCAGTGTCCTATGATCCCGACGCCATCACGCTCAGATCCCTCCACTTCGGGTCCATGACGCTTCTTTATCACCACTTACTTATTCTGTGATCACAGCGAGGAGAGCTGGTCCCGTCGCGGAAGCACGCTCTGTTCCTGTCACAACATATGGTTTTGTGTTCCTCGACCGTGCGCCGGCGGTGGCGCGGAGTCGTCTCCCTTCGTAGCGCGGAATATGCCGAATTGCGTCTTGAGCTCGCCGACGTTTGTCCAGCCTTGAAGCGATGTCCACATCGAGGATGCTCGTCCTCCCTTCATGCGACCTCCTCGACGAAGCGTCCGAATCGCACCTAACCCCGCGGTGTGGTTCACAACATCACATGACCAGACAACGCGGGGTATCCGACCCTCGCAATTGAACTTTGCATCCTTTTCCACTGCCAAATATCGTACTGACGTGCACGTACAGTATACGCACATCTCAGCAACATCAAAATCACCAATATTGCATTCTACTAAAATCCATCTCAAGGTTATCGTTATCTCAGAACACGAGTTGACCACTGCACACTCGTCTTGCTACCCACACGGCTGCTCGCACGAAGCGCATGACTCACCCGTCAACAGAGTACTCCTGTCCGGTCATGTAGCTTGCATGCTCAGAAAGCAGCAGCAGCGTCTGCGGTGCCATCTCATGCGGCTGCGCGAACCGGCCAAGCGGCACCCCGCCTGCCTGATGGTCCCTGACAGATTTCTCCATGCCGGACGTCTGGTCGGTGTTGACTACAAAACCGACCGTCAGTCGATGCCAAAAGCAGCAGAGCGAGAAAACTTACCGTATCCTGGACAGACGGCGTTCACGCGGATGTTGTATTGAGCCCACTCAGCCGCGAGGCCCTTCACGAGACGGGACACAGCTGCTTTGGAAGAGTTGTAGAATACCTGCGGTACAGCGTAGCCGTAAGCACGCCGACTGAGCGCATCAGGATGAGCTCACCTGTGGCAACGGCTTCCCCTGCGCTACTTGGTTGATAATCTGCGAGCTCATGCTCGACACGATGTCCGTCGACCTCCCGCGGGTTTAGCTGTCGACCCAGAGCCGTGCGGCGTTGAAAACGCCGAGAACGTTCACCGTGTACACCTTGTCAAAGTCTTCCCGCGTCATCTCGAGCGCAGGCTTCACGACCGAGACCCCGGCATTCTAGCATCGCCAACACGTTCATGGCCGCATGTATGCGTGACGGGGTAGAAAAATACCGCAACGAGCCCGGTGACGGGACCCATCTCCTCGTTGATCCGCTTGGACGTCTTCTGCACCAGCACCGCGTCGGAGACGTCGCATTGGTACGCCTGTATGCGCCCCGCTTCAGCGCCCCGTGCCTCCGTGATGACGGCCATCCACTCACCTTGACCTCAACTCCATTCTCCTTAGAGATCTGCTTCGCCACGTCCGCCGCGTCCTTCGATGCTCTGTAGGTGGTCGCGACGCGTGCCCCGGCACCTGCACACGCCTCCGTGATGGCGCGCCGATCCCGCGATTGCCTCCCGTTACTATGATGCTCCTGCCTACCCCGCCCGTGAGCCACCGCTCCATCGCGCGCCCCGCTGAGGCGACGTACCAGAGAAGTCAAAGGCAAGGCCACGCTTTGGGACGGGCGGCATGTTGTTTGAGTCTGAGTTCTGCGTCTGCTTGTGGGAGGAAGGGGAGAGGGCGTTGAGCACGGACTGCATCGCGGCCGCGAGACGTTATGCTGGGAGGGTGAGTTCGGGTTCCGTCAGTGACAGGCGGTCAGTATATATGTGGGCCTGCTTGACATTCATTTGTCGCATTCGCCTCACTGCAGTAAGCCATAACGCGCTCAGCCACACGCCGACGCGTGACGTCAGTGTCTGCGACGGTGTATGGCTGGGAAGTCAGAACAGTACTTGTATTCAGGCGCGGGCGCGCCAGCCAGGGCCATGTCAGAACAGAAGCGCAATAGCGGCGTGCATTGAGACGTTGTCGGTGATCAAGCTTTCAAGACAAAGAAGTCTTGGATAAAACGAGATGAGCGGGGCGGATGTCCACAGGCGGTTCACTTTCCATATCCGGGAGCTCGTTCACGCCGCTACCAGACGCCGAATGTAAACTGTTGTCCTTGTTTGTCCCGTCTAACATCACTTCGACAGATCACTCCTGAGTACCCGGTCCAAATGCATGAACGTGGGTAAAAACAATGTAGATGCATGGCTTAGGCTGCAGCTCGGAATAGCTACGCGAAGCCTGCCGCCGCGGTTTGAACAGGCTAACTTGAAATTGCGGCGTTGCTGAACCGTAAGACGTGACAAGCACATGAACAGCACATCGATAAGTAGATGTGGTCCGCTCGGGAGCCACGGAAATGGCTCAACGGAGGACACAGAGTAATAGGTGCGAACACGCAGTGACATCGGTATCAAAAGCTTGTTCCAAACGAACAAGCTGATCTTCATTAGACCTTTGTGTCATAACTCTACATGAAATGTGTGGTACGTTAACTCTAGGTGGTTTAGATACGAAATGCGAGGAACTGCGACATAAAATGATAGTCCATTGGATATTATTTGATGATCGATGGCAGGAAGAGATTGTCTACTGTCTACGAACGAGCTTCTTGACCCATCCGAACATGCTCCCTGACCGGAAGCGGAAGAGCCACGAGAAGACGAAGATCAAGCAATCTGTCGCAGCCCCGTCAGCATTCGGGCTCGCCACCAACACCACAAGTTATCACACTCACATTGAAACAATGTAAGCACAGAAAATGCCGAAGTCGCGCCAGTGGTTCGAGTAGAAGATGTTGAAGCTCTCGCCGAGGAACGCGTCCGTCGTCGAATACGCACAATACTGGCACTTGCTCGTCGCGTCCCCGTTCGTGAGGTATCCGCCCACAGAGCTGATGAAGGTGCCCATGTACTGCCCGCACGTCTGGCCCGAGGGCGGCTCGATCGTGACGAGCTCCGTCGACGCGCAAGTGATGGTGCTGTGTCCGATAGCCTGTCCGAGCATGCCCTCGATGAGGTACGTGAACGGCGAGAGGCGGTACATCCACTGCCACCAGCCGAGCTCCCGGAACGGCTGCAAGACACCGTTGCTGCAGACCACATCAGAACGTGACCAACACATGGACGGCAGAAATACTCACAACGACAGCACGAACGAGAACAAGAAGCTGAACACCAGCGCCGCAATCTCCGCGTTCGGGCACATCGCAGCCACGGCTTGACCAATGGTGGTGTAGTAGAGCGGGAAGACGACGCCGAGCATGAGGTACGTGAATCCGCCGCGGTCACTCGGGAAGCCAACGGTCCAGAACCAGCATAGGAAGTAAATCGTCGAGCCCAAGATGTTCCACGGCAACTCGACGAGGATCTGGGAGGTGAGGAATGCAGTCCAACTATACATGCTGCTGTGGCGCTCGCGAATTTCGTAGATCTGGCGTGAGTCTAGGAACGGCACCTGGAGCTGGTTCGAGAGCGGTACGGAGATGATGGTCGACATGAAGATGGCGAACAGCTTGTTCTGCGTGCCCTGGATACTGTCCTTCGCCTTGAAGAAAGTAAAGCCGATAAGCAGGCCAGCAGCGATGTTGACACCAAGCTTCGCCACCATGTAGGATGGGTCACGCCAGCGGTACTGAAGGTCACGGGAGAGCAGGGTCCACAGCTGGTAGCCCCATCTTGTCGGGAACGCGCCGGTCATCGAGGCCTGGACAGGCGGACGTTCGCGGCCCTCGGCGTTGATGTGCTCGAGATCCTTGTTAACATTCTGCGCTTCCTGCGACTTCTTCCAGGCGTCGTGCCATTCAATGTCCGTTGTCGCCGTAGCACCCGCGCCAATGACGTCCAAGATGTACTCAGCCCTGTCCAACAGCGGTGAGCGGATAGTCTAAATGCAACGCGAACGACGGTGCTTACGGGTTCTCATCCTCTTTACAGACCCTACCGCCGTTGCTCTCAAAGTAGTTGATCAGCGTCGAGGACTTCTGACCGAGGTCACCAAAGTACACCGTCTGACCACCCTTGCGCAGGAGGAGCAGGCGGTCGAAAACCTCAAACAACTCCGCAGACGGCTGGTGAATGCTAAATGAAGAGCCATCAAAAACAACTCCATGCCAGTTGCATTGCCACGTACGTGCAAACGATCGACTGGCCGGCATCCGCCAAGCTCCTGAGGAAACAGACGATAGCCCAGGCACTCTGCGAGTCGAGACCGGAGGTAGGCTCGTCCAGGAAAATCAGAGACGGCTTCGCGACGAGTTCGACACCAATCGTCGTGCGCTTGCGTTGCTCGACACCCAAAGAGCCCACGACGGCATCCGCGAAGTTCTCGAGGCCGCACATCTTCAGGCAGTTGTCGACCCAGGCCTCTTTCTCCTCAATCGGGACAGAGGCGGGCTGACGGAGCTTGGCAGAGAAAAGGAGCGCTTCCCGGACGGTGGCAGTCGGTAGATGAGTGTCCATCTGCTGCACGTAGCCACTGTCAATGAGCAGTGAGCCTGTTGTTCCAGGGCGATTCAACATGGGGACTTACGTCTGAGAGCGGAAGTCAATAGGGAGGGATTGGCCGTTCATCAGGCGATCGCCAGTGACGACACCGCCCGCTGTCCGATCAGAGAGCACGTTCAGGAGCGTCGTCTTACCCGCACCAGACTCGCCCATGAGCGCAGTCAGCTTGCCGGGGGCAACATAGCCGGAGACGTTGTCCAGGAGCTTCCGTTTCCCGCCTTGAACCGGCACGATGTATGTCAGGTTCTCGAACGAGAACGTGTTCCTGCCCGCGGGCACCTCCTCGAGAGCCTTCTGAGCCTCCTCCGACACGCCCTCCGCATCGCGCCGCGTCGACGCGCCGTCACTGCTCACACCCGACTTCTCTTCGTCCGCCGTGCCCTTGGGCTGTGCGATGGTTGCCTTGGAGCCACGCTTGAACAGCGTGACGGACGAATCTCCCGCGAGACCGAGGTTGAACTCCGTGAGGACCAGGAGGATCGAGATGAAGCCTATGCCGAATGCGCAGATGATACCGAAGTTGCGCCAGAGGTGGCTGTATGCGTAGCCAAACGACAACGTGACGTAGCTCATGCCCTCGACGGTCGCCTGACCCGGGACGGAGCCGACTGTCGTGCAAACCTGGTTCGCGAGCGAAACGTCCTCGTACCTGGGCCTGAAGGAACGATCTGGGCGCACGACGCCTGAAGGCCGTGGAACTCGTTCACCACCAGCCCCTCGAAACCATACTTGAGCGGCTATAGAGATGCAAGATGGTCAGAATCACATAGGATGCTTTGTGGTTGAAGTGGACTCACGTTAATATAGGTAATCCAGCGGAGAGCTCCAATCATGGACGGCTGCGGGATAGTGTAGCCGGTGTAGAGGGTCAAGAGAAGGACCGAGACACCAGCAATCGCTTGCGCGGGCGCAGGGCTCTTGAACATCGCAGCGAGCATGCGGAACCAGCCCTTCATCGTGATCGTCATGCTGAAGATGTACAGCAGGAAGATGCTGCAGCAAACGCATGAGACAATGACAAGAAAATCGAAGGCACGATACTCACAAGAACTTCCCCGCATTCTCCTGGAGGCCGACAAGGAAATAAAGGATTATACCGAAGAGAATGAGCGTGAAAGCGGTGATTGGGATGTCAACGAGTGTCAGCGCGAGCCCCTCGACGAACGGGTGATACATCGCCGCTCGGGAGTGCCGCTGTACAATGGGGCGCTGGATGAAGAGCGCCGGGATTTCCGCCATGGTCGAGAGAGCCGCAAACAGGAGGGCGCTATACAGAAACAACTTGAGAATACAGGAAAGACATGTCATAAACGTAACTCACAAGAAGAGGACACCGCCTTTGGAGAAGAACGTCCCAGTGGTATTGTCCAGCCGCAAGAAGATCGTGCCGACAATGATAGCCTGGAAGACGAAACTCAAGGCCTGGATGACCTGCGTAGCGATCGCACCCTGGATGATTTGGACCCGGCGAAGCATGAGGGCCCGCGCCTGCATGGCGATTGAGATGATGAAGGGACTCTTCTTCGACGTGGTCTTCGCGTGTTCCGCGCGGTGGCTGAGACGGTACATCTGCTTCTTCTCAGACATCCCGCTCTCCTCCTCACGATAACGGCGCATGTCATCGCGGTTAAGCCGGCCGAGCTCACTGTTCTTGAAATACGCCGCGAACTCGTCCGCATTGCGTGGTGGCGGAGGCCCTGAATAGTTGGCGCGGGGGATACGGCCATTCGGGTCCGTGACTGCGACGAGGAAGTCTGCCGTGGTCTGCCGGTTCGCGGGCTCGTACCCCATGTCGATGAAGTACTGGCGCGCGCTGGAGGCCGGCCCGAAGTACGCCATCTTGCCTTCGTAAATGACGCAGACCTTGTCGAACAGCTGGTAGAGCTGCTCGCCCGCCTGGTAAATCGAGACAATCGTAGAGACACGGGCAACATCCGTTGCGAGGCGCAGCGCACGGACGAATTCGAGCGCGGTTGAAGCATCGAGTCCACGGGTGGAGCTGTAATAAAGAATGGTTAGATTTGGAGCGAGTGTATGCGGTAATGCACGTACTTGTCCCACGATGTGAGGAGACTGCGCGCAGCAAGGACCTCGCTGATGGAGACACGTTTCTTCTCGCCACCACTGACACCCCTAACACTCGCGTCGCCGACAAGGGTGTCCCTGACATGCCGCAGACCGAAGATAGTTGTCAACACGTCGATCATAGTGTTACGGTGTTGTTCACGCGTCTCGTGCACACGCGCGCGGGGGGTGCGCGTCTTTGCAGCGAAGTCGAGCGTCTGGCGGACGGTGAGCGTCGCGAAGTGGACATCGTCTTCGGGGCAGTACTGGACGTCGCCGCGGTATTGCTTCTCGATCTCCTGCGGCGTGAAGTCGTCGTACCACACGTCGCCAAGAACCTGGTGGTAGTCTTGCCGCTGGTTGGCGAGCGTCTTGAGCATCGTGCTACAGCCTGCACCGGGGCGCCCAAGCACCACTGCCTCAATGTCGCGGCATCAGCGGTCCAAACGGATGCCACGAATGACGGGGGACTCACGTAGCATCTCCCCTGGCTTCACGCATCCTTCGAAACCGCTCAGGATATCCTTCACAGGGGGGTGTCGGATTTTCTTGATAGTCTCGAATATCTGGAACGGATTCAAAGTGGAACCGAGGGTTGGCTGGTAGCTGACGGATGCGCCCAGGCCGACAACTCGGAGATTGTCGAAAACGACACCGAGCTCTCGGCGCTTAATGTCAGACTCATCCTTCCTGTGCAGAGGTCAGCCTGACCGAGCGTGGAAGAGACGAAATAATGCTACGCACCGTCTGACCATCTGCTGGAGCGACTTCTCAAAGTCGAATGGCCCGTCTCCTGGCGCGAGGGTGTGGTCCGAGGACCGATCTGACGAGTGGTGAGACGCATGTGTCGGCAGGAGGCCGGCTGACGGTGCACCTCGCTTCTCGCTGCGCTGAGCAGTCGACATACGCGACATGGTGCGCTTGAGCTCGTCTACACCTTCGCGGTCGAAGTGGCCGACAGAGACATGTCTGCGGCCCTCCTCCTCCTGCGCGTCGTGAGGGGCCCGGAGTTCATGGGAATTTTCGCGGTGGGCAACAAGATTATGGATGGCGGCGTTTCCGTAGGCGGCTGCGGTGGAGGTGCCGAGAGGGACCTCGGGCAGGTGGTCGCCGCTGTTGGCGTCGTGGAGCTGGGCGGGATCCATGGCGGGCCCGAAAGAGACTACGGGGTAGAGTACGGTAGAGCGGGGGCGAAGCACCGCCCAGGCCGGGACGAAACATTATATATGGGCCTGGCGGATAGCGCAAATGCGGAGACAGGACGCGCGGAAGACGGCATCAGCCAGGCGCGGCTGGCGTCAGCGCTGTTGGCGCTGGCCTGTGATTCGATTAGATCGCATCGCCCCAACTTTGTTTCCCTTCCACCGTCGTCAGCCAATCAGAGGCGGCGCCCGTCCCCGACAAATCCGGGACGAGTCACCGGGGGGAGGTCTCCGCTCTCGCAATTCTGCTGACACGCGTGTCCCGGGAGTGTCCCGGACTTCCTGTGCATGTCCTGGCTCCTGACGCCGGCGCCTGTCCTGACCAACGCACCAGGATTCATGATGCAACGCCTCGGCGCCGCGCACCCAGTGCGTCGCGACGACCTCGCTTACGCCAGCCTCATAATTAACGGTAGCCAGTCGCCTCTTGATCTGCTGACGGGACCTACAGCTACACACAACCCCCGCAGCTGGCCCCATGACCATCGTTCCCGCATCGACCAGATCTTCTGAGCTCAACACATCCGTATCCCGCCGAAGGAGCAGCTACGACTATCTATCCGGGTGGTCCTAGATTTGGTTGCTAACTCGCTCTTGACTCAAACCCGATTCCCGGAGAAACGGCGATTACTGTACCATGAGGCACTTACTTATGTGGATCTATGCATGAATAATCCTCCGCGTTCCTCATCTCGACCCCACCATTCCATGGCATTCAATTGTGGAGGAGAGTGATTGTGACTGTACAGGCTACAAGATGGCCGGATGTCCGAGATATGCAACCAGCAATGAATACTGCCCCTGTCAACGGGCGCTTCCCCACTCGCCTCCTCTCGCGGAACGATCTCGCGCGTTCTGCGCGATCATCCTGACAAAACGATTCCAGTTTGACCATCGCCATGGCCACAGAGACCCTGATGACCTGAACCCAAAGGCCACGATCCCGCGCCCGACATCGGCCCGTCCAGAAGACGCGATTCAACGCAAACCTGTCAACCGGCGATAAGTACGCCACGGATACACCAGAGTTGCGGTCCTTTGCGGCCCCATATCCGGGCTCTGGACGTGCGGTATCCGCATCGACGAAGCGTGGTCGAAGCGAAGACACCAGCCGTCGTAGTTGGCATCTCCGATCAGTGGCACAACGGACCGGTTCTATGAGCCCGCGATACAGTTCCCCGGCATGTGGTCACTTCGAGCCAGTACGCAGCCGTGAAGTGGCAAAGTCCTTCTGCTGTTCGCCCGAGAGAGGGACGGGAAGGACAGAGCGGCAGTGGAGGCGCTGAAGGTCGTAGTCAGCTCGGAGATTAAGTTGTCAGGTATGATAGAGGCTGCCAGGCATTTGTCACTGTTGCGCTAGCGTATATGATGGTGGCTCATTGCGTACGTACCTGGTGCATGTGTCGTCTCGTCTCGGTGGACTTGAACGTGCCCCGCCTGCCCTTCGTAGGCCTCCGCCTCCACCGTGGTTCGTCGCTGTTCGGTGTTCCGCTCTGAATCATGATGCGTATCTGTGTCGCCGCGCTGCAGGCCATCGATGCTATGCTGCTATGACACCTCCGGCGTCTCCGTTGCCGGTCCCTATCTCCAGATGGCTCGCAATGGCTCTGGCTTGCGTGCTGCAGCCTCCCACCAGGGGACGCGTAGCCCATTCATTGTCTCGGCATGATACACGTCCGTGAACTTGAGGCGCTTCCGAGTCGATACGCGTGATTCTTGTTGTTGATGCCGCAGCACTTATCTGGAGACCAACGTAAGCCATGCTGCGACAAGAATGGACGGTAGTAGACGGTAGCTCGGAGGAACGGGCGCCCACATACCGAGAGCAGTGGGCCAAGCACGTCGGGTGCATACCTACTGCTCTACCGTCGTTAGGCGCTGGGCGTCAGCATAAACCAGTATGAGCTAATTTTATCACCACGCACGGAAGAATCTGTCCGACCACGGCGCCCGTTTCGCATCAGTACTAAGCAGGGCCGCAGCCTGAGCGGGAACGTGTCTGCGCACGGTAGAAATGAGAGCACTCCCCGTCACAGCGCGATGTGGGCAGTCGGTCCTGCTGGTTTGGCCGGAGGGAGAGCTGGCAGGTCGATGTGCAGACTACGGCTCGTCGACGCCGACGCCATGCCTGACCCGGGCGGGGACAAGACGGGGGGCTTGCGAGAAACAGCGAGAAACCCGCCCGCGGCGCCTATCGCTCGCGAACTGCGCATCCACCGAACCCGAACATCACGGAGAGGCGATGGCATGTGATTTCATAAATCTAGATCCCACTCACCCACTCGAACAGACTTGCACTGCTTGGCTCGCCGCTTCGATCATTTCGGTCTTCGAATGCAAACATACGCGTGTGTCTCGGCTCGTCGGTCAACAGCAATATTACTCTCCGAATGTACACAGTATCGGAGCACCTGAAGCGCACCTTGCGTGATACGTACGCTGCACAGATGTCGGTGCTAGTGATCCTCGGCGCAGGCATCGGATCGCCTTGCCCATCTTGGTACTGTACCCCGGCCGAGCTCGAGGTGCACCATGTACGCCTTCAGCGCGCCCTAATTAGTAGGAGTTGTGCTTAGACTGAAGACATACTTCGATGCGGAAGCTGAAGACGGGCTGCTGCAGGATACGGCGTAGTCGTCGGACTCAACGTTCAACTTGAAGACAGGCAGATACGGTAGATATTGCACGATAACCTCGATTCCCTCAACACAGCCGAACAATCTTCCTTCCTTCAAAGCACCTCCGTACGAGTCTCCCCATGGCCACACATCAGTGCGAAAAACCCGCCCTAGCTCGCCACGCACTACCTGCAGCCACCACAAGTACACATACCCTCCAACCCATCCTCCGAGGTGTCTCCCTCACCGACTTTCCCAACACGCTGGGCATGCGCTCCGTAGCGCAGGCCCCTACCAGTTCCCGTTGCGGAACCGCCCCCCACCGGATGAGGGCGCGTCGCGTACGCCTGCACGCCCGCTCACGCGCAAGCCGGATATGTGTGATGCTCCGCGCGAGCGTAGGCGCGACACCACCGCGCGGGGCGGCGGGATGGTGAGCGGGGACTTTGGGTTGATGGTTTGCGGTTGGTGGAGGGCCGGCGGGCTTCGAGGGTAAGGCTGCGTGGAGAAGCGGGAACGGGCGGAGACAGGCACGGGGATGGGGCCTCGTGTGTGGGCTGCGAGAGCAAGGCCATGGTAGCGATGTACGCCGGTCAGGCCTGCTGCGAGGTGTTGCGAGTTTGCGGAGAGGGGCCGGAGGTCGAGATGAGATCGTGCTGGTGGTTTCCAGAGGTAGGAGCTCCTGACCAACTGGCGCTTGCCCAAGCGACGCCGTCGTAGAACCCTAGATTGTTGGGTCCAGGATCGCAGACGCGGGGAGTCCGTTAAGGCCATCGGTAGGGCCACGGGAAGACACCGGTGGTACTGAAGAGATAGTTTCGGAAGCTTCAGGGCATCGAGGAGGTGCAGTGGTCGGGATCCGGTGGTGCCCAGCCGCGGATTACGGGTTCAAACCATCATGCTTGTCCTTTTCTATTCGAGGCATCTTCAGAGGCGACGATGAAGGCGATACAGATGTCGCAGAGTGCGGCAGGCCATTCGAAAAGCGCCTTCCAGAGGTGTCCGGAGAGGATGAACCGAGAGACATGGCGTTGGTTCGCAGGTGGGCAGGGTAGCGGCGGCAGTACCAGGATTTAGGTCTGTATCGTCGTCAGGAATGTCGATAATGTCGGAAAGGCTCAGGCTGGAGACTACACTCGAATCGGAGGGCGATCCTGGATGCTCGATGCGATATCAGCACAGAAAGCATTTTCGACATGAAGTTCATCGCAGAAAAGAATGCGCAGAGAGGTGCGGGTAGCAAGTGTATGACAGTTGCAAGTGAAAGCAGTAAGAGACCAGAGTTCAGCCTGTCGATGCCATATTATGTATCTATCCGGACCTTCTTGGGGCTGACACGCCGGCCGTGCACTTCTGGCTTCGTGACTTGATACAAGTCAGCCAACAACGCGCCGGATGTGTTTGAAGGAAGCTCCACGGCACCTCACGGAGTGCTTGTACAGAGGTTGTACAGCAGTTGATCCTTCGTTGCTACTTCGCAGGGGAGTCCATCACCTTTCAGGCTGTATCACGACCTGCGTATATGAGAGAAGCTTTGAAGTTCCAACTTCCATATCGAGTCGCAAGTACGTATAGTTGGGCACGTGATCACAAGACAGCGGCAAATATCGTCTCGGCGCTGACTCTCGTGCCCGTTTCCTCCTCTCACCTTATTTCTCTCAACACAATCGAGCCCCTTTTGTACCATCAATGCGCCGCAGAAACGGTACTGCACCTGCCATTGATTTCTTTTCGATCTGTGCCCAGCCCTCTCGCCTTAGACGCGTCACTTCGAAAGGGAGACGGGTACCCAGGCCCAGTTTAAGTACACGCAGCGCGGACGAGAGACGTTCTGGAAACACGAGAGAAGTGATTCAAAAAAGAGTAGAAGGAAGAAACGGAGACGGAGAGGAGAGGAAGAAAGAAGTGTTGCCCCCGCTCGACGCTCTCACCCGCTCGTCCGCTCGTCAGTATCGTATCTCGCCTCAACTTACGTGGTCGCAAGTTCGCGCTTTCAAATCGACGACGCGTCGGCTTCGCGCTCTTAGAGAAATGGGTGAAAGCTTTGCCCCCAAGACCAGTAAGTCGTAAGCTATCGTCTGTCGGCCTTATCGCTCTGTCACAGAGCCTTCCCGGAGCCTTCTCCCTACGCCGTCTTTTCGCTATCTGAGCCATTCGTCCACTGTCGACCATCCGACCTTCTTGCACAAGGAGACTGCGTGGTGTGTGTGTTGGTTGTTCTCGCAGCCGCGCACGCATTTCTCTCCGAAAACTGCCAAACCGACAACGAGAGGGTTGGCGCTGGGTACTCCTGCTGCTCAAGTTCGTGGTCTGTTCAATATCCGCTACGACGCCATCTACTCCTGTTCTCGCTGATAAGACACCTGCACGGTACAGCCTCCGTCGACCAGCCGCATCCTACGGCCCGTCGCCCGGGGACTATCAGAAGAAGGTCGTATATACAGGCTACCGTATGCACTCATACCCCAGCAGTGGCAAACAGTACAGTGCGTTATACACGCATGCGTGGCTGCAGACGACTGACGAGACCTCAACTAGCTCGACAACAGACTCCTGAGAGACATTCAATACATGATCTGCGATCGGCAACGCAAATCGCACGCCGTGTCACGAGTGAGCTTGATATCGTCGCGGAGCATTAGATGCGAACGACCATGCGCTCCGCGCATCTCGCAGCCTTCTCGACAGGCTAGGTCTGCCATAGCCAGAAGTTGTGACCATTCTCGTGATCGTCGGCACCGTTCACCTCCGCCACAATGCCTTCTCTCACGGCCCGTGGCCCTCCAACTTTGCACCCGCTGCATAGCAGCTGATTGTCCCACAGGCGGAGCCCTTTACCGTTCTGACGGCGAGTGGGGGTATAAAGCAGACAATGGCTTTTGATGGCGGTTACTCGAACGTCTGGGGTACAGTAGCAGCCTTCGTGGACACTGCCAGAATGCGCTTCCTGGATATCGCTCGGCGGCCTCTCCTGGCATGGCTTGCTCCGCTCTCCCTGCTGAGCTCAAGGGTCTCCGACACGTACGCTGCCGCTTCGTACAACTCGACTTGTGAGTTGTTGTATCTAAAGATCGGCGTCAAGGTACTGATTAGCTTTCGCATGAAGTGCTCGATCCATCATACACTCGTCTCCCGACCGGAGCCGTGAAGCCTCTTGGATGGGCGCTGGACATGGCCCATGTACAGGCGAACGGTCTGGCCTCTCAACAGCCAATTTGGTTCAGCTAGTAAGTGCCAATTGTTGCTCGATCTTCGCCCACTCATGTATCTGCCCCTCACAGCGTCAGAGATTCTGTTTGGTTCGGGGGAGCGCTGGAATACAGCGAAATGCAGGAGGCCGCGCCTTACTGGTAGTAAGTGACACATTCATCGTGGACCGGTTCGAAATGCTTATCGCGCCCCGCCCAGTAACGGATGGGTCGCACTCGCTTACCAGCTTCAGAACGAGACGCTCCTCAACTACACGTCGACGTTCCTCGACTACGTGCTTGACTCGCAGGAGCCGTCCGGCAACTTTGGCCCTCCGCCGTTCGACACGTCGCTCCCTGTGCTGCTCTGGCCGAGATACATGATCATGCTGGGGCTCATTGTGCGTCGAACGGACTCTGTATGTACAACACTAACTGTCTTCGCGAATTCCCAGCAACACGCCGAAGCAGACCCGAGCCAGGCAACCGCCATCAACGATCTCATGCACAACTTCGTCTCCTATGCGCGGAACGCTTCGCGACTGGCGATCTCGGGACGGAAGACCTCGGCGAGCAATACGGCTACCAGGAAGTCAGATGGGAGGAGGTGCGTCCTTTTAACGCAGGCGGAAGCCGCTGACGATGCCAAACGTCCTCAGCTCGTGCTCGTGCTGCAATGGCTATACGACAACGACCCGCGCGGAGAAGAAGCGCAGCTGATTTCGCTCATGACGGCCGCGCGCGAGCAGGGTTTCTCGTGGAAGGACGACTTCTACGTCGATAACGGTACGTTCCGCGGGAAGCGGTGTCCGCGGCGGACTCTGGCATGCACAAGTGAGTCCATTTAGAGCTGCTGAACGGCTGAGATAAGGCTCACGCGTGAACGCTAGCCACGGCGTCAACGTTGGAGAATGTGAGGTCTCGCCGAGCGTGGCGGTGAAGCAGACGCACTGATGACCTCGTAGCACTCAAGTCGGAAGCGTTGGCTTGGCGTGTGACCGGCGAGCAGAGCGACGTCGACAGCACGTACGACCGCATTGGCATGCTGTGGGAATACCACGGTCGTCCACAGGGCATCTTCAGCACGGACGAACATCTGGCAGGCCTCGATCCGTCCAGAGGGTAAGTTGAGGCATACCTCCGAAGTCCGGTTTGTATTGAACCCGAGTCGTCCACAGTTCGGAGTACTGTACAAGCGTGGAGACGATGTTCTCCCTGGAAATGATCTATGCGACCCTCGGCAATCCCGAGTGGGCGGACCTTACCGAGAAGATCGCATATAATCCCTGCCTGCTCAGGTTTGCCTTCCGCCCGTGTTCCCGTCTTTCGCACCTAATGATGAGAAATATTCCCCTCGTTACAGAGTACTCCGGACTGGTGGGGACACCAGTATCTTCAACAGACGAACCAGATCTGGGTGAGGAATCACACTGATGGAAGGGCGTGGGCTACGGACGGGCCCTACAGCAATGTGATGGGATGGAGCCGAACTACCCTTGCTGTATGCATACGTTCTTTCATGCATGCCAGTCAGCAGAGACTGATGTCATGACTAGGCACCGTCAACCATCCGCAAGGGTGGCCAAAGTTCTGGGCGAACAGCTTCCTGCTCGCTGATAACGGGACCTCGCTCGTGCACGCGCTTCTCGGGCCCGCGACCGTCTCCACAGCTCTTGCGAATGGCACAAGTACCAGCGGTATGTACCATGACCATCTGTGATTACTGCTGGTCGCTCAAGCGATGCGTCCCAGTTACGGTCGACACGCTGTATCCATTTGGCCCGGCGCTCTCCTACAATTACCTCAACGGCACCCTTCACGTTCTACATCCGCATCCCTGGCTGGGCGCAGAGCGGCAGCAGCATCAGCGTCAACGGCTCGCCTGCCTCCCCGCTGTCCCCAGACCCCAGCACCGCTCTGCAGAGCGTGTCCGTCGACACGGGCGAAACGACAGTAGCGCTGTACCTTGACATGCAGACCCAGATCGAGGAGGGTCCGAACGGGAGCATCGCCATACATCGCGGACCGCTTTTCTACGCCGTTGACCTGGCATACAATGACACCGAGACGGAAGCGCTGAGGTGAGCGTACTCGACCGCTGCGACGTTTCTGTAGTGACAAGGCGGCTGGTCATGTAGGTCCACTGGCCCACTGGAGTTCATCGAGACCCTACCCAATGTTCCTGAGTCCGACCTAACACAGGTACGATGCCACGCAGTGTGCCCTCAACCGGCTGACCCACGCCTTCGCAGTACGATAACAACACGCACGATCACACCTGGCTCCCCACCGCTCCGTGGAACATCGCTATCGACCCCTCGACCCTCGCGTTCCACGAGGAAAGCGTCGACTCGCTTCCCTACTACGTCTGGGACACCGGCGCGCAGCCGCAGTCCATGACCGCGCTCGCATGCGAGATCGACTGGCCGGTGGTGTCGGGCGACGCGGACTGGCCGCCGCAGAGCCCGAATACGTGTACGGGAGAGCCGTTCAACGTCACGCTGCGGCCGTTTGGTGGGACGAGGCTCAGGATTGGGCAGTTGCCGACGATGTCGGTCGGTTCATGACCAGAGTCTGGGTGAGATATATACAGTCCAATGGGTACATCGTGATGTCCATGCCAGCAGCGGCCAGCCGTTGTTCCTTCGGGCACATGGCTGTCAGACTTGTGCGTATGATTCGACGTGGTCTCAGTACATGCTACCTTTCCACAGCAAATATTGCGCCTCTTTCCTCCGAACCTCGAGCAAGTGCCGCAACTTGCTACGTCCTCAGTGGCACAATGCCGTGGTAATGGCATTCGACACGAACTCTAGCGTTCTACCTAGCGTATCTTCCACACCGTGACATGCCCTTGTGCGGTTTCGACCACTCTGTCTCCACCCATTTGTTGCCGCGAGCGATAGACCATGCTATCGGCTCGCCATCTTGCGAAAAGTGTAACGAGTACCCGCCTGTCCACGACACCTTGACCATGGACTTCCGGCGACTAGGGATCACCCTCTCCAACGTCATTCGTGCGCGGTTGTTCTTTCCCAACTGCGCCAACCTTCGTGTCGGAGATGGTGAGCAGATATGTGGCACAGGATGCACAATGCACTGGCAGTTACCTGCAAAATACCCCACGCCCATCGATCTGTCTCGTTCTCCAATATTGACAACTATTGTGTGTAGTTTTCCCGGGCTAGGAGTGTGCGGCACTGTTGCATCACCAATGTCAGGGATCATCGTGAAGGCGACATGATCCTTGAGTACGTTGAGACGGGCATTGAGTGCCAGTGCCTGACTGCCACTAGATTGAAAAGGCTGAGTGAGTCCTAGGGGTGCATATAGCATAAGCTTGCGTAGGGCAGGGAAGCAGTTAGTCGAGTGAGTATCGTCGTCAGCGTATCTGTCGATGCCTACACGATTCGCCGGGTTGTCAATAATAACCCTTCATCGAAGACCATAGTGAGTTACCTTCGAGTCCGCGTCCTGAGTCACAGTGTAGTCTGCGTTAACATCGACACCGAGATGGTGCAACGAGATACAGCTCTCGCCAAGCCTCCGAAGATCTCGTGTAGTCAGGGTCGCTCGCTGAGGCTCATCAGCGCGTTCGTGATCGTGCAGTACAAGTGACCGCAAGATGGCTCCATGATGTGTCGCAATGGTTGAGACCAAAGGGTGATGAGGTCCCTCGATGTGTAGAGCCTGGAGTCCCGATGCACTCGACAAGAAGTTTTGGAGAGCCTGAGTGGTAGCACTGGCGCGGGTCTGCTCGTCATGGCTTTCGAGCCATACTACAAACTTGAACTCCGCGAGGGAAGGTAGGCTCGTGCCGACAAGAACCCATGTGCGGAGAAGTGGGATGGCATTGCAGCGTGTCAACTCCAGCTTGCGCAGGCGCGACCACGAGATACTCTCGAGACTCTTGACAGCCCCCGCGTCGCTCCATGTGAAGCCTTCTAAGACAAGCTCCTCGATTCGCGGGCCAATCTCCATCTCGCAGACCGGCTTTGTTGGGTCGTACGTCAAGAATGGTTTGGTATGAACTTCGTCTTCAGTATCCTCGAGTGTTACGACGCGCACAACGCAACCTGAGCGGTTGTATGCTGCGATCCGCAGACTATGCAGTCGAGGCGAATGAAGTAGAATGGGTTGGAAATTAAGTAGAGGGTCGCCGGGAAAGCGCACGGTTGCAGCAAGCGAGATGAGATTGGGCATAGCGGGAAGAACCGAACCTGCGTATTTCTCTAGTGTGAAGCGGCATTCCGGGAACCCAACTTGAATTGCATTTATCAAGGTGGCTGGTATGTCGAGGCCAGCATCCCACCTGTGTCGGTGATGAGCTCGTGCATGTGTACCGACAGCGGGGTCGTGCTCACCGCACTTTCTGTAATCCCGCTTTGAAGATCCCACCCTGGATAATACATTGGAGTTCTTCGAGGGATTCGACTCGTTCTAGTTCGGTAGACGAACTGTCGTCGAGTTCCTTTAGATGATGATACCACCGTTTCCGTGTGAGCTCGCCGACAATGGCGAGCTCCGTGACACGTTCAGAAATGTGCGGAGATGAACGCAGTGTGTCTAGTCTGCGCTTGCACTTGTTCTCATCTGATATATCCAGCACGAATCGCTGCAAGATGAGGCCACGCGCTACGACGGCGAAGTCGCGGCTGATCAAAGATGCAGAGTTGAGGTCTGGACGGGGAATCTGCGTGTAGATGGCTTCAATGGTGTACATGGCATGCGATCAGACCTGGACGTACCTCCGCAAGGATGAGACGAAGTACGTCCTCACAGTGAAGCCACCTATGCGTATTGGTGCTTGATGCGTTACCCATGAGAAGATGTATCTACCTGGGATAGTAGGGTCAGGTTCCTTCCAGTTAGAACATCCATACTTGCACTGCCTCACAGGAATCACTTGAAATCGGCGGAGCCTATGACTGTGGCCATGATGGCGGTCAACTGACAAGACGATGACAAGACAAGACCTGCCACCCCACGCTAAGCAGTGTGGCTATGCATGCCAGAGATGATCCAGAGTGATTTGAGCCGACCGCGTTGATGCGGCGGTAAGCAGCCGTTGTTCAACTAAGTATCACTGCATCGTTCTTGAGGTGGTGTCAGACGGAGCGTTCATACACAATAGAAACCGGACACAGCGCCGGCTTGATAGTCAGTGCTCGCCGGACGTGATTACTGTAAGGATCCTCCTAATGTGTCTACCGCCATCTGGACACGCTCTCGGGCGGTTCCAAGTATTCTGTTTCCACCCACTTGTTGCCGCGCTCGACCATCCACGCTATTGGGGTGCGCTCAAAGACAAACGAAGAGCCGTCTGTCCACGATGCATTAATCAGGTGGTTGCGCTGACCATCGACTTCCCTCTCTAGTGTCATCTTGAAGCGATTACTCCGCTCCCAGGTTACCCAGCCTTTTACCAGGCTCCATCAGTGTATTTCGAGAGCATGAGGTTCAGAGAATTTACCTGCAGGGCGCCCAATTCCCATCAGCCTGTCCTGTTCTCCGATATTGGCGACGATTGAGTCCAGCTTCCCCGTCCTGGGACCAGGAGTGCCAGCGATGTCGCCGACGTCAGGCATCAACATGAAGGGCACATGTTCCTTGAGTACGCTAAGGGGTCCAGCATACGGAGATCATCCTGCGAGGCGCTGGGTAGCCTGGTTATCCCCAGCAGCGTGTATAGAGTCAATTTGCGCAGAGCAGGGAAGTAGTCAGCGGAGTTGATGAATGTCGTCAATGTCTCCGCCTGTACGTCCACAATGTCAGACCCTAGTTTTGATCAGAATTGATGGAGAGTCACCTCTGAGTCTGTGTGAGAAACAGTGTAGTCCGCATCAACGTCGATTCCGAGATGATGCAGTGAGCGACACTTCTCGCCCAATCGCCGAAGGCCCCCCAGAGTCAGTGTCGTTCGCTGGGGCTCATCGCGACGTTCGTGATCGTGCAGCACAAGGGAACGCAGGGTCTCCCCGTGGTGCGCGACGATGGTTGAGACCAAAGGATGATGAGGTCCTTCCACGTGTAAAACCTGAAGTCCCGAGGTACTCGATAAGAAGTCTTGGAGCGCCTGCGTAATGTCAGCACGGGTCTCTTCGCTTCCGTACCACGTCGTGTATACAAATTCCTCGAGGAATGGCATGTTAGAACTGACAGGGACACAGGCTTGGAGAAGTGGGACGGAATCGCGGCGACGTAGCTCCAGCTTGCGCAGGTGCGACCATGACATCTGCTCGAGACAGCTGACGGCACCCTCCACGCTCCAACTGAAACGCTCCAGGACCAGGTCTTGAAGCATCGGACCACTGCCTCCGCAAACCGGCTGTGACGGGTCATACGTCAGGAATGGTTTCGGGAGGGCTGCAAATTCGGCCTCTGTATAACCGCGTACGACGCAGCCTGTGTGGTTGTATGCTGAGATCTGCAGAGTACGCAGTCCCGTTGCATGACGCAATATGGGCTGAAAATTGAGAAGAGGATCGCCGTGGCAGTGTACGGTTGCCGTGAGCGATACGAGAGTGGGCATAGGCGGGAGGGCTGAGCCTGCGTATTTCTCGAGTACGAAGCTGCATTCTGGGAATGCTACTTGTATAGCTTCTATCAAGGCGACCGGCATGTCCAGGCCAGCATCCCACCTGAGCTAATGATAAGCCCGTCCACAGTCGACAATCGTAACATGGAGCTCACCTCACACGCTTGAGCCCAGCCTTGAATATACCGTTCTGTATGTGCTGTTGGAGTTCTTCAAGAGCCTGGACCTGCATAGTCACCGGCCCATCTTCAACCTCCGCGAGATATTGCCACCACCTTTTGTGCGCGAGATCGCCTACGATTGATAGCTCCTTCACATACTGGGAGACACTTGTCGATAGACGCAACGTATCCAGCCTGCGCTGGCACTTGTCCTCGTGCGCTAGATTCAGTACGAATTGTCGAAGGATGAAGCTACGCGACACAGCGGCGAGATCGCGGTTGACCAGCGACGCGGATTTGAGGTCCTCACGAGGAATCTGCTCGTCATTCAGTCACCAACTCACAACGACAACACGAGCTGAGACAGACCTGCTCAAGGATGACCCGGAGTATGTCTTCGGTTAGAGGCAATCTGTGCGCATCTGCACTGGCTGCGTTACCCATACCGAATACTGAGAGACAACATCATTCTCATGAGTCATCTGTATTTATATTGCTATGTGTGAGTCACCTCACCGCAGAGCAGAGCCTTTTGTGACCCATGACGCGTGGCAGATTTGGCTGTGCTGCGTGCATCAACTGAGGCTATGCCCAATACTACCTTTCCTGGAGACCTCCAGCGCTCGATCTACGTTCTCGAAGGCACATTTGTTTTCAGCTCCATCCCAGCTCTCGACGGGTTCCAGTCGAGTACCGCATGTCCGTGTCGTTGACAAATCAATGTCAACCCTCATCGGCATCTCTCGCGACAATTTCGAGGCAATACCGTCTCACTATTACTTGGCTTTGAATGCCCCCACAATAGCTGAGCGCGCGCAAGCAAAATCAGAACCCTTTGCTGACACAGACAATGCGCTGACTGACCTGGTGTTTACCGTCGTGGTTCTGTCAACTCGATTCCGCATGATTTGTACCGTCTCGGAAGGGGTCCTAAGGGCGCGGCGATGCACCTTCCGACTAATGGTGGATGTAAGGCGAAACAAGTACATGAAAGGGTACACCGTGGTTCATTTTTCGAGATGGCCAAGTCGACAAAGTTGCGATATCGGCCTCCTGTTCACGTCGCGAATGGCAGACAATCGAAGTACAGGTTCGATGGACGCTCACGGACCCTGCAACGTGAAATGCAATGCCGCCTGCATCGCCATGTCTATTGCGGAAGCTCAACCGAAGATTCCGGGCCACAATGCACCTGGACCCATGGAAATTATGTGCTGGACGGCAGTAGTCTTTGAAGGACACGATCAACCTCGACATTGTCCGAGTCTCCGTGCTTTGGCCAGCTCTCCTCTGGTGGTATAGAGCCTTCCGGAAGGTTGGACCAGTTCGGCGAGGGAGTGGGGCGTATATGGGAGAAATCTTGCACCGCTAGGTTACTCTGACATGGTGATGCGTGAGCAGTTCTTATCATGATAAATAGAATCGACGAAGGAACGCACCGGTAGTTCATCGCCGGCGCTGTGAAGATATCGAGGATACTTGGTGAATCGGATCCCTTTGCAGTGCTCAATGATCGGATTAGATGCAAGGGATATGTAGACGTCCGTCTGCGTCGAACTATGCATGCGATACTAGCATCGTATGAGTCGACCTGAAATGAGTGGAGACTGGCGAGCACAGACCTGATGACAGCCGAGAGCAAGGACGCATCTCGAGAGATCGTGGAGCAGTGCGCTACCGTCGATGACGGGCATGATCAATACACTGTTTCTGATATTACGCGCATGGAGAGCGGTAATCTTGACATCGCGCGCAACGCCATCCTTGGAACGGGTCTCTGAGAGCATGTACACCACGCAGTGGTCCAGATCAGAAATGATGAGATCCGTAGCGGAAACCACAGGTGGGAGAGAGGACAGGTCGAGGAACTCGTGGCTACGGCCAGATAGTGTCACGCCAGCGAAGCTTGAGGGAGTGCTTGATGAGACATCTACCAGTGCTGAAGTAATGGGCGCAACTTTCGAGGCGGACGAGGTAGACGATGGCGATGGAGATGTAGTAGATGTCTTCGCTTTGCGCTTAAACGCGAACTTCGGCTTCGGTGCAGCGGCTGTCCTGAGTTTCTCTAGGGACCCCTCGACTTCCTTTAGTCGCTGAGAAAAGCTGAGCACTCGTCTACAGTCCTGACGGTAACTGAACGGACTCACCAGTTCACATTGTCTCTGATCATAACTTGGCAGGAAGCTCGTGGCGTCCGTTAATTCCTTCCTCAATTTAGCGAAGTCGGTTGATAGCTGCTGTAGTGCTTTCGAGTCTGTGCTACCCAAGTTCAATTCGTTGGCCCGTGACGCAAGTTCTGTCGAGATCGCATTTCAGGAATAGTCCTGCAGGCCGATACGTAGAGTAGCAGACCAGATTGCGCCGCATTGAAATGGATGTAGAATTCCTGGCTAAGTTCCTGGTTCGTTTTGTCCATCCCGACTTGTGGCAAATAATGGGTAGATGTGAAGCATGTGAAGGGCTGTCCCTACCAGAGTGGTCTCAGCGCAACCCGAGCAGTGGCAGAGCGGTACTCGGTCACGGTCATCCGTTACACCGTCACACACATGAAGGGGCGCGCTTGCGGCGCTTACACAGGTTCGCTGCTCGCCTCGACGTCCTCCATCGTCGTCGCATCGTTAGCCCTCCATATCTCTGGGACTACCACAGACTTACAGGAATCAACGATGGCTGATGCTGAAATGGATGTCGATCCCCCAGCGACCTCGACTGGCAAGGCCGTCGACAAAGGCGACGCGAAGAAGCGATTCGAGGTGAAGAAGGTACGCGCGTTGTTCGATAGATATCTGACATACAGCGATGCTAAAGCAGTGGCCATATGTGTTCCTCGGATGATAGTGGAATGCTGTTTCGTTGTGGGCTTGGGGTGCGTAGGCTATTGTGTCACTTAGTCGTGTGTAGCTTACTGACGAAGCGCGATCTTTGTAGACATTGTTGTCGACAACTGCGCCATCTGCAGGAACCACATCATGGATCTCTGTGCGTCGAAATGCTCACACCTATCCTTGTCTTCGGCATCTAACATATTACTGGTATCAGGCATCGACTGTCAAGCCAACCAAGTATCAGCCACTAGTGAGGAATGCAACGCTGCATGGGGTATCTGTAACGTGAGTATCACGACGAGCGGCTGGAACAACCATGGCTCAACATACAATCATAGCACGCATTCCACTTCCACTGCATCTCCCGGTGGCTGAAAACGAGGAACGTCTGCCCGTTGGACAACCGAGAGTGGGAGCTGCAGAAGTACGTTGTTCCACTCTCTTCGCAGTGGCTCCAAGTTCTGATGGTTTCTTAGGTACGGTCGGTAAATGCAGACATATCCCTGTCTCTAGATATTACGCTTTGTATTTTGTACATCACTCGCGCACCAGCTGATCCGGTACCACAAATGTATATCATGCGCCATCGCCTTACTCGGTGGGTATCTCGTCTACTGACCTGTGGTTCCGCAAACGATCGTATGCCTACTGTCCGCAAGATCCACTCAATGCAGTTCAGGATTCGTGTCTGGCGATAACACCCCCACCCCTGCAATCTCGTAGGTATGCTGGGGCATGCACCGCCTGATTCGATGGACTACATGATGTTCTCTCCGTTCAGATGGAAGCAGCCTTCTTACATTTAAGCAGATATGGTGGGCTAGCGAACTAGGTGAGACACTGGTTGCATATGCCTTTGCTGCACACTGATGTCAAGATTTACGATTGGGAGTTGTTCGCTGAGTAAGGGGACCTAGCGGATTTGGCAGATACTCTGTCAATTCACACAATGTCCTGCTGGTATCCAGACGATCTCGGATGGCCCCTACGGGGACGACCGTCCCTGATAGATGTTCAAGCGGTTACCGCCCTGTGTCGGTGTGACAATTGTTAAACACATTTCTAGCCAGTGCTCGTGAGTGTCCCGTCGCTTGCAGATACCTGTGGCTCTTACCTGAGCACTGATTTCGAGTCTCTAATTGACGTATGTAGGCATCTAACACATTGCTTGAACTTGACGTTGCGTGCGTGCGACGGTTCCTGAAGAATACTTCGGGGTAGTGGCGCTGGATTCTATTGAGTGCTTAAAGCATCGCATTCTCGCAGACATCTGTTGGCTCTGTTTGTGCCGCCATTGAACCCAAGTGAGATACTTGGTACGTCTGCGAGCGCAGACATTCCGTGGCGACTGATGGTGGACATCCGAGACCCTGCTCCGTGAGTTGCGTATCAGCCTGCAGTTCCATCTGGACGATTGCACAGCGCACAAAGGCCCATACCTCCAATCAAGTCGACGATGTGTTACATAACTTGCACTGGTAGTACTGATCCCAATTTGCGGAGCTTTACCGGCACGCATACAATTCGGGAATGAAAAGAACTCAAGTTATGTGCGTGCCTTGATAGATGACCACACAAAATAGTCGCTGCAACCTGAGCCAACCAGAGACTGAAGCTTACCTAAACGTTAAACCACCGATGGGATGCCTCGGTATCCCCCAATCGGTCACCTTCCATATTGGGAGATTGTATGACCGAATATGGAAGTCGGTGCGCGTGCTGTCTTGGGGATGGTGTACCCCCATATTTGGAAGGTGACCCATTGGGGGGTATATATGACCGTACGTACGACGCACCGGGGGTTTCGAACCTTTACGAACATCCCCGCCTACTACCGCTACGACACCATGAACACAGGTCTCCCTTTCTCAGGCCAACCGGTTGGCTTTATTCTTGCCGGACTACCTCTTCCTCCTCCTCCCTATGCCTCCCGTACCGTTCTCATGGAGCAGGCCAACGAGCTACGCGTCATCGCACAGGCATGCATGGACCAAGTCCAGCGCGATCACGCACTCCTCCGACTCAAGGAGCAAGAGATTGAAGTCCTGCGGAAGAAGCTAGAGCGGAAGCGGAAGCGTGAGGACTTAGCGAGGAAGGAGGAGGCACGTTTGGCTCAGGAGGGGCTTGTGAGTTTGGAGGAGCAAACCGCGTCTCGCACAGCGAGGAAGGAGGCAAAGCGCAAGCAGCAGGTTGTTGCTGCTAACTCCCGCCTAATAGGGAAGCAACCGCGAGGCGGGACAACTGCACACTCCTTGCGGAAGTTGGAGGATGCCGGCGCGGCTGCAGCTGGTCGCAAGGAGGTGGCCAGTGCTGGCCACCGAGCAACGGATGTTACGCAGCAGGGTAGGCCTCGCCCTCGCCGCAAGGTAGCCATCCCGGCAGCCCCGGACGATACGGAGACTGATGGGCAGGCCTCTATGGCCAGCCATGCCGCTGCTGATGGTACTGCTACGATCTTCAGCTCTGGTGAGTCTGTACATCGTTTCTTACGTTCCGAGTCTCTAATGTGTCTGCTGTACTAGATGGGTGCACGGTTCCCGGTCCTCTTCCTGGCACTGCTAGGGAGCCTGTCCCAGCCCGCCTCAGTGGCCTCGCCACTGTCCACGACTCAGCTCAGCCTCGCCTTGAACAAGGACATTGTGCCAGTGGAAGTCGCATGCCAGATGAGCGGCCCAAGGCTACTGCCAGTGCTCAGGCAGAGCCACCTGTTGTACGCTCCGAGAAGCCCGTGCTGCGTCGCAATCCACCTCGTAAAGGCCGATCAATGAGTGTAGCAGACTCACACCCACCATAGTTGCATCCGTCATCGTCACATTTACTCCCCTCTTGTCGCTCTATACAATTTGCTGCTCGTTGCAGGCACTTGTACCAGTGCTTATGCTTACCGTTTTCCGCGTTGGCCACCCACCACAAAATATTCATTGACACCATCTATCTGCTTCGACAATCGTGAGTTGACTTGTACTGGATGCTCAGGGCATTGTAGCATGGTTTGAGATCCTCAAAGGTGCAGTGGCACTGCTCGAGCGGAGCATTGTCATAATGATTTGGTACATACGGTACTTAAAGTGCGGTAGAGTGCTGAGGAGCGTACATGGGCGCTTACGAAATTCCTGGCGCGCGTCAGATCTGATGAGGGCCGAGAGAGGCTCCTGGTACCTACCACCAACACTATCGACCTCTCGCCCGCTCCTCCCACCATATACTCAACGGTTATCCGAGTGGACATGCCCACACCAGCGGCAGACCTGAGGGCATCTCTCGAGAGGCACAACCAAACGTTCGAAACTCTTTTGAAGCTTATTCCGGCAAGGTATTACCTAGTGCAGGAGCAAAGCGAAGAGCAGGTCAGTGCATTCCAGCCTGTCTTGAGACAAGCCCGGGAGCGCGAGCCAACACCCGTCTCTTCTCTGGGATAGATCGCCTCCAAATACCAAAAGCACAGTAAGAAACAGAAGGCGCCGAAGCAGGCCATCAAGGAGGCGTCGAAAAAAGCGAAGAAAGAGAAGGTGTGTCGGAAAGCTGCGTCGCTGAAGTTTTTCATGACGACGTGCGCCCCAGCTCGACCCCGCAAACCACAAAACCATCCTCGACATCCAGAACGAGGGTCTGAAGGCGTCCGACAATGCCGCGAGCGCGAAGAGCAAGGGCAAGCGGAAGGCCTCTCAGGCCGACGCCGAGTCCGGCTCGGACGGGATGGACGTAGACGAGCCCATGGACCTACGGGAGGACGCAGCAGAGTCCGAGGACGACATGGTGCCCATGCCCGAGACCGGCGGGATCGAGGCGCTGCGCGAAAAGCTGCATGCACGCATGGCCCAGCTACGGAGGGGACCGAAGGTCGGCGGGGACGGTGAGGCGGGGAGCAGGGACGAGCTGCTCGAGGAGCGGCGCAGGCAGCGGGCGGCGATGCGGGAGCGGCGGCGGAAGGAGACCAAGGAGAAGATCCGCAGAGAGGAGGAGATGAAGGGGAAGAAGGGGAAGGACAAGGACCAGTCGCGGGACAAGGGCCCACCCACCCAGGTGCGTACAGCTCACGGTGGCACGAGAAAGTCTTTTATTGACGGTTCGCAGACCCAACTGCTCGTGCCGGATGAGGGGCCTTCATCCAAGGCGGGCCACCTGCACGATCCGAAGGCCAAGTTCACCAGCATCGCGTTCTCCGCCGTCGCCGGCTCCTCCAACAGCAGCAAGAAGGCGCATCTCAAGACCTCGTCGAACCCGTCGCAGGCACTCGAGCAGCTCGCCTCTCGGAAGGAGAAAGCGGCGTCCATGCCCGAGGAGAAGCGGAAGGCGCTGGAGGAGCGCGAGAAGTGGGAGAAGGCCGAGGCGCGGATGGAGGGCGTGAAGGTGCACGACGACGAGGGCCGGCTGAAGAAGGCGGCGAAGCGGAAGGACAAGGTGAAGCAGAAGAGCAAGAAGGAGTGGTGCGCACATGTCCTCTTTCGAGTTCCCGCTGGGTGTGCCGAACTTAGTCGAATCGCAGGGACCAGCGGAAGGAGCAGCTCGCCACCAGCATGGCCGCGAAGCAGAAGAAGCGGACGGACAACATCGCCTCGCGCCATGAGCGACGGAACGACAAGGGCAAGGCCGGCAAGACGAAGAACAAAGCTCGCCCAGGATTCGAGGGCAAGTCCTTCGGCAAAGGCAAAGGCAAAGACAAGGCTCCGGCGAAAGGCAAAAAGTAAGGACCTCCCCACATGTCCCTCCCTCTGTATGACCGTATGCGCCGTGTCATGTCGAATGCTACACTTTATTGCCGGTCTTGGCCCAGTCCGCGTTGTCTGCCTATCGGTATTCAAGGAGCGTACGTGAGTTATATACACGAAGTGCCGAAAGCTATAAATACAAGAAAACGAACACCCAAGCCCAAATCACGCAGCGTATCCTTCTACTCATTATCACCCATTACGCACGCACAGGTCCGCGAAGCTCACTCCCTGACTATGCCGACGGTGACCTCCGCCTCCGCCTCGCCGCCCTCGCCACCCCTCGACCCGAAGTGCAGCGCATGTGAGCAGCGCTCCCACGCCCACTTCGTCAGGCCGAGCACCTGGTCGTCGTCGAGGTCTTGCCGGACGTGCAGCTCGAGCGTGACGACGAGCGACTGCGCCGGGCCCTGGGCCTTCGTGTCGATGGCGGACACGGGGTGGTGCGCATACATCCAGTGCTCTTGGGGGAGCGTGAGATTCGGCGTGAGCTGCCAGATGTGAGGTGCTGGGAGGTGCACGACTTGCGGATGGCGTTCAATCTGTGGCGAGAGCGTAGTCAGCGACGGATGCGAGCCCGGGTATGAGAGGACAGACCTCGCGCATGGCTCGAAGGAACGCCTCCATGCGCCCCCCGGCGAGCCCTCGTGCGGGGGACGTTTGCAGGAGGACGGCGCCGAGGGCGACCGCAGCCGAGTACGCAATGCTGAACGTGGCAACCGTTTCGAATCCTGCTAAGACAAGATCGAAGAACCGGTGCTGCCAGCTGCACATTGCGTCAATCAGTGACAGGTATCACAACGTGGATCTGAGGTACTGACGGAGGGATGAAACTTGGGCCTACGAGTAGGACCATACAAAAGACTATGGGTGCGAGTGTATATGGGTTTGTTAGGAGGTTCATTAGTCGAGGAGGGTATGTTAGTGACGACGCGAAGTAACGATAGCGGGAGGGCAAATATGTGGTCAAAGGAGGGATATGGTTCCCCGCAGCTAGCAAAACACAGAACCAAGTCAGAATATCACCGTTGTTGTACCCGTCTATGCACGTACTGCTAACCAGCTTCGAATGATTGTTGAAGCCAAATGTTGTCGTGAGCAGCGAGGCGAGGGTGATGAGGAGCAGCCAGAAAGGGAAGTCGACGCTGCGAGAGACGTCAGCTCTGACAGCTCGCGATGCCACGCGAATGTACGAACCCGAAGAATTCTTGTACTTCATCCCCATTGTGATGGTGATGTCCCTCTCCGGACGAGAGCAGGAGATGCTCGACGGTCTCCTTGCAGACGTACACAGACGCAAAGATAAGGTAGACTGACTGAGCAAACGCGACCACCGTCTCCAGGCGCGCATTGCTGCCCAATCCAACCTGTCAGTATCTCTCAACGCAGAAGTTAAAAGATCTCACCCGAAAGGTCTCCGGTACTGGGCTTGCATCGAAGGTGACGCCAGGTATCCTGGCACGATGTGTCCTAAGGCGACGCCGAACGCGTCGAATACGATCCAGTACCCCAGCCCTGTGCACGCGAGCGAGCCCACTTGCTGCGCTGTAATCCATAGCCATACACCGAGCAGGAACTCGGTCACGGCTACGCCTACAGCCTCCGGCGCGATCTTCGGCAAAGCTCGAACCTTCTCCGGTGCGCTCTGGTCGCGGGTTGCATGACCGTTCAGCAGAGGTGCATGCTTCTCGTCGGCATACGTCTCATGGGGGAACGGCGAGATCGGCATCCATGGGCTCACAGGTACCGGCGCTGGAGTGGTGTGGAGCTCGTCTTGATTGGTACCGGGTTCCAGGAAAGAGAAGAAACTATGGGAGAGCGAATGCTTGTGGTGGTGGCCTCTGCGCGAGTTTCCGTTTGAGGACGAGGGTCCCATTGAAGGCATAGGGTGTACAGGAGCAGACAGTGGAGCTCGTCCGCCGAATGAGAACCCTTGTCGAAACTCCCGGTTGCCAGGACCAGGCGAGGCTGAAGGCATTGGTACGCCTTCCGGGGGTCCTCCATATGCAATCTCCTGCGCGCCATCCTCGGCGATGGCTGTCGAGGGTAATGTCCCAGGACGAGGGAAGAAGACTGAGAGGTTGCGCGAGTGGATGCGCGAATGCCGCCGAGCATGGGCCTGCGAGGACATGGATGGTGACGGGCCGATGCCGTTCTCCTTCGTACGCATCTCCGGTGCTGTGGCGGACGCAGGCAGCTTGCCTGTCGGAGGTCCATCTGCCGGGAATGAGAATGAGAGGGGGATGGGCTTGCGGGGGAGAAGGGACCGGAGATCGAACGAGCGCGCGAGTGAGAGTTGCCCGGCAAGGATAAGGACTGGCGCATGGCTGGAGGTTGGTGTCTGCGAGGCGGTAGAGAGGATCCATTGACCATACTCAACGGACGGGGCGCGCCGAAGGTCGTGCGCTGGTGGCCCGCGGAAGGTGGTGGGTCGAGATACGACGGCATCCCGTTCGTCGACGGACTCGAGACGACGCGTGTGCGGGAGGGCGATGGTGGAAGTTCAAGATTAGCATGCCCGTTCACCCCATTCACCCCGTCCATCCCGTTTGCGAGACCTCCAGGCGGTGTTTGCGATCTAGGGAACTTGAAGTCGTTCGTGTCCTCCTCTCTACTCGTCTTCCGTCTGTGCATCCGAGCCGCTGGTCCCCGCCCATCCTCCGAACCAGACATGTCATACAGTTCGTGTCCTTTCAAACCTGGATCGCATTGAGGATAGTCACAAGCCTGGTTTGGCATAGCTCACCTCTGTTCGGGAGTCGATGCCAGCGTTAGCGTTGGTCCGTACGCGTGTGAGCATCCAATGCTGATCACCCCTGGGCGCCGACCTGTTGCACGAGTGACGGTCACCGAGAGTCCACTAACCTGTGGGCGCGTCCTCAAACTTACTACGCGGTGCTGTAGGAAGGAGGAGCCAGCCGGAATCGAGAAGGATGGTAGTGCGGGGTAAGTTATGGGCGCTACTATTGCGATAAAGGGTTGATAACAACATTAGTATAGGTGTAATAAACATCACTCAATGCAAGATCGAACCACTACTGTAAGTACTGGTCACTAACAAGTCGAATTATGTATACCGTCTGGCGTGCGCCGTGTACATACACATCCTCAATGTTACTCCAGTACTGTTTACTGATCATCCAGTGAACTCAGGAAAGCTCGCAGCTCCTTTGTCGCCCGACCACTGTCCGTCCACGCCTCTCCAAGGGCTGCTCGAAGTTTTTGCGTGTTTCTCCGCTTGCGCTCCCCGTCCTCACCAAATGCCGCTTGCAGAACCTCTTTCGCCTCCCGCTTTACTGACTCCACAGTAGCTTCGGGTGCTCTTCCGGTGCGGTGGATGGGCCTCAAACCGTTCTCGGTCCGGACCTCGAACAGCTCGTACGCGATGTCGAGATTGCAGCTCAGATGGATCGCGTTAGTGGGTTGGTCGTAGTGATGTGGCCAGCAAATCCTACAAGGCAGGATGCTATGAGAGGACCGGAATGGACGGCAGGGGACTGTACTTACATAGGCACACCCTGGCTGATCGACTCGACGACACTGTTGTGTCCTCCGTGAGTTAGAAACCACCCTGTAGCCTGCGCGGAGTCGGTCAGCCATCGCACTGGAAAGGGTGAAAATTCGCCGTACCGGATGAGCCAGGATCATCTGCTGCGGACACCAGCGGGACATCATGCCGTACGTATATGCATCCACTTTCTGCTTGACTGCGTCCGGAACGGCGGCCAAACCTGAGGCATGTGCCATGATCTATAACGAATAGTCGGTGTCCGGAAATCGGTCATTCGTTGTCCGTTGGCGGACACAGGATAGCGTACGAAGGGTATGCCCAACTCCATCACGACGTTTAAGACGGCCCAAAGTCTCTCTGGCGCGGGAGGCCAGAAAAGCGATCCGAAAGAAATCTGCGCGCAAGGAACGTGAGATGCGCCTAACTCACGCATGTTGTCTAAGCAGCACGCACATAGAGCAGGGACCCCTTCCCGCGTTCTTGAAGAGCCCGATCCAACACTTGCTCTACTGCTGTGGCTTGAGGACCTTGATCCTCAGAGACCGTGGCCCGCGAGCTAGAGGCGGTAAGCGGCCCACAGACGAAGATGCTGCGTGACGTTTCATTGTAGTACTTTCTGACAGCATCTATCGTCTCCGGTTCGTAGCACTCTGGAGTTGACAAGATGACACCGTCGCATCCGTCGAGCGTCCTGTTCTCCATTAGAGTCAAATTCGCACCAGACAAATCCGCGCCCAACGTACTGATACGTGTCAAAAAACATGACAGCGATCATATCTCTAAAGGGTACCTATCGCGACTGTGAGCACCGGAGCCCCTTCGCTGTTTCGACGCATGCTTACTTCCTGAGGGAAGAGTTCATAGTCGTACATCGGAGGCAAGCCTGGGATCTCTATCACTGAGCCGGGGCAAGCAAGACAGGCCTGTGGGACATATTGGTCGCGCACGAGGAAGGGATGTGACAACGCGTAGATACCTCAGCAGCGACCTGGTGAAGCGGGCGTCCACTACGCTTGACTTCCTCGTGGACTCGAGAAAACGCTGCATTTCTTCCGCCCGTCCTTTCAGGGCCGTAAAAGGAGAGAAGAGCTGCTGCGGCTGCTGAGTACCAGACGAGGATCTTCACGGACTTGAGGCCGGTTTCCCTGACAAAGTCCAGAGGCTGTTTTGCATAGATCTATGATCGTGTCAACGTCGCAATTACTCTCTAGTGTTACAGGTCGCTCACGTCGAGGATGACACAGTCAATGTGCGGCAGAGAGGCGTGAGTGATCCCTGTAGAGGGGCACGTAATCCGCTCCCCTCTCACTAGGGTGCCGAACGACTTCGCGAAGCCTTCGTCGAGAGCGTCGCGGTGCAGAGGGTTACTAGATTTGTTCGGGAGGCCTACAACACTGGGGTCGACCTGCTGTCAGTATACTGTAATCGAATGCTGTGATCGTACGCTTACCGCACGAGACTCAAGAGTTCTGTCTCTTCCGGCTCGAAGTTACGCCTGAGCTCTTGATACACGCGGTCGACGAATTTTTCAGGGACTAGATAGGTGATGTACAGCCGCTGGGCTTTAATCACTCTCGCTGCGAACGCACAGAGCGGTCGGTGGTGACCTATAGAAGGGTGCTGTAAAAATTATAAGATGCACGATGCCGCAACATTCCAACACTCACCCCAGGCATTGTAGACAAAAAAGATGATGTGCTTCGAGGCCGGTACTGACTCCGAGGAACCTGTAGTATCAACCATCAGAGTGCAAAATAGGGGGAGCTGGCGAGCTTGAGGTGCACAGCGTGAAATATATACGTCGTACGAGCGAACAGCAGCTGTTGAGATTGTAGGCTGCTGTCAAAAGCGACTTTTATGAAGCATGAAGCATGTGCATGAACGCCGTGTCTGTGGAGTCACAGTGAGCTTAAGTTGTAGGCCTACCAACTTCCTCGACGGAGCACTGGGGTCTCGTGGAAAGTAGGTAGATCCTCATTATCATCGACGACGTCCACGGTTGCTATAATAATGTCTGCAAAGAGCCAGTGAGTGCACAAACTGGGATCAGCGTGACTTCTCATATGGGAAATGAGAGGCCTAGTCTCCGTTGCAGACCATATGTAAAAGCCGACAAGCGTCTTATGAGACGCCATGTCCTGCCCTCGACGACGGCGCATCATTGTGTATCTGTCGCACCACCGTATGGTAATCACTGATGTCGTTCTGTGCTTTCGACCAGGCCTGGCTCGGAGGTCTTAAGGAGGCCGTGGTGGTCACCGGTCAACGGCAACGTTTCAAGTGACGATTCAACAAGTACTGGCACTCGACAAGCACGCTCTGTTTGATATTTGAGTGAGTACATAGTATGTGATCGCAAAGGCTACAACGGATACCCACCTCCATTGATGATTGTATCCATTGCCTCGCCATGTCTTCGGCTCTTCGTGCTCTTGTTATCCCTCTCGTATGCCATGAAGTTGTTTTCGTCATCGTAAATTGCTGTGTATGTCCCCATAAGCTTGCCAATAAATACTGGCTGTACTCCCAAGCAACTGGGGACGTTTAGGATCGGGTTGGGAATCCGAACAAGCGCCTAAGCAATCGGTACAGTATGTAAGCGCCCGGATGCCTGAGCGCTGCGGCTGAGCCACACACTGGCAAGCATTCTCATTCACGTCGACCATGGCTGCTTCAAGCTCATTCACACCTCCGCGCAAAGTGATCCTACTCAAGGAACAGCTCGAACACTTCCAAGCCTCCCAGGCACACCAAGACATCGTCGCGTACATCCAGACCCTCAACGACGCCGTCGTGGGTGTGAAGCTCGCGGACGAGTGTTCCGAGTCTCCCGTGCGTGAGTACTTGTCTTTCTGCGTACCTGGAGGCTAACTCAGCCTCCTCCGTGCGGGGTGTAGGGGGTGAAGGCGGTGTTGGGCGTGCTGGACGGGGTGGAGGAGATCGCGCGGGCGACCCCGCCTGTGGACAACAAGGCGTCGCGGTTCGGGAACCCGGCTTTTAGGACGTTCTATGACAAGGTCCAGGAGGTGAGCGAGCGAGGTTTGCACTGTGGAAGGGCTCACGCTCACCTATCGCTTTACCAGGCTGCTCCGTCCCTACACACCAAACTCCCAAACCTGCCGGAAGCAGCGATCCCGAGCTTGCGGTCTACTTCGGTGAAGCATGGGGCAATAGGACGCGTATCGACTATGGCAGCGGCATGGAGCTCAACTTCCTCTGCTGGTTGATCTGCCTGGAACGGTTGGGAGTCGTGCAGATAGTGATCATGTTGCTCTCGTTATCAGGGTGTTTTGGAGGTGCGTTTCCGGTCTTGAGCCTTGAATTCTCCTTGGAAAGCGCCACTGTTCTGGACAAGCGATCTGCGAGAAGGGTGTACGCTATATGGGTGGAAGAGGCTAGAAACAGCCGACTGCTCTTCGGTCTCGTCACTCGATTTGAATTCGGTGCTCACTTTGGCATGCTTCGCAGATACGTGCAGGTCATGCGAGTCCTGCAATCGACGTACTGGCTGGAGCCCGCGGGTTCGCATGGCGTCTGGGGTCTCGACGACTACCATTTCTTGCCGTTCCTCTTCGGTTCTGCGCAACTGCGAGGTCGTGGTTTCCACCTCCGGTAATCTTCGTCGAGATCTCACTGGACGTGTTCGGTCATAGGACACAAGTATATCAAGCCAAAGTCCATTCATGACGCCGACATCGTGGATGAGTATTCCAAGTACTACATGTACTTCGCCTGTATCAAATTCATCAACTCTGTACGTCGCGTGCCACACGATCCACGCCCCTCTCTCGCCTCCATGAGCCTTTGATTGATTACGCGCCGCGTGCGCCACACGCAGGTCAAGTCAGCCTCGCTGCGATGGCACTCGCCCATGCTCGACGACATATCCGCGGTACGCCATTGGTCGCCTCCGCTCGCCGCACATAGCAGGCTAACGTCCGCACCAGGTCAAGACCTGGGACAAGGTCAACTCGGGGATGATCAAGATGTACCTCGCGGAGGTCCTAGGCAAGCTGCCCGTCATGCAGCACTTCCTCTTCGGCTCGATCCTCGCATGGGACGGGCCGATGCCGCCTCCGCGCAGCGAGCCGGCCAGGACGACGACGCGCACTGCGGCCACGACCACGCCCATGCCGACATGGGCGGGGCGGGCCAGCGCGAGGTCGGGTGGGGCGACTGCTGTGGCATCCCGGTGCCGTCGGTGTTCGGGGCGGCCGCTGCAGAGAAGGGGAAAGGCCTTCCGGGCGCGGGGCTGGGCGGTCCTGGGGTCCGGGCTGTTCCCTTGACTGAGGAGGACGCGGAGGTGTGGTATGGCGAAGGATGTAAGCTACTGACGCAACCGGCGTGCTGTATAGGTCGTACTTGTGTAATACTATCCGCGTTCCGCTGTGCACGCCGGTGTCCAGAGCACGGCGCTTCTCCCGCCGGCTTTCTAGTGAGTAATGCCCCCTCGACTGGCTGACGGGTCTGCAGCAGGGTGCTGGTGCGTGGCGGCGTTGCGGTCTTACTCAGTCTCGCACCGAGCATGCCCTGTCATGTGGTGCGGCGTCCGAGTATCTGCGCTTCGAACTGGCGTGCGGTGGGAAGCTCGTGACATGCTATGAAATCGTCCAGCCAGGTTCGTGGAACGCCGCTCGCGGACGCTTCCTGCCGAGGCGCCTCCTTCGAGATCCCATCAAATCTCTATCGAGGACCATATTTACGTCCTCGCACGTTCGTCCTCCAATCGAGGGTGGGGGATTTGAAGACAAAGGCCCCGCACCGCGTCAATCCTCATTACCTCGAACGCTTCGTGCACTCTGGACGCTCTCGCGCTTGTGCAGAGCGTAACTGGGCTCGTCGCGGCTTACAGCAGGTTCCCGTCGGTGTGTGATCGCGACTGTGAGTGACGCCTCATTTCCGACTATAATGCGGTTACCGTACTGACCGCCTCGCCTTTTATTGCCGTAACTCCCGGTGACGCTTAAACACTCGCTCGCCGCCCCCGCATGGCGCTACGATTCCACCCAGCAGCGCTGCCCATCCATACGTCAGGATGCCCGACTCAAAAGCTGGTACGCCCATCGAAAAGAGCGGCTCACGGGCCCTGGTCTGCTGTCCCCGCCGCGACCCACGTCGCGATGGCGCCGCTTTTCTGGGTAGCGGCCACACTCGCGACGACGGCGGTCATATCTGTTGCACTCGCGCTTGGGCTGGGGCTCGGTCTGGGCTGAGGCACCACATTCTGGCGTCGGTTCTGGAGACTCGACGGTGCTCTCGACGGTGTCGACGCCCGACTCAGTGCGTCTTGGATGAACATGAGCCTTGTGAACGAGCCACCGACGACGCGGTATTACGACTTTGCGGTTGAGGAGGCGATGGGTGCGCCAGACGGGGTGGAGAAGCTGATGCTCGTCGTGAACGGTGAGCCGATCCGGCGACCCGCGCGCTGGGTTTGTGGTGAATCTGTTCGCAGGGATGTATCCGGGACCTACGATCGAGGCCAACGTCGACGACAGGATCGTCGTGAACGTCACGAACAAACTGCCCAACGCTACGTAGGCCTCTCCTGTCCTCGGACTTCTTACTGATTGGTGATTCTGCTGTCAGTGCATTCACTGGCACGGGCTGTTCCAGTCAGTAGATTACGCATGGGCTTTCGATGGACATCGCTGTCGATGCTGACGGACAAACACTGATAGGAACGGACAAACTACTACGACGGCACCGACGCCATCACACAGGTAGGGCGCATCTGTCTGCTGCTCTTTCGGTCCATTGACCGACGCCCTCCCCTGCAGTGGGATCCCCCGGGCGAGTGGATGGTCTACAACTTCACGGTAAGCTGCCCTGTGCAGTCACGCGCCGCCTTATACTCGCACTCACACGACCGCCGGCAGTTGACAACTGGATGGGAAGCACATGGTGGCACGCCCGTGCGTCTCCCCTTGGTCTGCTTCAGGTCCGCGCATACTGACGGTGAGGCACCGGCGCAGACGCGGACACGCAGTACACCGACGGCATCACCGGCGCGCGTAAGTCCTCTTCCTCGTTCACGGCGGACCGTCGATCAGTCCGCCGATATCTTAGTCTCGATTCGACGGACGAACGTGCTGACGTGCCTGGTTCCGTTGGCAGTGGTGGTACACGGCCGGAACGAGTCCGTGCCTGCATACGACGAGGACCTGGTCATCCAGATTTCCGACCTGTACCACGGTTCTCCCCGGAACTATTGGAGTACTACTTCATCGTAGGTTGTATGCCTTGAACCAGCGCTCAAAAGACTCAGTGATTTGTAGCCTGGGGGTATCGACGGCACGCCCGGTAATGAGCCTGTGCCCGATGGCGGTACCATCAACGGCGTAGGCCAATACGGCTCGCACAACACCTCGTTCTTCAACTTCACCCTCCAGCCGTACGTCCACTTTGTGTCTCTTTATGTTCGTCGATTAAGATGCAATATGTAGGGACACGACATACCGACTCCGCATCATCAACCCCGGTACCTTCGTTCCGCTCGCGTTCTCCGTCGACGGGCACACCCTGACCGTCATCGAGGGCGACGGCACCCCCGTTGAGCCCGTCGAGGTCTCCAGCGTGTCCGTTGCGGTCGCACAGCGCTACTCCGTGCTCCTCAGGACGAACCAGACCGCGGGCGCGTACTGGATGCGCGCGGCGCTCGACACCACCCAATTCACGGTGCGTCTCTCTCTCTTCTTCATGTATATGCGGGCTACTGACTTGACGGGTTCGGTGCCATTAGTACGACAACCCGGGATGCCAGACCGAGATCCGCGGCGTCATCCGGTACGGGGTGGACGGCGACGCGATGCCAGACGTGGCCCTCCTGGATAACCCGCCTGCGCCCCGAGCGGCTCGCCTGGAGAGCTGGACGAACCGATCTCGTGCCCGCTAATGGCAGACCAGTGCCAGATCCGACCTTGTACGTACCTCAACATGCATTTCTGGCTCGTGGTGATGACTTGGTGCGATAGCACCGTCTACTTCACGATGGCGATGGAATATCCCGCGGGTCAAGACGAGTCCACCTCGAAGTACCTCGCATTCATCAACGAAACCGTGCGTGCCCCTCTCCTCTCCTCCCTCGTGTGCCTCCGGCTCGTGCTGACTCGCATGGCGGGTAGTCATGGGAGCCGCTGAACAACACGTCGAGTCTCTTCAGCCACCTGGGCAACGCGACGCCGACGGGGTCGTCCAACTTCGACGGCTCGCAGCTGATGACGACCGTGAACGACGTGTCCGTGGTGGAGATGATCATCGACAACCTCGACGACGGGGACCACCCGTTCCACCTGCACGGGTACAAGGTGAGTCGCGGGCTATGTGGTTTAAGAGTGGCGTGGTCATTGGGAAACCTGCAGTTCTGGATCATGGACGGTGGCGACGGACGGTGGCAAGGCCAGACGCCGAACAACACCACGCCGATGCTGTGAGCACAATGTATCGTACAACGGAATACTAGCTGACGACTCGACCGACAGCCGCGACACGGTCGTCATCCCAGCGTACACCTGGATGATCCTCCGCTTCGTCGCGGACAACCCGGGCTACTGGGCCTTCCACTGTCGTGAGTCCCGTCCATCTTGTTCGCCCCGTTAGCAGGGCGTCCACAGTAGTGCTGATCGCCGCCGTAGACATCCAATGGCACATGGCCGCCGGGCTGCTCTTCCAGTTCAACATCCTGCCGGCCAAGAGCGCGCAGTTCCGGATCCCGCAGTACATGCTCGACATGTGCGGAAAATAGGCGTGACTGTGCTTACGACTTGCTACGCACCAGAGATGGCTGGTTCGAATACTGACGACCTCGATAGACTCACGCTGCTTGTAGCTGTACTTATGGGTGTATTTCTTGCATAGGGAGGAAGGTACCCGGTGCGTCCGAACGAACGTGGACATACAGCGACTAGGTCCCACAACACGATCTATACTACTCTGATACTGGGCAACAAATTGCACACCATCGCTTCTCGCTGGGCACTGCGCTCTCGAGAAGTGGCCGTGTGAGAAAATGTAATGTAGAGCGCAGACGGAGCGGAAACTGAGGCCTGCGATTTGTCTCCGACCACATGGAACAGGTGGCCTAAGTATGACACTTACCATGGCAGCAATCTTCCGGCATACGGTGCCTCCTCGATACAGCAGTGTCCCTGGCCTCGAGTCCGAATGCAGGTAGACTGAGGGAGGACAGTCCTATCACGGCGAGCACGTTCGCGCAGTCGCTTAGTGGGAGCTGACGCCCCGAGGCCAACCTTCCTCGGCAGCGACAGAACGCAATCAAGGCATCAGACCTTCGAAGTGGGAACGCCGAGACGGAGAGCATCCGGGTTCCTGTATCGCGTGCCGTACGCGGAGAGGGAATGAACGTTCGCAAGAGCTCGAGCCTTTCCCGCGACAGTTGTGAGACGAGGGGGCCATATAACCCAGGCACGCGAAGGGAGGGACGCGTTTCGGTGCCCCGTCCTCCAGGCTGGTGTGCTGCTCAGCCGGTCGCGCACAGTGGGGATTTATCGACATGACTGTCAGCCAGGCTCTCCTCGTTGCGGGCTCGCTCCTCGCGTACGCAGGCTCAGCCCTCGCCGCGACGGCGCAGGCGTTCTCGCCGCCTGCGTACTCGTACAACTCCGAGTCGACGAACTACACGGGCCAGTCGAACAACACCCTGCAGAATGGGCCGGTCGTGTCCGGCAAGGCGTTCGACCGGTTCATCCAGATCTGGTTCGAGAACACTGACTGTGAGTTGGTGCTTCATGTCGAATGCGCACTCGTGCTGAATGCGATGCGCGACGCAGTCGAGACGGCGGCGTCGTCCTCGACGTTCCAAACCCTGGCGGAGCAGGGTGTCCTCTTCACGTCGTACTACGCGATGACGCACCCTTCGGAGCCCAACTACATCGCGGTAACGGGTGGTGACTTCTTCGGCAACGGTGCCGACGACTTCCGTGAGTGACGAAGCAGGGATTTGAACGAACACTGACCAGACCACTGAAGGGGCCATCCCGATGAACATCTCCACGGTTGTTGACCTCCTCGAACAAAAGAATGTCTCGTGGGCTTCTTGTAGGTGTCCGCAGACCGCTTCCTCCACCTGTTGCTGACGAATGCCTGGGACAGACCAAGAGTCCATGCCTTACGACGGATACACCGTAAGTTCACAGACCATCGCAGACGTATGATCAATGCTCACCTCCTGGATCAGGGCTATAATTACACCTCGTTCGACTACATTTGTGAGTTGGTTCGCGGGCAAGAGCTTGGGCCGGCGCTGACTCGTGTGCGATAGCTGGCTCTGGTGATTACACCTACTATGTGCGCAAGCACAACCCGCTCGTCATCTTCGACTCGGTGTCGAACGTCACAGACCGTGCGCTTCGGATCCGAAACTGTATGTTCCATGTTCCCCGTGATCATCGCGAGCCTGACTGAGAAGACGGCACATAGTCAATGACTTCGCCAGGGACCTGAATGCAAGTGTGATGCCCCAGTGGAGCTTCATTACACCCAACCTCGTCAACGACGTACGTTCATAAGCAATTGATCAAATAGGGTGCTTACTGATCTCTATGGTGTTAGGGACATGACACGACCATCGACTTCATGAGCCAGTGGATCCAATCTGGCTTAACCCGCTGCTCGCTGACACGCGCTTCAACGACAACCGCACGATTATCTTGCTCACCTTCGACGAGACCGAGAGTGGGTTCCATCCCACCTATACTCCTGCAAAACCAACGCAACTGATGTGCCGTGTCCATAACAGCCTACAGCATCAACAACCGTGTCTGGACACTTGCCCTCGGAGGCGGGCTGCCCGCCGAGCTGAAGAATACGACGGACGACACGTTCTATACGCACTACTCGTGCCTGTCCACGGTGCAGGCGAACTGGGGCCTCGGCTCCCTCGGCGCGGCGACACGAACGCGACGCTGAACAACGTCTTCGAGTTCGTCGCAACGTGACCGGGTGGAAGAACAACGGCATTTCGGCCAACTCCTCTGACATCCGTGAGTGCATCGCATACCATGACCTGACTCTCCTTGACGGTCTCTCGCGGCGCAGCACTGCTGAACCTTACGGGCACGATCCCCGGCCCGCTCAACCCCGAATACTACGTGCCCTTCAGCGCGCCGAACTTGAACGCCACCGGCGCGGGCGGCGGGCCTGTCTTCAAGGGCCCTGGGCTCGACACCTCGCTGTCCGCCGCGTCACTGCCTGCGCCGGTGAACTTGACCGCGAAGGGCCTCGACACGCCGTGGGCACAGAACCCGGGTTATGACTACCCCAACGGCACGCAGGGGTACACGAGCACGCCGTCCGCGAGCGCGGGGAGCTGGACGAGTGGTAAGGTTAGCGTTGTGGTGCCGGGGCTGACCTTGCTTGGATTGGCCGTTGGTTCTCTGCTTGTTTTGTGATGAAATCTTGATGTTAGGGCTGCCTTGTGTGAGGCTGGACGATCGACCTGGGTTATCGGTGCTATAGAGAGCTCACCTAAAAGCGAATGACCAAACGAGCTTAGTAGCGTAAGCATCAGGATACGAGTGTATAACAATGTGTCGATAAATCGAAGGGCTACGTGAGGGAGCGAAGATGCGATTGGCGCGGAGATGGATGTTGCTGTCCAAGCTCAAGAGCCGCAGCATCGAGTGCCAATGACCCGCCTCAGGCTCGCGCCACAACGCGCGCACGTGACAAACGCGATCGACTTGGCGGCGACGGCGGCCCGTCGGACGCGCGTGTGAGTGCCTGCTCATATCAATCCGCTATTCCTCTCATACTTATCATGTCTGCGACCATACGGTGAGTCGAGAGATTCGGGTATATTATAGACGGCGTCGTACCTTGCTAACTCTTCTTGATTCCGCATCTAACCACTGGCAGTCGTAGGGGAGAACGATGCGCTTCGGACGTCTCCTAGCGCAAGTGCCATTTCTGGGATGGTTTACGCCCGGGATCGAGGATGTACACATATTGGGCACGTCCAGTGATAAGCGTGAGTTTATAGTTTGTCTTTTCTCGAGTGGCCTGCATAACGTCTTTGTAGTGCTGGAACCCGTATATACTCGCCTCCCAACGGGTGTAGTCAAACCGCACGGATGGGGGATGAACATGGCCCAGGTATTAGCCAACGGGCTTGCGAGTCAACAGCCTCTGTGGTACAGCTAGTGAGCTCTTGTATTATCTTGCCATCACTACTATCATTCACGCAGAGAATTTCGCTTCCAGTGTGAAGGACTCGATCTGGCAAGGAGGCATGCTGGAGTACAGCGAGATGCAGGAGGCCGCTCCATACTGGTTGTAAGCCTGACTGATACTCGACATATTGCGCACGCATCATACTCCCGCCGTCTTACTTAGTAACAGCTGGATTGCGCTCGCCCACCAGCTCCAGAACGACACCCTCATCGGATACACGGAGAACTTCCTCGACCACGTCCTCGCGTCGCGCCATCCCTCAGGCAACTTCGGCCCCGCTCCGTTCAACGCGTCTCTCCCGACACTTTTGTGGCCGAGGTACCTCGTTATGCTCGGACTCATTGTAAGTCGTCACCCGTCACCCACGAAGGTGGGCTCACGACCATCATCCACCAGCAATACGCGGAAGCCGATCCCAGTCGGAAGGAAGAGATCTGCGACCTCATGCACGCCTTCGTCCCATACGCAGCGAAGCGCTTCGCAGACGGCGACATAGGCGACGAAGACCTCGGAGGGCAGTACGGCTTCCAGGTCGTCCGCTGGGAGGAGGTGCGTTCCAGAAAACCCTCGGAGTCGTACTCATGCTTTCCTCGGATGTGTTAGCTCGTTCTTGTGCTGCAGTGGCTCTACGACAACGACGCCAGAGGGAAGGAAACGGAGCTGATCTCCCTGATGCAAGCCGCCCAGGCGCAGGGCTTCGCATGGAAGCGTGATTTCTACGTCGACAATGGGACGTTCCCGAGGTTGGGGGTGCTTGCGGGCGAGGATACTCAGGAGAGGTGAGGTGCACCCTATGATGCTGTATATGCGACTTGCTGAATGGGAGTACAGACATGGTGTCAATATCGCAGAATGTAGGTCTCACACATATGATGTGGGTTTGAACTGAAAGTGGCCATGACTTTCGTTCAGCTCTGAAGTCAGAGGCCTTGGTTTGGCGAATTACGGGCGACCCGAGTGACATCGCGAGCACGTACGTGTCATTACGTCTCCAGCGCGCGCCAGTACTGACTTGACCCTGATCAGCTACGCGCGCATGGAGATGCTATGGAAGTATCACGGCAGGCCACAAGGCATTTCAGCACCGATGAGCATCTCGGCGGATTACACCCCTCACGCGGGTACGCTGTGTTCTCCCTCGCTGCGGATCCAACCTCACACGGGTTGCATCGCAGCTCTGATACTGCGCGAGCGTCGAGCGATGTTCTCTCTCGAGTACATGTACGCCACCCTCGGCGAGCCAGCCTGGGCCGACCTCACCGAAAAGATCGCCTACAACGCGGTCCCAGCACAGGCGCGCCCTCCTCGCTCCCCGTCTGCTACCCACTGACGGGATAACACCACAGAGCACGCCCGACTGGTGGGCCCAGCAGTACCTGCAACAGACGAACCAAGTCTGGGTGCAGAACCGCACGGACGGGAAGCCGTGGGCGACGGACGGGCCATACAGCAACGTCATGGGCATGGAGCCCGACTTCCCCTGCTGCACCGTCAACCACCCGCAGGCGTGGCCCAAGTTCTGGGCCAACAGCTTCCTGCTCGCGGACGACGGCGCCGCGCTCGTGCACGCGCTCCTCGGGCCCGCGACGCTCGCGACACGCTTGGCGGGCGGGGCGAGCGTGAATGGTGAGTACGTCTTCGGTGGCGAGGAGTGAGTTCGTTGATGATGCGGACAGTCACGGTGGACACGCTGTATCCGTTTGGGCAGACGCTGGAGTATAGGATCGAGGCCTCGGCGCCGTTCACGTTCTACGTGCGCATACCCGGCTGGGCGAAGTCGGGGAGCACCCTCAGCGTCGACGGGCAGCCCGCGGCTGCGTTGTCCCAGGATCTCAAGAGCTCCTCCAGGCCGTGGCTGTCCAGGCAGGGGAAACGGTTGTCGAGCTGTACCTCGACATGGAGGTGGTGATCGAGTCACGGTCGAACGGGAGCATAGCCGTGCACCGGGGCCCGCTGTTCTACGCGGTAGACCTAGCATATAACGAGACGCTAAGGCCTGCAATGAGGTGAGTGTGCGCGATGACCTTCGAGTATGGAGACGCTAACAGCATGTATGCATAGGGCCTCAGGACCCCTCAGACTGCTAACACCCTCCCCGGCGTCCCAGAGTCCGATCTTCTACTAGTAAGCCCCTTCCTCCCCGTCCTTACCTACTCACCCCGCACCGCAGTACGACAACCACACGCACGACCACGACTGGCTCCCCCGTACCCTGGAACATCGCCCTCGACCCGTCCACGCTCACCTTCCACTCGCAGCCGCCAGCGAACAGCGCGCTCCCGTACTACGTCTGGGCGACGGGCGCGCAGCCGCAGTGGCTGACCGCGGCGGCGTGCGAGATCGAGTGGCCGCTCGCGGACGGGGACCCGGATTGGCCGCCTCAGAGCCCGAATGAGTGTACAGGCGAGCCGTTTGACGTCACGTTGAGGCCATTTGGCGGGACGAGGTTGCGGGTGGGGGAGATACCGACAATGTTGGTCTCGGGCCCGTAGGATGGAGTGATGTATGTGAATCCAAGACGTTCGCGTGCAATGTGTCGATGCTATTGTTGTGTGGATCTGTACCCCCGGCGATGTATGTGCATTGCGCCAATAGGCAGTGACAGGATGTGAGGTCAACAAGTGAGTCTGTACTTGTACCACGGAACAGTACCAGTGGATTCGGTGTGCTAGCGGGCACTTCCTTGCGTTCCGCGCAGCGTTGAAACGCTCCCGTTCTGCTATCACCATCAGCCCGAGCAGCGCAGGACTCATCATGGCACCTTCCACATGTCGAACTCCACTATACACGACATAAGTATATAGGAACAACATGGAGCACTGTCACGGTGTACTGCCCTGCGTTGGACTTTCTCATGCCGCGGCGGTGCACCAATGGGTCCGGGACCGCCTTACTGCCTTTTGCGAGCGACCTGCCCCTGACGGCCTTGCTGCATACAAATAGCCCTCCTGGTCAGCCTCATCTGTGTGTTCCGAACGACAGCCCCCCCCCCCCACTGCCGCGACTCGACGTCAGTAGCTAATCGACGATGTCGAACTCTGCCGGGGAAGACGTTGTAGGAGCGTGTTGCGGGTTATGCTGTAAGTCAACTCAAACGACCTCAAACCTCTAGCTTGATTGACATCTGGGCCGACCATAGGCATATGCTGCGGTGAAGGCTTCACCTCATGGCTGCAGCTCAGTGCGTCGTGCTCGCTTCTCCCGCTGCCACCCGCTAACCACACTCACATACAGCACGATGCTGCCCGGGGAGCAGCACACAGGCAGGCTGCTGCGGGCCCTGCTGTAAGGGCTCGTTCGACTCTGAGGACGACTGGGTCGAGAAGGAGCGCGCACGGCGACAGCGGGAGGGGCAGCCGGCTGCGGCTGCGGATCCAGACGTGGTGAGCGCGCAGCCGGCACCGAGGGCGTCGATGGAAGCGCGGCAGCCAGAGGCGGTCCCGCAGGAGAGCGCGGCCGAGGTGGTAGTGGTGCGGAGGGCGCGAAGGTGGGATGAGGCGTGCGGGATATCGGGACCCAGGCCAGCCGTGGTGGTTCATCCGTTTGGTGAGTTCGCCGGTTACGTCGAGCTGAAGTGTCGAGCTGAAGTGTGTACTGAATATGCCGACAGGACATGTTCTTTCATGGATTGTAAGTCTAATACACCGTTTGGTCGGACGCTTGCTTCATTGTCTCCTACGCAGGCTCAGTGCTCTGCCTCGACCTACATGGCAGCACAGTAGCTTACGTCCTCAGGCGACTCGACACCAGCTCGACGCTCTACGACACAGGCGTCACCATGCAGTTGACCTGAACCCGCTGGACATCTTCGATGTCGTTTCACGACGTCCGGAGCGCCGAGTGCGGTCTGAGGAACGCAGTCTACGCCCGGACCACATGGACTAGCACGATATACATATCAGGCCTCAGGCACTCGCCTGCACGCATCGGCATCTGCAGCCACGTACCCCATGCTCCGCACGATCGACAACGTCTCCCAGGGTGCCATGTCCAAGAAGGAAACATGATTAGAGGCTATGCGTCTGAGATACTATGCGAGCATTGTACATGGGATTGTCCAGTCCGTGTGGGTGTAGCTAGGTAACATAAAGTACTGGGATTCAGAAACGAGAGGCGTCGCCGCTCCGGCGTGTCATAATACGAGCGAAAGTCCGTTCTGCATGAGCGAGCAACCAACAATCCGATGCGCAGGCATGAAACGAAGAAAAAAGTACGAGGGGGAACCAAACCGAAGTCCCGAAAGCATGCGATCATACCCAGTCCACGACGTCTACTTGTGCAAGTCCAGTCCACCCCTCAGCCCGCGCGCGCGAGCAGCACCCTGTCGATCGCCTCGTTCACCGCACGCTTGCGCGCGGACAGGTCCATGCCGAAGCGCTGCTCCAGCCTCGTCCGGATCTCGCGCTTCGTCGTCGTCGCGAGGTCCGCGTTGCGCAGAATGTCCTCCACCGCGCGGTCGATCTCCGCATCCGACGGCCCGTCGAAGTAGCCCGCCTGTTCCGGCGTCTGCGTCCGCGGAATGTCCACGCCGATGTAGTTACTCGCTGGCCGCGACGGCGTCGGCTGGTAGAGCCCGCTTGGTGGAGCCCCCATAGGTGCGGGATAGCCCACAACGGACATCGTCGGCGTGTTCCGCCCCGAGTGGTAGCCCGGCGGCGGGTACATCATCATGTTGGCCTGCGAGGGCGATGGCGAGTACGCACGGGACATGGCGGGCTCGTAGAACGTCTCGCGGCCGTAGATGGACCCGGTGCGCGACTCGGCGTATCCTTCGTGCATCATCTTGGTCGGAGGCACCCACGAGCCGATACTGTGGTTGGACTCTTTGTCCCAGAGTTCATTTTCCTGTCATATATACCATCAGCATTGCGGAGATCAATGCGTCGCGAAAGCACATACGTAGTCGTTCCAGACTTCAAGGAATCACCCTCGGATCGAACTTGCCTTCATCCTAGACGAGAAAAATAACATTCAGCTGGACATCCTCGATGCAGAGGGCAAAGGCGACGTACGTGCACAACCAGCTTCTTACCAGCCTCGCCCAAGACGACACGCGTGGCACCCCACGAGAAGTCGTCCATGCGCCAGAACGAATACAGCGGCAGGAAGAACGAGAAGATCGGGATGGCAAGGATGTAGAACACCATCCACCCGATCATGTCCCACTTGCGGCGCAAAATGAACACTAGTGCCTGCAGACCGTAGACGGCAGCAATCATAATGGCTGAAATGACTGGGATGCCTTGTTTTTCGCCGACCGCGCGGTAAATCAAGTAGACAATCTACGTGTCGACGATCCATCAGTATCTAAATGCACATAAATGTGAGATGACCACTCACGTAGGCAACCGTGACGGGCTGGATGAGCGTCGAGACCAAGTCGATCATGACGATGAACCGCATCGAGAAACAGCAGAATCCACACATCTGCTCCAAGAAGACAAGCTCTCCGAGATTGTGTACCGTTGAGTTGATCCAACGCCGACGCTGCGACAGCAGAATCTTCCAGTCGTCTGGCGCGACCGTGTACGCGTGCGCGTCCCGAATGAAGAGCGTCTTGTACATCGGGAAGTGTTTCATGACCAGCGTCGTGAGGTATCGATCTTCTCCGAGGTGCAGCAGATTCTTCATGTGCAGCGTGTCGACGCGGTTTTCGGAGTAGTTGTCGATGATCTGGTTCGAGATGAACAGCGGCTTGTGTGTGTCGGGCGTACGCAGACGATAGAGCGTGAAACAACCCGGCAAACAAGAGACGGAACCGAATAGGGACTCGAATGCCTTCGCCATGTGGTGCGAGATAAAGTATTCGTAGACCTGCGCAAAGTCTGAGCGATCGCGCGAAACAACATCGAATGCTATCACCCACCTGCATCATAGTCACGATGGACTGTTTGGCGTTCGACAGCTCAGTCTCTCCGCAAACACCGATCGCCTTCTTGTCATGCACCATACTATGGGATAATAAATGAACAGTTCATGGCGGTCAGATAGAGTGCACTTACGCCGAGATTAGCCTGTTGAGCGACAACGGCTCAACCGTAGTGTCGGCATCGATCATGAAGACGTATTCGTAGAACGACGGGTTGACACCGATGACATTCTTGATCTGGTGATACATCTCGAGCTCCAGCGGGTTCATCGGAGCGTTGAAATGGACCTGTAGGAGAAAGCATCAGCCTCGTTCAATGATGCAGCAGCCCAAGAGGCATACCTTGTTCAAGAAGCGCATGAGCAACATCTGTGTATCACGCTTACCACGGTTGCCAGGTCTCGACTTTTCGCCGGGCTTGCCGCACTTGACAACGACCAAGTAGGGAACGACATGGCCGGCTGTCTCGTAGAGTCCAGAGTACACCTTACCCATATTGTGTTGTTTCGCGCCCTCACCAAGGGACAAGAAGCTGAGCGGCTCGGCGTCGATGTTGGAGGCGCGCCCAGGACATCCAAGACGATGCGAGGGGTCGGCTGGTCGTTGCCGGAACCGACGACCATACCATCGCAAACGATCAGGAGGAGCTTACGCTTGTCGTCGTACTTCAGCTTCGCGAGAGAGGTGATTGTCCGCTGGAGTGACTGGAAGCCTTCCGTGTAACAGGGAACCTGGCAGATGACGAACTTGTCATGGTCTTCAGGTGCGCGCTCCGAGCCGAAGTTAATCGAGGCGATGAACTTGAATCCAATGACGCTGACCATGACGATAGACAACGCAAGCAGGATGTAAGTAGCGAACTGGCACTTCGGCGAATTGCGCGTGTCGACCCTGCCGATGGCGAATAGGTTGCGGAGGCACGTCTTTTGCCACGTAAGGACCTGAGAGTCCAAACCGAGGCTGTTGATCCTCTTCGTCACGTCTTGCCCTGAGTTATACTGGAAAACGCTAACGACGTCTGGGCTCATGAATTGTGTGTCGACATTCGTACCGGACGGGAGCACCTCGTTGTTAAGCGGAGCGACTGACGGCGGGGACGTGATGTAGTTGGTGAGATCGTAGATGATACCGTCGTAAACGCCAACAGCGCTGCCCTTGTTCGCCATGTTGCTGAGATCAGACATCGTGTAGCCCATCCAGCCAACTCGGTTGTTCCAGCGCATCTGCACCATCTGCTCGAAGTACCAGTCAGGTCGAGAGTCATCAGTCCATGCGCGGAAGTCGTGATATTGCGCGTTGACGTCCGTTTGGTTGGCCGAACTGAGTTGGATGTAGGGGCTCACAGAACCACTGACACCATTGCAAAGCGCGCTAACCTATACCGACCGCGTGAGCAGGGCTGTTATACAACAATACAATTGTCTTAAACTCACCTGAATTGGGAAGAGATCATCCGAGGCTACACCGCCATAATTGAGGACCGACTTCTCCGCTACGACGGGTACGACAGTCAGATGCGTCACGGCGACTTCTGTGAGATCGAAGACTTCGCCGTGAATCGAGGTGTATACGTTATTCGGGCTGTTCTTGTACGAATGCGCCTGCAACTCGCTCGTCGAGAACACATGCGCCGTTGGACAAATGAGACCACCGAAGATGACGATGACGAAGACGACACAACCACAGACGAACCAGATGAGCATGTTGAGCGCCAGTTTCTCTCGCCACGCTTGTTGGATGTCAGGACGCTTCATCCGACCGACCCATGCGAGCAGCGGAGTAGGTATCCAGAACGTGAGCATCCAGCATATCATCACCCACCGCCGGCGCAGTGTGCTCTCCTTGAGAACCTCCGTCGTCTCGCCTTCCTGGATTTCTCCAGCGAGAGGCTCCTTACCGGAGAGGAGGCCTTTCTTGTCTGCGTCTTGGAACATGTTACGAGATGGTGCGTATGACTCGGTGTAGGCTGACGCAGTCTCCACGTCGCGATGGCTCGTGTATGCGCTCCGTCCATCATAGTCGTCGCTGCGCAATGACTTCCTCTCGTCGAAGTCGTCGTACATGTCCCCGCGCTGGAATGGAGAGGCGTTCTGCACGAGCGGCAGCTGCTGGTTAGACTGCCCGAACGGATCATTGTAACCGCCCTCGTAAGGAGACTCGGCGTCGGGAGTCAGGTACGGTGCGTACGGATCGCCGAGAGCTCGTGGGCCGAGCCCGGCCTCTGCTTCCGCATCCCGCATCCTGTTACGTTTCTGCTCCTCGGTGTCCTTCGAACGCAGATCGTCCTCTAGCGCGTGGAACGCATGTTGCGAGAGGTAGACCTAGATTCTCTGTTAGCTGAGTACAGTGCAAAGTCAACCGAGACTTGCCTGGCTCATACCGAGCACGATATCTTTCTCATCAAGACCCAGTGCTGTACGTGCTTGCTCTATGCGTTCCCGCGGTTCGCCTTCATGCACATTGAGCACCGCGAGGTGCCCACTGTAACGATCTACGAGCTCCTCGGGTGTCATGTTCGCCTCGAACATAGACATACATCTCTTCGCCACCTCCGCGAGGCCAAGGCCTCGGACCTGGCCCTTGACCGAGCGGCCCTCGAGCTGGTTCGGGAGCTGGGAGTCGTTGGGGTTGACGCAGAACACGTACCACGACTGTGTTTCCTCCAGCGTCTCGAACAGCGTGTCCAACGCAGACCGGAACTCGCCCGCCACACACGGTGGCCCGCTGGCCTGTACTGCCGTACCTAGCGGCTCCTCGTCATCACGGTCCTTCTCGTCGACCTCGCCGCTTTCCCTGACGGTCGGCATGCGCTTGATGGTGCCCTTCCTGCGTACGGACGGCGCGCGCATGGGCTTCACAGGCTGCTGCGCGGACACGATGGTGTCCTCGTCGCGTGGGTGCGCTTGCGTCGCGATCGCCTTGCCTGAGTACAGGCTGCGAACGAAGGGATTTGATGATCCGGAACCGTCCGCCGGAGGACCCTCGCCCGCGCTCGTGCCTCGCAGGAGGGAGACGAAGTCAGGGTTGAGTGCCTCGAGATTGCGCTCTAGGAAGTTCTCCGACGAATAGGTGACCGGGCCGGTGAAGTGGTTGACCGTGAACGTCGGGAAGCCCGTACGGTCAATGGATCCCGCCTTGAATGAAGAGTGGTTGCCCCACCGCTTCGTGAACGCCTCGACCATCGTATGGCTGCTCTTCTTCGGCATGCGACGTGCCTGGTCGTCCATGATGTGGATGAGGCCGCCCGGCCTGTTCTGCAGCAAGCGGAGGCATTCCGAGTTGTCAAAGTAGGGTACCTGTGGGACATAGCGGGAGATCCCTTCACTGTTGTACTCGGCGACGTGGCTCTCGAACAGCTTTCTTTGGATGAAGTTCTGCAACCGCTCGTTCGCGAAGTTAACGCAAAACTGGTCGAGGGAATTCGGTCGGCTGGTGAGATTCTGAGGACCGGGCAGGTCGAAGAGGCCAATGAACGTGTTGAAGTCGTCGCGGCAGAGGCGCTGGTTGATATGCTCGTTGAGCCACGCGAAGAGCAAAGCGTACAGCGACTTCGCGAGCTCGTCTCGGTTGTCTGAGGCACCATCGGGGTCCAGGAAGACCGTGCAGACCTCCTTTTTCACGAGCTTTGTCCGATATGATAAAGACGCTTCGAGAGCGGAAGGTTGTACGCCGAGGAAGTCGGCGACAATGTCGAGGACGTCAGTGTTTCGGACGACGGCGGCCTCTTCATTACGGAAGCGATCGATGGTGAACTCGAGGTTGCCCAGGTGAAGAATCGCGGCGACTAGCTGGCAGGTCTGCGCAACATGCCGTTTCGAGAAGCCAACGTTCTTGAGCGCCATTTTTAGCTGGTCAAACCTCACGGCGTCCTCGCTCCGTCCAGCACTCCCAGCCCCACGGCCGCCCGCATTGCGCAAGCCGATGTAGCGATACGTGGTCTTCTCGTGCAGGTGGAGGTGCTGTCGCTCCTCCGGCGATGCCCCAGCGACGAGGTAGTAGAAGATGTGGAAGTTCCGCTCACCCGAGGGCGCCCCGGCGACGCGGTTGCGTTCCAGGTAGTAATCCAGGGTCTTCATACCGCAGAGGCGGCCACGCTCGGTGAACTGCAGCTCGGTGTACTTGCCAAACCGCGAGGCATTGGGGTTGAAAAGTGTGCGTGCGTTTCCGAACGTCTCGAGAACGAACTCGGCGGCGGGGACTTGGCCGACGAGCTTCGAGCCCTTCTTCCCTGGCTGGCTCACACTGAGCTCGAGCAGCGTTTTGATCGCCAAACGACGGTTCTCCGACTTGCCACTACCAGTCTCTCCGCTGCTTCGAGGTCAGGAATCCGCGCGAAGTGTAACGAGTGATAAACAACGCACGTCAAGAGAATTGATTGGTCCTGAGTCGTCCTCCGCATATGATAGTAGGCATTGTTGGCGAGCTGAAAGATGTGCGGGGGTAGACGCGTCTTGCCAGGAGAAGTGTCACGGTATTCGGCAGCATACTTGTGCAGCACTGCGTCGGAATTACTGGAGACATACTTGTGAGGATTAACAGCGACAACAGCAGAAGTCCCAAGGCTAGTGTAGATGTTGTCGGTCATGAACCGTTCGCGGATGCATGATACGATGATGTCCTCGTTCACCGGAGCGAGCGTCGTGAGGTCGTCGACGGCCTCCAGCCGCTGACGAGTAGTACCGGTGGACTCTCGTCTGTTCATGGCGACCCGATATGCCACCTGAGCGGTCTTCGAGCTGCCGAGGTGGTCGACGAGGATGGGAAGAGGGAAGGGAGAGGAAGAGGCGTGGTCGTCGCCGTCGTGAGACGGACATGAACGCCTCGCGCTGAGCATTACTCAAAACGGATCAAAAGGTTCCCACACATACTTACTCGTTTACTTGTCTCTCATTATTCAGGCTCAATTAGGCTCGATTGTGTATAGTACTTACATTATCAAGATAGTATCTGGTAGACTGCAAGTTAACTTAGGGTCACTAAGTACACTAAGTAAGTAAGTAAGTTCAGTGAGATGGTTTTCGACATTCGGTAATGATTGATGATTAATGGGTCCCTTTTACTCTTTGCATAGCGACGGTGCACAGCTGTCGAGTCCTTTGCCTCTCGATCTCAACTGTCTCCACTGACGGGGGCGATGTTCCGAAGTTGGCGTTGCCAAAGCACAAATGATGCGGCAAACTTGTGCACAGCACGGCTCCCTTTTGTGCAAGTACTTTGAAACGAGACCACCACCTCCTATCGATATTACTTAGGTCAATGTTGCTGTCTGCATGCAGCTGTAAAGTTGCATGAGGCTCGGTAAGACCAATAGCATGGCAGATCCCGGATGCCACGAATCACTACACCTGCCTAATCCAGTCGGTGGCTGGGCGAACTGGACGACGTCACGGTCAAGAGCAGCCATATAAGTTCTTAGCCGGCAAAAGTCTGCTCTCGCTGACGACAAAAGTAAGTATCCTAACTCTCAATCTATTCTGTCATCAGCATGGCAACACAGCGAGTGCTGTCTGGTTTCATTCACCACACCAGTCCCGCCGGACTCGCGCGGAGGGTGCCCGTGCTCACCTGGGCGCCGCGGCGATGTTACGCTCAGGCCTCTCGTCCACTGCCAGTGTCCCCGGTATCCTCAAGACAAGCATGTCGGATACGCACGCCAGCCTGTATATGCTCGAGCACTCGACCGTTCTCATCCATGCCTCACTCGTCCGACTCGAGAGCCCCGCCGACGTCCTTCCCCGACCCCGAACGACCCGATCTCTTCTACCACCTCTTCGAGCCCCCCAGCGACGTCTCGCACACTGCACCGGTCTTTGCGCTCTCCTTCCTATCTACGCCACCGCCGTCAGTGCGCTCCTGCACAGTGATTGGGTGGCTACCCGCGAGCACACCTAGAGGGAAGGAAGAGGACGCAGGGCTGAACGATTTCGTCGAAAACGGTACGTCTCTCCGCTCAGACTGTGATCCTAGGCTTACTACTCACTCGGACAACCTTCCATTGGCGTCCCAGCACCATTCCGGGACGTACTGCACGAGGCAATCCAAGGAGCTCTCCAGGACGGCGCGGACGATATCCAGAAGAACGGCGCCATTCAGACCCAGGTTGGCTGGATGCATATTCATGGTGCGTGTCATCTTATCTCCCGTCTTTCCCGTCCACTGACCACCCTACCTGCCTCCGTCCTATTACATCGCGCGCCCCGTGACGCCATCGCGCTCGCGACATAGACCAGCGCAACGTTCCCGCACTCGGCCGCATCGGTGACGTTGACGATATCCTCGCATCCGTGCGCGTTGAGGATGGCGAGGTGCGCATGCCCAGCGCGTCCGTCGAGCGACTGAGCGTATTGATCCGGCCAGTAGATTCTAGCAGAGACGTACCAGGCCATGCCATCTTACCGGTTGTGCACTGCCGATGGTCTCACGCAACTTACGGACGGTATCGCGGCACGCCTCAAAGAGCTGCTTGGGGATAGGGCGGCGAGAGGTTTGTAGTGCACCGTTCGCCGCTACTACTTTAAGTTTTGGACGGCGCGTCCTTTCATCAATGTTTGGCCAATTCTAGGTAAGCACGAAATTACCATTCGTGCCACTGCCCTTGCTCACCCAGAGCTGCCTCCAAAGGTCTTGATACAACCGACCTATCAGTGGCATCCCGGTCGACCTCTTCTGCGAGCGTAGAGCAACCTGGCGCCACCGACTGCCACCGCTACCTATTTTTACTATATACTACTACTGATGTTAGCGTCTCTACCCGAATGTGCCGGCTGATAAGGCACTGCTCAAAGGCGGTAGTTGTGGGATGTGACATTTCACATAGTATGTGGTCAATTCAAAAGCAGTGTGTTTCCTGCGGGTCCGATGAACGCGTAACTGCTGCTCTCGCGCAAACCTTTGCTAAGTACTAAGCATAAGGGGTATTTGTTGAGTATCGACTTCCAGCCCAAGGTTTTGAAGCCAGGAAACAATCGTGAACATCTATTGTCGTTTACAGTATGTCTATATTTCAGAGTGTATGTCTACAATTGTCGTCGTATATCGTATCCAACCATCCCAAGCATTCCCGCACTGGTACAGTCTCGTACAAAATCATACCTAGACGCGAAGCTCACACCTCCAAGACAGCAACGTCATACTCATCCGACTTGCCACCCTCCTCCGCGATCTTCTCGTCCGTCTCCACACTCGCCTCCTCGCCCGCCAGGCGCTCCCGCTCGTCTCTCGCGCGCATATCCGCAAATTCATGCGCCATCTGCTCGAAGGGCATACTTGGATCGACATTGCTCAGCGGGCGGATCTTGCAGAAGATAACGTAGAGCACCCCCGCGGTGACCGCCGAGACGTACCACCCGAGGTCGTCGATCTTAGTCGCGTTCTTGGGCACCGGCACACCAAACGTGCCCACGAAGCCCACGAACGGGAGCATCATCCCGCAGAAGTACGCGAGGCACGCGTTGGGATTGAAGCCGCGCCAGTACATGTACGTCGCGCCCTTCTCGGACGAGTACGCGTCCATGATCGCGATGTTGCCGCGGCGCACGAACCAATAGTCCGTGATCATGATCGCCGCGGCGGGGCCCATGAAGATGCCGTACCCGCCGAGGAACGCAAGGAAGCCGTTGCTCGACGCGAGGATCTTCCATGGCTGCAGCGCGAGCGCGATCGTCCCGCAGAACCACATCCCCCGCGAGATGTTGAACACCGTCGGGAAGAGGGAGGTGATGTCCGACCCGAAGGGTAGCAGGTTCGCGCCGAGGAGCGCGCCGAAGTTGAAGAGCAGGGAGCAGAACGCGAGCAGAAAGACGAAGAAGCGCATCGGGCCTGTGAACGAGTGCTCAAGCATCGCGTCGTAAACGTCCCACTGGTTCCAGATGGTCACGCCCCATGCTTGCTGGAGCGCAGCAGTACCAAACACGCCGATCATTCCACCCTAATGGCATAGAGAATTGATCAGCAAACAGGCTACGCCTGGCACAACGCACAGCATACTTACAAGAGCTGCGGGGAAGGGGACAAAGAGGATGTGCGTCCAGAGCACGGCATTGGGGCTGTCCGAGTACCGCGAGAAGTCGGGCATGTTCGCGATGAACGTCGACTGCCATCCCAGTCAGTACCCATACCAAAACACCCAGTCTGAATCACCTACCCAGTTACCCATACATGAATTGATCGAGCTGACCATCAGCCACGCCAGAGTTGCACCCTTTGGGAGCTTGCTCGCGTCCGTGCCCGCGAGGGCCGCCGTGCTGGCGAGCTTACCCTTGCTCTGCACAAGGCAGTAGATGAGCAGGCCGAGGACGCTCGGCGGAAGGATCCACGCCTTGAAGTTGTACAGCCACTTGAGGCGCGTCGGGCGGAGCGAGCAGAACGGGAGGAGGAACGCCCAGAAGATGAGGAAGCCGACGAAGCGCTGGACCGTGCAGCCCACAGACTCGGGGAAGGAGACAGATAGATCGTTCCAGCCGTTCCCGACGACGCAATTGATCATTGTGGAGACGAACGCGCCGCCCTGGAACGCTGCGTACGTGCTGCATGAGAACGGTGCTCAGTCGAGCAAGTCGGGCTACACTCACTGATGACAGAGACCCAGAGGCAGGCACAGACGCCGCGAGCTAGGACCGGCCAGTAGTGCCCATACATGCCGAAGCAGGTACGCAGAATGACGGGGTAGCCTACATGGTAGTTCGCCGCAGCGCGCGAGTTGAACGCCATGCACGTCCCAGCCACTGTCGCGGCGATCCAGATACAAATCGTCGCCTGCCACCATGACAGACCGCCGTCAACCAGACTGGAGCCAAGTGTCCTATGAACACGGCCCGCGCATAAGCAGTTGCAACGCGAAGATCACTGGCAGTGAAGACATACCAGTTGCCAAAGCCCATTCCGAACCAGAAGATGCAGAAGTTGTACCACCGCCAGTTGACCTGTGCGGGCGGGGACGGCTTGAGATCTTCATTGACCCACGAGTGCCCCTGGTGCGCGTTGCCTTCCGTGTGGATGTACGTCAGGAAGGCGTCCTTGGAGTCAAACGCGTGCCGAAGGCGGGAGGCCCACCCGTGCACAGGCGCAACGAGCTTCGTATGCACGCCGTACTTCACGTCGTCTGCCGATGGAACGTGCATCTTGAGGTCGTGTCAGGGCTCCGCTTGGTCCTGGAGGCCGAGGACGGTAGGCGAACGAGGCCGCTGGTGGTCGCGGGGCAGCCGGCCGGAGCAGATGCGAAGTCATGGCTTTATACCCGCCGCACCCTAAACAAACGATTGTGCGGACATCCGTGCGTCGTACATGGGTCAGGTACGAGCCACTCCACCAGTTCGCGGTCCTCAGCGGACCGTAGAGTCTTTGACGATAACGGGTTGTTGATAAGTGCTAGTCTGCCGCGGAAGCCGGCGCGATGTATCGGAAGATACACGTCGAACGCTGTGATCAAAATAACCTCCCGAGACGAGCTGCAGAGTCGACGTCGATTCAGTTGCTGTGTCATTTGACGACTCGGTACTTGGTGCTTACCAGCATATATGCGTATGTTTGACCCATTCGGAAGGCGCGCGCTGCTCGTGAGAGGGCTTCTCAGCCAGTTCATGAAAGATGTCGTCTAGACTCTCTGCAGGGTCTAAACGAGATAAGCATTTGCACCGTTAGCGGTCAAAGTATGGGGTGTCCTGCGCGAGTTTATCTTCAAAGTCTAGCGTGTGCAGGGGCTTATCACCGATACTCATTTCCCGGCCATCTACACATGTAGCGACTGACATGCCGGTACCTCTTGCGTACTAATTGAAGAATTTGAAGTTGCTCATTCGTGCCTACAGCAGTATAAATCTTAGCCCGGTAAGTGAAGAGGGCGGTGATTTCCGGTGACGAAGGCCGACAGTCTCCATCGAGCACGACTACATGGGTCCTGTAAGTGCTTCTGTCAAAGCACAGGTCAGAATGCACATCATACACGGCCATCCTCCGCACCGAGGTTCGTAAGGTCGACGTATTACGGATGTCAATCAGGAACCAATTTGAGCGTACACACCTAATAGGTCCCAGCGATTCAGCGATGGGCGGAAACGTGGTGCTCCGTGTCGACAGCGGGCTGGCTCACTGATGATCCAGACGTCTCCATAAACAGGCCCCGCAAGGGGCCAACGACAAACCCGATCTCGGCACCCCTCTGGTGGCAGACGGCTGGACGCGAAACAGGGATGATGTGACCTGGGTTCGGGACGATCGAATGAAGGCAGCGATCCAGGCATTCCGCGCAGGCACCCGTTCATGAAGCTGCATGCAATATAGCTGCATAGTCAGACCGGGTCATCGTTCCACCAGTGTCCTCCGAGGATTTGAGGGTGATGTACTGCGATTACCAGCAAATGCTGGATGCACATAACCTCGTTCAGGAGTCGGCCTTTCCTACAGGTATGGCTACGCCCCAGGTCGATACAGTCGGCTGGAGTTTGAGTGTTGCTCCGATGGTGGAGGTAAGATATTATGGACAAATTCATTAGCAGAGTCCTCGTACCTGCGCGTTGAGATGCCCTGAAAATGGGTCTGTACATGTATGTCACAGCTGTTTACTGTCTTCTCGTCAGCCCCAAGGACACGTACCATATTTTTTGGACAGTTCAGTATGCGAGCGCACAAAAAAGAGGATAAGCGACGACCGTATGGTGTACACAAGTGAAGTTTTGTACTGACTCGGAGGAAGGTCGAACTTGACTGAAATGGAATTAGCGCCCGCTACCTCCTATGGCTGAGATTCCCGATTGAATCTCTTGCACCGTGTGGCAATCGCCACAGTCGCGTCCATTGCACTCGTTCACTCCCACCGACCACGCATAGCGCGTTATTCTCTTCGGATTTCCGGACAAAACTACACATATTTCTGACGGCTCTCAACATGGCTCCTCGAGTCGGCCCGAAAATAAGAATCAGGCCACCCGGACGAAGGCCACCTGCAGCGTCGAGTTCACGCGAAACACCTGTTGAAGAAGAGGAAGTTACAATCACCGACGCGGAAGAGCCTAACGCAGATGACGAGCAAGCAGACGAAACAGCAACTCCACAGCCAGAAGATGACATAGATGTAGACGTGGATGCCCAGACAGCGGACGAGGATGGCAGCGTCGTCGACCCTGACGAAGACGAGGATGCTGAGGATGCGGAGACCCCGGCGAAAAGAGGGAGGGGCAGACCGAAAGGGAGCCGGAACAAGGCATCGGGGACGAGCACACCAAGAACAAGAACGAGGGGACGCGGACGAGGCAGGGGAAAAGGCCGTGGAATCACCATCAGGCTACCGAAACGGACGGGCGAGGAGGTCGAACAGGGTGAGGAGAGCGCCGCGGCGGAGGCGGAAATGCCTGCTCCTGTGGAGGATGTGCCCACTGCGGATGCAGAAGAGGGTCCTGCGGGCGGTGGGAAGCCTTTCCGGCGCATAAACGGACAAGTCTACATCATCGACAACGACGAGTATGTCACCGAGGACGACCCGAAGGGCGACGCAAAGATCGACCAGTATGGTAACCTTATTGGTGGTGCGCATGTCTATTGTTTACTCTCTCCAACAAACTGACGTTGCTCCAGACCGCAAGTTCAAAGCGCAGACGTTCCAATTGCCCAACCGACATCCCGACCGAATGTACATGCTTGCAATCGACGCAGCACGCACTTCTGGCTTCCGCGACTCGTTGTACTATTTCCGGCGCAACCCGCTTGCCATGAAGCTGAACGCGACGCAGGCCGAGAAAGAGTATCTCATCGAAGTGGGCAAATTAGGCTCGCACTTGCGCACACGTAGTGTGACGATGATCACCGCACGCAGTGCATACAAACTGCATGGTGCCAAGACGGTAAAAGGTGCGTATGCATTGAGGCTTTTGAGCAAACATACTGACAATGCGCAGACGGGAAGTGGGTATTTGACGACTACTACGAGGATAAAGCGCTGGAGGAGTGCACCGCCAAAGGTCTCAAGCCTGGTGACCCCGTCGACGAGCCCCAGGACACCGCAGCAGCTGCACCAGAGCTCACTGCAAGCAAAGACCGCACAGGTAGCGGGATCGGATTGTACCGTGCTGGTGGACCGACTACTATCTTCGGTGGCTCTGGCTGGGGGCCTTACAGCGACGGCCCGTTGAACGCGGTGCGGAAGAGCCTGCTCACGCGGGATGGCTTGAACGAAGAAAACTGGATGTATGCCGCGGCGCAAAGGACCGCAGATGCGAGCAGAGAGTGGGCGAACATGCGCGCGGAGGCGATGAAGGTATACGGGGGCACACTGGACGGCAGCTCCAGTCGCGAACAGGAGGCGAGAGACAGGGAGAGGGAGACGGGGAAGAGACGGAAGGTGTGGGACGAAAAGGAGCAGACGCCTCTGGGCGTGTATGAGCCACACTCCGGAACCGTATACTGTGAGTCGGTTTCTGTAGAAGGTCGGCTCTTCCTGATCTGTGTTGGATAGACCGTTCGGACACGCAGCCGACGCGAGCACGCTGGGAGCCGGTCGACGACGGGCAGCGCGTTTTGGGAGGGACGAAGGCAGGGAGCCAGGCGTGGGGCCTGGCGTGGGTCGATACCATCATGGAGACGCCACGGCCAGAGGAGATCGACGAAGAGAATGCAGTATTGCGTGGACCTTTCTTGCAGTATGCCGAGCAACCTCCATAGTCGTCACGCGACTCCATGTTGTCGTATTGGTAGGACTGGCTTTCCGTTGGGCCGTGATACAATCAGGTCATTGTCTCTGTGCTGCGTATTCCTTGTTATGGCACGCACCCTGATCACTTTGCAGAGCGTAGAAGAGAGGTCTGGGCGGTAAGCGAATAGTGTAAGTCGATCCGTACATGAGGCTGGAGGAACGCGTCTTAGCCATGAGGCGATGGTGTTACGAACGGCTCTGTCAACTGAACGCGACGCAGCCCGCGGATCGCTACTTTTCAGTCAAGGTAACGTTCGGTCGCCTCACCTGGACGCTTCTTTGGGTGAGTCTCCTGGATGAGCTCTAGGATGTTCCGGCCATATGTGTACGACTTCCTCATCTTCACGCAGGCTTTGTCGCACGCTCGGAATTGCCGCGGACATCCTGGTACGTGAATTTGCTCGAACGTCTGCATGCTATGGCTGACACAGACACCTCACACACTCAGGCTCATGAGCCAACGCAAGCATTACGCTGCCGGGCACTTCCTGATATGGTGGTGAACTCCTTGATGGGCCGCGAATGTTCCAGGGCTTGCGAATCCCGGGGAGCAGTATCCTGCCCATCCCACGGTGCTTCGCTTTCCAAGAATACACCTCGGAACGCCACTAAGTATCGGAACGCTTTGCGAGCGGCCCTTCAGGGACCATGATTTCTATCTTCTGTGCATGGTCCGCCATGACTTAGCTGTGCCTTGTGGATACAACGAGACAAGACAGGTGATACTGCGCAAAAACACTTCCTGAACCTTACAGTCATCGTGCACAACGTGTCCACACTCGTTCCAGGATCGATTCGCATGCGAGAAAATATCGACTCAATGCCTTAAGTACAGGGGCAGGTCCGGCGCGGTAAGCACGCCCTCCGACTTTCAGTCGCTGTCGCAGCTCCGAATCGCTCTTGCGCATTACCTGCCGCCACCCAGTATGTCAAGGTTCGATACCCGCAGACTGGTCGACGCGCTCTCCGACGTACGTTGTGTTTCTTTCATCACTGCGCAACCGTGCGACTCATCTCCTTTGACAGTCGAGTTCGGATGCTAGCAGTCCGTCATCCACCGCTGCGTCCTCTGTCGATGGTGACTTGGTGCGAACCCTCAACGCATTTCGCAGGTAAATTAGCCTCGCTAATTCCACTTTAGGAGGAGAACCAACTACTGGTGCATCAAGCACTCGATGACCGCGATACGAAAGATCACGAACTGCAGACCGCCCCCGTATTCACACGAGAGGCTTATGCTCGAAGCGGCGGCCCAGACCGCTTCCCACAGCGGGGACTTCTTGGTTCTGTTGTTCGAGTGTAGTAAGCCTTTCATTGCATCTCTCGCTGCTACGTCTCTAATTTGTAAACACACGAAGTGATGGATCAGGTCCTTGTACAAAGGACATTGCCGGTGACAAAAGAATCTACCTCAATACGGTGCGTCGCGTATGAGTGAAAGTTTTGTTTCTCTGACATATCTCACAAGAATGCTCCCTTCTCGGCCCTGGTATGCGGTGTCCAGGGATCGGGGAAGTCGCACACCACTTCTGTCATGCTCGAGAATATGCTCGTCCCGAGCTATTCTGCGATTGGCCAATTGAAGAAACCGCTAGCAGGCCTTGTCCTTCACTTCGGTGAAGGAGGTGCCTACTCTCAACCGTGCGAAGCCGCATGGGTTGGTATTACTGATAACACAGCGATCGAGCCGCCCCCGGTGGTCGTGTATGTATCCAAATCGTCCTTGAACACGATGAAGAAGGTGTATGCCCGCCTGGGGCCATCTGTGGTCGTGAGGGCGCTCAAGTTCAGCGAGGAGGAGCTCGACGCCCAGGCATTCTTATCCATGATGGCGATTGGTGCATCTGACCATGTCCCGCTGTACATGCAGACAGTGCTGGTGAGTGCTCCTCCTCGTTGTCTGCCTCGTACCCGCCCTAACTCGTACTGCAATACCCAGTCGATCCTCCGCGAACTCGGCGAGAAGTACACGTACCACAACTTCAAGATGGCGCTCGAGCAGAAGAAGAGCAAGTTCAACCCCGCCCAGCTTGCGGGCCTCGAACAGCGCACCGCGCTGCTTGAAGCGTTCTTGGACAAGAAAGGTCCAGGAAAGTTCCATGTAGCGCCTGCGCGGTTTGCGCCCGGACAACTCACTATCATCGACTTGTCCGACCCTTTCATCGACCCAGCGTCGGCGTGTGGTTTCTTCGAGATCCTCGTGAGGCTGTTCGTTCGCGCGCAGGTCGACACGGGGAAGGTGCTTGTGGTGGATGAGGCCCACAAGGTAAGTCGGGCACTGATGGCAGAGCCGAGCTGACTTGACTATGGTATGCAGTACCTGGTAGCGACCAAGACCTCGTCCGGACTTACGAAGGAACTGCTGTCTCTCATTCGCCAGCAACGTCATCAAGCAATGCGAGTTATCATTAGCACCCAAGGTAAGTCAAGTGTCGCCGAAGCGTGTCATCACTGACGGGGATATTTTGTCGTAATTAGAACCTACCGTCGTCCCTCCCGTGTTGCTCGAGCTGTGCGGCGTGACGATTTTGCATCGTTTCTCCTCTCCCGCTTGGTGGGAGCACGTCGCCAAGCACGTCTCCGCCGATATCGACTCGAAGGCGGCCTTCGACACCATCGTGAATCTGCAGGTAATGCGACCCCTCTCGCAAGCGCGTACTGTACCACTGATCACCTATTGCTTCCGGTTCGTAGACCGGCCAAGCAGTGCTGCTTGCTCCGACGGGACTAGGGACTACTCGGGACTTGGCGGATAAAGCGGCAGACGACGGACGGAGGGTCCTGTCCTCATTCGGACGCAAGTGCGTCTTGATCAAGACCAGACTGCGCATCACCAAAGATGGGGGCGCGTCGCTGCTGGTGGTCCCGTCGTCGTGAGGTTTACGAGTGGACTGCTCATCGCGTCATGTCCGAGTCTGAGTTGCTGTTTCGTGATGTTCCAGTCGATCTATGAGTTAGTGTATATGCGGAGAGAGGGAGTTCTATCATGGTCGTTCTTACGTGTCTAATCTGATTTCTTGAGTTGTTGGTTCGACGTGCGTACGACTGCGGGCCAGCTAAGCAGGATGCCAACATATTACCTTTCGCCTCCAGGTCGGTGTGGGCGTTCAGAGTTGGCCAGCTCCGTAACCAATCGCCCATGGGCAAACTGCCTGACTGTTATTGCAGGACCGTGCGTAAACGACGCAAGACCTTGCACTCGCCCAGTGTAAGACATCGTTGTTCTACGCAGCCGGTTCGAGCGCGTATGGCCGCGCAGCACTGGAGACGTATGCCTCCTGTCCGCGATCCAGTGTTGCGAGAACGACCGTCGGGCACGCCCTGTTGTCGTCGAGAAATACGGTTTGTGAGGCGAGGACGTTGTCACATCCGATCCAATCGTGCTAATGTGGCAGCACACACGAAGAACAATTGTTACAGGATGATTGACATTGCATGGTGGCTTTCGTAGCACAGCCCAATGGCTATAACGATACATAGTCGAGACACCGCCGCTCTCGGGACCTGAGGGCAGCACTCGCACGAGGCTACATCTTCTGGCATACAGCATTTCTCCATCTCCGACGTCGTGTGCATGGTAGGTGCGTGCATGGTGGCCGTCGCTTGGAGTTTTTGTCATGGCATCCCTACGGTGCAACGCAAGCAACCGAGCAGATTACTCTGTCATACGAGATATGGCATTAAAGACCTGTCACGGACAGAGAAACAGGAGAACGTACTGGAGCGAGCCCGCATTTTTCTGCGCTTGCGCCTAAGGCGGCGAGACCTCTTCTTCTTCCACTTATCTCTCATTCTGTAGGCCACACACTGTCAGCAAGAACAACGCGCGGAGGCAACACGGCAGCAGCGTACTCACTCGTTCGAATTGTGGGAAGTGCTAACGAGCCCAGACCGCCGAGTGCGGGGTTATGATTCTGTGGCGGGTGCTACTGTACAGTTTTGCTTACCTCACCCTCCCACGCTCAAACAGACAAAGCGCTCGCTTCTGCGCGCCAGTTGTCCCTCGTCCCTTCGTGTCGCATTCCTCGCTGGCGACGATGAGCAAGCGTCCACGCGTCCCTGCAGCCCTGCACGCCGAGATCTCTGAATATTCTGCACTTCTACGCGCTCTCAGGAACCGCGACACGCTCGACCTCTCCAGCCAGCTCATCCGAGCCCACTCGTCTGCGCCTGCTACCGACGATGATCTATTCGAGGACGACGACATCAGTCTGGACGACGAAGAACCCAAGTCATCCTTGACGGAGTACACGTCGCAAGTCTCTGTCGTTGCGGAGTCCTCTGTCGTGGAGCAACCCCAGTCTCAGCTGAAGCGCAAGCGTCCCTCAAGTAAGCGCCAGTCGAAGAAACCGCGGGACACTTGGACACGATGGCCCCTCATGGCTGGTGACGTGCACGTCCCCGAATGGACGCTTGAAGACGAGGTCAAGGCCCTTACTGTGCAGCACCTCAAGAGATCTCTCACTGGGCCCGACACCACTCCCCACGATGCTGAACTGCTGAAAGATCTGGATGACGACTTTGCCAGCACACTACTCCCGCAGGCGAGCCTCGATGCCCTTGTGGACGAAGCCGCCACCCACCTCGCGCGCATTCTTGCTTTTGTCGCCGCTCACAAGCCGCCCGCCGCGGAGAGCATGCAGAACCGTTTCGCCCCGTTCGGCTGGGAGATGGTCATGGCCGTCATGTCTTCTAGTGGTCTTGTCGACGCCAAGTTCGTCTCCTCTGCTGTGCTGCGGTAAGCTCGTGTAAACATGTGCTTGTTAGTGTCATGCAGAACGTCCAGCGTCGTATGGAACCCATATATGGCTCCTCGAAATCACTTGGTACGTCGGTATTGTGCCTGTTTTTGTTGCCCAAGCTGACAATTGTCGCAGCCGTTCACCGTGTCCAGTATCGTGCCTCGGCGAAGCTGCATATGCGAGACGCTGTGGAGACCTATGATTTGAGCTTTCTGGGTCTAGCATACAAGCCCCCTCCCCCGCCGAAACGTAAGCGTCGTTCATCCTCTGCATGTACCACTCAGCGGCTGACGGGTTGACACCGCTAGGCAAACGAGGTCCGTATAAGAAGAGGAAGATCAAGTCTGCAGAGACTATCGAGTCTTCGGTGGAGCCTGAGGACACCCAGTCTCGCGTAGCTGAACAAGTCACTGGCACCTAACGCCCACGTGGGCCATGTCAATAGCATTCTCCGTGTACATTCGTTGTGTACATAACCCCGAGGTGATCGTCCTCGCAACCAGGGGCACGTCCGTCTTCTTGCACTCGGTGAGTACTTCTTCCACCTCTCGGATGGCTGCCGTCCTCGTTATGATGTTTGAGGCATTTGGCTTTAGCAAGGGTTACCTTGCGTTGCAGAACATTATCTCAGCTACCTTCGGGCCGTCTGCTTTGGCAGGCGCGCCCGCTATCTCTGAACCCCTTTGTTTTTCGTTGCAAAGCGTCGAGTTTGTGCTGACTTCAGTTTCTTTCAGATCTTGCTTATGGTGACAGGCGACCGCGTCCAGCTTCCGGTTTGCTGTCGGCGAGCGCGGGGGGATGGGAAGGACGAGCAGGGCAGGTTCAGACGTGTCTTCGTCGCTGTACTCAGTGCGGTTGTAGTCCTGTATTGGGTAGCGTTCGGCGCACTGCGTGTTTTCGTCTCAGTAATACATGTTACATCTTTCCAACTAACAATGACATTGACAAGCTGTGTTTTAGCTCTTGTCGCGTGAGGAATGTCTGTCAGATATTCATACCGGTCACGTCCGGGCGTGCGCCACGAAGAAACCCTTCAGAACCGAGTAAGTTCGTGTATATTATATACGTAGCCGCCTATACATAATGGTTGTCGCGAGTGGTTCGGTGCCCTGCACCACCCGTGGAGAACGAGACGAGCGACATATAGTATACGTAGCATCTTCAATGCAGGAAATCGTCCAAAATGTAGGTATGTAACCAAGTCCGGTCGTATGATAGCAACGGAGAGTACAGATCCACAAGCCGGTCGCACTCCTCTCGTGCCTCCTCCTCCTCCGCCTTCTTAGCCTTCTTCCGTTCCCTTTCCTCGTCGTCTGCTTCTCTGTCCAATCTGTCGTCCTCCGCCCTACGCTGCGCCTTCAACTTCTCGATCTTCTTCTCTCGTTCCATGTAATATTCAACCCGCTCAGGCGTCACCTCCACGCCCTTGACTACCGAGCGAAAACCCTTGAGGTGATCCCAGAGGTGTTCGAAAACACGAACTGCGTCTTGGAGCTTATCGCCATGTTTCCCATCTGAGAAGAGTGGCTCATTCTCGACACCTTCGTCGTCGGCGGACTCATCGAAAGGATCAGGCCAGTGTGGGTTTGTAGCTGACTGGAGCGAGCGCTCTATGTTTAGCCAGCGAGAAAGCCGCCTGGCAAAGGACAGGACTATTCCGAACGTGGAGTCTTTGCCCTGGCTCGTTTTGTAGTCCGGGAGTTCATGGATCGCCTGACGCGCAAGGAAGGTAACCTTCTTGAGTCTGCATAGGTCGTAGTCGTTCGTCAGCCAGGCTTGAACTGGGGAAGCCTCGTCTTCAACTCCTTCGTCGTTGAAGGCCCAAGCGTAGTACACCGTGACCCACACGAAGGCCTCCAGATCGTGGCGATAGAGGCGCTCGAGATCACCTTTCCAGTAGGCGTCGTCCAATAGGTCAAGCGCCATGAACGGGATGGTGCCCGTCCTCTCTGACCCTTGAGGTTGGCTTGGCTGGCCGACTATCACCACACGAGCAAGGTCGAGGTCGCGCACCCTGACGCGCAGCGAAAATGGGCAAACGCCAAGGTTCCAAAAGCTCAGGTCGGTGTGTTCGATTCTGTGCTTGCCATTACCGATCCACAGGAGTTTGTGACCTGTCAAGACGTTGAGGACATCGCACAAATCGATCACGCGGAGACACTTACAGTTAATGCAATCGATTATGCCCCGCACGAACTCGAAGCCGGTCAGATACGTCAATGGCTTGAGCTTCACCTCGAAGATGCACCGCAGAATGCGCTCCCCGTGGTACTCAGCGTCGACGAGCGACTGTGTGGGGTCGCTGAATAGACGGAGATGGCGTCGGATGTTGTCTGTAGACAGGTGCGCGAAGTCCTTGAATGCGACCACGTCTGTCAGCGATCCCAGCGCCTCTTTGTCCATGTCCTCGACAATCTCGCGAGCTATCCAGATCGCCTTGGCCTCATTGCAGCGTATCGTCTCGGGATATGACCATTTCGCGACGTAAGACATTGTAGGCATGCCCGGGTCCTGCGCCTCAAGCACCATCGTTCGACGCCCTCTCAGAATAGGCGAGGGCTTGTGCAGAATACGCTCTGGATCCACCACCATGGTCTTGGGCAAATCATCCTTGCCCGTTCCAACGACTTCGAAGGTCTCGACCGGCTGACGTGCCGGGTCTCTTGTGCCACCAGCCGGTCCCGGGATCTCAGCTCGCGGTGGAGATAGACACCGGATCACGTCGAGTCTCGCCTCAGAGTTCGTCCCCTCCGGAAACCCCCACTGCGGGAGCTTGAAGCGCTGGAGCAACATCAAGATGAGCACGAAGTCTGCGGTGTGTGCGAGTATATTGAAGCCCTGCGCTTGGACCGCCCCCGCGCTGTCGAAATACCATAACCACGTCCAATCATCTGTATGTGTTGTGGTCAGCCCGGACAAGACAGCGCCGAACAAACACAAACCTTGGGTAAGCATGCCCAGTGCGTGATTCCTGATTAGCCCCTCTACAGCAAGCATTTCGGAGGCGTAGATGGCCATCTGCACCATCGGGGCCGGGCGGCTTGGATCGTTCTCTTTCGCGTGCTTGTTGTCCCTGCCAACCGTGACGTCTTTGGTCAGCCCCGTGAGTTTGGTGTCCGTCTTCCGCCGTTTCGAACTACTTGCATCAGCTGGCTGCGAAGACTTGCGCTTCGAACCGGTCGATACCTTCGCGTCTGCAGAACACAGACGGTCAGAGTCGCATAAACGTCGAGTTCAAAAACACCATACCATTCGCAGACGGAACGGCGTTCGGTGTGACCAGCGCCGGAACCTCGAGCGTCATGCCATTGATAGTCTCCGTTGCATACCATAAAAGAACGCAAGCGCTTTTATGGTCTGCTCCCGTACGCGCCCCTCTAGTAGGACTAGAGCCTTTCACCAAACTCCGAATGTCCGGGCCAATCGGAGTGTGCGGAGCATCACCTGCCGTGTGGCTGAGTGGCTGAGAGAGATGTGTGCTTCAGATGGTAGTACGAGAGACATTCACGAACACATTGTACAGCTACGATGGGTCATAGATAACAAAACCAATGTATAGAGGTTGACCCCATGCTATACTGCTGACACTGTCGCAACGACGTGCCATGAACCCCTCTGGACAACCCACAGATGGCAGTCAGCAATATCCAGGTCCTGGCCCTCCATATTGGCCATACTCGACCTACGGCTTGGTCCCTATGCACGGGCCACCACCGGGCACCATCATCTACCCCACACATCATATGCTCAGTCATCCGGGTGCCATCTTGATGCCGCAGAGCACCCCAATCAGCTCGGTACCACCAGAGTCCATGGGCTCGAGTTCAGGCCATCCAAGTCAGTACGAATCTCGGCGGGCATCTGACAAAATGCAAACAAGGCGTTCCGACGAGGACAAGCTTGAGCATATGCTCGCTGTCCTCAAGGAGATCGACTGGACACTCTCCCAGTTTCTGCATCACCTGTTCCGGGTGAGGGACGAAAATCAGCAGCCTATCCATCGAACCCAGTCACATGGACTCATGGTTCGCCGCTTCCTCAGCGGACAGTCGAAATACAAGCCAATCAGTATCATCGACAGCTGGCTTCATGACCATGCAGGTCGACCAGACCCGAACTCGCCGGACGACCTCATGTATTCACTTGACAAGCCGTTCACCGAGATCCCGTCAGCTCGGGCAGCGATAACATCTATGGTGGTACAATTATGCCATCAGAAGCTCTTGAAGGAGATGCGGAGTGCGGTGAAGGGCTCTAGTGGTCTGCATGGTAGTCAGGCTGGGAAGCGCGGCCATAAGGAGCTGGCATGGGATGACATCGGTCTAGAAACCATCAAATCTGTCAAATCTGTCGCGCAGATGCACCAACCACTTACACTCCGACTCCTGACGATGCTTGCCTCACCGGAGCCTCACAAACGTGATGGTGTAATTGTCGTGAGGAAGACAAGACCACCGCAGCTTGTAAGCCAGATCGATCTCGAATTCTCATCGGCAAACTGACCTCTGTCATTCAATCAGGTCGCGCTCGAAATCATCAGTATGGTGAATTTCTCGCACACGAAATTCGCGCGCTTACACCCGTCCGCCCGGTCCATCATGTTCTTTGCCAATGGGGCATCACGAGGGATATTCAACTACGGGAGTCGCATTGCTTTCTCGCAGAGTTACAATGCGACCTATGCAACATTGGCACGCATGTCAGCACAGCGCGCGGAACACCTCATAAAGGCTGGAAAAGACAAACGTACTGGCCTCGCAATGCGTTTTGACAACGTGCAACAGCATGTAAAGGTGCGCGAGCACCGAATCGGACATGAGAACGTCATGAAGATTGGTGTCGCGGGGACCGTGGCGGAGATGTTTGACTTCGATCTCGCTGTCGCTGACGCCAGAAAGAAGAAGCTGTCACTCGAGAGTAATATGCGTGCTACACTCACTGTGGAGTCGCTACTCGAGGTGGTAGATCAACATCATCTGCGACAGGTCTTCGTCTTGCAGTGGCTCCAGACGTTGGTCAACTACGTCCCCGAACTGGCGACGTACAAGTCCAAGGTGGCCGAGATCTACCGCACGCAAGCTTCGAAGTTTCGTGTCCCTGATCAGAAGACTGTCATTCATCCACTCGGCACATCTTCGAAGAACGAGAATGTCATTACCGAGCTTCGCGACGCCATGATTGACTTCTTGGGCCAGATCGGACAAAGCGAGGACGACTACGATCCCAATCGGCTCATCTTCGTGGGCGGAGATGGGCTCACTTTCGAGCGGCTGCTCAAGCTGAAGCAGTACATGCAGTTCCAGGATAGCGCTTTCAAGCGCTTCGAGAACGTGGTTCCGTTTCTTGAAACCTGGCATACGGAGTGGACGTATGTCAGCCTCATGTTCGAGACACATTGGGGTGATAGCCTTACCAACGACCCGTCAAAGCTCGGCCACAGCGCCAACAAAATTGATCAGAAGGAGCCGACGAACCTCAAGAAGGTTGACTACTATTCAGCAGTCTATCTCGCATACTTGGTCCTCGACGTACGCATGCTAGATTGCTTCCGGTATGTTGGTTATGTGCCGGTGACTCATGATATACTTGTTGCTCACCAACAAGTAGAATCCACTTCCAGACCGAGGATATCTTCGCGTACTTCAAGGCGCTGGCAGCCCGAGATGCATTACCAACTCTGGAGGAGTTACACAAAGTTGCGGAGACTCTGTATGCGCGGTACATGTCACGGAAGGCGTACCATATAGCGCTTGCTGGTGATCAAGTCACCGAGACGCTAGGCATCCCATCAGCACCCGAGCCCTGGCAAACTCCTGGCGGTACTAGTACCGAAGGTACCTCATTCGCAGGTGATCGATCACTTGCGCAATCCATGCTCTTCATGATTGATACGGCCCTCTCGCGTTCTGTTGCCCAGGCGGTCGCAATGGGTGATGTCGGGAGTGTCTATGAAGGTATAAAGGTGAGGATAGATGCCATGCTCGCACCGGAAAGTTAATGGTACTTACTGCAGATATTAGATGATGCTATTCAACTTCGCTGGGTCGGGACATACGAAATACACCAGCTATATCCTCGAGATGGTAGTGTCTTTAGACTTTGAGTCGGATGAAGAACTACGAACCTTATTCCTTCGGAACTGGCTTGTCAACCCCTCCGGGGAAAGCGGACGACATCAGGAGGGTGATCTAATGCAAGAGCACTTGAATCTCGCCCTGGAAGACGCCGTCCAACGAAGTGGGAGCGAGTGGGATGGCAAGCTTATCCGTGATGTAATCGCGCGGAACGTTCACTATTTCGTGGACCTCAAAAATGGTTGGGGTCAGTCGATAGGCTTGGCAAAACGCAAGGGTTACCATCCAGAGCCGCACAGCAAACCGGAAGTGTCGACTCTACTGCGAGTGTACAAGGAGACCCATCTCCACCAATTCATGGCTGGCCGGTCATACACGACTTCATCACAAACCATTGACACCTACAAAACTGGTGTTGTCAGTCTACAAACAGGCAAGCTCGAAAAGTGGATAGTCGAGTCCACTCGTGGCCGCAACCTACGGAACGCTACGCCTGCGGCCATCGCAGAGCTACAGACACAGATCGACGAAGATGTACAAGACACAGTTGACGAGGATGATGCAGACTCGGATGGTACCGAACTCCCACACGCACAAAATAGACGTGGGAACATGCAATTAGTCGACGGCGAGCTCGTGATAGAGTTGGAGGATACCGATGTGCGACATATCATAGACCACGGGGAAGGCGAGCTGGATGAAGACGGTCTCGCGGTCAGCGAAGTTGAAGAATCGGAGACGGCCAATGACGGCTATTTGGACGAGATTGACAATGTATGACAGGTGTGTCTCTATGTATGCGTAGAGCTGTTCTCCTTCCCGATCTCCTAAAGTCCCTTAGTAATTCTGAATGGTCCTACAAACATGATTAGACGTACTATGGCCGTGCGCGATCTTGTTTGCGGCCGGTTCTGCGGCACACTCGCAGATGCTGTCCCTGCACGCTTACGCGATGAGAGTGGTCCAGATGGCTGCACTGGTCGATCGGAGACCGGTGGTGCCTGTAGATGACTTGTGGAATCAGGGGCCGAGGGACTCTGCTGGACTGCGTCGCAGTCTGCGTCCGTCCCGAGTTTCCACTCAAGTGTTGAACTCGCTTCAGGGCATAGCATTGCGTCCCTAAGGTATCGACAGTTATATCAGTGTGCAGACACGCCGAATGTGTGTGACTCACTGCCGAACACCCAAATCCCACTCTAGCATCATACTCGCATTCTCAAACCCATCGCCGTGATCTTCCTCTGCGGTCGCCTCATTCGCCACTGTGGCACCGTTTCCACCGACATCCGAGCCAGGTATGTCGCTTTCAGTCTCCTTCGACTTCGAAGCACTTGGTTTGCCACGCATCGTCACGAATGCTATCTGGAGCTCGACAATGACAGACCACAGGCCTTCGGAATGTGGAAGAAGATACGTTCGTTTGGCAATCAGGTCCTGCAGCTCGCCCGGTGTTGCAATGAGTGCGAAGCGGTCAAGGATAGCCTTCATCGTAGGCTCTGGAAAGAAGACCTCCGGAGGGAAGAGGTCCGCTGCTGCAGAGGTGTCGGCGAGATAGATCTTGTTACGGAAGTGGATGAACCGGTCCATGCCGACTGCTCGCATCGCCTTGGTGAGTCGTTTAGCCTTTGGGACTGGATTGTCTGTCTTGCTTTTGCGAGCGACGGGGGCGACAATGGCCTCGGGTTGACAACCAAGCTCTCCGGGGCCACTGCAGTTGCATGGCCAAGGGGTCTCTGACCGGAGAGGTTGGCGAGCAGAGCGCGCTGTGCACGTCTCGCAGAGACATGGAGGGTCAGATGGCGGATTGGCGTAGAGCATGTCCTGCTCAGCGATCTTGCAGGGAGCAAGGAGGACCCTCGCCATTGCCTTGTCCATCACCGCGTTCTTGTCAGATGATGATTTCGTCTTCTTTCGACTCGCGCCGTGTGACAGAGTTCCGTCGATGATCCCACGCGCATTGGAGATAGCACCCTTTGTGATGTACGTAATACATTCGCCATCATCCGTCAATTTCACGTCTCTCTGTGCCCTACCCAGCCACTGCAGCCACTCCTCCGTGCTTTCGGGATCGCCAAGCAGAAGTACTCGGAATATGTTGGGCACATCGACGCCCATCATGAAGGTTGCAGTTGCGATGATAATTTTGCACGACTCGTCGCAACGCATAAGTTCACGGGTCTCTGTGTTGTACGTCGTCCAATTGAGTGCGTTGTACAGGCGTAAGAAACGCGTGCAATCTGCACCATTTGGTATCTTGCTCCACAGGTAGACCAAGACACGATACCCGAGTGCAATCGTGCGACAGAATATGACGGTCTTGCGTCCGTCAGGAATGATCCAATCCAAGTCGGGGAATGCCCATCCGCCAAGGCCGGACTGTAGGACACGGAAGATTGGGCGAACGTTCCGCCGCACATTTGATCGACGAAGTTCGTAGTATTCGCCAGCACGAAATCCAAGGAGCTTGCAGATATTCTCCTTCGGCCCATCAACGCGAATGGTCGCCGACGCCGCAATGATACGAACTCGGTCCGGCATGCGCGCGCGGATGAAGCCGATCTGGCGGTAGCTCTTCCGGAAGCTGGCTCCCCAGGTGTCCAGGGCATGGGCTTCGTCGAGTCCTACTGCACAAACCCTGTTCCGAAATGTGGGATTCTGTAACAGGGACTCGAACCCTTTTGAGGCGAGCTGCTCTGGGGATAGGAGTAGCATGGTCACTCCTGCGCGAGCACGTACCCAGAGGTTGGTACTCGATGCCCGCGCCGCCTCGAGTGTTCGGGAGTTGATGACCAGAGATGATAAACCAATCTTAGTAAATTCTTCGGCCTTGAGTACACATAATAGTTAGTATGTGACAGTGGAACACGCAAATCTACGCTTACCATCTGCTCCTCCAACCCAATAGTTGGATATATGCCGACCATAGCAGGGTCCTTCGGAACACTGTGATAAGGAGGGTTGCAAAGAGACTGATTATTTGACAATTCTGTAAGCATTAGCATATACATGGAGTAGAAGCCCGTCTTGCCAGAACCAGTAGCGAGTGCAGCCAAGAGGTCAACTCCGTCGAGGACTTGACAAACCCCTTCGAGTTGGTAATCATGCGGATCATAGGGAATGTGCTTGCGAAGGATGCTGCGCGTCAACACGTGCCCCTCCGCAGTACTGAACATGTACCTGGAGGGCCCAGCTGCCATAGTGCCAGTGGTTGTCGCTCAACCCGCTGGCAGGGACGCGTTGCGCGCAACTCAGGGACGCGTTGTTTACTGTTATTGACGTGTTTACACGGGCGGTAAACTTCACGTGCTCGGAAGATACCGAAGCGGCTCTAGTCCGGTTCCACCACGCTATTGAGTCACAGACTATGCCATTGACGGATTTGGCCGGATCCGCGTATGGGATGGCTTGACCCTGAGACGGGTTATAAACTCGAATGTCCCTCATCTGTTCCGTGTCGAGCGTGGTCTTCTTCAGCTCGTCCACCATCAGCACTTGACTCCAATCTAGTCTAAGTGGAAGCTTCTTGCTGAACGCGCCCACGGCCCATTGTCGCGCGATGTCCCAGCTTGTCGCTCGTTTGCCACCCCGAGATATGCCACGCCAGCTGATGTACACTAGGTCTGGCTTGCGATGCGTGATCTGTTCGTCATGGTTGCCGAGGATTACGTTCGGATCGTTGCAGACACATATGATGTCCAGGTCCGACGGTTGGCCTAACTCCCGCAGCCCTGTGCGGCATTGCGCAAGGATCTCGTTCGTCAGCGCGATGTACGGTATGTACATCGCGCTTTCACAATCGCCAAAGCTCAGCTTATTTTTGCTGCGATATGTATTAGATCACATGTATACATACGACTTCTACTCGTTACTCACAGGTCGTCCAACCGTTCGAGTATTTCACGAGTCGTACTAATCTCCTCGGCCTCCTTCATACATCTTGCAAGCTTTCCGTCGAGGTCCTGCTCGCCAGGCAAGATCGATTTGAGTAAGAACGTCTGCATGCTCTTCAGGGTGCACTGTTGGTGCGATTTGAGGTCATGTTCGATGCCGGGGGCCACGTCTTTCAACCTGGAAAGCGGCATTCACCAAGTCAGTCCGGGCATATGTGCTGCGCGACTTGTACCCTACCTCAACCCCGTAGTGCTTGCGCCTTGAGACGAAGCGAAGCTCGCAGACGCCCTGTTGTTGAACGGCGCCGGCCCATGGAAAGTTATTGGATGAGCATTCCTGGGAGTTGCGGTCGGCGACATTGATGAGCCCGCTTTCGCATTCGTGAAGTTGGACATGGTTATCTGGGTACAAGGTATGTACAAAATCCAGCCACGCACCGAGCTGTAAGCCACCGTGGCGGAGTAGCCACAGTCAAGCCACAGTAGCGACAATCATGGCTATATCGGGACACGATCTCGGCCAACTTGGACTATCATCATAGAGAGTTTTGGAAACAACTGTTGAAGTTGAATTGAGCGGTGGAGATGGAGCTGAGGTCTGGTGGTGGTGGGGCTCCGTGGGGCTGGTCGAGAGTGTGACGCCGAGTGACTGACCGTGACACTCTTACTATTCATGGCGATTCGCGCACGGTTGACGCTTGGGAGGGTGACCACTCTCCAGGCGGGCCGGTAACACCCGTGTCACGCCCGCCGCAGATCTCACAGAGATCGGCGGTGTCGGAGCTGTGGCCTGGTGGTGGCGTGAACTTCCACAGTTGCTGCCAAAACTCTCTCATATAGACCATGATGATGACGGACGGTGGACCACCGCATCCACGGATAAGTTCTCCTCAACTCACCATGCGGTAAAGATCACAGCTAATTTCAGAACGATAGTCACTTGCAAACGCGCGCGACAGACGATGACTAAGCGCTCCAACCTTCAAGAAGGCGGCGCGCACCGCTCTTCTGCACCACTGTCGTTCATCGTCTCCTGTCAATTTTGCGCGAGCAGACACAACAGATGATATATGATCTGAAATCTGAATTATGGACCTGTCTCTCTACCATTTACAGTAGTAGTGTAGAGCTACCATGACTCTCGCAGAGTCCGAATAGTTGAACTCTTTCTACATGGCTCGCGACTGGCAAGGCATGGGATTCACTGGAATGTCAGTGGTGTTGTAGAGCAAGGCTGACCAGACACATTCTGCATAATTATTGGTTCGCATCAACCTGATTGCTCACGGGATCGTGTCGTGTATGTCGTTGCGAGGGGCTGGTCCTGGACAGGTCGCTGTGTGTGGAAGATCTCGCACAGGTTGCAGTGGTGCAGAAGAACGGTGTGCGCCGCTCCCGAAGCACGGAGCGCTTAGTCATCATATGTCGCGCGCGTTCGAGAGTGACTATCGTTCTGAAATTAGCTGTGAACACTTTCTACATGGCTCGCGACTGGCAAGGCATGGGATTCACTGGAATGTCAGTGGTGTTGTAGAGCAAGGCTGACCAGACACATTCTGCATAATTATTGGTTCGCATCAACCTGATTGCTCACGGGATCGTGTCGTGTATGTCGTTGCGAGGGGCTGGTCCTGGACAGGTCGCTGTGTGTGGAAGATCTCGCACAGGTTGCAGTGGTGCAGAAGAACGGTGTGCGCCGCTCCCGAAGCACGGAGCGCTTAGTCATCATATGTCGCGCGCGTTCGAGAGTGACTATCGTTCTGAAATTAGCTGCAATGCTTGCCGGTAGTACTAGGTCTGATATGTACGTTCTCGCTGCTGCGTTCAGACGACCGTTCTTCTCGCCGTCTCGACAGTTCAAGCGCGCGCAAGTTCGCCTGCCAGACCCCGGTGGCGCCTGCCGTTCGACATTCGTCAGATTACCAGACCAGCGTGTCGCTCAGGAGTCTGCACCGCTTCTGTAGAGACCTACGTACATAGGTCAATCTCAAGAACCGATCGACAACAGTGAAAGCGACTCACTCAGAACCTTGACCGCGACTAGGGACTTATAGTAGGCGCTCGATATTCTTCCTGCATGCCTGCTGATTGAAATCTCCCTCGCCCCGGTGAACACAATGCATATGAGCCTTTCCGAGAAGGCCTAAGTGTATTAAAGTGCCCAGAGACCTCCCGGATTGAATGTGTCTTGATCTCGACGCCGGACCAGAACTCTGGCTAGTGGCGCCAGCGAAGAGCCTGACTCGGAGGCGGTACGAGTCTCGTACCAGTTGAAGGAGCGAAGGCAAGAAGTGGATCGATGACCAAGCGGAGAGTTACATACATATGCAGCCTCGTAACGGCGCAGAGCGTTGAACGCTTCAGTGGTGTCAGACGCACACCTGCGACCTCCTGGGCCGGCTGGAGACGAAACAACCGTAAGGCATGCGCTCGCTGGAAGCCAGGGATGCGACGCTGATTGCTGGCATGGGGGGCTCGCGCAGCCCTCCGTTTGCAACTGGAGCACTAGAATATCAATTCGAGACTCACAATTGAAATCGGATGCCAACGCGCGGATGCAGAACAAACCCATGTCAAGGTGTGTCTACCGCGCTCCAGTGCCAGTGCGGTGGACAGCGAGTTGAGGTGGCCATCCATGCCAGAACCTGGATCAAGAGCAACTGGCCCGTGCACGACGCGACTGATACATTGCCAACAAAGCGGACCATGGCGAGCGACGAGCGTACCTATTTGACGAGCGTCAGATGGCAGGAGGCGAGGGAGATCAGAGCGCTCCGCATCACTGACTGCAAGGTTCACGCGCACGGTCGTCCCGAACCACCATGCACCGTCCCCGCCACAGCCCAGAACGGCGGGCAATAACGAGCGGTACTCTGCAGTGATCAAAGCTTCAGTGTTCAAGGACACTATGTCTAATCTTCAGGTGCAAGAGGCTACCGGCAGCCACAGTCCGAAGACGAAGCCATCGCCCAAGGCATCCTCTATACCCGTCCCGTTCACGTACAATCCCAGCGATGATGGCACGGACGAGAACCTCCTCATCCTACTACACGGATTAGGTATGCCGAACCTCGAGTCTGCGAGGCATCGTACGCACGCTAGAGCTGATGGGACGGACAGGCGACACGCATGTGCCGTTTAGCAAGCTGGGCCGCCAGCTGAAGCTCCCGCAGACAGCCACGCTCGCATTGCGCGCGCCCGAACAGTGAGTCCTCTCTCCCTCGTACACGCTGTTGTAGTTTCTCGTAACGGCTAGCCCCGTCTAGGGTCCCCTTCCTGTACGAGCAGGCCTTCCAATGGTACGCGTCCTTCGACCCGCTCGGCGAGCTCCTCGAGCGGCCGAACCCCACGCCCGCACTCGAGCTCCTCGATCGCGTCCTCGCGCACCTCACCCAAGACTGCGCCTGGCCGGGCGGGCGGATCCACTTCTTCGGGTTCGCCCAGGGCGGGGGCGTCGCTGCCGAGTTTGTGCTCCGGTGGTGGCGCGCAGAGCTGGAGAAGCAGCGCGGGGACACAGGGTACGCGGTGCGCCCACTCGGGACGGTCGTGAGTGTAAGTGGACCACTCCTGTCGTTCCCGACATTGTCGACGCTCTGCTCGACGCCCGTGTTGTTGTTCCACCGCGCGCTGAAGGCGGGGGACGTCTCGGCGTTCAAGAAGGGGTTCAGTCACTTTCTAGAGGTGAAGAAGGGCTCGCGGGACGGTATGCCCGCGTCCAAGGAGGAATGGGAGCCGATTATGCGATCTTGGAGTGAACGGCTCGGCAAACGCCCGATGGAAGGATTGTACAAGGTAATGAGCGGCATGACTGCGCCGTAATGAAGTCTTGAACGAAGTAACGCATTTGTATGTACGAATAGTAGACACAGTACCTCCTACCATGTAATTTCACCCGACAACGTATTGATCGAGGATGGAATTTGACATGACCAACGCCAAGTACAGTGAAAGCACCCGGGAAGCCTTGCGTGGGCTGGGATCTCACTCACCTCGGTGGACACATCGCATGTGAGTCTGTCCGAGTCTGGATACCCATCAGAACCGAGTAATTTCGTACATATGTATATAACCGCCTGTGCTTGTCGCAAGTACTAGTGGTTGGGGGCCTGCCCGTGGAGAACGAGACGAGCGACAGATAGTATACGTAGCACCTTCAATGCAGGAAACTGTCCATAGGTATGTATCCAAGTCCGGTCGTATGATAGTAATGGAGAGTACAGATCAATGGTTACAATGCAGAAATTACCTTGCGCCTCAGCTGCATATTCCGGTCGCGCTCCTTGCGTGCCTCCTGCTCCGCCTCCCTCTTAGCCTTCTTCCGTTCCCTTTCCTCCGCGTTCGCTTCTCTGTCCAATTTGGCCTCCTCCGCCTCGCGCTGTGTATTCATCGCCGTGATCTTCTTCTCTCGCTCCATGTAATAGTTAACCCGCTCGGGCGTTGGCTCCACATCCTTGACTGCGCTGTGAATGGCCTCGATTTCAGCCCAGAAGAGTTCGAAGTCATGCTTTGCTTCCTCAAGTTCATCGCCACGACTTCGGGAAAGGTGGTTCTTCTTGGCGAATCGATCTAGAACGTCGACCTTTGGGTTTGCAGCCTTCCGGCGCTGTGCCTCCTCTCCCACTAGCCACTGAGAAATCATCCTGGCAAAGGACAGGGCGTATCCCAGCGGGGTGTCTTCGCTCGTCATCCAATCTGGGAGCTCTCCCGCCCGGGTCCTGAGGAAGTCGCCTTTCGCTAGTCTGCATTGGTCGTAGTCGCCCGTCAGCCAGACTTGGACCGGGGAGGTCAGGTCTTCAAGTCCCTCGTCGTCGAAAGCCCAAGCGAAGTACATCGCGACCCACACGAATGCCTCTAGATCGTGGCGATAGAGTCGCTCGCGTTGACCATTCCAATAGGCCTCCGTCAAGAGGTCAAGCGCCATGAAGGGAACGGTGCCCGTCCTCTCCGAACCTTGAGGTTTGCTTGGCTGGCCGGCTACCACCACACGAGCAAGGTCGAAGTCGCGCAGCCTGATGCATAGCGAAAACGGGCAAACGCCCAAGTTCCAAAAGCTGACGTCGGTGTGTTCGACTCTGTACTTGCCGTTACCGATCCAAAGAATCATATGGCCTATCAAGACGTTGAGCACATCGCGTGAAGAGATCACGCAGAGACACTTACAGTGAATGCAATTGATTATGCCCCGCACGAACTCAAGGTCGGACAGATACGTCAATGGCTTGAACTCCACCTCGAAGATGCACCGCAGGATGCGCTCCCCGTAGTGCTCAGCGTCGATGAGCGACTGTGTGGGGTCACTGACTAGACGGAGATGGCCTCGGATGGTGTTTGTAGATAGATGCGAGAAGTCCTTGAATGCAATCACGTCTGTCATCGCTCCCAGCGCAGATTTGTCTACCTCCTCGACGATTTCGCGAGCTATCCATATCGTCTCGGCCTCATTGTGACGTGTCGTCTGGGGGTAGGACCATTTCGCAACATAAGACGTTGTAGGCATGTCCGGGTCCTGCGCTTCAAGCACCATTGTTCGACGCCCTTTCAGGACAGGCGAGGGCTTGTAGAGGACGCGCGTTGGATTCACCACCATGGTCTTGGGCACGCCCTTCCTGTCCGTTCCAACGACTTCGAAAGTCTTGGCTCCCGGTGCAGCGGGCATCAATCTTGTGTGACCAGCCGGTCCCGGGGTCTCATCTCGCGATTCGGGCAGACCCCGAACCACGTCGAGTTTCGCCTCAGAATTCGTCCCCTGCGGGAACCCCCACTGCGGGAGATTGAAGCGCTGGAGCAACATCAAGATGAACACGAAGTCTGCGGTGTGTGCGAGTATGTTGAAGCCCTGCGCTTGGATCGCCCCCGCGCTGTCGAAATACCATAACCACGTCCAACCGTCTGTATGCGTTGTGGTCAGCCCGAACAAGACAGCAGCATACGAACACAAACCTTGGGTCAGCATGCCCAGTCCATGATCCCTGATCAGCCCCTCTACAGAAAGCATTTCGGAGGCATAGATGGCCATCTGCACCATCGGGGGCGGGCGGTTCGGATCTTTCGCTGTCGGTTTCGTCTTCGCTTTCCCTTTGCCTTTCGCTTTCGCTTTCTTCTTGCCAGCGTTGTCGACTTCTGTCAGCCCCCCTCCTCGGTTGTCCGTGGCACTCGTCTTCCGCCGTTTCGAACTACTCGCACTAGCTGTCTGCGAAGTTTGTTTGCGCTTCGAACCGGTCGATACCTTCGCGTCTGCAGAGCAAGGACGGTCAGATTCGTAAAAACCATAAGTTCAAAACACACGATACCATGAGCAGACGAGACGGTGTGCAATGAGACCAGCGCTGGAACCTCGAGCATCATGCCAGCGACGAATTTGGCCGGATTCGCGTAGGGGACGACCTTGCCCTCCGACGGACTATACAGTCGAATGTCCTTCATCTGTTTCTCGTCGAAACTGGTCTTCTTCAGCTCGTCCATCATGAGTACTTGGCTCCAGTCCAACTGAAGTGAGACGCGGTTGGTGGAGTCGCTGAACGAGGCCTCGACCCATTGCCGCGCGGCTTCCCAGCTTGAAGCTCGGTTGCCATGCCGCAAAATGCCTCGCCAGTTGATGTACACTAGGTCTGGCTTGCGATACGTGTTCTGTTCATCATGGTTGCCGATTATTACGTTCGGATCGTTGCAGAGACATATGATGTCCAGGTCCGACGGTTGGCCTAACTCCCGCAGCCCTGTGCGGCATTGCGCAAGGATCTCGTTCGTCAGCGCGATGTACGGTATGTACATTGCGCTTTCACAATCGCCAAAGCTCAGCTTATTTTTGCTGTGATATGTATTAGATCACGTGTATACATACGACTTCTACTCGTTACTCACAGGTCTTCCAACCGTTCGAGCATTTCGGGACTCGTACAAATCTCCTTGGCCTCCTCCATACATCTTGCAAGCTTTCCGTCGAGGTCCTGCTCGCCAGGCAAGATTGATTTGAGTAAGAACGTCTGCATGCTCTTCAGGGTGCACTGCTGGTGCTTTTCGAGGTCACGTTCGATGCCGGGGGCCACGTCTTGCAACCTGGAGTGCGGCATTCACCAAGTCAGTCCGGGCATATGTGCTGCGCGACTTGCGCCTACCTCAACCCCGTAGTGCTTGCGCCTTGAGACGAAGCGAAGCTCGCAGACGCCTTGTTGTTGGATGGCGTCGAGAAGAAGGGTTTCGGTAGAGTATTCCTGGGAGTTGCTGGCGGCAGCATTGGCACCCTTGAGCGCGTAAACGTTTCTGTCGCATTCGTGGAGGTGGACATGATTGTCAAAGACTCAAAGTACAAAGTACAAAGTCCAGCCACACACCATGTTGTAACGCGTAGCCACAGTCAGCGACAAGCACGGACAAATACTACTATATCGGGACATGATCTCGGCCACCTTGGACTGTTACTGGGTCACTGACGCCTCTACTGATTACTTACAGTGAGTAGCACATGTATGCTGCATCTGGCAGGAAGCTCAATCATCTCAGTAAGTCACCGGTACCCGTGACGAGAGTAGAGCGCTCCGCATCACATAATTGTAAGGTTCACGATCGTCCCGAACCATCATGCACCATCCCCGCGACAGCCCAGAACGGCGGGCAATAACGAGCAGTACCCTGCAGTAGCCAGAACGCCAAGGACACCATGTCTGACCTTAAGGTGCAAGAGGCTCCCGGCAGCCACAGTCCGAAGACGAAGCCATCGCCCAAGGCATCCTCTATACCCGTCCCGTTCACGTACAATCCCAGCGATGATGGCACGGACGAGAACCTTCTCATCATACTACACGGGTTAGGTGAGTCGCAACCCGAGTCTGCGAAGCGTCGTAAGCATGTTGGAATTGACAGGACCTGCAGGCGACACGCATGCGCCGTTTGGCAAGCTGGGCCGCCAGCTGAAGCTCCCGCAGACAGCCACGCTCGCGCTGCGCGCGCCCGAACAGTGAGTCCTCCCTCTCTCGTACACGCTGTTGTAGTCTCTCGTAACGGCTAGCCCCGTCTAGGGTTCCCTTCCTGTACGAGCAGGCCTTCCAATGGTACGCGTCCTTCGACCCGCTCGGCGAGCTCCTCGAGCGGCCGAACCCCACGCCCGCACTCGCACTCATCGACCGCGTCTTCGCGCACCTCACCCGAGATTGCGCCTGGCCGCCCGCGCGGATCCACTTCTTCGGGTTCGCCCAGGGCGGGAGCGTCGCTGCCGAGTTTGTGCTCCGGTGGTGGCGGGCAGAGCTAGAGAAGCAGCGCGGAGACGCAGAATACGCGGTGCGCCCACTTGGGACGGTCGTGAGCGTGAGTGGGCCGCTGCTGTCGTACCCGACATTGTCGACGCTCTGCCCGACGCCCGTGCTATTGTTCCACCGCCCGCCGCCCGCGGAGAGCGCGCTGAAGGCGGGGGACGTCTCGGCGTTCAAGAAGGGGTTCAGTCACTTTCTTGAGGTGAAGAAGGGCTCGCGGGACGGTATGCCCGCGTCCAAGGAGGAATGGGAGCCGATTATGCGATTTTGGAGTGAACGGCTCGGCAAACGACCGATGGAAGGACTGTACGAGGTCATGAGCGGTATGACTGCGCCGTGATGAAGCCAACGAAGTAACGCATTTGTATGCACAAATTGTAGCCACAGTACCTCCTACCGCGTTCCATGTAGAAATCGCACCCGACAACGTATGGATCAAGTATTGGATTTGACATGACCACCGCAGAGTATAATGAAAGCCCGCGGGAAGCATGTGCTCGGCGCGAGGGCAATTGCGGTTGCATACGTACCTCGCAGGGATGTATCGCTTCCAATCCAAAGCCACCACGCGGTCGACACGGAAAGTGAGGTGAGAGTAGAAATACGTTTGTATTCACAGTGCACGGGAGTCGGAAGATGATGAGACATGGTACAAGCTCCGTGCTCTAAATGTAATAACAATGGTCCAAAAATGACAGAGGCTAATGCTGATAATGCTAATGATGTGCAATCCATGACGGCGAGAGTATATGCTAGAATGCGGTGACAGCGACATATGCACGATATGAACGAATTGTAGTGTACGCGAGGTTGGGTATGGTACTAGGAGCGTCTGATGTGCCAACCAGAGCGAGGATACATATACCACAAAGCAAGGGACTATAGGCGACATTATACGGAAGTATGTATACGACGTAGAACGAACGTGGGGGCGAGTGGCGTATACCATGAACTCTTGTCACGGCTTCAAGTTGTAATGAATCTTTGATACACGTACGGTGGGTGCGACCCGGAGGGCGAGCCTGACTATCTGGACCGCTGCTTCTCCGTGTCGCTCGGTTTGGCCCGGTCCAACACTTGGCCTATAGAAGGCGATGTACTCATCTTGAGGTTCCCAGCATACGCGGTGGGGGGTGATCCCGACGAAAGCGAAGACACCGATGATGCAGGGGCGTGACGGCGAGCCGGGCGCGGTGGGCCAACGACGACGCTTTCTCTCTTCGAGCGACGCCTCGGATCCTTATCCTTCAGCGCATCAGTGATGTCCATCGATGCTCTACCCGGCGTCGTCGGTGTCTCAGGGATGCCAGACAGGCCTGAAGACGCCGTATTCGTGGCTGTCAAGGACGGGATTGAGGCGGCGGACTCCGAGGAGGATGCCGGGGAGACGCCGTGGCCATGCTCAGAACTTGGGAGGGACGGGATGCTAGGTAAGTCGGTAGCACTGATTCCCAGCCCCATCGCATCACCAGGCAGTGTGGGCGAGCTCGTCTGCCTCACTCTTCGCTGCGACGCGGACGATGCGGCCGATGCGGACGACGCGGCCTTGGCAGTATTCGCCGCCTCAGATAGACTTCGCGAATTTGACCGCCTCACGCTCATCCTGCCGCCAACACTCGCTGGCGCCGGATTCGTGACCGCGTCCGACATCGCTGGGCTCGGCTGCATGGGTGCGATCAGGTCCGACACCGACTGCTGCATCTCGTAGAGGCCCTCCTCTATGCTCTCTTGGTCCCCATGCGAGTCCGCGGACAGGGCGCGCTCCGGCGAGGCGACCTTCCGTGTGCCCTTATGGCTGCCTGAGCTCGACCCTGAGCTAGTGCGCATCCGATCACGCAGTCGCGCCGCAGGGCTCGGCTTCACAGGGTTTTGGCCCTCCTTCGCCGCCGCGCCATTCGCGTTTCCGTTCCCGTTTCCATTCGCGTCCCCATTCGCGTTCTTAGCGGCAGCAGCCGACGCGCTCGAGCCCGCGTTCATGACGAGCCACCGCAGACCGGTGATCTCCTGCTCGCGCTTCCGCGCCTCCTTCTCGAGCGTCTCGATCCGTCGCATCAGCTCGCTCTTCTCGACAGCGTGCCGCTCCGAGAGTGTGAGCAGGTACGCGGTGAGCCGCTGGTACTTCGCGCTCTGCGCCTGCAGCGCCTCGCGCAGCTGCTCGACGGTGGTGAGGTGCGCGCCGACATAGGACTCATCCGTCCCGGCCGACAGACGCGCTCGCGCCGCCTGCACGGGCCCGCTCTCGGCGAGGATCTGCTCGCGGAGCAGCGACGGCGGGCTGCTGCTCTCGCGTTCCCCGCCGGCGCGCGGGCTGCTCCCCGAGCTCGCGAGCGTCCCGCTTCCGGTGCTCGTAGACGCGAGGGACGTGGCGGTCCCCGTGCGATGGCGGAACAGGAGCTGGTGCACCTGCCCGACGCTCATGCGTGTGGACGCCACGCTCGGGATGCTGGGCATCGTGCTCATAGACCCACCCGAGTCGCTGTGGGACTCGTCTGTGTTCCGTTTGGTCGAGTTCGACGACGCGGACGCGGACTCAGAGGACGGGGGCGCGGGCAGCGGGTCCGTGGGTGGGCCGCCGCGCACCTTGCGGAGGCCCGTGAGAGCGGGCGGCGGGGTCTTGCCGCTCGATGCGATGGAAGAGGTGGCTGACGGAAGACGGGTGCGCCGAAGAGGGGAAGTCGAACCCCCGCGGGCTGCTGCTGCTGATGGCTTGCCTGCGGTGGACACGGCGCGAGCGAGGGAAGCGGCGGAAGCGGGACGGTAGGGCAGGGCCGCGCGCGTACTCGGCTCCGGTGCGCTTTCGACTCCGTCGTTGTCGGACACAGCGTCCGCCGCGGCGGCGCGACTGGCTGCGACTGGCACGCCGCTCGCGCGCTTCTGGGTGAGCCGCTCGCGCGACAACTTCGATCTGAGTCTCGAGAACGTCCGGTTTCCGCCCGTGCCTGAAGAGACGCTGCTCGTGCTAGTGCTCGTTCGGGGTACTGACGGTGCGGGGAACTGCACAGGCGTGAGCGGGGAAGGCGGTGCGGAGCTGTCTGAGTTATGTGCTTCCTGGGCTCTGCGTCTCTGCGATCTTACAGGGTTTTTTGGCGGCGGTGGCGGCGGCGAAGGGCCGGACTGCGGGGAACGGGACGCGCGGGGCGTGATATCATCCTGCCTGTCGTCGGCCTCGGGTGGTGCAGACACGGTGATGGTCAGGTGGCTGCTGCGTGGGTTGGACGACGCTTTGCGAGCCGCGACGTTTGCGGGACGACTAGGGGGCGTGCTCTGGCTCTCGTTGCTCTCCCGCCGCGTAAACTCGAAGGAGGTCGACTTCTGCGACTGAAGGCGTTGCACGGCAGGCACTGGGAGCGACGTGCCCGCCTTGGGCTTCTGCTCTGCATTGGTTCCGCTGAGACGTTTGATGGACCTGGAGTGAATGAGTTGGGACAGAGGGCCGAACGAATGTGGTGAGACGTTGCCAGGAGAAAGCGGCGACGGAACGCGGGAGCGCGTTGTCGGAGACGAGGCAGACGATTTTGAGGATGAAGGTCTGCTACTAGGAAATGACGTTAGCGATCAGGTCACGACGGTCGAGCCCTTTGCAAATATTTCGCACATGCGCTATGCACGAGGCAAGAGCAGGAGATGAAACAGAGTCGCACAATCGTCATGGGTACGCTCCGCGACGCGTAGACAGACCGTGCTATCGTGTCGCATCTCGATGTCGTCGAAAAGAGCACTCTTCTTCCTCAGATGTGACTATATGCACACAGGGCGAATGCAAAAAACGCGCATACATCGACTACTGCTGCACGCTGGAAACCGAACATGTCCATATATCCATCACGATACAGACTCCTTCCGGATCGCTTCTGTCAGAGTAGGATGCTGCATGACAGCTATTCGCATGACGTTAGACACCCCTCGACTGTTATGCATATGGCCGGGGCTCCAGTCCAACTCCAATCGCCCCCAGTTCGCGATGTTGCGCGGCCAATGACAGGACCGCGACAGAGGCTGGCGCTTGCTCACAAGCGAAGCGTCCTTCTGTGAGTCCGTCTGCATGTATAACACCCAGGGTATGTCAATCGTCATGCAGATAGCTGGAAGGACGTTAGAGACTTGAACGGCTTTGCCACGTTGCATAGCATCGCGACCAGGCGGCGAAACGAGCCGCGTAGCCTGGTTGTGTCGAGGGCACTGCATCTGGCGAGGGTGCGACACTGCTGTGCTCGGGGGTGACTGGCTACAGCGCACTTGGGATGCCGACTCCCCCGCCAAGCACCTGGCTCTCGCGCACCGCAGGCAGTACAAGTGCGCATGACAGCACGCACCCAGCACGACCCGCTCAGTCCCCACCACGAGCGTTCTCGAACACACCCAGACACAGACGCAGACGCAGATGGGTCTCGCATATAGTGATCGGTGAGGCCCAACGAAGGCGAACAAAGCCACGGCGTTCCACAGGAATAGAGCTCGCCGGTCGTTGGTGGCCAATGTCTACGCCTGGACCCAATGCGCGAACCAGGCTAGCTACTCCTGGTCCGTATGGATCCCCCACCTAGAGACTATCACCATAGACACTCTCCCAAAGCGCACCCACATGGCTCTGAAATAACAACACGACTAACCTGGTTGACTGGACGACTGCACTGATCTGGGGCACTGGTGGAACGTCGCCTTCCCGCTGCGTTCTACTGTCCGTTGACACAGCGCTGGACTTGCGTCTGCGCCCGAAAAACGAGATCATGTGCATCCCCCTGGACGGTGTCTCGTCGTGCGGTGTGGGCTTGGATTCTGGCTGCCGGGGTTCATTGCGCGTGCCGCGGAGATAGTCAGAGATGTCGGAGGTTTTGGAGCGCAGGCGGTTCGTCGACGACCTGCCAGGCGCGGCCATCGCGAAGCGGGCGTGGGGGAACGTGAAGGACCGTGAAAAGAAAAGGAAAGAAGAAAATGACAGCCGTCGGGGGGAGCGCGTCGGGCGGGCGAAAAGGGGGCGTTACTGCGAATATGTTTACAGTTTTAAGATTGCATGACTAGATGAACAGTCTGGCCCGGGGATATCGATTGGGGAAGGGGAGAGGAAGACGCGACGCAAGTGGTTCCGCGCGCGACGCCCGCCACATCGGCAATCTCATCCCGCTTAGGGCCGTGCACGGATCTAAGCCTCCATTTACCTCCTCCACCGACCCTGCCCAGCTTCTCAGCGATCGCGGCTTCTTCCTCGTCCCTCGCCCCTCGCGGCACCGCGAGCCTCTGCTGCCAGTCGGAGCGAGCCCGCACGGTCCTCGCAGCGTCTCCAACCGCGTCCCAGCGTCGTCGCACTTCCCTCTGCCCGCACGTGTCTGTGATGGTCGTCGCGCGTTGCGTGGTCGTGGCCCGTTGCGGGGCACGAGGTACATAACCGCCTAATAGGCCGCGGCCAACCACAGGCTCAGTTCAGCTGTTACCACGCAACAAACCTCCCTCCTCGGGCTTCCCGACCCAATTCCGATCGCCACACTGCGCTTCACGGAGATAACCTGCCCAGACGCGCTGGAGACCAGGCAGCAGGATGTGCCTCCGCGTCGCGTTCAGTAGCCTCATTCACGCGCCACACGCGCCACATGCACAGAAGACTTGCTAGATCTGTCGATTTTCACAACATCTCTCTGTCAGAAGACAAACCTCTGGCCAATCGCACACGCCCGACGTAATGTCGGCTATTCAATATGAAGACGCCCGGCGGTCGCCGTGCGCCGCCACTTATCTCTGTATGTTGACTACGGCTAGCAACCGCAGAGCAACCGTAGCTGTCGCATGAGCTAGATATATGTGCCTGGCGTTGTCAACAGAGCATCCCACATTCACAGTAAATCTCATTACATACAGGCCTCCGACAAATCCCCGACGCACACTTCTACCTATTTCCTGCTCCGAAATACCGCACCGAGGAAATGATAGGCGGTGATCGAATACCTGTCTCATGAAGACCCTGTGCTGAGTCTCAACCGGCGGAGACTCTTCATTCTTCAGTGCAGATCCGTCGTCGTCGGCGCCCTCGAAGTTTGCTCCAAATCCGGTACACCACAAAGAGATCCCATCGTACCGGAACGTCCTGCCAGGGAAGCCATCTCAAGATCACAGAAGTCCAGGGCCCCTGATCAGTGATCGTTTGGGTGAAATCGAATCCGGACGAAATCGGGCGTTTTTGATTGGTTTTCGAGGTGAGTTTTGTCCGGACATGCCAGCCATTGTCGCCGAACAAGGCCACATCGGACCACGTGCTGAGCCCTATCCCGCCGGTACCTACATAATCATCAACGTTGAGCTAGTTTGTGGTCATCTGTGACAGAGAGAATACACTTACTGCACTTGGGATTGAACGATGTCTATCCTGCCTGTGCTTTTACAATCAAGCACGTACAGTTTTACGAATGTGGACAGAATCGGTACTAACACCATACAGTACTTGTCACCCATCACCTAAATGATCAGTGTTCCATAGGTCTACTTACGTCTACAACTTATCAGTGCAATAAACACTCTCCCTCCAGAGGGGCGGAGGAGAGAGACATGAGTCGGGACATCTAGGCCGAAATTTGGAAGTTGCGGATCAGGCATCCCCGCATAAGGTGTCATCCTGCGAGCCCATCCTCGAATGACGGTGTCCCGAAATGGGCGACTAACAAGGAACAGTACCCCAGGGAAATGAATTATCGAAGCTTATCGTCATCAAATCGCACTATTATAGTGCCTTCATAAGACTTCGTAGCGAATAAGAACAATAAAAATAGCGCTCGACATGCAGGGAGACGGAAAGAAGAATGAAGGAGCGTGGTGCGGAACGTCCGCTTAATGGATAAGTTAGCGCGCAAACCACGCGGGCCTGCGCGTCATGAAGAGCCCCAGGGCCCCCGAGGATGGGCCCAAGCAAAGTCCCGGAATTCGTACGGTCCTCCTTCGTCTGTCCGACAAGGATACAGCGATGCTGCGCAGGAAACGGGCTCTTTCAACGCGGTACCGATCTCGGGCGCCTTCTCCAGACTTAGCGCGGCTGCTGTAATTGAGAAATCGGCGTTGAGCGAAGCTACGATGACCATCGATAAGAAGCGACCTACTTCCTGGCGAAGCATGCATTTGCTCTCCGAGCACATGGAACACATTGGATCTACGAAAATAGCCCTTTAGTACATACGGAAGCGCGGTGGTAGGGAGGACGAACCCTCTCTCATCGACAAAGTACCGATGGCGCTGCAGCTGCGCCAGCTGGAACCGAGAGTTCGGCGCAAGGTGTAACAGCTGAGAGAACGCGCACGTCAGTCAAACTACTGACACTCGTCAAATTCGCTCAGAGTGCGGACGGAACTCACCCCCAAGAGGACGCCCTCCTCATCGCGCGTGAGGTCCGCAGCCCATCGCAAGTAAGACGTGCCCTCCTTCTTGGCGTCCCACTTTGCGTACTTCGCCCGCTGCGCCTCGTCGCCGAAGAGAAGCTATTCGTAGAGCAAATTCAGCACGCTACATGGAAGTTGGCGCTGGCGCGTAGCTGTCTCACCTCGCCCGAAACCAAGTCGAACATCATGCAGCCAAGCGACCACCAGTCCACCATCTTGCCGTACCACTGCCGGCGGACGATCTCGGGCGCCAGGTAGGGTTTGCTGCCAGCGTATTCTCGGGTGTAGACCGCGCCCGTCTCCAGCGGCGCGTCCCCCGGGTGCAGGAACGCAGCGTTGAAGTCGGTGATACGTACGATGTTCGTGTGCGCATCGAGCAGTACGTTCTCGGGCTTGATGTCTCGGTGGATGATGCCCATAGCGTGCAGCGCATCGATCCCGAGGGCCTACAAGCGGTAACGGTTGGTCAATAGGCGCGGGTACACGTTCACGAGATCAACAGACCACTTGGGCGATCCACCATCGGGCTCGCGAGCTATCCACGGGACCCTGGATAACGGAAAGCAGGTCGTTCTGCATGAGCGGCTGCAACAGCGCCCATCAACTCTGGATTCAAGTACATACAACGGGAGCCGCACCATTACAAATAGGACGCTGTCCTCATTCTGGAGCACGGCCTGCAGCTCCATGAGAAACGCCCTGCGGTTCGCTGGCTGCTTCGAGATGTGCTTGTACGTCAAGAGCTCCGTGAGCAGCCCGGTATGAAGGTGGCCGTCCGCGCGCATCTTGGCCTTTGCAAATACACGGATGCAGTGCACGCGACCGCTCGCTTGGTCCAGAGACGCATAGGAGGTCCCGAAAGTCCCTTGGGGAGCTGCCGCACGTGCTGGAAGTAGCGCCGCTGCGGTGATCGAGTCCGGTCCGTGTGCGAGGATCGCGATGACGATCTTGACCCGACGAAGACGCGCGAGGACTTGCGAGAGAGCCTTTCTTGGGTAGGCGGCGGCGAAGACACGTCGGGCAGCGGAGCAGACTGCCAGGCAGAAGAGCTCGGGTTCTGGTAAGCAGCAAAAGAAGAGGAAGCGGAAGCGCTCGAACGACTCGTAGCCGGACGACTCGTCGAGCGGGGGCGGATTGTTGAACGGTCGACGCCGGCGTCGAGCCTGACCGGACTTCGAGGAGGGCGGACCAAGATCTCACTTGTACGCCTGCGATGCGAGGGGCCGGGTTCTCCGTTGAAGTGGATCATCGCGAGGGGGGCTCTAGGTGTGTTCTCTCCGGCAGTGCGCTTCTTAGATATAGGCCGGGAGGGAGAAGAACGGGAAGGCGATGATGTGAGGCCAGGCATTGTCTGTACTCGCCTCTTGCTGAACACAAAGTGGTCAGAAACGTGAGCGTGAGCGTGGTCGAGGGCCTCGAGCCCGATCGAATCCTTGCGAGAAGACGAAAAAGATGTGCCACACCTGTGGGCAGACGGAACGGGCGAGTGAGGTCGATCAATGCGGATTTCATTGTCCCCCTGCGTCCTATATGAGGCATCAGAGTGAGCACAGCGCACCGAGTGGCGGTGACGGCCAAAGCGGGTGGGCGGAATCCTCGCGGTGGGCGGACGTGTACCGCGCGCAACGAGGATGCCGCATGGCGTTGGCTGCGGCGAGGTCCGACATGTCTTTGTGTTCGCGATGAAAAGCAGGTGGCTTCGTGTATCGTCTCGGTGGGCAAGCATCACACATACCTGCCTACATCAGTATCCAAGGACAATGCAAGGTCGTGGGGGGCAAAGCATAGGCCGTGTCGCGTTGCGCCAGCAGCAGCAGTGGTTATTGTCTAGTGGGACAAGACAGCAGCAGCGCGAGATACACGAGTACAGAGATGAAAGCTTTACCAGGCAATGTTCACCGCCGCAACGGCCTGCGGGGTCTACGCTGACATTGGGCACAAATCGCGCAGCACTAGCGAAGGCCGGGCGCACATCGGACGAAATGACAAGACCTCCCGCAGACCTGGTCCTTGTCATTAAAGAACAGATTCAGTACATGCGTGGCATGCATGGATTCTGTAGATATTGAGTGGTTATATGCATCATAGAAGACCAGAGGCTTGCCGCGATCTATTGCAGACACGTCTAAGAAGTTGGCTGAGTGCAAGATTGGGAATTTGAGGCAGTAACCGCCACGATCTGATTATGTCAGCGGATTCACGTGAGATACGCGCTCGTGGCCACACGGGCAGGCTTGCCAGTGAACGAGAACGTCCGATCGACTGGGAGAGGCGTTGCGCAACGCGTTTGCGAAACGCCCTGCGAAACGCCTCTGCGAAACGTCCGTCACAGCGTTACTTACTTAATACGGTAACTGATAAAGCACCTACAGGGCATCGGGCCACTCAGTGTGTCGCTCGGTCAGCAGCGGTCAGCCCAGTGTTGCTCCCAGTAGATCCAAGTGAATTGCGATTGACCCTTCCGAATATTTCATTACAGTGATTTCCCCGAGCAGCAAGCAAGTGTCTGAAGAAGATTTGGATTTGAGTAGCCTATTAACTCATTCGGATGTAGCCAGTGGCGCGCGAAGTAGGGCGCTTATTGCCTGATTTGGAAGAGCTTTCCAAATCGGGTTGCAGGGCGCCCGCGCGCTCGGAAACTCTGTGAGAAATCAACCAGCCACATTGTAATACAGACTCAACTACTGCCAGCAGCAAAGCCAAAATACTTACTGAGGTTTTGAAGCAGCATATAAGCCAAATGAATTGAATGAAGCGGCTTACTTAGCTTGCTATTCTTGGTACTCGGGCCACAAAAGGTGCGTAACGGGTCACAGTCGGTAACACTTCGTGACGTTTCGCGTTGCGCGTTGCGCGTTTCGGAAACGCCCGTCCCCGTGGATCGGACTTTCTGCAGTGAACGCGTGAACGCGTTCACGGCCTCGCTCTCACCACTCAATCGTGTCGCACGCGCGAAACCACCACCACCGCCTACCATCTAGCAGTCATGGTAGATGCAGATAGCTCCCAGGAACCGCGCAGGTCACAGCGAGATAGGAAGCAGGCCACACACTTCGTTCCGGGTGCGTCGCGAAGCAGATCCACTAAATCGCCACGCGTTGACGCGCCTCGCACGTAACAGTGAACAGCAGTCTTCTCAAGCGAAAGCGGAGTGACGAGACCAGCGACGACGACGCGCGGAGCGAGCTGAGCGACCCAGCGTCCCAAGCTGACGAGGCAGAAGTGGGGGATGAGTTCGATGCACCCAAAACGAAGCCCAAGACCTCCACGAAGACCAAAAGGAAGGCGAAGGAGCCAAAAGAAGCCGGTGCCCCTCCGGCTGCAAAGAAGCCTCGAGCTACGAAGAAGGCTACGATTCCAAAGACAGTGAGGTCTACTGTTCCAAAGCCTCCTAAAGCGCCGAAGACAGGAGCGCGTCGAGGGCGACGACCTGCGCTGATGCGCCCGAATTTGACGCGGAACAAGTGGCGAAGGAAACCAAGATCTCGGCAGACAACTCGATCTTCAGTGAGGCAAAGTCTAATTCTGGCTCTTGGGATGTACTGAACGGGTATATGCGCAGACGCGATCATCAACCCCACTATTGCTCTTCAATCGGTAGCGGAGGACTTCCTGGAGTCGCTCTCGAGGACACCCGGACTTAGTCTTGCCGAACTCATCAACTGTGTCCTCCGCGCATGTGGATGCAATGATTCAGTGGATGCGGACGAGGTGTCGACTACGATGGTGTAGTTGACAAGCTCGATGACTTCACCGAGATCCTCAAGAAGGTACGTGTTTCGTGGCATCCGACATGGAATCCCACTCATGCATGTCTGTCTAGGATGATTCACCTATCTATCCCCTCACATCCAAGCTACCCGTATTTAAGAGATTCCGGACTTCACTATCCGAAGTCATCGCACGGATCATCACGTCCTCAGCAGCGCACGGGTCCCTCTATAGCTCTGACCTCATGGCAACTCTGCAGACTTGGGTCGTCGCCATGTCGTCTTCCCAACTGCGCAGTTTCCGTCATACGGCAACCGTTATTGCACTTGAAGTTGAGACGGCGCTCTGCGACGTCGCAGCTGCTGTTGAGAACGAGGCAGAGATAGTGAGTAGGCAGAGGGAAGGCGAGCGCAAGAGGAAAGCGGCTGCAGGACGTGGCGCGGATAAGAGCAAGGCGGCGACTGCCAGGGAGAAAGAGCTGGAAAGCAAAGCCGCAGAGGTGAGGGAGCGGAGGGCGAAGCTTGCCGAGTTCCTGAAGGAATTTGTGGACGGGTGAGCTTTATATCGTCCCTCTTCGCACGGGAGTACTGACTGCATCCCGCAAAATAGCGTGTTCGTCCACCGTTACCGCGACCTTGACCCGAGCATCCGAGCCGAATGCGTTCGCGCCATGGGGCTCTGGTTCGCGAAGTATCCCGCGCACTTCCTTGACGGCGCCTACCTTCGATACGTCGGGTGGGTACTGTCTGACGCGCAGACCCCGGTGCGCTTGGAGGCGGTCCGCGCCCTCACGCTCGCATACGAGCAGACCGCATACATTGGCGCGGCTGCGCTGCAGCATTTCACCGAGCGCTTCAAGCCGCGACTGGTCGAGATGGCCCTTGGCGACACGGAGCTCTCCGTGCGTGTTGCCGTCGTTCAGGTGCTGAAGGCTATCGACGGCCACGGTCTGCTGGAGGACGAGCAGAGGGAGAAGCTGTGCCTGCTAGTTTTCGACGAGGAAACGAGGGTCAGGCGCGCTGTCGGCGGGTTCGTCAAGGGCGTATGGGAGGAAAGCGTCGAAGAGCGCTTAGTTGGTAGGAAGCCCACTGGAAGAGACAAGACGAGAGCGGGGTTCAAAGGGCTTGGCATGCTGCTGGTGCAGTGGGGTCGGGCGCTCAACACAGAAGGCGATCAGGACGACGAAGACGACCTGGGTGAAGGGACATCCAAGCAGGTCAAGGAGAAGAACGTCGCGTCCATCGTTGGGACAGGCCAACAGAAAGGCCGTATCGCGCTCGCGGTGGAGGCACTGTGGGATGAGATTGAACCCCTCAGCGACTGGGAGAACCTCCTGGAGATGTTACTGTTGGACCACTCTGCGGCCGGTGGGGATACCTCCTCGCAAGAATCCATGGACCGAGATGAAGGTGTTGATAATGCCTGGCGCTTGGAGGAAGCGGAGGAGGCCGTATTGCTCGAGATGCTGATTGCCGTGCTACGCAAGACCAAGGCCGATGCTAGCGGCGGAAAGAAGGTTCGTCAGCGGTACTGTCTCCCTTACTGTACAGGACTCACATCACATCGGTAGGGTGAAGACGAAACGGTGGCTTCGGACATCACCCGTGCTCTCATGAAGGCTCTGCCCAAGCTTTTTGTGAAGCACCAGACAGACGAGAATCGAATGGCCGACGTCCTTCTCATCCCGCAGCTGATGAATGTCGAGCTGTACCTCGAAATGAGGATGATGACGGTATGTCCTTACATACCGCTTACTCTCGTCACGTACTGACAAACTACAGGCTTACGCCAATCTATGGGAAGACATCACCAAGCAGTTCACGTCGCATTCTTCGCCCGTCGTCCTCACGAACGCTGTTACTACCATTCGACACCTCATGGACGCCACAAGCCTTTCCAACACCAACAGCACCCAGATTCTCGAGCTGGAGGATGGACTATCTGTATCGTTGCGCGATGCGATCGCGAATAGGGACGAGATCGAGATTGCTTCCTTCAATGAAGACGAAGTGATCAAGATTGCTGCAATCTGCGCTCGGTTGGCAGCGCTAATCGGGATTCGCGACATGACGTCGTGGATGGAAGAGGACGAGGGCGGGAAGCAAAGTTCTGCATGGGACATCATGAATGCATTAGCCGAACGGGGCAGGCTAGGCTACAAAGAGGAGGAACTGGTGGGGCTTCTGCATCTGTTATATCTCTTGACGAATGTTCAATCGTTTACAGATGGTCGACCGGGCGTTGCAAGTGCTCACGCTGCACATTATCTGGAAGGCGCGAAATTTGACTGCTACTGAGGGCGATCTATTGCCCGAAGAGCAGCGCTTCCAGGAAAAGCTACAGGAGCAACGGGACGCGCTTTTGGAGAAGCTGCTCGAGTTCGCCATTGGTACACAGTCAAATACAGCGGAAGGCGTTCGGCGCGCGGTACGTATATACCATTCTCGATGGTGTCTAGATTGTTGATGGCAATATGCAGGCATTCCAAAATTTGATGAACCTTCATATTCTCTTTTGTCCCACGCAGTCCATCGCCCCGGATGGTAGTCGGCTACCCACCGCCTCTCTCCCCCTATCACTGGATGATGAAACACAATACCGTTGTGCCGGTTACATCCAAGCAGCGATCGAACGATACGCTGACGAGCTGGAAGAAGCGTCGCCTTCTGAGGGACGTAGGAGTGATGAAGACGAAGACTCTAATGCCAGCGACCCCGAGAATGACGGCCCGGCCAAAGGCGGAAAGACCACTGCTGGCAAAACCAAACAGGTCAAAAAGACATCTGGTATGTGAAGATTATAGGTCCGACCTATCCTTATACGATGTTAAAACTTGCACAGAGAAACGCCCTGTATCACGCTCGCAGCTGGAGAAGGAGTACATCTTCATCGGCGTCATAGCTACATTCTTGCGAGCGATCCGTGCAGGCGTGATCCATTTCCGGCACTCAGCCACGTTGCTCGCTCATTATGGTCGCCTGGGGCCGGCATTTGACCTGTGTGCCAAAGTCATCGTCGATATCTTGCGTGAGGAAGGCATGTACAAGGAGAACGGTGATGCTGTGGTGGCTGTTATCTGCCAGGGGCTCCGAGACGTACGTCCTTTCATATGGCTTGCCTATTTGCTCGTCCTCATAATCTGTCTTCAGTCCTTCTCGCTGCTTCTGGACGGCATGGTGTATACCGAAGATCATACAGTGGCTTTGGGGAAGACATTGCGCGCTTGCCTCATCATCCGCGGGGCACAGCTTACTGTGGTGAAGAAGCTGGAAGGCAAATTCGTCGTGAATATCCACACAAGCCTTCTCACTTGGACAACTAAGCGTATCGCTGCATATGAGAATGCGAAGAACAAGAAGGCGCGCAATAAGTGCATTCTCTTCTTCAAGGCTATGTTACCTCTGTTGTCGACGTTGGACAATCGTGACGCCCTTATTGTGTAAGCCGACTACGCTTCCCGTCAAGGCTGACAGTCGCTGAACCACGTATATACAGGAAAGCACATTACGACCAGGTGCTTGCGCAGAATCAGCTTGAAGTGCCTCCGACCGCGCAGCCATGGGAGCCCTGTCGCGCGTACGAGAGGAAGCTTACAACAATTATGTCCAAAGACAAAGGTGAGCCTCGGTTCTTCGATCACTTTTGTACCTACTCATATTGGCGGACAGCCTCTGCGAAAAGGACAAAAGGAGGGAGAGGCGGAGAGGTTGTTACAACAGATGATGAGGGCACAGGCGCGGAAACTGCTGACGAGAATCCTGCGCCAGCTCGACCACAACCGAAACCACGACCGAGACGTCGTGCTGCTCGAGGAGCTGAACATGCCACCGATACAGAGGGTCACGCTTCTGATAGCGGTGCCGGTCCAATTGCTGCTTCTACACCCAAGGCGCGTCCACGTCCCCGGCGAGCGACCCGCAAGAAAGCCTCGACGGAATCACCTATCAGCCCACTCACACCTTCCCCCGAACCCAATGTCGCGGCCCGCGAGGACGAACGTTCAGAGGGAGAGCCAGAAGACGACACCCAGACGCCGCGTGCATCTCGTAAACGACCCCGGTCGGATGACAGGAGATCAGTCAGCCAGCGGAGTCTCCTGCTGTGATGTCAGAATTTCAGGATGAGGCCGAAGTGCCTCAACCCAACCTTTCCCAAGAGACGCAAGCGGACGAGATTCAGATACGGAGGAAACGTATCCGTCACTGATTCCTTCTTGGTCCATCTCGTTCTATATGTATGTGCTATCCCCATCTCACCTGCTGTCTCAGTTGCTCGCTTTGCTGTATCTTGTTCGATGCAGAGTACTTATAACATTATCCGTATTGATGTTGTATCAACATACATTAGTCGTGAGGGTTCGGTTAAGTAAATCTCAAAGTCCATAGTGCAATTATCCGGACAATGAGTGGATGTTGTACGCAGACACGAGCAAAGATGAGAATGTGATCAGGGACAGTGTAGATGGGAGCAACAAATAATATAAATACTTGAAAATAGAAGCCTAGAGGCGTACGTCAGTCATACTCTCAATCAACAAGACACTCGAACATACCTAGATGATTATGCGAAGCTCGGAGACTGCAGGCCGGGCGACGGGCGTGGAGAAGCAATGCGGCTTTCCGAGTTGCGCCTGCCTCTACTCGGTGACAAGAAGCTCGACGAACCAGGGGCGTCGGACATAGATTGTCGCCTCGAGGGGCGAGAAGAGCTCTTGAGATCATCGAGAGATATACCCAGCATGTCGCATAGTTCTTTCTGTGCTTCGGTCATAGCTTTGAACTCGGATGAAGGGGTACCAGACGAAGACATAGCTGAAGAACACGTTAGTCGCCTCGCACATGACCCTACTAGAATGAACTGACCTGTGCGGCCAGAAGGCAAGTCCGTCACAATACCCAATGTAGATCGCGGAGGTACAGGCGGTACGGGTGGGATGTCTTTAGCACCCGTCGACCACGGCGCAGGCGATAGGGAAACACCACTTCCTGGCTGAGCACTGCTCACCGAGGAGCGTTGGCTGCGTCTGTGACCAGGGCCGCTCCGTAAGCCATTCTGCGCTCTCCGTGAACTGTTCTTGCGTGCCAGGACGACCCGACTCGAGCGGCGACTGGGTGTGATCTCCTTCCCATTTGCAACCGGCTGGTCGAGCGCGCGCTCAGCGAGATCGTCAAAGTCCTGCGCAACTTCTTGGGCTTGTCGCCAGGCCTCGTCCCGCTCGGCCTCCAGAGTCTCCAGCTGTTCCCGCAGCTTCTGACCCTCTGTGAGATGCTTCTTCAGACTCCTGTTGAGCTTGTGCAGCGCCATGATGAGCGCACTGCTGGAGTGCACGTCGCGCAGATGGTTGAGCTGACCCACTTGCGTGTTGACGTCGTACAGCTCCTCCGTGATGAAATCAAGGGCATCCGTGACCTCTGAAAGCTCGTCCGATATGCGTGTCGCGGAGGCAGGGTCGGCAGGCTCACTACCATCAGCCATGGACGACAGCGTGCCCAGCAGCATCCTCCGTCTCCGCACGTTGAGCTTGTAGCTCGTCTTCAGGTCAGCACAGCGCAGCTCCAGCCGGGCGATCTCTTCGGGCACCGCACCGTTCAGAATGTCAGCGGCAGGAGGCGGATGACAGATACGTCCGCAGTCTGCCGGATCGCTGTGGATACAATCTGCTGGAGCTGCTGCGACGAGAGCGTCCACTCCGCCGCCTCCTTCGTGAGGCCGCGGAACTTGACCGGCGTGGTCTGGAATTTTGGCGACGAGGCGGACGCGAGCGTGGCCATGGACGGCTTGCGCATCGCGCTCGGCCCGCCGTGCAGCTGATTGCTGATCACGGAGGAGACGGACCCGGTGCGCGAGCGACCTTGGACAGACGGCTTGCGGGGGCCCAGAGGGATGGCCGGTCTTGCCCTCGGACGTTTTGGCTGCGAGAGCTCTGGCGTTGCGGATCTGGCGGAGGACGAGGACGCAGCAGCCCGCAGGGGTGAAGGCGGAGGGGCAGGCAGCGGCGCAGCCCGGGGCGCTCTCTGCGCCTCGTAAGGGGGAGGAGGCGGGTGCTCAATAGGGTGCTCGTTGATGGAAGGCATAGGCGAAGGGGCAGAGGAGAGGGAGGAAGGGGTACCGCGGACGCAGGTGGCGAAGGCAGAGACTGCGACGAGTTGACAGTCATAGAAGGGCGCGGCTTCGACACCGACGACCGATGTGACCTCTCCGACGTATGCGTCGACTGGACACTGGACTCCCTCGACAACGGCACGCCGTTAGCAGCATCCGGGTGGAGGCCCGTCCTGGGCATTTGAGCTGCGGTCGCACTGCTCGAGCTCTCCGCCTGCGTGTACGCAGGAGGCGGCGACTCCTTTGGCGACTCCGCGTTGTCGTCTGGCACAGGTGGCAGCGGCGTCAGAGGCGGCGGGAGAGTCGACCGACCCCGCAACGAGCGCGGAGGCGAGCTCATCACGTCGATCGTTTGGCCCATGTCCGGGATGTTTGGCTGAAGTCCGAAGGCGTCGGCGGGGGCGCACTGGGCTCACGAACGACCTCGCTGTCCATAGACGGGCGAGGAGCTACTTCTTCGACCGGCGGCAGATACGCAGGCATCTGAGCAGGGATGGCCTGCGAGTCGCGCCGCGACCCCGGAGGCGACGGGCTCATAGACGGCGAGCGCGCCTCCTGGATCGACGGCAAGGGCCGCGCGGCCATCGCGCCCGGGACGACCTCGCTCTCGCTCCTCTGGTGCCCGTTCACCGACAGACTGCCCCCCTCAAAGGAGCCCTCCATCGAGTTGGGCGGGGTCGGCAGCCCGCCGTTCGACCTCCCGACGGTCGTCGCGCTGCGCTGGAGGATCGTCTTCTGCTGCTGCCACCGCATCTTCATGTCGCTCGTCCGCGCGGGGCCGAGCGTGTGCGGGAGCGCGCTCCTGCTGCCGTTCGGGCCCCGCGGGGGCATCGGCGGGTACGGGCTCGCCATGCCGGCGCTCAGCAGCGGGCTGAACGCGTACGGCGTCTCCGGGAACGGCGGGAGCGTGGGCCCGCCCGACTCGACCGCGGACGTGAGCGTCGGCGTCGGGAGGCCCGCGTGGCGGTCGAGGATCGCGAGCGCGAGGGGCGCGGGCTGCGTGCCGGAGCGGTTGGAGCGCGCCGGGCCTTCGCGAGAGCGCGCGGACATGGAGAGGGAATGGACGCGCTCGGCGCGACGGGGAACATGAAGTCGAGCAGGTCCGGCGAGTCGACGGGGGTGTCGCCGACGCCCGTGACGGGCAGGCGCGCGGTGACGGGGACGACGCCGCTGGGGAGCGGGCCGAAGTGCGAGCGGGGGATGTACGGGCGGGTGTCGCTCTCGGCGGAGGTGCGGGGCTCGGGGGAGCGCGGGACGAGCACGGAGTGGGGGCGCTCGCCGATGGGGAGGAGCGTGGGGCGCGCGCTGCCGCCGGTGCGGTGCACGGACGAGTCGGAGCGCGAGCGCGCGACGTAAGTGTTCCCGAACGCGGCGACGGGGCTCCCCGTGGACATCGCACGGTGGTTCCGCATGGACGACGCGCCGGCGGAGGACGACTCGAGGGGCGTGCCCTCGGTGCTGGGGGAGTACACGGACATGGAGACACCGCTGTCGAGGCTTGTCGAGAAGGACATCGCGCGTGCGCCCGCAGGCCGCTGGGGGCGGTCGCTCTCGCTCTGCAAGCTCACTTCGGAGGTGGCCCGGCTCCGCTCCAGGTCGGTGCTCTGCCGCCTGTGGTCACCAGTGAGCGACGACTGCGACGACGTCGTGGTGTAGGCCTCCGACAGATTCGTGCTCCTCCGCATAGAGCTTGCCTGGCTCAGGGACCCCGAGGAAATGTTCCCATTACTGCCATTGACGAGCGCGTTGAACGTGGGCGTATTGGGCGCACTCGGGGCGGGGCTCGGCTGCTCCGTAATCGGCGAGATGGGGCTGAACACGGTCGGAGGCTGGTCGCCCTTGTTGTGTATCAGCGAATTCCTGCGCGCACCTCCCGCCCCGCCATCACTCGCATACGGCAGCTCTGCGCTGCTGATCCTGTTCTCGAGTGCCGCGCCCGTCGAGTTCCGCCTGCTGCTCTTCCCGCTGTCGAGGCCGCGCGCCGAGAGCTCTGCGCTGGAGGGGAGAGGCGGGACGGGCGGGATGATCTCGGAATCGGGGCTGTCGACGGAGTTGCTGCGGCCGTACCGCCCGTGGAAGGGGTGCTCGCCGCGGGGTAGAGTCGCGCTGTCCTGACGCGTGAGAACGTTGCGGTAGCGCGAGCCGCGGGACTCGTTCGTGACGATGAACGAGTTGACAAGCGCGCGCGCGAGCGTCGTGCCGGAAACAGACGAGGAGAGGTCCTCCGTGCCCACGGATCCTGGGCTCGAGGGCCGCGTTGGCCCGTTGCTGTGTGCGCTCGGGACGGGTAGATGGGCGTGCCCACCGGCAGACGGGCCTGCGGAGCGCTCGATGGCGATCTTGGACGAGGCGGGGTTGTCGGGTATCCTGATGGGCGTCGGCGTCGGCCTGCGGATGATGGGGATGGCGTCCTGCGGGGCGCGTGCTGAGTACGAGTATGGAGGGCCTCTCGCGGGCGTACTCACGTTGTCGGGCTCTAGCGGTATCTGGTAGTCACTGTCGGAGTCGCCTCGGACCGGCAGAGGCAATGCTTTCTGGAGGAGAGTTGAGTCAGTTGGATGACGGGCTAAGAAAAGTAGGACACGTACGTTTCGGCCGTCTGCACGCACAGGCTCTATGAGAATGACACCGTCGGTGGACGCACCCAGCGACGCGCTCGACGCGCCGAACGACCTGTCATGCTCCCAGCTGTGGTCGTGGGACAGCTCGTTCACCGTCGTAGAGCTGCCCGCTGCGTTGTTGTTGGACAGGGACGCGTCGCGCGGCGGGGGCGTGCGCACTTCGTTTCTGAGCATGTCCCTCGGAAACCAATCCGAGTAGGAGGACTGTCTGTGTGCATCCAGCTCAAGGTGCACCCGTGGAGTCGAATCCCGCACCTCATGGGGCCGCCCGCGGGACCCGTCGGGTGGCGGGGGCAGGAAGCGGGGGTGTAGCTTCTCATGGATGTCGACGACGTCCTCGGAGACGAAGGAGGCGGGCGACGGCGGGCTCTGGGGGCGGCGCACGCCGGTAATCTGGTTGATGGTCCGCTGAACCTTGCGCCTGTTGAAGACGGACTGAAACATAGCTGGCGACGCCCCGGGCGACGAGGGTCATGCAGAAGGGCAGAGGCGGGCTGTCTGGCGCGAGAGGAGCTGGGAGGACGAGACAGAGAGCCTGCGAGGAGAGGACGGGCGCACTGCGGTGCATCAATGGGCGAAACGCCGTCCCAACCATCTCGATGATGGCGGCATACGGCTATTACACTCCTCCCACCCTCGGGCGCCCTACGCGCTTGCAGTGCCGTAATGTCTTCCCCGTTTCCGCGTCCGAATGTGCTCTGTCTCCCATCACTGCCACCCCGTGCCATGTCCCCGACACCACACCGAATTCCACCGTATGTCTTCCGGATCGCCAGGATCTGAGAGACTGAGTTGGCCCAAGACATGTCTGAGCTGCGGCAGCACATGGTGCCCCTGGACATTGCTTTTCCCTTTAATGTATGTACCGCCTCGCGCGGGATTTTATTATGCAAGGGCGCGCGGAAGGGAATGTCGGCTAAAAGTAATAATCCTCCGGTAACCTCGGGTGGCAGCGGGGGGCCTGATTGGCTGAGCGATGGGGATCAGCAGCATTGCACCGCGGTCCGCCGTCTTCGACTTCTTCACGATCGCACTGAAGCCGTCGATCCCGTCAGGCCACCCTCGCCGCCTCCTCGCCACCTCGAGCAGCTCGCTCGCGCCCCCGTCGACACTGACGCCTCCGAATCCGATATCTGCATTGCATATGCGCATAGCATGCGCGCTTTCGTGTGATGGTCGCGTTACGTGGCATCGCTATGATACCGCGTGCTGTGCGCGTCGCAATTATAACCTGGCATCAAACCGCAATCGCACCTCACCCACCGTCCGACAGACAGTTCTCCAGGTCGGTGCCCTCATTATTCGCCATCGAACGCGTACGATGCCCCGTCGAACGCGACTCTGCGCCTCGCGCAGCTGACCATGGATCAGCGTCGACGCCTGATCTATCACACTGTGGCCGTTCACCATTTGAGCATCTGCAAATCGCCTCATCATGGCAGTTCGTGCTTTCATGGTGCTCGCCCATCGGTTTTGACAAACGTATGCCCCAGAAACGGCGCGTCGCGTCGTGCACGGGCCAGGTCCTGGCGTAGATGCCACCTCAGTCCGCTGTCCACTGGCAGCGCGGTAAGGCACACCCTGACGTCGGTTCAGTCTGCCAACCCGCACGCAATTTGATCTTGTGAGTCCCGAACTCATATCCTCGTGCTCCGGTTGCACCGCTGCAGACGGAGCGCTGCTTGAGCCCTCTCTTGGCTCCGTGCCAGCGCCCAGCGCCCATCGTTGTGCCCCTGGCCTCCAGCGCGCGCACGTCTTATGTGCAATGATCTCCGAGTCGTACCCAGCCGGTCGAGGAGGTCGCAGGCGGTGGTAGTGTGTCACTACTGAACCGCCCAATACCCTGTCCACCTGCTGTCCGCGCCGATACGAGACTGCATATGTATGTGACTCTTTGCTTGGTCATCGCACCATTTCTTCCCTCCCTTCGGCTGGTACGAGACTCGTACCGCTTCCGAGTCAGGCTGTTCGCTAACGCCAGAGCCCTAGTCCGGCGTCGAGATCAAGGCACACATTCACTCCGGCAGGTCTCGGGCACTCCAGTACATTCAGATATCCTCAGACGGAGCCACATGCATTGTGTTCACCGCGGTGACTGTGATCCCAGCCCACGCAAGTCAGACGTAGGCTTGCAATAGTCGAGCGCCTACTAGGTCCCCTGTCGAGCTCAAGGTTCTTGAGTGAGAGTGAGCGAGTCGCTCTCACTGTTGTCGATCGGTTCTTGGGGCTGACTTGCGTAGGCCTCTGCAGAAGCGGTGCAGACTCCTGAGCGACACGTTGGTCTAGTAATCTGACGAATGTCGAACGGCAGGCGCCACCGGGGTCCAGCCTGACGAACTTGCGCGTGCTTGAACTGTCGAGACGGTGATACGAACAGCCGACCGGACGCAACTGCGAGATCGTACGTACCAGTACTACCAGCATTGATTTATACCGCATGGTGAGTGGAGGAGTATTGCCTGTGGACTCGGATGTGGTGGTCCATCATGGATGCGAGGAGCGATTCATGGTCTAGCAGAGTAGCTCGACCGGTTACTTGACAATTGATCATCCTGTCACCCAAATGCAACTCAAATGTGCTAAGTACGGTAGACCAGCCGTAGAACGTCTCAGGTGTGATAATACTCGTTACTAAAGGATTGATATGAGTTGTGAGTACTCGGTTGATACGGCACTCTGAATATTTCCATGAATTTCATGTTATGCAGATGGGCTGGCAAAGTCGGTCACACTTGCTGTGATGGAGGCGTCAGTGACGTCAGTGACCGACCAGTCCCAGGTGGCCGAGATCGCATCCCGATATGGTAGTATCTATCTGCCCGTGCTTGTCGCTACTGTGGCTACGCGCTACAGCTCGGTGCGTGGCTGGATTTTGTACTTTGTACCGAGACAACCATGTCCAACTTCACGAATGCGACGGCAGGCCCATCAATCCCACCGCCCCGACTCCCAAGGATGCTCACCCGAAACCCTTCGATTCGATGCCGTCCAACAACAGGGTGTCTGCGAGCTACGCTTCGTCTCAACTTGAAGGTGCAAGCAATATGAGGATGAGGTATGGTACAAGTCGCGCAGCACATATGTACGCCCGGACTGACTTGGTGATTTATGCGTGCCATCGAGCGTTTCCGCATGACCTCTTCGCGCTTGCGCGATGTACTCAATGTCTTGATAGGTCACAAACTCCTGCGGATCGGTAACGGCAAGCACAGAATCGAGCACACCGACATCAGCGTTTGGAATCTGGCCGTTGACTTATGTTCGCTGCGCATCAGGGTGCGCGACTTTGACCGTGGTCGTGCGGTGGTCGTCGGCCAGCCAAGCCGACCTCAAGGTTCGGAGAGGACGGGCACCATACCCTTCATGGCGCTTGACCTCTTGAGGGACGCCTATTGGAATGGTAATCTCGAGCGACTCTATCGCCACGATTTGGAATCATTCGTGTGGGTCGTATTGTACTTCGCTTGGGCCTTCGACGAGGGACGTGAAGACATGGACTCCCCAGTTCGGAACTGGTTGACGGCCGACTACCATCAATGCCACGGCAAGAAGCTCGAATTCCTTACGTGGCAGGCGATGCAGCAACTCCCAGACTACAAAACTAGCCAGGGCGAAGACGCCACGCTCGGAATCGTCCTGTCCTTTGCCAGGCGGATTTCTCGTTGGCTACACAGAGAGCGCTGGGTCCAGGCCGTCTCGAAGCCACGAACTGGTCCTATCGATGAGTACGACGACGACGAAGGTCCCGAGAATGAGCCACTCTTCTCAGCTGGAAAAAATGGCGATAGACTCACAAGACGCAGCTCGTGTTTTCGATCACCGTATTCACTCGGTAGTCAAGGGCGTGGAGGCGACGCCTGAATGGGTTGAACATTACATGGAGCGAGAGAAGAAGATCAGGGAGTTGAAGGAGCGGTGCAAGGTGGATAAAATTGGACAGAGAAGGGGATGCGGAGGAAAGGGGACGGAAGAAGGCTAAGAAGGAGGTGGAGCAGGAAGGACACAAGGAGCGCGACCGGCTTCGAAGCTGAAGCATAAGGTAAAGTCTGCGTCGTAATTATTGATCTATTCTCCTCTGCATCGTATACCTTGATCTGTATTCTCCATTGCCATCGTATGAATGGAGTGGGATACTTATTGACAGTTTCCTGCATTGAAGTAGTACGTGTACTACTTGTCCGAGTCGCTCGCTCTCCACGGGCGGGCCACGAACCACTTGCGACAACCATAGGCGATTAAGTTCTATGCATATATATCAACTTACTCGGTTCTGATGGGTATATAGACTCTGACAGACTAACATGCGATGTGTCCACCGAGGTGAGTGAGATCCCAGCCCACGCAAGGCTTCCCGGGTGCTTTCATTGTACAGTACTAGTTGGCGGTGGTCATGTCAAATTCCATCCTCGATCAATACGTTGTCGGGTGAAATTACATGGTAGGAAGTACTGTGTCTACTATTCGTACATACAAATGTGTTACTTCGTTCAAGGCTTTATTAAGGCGCAGTCATGCCGCTCATTACCTCGTACAATCCTTCCATCCGGCGTTTGCCGAGCCGTTCACTCCAAAATCGCATTATCGGTTCCCATTCCTCCTTGGACGCGGGCATACCGTCCCGCGAGCCCTTCTTCACATGAAGAAAGTGACTGAACCCCTTCTTGAAACTCGAGACGTCCCCCGCCTTCAGCGCGCTCTCCGCGGGCGGCGGGCGGTGGAACAATAGCACGGGCGTCGGGCAGAGCGTCGACAACGTCGGGTACGACAGCAGCGGCCCACTCACGCTCACGACCGTCCCAAGTGGGCGCACCGCGTATTCTGCGTCTCCGCGCTGCTTCTCTAGCTGTGCCCGCCACCACCGGAGCACAAACTCGGCAGCGACGCTCCCGCCCTGAGCGAACCCGAAGAAGTGGATACGCGCGGGCGGCCAGGCGCAGTCTTGGGTGAGGTGCGCGAAGACGCGGTCGAGGTGCTCGAGTGCGGGCGTGGGGTTCGGCCGCTCGAGGAGCTCGCCGAGCGGGTCGAAGGACGCGTACCATTGGAAGGCCTGCTCGTACAGGAAGGGGACCCTAGACGGGGCTAGCCGTTACGAGAAACTACAACAGCGTGTACGAGGGAGAGAGGACTCACTGTTCGGGCGCGCGCAGCGCGAGCGTGGCTGTCTGCGGGAGCTTCAGCTGGCGGCCCAGCTTGCCAAACGGCACATGCGTGTCGCCTGCCGGTTCCGTCAGTTCCGACATGCCTACGACGCTTCGCAGACTCGGGTTGCGACTCACCTAACCCGTGTAGTATGATGAGAAGGTTCTCGTCCGTGCCATCATCGCTGGGATTGTACGTGAACGGGACGGAGATTGAGGATGCCTTGGGCGATGGCTTCGTCTTCGGACTGTGGCTGCCGGTAGCCTCTTGCACCTGAAGATCAGACATAGTGTCCTTGAATACTGAAGCTTTGATCACTGCAGAGTACTGCTCGTTATTGCCCGCCGTTCTGGGCTGTGGCGGGGATGGTGCATGGTGGTTCGGGACGACCGTGCGCGTGAACCTTGCAGTCAGTGATGCGGAGCGCTCTGATCTCCCTCGCCTCCTGCCATCTGACGCTCGTCAAATAGGTACGCTCGTCGCTCGCCATGGTCCGCTTTGTTGGCAATGTATCAGTCGCGTCGTGCACGGGCCAGCTGCTCTTGATCCAGGTTCTGGCGTGGATGGCCGCCTCAGCTCGCTGTCCACCGCACTGGCACTGGAGCGCGGTAGACACACCTTGACATGGGTTTGTGCTGCATCCGCGCGTTGGCATTCGATTTCAATTGTGAGTCTCGAATTGATATTCTAGTGCTCCAGTTGCAAACGGAGGGCTGCGCGAGTCCTCCATGCCAGCATTCAGCGTCGCATCTCTGACTTCCATCGAGCGCATGCCTTACGGTTGTTTCGTCTCCAGCCGGTCGAGGACGTCGCAGATGTGCGTCCGACACTACTCTCTGCGCTGTTACGAGACTGCATATGTATGTAACTCTACGCTTGGCCGTCGATCCACTTCTTGCCTCCGCTCCTTCAACTGGTACGAGCTCGTACCGCCTCCGAGTCAGGTTCTTCGCTGACGCCGTGACTGGCCAGAGTTCTGGCCGGCGTCGAGATCAAGACACATTCAATCCGGGAGGTCTCTGGGCATTTGAGTACACTTAGGCCTTCTCGGAAAGACTCATATGCATTGTGCCGGGGCGAGTGGGATCTCACGCTCAACGCAGGCATGCAGGAAGGATATCGAGCGCCTACTATAAGTCCCTAGTCGCGGTCAAGGTTCTGAGTGAGTCGCTTTCACTGTTGTCGATCGGTTCTTGAGATTGACCTATGTACGTAGGTCTCTGCAGAAGCGTTGCAGACTCCTGAGCGACACGCCGGTCTGGTAATCTGACGAATGTCGAACGGCAGGCGCCACCGGGGTCTGGCAGGCGAACTTGCGCGCGCTTGAACTGTCGAGACGGCGAGAAGACGGTCGTCTGAACGCAGCAGCGAGAACGTACATATCAGACCTAGTACTACCGGCAAGCATTGATCTTTACCGCATGGTGAGTTGAGGAGAACTTATCCGTGGATGTGGTGGTCCGTCATGGTCTATATGATGGTAATCTAAGTTGGCCGAGATCGTGTCCCGATATAGCCATGATTGTCGCTACTGTGGCTTGACTGTGGCTACTCCGCCACGGTGACTTACAGCTCGGTGCGTGGCTGGATTTGTACATACCTTGTACCCAGATAACCATGTCCAACTTCACGAATGCGAAAGCAGGCCCATCAATGTCGCCGACCGCAACTCCCGGAATGCTCATCAAACCTTTCATGGGCCCACGCCGTCCAACAATAGCGCGTCTGCGAGCTTCGCTTCGTCTCAAGGCGCAAGCACTACGGGGTTGAGGTAGGGCACAAGTCGCGCAGCACATATGCCCGACTGACTTGGTGAACGCTGCATTCCAGGTTGCAAGACGTGGCCCCCGGCATCGAACATGACCTCAAATCGCACCAACAGTGCTCCCTGAAGAGCATGCAGACGTTCTTACTGAAATCGATCTTGCCTGGCGAGCAGGACCTCGACGGAAAGCTTGCAAGATGTATGAAGGAGGCCGAGGAGATAAGTACGAGTCGTGAAATACTCGAACGGTTGGACGAGCTGTGAGTAACGAGTAGAAGTCGTATGCATACACGTGATCTAATCCACACCACAGCAAGGATAAGTTGAGCTTTGGCGCATTTGAAAGCGCGATGTACATACCGTACATCAAGCTGACGAACGAGATTCTCGCGCAATGTCGCACAGGGCTGCGGGAGTTAGGCCAACCGTCGGACCTGGACATCATATGTGTCTGCAACGATCCGAACGTAATCCTCGGCAACCATGACGAACAGATCACGCATCGCAAGCCGGACCTAGTGTACATCAGCTGGCGTGGCATTTCGCGGGGGGGAAACCAAGCATCAAGCTGGGAAGTCGCGCGAGAATGGGCCTCGGCCTCGTTCACCGATGACAGCGACAACCTTTCACTTGGACTGGACTGGAGCCAAGTGCTGATGGCGGACGAGCTGAAGAAGACCAAATTCGAACCGACACAGGTGAAGGACATTCGACTGTATAGTCCGTCAGAGGGCAAGGTCGTCCCATACGCGGATCCGTCCAACTTCGTCACTGACATGGCGCTCGTGGTTCCGGCGCTGGTCTCATCGAAGACCGTCTCGTCTGTTCAAGATGCCGTGTTTGTTCGAACTCGACGTTTATACGAATCTGAATGTCCGTGCTCTGCAGACGCGAACGTACCGACCGGTTCGAAGCGCAAAGCTTCGCATCCAGCTGTTGCGAGTAGTTCGAAACGGCGGAAGTTGAGCATCACGAGCACCAGACGAAGGGGCCGAGCTCAACCGGCAAGCGTGACAACAAGAAAGCGAAAGAGAACGATCCAAAGCGCCCGGCTCCGATGGTGCAGATGGCCATCTATGCTTCCGAAATGCTTTCTGTAGAGGGGCTGATCAGGGATCACGGACTGGGCATGCTGACCCAAGGTTTGTGTTCGTTCGCTGCTGTTTTGTTCGGGCTGACCACAACACATACAGACGATTGGACGTGGTTATGGTATTTCGACAGTGCGGGGGCGATTCAAGCGCAGGGCTTCAATATGCTCGCACACACCGCAGACTTCGTGCTCATCGTGATGTTGCTCCAGCGCTTCAATCTCCCGCAGTGGGGATTTCCGGAGGGGACGAACTCTGAGGCGAGACTCGACGTGATCCGGTGTCTATCTCCACCGCGAGCTGAGATCCCCGGACCGGCTGGTGGCACAAGAGACCCGGCACGTCAGCCAGTCGAGACCTTCGAAGTCGTTGGAACGGACAAGGATGATTTGCCCAAGACCATGGTGGTGGATCCAGAGCGTATTCTGCACAAGCCCTCGCCTATTCTGAGAGGGCGTCGAACGATGGTGCTTGAGGCGCAGGACCCGGACATGCCTACAACGTCTTATGTTACGAAATGGTCATATCCTCAGACGACACGCCACAACGAGGCCAAGATGATATGGATAGCTCGCGAAATTGTCGAGGACATGGACAAAGAGGCGCTGGGATCGCTGACAGACGTGGTCGCATTCAAGGACTTCGCGCACCTGTCTACAGACAACATCCGAGGCCATCTCCGCCTTTTCAGTGACCCCACACAGCCGCTCATCGACGCTGAGCAACACGGGGAGCGCATCCTGCGGTGCATCTTCGAGGAGAAGCTCAAACCACTGATATATCTGACCGGCCTCGAGTTCATACGGGCCATGATCGATTGCATCCGCTGTAAGTGTCTCGCGTGATCTCTTCGCGCGATGTCCTCAACCTCTTGATAGGTCATATGCTCCTGTGGATCGGTAACGACAAGCACAGAATCGAACACACCGACCTGAGCTTTTGGAACCTTGGCGTTTGCCCATTATCGCTGCGCATCAGGCTGCGCGACTTCGACCTTGCTCGCTTGGTGATAGTCAGCCAGCCAAGCAAACCTCAAGGGTCGGAGAGGACGGGCACCGTTCCCTTCATGGCGCTTGACCTCTTGACGGAGGCCTATTGGAATGGTCGTCTCGAGCGACTCTATCGCCACGACCTTGAGGCATTCGTGTGGGTCACGGTGTACTGTGCTTGGGCCTTTGACGACGAGGGACTTGAAGACATGGACTCCCCTGTTCACGCCTGGCTGACGGCCGACTACGAACAATGCCGAGGAGAGAAGTTCGATTTCCTCTGGACCCGGGCGAAACAGCGCCCAGACAATAGGACTAAAGAGAGCGGAGGCGGCGGCCCCGGATACGTCCCGTTCTTTGCCAGGCAGCTGGCGGAGTGGCTAAGCGACGAGCGCCTGCGGCAGAGGGCAAATACAAAGGCAAGCAGCGATCCTGACTGGCCGTTTGCCGACAGCGAACAGCAAGCTCGCAAAAAGAAACAACTTTTACCGGAAGGAAATCATGACGATAAACTTCTTCAAGAAGCAAGGCGTGACTTCGATAACTTATGGAATAAGATTGGTGCTATTCGCAAGGCAGTCAAGGATGTGAAGGCGACGCCCGAGCGGGTTGAATTTTACATGGAGCGCGAGAAGAATGTCGAGAAGTTGAAGGCGGACCGTAAGGCAGAGGAGGCGAGATTGGACAGAGAAGCGGAGGCGGAGGAAAGGGAACGGAGGAAGGCTGAGAGGGAGGCGGAGCAGGAGGCACGCGAGGAGCGCGACCGGAATCTGAAGCTGAGGCGCAAGGTAATTTCTGTATTGTAACCATTGATCTGTGCTCTCCATTGCTATCATACGACCGGACTTGGATACATACCTATGGACAGTTTCCTGCATTGAAGGTGCTACGTATACTATCTGTCGCTCGTCTCGTTCTCCACGGGCAGGCCCCGAACCACTAGTACTTGCGACAAGCATAGGCGGTTATATACATATGTACGAAATTACTCGGTTCTGATGGGTATCCAGACTCGGACAGACTCACATGCGATGTGTCCACCGACGTGAGTGAGATCTCAGCCCACGCATGGCGCTTGCAGGAGGATATCGAGGTCAAAGCTCTGAGTGAAAGTGAGCGAGTCGCTTTTACTGTTGTCGATCGGTTCTTGAGACTGACTTTGCAAAAGCGGTGCAAATTCCTGAGGGTCGCGATGGTCTGACCGGGACCAGTCTGACAAAACGTCGAACGGTGCGCGCCATCAGCCTGACGAACTTGCGCGCTTGAACTGCAGACGGCGAGACGAACGGTCATTCGGACGCAACTGCGAGAACGTACTTATCAGTACTACCAGCAAGAATTGATCTATACCGCATGGTGAGCTGGGGGTACTCACCGGCGGCCGTGGATGTGGTGGTCCATCATCATCATGGTCTATGATATTAGTCTCCGTAGCAGACCTGGTGGTAATCCCGTTTATGGTCATTTGAGGGTGAAGCTGGAAGCCCTATGTAGACTCGAACTACTTATACACATATACTATACTACTAAGTTCAAAGCGATTGTGTCTGCATATATACTTAGTCATTGGCTCGGTGCACCGTATACAGCAGGCCTAAGAAGCCGACAAGCGTCGTTTTAATATAGTCTAAATTGGCCGAGATCGCGTCCCGATATAGCCGTGCTTGTGGCTTTTTTTTTTTTTTTTTTTTTTTTTTTTTTTTTATTCTCCATGTTTTAGGCCCGTACGGTAGGTACATGTGGGGCAACAATAATAAGGGATGTCCGACGTGAGCAGACCGTGTTGCGGCATGGCGTGCTTGTGGCTACGCGCTCAGGTTGTGACCGCTCGGTGCGTGGCTGGACTTTGTACTTTGTACTTAGACAACCATGTCCAGCTTCACGAATGCGAAAGCAGGCCCATCAATGGCGCCGCCCGCGACTCCTAGGAATGCTCACCCAAAACCCTTCCATCCGACGCCGTCCAACAACAGGGAGTCTGCGAGTTCCGCTTCGTTTCAACTTGAAGGTGCAAGCAATACGAGGATGAGGTATGGTACAAGTCGCGCAGCACATACGCCCGGACTGACTTGGTGATTCTGAATGTTGCGTGCCAGAATGAAGTGCTGCCGCGTGACGTCTTCGCGCTTGCGCGATGTACTTAACGTCTTGATAGGTCACAAACTCCTGCGGATCGGTAACGGCAAGCACAGAATCGAACACACCGACATCAGCTTTTGGAACTTGGCCGTTGACTCAAGCTCGCTGCGCGTCAGGGTGCGCGACTTCGACCGTGCTCGCGTGGTGGTAGCCGGCCAGCCAAGCCAACCTCAAGGTTCGGAGAGGACGGGCACCATTCCCTTCATGGCGATTGACCTCTTGACGGACGCCTATTGGAATGGTCGTCTCAAGCGACTCTATCGCCACGATTTAGAGTCGTTCGTGTGGGTCATGGTGTACTACGCTTGGGCCTTCGACGACGAAGGACTTGAAGCCATGATGACGGCCGACTACGAGCAATGCTGCGTCGAGAAGGCCGCTTTGCTTATGAACCGGACGAGACAGCGCCCAGACAATAGGACTGACGAGAGCGCAGACGACGACCCCGAATACGTCCCGTTCCTTTCCAGGCAGCTTTTGGGCTGGCTGCTGAGTGAGCGCATGCGGCGGGACACTACAGAGCCTCGCAATCCATTCACCAAAAACAAACAGCGAGCTCCCAAAAAGAAACAACTCTTCCCGAAAGGAAACCTCAAACCTCATCAAGAAGCAAAGCGCGACTTCGATAGCTTCTGGAATAATATCGAATATATTCGCAAGGCAGTCAAGGATGCGAAAATGACGCCTGAGGGGGTCGAATACTTCAAGTCGCGAGAGAAGAAGCTTAAGGAGTTAAAGAAGTTGAAGGCATGGCGCAAGTGGGAGGAGGCCGAAAGGAACAGAGCAGCGGAAGCGGAAGAAATGGAACGGAAGAGGGCTAAGATGGAGGCGGATACGGTTGCCCGATAGTCCGGGGCCGGGCATTTTTGCACGACGCGCCTTTGACGCGCCTCAGCCATATCGCGTCCGCCTGCTCCATGTCTTCTAGGACTGGGAATACTCACGTTACGGTCGTAGAAACATGACTGCTACACGTAAAGCACTGGGAACATCAAAAGAGAGGGATTAGCAAGCTCATCGGCCCTCAAAATTCACGCGAAAGCTCGACGACCTCGGAAAATGGTAAGCGCCCGGCGCGTTACCGCGACTCGCTCGCTCGGACTCGAAGGCGCAAGTCTGGAGGATACAACTATGGGCCATGTTGTATGCTGGTGCGTGGCTGGTTTTCAGGAACTTGTGAGATGTCGAACAGGGATGCAGATTAGCATAAGCAGGATGGTATGACACTCGGTACTACTGATACTGCAGTGCTGAGCGGAGTCCGGCAGGCCCAGTGAAGCTTCATGAAACTTCCTGAAGCTCTCGGTGTAGGGTTTTGATGTGCATGCTTTGTCCGGGGGTGATGAGGTGATTCAGATGTACGGTTCGAGACACATGATATATATTTTGGTTTTGTCGATGTACACGAAGGCCCGCAACGCAGTAAGTACGACTCCGAGGCAAGACCACTATTATTTTGCACCTGTCATAGCCATAGATAGATAGACGTAAAAGCACTTCTGAGCTTCTCCTACCCTCAGCACTTCGTTCTGCTCAGTATCCCAGTTGACTTTGCATAGTACCAGCTACTTCATTTGCAGCAGTGTCCGAGCTGAGAACATGGGCTGTACAATTCGAACTATGCCCGTAGTACGAGAAGTAAAACCACAGCACGTATGAATAACTCACCATATATACTGTGCTTGGTCTGCCGCGGCCATAAAGGTGGTGTAGAACTTGCGCCTTCGAGTCCGAGCGAGCGAGTCGCGGTAACGCGCCGGGCGCTTACCATTTTCCGAGGTCGTCGAGCTTTCGCGTGAATTTTGAGGGCCGATGAGCTTGCTAATCCCTCTCTTTTGATGTTCCCAGTGCTTTACGTGTAGCAGTCATGTTTCTACGACCGTAACGTGAGTATTCCCAGTCCTAGAAGACATGGAGCAGGCGGACGCGATATGGCTGAGGCGCGTCAAAGGCGCGTCGTGCAAAAATGCCCGGCCCCGGACTATCGGGCAACCGTAGGCGGAGCAGGAGGCACGCGAGGAGCGCGACCGGCTTCTGAAGCTGAAGCGCAAGACATTCTCTGCATCGTAATCGTTGATCTGTATTCTCCAATTGATTGCATGGACTTGGATACCTATTGACAGTTTCCTGCATTGATTTTGAAGGTGGTGCGTATAGTACTTGTCGCTCGTCTCGTTCCCCACGGGCGGTGCAGGGCCCTCGGACCACTTGCGACAACCATAGGCGGCCGAACTTCATGTGGCGGGGTGAAGTCCAAGCACTCATATGAAACGTTATGGTCGTAGGCAGAGCCAAGCCGTGCAGAGTCTACGTCAGCTTGGGAGCTCCTTCGACCACAGCCCTCTGCCAGTGGGACTTCGGCTTCCAGCTCTTCATGGATGCTCATGGGCGCTCAACGTCCTCATAATCGCTGGCGATGCTGTTGACACTGCCTACGTCGCGCCCGTTTCTCCCTTCACCTCGCCTCTCCAGGCCGGTGCCTCTTCTCTCCTCCGCAACGCACTTTTTCGGGCGAGTGAGAACACTTACCATCGTACCAATATGAAGATCGAAGCTAGACCAACATCTTGTAGCGATCCAGAACAACAGACGATCACAATAACACTGCCGCGCAATTACATTTCTAGTCTTGCTGCCTCTACGTAGATACGCAATGCACGCCCTGCAGACATACGCACGTTCCGTCACCAAGTTGAAGTATCGACTGTTTACACACTCGCGCCCTTCTCGGCGAACGCCTGCCCGTCTCCCACGAATCGCTCGATCACGGCCTTGACCGCCTCCACGTCATTCGGCACGTCCACCACGCGGCGCTCCCGCTCCAGCAGGCCACGGAACTCCTCCGGCAGCACGTCCCGCTCAAAGTCGAACGATGGCGCGCCCTGCAGCGCGCGCGTGACCGCCTCGGAGAACTTCGCGGGGTGCGCGGTCGAGAGGACGACCTGCACTGTGCTTGATGGGCTGAGCAGATACGATGTCATCACACTAGCGTGTAAGAAGAGGGGCAAGGACACACTTGTGGGACGCGACGAGCGCGGCGGCGCACAGCCCGACCGCGGTGTGAGGGTCGGCGATGTACGATGGCGAGGAGCTGTGGTATGCCCTGATCGTCTCCAGCGTCTGCCCCCGACCAGTCAATCAGCGATGCCAATCGACCGCACATAGTACACAGGTCGCACGCACCTGTGCGTCAGATATCCGCTCGGCAGCAAAGTCCCTGCGTGCCGCCTCCAGCACCGCCGTGGGCAGTTGTACGCGCCCGTCGGCCTTCACCGCGCGCATCCACCCGTCGACTGTTGCGCATGCCTTCTGCCGCCGCTCGCGCTCGTCATCGGCGGCGCCCTGAGCCTCGTACGCGAGGTACCAAAGGAGTCTTTCGAAGTTGCTCGAGACGAGGATGTCCATCGCGGGGCTGAGCGTCTCCCGCACGCCACCGACGGCTTGCTTCCCGTCGCTTGCGCCGCCCGCAGCAGGCGCACGGTCGACCTTCTCGTACGCGCCGCTCTTCCAGAAGCGCGAGAGGATGTCGTTTTCGTTCGTGGCGACGACGAGCCTCTCCATGGGGAGACCCATGCACCTGGCATAGTAGCCCGCGAGCACGTCGCCGAAGTTGCCCGTAGGCACGACGAACTGGAGCTGCGCGCCCTGCGGGAGCGCCTTGCGTGCGTGGAAATGCGCAAGGAAGTAGTAGACCGTCTGCGCGAGGATGCGCGCCCAGTTGATCGAGTTGACCGCACCGAGGCGGTGCCGCGCGTTGAAGGCGGCGTCGGCGAAGAGCGCTTTGACGGTGTCCTGGCAGTCGTCGAACGTGCCGCGCACGGCGAGGTTGTGCACGTTTGCGTCCGTGACGGTCGTCATTTGTGCTTCCTGGATGGGCGAGACGCGCCCTTTTGGGTGGAGGATGAATATCGAGACGTCCGCCTTGCCTCGCAGGCCGTAGATCGCTGCGCTGTAGTGACGGTTTGCGAGTGTGTCCCAGGTTATGAGGAGGTCGTACTTACCTGCCAGTGTCCCCGCTTGTAGCACCGACCACCGTCAGCTTCTCCCGCTTCTCTTCTGCGCTTTTCTTGCTGTTCCTCCGTACCAGGAAGAACTCGAACAAGTTCCCGAGAAGCTGCAGCGCAACGTCCTTGAATGCGAAAGTCGGGCCGTGGAAGAGCTCGAGCACATACGTCTTGTCGCTCAGCTTCTTCAGCGGCGTGATTTCAGGATGGCGGAAGGTGCTGTAGGACTTGTCCACAAGGGTGCGCAGCTCGTTGCGGGTGATCTCAGAGGGAGAGATGTAAAGGGACAGAATCTCTACGGAGAGGTCCTGGAAGGAGTGGTCCCGCCAGCGTTCCTGCCAGTCTGCTGGGAGAGCTGGGATGTGTTCCGGGATGTATAGACCGCCATTGGAGCCAGGCCTGTGAGCACAGTCTAGCTGTTTGTTAACACAGTCCTACGAGTCGGGATCAACACCCACCTCCTCAAAAGAGAGCGACTGTTCGCTCCCCTTGTTGAGAAATACCGCATAGCGTCTTGCTATTCAGAAGTGAGTGTGAAGCAGGTTGTGGATTCTGAGAATGTGCAGATCTGAGATGACTCGCGCTCCTTCCCATTCGGGCGCTTATGCGATGTATTGCTGTTTTCAGAAGCCACCAGCTCGACGTTCAAACCAGTCTCCGTTACCGGCGACGATAAAAGAATGACAAGCGCTTTCGTTCAAACGTTCACCTTAGCTTCACCAACGTGCCATTTGGAACTGGTCCTGCCCATCGCAATAAGACTCCACCCTTGTCTGTACATCCATGGGATACTTGATGACTCCGAGTCGCCACTGCTCAGCAGAACAGTAGTATGTAGCCTAGTGCAAACTTCTTGAACTTCATGAATTGACGCCGCCGGTATTTTACTACTACTCAGGCTTACTAGTACTAGTAGTAAACAGACACTGGCAGAACTCCGTAGTACTGAATTCGAGGATTAAGAACCTATCCCTCGCGCACGACATTAGATACTATTGACATGTGAGACACGATTCTCGGCTACTCTCCCTTCATCCTGATTGATAGCTTGTTCATCGTGACCTTCAGGAAGCTGTCCCTCTTCGCCCGGACGGTGCGCACACTCTTCTCCGTAGGTTCCTTCTGCTCCTGCCTCTTCCGCACACCACCTCGTCCACCGAAGACCCAGGCAACCTGATTGGGCAGCTTTATCTCGACTCCGAGCTGCTCCGCGAACGTCCAGACCGTCTGGTGGTCTCGCAGGAATTGCCGGCCAACCGCAACGATGTCGACACCCATGTCCACAAGGACGTGCTGCGCGACGTGCGCGTCCGTGACACCGCCCACACTCGCCACCAGCATCTTGTCGCCAACTCTTTTCTTGACTGCTTCCGCGTACGGAGCCTGGTAGGCAGGCTCGGTAAACTCGATCTTCTGCCTAGCATCGAGACCTGCTGATGAGATGTCATAGACGTCTACGCCATGACTTAAAAGAACCTCGGCGAGCCTCACGGTGTCCTCGGAGCGCCACGAGGGTTCGTTCGGTGCGACCTTCTCAAGCCAGTCCGTTGCGGACACCCTGCGTCAAGCTGATCAGCATGCATTTAGATGGTCCTCCTGAGCTTATGCTCACCGGAAGAAAAGAGGCATGTCCTCAGGCATGACCGCGCGGACTGCATCAACGACTTCCACCGAGAGTCGAATGCGGTTCTCAAAGCTCCTTCCATACCGATCCGTCCGCTTGTTCGTGACGGGGCTCAAGAACTGGTGTAACAAGTAACCATGCGCGCCGTGGATCTCGAGGGCATCTACGCCAGCCTTGATCGCGCGCACCGCAGCATCCGCGAAGCCACGTACGATACGCCGGATGCCCGTCTCGTCGAGCGTCCTCGGTATCGGCTCGCCCTCCTTGTACGGGATCGCCGACGGGGCGACGATCTCGTCCGGCCAACCGCCGACCGCACGCGTCGAGATCGCGTGGAAGGATAGCCAGAGCGCGACAGTGGAGCCCTTCCGCCCGGAGTGGTTCAACTGGATGCCGACCTTCTGTCCTTGGGAGTGCGCGAACTCAACGAGCTGCCGGAGCGGTTCGATCTGCGCGTCATCCCAGAGCCCGAGGTCTTGGGGCATCACGCGGCCCTCTGGAAGGATCCCTGCACCTTCGATGAAGGTGAGGCCGGGGCCGAAGGTCAGGATCGCACCGACTGTACATGAATGAGGATGAGCTAGTGAACTGCTGAGCAAGCATGAGGGACCTACTGTGCGCTGTGTGCCAAGGGGTAACTTTCCCATTGTCGCCGGATATTTGCACCATGGGCGATAGCTACGAAACCAGGATCCATATACTTTAGCCTCAGCCACAGAGCAATGAAATCGGACGGTCTTACCATGATGCGGTTCTGCAGTTGCAAGCCACGAATTTTGATGGGTTGAAACAGCTTTGGTATGGTCTTGCCATCCGACTGTGGATCGAAGGCCGTCCCTGCCGGTGGGTCCTGCAGCGGCGTGAAGTACGAGGTGTCAGGAGCAGCTGCAACGTAGTGGTCCTCCATTTCGAGCAGGGCTATGTCCGGTAGTGGACCCAGAGTCTGAGGGCAGACTCAGCGTGTTTAAATGCACTTCGTTCTAAAGTGGTGCGAATATCTCTCTGCAATTGGTTGTGTCTCACTCATCACCGCTCCGGCTCATTGCAGACGGCGGAGGGCTCGCTGAGCAAGAGCGAAGAAGCAGAAGCTCTTAGGGCTACCGGCGGCCTGCACATGCGCGTCTGCCAGAATGGCACTGCACATCGCTGAATCACTGGAGACGCGTGAGCAAGAGACCATCGTGAACAGGCTCGCACCCGATCTCGAGCAACATAACGCAAACGACACTACCAATCCCTGTCGAATCTGAGCTTGCGTCGGTTCAGGCGCAGTCACAGAGATACCCCACTGGGTTAGGTTCAAACATGCCCTCCGTGGTGGTTTTGTTTCTAGGCACTTCCATGTACGGACAGGTGCTCCTGAGGACGTCCAAGAACTGTCGGATTCACAATACGTTTGTCGCTACAGAGCGAGCAATGAGCTAATCTCGGGTTTCGTGGAAAGATCACACGTACATATGCATCAGCCCTCATTGTCAGCTCGCTTAGGCAAGTAGTTTGTGCTGACTGGGAAGTGCCTCTTGAATGCCGTACAGTTGATCATCCTCTGGTCTGCTGACGACCTGTCTGCCGCTTCTGGCACCTAATCCCCACAGCGCAGTTTTACCATGGTCTCGCCTCGACCATTCGGCAGGTCAACGTTCGATCCGGGTTACATCCGGACGAGTGGTGATATAATTCCGCATACTGTGCATCAATTATTTGAAAGGACAGTCCTTGCATGACATTAGCCGATGATCGGTCGTTCAGTTCTCGAAGAGCCTCTGAGAGGATATATCCCATCTTGACATGGAGCCTATCACAGCCGATCTATCTCAGAGTTGCTGGTTAACAGGATTCGAGGCTTTGAGCACGACCGTGACACACCGAGAGTACACCGTGCTTCGACCGATGACCCAAATACCTCCGGTCCCGGAGTTCATCAACATGAGGTGCGCCCATGTCAGAAAGTCAAACAGCGCCGTCCGGGGCAGTAGCGATACAGCAATATGATACACGAGTACCGGAGCAGAAAGTCGAAAAAGGACGAGGGCACTCAAAGGGCACTATCTCGATCCGATCTTGAGGGAACGGTCCCGTGATCGTGGCGCGTCAGTGGCTGCCGCACTCTCGCCTGCAAGACTCAGGGCGTTCATTTGCTTTTGTAACGACCATCACCGCGCCGCGATGCGTCTCAAGGATGTATCAACTGTTGTTGAAGGTAGACTTCGCACCGCGAGTGGGAATGAGATGAGAGGATGATATTAGAGGGCTCAGAGCGAGCCCTATATATACTACGTAGACACATTTCCACTCGTGTACACTAGGTGGCGAAACAAAGCGGCGAGGCGAAAGGAAACAAAGTGTCGGCTAAGGCCCGACAAAGCGAAAGGTCCAAACGACCGTCCAAGTGGCGGTCGCGTCAAAGCGATGTAGGCAACGCGTGGCGCGAGCGGCGACGCTTGCCTCTCGTTCGTGCAAAGCGCGAACTCCAACACTCCCCCTCAAGCTAGCAGCGAGTGCAGCTCCCCCTAAGACCGTAGGACCCCGAGTTGGGTAGTGAGACCATGGTGACGATCGCGTGCGAGTCCTTTTGTGAACAGGTCGGCGGAGTTGACTTCAGTGGGGCAATAGGATAAGGAGACGGTATCAGCGAGGATGCATTCGCGGATGAAGTGGTGACGGATATCGATGTGTTTCGAGCGCGAATGATTCACGTTGTCCTTCGAGAGCGCAATCGCTGACTAATTGTCTGCGTTGATAGGTGTGGGTCCGTCTTGCGAGAAGGTGAGTTCGGCAAGTAGTGCGCGGAGCCAGATGGCATGGCGTGTTGTATATGAGATTGCCATGTACTCAGCTTCCATGGTCGAAAGGGCGACCGTGGTCTGCTTCTTTGAGCTCCAAGCCACGACACCGTTTCCTACGAGGAAAGCGTAGCCTGATATTGATCGCCGGTCGTCTGGGTTCGCACCCCAGTCTGCGTCCGAGTATCCCTCGAGTCGGAAGTTTCGGAAGAAACCTTTGACGTTCAGGTCGTCGTTCGAGCCACCGTAAGTGATTGCGAAGTTCTGCGTGCCCTTGAGGTAGCGTAGGACGTGTTTCGTGGCCGTCCAGTGGGTTTCATTCGGGCGTGAGTTGTACTGCGAGAGGGTCTGCACGGCGTAGCTGATATCTGGGCGGGTTCCAAGTGCCGCGTACATGAGGCTGCCGATGAGAGCCTGATATGGCTTGTCTTTCATTTCTGAGGTGGAGGTGTCGTCGGTAGTCTTCGTCAGTTTGACGTGAGGGTCAAGTGGTGTCGTGACGACCTTGCAGTCAGTCATGCCAAAGCGCTTGAGCACTGTCTGCACGTATTGGTGCTGCGAAATGGTAAGAGTGTGGGCTGTGCGGTCCCGCGCGATTTCGTAGCCGAGGAAGTGTCGCATTGGTCCAACGTCTTTGAGATCGAAGTTCCGTTTGAGCTCTTCTTTGAGCTTCTTCATGTCTTCTATGGAATCCGCGAGGAGGGCCATGTCGTCAACGTGTATGCCGATGATGGTGAGCCTGTCATCCTTGTCGCATCGGATGTAGACGCAGGGGTCGGAATGGAGGCGCTTGAAGCCAAGCGAGAGCAGGGCGTCATTGAGTTTGATGTTCCAGACACGTCCGGCCTGCTTCAGTCCATAGATCGCGCCGAGCATGTACATACCGCGGCCTGACCCATCGTCGAACCCTTCTGGTTGCTCCATCCAAATCTCCTCTTCCAGCTTCCCATTCAGGTACGCACCCACGACATCCATCTGTTCAAGTTCCATGTTGCGCTTCGCGGCGATGGCGAGTAGGACACGGATAGAGTCGGTGCGGATGACGGGTGCGAAAGTCTCGAGGTAGTCCATGCCGGGTATCTGCGCAAATCCTTTCGCGACGAGCCTGGCCTTGAACTCGACGACTTCTCCTTGCTCGTTTCG